CCGTATCCGGTTGATCGACCGAAAGCATCCTCAATGTCTCGGATCGACGCTAGGGTCAGAGACTTTGCCGTGGCTATCCAGGCCATTCTCCAAGCTATTATCATGCTGCCCTGCAGTATGTGGTATTAAATTGAGTCATGCAGTCGATGATAACCCCAGATATGGAATAGATAATAAATTCTACACGCACGATAGAAAGAATCGGCACCTTTCTCCGCAGGAGGCATTCCACCGCCTGTGATCTCGTGAGCCCCCTATCCGCAATTTGTTGGCACATCGAAGATCTCCTCTGCTTGCACGTCATGAGGCTGTGTCTTTTGGACGCGTCTGATGATAGTTTACGTTATCATGTAGGCGGATACCTAGGTAGAACGCATAGGAACCGCAGATGCCAAATTGAGCGATTGTCAACAGTACATACTTCCCGCGCTAAAGGTGGCATTTGCTGAGATCCAATGGAATTGACATGCTTCTTCTCGAATCGACGGCTCATAACCGTTCTAGTCCAGGTACATCTGCATAGGCAGCAATGAAATCCCGGGGTCAACCCTGGGATGCCATCCCTTACATGGACTAATCGTTCCCCTACAAAACTCTATTCTCACTAGAAACTGGGGCATGCATGGCGCGCAGCATATGCCATCTGGCGCACGATCCTCTCCCACGACATACTATGCAAACATCGTTGATGCCGCTCTGGTTTAGGTATGCGTGCAGTGGCTAGGGCCACGAACGGCAGCTGCCGCTGGCAATGAACGGGGTTGAACATGTCGGACTAGTCAGGGGCGGCTACAGGGGCATAGCACATGAGCTATGGATCACAGTATTGAATAGAATCATTCGGGGACGCTCAGTTTACAAACACGGCGCGGTACCTGTCTCGATTTGCAACCGGACTGGCTATGGAAAAATAAAAATGCTCCACCAACTCGCTGTTAATGAAATCCCCGGAGGCTCGAGGCCTAACCCGCGCTGGACCTTAGAAAACCGCTGAATATATATATATATATATATCATTTTTGATGGACGGCACGCACCCACCCGATATCAAGGGAGAGAGGTTCAGGTTCATGTTCATAGGAGCGGCTGATCGACAATTTCGACTTGAATCGATTAGCTTGTCTAGGGGCATGATGTCGGGTTTGCGCCCCAAGACCTACCCAAATTAGAAGAAACGCAGCGGTCTTCCCCCTTTCCCCAAACTTAAATTGCAGATCCATGATTTGGGGGAGGAATCGACTTCAAATTTGCATTTAAATATCTTCTCAAGTCGATGATCCGAAAAATGTTGCATCAGGATCGAATCAGGGGTCAGTCTCATCGGACCTAGTCCGTCAGATCTCCACATATGGGAAAATGACATCCCCTTTGATCCACTCCATTGAAACACAATAGAATAAGGGAAAATCGGCGCGTATGGCCTTCGCTTGGCTGAACGGACGGGGTCCAAACTATTGTCCTGTAATCACCCGGACCTCCCACCAAGGTGGAAGAGAAGGGCCCCGTTTTCATGAAGAGCCCAGCAGCGCAATCTGACTGGACCAGGCCGTCGGGTACATATGTGCCAAGGTGCCCACTACACACAAATTACTCGGTTATGACGGGCGGCTGCACCTATCGGGCGACGCATGCTTCGAAGGAGCAAAACAAGCTACTCGAACCAAACCGACATCACATTCTTGCCAGTCTTGTGAAACAACCCGGTGCCAACCGAATTCGCCGAAGGGATGAGTGCGGGATTCGTGGTACTGTTGCGCTTGAGGGTTTTTATTGGCCTTGGTGGAGATATTTCTCATTTTCATTCCTCACTCTCGGTACGGAGTATATTTGCCTCGTACCCCGGTACAGGAGGACTTCGGGAAGAAACTGGCGGGTTGCGGTCTGATATCATGACCAGCGCCAATAGCCAACCCATGACCTGGGGGGCTTGGGTGTATGTATCCACCCAGTCAATCGCCGTCCAATGAGGAGCTCGAGAGCAGGTAAATTTTTTTTTTTTTTTTTTTCTTTCGCGATTCTCAATTTTTGTTTCCCGCTACTCCGTAGTTACGTTCCATTATTCCCAATTCATCGAATCTGGTTTTTGAGGGGGGCTTGCTTCGGTCATGAGTCGGGAGTTCCGGCAAGCTGTCAAGCTGTACTGTAAATCATCGCCACCACAACTTCAAGCTTAAATTTTGCGCACGGAGAAAGACCGGTATCCCATGTTCAGGGTGTATTTTTGGTCACAGACGCCTGTAGATTGTAAGAGAATATCGAGATATATCACACCGTGGCCCGGATCATAATCGGATTGCTGCTGTGCAACAAGTCAAGCGGGTGCTGCCATCCTACACACTACGGGGCTCTTCCCCTTGTCATAGTTAAATGTTGCAGGTGGAGTACCAGGATGCAGAGACTTGATCCATGGATGGACGAGCGGCTGCCCTGACTGCGTACCGTGGACTGGGTACCGTGGACTGGAACGTAATTACCGTACGGGGCGCGGAGGAGGATCTTCAACTACCATCCATGCTTACACTGCCACATGCTCGACTACATAATACTACTAATAGTCAGACCGCGACGGTAAAGGCGATAATTCGTCGCTTGTAGGATTTGAGTCAGCCTAGGGATTTAAAACCGTCCCAGCCTGGAAGGTCTTAACGTTCAAGGTCCCAACGTTCACCGACCCCACGATCTCTTCAGATGATCTAAACACCGAATACGATCTTTCCGTCTCATGAAGAAAGATGGACACATGTTGTGACTTAACCTATCGCCGTATCTATGGGCCTGTTCCAAATGATGAGTCTTCCAGAATCATGTACGGAGCACACTGCGGATCTGGAGAGAAGTCTCCACTAGAATTGGTGCATCAAGCGGCGGGATAGAGTTTATCGCAAAGCACTTTGGGCCTGCCCCCTTGCAAGCAGTGCCCGCGGCTTTGATGTTAACTTCTGACGCTGCTCAGGTATCATTGGGTTCTTGATCGAGATCGGGTGAAGACTCTACACCCTCTCTGCAAGTAGCAGCTTTGGATTGATTGGGTGGCTGAGTAGCTAAGCTAAGAGTTCCCGCGGATTGGGTCCTGGGTCAGAGGCGACGACTATCTTCGGAATCGGACCCCCCTCACACCTCGACGTCTTTCCATATTGGCGGGTGAGTGGTGATGGAATCGGCTCTAGGTTCCACCCAGTAACAAACAGATTCTATTTTGGTAAAAGTCGTCTTATAACCCAGAATCGCGGTTCTAGCCCCTAGCTCGCATGATTGGCTCAGGGCATAAAATCATAACCACAACTAGACTGAGGAGCGGGTTGACGGGAAAGCGAAGAATAATGCGGCAATCATAGGAGATCCAGGGCTGCCAGTAATACCTCGTAGCTTGATCTGTGAGAACAATTACCGTCTCCGCATGGAATTTCTTTTTTCCTTTTCTTTTTGTTCCCTAGGTTTGCCGTTATTCGGTTTGATTGATTTGAAATATATGATTTTCCTCTCCGAAGACCCACTTGTCGCTGGTACTGGCAGGCGAATAGAACCTGGCAAAAGCAGACCTGTCAACTGGATTCCTGGAGGGAGGCTGTATGCTCTCGTGAACCTGAAGGAGATGGAGATTTCTGACCAAGGGCTGGGGTTGCGATTCCAAGGTTACCTCGGGCACATTATTCGACGTGAGCCCACCGTGAACTCTATTCGCAGATCCGAATAATCGGGTTTGGGATTTGGGTTGGCGGTTGCTAATGCACTGAGGATCGGGGAATCCCCGTCACCATCGTACAGGAAAGGGAGTGGCAATCCAGGGAGGGGCAAACAGCTCATAATGTAAAAGCTGGGTGTGTCGATCCCCTACAGCTATAATCAGAACTGGATCCATGCGAATTAGACTATCCCCCTCCCCCCTCCTGCTCTTATGCCGGCACAGTTATATTTCCGGGCCCTCGCTTCCTTCTTGACTTTTCCTCCCTTTCCCCCCTTCCCCTCCATTGACCATTTCAAACTAAATCACGACCCAAGTCCTTGGGATTCACCGACTATCTTTCCCCTTCCTCATCTTGGGCCCCCAGTGATACTCGATCGACCCGACAGCTTGGCTTAGCTTCCTTCGCCTCACCCAAACTCTCGGGATCGGGAATCGGGCATCATTGGAGAACACGATCAAAGGGAAAAAAAAACAAAACCAGAAAACTAAAAAAAAAAAAGGAAATTAAAAGCAAAAGCAAAGCTTGACAAGGCCCGAGGTACCACGCAGCTCCCGTACGAGGGCGTTACCGTATTAGAACCGCTTCGATTACGACAGAGCCAACCTGGGCAGGACAAAATCATTGGTGAGTGACTCCACCCCATGCACCCCCCCAATGTACCTGGTACTTTGGTTGGTACTTTGCTTGGTATTTTGTTCCCCCGTTACCCTGTTTTGGTACCCCCATCACCAATGCGGATTCCGAGTACTCGAGAGCTCTGATACGTATATTTCTCGATTCCGCTCGTCCATTGGGCTGCTTGTTGCTTTTCCCCTTTCTCCAAAGTCCCTCGATCTATCTGATACGGTGGATCCTTCATTTGAAGAACATGGGAAGCCCGACTTTCTTAACCGGATTCTAATGCTACTTTTTCTTTGTCTCTAGATTCTCGAGATTACCGGCTTCAACCCGCTGTGGTTTAGTCTCGCCCAATTTTGTGGCTAGAATTCTAATTATCTTCCCCTCGTCACGCCGGAAGCGTTTTAGTGGGCGCGACAACCGTGCTCTCGCAGATCTTCCTGCCTTGCGCATAATCACGGACAGCGTCTTCCCCCTCCATCGTCTGTCAAACTTCGTCCTTTCCCTCGTTTCGCGAACTCCGTCATGTGCACTTAAGGCGGATGAAATAAGCTATATTGCTTTGATACGGTATCGTCTCCAAGACCCCTGCAACTACTTTTCGGGATGCGCCTAACGTCTGCGAGTTAAGTCTTGGATTGTCTGGCTCTTTTATGCGGCCTTGACATTTTTGAAATCCTTCTAATGAACAGCCGCATGCCACCCCCCGATACGGGCCCTGCCCCGCCGCATAACGCTCACGGTATCTATGAAACTGGTCCATGGCGCCCTCCATATGCTCATGCCCATTACGACCATGCGCCAGACCCGCGGCGCCCGCCTCCACCGCCGGCGGGACCGTCTCATGTACCACCACCGCAAGGATATCCAGTTATCCCAAACCGAGAACTGCCACAACCTCCCCTCGACGGCCCCTACGGCCGCCCTAATAGCCTGCCAGCACACGCGCACCCGGACCCAGGCGCCTCAGCACACCCCGGTTATCGCCCGCCAAATGGACTTCCTCACGAGGTATCCCCTCACTCCGCACCACCGGAATTTCGTTCGCGCATGGGCTTTGCACCTCCAGAGCCCCCGGGTACTAATGAGTCCTCTCCTACCTCTGCTTCCATCCCGCAAACAACACAGTACATGCCATCCGGCCCCTCGATCCCAGCTAGTACCCCCGTTGCTACGGGCACACCTATCCCGTACGACTCTGCATACCCACAAAACCCGGCCTATGGCGCGCGCATTCGCAAGGCTGCCCGCGCACAGCAAGCATGCGACCAGTGTCGAGCCAGGAAAGCCAAATGTGATGAAGGGCGGCCGGCTTGCAGTCATTGTAAGGAGAACAACCTAATCTGCGTTTACAAAGAAGTGCCGCCGCACAAACAAGAGAAAACAACCCAGATCATTCTTGACAAGTTGATGGAATTGGAAGACAAGTTCATGGAACGGTTTAGCAACCTTGACAGGCAAGGGTCAATCCATGAAAGAACGCTGGGTGAATTTAGCAAGGGAATGCGCTCCTCGGTGCCTCCGCGTGACACCCCCCTAAAGATGGAGCCAACGACTCTGCCGACAGAGATGCTGGATGAAAAGCCAGGCTCTTTCGCGTCACAGGCTCTAGCTAAGGCTGATCCAACCGCAACAAGTTTTGATGAGCAAGCAAACGGCCAGGATAACGAAGGCGAACTGTCAATCCCAGTGGAACATACAACAGCGGCTCATAAGCTTCTCATGTGGCCATCTATTAAAAGTCTCATCCGGGACCCTGGGTACGACGAAGACTATGTTATGCAATTGGAAAAGGATCGGCCGATCACGAGTGTCTTTGGTGAAGGTGAAAGCTCATTCTCATCTGGTTTCCTCTCGTGGGTGATGGCGCGAAACCGCATGGCTGGAAATGAAAAGCTTGAGACTCCTGGGACAGTGCTCCCTGATGACTTGCTCCCAGAGCCTGAGATTGACGATAACAATTGGCCATCATTACCGTACGACACTGCTAAGCGATACTATGACTGTTACATGAGCAAGATGCACAAGCTCCACCCCTTCCTGGACCAGCCAAGTTTATGGCAGATTTTTACTGACTACACACGGCGGCATTGCACTGGCTGTCCAGTGCCCTCCAATGGCTACTGCCGCGAAAACTCTCGAGGTGCGAAACGTAAGCGATCTTATGGTGACTTGCAAGGCCCCCCGGGGTGCCCCACCTGCTCCGTCTTTGAGCCCTTTCCAGGAGAATGACACGATCAAGGTCCACGAGAGTCGACACAGCAACCTCAACCCTAGCGACGAGATGAATATTGATAACGCAATAATTCTCTTGGTCTTTGCCTTGGGTGCCATTTGTGAAACCCCTCATCCTTTACCAGGGCCGGCGGGGCCACTTGATTACCACGACCAATACATTCCTGGACCTTCTCAGCCCAAGAAGCCTAAACCGAATGGTATTCAGGCGGCGAATGGGGTTCTCTCTCCTGCCAACTCTGACTCGGCTCTGCCTACCAGTTCATCCTTCTATACCCAAATGCAAAGCACGAGCCATTCATTCCCCGCAAGAATCGAGCCAACACCTCCTCAAAAGCCAATATCAGGCGGTGCAACAGGCACGGAAGGATCCGGGCGACCAAAGAATTATCGCGTGATTCCAGGCTTGTTCTTTTTCGGATATGCTACCATGATTCTTGGTACTCTTCAAGGCGTGGGCACATTAAAGAGTGTGCAGGCGCGTTTGTTGGCAGGGTTGTACGCCGGTCAGCTAGCTCACCCATTTCAGAGCCACGCTTGGATTTCCGAGGCATCAAGATGTTGTCAAGTTCTGATTGCACCGAAGAGTTTCGATGCGGCTTCGGAGAAAATGCGAGATCTCATCACCTTCGCTTTTTGGACCTGTCTGCAGCTAGAAAGTGACCTTCTTGCCGAGCTTGATATCCCGGCGAGTGGTATTTCTCGCTCCGAAGGTCGGATGGGTCTCCCGAAATGGACAGTACAGTCTGGGATTCCCAGACGATAACGTCCATGATCCCGTGCTGACTATGCTGTACTACTCTGCGCAAATTCACCTTCGGAAGGTCTTGAATCGTGTGCATACTGACCTGTATAAAGTAGAGAGTATGAACCGACCCGCCCCCCCCCCCCAAATAACCATGGATACAGTACGTTTGGGCATCTTACTGACAATCAAATAGAAGCGGGCGCGGAATCGCGTTGGTCATCCAATGTTCAGGAAGCATTAAGTATGAACCTCGATCTCTGGCGTAACAGTCTTCCAGACATCATGAACTGGAAGGACGGACAAGAGATTTCCGACGATATCAATGCCGCTCGCATGCGAGCCAAATACTTTGGTGCTCGGTATATTATCCATCGTCCGCTCTTATATCACGCTCTCCATTTTGGCAACGCTGGCACTCGCGTATACCCAGCTGGCCAGGCCGCTGTTGACTCGCCCACGAGTTCAGCAACTACTTCTCAGACGCAGATGTCTCCATCCATGCCTACCGGCGGCCACCGGGCCTCCGGCATGGCACGGATAGTGAGTGATTTGGGCAGTGCCCCAATGGCTACGACCTCTTTCCCCAATGGCTGGACGCGTCCTAAGGTCAAACTCGACGATCTCCCTTCCAAGCTTCGTCGTGCCTGTGTCGTCTGTGTAGACTCCGCCATTAAGAGTACAGAGGCTTTCGATGGTATCAAAGATCGACTTGTAGTCACCAATATTTTCGGCACAGCTCATGCGTAAGTGCTACTCTACACCCTTGTCAGCCATTCTTCAACTGACCATATTGTCCATAGCCAATTCGGAAACATGCTCGTCCTCGCCGCGACATACCACTCCGAACTCCGAGAGCTCGTCGAAGGCCCCAAATTCAAGCGTCTTTTGCGCCGGACAATCAAGTTTTTGCTCCGCAACGAAAACATCTCGCCAACCTTCCGGGCCGACGCGAAAATTCTCACCGAAATCTTCGAAGACACCTTCCCTGGCGAGCCGCTGGACCTTTCATAAGCTCCTCATTGGCACCGGCGATGCCTTCAACTTCCCTCATAAAATTAGCCCTGGCGGCTAATGTTCCACGAACATACTACAGCGTTTGAAGTCCGAATTTTCCCTGTCTCTCATGCACTCTTCCCTACATAATTTTTCAGCACTCCCTAAACGTCGCCCAAGCTCAGCGCAGCTTGGGTAAGTTTCATTTGCATTGTGGCTCAGATATGTGTGAGTTTTATGGATATATACTCTCTTGGGCGGAGTTTACAGTGCGGCTTTTCTCATCTTGCATCTGATAACTCATCGATCTTGGCACCGTGCGGTTTTTTCTTCTTTTTTTTTTTTTTATTCAACTTTGTGTGCTATTTGGGTTGCATTTTGTCTTTTTCGTTTGGGTCCATCGGTCGGCTTATTTGATATTCACCATTATTCCCCAATGAAAGCTCTAGAATCCGTCAAGAGGATACGAGCCACAGTTAAATCTTTATTTTAATTATTTCCTTCCCCTCCCTTTTGCATTTATAGAAAAAAACGTTACATAATAAGCCTTTGAGTGAATGATGTTGTAGATGCTCTTGTCTAAGTACCCTAGATGGCAGAAGTATGCATGAAAAGCGCGAAAAATGCTGACATTTCTATTTGTAATTTGAGTTCTTGTCTTCGAATCTAGGTTGCTCGTCAACCAACAGGATACTGTGACCCAGGGGTTCTCGAGGCATGCAGTAAAGTGCGGGCGGTATAGACGGGTCCGTATCCTCCAGTGTATGTACATATTGCACCGCATCTCAATGAAAGACGGAGAAAAGGGGAAGAGAAGATAAGGATAAGCATGCGATAATTCTGGGGTAGGCCTGCCGGTGGTCAATAAATGTTTCATGAATCTACTATGATTAGTCGTCTGTCTTCCTCTGTTGGTAGTGGAACAAGCTCCAGACACCCTTCAGCGCTTCGACGCGGTCGTTTGCGTCGAGAAGGTCATACCAGCGCGTACGCTGCAGCTTAAGCACATGCCATGGTTGATCGGAGCCATCAGAAGTTTCGGGGAATGTGCTCTCTCCGTGGGTGAGAATATCAAGATATCGGCGGTGGACACGGAGATGTAGAATGGCAATGTGGTGGTTGATCGAAGAGATCATGTAAATCTGATCAGGGACGAGAAATGTAAGTAAATGAAATCAATGCAACATTAACCATGCGCTGGTTCTTACATCATCGAAAGGACTCCCTTTGTCCTTGCCAATCTGCATATACTTCATCCGCTTATCCCAGAGACTGGGACCCGGCTGGATGATCTTCCACTTCTCCGTGCTGGTAAGCTTCCGCATGGCACTTGGTCGGCGGGCCAGCGAAGTCATAAATGGATGCTCGTGGGGCCGCCTGCGCGCTGTGTCTAGGTCCTGGGAAGCAGAGCTGAGACTACCCTCTACCAAGGACTCCGGGATCGGAATACCGTGGATACCAGGGCCTTTCATCAAATCATCCAAGATGCCATCGTTTGGCGCACCACCGAACCGCGGTGCCATAGTCCACCATTTGCCCTCGCCCGGGCGCACCTCTAGAGCACCCTCACGGGCACGTTCTTGGGCGGCAAGAAGCATGCCTCCAACCTCGCGGAAGAGATCGCAGACCTCCCCGAGACCTTCGCCCGGAGTTTCGCCGTCTGTTCTGAACCCGGTCTCTGGTCGACACTGTGCGATGAGAACTGGGCCCTCGAGGATGCCGTTACGCGCAATCGTTCGGTCCCGCGGAGATCGCGCCACCTGGAATGACTGGCGCACTGGGAACAGCAGACTGCGGACTGTCAGGCGCGGTGGCAGTGTCGGCACAGTGACCTGGCAGCCGAACGGCCAGGCAGCCATCTCGACGAAAGAGCGGACTGTCTCATCACGCACATCGTCGGGCATTTCCACTCCAGAGCCAATGCGCCGGCCTGTGTACCTCGATACTACTGGGCGAGGAGGCGGTTCGCCATCCGAGGTAGCCGCGGGCGTCTTGGTTTCTGATCGATCCACCTCCATCTTGTCCTCTGTGGCGTGCTCATCATCTACTGGAGGGGTCGGCTCCGGACTGGCGGGGCGCTCAAAGTAATTGTCGATACTGTTATCCCAGTATTGTGACATACGCTCGAGAGAGGGCCAGAACTTCCTCGTCTGGGTGACGCGGACACGATCGCGGCCCTCGCGGACTGGGAGGCGGGCTACCTCGCGGAAGACATCATCGTTATCCAGCAGTAGTTCGTGATGGAGGACCTCGTACTTGTCTTTCGGGGGGTAGGGGAGGCCATTGCTCATCTCTGGGGGTGGGCGCTCTTCCCCGGCGGGGGACTCGGGCTCGGGCTCCCAAGGCTTCGGCGGCAATGATTGGGCATGCGCCGAGGGAAACATTTGTGATACCTCCACATTGTTGTCGACTTTGAGGTTGAGGGGCTTGAAGCGATGGATGGAGATGTCCTGGGGTCGTTTAATGTCGGCGAGCAGGTGGAAGAGTTCGTGAAGACGGCTGTCCGACTGATCGGTGACGACATCGGGGAGCTGACATTCTGGGAAATCTAGCGGAGTTGGGTGTGGTGGAGGGTTTCGTTCTTTCTCAGGTTCTGAGGCCGCTGAAGGCAATGCTGGAAGACGCCAAGTTAGTTGCTGGGCAGAGGGGCTCGTGTCGCATTCCGCACAACACGAGTGGCGGGGAAGGGCGTAGCTCACCTAACGCACTGCCCCAGCCAAACATCCTAGCAAGTTCGACGACAAGCCTCTCACATGCTCTGGAGACCAGAACAGACAGAGACGGGGGGCGGAGGGTCAAGTAACAAGATTGAGTTCAGGAACAAAGGGACAAAATGAGGTGGCAAGTGGTCGTCTGCAGAGGGACCGTGGTACTTTGGGAAGTGGGGATTTCCTTTTTCCGTGTAGAAACAACTTTGGGGATCTTCTTTGACCACATTCTCTCCCTGCGTCCCCCATTACCATTCGAAATCACACATTCACGTTATATGCCCTCTACTCATGCTTTTCAAGGTCTGCCCTCTTGGTTGTACGCTTGTGATACGTCATATTATAGCACTTCATATGCAGCTATGGTGGAAATATGAAACTCCGACCAGCCCTGGTGGAGTGGAGCCTACGTCAATTTGACTTAAGATCGAAGGGTAGCTGCCAATGAAGCCACATGTGAAGACAAACAATATTCGCTTGCTATTCGATGGCCAATAAAGCTACTCAAGAGTTTCGCTCAAACTGGAACACACAAGATTCCGAGTCTCGTGCTCGTTGCGGCTCAAACAGCCCGCCTACGTGTAGTCGAACCCCCAAGACATTTCGTATAGAAAATTAAACATAGTGGACAAGAAGCCCCGGGTCGGTCATCTGCATCAACCCAGGCAAATATTCTGCTCGGTTTTATCTCCGGTTCCGGTGCGGTATCTCCGTTTATCCATATCCTCTTATATGCTACTGGACCTACATCCACGCTATCGTATTGGAAAGAGAGTACAATAAGTTATATTCGTGAGCAATCGAAGTAATAGCGCTAATCATTTGGGCAAGTTCTATAAGAGGCCTTCTTATGCTGTAAGAGAACCGCTAATTCGCTTGATTCCAGGGTAACGAGGATAGATGTCGATTTGCATGCTAGGATTGAGTAGAGGAAACATAGAGTCTCCCTCTTATCAGGCAGATCGTCCCAGATTTTGTCTGCGCCGGATATTGTGGGGTTGGTAAGTACCTTACTTCAAATAGACTCTCCGCAGCATGCCAATACCTATAGCCGCCTCATCACTTGTTCAGATCCCATCGCTCCGTCCAGCCGCCCTGCGCAGAGTCGAAATCCTGACGTACGATGCCAGCTAGCTCACTGAATGAACTTGACGGAACTTGTTTTCGACCCAGCTATGATACAGAGCTGCGGTGCGCCAACAAATGTTTGTTTAAAGGGGTGTGTTTCGTAAAGTAAACTTGATGGTCCGCAAAAATTCGAAGGCGAGCTTATTGCGCTGGCGGAGCAATCGATCAATGACAACATCGGGGCTATCATGTTTGAAGTGTACTAGTCTGGACATGGTGAAGCGATTCGCAAGCCAACAGGGGGCCGCCCATTTATGATGCATTTATCCTCGGGGAAATGGTTTTAGGGGGTGAACAGATTGAACCCGTCACATTGGCTATAGATCTACTTCTATGTTGCCGGTTGGGGGCCCAGGGGCGCGTACAGGCCGCCGAAGGGGCGATCAGCGCCATCTCACTGCCCTAAAAAACACCACTTGATCTCTGCAAAGCCGTTTGGCCTCGGTGTCAGTGACTGCCAAAAACACCCGTACGCCTTTGTCGCAAATAGCCCCAGGGCCCGACGTCTAAAATTATAACCCCCCAATGAACTAGTGTATGCTCATAGCCCTGGAGCCTCTGGCTAGGCATAATAAGGAATCTCGCCCCCGGAGAAGGGTCGCCTTGACATTCGACTGATCCAATTGTTGACCCGGTGACGAAACCACCATTCCGTTTTGGATTCTCGCTCCCACGACCAGGGACCCCCGTGCAGGGCGTTCGAGTATCACATTGATGAGTTGAACCGAAAAAAAGGGAATGCCCCAGTTGGCAAGGCTGACCAGCTTGTCATTGGGCCGGCCTTCCCGGGGTCGTTCTAAGCGCTGTCACGCTCACACACTGGAAGCGCTAGCTCCAACATGAAACAGAAACACCCTGAAGGGCCCCTTGAAGAGGGGGCTTGACTAGGGACGATGCAACACTTGCATGTGTATTAAATCCTCCCTTGGCGCTAAATATTCTATCGCGATGCTGAGTTCCTCTTTTCCCGGTTCTTGGGGAATTCGCAATCCCAGCTGTGCTCGGAAGCATTGTGATCGCGGCGAAAGGGGAAAAAAACCATCATTCACTGTACTATGCAGCGGTATCATTACTTTGACAGCGGTTTTAGGAGGATCTAATAGTGTGCTTTTGTTGAGATGTATTGCATCTTTGTCCTAATACATGTCGGGTAGGCAAAGGCTTTTGCAGCATCCCACGCGCGAGCACAGATTTGGCCGTGTTCTTCGCCGATGGGCGAGGTTGATATCCAAAATGCCTCGCCGGCATCCTCTTCAGCCACTTCATACAAACAACGATCTCGAGGACCCCCTAGTGTCAATTTGATGTCTGTTGTTACGCTGACTTCGGTTCTGACTGAGACTGTCCGTCCGACGCGGACTTACACGATAGCAGTTAATCCTCCTGGCGAGGCGACTCCTGTTCATTCGATCACACCTCAAACCCCAGTTGTCTCTCTGACCAAGATGATCAATGGGCCCCAAGGGCCCCAAACTAGTGCAGCCGAGAAAAAATGACCAATGGCAGCGGAAATAGCTCACCCATAAGCACATCGCCCGTTGCGACCGAGAGTGTTCAATCTCCAAGCAAGACGTCTATTGCTAGCACCGAGACTCCCGGTACCTCTCTGGTCTCCAGTACCCCATCACAGCAAGTACAGGGAGTGGCCACGCCCTTTTCTTCTTCTGCTCCTACACAATCGCCAGAGAGCTCCAACCTTTATACCAACCCGTGGCTTCTGTCGTCGACGTCGAGCTCACCCACCTTGACCTCCTCTACCTCATTGTCTATATCCACCTCTGCCTCAGAGTCAAGTTCATTTGATCGAGAGCCCTTGTCTACGTATGATTCAAGGACTATTTCGACATCGGCTTCACAATCATCCACCACCTCATCAAGCCTGGGCACATCGAATTCAGAGGCATCATCTTCAGTTCAGTCGACCGTCTATTTTGGAGGCATCACTACCGCAACCTCAAAATCTCAATCTCTTCTGGTTTCCTCGGCTTCATCATCTGTTTCTACTTCTTCTCCTACGTCGTCCTTATTGCCCGGCATCGTTGCGGGCTCAACAGCGTCTTCAAGCAATACGTCCGGCCATCAAACTAATATAAATGCTATAATTGGTGGATCCATTGGCGGAGCAGCAGTTGCTGCCATTGGGATAATTGCAGGTTGTTTGCTCTTCCGTCGCAGGCGACGAAAGGCCAAACAAGCTCAACCTATGACCAGCCGCCAACGGCTTCGCTCCAACGATTCGATTACTTCATTCCATCAGCGTCATAGCTCTCAGCCGGTTCTCTCTCTCTCAAAAGAAATTTCTGTCGTTCCTACTGCTCTTCAAAGGAGATATTCAAACCCACCGGCTCCGCATTCAAACAAGAGGCCTGTGAGGTCTCCCGATAAGTTGTATCTTCATGACGAAGAAAAGGAAATCCAAGTGGAAGACCCATTCGCAGACCCTGAACATGAGCCGATCCCTCCGTCCATTCCTAAAACACCCGCCTCCGTCTCCGCATCGAACTACTCGCGATCGACCCGGCGTGATAGCCAGAGGTTTCCCGGGGGGATCGACTCGCCGCTCCCGAGCTCCAACTATCAAAGCTCCCATTATGTTGGCGAGAGTACACTTTATCTTCCAAGTGTGGACAGTCCAAACTTGATATACCCAATCACGCCTCAGCGGCGTAGCGATCCCTTCGATCTCGAACCACCTCCGACTTCAGAGAAAAAGCCCAGTCCTCAAAGATTCTGGAGATTCAGGGACTGATCTGTTGAATGGCTCATTCCTCTCCCCACCCCCGGACCCTCATGTTTTTTTTTTTTCGTTGCTTACGTTGGCAAAACCCTCGTTTCATCTGTTTTATGTCTCGTTTCACCAATCGCCCACTTCGACACGACATGCACTCCCATCTGATAACATGATACCTGGAATGTTCTGGAAAGTTTCGGTTCTATTCTCATTTTCTTGAAAGCCAATGGTGTTCGGAGAAGGCTGGATATGCAAGCACCAGGTCTGTACATTAAGAAATTCTGCTCCATATTGGGAACTATTGGAGATACAGATGTATCATGCCAAATCTGTAGTAGAAGTCAATAGTTAATGGCGCTTTTCTGGGCACCCAGTTGAGCGGGCCCCAAACAAAGTTCAACGGGCCCCATAAACACCCTGACTACTTTTGGGGCCCGCTCAACTCTAGCACTTGACCAGGCCCTAAAATCCTTCTTGGCATGGTCGGCCTAGTTATATGATTTATACGTGATGCATGTATTATACTACATAATAAGGACAGTGCTAAGTTACCTACCCCATCCTTCAGCTCCCCCCTTATACTATCTAGGAAAGATTCATGCCCGAATAATACCTGAATATCATGTGACCCGCATTCAACCTGGAAAGGTTGGTTAGACCGGTCCTATTTTCAAAGGGTACACTAGTTAACTACATTTTGTTACATAGAAAAATTATATAAGGTTGGATCTTGGGGCCCCGGGGCCCGGTCAGGTAATGGAGTTGCGCGGGCCCCAAAACTAGCCAGCACGCTTTTGGGGCCCGTCGAGCTTTTTTTTTTTTGAACCCGCACCTTTCTCCTTGCTATCTTGAGCACTCGGGCCTCTAGTAAGGTTTACAAGTCGCGATTGGACCCTCTTGAAACCGCTTGTAGTATTAGCTCCAAATTTACTTTGGGTAGCCTACAGCAATGCCCGAACGTGCAAGGTTCTTTCAAAGATCCCCCAGACACGAGGCGCATCTGTCAATAAGACTTAGGATCATGGCTTCATGTTGAACTACTCCGAGTCCAATACGAGTGCGCAAATTGCAAACAATAAGAAAGTGTTCCGTATTTCAGTCTTTGATCTAGTGAAATCCAGATTCAACTTGAAAGCTTGGAGCTCAACTCTAGACGGCCCCTACTGCCAATGAAAGATCGCCTTCAAGTTGATCTTAAAATTTGGACTAGGAGGCAGTCGGTTCGAGCATCAGGGAAAGGGCAACTGGGGAAGGGCAACTGGGAAAGGGCAATCTACGTTGGGTTAAAGCCGACTGGAAAACAGGGCCAAAGGAGCTACTATCACAAGGGAATGATAACATTTCGTAACACAAGCGCCATGCCGGTAGGGGAAGTTTTTAGTTTTTGTTTTGTAAAGAAAAGTTTCCTTTTTCGCCTTCTCATTATGAACAAGAGAAGCCAGAGTATCACATCATCATGGCATCTTCCTATCGCCCCCACATGTCCCTTATGACTTCCCCAACCAGAACACCCGTGTATCGTCCGAGAATTCCGTGAGGAAATAAAAGAGGCCGACTATAGGAAGAGTCGCAAAGTAGAAAAGGCCGACCTAGGATCCGAGGGGGGCAAACATATTTTGAGGGGGCATAATCCCGAATCCAACCCAGCTGGCGACCTTCACCCTCCACACCACCGCCGTACGAGAAAAACATCACAGAACGGAATGGGATTGTGAAAGGATTTACTCCTGGTCCTCGCCAGCCAGAGCGTTACGCTTGGCCTCAACACGCTCCGCCCGACGCTCACGGAGAGCCTTGTTCTTCGCACGCTTAGCGTCCATCTCCTCCTTAAGGACACGCTCACGGTGGCGCTCAGCCTTAGCCTTCTGGATCTATATTGATAGAAAGAGCGAGTCAGTCATGGGTCTTGCGTGTAGGTGATACGCGGGGGTGGGGGTTGGAAGGCCTCGGTCGCAGGAATAGGGCGAGCCAGTTCTGTAGGGATCAACTTACGTGCTCAACAAGGGCACGCTTGTGCTTGAAGGTGTTACCCTTGCTCAGGTGGTAGAGCTCGTGGTAAAGGTGCTTGTCGATCTTGCCAGCGGCACGGTAGCGGACGAGAAGGCGACGGAGAACACGCATACGGCGCATCCAGAGGATTTGGCTGTAAGAAAAAAGTTATTAGATTTCTCATGTTCATGCGGAATGACATTCCATGTCCACAGAGGGTCCATGGAGACGCAGCAAGAGATGCATACCTGGGCATACGGGCGTCCTTGGTACCCTTGCGCTTACCCAGGCCACGGTGACGGCCAATACGGCGGGCCTCGTTGAGCTCACGAGCGCGAGCGCGGGAGTGGACGGTGACGGGCTTGCGGATGATCAGGCCATCGCTGACGAGCTTGCGGATGGTCTGGCGAGAGTTGGCGTTGGAGATCTCGTTCATCTCATTGGGGTCGAGCCAGATCTTGCGCTTGCCGCAGCCGACCACGGAGGCGGCGAGGCGCTTCTGGGTGCGAAGGTTGACCCTATAAAGAGAAAAAAAAGTCGAGGGTCAGCCATTTGCACACAATCTCCACCACTCTTCACTATCAACGGGGTCCCCCGTTCTCTGTCCACAGGGCATCGACGAGAGCGAAACAAAGTGACCCGCTGTATGAATGGGATCTCGGGGGCGTTTAGAGGGAGTTGGCACTCACATCTTGATGTCGGCGTATCGACGGTCGTTGGCGGATGATGTTCGTAGCACTCGTACGGGGAAATCCAAGCAAGTGAGAAGTTGGGCGGGACGCTTAGCTAATATGACTATAAGCGAAGTCCACATCCGAGAGTGTTCGCATTAGGGCTGCAACCTAGACCCTAAGCCCAATATGGAGTGTTGCGGGACAGAGTGGGTCTATTATGCGGCTGTTGATTGGTTGAGGTGGTAGTAGTTAAAAAGATTTCATTGGTCAGAATATTTCAACGTCACGAGAGATAAGTCTTATCAGCTGAACTATATCTCTAGGCCCAAAACCACTTTGGTACTATACAATGTTGATCTCATTGAAAGAACTCCTGTGGTCGAAAAATGGAATCTTATTTTTGTTCATGTATCATGACTCTGGTAACAAGTATTAATCATCGGCAAAGCCATCCTCTCCGAGATCAACCTTGCCAATACTCCACAATTCCTTTTCATCATCAACTTCATCGTTAGACAATCCCAATCCACCTTCGCCACCTTCAGCAGCACGCCTCTCACGCGCTTGGGTAGCCAAACGCGTGGCAATACGTTTGAAGTAATCAGACATGCTGCGCTTGGGGCCAGGAGGAAGGGAAGCGCCAGGACCAGCCATGTACTTGTCGAAGACTTCGCTGTCAGAGTCAACCACAGAGAAGATGGACAGGAAGCAAGCCTCCGCAGCCAGCTTGACTGGAATGACCAGATCGCGAACACTTGCAAAGATCGGTGGTGCTAATAGAGCCAAGTGAGGGCGGGTCATCTCGGGGTGCATGCGGCTGACGGTGCGGATCACTACTAATGTCAAACGGCGGGTGTCGGATGGACCGCCGGGTGGAATGACTGCCGCCAGTGCCTCAAATATGGTCTTATGAGTTTCGAAGGGATGATCTCCATCATTGGACAACAGGAACTTTCCAGCGGCGAGAACGCTGTTGTCAGATATGAAGGGCTGCTTATGGTTAGTAAACAGAATTTTACACGATCAGCATTTGCTTACATCTGCGTTCGCAATTCCCTGGCAAATGGCCGAGACAGTTTCATCAGCAAATGTGTCGGTTAAGGTGGCAGGTGCTTCAGCCAAGAGGGCATTCAATCCAAGCACTGAGGCATGTGAGAACTGTCCATTGAGAATGCGGTTCCTGAATTTCCGAACCATTAGCAGGGGGGCTCTCGTGCCGGTAGGTGCAATCGGACTTACTTGATTAATGGGACCGCTGTATTATCGGGAAGAACCTTCACAAGAGCCCCAAGTAACTTGGCGTTGGTGATAGCGACAGCATCTGGCAGATTGCATTAGCTCGGTTAGTCAAGATATGGTTTTGTTTTTCACTTACCAGTCTGGTCGCTGGAATCATCATCAATGAGCGCCAAGAGTGATGCTCGAGACGCTTCGCTCATATTAGCACCAGCCTTACCAACGACTTCCTGGAGGGCCTTCATCATGGCATTCTTCACACCGAGATCTGGAGTCTTAGACCCAGCGATGAGTTCTAGAATATTAGATTAGCCTCCGCATGGTTGAATCTATGTAAGTAGCATTGACTTACCAGCGATGAGAGGATCGACCCTGGGTGTCAGTGTAATCAAGATACCAAGACCCTTGGCGGCACGGTTACGCAAGGTCTCGCTAGACGTATCAGCCAGACCTCGAGCAAAAGTTCGCTGCAGCTGTGGCAAGAAGGGCTTCACAGCCAATGGAATCTTCTCAAGAAGCTTGTTGAGTGTGAAGAAGATAGCACCTGCGCAGTTGAGTTAGCAAGATATCATCAAGTTAGCGAGAATCATGGGGAAAACCGACACTTGATGTCTACTGAACGTTCTGATACCACACGGATCAATGGGCCAGTGATCTGAGTCACGAATGGTTTCAATGAATCCGGATTAGTGCGGTCAATAACATCGGAGATAGCCAGGGCAGCTTGGGTACGTTGCTCGGTGGTACCGTTGAGCAAACCTTGCAAGAAGATTGGTAGAATGGCCATAATGCCCTTTGGCAGGCTGAACCCAGGCAAGTCTGCTCCGGGGAAGCCTACTTGTCTGAGAATTTGGCGTGTTGGACCGACCAGAACCTCCATCTCCTCCTTCCGCATGTGCGACGTGAGACCACTGAGGGCAGCCCATGTCGCCTTGACAACATCCTTGTCTCGGTCATCAAAGGAAATCAACAGGACGCGGATCAAGTCCTGGTAATACCTCGAGAAATCGATCTCTGCGTCGGAGAAGAATTTCTTAAGATGAAGAGCAGCCTTGCTACGGCGACGGTGATCGTCATGTTTAACAAGGGTCATCATGACATTCATAGCAACATTGAGACCGTCAAATTCGTCCACGGAAACTAGGACGGTATCGAATGCATTCTCGAGTTCTGAGCGAAGGTCTTCGTCCTCGGTCTCAATGATGCCATCCATCAATGCGTTCAAAATGTTGGGGAGTCGTCTCGTCATAGCTGTACCTGCAACCTCGGCCAGGGAAGCCAGGGCCCGGGCGTTGAAAGCGGAAATAGGAGGCGCAAGCAGCGTGGGAATGAGGTTTGGTAGGATGATATTCGCACGGGTCTGCTCAGTAAGGAGAGTCAACAGAGCCGATAGCGCTTGCTCGGCCTCTTCATCATTTCTCAATAAATGGAGAAGGTAAGGCAGCACTTGATCGACAGCTCTCTTGCCCAAGATCTGCTGCAGCGCATCGAAGGCTTCAGCAGCTGCCTCTCGTACATCTTCGTCGGCGTCGACCAAGGCCACCCGTACAGTGGAGATAAGGACCTTCTCATAATCTTCAAGGCTTTCGGGACTGGCAGAGTTGATAAGCTCACGCAAAGCGATACAGATACCCTGCTTGACGTCCACATCGGGAGAACTTTGAAGTCCCTCCTCGAGCAAAGGAAGCAAGGTAGCCAAGACAGATTCTCCAGCTTTCTTGATAAGATCGCCAAGCGCGTTGCTTGCAATAACCTTTTGCTCCATGTTTGAAGAGCCCAGGCGGCGGATGATAAGCTGGGAAAGGGCAGGTAGCATATCCTTGAGAGTTCTGGGTGAAGCAACAAGGGCTTTCCATACAGCCATGGCGGCACTCTTGACCAGACCGGAGGTATCGCAACGACAAATGAACAAGGCAGAAAGGACCTTGTCTCTTCTCTCTTCTCCGAGAACCTCGAGCAGAGATTGACCAGCTTGTGTGGCCTCTTCTTCTTCTTCGTCAGCCTCCGACTTGCCAGTAATACCAGTAAGACTGAACAGCAGATCTCCAACAAGCTCAACGGAGCTAAGACGGATACGGTAGCTGTCGTCTGCCAGGCCGCGCTCCAGCTCGGGAAGCAGAAGGTCAATGGCCTTGGTGGAGAAGTTTTTAACGAGCAAGCGACCAGCTCGCAGAGAAGTCTCCCGGATTGATTCAACATCGTCGGCCAAGCCAGCAAGAATTGGTGGAATGATCTTGCTAAGGTAGTTTGCGAAGCTGTTACCAAAGCACGCAGGCAAGAAGATGAAGAGCGTCATGAAGCCTTCGCGCACAGAGGCCTTGGCGCTGGAAACGTTTTGAAGAATGGTTGGCAGGGTCTCCTCGAGTCTCGTGGTACCTAGACCGGCGAGAACCTCCGAAAGGGCCTGAGCAGATCCCAGCCGGTCGCCAGCGCCTGTGTCGGACTTGAGGGTAGCCATGAGGTTGGGAATAAGATCGGGGAGTGCATCCTCTCCAAGCTTTTCGATGAGCGAACCCAGTGCCTTTGAGGCCGTGGCACGAGTGGCGGGAACAGGATCGACGATAGCAAGATTGAGACCGGCGACAATGATAGGTAGGTGAGTGATAAGATCCTTGCGCTCGGTAAGATGGGCCAAACTTCCAATGATCTGGGCGGATTTTCGCTTGGTAGCTGACCGATCACTGAGCCCACGCTCGAGGATTCGCACAACGAGAGCAAGAGATGGAGCATCCAAGTAATGCACAAAAGACACCTTGATCAAGGAGTCCAGTGCTTCATCAGTGTACTTGGTGGGATCGCTAAGGGCCTTGAGGAGCACATTGACCAAGCTCTTGACCTCAGGGTTGCTGATAACCTCACCAAAGCGCTTCAAGCTGCGATTAGCAGCGTTACGAACTTCCTTGTGGGTATCATTAAGCACAATAGTAAGCGGTGGAATTATTTCTGGCAGGCTGACCGCGAGCTGCTGGGGATCAAGGTAGGCCATGGAACCCAGAAGTTCACAAGCACCCTTCTGGCTTCGCCACTGTGTATCATCCAACCCATCAAGCAGAGTAGGTAAGATTTGCTTGACACCGTATGAACTGAGGTTCTGGAAGCATGCCTTTGAGGCATCCAAACAGGCATCCCGCACATCGATACTGGGATCGCCAAAGCCATCCAACAATTGAGGAACGAATTGAATGACGTAAGGTTCGAAAGTCCGTCCAAGAACAGTCGCAAAAAGTTCGACGGCTAGAAAAGTGCCTTGTCTTTGATGTGGCTCCTTTTTGTTTTCGGTGGCCTCTCTGAGCAAGCTCATGATCCGGAACTCTCGGAGTGTCGAGATACCTCTGCCACTTACAATACCTGCCAAGCCGTATGCAGCACCGCGCTGGGTAGCATAGTTCTTGACATTGAGCAACTGATCAAGCATTTCTTGGACGTAATCAGCCGTCTTGGATCCCGACAATCTGATCAATGGTGGCAGACATTCCGCAACGGCAGATTGCACAGACTCAGAAGGAGTAGGAAGAGTAGCAAGCAGCTTCCTGACAACGACTTGGAGACGAGGATCATCGGCCTTCAAATGTCTCGCAAGAGATCCATAGAAAACGACCACTGCCTCGTTCAGTAAATCGGAACTCCCTGTAGCCTTGTCTGAAGTTTCCAATGTTGTTTCAAGTAGTTTCATGAGCTCTTCGACCTTCTGTTGACCTCTCTGAGAAATGACAGACTTTCCACTTTCCGCCATCTGAGTTCTTACAGCGGAATTCTTGTCAACTAGAGGGCCATGCTCAATCAAAAATTGGAGGAAGAGAATGATCTGCTCCCCATCAAAGAGACTGGTCATGGCATTGAAAGCCATCGCAATACCACTGCGACCTTCGTAATTGTCGGTGTTATCCACCTTTCGTGGCATTCCGTAGGCATCCTTCTCGGGAGCTTTAGGCTTCACCTCCTCGACATACTTGCTCTTGAGCTCAGACAAGATCTCTTCAAATTTGTTCTTGTGGAGGCCAACTGCATGGGCTAAAGCACGGGCAGCCGCACTGCGTAGTTGGCTGTCCTTAGCGTCCAAGTATTTGACGATCTTGGGGAAGGCAGCATCGTCAACCTTAAGTTCACTGTCTTCCCAGATTGTTTGAGCTATTTCGGCATTCTCTTCCACATGGTCGTGGAAAGCTAGCCAAATATATTCAGAAAATTCGAGATCGGAAAGATCAATTTCCTCATCAATAACCTGGAGGACTGATGTTCTAACAGATGGTTCCGGGACAATGCTACCCTGAAGAAGAGTTTCGAGCTCTTCGCCGTTGAGGTTTGCAGAAATGCATCGGCAGAAATTGAACAAAGTATCCTTGATCAACTTGTAATGCTGGGTATATCTCTGCATAGCAGAGAGAAGATGCTTTAGGAGCTCATTCCGAGGTAGCCGTTCGTCAGTGAAAGATCCAGAATGGAAGGAGATAATCTCGATAGCGAGCAGAACCTGCTCGCCCTCAGTCTCAGCCTTGGCTTCTTCGATGCCATTTTGGTCCAGGACAAGGAAAATCAGCGGGAGGACATATGCAAGAGACGCGGTATCGAGAGGCCGCTGTTCGGAGGCAAATCGGAGTCGGTACAAGATTCTTGTTACCAATTCTCCAAGATGCTCAAGTTCCATTTCCTTGGGCAAGTTTGTTTGGCCAATAGCCCGAAGAGTAGCAATACCAACGAATGGACGAGTGTTACCAAGACGAGAAGACACCTCGTTCGCACAGGCGACGTATGCCTGAGACACCACATCACCGACGAAAAGACCAGCTCCAGCACGAGCAAGAGAAAGCAAGCAGCTGACTGCAGCATTGATCCAAGCCTCGACATCGCTGGCTGGACCCGTCGCAAGACCCTTAATAAGGCCTGCACCCCGTTCGATGCGCTTAACTTCTTGGAGAACGTCCTGACGGATCTTGGCTTCTTTTGCAAGCTGCGCGTTAACCCTAGCTTGCTCTTCGCCAGTGAGCTTCTTCTGCTTCTGTCCCTTTTTCTCTGCTAGCTGAGCTCTAAGCTCTTCTTCCCATTTCAAAGTGTCATAATCTTTCGTGTTCTTGTCAAAGGCAGGCTGCTTCGACTTGCTACTTAGCACGTCAATATACGCTGTGCCTTCGGGGGTACGGAAGATTGCTGCATCTGTGACGGTAAACTTAGCCAGACGAGCGCCATCAAGGTCCTCTTTGATCTGGTCAACTAGGCGAGGAATCATGGTTTCTGGGGCAACAAACGCAAGGTCACCTGCAGCGCCCCAAACAGCAGAGTTAACACCTGGCACGGCTGACTGGATGGGATCCGCGTTGACTGCTACTAATTGTTCAATGCAATCGGAAGGATGAGCCCGGACAAGGTTACCAGGGTCAGTTCCTGTTCGCAAACATAGGTCAATCCAAGAGGCCCCTGGAACCAATTCTGGCCGGCTGAGCACAAGGATTTTAATGAGAATCATTTCAAGGTCATTGGAGTATTCAGAGCCCGCTGAAGACTTTGCAGGGCAAAGGGCTTTCAATATCAGGTGGAGAAAACGGTCGCTTCCTGGGCCTGCGAAAATCGCAGCCGACTCTTTCTCTGCATTTCGGAAGGCATTGAGCCAAGACCAAAGTGCACTGATGATAATAAGCCCGCTTCCAGCGACATCCTTTGAGTAGAGATCCGACAATATAGCAGTCGCACTCTCTCGGAAATTTGTAGGCATAGCTGGCCCGGTGATAGCAAATATGAAAGTTTCAGCCCATGCGATTTTGGAAGCATCTTCGGCGCCAGTAAACTTCGGTCCTGAAGCGACGGCTGTCAGGGCTCTGACCAACCATTGCATCTCTGCCTTAGAAGTAATTTTCGAATAGGCCTTAGGATTGAGCAAGAAGGAAGGCTTCGCGCCAATAACCATGGATTGCGAGACCTTGGCCTCCCACTCAGCCCTATCTGACCCTTCGATATCCGAGATCCGTTGGAAAAGTGCGAGAAATACATACGCTGATGACAACGCGCCACTTTGTGCTGAGGGTAGTGGATTAGACGATACTTCTCCGAATAAATCCTTCATCTTCGCAAGGAACTTTGTTACCAATGGCTGGATCTCGACGCTCTTGAGAGCTGAGATCTCGGATTGCCAGAAAACCTCTCCTACACTGAGTTGCCAAATTTTGCGGAAAGGAACCCGTTTATCAGAGATACCCTTAACAATTGCACTCACAGCATCATCACTAACTTTCGTCGTTGAATGAATGAGGAAATTAAGGTGTCGGCTAAATGCTTTGAGTTCTTCTTCGAGAGCAAGCTCATTCGATTCGCGAGAAAGCAAAGTCACGAGCCCTTGCACGACCTCTTTCGACACATCTGCCGACATAGGTATGGCAGATACTGCTTGAGAGTGGGCAACCCTATGCTCAGGAGCGGTAATCTTTTGCGTCTTCAATGGACCGATGATCTCAGTTGTAATTTTCAGAACCAAAGATTCATTTTTGCAGCGAGCCAGCAGGGATCCAAAAGAGTCTGCGGCTCCTTGCCGAGTGACTGCATTGTTAGATTTCATGCTAGACAGTAGGTGCTTCGACAGACGAGTTTGGACCACCTCTGAAAGATCTATTTCTGAGGACAGAGAGGCGCAGAGAGGAGGAATCACACCGCTCAATATGACCTCTGGTGCTCGCAGCATGGTCTTCTCGATAGTAGGTACCAGTTCCGTGGCCACGTCTTCGGATGTGACAAAAGAATTAAAAAAGTCAGATAGTCCACCGCTGACATGAGAAGGCACGACAGATTTCGATGTTAAGATTTCTTTCACGTAGAAACCCAGGATTGCTTTTTTGGACTCCTCTAGAATTGGCTTCTTATCTGGCAAGCGTGCACATACTCCTGAAATCACGCCAAGAAGTAGCGCATTCTTCTGACCAGATGCGGAGTCGGAGGTCAAGCGACTAACCGATTGGCGTACCGCATCCTCGCCCCAGGTCTTGTTGGAGAATGCCACGCGCAGGGCACGCCTTGTCACTCGAAGAGCCGAATTTCTCAATGTCCACTTGGGTGTATGAGCAAAGCAGTTCTCCAAGGCCTTGGCATCAATGGCGATCAAATCTAGGACAATTGCCAAGGGAACGGTCTCATCTCCGCTGACCTGCTGCAAAAGAGTCCCGCACCACTCCAATACGACGAATGCAGAAGCAGAATTAAGACTCGACTTTGACGCTTCAATTTTCAAGTTTTCTGCCAAGTATTTCAGGTCGTCTGTGCTGTTCGGGGTTTGGAGGAGAGAGCGGAGGCATCCGTGGACGGCCTGTCGCGAAGATCGATCGACATAGAGGGGGTACGTTTGGAAAAGAAGCGCTAAAATATCGTGGGAGTACTCTGAGGGTATATCGCTGCCTGTAAAAACTAGAATTAGCAATCCGAAGCTTGTATTATCTGCGAGGAAGGGAACGGTTGGGGTTTACCGCTTCTGTCGCGAAGTTCTTGCAGGGCCCGGAGCCTGCGTGACGTCGAACTCGAGAAGAGCGCCGCCCGCAGGGCATCCAGATCCCCAGCCTTGACCTGATCCCATGGAATTGGATCCATGATCGAAGGTCAACCTAGGGGAGTGGAGAAGGAAGGGTGGGTGAGGGGAGGGGAGAGGGAAAATAGGTGAAGTGGGCTGGATTCGATCGGATGCTGTCATAAGAGTTTTGTGTGGGGGAAATGAATCACCAACTGCATTTCTCCGCCAACATCTTCGATGCCTTCGTGATTCTTCAACCTCCGTAACCCACAATTCCTTTTTCTTTTCGTGTGGGTCTTCTGGCTAGGTTGTTGCCCATTATTCTAACTATTTATTCCAGGAGTTCTAACTTATACCACAGATTGCTCGTTTGCCCTCGTTTTTAGACCCCTCATACCCTACCATGCCGCCCAACAACAAGAAAAAGAAGAAGCCCGCCTCGAACCCTGCGCGAGGATTTGCGACAGTCTCTGTGCCCTCCAAACCCAAGCCAGAAGCCTCAGAGCCTCCATCATCCACAGGAACAGACTCGAAGCCAACACCGCAGAATGAACCACAGCCTGCGGCCTCAGAGGACCGCCCAACAGGTGCGGGCGCACCACAAGCTGATCCCTCATTGCAAAGTTTGTCACCAGAAGAGCTTGAGAGACATCTGGAAGAAGCCGAATTACAAATCTTAGTCGACAAGTTTGCCGCAAAATGCAGAGGCGACGCGGTGCGTCAAGCTTCGAAGCTAGACACCGAACGACGGGTACTTCGGCAGCAATCTATTTCTTTAAACTTGCTTGACTGGCTGCCAACAGAGCTGCAAGACAGAATTTTGGAGATTGCAGATACTGAAGAACATGAATATTTGACATCAAACGGCCGGATTGCCAATGCAAAGCAGACAGGTGCTGAAGAGGATTTGTATATGAAGCTATGGACATTGAAAGAGACGCTCCTAAAGCTCGGATTCTCAGAGGCCCGGGTCGAAGATGCGTTAAAACACATTCTCACATACTTTGCTGGGAACCCGATGAGCGTGAGCCGTGAGGTTGTCTGGAATCTAGATGAATCGTTGGAATGGTTGGCAATGCACGGCGACAAGAAAGATCTCCCATCCTATACCCAATCAAACACTCGTCCAATGAAAGACTCAGACACTGTAACGTCCTGGATGATTGGTAAGCCTCTATTCATATTCCAAAGCTACAAGGTTCACCGAAAGAAATGACGAAAGCTAACTATCGTTAGGTCCTGAATCGTCGAGATCTTCAACGCCAGTTAAGCCCCAAAATGGAAATAGGCAAGAGAAGCCAAAATCAGATTGGAAAGCTGCGAAAGTAGCACCTCCTATCTCATATGACTCAGACAGCTCCATTGATCCAGATTCTATGGTGCCTGAATGGCTGGACTTGCAAACAAAACTTTACAGCCTCAAGCCTGACTACTTCGATCGTCCTGGCAAAAGCAAAAAGACCCGTGGTTCTGCGACCATCCAGTCTGACGACCCCGAAGTAACGAAGCTACAGCATAAGATTGCCAGAATTGAGCGCGATGTTCTCTTCGAGCGTCAAGAAGCGGAATACATCTGGAAAGAGAAGCTAGAAGAGCTCAGAAAGGATGCCTCTTTTGCCCGCCGAGCAGGTGACCGGAAAAAGGAAACCATAACTCCAGCCCCTGTGGACGAACCTAGCGCCGAGATTCTGGATGACCCTCTGCTGAGTGTACCGTCGCTTGAAGAAATGGATGATGGTGCAGGTCTGCTCGGGGCCATGTTCCAGGATGAAGGTGACAACACAGGTTCAATCTTGGAGTTTCCTCCCCCTTCTCAAGATTCAAACTCGAGTCTCACGGTTTGGGATTTCGGGAAGTTTACAGGTCTCAGCCCTCGGCGAGTACTGGAGGAGAATTGCAAGGCGAGAGATTCGTCATGTAAGGTCGTCTACCAACACAATTCCTCCTCTAGCTACCATAACAGAAAGGCTGTAGAGATTCGGTGGTCCAAGCCTCAAGAAGTGCCATTTCTTTTGCAGGTGGAATCGGTGACTCACAAATCGAACGCCTTTGTTACTTTTGTGTCAATGGACACCTTAGCTACTCCGAACGAACAGCAAGCAGAAGCCTATGTTTCGACTCTTGCTCTATTCATCCTCTTCCCTCAGACATCAAAGGAGGGCAAAGCGTATCTGCGGCTCCCCGCCGTTTGGAGGGATCTTTGGACTGAGTTCTCGAGCCTGAAGAAGGTTCAGGAAGACGAAGTTGACAAAGCTGCGTTGAAAGATCTCAAGCGGCTGGTGCAAGAAAACCAAGGCAGCTTCGAAGATGACGTGGTTTTGCTAGACAACTTCCGCAAGAGAAATGGCACTGGAAGCAAGCCAGGAACTCCGATGAAGGGTCACATCCGAGAAAATTACCTGAATCAGGATGAAAGGCTACAAGAGGCCTGGAACACCAAGGCATCTACAGCGTCATTCCTGAAAATGATGCCGGGCAGAATGAACCTTCCCATCTGGAACTTTAAGGAAGATATTCTCAATACCCTTGATACGCACCAAGCCATCATTATCTGCAGCGAAACTGGAAGTGGAAAGAGTACCCAGATCCCATCCTACATTCTCGAGCATGAGATGCTCAGTGGGCGTCCATGCAAGGTTTATGTGACGGAACCGCGCCGAATCTCGGCTATCTCTTTGGCAAGGCGAGTCAGTGAAGAACTTGGAGAGAGCAAGAACGATGTGGGTACCAATAGATCCCTTGTTGGTTTTGCGGTGAGGCTTGAAAGCAAGATCAGCTCATCCACCCGTCTCGTATATGCGTGAGTGCTTCGGTTTGTTCCATTCGCAGTTGGATTTATTCATTAATTTTTCTTCTTTCCTAGTACCACTGGTGTCGTCGTCCGGATGTTAGAGCGACCCGATGACTTCCAAGACATCACTCACGTTGTTTTGGACGAGGTTCACGAAAGAACAATCGACAGTGATTTCTTACTCGTTGTATTGAGAAGACTGATGCTGAAGCGACCAGATCTCAAGCTGATTCTCATGTCCGCAACTCTGGAGGCACAGCGTTTTTCCAACTATTTGGGCGGTGTACCAGTTCTCAACATCCCTGGGAGAACATTCCCCGTAGAGATGAAGTATCTCGAAGATGCGATCGAGATGACGGGCTATCGTCTGACTGAAGACGATGCGAATACCGTTGTTGATGACGATATTGACGATACGGAGGACACTAATGGGGACACCGCTGGGGGGCTGCAGGCTAGTCTTGATGGCTACTCCAAACAAACACGTGAAACTGTCCTCAAGTTTGATGAGTATCGGATGGATTATCAGCTCATCAAGCGGCTGCTTCTGACCATCGCGACTGCTCCTGAAATGGATCACTACAGCAAAGCAATCTTGGTGTTTATGCCAGGTCTTGCAGAAATCCGCCGCTTGAATGACGAGCTCCTTGCCGAACCTACTTTCCAAAAAGGATGGATTGTTTATGCCCTTCATTCGTCGATAGCTAGCGAGGACCAAGAGAAAGCATTCAATGTTCCTCCGGAGGGTACAAGGAAGATTGTTATTGCCACGAACATCGCTGAAACAGGCATCACAATCCCAGATATTACAGCGGTAGTCGATACCGGAAAGGAGAAGATGATGCGGTGAGCAGCCATCTTACTATGAGATTTTCGATCCAGCTCTAATTATTCTGTAGGTTTGATGAACGGCGCCAATTATCTCGACTAGTCGAATCATTCATATCCCGTGCCAACGCGAAACAGAGACGTGGCCGTGCTGGACGTGTCCAGAACGGAGTCTGCTTTCATCTGTTCACTAAGCATCGCCACGACAAATTGCTAGCGGAGCAGCAAACTCCAGAGATGCTTCGGCTATCTCTCCAAGACCTTGTCCTGCGGGTCAAGATTTGCAAGTTGGGCGAAGTTGAACAGACTCTGCTGGAGGCTCTAGACCCCCCGTCGTCTAAGAATATCCGCCGGGCTATCGATTCGCTCAAGGAAGTTAAAGCCTTAACCAGCAACGAGAGTCTCACTCCTCTTGGCACGCAATTAGCAAAGCTTCCGCTCGACGTGTTCTTGGGAAAACTCATTATTCACGGGGCATTCTTCAAGTGTTTAGATGCGGCAGTAAGCATTGCTGCTATTCTGTCATCCAAATCACCATTCGTCAACACAATGGGCTCAAACTCACAACGCGACGCGGCCCGGAATTCTTTCCAAAGGGGTAATTAACAAACCCGTTATCCTGTCAAGGATTCAATCTATAGCTAATGTTCATTTAGGCGACTCGGACTTACTGACTATCTATAACGCCTACTGTGGGTGGAAACGTGCCCGTAGCACTCCCGGCTCGAATGAATACTCGTACTGTCGGAAAAACTTTCTTAGTCCGCAGACACTGTCGGGAATTGAAGATGTCAAGATGCAATTGATCGTGTCAATTGCTGATACTGGACTACTCAGTCTAGATGGCGCCCAGAAATCGGCACTCAACAAGTAAGTGTCTCTTTCCGGCTTATGTCTTCAGTAAACCTGATTCAATAACTAATCTGTCTATAGAGCGCGATCTGGAAGTCGAAACCGCCAATTCTTTGTTATCCCAGAGGAGCATGACCTCAACAGCAACAACGATGTGATTGTCAATTCAGTTGTCGCGTGGAGTTTCTATCCGAAGCTTATAACCCGTGAAGGAAAGGGCTGGCGCAATGTGGCGAATAACCAGACTGTCACCTTGCACCCGACCTCGGTCAACAAACATGCGGATTCAGCGATTAAGTGGCTTTCATATTACCACATAATGCAAGCCCGTAATCGCAACCTCAATGCCCACGATACGAGCGCCGTGGACGACTTCTCTATTGCGCTGCTGTGCGGCGAGGCAGAGTTCAAGGTATGGTATTCGATCTGACGACTTTCGCTCCACATCCTCCTGGAATTTAGCGCTAACTTTAGCACAACTGAGATGTACTCTGGGGTTGTCTCCATCGACGCCAACAGGATACGCTTCTCTGTTCGGGACTGGAAATCGATGCTTGCATTGAAGATCCTCAATGGCCGACTCCGCGATCTTCTTGCCAGTACATTCCGTAACCCGCATCGGCCGCTATCATACAAGCAGCAACAATGGCTTGAGATCTGGCAGCAGATTTATGCCCAGGCTGGCAAGCGCTGACATCTTCCAAAAAAAAAAAAAGTTTCTTTCTTTTCTTCTTTGGTTTTTCTCGTCATGAGGTCCCTCTCTTAAGATCTCAGTCTGGGCGCTCCTTCGTGGGGGCCGATCGAACTTTTTGGGACTCATGTTGAGATAAGCAAAAGGCCACCATGCACGGCCCCCGATCTTGATCTACTAGCGGGTATGAAATTTTCGAACACCTTGCATGGTCTTGATTTTATTCTGATGGGTTCATTTCTTACATGGGAAACGGTTGGCGGGGGGATTAGGCCCAGGCATGGCCAGGTGCTTATGCAAGATACCCAGGCGAGATAGAAAAGGATTACGGAAAGTCTTGGAAAAGCAATAGACCCAAAAAATAGTTAGACATAAGGTGCAAAGCTTAGCCCAGTCTCCCGATATCTCTGAAATCAGACTATCCCTCGACAAGTGTGGAAAGCCCAAAAATGCCTTGCGGCCAAAAATACTCCCACGATCGGACTTGCCTCGCTAGTTGCTAATTGGGCATACAGGAATGTCGATTCTTGTGTTGGGGCCAGCGATGCTCCGCCTCCGCCTCGAGCATACCAGGCAAGGCGTACAAGAGTTAGGGTTGTTGCGCCTTGAACACTCGCACTGGTAGACTATTCAAGGTCGGCACTGCTTTATGATCTATCAGGTCGAATATTTCACTACAGTAGAGCTCAATCCCTCGACAAATTCAATTCAGGAGTTCATATCATTCATTACCATCATATCGTCTCTCTAAAACATAACCACGGAGGGTCACAGAACACAGATGCCAGGAAAGAACCCTTTTCTGCCCGGAGAGTAAATGAAAGGCCAAAAAGATGAGAGGAGAAACAAAAAGCACCACGACAGAAACACGCACAGATGTAAGATAAAAACCAGGGCGATGTAAGTAATCGCACACATAAAAGATTCGTTACAAGAGATTCGTCACATCATAGTCGTTAAGGTGGGGTGAGGGCTGAGGCAAAGTACAACACGAGTATGGGAACAAAAGCTCTGTAATGCAACCCGACGCCCTCCAAATTCCCCTTTTTTTTCCCGTGTCATCATTTTGCTGAAAACAAAGAGGTCTTCCATCCTCATGTCAAGGCATTTAGAAACTCAGTGGGAGCGCTGAGGATGTCGCAATGAGGGAGACCCCTCACAAAAAAATAGCCATAATAACGCATATTCCCAATTAGAATCAGCGGTCACGACCAATCTCCGACGTCGTGACACATCCTGCTTCTCCATGAAAAACAGGGAACATCTCGCAATGGGGATGATGCTAAAGCCGGAGGGGAAAACGCAATAAAATCCAAGTTGTCCCCAAGTCCACGGTACCATGTGTTGACGAACAAGTACCGCGGTCTATCATAGAACAAAGAGAGAAGAAAAAAACACCCCGCTTCAAATCACACAAGAATCTTCGACGCCCCAGATGCAAATTATCGGCGTCTACTCATCACAGCAGAAGGCTTCATAGGCTGCAGGAGAGGACCTCCAATGCCGCTGGGGATGGTTGCATCGGTCAATGTCTTGCGACGCTTGGTCTCGTAGTCACCCGCGCTTTCAGGTCGAATCACATCGTCGTCGTCATCACGCATGCGTTTCGTTCCTGCACTTCCCATGTTGCCAGTCATGGATGCCATGGAATAAGGGTCAGAAACACCATTGGCAGGAGTCCCGCGAGTATCGCTAACCGCATTGTAAAGAGTCGTGGCGGAAGGACGTGGAGGGGTGTTGTAGCCAGGCCAGTGGGAAGAAGGGTTGCTAGAACGCGGCGTCATACGACCGGAGCCGTTCTGCTGGGGTGAGCCAGTCATCTCCGGGGTGAGCTGGGAATGCTCGCCAGTCAGGGAACCAACAGATGGGTTGGTGGCGTAGGTGTACGAGCCACGGCCGGCGCCGTAGGCAGCGCCCTGATCTTGCAGGTACTCGGGCTCCTGCTCCGAGACTGATTCAGTGGGACCATTGCTCTGGGAGTAGCGGTCAGATTTCAGCTCTGAATTTTCCGCCTCAGAGGCGCCCGGAGCCCGACCTGCCGGGGGCGCCATTTCATTCTTGAGATAGTTCACGTTCGGAAGCGACTGTCCATAGCTAGAAATGCCAGACTGGGTCATGGGGGTGTGAGGGGCGTATTGAGAGTGTGCTGGCGGCGGCGCGGAGTAGTAGGACTTTGAATCATACCCGGACTGGCCTTGGTAAGGAGGCATGCCCTGCATGTTGTTGCCCGGAGGCGTGGTGGCTGGGGTGGTCGGCATTGATCGCTGGTTGCTCAGAGTTGTATCGATCGACAGCGGCTGAGTGTGCGGCACTCCCGAGTTCATCCCCTGGTTCCACCCATACGAGCTCTCTTGGTTAGTCACTCCCATCAAGCTGGACGCGCTTGCCGGGGGTGTGGGAAACCCCGGTCGCTGGCCCATCGGTGGCTGAGGCATCTGCGAAGACATCGGGGTGTGCATAGCGTGATGGGGCAGCGTTGAGGGCTGAGGCGCAGTTGGAGTCCTGTGAGGACCGGCTGGGGTACCCTCAAGGCGCCGGTTGGCCGATTCTTGCACCACCATGTTGGTCCGGTTTTGGTTGGCTGGATGGTACAGCAGACCTCCAATATTGTGGACGAACAGCGGGTATAATAGATCTGTAATCTTCTCCTTGTTCGCAAACTCCAATGCGCGCTCGAAAGGAATCCTGTCGCTTCATTAGAACGGTGGTCAACTTCAAAACCAGACGCAGTTGATTTCTTACCAAACACCCTTCAAATGCATTGGGCCAATCTTCACAACGTGGCGCAGCTTCTCACTCTTCAAGATGCCATCACGTCGGCCGCGAGTCATTCCCGCAACATTCAAGAGCTTGGTACCGTTGATCATGTGGTTATCTAAAGAATTGCATGTTAGCGAACAGCTCAAACGCATCGGGACCGCCCATTCTTATAAGAAATAAAATAAGGTGAAAAAAAAAAAAAACTCACCCTCGCGTCGTGCGACACAGACCCCTTTGGCCTCCACCTGGTAGCAAAGACTGCCTTCATCTTCCCATAACGTAGCGGTCACGCGTGGTTTCGCGCCCGGGGGAGCCATCTGGCCGGTGGTGTCGTAGGTGAAGCCTTGTTGGGGCGCACCGGTGCTGTTTCCGTAACCGGGGGCATTCACAGGGTGGGGGGTCACTATTTGACCGTCAGCATTTTGCAACGTCGATGTTGATGTTTCCCCGGATGTGGTTCTTCGGTGGTTCTTACCAGGCAGAGGGAGAAGCTGGGAGCCCGACATCTGTGCCATGGAACTGGCGGGGGCGGGTGACCCGCAGGGGGCGAAGTGACGCCGTTTGGGTAACCGTACTGCGGATAAGAGGCGGGCGCATAGCTGGACGCGGGCTGCAAGACTGGGGGCTGCTGATAGGGCGGGTAGTGCGACATGGCGCCGGCCGTAGCAGCTTGCGGAGCGTAGGGTTGAGCAGACGAGAGATGCGAATGCACATCCATATAGGGCTGAGTCTGATTCATGCCGAGCGCGGTTGGGGGGTGGTAGTACTCGTTTGGCAGGTATTCGGAATCCAGCGACAATCGGCCGTGGGACCCTCAGCTCGGTCGGCGGGGTGCCCTGGGATTCTTGCACGGAAGCTCCAGAGAGGCTGGTCCGGGCACTGGAGCTTGCGCTCACGTCGTAGATACGGGAGGGGGCCTGGGTAGCGGTCGGTAGGCTGAGTGCTGGCAGCTTGTCGCCCGATAGCAGCGGGCGCTCGGCTGCGTGGTGATTGTACCAGGGAACGTTAGCAGGACCGCGGGTGTGGACCTGCGAAATCGACGGCAGCTCCAGCTTTTCGGTTTCACGGAAAACGTCTGGAAAAAGGTTGGAGGGGAGAGGCTCACAATCGAGCCGTCAAACAAAAACAATAAAGCAGCGCTGAAAGGCTTCACAAATTTTGTAGGGAGATCAACGTTGCACAACAGTTCCGGGCAAAACCAGAAATCCAAAAGGGCTCTTTTCTTTTCAAGGGTAGCAGCAGAGACTCGATGACAAAAAAGGACTTTCGCAATCAGATCAGCGTCATCAAAAAGTCATGAATCGTGAGAAAACATAAAAGAAGTTGGAGCAGAGTAGTGCACCATGCAAGACTGGACAAGCTGCGAGAAATAAAGGCAAGCCAGGGAAGGGCGGTTTACAGTAGGAGGCTGGCAGCAAACGCATCCCTCTGCAGGCGTTTGAGAGAAGGGGGGGGGGGAGACTCAGAACATTAAACGCTGAGCCGCAGGTCGATCAGTGGGGATGACTAAGGGCAGGAGAGAAGAGACAAGAGGGCTGGGAAAGCTGGCTTTTGAGGGTTCAGAAATAGCATCGAATGGTGGGACCCCCAGATGCGATCGAGTCAACCGCCACCAAGCAAGGACGAAAGGGTAGAGAGAGAAAAGAGAGGCTAGAGAAATGGGAGGGAATATCAGGATTTGATAATCGGGGAATAATATAGGAATGGAAAATTAGGAAAATAATGGAATATTGATTTATTCCAATATGGAATTTTCGGCTTTCCTACCTGGTATCTCTATCGCTCCCGGAAGAGAGGGGGGGCATCTATTCCCAGAAAATAGAGGGAAATAATATGGAATAGGGAAAAATGCAGGGACATCGTACAAGGAAAAAAAGAGCCCAAAAAAGGACAAAATAGAGAAAATAGCGAAAATAGAGAAAAAAAAATAGAAATAAAAGAGAGAGAAGAGGGGGGGGATCCACCGAGCTGAGGATCCTGGTCTGTGTGACAAGCAAAACGCTGATCGCCCGGGATAGGCCCGCTTGCGATCTGGAGTTACCGCCACGCACCATATGATCTGTCATAGCTGATTGCTACTTTACGAGAATAGTTTAGTATAGGCTGGGCTTAGGCTGGCTAGCCTCTCGCAGGAGGTCCGATAGGGATGCCATGAGTGGTCTCCATGACGGTCCCACTCTCAACCAGGGATGGGGAGGATGGGACTCTAGTCGCAAAGAGAGAAAAAGCAAAACAAGCCCTAGGGGGTATGTACAATGAGGATGGGAATTGATGCCAGAAGAAGAGGGGAAAAAAAAAAATCACCCAGAGTCGAGACTTCGATCGGCGCCACACCCCCTCCCCGTGCAAGACATTTCGGCGGCTGCAAAGACTAACAAGCCCAGCTGCACGGTCGATTACCCGGGGTGAAGAGGCCCCAGGAGTTTCATTGCCCGGAGAGGGGGGGCGCTTGGAGGGAAAACTACACAAAAGTACCAAGATAGCATAATGATTCGCATAGTGCACAGCCGCGAATTCCAAATCTCCTAAGCACGGAAGATCGTTCTCGTTCATTAAGAGGCCCCAAAAGTGGCCAATGCAAGGTCCATGTGAGAGAGTCGACAGCAACGCAAAGACCAGTCCAATGGCAACACGGACGTCAACGGATCTTGGACGGCCCGTCGATCGTCTGTACAAGTACCGTCGAGAGGATCCCCACGGTTCCAACCAAATGCCACAGAACTTGCTATAAGGCGGCCCGTGGGTAACGGGCAGCGCGTCACACCTCAAGGGATGCAGAGAAGGGGGGGAAGAGAGGGCAGAGAGTCGAGCGGGGTGGGTTAATGAAAATCAGTGGTTCAGAGAGCACCACGAAACGGGTGGCTTGAGTCGATCAAGGGTCTGTTCTCTCGGGATCCCTGTCCAGTACCACCAGCACTTCCGAAAGGGTCAATTGAAGGGCTCCGTCGAAATCAGAATCGCTATTCCTCCGGGCGAAGTTAGACCCTGCGTGGCGTCTGTCTTCAATGGCTCCTCTCTCTAACGGACCATGAGATCATCTCCAGGCTCCGGGGCTTGGCGCCATATTCATTGCGAGTGAGGCAATCCCTTCTGACGCTGCTAGCCCACATCCAGCCTAGTGTTGACACACTCCAGACTTCTCCAAAGGCGGGAGAAGCTTGGGAGATTCCAGCAAGGGGAGAAATCCCAAGACGGACCTTGTCTACGTAGCGACTTTTCACCGCCGCTTTTTTCGGTCGCTTCCCCCACAGTCCCTTGCTTCCAGCGCTCCATGTTCTGTGCTTTCCTCCTGTTCTAGCCAGCCCAGAAAACAAAACAAGGTTGGATGACACCGGGAGGTGCGACTATCTCTCTAGGGCTTCGATGCTCCCTTCCCCCAGGTGAGCCACCATTGACGAGTTAGCGTCGGGGCTCCATATAGTGCCCCCCCTCTCCCTCTCTCCGTAGCTCGGAATAATGAATCCACAGGTTACTATTATTGAACGGCTGTGATCGCTATATCATGTGCCGATACGGACGATACGGAAGATACGGTGCATGCTCCGTACATTAGTTCCCACGAATCGGGCTCTAGTCGCGCTGGTCAACGCCGTAGCGTGCCAGAGAGGGGTGGCCTGGGCCCTCAGGGCTTCCTCCGACAAATGAGAAGCGCGTCGTCGGGAGGAAACGGGCTAAATGCCACGGCCTGGCATTTGGGGGGGAATTGAGATCCAGCGATGTCCGTACGAGCGCCGACTCATGTGGATAACGGGTTCCGCAAATGTTGAAGCAGGTACACCTAGCGGGGGCTCAGATTGAGTGGATGAGCATTTTCTCTGGTTCGGCCCAGATCCCTGCGCCGCAGCTCGCTATCGACGGCCCGATACCCGCTGCGCATACAGCATACAGTAGGAGGATCCGCCGATTATCATCTGAAGAAGTCGTTCAGCATCTCTTCTATGCCCAGCGTGCAAAGTCTTTCTGGTCGAGAACCATTCGAGAGGGCAGGTGTGGAGCGATGCGTTGTAAAAAGCCGCTGTTTCGCCCAACCTCCTCCCTTCTCTCCTCTGCATTTTCCGTTTCTGTTATTTCCTTTTTCACTTCCCCATCTTCAGGGCTCGGTGCGCTCGGAAGTGAAATCTCTAGCCAAAAGCTTTGGCCACGGTATCGCCGACCCCCCTCCCCACTCTCACGCGCCTTGCCCATGTCCTATGGGGCCAACGAACCTGGATGTATCAACCGTCGAAAAAGCAAGGGCGCCTGAATTAAAGGCTTCTATATAGTTTCATCGCTACATAGTGTCATCCCCCAGAGTAGCATTGTTCTCTTCTTCTCCTCTTGGGGATCGTCCTGGGAAAAGCCGGGTTTCCATAGTGCAAGTTGGTGTGACGACTCCATTCGGGTAGATCCCAGCCAACCAATGAGCCTGGCCAAGTCGAAACTGTACAATCTCCACCTTAAGGTTTTTCTTTTCTTTTTTTTTTTTGGTGGACCTTGGATAACATCCCGATTCCCTAATTAATCTCGCGAGAACTTCCCATAGCTCTAAAGGATCTACTAGTATTATGTCGAGGCTCAATTGACGGGTTCGTCCCGTACCTTGCAGCGACGAGTTACTCTGCAGCCCTGTCTGTGCAGAAACGAAGTTTCCCGAGAAAAGAAACTAGGAAGAGGGAACCCCCATCGCAGCTCGGTCCCCAGTGACAGGTGTCACCAAGGGGCCCATGGCCATGCACAGTCTACGAACGTTGATAACGGCCTCGGACGCTCCCAACCCAGGCAGTCTTTTTGCCCCTTTCCACCTAAACCTAGGTACCGCCTCACTACAGAACCGGAACAGGAATACCTGGGGTGTACGAAGTGGGTCGCGCGATTTATATCTTGGGACTAGCTCGGCCAGGCAATAAATCAGGCGGGTTTTCCTTTTCACGCCTGAAGTGGGACAACATGGGGAGTTGAATCTGTTCGGTCGGACAAGACAGGAATGCGTGTCGGGGGCCCCTAGCAGGGGTGTGCCCTGATAATTTCGAAGCGTGATGATGTTCTTTTCTCACCCCCCACCTTCAGTTTCTTTCCTTCTTTGATAGAGTGGGAGGTGGATGTGTTGTACAGACGGTTGATTCGTGGAGTACAGATTACAGCGGCAAAAGGGGACCATCGCCTCCAAAGGCAAAATTTAAAGGGATTCCGAGGTTCCTTTGCCCAAGCTGAAACGTGCTAAGATAATATGTGATCGGGAAGGCATGTACCCTTAATGCTCAGAGAAATCGTAGCGACAGGAAAGTCGTCCCATCCCAACAAAAAAAAAAACAAAAAACAAAAAACAAATCCGAGGCAGCTGATAATGGGGAGGGGGAGAACACCTTATCGAGGTGCCGGTCAAGCCACTGCGGAGTCTGGAGTACAGAGTGCCGTGAAGGGAGATTCTAAACCGATTCTAAATCCACTCGGTCGTCAAGCTGGTGGCGTGAAGGTCCCAGACGTCAAGTCCCACGAGTCAGACAACAACTCCAGTCGCCCATGGAATGACCCAAGCCGCCACTGGCCCTTCGCAGCCCAATCGCACCACACCACGACGTCTGGGATCTGGGCACGGTTAGCCCGGGGCCGTGCGACCTGATTTAACCTCGCATTGCATTTGTCCCGTGAGAAGATCGACTGCACGTTCATCTTGCCTCCACGGCCTCTAGTGCAAGCCAAATAGCCCAAGCCCGCTTCCGCCAATCTGAAAAGCGAATCAAGCCCGTTAATTCCAAATCGCCTGATCCTTTGAAGCGCAAGCCAGGATGGGCCGGGCCAAAAGGTGTAACGACACTAAAAAAGGGCCCCACTGACTGATTGGCCATGCAGCGCCTTCCTCCTCCTCGTCTGTCGCTGCAACCGCCCGCCGATCGACGATCCGACCGGACAACGACTGGCGGTGGCCACCACCACGTAGCGAGCGCCGCTCCTCCGGCCTAGATCGTGGTAGAATTCACCGCCAGTTGCTCCTCTTCTTTCCCCCCCCCTCCCTTGCCCCTTGCGTGCAGACGTGGCACAGGTGGTGTGGAGCGTTTCTTTTTCTTTGCTCGCATTTCGGGTGGTTCTTCCTTCGAAGCTTGCGCCATTTCAAGCTGGAGGTTGTAGACCCAGAACAATAAGAGCTGAACAGGCTTAACCGAGGGATCGGCATCACGACGTCAGCATCCGGGTCGGGTCCGGACGATAAGACCCTCCTCAGAGAACTAGTTCCAGATGTACGACATTGTTGTGCTCCTCCCCCTCTAATGCACTCCACAGAGTATCCCGGTTATCCGTGCTGGCCCAGAGTTCTAGAAAGCTAGGAAAGTTGTTTCAACATTCCAGCCCTGTCATGCCCCGAGAGCTTAACAGGGCATCTTTTGACGTAGATTCTTAAAATGTTTCAGGCAGTTTCTGTATCGACACGTCCAATATAGGTTCGGAGAAAATCTGCCACCGCTCCGCGTCCCGTGCCATTCCCCCCAACGTATCTCGCATGCCCTCACCGTCTATTGACAAGACACTCCCGGGGTCGATCGAAGAATGTTGCAGACAGCCAGATGCAGGTCTCGGACTGTCTCTGGTGCGCATCATTCCCTGATTGCTGCAGCTTGCGCGTGGGAGGACCACATTCTCGAAGCATGCCATCGCGGCGGATCCTGCAGCCTGCAGAGACCTGCAGCTTGGAGGGGGCGTTCATGCTCCATGCTGCTTAAAAAGCTTCCTCGTGTATGTGCTGGGGATGCTGGGCGACAGGTTGGTGTGCTGCACACCGCTGGTTTCACATTTCATGTGTTTGGCTGTCTCTGCTTCACCCCCGTATCTAGGGATATGTCCGATAAGGTTGACATCAATGCCACACCCACCACCTATGATTGTTCATCCCTTGATTGAGGGCTTTCCTTGTCTGGTCTTCTTCTCTCTATGCAGTCAGCGTGCATGGGGTTGGAGTGCAGGTCCCTAGTTGACCGGTCTTTGCCCTCGTGGGAGGCGCGGCGAGAGGGTTCTCGCGATTCCCCCTCGTGCGAGGGTCCTTGGAAACTGTTTTCCCTGTCCCTGTAGATGGCTGGAGAAAGTGCATTTCCCTACGCACAGCGGGTAGGTGCCAGTACCGTCGGTGCAGTTAAACAGGCACGAGGTACAAAGCGCAGCGCACAGAGAGTCTGTGTGCCAGCAGGGGAGGCCATCTGAGTGCGTAGAGAAGGAGGCGTTGTAATTGATTCTGCGAGCATATGCGGCTCCTGGCATAGACGAGTACAGATTTCTGCTGGATGTCTACACGGTGAGCCTGGAAGCAATAGTAGGTATCACGCTTCATAGACTCGGATTCACTTGCTCTCGCCATCTACTCAGATCTATCATCAGGGGCTACGAGTACTCGTAATGTATGCTTTGGCCCCGGGGAGGGCCACATTGCTATACATTGATCGAGTCTTCGGCTCTTTACCCATGTGCTGGCCCATTGACCTCGGTGTTTCCATGCAGTAAATATAACCCTATTTTAACCCCCGGGTGTACTTTCTGTATACGCTCCTCCAGTGCTAAGGCACATGCTGTGTCCTAGAAGCATGGGGGATCGGTGTCACAATGTACAATGCACCGTCCCTACATGCAGTAAAGCACCATGATACTATAAGAGCCTGTCTTCGCCCATCCATTGCTTCAGCATGAATTTCTCATCTATTTCGCATGGAGTTCGTCCTGGTTTAGTTCTGCAACATCTGGCACATTCTCAATTACGATAAGGGCTCCAGGTCCGCCTGAGAGAATACGATATTATATACGGCTGGCAGTTCGACCTCAGGCAACTCTTAACTTGAATAACCAAGCCGAATCCAATTAGAAGCGTCCCCATCGCGATTTCAAGTACATATTACTACAGTCTCCTGCAGAAAACCTTCATTTCGAACAAATACGCAAACAAAACAGCACTTGTATCTTGGGGCACTCGACTCAAACTCTCACAAAGACCGCCAGGCCAGTCATTATGACACCAGACGACGTGCATGGAGCAAAAGCAACACCCATACCACTTCCCCTAGCCGGGAGTGAAGCAGACACCTCGGCCAAGGTTCGGTCAATAATGCCCGGCACCGAGGAGTTGAGCGTTCAGTGTTCTGTCCCAACATTATCGCTCAATACACCTCACACAACCCCTCGGGACAGTGATACCAGTGCGGTCAAATGAGCGACTGAGAGCAACACAGCATATTCATTGTCGTTCGGTCAGAAGGTCAAGGTCCCGTTTGCCTGAGTGGCGGTATTGCACCAGTTGATCATCATGTCGTCGCGCGCTGCGTCGTCGAACTGGAAGTCCGGTATCAAAGAGTTAGAGAGGCAAGTAGCAGGGTGGTTGGGCAAATACACAATCCAAGGCACGGGAGCTGTTAAGTTGGAGTTGTTCCAGCCGGAGAATGCTGGACGCTTTCAAAGTCCCAGGTTGACGACGGTGTTCTCGTCTGGAACTGCGGTGAAGGAGGCGTCGTTAGAGTAATCGGCAAGGACATGCTCATAGACGTCGACAAGAGCCTTGCCATTTGGCCATGACCCCAGGATGTTGAAACGACACCCATCTGTGAACAGTCGGAGCATTGGTGGGTTGCATTAGTCGCCGGTACATATTCCTGGACATCACCGTCTGAGTCGGCAGCATATATCGCATCCACATTGCGCTTTTCCAGAGTTAGGGATATGAACACACTTCTTCATGGTTTTCACCGTCGCCATGGGTTACACCGTCGTCAATGAGGGCGAGTCTCTAAAACTGCGAATTCTGAGCCTCGTACTCGTAAAATGCATTAGTTTTCAAGACAGAAGTGCCATTTGACACTGTTCGAGCTGGTACTAGCCTCATTCTGCTCAATAGTGTAAGAGAATAGAATTCTGCAATGGAGGACCATGTGAAATCAACGCTAGCGAAATGCTACATGAGGCCAGGAGCCGCAAAAAGTACGTAGCATTTACTATGAAAGTCCAACTCTCGTTCGTTCCAGACCTAGCCACTGCAGTAATCCTAAATAAGCATCTACAACTGGGAGCCGGTCGATTTAATGTAGATATCCCGCGTAGCTGATCCCCACACTTGGAGCAACCACATCGGGGTGAGGGTCGAAAAATCCTGGCTACAACGCTCCATATGATGTTACGCTTAGGTACACATTCTTTGCCTTCAAGTTTTTTTTGGTTCGGTATATTCAAAGGTTTTCGAGGTCCCGCTTATTTAGCACTGGGCTCTGTTCCAGCATCCCTATCTTGACTCCTTTAGACTATACAGCAAGTAGTTGTGTGCTTTGGATTTAATGGAAGAATAAATTGAATATTGTACCTCCTGATTAGAGGAACAGTCTTGGGTTCAGACCAGGAATGATCGTTCGAAAACTTGAAGTATTGCAAAGGCTCTACGCTGATCCGGGTAAGAGTTGGTGCATATATGTTCCTTTTAGCGGCTACCAGCAGACAGCATCTGAGACCCTCTTTGCAGAACTTCGAGCGCACAGGATGAGCATTAGCTAGGAAACAATACGCCAGTATAAAATTGATGCCATTTGAAGCTTCAAATTAGGCTGTGAAAGACTAACTGACCTGGACACCAACCTCACGTGACAAAACCGACCCTACGCATCCCAAAACAGCAAAATCCAAACAGGGCCAACCACGGTTCATTCCGCGCTAAACGTCACAGCAAAACCAACCTTGGCAGTCCCGAGCGCAAAAAGCAACACTCCCAGACCCCGCCACTAAGCAAGCGCACAGAGGGAAAGCGTCAAGTTCATCCAACAGAGCCCCATGGTCTCATCATAGAACTCCCGCAATATGCCTCCAACCAAACGACTAGCCTCCAGCAAAGAACCTGCAGCAGGGCCACAAAACCACAAAATCTTCGACTCTTGGAACTCCGCATCCACAGGTCACCAGCGCGCAGGATGTCTCTATGCAGGCTCCGCATCATGGAAGGATACACGGACATTAAAGCTTGAGCGACAGCTGCAGAGTGGCGACTGTTTGCTCCCGGATGATCGCAGGAGCAGCGCGCAGGCACAGGCATTTGACGGGCGGTGCGGGACACAGTCTTTCGAGGAGCGGGATGGCGACAAAGAGAACAACAAAGCGACCTCTGTCAACGGGGACGGAGAGTGGCGGTGGATATCGGAGGCCGAGGCGAAGCGGTCACAGCTGGGGGTGAGGGATATTCGATCGTTTATGGGGGTCAGCAAGCGGAAATCTGGGGGCGATAAGCAGCTACGATGCGGTGCGATAGAAAAGAAGCCAAAGAGTGAGGAGAGGTTAGAGTCATCGAAAGGCGGGCGTGGAAAAGAGGTTGCCAAGGACGTACAGGATGAAGTGTCGACCACGACGATTCCAGCCGTGCCCTCACAGGCAGTACAGCGATCTTTTACTAGGGCGGTCTCCGTCGCGGCTCCTACTGAGATGGCGCCTGCGAAGAAGATATTTACGGGCATCAACGTTTTCATCAATGGCTCTCCCCTACCTCTCATCTCGGATCACAAGCTTAAAGGCCTCCTTGTCTCCCATGGTGCCAAGGTATCTATATCCTTAGCACGCAAGACTGTCTCGCATATCATCGTTGGGCAACCAAATAAGGCTGGGGCTGGGGCTGGGGCAGGGGCAGGAGCTGGAGGCGGCCTTGCAGCGAGGAAGCTGGAGCAAGAGATCACTCGCGGGGGGTGGAAGGGAGTCAAAATCGTGGGAGTGGAGTGGTATGTTGTCAGATATCTCCCCGCGGAGATGTCGTCTTCGCTATGCACCAATCTAAGCTGACAGTCTCTAGGGTCCTTGAGAGCATCAGATCTGGGAAACGACTTAGCGAAACACGATTCACAGGGATGCATGTTGCGCAAAAAGGTCAAAGGAGTGTAGCTGGTATGTTTGGTGGGCGTTAGTGACGACATGACAATGTGGCACGATCTTGCATTTTGGGGTGGAGTACAATTCGATTTTCTGTCTTTTGATTCATGGCGATGTTGGGTACGGGGTAAAGGAAGAATAGGCTGGCTGCAAATGAAACACAAACTTTACGCAAGACTTGGGAGACACAATGTTCAGTACAAGATAATACGAGAAGGGGTCTTGGATTTTTCTAATCATGATGTGACTTGCTAGAGTAGATACAGACAAAGACTTGAAGAGATCATAGGCCCCATGGCCACCGCAATATCATCACATCATAACCATAACATGCACACCATGGAATGCCCTCAAGGCAAGTACCAAGACAGGCCAAGGCAAAGAAGCCTCTGTTAAAGGTTCCAAAAATTCCCACTCGATCACAAGGACCAAGTGAAGAAGTCAAAAAGTAGTTTTCAACTAGCAATAACACCGCCTCGGATCTCTCCTCACTGGCAAGCGTAAAGCCCGTGCACTAGGATGGGGAAAGAAAGAGGAAGAAAAACAGAACACAGGGGGTAATCGCATATATTTATGTCCAGGGAGTAGATCGCCGGTGGACCCAGATTCGCGCTAGCGTGAAGCGAGACGCTAGCGTCTTAAACGAATGCTGGCCTCTGGTTGGATCGTTTAACATCGCGTTTGTCGCCGCGTTTACAACTAGTGGCGATCACCTCTAGCAGCTAAGCAGACCACCTCTGGCTGCGGCGATCTCCTCTAGCAGCTAGGCAGGCTCTCTCTGGCTGTCGGCCCGCTAGGCTACGAGGGAAATTTGCTGGGGCAGTGGATATTGAAGATTTGTCACCCATATCAACAAGCCGACTTGGAAGGCTGTCCAGTATCGTCTCCCACACAGATATGAGGTTATATTGAACAAAGTTGACTACCGTTCGCCCGTCGAGGTGCATGGTTAAATGGAATAATACAGAGAAGATTATCATAGCCCTAACACTAAGGATGCAAAGCTCGATCGAAGAAATACTATCTTTTTTTGTTTCTCCTTCTTTTTTCTCCTTTTTTTTGAAGCTTTAGTTAGATGTTGATTGATTCTCGAAGTTACCCCTGAAGTCCGAGCCCACATATGCGAAGTTTCATGAGTGAACTGGACGAAATATTGACATGCAATGAGTCGGAGGTATGGCAATGTTGCTGTAAAAACGAACGATATGCACAGTCTGGCCATGGACTGGAAATGGCGACCACAGTAGGGGCTAAGTTGCCAAAAAGTGCAGAATTTGGCACGTATTGTCAGTATGGCCGAGTGGTTAAGGCGTTAGACTTGAATCATCTGATCTTGTTATCTAATCCATTCGTGGACCTAGGTTCGAACCCTAGTGCTGACGCAATTTTTTTTTTCTTTTGCCCGATTTTGGATCCTTTTTACCCTATTTCGTTAGGGCCAAACTTGGCCACTGCCAGGTAATATCTCCTATAAGTCATTTGCAGCATTCAAAGAGGGGCTTCGTATTCAAAAATTCAATTTTGATTGTCGGTGGTTCAAGCTCTGGAAATATATCCGGCGGCTAGGCTCTAGTGCTCCCTCCCGCTTCATATTAATGATGATAATTTTGGACACGTAGGTTCACATAGCCTAACAGGAGGAATACCAGGGCTATCAATGACGAATGATGAAACACGCTGAACTTGAAGTATCTAGAATGCTCACTCGTTATGCTTCATTATCATAACTATATCATAACTTTGACACTATAGGTCAAGAGCAGTACGTCTGAACTCCCAAGAAGCATCAAAAGGTCCAGAAAATACATATGCAAGAATTGAAAGAGGCAGATAAAACCCATATGCGCCATGATATGCAAGAATGTACAAATGTAGAAATTTAGATACCCCGATTACGGGAAGATGCTCATAACGCTGGACATTTCGGGGGAATCACTGTCATCAGATAAAGGCGCCTCGACTTCTTCCTTGGCCCGCATAACCACTGCCATCGTCGCTGCTAGCATCGGAAATATGGCGACGCCATCCGCTGTTCCTCCGGCCAGGATAGGCGGGGTGAGGAGGAGCCGGGCTGTGACGATCATCGTCATGGGCCTCGGTGGAAGACATAGAGACAACACCCATATCTGATGAACTGGATGAGAGCGATCTTACGCCGAGGATTGCCTCGTCAGGAACGGGTGGGAGAGGACTAGGGTGGCGGTGGGAGGAGAGAAGAGGAGTTGGCGGGAGGAGGGGCGCGAGTGTAAGGGGTTGACGAGGAATTTGAGCGGGTACGGCTGTGAGAAGAGGTCGGGGGTATCTGGTACGCCTCGGGACCTTGCATATGCTCTGGTGAAGCAGCCGCCTGGCGTAATGGAGCGACATAGAAGGGATTTGAGACATTGGTGGTTTGGTTTGAGTATGCGTGTTCGTCTTCGTACTCGGGGAAGGCGGCCGTTGACATGGATGAGACGGATTCATGACGCGAGCGGCTGACGTGAGGAAGATGAGCTTCGCCTTCCGACTCGTTACTTGACCAGCGGTCAAGCTTTTCGCCTAGCGTTTCCGTCGGCTCGAATGAGTTGCGGGAGTCACCTTTCACAAGCCCCAGTCGCTCCTCCTCGGTCGCAGCTCTCATCGAGTCATCGAAGTTCTGCGTCCGGCGCAGAATACCTTTAGGAGGACTCATGGGCCGCTTTGCCGATGAATCACTGCCCGACTTCATGCGGTTGAAGATGCTATTGAAGGAAAACTGACGCTGTGCGGTGTGTGCAGGTGACAAGTGTGCAACCTCACCGTCAGCCCAATGGATCGATCGAGTGGTGTCGCTTCTTTGCCGGCCGTGGCGAGTCTCAGCACCGTGGTATTCAGTATCAGGGTGGCCCTGGTGCCCCATATCTGTCATCCCCATAGATTCGGGAAGATGTTTTTCATCCTGCTCGCGCAATGGAAGCCACTGCTGCGGATTACGAACACTCGGAGTGCGTGACCGCATATCAGACAAATACGACCGGGCGCTTTGCTTGGTGCTTGGACGGCCCTCGTCTTCATCATCAGGGAATCGAGACATGCCGAGAGGAGGGAGCGGTGGGTGCCTCAAGGAGGGCGAGCGTGAAGCCATGGAACGAGCCATGGTTGGTCCTTCTCCAAGGACAGTCTTACGCCGCCGGAGACCGTCCCACTCAATAATCTCATTTTCACCGGGCGGTCTCAAGGTATCCTCGTTTCTGTCGTGGAAGAAGCGCCGGGCTTCCTCTGTTTCCATCGTTCGGCGAGCGGTCGAAATGCGACGGAGAATGGACGCTGCTCCACGGATTGAGTCGGCCTTGGGCTCGGACTCTGGCTCTTCCTGCGTAACCACTTCACGGATCTGATCTAGATCTCCTTTGAATACAGCTGCGTCAGGTACATCCTTAGCAGATTTGGATAGCTGCAGCAGGACGACACCAGAACAGATCTGCAGGAATCCCATGATGACTGTAGCAATCTGGATACCTGTACCTTTGAAACCGCGGAAGAGAACAGCAGAGGTGATAATTGTAGCACTCGTGAAAAAGACATAGTAGGTCGGTGTAACTAAGGCGGCATTGAAAAGGTTGAGTGCTTTCTGTAGAAGGTTAGCATTGATTCTCGACCGATGGCGATGGCAAAAACACATACGTTGAGATAGATGATCTCTGTGAGCAGAGTGCAAATAACAAAAGCTAGAAGAACCCAGAAGAACCACTCCTTATACTGTGGCTCACCGTTGATCCAGGCAAGGATGGCCGAGCCTAGACCCTGGGTGCAAACCACACTCAAACCACCAACCATACTGCAGATGCTGATATAGACGAACATGCTTTTCTTTCCGTAACGAGGGCCAACCCAGAGCGCCGTGAAGGCTGCACCGACAAGAATGACACCCGTGTATGACAGAAAGCCCGGTGAAATCGCAAAGTGCTGCATTTCCTGGATATCGCTGACGGAAGATTGTTCGGGCGCATTCATAGCGATGACTATCGAGCCGATGATACAAGAAAAACAGCCGACCTTTCCCACGAAACTGAGTCTTTCCTTCAGAAAAATCGCAGACAATATAGTGGTTATAACGACCGATAGGGCACCGAGGGGGGTAACGAGGATAGCGTCGACAAATGCGTAAGCAACGAAGTTGCAGATCTCTCCGATGATCATAAGAGTCATGCCGCTCCACCACCAAACGTTTCTGAGGTAGCCATACCCCTCGCCCGCCTCTTCATTGTATTTGACATTTGCCTTGAGCAAGCCGATCTTTTTCAAGACGAAGGAGACACCGATGAAAACGCCCGAGGAAACAGCAAGAGCAATACCAATCGCTTTGTAGACGGGCGGCCGACCGTTAGAATCGCCTCGAGCGATTATGTCGCTCGCTTCCGATAAAGCGAAATGAGAATCCATGACGAGGTATGTGCCGAAGAGGAGAAAAGACCACACTGGCCAGCAGTGGGAGGAGAGGGACGAGGGTAGGGCGGAGTCGTCCGAAGACGGACCTTGGGCGATAACCTGAGACACTTATTCCAGGCCACCTTGTAAAGCGTTTCGCTAGTCGCTGAAAGGCCGAGGGGCCACACAAATCCAATCAAGCTCAGGTTACAGCTGCAAAGGGACTCGACCGAGACTGGAATGTGGCTATGCAGGTAGCGCTATCGGGTGGAAATGTTCTGGAATCTGACCACGAGGTTCGGACCGCGGGGAAAGTCGAGGGTTCTACAAAGGGTTTGTCGGATGTTTTAAGAGGATCTGAGGTGTTAAGAAAAGGGAGAATCATGAAACAGGCCAGACCTCAAAAAGAGACCGGAGAATAAGAATAGGAGAATAGGAGAACCAAAATACAAGAGGCTGGGGGGACGGTGGGGAATCGATAAGACCCAGATTCGACGGGCGCGAGTGGGGCGCACCCTGTCTTCACTGCCCGTGGGCCCCATAGTTAATCTATATTAATCTGTACTTTAGTGGGCTCGAGTCGTGCTTTTGCTCTCGAACACTTTGACACTGCAGCGATCCATGGCCCCGCTAGTTCAGGGGAATTTACGGAGTATTCGTCATACGCCTCCTCGTTGCTCCTGAGAGTCTCTATAAGGGGGGGATATCTTCTCCCTTTGGGTGAATAGCACGGCCGCTAGGTTCACTTCCTGTTTCTTCCCTGATTAGTAGTACGTAAAGGGGTCGGTTCAAGTTCCGGCCCTGTGACGGGCTGCCACTCCACTTCTGCCGTTTCTATGGATCGGGTTGTTGATCATACTCGTTTCGAATTCGCGATTATATTCTCGTGACTGTGTAGTATACAGCGTCTCATAAAGAAAGTCATCAGTCATTACCACTTGAGAACTGCTATCGGAAAATCTCAAAGCAAAATTCCCCTAAGAGACCCTGATGACGCCGAGACACCGATTCCATTGAATCTCAGATAGGTCCTTTCCATCTCACTTTTCGAATGAAGGGTATCCAGGAGAAAAAGAAGTAAACCAAGGAGACAGAAATGACAAAAAGACAAAAAAAAAAAAGAATACAATTGAGCCCCGAAAATGTCACAAAAAGCACAGCTTGGCGACTACCGCACATGGTAGCTTGGCTTACGCTGCCGATTGACGACGGGAGGAGCCTCGTCAATAGGGTACGGGGGTCGTGCTTGGGCGTTGGAGCCCCCCGGCGAAGCATGTGAAAACAGTGGCGCAGGCATGGAGATACCGGAACTCTCGTCTTCTTGAGCTGGGTAGGGAATAGGGGTCTTGGGGGGAATAGGGGGTGGAGCAGTATTATGCAGGAATGGCTCAGATGCGTGTGGAGAATTCAGGGTGTACGCGTTTTCATAACCCGAGTAAGCGCCTGAAGTATCACTGCTAGGATACCCCGCTGAAGAGCCGTTTTGAGGGGCAAGGTGCGCGGGGAGGGCATCGGTGCTTGGCATTACAGCTGGAGCAGGTGATGACGCCTGGGCAGACGAATGAGGGTAGTATTCAACGGGCTCGGCGGGGAGCTCCACTGCGAAAGAGTTTGAGGGAGGCGGCACCGAGAAGTTCGGAGAAGAATGGCTTGGGTGAGCGGACTGTGGGTGAGCTGATTGAGGTACCTGCTGCTCAGGCTCCCCGACGGACTGGCCCAGCGTGATCTCCTCCCGCTCGAGATCAAATGACAGATCATCCCGGTCACCACCGGCAGCCGTATGCTCAGCCAATCGCTTGTGCATGCGGTTGATCTTGGCAAATTTAACACCCGCATCTAGAATCATCTTCTTGACCTCGGGCTTGGCGAGATACTGTCGTGTATTGGTGCTGATATCTGCGAGGCGGTTCCACTCGTTCATGCCGAATTCACCCACACCAACCTCGACGTTCAGGCGATAGTAGTTGTCTTTACTAACGTTGCGCTGGGGCAGGTATTCCTGGAGCATTCGTAGGTGAATGTTCTCACAGCCCTCGATTTTCGAGATAAGTCGTCGTCGAGCCTCCGCGAACGTGCCAAATGCATCTCCGACGAAATCCTCCCACCACTCATGCTGCCGGTTGTTCGTTCCAGGAGGGCGTCGACCTGTTCCAATACTGACGAATACTCCGATCTCCCGTCCTGGCCACTCATTCTGAACAGCTTCATCGAGGATTTGAGGGGAGGGGTTGTATGTGCCCGGGCCTTCGTCAATAAAAACATGCTGGCCAATCTGGATAGGCTTGAAGGCGAGGCCAGTAGCAGCTGTAGCACGGCCAGCCTGCCAAATAGTGCAATCAAACTCCGGCGGAGGCTCTCGGCGGGAATCGTAGGAACGCAGGAGTACAGCAGACCCGTTGCGCGGAGTTCCCTTATATAGAGCAGTCACGGCGCTGTGTTATACGTTAGCGGCTGTAAAATCGAACCAGGAATTACATGACTTACGTCTTGGTTCTACCCTCTCGGTTGTCGTACAATAAGGCATCCGGGTTGCCCCAACGAAGTCCGTTCAAAAACGTAGAGCCGCGGTTGTTTGTGGGATTTTGAGAATAGGAAGCACCGGATGTGCTGAAACTCCCCCGGCTGACAGAGCGCTGAGGAACTGAATTGGGGCTGTAAGGGAGACTGGCAATTGACGAACGGGGATTATTGCTGTTCGAGACATCATTTCCTTCCGTCTCGAACACGGTATGCTCACGAACACACTCGCGAATGGCCTCTTCTAATTTCGAGGCCTTGAACAGAGTGGAACGATATGGAATACCCGCAATGGTCTTGTCTGTCTCAAAAACCTTGCGAGTCATCCGAACGTAGACTTCCTTGCATGTCTCTAGATCCAGTCGGAGACGTCCCAGCATGATAGCAATCAGACCGCCGGTGCCGGTACCCGCGATGAGGTCGAAGTGGTCGCATGGCTTCGGGATCTGGTCGCGGCGCGGGGGTTTGCCTTCGCATTCAACGTAGGTGCGGTACATGAGTTCCTGCAGGATAATGAGCATGGAATAGCCGCGGACACCGCCTCCGTCTGCGCCAAAGGTCAGTTACGGTCTCAGATGCGGGGGAGAGGAATTCTTGCAACTTACCTAGCGAGAGCACCCGCAGTGGCGGACCCTTGGTGGTATCCTTGCGACGCAGATTGACCGCATCCATGGTGACGCCGGTGCAGAGTTGTAGTAATCAGAAAACCGGACCGAGTTGCTTTTTTTGGCGTTCGTTTTGTTGGCCGCAGCCTACCCGCGGCGGGGTTAAGATTGGCCTTATGCACCGAAGTCGCGGGAGAGTTGGCGCCTGACCGGTTGGTGCAGAGCGTGAGAGAAGACGGCGTGACACGAGTACCACGAGTTGTAGGTGGATGTGTGACAGGAGGAAGAAGTCGGATTTCCAGGCAGCGGCAATTAGAGGGGCGAGGCTTGGAAACGAGACCCGCCAAGGATCAAAAAAGGGCCTGAAGGGCTCCGGAAGTTGACGGCTCGTATGTCACAGAAACTCTAAGAGCAGAAAGAATGACAGACAGAGACGCATATGCATGAACTGTGTTGATTTTCCAAAAATAATAATACTCTTGGGCACAATAACCACGGTTCAGGTGATTTGTGGCGGTGCATCTGAGACTGATGTAATGGTGTGGCGGTGGGGCACTGGAGAAACTAAGTGTTCCCCATTTTTTTCTAGAATGTTGAGGCACGATGTGGAATCAAGTTGGGCAGAATACAGTCATGCGCTAAGCCAATCGGGGATACCGTCTCAGCTGCTTCTTGTCTGATCATTATGTACCTTTTCCGGTGACAAATTCTTCTTACTGGCTCAAGCATCTCGCCTGACCGAACAGAGCCCACACACTCTCGTCCTGATGTCATCCTCGCTGCTCATGGGGTTTCTAATTGGTTAGACCAGGCCAATCTAATAGACCAATATTAGCCAATGTGACCCAAGTTAGACTCGCTGTAAACTCACCAACAGTGGTGCGCTCTTTGCCCTGTGCTCCAATCTCAATCGGGTCTCCAACTCGAATAGGTTTGTCTTCCCCAGTCCATTTCAAGAACGAATACCGGCCAAATACAGGGCTATACTTCGCGCCCCGATCCACTCTTCGGTCTTTCATCAGTCTCTTCAGTACCATACCAGAGTCTTCCTCGCTCATCTTCCCCGTGGTATAGTTCACATTCAGGCTTGGACACCGTACACAGTTCCCAGTCAATAGCAACCGGGCCTTGTTCGGGCCAATAACTAGTTCCGTCCAGAAATCCTCTTCGAAGGCTTCCTCAGCACCCGAGACAACTATATTCGGTCGGAATTTAGTAGGATCCATCTGGTGTCCATCCGGCAGCCGGGCTGAGACATTATCCACAGAAGCCTGCGAAATCACCAAATACGGCGCACAGTCTGCGAATGTGATGCGCGTACGCCGAGGCTTCACGAACAGCCTATATGTGAGCAACACCCAGCTTGTAAGAACGACAACCGCGCCAGCAGCGGCCATTCCAGGTGACATATGAGCCTTCCCGGGCACGCTGTAAGGAGTGCTCACGGCACACGCGAAGAAATAAGCCTCGACCAGGAGGAGTAGATTGGCTTTATTATTTATGCTGCTAAGGGCTTCCACCCATACCCTCCACCGGGGGATTTTGTTGCGCTTCTCGGGGGCCAGGGTCCCGAGGACTCCTGTCTATTCTCACCCAGGTAGGCCAGGACGACTGGATAGCCGAAGCATTCGCTGAACCACTTATTGTACGTGGGTCCCATGTCGTATCCTGTTGTTGAACTCGAGTACATGGAGATTGTGAGTTTCTTGAAATGTTTCTCTTTCATTACTTTGAATGGTAAAAGAGGGACCTCCAGTTGCCTGGATTCTCTGGGTCGATCATCTGAAGCATCTTGGGGGGATGGAGGGTTGTACGTGATCGTGATTTTCCCACTGTCGGTCTCAGACTCGGGCAAGTCTACGGCCGTCAGAAAGAGGCTCATCTCGGGCATTTTCCCGACTTGCATGTTCTTGAACGACAGCTGAGAGCCATCCTTTTCATCTTCGACCTTGAGGAGTATGAATCGGCGGTCATATCGTAGGCCTTCTGCTGTCAAAAAGCCTGACTCTAGAGATGTCGGCCGAAGAGACTTGATCGGATAGATGTACAGCTGCGGATTGGTCAGCGCCTATAGCCTCGCAAGAAGGGAATGCATTACCTGAGTCACTTTCATTGTTACGAAGAAGGTCTTTTCTTTGAAGTCTAGAGCCGACAGAATGGCGAAGAGAGGGGTTGATAAGCCGCATCGCACTTGGGGCCGAGGCCGGATCCGAGCACACGGGACTTTTTAACTACGTCAGGACATACTGGATCTTCAAAATTTACCCTAACGATTTTTGGCTTCTCGAAAGTCCAAATTCCAAGTCTTATCAGTCATATTCGTATTGAACCGTAGCGGGGAAAAAAAGGGAAAAGAAAATGTACAGTAGAAAAAGGAAATGAAAAAAAAATGCAAAAATGAAAAATGAAATGTCTACTCCTTAGCCCATGGGAGGCTGAAAGTGCCAACCCAGTCTTCCACTTCTTGCCGGAGGAGCACAAGCTCGGATACCTCCTCACCCTCGCCCAAGAACTCAAAGAATGCCTTGAGGGTTCCTGGGTTCTTCGCACCCTTGGCTTGGGCCTGCTCACGAGCAGCCTTGTCGAGCTTCTGGGTCAGGGTGACAGCACGGTCAACAATGTCAGCAACACGGCGGAAGTCCTCTGGTTGGAAGCCACGCGAGGTCATGGCTGGGGTTCCCAGGCGCAGACCACCGGGCTTCAAGGCGGACTTGTCACCGGGCACGGTGTTCTTGTTGCTAGCAACGCCACACAGCTCTAGGACACGCTCAACACGAGCACCATCTACGCCACGGTTCTTCAGGTCCACCAAGACCAGGTGGTTGTCAGTACCACCGGAAACGATGTTATAGCCGAGTCCACCGTTGCTAGTTGACTCACCCAGGCGTTCGGCGAGCGCCTGCGCATTGGCCAGAACAACATTCTGGTATTCCTTGAATTCCGAGGACTGAGCCTGCTTGAGTGCCACGGCCAGCGCGGTAATGGTGTGGTTGTGGGGTCCTCCCTGGTGACCGGGGAAAACAGAGGCATTAATGGGGTTCTCGAGGTCATACAGCACTGGATTGCCCTTCTTATCAGTGCTGCGAACACCCTTCCGGTAGAAGATCATGGCACCACGGGGGCCACGCAAAGACTTGTGAGTAGTGGTGGTTACAATGTCAGAGTATGGGAATGGAGAGGGCATCACATCGGCAGCCACCAGACCAGAGATGTGAGCCATGTCAGTCAGCAGATAAGCTCCCACGGAGTCCGCAATCGCGCGCATGCGAGGGTAGTCAATCCGACGGCTGTAGGCAGAAGCACCGGCCACAATCAGCTTGGGGCGGTACAGCTTTGCCTGCTTCTCGAGTCCATCATAATCAATCAATCCGGTGGACTCGTCCAACTGGTATGGCAGAGTTTCGAAGTACTTTGAGATAGCAGAAATCTTCTTGGTAGGAGTCTGGTATCCGTGGGACAAGTGACCGCCGTGGGGCAGATCGAGACCCATTAATCGGTCGTGGGTGTTCAGGACGGCGGAGTAGGCGTAGAGGTTGGCAGGTGATCCGGAGAGAGCTATTATGGTGTTAGCAGATTCCTTGGCCTGTGCTTGAGTCGTTTGATATCAAGGTGGCACCATACGCTGCACATTCACACCCCACTCCTCGGGGTTCAATCGGAAGGTTTCGAGAGCACGCTGTTGGCACAAACGCTCAGATGCATCAATGTGCTCGTTTCCTCCATAGTAACGGGCACCGGGGTAACCCTCGGAGTACTTGTCTGGTTCTCAATTAGATCGGTATCTAGAGGGGCTCGGACATAGCTACTTACTCTGCATCACACTGCCAAGGGCATCGAGAACTGCTTGTGAGGTGAAGTTCTCAGATGGAATCAGGTTAATGAAGTGCTGCTGGCGTTTTTTCTCCTAACGTGGATGTTAGCATCTGATCATAAGTTGAGTACAAGTTCCGGCTCTGGTTGAGGTACCTTCTGCAAGATGGTGTATACAGCGGGATCCGAATCTTGGAGAGAAGACGCGAGAAGCTGGAGAGAGCGTCAGTATTGCAACCTGAGCTCTTCGATAATCCATTGAGTGTCAAATACCTTGTGTTGCGCATCCCGGCTGGATGAAGCAGCTCCCCGCACGAGTGGGCTGGGTCGGGAGACGAAGGCACGAGGAGAAACACCCAAGGCCGGGCGGACACTGCCCAGAGAGAGGCGCGCAAGGCGCCCGCAGTGAGAAAGAGACATTACGACGAGGAGTTAAGCGGAGGGGTGAATTCGTCTCGATAGGAAAGCCTGTAGCTTTATATTGCGGAGTATCGGTCGCAGCTTCTCCGTTGCCCGCGGAAAGCGGAAAACTGCACTAGACCCGTTCGGGCTGACCGCCTCGGAGGCCTTTTGTTGCTCGGCAAATTCTGTCATCTTCCCTTCTTCACACAACTAAATCCAAGATGAAGAAACGGCGTCCTTATCTGCATCAGCACTCGTCGGTGACGGCCTGGACCCTCGGGCTCGGGCTGTTGCTGGACGGGCACTGCTGAAAGGTCCCACGCCCCATCACCATCCATGAAGGGATCAATTTGCATCGGATTGGAGTTGTTGTGTATGTTCGGAGCTACCGCCATTGACAGTCTGGAGGTTATCACAAGAGGTTTTGGCCTTATCGTACCATAGGACCGAGTTGCATTGGATCATTGGTGGAGCAATACTTGCCTAGTTGCATGTGCTCGCACAGCTGCAATGCGAGTGTGTGACACTGGGACTGGTTGCGCAGAGTTGGGTCAACCCGAGAACCAAGCGTACCATCAGTCTTTGACTTAGCTACCCTTGAATTGATCTACTCCATACAAGCAAGTGCAGGGAAAAGCAACATTGCCTCATGAATTTCTCCAACTCCACTCGATTGTGAACAGGTCCCGTGTCCGGTTCAAAGTAGCCTATACCGTGTAGTTCGTAGCATTCTGTGTAGCTAGCAGGGGGGTTTCTCAACACTTCTAGCTGGAAGCAGTATCCGAGCCATTACCATCACGGCATATCAGCGAAGACTTTCCATGAAATGTGGAAATCTTCTTGGTGTGGTTGACCGCGTCTCCTACGCGAGCTAGGGGTTTGAAAACGCTTGGTCCATGCTAGCCGCTGTGGGCTTAAAATGTTAACTGCGATGAAGAGTATTCAGCGTCAATGGCATGAAACCGAAACATACTATGACCGGAGATCTTCCGTAAACTAACGGGTTATGTCTAATCAAGCCCTGATGAGATGCATGTTGCATGTCCCTTTCTACTAGCGGTGTGAGTTTCTTGGATTTCAAGATGAAGGTTACTGCCTAATAATGAGGTACTGAAGCACACGGGTCGAGTTACAGCGTCGAGTTAAAGCTTGAGCAGTCGATTTTTCTTCAACATCATTCTTATACCATATAAACTGATCAACTTGCGCAATCCATCTCGATTGTCCGGAGATTACGTGTATTGAAAGGAAGGGCAGGTTCCCCTCCTGAGAATGGAGATGACGGCAAACGATGGCGCGGGGTGCGTAGAGAGCAAATCAGATGTTCATAGGTTAGGGATATCTCTCTATGATGCGAAATAACTAGCCATCGACCGAGAGCGAGTCCTGAAGGGAACAGATGCCGCACGTGCAGCCTCAGTAGCTCGGGCGCAAATCTCCCGTGATGAAAAGCCGACCAAAGGCAAGTGGATTTCATGACTTCATTTCAAGGTTGTTATGATCGCTGACGTCGAGATAGCCATGTGAGATTGAGCTCTATAGCAACCAATGGCTCCCTTGCTTGTCTCACAATCCCCCGCATATGCACCGTCCGATCATCTTTGAATCTCTTCTCATTTGTCATTTCCCAGTGCATACAGATCCTTCATAACCTCTGGGCAGGATCCAATCAGCAAGGCCTTTGCCGGGGCATCCTCGATCGGGACCCACTTGAGCTGGGCGCTAGGTAAGACGAATTTGCAAAGGGCGGCATCGCTCGGGAGCGGGCCAAACCAGACCACGACGTTGGTTTGGCTCATGTTTGACCAATACAAGGTGATACCCCCTGATCTATGAGTTGAACCATGCTATTCTTGACTCTCATATGGGAGTCGAGCTACCGGTACTCCCCTAAAGATGATCGAAATTCTCCCTTGGCGTGCTATTCTGGTCTTCATGATCATCCGGCCTAGACTTCGCTCGACCAAACCTAGATCGCGCGTACAACGGTATTGGGCTCTCCGAAGAGGGAAGGGATCCTCCGGGCCACCCTCCCATTCAGGCTTGGAGCGGTTTGAAGGAGTTTGGGGGACATGCGTGTTCGAACCACGTCCCCGATGGCTGATTTCCCAGGATTGGCCCTCGATTGTGGCTATCCCCTGCAGGAACTACATCATGTCCCTCCAAAAGGCGCCGTACCTGCGCCTCATCGCCGGCCGACTCAATCAAATCGACGGCAAGTTTAATTTCCCAGCTAATGCCACGCGCAGACTTCCCCCTTTTTCACTTTTCGCCCTTCTTCACGCCACTAGCGCACGGGTACCTGAAGTCAACCGTGGGCTCCCCCTTATAATTAACCCGTCTCGCCCAGAAACTCCCCTTTCCCCAAGTCCACACTCTCTTGCCTTACCAACCCCGGTTCTTACACCGATTACACTCTTTTTTTTGATCACACTCTTTATCAAGACTTCCTGTGTCGTACTTCACCTCGAGCTTTTTTGCCCTCCGAAATCTTCCATACATTCAAAATGCGTTTCTCTCTCGCTGCTGTTGCTTTCGCCGTTGGCGCCGTTGCCTCCCAGGCTGTCACTGAAACCCTCACTGACTACACCACCTACTGCCCTGAGGCTACTACTATCTCCTACGGTAGCCACACCTACAGCATCTCTACCGTACGTTATATATATCCCAAATGCCGACTCGTGATCGACATTCTTCGCATATTTTACCCGAACTATAGATCTGACATCTATCTCTACAGCCCGGCCACATTACTCTGACAAACGGCCCTTACACTGTCACTCGTCCTCTGATCACCCAGACCGTGACCCAGTGCAACAAGTGGTAAGTTTGCAGTCTACTTCTAATTCTGTCGCATGCCACTTTCGATCGGCATGATCAACATGGAGATCAACATGCGACTAGCCTCGCCCTACCATCGAATATCAATCTAACATATCTCTAGCTCTTCCTCTACTCCCATTCCCACTACTCCTGTCTCCATCCCCGTCTCTATCCCCGCCGGCTCCGCCACCTCCACCCCTCTGATTCCCAGCGGTGCCGGTCCCACCGGTGTGCCCCCTGCCGCCTCGTCGCAGCCCGCCTTCAACGCGGGTGCCGTCAATGCTGCTACTGGCGCCGGTGCCGGTCTGGCCGCTGTCTTCGGTGTCGCCGCTCTCTTGCTGTAAGCTTAAGCATTGATTTTATTCCCTTCAAGAGAACGAAATATATGCACAGCGGGGCTTGAGCGTAGCGTGACGATGGACTGTCGGTGAGCATTGGCCGCTTGCAATAGCCTAATTCGTCTGCTGTACGAGGTGGTTGTCAGGAGCCCGTGCTCGCCGGATGCCAGGCGTTGGGACGGATGGGTCTTTATTTTATTCCCATTCTCTTCTTTTATTATTATTGAGGTTATATGTCTTGTCTATATTTATTAGATAATACATAATTGGCCCGTTCGGCTTTCTGTATGTTTGATTTCCTTTCTGCTTTTGCAAGATATTTGATATAACGTTTCCTAAATTCAACTTGAACGATTCCAATCTCCACGTTACCCCCCCCCCCAAAAGGATTCTAGAGTGTCGGGTGTTTAGTAGTGTATAATTGGCTTTTCTGACGCTACTATTTGCTTCTATTCAAGTCCCAAGTTGCTCAACCTTGAGCTCTCGGGCTGCTGCCAAGTGCCGCATGCCAGTAGATCGTAACATAAACCCGAAGACATCGCAATCTTGCGAATCCATATTGCTGGTACTTCTACTAGTATTAAAACTTGCTCAATTGCTAACTAAGGATTTTCTGCCGTTCCTCTTCTGCGCCTTAAACTTGAAGGAAACCTTGAAAACCCTAAAGATTATGTCCGTTGCAGACGTCCAGTTCAAAACAATCCTGTGGAACAACAATCTAGTTTCAACCCAGTCTCGCCTCAACCTCGGAATCCATATCTACCAATCATGCCAACAGCTTACACGCTATAGATGGCCCCCAATTTCGAGGTTTTGATCCAACGTGGGAATCAAAGCTTCGCCTTCGTCTTCGCCTTCGCTTCGAAGTACTCCTTAACCCTCCCTCTTGCAACCTCCACCACCGCGGCGTCCTCAACAGTAGGCGGGACGTTGACGGGTTTTTCAAAGTTGCCTTGCGTCCCATTCTCCAGGAGTTCTCGCAAAACCCGGCGCAGAGTCTTTCCGCTCCGGGTCTTGGGAATCATCCCTCGGCCCTGGATAATACCGCCTAATGTGGCGATGGCGCCTATTTGCTCACGCACCAGGGTGTTGACCTCTTTTGTCAGCTCGGGCGGAGCTGTTGCTGGGAGCGCCCCCTCTGCATTGTTGTCTGCGTCGGCTTTCAATTGGATAAACGCAAAGGGTAGGTGGCCCTTTAATGAGTCGGGGATACCGACGACGCTGGCCTCACTGATTGATGGATGTGAGAGTATGGTCTGCTCGATTTGGCCTGTGATATGGTTAGCCTGGACTCCTTCGCCTTTGCCTTTCTGGCTCCGTCGGAAGTCTCTCGACTATCACCGGAGAACTACATACCAGTGCTGAACCGATGAGCCGCTACATTTATCACATCGTCCGATCTCGACATGATATGCACGTATCCATCCTCATCAATCAACCCGGCATCTCCTGTATCCAACCATCGCCCATTAAACCTCTTCAGATATCCACGGTAGAACCTCTCCTCATCCTCGAAAAGAGTAGTAAAAGCAGTCGGTGCCAGCGGCGCCGCCATGACAATATTTCCCATCGTACCTCTGGGGACTTCCACCCCTTCATCGTCAACAATCCTCACGTCAAAACCCGGCATAGGCAGACCAGCGGAGCCCGGCCGGATGGCAAGAGGAGCAACACCTTCTCCCCCAAGGCCAGGAACTGCCGCCCCCGCATTCACCGCAACCCCGGAGATCGGAGACCCGGACTCAGACGACCACCAATTATCCACCACCAGCGCCCCCTTCGCCGCATACTCCGCCAGCAACTCCTGGTATTCACGCACAATGCTCGGCTCACTGCGTTCCCCGGCCAAAAACAGCGCCCGCAGACTCTTCAACCCTCCACGCCGCGCCACCTCCCGAAACAACACATTCCCGCCATCTTCCTTCCGGATAGCCCGCAGCGCCGTCGGCGCCGTAAAGAGCACATTCACGGCATTCTTCTCGACAACTCTCCAGAACGCACCCGCGTCCGGCGTTCCCACCGGCTTCCCCTCGTACAACACCGTCGTCGCCCCAACTAGCAGCGGCGCGTAAAGGATATACGAGTGCCCAACCACCCACCCGATATCCGACGCGCAGAACATCACATCGCCCGGTCCCTTGATCCCGAACAGGGAGCGAATAGACAATTCCAACCCCACCGCATGGCCCCCGGCCTCCCGCACCACGCCCTTCGGCAACCCGGTCGTCCCGCTCGTATAGATGATATACAGCGGGTGCGCACTCGCAACTGGCACAGCCGCCGCCCTGATCCCGCGCGCCCGCGCGCTTTTCACAAGCCGCTGCCACGGCCGCTGCCCGCTTAGCCGGTCAGGGTGGTGCCAGCGCAGCTGGTCGCGCTGCCAGATGATGGTCTTGAGGGGCTTGAAGGTTGAGGCGGCGATTGCGCCTTCGACGAGTGGCCTGTACGCGATTGCGCCCTTGGTGCCTTCGATGCCGCAGGAAGCGGTCATTATGGCTTTGGGGCGGGCAGCCTCGATGCGTTGCGCGAGGGAGGTTGCTGCGAAGCCGCCGAATACGGCGGAGTGGATGGCGCCCAGGCGGGTTATTGCGAGGGCTGCGATGAGTGCGGCTGGGATCATGGGCACTGCAGTTGAGGGTTAGCTTTGGGGTGGTTTGGAAAGCTCGGGGATTTCTGGTTGTAATTGGGAGGGAAGGGGGGAAAAAGGGTTGGACATACTGTAGATAATCACTACGTCGCCTTTGCGGACGCCCTCCTCTTGCAGTACGCCGGCGAGCACTTCGACTTCATCGAGGAGCTGTTGGTATGTGTACTTTTCGGTTGTGTTGGTGACGGGCGATTCCCAGACGATGGCTACGTCCGAGCCGCGGCCGGCTAGGACATGGCGGTCTACACAATTGTAGGTAGTGGAGAGCTCGCCACCTGGGAACCAAGACCAGTGCTCGTGCTCAACGCCGCTGGGCAGCGTCTTACGGCGACGGGTTAGGGCTTTATAGGGTTTGCGGTGCCAGTGGATGCGGGCTGCAGGGTCAGCCCAGAACGCCTCAGGATCCCGCAGGGAGAGATTAAGCGCCTCGAGCTGGGGATGCAAAGGTGGAGACATGGTTTACAGAACCAAAGGATAGGAATAAGCTAGACCAGACGGGAATTGGTTCGTTCACGGCAGATTGGGGCGGAAGCATTACGCGGAGGTTCGAGCCAAAAGTTATAGGATACAATCTGATGCCGGGGTTACGGAGCGAGATGGTATCCGAGGTCGAAGCACAAGCTCCTCCGTAAGTGCGATTGGTGGAGAGAAGCTTTGAGATGCAGATGCACCGCCAGTTCGGGGGTCTGCAGAAGATCCCAAAGAACTGAAAATGCGGGGGAAGGCCTTACCCGAGAAAGTCCGTGCTTTTCCCCGCAGTGCCGGACGTCTCTGGACAGGGAGGCTTTTCCCAGCTGGTGGAAACCCTAAAGCTACTAGGACGAACAAAAAAGGAGGCTGAACGGATCTCGTATTCTTGCTACGGAATCTTCCGGGGGGACACCTATCTCCTTCTCCGTTAGGGACAAGAAGATACGGGGTACGTGCGCAGGAGACGCGTGGCAATAAGTTGTAAGCATTTCCCAAGCTCAGATGGGTACTTGCTATGGAGGCAAGATTAAATTGAAGAGGTCTGTAATTGTCTATAATTATATACGTGCAATGGCTGATAGAGATTGGAGGCAGGAAAAGAGGGATAAAAGAAGAGGTGATAAAGATAATAAACAAGCTCAGTCGTAGGGTATCATATCGAAATGCCTGCTAATGCGCGACTGCGATCTTCTGGCTTCATCGCCGGGGTAGAATTTTTTGTGGCGTGGAACGCTCCAATACAATGCAAGATCAGCTCGATTACCAGTCGTCGGCGATCCCCAGGATGACCCTGCGTGCTCTTCTCCCCTCCCCCTCCCTAGCGGGTACGGTTCCGAGACACCGCAAACCAGACTGGCAAAAAGATTACCCAGTGGATCCTACAGCCCCCAATGGCGGGATCGCCGCCCACTTGATGGGCTCATTGCGAGAGCTGGACGAAGCGAGTAGTGGAGGAGACCTGAGAATGGAGGTGCCTCCATTCAATTGAGCTGAAGAGAGGGAAGAAGACGGCGAGTGAGAGGAAGAGGCCACCGACGCCAAACAAAGGTCGTAACCCAAAAAGCGAGAAAGAGGAAGAAAAAGGATCATAGAAAAAGCCACCCTCCAGATGCACCCGAGACCAGATAGGAAAATAAGAAGAAGATAGACCGTAAGATCGAAATAGGCATAAGTTTCCTCCACACACACACACACAGAGAGAGAGAGAGAGACAGAGAGAGAGAGAGAGGGAGGGAGAGGGAGAGGAAGATGGAAAGGAAGGGAGAGAGAGTTGAATAAGAGATTTCGGTGCGTCCTCGTGGGCCCGCTCACAGGAGGACACACTGAAGGCGGCTGCGATGCCGCGACCGATCAGGGCGGAAGGACTTGGGATATTCGGGTCCTGCATCGCGGTCGCGGAGACCCAGCCCGGTCGGCCTGCGGTCTTGGCCACGACCACCACTTTGCTGTTGGCGCTGTTGGCGAAGCATGCGAACGACATCGTAGAAGGCTTTCTCAACATTGATACAGTTCTTGGCGGAGGCCTCCACAAACTCACAGCCGAGCTCCTTGGCGAGAGCCTGTCCCTCTTGCGCGGAGACAGCACGTTCGACAGCCTTGTCGCTCTTATTGCCGACCAGCATCACGGGGACAGGGCGTGAGGAACCTCCGGCAGAGCCGTGGACGGGGGACCCGAGATAGCTGGGACCGGTAGGGGAGCTCGAGCTTGATGATTCCTTGACCATCTTGATCTGATTATAAAATTTGGTGATGCGCGAGAAGGAGGCGCGCGATGTGATGCTGTATACCAGGACGAAGCCCTCGCCATCTCGGATCCACTGGTCGCGTAGTGCAGTGTACTCTTCCTGGCCGGCAGTGTCTAGAACCTCGAGCATACATGATTGAGCATCAATGACGACTTGTTTCCGATAGGAATCCTCAATGGTTGGGTCATATGTTTCGACAAAGTGGTTTAAGCAGAGCTGGAGGGAGCACGCCAAGGTTAGCTACGGTTCCAGCCGAAGATTTCTTTCCATCACAAGAGGTCTACGGGAGCTGCAGGATGACAGCCTTCTTTCCCGCCTTCCCCCCTGGGAGGGGCGAGCTTTGGAACTCACCTGGATGGTCAAGGCAGTTTTTCCGACACCTCCATCACCCAGCACCACCAGCTTGTACAATGTCATTTTCCCGGACATGACGGGCAGGGGGTCGAAAGACGGATGTTTGAGGAGGGGAAGAAAGAGTTCACCAGGAAGGGGGAGGGGCCAGGCGGGGAAGGGGGAAAAGGGAAAATGGTCAAAAAAAAGGTAGGCGATTTGTGCCCACAAAAAACGAGAGCCCCCAATATGACGCAAAGAGGAAAAGAGGGGGTTCGGAAAGTGGCTGGAACTTTACTCTTAAAGTGGAGAGCAGAAGGGAGGGGGGTTCGAGGAAAGAAAAGGAAGTGCCAAAGAGCCAAAAGAGCCAAACTGTCTAAAGGGCGAACGGGAGACCCCTCTTGAAGAGTACGCAGTAGAAATACCCCCAAAACAGGAACCCGAGACGCCCAATACGGGAACCTCGCGCGCGGAAAAACAAATATAATTTTATAATTGTATATTTCTAGCTCGTTTGAAAAGGGATAGAAAATCTGATAGGTAGAGCGGAGGGCCGAATGCCGAATTTCCCCCCAATGGTAAAACAAGGGCAAGGGGGGGGAAGCGTAACCCCCAATGGCTCTGTCTCTCCAGTCTCGGGTACGAGCGAAGTGGGACCGTCATTTGGGAGTATAGAATGGATACTCCGTACTGTCTCGTCCCAATATCCTCTCCCCATGATGATCGGTACTCCTCTCTGTCAATGATCTTCTTGCGGATGGAGACGTGACAGCTTTTACGCGATCATGAGCTTCGGGATACATCCCCCATCCCTTCCCGCAGGGTTTCGTGTCTATTTCCTAGTAGAAGGATTCTGGCTAAGGACGAAGTCCTGCCCCCAATCAGATCAAGCATCGCCCTGTCGCCCTTCCGCTTTCCTCTCGATTCCTCTGCATTCTTAAGAGCTGGGATTAGCCCCAGATCGATCAGCTGCTGCAGGATCCAAAGTCCAGCCAACCCGTCCTATCCCCATCCCATCCATTTCCAAATAAACTTCCCGACCGAATGCCCAAAGCGACAAAGCAGTCAAAATCTGAAAATCCAGTGTATCGGGGATCTTCCAACGCACCAGAGAGTCCGGCCGTAGACTATGCTGCTTTAGCTATAGGTTTTCTGGGCGACATAGGAGGGGAAAAAAAAAAGGCAACATGAAATAAATCGCAAAGTAAATAGGGAACCGCGGAGATACGCCCAGAAGATCTCACGAACCCAGAATCACCTCATTCATAACCAAAAATCTTAGGCCCAGAACCAAACAGACCCAAGGAGCAGCCCCCCTTTGGCAAAATCATGACAGCTGGTGGAGACAAGGGGGCGCTTCCAAGCGAGAAAATCGGATTTTGGAGTTCTACCCTACAGAACGAACGTGTGTTCGACAAGCACGTGGAAAACTAGCTACCGGACTTGGGCCTTATTAACGGCATTACCCACTGCGCCCGGTTTCATATTCGACCTTAGCTGGTCCTTGCACGATGCCGACGTGCAGTACTCCGTATATCAACTCTAATAGACCTAGCCAGCATGGCCGTGGGTTTCGTACCGGTTCACCCGCCCCTCGATCAAGGTGTCTCAGGGGAATTCCATGTGTATGCACATCTTCATCGTCTTGGGTCCCCATCTGGGGGGCCATGCCCACCTGACCGATTCCCCTCTTCTGTCTTGCTCGCCCCTTAATCCACTTCAGCTCCCCTTCCCCGTAGGTGTTGTTGACCGACTGTGGTGAAGGAACCATGTGGAGAGACCGCTTGCCCCAATTTAGTGGCCAGGAATCGCCCCGGGCTTCAGTCGGAGCCAGAAAGCATCCACCCAGCGGTACGGCGCGTGTAGTCCCGCCTGATAGATCGACCCTAGGCTTGCCCTGCTGGATGGCTCGGTGGAGCTAAGGTCTCAAGTTGGAGACTTTGCTCCCAGGTAAGAGGACAAGGCCCCATGAGGACGGTTCTAGGACGATCGCTGCAGCTTATCCCATCGACCTTTCTCCGTGGGAAGAGGAGCCCTAATCTCTTGTGGCCGTGCGCCGATAATGGATGGGGTTTTTTATCTTCGCGCTCAACCGAGTAATGGATTCTCTCCGCCGGAACGTTGGTCCCGTGGCCCGCGACCGAAGGCTTGGGATGCACCGTCGATGTTTCTTTTGCGCAAAAAGCCCAAGAAACACCAAGAATCGAAGACCTACGCGAATTCCTTAAAGACCTTCGTTCTTGGGACTAGTTCTCGCGCCTAGAAACGCCGGATGACGATAGCGTCTCCCTTCTTTGCTTTTGGGGGAATTTTTATTTCTTTTTTTTTTTTCGCTAATGATTCGAACCGGTGCTTCCTCTTCCCACTCTAATCCCAGCCAAGTATAGTTCCTCATGTAGCCTCGCCGCTCCTAGTACGGCTCAAAGATTATGATTACAACTCCTGGAGCCTGCTACTGCGACGACTTGACCCATAACGTAGCGATGTGCAACATCACTAACAGCTTTCGCCCCTTTTTTTTGTCCAGATCATCCTCCCTGTTACGTTCGTGTACCCCAACCCCTTGGTTTCCCATCTCTCGGTTACTCGTCGAATTATCCGAAAAATTTCCGACGCGAAAAGGACGGGATAGCTATAGGCCTGGGGAAACACGGGAAACATTACCGACAGCCCCATAATTAATAACAACCCTATTTCCTGGTTATTGACTTACCACATCCATCCAACCGACAGGGGTCGGATCCTCCCGTTACCTTAGGAAGCGGCCATGAAGCGGCACCTGCTATATGGCGGGATCAGGCTGGGGGGACTGGGGTAACGAAAGAGGACCTTAAATTGGAGACGGCTCTCAAAACGGTCCGCTATGGTCTCGCCGTGGCCTGCACGGTCAACGGACCATGGATTGGGACGCCCTTTTAGTGTTACTACTCTAGCTTGTCTCTTTAGCTCCTGGCCTAATCGGGTCAAGCCCAGACCCGGGCCTGACAGGTGGACGTACGCTAAATAGCTGCTTGATCTATGATGTAGTTCTCCGGGCACCTCATGACCGGTGGCGGTTCGACCATGCACCCCTCTGAAAGACGGATATTCCCCGTCGATCGGCAGGCACAGATCCGGCGTCATGGCGCTGGGTGGACTATCTCGAAATAGGGTATTGCCTGGGCACAGTCTTGTCATTTCTCCTTTTTCTTTTTTTCTTTGGTGGTCTTGCCCGAGGGGCTAGATCCCACCTCCCCCGTCGGGCAAGAAATGTCTGTTTTTACCGATTAAACCGAGCATAAGCACTATCCAGGGATGTTGTGGATTCGGCTCGACCTCCCCTGTTGGAAACATCAACACTATTCACGACTCTTGAGATATTTGCAGGCTGTGTTGGGCCCGTCCGGCTGGGTCTTTCGAAGGATCATGCTTGCGCCTACTTGCTGCGGTTCCAAGAGGTTAATGTGGCAATGGCCTTCTTCTCGACGACATCAAGCTGTCTTTCTGAAACGAAGGTTATTTTATTAGTTCCAACGGGCAAGAATAGGCTCGGCAGGTCAATTCCATATGCTACACGTATGCAGTAGTAGTTTCAAGGGGTTAGTGCGGGCTCACTGTATGCGGAGGTTACCAGACCGCTCCGTTTGGTCGGATGGGATGGGTGGGTAATGGTAGGCTGCTACTGTCTCGATTTGATTCAGACTTGATTGCTTTTTCCTAAAATCCGGGACCGAGATACATGGTCACAGCGTGGCGTCTGACTGTGCCACATAGCTAGCTTGGTTAAGATATATCCGCGATAACCGGAATAGAGTTGCCTAGCGATAGCTTGTATCAGTTCTGTCTATTCTAGCTTGTCCCCAGAAAAGAAGCATCGATCACTGCTCTTCGAGATCCTCTAGAAAACCTTTAACTGTCCGCACAAGAATGCGTCGTGGCTCCGCCTGGTCAGGATCACTTAGCTGATGCGAAGCATTGGGAATAACCAAACTGCGCCTATCCCAGAAAGAGCTCCCATCGGCATCAATAGCCTTCGCCCACCGCTCTATCAAAGCCTGCTTATTAACCTCCGGTGGCACAGACTGATCCCTCCCAGAATACAACACCAGAAGCTTCTGCCTCAGAAGACCCCTCACGCCCACCATTCCAAACGTCTCCGCCAGCCGGCCGTCACTCAAATCCGAACTAAACAGATCATCTTCAGTCGGATGCCCGGGGCTATCTGGACTAATTAGGCTCAGAAACCGACGGCTACTAACCGGCGTCGTAGTCGAGTACCCGATACGCGCGGTTACAGACAGCGGGACGACGGTATCGACCTCGTCCTCGAAGGTGCGGCCGCGTGCCGCCGCAACAGCCCTTTCGTAGAGTTCGCGCATCTGCACCGGCGAGTCCCGATCCGTCCCGTTGGAAATCTCTTGCAGAATGCCCTCGCGATCCGACACGGGTGCCTGCATGATGGCCCCTTCAATGGGCGGCCGGGTGACGGGCGTCCAGTCGCGGTCGAGTATTGGGTGTGCAGACCGGGGGTTTGGGCAGTGCAGGTAATGGAGAACGTCTTGGCTGCCTGTGGAGGAGCCCATGAGAACTATCTTGCTGGGCCCGTAATGTGGCTCTTTGTACTCGCGGATGTACTGTACGCACCGGGCTATTTCGTCGATGTCGGCGCCCAGTCGGCCCATGCCCCAGCCATTGTAGGAGCAGCTCAGGACTAGGTTGATGAGGGTCCATTGTGTGTCTTCCAGGCCCGCGACTAAGTCACTGGTATATTCGACTGTGCCGAGTCCGTCGCTCAGCCCGCCGATGAAGATTATGCTGTGGGGTTTTTGGCGGGAGCCGCGGGTGTATTCAAATGCGGTCAATCTGGAGGTCTGGATGCGCTTTAGGTAAGAATGGCCAATTGGGTATGCCTACAGCAGTGTGATATACTTACTATGTGATGGAGGACACCTGGCTCTCCCTGAGTCAGGGAGCTGGAAGATTTTATCTGCATGGTGCTGTGGATCAAGAAGATTGTCTAGAATGGTGCGTCAGATCAGATAAGCCTGGCGTATCAGATAAGCGGGAAGCCACGTACCTACCTTGGAAGACCAAATGTATGAAGCCCAGTTCAGGGATGTAAATTTAGACCTTTGGGTGAGATGGGTTAACCCTGATGGCCGCAGACTTGTGATATCTCCGTACACCATTCCCCTGAAATACGTCGCCTGTGGTCCATCTTGATGTTTCGCTGACGAATCCGGTTTATGCTTCTCCAGCGGCGCAGTTAAGCTCAAATGTCCGAATTAATTTAATGTTCATTCTCGACATGAATGCGAGTTACTATAGATCACAAGAATCTCCAGGGCTTCCTTGCTGAATTTATGTAAGGTCTTTTGACGCCAACTCACACTAATGGCCGGAATGCTTTAAGATTCCTGCCGTTAGAAGCAGTGAATGGTATCGGGATGAGGGCTCCAGGGCTCCAGGCTTCACCACATACGATTAGTCATAGCAAGTGACACTAACTAGTTACCTAGGTACCTAGGTACCCAGGTGTGGTGTCTTACTCGCAATGAGAACTTCAAGTACCTCAGAACTTACTACAGGACATCCTGAACGACTGGTATAATGTGGGCGACCGGTTTCAAGTTTCCTACAATCATGGTCTAGCGTCCCAGATACCATTAATACTCCCTCAGATATTGCATCTCATGCTGGAATTACTTTTAAATTAGGAGGATCCAAAAACCGACGTAGACTTATATCCTAGTAATTCAGGCGACAGGTGGTATTTCAAGAATTCATGATTCTGTTGCGAGTGAGACAGACTCGAAGCAATCAGTCTTCTTCTGCCCATGGCTAATACTGGTACTAGTATTAGCACATCTACGATGCGGAGCACGTTATCATGGGGCTAGAAAAAAGGATGTGTATTCAATCCATCAACTTGTACCCTTAAGCAGAGCTTTAAAGTGGTAAAATATCAGGAACTGGACCGGCAGGAACGATTACATGCTTAAGGCCTAGCCTCTTCGCAATAGCATGAGCGTAACCAAATTTATACTGCAGACTGTCAATACTAGTAAAAGGGAATATGCTTTGAAGAACATTGAGGTCTCAACTCACCTGGTTAAAATATGTTGTCTGCTTGAATGCTCCTCTCGTCTTATCAGACTGATCGTAGTAGAGATTGCGATACCATCGGTCGATGAGCGGGTAATCATATCTGATCATCCTGAGATTGCATTTGAAGATCGTATGGTATGCCACATCAAATCGAGTGACCGTAGGATAGAGACGAATGTCCGCCTCAGTGACGCTCTCGCCAAACAGAAAAGGCTGGTGCTCTGGTTGACTCAGGTGCATCTCAACCCGATCGAGCGCTTCGAATAACGGGTGAATATTAGACTCATAAGCTTCCTGGCTAGACGAGAACCCGACCTTATACACGCCATTATTAATCTGGGAGTAAACCCAGTCGTTCATAGCGTCGATTCCTTCACGGAGATGCTCTGGATAAAATCCACCGCCCGGTTGATTCACCTCACGCAAGGCTTCCGGCAGAAACTCATCGAACTCGCTGTATAGCATGCGAATGATCTCGCTGCTCTCGTTGTTGACGATCGTCTCCTTCTTTTTTTTCCCATAGGGTAGGTACGGTGTATCGTCCCTCGTACTGAGGATCTGCCTTGAAGTAGAGGTCTCTGAGGTACTTGAAGCCATAGATAGGGTCCTTTTCAGCAGATCCCTCTCTGCCAGAGAAGAACCATCCGTTGGGTCCAAGTTCTGGGTCCAATACCGCTTTCTGGATAATGCCTTCCAGGCCCTTCATTGTTAGTACGAGGTTGGCACGGTGCGCCCAGGGACACCCGTAGTTCAGGTACAGAACATAGCGGTCCTTTTCGGCGGGGAATTCAGCCGCAGGATCTCGCGAGATCCAGGACCGGAAGGCCGAATCCTTTCGCCGAAAGTGGCCATCAGAGTCGGCGAATTTGAATGTTTCATTGATCTACCAAGTTAGAACACTGAGGGACGCAGCGTCGGGGGCATTCGTGTTGCTGCAGGCATACCTTCTCAGTCATATTCGGGTACTATGACGTTATGCGGGTTGCTAGGCGTGCAAGAGGGGTGGTGTGATGCCTCACGGTCAGATTGTCGATTTCATTTATGCGATCTTATACCGGATTGCCCCGCTCCAGAGCTCCAGATCTTCACGGCTTTAGCGGAATAGCTTATTAATTGCTCGGGTTCAACTTGGTTAAATAATTACCATCCATGGATCGCGATGTGTCGCTCGATCGCATGATCGCATCATCACCAAGCAGATGAACTACTGTCTAGGCCATTTCGTGTAAACACTCAAGGAAACTATTTCATTGAATATCAACCATCAACCCGTAGTCTCCGGGCCACTTCCAGGAGGCCTCCGTCGTTGAGCCCAACCCAGATATCGACAAATCCATCCTTCTTACTCTGCTCGATCTGCTCTGGAGTGAATGCCTCCTCTTCCTCTCGCTCAATATAGACCGTCGTATGAAACCCACATTCTTTGGCAGCCTTAAGATCGTATAGGTGGGCCGCAACCATGCCGCACTGAGATGGCTCAAGACCGACAATGCCTGCGGCGCCCTTATAAACCTTGGGATTGGGCTTATAGGCACCGAACTCTTCCGAGCTGGTAAGTCGAGTAAATGGCAATGACCCGAAGCTCGCAAGATCCTTTAGCAGAGATAAATTTCCGTTCGACAGTGTCGAGGTGATAAACTTTTTATTCAGCTGAACCAAGCCCTCAGAGCTATCTGCCCATGGATGCAGACGATGCCATGTGAACGCCAGCTCCCACAGCTCTTTATCATCGAATAAGCCGCTGATTCCCCGCTTCTTCAGAAGACCCTGAAGCGCATTGTAGTGGTGTTGGTCCACCGAGACGAACTCATCTTTCGATGGATCAAATGTAGATGTAAAAGTGCCATATGATTTGCGCCATTCAGCCGCAAACTTTTGCCAGTCTGACGAGGTCAAAGCCTCAGCACGCTGGCGCACATCTGCGGGGATAGTCTTGGTTTGATCATTGAGGGCTTTTTGCGTCGCTCTTGCGAGTTCCTCTGACACAGACGCGCGCCACTCGACGAGAGTACCAAATGTATCGAAGAATAGAGCCTTGAGAGGTTGCTCGGACATAGCGGAGATTTCAATCTACCGACGGCTTTGGGGATGGTGGAATTCTATGATACAAGATTCTCAAGTCGCCTCTGCTGGATCATGTATCATTCTTAAATCGAAGCACTCGCATCTGTGGTCGGGCCGAGGTGCGGGGCTGAGTCACCGCAAGGCGCGCTGCCTGTTCTGAACGGCAATTGGATCAGGCTAATTGTTCATCCTTCGAAGTTGATACATCTGGACGTTATTGATGCTGAGTTAGACGTGTGTGAACTGGCGAAGGGAGCTCTTGGATACAATCACTTGCTCATAATCTCGCTGCGGCGATGAGCACGGGCAAGAGGTTCCTCGCTTGCTTGATAGATCAGATAAGGAGCAGAAGGTTTCAAAGGTTACCAGAGACCTTCCTGAAAGTTAAAATATGGCTAGAAGAGAATACTGGTACTCTGATAAGTACGCAATGCTCCTACTACTGACTGAAGCTGTGCAGGGGAAGAATGCTTGCGTGTGGCAGGTCAGCATACTTCACCCTTGAACACCAACACCTGGGCTTTCCGCTCTTCTGGACTCCACAAACTCTTCGACCTCATGTACTCTACGTCTGACACTGCTATCTCCACATATGCGCCTCCGAGTCCCGAACACCGCATTAGCGCAGCTGTCAATCAAAGACGGTCACACAGGCCAACGGCCCGTGTATGCATCAACGTTCTCTGGTGGGTCGCCATGGGTCCCAGAATTGGTTGGAGACTATTTCTCTAATGGCCGTTGGCGTCGTCCTAGCAGATGGGATCTCGTGTCACGCGTAATGATTCATTCGCTAGTCTCGACCGAAACCGCACGTGAAATCAAGTCGTTGTTAATTATTTCGGGCACCGTTGATTGGTTCTCCGATCATTTTCGAATTATGCGCGTTCAACGTCCAACGCAACCGTGGCATGGGACGATTGCTTGCCCACCACCTAAACCGAAATAACTGGCGCCTGTGGAAAATCATTCGGGCGAGAAATGCCCGATTAAGTCTTTGCGGCCGAAAAAAAAAAGAAAAAGGGACGGGGAACCAGTAGTGCCGCTTTTCGAGCTTTGTGGGGACCTCGGATGGATCTGGTGGACTCTGTAACCAATGCTCCGGTTTTGCTTCCCCCTTTTCTCGACTCATGATGGGGCCTCTCCATTGGGCGAACAAAGAAAGGCGATGAAGGCGTTACATTGCCACACGGGGTCCAGCTCGGCGCCCGCGCAACAACTCATATGCAGGGTCAATACCGAAATCTGAAACACAGACCACAGGCTCTCGTTGCACGAAATTGCCTCCGGCGATCATCGTGAACCTCACGCTAGGGCGGGCTCTGGCCAACACGAGAACAGGGGAACCGTCATTCCCAAACACGCTAATCAGCTCGAGGTTATCCACTTCATCCTCCCGCAGGTCTGGGCCAATCAATCGGCCTTCTCCGGCGAGTTTTGCCTTTCGGATTGGCTCCCACGTCACCTTTATTGGCCCGGCGACTCATTACCAAGGCCATGGGTAAAAAGCCACTATTCTTGATTTAATTACCCACTGGGGAGGCTGCGCTTAATTCGAAAGAAAGAAAGAGAGAAAACACTCCCCTCGCCCAATAACAAAGGAGCCAGTCCGTCGTGTGCAGGAGTCAGAGAAGTATGGAAGCTGGGACGCGTCGGGTGTAGCCGAGCACACAGAATGGAATAGTGACCGTGAGCGACAAAGTCCTGCCCGCGATGCACGTCAACAAAAGCAATCACAATGCGGAGTACTCGTAAGGACTTGACGTGAAGCCAAAACCCTGATAAGTCTTTCGAAACGGCTCAAACTTTATTTTGCTTCTTCGGTTTAATTTCCTCGACCAGGAGGGGGAATCGAGACATAGTGTTCTTTGCCGTCCCCAGGTTTCACCATCAATCGAGAACTATAAGATGGGTTTGCCCTGATAGTCTAGGCTTCACGGAACACAGAGGCTAGGATCTTGGTCCCACCAAACTCACCAAATTCCCGATTTCTCGACTTCATAATTGTTCGCGCATAAGAATGCCTGATGGGTCTGGAGGAGCTTCGACGCAGAACAGTCTAACCTCGTTAAGCATCGCTGCAGAATCTAGCGTCTTGGTTGGCAGCTTTGTAGTGGAGCAAAGGTGTGTTCTGCCTATCGGTGGGCTTCTAGCTTTCCCCGTATGCCCCCCTAACGAACACCCCTGGACCTCTATGTCCTTCAATTTCCTATTCGCGCTTTGATTTTCATTTCCGGTTCTTGCGCCGCCCCCTCTCCTCGTGCAGCTCCTCGCGTTTGCCAATGACAAAGCTGATCTAAAATCCTTATTCTCGTAGGAAGCTCCCTCTTGTCTCGGGTCTTTGTCTCCTTTGTAAAGCGGCATCGATGTCCCGTTAGTCCGTGTGTCCACTAGGATCAGCTCCCCGTTGCGGACACGAAGTACGTCTCGAAGCCTTCGCGATCGGTCGAATTTCCAGACCCGCGCCCCAGGGGGTTCTCTTCTGACGTGTGACTTGTCAATTGGCGTCTGGTAACCTTCTAGGCCTTGATTCTTAGCATCGACATCATCTGTAAGTAGACCACCTTAGGGCCTCCGTGCATATCGGGCTGGCGCGTTCTTCCCTCGCGTTCTTCCCTCGCGTTCTGGTGCATCCCGCATCCCGCATCCCGCATCTCCGCATCGACTGACTCGCTGTCGCGCAGCTTCGTACCTCGCCCTTAACAACGGAGAACATCCTTTCTCCCACTTTCCTGCATCCAAGCCTTACCTTCGAAGCCGATTATAGACTCCGTCAATGATTGAACTACGGTAGAGACTGGATGGGAACCAGACTCATCGTGCTCATAGCACATGACAACCTATAACCTGCGGGTGATGGTTTGAAAGAGGGCTTTCCCCCTCAAATAGTAGGAGAAATGGCCTCGGAGCTGCGGTCCCCGGTCTCAGTGACCGAACCTACTCCTCCTTCGCCTACGTCACGCCGGAATCAATCGAAATCGAGATCGAGATCTCGACCAGCGCGACGTCGGAGGGAGTCGTCCCCCACACCTTCCTCCCCGCCGGGTCTTCCAACACCCGCATTCTCGCCGGAGGGCCAAAGCGAAGACGAAGAAATCGTTGAAGAAAACACACTTTTCCCACTCGACCCCCGCAGAATTACACCTACCCTCCATGCATCCTTGGTGTCTGAAATTCTCTCCCTCCGGCGAGAGGTTGAGAGTAAAACCAAGGCCATCGATACTTTAGAACAAAGTTTGGATGAAACGCGAACAGAATGTGAAACGCTCGGCTCCCGTCTCTCCCAGTCCACGCGCGAGGTACGCTCATTGAAGCATCAGCTCAAGTTGCTGGAAGGGGGAACCTCATCAGCAATGACAGAGTTGGTTCGCGAGCGGGACGATGCTGTGGAGAATATCAGTGATGTTCGGAAAAAACTCGAGTCTGCGCAGAAACGGATTCGACATCGGGAAGATGAAATAGAGCGCACCCAGCTATTCTGGGATCGTGACCGTGAAGCCTGGGAAAATGAACGGCGTAACATGGAGCGCAAGATACATGTGGTGGAAGGCCGTTTAAAGACTGTTCTGAATGAAGTCGCAGCTGCTCAAGAGGCCGGAACCCTAGCCTCCCAGCACAGCAGAGAAGAACAGGGCAAGGATAAGAATAAAGAAAGCGATACCGCCAGTCTTGCGTCTAGTAGTCGCAGCCGTCGAAGGCATAGCATGTCCAGTGTGACTACCGAAGAAGGCGAAGACGAAGAACCGCAATTGGCAAGTGCTGTCCGATTCTCGGTGATGAGTATGGTACCCGAAAAAGTGGACTCGAGTTTGAACTTAGCCCAAGAACTGGCCCTCGACGAGGACGAAGAGGAATTCGCGAGTGAGGAGGACGCACCTGTCTCTCCTGAAGCGCTCCCAGAAGAACGACCCATGTCGGTCCTTTCAAGCACTTCTCGCACAGTTGCCTCCAAGGCCCAGCGGATTCTGGGCATGACTATGTCTAATACGGGCTCACCAACCGTGGCTGAATATCCCAGCCATGTAAATCAATTCCCAGCCAATGTGGAGTATCGCGACTCAGCTGTGCAATACTCCCCGCCTCCATCCCCCGAGCTCTCTGCGAAGCCTGAGGACATACCTTTGCCCACTGACGAATCGCAAGATGCAGATCTTCCTGTGGACGAGAATAGATACGTCCCCAAGGTGAAAGATTCGGCGACTTTGACAATGGCAATCGAGACGACCTCTTCTTCGTGCCAGACTGTCGATCTCCCCGATATTCCATGGACCCCTAAGGCGCCAGATTCACCCGTTACTCCTGAGCCAGCGCCGGTTCAGATGACGTCGGCATCGACCCAGACTGACTCGCCAATGGAGCCAGCGCCAGAAGGCGCAGAGAAACCATCCTTGTCACCTAATGCCATCCCTGCGGAGGTTGATGTTCCCATGATCGCTATTCATCCTCCTGGCTCAGAACCTTCTTCGCCTCGCAACAGTGTTGTTCTCCCACCTCAAACCAAGAGCGTATCTGTTCAGACCAACTTCAGGAACTCGATTGAGGAGCGCTCTATCGCGATTCAGACCGAGGAGATCCGTATTGACCAGCGCCCTGTCAAACTCCCAGCTAGCCTACTTCCGTCCGCTATACCAGATCTACCAACTAGCGCAGAGATACAGGAGGCTAATGAGCTTCCATATCGCGCCCCTGTACCGCCCCCTCGCTCCGCCAAGAGAGAACAATTACGGAAGACTCAATCCGAGGGCCCTGTCAAGCCGCCGCGGGCATCTGGTACAGACCCTATGCAGGCATACCCTGGTAATAACGACAATGGTCCCTTGTCGGATGATGCAGGATCCGGGCTCAGACGGCCCTTCCGTTCTAGCAGTCTCTTTGCAGGCTTCGAACAGCTGAGTGATGATGAAGGACCGAGCGGGGAGGAGCGGGATATCTTCACTGATGAAGAGTTCCTCCACCGACCGTTTACCTCCTATACTCTCCGTCGCGGCAAGATGGTCAACGCCAAGTCCAGACCTAGTCAAGATGAGATGACCCTGTCTGAGATCGACGAGCAACTATCCGATGCCGAGTCGCGGCCATCGGATGCTGGCCGAGGAGCCTCTCGAGCAACCCAACGCTCGTTTGCCACAAGCTCTAGCGGCCGCCAGCCCGGAATACGGAAGATGGCCTTGATCTCGAGCGGTGCGGCAGCGCATCACAAGACTCGACCGCGCAGCCCTAGTGAGCCCAGCATTGATAGTGGCAGTGTAGGCTCTAGCATTGCTCCTCCTTTCCCCGTTCCGACCCGCCACAGCTCTCGCAAGATCCCCTTGAATGGAAGTGACGGGCCGCCCAGCCCAACACGCTCCACAGGCCGTCAATTCTCCGATCGCAGCGTTCGCAGCTCGATGATACGTCCCAGTCTACGCCGTGTGCAGTCTGAAAACACAATTTCTGAATGCGATGGCGTTGTTCGCCCAGAGACTTGCTCTACGCCGACCCGTTCTCCTACCTCCTTTACTCCAGACAGCCCTGCTTATCTAGTACCGCCCTTGCCGTTGGATGATATCACTGCTCCGCGCGAAATGCGCCAGCCCCAGCCTCACGGGCATCACCGTCCCTCTGTCCCCTCCATGAATTGGGGCTACGAAAATGAGGATTCGACCGGTGGCGTGCAGCCGACAAGTGTTGTGGACGCCATTGCGCAGACCATGGTTGGTGAATGGATGTTCAAGTACGTTCGGCGTCGGAAGTCATTCGGCATGGGCGACTCCAAAGACAATTGGGAAGGCAAAAATGCCGACGAGGTGTCTGCCAACATCACCAACAGTGGCGTGCGGCACAAGCGATGGGTTTGGCTGGCTCCTTACGAGGGCTCTATTATGTGGAGCAGCAAGCAGCCGACCAGCGGACCTGCCTTGCTCGGCAAAAGTGGCCGGAAATGTAAGAACTTGATCATCGTCGCTCGTTGATTCTCCCGATGTTGCCGCTAACGTTAATGTCTAGTCACTATCCAATCTGTGCTGGACGTTAAGGATGACTCCCCATTGCCGAAGGGCTCTGGATATCCTGAATCCATTCAACCGGTCCATCCTAGTCCTGACACCCCAGCGGGCTCTTAAGTTCACAGCGCTCACTGCCGAGCGTCACTACGTGTGGCTGACAGCCCTATCATTTCTCAGTCACTCATCGATGGCACTTTCCGATCTCGCTACAATTCCCCCCGCGCCACGAGAGGAGAATGTCTCTCGACCACCAGCGCACGCCGCCCTGCGACGCAACCCTATTCGCGATTCCATACGGGTCGCGAAAGGCCGTCCTCGCCCTGTGCCTAAGGGCAAACGCTCGTTCCCGGAGCCGGCCCCCGAGGTAGCCAGGAATGATAGCATTGACATGGCTGCCGATGCACCCACCATCCCTCGATACTCCTACCAGAACCAGCATACCCGCAAGCGTAGCAACACTGCCCCTCGTCCACCGGCTCTCCACACCCTGCGCAGCTTCTCCAGCCAAGGCACTATGCCATCGCCGAACAACAGTACGACGGTTGGCTCGGATATCTACACCTCACCCGTGGCACCTCCATCGAATCTTCCTCCCAATCTCCCCGCTGGCATCAACAGCGTCCGCAGTAGTATCAGCCGGGCATCCGACACAAGCGCCCGCCCGTCAGTGAACAGCAACGTGTTCGACATGGGAACCATGCGCATGGAAGCCTTCATCGATACCAGCGCAGGGCCGCCCACTCGACCTCCCCCACCGCCGCCGACTCACCGTGCGCCCCATGTGCGTAAGACGTCGAGCGTGTGGAGCCAAACCCGATACTCTGGGTATGCGCCATCTGTTGACAGCGAACTTTCCTTCCGACCCGACGATCCATTCCGCGGGTTCTAGGCATACTTTTGTTTTGTATCATTTTTCCCCTTCGCTATTTCCTCTTTTTCTTTCTTTTCCGTTCTCTCTTTTCCTCCTCTTTATCCATTTCCATGTACAGTTGTATATACCATTATGTCTTGTTTCACCGACCTATATCCTCTGCTCGCTTTTCCCGTCTTGCATACTTTATTTGATATCTCCCTCTCCCCTTTCTTTTGAACTTTGATTGTGCTGCGCTTGACTGAACTCAGTTGATACCATTGTGCTCGGATGAAAAGGGAAGGCGTTGAATCCAGGTCCATCGCGACTTGTTGACTGAAAAGGCTCCTGTACCTAACTAGCATTCTATTCCAATAGACCACAAGACACTTAAAACGGACTCCACCAGTTACTCTCATGCAAAGCTGCAGCCCCTGGCCGTGATCAGATGCAAGCAAATACTTTCCAGAAATCTCCGTTGAAAATCTCTCTATTGACGAAAGCTTTAGGGTATGAAATCAATTCAGCTGCGATGAACTCCCCAATCCGACAGTTTCAAGTGCCGGAAGGCCACAAGCCAAGAATCCCTTCAGCACCCTTCCGAGAAACCCCATTTACAGCTTCGCAGCATCCTTCACCTCCCCAATCTTCAGCTTGGGCGAGTACTTCTTCAGCACAGACTCGTTGTGGTACTAGGAGGAAACCCATTAGCCGAGGTCGTTTTCCAACGCTTTTGCCTCTGCGCAAGAGGGGGGGGGGAACCGCCCATCCGGGCCCCCGACGTGGTAGTGTCCGTGTGGGAACGTTCCACTCCTGGTAGAAGCTTACCTTCCAGAACTGCTTTGAGGCATCTTTGCCCGCGACACGCTTCAGGATCTTCGCGCCGCCCGGGTGCTCGTCGACGAAATTGGTGACGTCGTAGACACTGCTGTCGATGATGATGTAGAGGCCCGTGTCGGCGGTCTTGTGGGAGGCGACCTCCGCGGGAGTGAAGGATTTCGACATGGTTTCAGGGTGTTTTGCGGGGATTTTGTGGGAAGAAGGAGAAGAGTGCTGGGGGGTTGACGTTATATGGTTCCGGAATCTGGAGAAGCGGGGACCGAGGTTCATTTGCGGGCCGCGGCCTGGTCAGCGCATCGGGGGCGTGCTGATTGGTTGTGAAGGGGTCATATGATTTGTGTATGTGAAGGGTGATGATGGTCAGATTAAGCATTTCCTTATCGCTCCATGGGGAAGTGTTTTATCTGAGGCTTGTTATTTTCTACGCCGGTCGAGGGTGAGGGGACTCGATTGCTTGCATGGGCTGGTTATCCCGTGGGCCCACTATCCCGCATCGCTTTTCTCTAAACAACTTCCAGACTTCAGATGATCTTCAGGGGATGAGGCTTTTACTCATCTGGCATTCGGTGATATTCTCGCTAACTGAAAGAGAAGGGGATGCAGAATCCGCGAAACGGGTCACTTTTTATATCGTACAGAACTCTCTCTCTATGAGCTGGAGTTATCGGCGCATGACCACGCGGCCGAGCCTCCAGATGCTTTATAGCTATCAATGATGCTCACCACCGACCCGTAGGTGCCTGCGACCATGAGGAAGGTTCCAGATAAGAGGACAAACGCACACCATGCAACCATCAATCCCCACCGGGGACCACTGGTTCTCTTGTGCCAGTTATCGTACAGCCACATGCCGGCCATAGGGTGGAAGCACATCGGGGTGCCTAGCAGGGCACCCACCAACGAGACCAGGTCGCTGAAGACCGGGATTGCGCTGGCAATGATGTAGGCAACGACGGTGACGGTAAAGGTGGAGCCGAGCCAGACGGACCAGTGGGTCACGGTGTTGGCGACCAAGTGGCGAGAGCCCTGGAGGATTCGGATGAAGATGTATTTTCCGGTTATCTAGCAAAATGGGTGAGTTGAACCGAGCTGTGGGACGATCGATCAGACGACTGGAAAGAGCAACTTACGTGGACGAAAAGCAATGTACTGGCAATCAACCCAGGTAGGGCAAAGCCATAGCTGACAATCTTGATGGTCGGACCGCCGGAGCCCAGGGCGGGCGAGGACACATAAGATCCACAGAAATAATACATGACGACCCCGATGGTGATGTAGAAAGCCGTGACGACGCTTTGGCAGAGCAGCAGGGCGCGGTTATAGTGGGTTGGGTCACGCATCTCGGATGCGATGTTGAAGAAGGCCGGGGTGCCAGCGTAGGCAAAGACAATCGTGGTGACCGCCGAGATGGCGGACGAGAAGGATGCACTACTATTGACGATTTTGTAGTCGGAATGCCAGACACCCTCCTTCGGCGCGGCTGAAGGGCGGTTCTGGACGCCGACAGCAATAGTGACGATTAAGACTAGCTGCTGTTAGCCCGGATGTCTGATCAGGAAATGATGGGGGGGGGGGGTTAAAGAGCTTGAACTGACTTGCGGTGAGGATACAGATTAAACCAATCCATGCCAACCAGGAGACCTTGCCCAAGGTCCGAATGCTTCCAAAGAGGAAGGCGACGATCGCCGCGACAGCGACATACACTGCGGTGCAAGTCGCATGGGTCGAGACAGCGTTCAACCCGATAGAGATACCCAGCATGCCAGAGCCGGCAGTGAAAACCCACCCTGTTGGGAACCCGGTCAGCGTCGATTACTTGGCTGGCGTTCGGCATGTGGCGAAATTACTCACAGAGAACGAAGGCGACTCCGAGTACGATCCGTCCAATCTTCCCGGCGAGCAACTCGCCCACATCGTCGATACAGTATACCTCGCGATGACGAAGCTTGAAGACACCAATAATGTAGTCCGACCAAGTCGTGATGCCTGCAATGGTGATCAAGATGATCACGCCGGGCACAATGCCCAGAGCATCGAAGGCCACGGGGATCGAGAGAACCCCCAGACCGATTTGGGTTTTCATCATCAGGACCGCTGTGCCCTTCCATCCGACCTGTTCCACGTTAGCATCCCCGGTGACAATGTGGCGCGTTTCGATGGTGCATACATTACGGTAGTTAGGGCCATCTTCAGTGATCTCTCCAAAGACAGCATCGTGAGCGACCTCGCCGACGTCGAGGTCAGGCTGCGACGGCGCGAGGCCCTCTTCGTGTTTCTTTTCGGCGAACATGCTTGAGTATATAGGAGAGGTTTCGGAGGGGTTTAGCCCTTATAAGTCCATAGAGAATAGAGAGAGGGGAGAAGTACTCGAGATCGAACACAAGACTCAAGAATTGGACGGGGATTAAGAATAAGACCGTGGAAATGCTGGAGAGTAAAAAGAGCAAGGCCGGAAAGGGTTTCTCTTTTTAAACTCAATCCTTTCATTTCCCCAAACCGGTTAGATTGGAATTCATCCAGCTCACGAGATCGGGAGAGCAACCGCGTTGCTCGCAGAGGCGTTATCAACGGGAGGGGCGCATTTGAAACGCGGCTCCACTGGAGATAAGAAGGGCAAAGATATCGCTATCTTAGTGGATCCCTCGACTTACTCTCTCTTTCTCCGTAATCTGAGCAAGATCGTGGCTTTTCCATCGAAACTTCCTCTCATACTACACGACTTCAATCTCATCCGGGCACTAGAGTCGGACGTGGGTCAGTTTGCCCCAGACGCAAGCCTATCCCCCGCAAATTGAGCCATTGAGCCACTTGGCCAGAACCCACTTTTTAACCGTCTGGGGAAGAAACCCACGTTACCTCCGTAAATGCCTCAGCGTTGGATCCACCGTACCCCGGGCCTGGACAATTCATGACAAACAGAAAGTGATCCCTGGCGTGTTGCATTTCGTAGGGGCCTCTAAGGGGCCCCTCTAAGGGGCCCTCTAAGGGACGGGGGTCAGACCACACTGGGCAGGTATTTCCCCCCCTGAAGAACTGGTGGCTGCCAAGTTCCGCCTCCAACCGCGTTGCCCCCGTTCAGTCCGTTTCGATCTCCGCTGCAATCCCTCTGTGAGCTCATGATTCGCCACCTGGAACGGACGGGTTCCGCTCTACATGCCGTCACTGGCCTCGTGTCGGCTGCATCCCTTTTCTCCAAAACGTTACATTGCCCAGAGGGTTTCCCACTGCATTGGCCACACTGCGGGAGAGGACAGGAAAGCGATTGGAGTGTCTTCCCGCGGCATTTTTGCAGAACGAGAATCGTAAGGCCAAGGGACCGGGGTCGACAAATGTGACCTCCGGGCTAATCCGGTTTGGAGATTGTCATATACCGTAGTTCATTCAGTTCGTGACTTGAGTGATAGTCAATTGTTCCTTGTTCATCTGGTCTAGTCTGCAACTGGTGTTATACACACGATACCGTCGATCTTCCCTGATCAGCCTCAGCCCTCATGACGTGCATTTTCTGCCGCCATGCTCCTTCGTCGCGGTCAAATCACACACGGATCTTTCAGCCACATAATTAGTGTAAGCAGATAAGATAACCTTGATCGCGGTGCACCGAATCAACTATACGAGATCGATCGTGCCTCCAGTGTCTCTCCCTGGACCACGTGGCTTCCCCCGCTCCTGTCTTTCAAGACTACAAGTACGTACGGGATCTTGGGGAAGCATGCGGGTGTGGTGGATTGCAGTTTGTCGCTCAAAGGGTTCCACTGCCAACGAATCTAAATTTACATCAATGGTCGGAGTGTCATGTCTGCGTTCCCCTTTCTTCCCTCAAGTCTTGCGCTTCTCACCCGCCGAGCCAGACCCCTTCGGCATCTTGCGATCGCGATCCAGGCCCAGCGACTCCAAGTCCTTCTTCTTGTAGTAATGCGGGGCAACCTCCGTCAGCCACTCCACCTTCAACGGCATGTTACTGCGCATGTACTCTTTGCTTGTCAGCACGAGCTCGAAATAGATCACCCAGCGCGGGTTCACTTCGAACAACACGCTCGACGGGTGTAAGTAGACCGACTGCCCCGTCTTGATGGTCCGGTAGCTGTCCCCGCCCCGCTGCAGCCGCGCCGCATTCGGGAAGAAGCCGGCCGTAATGGCCTTCTGGACGGGGATGTGGTCGGTGCCGACCGAGCTGATGGCGACTTCAACCCGGTCGCACAGCTTGGCCAGTTGGTCGCGCACGTCGCGGGCGCGGGTCAGACTGCGCTGTTGCAGGAAGTTCTCTTTCGCCCAGATGGGGCTGAAGTCGGAGTCGACCCATTGGTTCCAGACGTTTAAGAGGGTGAGGTGGTCGCCGCCCTCTTTGACCGTGAAGCGGTTGCGGGCGCTGTCGGCGTGGATTTGCTTGTCCTTGGGCCGGAAGAAGAGGGCGCTGGATTCGCCTAGCATGGAGACGATGGAGAGGACTTCTTCGACGCAGCCGTATTTGTTCGCCGCCAGGATGGCCTTTGCAAGCATGGGGTCGGTGGGGAATTCGGCCATTTGCCGGCCCGTCTTGGTGAGCTCGCCGCGGTCGTTGAGGGCGCCGAGGGCGTACAGCTGTTCCAGCGCGCGGATGATGGTCTCGGCGGGGGGCGGATCCATGAAGTCGAAGTCGAGGAGATTGTCGATGCCCAGAGACTTCAGCATGAGGATGACACTGTTGAGGTTGGTGCGTTGGATCTCCGGGGTGGTGTTCTCCTCCAGCTCGTTGTAGTATGCCCATTTGGTGTACAGTCGGAAGCATTTGCCCGGCCCGACTCGCCCGGCTCGACCGGCGCGTTGGTTGGCGGAGGCTCGCGAGCAGGGGGTTACGACGAGGCTCTCCATTCCGGTCCGGGGGTTGAACACGTTCTCCTTGGCGAAGCCGGGATCGATCACGTAGACGATGCCGTCGATGGTCAGACTGGTCTCGGCGATATTGGTGGCCAGGACCACCTTGCGTGCTTTGGGGGGGGGTAGGCTCGAAGATCTTGGTCTGGAGGTCCGACGGCAGGTTCGCGTAAATGGGACAGACGATCATCTCCGGGATTTTACTGCCCAGTTTCTTGGACGTTTCGGTCAGACTTTGCTCCGCAGCTTCGATCTCTTCTTGGCCCGTCAAGAACACGAGGATATCTCCCGGGCCCTGGGAAGCATGGATTTGGAAAACCGTTGTGATAGCAGCGGCTAGATAGTTAGCTTCGGGCTGCGATGTGTAGTGGACGTCGACTGGGTATCGTCGACCGGGGATCCAGAAGATAGGAGCATCGTCGAAGTATTTCTGGAACTTTTGTGCGTCCATGGTGGCAGAGGAAATGAGCAGCTTCAGGTCCGGTCGGGCCTTTGCAATATCCTTGAGAAGACCGCAAGCAATATCAGTCGGCACGGTTCGTTCGTGGGCCTCGTCGATCATCAGGGCAGAATACTGCGCAAGGTCTGGCTCCGTGAGCAGCTCTCGCAGCAGCATGCCGTCGGTCATGTACTTCAGAATGGTCTTATCGCTGGTGTTGTCCTCGAATCGAATGGCATAGCCGACCTCGTTTCCGAGCTTCGACCCCATCTCCTCCGCCACACGAGCCGCAACACTCATGGCAGCCACTCGGCGAGGTTGAGTACAGCCAACCTTCAACCCCCCTTTGGTATAGCCGGCCTCGTGGAGGTACTGTGGGATCTGGGTTGTCTTTCCAGAACCTGTTTCACCCACGATAATCAAGACCTGATGCTGGGCCACGGCCTCGATGATCTGATCGCGAAACTGGTAGATAGGCAGACTCTTTCGGGTCTCTTCCATAGTAGCAGCCTTCTTTTCAGCAGCATCGATCTGCTCCTTGAAGCGCAGTTGTTCTGCCGTCAACTGCTTATGAGTGCTCTCGAGCTTGGCATCCATGACAAAGTTGATCGCCTGCGAGTCATCAAAGACATACTCGTAGTCTCCCTCGTCGAATTCGGGCTTCTGGATTTGCGCCTTCGCCTTCGCAGACTGCTCCAGCTCCCACTCCTCGTGCTCCGTCACGAATTTCTCCTGCCCCATTTCATCACGTTCAACATATCGCTTGTAGAGCGCTTCCTCCTTCTTCTTGCGATCGATCTTCCCCTTCTCCGTAATGTAGTCCTCGGGCATCATGTAACCGTCGCGATGGTCATCAATACGCAGCCGCTCCTCCGCAAGACGCAGAACCTCGCGGTTCCGTGCAAACTCCTCCTTCTCACGCCGCGTAAGATTAGGATTCTCGCGCAGTTCCGCAGTCTCCTCTGCAACCTGCCGCCGAAGCAGTGCCAAGCGCTCAGCCTCACGCTTCTTAAGATATTCCTGCCGCGAACGCAAACGAATGTCCGGCATAACAGCCGCCCGCGCCTCCGCATCATCCGCCAGCGCCCGCCGTCTCGCCGCCTCGCTATCGCGCGTCCGATCCTCGACGATCTTCTTCGATTTGTTCTTTTCCTTATTCGCCAACCGCTTCGCAAACTCGTCTCGCTCCCGCAGGTCCTTCTGCCGATCAATCTCCTTCTGCACCTCCGGATCGATCTCCGCAGCCGGTGACTCGTCTTCGCGGCGTGTGCGCTTCGAGGGCGATTCAGCGAATTCCTCCTCGCCCCGCTCCGCTTCGAGTCCCTCTTCCGCGTACTCCTCGTCACCCCAGCGATCCTCGAAGTCCTCGTCCTTCTTCCGCAGTTTCTTTGTGCGCGGCCGGTCCCGGCCTTCAGCATCCCGGCTGCGGTCCCGCTTGCGACTGTCGTCTTTTTCCGACCGATCCTTGGTGTCCGGATCTCGCTTGCTGCGGGGCCGGTCGTTTTCGCGGTCTTGCTGGCGGCGGCGCCTGTTGCGCTCGGCTTCGACGTTTACAGGGCCGAGGAGGCGTCGCCGGGCTCTTCGTCCATGTCTACGAGTCGGTATTTCTTGTTCGAGGTCTTGCTCACGCTGGGCTTGGCTTGCGCGAGCTGAGGCCCCTTGCCCACCCGCGAGAAGAGCTGGGTACAGAACGAAGCGATGTCATCGGGGCTGCCGTCGAGGAAAGAGCCGAGTTTGTCTTGGAGGGAGTGTGCGGATTTGGCTGCGCTTGCTTCTGCGAGAACGAAGTCAACTGCGATCGGGTCTGATGCGCCAGTGAGGCGGATGAGAGAGTCTGAAACAAAGGTCTTGTTATCCATCTTGGGCGCAAGATTTGCAATGGGGTATCTGGGGGCTGGTTGATCGAGTTCAGACGGAGGTGGGGTGAAGATCGTCCTGCGCGTCTTCGATGGTAAGTTTAAAAGATGAAGCGCATGTTGTATTTCTAAAATAACCACTGGCAGATAACAGGGCGGTCAAGGGGCAATTGGACGCGTCTCGTAAGGATGAAGTTCAGACGAAGATTTGCGGAGTTCGCGAGGTTATTGCCAAGACGTGCTAATCCACGGCTCCACCGCCGGCTCACCGCCCTCGCACTATGCGACTAGAAGGTCACTACGACTATATAGAACTATAGGGCTATAGGACTGCTGGTTCGTGGACGTACTCGTCTTTTTTGAAGCTTGGATTCCCATTCTGAAATGGCACCACTGGGACTGGCAGTGATGAATGATATCATACGCTAGAAGTATGAATCTTCACGAAGAACTTTCCTAATATATCCTGACCCCCTGGGTGACCTACTGGATGACCAAATAGAAATGAGCGAATCCAGCAAACCCCTAGGTCCAGCCAGGGCTTGACTTATACGTCAATCAAGTGCCTGTAGCGACTAGTAAATGATCAGAGGAACAAACTACAGTTACGCGGTGAACAAATTACATATCACAACGGTGTAATCATTCATCATCAGATATGGACAATAAAAACCAGACTAGGATGCCATCCAGACAACCTTGAAACGCCTTAGATATTGCCCGACTCATCCCAATGCCAAACCACTCTATGCATTCGCTGTCAATACAGCGTGGACGACCCCGTAGAACCATAGAAACAAATACGCCGGTCACGTCCAGTCGCATCGGGATGACGGTACATTTGAGGCACCTGGTAATGCTAGACATTCATACAAAAGAAAATAACACAAGAACGCCGCGGAACGAGAGGAACGCCACGCTGAAAAGAAATCCAGGGTATGAATCCCCGTCAACTCCACCATTCGTAAAAAGGGAAAAAGAAAGGAAGAAAAGAAGCAACATAGGAAAGAAAGTCGTGTACGACTACGGTCCAAAGGCGGAGGATTGTTATCTGCCTTGGCCGGGGCACAGGACAATAAGAACAAGAGGTCGTGATCAGAAGACATGGCATGACAAGATGGAGCGACAAGAAAGCACGCCTAGGCAGCACCAGGGGACTCATATGACAAAGGAAATCAAACATAAAACGCGCAGAACACCCTGCATATGCACAAGAGGGGAATTGGGGGAAATAAATTACACGTCGATCATTTCGGCGTCTTCAGCCAGGATTTCATCGGCGGGGCCCCAGTTGCCTTCAAAGACTGTAGCCCCAGCACGACGACGATGATTGACGAACTGGACTCCATAGGTAGCCAAGAGCTGGTCAGCAGTAGGTCGGTCACGAGGATCAGGAGAGATCATCCAGCGGACAATCTTGTCCAAGGCCTGGGAGTGGAGGGAATCCACCATGAAGCTGGGAGGGTCGACAAGCTCGCCACTGCGTGCAGGAGGGTGTGCTTTACGACTCTCCTGTCTGGCGTTGAAGTCGTCACCGAAGGAGTCACCAGCCAGATCGGAGGAGCAGAGAATCTCGAAAGACGGCTCGTCAGAGACTGGGTTACCAGACGCATCGCGGTAGCAGCTTGTTGCAGAGCTCCAGGTCAAACTGGGAACATCACTCATGTCCCCATTCCGGAGCTTCTGCCAAGACGCACCGTTGTCGGGAAGCTCCACGTTGCCTGCGATTTCAAAGATGATCAATCCCAGGGAGAAGATGTCGGCTGGTTTGTCGAAACGACCCATAAGGATCTCCGGGCCGATGTATTCGCGATCACCTTCCCCTTCGATACCATCCTCGGCAGGCCAGCGGGTAGCCATGCCGAAATCGCCAATCTTCAAAACGCCCTCGAAGGTCACCAAGACATTGGCAGGCTTCAGATCCAAATGGATGAAACCTTGGTCATGAATTTGCTTAAGACCCAGGGCCAACTCTAGCAGGATCTTCCAGATACGGAAATCATCAAGCCGAGCCTTGAGACCGGCCTGAGCTAAGAAGACATCCAAGCTGCCCTCCTCGCAGTACTCTGTTTGGATGTACAAGTGGCCATTGTTCTCCCAGCTATCCATGAAAGAGACGACATGGTCTGAATGCACCAAGGTCTTTAGCACATCAACTTCTCGAATGCGACGCTCCCGGTCTTTGAGTCCCAAGTATGGCTGCTTGCTCTTCTTGACTGCGTATACTTGGTGCGCCAAAGCTTGTGACTTGGGCTCTTGCGATGGGAGAGAGAAGATGGATGGCGTGGAGGTACCATGAGGCTGAGATACTTTGTAGACCTGGGAGAACTCTCCAGTTCCAACAAGCTCGACCTTCTCAAAGCGGGCCGTGATACACGGGTCGACATCAGGTGTGTGGAAGCCACTCAACTGGAGGCTTGGGCGCTTGCTGGAGACGAAGGAATCCCGTGGTCCAGTTGGGGTCGCAGGAAGGTTGCTTCCATTTTCGGCTGGAAGCGACTGCTGGTCATGTGGAACAGAAATGGACAGACCACTAGGATCAGGGGGAAAGTACTGGTCGCGAGGAGTGTGAGGAGAAGCTTGCAGGAACCGCTCACGGAGAGGAGTAGAGAAGGCAGAGCCCTTACTGTCCGACAGTCGTTCCAGGGACGGATTTTGAGCAGAAGAAGCCGGAAAGGCGCGAGAAGGAATGAAAGGCTGTTTGGTAGGAGTAGGAGGAAAGTCGGAGTCGGCTAAAGGCTGGCTGTCGTGGCGGGATGAGGGTGATTGAGACTGAAAGTCATCACCATCAACACTCACAAAGCTTCCCCGGCGCGATGGCTCGGGGCGGTTAAATGAATTGCCAAAGATGCCCATGCCTCGAGCAAAAGGGCCAGCCTTTGGACGCACAGTTGATGTGGGAGGGTTGAAAGGGGACTGAGGGAAGGTCTCAGGTTCATGGAAAGGACGCGACTTGTTGAAGGAATCATTCGTGAATATGTTCACAGGGCGCTTGCATGGAGTGTCGGGCATGTTCTTATTAAAACCAGCTGGCTCCTCTGCATTGCGATTTTTCTTTGAAATCAAACCCGTGGACATGAAAGCCGCAGGAAGTGGCTTCACAAGCTTGTAATTCTCTGGGGTAGCGAATGACTCTCCAGTTTGATTGGTTTCTTCACGGGTGGCACGTCGAATAATGCTTGGGCGTGTAGCACCAGCTGGGAGGGACTTGGAGAAGTTGAAGATTGGTCGAGGGCGCTCAGCCTTGTGTACAGGCTCATGAGTAGGCGAATCATCCAGACTAGATCCCGAGGAGGATTGGGTGATGGTACGAGAGAGGGGGTGAGCAGCAGGTCGAAGTGAAGGTTGAGCAGGAGGTATGACAGAGGCAGTGGCAGTCGTGTTGGTAGTTGTAGCAGCGGGCGAGTTGGTGTTGTTGGGAGTGGGAGAGAAGGTGGGAGTATTGGAGAAGAGAGGGCTTGATGGAGCCGGTCGAGGGGTGAAAAGGTTGTCCTCACCACTCTGGAAGAGACTGCTATCAAAGGACAAGCGAGGGCGGACTGCCAATGGGGTTCCTGGAGGCGTCTCACTCTCGCCTGCAACCTTGGGGCGGCCAAATAAGGGACGGTCACTTTGGCGCTGCTGCAAGGTGGACCGACGGAGAGAGGAGGAGCGCTTGGGAATAGTTGCGAATGGACTGAAAGGGTTGATAGGAGGAGCATTCACAGGTGAGTCTGTTGCGGTTGGACTCGTGGGTTCGCTCCCCCCTCATTGTCAAAGATATTGAAGTCTGTCATGGGAGCTTGGACACTACGGCGCTTGCAGACGGGCTCCCCCGCGATGCCTGATCGAGATTCATAATCCCGTCGCTTCGCTTGAGGGGGCTCACAGTCGCGAAAGTGCCGAAAGTGCCACTGCGCCGCTTTTCGATGCGTGACAGCGTGGATCGGGGGGCGAGGTTCTCGCCTAGAGGGGCCGTGGGACTGTTGTTACCACAGGGGCTGGTAGGCGTGGTGCTCTCAGTTGGACCCGCCAAATCATCCAGAGTTAGCGCATTCTCTTCGCCAGTGGCCATCACCGTGGGGTGAGCGGGGGTCGCGTTGCCGCCGTCTGTTGACACGGCCAAGACGCGTTTGGCGGGGCTACGCGGCGACGTGCGTCGTCGCATGGCCGGTCGCGTGATTTTCGCGCTCGGAGGATAAGGGACTGCTAGAGGAGACTGTTGGTTTGGAGACGGAAAGAGCACAAAGTTGTTTTGCGATCGCCTCGAGGGCGACAGCGGAGAGGAAACGTATGGGGTGGTGGTTTTGGAGGGAGACTGAGGGCGGGAGTGAAAGAAAAAGTTGGAGCTCTTGGACGGCGAACGCGACAACGAGCGCCGGAGTTGTCGAATGGCAGAGCTTGCATCGACGTGGTGAATGCCCGAGTGAGTTGAGAGGTGCAGAGTGCCGCCCGAGTCCCGGTGCGGCGAGAAGGTCGCAACCATAGGGAATGTTGATTGCTCTCTAGAATGAGAGCAAGATTTGGTCAAATTGCACGAAGATCTTTTGCTTTGGAGATTCGCAACCTCTGTTTTCTTTCTCTTTCCCGTTACTGTCCCAACACGCAATACTTGAAGTCGACCAGATCAGAAGAATACTTCAACGCCCCCCACAACGCTTTCTAGGTGCGATGGGAGGGACAAAAAGCACGAAGGAGTTGGAAGGGTGAGTCAGGACACCAGAAGGACCTTGTAACTCCGGCACGTACGCCTTGAGCCGCTGGAATGCTGGAGAGGCGCAGTGTAGTGGCGTGGTAACCGCTGAGAGGAAAACGACGGGAAAATGACAACAACCAAATCAGCAGGCAAAGCAGTTCAACCACTCATTGCGAGAAATTAGGTAGCCTTCCACTTTTCCCTCCAGAGTGTCAACAGCCAAAAATAACAACCGTGGATGAGTTTACGATTTAGACAAGACGCGCGGGAATGTTTCAGGTTGAGTCCACGGACATCCGTGCAGATGATGTCCTCGAGGGAAAACAGGGCCAGACGTTTGTCGATGGATTCTTTCTCCCCAGTGTCTAAGGGAAGAACGGCAAGCGTAAGGGGTAGATCCCCCTCGTTTTGGGCAGCGAAGCGATCCAGAGGCCTGGTGGGCGGGGCGCAATGGTGAGGAATGGAGGGAGATCGAGATCGGAGACAGCGAAGGGGAATTAGGAATTATTAGGGCCGAGCAATACTGGTAAGACTGCGATAGATCGGAATGTGGAAGAGGATTTGAAGATAAAAACGAAGAGGCTGAGAAAGGCAACTGTCAACGCGCCCGTCGCGTTGTTGATCCCCCCGAAGCCTAATCGGGTTTAGTGGCGGGGGAGACGCGTCGTGACATAAACAAATGGTTTCCTTTTTCTTTTTCTGTTTTCTCCTATTTACTCGTTAGAGATAAAGATAAGAGCGGTTCCAGTAACTATACTGTAGGTTCTCGAGTCAAGGTTACTAGTTACTAGCATGCCGCACACTTATCAAGCCATCTTCACTAGTAGGCATTTATCTACTCTCGACTCTAGGGGATAAGCAGTAATAAACAAACCAAGTCCATTTAGGTTCATAATCCATAAACTTCCGGCTTTCCAAGGTTCGCTCCGGGGCGAATAGGAAGAGGAATAAGCTGGATGCGAGCACTGGCCTCCTGGTCCTCCAGCCCAAAATGGGACCCAAAATGGGATCCTCAGAGGGACCCCTGCACCGACGCCACCGGATCCAATTAGTCAATCTCCCGGTGGCAAATGTCTACAAGACAGTCATTATTTACGCTGTAAACAAACACATTTGATCCAGGCCAAAGATAAGAAATCCACCAATTCGAACCGAAGCAGAAAAAATAAACAAAAAAGAAAAGAAAAGAAAAGAAAAAAGGAAGGAACCGTCTATGCCGGAAAGGCGGCCACGCGAATCTCCTTACTTTGTCCCCCATGATCTCTCAACACCGCTCATCTGATCCATCGCCTGATTCTTGCTCATATGCGCGTGGAAGGCCTAGGCCTCCATTGGGAGAGAGTGGAGAGGAGTGACTTCATTCTTCCCAAGAGGCTGAACTGGAAATCCGGACAATTCTGGCGATTCCAGCACCTGGTAGAAGATCAGAGGCGTGAGAGAACGCTAGGCAGCAATCTGAGACCTGATGACGAGTGGCGATACTGCTCTGCTTATTTGGTGGGGGGGGGCTGGAGGGGGCTGTCATCGCGGCCCCAGGGGGATCCACTGGAAAGTCCCGCGAAATCGAATACATCATTCTCCAGCTACCAATAATCCATGCACAGGAAAGGAGAATCCTTCATCAAGATGTCGAACTCTACCACGATAACAGAAATACACAGGAAATAGCTAAATCAATATGCAAATGCAATGCGCAAAATATGCAAAACCAAAATAAACAAAAAATAGAACTTCACGGGAAGGCCAGTCCCAATCAACTAATTCCCTCTAACGTACCAGAGACGGACTCAAGGGAATTCCTGAGTTAAAATCCCCATCTCCTGACACATGCCTTCGATGACCCTCTCTGCAGTGGCACTCTCCAGCCGCCCTCGCGGCGCGAAAAGGCCAAAGTCTAGCCGGTCCTTCCGAACCGCCGCCTCTATATCAATCGTAGGCTGTACCGGAATTAGCAGTCAGAACCAGCACTGCAAAATAAATAAGAAGTTCAACTCACCAAGAAAACGTCCCCGATGCCCGCTTGGGCCGGCTCATGCGCCTGCGGGACGGGCTCAAGCGCGCTCACATTACGGACCAAGTTTGAGTTGGTTCCTGTGAGATCGACAGACTGAACCGGTCTGAGCCCGGCCCCTGTCGCGCCAGGACCACCGCTTGAATCTTCGGTTGTGGGAAGCCGCAGGAAATTGACACAGGTGCTGATGCGCACACCCGTCCATTCAGCAATTTCTGTTAGAGACACACTCGCGTGCTCGACTGCGCTGATGAGGCCGATGTCATGCTGGATGCCTCGAGCCGCTGTGGTTAGCGACTCATGGTCGTCGCTGAGCTTGTTGTCCAGACGCAGCGGGACGATGTTGACTGTTGGGACGAGGGCGTCCGCATCTTCCGCGACTTGTGCTCGGTTGGCCAGGTAGAGGCCGACGACCAGAGGTTCTGACTCAGTTTCCCCCAGAATGCGGGCGTGAAGCCGAGCATAGACCGCGAGGAAGATCGATTGGATGCTGAGGCCATGCCGTTTGGCGGCTATCTCGACGCGAGACATCTTTGAAACCAGGCCTGGCCGATAGAATTGCTGGATTGGGCCAATTCTATTCGCTTGATTTGTTCCGGCTGGCTGGATTGTCAATCCGCCTAGATAAGACTCCCAGAATTGGCGCCGAGTACTCATGGGGGACGCAATGTTCTGGAGAGCCACAAGACGCGAGATGTCATTAGTGGGCTCGGCGTTGAACTCTGATCCGGACTCGATGCTGTCGTAGAGCTGAGCAAGCCTGTCCAATATCTGGGGAAGGCTGACGGCATCATAGAGCGCGTGGTGGATTTTCAAGGCAAGGCCGTCCCTTCCGGGGTTTCGCAAGCGTGTAGAGCCACTGGGACCTTTCCAAATTCCTGCTTGATGTCTACGCCCCTAATCATCTGGTCGGCGTCTTGATGCCACTGGATAAGGGGTTGCACAGCGCGCAATACAACTTGTATATATGGCAAGTGAGCCTGGTTGGTGGGAAGGAAGGCCGTTCGAAGAACAGGAGTCTGTTTGACGAGAAAAGACCATGCATCAGTTAGAATGTCTGGACTTAGCTGCTTGACCGCTTTGTAGTAAAACGTCGGATAGAAGACTTCGGGGTTTAGAGCGTTCATCGCCAGGAAGTATGACTGTCCGGCCGTGGTAGCAATGACGTTTTGGGCTTGATAGGGTTCAATCCCATATGATCGCAGCAGAGAGTCCGTCTCAATACCCTGCAAAGAGTCCTCAAGCGCCTTGGACATATCTGCCTGGGAGACCTCGGCGCGCGCGCGATTTGCCAGTACTGCCATTTTGGCAACTGTGCCGGCTTTCAGCATGTCGCTGACAGTAAGGGTGACAGATTGTTTCTTCAAGAGCGCAACGACCTTGATAGCGCTGATACTGTCAAGACCAAGCTGAAAAATCGTGTCATCCTTTTCGATCGTCTCGTCAGGAACACCCGACGCGACAGCAAGAACACTGCGAATCGCTGATTCAGTAGGAGACCACTCGCTGGGACTGTGCTTTTCGGACGGCGGGGTCGGTTCTACTCCATTTGTTCTTTCATGCGAGACTGAATATCCGCAAATATCCAAAGAATCTGCAAGGAAGTCGACCGTTTGGTGATTCGGTTCATCCATCACGGAGGTTAGGATGTGTGCCATTTGTTCCAAGAGCTCCAAAGTACCGCTTTCTCCAAGCAGACTCCCCTGACATGCAACTCGTCCTATAAGGTCCTTACCGACGACTTCAACTTCGGCGCAGACAGGGTATTCAACACCTGACACACCATCCCCAGTAGCCCTGTATAGTGGTTGACTAGGCTCATCGGCCTCGGCTGGTCGCTTCTGATATATAAACAAAGTATCAAATAGCGGACCAGATCTGGTGTCGGGTCTTGCTCGTCGGAGAGGGAAATGCTGATGCTCTGAAATCTCCAGAAGGCGGTCTTGGAGGTATTTGACCAAGTCAACACGGGTTCCATGTAAGATCGCTCGCATCGCGATAGTGTTCATAGTTGGGAACATCATGTTCTCAGAGTCAGCGACATTACGGCCTGAAAGAACAAGGCCAAATACAACATCCAACTGCCGAACACGCGTAGCTAGCAAAAGTGACCAACAGCTGACCAGCAGTGCTTGCATGGTGACACCCATTTTTTTACAGAAACCTTCAGCTTTCTCCAGGGATGTTGAGAATCGTTTCTCTGCACGGTGGACAACCTCTGAGCCCTCCTCATAGTCACCTCCGCTTGGGAAGACCGCTGGCTTACATCCCGAAAGAGCTGCTCTCCAGAACTTAAGGGAACGCTCCCCTGATGAGGAAAGGACTTGCTCCAGAATAGGATCAGAGCTGGGGCGGGTGCAGTTCTCACCGGAGTAGGACTTGAGCACATCCTCGTGGAGAAGATTGATTGACCATCCATCATACAATGCATGAGAGATTGACAATATCAGGTAGCGAGAATCTCCATCCACGACGAAAGTAAGGGAAAAGAGTGGATGAGACGAGTTGTGAGTAATAGCATCCGCCCGCTTCTCTTCGATAAAAGACTGCAGAGAGGCCCCATTTGGGACGACAATCTTAGACTCAAAGGTATTTTCGTCATGAATGACTTGCGCGTAAGAGACAGGTATTTCAGGATCCCAAACCTCAACAAAGGATGTTCGAAGAATCGGATGAGCTTTCACGGCAGATTTCCACGCAGCTTGAAGCCTAGCGAGATCAACATGACTCTCAATCTGAAGAATCTCATGATTGTAGTAATGTTTGAACGCGGAAGCATTCATCTCAGCCACCATGGCTTCTTGAATCGGAGTGGCTGGGAGAACTCGGACGGCGCCTTCGGGCAAAAGGCTTTCTTTCTCGAGGAATCTTGTCAAGGACTGTTCCATGGAACTTAGCAAGGGGGATGTACTATTGCTATAGTCCCCCTCCTCAGTATATAGCTGGCTGCTCATGGCTTTTACAGTTCGATTGCGCATGATAGTGCTGACTGGAAGCTTGATGCCTGACTTGCTAAGGCGAGACGAAAGCTTGATGGCATCGATGCTATCGAGTCCAACTTCGAAAATAGATGTTGATTCAGTGACTGAGCCGGTATCCACCCCAGCAAGCGTTGCGATCGCATCGCGTATTTTGGAAGCTAGTGCGCTCCACTGGAACTCTGTGTCAGGTTGAGAAGATGTCGAGGTATCCTTCATTTCATCATTTGCCCCTGGATCAGCATGATCTACTCCGTTGAGATATGGTAACCCCTGATCAGGATTTTGGGCAAAATCGTTCAAAATCTGTTCAAAATGCGAGAGGAGTCCTTGGGCAGATTCCATAGACATGATATCTGCCTTTGTGGCCAACACAGCTCTCATATTGTTGTCACCATTCCTCGTGATCTCAAAAGCCAACGGGTAATCATGCTCAGCGTCAGAGCTCACCCAAGTCCAAAGATTACCAAGCGATGCCTTCTTATCACTGACGTCTCTTTGGAACACAAACAGAGTTTCAAAAAGAGGTTCATCCGAGCTTTTGCCAAGCCATTTCACGATATCACGGAGTGCAGTGTGTTGGAACGGAATCGTGGATACATGGTACTCGTGGCATCGCTGAGCGACTTCCTTCCAAGAATAATTGCCGTGCAGTTGCACATTGCTTGGGATAGTGTTGAATAGAGGCCCAATAACATCTGATGCCCGTGGAACATCAATAGTCCGGCCTGAAGCAACAATCCCAACAGGAGGCACAAAGTGGAAGTGACGATGCAGTGCGAGCAACCAACAAGCATGCAAAACTGCTTGTTCTGTAACCTTGAGGGTATTCCTCAGGAAGTCGAGACTTTTAGTGGACTTGATTTGAATTTCTTTCTCGAACGGAACTCTGCGTGTCTTTTCTCTTGGTAGCGGTCGGATAGATAGATTAGCGAGATGGGATTTCCAGAATGACTCCGCGGCGGGATTTTTGCAAAGAGGACCCTTGTGCAACACATCGAGGAACTGTGGCGCTTGCGAGCCAGTATCATGCTGAAGATAAGATTGTGTAACAAGATCAAGGAGGAGCGCCAAACTGTTTCCATCGTAGAGAGCGTGGAAGATATTCAGGCACATGATAGTTGTCTCAGGGGACCTGACAACCGTAACCTGCCAAAGAGGACCTGACAGACCGCCCAGTCCAGATATCCATGCATCAGTTCCTTTTTGTGTCAAGCTTTGAACCCGTTCCGAGGAAGAAGTCTCAATCTGAGACCAAGGGAGGTCGTCGGACTTCATGATGACTTGAGCATAACCGTCTGGCGTTGGCAGGAATCGAGCCCGCAGCATCTGAACCTCGCTTTGTACGTGGGCCCATGATGACTTCAGACGCTCCAAGTCAATGGTTGATCGTAGCTCGAATTTGAATGATGAGCAGTACATTGGGGTTTCGACCGAGAGGAAATGATAAATGATACCTTCTTGGAGTGGCGTACAAGGGGCGATACCGGCAATCTCAGAATCTTCTGAGCCAAGAGTCTCTAGGAGAGAATGGAAGTGCTTGTGGGAAAAAGCTTGAATGTCTTGTTGCGCGTTTCTGTAAAGATTGTCCATAGACAGGGGGGGCATCGGTGGATTCTTGTAAAGCCAATGACATGCTCGCAACGGTCGGATCTGGTATTTATTAGATGAATTGCCATTTTTCTATTGAAGAAATGAAGTGGGGAAAATCAATTTACGTTTCATGATCAGAGAAGGCTGTGCCTGTGGGAATCCTGCCTCCCTCAAGGCTCTGGAGAACGAGATGACGGAGATAGAATCGAGGCCCAATTCATATATACTCGACCACGACGAGATATTTGATTTTGGCAGACCAGTGAAGCTTTCAAGGGCAGCAATGATTTCGTTTTCGCGCACATTTTCTGCAGTCTCTCTGACAGTCAGTAAAGCTAGCTGTTGGATATCTTCGAGGGAAAGGCCATGATAAAGGCCTTTCAAGACTTTCATATCAGCCTTGTTATTCGGTGACAAGGGGAAGCGAGTCAGCAGAATGATGTGAGTTGGCACCATGTATCCAGGAAGATGGGTTTGGCAAGCGACCTTAACAGTTGAAAGCAAGGTGCGGTTTTCACCCGAGAAAAGGATCTCGACAGGACGAGATTTCTTGTCCACGTCGACCTTGGTGAAAAAAGACACAAGTTGATCTTTAGACTGTTTTGGATGCCTGAGGACTAGGGTCGCTACCTCATTAACCTCGGAAGTTGCTTGCTTGATGACCTCGTTGATCTCCCCGATCTCAAGCCGTTGCCCTCTGAGCTTGACTTGATCGTCGATTCGACCAAGGAATTGGAAGGTTTCATCATGCAAGATTCTCACTAGATCGCCGGTACGGTAAATGCGGTCTTTGTAGTCAGGTAGCTCTTGGAAACGCTCCCTAGTAAGTTCAGCGCGGTTCAAGTACCCCTTGCCGACAAGTGGACCGGAGACGCAAAGTTCTCCTACACCACCACGTAAGACTGGCGTGGAAGTTCCAGGACGGAAAACGTACGAGCCCACGTTGAGAAACTGGGGCCCGATGTTCGAAGGCTTGTCATTAGCGCGCATCCGTGGCAGCATGGTGCATCCGATCGTGACCTCTGTTGGCCCGTATCCATTGTATATGACTCCATGTTTGCCCCAAGCGTCGAGGATTTCCTGTTTAAGTGCTTCTCCGCCAGTTATAAAAACTCCTCGGCATAAAGAGGGGACCTCGTCAGGGTGTACCAGCCTTGCGAGACTTGGAGTCAAATCGATGTGAGTAATCTGGAGTCTTTGGATCGTGCCGGGTAAGTCCTCGAAGAGGAGATCGCGAGGACATGAAGTTACACATATACCAACGCTCCAGCTCCAGTATTGCTCAAGAACACTGACATCAAAATGGAAAGAGGCGAACTGGAGCCACCGCGAGTCGTCGTCCCAGTGAGGTTCGAAGAGCCGTTGGAAAGCAAGCATGGCTTGGACAGCATTGTCATGGGTGATCTCGCAGCCCTTAGGGGTGCCTGTTGTTCCAGAAGTATACAGACAATAGCATGTGTCGTTGGGTTGAATGTTGCGAGTCAATGAAGGTTGGGAAGATGGAAAACCTTCAAATACTCCAGGCTCATCAAGTGTAAGAACGTCGACACCGGAAAGACCATCCAATTCCGTCTTTCTTGTTTGATCGCAAAGGATGATCTTCGAATTTGAATCTTCCAAGATGAATTGTTTTCGAGAGATAGGAGCAGACGGATCGATCGCGAGATATGCACATCCAGCTTTCAGGATACCAAGGATTGCGAGAGATGCCTCAGGACATTTGTCAAAACTGATGGCGACCATGCCCCCAGGAGTCACGCCTTTGCTTTGCAAGTAGTGTGCAATCCTGTTCCCATCTTCATTGAATTCACGGTAAGACCATGTCTGTTTCTGGAGCGAGTCTGAATCGATGCTGGAAACAAACTCGAAGGCTATCTTGTCTGGGATTTCCCTGGCCTTTTCTTCAACAAACTGGTGAAGAAATGATACACTTGTAGGCAGTGTTTTCTCCTTTGCTGGTGTGATGGAAAGCAAATGATTTCCCAAAAACATGTAATCATTCGAGTCGGAGTCGGGCTCGAAAACAGTGTTTTCTAGAAGCCTGCTGTATTGATTCAGAATAGTCATCGCTTGCTCCGCCGGGACAAGATCGCTCCTATGGCTGATCCTGATCTCCAGGTTGGTCGCATGTGGAATTAATTCAATCGAGACGGGATACTGCGAATGGAGGTATGATTAGCTCGAGAGGTTAGATATCAGTTTCAATCACGGGCCTTACATCAATCCTGGTTTCTTCGTCCACCACCTTCCACGTATCAATGCCCCTGGAGCTAGATGCAAACTTCTGATAAACAAACAGTGTATCAAAAAGAGGCTCATCACTTCCCAACCACCGCTGAATTTGTGCCAACGGGGCGAATTGATTCTTGGTCAAGACAGCATTGGTCTTCAAAGTTCGGCTTAAAAGTTCACGGTTCGTGCCCTCAATGCTATGTGGAGATGGTACAGTCACCAAGCAAGGGAATACTGCAGTCTGGGCTTCGGTTGATAAATTGCGACCTGAGAGAACAGTGCCAAAAGTGACTTTGTGTTCACCTGTGTAAGCGCTGAGGAGTCGAGCCCATGCTGCTTGCCCGGCTGCTTGCAACGTAACTCCGATATGTTGACAGGAAGCTTCAAGTTCCTTCAGAGGCTTCGAAAAGAGAACAGAGTTACTCAACAAAGTTCGCTCCTTGGTATGAGTCGGATGGAGATCTGGGAACTTGGATGGTTGGATTTCTGAAGTCATGCGTTGCCAGAATTGCTGGCCAGATTGGCTTTGTTTCTGGCTTTCGATCAAGATTGGCCCGAGAGTGGCATCGATGGAAGCAGGCTCGGCTAATGTCTCTCCCTTGTAGACGGCGATAGAATCCGAGAAAATCGACTCTAGAGACTGAGCATCATAGAGTGCATGGAGTGCGGAAAAAATGACTGTAGTAACGCCTGTGGAGGATTTCTTGACGGTAATTTCCCAGGGAGGTTGATGTAGGTTTTCAAGTGCCCTTCGTTCAGGATGATCCATCTCGTGGGACTCCGAGTCAAGTTGTTCATGCCATGGAAGCTCAGTCGAGGGCTGGTAAGTGATCATAGCAAATGGGTATTGCTGATCTGAAAGCTGCACAAATCCCGTTCGCAGCATCTGATGGCGAGTCGCCACTTTCATCCAGGCTTGTCTGAGTAGGGTGCTGTCCAATGGTGCAGAGGGATTTAACGACATTCGGTTGAAATATGCGTTCCCGTTTGAATGGGTGAACAGCGCGAGCATTCCGTTTTGCACGGGTGTACAGGGTCGCAGCGACTGAACATTTTCTTGAGTAATACCGAGATTGTCGCAGACAGACTGAAGATGACGCTTCTCAAAGCCTACAAAGTCAAAAGTGTCCTCATAGATCCCGTTTGCCTGGGTCTCTAGAAGCGCGGCAATCTTTTCGACAGATGCCGCCTGAATGTCGGTTAGCGGGGAAAGTTCTTAAGAATAGGGATAACACATACCTCCAGAATGTCACCGGTGGAGACTTTATAGCCTAATCCACGCAGCTTTCCTGCGAGCTGAACAGCATTGATGCTGTCAAGGCCAAGCTGAAATATAGTCGTATCCAAAGAGACAGACTCTGCGTTACACCCTGATAATCCGCAAAGGATTTCACGCAGCACTTCCTCTTGGTGAGACCAAGCAAGGGTATTCACAGGCGATGTCTTAATCGCATTTTCACGAAGTGGGATTTTCTCAAAAAGTAATGGAGAGTCAGTGCCACTTGATCCGGCTTTATAAGCCTGCGCATATGGATATTCAATTGTGTGGTCAACGAGCCTCAAGAACTTCTGTCCCAAAGATTCGACAAGTTGATGGTTCAGTTGGGAAGTCTTGTAGTGAAGGTAAATAGAAACTCTATCTTTGGTGGCATCAGGGACAACCTCGCAGACAAGGGGAAAGCCCATGTATCCCTCATCTTCGAGAAGTTCCCAATATTGCGCGTCGAGCTGCGCAGCATTTGACTGGAAGACCACCAGAGTATCAAAAAGCTGGGAATTGCTATTTAGGACGTGTCTTTGAATCCGACGCAAGGGGCTCAGTTGATGAGGCAAGATCTCGTTGTTGTGCATCTGAGATAGCTTCATGATATCTGTATTCGTGGAGGTTGGAGAGAATTTTATTCGCATTGGCAAGGTGTTAAAGCAAGGCCCCACAATAGTATCCACGCCTTCTAGTGGAATGGTTCGGCAGCTGAACACATTACCGAAGCAAATGTCGTTTGAACCAGAGGCTAAAGCTAGAAGTCTGGCCCATGCCGCGTGAAACACGTTCAGTGGCGCCGAAGAAGCATCTTTGCACTTTTTCTTCAACAGGGATAGTGACTTGGGCAACTGCAGGTGTACTTGGGATGAGGCGACTTGACTGTTTGGAGCATCTCCCGCATCAATAGACAGTCGCAATGGAGATATACCAGACAGATATCGGCTCCAAAAGTCATCCGACTCCTCAGAATCATTAGAGACCATATAGTCAATGAATCGATGAAAAGGAACAGTATCAGGGAGACTGTGACCGGACAGGGAAAGTTGGAGTTCCTGCAGCAGTTGACCTATTCCTTCACCATCGTACAAAGCGTGATGGATCGATAGTAAAAGATGACTATCGTGGGTATCCGTGTCAACGAAATGGGTCAGGGCGTATGGAAGAGTACCGTCGGTCGGGGATTTCTTCTCAAATGCCGCTTTTGTTTCCTTAATATCCATCATGACCCTCTCGGTGGAAGTCCCGACTCCGGTCCAGGGCAAAGAGACCTGGTTGAGAACAACCTGGGCGAAAACAAAGCGCTTATCATTTGTTGGCTGGAAGCAGGTTCTGAGGATCTCGTGCCTTTCAGTCATCTGATTCCAGGAACTTTTGAGTACCCTAATGTCCTTGTTCACGCGAAAGAGAAGGTGATTGTAGTAAGCCAGGCCTGCCTCGGCATCAACTGCCAACATCGCCTCTTGTAATGGAGTGCATGGATGTACGCCCTCTACGGAGGTATCATGCGTGTTGAATGCTTGTCTTATCTCTTGCAAAAAGCTCTCTTCGAATGAGAATGCTCGGCATGGCTCTTTATTGGATGAAAGAGAATGAACATTCACTTGGGCGGAAATGACGGTAGACAGTTGAGATAAGGAACTCTGTTGCAGAATTGTAGAAACTGGAACTCTTCCAAGCCCTGACTCCTGTAATTTCCGCGAGAAAGAGATTGCCGACAGTGAATCTAAGCCCAGTCTGAAGAATGAGGTGTCTCGACCGATGTGCCGGTGGTCCACCCCAGTCACCACCGATAAAGCCTTTGACATCAATACCTCCTCTTGGCTAAAGTTTTCGGAAGCGACATCAGCCTGCGGGTGGTATGAGAATAGTTCAAGCCTTTCCGGGCTCATTTTCTGAAAGTCATCCCGGATTTTGGTGTAGTCAAACTTGTAACGGGCCGTCATAGGTATCTCAGCCACCGGCAGCAGAAAGGATGGTATAGAAGCTGACGGAAGCTTCTGGGCAAGCTCTTCGAAAATGGATTGTGTGTAGTGAGCAAGGCTCTCGTCAGATACTTCATCTACTTGCAATTTTGACGATGGTACCCATACAGCAGCCAGCTGCTGTTCATCCGAGGAAGAGCTGCCCAATACAACACTTCTAGCATCCTGTACTACCTCAGATGAGATAAGAGCGCGATCAAGGTCTTCAAACACAAGGAAGTGACTATGCCTTCCAGCTTGGTCATGCCTGGGAATCAACGTTACAGTTCCATCTGGCAAAAGGCGACCATAGTCTCCACTTTTGTAGAGCCACCCAAATGCTGGGTGATCAACGAAGCGCCTAATTCCACCATCCTCGGCACGTGATAACATATTCCCCTTCGAAAGATTAGCTTCTCTGGGTGTAGAACAAAGAAACATAATTTGTAAGGAATACTTACGATCTGATCTCCGCCAAAATATAGCTCCCCAACGGCGCCGTGGAGAAGTAGGCGAACATCTTCCCCAGGAGCCGCAACGAGCACTGATGTATTCTTGAGAGGTGGTCCGATATTTTCAGTGGTTGTAGTGGTATTAACGTGAGGATGGACAGTAGATACGCCGCCAACGCCGAACGACTCGAACCCTAGGTACACACGTTAACATACTAATCATTACCAAGTGTTCGAACTTTATTACCTTGAGAGAGCCCTCGTCCGGCCCAATCTCTGTGTACCTTTGCGCTTATGGGCTCTCCAGAAACGAACAAAAACCGGACACTGGGAACATCGTCTGGAGTCAAACGTGAAGCAAGGGTTGGGGTTATATGAAGGTGTGTGATGCCCAATCTGTTGACGACCGAAGAAATATTACTTGCTAAGCGCGCATCAGGAGCCAGACATAAAGTCATGCCCACATGCCAAGTTAAAAATGGTTCAATAACAGAGGCTACATGCAATTAGTAAATGTACCTCTGCCCAATCAAAGAACCCAACTTACCTGCTGAAGGAGGAGGTGCAGATTGGAGGAGCTTCGAATCTGGGCTCATGGGATACGAGGCAGTAATTGCGTTGATGTGGCTCTGAATACTATGATGAGAAAAACAAGAATGCTTCGTAACACCGTTATCCAAAGATGCAGTTCCCGCGCAAACAATGTGGAAAGTGTCGTGAACAGTAAGAAGGTTGTCATCAGGGTAACGACTTGATGAATCTGGGGGAGATATCTTTGACACGGAGCTCAACAACTCTGAATCACTTTGTGTCAATTCATCCGCAACGAGAAATCGTGGGCTCATGGCCGCTAAAATGGCGTTGATTGTCTGGGATGGAGCATTGGCTGCCAAAGGTAGAACACCGGTACCGATCTTAGCCAGCGCCAGCATAGAAACACAGGAATCTATTGATCTATTCGGGAAAATTGCAATGAGGTCGTTCTTCGTCACACCTTTGGAAGCCAGATGATGTGCAAAATGGTTCGCTCGTGAATTTAATTGGCCATAGCTGAGCGTCTGGATTGAGTCGGCGCCGCAAATATTGCCCCCTGGAAGTAGAGCCTCCACAGCCGTTCGATCGGGGTCCACGGACGCAATGGCCTCCACTCCTGTTGCCAAGCTTGATCTGTTGACACAGGTTTCAGGCCGTGGATTTGAAACAGATAGGACTGAGGACGGAAGGAAAGAGCCAATCTCATGGATGGAGAGCATCGGTGAATCAATGAGGATCGTAGCAACGAGGTCAATCTGCTCCAAGAGAAGGTTTGCCTGTGCGGCAGGCAAAAGGGAGCTCTGGTACGTTGCTTTGGCGTGGACTTTTCCTCCCCGAGGCTCGAATTCCAGCAAGAGAGCGAGTTCCAGGAACTCACCATTGGCAACCTCCCTGAACAAAGAATTTTGCTCTTCGTCCCAGATACTCTCCTGCCATACCACGGCCGTGTCAAAAAGTTGTTGTCGAAAATCGATACCGGATGCCTTTTTGATGTCTTGGAGGGGCAAAATTCCATGTTCTAAGGACTTCCGGTTTGAATTCTGAATGGCTAAGAGAAGATCTGAGGCGGATTGCATCTTATTGAGATTCATTCGTGTGGGAAGAGTTCGGATACAGGGTCCAATGATTGACTCTATGCCTTTCACCGGGAGCGTTCGTCCTGAAAAGACAGTGCCGAAAGAGACGTCGTTAGATCCGAGATAAGTCGAGAGAACGTAGCAGAAGGCAGCTTGTAGAATTGTTTGCCGACCAACTTGGAGGCTCTGAGAGAGCTCGTTCAATTTCAAAATCGAAAGGTCGAGTTCACGAATTGCTTCTTTTGCACTGGGGGCGATGTCTGTCCTGCCATGGAAATTCGGGAAGGGCGCAGCAGATAGTCCTTGTAATGAATCACGCCAGAAAAGCGAAGAATCCTTAGCGGAATCACTGAGCTTATAGTCAATCAGAAACTTCGTTACCGCATCATACGAAGGCTTGGGAGCAATATCCTGTTTTAGTAAAACACGATAGAGATCCTTTAGGATCAACTGCCATGACCAACCATCATATAACGCATGATGGATATGAATAAGAAGTTGCACGCCTTCATTTGATTCCTTGATTTGAGCACGTAGTGGATGTAAAAGGTCATTATCATCCATAAGATCAAGCTCATAATTGAAGGTACTGCATCTCTGAATCGACTCCTCATTGAGGGACTTCCAGACAAAGCGAGCGAATGAGTGATCCTTCAGACCAATTTCGACGAAACCAGAGCAGAGCAATGGATTTCTATTCGCAACCATGATCAAGGCGCTCTTTAAAGCATCAGAGCTGATTGTTGGTTGAAATTCCACTTCGATCCAATTACAGTATGCTTTGCCGTCGCGAACAGTCTCTAGGATCATTGCTTGCTGGATATGACTGCAAGGCTCGATGTCAGCAACCTGTGAACTCAAACCAAGTGAGTCTATCCTTGCCGAGCCAGCATCGGATACTAGTTGATATATTCTGCGAAGGCCAGCTTGAGAATCCTCGGTCGGGCCCATTGCCTCTAGATCCTTGGAAGTCCGCCACAGCCCGCTAATACAGTCCGCATCTAGCACCTGTGCTACATCCAGACGGATTCCTGCATCTAGCAGATGTGAGGCAAGTCGGATAGCGGCCAATGAGTCCAATCCAGAAGAGACCAAACTTTCATCTGGCGATAACTGTCTGCCGAGGATATCGGCCACACAAGATGAGATTGTCTCTTCCAGTTCATCCCGACACTGGTTCCCTTCTCTTGATGGACTGGAAGCAGGACGGTTGGCAAAATCTGCTTCAAGGGCCTTGCGATCGATTTTGCCGGACGGAAGCTGGGGAAACCGGTCGACCAAGATGAACTCGCCGGGGATCATGAACCGCGGCAGCCACTGGCGGCATATATCACGCAGCTCGCGGTCCGTTGTTGCTTTGTCATTAACAAGGACATAAGATGCCAGGTTCCCCCCGCTCACGATAGCGACAGCACTGCGGACCTCTGGGGCTCTGCAGATGGCATGCTCTATTTCGCCTAACTCTATCCGTTGACCACGAAGCTTCACTTGACCACTGGAGATGCGACCAAAACATTCGATCTCCCCCGATGGTAGCATGCGCGCTTTGTCGCCAGTCCGGTAGAGTCGGCCATATTGCGCACTTTGGATGAACGCTTTGGCATTCTCTTCAGGTCGGTTGATGTATCCATCTGCCAACTGAGGACCACCCACAACAAGCTCGCCGATTTCACCCAGAGCAAGCGGTTTAAGTTCGTGGGGTACTGATTTGTCTTCGGGGGCCAGCGACATGATAAATGCGGAAACGGTCTGAAAAGGGCGACCGATCAAGTTCACGGCTGACGAGGAAGAGAAGTGAGTCGCTGCGGTGCAATGAATTGCAGCTTCAGTTGGCCCGTACATGCCGTGGAGGATGCCGGCAGATGTCTCCGACTCTCCAAACTCCTCGACAACATGCTTGGTGAGCATCTCACCAATTGTAAGCAGCACTTTCAGGCTGGGCGCTGCGGCTCGGGTGCGCAGCAACTCGCCAGCCACGGTGGGAGTAAGCTCGGCCGCATCAACTTGCATTTTGGTCATGACATGCGAAATATCGAGCAGCATTTGTTCACGGTCTGAGCCAATGAGAGTTGCTCCTCGCATGAAGGGGAAAAAAACCTCGAAGACGGACACATCAAATGTAGGTGAGGCGAATTGGAGGAATCGATCAAATTGAGGGATCAAGTCATTGTGTGCCAGTAATGATTGGGTCGCTGCCAAGTGGGAAATGCCAACACCCTTTGGCCGGCCGGTCGATCCAGATGTGTACATGATGTACGCTAGATTAGAGGAAGGGATATTCCTCGCTGTGGCCATTATATCTCTGTCTCCAGCCTCGAGTCCGTCTGTCTTGATTATAGTTGCGCTAGCGCCCAGCGGCATGCGCGATGCTAGGGCATTCTGTGTCACGACGACCGTGGCAGACACATCCTGGAGAATAAACTCTATCCGCTCCGTCGGGGCATCAATATTCAAGGGGCAAAAAGCAGCTCCGGCTTTGAGGATAGCAAGCCATGTAATGTACAAATCCAGCGACTGAGGCAATAATACTGGGACCACCATCTGCTGAGATTCAGTATGATGTGCGGCAGAGGCCTGGATGATTTGTCCGGCCAGAACTGATGATAATCGATCCAAAGAGTCATAGGAAAGACAATGAATATTTCCATCGGCTGCCAAGAATTCAATGGCATTGTTTGAGTGATGAAGGCCACTAAGAGCCAGCTCATGGAGAAGAGAAGGGCCGGGAAGAGTGCGAGGAGATGGATTTGAGATAGAAAGGGCCGGGAGGTCACGGATAGACACCTCTATCTGCTTGTTCGAAGCTTCGTGCTGCATGCTGCAATTGAGCTTGTCACCAAGACTATGCAACGAAGCTGCATCCATGTCTGTTTTGGAGACTAGTACACTCGTCCGAGCGGAGAGGTCTATAGTCCACGTGAGACAGGAAGAGGCCTCAACCCCCGGTATTGAGGAATTGCCAACAACGACAGCGGTATGCTTCGCGAGGTTGGGGCCTACATCCAGGCTCGCGCGATTAACGGAATGGGTCTGCAAATCTACTTCGACAGGGACTCCGTTCAGTAGAAAGGCCGGAGATTCCTCGGAGGTAATGGATTGCAAAAAGGCAGCCCATGATAGGGCGAAGAGGTCCGGCGAAGGGTCCTCGATATCCACCCATGGCAGATTCGTGCGCCGGGCGCGGTCGTCTAACCGGACAGGTAACGGTGTTAGACGATGCATACTGCTTAAACAGGTTGCAGGCAATCGAACATGGTCAAAAGCCACTTATAGAGCTGCTTTTTACGTGCAACGTGAGTGGCTGTTCGGGCCCGATAGTCGCATGCAGGCAGTAGCCGCCTTGGGACCCAGTTGCTGCTGTGCTCGCGGCAGAAAGAGGCCCGTGGACTCGTGAAGGGGGTTTGGAGGCGAGTTAAACAGCGTGAATTCCAAATGCAAGGAGAGGGGTTGGCCTGTGATTTCCAACTGCGAGGGAAACGTGGTGTGGCGAGGAAATTCCAATTTCTTTCTGAAGAAGACCGTTTCCTGTTTTGGAGCTCGAGATGATCTGACGAGGGGCGCGAATGACCGAGATGAGCGCGCAAAAAAATTAGAAAGAAAGAAAGAAGAATTGTCAAGTAAAATCGACCTGAGATGACTAGGTCTTCTAAGCTCGAAAGTATAGCGCCGAGAAATGGCTTCTATGTAACCGATCTTTCCTCTAAAAAAAAAAAACCATGAATAGAAACGGTTCTAGCGGGTGGTTTATTAGGGCCTGAGGGGGAAATACCCCGAGGCCGAGTTACGGAGCTGGTCTTTCCTAAATTTCAACGCGCGGAGTCATTGTAAAAAAAAGTGGACAGGTACTATAGGTACTTCGTTGGGTCCCTTGATGGATTTCCCGTGGTCCAGATACATCTCCATAGCGCATCGACAACCCGCGGATCTACGAACATGAGAATTACCAAAGCTGGCCGCGTTGGAATAGACGATGCAGCAAGTGACCAGTTCCCGCGGGATCAGAATGACGTACAACTGGTATGATGCGATGCCAAGCCGCGGACCTTCATTACCAGAGGATAGACGATGGTAGAGACACAAAGACCCCTAAGAGCTCGTTCCGAATGTGATTTGGGGTAACGGCTTTGCCACTAAGAAACGGTCGACAGGAGAGTTCTGATTATTCTTCTGGAATTTCTTGGCCTATAGTAAGTGCAGGTGCTGCCCAAACGTGGTTGCCTTTTTGGTTTCGCAACCCCACGTTTCAGGAAACATACACGACGGGAAGAAGGAAAACCAAGAAAAAAAATAAAGCAAGAAAAAGCAAACTAAGACGAACCGAGCGCGGGCCATTTGTTATTGCAACCCCACCTTCCTTTGCCGCAATCCGTGCCCCTCATGTATTGCATGGGTATTACTGCCTCGAAACAGCATTCTGGATATTCATGTGCACGTTGTACTTTCTGGAAGGCGTACTGAACATATCGCTGCTATCGCTTGAGAGCATCTTCGGAGGGTACGCCCTTTACGCCGTCCATGCTAAATCCATGCTAACGCCATACGCTGACGAGTCGCGACTCCCACCCGCGGCGCGTCTACCGCAGATCCCAACGAACCGCGGCAACTGCGAACTTTCCTGCAAAGCCAACTTCCTAAACCAGGACTCCCAAAATTGGGTAATGATCGCCTTCGGAGACGTGATCTCATTGCTTTCTTTCCGATTCCTGGGGCCTGCGGAGATGACCCATGTGCAGGCACTTTCTACGACGCAGGAGAGTGGAGTCGCGATCGAAGTCCACAGACATCATACGAGACCGTTGGGCCCTGTCATTTTAGTCCTGTCAGTTCTATCTGCTCCTTCAGCGCCCTGGGCTTCATAGCATCCATCGAGCTGGAGGAAGGAGAACTGCCGTAAGTGGAGACTGATTGATAAAATGAAACCTTAGAAATAAGAAATAATACGCCCAGATGATCCTGCACCTCGTATCCACTGGGTTTTTATCTGATCCGCTCCTTCTCGTCTCGGAAATACCGTATTGTGTCATTTAACGATATTTTCTTTTTTGATTTTCTTTTCTTTTCTTTTCTTTTTTCCCTTTGATTCTTGCTTTTTCTGACGTCGTGTGGATCCGTTGAATAAAAACCTAGTGTAACTGGGAATTGGATGTCGACTTCGTGCTTCTTCCCCTTCGCTTCGATCCGACGGTGGGCTGAGGAGAAATCTCCGGTGGACCTGACGCGCGATCTTTCGTGCCATAAAGGAAGCAAGTACAAAACCTGGTCATCCCTCGGTTCGTGGCTCTCTGCACCAGCATTAGCTTCATTCCTTGGTTCGGGCCTTATTTTTTCTGCTCAGGACCTTGGGGCTCACCTCCAATTGACTCAACCTCATCAGCAGTGACTTTCCCGTTCTCTTTCCCTTTTCCTGAGATCGATCTACATGATGGAGTCAATCACTCGGAAACCCGAGCTGCCCTTCCTAAACCCCGTTGAGCGCGGAGCTCAAATTCAATCTCCCAACAACCGCTCCCTCCTACACCCTTCCTCCGCCGATGACTTGCACGATCTGATCTGCGTGGGCTTCGGCCCGGCCTCGCTGGCCATCGGTATCGCCTTGCATGACGCCATGGACCCTGGCCTAAACCCAAATAGCGCCGCTGCCGGCTTCCAGCCCAAGGTATGCTTCTTGGAACGCCAGAAGCAGTTCGCCTGGCATTCGGGCATGTTGGTGCCCGGTTCGCGCATGCAGATTTCCTTCATCAAAGACCTGGCCACCCTTCGCGACCCTCGCAGCAGCTTCACTTTCCTCAATTACCTGCACAACAAGGACCGTTTAATCCATTTCACAAACCTGGGCACTTTCCTGCCGGCCCGCATCGAGTTCGAGGACTACATGCGCTGGTGCGCCAACCGTTTCGAGCATGTTGTTTCCTACGGCCAGGAAGTCAGCGAGATTGTCCCCGGCAAAACCACCAATGGCGTCGTCGAGTATTTCGTCGTTCGCTCACGCAATACCGAGACTGGCGAAATGACCTCACGAAAAGCCCGCAAGGTCGTCGTTGCCTTAGGAGGCCGGGCCAAAATGCCCCCCGGCTTCCCTCAGGATCCCCGCATCATCCACTCGTCCAAGTACTGCACCGGCCTGCCATCAGTGCTCAAGAATGAGTCCGAATCCTACCGCATCGCCGTCGTCGGCAGCGGCCAAAGTGCCGCAGAGATTTTCCACGACCTGCAACGACGATACCCCAATTCCAAGACCACCCTTATCCTGCGCGATACAGCTCTCCGCCCAAGTGACGACTCTCCTTTGTAAGTCATATTTTTTCTCCCTCTTCCACGGGCATAAAAATAAGCTTCATACTGACTTCCCCCGCCCAGTGTCAACGAAATCTTCAACCCAGAGCGCGTGGACAAATTCTTTCAACTCCCCGCTGAAGAGCGCGAAAAGCGCATCGCCATCGATAAAGCCACCAACTACTCTGTCGTCCGCCTCGAGCTGATCGAAGAAATCTACCACACCATGTACCTGCAGCGCGTCCGCAACCCGGACGAACGCCAATGGCAGCACCGTATCCTGCCCGAGCGCGCAATCGGGCGCATTGAACACCACAACCCTGCGCAGCGCATGCGTGTTCATGTCAGGTCCGTTGATGGTAAGGCCGAGGGCAAGGAGATACTAGAGGTGGACGCGCTGATGGTGGCGACGGGATACCTGCGCGATGCACATGAGCAGCTGCTGGAGCAGGTGCGTGGCCTACGGCCTGCTGGGCAGGCTGCTTGGACGCCTGGTCGGGATTACCGGGTTGCGCTAGACGGGGAGAAGGTCAGCTCTGATGCAGGGATCTGGTTGCAGGGGTGTAATGAGAAGACGCATGGTTTGAGCGATAGTTTGCTATCTATTTTGGCCGTTCGAGGCGGGGAGATTGTGAGCTCTGTTTTTGGCGAGCAGCTTTCTGGTCAGGCGCAGGGTGCTCCTTTACGCGCTATGCTGTAACAGGTTTACCCGGGTTGCAAAAGGCATTGGGGCATGGGTTTTTTAAAAAAAGAGTGCGAGATGCCTACGGGCATTTTCATTTGATTTTGCGACTGTGGTTCATTCGATTTTCTTTCTGTCTAATGGGATATGATACGAGTAATTAGACATGGCTGGTCTTTAGATTGTTGATTTAATGATCGTGTACTATATCAATTAATGAGATGATTATCATCTCTTTACATCCTCGAACGTTCCGAAGCTGCAACTTGAGAAGAATTAGGAAAATTCCACGAACAAAAGCAAAAGCTGAAGCTGATGTGGAGTGCATCATTCGAGCACACTAGCCCACATTCACCCCCACAACCCGAATTCATTTGCAATAAAAACCTCGGAAACCGCGCGAGGGCACGCAGTGGCAGGAGTGAAGGAACGAGACCCTCGGATGTCTCGGATCCTGCATATGAAAAGAGCCGTGAGAGGCTAGGCGCATGGCAAAAAGCCTCTCGTTCCTATTCAAAATTCAAGCCGGGATTCTCCCTCGTAGATATTAACCGGGCTGGTCCGGGAGAAGCTTCAGGTCCCTGAACGGAAATAGTAAATGCAGAATTACAGGATCCGATACGCCAAGGCCACAAGGGCGTACAGCTGGTTCCGAGACCTGGCGATCGTCGTAAGATATAAAGTCCCATTGGGGACACCACGCATCCGGCTCCACTGTGTGGCGCCATCAGATAACTTTCTAGCGCGCGAAGAAAAAATTTTTTATCTGATCAGACGAAATCACAAGCTATACCCCGTCCTGTCAATGTATCATGCGGGTTGGAGATTTGGGGTGGAGACTCGGTGTCGCTGGCCGTTGGGACATGGGCTCTTCATCTTTCGTCTGATATCAATTGAAGAGCCCTTGTTGATTGATTTCTTCAGCCCTACCACGCACTGCTGATCGTTGTACTTACAAGTCCCAATCCCAGCAATCCCAATCCCAATCCCAGTCCCAAGCCTCAACCCGTAACACGACGGGAGAACAAGACAGACAAGGCCCGAAACAAGCCCAAGTGGATAAGGCAATCCCTATAATCCAATCACCCCACCGCGTTCACGCAGATCTCACAACCCGCAACAAGCCCAAGCCAAAGCAGTCTGATCCGATATCGCCGAATCCACCCTTTGCGGCCTGCAGCCCGATACAGTACGATAGATACGGTAGGTATGGTAAGTACCATACGAGGAGACAGCATCTCGTTGATCACGCCCGGCATGGACCAGAATCCACGAGTCCACGGATCCACGGGTCCACGGGTCCAGGCGTGGCGCTGAAGTAATCGGGTACCATGCGAGTCCGTTCCTGCGCCATTGGGACTGCTGCAGGGACCGTTCTCCGTTCTCGAGTCTGGGAGGCTGACAGGGGTGCATGGATGGCACGGTTGCTTTGGAGTATGTAGATCCATACGAATCGTTGGCGTCGGGCTTGTTTACCTTTTGTGGGCTAGACAGGGTGGAATACTTGTGGAGAGCTGGGGGGGGCCACGCGTGGATGGCCTACGGACTTGTGCCGTCTCCTTTAGCTTGCTTGTTACCTGTCGGCGACAGGACTAAATGAGAAATCAGCTCGTGTTGTCTTGCACAACAGGGGTATTGAGAGAACTAGATAGGGTTTCCACGTTTGGTACCGATTTTCTCTATTGCCAAAGTTGGTTTTCGGTGATAAATATCCTGCGCAGCGAGGTCCATCGATCTGAATTATCCGATATTTGATGTTTATCCACGTATCTGGGCGCTCCCCCATCCACCTGAATTTCACATAGATTTTTTGGCCTGGGAGACCGAGGAAGATGGTTGGCGTGTGGGCGATTCAGTCAAGCAGGGGATCTTCTGAGTATTCAAGCTTAGCTGCTTTGCGTTTCATCCTCTGCATTTCTGCAGTATACAGGCTCACGGTGGTATCAAGTATACAAGTGGGCAGTAGGGCTCGAGACTGAAGGTTTGAGACGAGGCTACTGGCACCGCGGCACCTTCCTGGCCGCAGCTCACAGCAGGAACGGGCAGCTTTCGAGAAGGTGTGTGGAACAATGCAGGGATCATCTTGCATCACCGCGGGGATCAGCCGGGCTGCCAGAGTAGAGCTACCAGGAGGCCGACCCTGATTATCCTTGCTGTACCATCAGCGTCTGTGTTCGCGCTTCGAAAAGGAGATGTTCGGTGAAGGAGAGACCTATCAGCAGGGCTTTTTGTAGTATCTCCACGCCTGTGCTTATCCCCTGCTTCTTTATGGCCCTTCATACCGCCGTCTTGACATAGCAGTAGCGACCAGTTTCGCCACGCGGTGTGCATATCAGAGGCTTCGGGACTACACCTTGGAGTAGCTTGATAAAGCGACTTGATGATCGAAGTTGTGACATATAGTATTGAGGCGTCTAATATGGTAAAAACCAACTGCTCCACGTATTGGTGCACTCATGTCTTTAAGCTTGCGCATACCAAAATATCATGTTTTTCGCGGCTTCGCTGTCTGGTGAAGGGTTTGTCCAATAGAGTCATGATATCAATGTTCACGAGCGTCTTTCGGAGACTGGGAGTTTCCTTCCCTAGATTCTACAGCGTGCTCAACACCTATTTTGAAAAAATGACACCAGATTTCATTTCAATCGACCGGACGACCGGTCCTGTTTACAAATTCCTCCTTTTGGATCCTATAATAGTATTTACACCCAGTTCTAGAAAGTGACACCAAGATCTAGGAAAATCCACCAGGATCGACTTTCGTGACTTTTCCGCCAGATACTAGCAGAAAAAATCTGCTGGTTCTGTATATTCTCTTCTTACAACTACTCGACCTTGTCGTTTGCTGTAGAGTTAAAGCCCCGGTCATAGAACGTGACACCCATCTCTAGCAAAATCCACCAGGATTAACTTCCACGATTTTTCCACCAGATGTTGCTTTCACTTGAAGAGACCATGCATTAACCAAGGGTCAAATAGAAGATCTTTTGCAGAGGCTCTTTCTTCTGGAAGCCAACATAACATTCGTCGAAGAAAACGTAAAAAGTCTTCCTTTTCATCGCCTTCGAGCCTTTCTTCTAGCGTGTGAATAGTATAATCCGGAATTGGAACGGCATGCTTCCAATTACCTGTAGCAGAAGTCAACAATCGGTCATTCTGTTGATTATATCCACGTCAATAGGAAAAGTGGCCTGCACAAACCATTCACATCCCAGAACAAGGTGCTCTTTTCGCTGCGAGCGAGGAACTCAACTGGAGGACTCCCTAGAACCGCTTGCATCTCAGCGAGATGATATCCATCATCCAATTTGCGTGCGGAATTCCGCGCCTTGAAAAGGTGGCGATGCTCAAACAGGTCCCAGATCTTACGATGGTTAGCTTTATAATGGGTTCAGGTGGCATTGAGATTACGTGGGAATATATCTTACCACCATCCCAACATTCCAGATATCCACTTTGCTGTCCCAACTCATGTCCAGGATGACCTCTGGTGCCCGATAGATATCTGGCATGATGTCACCCTGTTGCTGGTCGGTCCCTAATCGAGCCTCGCCTAAATCACAGAGAACGGGCGTCCCATAAGAGATACCAAGTGGTCGTGCGAGGTAAATGGTACGATCTTGGAGGACTTTTCGCGGTACAGGTGCCTCAAATTCTGCCTGTTCGAATTGGGATAGAATCGAGTCGTCTTTGATGCCAAGAAGGATATTGTTTGGCTGGAGATCTATGTCATTGGTTACTACTTCCAGCGCTTTAGTTACGGAGTGGAATAAGATTGTAACTTACCAGTATGTATGACCCTTGCCTCCGTGTGGAGGAAATCTAAAGCAGCAAGGATATTCCGCATGGTAGTTCTTATCATGCCGCTGCTCATGACCCTATCGGGGAGTAACGGAGTAAGCTGATCAAGGCTGATCCCAAGTGGCGGATGCACCAGACATGTGTGAATACTACGCCCATCTGGGTTCTGGGCCTGAAAGACGTCAAGCAACGGTCGCAGACACGACTGACCCGCATGGCTGGATTTGATTGTTCTTAGGTGGTTGTAGATCTCGAGCTCTCGAGTCACTGTTTTTGACGCCGTATAAATTTTCAACGCTGCATAACGGTGGCCGCTGGCCAGTTAGCTTGGGTCTATGAACCGAAATTGGTTGCCCTTACAACATGTCACGGCAGAGCCACACTGTCGCGCTGGAGCCATAGCCCAACTTGCCCACTACTTGATATTGGTGATTGAAGACCTCACCGATGTGCACTGGATAAAAATTCTCGGGTTTGTAGTTTGGAATTGACTCCTCTTCGATTTTTGTAGAAGCATCGATAATATCCCACCCTGAACAAGGGAAGACGCGCGGCTCCCAGGGAGAGCGAAGATCAGCCATAGCACGACTGCTTGAACTTATCCGCGAAGAGGTGGGGTTTAGAAGAGACAACGGGTTTGGGGTAGAAAATACAGTAAGACGGTTTAATAGTCGCCTTTTCACCATTTTGCGTTGCTCAACGAGAGTGGGTTTGGACCTAGATGGAGTTACTGATGGGCCGACGAATGCATGCGGCGGTTCGCAGAAGGGCAAGGGGGTAGTCGGAGATATGGATTAGCCCCAGGGTGGTTTAGAAAAAAAAAATACAGATTTCCCGATTTTAAGTACGCCAAACCTATTACGGCGGAGATTTAACCCCTGGCAAGATCACACATTAGCGGAGTGATGACCATAAATTTTTGAATCAACACGCGACTTCGATTGGTTGAACCGCTTCTATTGGGTTAGTGAATCACCAATAGATCCGTTTCAAGATGGTAGCTAGACGAATCCATCGTCTTGGATGAAAAGGAAGTCTACTTATCGGTTAAGAGTTTCATTATTGTCTACATTCCACTGTACAAGGATTGAAATGCGAGGATAAGAGCAAGGGAGAATATAAGAAACAACGAAACAAAATAAAACGTGCCGCAAAATAGAAAATGCCTAGAAAATGCCGCGCAAATGCAACACCATCACTGCAGTCATAAATAAGCCTCCGTGGAAGGCCACGGAGAAGCGGTCATCAATGCATCCCTCTACGCCGAGACAAGAAGAGGTTCTGTTACTAGTAAGCATAAATGAGAAACAATATAAGAAAGGGCATAGCACTGAGATTGATTAATTCAAGCTCTCGGGATCCTCTGCCGCCACGCTGCGATAGGTTGGTCCTTCGCTAGAGCGACTGCCAGTGTGCAGGCGTGCTGGTAATTCGTACATGTCGTAATAGCTCACCACTTCGCCCCCCAGCATGGCGTAGCCAGAATCGCGCTTGGAGAAGATCGGAGCCGGGTCACACCAGAAATCGCGGCAGTTGGTGGCAACCCCGCGAGAGAAAGGGTTGCGGGGCTGTCTTGAGTGTGCGCCATCGCGGAGACCGTCCCTTGCGGTGATGAAAAAGGAGTCGATGCCCAGGATGGCAGACCACTGCGAAAGGCACCCATTGCGACCATTGCGTCGACGGTGGTGGTGATGTTGGTGTGCACCAGGCAGGGCCGGGTTGGGGCCTTGACCTGCAGCGGAGAGGCCAGCTCCTTCCATCGACGTAGTGCCTGCGGTCATGGCGGAGGCAAAAGCCCGGGCGCTGGGGGTCGCCATATCGGCCGAGTGGCCCCTCAGGTTCTCATACGTTGTCTGGTTGCGTGAAACCTGAATCAGCTGGACAGCGCATAGCATTGTGACCCAAACCAAGTGAACCGTAGTCCAAATGGTCAAGACAAGGGTGAATGTATCCCGAGAAACGTAATCACAAAGGGTATCGTTGAGAAAGGTGCATTTGGCATCCTTGGCCGAGGGATGGCACTAATGTCTATGAACGTCTTAGCATTTCACCTTTTACTTGAGGCCGCCGCAACTCACATTTGATGCTCAGCTGGACAAACAGGATAATGCCCACTTCCAAGCAGACGATGTAGAGGACAAAATGGCGGAGGTTATTGGCGCCAACGCAGTTAAAAATCCAGGGGCAATGACTAGAGTATACGTTTAGTACCATGAAAGGGTCTTCCGATATAGAAAGCACGTACTGGTCATGTTTGGCGACGCAGCGGTTGCATTGCCTGCAGTGCTTGCTGCGAAGTGGCTTCCTTGATAAGCAGGGAACACAGAAGTTGACTTCATCAAACTTCCATTGCTCGACCAGCTGCTTGACCTCTTCTCTCTGGCTGTTCTGGCTGCTGGTTCTGGGAACGTAGCCCGGGTCTTCGAGCATGGCCATAGCGTAGAAGAAAGTGGTCAGCGAATAGAAGACACTGAAAAAAATGCTCAAGATTGGAGCAACGGAGAATGTGACTAGTATTTCGTTAGCTATCGTAGCTTCCGGGAGCGGGAGAGCCTCAATTTTTACCTGGTAGGACTTGGAGCGCAAAGCGCACTCCGACCCAAAATAGACTGCCTGCAAAAATACCCGCGAGGTAGGGCTGCTCCAACATCAGTACCATATCCACAACATTTGGATCTCTGAACTTACAGTCTGATGAAGGTTGCGGAACTCCATGGGCCGTTATTCGCGACCTGCTGCGCACCAGTCTGCATTCCGAAGACCGTCGCTGCTGCCACAGGCACCCCGATATAGATAGCCAAATTACTCAGCATCCACAACGCAATGAAAACCGTTATAAAGGGCCAGAAAAAGAAAAATTTGGCCATCAAGCTTTTGTTCTTAATAAGATAGGCCATCCCCATGGGCGCGGGTTTTTGAGAGCCATCCGATTCGAAGCCGCGCTCGTCCAGGGCACGATTCCAAACACGCAACGAGTTCATTTCCTGGGCCACCGTGAAGGGCGACTTTCCGTCCCGGGTCTTCGCGAAGCGGTCGGCACCATATTCGAGTAGTTTGCGCACGCATGGCAGCGATCCTTTTACCAGAGCCCAGTGAAGGGGGGTCAATCCAGCTTGATCCACTGCATTCGCATTGGCTCCCCAGCGGAGGAATAAATCCACACAAACTGGGTACCCTTTATACGCCGCCCACATCAATCCAGTGTGGCCTAGCGGGTCTGTCTCGTCCACGGGAAGTTCTTGTTGAAGAAGCAGCAGCAGGAGGAATGCATTGCCATCGACGGTCGCGAGGTGAAACATGTTGAAGCCTTGGACGTCGGTGAGCAGCGGATCGGCGCCATATTGAAGGAGCAGGTCGACGATATAGTAAAGTGATCGCTGTGTCGCCCACATGGCTGGAGTCGCTACGGATTCTCCGCCCTTCGCGTTGACGTCGGCGCCAGAGTCGAGAAGGAACTTGCACATCGCATATTGGTTATTAAGAGCCGCCCACTGTCAAAATAAAAAAAGCATGGTTAGTTCAGAGCACATTGTTTACACTATTGACCACACCCGAGCGCGAAACTGCCGGTGGGCGCAGAAGGGGGTGAGAGAGACGCACATGAAGTGGGGTAATGCCTTCCTCATCACGGTAGTTTGCAGACAACTTCTTGGTGTTGAATAGGTTCTGCATAGCACCGATCTCCCCAATGCGAGCTAACTGCATGATGTCTTCTCCGATCGGGATTGAGGGCGGCGCATTGGGCCGCATCGTCTTGAGCTCGACACCGCCATTCGGGGAGGACTCTTTGGGCTTGTTGCTGGGGCTTGAGTTCTGGCCCGAGGGACTACTGCCCTGGATATTTGATGGAGAAAATTCGGAGGCCATGGCGGAGGTGATCGCGCGCCGAGAGGGAGTCCGGGGTGCCACTCAAATAGAGGTGGCTGCCAGGGATGATGGAGCTGGAGGTGCGATGGGCTTAACGGTTCATTACGGTATCACCACCCACAGGTCCACTTGTAGTCGTCCTGGCCCAAATCAACGAAGAGAAAAGGGGGAGTTCACTTTGAGAGGCGGAAATGCGGAGTGAAATAGCGGAAGGGCGGACTTTTTTTTTTTTTGGCTGCGGGTTGACGGACGCTAAGTGACCAATGTGCTGCGCGCCTGTATGCGTGAAGACACTCGAAATTCGCAGTTCCTTAGAAAGTGTGGAATTTGGAGAAGGGTGTGAAGTAGGAATGAAAGTAGTACAATGCTGCCAGTAAAAGCTCGAAAACTCAAAGCGCTTCCCAAATCCTACGCAGTATTTTGGCGCTTGCAGGTACATAAACGCATTACTCAGCCACAGTAGGCAGCCACTTTCCCCAGTGTGTCGTCGATTAGCTTTGCTTTTTCTTATTGTTTCTCACGCGAGTTATGTACTATATACAGCAGTAATTACTTGGTAGTCCGAATATCTCCATACAGCAGAATGAAAGGTGTTTATGAATTGCTCAAGTCTGCAGGTTGGCTTAGGAGTTTCACCTCTTCCATCAACATTTGGGCATCCACCCGGAGCTCGAAGTCAGCCAAAAAGCAAAATGTGATCTCTAATTTAGAGAGTTCCTGTTCGCTCACACCTCCCACTTTGGCGACGCGACTATGTGAATAGCTTGAATCCTCGAGTGCCTTGGTGGCAACATACAGCCCTGCGAGGACGAGCCGGTGCATATTCTTGGGCGTGACCCGTAGAAGCTTCTCTTCCAGAACCATGCGGGATATATAGACACTGGCTGCAAGAAATACGGCAGTGGACATAGGGCAATATTTGTGCAAGCGCTGGATATAGTCCTTCAAAGCGATCGGCGGCACCTTTTTGGAGAGAAATTTGCGGGATAGTATCGCGAGCTGGAAAGCTTCTTCTCGCGCCTGTTCAGGTGAGCTTGCTGGCCCACCACTACGGATTCCAACCGTCGGCAGAGGCGTATCTCCTCCCGCTGGTGTTCGCATCCCTGACGGGGTGGCACTCAAAGAGTTTGGATTTGTAGGCGCATCTGCACCCAGGGCGTTGAGGCGGTCCATATTGCTGGAAAGGATATCCAGGGCCATGTCCGCGGACATTTCGAACACTGCTGCGGTGCTATTGAGTAGCGCATCACATGCACTTGACTGTGCATGATTGTTCAACCCGCCAGGCTTTAAGGATTGTGGGGATTTGATGCCTGTAGAGGCATCTTGGATTTGTGTCAACGCAACAGCCATGCTGATCGGGGATGGATACTCCCGGTCAGAAAGTTTGCGACGCAGTTGCCGCTGGGGAACGAGAACACCTTTGTGCACAGGTGGACGGGTACGCCTCGGCTAAATATTTCATTTTATGGCCCAGAGCAATGCAGCGATAACTTCGATGCGTGACAATATGGGATAAGAACAATGCAATGGCGCGTAAGAGGCACGACGTTCGACTGGGAAAGAAAAGGCGAAAGGCTCCGGAGGTCGGCACAGGAGGTGGCTTATTCGATGGAACGTATGAGTCCTTAGTGCCTGACCTGTCAAAGTATGCCCGAAAAAGCCACCAGCGACAAAGTCAGCACTCACCTGACAGCCGGGCGATACGCGGAAGCACGGGTCTGGGTTTCGAGAGGTTCCTAAGTGCTGCAAGGCTCAGTGGGGAGTTGGGGGTGACTTGGGAATCTCGAGATTCCGAGGGGTTGAAAGATAAGCAGCTCCGCGTGGCTTACTCGATCCGGCGTGTTCTCCCCACTGCAATTCAGGCAAATTCCAAAACGCTTCGCTGCAGAATTCACCAGATTCAAGTCGCCTTCAAATGGCTGGAAATAGTTCCGGCGAATCATACAGTGGGTACAAAAAGCCTACAGTAGGCTTCACGCGAAGTGGAGATTCCTGCACACTAAATTCCTGTCCGGGACTCTTTTAGCCTCTCATAATAGCGGGTTGCAAATCTCCCGCTCCGCGAGTGTCACTCTCCCTCAGTTTCGAGGATATAACAAGGGCTAAGATCCTTGAGTGAACATGCGATAGAAAGCCGAATCTCCGTCTATTATAGACAGATGCTGGGCTGTCTTCACAAGTTTGTATGGTATGGCTTGGTGGCGGCTTTCCAGATAATGAACGGTTTGTAAAGTACATCACATCTTATTACTTATTTCGAGTCCATGCGAGACCGCCCCCGCTGCTTTGGTGATCGTCACCGATGCTCGTACTGGGAAACTTCTGATCTACGGCAAGCCTTCTGGTTCTTCATTTTTACCTTTAGAAGTCCACCCGAGGCCTGGAATTTGTCCTGAAGCAGAAAAGCCCAACGTGCGGGGTCACTTAACCGTGCTCGACTACCTATTCTTAACTCTGTAGAGTGAATGTGAGATCATGTTGTTCGGTATGAACATACCCGTACATGACCTTGCTAGATAAAGAACAGGTGTTAGGCCTGTTGCACGAAGGCCATGGACCACGCTACTGCGGCCCTGGAATTGATTTCCGCGAGCTTTGACCTATGCGAATAGCCTCGGCCGTCGGGTTGTACGAACCCCACATCAAGCAGTCCAAAAGGGCAGATTTTCTCGATCGCATGACCCCTGTCGATCTTCTCCCAAATGTATAGTTACAACATCCACCCAAATGGAGTGCTAGCCTTGCTACCAATGGCCGGTTTCTTCCAATGTGGCCTGATCCCGGTGTCCTATTTCCATGTCTCCAGAATCGGCCGAAATTCCCATTTCCTCTCCCTAAAGATCCAATTAAGTCTTAGACCGACTTCCGAAAATCGATAATGGCGTTGAAGGTGGGCAGAGGGGGCTTCTGCCAACTGAACGCCTTTTCCTTTTCTTTACCGGGACACCCTCCCGCTCTTCCTACTCTGCTATTTTCTATCTTCTTGTCGGTGTTCTTATAGTTACTTCTTTACCCGAATATACCCACTCATCTGAACCTCTGTAGATACGACCGCTATCCGGTCATGGCTTGGGGCCGAGAGACAGTGCGCAAGAACTACGTCGTTGAATTCAGTAGCCTTCAAGTGGTAAGCAGTACGTATGGAAGCTTGTGTGAGATCAGTATATTGGCGACGGCACTAAGAAGAAACCCTAACGCATGATAATGGCCGTAACGAACAGTATGTCGAGGAAAAAGCATCTCCACCACGCACCGGCAGTTCAAATTTCAGGGCAAACCTACCAGTATCATACCGTCCAAGCCTAGTATAAACCCGAAACTCCTAAACAAGCAAACATGAATGTGTATCGTGATAACATGTCTCATCCTAAAACGCCCAGTGACATGACCTCCCATACCCTCATTTAATCCGGTATATCGAACCGCACCCTCGGCCTCGAAACAGCAGGCCGAGTCTGCCTCAAGACCCGCTCCATAGATTCCGATAACCCACTCCGTCCCCTCTGAATAACCTGAGGCCGTGGCTCACTTGATCCCCTCGGGGCACGAGTGACGACAGAAGGGCTCCCAAGCCGAGTAGCCCGTTCTCGCTCAAACACGGTCTCGTCCTCTGAGAATGAATCCTGACGAGGCGGAGACCTTCGAAAGACACCTGGTGCTCCTCGTGGTCGAACTTCCTCCACGACCGAACCAACCGAGTCCCTGCGTGGGCGACAATGAATAACGCGAGGGCTTCCACTGTATGACCGCGAACGAGGTGTTCGGCCCAGTCGGACGGTCCTTGTTCGACCGCGTGGCGGGTCGTCGAGGAGCATATTTGATGCAGAGGGGCTCCGAGTCACGACCTTGGTTCTGCCGATGAGCTCGGAGAAGCCTTCGCTGCTATCATCGCTAGCAGAGGATGGGGGCCGGGCTCTCTTCCGCGGAAAGATTTGGGGAATCCTATTTGTGCCGTCGGGGGATATCCATCGCCCTGAGCGAGAAGGGACTCTCTCGCCAACCGGTGTTCTGCTCCGGGGTTGACGAGTAACCACTGGTTCCGGAGGCTGTGGATATAGTTCACGAATGCCGTCTGGAGGAGAGTAGTCGCGGCCCCGTTCTTTAAGAGGCACTGCGAGGAGGGAGCCACGCCTTGGGATGGACGATAACGGGTTAGTACTTCTCACCCTTGTCGGAAAGGGATTAATGCGTCGTTTCCGTGGAGGGGGGATTTCTGGGTTCGTCTAATAGATAGGAAGCTGTATGTCTTAGAGCTCGGGGTCTAACCGTCTCCATTCTCCTGCCAGCCGGCTCTCTGGCTCGTGCAATGTCTAGGTAGTTCTCGCGGAATAGATAGTTGAACCAGCTTCTGGGACGCTCTCTGGGACGCTCTCTGGGACGCTCAGGCTGTCGAGCGAAGCGTGGGCGGCGGAAGAAGAACCGCTTGGATTCCCCCGGGTATTCTCTCATATAAACCTCGGCGTATGGCATGCTAGACAGAGCAGCCGCCTTTCGGAGAGCATAGGAACGACTAGAAGGCCTGTTTGTGAAGTGAAATATGCAACGCCAGTAATATATCCCCTGGCGAAGAGGCAAGGTTCGAGGAGGTTCGAGGGATGAACAAAGGCATAATCAAAGACAACGGTAGATCTGGGGTGTTTCAAGTGCATTCAACAGAGGATGTCTGGAGCATCAGGAGCTATTAACAGGTGAGTGTCAATGAGCAAAGAACGGGCAGGTGGTGATTGTCATCGGCTCCAAGCAGGTGATCCTTTGTCGCGAGACAGATATAGACCGTTTAATTTAGATCCGACCCGGGGACTTTAGATGCTGTCGCACCTGAGACGCACTTGCAGGCTTGCATGGAAATAGTGCAGGAAAGTGGGTTTATACGATCCATTGTTCATGCGAGGGGAAACTACTTGGGTTACTAGGATAGTTCAAAGGCAGCAGTTGAGGCAGACACCCTTCTAGTATGGGGTGTGGCTGATACCGTCATCCGGCGGCGCAGGGGCTTGAGTCAGCTGAGGAACCCCAGGTGACGTCGTGAAGCCTGTGAGCCTTGACTATAACAAAATGGAGGTGCGGCCTTTTCGAAGGAAAAAGAAGCATCGAAAGGCAAAGGCATGTTTGAGTGTAGACAGCCTTGCTCAAGGAGAAACAGGTTTGGTGGAACATCGTGCAGCGGTCGGGTCCGGGCCGCAGATCTGTTCGGCTCTCCGTGTCCGCGGTGTCTCCAGTATGCATGAGATGCAGGAATAGGCACCGACTGCCATAGGTACAGTCTGATTCGTTTGGACTTGCTCGAAATCTCAGGGGTTGGTGGCGAAGCCAAAATGCCCCCGCCATGATCGGAGGGGGCGGCCCGACGTGCAGCGAAGAAAAGGCCTGGTGCCTTCTCATCGAATCAAACCGGCGCTAAGACTATACGGTGGACCACTTGAGAAAGCGTAATCCAGCAAAAAAAATCAATCTACTACAAAAACTAGCCCCCATCTCATGATTCATGTCACTATTCGGACTAGACAGCGCCCTGTAACTATTGCCACCGCTCCAAAAACTTGTCCTGGGCTTTGTCTCTTTGGTGTATCACGTCCAAATTTAGCGCCTGGAGACCTTTCTGCAGCGAGGCAAGTTCCGCCTCCAAACGCGCCAACTCGTCCTGTTGACCAGGATCTTGCAGCGAAGTCTCATACTGCGAATCGGCATGCAAGGATGACGAGAGTAGTTGGGATGCGTTATCCGATGCTGCGAGATGCGCAAACAGGGGCGATTCTGCCGCAACCTCCATATGCTGCAGGGTCCCGCTCATCTGACTTCTCTTCTCGTGTAGCTGCGGTGCACCGCCATCCTCTGCTCGGGGACGAAGCACCGACTCGGGTGACACCCCGATCCGACGTAGTAGGTTCTCTAGTGCCGGTTGCTCGGGTAGGAGAGAAGGCGTCCGTGTGGAGGTTAGAAGAAGCCCGGGTTGCACAGAGCGTCTGCGCAGTGATTCCCGTCGGGACGATGGCTGTGATACTAGAGGCAGGGTAGTTTCCGCGTGGTATAGATTACCCAGTCTCTCTAAGACTTCACAGGAAGACTCCCGCTCTGCTAGCTGTGCGGTCAGAGATTCTTTGGTCAGTGTCATGTCGATCAAGATGTCAAGTATCTAGTAGCATGTGAGTTGTCATGGTATCGAGTCATGCACAGAAAGATCACGCACCCGTTCCAGCTTCTGCTGCGAATCTGCCCGAAGCTGGCTGTGTCCATGGTGGATCCCGCGTAAGATGGGCTCATAGAACTGTTGCTTCGTGGATATTTCGGCGAGAATCTCGATTTCGGGTACAGCGACTCAAGCTCCTCTTCCAAGGCGATGATGGCGTCATCTTCAATCGGTTGGTCGCCGTCCTGTCCGCCATTTTGAAGCGCCTCCAGATACAACCGGTCCAAGCGATATCGGATTTCCTCGGCTGTACAGTTTGCAAGGATCGTGCTCAAATGTGCGGCTCGCTTGACGGTCGAAGCGTCGTTCCCATCAAACTTGATCTTCGAGAGAGTGTTCTCCACGCTCGCGAGAGTCGCATCATCTTGCTTCAAGTATGTGGATAGGCCCGACAGAATCCGCTTATTCTCCACCCCAAATTTTTCCGTCTCATATTTGAAGGCCAGTTCGAGTTGATCCGAAAGTTCGTTCGCCTGTGCATAATCAGCCCATATCCTTTGCAGTCCCCTCGTCGGTGGTTCTGTACCGAGCTTCTCGTGTTTTGTCTTCCGGATTCGTGCTTCTTTCGCAGCCTCGCGATGTCGCGTGTGCGATCCTGATCCAAGCTCTCCTGGCGACGCATTTGCTTCCGCAGAGAATCGCATTGCTGAGATAGGGTCGCGGATTGTTTTTGTATCGCCGCGGTCGATGCCTCGAGGGCCTTAATCGCGCTCTGAATGTCTTCCTCTAAGAAGGGTCGTGTTGCAGCAAGGCTCGGTTCACGAAGGATGGGTTGCAGAGCACCGGAGTTTTCGAGCTTAGTGTACCTATCAATAATTAGCCTAGTAAGATGGGCCCTGGCATATCCTCGTATACACACAGAGTAAGTTCCTCCTTGGAGAGAAGGGTCTCCGGACGGAGATGCTTGGACACCCATTCCAAATTCTCCAGGCCTTCAGGGGATTCGTCTAAAGCAGACTGTATTGTCTCTCGTTTAGCATGGATGTCTCTCTCTTTGAGTATCGAGACGACGGAGTCGACAGCGCTTGAGGGTTCCATTCCGTTTCACCGTCGCGGGGGAATGGGAATGCAGCGAGGCGGAGTGCGGGAGCTGTCCCCGCTTGTGCAGCGAGGTAGGTCGCGTTCGGCTAGTTTGAGCAGAACCCCAGGCAATTTTCAAGGTAGTAAGATATTGAATGCCAATTGGGTTAAGGCTGTCAACTGCAACCTTGATCGTATTCAGGGGTTATTTGGTGACTCCAATGTTGCGGTGTATCGACTGTCACGTGTGTAAACAGATTTCCCAAAGGAGTGCATATACAGTACAATTTTCCTAAGGCTGCCCGGAAGAGAAAGCAAATATCGCACGTGCGCTTACAGTTATGAGTTAATTTTTGACTCTTGCTTCTCGAGAGAGCCCCGGGTCATATAATATTATCGACGCTAAACAATGCTAGCCAATAGCGCTAAATCACATTTCAGGTCTGGGGGTGTCAAGCGGAATTGGTTGAGGCAAGCTTGACAGATGGGTAATACCAGGTAGTCACAGCGATGATGATATAGACGAGCACACAAAGGAACCCTTCGAGCCAGTTGGATTTTCCATCTCTCAGGAAGTTTCCAACCACCAGGATAGACAGGACTAGGAGAACAACCATGAAGATCTCGAAGTTCAGAGTCATGGGCGAGCCCTCTCCACCCGTACCCTGACCCTGGCCCCAGCCAACAATGACAGCCAGAGGTGCGTTCAAAAGAGCCGTTTGGATGGAGGGGGCCAGGCAGTGAAACAGTGCAAAGTTGATCTGGTTATCCCAGGCTTCGTCCACGGCTGTCAGATGCTCGGCGGCCTTTTCAACAAGCGGGACCAAGATGAGACCCATAAAGTTATCTGAAACCCCCAGTTCGACGATATATTCAATCTCCTGCACCAAGAAGACCGCACACATACAGACGAACGTCAGTGAAATCGCAAGAGCGATCACCGCTTCCAAAAAGGTCAACTTCGTTCTGGAGGCTTCTTTCTTGTGATCTTTGCTGTTATGCTCGTCTATCTCCAGAATGTCGTCGAATATAGAGTTGTGGCTGAGTAAGTTGAAGGTGATGAAGCTATCGAACGTCACTGTTAGTATCTTTGTAAAGGAGGCACGGTCCGAGAATCTAAACTTACGCTAAGAAAGCAACCAGAAGAATAACGGAAGTTGCTTGGCTAATTTTGGTTGTCGCATCCTTCAGCTCTGCAATTGTGAACCTGGCTGTCGTCGACCCCTTGAGCGCCGTGAAGAAGGCTGTTGGAATTAAAAGACCGAACCCAGCCACCAGCAGCAGACCAGACCCAACTTCGCCGATCGCTTCATGGAAGGCTTGCTCTGTTCGTTTCAGACCACCCACAAAGAAGCACATCCCAAGACAAAGAAGCAAATTCGCCAGAATGGATCCGAGAATGGCGGCTTGAATGACCGGAATTAAATCCAGATTCGGATTATTCTTATTGTTGTGAAGCAGTACCATGAACAAGACGAGTTCGACTCCGCAACTTATCGTGGTTTCTAGTAAGACACCAAAGGTCTTCGGCAGCTTTTTCGCCAGCTCTGATCCAGAAAAGCCGAGCACATTTGCGGCGGGTACCATAGCGATGTAGTTGAGAATGAAAACCACCACATGGAGGTCGGGGCGGGCGAAATGCATAACAATAGCCGGAAGGACGACAGGCCATAGAATGTTGACGATCATAGAGGAAGTACAGACACTCTTGAATGTCACGCGGAAAAAATGAAGCGGATGGAACCCGGTCCGGCCACTCTCTCCCGCAGAGTTCACCCGCAATATACCAAGCACATAGCGATTTGGATGTTCGTCGTCCAGCATTGGTAAACCCGAATGGTTTCTCTCGCCCTGTTCTTCCATCTCGAGGCTCTCTTGCGGCACATCCGCCCACGACTGCCGTGAACGGTCTGCGCTAAGGGAGGTCATGTTTATTGTACTCCCAATCGCTAGGGACTGAAGATAGATGTAGCTCAGTCTATGTAGCTCAGTCTCGAGGAAGAATGAAGGGCCAGGAGGAAGGCCGAATCGTGCGAAGACCAAAGAGAGGGAAAGACTCAGCTGGGCAGGGAAAAAAAAAGCATGTATATGTGTACCGTCAACACGAAGCTGCGCTGGCAAAAATTAGCCCCACCAATCAAGCCGGAGCTAGAATGCAGGATGGGGGCTGAACGAGGCATAGGGGGGTTCTTGGCTTCTTGGCGCTCAAGTTTATCCTATGCAAGTTGGGCAAATCCTACACCATTTACGGCTCTTTGTGGTGGGGGGGCTGTAGCCAGCCACAATCTTGCAGGCTAAGGGACGCAGGCCGTGTCTCAGCCGTTGAGCATGAAGGGGATCCTGCCCATTTCCATATTGCACTGGGCTTCAGGGGGTGAAGGTGAAGATTTTCGGATCGCACAGCCACAGGCTTGGCTAATAATAAAAGGGGATCGTGGAGCCCGCGGGTCGTAAAGTGACAAGTCGCTTATTTGGGACAAGGATCGCTCGCCCCAAAGTCTAGATCGGATTTGGCGAGGGCGGAGAAAGAATCCCTAGATTAGACCGCATGGACTGATCGGCTGATGCATCTAATCGGGGATCACATTAGGGAACTACATAGTTCACGCTCCCTCATTTAGACCACGTGCATTAGGGACTTCGATAGTTGTTTTGGAGACTCCGTTGCTGCCCATCGGGGCTCCGGGGAAATTTGCTAATTCATCCACAGAAGACGAGTCCTGAAGAAAGCCTAGGCCGCTGTAAACAAACATTCAAGCGCACCAAAAGGAATACTCAATTATTAGCAGCCAAATGCCATACAATCTCACTCATCAGTACTCATTATTGAGCGGTTGTTCTGCTGCTTAGAGGGCAATTGACGAATGAACAATGAAACTTGAGAACAGATTTCCGGCTCTGTGGAGGAGTCAAAAGGGGAAGTTGAATCTGGTTGATTTTCCTGGATGCTGGTGTCGTTTTCTGCCACTGGGGAAACAATATCTTAGCACTTCGCCTGGAAAGACCTTGTTCACTGAAAGAGCCGTCGGGCGCTGGCCTCTTCGGCTGGAGCCAAATTGGATGATGGTGTGCTGATACCTTTGGCAGCGGGTGTTGGAATAGGAGAAATTACGCAGTGACTGTAGCAGATGGCTACAGTCATGATCAGAGGGACAGTTAAAGTTTTAAAATGTTTCCAGAAGATCGACGCAACATACGATTCGCACTCTGATAAGGGAGGTCGAATGTAGAGCAGCAGTACTCGGGAAGGGTCCATGTACTGTATCTACCCGTATAGACATAGACACACGGAGAGGTATCAAATGGCAAGGAGCAGCTGGATTCATTGGGGAGAATTGAGGGCTGGTGGGATGGGGACCTACTGGGCCTGGCCAGCTACTCCTCCACTGGTCTCTGGCGGTCAATTCCATTTCCCCGTCTGATTTAGACACCAGAGCTTGCTTCTGTATACAAACCTATCCAGCACAACATCAGGCTATCCTCGAGTTGTCTTTGCAATCAGAAGCCCTTAACATCTCTCAAGGATGTAGTCTACCTTGTGGACAGAAGACCTTATTTGGGTCCACTCAGCGGTTACCATCGGGACGGGCGTACGACCGTTACGTATCCGGGAAAAAAATTGATAAGAGAAAGTCGTGATGGCGACATTTTCTCTGTTAAAACCTCCTACCCGCCCATAGTTTCCTCCTCAACACAACTATGGCCTCCACCACCCAGCCTGGTATCCCGCCAGTGGCGCTGGACACTATCACCCAGCACATTGGAAATACACCCCTCGTACGACTGAACAGACTGCCCCGCAGTCTCGGAATCGATGCCACCGTCTACGCCAAATTGGAATATTTCAATGCCGGTGGCAGTGTGAAGGATCGCATTGCCCTGCGCATGATCGAGGAGGCAGAACGCTCCGGTCGCATTAAGCCAGGCGACACTTTGATTGAGCCTACCAGTGGTAACACGTTCGTACTACCCCACCGATGACCCTGGAGCCATTGACTAACCCGCGAGCCTCCAGAGGCATCGGATTGGCCCTGGTTGGAGCTGTCAAGGGTGAGTAGACTCTACTTCTCCAATCAAAAGAAACTGTGCTAATTGGCGAAATCTGTAGGATATAAAACCATCATCACCCTCCCCGAAAAGATGTCTGCGGAGAAGGTGTCGGTGCTGCGTGCCTTGAATGCGACAATTATCCGAACGCCCAATGAAGCTGCCTATGACTCTCCCGAATCCCACATTGGAGTGGCGAAGCGCCTTCAGAAAGAATTGCCCAACGCGCACATTCTCGACCAATACGGAAACGAAAACAACCCCCTGGCCCACGAGCTCGGAACTGCTCAGGAGATTTGGACCCAGACCAACGGCACGGTGAAGGCTATCGTGGCCGGTGCAGGAACTGGTGGTACCATCACTGGTATTGCTCGTGGTTTGAAGAAGCACAATCCCGAGGTGGAGGTCATCGCCGCCGATCCATATGGCTCCATCTTGGCCTTGCCACCCACTCTGAACGAGTCCCGTGTGAACGAGCCATACAAGGTTGAGGGTATTGGTTATGATTTCATCCCCGATGTTCTAGATCAGAAGATTGTCGACCGTTGGTACAAGACCGAGGATAAGGAGTCGTTTCAGTACTCGCGACGTCTGATCGCCGAAGAAGGCCTTTTGGTTGGTGGCAGCAGTGGAAGCGCTATCGCTGCTCTGGTTAAAGCCAACGAAGAGAAGAAGTTTGCCAAGGACGATGTGGTAGTTGTCGTGCTCCCAGATAGCATCCGAAGTTATCTCACCAAGGTATGAGACAGCACAATCATTAACCTCCCTTCTATATGCTAACAATAATCTAGTTCGCCGACGATGATTGGCTGGCTGCCAACGGCCTTCTCCCAGATGTCCCCAATGATAGCTCCGTTGAAGCTGTCCCCACCCGCCGCCTTTCTGTTTCAAATGACCCGTTGGCCAGCGCCAAGGTTAAGGACCTGCGTCTCAAGCCCATCACTGCTGTGACTTCCACCTACGCCTGTGAAGTTGCCATCGAAATCATGCGCGACAAGGGCTTCGATCAGCTTCCTGTCCTTGCTCCCTCCGGGCGCAAGCTGGTTGGTCTCCTTACTCTGGGCCATGTTCTCAGCCGTCTGACTCACGGACGGGCTACCGGCCAGACCCCTGTTTCAGAGGTGATGTTCGACTTTTCCAAGATCCCAGAGGTGGTTACCGACCCTCGCGACATGGGCGTAACCCCACAGTCCAACGGGCATAAGAGCCGCCCATTCATCGAGATCACCATGGAAACCTCTCTCAGCGTGCTGAACCGCTTCTTCGAGTGGAACAGTGCTGCTGTTGTCACTGAGAAGGACGAGAGTGGTGCCCTGAAGCCTTTGGCGGTCGCGACTAAGGTTGACCTGCTTAGCTGGATGCTGCACCATGGAAAAATAAACGGTGCTAAATGATGAGTTATGTCTCCCATGCTTGCATATCTAGAGTATTCTCTAGATGGAGTTTCAACCTCCCTCGTGTTTGGATGGTTATTTGATTTCCCGGTTTTGGCGTTCCTTATGGATCGAGATTCTTACCCCTTGGGTTCAACACTTGGAATCTAGATAGAAAGAACAGTGCCTTCTTGCGCTGCCTCAATAATGAATGAATACATATTCACGATGACTATGTAGCTACTATATTATGTACTGGTGTCGCAAGGAGGATTGTAGTTTGCCCGGTGGCGATGACGTATCCAACTGCTGGCAACTTTGAAAACCCCCCCATCGACTTACCTCACGAGCTCCCGAGGTCGGTCCCTTCAAGCTTATAACACAGGTTGCCGCCTATAGAGAACCTTGCAGATTTATCTAGCATGACTGGAATTTTTACGAGCCGAAACTTTGCTCTAGAAGATACTCCGAGCCTGCATGGCCAGATTGCAGTGATAACAGTGCGTCTCCTGACTCTTACAACATTCCCTGAATACTAAAACCCGGCAACATAGGGAGGCCAGTCAGGGATTGGCCAGGGTTAGTCCAGCTCCGATAGCTTCCTCAATAGAAATGTCTGTACTGACGACTCCTCCAGAGATTACCGCGCAGCTCCTCCATCATGGCATCGAAAAAGTAATTGTCGTCGCCAGAAGCAAGGATAAGTTCCTTGTTGCGCAGGAGACCTGGGGCCAAAGACTTGGTCAATCATTCGAAGATGATTCACGGCTTGAATTCGTCGCCTGTGACTTAGGTGATATCAACGACGTGCGCGCAGCAACCGATACAATCAAAAGGCAGACCGACAAAATCCACATCCTGTTTTGCAATGCCGGACTCGGCGTCCCATATGAATACAAACACTCACCTCAAGGCATCGATCATGTGTTCGCGACTAATTGCGTTGGCCACCAGGCTCTCGTCACTCTGCTCCTTCCAGAGCTCAAGCGTGCGGTGTCCACGTCGCCGAATGGAGCACGGGTAGTGGTGACAAGCTCCAGTTTACATCTGTGCTGCCGAAATCTCGATTTCGGTCTCCTCAAGTCTCATGCGCGAGTCAAGACTCCGGCTCTGTATGATGGGATCTGGCGGTATGGAAGATCTAAGCTTGGGAACATTCTGTTTGCGAAAGAGCTTAGTCGGCGGCTCTTGGAGGACTCCGATCCTGCGAGTCGCCAGATCTATGTGAATGCCTACTTCCCAGGGAATATTGTGACGGATCAGTGGCAGGCCTGGAACTTATATTTTGGCCGTGCAATTGGCTCATTAATGCGCTTTGTGGCTTCATTTTTGGGGCAGAGCGTGGAGGACGGTGCTGCAACGGCACTTTTTCTGGCCGCGAGTGAGGAAGTATCGCGTACAAACTCGAGGGGACGGTACTTTGTGCCCATTGCTACTTTACAGGATCCTAGTGAGATTGCCAAAGATGAAGACTTGGGGGCTAATCTATGGGTACACTCCCCATAGACAAAATTAAGATTTGCGCTAACTTTATCTAGGAATGGATCGATGAGCAGATTACTGCTACCTTGGGAATCGGCTGGAAGAATGGCGAGTGATTACGAGTTACATTTAATGCCCAGGTGTGTTTGGCGATGCTTAGGCAGACTGCTGTGCTCTTTTCAAATGTTGAGTAGAGATAATGCTTGATTGGGATGATATGTGGTATCGAACTTTTTATACAGGTTCAAGATCCTGCAGTCCCTTAATGCCAGGGGTAACAGGTATATTACATCCAAATATGTGCAATTGATATCACCCGATTCGGGAATATATCAGCAAAGTTTTCGCGAACACTCCAAGGCAGCTTTGAGGAAACGCAAATTACAGGCACATGCCCACCCATTCTTCCCAGCGACGAACGCCAGATCCAAACTCCTCCGCTGGGTCGTCCTTGACGGCACCGCCAACAACGTCAACCTTAATACCTGCTTCAACTTGGAGCAAGTTGAAGCTGAAGGTGCCTTGGGCATCATCGTTGCCAAGGACGTCTTCGTCGTTATCTAGGCCAGGGTCGGCACTAGCATCCAGCAGGCCCTTGGTCTTAGACTTCCGAATGCGATCAATCTCAGCTTCCAGCTTCTCCTTGACTGATCCTGGGGGAAGAGCCGTGAAAAGATCCTGCTTGTTCGCGGCCACAAGAACGGGGATCTCGCTGAGTCTCTTGGAGGACGACTTGTTCAACTCACGCTTCTGGAGAACCAGAAGAACATCGTGCAGATATGACGCGGTGTCGCGCAACACGGCTTCGTCAACGAGAGCCGCGGTATCAACCATGAAAATCACGCCCCGGAGTTTGTGGGCAGCGTCCTTTGCCACAGACATGGACTGCAGCTGGGCAATGCCCTGGGTAGTGCGGAGCTTGCCATGGCCTGGGGTATCCTTAACACGGTATCGAATAGGGTTACGCTGAGCCTCTTTCAAGGAAGGGTCGTTAACAGACCGGTAGCGATTAGATGCAGTTGGTACGGTAGGGGGCAAGCTGACGGAGACCAAAGTAGAGGTCTGAGAGGTATGGGTCGTGTGTGTCTTCTTCGACAAAGGCGATGACTTTGCCTCAAGCTGGAGAGAACTGTCAATATCATTACCCATACTAATGAGTTCGTTTATGCTCTTGTCTCACCAGAGTGGTCAGAGCTGTCTTGCCTGAACCGCTTGGGCCCAACAGCAGGAAGTTGCTGGTTGGGGGCGACGCTGCGGCTTGGAAAAAGACAATATGAAGCAAAATAGGGACTCCAAAGGCGAACACGATCGCGATAGCAATTGCTATCAAGTTCCCATCAAACAGAAGGGTAGCGATGCCGGTCACCGAGTTCCAATTTGCCTGGCTCGACATGGTGGGCTGATATGCGGAAAGACGGAGTTGCCAGCCCAGCAGTAAAGTTACCCGCCCCGATAGCACGGACCACCATCTTATCTTAGCGCACATCACTTGCTCCATGAAGGGCGACTGGAATGAGACTCTTACATACCATGGCCAAAGGGAGGCGTCCTGCCTACCTGGCAGTGTTGACTCCTCCTTCCCTGGCTAAATCTGTCTCTCCAACTCGTGCGATTCAACATGAGGCTTCGATTGTGGTCAATTCTGTCCGCTTTCTTGGCTTCTACAGCAGCCCAGACCATTAGTGGTCTGACCTTTGATAGTCGAGATGTTGTGAGCCTTATATGGGGGATGGGAGATACATCTGCTGCAACTTATGATTTCTGGCTCTGTGCCGGAGATGAATCCACTGGTATCTATGTATGTTTGGAACATACGACAGCCAGAGGTAATATACAGCTAACAGATGTGTACTATAGGAAGTTCTTGCGCGAGTCATCGAAGGAGGAGTCTACGCCTCCGGAGACTGGGTGTCATTTCGAGTCAATCAAGATGTGGGAGGAAACGACCCTAATGCCTAGTATGTCCCCGGCTATCTATTGCAGGTGGCTCTCTATCACGCGAGTATTAATCATCTGGTGTAACTAGTTTCTTGAAAGTCGTTCCGTCAACCTCGAACGCCATAGCCGGCTTCACCTCGCACTTTACTCTCACCAACATGAAGGGCACATTCTCTCACCAAGTTGCTCTCGCAGTACACTCAATGCAACCTGTTACGATTGATCTAAGCAGTCCGGATGAACCACGCCTCATTGAGCCCGCTGAGACAACCCCAATAAACAACGGCACCGGGGTCCTCGAGTACCCAAGCCCTACAGACACCAATGACATCGAGCGATCCGAGCTGCGCAAGCGTGTGGGTGCTGTTGTTGGAGCCATTGATCCTCATACCATTCCGTACGGGGAGCAAACTGGCAAGATACGATATGCGCCGATGCCGAAACGGGCAGGCACCACCATTGCAAACAGACCTGCTACGCCTCAGTATCCTCCCTTTCCGTTCACGATCGCCACCACCTATCTCCCCAAGGCGACTATTGACTGGACTGATACTGCTTATGCGACATGGACTGAACATAGTATCGAGAACACGGTATGTTTATTACAAGAGATTGTCGAGGTCTCAAGCTAACTGTTTCTCAGGCCGCTCCGGCCGCCGCGCCGACATTGAACAAGCGTATGGAAATTGATCATTGGATGAAGCGTTGGCAAGATTAATCATCCTCTTCGCGTGGGATGAATTGGATGCCTGGGTAATTATCTCGAATCTGCTTATTATTATGCACCATGGCCTTGCCACTACCTATATCTAGTGAAGTTATTATATTTTCCTCATTTTTCTCTGAAAAAATCTCGCTTTTTGGGCTCTGCAGTAGTATCATTATAGGCTCTATAAATGCTTTTTGTGGAGTCATGACTGTATCGACCATTGCGCGATCAGCGTCGACGAAGGACACCACCCTCATTCCAAATCAACTGCTCACGAACTTTTTATGGTGCATGCTCCTGTGTGTACCACGGCCTTCTATAAACAATCCATCATGAATTTCCATTTTTGTTAGGAGATCTAGATCTCCATTCCTCCAGCGCCGGCGTCAACACCGGACTATCAGGCTGAGGGAAAAAGTCTTCGGGGTGAAATGAGATGTTCTCATGGCTGGCAACATAATCACTGTCGGCATACCCAAGCACGGCCTGGATATGGGTACTCCGGCGACCCTTGATGTGCTCGATCTCAATGCTTCCATAGTTGACAATGGCGCGACCGACTTCTTTGTGCTCCTGACTGTGATGGGGTTTGGTTCCATCCAGCGCATCCGCAGATGCTCGCTCAACAACCACTAGGCGTACTGCGTCATGTTGTCCAAAATGGCCCTCAACACCAACAACACCAGCTGGCAAGAGACTGGCTTTATTATGGAGAAGAGCATGGTATGCCCCGTGATCGATATAGAGGGTTCCATGTGGTGTGAGTCCATGGAGGAGCCAGAATGTCCGCGATTTAATTGGGGTGCCGGAAGGAAGAAATCGAGTGTGGAGAGGTGGCCGAGGGGAATCATTAGCAGGATCGTCGTTCACAGGCTCGCCAGAACCTGGGTTGTTTCGGAGATCCTGCAGGTACTTTACGATCTCGTGGACATTGCCTGGCTTGGAGCTTTTGGTAATGATTGTTGTCACGCCTGCGCTTGTCCCAAGTTTTGCAGCGGTGATCTTTGTGCTCATGCCTCCGGTCCCAAGAGAAGACCCAGCTGATGAGACATCCGCTTCTAGTGTCGAAATGTCCGAAATAACTTCGATGGGCTTTGCGTGGGGGTCCCGGCGCGGATTTGCGGTGTACAGAGCATCGACATCGGTCATCAAGAATAGGTAGTCGGCCTTGACTGTGGCCGCGGTGATCGCTGAGAGGGTATCATTGTCGCCAAATTTAATTTCCTGGAATTGATTTGTTAGTTTGAAATAGCACATATGACAGACTTGGGGTCTTCATACAGAAACGGCCAGGGTATCATTTTCGTTCACGATGGGAACCACGCCCATGTTAAATAATTGCTCAAACGTGTTTTGAGCGTTGACATATTGGGTATTCTGTGACAGATGATTAGCCAGAGGAAACGAATCAGCTCGAAATATTTTCATACGTCCGCAATATCATTTCTCGTTAAAAGGATCTGAGCCACTGGGACTCGGAGGTGCGAGAAGAGATTATCCCATAAACTCATCAGCCTGCACTGGCCAACAGCAGCGAGCGCCTATACTTTTGGATCAGTATACCGAATGTCCTAGTGAGGCTTTGTGACAGTAGTGTTGCCACATAGGCCGTCGCAGGGCCTTTATTACCTGTATTCGTGGCAGATCGGTCGGTCTTTCATCCCAATCCATCCTCCTCAAGCCAACCCCCACAGCACCAGACGAAACCAGAACCACCTGATGGCCATCCTTGCGCAATTTGGCGACCGTCTCAACAATCAATGTCAGAATCGACAGAATTGGTTCGTGTGTCTTCTCGTCAACGATAGAGCTCGTTCCTGCCGAAAAAGAAAAGAAGTTAGCCTCTTGTCTCATTTTGAAGGTATACATCTCCCCGCACCGAGTTTGATCACAATCCTGAGTCCTGGGCCCGTCATAGCGGAATTCTAAGAAAGCAAGGGTCCAGAAAACCCAATGCCCTTCTTCGCAGTCAATTGAGAGATCCAAGGGCAATACCCTGCAAATTGACGAGGATCGTTTTCGGTGACGAATTGTCGCACCCAGTCGCATTCACTCCGCTTTCTGCCGCAAACCTCCGATCACTCGGTTCCGGCGATTCTTTCGCGCGTCCACCAGTTGAAGAGCAGCGACTCAAGCAATTATGCCTGAATCACAGTCGCCCAGTACGGCGGCACCTTCAAGCGGCAAGCCCGATACAGGCTATATCCCTGGAGACGACACATGGTCGCAGTTCCGCAACATCTACCGCATCTTAACGGGCAAAATGACCTCCGAGGGCATTGAGCAATTCCGAGTCGCGCGGGACGATCGAAACGAAGCAGAGGATTGCAAGCGATGTGAAGAGCAGCGTGACTTCCTGCTTCAATACAGTACGTGCTGCATAACCTTATATATACTTGGCTGTCGAATATATGCATCTAACCAATTCCTGCTTTTAGGCCCCATCGTCCGTTACCTCAGTGATAACATCAAGCAATTAGGAGGTGATCTCCATAGCCACAATATCTACTGCCGCCGATGCACAGACCGAAAAGGAGGAGGCTTTGATCCTGAGTATGGTATCTTGATCTGTGCCAATGAAATGAAGGACCAAGGACACCTGGAGGATACCATGGCTCACGAAATGGTGCATGCCTACGACCACCTGCGATTTAAAGTGGATTGGACCAATAATCTCAGACACGCCGCTTGCACAGAGGTATGGACTCCATCCTTGGATATACCTCTACAGCGGGGCGAATTCCAAGTCAACTGACACATACAGATTCGGGCCAGTTCGCTCAGCGGCGAGTGTAGATGGTCAAGAGAGTTCTTCCGGCGAGGCCAGTGGAAGCTGACCCAGCAACATCAGGAGTGTGTTCGCAGGAGAGCGATTCTGTCAGTCAAGGCCCGTCCAACGTGCCGTGACGAAGAGCATGCCACGCAGGTTGTGAATGAAGTCTGGGGCAGTTGCTTCCGGGATACGCGACCTTTCGACGAGATTTATCGATAATCCAAACCCGTCGCTTATAATCGGGTTATTACCACATTTACGACACCCGGCGTCTTATACCAGCTCCCCTTTTGTACAAATAGAGATTTGAAAATGTACCATATGCCATTGACATTGGGTAAGCCAAAGATATATCTGAGTGTCGCGGGTGCCTTACCCGAGCATTACTCGTATGAACCGAAACGCCTTGTAATGCCACAAATAAACTCCAAGGAACACCATCCCAAAATTACAAAAATACCGAACACCAATCTGTCATGCGTAGGATTCATCAGGCCTTGCCATCCTTTGGGCCCGAGACCCGTTTGCCATCTTTCATGCAGTGCTTGACAATCCAAGGGTGACGCTGGATCTCGTCAAGGGGAATGCGCTTCTCGGGATCGAGGACAAGAAGCTGAAAATCATTAGCAGGTTGATCTATAGAAAATTGTAAACAAGTGGTTGCTCACCCTCTTGATAAGGTCCTTGGCCTCTGGGCTAACAAAGGATGGAACGGACATGTCTGCCCTGCCTATTCTTCGCTGGGTCATGATGGGCGTATCTTCGAAGGGCGCCTCGCCGACCAGGAACTCGTAGGTCAACACACCCAAACTCCACAGGTCCACCTTCTCGGTGTAGTAATTTTCGCTCCCAGCGCGAGGCGCCACCATCTCTGGGGGGGAGGTAATCGAGAGTTCCACACATCGTTTGGCGGCGGTTGTTGGGAGCATGAACACTCCAGCCAAAGTCACTGATCTTGATTTCTCCGTGGATACCAACGAGGATGTTCTCCGGCTTGATATCACGGTGCATGACGTGCTTTTTGTGGAGGTACTTGAGAGCAGCAGCCATTTGAGCAATGTACTGAGCAGCCTTCCACTCGGGGAATCGGTGCTCCTTGCGGAGGTGCTTGTACAGTTCACCGCGGCCGGCGAACTCGAGAATGAGGAAAATGCGCTTGCTGTCGTGAAAGTGACCGTAGAGCCGCAGGACATTAGGGTGTCGCAGGTTACTTTGGATCTCGATCTCACGGCGAACCTGCTTCTGGACACCGCCCTGCTGTAGTTCCGACTTGTGCAGCACCTTGAGAGCGCAGACGAAACCCGAAGAACGCTCCTTGGCAAGGTACACCCGTCCAAATTTACCCTTACCGAGAGGCTTTCCAATTTCAAACATACCCAAGTGAAGTTCTTTTGGCATGGTCGGGGCCTGATTGTTCAGAACGGAACCACGGTGGCTCCCGTTCTCATCAGTGTCGCGCGAGGGCAACGCTCCCTGGGTACCCTTGCCTGGGGAGGCAGGAATCATGGCATTGACCTTGTTGTCATTTGTGTTTTGAAGGGCCAGCTTCAATAGTTGAGCTCGGTTCGAATTGCTCTGAGAGGAACCGAGTCCAGACAGGGAGGCAGCGGTAGAGATGGAACCCTGCAAGATTGAATGATTAACCACCCTATTCTCTCTTTTGATGACTGCGGATCATGAATACCTTTGGCTTGCAGTAGACACGCTCACCAGCTGCCTCTTTTTCATCCTTCATGGACAAGTGCTCAAATCGAGCCTCGAGTGTCTTGGTAGCCATGCTGTAGGTAGGGTGGAGCAAGGAAAGAGAAGATAAGATGATGAAGAGGCGAAGTGAAGTTGAGGAAACAAGAAAAGCACCAGACTATTATTAAGGACAAGCAAACATAACCGCAAAGTCCTTGGGTGTTCGATTGTCGACAGGCGATGAAGATGAAGATGGAGACAGAAGATCGAGCGGGAACGGGTGTTTTGGGTTCCCATACTCAGCGCGTCTCCACGGCAACCGCTCGGCCCGCCCGTTTCTCCGTCGCAGCCGCGGGGCTAATCCACTTGCATCGAAGAAAGATAAAGCTCCATGACGACATGGTTTGAGGATGGCAGATACCAAGCATCCTGCTGCAATGGCTCCTGGCCATGCGGCAGCACCTCCTGCCAAGAGGCCTAAAGTGCTCTCCCACAAGGGCTTCCGCATTTCGACCCAGTCGCTTGCTATTCTGAAGGCGGATCCTATCGAAGATATGACCCAGAAGCTGGGCATTGCAGTACCGGAAATGATTTTTGGCGACAATTACTTGACGATCGAGCATGAGAAGAGTGGCTGGGGTATCAATTTCAACGCCTTTGATGCGCTGGATCGAGTAGACAAGACTGGACAATCGATGCTGCAGGTTGCATATTCCAGAGAATGGCAGCAAAGCCGGTACGGAGCTACGCCGCAATCAACTATACGATGAATTTCCATCTAACCCTCAGTTCCTTGCAGCGAGAAAACCCACGACGGCATTAAGGAAGTTGTCAAACCGTTCGACTGGTCCTACACCACCGACTACAAAGGCACAGTGAACCCCGCCGGTCCTCAATTCGAAGAAACCGATAAGCAGATCCCGATCGAGTTACTCAAGCGCCCAGACCCTATCATATTTTTCGACGAGGTGGATCTCTACGAAGATGAGCTGGCTGATAACGGAATAGCTCTGTTGTCGTGCAAGATCCGCGTTATGCCTGGGCGGCTCCTCCTGTTGGCGCGGTTCTTCATGAGACTGGACAACGTTCTGATAAGACTCCGCGATACTCGGGTTTATGTCGATTTTGAGACTCAGGAGGTTATCCGTGAGTATCAAGCGAAGGAATCCGAATACGAGAAAGTGCGACAGGTAGGTCCATGTTAGCGCCCAGCCATATGATCTCGGCTAATATCTACTTCAGACCCTTGCACGTACACGTGATGATATACCTGCTTTGATGAGAGATGCCAACAGCCTGTCGGAGATTCTGCCCGTCGTTGAAAAGCGCTTAGAGCGGGTGGTCTTGGCTGAATAGCTAAGAAGGGGAGGATAAAACGGCCTGGTCAAATTATAGGACTCCAAACTCCCGAGCTGCATAGGACTCAAAATTGTAATGTGATGAATCCTCACGGATACTTTATGAATACTGAAGAGCGACATGATGAATCTTCTTCCCCTCGTGTTCTTGTCCAAAAAATGGTTCTATCATTTCATAAGTAGAACAGTGGCGCTGGGAAGTAGCAATGTATATTTTCACTAGGCGCTTCAAGATGAACCGAGAAGCCCACAGTACTACGTCCAATGATTGGGTTGTAAATTGCACTGACTTGAGAAGCAAGCTGATTCACTTGCCTTGGAGCACACACATATATATATTATTAGCCGTAGTGATCACAACAGAATGTTGAACCTCTGAGAAATTTAAACCTCTGAGATTTTTGAAATCCGTGAGAGTTAAATATTTAGAAGGTTGAAAATTCGAGAAAGTTGGAAGTCTGTCTAACTGTATTCAAAAAGACGATATGGTACTCAGCCAATGTATTCACCCAGGGCTCAAAACGCGCCGTGGTTGGCTCCAAAGCAAACAGTGCAAACAGATACGATCTCCAAAAAAAGTGGCAGTCAACGAGGTAAGTTCATGCTCAACACAAGCAAAATGGCTACTTTTCGATTGACTACACGATCCGCCAGGGATCTCAGGGGCTCTTGGGCTTCATGCCTACAGGTATATTCTCCAATGCCTCCCAGCAGCCAACCATGTCCTAACCACCATGACCGCAGAATCCGTCAACCCAGCGACTCTCGCTATTGTCCACGACAGCAGCCAACAGCCATGCAGCCTCAAAAACATCACTCTCTCAAAATTCCAAGTCCCAGACTTATTGGGCCCGCACTCCCTCCACCGTCCGAAACATCTCAACCAGCCCAGGAGCGCCCGCCGAGTCATACATCGCGTACGGCCTCACCCAAAAGCTATTCGAAGCCTGCTCCCGCCAGGGTGACTACGAAATCCCCCAGCGCAATCAGAAAGGCGCCGTAGTCCCAACCACTGAATCTGGCGAACACCTCGGCGTCAGCGACAGCTGGTGGTATAAAGGTGAGTTGCCCTCGGCCCCCTAGCGCCGAACCGCGCTCCTGAGAATACTAGGACAACCCCGACCACTAACACAGCTCAGAACTCGGTCTCGCTCCAACCTTCTCTACCTGGTCCCAAATTACCTTTCTGCACATGTACCTTCTAACTGCCCGCCTCCGCGCTCTCCCCACCCGCGCCAGCGTCCAGACCTACGCGCAGCACCTTATCGACCACTTCTCGCATAACGCCGAGCACCGCATGGATGTCCTGCATGACATGGGCACGCGCTCTGTACGTAATCCTTATCTGAAGGATCTGTATATCCAGTGGCGGGGGATCATCGCAGCGTACGACGAGGGCTTGGTGAAGGGGGATGCGGTGCTGGGGGCTGCTGTTTGGCGGAATCTGTGGAAGGCGAGTACCACGGGGCATGATGGGCAGGATGTGGATTGGACCAAGATCGCGTGGGTGGTGGCTTATATGCGGAGGGTTTCGGCGCAGTTGGCGAAGATGGATGAAGCGGATATTGCGATTGCGTTGAGTCAAGGCAATGCGGAGGAGCAGGGAAGGATTTTTGGCTATTCGGTCATTGATAAGAAGATGGCGAGTGCAAAGTCGGGGTAGGTGCTGGATTGTGTCATTATTTTAAAGAGGCTTTACGATCTAATCTTTGCATGTACAATACAATTTACTCTTCTCTTGTGAATGATACTTGTATGCTTTGATTTATGATTCTGTTGTCTATGACTTTTTTTTCCCTCTTCTTTACCTTCTTCTTTTTTGTTGATTGGCATCTGGGGGGACAAGATCTCCAATAGCAGACGTCTATTTCTTGCCGAAGAGGTCTTTCTCAACCATTCCACGGCAGATGGGGTGGTAGAAGTCCTTGTGCTTCTCAAATGCGGCAAGGGCGGCAGAACGATCGATCTTTTGAAGGTTACGGAACCTGAACCGAGTTAGAATTGGTCGCGAGGAGTGAAGACCGAAGGAACTTACAAAGGTCGCACAAACTTCATTCTGCCGATACGTCCAAGGAGCTCCACGGTCGGCTCAATGACGCTCCGGTCACCAGCCTTCATGCCAACCTGGAAGTACAGGTTGGACACCTCGATATTTTCGCTCTTGGCCAGGCCATAGACCGCACCCAGCTGCTGCGAGAGCTCGGGGCTTAGCGGCTTCTCCCAGCGCAGAAGCTGCTCCAGGAAGACAACAAGCTGGTTTGCTGTCAAACCCTCGATGTCACTTGGTTGCGGCTTGAAAGAGGAGTCGGTCTCCCATCGCTTGGCCAGCGCATACACGACATCCACGAGAGATGTGTCAAACTGTGGCTTGGGCGGTAGACCGGGCGAATAGAACCATTTGTCCCAGTCCAGCTCATTCAGAAGCTTTGATGCCTCCTCATCGGACTTGAAGAAGTCGAGGATGGTGGCCTTGAATTCGAATGAGTCGAGTGATTTACCCTTGAAGGCTGTGAAGTACTGGTATACGAGTCAGAAACGGAACGAGGACCAGAGCTCGGCATGATCAACGTACGTGAGGAATAAACTTGTCAAACTTGGGCTTTCCCACGAGGTTCTCCAGGGAAGAAAAGGAAATTGAACCCCTTCTCATAAGGAACAGTCGAGAAAGCGTCATCGGGATCCTTGCCCTTCAAGTCAGTGATCAACTTGGTGAATTCATGGTCGTCGCCAAAGTGTTCCACAGCATCAGTGAGGGACTTCCATCCAATGATGGCCGAGAAGTGGCGGTAGGCTTCACCGTGGCTAAGACAGCGTTAGTTGAGATTATTGAAGGGTGCATTCATATCACAAACATAGCGGCCAAGATCTAGATGTGATTGGTTAGTTCCGAGAAATCGAAAACTGGGCTGCATAAAGAGGTATTTACCCGACGTTCCAGGTACACAGTCCAACCCTCGTTCAACCAGAAGTGTTCCCACGAGGCGTTCGTGACCAAGTTGCCACTCCAGCTGTGGGCCAGTTCGTGCGCAATGACATCGATGTTCTCCCGATCCTTCGAAATGATACTGGGGGTAGCAAACGTGAAGATAGGGTTCTCCATACCACCATACGGGAAGCTGGGAGGCAGAATCAGAACATTGTATTCACCCCAAACGTATGGGTAGACAATTTTCTGCTGTGTGTTAGCTGCTGGCTCTCACTTTGGACTGTTTATGGAATTTACCTCGATTGTGGTCATGAAGTTCTCCATGTCAGCCTCAAGTTCCCATTTGCACTCCTCCAGCTTGTCGGGGCTGGTGGCCACGACGCTGCGAGGACCGATAGGAGCTTCGGACACATCTCTTGCGAAGGTGTTAGAAATTGTTGCGCAAGTCAAGAAAATCCGTTGTATTAGGACGTCAATCAGTGGAGTTCATACCCGCTAGCAATGGCAAACAGGTAGCTCGGAATTGGGACGGTCTGGTTGAATCGGTAGAGTGCGTTCCCGGCGTGAGGCTTGGTGTCCCGGAGCGGCAAGCCACTGGTCATCACCGGTAAAGGCGAGGTGATGTTAAAGTCGATTGTGCTCTTGACATCCGGGGTATCCTGGCATGGAAAGATCGATCGAGCGTGGATGGCTTGGCATTGCGAGACTGGGGGGAGTTTCAACAATCCGGATGGGTACGTGATAGGTCCAAACGCTTGACTTACACATGTACGGGTGCTTTTTATTCGAGGTTTGCGCAGGCGTCAGCCACTGAAGCGCCGTGCATTTTTCGGTAGTTTTGACGGCGATCTACAGAGTCAGATCAATACCATGATTGGGCGTGGACAATATGGTGGAGTGGGGGGGAGGGGCAAAAGGCAAAAAAGCCAAGTTCCATACATCCACTTCAACAGTTCCATCCTGCTGCACGCCTTGCTCGAGGTTAATCTTCAGCGGGGTGCCGAAGGGCTCTACGGTAGGCAGCAGCTCCCACTTCGAGGGGTTGCCATCCACTGAGACAGACCCGATGTCAAGGTAGCGAGTATCCAGGATGATCTCACGCGACACGGCGTCGGTCAAGGAGCGCAAGCGGTGGACGACATTACCGGCGAGCTGCTTCTGGTCGAAGCGGATATCAAAATTGGCGGTGATGTGGGTAGAACGCCAGCAGTTGTAATTGCTGAGCGTATTCGGATCGCGCTTGGGGGAGGCCATTGTTGAGGAATAACGAGAGAGGAAGCCTGAGAAAAGTTGACTGAGCGGGCGCGCGTGGTTCATTTTTTTTCCCCCAGTTAATCTACAGCAGAGCTGGCGGGCTTCTCCGTGGCTAAGCGGGGGAGCCAGAGTCAAGGTAGTATTGGTGGGCAGGGCAGGACCACAGATCACAACTCACAGATCACAAACCCGCAGAAGGATTGGAACTGGAGAAGCCTCCGGTTAGAGCCAGTGAGACCAGTCAGATCGCACGAGCTCTCAACTAAACGATCCCCGTCCAAGGGCCCAAGGGCCCCAAAAGGGGTAGCAATCGTCATAAAGACATCGGCCAAATCTGGCCCTGTTGCTGATGGCTTCTCCTTGAACCTCCTTTCCCCTCGGTTCCCACCCCTTGGTTCTACGCAAAGTACTTTGTGACGGTGGATAGATGTATCAAGGGAGCTACATGGGTCTATTCAGGCCAGAGTGTTCTATAGGTTTCATAGAATGAGGTAACCCCCTAGTAGTTCTAAAAGCCTCTGCCGTCCCGGAGCTCGAACGGCACACAAGGAACCAAAAGGCGCGAACCACCGATAAGTGCTAGTTTGACTTAGTACGGAGTATTTGCTACCCCCTTTTCCCACCCCCACAAGGCAAAAGATTCTAGAATCTAGAATCCCGGTCACTTTTCTCCTTTTTCACTTTTTTCAGCCGATTGCCTTTCTTCAGGATTTACAACTTCGAGAAAGGAAGAGAGAAACATCTCCCCGCACTGCGAGAAAGTGCTGCCGCGATCCACGGACCACCCCTGACCTCCCGCGCGGGACCGGCCCCTGAGATTCTGCCTACATTGTTCTACTCGCTCTTGTGCTCTTTCTTGAAGACTTTGTTTTGGCCGCATTTGCCGCCCTGGTACGTACTGGTTTGGATCTCCCTGCTTTCTCTTCTCTTCGGTCTGGCTCATCTTTAGTAGTTTCTTTTGATCCGACCCTCGAATCCGTGCAGCCATGCGCTAAGCAGATTGCGCTCCGTGTCGAACGACCACCATTGCGAAGCATGTGCGCAGTCTATTCGTGAGACGCACGGAATTTTTTTTTAATTTTTTTTTCCCTTTTCTTCGCAAATACAAGCTCGATTGGAATTTCTCAATGCCAGACTCACACCTCGACATTTACCCATAATCATATAGTCTGCTGACCCCCGCCTTTGAAAATGCTACACCGCTCTGCTGTTGACGATGAAGCGAAACAATTCCAGCCCCGACCCTTCATGGATTATAACCGCCCTCCCTCTCGTACCTCACGACCGGCCTCCCGGAATCACATGGTGAAACCTTCAAGGGCCGTCACCCCAACAGGGCTGGGAGTCGTGACTGAGAATGTTCCAGCCCCGCCCCCAGAGGCCTTGCCTACCAGCCCCATTAGGGACGGCTTGGGAAGTTTGAATCGGTGGTCCCAATCAACCACTTCAAGCCGAAGTATGTCCGATCACAATGGTCACCACCGTGGGAGCTCCAAGGCATCAATTCCAAATTATAGCCCGCGCCGAGGGAATGGTCTGGGTGAGCTGCCAGAGATCAACCTTCCAGAACTTCGAGCATCGGATATGTTTTCTAGCGATCCTAACGGCCTCGATCTTTCATTCACCGCTTCAAGTCAGATCTTTCAGAATTCCGCCCCCGGTACCGACAAACGTGACCCATACGAGCAGCCGACCTACCAGCCCAATAACCCTCGATCAAGTGAGCTGTCAATGGATGGAGAAGTGGATGGCCGACAAACCCAGAAGGCTATGTTATCGAAAGCGCTCCAAAAGGCAAATACCGCTGTGCTTCTTGACAATGCGGCAAATTTCGAGGGGGCAATGGAGGCATACACAGAGGCTTGCCAGCTCTTACAATTGGTTATGCTTCGGAGCAACGGGGGCGACGAAGAAAAGATCAAGTTACAAGAAATCGTGCGTCATGCCATTCTTCCCCCTAAACCAGCACAAAAAAAAAAAGAAAAAAGAAAAAAACAAAACAAAACAAAACAAAACAAACGAAAATCATGAATAGAAAATGCTAACCTAAACCAGCGCGATACCTATATGATCCGTATAACAGAACTACAGCGCATGGACTTAGCCCTCTCTGTGCATGATACTAAAGCTCTTCCGCAACGACCGGTAAGCGAAGAGTCATATGATGAGCTCTTCGCTTCAAATGGTGGATCTCGCATTCAAAGTCAACATAGCTCCGCCCATTCCAGCTTTGGCTTTCAACCTCAAATGGATGAGCCCAAATCCTTGCCCGCAGAGCCGATCCCCCCGCGTCGACAGTCACTCCGCCCGTCAACCGTGGAGGAATTCCGCAATATTGGGTTGCCAAAGACCTCTCAGTCAGGTCGATCCACTCCGGCAAGTGCTAGTAGCAACCCGCATTATTCCGGACAATACTTTGAACCAGGAGAAAATACGGAACAATCTTGGCTGGATACAATTGACGAGTCTGGTGCATCCTCTCCCTCTTCGGCGAACTCTAAAGCATCATCAGTATACCTCCGAAGGCGCACCAGCCGTCGCCTCAGCACAGGCACCGAGGCTGAATTTGACGCGGCCCTGGATGCTGCCGTGGAAGCAGCATATGACGAGGGCCTGGAGCCTGTCTTAGAGTACAATGAGGGGACCAGTGATGATGTTGTAGCAAACGCACGCCGAAACATTGAGCTTGCAAAGCAACGAGTTCGCGAAGCTGAGAAAGAGGCTCAAGCCGCCATGCAGCGTGGCCGAGATCTTCAAGAACCCCAAGACCCTCTTGCACCCGTCGCAAGAGAATCTGTTTACCTCGACGAGGAAGCAGAAGAAGAGGAGCGTCTCCTGGAAGAGATGACCAAAGGCTACGTTATGGATGATTTTGAATTTGGTATCCAATCCAAGTCGGCGTTACCGCGCGAATCTGATTCAAGCAACATGTCAGGGAGAACATGGGAGAGCTCGGCTGCTTCCAACATAACTGGCACTGGGGCTACCTTGTCCACTCTCGCCGAAGATGAAGACGTGATAGTCGGCGGGCGTAGCTTGGACCCAAGTGTTCTACCTTCAGAGCCGCCAAATGCTGCATTGCCCCCCATTCCTGCTGTTTCCGATTTCCCATCTCTACCTCCCCACCGGATCTCTCTTACGAACCCTCCTCCCGCTGGGCCCCCTCCACCACCGCCCTCGATGGGACCACCTCCTGTTCCGGGCGTGCGGGCACGACGACTGTCCAAAAATAATAGCGTTGATCTTCGGATTCATACCAGGACCCATTCCCGCGCAGAGTCTAATGTGTCACACGCCCGCACTGAATCTAAACTATCGCATACGCGCGGCGAGTCGAATGCATCTGGCTTAGACTACTTCTCTATTCCTGTGGGTGACAAGCCACCCCCACCTCTTCCCAAGGATGAGACCTCAGATGTCTCAAGGCCTTCGACTCCTGGCCTTCGAGCCACCCTCCACCCGTCGAAGCGCAATGCATCGATTGGATCGCTATCGGAACATTTCAACCTCGCGAGATCGCGCACCCAAGAAGACGCCGAGCCTGGCCTTCCACCTCTTCCCATGTCGGCGCGGCCAATGGCCAAAATACCTTCTGCTCCAGATGGGCTGAATAAGGCCGGCTCAAGGCCTTTCAGAAACCGCAATGGATCCATGCCCAATCCTGATATTGGACCTGGCTCTCCTGTAACCCCATGGGAAGACTCCTTCCCCCGTTAGATACCCAAATGACTACGCCTGCCATGCCTACCCCAACCGCAACACATCTCTCCCCGGTTTCGGTGCCAACCGGCGGAATGAACCTTTTCGATTATGAGATTCATTCGCCAACCTCTCCGGGCCGGCCCAATTCGCTTGTTCCCAATGCCCCGGCACCGCTTGAACCGTGTCCTGAATCATTCCTTCTCCGCCCATTCTGGCTGATGCGTAGCTTGTATCAAACAATCGCTCATCCTCATGGAGGTTATATCTCCGCGAAGCTCTTTGTCCCTCGCGATATCTGGCGGGTGAAGAATGTCAAGCTGAAGGCTGTCGAGGATAAGGTTTCCCAGTGTGACCTCCTGACAGCTGCCCTGCTCAAGCTGGCCAAGGTTGACCCTTACGATGCGGATGCAGTATTGGAAGAGATGGAAGGGCTCGAAATTGTACTCAACCAAGTCCAAACGGTTTTGACTAAGAAGCTGGGCCATGAGGTCGGTGTACAAACCGCCATTCCTCTGTTAAAGCAGAACGCGCCCCCCGAGGATTCTTCTCATTCCGAGCCAGCACAGCCTCGGACGTCAGGGACATCGAACAAATCATATATCCCGGGCTGGAAACGGCTGCGTGCCAAGACATCTGGCATTGGCACCACTGCTTCTACGACAACGACATCGCGCGAGAGTCACAAGGAGAATTTGACAATCAACACTGTTCCGATGACGATTGGTCCTTCCACTCAACCCGTGCGCGACGTTACCAAACTCGAATTCTCGGGTCCCCATGCTCACTACATGGGAGCTTTGGCACGGCTCTTTGACGCTGCTCAGGTGGTTGGTAAGCTTGCAACGATACTGTTCATCATCCCTTTCATCATCTCTAACAAATCCACAGACCAGATCGCCCAGCAGGTTGAAGACCCGGGACTCAGGCACTCTTCTAAGACCCATGTTGGCCTCGAACTCAGCACACGACACGCTGCTGAGTTCTTCGGTTTCTACATCTGTCGCTTTGCCCTTGCTGATATTAGCCTGATGCTTGACAAATACATCAAGCGTGGTAGCGAGTGGGTGCTCATCTAAGGAATCATGTGTTGGATTACTTCTACCTCCCCAATTCCGCACCCCCCAACCTTCTCCGTTTCTCCCTTTAATGTTACCCTTCCCCTATACCTGCTTCCCCTTTGGAACGTGAACTGCGACGATCATGATTCGACTTCACCTGCTCATATTATCTTTTGATGTGCATATTACATTACCCCTCCCTGTCTATGTTAAGATACCATGATTTATACTTGAGATACGATTTGAAGAACATAATTTCCACGAGATGGGACATGTGTGTCTGATGGTTTCTCCTCGTCTCGCTTCTTGTAAATCTTGGTTTTGACACTTCGTCCATCACCTGGCGGAGTCTTATACATGAAGCGGGGATGACGAAGAAGAAGCAGAAGACATGAAATTGATGTGTTTCGGTCATATCGTCCTTGATAGAACACAAATCATTTCGCTGCGCCTGTGCGGCTCTTCGATCAATACTTGGAAATAGCTTGACAATATAGCCACGCGGTTTCGTACATCATTATCAGCCCGTGCCGAGGCTTGGACCCATTTAAAGGTACCAGGATGATCTTTGGCGACAGTCGTGCCAAGAGGCTATTTTCCGGGCGAGTGGTTGTGTCGGAACTAGTCTAAAGCTGACTTTTCCCGAGGTCGCAAACACCATGCTTATGAGATGAGCTTGTTTTATTTACCGGAACTGGCCCAGATTTGCAAATGGGCGGCGAAAATTTAGGATGTATTGGCGTTGATAGATGTCGACTTGGCCAAACATTGTCAGGCTACATAGTCGTCTTTTGATTCTCAAAACTAATCATATTTTGCAGCAATAATATAGCCACTCTCAAAAGCATTCAGCCTAAATAAGTGATGCTAGATTCACGTCATCTCCCCCCACCGTTTGTGAAATCTATGTTGATCACTGGCACCAGTAAGCTCATCTCCTGCATGCTTAATTTTCATCTTCATCATCCTCCGTGTCCTGGCTGTCGCCCCGTATGTAACCGATAACCTCCTCAAGCCCATCAAACAGACAGCAGCCTTGAGCTGTGCGCTGAAGATGATGCAGCATTCGAAGAAGCGATTGGGGAGCAGTATCGCTCAAAAGCTTCTCGATTTCCTCTTCCCGCATCACCGTCACGATGTTCATCATGCCGTTCTCCAGAGTCCGGACTTGCCGAAAGTGTCTTCGCACTTGAATGCCAACGATGTCGGTAGAAGAGCGGCAGATTGCCACGCCAATACTGCGAAGGGTGTCAAGAGCATTGAGATGGATTTTCGGATCAGCATTTGGTCTGCAATGCTCAACAATAGTTTGGATTGACTGTTCGATTTTGGCCGCCGTGTCGGGTGGATCATCGCTTTCCTCGAGCTGGCAGATTCGTTCATATGTGACATTGATCTCGCCTCGCACGAATCTCGCGAGGCGACTGAACTCCAGCAATACCCTCTGCTCGGCTTCTCCTAGGGCCTTGCGTACACTTTCCTCAGCTTCGACATCGGATTCTCTCTGAACTGAACCGGGAGGGTTGATAGACGTTTTGGCTGAAGGTTCATGAGATTCTTCTTCGAGTTAGATTTGCTCGGTTTCGGCGGCCAGCGGGGTGTCTTGTTTGGTCGTAATACCTGTCGTGTCTACTGTCGTGACGGCTTCGCTTGCGGCCTTTGTCTGAGACCGCGTTCTCACAGGCATCGCGAATAGGCTTTAGAGCTGTGTTCCAGTTGGCTAGTAGAGAAGGATAACTCGACGGCGCTTGCGTTGTCCAGAGATGCGTTTCGCGAAGATGTGGTCTGGAGAGAGCTTCGAGAATCGCGAGGAACAGAGATGACGCGTTATGGATGTAGGAGGATGAAGAGAGAGCAGGGCAAGAAGGGCGTGGATACCTGGTGTTGCTTTTATAGCAAAGGAAGAACCAGCTGCCTTACTCAACCATCGAGGGAGGAGGGACCAGCAGTGATAGTAATCGTGAATCACAGCTTATAAGGGCTCAAGGAGCTGGTGCATTTTGCACAGAACCAGTGTCTTCGACAGACTCTTGACAACCACGGACCTTTCAATTTGGCAGACAAAACACAAGCTCTGCTGCGTAGAACGGGCGATAGAAGTTGAGGCAAAGGACAAAACATATGAGATGAATGAGAACTGAATAAGAAGAGCAGAGAACATCCATTGGCTTTACTTTTCATCCAGACTCGTCTAAGCTATCAAAATGTCACGGGGCACATGTCTGTTCTATATCGTGATAATTAAGATGTTGCTACTTTGCCGGTGGAGCGCCATATACTTGGCCAGTGGCCAATCAGCGTCTGTCTTTTCCGACGCGTTGCGTCCAAAAACAAACGCGCTCTCCTTTTATTCCCCCGCCAAACATTCTCAGTTATTTGTTACGCCCTTCGCTTTCCAAGATGCCTCGCCCAGCGCCAAAACGTAACCGCACGAAACCCTCAGGCCATCTTCCAGCCGAGAAGCGCGACAATGACGCGACTCAATCTCCAGAGCGTGGATCCACGCTGGATCCTCGACAAGCACTACGCAGCCAAACGCCCATGACAACAAGTTATGAGCAGGCAATCGAATCATCGCCGACGGGCAGTCGCCCTGGAACGGGGAGCAGACCCCCAACGCGCTCTCGAGGCTACTCCTCCACATTGTCCCTCGCTGGCCGGAAAGGCGACAACTCGCGCATCCCCGGTACCCCAGGCTACGACAGTTCAGTGCTGAGCAATTTCCGCCGACGCCCGCGACAACAAAGTATCCTCCAGATGATGCAGGCCGATGACGGATCCTCCGAGCTTGACGACGATGATTTTCTGGGAGGCTTTAGCCCGCAGGATGAATCTACGCCGTTGAATCTCTCCCGCGGCAAGTCACTACTCGTCAGAACAGAGCAATCGCCATCGCCATCTGAATCGCTACCGTCATCTGGCAGGTCGCGTAAGCGCAGACATGCGGAGGAGGAGATCTTGGTCCCCGAATCTTCTATGGAGTCGGCCCAAGATATGGTGGAAGATACTCCAACCGCAACACCTATTGCTCGCGTGCCTTCCTCTCACCCATCAGAAGCGACTCCGCGCGCTGTTCCCTTTCCAGATATCCTCAGTCAGACTCTTGCGCCACCTACCAGCAGCCCAGGCTTGAGCACCAATGGCTCTGTTGCAGACGCAGCTCCCGGCAAGAAGTCTAGCGACCCCGCCCAATTACCAACGGCAGTTCTACAAAACCGGTTGCTACCTCGTCGACGACAGCGTCGCAAGAATCGAGCGGCCGGGGACTTCGATGTACCAAGTGATGATAGCGACGATGATATGCATGACGCGGCCTCTGGGGACGACGACGAGCTGAACTACCAGCCGTCACGACGGGGCGACAGATCGAACAAGCCAAAGCCTCTGAGTAACACACGAGCCAGATCCAACCAGAAGAAAAAGAAGACCAGGGCGAGGTTGGCCTCGGCGCCCAAACCTACAGAGCCGGGTCCCACAACCTATGGGCGTTCGCGTGGAAGTGGAAATGGAGGTGTGGACAAGGAGAATGAGATGTTGTCGTCGCCAGGATCATCACCCCTGTCATCTCCGCCCGATACTGACGTGGACTTATCCGATTCGGAGGCTGAGACGGGGCCCGGGCGACGATTTGTGAGCGACGAGCTGCGTGCGGCCGCCAAGAAATTCGCGGAAGTCGACAAATGGCAAATGGAGTTTGAGGACGTTTCTGCGTCCGAGGCCTAGAGCAAGCAGAGATTCCCCAGTAACTTTTGACGTATAATGAGACCAATGTCAACCATCCGCCACTTTCCCGCCTTGCGGTTAGTCGCGCTTAATCTCAGAGTACAGCGAGCCCCGCAGCGAGTGCAACCCAGCTGTGTATTTAGTACTACCTCCACCCAGCGTTCCCCAAACGGGTTTACTTTTCTGCTTAGCCCTACTGTGAGCAAAATGACTACCACCGACACGATCCTCGCGGCAAAATACCCTGCCAAGGCTCATGCGCGCCGTGTCGCTGAGTCCATCAAGGCTCGGCAGGGGACCGTCGGTGCGATCTATCTCGAGGCTCAAAAAAACTCGGTTGATTGAGGACAACGACGAACCGCAACCTTTCAGGTATGCTTCCAGTGGAATCCTTGAGGAAACCAGATAACCGTGGCGACTAATTGTGGTCCCCGGACTCGATAGACAACGCCGCCCATTCTTCTACCTGACCGGATGTCTCCTCCCCGATGCCTCCGTCGTCTATGATGTGAACGCCGATCAGTTGACTCTGTTCATTCCTCCTATCGACCCGGAATCTGTCATCTGGTCCGGTCTCCCCTTGTCGCTCGACGATGCTTCAAAGCTTTACGACGTCGATCGCGTCCTTTATACTACCGACGTCAATGCGACACTGGCCTCCATCTCCTCCAGCCAGGGCGGAAAGGCGCCCGTCTTTGCCATTGAAGAGCAGGTGTCGTCCGAAGTCAAGTTCCACGGCTTCTCCGCTACAAACCTATCGGACCTGAAGGAAGTCATCGGAGATGAGCGTGTGGTCAAGGATGCCTACGAGATTGCTCTGCTTCGCAAGGCCAACGAGATCTCTGGCAAAGCCCACGTCGCCGCCATCAAGGCTGGCCAAACCGCCACGAATGAGCGGGAGGTTGAGGCCGCTTTCATTGGCACCTGCTACGCCAATGAGAGCCGCGAGCAGTCTTACCATGGTATTTTTGCTAGCGGCGAAGGCGGCGCTACCCTCCACTACACAGCCAATGACAAGCCTCTGATTGACTCCAACGGCCAGCGCAAGAAGAACATGCTCATTGATGCTGCTGGCGAATACCAAACCTACTGTGCCGATATTACTCGTGTCATCCCTCTGGATGGCAAATTCAACGAGGAAACCCGCCAGATCTACAAGATTGTGCTGGAGATGCAAGAAGAGGCCATTGCCGTCCTGAAGGCGGGCGTGAAGTGGGACGATGTGCACGCCCTGACCCACCGCGTTGCCATCCGTGGCCTGCTGAAGCTCGGCATCCTGCGCGGATCCGAGGATGAAATCTTCGATAAGCGCGTCAGCGTGGCTTTCTTCCCCCACGGCCTGGGCCACTACCTGGGCATGGATACCCATGACACCGGCGGCCACCCCAATTACGAGGATACCGATAAGATGTTCCGCTATCTGCGTGTGCGAGGTACCCTCCTGCGGGATCTGTGATCACAGTTGAACCTGGTGTAAGTCTGAGCTTCGGATCGTCTTTCTAATGAAAGTGGCTAATTAGTTTTTGGATATAGATTTACTTCTGCCGCTTCATCATCGACCCTGTCCTCAAGGATGCGGAGTTGAGTAAGTACATCGACACTGCCGTTCTGGACCGATACTGGAGTGTTGGAGGTGTCCGAATTGAGGACAATCTGCATATCACCAAGGATGGCTCGGATAACCTGACTACGGCGCCCAAGGCCCTGGCGGAAGTGGAGAGCTTGGCCCAATAGACTCATAGATAAAGAAAATTCCGGGTTTGACTCCATAATTAAGCCAGCTATAGTCATACCAATTCGTTTACTAGTTTTGTCTTTCCGTGGTCCACATTCTAAACACCGGGTAGAAGTTTTAATAAAGGAGGATTGGACATATTTATCTATTTCAAGTGCTCAGATGTGGCAGCTTAAACAGCAGGTGTATTCCTCACTCTCCCCCTGTACAAAGCCCCGAGTTCTCTCTAGATTGGCTGCCTTGTGACATGTACTGGCTCCTAACATAACATCGAATTTCCTGCCAATCGCCATGTTAGCCGCTTTTCTTTACAAGAATACCCTGGATTCTCGGTAGCAAAGAACGAGGATCCACCGGCTCTTCGATCTCCTGCGGGTTCTCCCATTCTCCGCTATCAAGAATATCCGCCAACACGTTCCGCGTCAAATGACATCCGATGAGCCTGCTCCAAGCAGGATTCAAACAAGCTTGAAACTTTCATATTAGCCCGCGCCATATATCTGTGCCACCCCGGTAAGAGGGGAGTAGCCCCCGAGCGAGAGAAAAAAGCCGCGAAGCCATACCTTGTGTCGCGGACGTCAATCGATCTCTACTCGCTCCATGCTCCCAAAACACAAACTTGCCTCCAGGCTTGAGCAGTTTCCAGACCTCTTTCATCACGTTCCTCGGGTCTTTCACAGCACAAAGGACCTGGATACTTAGCACGGTGTCCACGCTGCCCTCGGTGATTCCTTCTGCGCGGAGGACATCGCTATCTTCGATGCCGCAATCGATCAGCTTGTACTTATCCCGCAGCCCGGACTGCTCTAGTTTGGCATCTACCGCATCCCTGAAGAAGGGATTCGGCTCGACTCCGTAGATCTGTTGGATGAGCCCGGGATCGAAACGGTGGATCTGGTTGCCGGGTCCGGGACCCAGCTCAAGGACAACCCCGCTGGCGGCGTGGACGAGCGAGGGGACGATGGTTGTGTTCTCGTAAGCGATGAAGCCCTTGGCTATACAGTTTGGTCAGTTCTGCTCAATTCGCTCGAATCATTCAACGCAGGGCTTGACTACAATTTACGGTGAGTAGTCTTGCAGAGGCGGCATCACGGATTTGTTGCGGGCGTCCAAGGGCAACGAAGCCCTCTCGACGGATTGCCTCTTTTAGGGCTTCCCAGTGCACTGTGAGAAGGGATGGTGAGAATGGTTGCTACATGCGCGGCGGGGTATTACACTCACGGCAGATGGAGAACCAGATCATCGTCAAAGGACGGAGGAGAATTTCAAGACGGCCTGGTTGAGGAGGCATGGTGGTTTATGAATCGATAGTATTGGGAAAGGGAGTATCTTGGAGGAGAATATTGAAAAAGGGAGCGGGAGGTGCGGTGAACTTTGGAAATCAAAGAACGGAATTTACACGGGGGGGGGGGGGAAACAGAAGGTAGAAGTTGATAAGCGAGTCCTTTCATTTTATAGTCAGCAGTTGACGAGCAAGCCCGGGGGCTGTGCGGCCTGACAGACTACTGTGGCTCTACACTAGCCTTGGTCCACCCAGGATTGCACACCAGATACCGATCCCTGCCACGTCAGGCTTAGGGCTCGTGTGGCGTAGGATGCGACTTGGACGGAGGGTGAAGCCAATTGGGGGTCATTCCAAAGATGAAGAATAACTATGAGACAAAAAGAGATGGTTCTTCTGTTTTACACAAACCAGCCAAATTATAAGATTGCGCCAGTCATGGTTGATAAGACATTTGGGTGGTTCCTTTCCCGAGGTGACATTCATTATGATTCAGGTTCAAAGCAGGCGATGAAGCTGAGATATTTCCCGCCATGGAATTCCCCATATGAGTGGTAATGCGCTAACTTGCATAGACAAGGTTAGACAAGTAGCTGAAGTCATTTTCAGTCTGTGAGCAAGATATCAAGTAGACTCGTTCCAGACATCTGGAAAGACGATGCAATCTTGTAGATGGAACTATGGTTGCAGCCTATCAATGAAACCGGGAAATCTCGAGCAACCATCGAGACAATTCGAATGCCAGAGAAATTCATCACGCAAGTTCTCGCAAGGGAGTTGGCGAGTTGATAGTCGTGGGCCGCGCACAAGTTGGGGTGTAGTAGACAAGCCACCCCGGTGGGGCTGGTAGACCAATCATGCTGAACGATTTGACGGGAAATCACAATATTGCAGTCTTGCCCAGCACTTCATATTAATAATCTGATGCTGATGGGTGATGAAGCTCAAATCAAAAACTCGGTCATGTGAATTCTAGCTAATTGTGATAGGAAGCACGATGTTGATGGATTATTGAAACCCCGACATATTGAGGGGGAATCGTTAGATAATTAGATACAAGCTGCAAAGAAGACTGGGCCCGGTAAAGATTCCTACCCAGAAGAAAATATTCCCGATGACTTTTCGCCCCCGCAGGAAGCGGGTCCGGCTCAGAGACACGAGTGGCAGTTGGCTCATCTGGAGGATAAGCAAGTAACCGCGAAGTCGGCGGAAAATGCAAAGCATGACCAGCTCATGAACGCACGCTGAAAGCAAGAATGTGACGAAGCTCGCCGATACGCGCGATAGATGGAAGGCACTGATAGAGCTGTGGTAGACGTGGCGGCGTAGAAAGTCGGCGACGGGGCGGTTCCAGTCGCGCGCGAATTGGTCCCAGGATACACAGTTCCACCAGTCGGCGTAGAACTTTCGATCCGCAAAGCGGGTGACCTCGGCGAGTACATTAAGCTGGTGGCTGTTAGGAGAGCCTTTTTGGAGTGATTCCGTTCCGGCAAGCTGAACCACTTACCACACATTCCCAGATGACATAAAACGCCAGCAGATACTCCAGCAGGAAAGGGAAGGACAAGTCGCTCAGGATCCAAGGGAACTCTTGCAGCCGTTGCTGTGCAGTCAGACCTTCCTCCTTCATTTGCACGGTTTTCATCACAACCGGGTAAATCCAGTGCTGCGAGACGGCAATCATCACCATGATGGTCCCGAAGGTAGCTGTGGTTTTCTCCGCCACATAGGACCAGTTGATCTTCTCGGTGCGTGGATACTCCAGCTCGTACACTTAGAGTCGGCAGGGTGATGAAATCGCAGAAGTTGCGCACAGTCAAGTTTCGTGGGTAGTAATGAGAAGCGGAAAACTGCCCTTGAAGCTCTTCCGACAGGAGATCGACTTCTCGCTCGAGAAAGGATCTCAAGGCCGCTATCTGATTGGTATTCAATGGACTTTTCTTTTCAATTGTCTCGGAAAGAGAGAGCAGTTGGTCGGCGGTCTGCGAAGCCTGGACGGCCTTCTTATCATCGAGTCTCCGGTGCGCCAGCTGCTCTATGCTGCTAATCTGGGCATCCACGCTAGATTGAAGGGCAGAAGTGTGAGCGGCCGGGACAGACTGCTGGTCGTCATACGTCTCAAGTCGTCTCAGCCGGGCTGACAACAGTTCACGCTTTCGATACAGAACAGACACTAGCTGGGTCAGGTTAAGCTATTCTCATGGGTAGTGGCGAACGTACGGTGACCATTATAGGCGCCATAGCTATGCTGCTTCATCAGCATAGTCAGGCAATGTAGTACCATGAAGACTGTATGAGTCCAGGGCCAATCACGGTGATAGGTCCACCAGATGGCGATCGCCAAGTAAGCGGTTTGCCAAATCTGTCGTCTGATATCAGCACGGCTTATTATTGGGTGTGAGAGGGCGCCTTACATTCTGGATCACCCACCCAAGACCATCCCAATGCAGATAGCCCGCGGAGATGGCACGCTGCAGGCCTAAGCAGAAAAGAGTGGACCAACATAACACAAAATCCGAGATACCCAGCACTAGCACATCTTTCGAAAACATTAGGCGAATGATTTCATTGTTACCCCACACGATGATGGAGCCGTGCTCGCGCCAGTTCTTGGCGCACGTTCTCAACAGCATCATGGCAACGCACAACCAGAACAGGGTAAAGAAGCCCCGGAACTCTGATGCGCTTGCGGTCGGATTCTGACGGTCGAGGGAGCTGAGTTGGCGCGTAAATGCCAGATCTCGAAATACAAAACGGCTCTTTTCGGCGCTACCGCTCTTCTGCAGAGACAGCTGGTGACGAAGCAGTTCTTGCATAACGTGGGCATCCTCGGTCGTAAGAAGATATTGCCCGGCCTGGTCTGTCTGTTGAAGCCTCACCGACACACTGGATTCCTTCTCATTCTGTCCTGAGTCCGAGTCCGGACCCCCGGTGGCGGCCAGCCGCGCCGACAGTAACTCCGTGTCTGGCTCTCTCATCATGATTGTTGAGAGGAAGAAAAGCCTGGGAGGATCTTTTATGCCAAATCACGGACTCGGACGGGTCGGCCAACGAAAGACCGAGGACCATAGATGACGTTTGGTTGCCTCCATTGGGGTTCGGGTGGGTCGATTGTACCAATTGAAGACCGAACAGTTCGACCTGGTTCCATAGGGCTGGATCTACATGGCACATGGGCACAAAGCTCGTCCTCTTAGCTTAATCTTATCAGCGTCAACGGCCTCCACGAATTCTGGTTAGCCGCTGTGGGGCCCGGAAAGGCAGTGGACTAACAAGAGCTGCGGTATGGCCTTTGATCTGGAAAAATGCGAAAAGGTTGAGAATTCGATGATCGAGGTCCATCTCCACACGCAAAATGGGCCGCAGATCTAAAATAGCGCAAAGATTGTGTTTGCTTTCCAAAAGCCGAAAAGTTCCACTCGATCCCCCCGTCTCTCTTCTCCGCCCGTGGAGCTCTTCTCACTCGCCCCTCTCCCCACTCACCCCATGGATCCGCCTCAGGTCCAGCTGCCAGGGTCTGAGAGTGCCGGTCCATCGCAAGATGCCACCGTAACCCCAGACGCAAATCACTCCGTAGAGGTGGAGATGGGTGGCGCAGGGGCTGCACCGAACGATGAGGATCACTCATTGCTAGATGCACCAGGAGAAATTGATGTTGGTCTTGAAGCTCACCCCGAGCCCGAACCCCCTGCCCCTCCAAAGAAGAATGCTGGTCTCATGTTCCTCGAGTATGCTCCCCTTCCGCGGGCGTGACATGGACTAGTCTTCCCTGCTTTAACATGGCACGGACCCAAGCCATTGTCCCACCCGCCAGCTGCCATGGAGCTCCAACTCACATCAGCTAGATTCCTCACCTCCCCTATCGTCGAGATCGAAGTTGGCGAAGGCGATGACAAGACCACCTTAACGGCGCATCAGACACTCCTTCGCGAGTCGCCTTTCCTAGAAGAATTGGTGAACCAATTCGAAGACTCCGGCCCTGTACGTGGGAACCCAACCAGACAGCCTTCCTCATCACAGCGGCACTGCTTCGGGGAGTCTTAACATCTGTATCACTGACGCTAAATGAACCCCCAACTTGCAGCGCCGCATCGAACTCCCCGCCGAGAACGTGCAAGCCTTCGGCTGCTTCCTCCAATTCCAATACACGCGCGACTACACTCTTCCCTCCGAGACCAACGGATCCACCGAGGTAGCTACGGCAGACAGCAGTGGCGAGGAGCTCTTGCAACACGCGCGCGTCTACACCCTCGCCGAGAAGCTCGAGCTGCCGATCCTGAAGACCCTCGCCCACAAAAAGATCCATCGCGTGAACAGTACGCCCGGCGGGGAACTCGCCTACGCCCGCTACGTGTATACGCATACCCTTCCGGACGATATGACTATCCGCAAGCCTATTGCCGCCTACTGGGCGGATCAGGGCCATGTCCTCAGGCACGACTTGAAGGAGGAATTTAAGCAGCTTTGTCTGGATCTTCCGGAGTTCGCCTACGACGTGCTTACCTTGCTGTTCGATAAGCAGGAGAAGGGGGCAAAGAAGACTAATCCCGAGATCGAGTCGGTGATGCGGGGCAGTGGCCGGAAGCGCCGCCGGGATATCTAGGCCGTTCGGTGTCAAGGCGTTTGTACAACTTTTATCAATGGTAACGGAACAACCTAACAAACAACTCGATTCTTTCCGTGATCTTGACTGGATTGTCTCTAAGGGATATTTCATTGTATGGAAAGCCTTGGCTTCTACTAGACTCAACTGAAGCACGTGGAACAGCACAGCCCCTCGAAGCGCCGGAAAACATACATAAAGATAAAGTAATCTGCAATCATACAAGACATCCCATGGACGATCATTGGTTGCTCCGAGGCAGCCGAAGACCAGGTCCGACCCCGCTTGGCAAGTATAGCCTTGCCCCGCATTCATCATCTCACGATTGCCCAGCACTATCACTCCCTGAACTGCTACCTCCCCCTTCAAGAGTAGTGCAATCTGGTATCCCACAGACCTCGTCCTCCACCATAATCATCCGCAATGGCATCCTACCCTCCAGGACCCTGCTGCATCGTCGGCGTAACCCACGAAGGCGAACCAAAGGGCGAGCTAAAACAGATCGGCGGCGGTACCAATTCCCTCTTGCAAGCTGAAGATACCCACGCGCTAACAGAGAACAGTCGAGGCATACGTGACATATCCAGCAGACGGATCTACTAAGAAAGCTATTTTGCTATGCTGCGATGCGATTGGCCACCGCTCGGTCAACCCCCAGCTAATCGCAGACCAATGGGCCGCCAATGGCTACTTCGTCGTGGCCCCGGACCTATTCCACGGCGACGCGGTGCCCCTGCAACGATCTCCGGATTTCGACCTCCAAAATTGGTTGAACAGGCATCTGCCGCCGAGAGTTGAGCCGGTCGTATTGGCTGTCTTGAAGGAAATGAGGACCACGCTCGGCTGTGAGCGGGTGGGCTCGGCTGGGTTCTGCTTTGGGGTATGATACTTGTACCCCTGTCTGGCTTACTTGTCCTAATGACGGGAAATGGCTGATCTGCTTGCGTGAACAGGCGAAGTATTCCATTCGCCTGCTCCAGCCCGGCCAATTCGATGCCGCTTGGGTAGCACATCCCAGCTTCGTTGACGCCGAGGAGGTTGCGGCCATCAAGGGTCTCTCTCTCTATCTCTGCGGCGGGTAAGTGGCACTCCTTTTCCGTCTGTTCAGTGGGACATGGAAGCAAGTGATTAACCTCCGGTTGGCATTGGGACAGAGGTCGATTCCATATTTCCAGCTCCCAAGCGACATGAGACGGAAGCGATCTTGGCGAAAACTGGTCAGCGGTATCAAATTAACCTGTTTAGTGGGGTGGAGCATGGGTTCGCTTCAAGAGGGGATATGTCGGATCCCAAAGCCAAGTTTGCTAAGGAGTCTGCATTCGTGCAGGCTGTCAACTGGTTCCACGCATACCTGTAGATTGATTGACGTGGATTGGGCAGCGGCTGACCACCCGGGATCAACCTCGGGAATATCTCATCTGGCCACTCCAGGAGTAGATACATACGCCAAAGTAATATGACCAGAATTGTATATCAAGGGTTGAATAAGAAACAATAGAGTAGGAATTGATATTCCTCCGAACCCGGTCAGACCCTGGTGAACTGAATTGGGACGGCAGCGGTGTACATAGTACAACAAACGACTACCAGGAGATCTTTTCTACTAGCCAAGGATGTCAAGGGGCATTGCTCAGCTTTCTACAAGTTTGGAAAACTTTTGAACCAAGGTATTTCATTTTGTGAACCGCTCCTCGTTCGCCGATATCAAGCTGAAGATGTACATGCATTGCAAAGTCGAAAGCGAAACAAGAATCTTTCCATATATCATGGTTAAGTGGGACCGTGATAGTTGCTAGTGTAGCAACACGGAATAGGGTATGGAGATATGTGAGGCAAGAGATGAGAAGAAAGTAGGAGACGTTTTTACATCTTCTCGTAGGTAGCCATAAGAGAGCCTATCAAAGAACTGTTAGAGTCCGTAGAAGCGAGCTGCCAAGGACTGAACTTACCGATAAAAGTAGTAACCAGGCGTGAGCGGACCGTGCAGATATCCTCCGGCACCAGCCAGATGGTGGCTCCCAGCTTACGCGCAATGCTGATACTGAGCTTGGCGTTGGCGTACGCATCCTCGTATCCTTGCTCGCCGCTGCGGGGGTTGGTGACCAGGTCATAGTCGACGTAACCGCTCTTCATACCGTTCAGGACATCCAGCAAGAATATACCGTTTCCAATGGATTGGTCCTTGAAGCTACGGATGCTGGAACCACGACCACCCTTCTTGGACATGTCGTTGGCCCATTTGATCATTTCAGTGTCAGTAATCTCACGCTTGCCGAGACGCTCGGCGAGAGCAGATAAGGTACGGGTGATATCACGGCGCATCAGCTGCCACACCAAGCCAAGGGTTAGCGTGCGCTGGCCGTCGGTGATATCGGCACCTTGAACACCGACAAGGGAAAAGCCGTGGTGCTTTCCAAGCTCGATTGAGTAGTTAGTGTTCTCCACAGCCTTGAACCGCATCAACTCAGCACCAGACGCAGGGGGTTTGTTGACGTGACGCCAGTTCACGCTGCCGGGGATAACCTTGTCATAGGCCTGTAGCAGAATAAAACCGTCGCGCAGATCATCGAAGAGCGAGTTGACCGCCGGCTGTACATCGAGCGAATTCAACCAGAGGGTAAAAACTCGGGCCTCACGCTCGCCCTCAGCGTCGAAGTCTTCGATGTCGACCTTCTCCTCCTCAGTAATAGGGTCGAGTCCAGGATGGGTGTTGAACAAGTTGGCGACGAAAGCAAGGTTCAGCTTAGGGTTTCCAGCAACAAGAGAGGTCGGGGTCAAGAACTTTCGGCACTCCAGCTTGTCGGCATTGTCGAGGACCTGCTCCGCACGCTGGAGCAGATCGTTGGTCTGGAGAGGGCCGCGAGAGCAAATATCCGGAGCCAATTGGTTCAAAAGAACAGTGTAGTTCTCGCCATCCTTGACATCGTTAGAGAAGTTGTTCACTCTGTAAAAAAGACATCGTTGTTAGTTGATATGCATATTTAAGGATGATAAAATAATCGTACCTTCGGTCCCACTTAGCATTCTTCAAGTGATAATTGAACCAGCGAAGAAGGATCTGCTCTGGGGGCAGGCGCAGGAATTGCTCCAGTGTCTCATCATCTTCCAAGAGACGGTACAACTCAGGGTGGAGCTTAATATCAATCTTTCCGAGAAGACCGCGACGGATGATCTGCCAGATCAGACCGAGAATCAGATGCTCACGGACCTCAATGATATCCCCACTTCCGATGTTCACAACAGAGCAACCGATGCCCTTGGCAGAGTTGATAACAATGTTATTGTTCTCTGTCATGTGGAAAGCGTTCAATTCCTTGATCTTTCGACCGGGCTTGTTCAAGACACGCTCATCAATTGTGTCCGGTACGCTGTCGTTGATCAACTTGGCTAGAACTAGACCATCCTTGCACTTATCGAACATCTCGAAGGTATCGGTAGGGAAAGGAAGCTGGCTGCCAATATCGGGATCGCCGGCCAACACGGCGTTGATATGGCGCGTGAATTCAGTGCGCTCGTCCTCGTTAATGGTGTGGGTTACGTTTGATGAAGATCCTTGGACATGAATACGGCCCGAGAGGCTGCCCTTAGACTGGTGTCCGCGAGCTCCGCCAGCGCCAGCGCCGGCTCCAGCTCCCTGAATCACAGCTACTGGGCTAGGTGCAGCTTGAGGGGCGGGGGCTGGCCCCGAGCGAAGTCGCGCAATAAGCTGCGCCGGTTGTTAGCGCCCGAGGGTGGGGAGAGGGGGGGCCCCGGCAGTGCTCCGCCGGGGAGGTCGGAATAATGGAACGGGACACGTACATCAATGTAATCCTCAAGTTCGACACGGCGAGAGCTGTCAAGCTCTACACCTTTCAATGTCTGCCGGACTACGTCGTAGGGCTGATGCTCCGACTGTTGAGTGGCCTTGATTACGGAGGCTTCGTCGAGGTAACCGCGATCGTCAACGTCCAGCTTGCGGAACGCATCCTGGAGGGAGAAGATCTCTCCTTGGTCCAGTTGCGGGAATCGCCTGTTCGCAGAAACGGGGGTCAGAAATTGGACTTGCGAAAGATCCGACAGCACACTTACTTCTGGAGCTTGAGAACGTTCATCGCGAAACACCAACCGATGCAAGGCGGGGTTGGAGGGGTTTATGATCGGAAGAAGGGAAAGGGAAGAGGAAGAAACCCAACCACGACAGAAGTTGGAAAGGAACCTAGGCGCCCACCTTAGGAAATTAGGAATTGGACACGACTAGACTGGGCAGTGTTCCGAGAAATATACACGAGCCGGGAGAAGCGAAAGGAAGCGGGAGAAGGGGAGAGTGGGGGGGCGATGAGCCACAATGCATTGACGTTACAGATGAAACGGGTAATTTCATGGTTACTTTTTACGGGGAGTCTGCGGAATTGCTATCGCTTGCTAGTCGATCCACTGTATGTAACTTACGGTAACGTATTAAATACCGTACTTTTCAATTAAGCTGCCTGCTTGGTAGGCAATGACGTCGATATCCATGGATGGACGTTGCCTGGTCAGTCATCAACATAGACTCGCGTTGCATACTCCATACGCCCGTTGTCGCAGCATTCTGATTACCATGGCTGGACATTGCCGCAACGGATGACCTTGGCCGCATCATGGTCGCGAACACCCTCGATGACAGCTCGAACAAATTCAGCCCCAATAACCGGGTCAATCTCGCCCGTCGGTTTGTTCTATTCTCGATCAACGCCGAAGTCCGTTGCCAGGAACCCGGGCAGAACGCGCCAGACTTGAACGCCATCTTCGTGGAAAACTCGCGCCCATTCGCGCATCAGCATATCCATACCCGTCTTGCTAGAACGGTATAATGTGATGGAATGCATTCTGACATTCCAGCAAGGGCTGTCTGGATTATGCGGTGTATGATGCTTTTCGATGTACATGCTTGCCCGCTATGTAACTTTCGCGGCCAGACATAAGGGATGGAGTCCTCTCTCCGTGAACCTTGCAGTGTAATGTCAGGACGTCCAGATCGGACTTGATAAAAATTTACTTAAACGGCAGCAACTCCCTGTTGATAGACGCGGCGTTCCGCAATAATTGCTTATTTCCGAGGCGGTCTGTGGCCTGCCTTTGGTGCCTGGTGTACAGCCTCATGGTCCCGCTTCATAGTAGTCCGAGCACTAGATCAAATTAGCACGTTCGACTATTTAAGTTTTCCCTCGTTCCAGCATAGTTGTGTGTATCTTTCTCTTCATCTTAATTCCAGATACCGTACTCTCATATTGAAATATGGCTCCTCTTACAATCACAGTCAACGGCACTTCCAGACTTACTCGTCCTGCTGAACGAGGAGTCATGAACATCTCCGTCGAGGCTGAGGGAACCGACAAAGAACTCGTGTCGTTGCAAGTAACCTCTGCTTCCAACGAGATGCACAAACTGTTCACGGAATTGTCTCCCAAAACAGAAGCTGGAATCGCAACAGCGGAGGCTGCAGTTACTCATTTTTTCCTCCACTATGCTTCGAAGTTGGCATCAAACGCCTCGTGGTTCCGATGGTATCGCCGTCGCACGAGTATACCATGCTAGCTCTTCAATTACCGCTACCTTCCGAAACTTTGCCGCTATGAATGATATCGCAGGGAAGTTAATCCTGAACCCGCATGTACACATCAAATCGATCGATTGGGAGTTGACAGACGCTACCATTCAATCGCTGGGGCAAGAGTCCCGAAAGCTAGCAATGCGCGATGCGATCCAAAAAGCCGAGGACTATGCTGATGTTATTGGACGTAAAGTCGTTGTGACCGAGATTAATAGCGGTGGTTACTCTGGAGACTTGAACGTGAGGTGCATGATGGCAACTGCTCCCGGTGGAGCGCTTTTTGGTCGTAGTTCGCCTGCTCCTGAACATGATTCCCTTGATCTAACACCACAGGAGATCAAAATTGAGGGGTCTGTGAGTGTCAAATTCGAGTCTGAAACGGCATGAGGCTTGATCAAACCACCAGCTGTCATTAAATATGGCACCAATAGCCCCCATTTTCGGAGATAAAAAACAGGCTGTGTTTATTCCGCTCGGGCCACTCAAAGTCGATTGTGCAAAGTGCATTTATTCTGGTGCTGTCTGCAGGAATACAGATTAGAGAATTATTAAACAAATGGAAGGGAAATATGCCAGTAAAACCTCGATCGTCCAAGTGTCCTACATATCACATGTAATCCTGAGGCCCGATTGCGGCACTCCTTCGTTCCCGTCTCCGCGTTGGCCATTGTTCCCCATGCGAGGATCTCCTGGGATTTTCCCTCCTCCACTCTTCAGATCATTCGCGCATTCCAGTTTTGTTCCTCGAAGGGGGCATGGAGGTGTGTCGTTTCACCAGAATTATTGATAGGCACTGCTTCTCTAACCAGAGCCTTTCGCAGAATCACAATGGATCCATCCAGCGATGATCTAGTCGCGACCAAACTCGACTCTCCGCCGGAGGTGTCGCCTGCCCCTGGCACCCCAACCAAAGCCACGATTTCGAAGCCTACTTCTCCCCCAAGCTCTCTAAACGAACTCCTTGATGTCGCTTTGAATTTCCTTGCCACGTCTAGCAATGAACAAATACTCGTATTGCTCGGACTCCTCGTCGTGATAACCTACCTCGTCCTCGGAAGGATCGGTTTGATATTGATCGGAGCAGCTGGTGGTGTTGTTCTGCACGCTCACTGGGAAGGCCCCGGTCATGCGCGGGAAGATAATGCCGTGGTAACGACAAAACGACGCGAGTTGGCCCTAGAGGTCTCCAAGCGGCTGCTGGACTGGAATCCGCGCCCCGTTTCTCCTTTGCCCGAAAGTGAACGGGAAGGGGTCCTTACAATCACCCCAGAGGGACTTTCTACAGCAGATCTCGAATACGCGACGTTTCGACCAGAGACAGCGGCTGGGTTAAGATCACTAACGAATGCGGTCGTTCATGACTATGTAAGGTAAGGCGTTCACCACAATTCTCTCCATATATTCTTTACTTATACGGCAACCCTCCTTCAGATGGTGGTATTCGCCTATACTACCTAATGAAAACAGCTTCCCAGACTCTTGTCGTCGGACCTTGACCCATTTCGTGACAAACATTTCGTCCCACCTTGCGCGCAAACGAACGGAAGATACGTTCCTCCAATTCCTCACCAATTCATCTTCTATCATCATCGTGTTCCTGAACGAACTTGCCGCCGCATTTTCTGCCACGGGGTCATCCTCTGATGCTCAGCATGTTGTGGAGCAATACCTCCAGAACTCTCCGGATAGCAGCCTCGCAAATGTCTTATCACAGGAACAGCAGAAAAAGAAACTAAACATGGTTGCAGACGACATTTTAGCACACTATCTGGATACAAAGGCATACGCCTGTCCTCCCGTGAGGGACTTCCTCAGGGAAGTTTTGGCAGGGCTGATTCTCGAATCCACAGTCATTAGTCTTGCACGCCCGGAGTTTATCAATGAGTGGATTGTTTACTTACTTCAGGATGGCGAGTCAGAGATCATGCATGCCATCGATGCTGGCGTTGAGGGCGCGGGAGTCGGTGTGTCCAAGGCTTCCGAAGACTCGAAGAATGCGCTGCCCGAACCATCAAGGGAAGATAAACCCCAGGCCCGCCTTGCCGTTGAGAATTCAGCCGACCAGCTTGACAAGGCTGAACAGGAGGCACTGGTGGAAGCCAAACGTTTAAGCGCCCTAATCGCCTCCCACGATGCACCAAGTGTGTCCACTGAGCCTATCAAGAACTCCAGCCTGTCGGAATTAGACAGCAATGCCGAGCCATCATCGAAATCCATTCTTGAAACCGAAAAAACTCTCTCGGGGGCGACAGATCCAGCCCCGTCAGACTTGAAGGTCCCCGAGCACGATCATTCTACGCCGCCAGTAAGGCTCCATGGTGCCTATGTTTCTGTGGACGACGATGCCGGGCCCAACGATAAAGCCGTGCTCAGATCCCGACCTAATTCGGACTATCTCCTCCAAGTAGAGCCGAGCTCCGCTGGATCAACGGGTTGGATGGTGTTCCGGAAGTACGCTGATTTTCAGTCGCTGCATGAAACACTCGAGACAGTGGCACGACTGAATCAAATCAAAAGTTTTTCAGATCAATATCCTACGCTGCCAGATTGGAAGGGCAAAACAAGGCATGCTCTTGCTCGAGACTTGGAACGATATTTACACGAGGCTATGAAACATGAATCACTGGCAGAAACACATCGGATGCGTCGGTTTCTGCAGAAGCAAACCAACGTCAATGAAATAAGCACTCCGAAAACTGGTTTCTCTTTCCCCACCCCGTCTGCGTTCGAAAACATGGGCAAGGGTGTTTTGGGGGCATTGACAAATGCCCCCAAAGGAGTCGCAGGGGGTGGAAAAGCCGTATTCGACGGCGTGACTGGAGTTTTTGGTGGTGGCCACAATAAAAAGCCTACCAACTCGCCGGACACGCAGTCTCTGCACCGGAAAAGCACATCGAAATCGGAGCAGGAGATCCTGGGATCTACCTCCAGAAGCAGTCTTGATCAAAAGCCTCTTTCCCAGACTTCTCCATCGGCCTCTTCTTTTGGATTTCCCAGATCAGAACCCCCTCAGTCCCCTCTGATCAGTGGAATCAGTAATGATACCGACTGGTCGTCGGTCGAGCCGAACGCTTGGGCATCGGAATCGTCTACTCTTGCTAAGTCAGAGGATCGGAAATCCCTGGAGTCTAATGGGATTGTGGAAACCAGCTCCATTGAGGAAAATAGTGTTCCAGTTTCATCGAAGCCACCCGCAGATACAAGAGTGACCGGCGAGTCACGTCTGCCCTCACAAGACACCGCTCGTTCCAAGAACCCTATTACGTCAGACGAGACTCAGATCGCCGTTGAGTTGATTTTTGCCGTGATCAACGAGCTTTATACTTTGTCCTCGGCCTGGAATATCAGACGCACTTTATTGAATGCAGCAAAATCATACATTTTGCGCCCCGGGAGTCCGACTCTCAAAACGATTCGTGATCTACTACAAGATTCTATGATCGAAAGCAACACATCTGACGAAGCTCTCGGCGAATATTTGAAGAAGCTCCGGATCAATGCCCTCCCCACAGCGGAGGAATTGAAAGAGTGGCCCCCGCCACCTAGCGACGAAGAAAAAGAGCAACTTCGACAGAAAGCGCGTCGACTGTTTGTGCAACGAGGTATCCCTCAAGCGCTTACGAGTGTCATGGGGGCCGCCGCTAGTCGAGAAGCGTTGGAGAAGATCTTCGATAGTCTCCAAGTGCAAACTGTCGCCCGAGGCTTTGTATTTTCCCTTATGCTGCAAGGACTGAAGGTTTTAACGCTGTAATGAGCTATATGTATGAATGTTTTAATCGCACCCACGGGCTTTTCCATGTCTCGTTGTGATTCATAGCGTTTTGATTGCATCTTGGCCGTCGTACTGTGGAGATCACCAAAAGTGCCTCTCTTGTATTCATTTAGACCTTTACTACTAGTAGTAGAAAGCCACAGATTCAAATTCTACCAGTGCAATTGGGTACTTCACAGCGTGTTCTGTACTGCTTTCCATTGTACTCTGGAAGCATAGAACGTCATTCAGGACCAACAATTTTCCGGTGCTTATCGCTTTGTTTCTTATCGGTGCGAGCTAATCGCATCCACCGAACGCGACAGTCAATCCTTTTGACCGCGTCGTCAAGCACAAGTTCATCATGACTTCCCGCAAGCGCTCTGCAGAGGACTCGGTGGCCCAATCCAAGAAGGCCAAGACAGGCAGATCCCTTGTGCCGCCCCAGACTGATGACAATGGTGATAAGTTCTGGGAAGTCTCGAAGAACCGTCGCGTCACCCTCTCCAATTTCCGCGGCAAGAACATGGTCAGCATCCGTGAATACTACGAGAAGGATGGCAAGGCTCTTCCCGGCAAGAAGGTCGGTAGCTGCTGATATAGGGCCTTCATACCAACCGTTGCTAGTCATAACGTTGAGGCCTGTGGAGCTAATTAGTTATCTTATGTAGGGTATCTCGCTCCCAATGGATCAATTTTCCGCCTTCATTACCCTTTTGCCCGAGATTGAGGAAGCCCTCGTGGAGGCAGGAGAACATCCTCCGCGGGCAAACTATGATCGCCCTGCCAATGACAATGATGAGGATGTTGAGGGTGGAACTGTGAGCCCTTCTAAGCAGAATATCGAAGAGACTAGTGATGAGGAGGAGTAAATGAATTATTTGTGACGAGACCTTGCTACATGAGACAAGTCACTGGAATGATACGATCATAATGGAAGCGAAGAATGAAGTAAATTGAGACTTGGCATGACAAATGCCTACATTTATGTTTGCCGGTCAGTTTGGAGGTAAAAATGGACACTCCATGAACTCTGATCATATTTCTCCTTTCAAGCCATAGAAGACACAGCGATGGTACATTCTGCTGCAGCTAATGTGTGAGTATATCGAGTTTGGGGAGGTGTCAATCCGTGGCTGGGGCTCCCACTTTGGCTTCTGTGCTTCTAGCTATTAGGTAGGGCCCCTAGGAACTTAGGAACGTCCAGGTTCTATCACCTAAGCTTGTCTCTAGAGCCCGGCTGTTGGGCTTATTTCTAAGGATGTTTTCTTCCTGAGGCCTTCCTGAGGTCGTCTAAATAATTTCCTTTTCCTATTAGTACTACTAGAACAGATCCGGGCCGGTGGATATATATTGCGGCTGGAACTCGAATCCAACCTTTGAAGGGTAGACGCATATATCAATAACATACTACTAATGTACTCATGAGTTCCTTCTCTTTACTTGAATCATGATCCATCGTCCCACGAGAAGTAGGAAAGAACACAAGACTGACCGAAAACATCCAAGTGGTACTACACCGTGCGCCTTCGAAGATAAAAGACATCGAAGTGCTTCCCCGCGGCTAATCACAGCTTAACCGAAAGCCAGAGAATACCTTGACTACGTCATTTTGTCATTTTACTACTCAGGATTGTTCATGTCATAGACTAGTACGGGTACAGGCATAACGGCTTAAGATGACTTCAATTTAGATTTTTAGGGTCTAAGCCCCGCCAGAGATCAATGGTGTACTGCTTAGTATGCCAAGTCACTGGTTCGGCGCATAGAGTTACTAGGATCAAGGACTACATCTATCTAGCCCAATACCTACTGATACATCTAGTTAAGCTCGCACCACTGTTACAACGTCCATGCCACATTTGACACTGGCCGCTGTGAGCCGAGACTTCACTAAGCCTATGGTCGATCGGAGCCTACGGCGATTCGAGAGAGATACCATCTCGAAGGGGTCCGGTCGATCGTGAAGGGTGGAGGATGTAGGGTGAAGGGCGGGGGTTTGGGAAATGGTTAATCGGTTTGGAATTATTTCTGCGAACAAGACGAGAGAGGGGCGACCGGTATTCATCGAGGAAACGCTAGGACGGAGAGACGGCGAGGACAAGGGATTGCTCGACGATCGTTTCGGTTGGAATCCGAGCTGCTGGCCAGGAGAATTACCCACACCCGGCAAAAAAAAGAAAACAAATCGCAGTTAACAGCCACGAGAAACTCCACCTCAAAACAGCCGTAAGATCAACTTGGAGAATGTGAAAGCCAGATAAGCAATTGAGGGGGTGCTGTTCAGTGAAGGGGGGAAACGAAGACGCCAGGAAGACCAGGAAAGAAAAATCTCAACCTTTTGAGTTCGGGGAGTAGAGAATACCCGCAGGCATCTGGATTGCCGATGATACCGAGGACAAAGGGTGGCATGGCACCATGCGGGTCTGCTCAGCAGTGTCAAGCTCATCATGAGTGGAGGCATGAACTTCGGCGACTGCTTTTGGCTTTTGTATTAATACAGGCCGAGAATGGGGTATTTTGCACGGCGATTGGACTGTAACTCACCGGTAGGTTCGTCTTCGGCGGGGGCAGCCTCACGCTCATCATCACGGCGCTCACGATCCTCTTCACGGCGTTCACGGTCCTCCTCACGTCGCTCTTCCTTGGGGTCGCGGTCACGTTCATCAGGGCTGCGGGAGCGATCACGGGAACGGTCACGGTCACGGCGGTCATAATCGCGGTCACGGTCACGGTCGCGGTCACGGCGGTCGTAGTCGCGGTCACGGCGATCATAATCACGGTCATCACGACGATCATCACGCTCATAGCGGTCATCACGGCGAGGTGAGTAGTCACCACGGCTGCGGCGGGGTGAAGGGGAACGGCCGCGACGAGGAGGGGTACGGTCACGACGGCGCCCATCACGGCCAGAGTCAAAGCGCCAAGAGGCAGAAGGTGGAGTGCGCGCCCACTGACAATATGAATTAGCAAGTGCTTATAAGAAAATTGTGAAGAGTTTTGGAACGTACCTCAATCTTCAACAAATCCTCACGGCCAATGCGTTTGTTGTGCATCTCATGGTAAGCATCATCAGCATCGCGGCGACTCTCATATTCAACGAAGGCGAAGCTATGAAGTCCATTAGAACAATATCGATGACATGCAATATTAGCGTTCACTCACAGTCGGCTAGATTGGGTGCGAGGGGCCGGGATGTCACAGCGAACGAGGCGACCATAGCTAAGACAAGTCAGTAAGCATATGAACGGTCATATGAACAAGTATAGCTAAGAGACTCAAATGTAGTTTCGTGGGAGTGAGGAGCTTCACAGCGCCATTAACCTTGTATCTAATTTTTGTAGATTTCAAGGATTCCACTAAGACATAGAAGGGAAGGCGAAAGGGGGGGGGAAGAAGGAGCGCAGCGCAGCGTCATTGTCGCGCGTTGGGTGGAGCTCGAAAAACCGGGAGCTTAACGCCGCAGTTGGTGTGGATGTCACATACCGTTCGAATTCGTAGGCAAGGTCACGGGCTCGAGTGCCATGGCCGAAGCCAGTGACATACAAAGTAGTTCCCGAACGAGACATGTCGCGCAATGGAACAGCGGTGGTGCACACGGAGGAGGAAGGTAAGGAAGAGAAAAGAAGTTCAAATTGATGAAAATGACGTCCGGAAAGGAACAAAGAGGACACGTGACTTGAGCGCTTCACAGACACCTGGAATGCAATTTGCCCCCAAAGTTGGCGCTTGTGCAGGACGATCGTCGGTTGCTGGCAGGGGTGAAGATGGAATTGTTCAGCATTGCTCTTGGAAATGCTCTATAGATAGCCTAACAAATTACTTCATTGGTTCGACATGCTTGCCCAGAGCTCTAGTTGGGGATCGGGTGGTGAGCACCGGCCTCTCGGAAGGTACCGTAGGCGCCGGTAGTCGGAATGATGTTTTTCGTTTCGCATCTTGCCTACTCCAATCTCCCCTCTCCACTCCAACAGCTGTACCCCAGGATTCCTCTTAGACCTCTGCTGCGCGCCCCAGTGGTTTCTTTCCTTGTTTCATGCCCTATTCGACTCTTAGAATCTAGAAACTATACCAGGAACCTCGTTCTTTTCCGCTCGGGCTAGATTTTCAGCTTTGCGCCCCCTTTGCCTACTTCCTACCTGGGCACCTCAATCTTCCGTCCTGGCCCTTGCTCAGCCCCAAACCCACTCCGAAACACGCGGGAACAAGGACATTGCTACAAAGCCGCTCAAGGATGGACCAGTGAAGGGTCAGGAAGAAAGCATTGCGGACAAGCTTCATGGCCAGCGTGAATTTCATACTCTTGATTCCCTGTCCGTGTTCCTAGCCGCGGGAGCTCGATCTAACCCCCGCAATTATCATCTCGAAGGCTGAAAGAGGACACGCTGGATTGGACTCGACTTGAAGCTATTGAGAAAAGCGCTGCGTCTAGTCGCGTTTCCACCCTTAGTTGCCACACCAGTCGAGGGCGCATGCGGTCAAGATGAGTCTCAATCGTGAAAATGGACCTCAGCAGGAGGAGCTGAAGGAGCAGAAAAAGGCCACTTTGCAGGCCATACCACTCCCTACAAGTGCCATTAAGGTTTGGCTCCGTACATTTTCTTTTAGAATGAGTACTGTGGCTAACCGTTGATGATCTCATTTTAGGGATCTATCACCGAACCCCCTGGCATCATAAGACAAGCGAAGAACAAACTCTCAGAGCCCGTTGTTGCTGCATTCATGGCCGGTGGGGTTGCTGGCGCTGTTTCTAGAACGATTGTGTCGCCACTTGAGCGTCTCAAGATCTTACTTCAAGTACAAAGTGTTGGACGAGAGGAGTATAAACTGTCGATATGGGAGGCTCTAAAAAAGATGGGCCGCGAGGAAGGTTGGCGAGGATTCATGGCAGGAAATGGTACCAACTGCATTCGCATCATCCCTTATTCGGCAGTGCAGTTTGGAAGCTATAACTTTTACAAGGGTGTAAGTGGCCACTCATAGATAGATCCATACCGTCTTGAACATCTCGCGTCACACCAATGGGGACTTACGCTAACTTTGCTAGTTCATCGAATCTCCAGGTGGCGAAATGTCGGCGCTTCAACGTCTGGCGTGTGGAGCTCTCGCCGGTATTACTTCAGTTACATTCACATATCCCCTAGACATTGTACGCACGAGGCTGTCTATCCAGACGGCCTCGTTTGCGGATCTCGGCACACGAGATGCCTCTCAAAAATTACCCGGCATGTTTCCCACCATGGTCTCTATCTACAAAAATGAGGGGGGGATGCTCGCTCTTTATCGAGGCATTATCCCTACCGTCGCGGGAGTCGCACCATATGTGAGTTGTTGCTTCTGACCCTTCTGATTAATGAATATAGCCTTGGTGCTGACTCGCTAAGGTTGGACTGAACTTCATGATCTATGAGTCCGTCCGAACTTACTTTACGCCGGAAGGGGACAAGAATCCTAGCCCGTGGCGGAAGCTAGCCGCCGGTGCAATCTCTGGCGCCATTGCTCAAACTTGCACATATCCCCTGTGAGTTCAATTGCCACACGTAATATCCAATTCTTTCATTCTAATTGGGCCTAGTGATGTATTACGACGACGCTTCCAGATCAATACGATGTCTGGAATGGGCTATAAATACAAATCTATCTTCGATGCCGTACGAGTGATTATGGCCGAGGAAGGAATGCGAGGCATGTTCAAGGGAATTGGGCCCAATCTTTTGAAGGTTGCACCAAGTATGGCTAGCAGCTGGCTCAGTTTCGAGTTGACACGGGACTTCCTTGTCTCGCTGAATGATAGAGATTAGTGACAACTAAGGGTAAATATCGAGTTTTCCGTCTCGGTCTTCTTTGTCTCCCATATCGAACTTCTTCTCTTGGTGGTTGTTTTCCAGTTTCCCAAGGGCGGTGTATATAGTCTTTAGAGCCCCAGCCATCAAAATACTACCAATTAAAGATCTGGCAATTCTTCCTCGCCATAGCCTCAGCATGCAGTCTAACTTGAGGGGCAAGATCCCAGGTATTTTATAAAGGCTATAACCGGAGCCAGCCTGGAGTATTCTGAGTCCCGTCCATAGATCCACTTGGGCTCATTGGCTCCACCACCGGCCTCGAGTCGGTCGGGTCAGCTGACCCAACCGACCAGCTTAGTCAAGATCTCATCCTATTCCGGACTAGCGTAGGGCTCAACCCACACACACCCGCGCAGCCGAACTCCAACACCAAAAACCTTTGCGTTTTCCAGACCGGTGCGACAGCGACTAACTCCCAGGTGTTCAATCCATAATCAGCAGCCATGGGTATGTTCCAACGCCTTCGATTCGCCTGTCATTGAGATAGCACTGTCTTGCCTAAGACTGTGTCTACTGGCTCCTCTCGTTCCTGCCGCTGATTCCAATCGAATTATATAGGTATCGACCTCGACCGTCACCATGTGCGCAGCACCCACCGCAAGGCTCCCAAGAGCGAGAACGTCTACTTGCAGGTGCTGGTGAAGCTCTACCGCTTCCTTGCCCGTATGATCACCCCCTCCGAAAGCGAAGTATCCGTCGACGCTGCAATTTGTGGAAAGACGCGAAATTTTGTGATGGAACCGAGTAACTGACCGTGCATTTCTGCGTCGATTAGGCCGCACGGAGTCCAACTTCAACAAGGCTGTTCTGCGCCGCCTGTTCATGTCCCGCATCAACCGCCCCCCTGTCTCGCTTTCCCGCATCGCCGCGAACGTGAACGACACCCAGAAGGGCAAGACCGTCGTCGTTATCGGTTCCGTCACCGATGACAACCGTCTCCTGACCGTCCCCAAGCTGTCCGTTGCCGCTCTCCGTTTCACCGCTACTGCCCGTGCCCGCATTGAGAAGGCCGGTGGTGAGACCCTCACTCTGGACCAGCTTGCTCTGCGCGCCCCTACCGGTGCCAACACTCTGCTCCTCCGTGGCCCCAAGAACGCCCGTGAGGCTGTTAAGCACTTCGGCTTCGGTCCTCACTCTCACAAGGTGCGTTTTCCTTTATTTCTTTTCCCCTTTCTCGAGTGAAAGGAAAATCTCTGTTGTTGGTTTAATTGTAGTGCTAATATTGTTTTCCATTTTACAGAAGCCCTACGTTGCCAGCAAGGGCCGCAAGTTCGAGCGTGCCCGTGGTCGCAGACGCTCCAAGGGTTTCAAGGTCTAAGCTTAGACCCTGGGAGGATGGTGATACAGGCATTAGGTTGGCAGTGCATATTTTTCATGATGAATCTTCAATCGCACTGAATTGCCGACTGTCTGCATGTCTCGAGTCAGGCCGGAAGGCCAAAGTCGATGTACCTAAAAATACCAGTGGCGTCTTGTCTTTGGTTGGACTGCGAGATGGGAAATTACCGAATGGAGGGGACACAAAAGAAAAATGCATCCGGCTTAGTCCTCATCCTTTCTTACGATTGCGAAATGTTCAAAAAAAATTACTTGTTGAATTGTTCTTTTTCTCTTTAACGGGCTATTTACACCTTGGCTCTTTTTAGATTGGTAGGCTCGCGTGGATGAATTTTCGCCCACCCTCGCCGTCATGGTAATCCCCGGCCCGTGCCCATTGCCTCGAATCAGGTATTTATAGATGGTCAATCCCTCCAGTCCAACCGGTCCCGGGAATGGATCTTGTTCGTGCTAATGCCTACCTCCGTTCCAAATCCGTAGCGCATCCCATCGGCAAACCGGGAAGAGGCATTCCAGTAAACGCCCGCACTGTCAATACCACTCATGAACATATTTGCGAGTTCTCGAGACTCAGTCAAAATAATGTCGGTATGCTTTGAATGGTGGGCGTTGATGTGTGCGATCGCTGCCTCAACTGCTGCCGCTGGAGGGTTAGTGGATGGGATGGTTTTGACAGCCAGAATCAAGTCCAAGAATTCAGTGTTATAGTCGGCCTCGGTGGCTGGCTGTATCTTGGCGGCCTGGTCTGCGGACAAGACCTTCGTCAAGGCAGTAAGAGAGGGTTCATCACAGCGCAATGACACGCCCTTGGCGATAAGAGCCTCCGCTACGGCCGGGAAAGTCGATCCTAAAATGTCCTCGTGGACGAGCAAAGATTCTAGCGCGTTGCAAGCAGCTGGGTAGTCGGTTTTTGAGTCCACAATAACCTTCACGGCCATGTCTTTGTCGGCGTCGGAGTGAATGTAGGCAGAGCATAGACCGTCAGCGTGTCCAAGGACGGGGATTTTCGTGTTGTCCTTGACGTATCGAACAAGTTCATTTGATCCTCGGGGGATCACTAGGTCGATTTCTGAGTCTTGCGCCAAGAGGGATGAGATTGCGTCACGAGTCTTGACTAGTTGGATGGATGCTACTGGGACTTGAGTTGCAGAGATGGCTTCCGCGACAACCTTCGCGATAGCCACGAAGGACTCAGTGGATTCTTTCCCACCCTTGAGAATGGCTGCATTTCCGGACTTGATAGCCAGGGCTGCGATATTTGCAATGACCTCTGGGCGGGCCTCGAAAATAATAAGGAGGACACCAATCGGGCAGCTGACTCTCTCTAAACTGAGACCCTCATCTAACTGGGTTCGTAGTGATACCTTGCCCACTAGAAGGAAACATAGTTAGTCAACGGAAGGCCATAGGGACCGGAGACGGTAAAATGATGGCGGAGCAGCCGAACCAAAAGGCAAAGGCTTGGGTAACATACCAGGATCCTCCAAGTTTCGTACACTCAATATGCCCTCCAGCATATCATCATATTTGCCAGGCCGAGACAAATCCAGTCTCTTCAGCACACTCTGGCTTAAATTGCCATCTCTGGCAGCTTGGGTGGCCAATTCGATATCCCGCGCATTGGCAGCTAAGATCGTGCTTCGATTCTTATTGAGTGCTTGGTGAAGGACGGTCAAGGCTTCGTTTCGTGCATCGTTCGAGAGCGTTGCGAGGCGGCGGGAGGCAAGAGATGCGCTGCGGGCAACGTCTACCGCAGACGACTCGGTCAAAGACATAATGGAAGGGTGTAGCGTTGATATATTAGGCAATTGGAGAGAGCACAATACTCTAGCAAGTCCTTTGATGCTCTTTGTAGACCGAAGTGACCCCGAAAAAAAAACGTCGAGTGACTCAGGCCGCGGAGGGGCAGCCGCATTCCGAAGCGGTGGGGAAGGTGGCCGCTGTTGCGTATGCTCCACTTCCCTCAGCAGCTCTGGAAAGCTTCCAACTTCAATCTTCCTCCTCTGTGGATCGCACTAGTTCCTCAGCCTCTTTACATGCTTTTGGTTGAGGTACAGCCGTCCGAAATATTGCCAAGCTTTTAGCTGATATCGACCCTACGCGCGGCACCCAGCACATCTCCCGCACAACTCCCCGGCTGGGGCCTTTCTCCAAGCCTCCCCCGCCTCCACGGTGATAAGCCGCAGTCCAATAGACAAAGGTCGTCAGGCCTTGTGCTGAGATGGCTTCCTTGAACGAGATCGTTGTGGCGTCAACAGAGTTTGGCAACGTAGTGCATCCGTCCGCTGAGGCTTACGATCGCCAAATACGCCAACACTTGTCCTTCCTCAGGCGTGCTCTTTCGAATCAAGATCTCAACTCTGTTCTGAACGATGAGAGCGTATTTGACGTAAGCAAATATGCTGATTTGAATAGCTCTACTTGATGATTTGATTTAATTAACTGCTCGGCCCTAGAAACTTGACCCTTCAAAGGATTCAATCACCTACTTGCTGATCCTTCGACATCAAATCAAAGCCGCGCAAGAGAAGGCGGGCAAATCAACACCAGCGAAGTTGCTTCCAATCGGCGGACTCTGGCGGAGAATGGCCTATTATCTAGAAAACTTCGAACCTGTTCAAACAAGATATGTCGGCCAAGAATGGCGCCAGGTGGTCGAGGTGTTTGCACAGACCGCTGAGGAATTTTCTCAAGTAAGTGTTCTTCGTTTGTGGCCAATCAGTCGCACTAACTATTTCTCTATAGCCGATCTTAGCTACTCAGGTTATCAGGGACGCGATATTGCGACTCGACCCATCATCTGCCGTCTTCACGTCTACTCACCTTCTTTTTGCCCGACTCTGCCTCCGAGCCAAGACATACTCCTGCGCCCTCCCGGTTTTGAAGAGGCCTATCTGCCATATCCCGGCAGCTTTAAATGGCAGTAATCTCCGATCTGCTCCATTATTATGCGACGATCACCAATCCAGCTTGGCCTTTTTGGGGGAGAAGTCGGGTTTCTCATCGAAATTATCGCACAAGGAGTTCCTGGAGTATTTCCTCTACGGGGGCATGATCTTTATGGCTGTGAAAGATTGGCGCAATGCGTCACATTTTCTCGCGACTGTGGTCTCAATGCCGTCCGTTGGTGTCATCAGCAAAATCATGCTCGAGGCCTACAAGAAATGGATCTTGGTAGGGCTTTTGGAGACAGGAAAGGTGCGTACTTGGGCTTCTGGTCAAGATCAGAATGTGACTGGGCCAAATTGCTAACCTTTTTCTTTACTTTTTGGACAGCTCAACACGTTACCTAGCATCACTCCATCGCATGCGAGCAAAACATACCACACCTTGGCTAAACAATACGTCCAACTTGCCGAGGCTTACGAGCGTGGGGACTCGAGGAAATTCCAGGAAAGATTTGACAGCGGGGAAGAAAGGTGGAAGCAGGTAAGTCGAATCTACTCATCGAAAGCGACGGGCTGCTAATGAATTGCTCTAGGACAATAATACTGGTCTTGTACTTCAAGTGTCGGAGAGTTTGACAGCCCATTTCCTAAAACGGATCAAGAAAACATTCGCTTCATTGACCATTTCCCAGCTGCTAGAACAGGATACGCCTCTACCCAAGGATCCTGCCGCCGCAGAGTCTATTATCGCGTCCTTGATTACAGCAGGCGACTTGAAGGCTACTTTGGTACATTCGTCAAACCACTCTGGTGACACAATGTTGAGGTTCTCTGCCGGCTCAAATTCCTCACGATTGTCCCACGAATTAGATGTTCAAGCACAGCTAAAGAAAGAGAAGCTTATGCTCGAGGTGTTGATGAACCGAATTGACGAGAGCAAGCATAACCTTGCACTCAGTGACGAACTCGTCGATCACCTCAGGAAGGGGCAGTCGTGGACTGGAGCTGGTGAAAATGGTGCTGACAAGGATGACGGTGCGGACATAGAAGAGGACATCATGGTTGACTTTGCTTAAGATTTTTTTTTTTTGGAAAGATGGGAGTGACTTGCATAGCTACACTCGGCGTCTTACTGGAGCAAATACTGAATACACAGTTTACGAAGTGCCTTGCTGGTATCCTGTTAGGCTTGACTGCATGGTTTGTTGGTCTTGTACATAGACTGCAAGTGTCTTCTCAGAGAACGAGCTCTTGCGCGCAGAACTCGATATCCGCTTGACTTATCCGTTTCCTTGTAATGACGATGGTGGGGGTGGTGGTGGTGGTGGTGGTGGTGGGATTCAATCGGCAATAGATCAATAGAAGGCTAAGGGAGAACAGCTGCAAGAAGGTCCTTGAATAACTGGGGGAGAGGGGTGTATGACATGGTCTTTTATGAAGTACGGATAGTCATCTTTCTATGCTGGTTCTCGGAGTCCCGTTTTGCTGCTTTCCACTAATACTCGTTTACATGTCATGGGATTTATTTGCAACCAACGAACCTGGTGCGGAAGCCCATCCACAGCGAACAAGGTCAATCACGCTTTCGAGAAATTTTTGGAGCATTGCTTCATAAATGAGGGGTTTTCGGTGCCATGGGAACGAGTCTGTCGAGTCAAGCGCAATCAGAAGCTCTGATCGGTCTCAGGCTCAGGGGTCAGGTGGGCAATTTTGGAAAGGAAATATTCCAAAGGCTGCTCTCCATACTGCTCGGGCATGCGCTGACATGCCCGGAAAGCTTCCTCATAATGTAGGGCAGTAAGGTCGCGTGTGCGGCCACTTAGCCGGTCCTTCTGAGTTCGCAGATTCTTGAATGCACAATAGGCCAACAGCTCCCGCTTTTGCTTTCCCGCTTTTCTTTGAGTGATCGCCAGTGCCGTTGCTGCTTTCTGTCCCGGGTTTGGTTGTCGTTGGGCTCCCAGCCTAAGTACTTCCGCAGTCAGTTCCGTCTTCACGGCGTCGTGGATCCGTTTTACTTCCGTATGCCTATACTTGGCGAAGTTTCCTGCTCACGCTTGCCCATGAGCTTCTTGGGGGCATGGGCGAAGACGTCCTGACGCCCTGAAGAGCATCGGACTCTGGCTTGCAAATTTCCTGACTTTTCGCTTTGGGAAGCTGCGGCCTCCTAGCTGAACGGAAGTTGCCCTCGTTACAAATCATTGACGCAGGTGGCCTTTCTTAGTGAAGGCCATCTGAAATTGCTTGCGGATTTTGACTCTGCACTTGACGATTTCGATGAGCTCGTTCGCCCCCAGGTCGTACGTCCTACGGACACCCTCAGGCATGTCCTTCAAGCTCTGAGGTAAAGCCTCCTTCCCTGTACTGGGTATCCTTTTGTAAGTGAGTCACAGTGATAAAACTGAGTATGTTCTGGATCTGTGTCTCGCCTGTGTCCACGTTGGGATTGAAGAGGTCCCCCAGCACCAAGCGTCGCAGGAACGGCCATCAAGGACTGGAGAGTTTCAAAATCGTTTCGGCCTGCGCTTTGCTGGCAGAGATGGCTCTGCTGGAGCAGAGGAGGAAATGTGCGAGAAAGGGGAAGACCATGTGGGGGTCAACTAACTTCAAGTTAGCTCTGACAAGTGAGCCACGATCAATGTGAAAGATCACGTAACAATTCTAAGTTTGGATTTCAATCTTTGCAGTAGCTTGCTGTAAAAAGCCTCCAGATATTCCTTCGCTGTATGACCTTAACCTGAACCTGGAGCATCGTGAATAATTACTGGCAGTGTCATACGAAGTAGACCGCGGGCTTCCGAGGTAATTTGAATACGTGAAGCGTGGGGTATACTGGGATGCTCTGGGTATCAAGGCCCTCTTGTGACGGTCGCTTCTCAATCCACAGAGGAGCTGTAGGTATGCCCATTCCCTCATGTGTTTAAGTGTATAGCGCAGGGAGTGATACCGACCGGAGCATGTCCCCAGCATGGTTATTTTTGAGTGCCGCCCAACCGAAGCCTCGATGCGTTGTAATGACACAGTGTTATAGTCTAGTCTAGGCCGGCCCAAAGGCTCGGAACAGGATCCAATTATTTACGCAGAAAGATAAGTGCCACCATGGGAGATGACATCTGCATTCGATACGAGTACGAGCGACTAGGGGCAGATAGTACCAAGTAACTGCATTCACAGCCCTGGAGGCCAGCCCCGCTCTCCCAAAACTTGGACAGTGTCCTTCATTAATGCCTATTTTACAGACAATTAGATTGCTCTGCTTCAAGTTCGCACTAGATCCGATGTTAGTGGGTATCATGGTGTCCCTGGAGCTAACGATTTCGCATGGCATACTAGCAGTGTAATCATACCCGCGACCAAGGAATTCTCTCGTGTGGATCCCTGAACGAGACATTATCTGAAGAACTTCTCTGAAGGCTACGGTGAGTTGTACCGACCAATCGGATTACCCAATTGGGACAAATCGCAGCGCCGGCTCTCGCGGGTTGTTTTCCAAATGACATCCGAGGCCAATGGAGGGCGAGAGGGTAGAAGGGGCATTCCAGGAATGCCGCCACCGGAGATTCTTTGCTAGCAATACAAGGAAACCAAGATACCCGTGGGCGCCATATTCGCTCGCTCTCGTTCTCTCGTTTATAAATCTTTCCGATTGGAGCCCGCAAAGCCCCACTCTCTTTTAAGCGTGGCCCACCTTCAAACTATGTAGAAGCGGCCCAGGAACCTCGATCTACCTATGAGATCTCACCGTATCTGCAAGGTCCGAGCCTGATCCGAGAAAGAGCTATTGGAGTAACTGAAGCTTTGCCAATTCGGATGCTAGCTAGTAACTCGGTGATTTGTCACTATTTGCTCAAATCTTGGTAAGACCTTGCTTTTTCACCCGAAGAAGCACGTATTGACGTTGATCCAAATAACTCAACCCGATCCGGCAAATGAGGTCGCTGGCACTAGCGGTACAGAGTGGTAAACGAGGTTAATGCATAGACCACTTTGGGAGGCAGGGGCTGCGATCGAATGGTGCCAATATGCCGATCAAGGAACTCTGGCCTGGACTATATAAGGAGGTATGAAACTACCTCGTGAACTGCGCTTTTCGAACTTGGATAGGCCTTTAATTGTTAATACCCTAAGACCAACTTTTCTCTTTGACAACATGAAGCTCAGCTCTGTCTCTCTCTTCAGTGCAGCAGTCGGACTCGCCTCTGCGAGCCCTGTTCATAAACGCGCTGGCGTCACTGACGGTATGTCTTTAAACCACATTCAGCGTTCAACCAATGCGCTGACAATTATCCCGACAGCTGATATCCTGAACTATGCTCTGACCCTGGAGCATCTGGAGGCCGCATTCTACGAGGAGGGTCTGAAGAACTATACCCACGATGACTTCACGAAGGCTGGAATGAAGGACCCCTTCTACAGCAACCTGAAAATGGTCGCGATGGATGAGCAGACCCACGTCCAGTTTCTGACGCAAGCTCTGACAGGTATGGCCCCAAGCCGACCACTGTCATCCCCAGGTCGAGAGAAGTAGAACTAATCCTTCACGTAGCGGCCGGAGCTCAGCCGGTGGCAAAATGCAACTACTCTTTCCCTGCCACCGATGTGAAGAGCTTCCTTGCTCTCGGAAGCGTTTTGGAAGGTGGGAAGACCCCAAAAGCCTCTTGAAGAAGTAACTTGAATTAACACATGGACATTCCCAGGTGTCGGAGTCAGTGCCTACCTCGGTGCTGCTGCCTCCATCATGAACGATACCTACCTTACCGCCGCCGGAAGCATCTTGACCGTCGAGGCTCGTCACAGTGCCTATCTGCGTGCTGCGCTTGGAGAGGCTCCTTCCCCTCAGGCCTTTGACGACCCTCTTGGCTTGAACGAAGTTTACACGGTCGCATCGCCCTTCATTGCCTCTTGTCCGTCCAGCAACCAGAAGCTGCCTGTGAAGGCCTTTCCGTCCCTCACGATGAGCTCTATGACCGGCTCCAAAGTCGATTTGATGGCTGGCCCTGGCTTCAACATGGACAACACCACTGGCCTCTACGCAGCCTTTATCACAGTCACCGGTCCTATCTGGGCTCAGCTTACTCCCAAGGGCGATGGAAAGTTCAGTGCCACCATCCCCGAGGGTGTGAGTGGCCAGAGCTACGTCGTCCTCACCAAGGGCAACAGCCAGGCTACCGATGACAACATTGTCGCTGGGCCCGCTATCGTTGAGGTATAACAGTACGCATTAGAAGTCCTTCGACAACCCAATACTGACTTTTCTGGCGCAGGTCGCTACCTCCACGTCAAGCATGGGAGGAGGCATGAATAGCACCACCTCCATGACTTCTAGTTCTCCTTCTATGAGCATGAGTGGGTCTGCTACCCCTACCCCTACCTACAACGCAGCTCCGGGTATGGCTCCTAGAAGCCTTGTTGGCGTTCTTGCTGGTTTCGTTGGTGCGATGGGACTTTTCCTCTAATGCGGAACTTACTAGCAGCTCCTCCTCCGTTTCGCAAATGCGGAACGGGAGTGCTGGAGATTCTCTTGTCCTTTATACATATAATTGATAGTCTGTTGTATTTTAAGAATCACGGTCTTTAATTCTCCGTTCCAATGCCAATCGAGCAATAGTACACAGGAGTGCGGGGTTTATGACGTAGACCAATGAGTGAGCTCCATAGCACGTACCCACTAAGGGAACTTCTAGAGCAAGTACCGGACTCCTTTTCCATCTCACGTGCCTCTCATGTCCTCTTGCAAGAGCCAGCTTAATGCCGCGCAGAGCTCACACGAAGTCGCGCTATGGCTGCGACAACTGCCGGAGGAGGCGCGTCAAATGTGATGAGCAAGGCCCTCCGTGTACCAACTGCATTGCGCGACAGCTGAGCGATTGCATTTACTCCAGGGTTGTACGCTCGACTTTAGTCCCAAAACCTCAGCAACATCCAACCCCTGTGGGAAACAATTACCCAAATATTCAGCCTCTGACTGGAGGGTCTCCAACCACTCCCACCAGCCCACTCACCGGCAATCCTTCGGCGATTGACGAGCTAGAGCTGATGCACCAGTTTTCCACGGCGACATACCAAAGCCTGTGTGTCAGCGAGTCTGAGACGCATACCTGGCAGGTCCTCATCCCCCGCCTCGCCCTCAAACATCGGTTCCTCATGAATAGCATTTTGGCTCTAGCCTCATTGCACCTTGCCACCAAGTACGAGGGCCCCGAAGCCCTAGCGTATATCGACGCCGGGCTCGAGCACCACAGTTTGAGTCTAGAGCCATTCCGCATCACGATAGATAATATCACACCAGATAACTGTGATGCCGCATTTGCACAGGCCGTTGTCACAACAGCTATCAGCCTCGCCCTGCCCCAGCTAACCGCAGCCCGCGGGAACGCGTTCCGCATGATAGACAATATCCTCATGGTCTTCGAGCTTCTTCAAGGGGTAAAGAAGATTCTTACCATCGCCAAGCCATGGATCAAGCTGGAGCTGTTCTCCCAGGGGAAGTTCTGGAAAAACGAGCTGGGCGACCTAGACAAAGACACCGAGATCGCATTGCACCAGCTGACACATATCAATGAGGCGGAAGGCTTCCAGTCCGACTCGTCTCATCCTCGTGTCAACAGAGAGGTAATAAGCAACCTACGGCACTGTTTCATGAAATTCGCTTGTTCCCCGGATCCGGCACCCGTGCTTGCTTGGCTTGCAGCGGTAGACAAGGAGTTTATCGATGATTTGCGCCGGCGGGAATCGTTTCCCCTATTGATTCTCGCCCACTGGTCGATTCTGCTCAACGGGCTTGATGAACAACGGTGGTGGGCTCGAGGCTCTGGAAGGATGCTGATATCCGAAGTGGCGGATGAACTGAAATCCGAAGAACCCCTATGGAACAGTGGGCTTGAATGGGTCAAATCAAAAGTGCCTGTAGAATGTGGAAATTCATATGGTAGTAGTCCCGTGGTGACTAATGGGGCAAACTAAAGAGTCTTGATGCCGGAGGAGATGGACGCCGGGTGGAAAGAAAAGAAAACAAGATGGTCAATAAGATCCAGGTCTTTATAAGCTTCTAATGGAGATTCGTACCTTCACGTCGTCCAAATCTTAGTTTTGATTTTATCGTAAGTAGAACCGAGATACTAGGGTGTCGTAATTTTGACCAAGCCATGAATGCATTTTCCTTCCTGGATTGGATTTCGCTTTGAGAGATTATGTATTAATTCATTTCAGAGAAGTCAATTGAACGGGAAAATGGGAAATCTGTCTATATGATTCGTGAGGAATACCTCTCGTGTGGAAATTATTTACAGTCCTCAAAGTCTCAAGAATTGAACGATATCAGCGATGTCGTCCGATGTCTCTATAGCCCAGCATGCCTCGCTAGCGCGATGAACTTGACCCGCCAGCACAGGCATGCACTGACCAATGAACTTCGTTTCTAACATTTCGTCGCTCAAAGGCACCTCGAGGCTTCCAACGGCATTTGTGATGTCCTTGGTGAATGTCCGCCCATCCTTGAGCGCAACAGTAACGGTTGCTTGCTCTGGCATCAAGGTGGGATGGATCTCAGCCGTAATGAGATCTCGAAGTGCAATCACCTTGGGATCACGCACCACACCGTCTGCATACTCGGCTGGTGTAGCCTTGCCAAATAGAAGGCCACACGCACCACTGTGGTAGACGCTGAATTTCCCTTCTAGGCCGTCTTTTGGGGTTTTCTTCCCGGTAAGCTCCAGAACCAAGGGGTGCACCTTTGCTGTAACTGATTTTATGCTCTGCGGGTTGGCGTTGTCTTCTCCGATCTCTCGACGCAGCTGAATACAAGCATCAATAATAGGATGGATGACAATGCCACAAGGAAAAGGCTTGAAGCTGTTCCGCAAGATTTCCCAACGGCCAACTTGAGATCCTGTACTGGCGAGGCCGTCCGGGCCATTCACACTCAACCATCGGTCCAGATTTTGTGCTGCATCTGCCTTGGTCGCCCCAACCACGTTGGCCCAGCCACGGTTGGCCTCCAGAGCCTTCTCGCTGCTGGTGTAGCCGTTTTCAGCCAATACAGCAGCCAACAGGCCACATTGTGCCGCGCGACCGGGATGAAAGGATTTGGTGTGCGAACCAAACATCTCGCGGAGCCCAATCACCTGCGTAGCCGCTAGCCCGATGGCGTGCGAGGTTTGCACGGTTGATAGGCGGAGGATTTTGGAGACAGCTACGGCAGCACCGATGCTGCCTGCTGAGGAGGTGATATGCCTGAATACTGCTGAGCAACCGGTGGCCACGAAATGGGAGGCATTTTACACTCACCAGCCAACGTCGTAGTGTTCTGGCCAAACAGTTAGCCCGACCTTACACTCCGCTTCGATTCCCGCTACAAGAGCCACGATGAAGTCTTCGCCGGAAACTCCCTTTTTCCATTCGGCAACTGCAAGAAGGGCGCTTGCGACGGGCCCGGTGGGATGGATGATTGTATCGAGATGGGTATCATCATAGTCGTGGACATGGGACGCTATGCCATTGATGAGCGCAGCGTGCTGGGCGTCGATTTGAATGCCGTGGTGACCCAGCAAGCTCGATGTAGGGGCTCCAAAAAAAGGCGACAAAGAGTTACGCTGACGAATTTAAGGAGAAGTCTCAAGAGACACTTGAAGCGGAAGACCGGCTTACTGCGATGGTAGTGGCTTCGTGTTGACTGCCGCCGATCGCACAGCCGACCCAGTTGTAAAAGCTGCGGACGGCGGCATGACTGACCTCATGCGGGAGATCCGGGTAGGTAAGAGCTTGTGCCCAAGTCGCGAGGCGTTGTGTGGCCATGATATCCCCAAATATCGAGATACTGACTTGATGCTTTACAAGGAATTCGACGAACCAGCCAAGAAACTTCGAGTGGCTATCAGACGAGGATTAGGGCTGCCAGGAAGACTGCCAGTGGCTGTTCCAGCGGCTCATCCGATCATCCGACCCCCGCACATAATATCAAGGCCTCTCCGAAATTATGCTTCTGTCTTCTTCATGCACTGTTTTCCCGCCTCAGAGCTTCAAATTCTACGACACTGAGGTTTGATGCTTGTCCAAGGTGTCGAAAACTGTTGGAGCTGCAGGAGACAGGGGGTCTGTAATGTACGGTATGTGGAGGAAATACATGTAACTCTGATTGTTCTAACCATGGAAAATGACAGGCACCGACTATTTATACACTGTGGTTTCTTTAGTTTGTACAACTCTAGGAAATACTATATATCTTCTAATAGTGAATATACAGACAGAAAATAAAAGATTTAGAACAGATGTCGGAACAAAGCTAAAGAATTCAGGCAGTCATAGCTACAAAGCTACCTTAGACCTCAGTTGGCAGTCTGAAAGCCAAGCTCGATCGGAAGCTATAGACGTAGGTCCGCAGCCAGAAGGACCTGGGCCCTAGTGTTCACCCGAAGGCTGGATGCCTAAGGCCAAAGACATGTCTCCGCAGCTTCCCAACCTTAGATACATGTCAGTTGAGCTAGTTTAAAGAGACTTGAGGGGTCTGGATGAACCAGCAGGCCAACCACCCTTCAAGGTTACGTAGACACGTTCGAAGGGTGCGCACATCTTCGCCTGGGAACAGGAAGACAGGTTTCGATTTGCCCTGTGGCCTTGCGTACTCCCCGTCGGAGATGGTTTCCCGTCTCTTGACAAGCTGCCGATTCACACCGCTTCAGTATCTCCTTGCCTTCGGACTGCAACGAACAGTTCCCACGTTTTATGCGCTTCAGACCATACACACGACGAGAGACTGCAGCTCTCCCGCCGCACTAAGCTTTCCTATTTAGACTTGGTCTGGGTCTTTCCTTGTACACGGTCCAGGATCTGTGCAGTCATTGTGGCGTCTCCACCATGGCTAATAGCCCTGTTGAAGCTGAATTAACGCATGACAGTTTGGTCGCGAGTATCTCCCAAGTACTGATCGACGCTCGTATACCAAATCTGCTCTGGGGTAACTACTTGTTAACTGTCTATGGGGTCCCAACTATCGTCGATGTCAGTATTATCTGTTTGTGGATATGAGATTCGCTAATCCTATAGTAGGATGTGGCGTTTGTCCTGGCCGATGAACATATAGCCATGGCGGAATCCGCAGTAAAGGAAGCTAATTTTGTTCCCTGCACAAAGGGCTTAAACTGTCCTCGGGTAAATGGGTTTCAAGCTCAGCCTCCCCCCAAGCACTTGCACATTAACGAGGAGTTTGTGATACCTTTGCACGAGAAATCCGACGTGCTCTGGAAATTTGGAGAGTTTGGGTTCAGTCAGTTTGAAAACAATCCGGACATTCTGAGTGCTTCGGACCTTCGACTCCTTTCAGCTGTTCCAGGCCGTGGTCGAGGACGGTTCCCACAAGAATTCTCTTTCGTGCGAATTCCAAGCGCTGCGGTCTTTTGCGAGGCCTTGATTCTCTTGCTCTGCCGAGATTACGACAGTTCATATGAAACGTACTGGTTAGCAATTCTGTCCTATATCTTGGAATACGTGGATGAAACGGATATCTTCAATGGAAACGATCTGGGAGAAGAGTATAGGAAATTTTACTATGCTCTCAAAGGTGGTGATCCCATGGTGTGGTCGTATCTGGATGAGCTTCGCTCTGACCTGAATTCGAAGGACCAACTCCCTAAAAACAAAAGCACTTCTGTCACAGATCTTTTGTGGACAACGAAAGGAGAACAGAGCCACATATAATATACTGTTCGTTGATCTGCCCATGACTATTCTTAGATAGCCTACAGTCCAACTACTTTGGTGCTATCAAAATCCGTGGCTTGAGCAAAGTAGTATCCTCTTTGGTTCGAGACCACTCTTGTCCCATACTCTGAGTCTCGGAAGTCACAATTGAAATGCGTATGGCCAAAGGCCCAAAGACTGATAACCCCACACTTCCAGCAACGCTCATTGGACAGATCAGTCATGAAACCAGAGGAGATTTTGCTGCTTTTGTGTTTTGGATCAACAACGTCTTTGACGGTCAAGGGGCAGTAATGAGTAAACAAGACAACCTTGCGCTCAGGTTCAAGGCGCGAAATGGAATCAATTTCGTAGTTGAGCCAGGCAAGGTCAGCACGGTGCGATTCTCGATGTGACTCAACAGACCAATCACCGATGTGATAAAAATCATTGAGACCAAAGCTGATGCTTTCTTCCTGTTCTTGCGCCACCTCGGAGAACAGGGTACACCCGAGTACGCTGACGGTGGGAGATATGTCATAGCGTGTTTTATCGAGGAGAATAAACTGGCCAAGCGTCTCGCTTTCTTTGCAAGACACTAGGTCAACTTGAAATTGTTTGATTCGCGCCTTTGCTTCCGGCCAAGTGCTGTGGTATGGTTCATGGTTTCCCATAACTAGGAGCACAAGACGGAAAGTCTTCAGTTGTTTGCGGAGGAAGTTGAAGAAGCCATCGTCTTTGACGTAACCAATGTCGCCGGCCAATACCAAGTATGGAGCTTTGGGTTCGATATGGAAGATATCGTATGCATTAGGGGATTCCACATGGAGGTCTGACAAAATCTGGAAACGAGGGTCAGCCATCGGCGGCAGCTCGAAGTCTTTCGTGTTCTGAAGTTTTTCGGGTGTGAAAGCGCCAGGAATATCCCAGCGCTAAACATGTTACAGGTAATGGCGGGAGGGTCGGGCGGTGAAGCTAGAAGAGACGGGAGGAGACAGGAGGAGGCCGAAGAGTGGTGAGAACTGAGTTTCATGACTAGCTTCGAGTTCTACAACCAATCTCAAGTAATAGAACTAGCCTCGAGTCTCAACCCAAGTTATAGTAGGTTCCTTATATAAGAAGAGCTATGAGTAACTATTCACCAAGAAATGAATGATTTGTAATATAGTGGTAACGGCACTGTATGTTCCCATAAAAATAGTATATATATTCTCTAATGGGGATAGGCTCACAATATTTCCGGAGTGCCAATCCAAAACCTCGTCGGATGGGAACATGTTGCTCGATCTCACTTTTACCCTCATAGTACACAGTCAGGATTTCTGCGTATAAAGACATTGGTCTCAAAGCGACCTAAGCCTTGGCTACGTGGGTGCTCTCAATTGTAACCGAGCTAGAGTATTTAGCAAGACTGGCGGAGCTACCACAAATGGTGGGAACTATCATTACCTCAACAAAATGCAAAGCTCTCCTAAACCAATCAGAATTGTTACTCTTTCTCTTCGTCGAGAACACACTACATATACTACAATGGCAGCACTTGGCCCTCTTTCTTCGCAAGCCATGTATCAAGTGCGATGGGCTCTCCCTCTGGTAGAGGAACCAGAGAGAGAGCCCACCAGAATATTATAATAGGAGCTTTAGTGGGAATTGTGGCCGTAGCGGTGGTCTTGCTCGGGTGGTGTTTATGATGCAGACTCCTTCCTTGCGGTCCTCGGAGGAGAAAAAAGGTTGTCTGGAACAGACGGACAACAATGCTCGCCAGCTCCTCAGGAGTCCAATAATGGGACATGAGCGCCCAGGCATGAGAAAGGCTACAGGATACGGCGGCATAGGCATAGGCATAGAATAAAACCTTATAGAACCTTCTCTGCCCCAATACTTCCAAAAGTCTACACACTTGGTAGGCCTACTCTAACGCATGGTAGTCAAAGGTCAAGGTCTACCAATCTACCTACCCGTTACATTAAGATCAGCCTTACCCGAGAAACTCTGGTATTCACCCCAGTACCGGGAACTACCGGCGGAGAATTCTATATCAAACATCCCATTTACATCGGCGCTTTGTCGAGTTGCCTCCGAGGTCGTTCAGGAGTAAGTCCGGTGCAGCCAGGGTGACAGTGCCCGTGCGACACGGTATATCTTGATTAGCATGAAGAGTATTAGGAGACAACAGATTGTCAGCGGCCGCACGAGTTTCCGAATGGTCAAGACCCAATACCCCTTCGAAGGGCTCGCTGAAGCATCTCCTCGGCGTCTTTCAATTTGCCCTGACTGAAAAAGAGAAGGCCAAGTCTTCTTATAGCCTGCCAGGGCTCGCTGGAGCATCTCCTCAGCGTCTTTCAATTTGCCCTGACTGAGATAGAGATCACCAAGATCGTGAACTGTGTGAAGGGTGGTTATATGGTCAGGGCCTAGTACTTTCTCATAGCCTGCTAGAGCACGCTGATACATCTTCTCAGCGTCTTTCAGTTTCCCCTGATTTGAGTAGAGGGTCCCTAAATTATGGACTGTTATAAGGGTGGTTGTGTGATCAGGACCCAATGCCCCTTCGATGCCTGTCAGGGCTCGCTGGAGCATCTCCTCGGCGTCTTTCGGTTTGCCCTGATTTAAATAGAGAAAACCAAGATTGTTGACTGTAAAAAGAGTGGATGTATGATCAGGGCCTATTACTTTCTCATAGCCTGCTAGAGCACGCTGATACATCTTCTCAGCGTCTTTCAGTTTCCCCTGATTTGAGTAGAGGACCCCCAAATTATGGACTGTTTCAAGGGTGGATATATGATCAGGGCCCAGTACTTTCTCAAAGCCTGCCAGGGCACGCTGATACATCTTCTTGGCGTCTTTCAGTTTCCCCTGAACTGAATAGAGAAAACCAAGATTGTTGACTGTAAAAAGAGTGGATGTATGATCAGGGTCCAGTACTTTCTCATTACCTGTCAGGGCTCGCTGGAGCATCTCCTCAGCTTCTTTCAGTTTGCCCTGGATAACATAGGGAAGACCAAGATTGTTGACTGTATCAAGGGTGGATATATGATCAGGGCCCAGTACTTTCTCAAAGCCTGCCAGGGCACGCTGATACATCTTCTCAGCGTCTTTCAGTTTCCCCTGAATTGAATAGAGATATCCTATCCTGCCTAAAGCATTGCAAATATCAACCGTATCGTTCTGCAAATGGTCCCTCTCTTTGCTGTTCAGATAATTTGCATGGGGAAGCAACCGCTGCTGGATCTCTGCATATCCTCTAACGTTGCTGCCTGGAACCATATACCCAACAGACATCAGCGCCAGCTCATGCAGGTGGCTTGTAAGATCATTATAATCTGCAACGTGGTGGCACCAATCCTGTACCACTGGGTGCAGGGCGTAGCTTCCACTCTGCTGCTTGGTTTCAACCAGCGAGAAACCAACTAAGACTTTGGCTTTGGCCTTGAATACCAACTTATTTGACACTACCATCTTGAACCATGGTGGGAGCTTGGAACAGTTCAAACCACTTTGAAGCAGTTCATACCAGATATCCCGATTATCGAAAAAGGCGAGTAAGAGCAAGAGTTCCGCGGCTGTTGGATCACATTTCTGGATCTCTTTGTAGGTGACCATCCACGTCTGTATCAGATTCCCTTGTTGGTAGTGACGTGTGGGACCTGATTGAGACTGCAAGTCGGACCAGGAAGTCCGGTAGAGCTCCATATATTCCTTGGCATTCGTTCCAGTTTGACGCATAAACGCTCCGGCTATGACAATTGCTAGCGAGAGCCCGTCAAGCTGGCCCGCAAGATCAACGATATCTACAAACGTTAGTCCTGCTCATTAGGTTTAGCAGACAATATGGTACCTTGCTCAGCCTCTTTTTGCAGATTGTCTTTAAGTGAAAAGCCACTGCAGTTTAACAACAGCCGGGTAGCATCTTCGTGCGAAAGTCTCTGAACCGGAAACGGCTTCCCTAATTCAGTGATTTCCTGAAGGCGTGAAGTAATTATGATGGATCCATGGTCTGCTTTTGGAAGGAATTCGTAGACGTCGTATTTGGAGTCATTGTGGCCTTGCACCGGAGAGTATTGATCAGTGTTGTCAAAGATGATAAGCCATCTAGTATTTTCCGGGTCTGCTAGCCACAGGAGTACTTGCCTAGCTCTTTGTTCGGCTTCCTCTTCATTGGCCACCTGGGTATCCGCGGGGAGATGTTGTATCCGAGGCAAGCAAGAGCTTAAAGATGAGACTAAGGTAGACCTATCCTTGCCACTTAGCCAGAAGATCGCTGTGAAATCGTCTTTGTGTTTTCGTGCAAAGTGAATGGCTAGCTGGGTTTTTCCAATCCCACCAAGACCATGGAGGACAGCAACCTTCTGCTTCCGTGCGTTCGTCGGTTGTAGATACTTCCATAGGCAAGATAGTTCTTCCTCCCGCCCGATGAACTCCTCAATTGCAGGGACTCCTGTCAAGTCCAGCGGGATGTAGAATTCGTTGGCTCCTAGAAACTGAATATTCAGTACAACAGATTGGACTTAGGACCGCAGACTCACCTTCCCGAACATTCGGGTCCCAGGTCGGGTCCCAGTACTCTAGGAAAGCCTTTGCAGTCGCGGCTCCAGTCGCTGCTGCATATGCTTGCCAAGCCTTATTCTTGTGACTGTCTGCATAGTCACACACCCCCTTGATAATGACACATGAAATGTTGTTCCATACCCCTGCACCCTCCATCTCAAACCCAATAATGCCTTCTGACTTGATCAACTGATCGCGGTACTCACCGGATTTCATCACAGTATCCGCAGAAGCAATGGTCCCGATCTGTATAGTTGGACTGGAGTTTTCCAGGCAGTCTCGACGTCGATGGATCTGGTTCTGCGCACAGCCTAGAAGCATGCAGCTTGCGTCTAGAGCTTCCTGACAGACTTCATCGCACGTATCGTCAAGACAGCTACACAAGGGAGGTGAACCTGAGCCGTAATGCTTGTGTTGATAGGATGCCTCGTACAGAACATCGTCCGCAGAGCTCGGCTGTCGCCAGCAAGGTTGTGCTGCCTGGATTAGACCCAAATGCTGTATCATCTTTGCTTGAAAGTCCCTGCGAGACTGTTGCGGCTGAAGTCCTGCCAGCAGAGACTGGATCTCTCGATTTGGTCTCCCAAGCGTATCTTTCACGCCGGCCTTCCGCATAAATCCAAATCGGTATTGCCTGCCAAAGTCATACTCAATCACCGCGTCGCTGATAATCACGTCACCCAGAAAGATCTCTTCCTTGGTCGGCGAATACGGGGCACCGCCACAAATACCAACAACCAGTGCTACTTGTATCCTCCGATAGCTGATTTTCAGGCTTGCTGCGACGCTGGCAGCATGCCCTTTCCCTATCCGTGGCATAAGGCATAGAACCACATTATGGGACCCGATCCTCCCATTAAAGTATGCGTTGTCATCTCCTGGTTGTTTCTTGTAGAACGCACTCAACCGGTCGTAGGTTTCGTCGAAGAGCCCTTCAACCGCCTCCGCCTCGAGGGTCAGAGCGCAGATGATCGCGATCGCGAATTCGTCCCGGCTGGATGGCCGCATCTAGGCAGGCTGGTATCAATAAGTCTGATGGTGTCGAGCAAAGGTTTGGCCAGCCTTCCCAAAGAGATAGAAGCCGCTAGCGTAGGGAAGAAAAAAAACACAGAGGGTCCTTACCTACACAGCCGCATGGTCAGCCTCGTGACATGGTTTCGCTAACCAGCGAATTATCCGCATTAGCCGCTGGGAAGAGCGGTAAACCAAACCCAGCCGTGTGATAGACAAGAGCCTCGTCAATATTTTCAAACCCCTCGTGGCCTATAGAGCCTTCGAATAGAGTAAACGCCACCTACCGGATCTTCATGGAACAGGTTCAAATACTTCTCTATATGAAAATTATGGGTAACTATTCGCCACGAAATGAAGTATTGGTAATATGGTGGTAACGGCATCGTTTGCTCCGACAAAAACAGCATACGCAGTATACATGTTGCTCGATCTCATTTTTACCCTCATAGTACATAGTGAGTATTTTTTGTGGGCGTTATGGTCTATTGAAAAGGACCTATAGAGTACCATTAGGGGTTAAGGCTCCGCTTTAGACCGTCTGATGTACTAGTGCTAGTGGTTCATGTCGTACTTTCATTTGATAAGTATACGAATTGATAGGCGTCCGATGTCACGGCCTCCACAATAATTTGGAGAATACCAAAAGCAGAATTGAAGTAAATGAGATCCACAAGGCTCGATGACCAAAGACACCCTGGCGCGAAAAGGCTTTGATGATGGCTTCTGTCACTATCTTCGCACTCTGGAGGCTGACCGGAACACCGGCCCCCGGATGCGTGCTCGCGCCCACAAAATAAAGCCCGTCAATACTGGCGTGTTTGATCTTTGGCCGGAAGCTCAGGACATTGAAGAAGGAGTGGGAAAGGCCAAGAATAGCCCCACGATCCAGGTTAAACTTCGACTTCCAGCTTGTTGGCGTCTCGACTGCTTCATGGACAAGACTTTCCTGAAGCCCCGAAGCTCCTGTCCGGGCTTCGATGGTTTTGAATACAACCTCCCGGGCATAATTCACTAAGGATTGCCAGTCCTGAGGCTTGGAAGGGTCGTCTGTGAGATGGCCAACGGGAACCAAGACTACCACTGCGTCCTTTCCCTCTGGTGCTGCGGTAGGATCGATTCGGCTTGGGACATTGACATAGAAAGAGGGTTCTGTGGGTAGTTCGTGCCGATGAAAGATGGCATCGAAGCTTTCCTTGTATTCCTCAGCCAAGAAGATATTATGCACTTCGAGTTCTGGGATAACTCGGTCGAAGCTCCAGAAGAAAGATATGCTGCTGCAGGACGCCGGCCGCTTGGTTAGTTGCTTGGCGTAGGAAGTCGGCGGCAACAGATTGTTGTAGGAATAGACGAGATCTGCGTTGACGACAACTACGTCGGCATGGAGCTCCTCTCCGGATTTTAATCGAACACCTGATACTCTGCCATCTGGGCCTGATACGATTGATTCGACTTCCGTGTTCAGGCGAAATTCCACCCCCAGGCGCTTTCCTACGGAGGCTATAGCCTCCAGAACCTGCCATGATCAGAATCTCAGAAAATCCGACATACGCGCCTGTACTTACTTTTACAAAGCCCCCTTCCGGATAAAGTATCCCATGAGCCAGCTCGGTATATTGTAAGAGCGAATACGTGCCAGGAGCTTCAAAGGGATTCATGCCAAGGTACATGCTGGCGAATGTGAACGCCCGTCGGATTTTGTCCGATCGGAAATATCGCTTGACTCGGCTCCACATGCTTTCAAATGGATGAAGAGGTAACAGGACCTTGAGAAGTTGAGGTCGCATCATGGAGAACAGACTCGGAAAGTCTTTGGCCAGGACATGTTCGAATGAGAGATCGTAGTGTCTCCCCGACTCATTCAGAAACCCTAGGAAGCCCCGCAGCCCATACCTACCCTCATGGCGCTCGATCTGTTCTTTCATCTTCGAGATGTCTGTTGACATCTCCAAAGAGTCGTTATCCGAGAACCAGATGCGATAGTTGGGTTCGCATTTCAGAAGGCGCACATGCTCATCTTCGAGAGATGTACCCAAATCTCGGAAGGTCTGGTAGAATACTTCTGGCATCAGCAACAAAGATGGGCCTTGATCAAATCGCTAATACAACGTCAGTGGGACGGAACAGATGGATTGATTCTAGAGAGTGCCCACATAGCCTTCCCTGCATATCAATGAGCAACGGCCGCCCAAGAAGCCGTTTTTCTCGATGACGGTGACTTCGTAACCAGCCTTTGCAAGGCGCGCGGCCGTGGCTATTCCCCCAGCTCCAGCCCCTATCAATTGTTATTTCCATGATCATGAGCGACGCCCAACCTACTCACCCACGATAACAGCTCTCGAGGAAGTCATGCCACTACGCACCAGAGATAAGGAACCAAGATGCCCTTCACTACAGAATGAAGACTGCCAAAGAGAAAAACAACACGTAGCTGGGATCCGTACGCATAATAAGTAGCGCGCAGCTTCGAGTGCTGGCTGTCATACGACCCACTACTATCTTTACGCTTGTGTATTTGTCTGTAATCATTCAGCCCCATTTCCCGATCTGGTGTTTGCCCAGGTGAGCCGTATTACGATTACCTCGAACCAGGGCATTTCGTATTACGTTCTGCGCCCAAGGTTCTTTTGCATCGAAGCGGCCGCTGCGCCCCATATCATTCATTGGTTGCTGGTAGTCCTAACTGGTCGTTTTCGTTCTCGCTTGAACGTTCCAGCTGAGAAAAGGATGAGAAGAAAAAAAACCAAAAACCCTACTTTTCTTAATGGACACCATTTTCTTTTATGCAAGGAAACTACCAATAGTATCGAGGAGCAACGAAAGGAGCCGTATATGGCCAAGATGTCTATAACTCTGAACCACTTCACGACGCCCCACACTCGTAATTAATGAGTCAGAGCATCTCCTTCCAGGCACGTCCAAGTCGTCGCCATAATGGCACTTTAAGCTTTCCCTTCACTGGAGCCCCATTCCGCCGCCTTTCCCGAACCATTGCACCAATCGTCATGTAGCTCTCCACTGTAGTTTTGACCGGCCCCCGAGCCTCGCGCGGCAGTTGATCGATTGAACTCACACTCTCCTCATACATTCTATCTGCCTTCTGAAGCATGCGTTCTTCGAGTGCAGCGAACTTGGGATCCTCCGGTCGTGCAATCACATCACTGGGACTCGATCCTATTTCGTGGAGCCACGATGTTGGGATGTACACCCGGCCGATTTCCGCATCACGTTTGATATCACGAGCAATGTTGACGTACTGCAAAGCCTGTCCCATTTTTTCGCCCGCTTGGATGATGCTGCTTTGCTTGGAAGCATCGGCGTTGATTGATTCCAAGCCATAGTGGGCGAAAACCAGCTCCAAAAGAGATGCAGCGACGGTCCCCGCGACTCGATATGCGTATACCTCCAGGTCCTCCTCCGTTCTGATTGGGAACTGGCCCTCCTCGGCGCAGAAACCCAAATCCATTTCAAACCCTGACAGGAGCTCAAGTAGCGGATTGATCGTGAGTCTAGATACCGGCAAGAGGGCAATGGAGGTGATCAGCGGCGATGAGACTCCCACCTTTGAATCGACCCTCTCTGACTCCACGTAGTTGTATAATGGCATCCAAGAGCGCTTTGTTGAAAACCGCCAGTGAAGTACCTGGGATGTTTCTTGCACATTGGCCCGGGCCGTTTCGCGGTCCGGAGCCTCATCCACCAGGTCATCGACGACTCGGCAAAAGGAATACCCATAAGAATGTTAGTCATTGGTAAGGCCCGCTAATGATTAATGACGACTCACAGAAGGATCAAGTCGACGCGCAATCGGCCTCGAAACATGGCACTCCCTAGATACATGCTCTGACTCTTTTGGGCCAACTTATCGATGGCCGCAGACATGCCTTCGAGAAATCCCAGATCCAATGAGCGCTCCCGAGTCGAGAGATATGACCATGCCAGTTGACTGAATGTTTGCGGTTTATCCTCCGGTGGCTTGGATACCAGCAGTTTGTACTCTGAAATTGCAAGAGCGTGGTCCATTGTCACCAGTCCGACCACAATCAAGACATTGCTGACGAAGAAGAACAAGGCTTCCCTGTGGGGGGTGGGGTTAGTCAACTATCAGTAGAGTATTCGGCTAACATACTCTATCTCGAGATGCTTGCCAATGTACAGGCCTAGCTTGGTCTCCTCTCCGATTACCCAGGTCCCCCGCTTGAGGGATATTGAGTCAACCACCCACAAATACGCAGTGGGGATCCCCACCGACGCGACTATCGGCCTCACGGGAAGAGAGAGCAGAAAATGCCCACTTAAGAGCCTAGAAAGTATTAGAATAATTCGGTGTTGATGGTAGAGCTGGCTGCGCACCATTGAAATGCAATCACAGGAAGAGCCCATGCGAGGATAAGACCCAGGTAGGTCGCACTACCCCCAGCGCAAATACACGCCACACCTATGCCGCTGCCCGCAAAAAGGGACAGTGAGATAGCGTTTTTGGAAAAGTTAGAATGTCGTTGCAGCAGATACGCTGGTAAAACCAAGTGCTTGGTAAGGATGGTGTATAGCAGGCCAGTTGAATAGCTTTGGACTATGAAGAAGAAGACCTCCTCCACCGGAATTTGGAATATAGTGAGTCCACAAACGGCCCCCGGAGGGTAACCCCATATGCGCCTTCGGACCAGGTAAGAGTCCCATGGTATGGTCGCTAGAACTGCGATCTAGAGACTGTGAGTAGATGTACCGTAGTCAGAGATGCTCACATACATTGGTCAATGTGAATAACTTTAGCACATCTACTCTGGTGAAAAATGGCCAATATGCCACCGTCATAAGCGCTGCTGGTGGGATTGTCCAGGTCAAGTGGCTGTGATTCTGCCGTTAGATTGTAGGATCAAAATACGGGAGAAGAGAGCGGTACACAAGCCAGTAATCGAGCCCCATGATGCGAAGCCCAAGTCTCTCGGTAGAGTTGCAATAAACCCCCATGCACCTTAAAATTGTATAGAATGGAAGAGCAAAGGTTGCTAGCGTAGCACCACGCATTCTAGCTTTATCCTTCTCCTACGGACTCGGACTCACTGCACAGCACCGGGTCTGCCATGTTTGTCTGCCATGTTTCTCGGCCAAACGGGGCTGTAATATGGCCTAGTAATTTTCAAGCTGCAAGCTGACCGGTAGCTCTTGGTAAACAACGAGCAGAGAACCACTTCCCAGGTTACCTGTAGAGGCACATGAAGTGGAGATCGACATTGAACATTCAATATCGGATTGTCGCTTTGCCTGAACTAGAAAGAGCGGGTGCGTCCGATGTACAAGTTCACAGCCACATTCCTGTCTACAGCGTGGGGACCAACAGGCACATATTGGATACCAGTAATTATGCGAGTTATGAATGAGCCTCAAGATACCAAAAAGCTCCGGATTCGAGTTTTCGGAACCTCTAATACCCGCCAACACAACGTAGAGAGTAACAAGGCTCCATAAGAAAGTAGTGATCAGCTCGAGGCTTCCCAATAGACCGGTCCACCGCCGAGTTCCCACAAAAGATACGATTCTCGGTGAAAAGTATTCTTACAGCGGATGGCGAAGACCCAGTTTGAAAAGCAGGGAAACAGCGGACCGATGCTCGATCGATCAATCATTGATCGAAGTGGCGATGCGGATCGGCCAAACCACTTGTGCCGGCCCAAGCTCCCACGAGGCTCCGGTAATTCCAGTACGGTATCTAGCTCATAATGATACATCTGGCTCAGCCCTCTCATCCTACATATTTACAATGCTCGAGATATGATATCCTAGTGGTGGAGTGCCGTAAATGCCGCATACCCCTCTTGAAACTGGAAATAGGAGCGGAAAAGCGGACCCCTAAAATCTGAATACGTCGCAGTACAGCGTGGGGGGTACGGATCCGCGCTCTCCATTGATAGGACGTCCACGTTGTACTGGGAGGCTGAGACCATCTTACGGCTCTTCTATTGGCCCAATTCACGGGTATTCGCAATCTTATCATGACCTCCAAGACGAGGCTTCACGCTATAGGGCTTATGTCCGCTAGGTCGAAGCTGTGTAGGGCTTATATCCGCTCGGGCGAAGCTATATCGGGCTAATTGTGTCCCGGCGCCAAGTGCTGGCATGTTTCGTAAATGATTACATGGATCCCCCGCTTGATGCGAATACGTTCGACGTCAATCGCGTGGCATCGGCCTTTAATGCATCCGAGCCCCGATGCATTTTCACAACAGATCGACATTGCGAAAGCCGAGTTGTGAAGGCAGCAGCGCCTACGGAGTAGCCTTGGACCTTTTGGCCCCAACAATGGCTGACTAGTGTCGGCTGTCATGAATCCCAAACTTCCCACTGGCCTACCGGTAGAGATGTGCTCAAAACGCTGGTTTGCTGCTCCTAAGTGGGTGGCATGCGAAAGACGCAAACATGGCGAACGAAAAGAAGCACCGCGGAGCCTATCCTCATCGGAAGCTGAGGTATCCCACCTTCCAATTGCTCATTCTTTTCCCCTTATGCTGATACCTTGTTAGATTTCAAAGCGGGAACTTTGCACCGGTCAAACGCCAATTAGATCTTCAACCGTGCCAATTTTCAGGGACCATCCCGGTTGAACTGCATGGTGGGCAGTACGTACGCAATGGTGGAAACCCAAGCTTCGGGGATGAATACGTTGGCGACAGGCATCTTTTCGACGGAGACGGTATGCTCAGTGGTATATTCTTCCAAACAGAACAAGGCTCGCCAACCGCCGTGCCGTACTTTGTCAACCGCTATATCTTGACGGATCTTTATCTCGCGAAACAGAGGGCGCCCTTGATGCCGAGCATCGCGACGCTTGCTCATCCCGCCGGATCGAGTCTTGAGATCTTGTATCGATTTTGCCGCCTAATCTTTCTCATTTTTTGGTCCCATGTGAGTTCCTACATACCGCCGATCCGCAAATTCAGTGTTGGGAATACGGCGATCATATATCACGATAAAAGAGCACTGGCAACCTGTCAAACGGGGCCGCCAATCCGGGTTCACTTGCCAAATCTGGAGACGGTGGGCTGGTATAATGGATACCAAGCCGAGAACGAAAACTCTCATCTCCCACGGCAAAGTGGGCTGGGATGTAACGGGCTACTCGGGTTTTTGAAAGATTGGACCACTTCTCATGTAAGTCCATAAAGCCAATTCTACAAGTGCGCCAACTTGCTAATAATTCTCGTAGCCTCGTGTCGACCGTACGACTGGGGAGCTTATCTCATTCCAGGCCTCCTTCTTTCCGCCATTCGTTTGGTATACACTGAGTCCCCCAACTCCGAAAGACGGGGTAACTGTAAACGGTCTGCACGAGCCAGTCCCAGGGATCACAAGTCCAAAATTCATGCATGACTTTGGCGTCTCCCGCACTCACACCGTCGTACTTGACCTGCCAGTGTCGTTGGACATGATGAACATGATCAGAGGAAGGCCAGTGATCCATTTCGACGGGGACGAGAAGTCACGTTTTGGAATATTCCCTCGGCGTGACCCATCGAAGGTGCGCTGGTATGAAGCAGAGCCATGCTTCATATTTCATACAGCTGCTACTTGGGACGGTATATCCTATGATGATTCTGGACGGGAAGTTATTGAAGCCGTGAACATGGTAGCATGTCGGTATACTCGGTCGGATGTGTTCAATTCAATGGGTTGCATCAGCTCTGCAGTGCCAGAATCATTCGCTGGTATGAATGGGATCATCGACTGCCAATTATATTATTATCAATTTTCTCTGCTACCCGCCGGAGAAGACACACCAGTGCCACACCAGTGGGCGCTGTCTGCCATACCGGTTGAGATGCCCGTAATCTCACCGGCATGTCACGAAAAGACGCCGAGATTTGTATATGGGTGTTCTTCAAAAAATTGCGCCTTTGGTACAGCCCCCGGGAAGCCTCTTGACATAGACTGCCTTGTCAAATTTGATATCCAGGCTCTGATTGAGCGTGGTATAGCGCGTGAGACAGAGGCTGTTGTGGGATGTGTTGATATTAGAACCGTAGAAGAAATATTGGCTGATGAGGATGCGGATGATCCGATCAAGATATTCAAAACCCCCGAGGGTTGGTATACCGAGGAGCCTCAATTTGTCCCGCGCATCGACGCAAAAAGCGAGGATGATGGGTATCTGATAGCTTTGATGTTTGACCAGTCCCAGTTAGACGAGCATGGGATGGCGCCGGATGACGCTCGGAGTGAACTATGGGTTATTGATGCTCGAGACATGAAAACGGTCGCCACGAAGATCTTCTTGCCGCAGCGAGTCCCGTATGGGTTCCATGGGAATTGGTTCAACAAGGATGAGCTTGAAAACCAAAGAAGCTTTACTTCTTTGCGCCGAGAATAATTGATATATTCAGAGCTCGTGCACGACTGTCGCTTGTAACTGTGAATCTGACCTCCCGGTCGATCAATCTTCTCACCTCTGATCCTGTAAATGCTTCCTGTGTCGACAGCCAGCACGATTCAAATCCCCATTGATGTACATCTAGCCAATGGTACTTCGTTGGTATAAGTAGATGAGTCACTATCAATCTGTCCTGTTCAGCGACCAAATTCAAGACAACGTGGCCTTTCGTAGTGGAGTCCGTGTTTAGTTCCGGGCGGCGATAACCTCACCTTCTCCACACTCCTGATCGACCTTCAGCAACTACCCCCTACCTTCACACAATGGTATGTCACCCTGCTCCCCAGCTACGCCATATATTCTAGCTGAGCTAACGTAACTCCACTGCAGGTTCAAACACCTCAACAACGCCGCGCCAACGAGCGCTTCGCGAAGAATGAAGCTGCAAAGCGCGGCAAGGCTTCCGTCACCCGCACCAAGTCGGCGCCCGCTAAATCCCCCATCTCCCTCGGCTGGGTTGGTACGTTATTCGAGCGCCTTACGAAAGCACACAAAGTGCAATTCTATGAGAGCAATCCAGCTAATATCATCTGTCCCCGGTATAGCCCTGCTAGCCTTCGTCGTCTGCGGTGGGCTCTTCCTGGAACTTTTCCGCATCGTCCCCGAGATATGGGCAGCTGTCGCCGCGTGGTTCTCTAGCTTTTCCGGATAAGCGAGTCATACAATTGCTATTCAAACTCGATGATACCCAGACACGACGATCTGTGTGCGTGACCACGCTCCAGAGGATTTGTCACGCGACGTGGCCGTAACCAGGAGGTAGTGCTTGTCCCGGAGGGAGGGAGATAAGGGGCCCCGATCTGTGATCGATACGGCCTCCGGGCCTGGCTTGCTGTGCGCATTTACATTGGTCTGTACAATTAGGATATACTTCTTCGACAATGTCTTTTTGTTTAAATTTTTTTTTATTATTAGTGCTTCGCGATTGCTGAGCTCGAAATGCTATTGGAATGGCGTGGGCGACAGATGCCAACGCTCAATTCACTTCCTTCTTTTTCTTCTTCTTCTTCTTCTCCGCACCGGGTTGATCAGGATCTTGCGTCTTGGTCTTCTTCTTTTTCTTCTTGACTAGAGTTCCTTCGGCCGGGATGCCTTCAAGCTCGATCCTTTCTGAGGTTCGCTGCATGCGCAAGCGCATCTTCTCGACGTTCTGCATTGCCTTCCTCATATCTGCATCTTCTTCTGCAGCTATGATGGGGTCGTCTTCTTGTAGTGAGAATTGCCCGAGATTACTAGAGTCGATCTGCAGCAGGGAGCGCTTGTTGGCAGCACTGCCGGGTGCATTGGAAGGTAGAGGGGCTTCCTCGTTTCCGAATGTTTCATCACCGGCAACTTCCATCCGGCGAGACGCGCCCCGTCGAGGTTTGGGGGCACTGCGGATCGCTGGCTGAGGCGCGTCGTCCAACTTCAAGTCCACGATTGGGATGGCGTCGAGGTCAAGCCCCTCATTATTTGGAGTGGATACGCCCGAGGTTGGCTCTAACGGAGCGATGTAGAAAGGATCATCTCTATAGCGTTCCTTCCTTTCTCGCCGTCTATCTGACGGGGCCAAGTAGTCTGAGCCCTGATAGGAAGACTCAAGTTGTACCTCGGCTGGTGTGAATTCGATAGCTGATTTTTGGGAAACTGGTGTGTAGTCGGGAAGGTAGTAAAAATTCTGCAAGACATGGTGCTGGCTGGCGTCATGTGGAGAGTTGTCCAGGTTCTGGAATAGACCTGGCAAGTCCTCATTAAAAGGCTCATCTAGACGTAGCTCTGGTGGCAGTACGACCTTCTTCTGAGCGGTAATGGCGACCGGGTTGAGCTCCAGTCCGGTAAATAGGCTGGGGATAACGGATTGCAGGAGGAAAGGCACCTGCTCTGTTTCAGAATTGAGTGATTCGGCACCCAAGCGAAGAATTTCTAAGAATTCAATGGCCCGTTCCTGTACATCTAAGTCTGGGTGGTCTGCCAACCCCTCAAGGAATTCTACCACTCGAGCCAGAAGGAGGGTCATCTCGCTCTTCCATGATTCCTTGGTCTCGAATCCTCGGTTCACTTGGATGAAAACTTTAGGAATTGCCTGGAGAAACAACTGGAGCGTGCCCGCGGGCAATGATATATTGGACGAGTCAATAAGAGATTGGAGTGTACGACTGGGTGATCGTAACTGATCAGCAAATTCGCCTGAAACCCAAGCACAGGGTCCCAAAACGTCGATCCCGACGTTCGACGTGGCAGGAAATAGGATAGGTCTATTATCGAGAAGCACGAGCGCCTCCGCCGCCTGGGTGGCTTCCGCGCGTACTCCCTTCACACGTACAGCGATATTGCGAATCTCGGACCCGATTCGAAACGCCGGCGTGTCTTTGGTTATATTCCAAGGGTCTGGACCTCCTACGCCAGGTTCCAACCAAGCATCCTCAGTGCTCGATGGTGGAAGGAGGCGCACGAGTTGAATCAAGACCCCGACATACCATTCGAAGTCGGCAATCTCGGAGTAGTTATTTTGAGCACACATATCCAGAATCCGATGGGCAACCTCTGTTCGGTAATCATTCGGGAGATTGATTGAGGGCAAATTGCTGTCAGATCCCTTCACTTCAGGCTCCTCGTCATCTGGGTGAGCTAGCGCTTCCGTTTTAGAGGCGTCTTGTGATGATGCTAATCGGAGCTGGTCAATCAGCCGGTTTACGACCTCCTGCAAAATATCACTAGTCACCATCCCGGCAGCCAAGTCAAGTGCCTGTAAACGAATCGAGATATCTGGATCATCTAAGCAGTCCATGATGACATCTTGCTGCATAGCGACCAACATGGGGTGGCTTGCCACAATCCGATTCAAAGCTAAAAGCGCCACATACTTGACTATTGCGAAGAGTTAGAAACCAAGCAGATGACAGGGTCCGAGGGGGCCTTACGGTTCGGGTCTGAATCTATAACAATCATTCCTCGGAGTTTGCTAACACAAAGCGTTGCAACTTCATCTCGCTCCTGAAGACTATCATCGCCATCCAAGATTCCTCCTTGAATGATACCGTTGATACATTCGTAGAGCAATGACATGGCAGATGTAGTTTGAATGATATTGGTGAGCGGACGAAGGAGTTTTCGAGTCAAGCGAGGCTCTAACGGGGTCAATGTCGCGAACTAAACAATTAGCCATTTCCCAGAGTCTTCTTTTGTGTGACAGTCATTTACCAGCTTGATTATTTTAATTGCCATCCAGTTATTCCCACTATCAACCAATAGCTCAAAGAACCTTGGTGCTAGTGGTAAGAAGTCGTGAGGACGTCGCCAACCCAATTCGCAAACAACATTGATCGCTGCCGAAGTCACGCTAGTATCTTCCTGGTCATCCAGGAGATGTTCTTTGATCTTAGGCCATGCTAACTTCAGCGCATCTGGATAAACCAGAGCGATTCGGTACAGACAAACAATAGTCTTCTTGCGAACAGCGGGGCTGGAGTGCGAGAGACGAGAGAGGATATCAGGCAGTAGCGACATGGCGAGGGAGGGAGTAAGTATGTGCGGCAAGGCAGCGAGTGGGAGAGACAAGTTCGGGATATTTGGCGAAACAATATCCTGCATATGTTAAGTACAGTTCAAGCAATAGTGTTCAGACAAAACATACCTTCTTAAGCATGTTGGTCGCAAGCATCAGGACCTCGGTGTCCGGCCGGAAGCTCTGCACCGCTCCAAGATAGCCAACCCGTTTCTGGGGATATTTCTGGGAGGACATGACCTCGAGAACATTAAATGATGCCCATGACATATCGTAGCCAAACATCTCCAGGTATACGAGCTTCAGAAGCGCTGTGGCTTTCTTGTCTGTCTAGGGTTCAGCATGTGGCCTTGTCCTTCCCTCGGGCGGATGGGGACCTACCCATATCCTGTGTTTTGATTTCGATCTTGCATTCTCGAAGACTGGCCTGAATAAACTCCTCTTCGTTTCCTTTATTACTTCTCAGACCTTGAATAAGGTCATAGAGAGATTTTTCGAACCTGAGAGCAATGTTAGTCTGTCCATGTGCCGCTTTGATGAAACCTCCCCCCCTCACATTGCGTTCGGTTCTCGCCCTGTGCGAGTATTGAAGCTCCGAGATCAATCGCAGTAGTAGCCTCCTATGCTCTCCTTCAGAATTCAATTGACCATAGAGACTCCATCATGTCAAGGGGAACGGAGGTTGCACGCCGGAACCTGACACCAACTTGTCGTGGGGGAGCGATAAGGCCTCATCACGGGACCGTATCGATAATGGCCCCCGATTGCGACGCCCCGACTAGCACGTGTGGGAATGTTCGTATTGACCACTCACCAAAGGCCAGCTTGCTTCGCAACCCCCCCCCCCCTGGTCGGTACATAATCCCCAGCAACCTGGTCTCTTTCAGCTCCGGGTATACCCCGTCCCTCAAGTGACCATGGGTGCCCGCGTCGATGCTCGTGAGATCAACGGATCCGACATGATCTCCGCCTTCCGCCTTTCGCAACAAGCTCCTGCTATACTTGGCCCCGAGTCTGGCACCAAAGCTTCGTCCGATACCGCGGAAGAATATGGCCGGATCGAACAGCTCTTTCTTGCTTGTCTCCGGACAGGGACGACAAGTCCGCCCACCTGTGCCTCGACCGGCTGAGTCGCCGTTTCAGCCCCACGAACGAGAAAGTAATGGCACTCCAGGGACTTTACAAAGAGGCGACTGCGAAGGACCAGCAGGCGCTGGAGAAGTGCTTAGAAGACTACGACAAGACGCTTTCGGAAAATCCTGTCAACGTGGTTCGTTTAGCTTGGAGCTGCGGCTGAACCGTCATGGCTAACCTGGTGGACCTGCTAGCCCATAATGAAACGTCGAATTGCTCTACTCAGATCCCTCAACCGACCCGCTGACGCGATTACGGCCCTTATTAAGTTCCTCGACGCGGTTCCGACCGACGCCGAAGCCTGGTGTGAGCTGGCCGACCTATACCAGTCTCAAGGATTGGGTTCGCAAGCCATCTTCAGCCTGGAGGAGGCCCTACTGATTGCCCCCAATGCGTGGAATGTATGAACATGGATCCCTTCCTGGGAGGGGTGTATAGGTGTGGATATTAACCGTTTCGCAGATACACGCCCGGCTTGGAGAAGTTCTCTACGTATGCGGCTCATCTCCCGACGGGGATGCGCGACTTGCAGGCAAGTCGATCCAGCATTTCTGCCGAAGCATTGAGCTCTGCGACGACTACTTGCGTGGATTCTACGGATTGCTCCTGGTACGTTGGGGTGAAAGAATTCTGTGGCCTTGCGGCGCCTGTTGGAGCCCTGCTGACTGACGTCTAGGCAACCTCCCGTATGCTGGAAAACGGAGTAGAAGATGAGAAGTTCTCCAAAAACACCTTGGGCCGATTGAAGAGTTTCGCCCTTCAGCGGCTGGAACAGATTGTCCAATCAAGAAGCGTGAATGACCAGCATTGGGCATCGAGCCGCAGCGAACTCATTGCTGCCAAGGAATTACTGAACCGCTATGGAAAACAATAATGTTTCTCTTTCCTATGGTTTGAATTGAATACCCCCGTTTTCTAATTTGAAATTCTGAGATGGTTATGATGTGCGGTGGCTTGCAAGTTGTGTAGAGGGCCATGATGTCAAGGGCGGTGCTTGGGGTATTTTTTGCAGACTCCCGGTTTGTCAAACACATGGTGTCACCACTTCAATAGATCGCACGGCACATACAAGCCAGACTGTTTATAGAATGAAGCCCGTCTCCCCTGCTGATCTGGATCCTCCTGGTTTTGTCAGGTCCACATCATCTCCATCATCCCCATCAGCCGATCCTCAATGAAATGCGAGGGTCGCATTTCTGGAGCGTTCTAGCAAGTATACACGTCGAGTCGGTGGAGTGTGATTGGGCACTTTTCGGGCAGCAGATCGCCCCCCTCCAATCAGCATTGCCTGCCGTTTGTTTGGGTATCTTCCTCTCTTTGTATTGTTTGAATTTAAATGCAAACCAGGCATTCCCTCTGTTGACGTTCCAGACAATCCCTGCATGTAGTTTAATTGGGGGTTGGTACGGAGAGTACAGCAATACAGTTACACCATATGCCCAACCCCCTCCCAGCCCAATAAGGACATTACCGTCAGGCAAAGACCACTAAAAAAAGGACGAAAAATCTGGGGATGGTCTTTTGTTCGATTATAACCCTTGGAAGGCCCTCCCCTTATCCCTTTCCTTCTTTCGCATCTTCTTGCTTTTGTGGCACATACTTCCTGCCCCTGGCGTGCAAGGGATCTCAATCTAGCGGGGTCGAGTCCATGCGCTCCCCACCTGAATTTCTCTACCTTTGATTTTTTTTTTCCCTCTCCTGCAAGATTTGTCCCTCCGAAACGAATCCGAAACCAATACCGCCTTAACGCGATTCCTGGACTATACGCCCTCTTCCTCGACTTCTACCCGTTTCCTCCCTTGTCCCCCCCACTACCACACTATCAAAGCCCTCTATCATCATTGGCCCCCAGGTCCCTCCTCGCTTCGTGAACTGCAGAGGAAGGATCCTATCCCGGAAAAAAAAAAGAAAAAAAGAAAATCAGGGGAAAATCAAAATAAAAGCAAAACAGGCAAAAGAAAAACTTTGTCCTGCTTACTCAAACCCAACCCGCCCTTCTTTACCCCCCCAAATAAACAACCCACCTCCTCCTTCTTCCCCTTCTCTCTGATCTTACTGTCTCTATGACGTATGTTCCGTCTCATTATTATCCATTTCCTTCATATTATCCGCCTGTTCCTCGTCCTGCTCCCTCCCCCGCTGACCACCCCGCCTCCAGGGTCAACATCTCGATCGGCAAGGCTGATCCTGACTCGGATCAATCCTTGGAGTCGGACGACGACGAGTCGGTTGTGCACGTGTCGGAGGCCGGGAGTCATGGTTACTTGGACTACGACGACTGGTCAGACGTAGGAGGACATTATTCGGATGGGCTCATAAAACCCTCGGATTCCGCCTCAAGACCCAGAACTGCGGCCCGCAATCGTTCACACCACAGCTCCCGAGAAGCGTCGCGTCGCCGACCCCGCGCGCGCGCTGCTCCAATGGCCGAGGAACCGCATTATGCTTCGCGACCTCCACGGTCTCGCGTGAGGCGAAGCTCCCCCCGAGTCGCCTGACAGCGGGGAATTCGAGGACTTCCCTGCCAATTACCCCCCTCGCGGTGCGCCTCCCGAGCGCGCTCACAGCGCCTGGCCCCCGGGTCGATATGCCGGGAGCTCTTCCTCCGGACCGGGCTCTATACATTATCCTGGCCATGGCCCTCCCTTTCCTCCTCCGACTGGCCCGCCAGGAAGAGAAGATCAGCTCGTCGCACGTGGGATGGGTGGATATGCTACCCCTGGCTACCCCGGATATCCCGGAGGCTTCCCGCAGCATGGCGTCCCAGGGAACCCCTTCTTCGATCCTAGACAGGCGCACGCGCAACAGGCGCGACTTGAACAACACCCACACCACCCTGGCATGCCCCCCGGCTTCCCGCCGGGCTTCCCCCCCCACGAAATGATGCACTACAACCCCGCTGGGTATCAGCACATGATGCGCGCGCAAGACCCGTATGCTGCCGCCATGCTGCACCAGGGCTTGGTGCCCCCAGGCTTCTTCCCATACCCTCCCCAAGTGCAGTCTCCACCCCTACACCCGGTCGTGCCTAATTCCCCCCCCGCCCGAGGACCCGGCGGCAAAGGAGGCCGCAGCTAAGGAGGCTGCAGAGAAGGAGGCCGCAGCAAAGGCATTGGCCGAAAAGGAAGCAAAGGAAGCGGCTATTATGGCCCAGAAAGACGAGGCCATTGCACGGTTAGAAAAGTTGATCTTGGATGACCGCACGGAACGTGAGAACAAGGAAAAGGCTCGACTTGCTGCAATTGAGAAGGAAAAGGCGGAGAAGGCGGCGCTAGCAGCGCAACTTGCGCATGACAAGAAGATCACGGAAGAGGCTGCTATGCTTGCGCGAAAGGATGCTGAGGCCAGAGCTGCCGAGCAAGCCGAGGCCGCGAAGGCAGAAGCGGCGGCGGCAGCAGAAAAGGCGGCAGAAGCGGCGGCAGCGGCAGCGACGAAAGCTGCCACCGAAGCTGCCGAAAAGGCCGCCGCTGAAGCTGCCGAAAAAGCTGCAGCAGATGCTGCCGCGGCTGCTGCTAAGGCCAAAGCTGAAAGTGCGCCTGCTCCTCCTGCGGAGAAGAAAAAGCCTATCAAATTCAAGGATGCTGTTGGACGCAAGTTCAGTTTTCCTTTCGAGCTGTGTGAGACTTGGACGGTAAGAAGCCCGGGTTTCTGCAATAATTGTCCCAAGTATGGGTGTACTAACAATTTTGTCACTAGGGAATGGAGGACTTGATTAAACAAGCATTCCTTCATATCGAAGTGATTGGACCGCACGTTGCGGAGGGACACTACGACCTGGTGGGTCCCAACGGAGATATCATCCTTCCACAAGTCTGGGAAACAGTCGTCGAGCCCGATTGGACCATCACGATGCACATGTGGCCCATTCCCGAGAAGCCCGCAGAGCCCGATCCTCCACCAGCTGCTGAGGCTGCACCCGCGCCCGCACCAGCGCCCGCCGACAAGCCCCCGGCTGCGGAACCCAAGAAGAAAGAGCGTATGTACATACTACCTGGCTAGTACTCCCGTTTTCCTATAACCTCCCTGGCCTTATTACCTCTCACCCGGACACTTAACTAATTCTTCGCAGCCAAGAAGCCTCGTCCCAGTGGACCTCCCCCTGCTTTCACTACTTGGATGATGGGTGGCCGTCCTCCTAAGATCAAGAAGGCACCCAAACCGGCCGCAGAGAAGAAGCCCGAACCCGCTGCTTAAGGTCGTCACGCCAGTCAGAGGACGATGACTCCTTGGCTTGAAATCTCTACCAGTCGCGTTCTTCGCGCATGCCCCCCCGCGCATGCATCACCACTTCCCCCCAGCGCCCGGCCCAGGGAATACCCTGAAGGAAAAGATGCATATATCCGGTCAATGGTAATCCGCTATCGCCATGGCTAGGATACGCCGGCTAGCGAGCAGGAGGAGTCGAGGATCAACCTACTGGTATTCGTTCCACTGAGGACCAACAACAATGCCACCCGAGAAGCCCACGCCCTTCACGTCGGCGGATTGGCGTGCCCGATGCCCATTATTGTGCACGGCGAACGGCCCACTATAATCACAACTGGGTTCAACCACCCATTGCCAATATGTGACAACCGAGTTCTTTACATTAATGAGACGCCTGAATATGTGTCACGAATTCATGAATGATATACCTCGCTCAAATCTGGGGACAGTAGTTCCCTCAATCTATGTTTAAGCTTATCACGATCATCAGCGCGTTTTGTGGATTTTTCTTGTTTTCTGAATTTTGTTTCTTGTTTTGCGTTATTTGCTTAATTTTTCGTAACGGCCCTCTGGTGAATGTGGTGTGGTTCCGGCGCGGTGGAATAGAGCAATTTCCTTTATCAAAGCAATTTGATGTGTTTTCAATTTTCTTTTCCTCGAGCGATATAATTGTATATTTATGGGAATCGGTAGATAGTTGCCTCCTTATGTGAGCATCTGATCCTGGCATATATGACCTCTTTTCCGGGCTTATCGAGCTGAGGAGTCTTAAGTGTCAAATTGGAAACATGTGATGGGTCTTTTCTCGCGCAGCTCATTCTGTGAATGCAACATGCACATGTAAAACCCTCGCATTCTGCACCCGCCTCGACTTGGGCTGCTAAGGGTCTCGACGCCGACGGCCGACGATCTACATACGCCCACATACGGTATGAGCTTATTACGTGTAATACCAACTCCGACGAACTCAACTGTCAGTCCGAGAGCCCAAATGGGCGTGGGCGGACCATGCATTGCCAGGGCCAATCCGCACAGGACAGCGCATCCGCTGAAAAAGCCCCCGCATGACGAAAGCCTTCCAGCCTCCTCGATGACTCACGTGTCATCTTGTCAAATTGGGATTCCCCTGCTTGGAGGATTGGGGCGGTTGACTCACAATTGGGTAGATGTGCAAATCCCCTGCAGTTGGGTCCGACTTCGTGCAGCCAAATGTGCGGTTCTGGACTTTTCTTCTCCTTCCACTTCGATATCAAGCCATTGAGTTTGTTAATTCAGTTTCACATGACTGCAGGATGGGGTTTCAATGTGACGTAGGAGGGGCAGATGGGATTTTACTCAGCCCCTCAGCCCCCACTTCTATACAAGTGCCACTTATATGTTCCTCGTCTGATGACATCAAGGCGACTTGCTTCGTGGTCTAGTGTTAGGCGTCACTGTTTTGAAAAAAGCGAGCGCGTGGTATGATTGACTGCGAACATGCAAAGCTCAGGCAGGCTCAAGGTTTTTGTTTTGTCTGGGAGTGATTTGAAAGACAATATGAAAAAAATAAAAAAATAAAAAAATAAAAGAGGATCAGAACCAGCCATGTAACCACAAGCACATGAGCAGGATATATGACATCAGTATTATCAAAGGCTATGGCTCTAGTCTGTCAAGATCATGCCGTCGCATCATCCCTCGCTGCAACCCAGTCAAGTACGATTTTGGTATCATCGGACTCTGTCTTGGACTTGAACGCGGGTATGCTCCTTCACAGAACTACACTCGGCTAAAAGTCTGTGTGCACTCGACCCCACTGTCATCACCCTAAAAACCACATTTCTATTTTTCTCCTACACCATCCCCATGGCCTCGATCGTTGTAAGCCTGGGAAAATATCTCAGCAAGGAAATGCAAGAATCCATATCGCGAGAGATACACAAAGCTGGTTTGAAGAGCATGGGATATGGATTCTTGCGTTATCTTACTGAAATATATTCCGCCAGGTTTATAGAGTGGAAGAAGCCCTTTCTTCGAGCGCGTCCATATAACGCCAACGTGAATATCCGCCTCTTTCGGAATGTTCGTCCCATTCTGTGACAACTGATTTTGGTCGACTCCAAACCAGATGGAACCTAAATTTATCGGTGAAATATCTTTCACATGAACTTTTGGGTTCACAAGAGCAACCCGGTAAGCCTCAGATACAAGGCGCCAACACTACTGCAGTCTATTATTCGAAGTTTGTTGTACAGAGCATTCATCGGAGAAGACCCAATCTCGAATCGCAGGCGAATAGAACTCAGAGCCAACAAGAGACAAACTATTTCGTATAGCGGTCGAGGCCGTGGTGGTGGTGTAAGAGGAAAAGTGCAATCGCGGGGTCAATAGTTAGTTAGTCGCTGTTAGATAAGGATCTGGTCTGCTAGTACGAGCCACCGATACAAGCTCATGCCTAGATCTTCAAATGCCCAAGTCTATAGATGGTACTTCTTTTCCATAATACAGTATTGAATATCCATCTACCCTACGTCTTTTGACCTGGATAGTCCAACTAGAGGGTCCACGGGTAGTAGGTCATATTGGCATATGCCTACTTAGCCATGATGATCGAGCACTCGTCAAATCGTATCATAAGAATTCCCTACCGCTGCTACTATAATTCCAAAAGCTACTGGTATGATGTGTGCTGATGCTGATCGTTTAAGAATTTTGTAAATTTCTGCAGTGGCGTGGCAATTGCGTGCTACTTTTCCGTGGATGTCTTTTCTCGCTTCGTTGAACTACCCGTATCCCCTGAAAAGCCCCCGCGGCATGAATAGGATACATTCAACGTCTGTGTCCTTGTATGACGCATGATATCCTGTTTTTTGCTTCAACACGTGTGGTGTTTAACCCGGTCGTAAGGTAAAGCTGGCCGACCCCACCGGGATGTCACTCCAAGGCTCCCACGATTTAACTATTGGCTTAAACGCATATCTTCATGCAGGATATGTAGATAGAGTTAATATCATTGTCGATCAGCTAATACGAGAAGTCGTAATCCGTATTATGCGGCTTGTGATTGGTACGCTATAGTCTTGCATTGGAGTGAACCTTGGAATGGAACGTATCTGACCGCTCCTTGGGTCGCTGAGATGCTTGTGAGCCGATCGATCAGCATCAATACGAAGCTATCAATTGCAGTCTGTGCGCTCCTGCAGCATAAAGCTTATATTTCCCGGGGGTTGGCTCCGTAGCTCAGGCATAATTCCCTTTTTCGCAGAGCTCCAGGGGAAGTTTTTGAATTATGGCGATCGAGACCTTGCCAGAGCCGCCTTCTTTCGAGACAACAAAGCGGCTGCTAGCTTCTTTAATCAACGAGGGGCTGGCCAGTGCGACGATTCAAGGAAAAACGGCCGAACCCAAGAGCATTATATGCCTGAGAAAGAATGACAGCCCTGATGAGGATATCAGCCTTCTGGTGAAAGCAGCGCCTGGGGCGTTGGTTCAGGATCGCGATGGCGAGGTGCTGCCAGTAATACAGCCGAGCATGTTCTGCCCTCCAGTCCTTGTAGCCAGTAAAGGTGTTCAGCACGAAACGGTAGAGGCTGGGGAACTTTTCGCCCTCCTGAGCCCGTGGTTTGGAGATTTGGCCAGCCAAGATGTCCTCGACGAAATCTCACGACATCTGCAGAATTCGGGATCGAACCAAGGTTAGATCGAGCCGAGACCCACTCCACCTCCTCTCCTAGCTAACAGACTAAAGAAACGTGGATGCAAATTGCAGCAAGCCAGAAGATACTGGGTCTTCATGATTCCTCAATCGCATGGGAGAGAACGATGATATGTGGACACCCAACGCACCCGGTATGTACACACTAGGCCTGCGAAGACCAAGAATAATCTGATAGATGAGTCTTAGTTCCATCGTACCTGCGATGCAAAGCCGCCACTGAAGCCCGTTAAGCCAGGTGATATTCTAGGGATGCTGACTCCCGGAATAACATTTGTCTCTCTGCCCTCGAGTGACCTACATTTGGCTGGCCCGTTCAAGCAACTGCTGCAACCGCTTCTCCGCAGACTGGAAGTTCCAAGCGCCCCAGAACATCACATCATAATGCCCTGCCTAACTCAGCAGCTACCATCCGTTATGCAGCGTTTCCCAAATGTCATGGTGCTGAAGTCTGTCGTTGACTGTGTGGATGCTCAAGCCTCTCTTCGAACCGTAACCCCTCGACCAGAGCTCGAGTTCCCATTCCATCTAAAGCTGTCATTAGCTTGTCAGATTACTTCGGCGCTCCGGACAATCACGCCATGGTCAGCACAGGGAGGACCAATTGTGACCGAGATAATGGCGCGATTCCTCCCATCCGATCTGTGGATATTCCCAGAGGTAGCAGCTGCGACGGGAAGTCAGTCCAACTTCGACGACGCGAAACATCTTTCATGTATACTGCGAGGGAACTTGGAGTTGCGTGCTGATAAAAACAATGAGGTTCTCATCTTAGGAGCTGCGCTAACCCAACAACCACACGGCACATCTCATTCGTACGCTGAAATCCTTTTCGATCTACAAACAGTATCGCAGAAACAAGAGTGGTTCCACGAGTAAGCCATTCAACCATGCAAGTCGTAGGTGAAGGGACTGATCAAGACCGCCAGATACGTTACGTGTCTCCTCAATCTCACCCTTCCTCCGTTGGTCAACCATGGGATCGGCGTGGAAGGACACGGCCAAAACATGCTCGCACGCGTATGCCGAAAGACCGGGAAAATCAAGGGTTTTGCTGTTCGCGACTTCGGCGGCATCCGCTTGCACACGCCTACCCTTCTTGAACAAGGCGTGAATTTCGATGGTATGTTCCCGGATTGGGCAGTGATGACGGAAAACATGAGCGAAGTATGGGGGAAAGTGCACCACTCCCTGTTGCAGAATCACGTCGGGTATCTGTTGGATGCTCTTCAACTGCAGAGGTACGATGGGTGGGCCATTGTGCGCGACGTATTGGGGGGTGTCCTCGCGGGGCTTCCGCAGAATGGGCTGTACGAGTTCTGCATGAAGGAGACTATTCCGTTCAAATGCTTCTTGAGGATGCGCATGGAAGGGAAGTATCGGGATGTGAGTCGTCCAGGCCGAGACGGGGGGAGTATTGATGCAGTGCTAATGTTTCAATCGGTTCGCAGTATGTAGAAAGGGAGGTGCCGAATACATTGCTGATGGGATCGGAGAAATGGGATGGCATACTGGAAAATTATGTGCCTTCTCTGCATTGGACATAAGGATGTCGCTAGACAGAAACTGCAAGTGGTCGTTTTTCGGGGTACTTTGTGGTATTAATTTGGTATATGCCTATTTGCAAATCAACAGATAAATCTTTGCATAACAGGATCAAAAGACTTCAGAAGAAACCTCATATTTCCAGAAGGACGATTGCCTTCAAATGACTTCACCAAGTTGCATAAATACTTCCTCTTCCAATTAATGATCATCATGGTCATATCAGTCCCTTAACTCTTGTAGTGCAAGCTGCAATATCAATGCAATCGTCGTGCTCGATCTTATTTGCTTTCTCGTCGGCCCGGGCTTGCAAGTAAAAGGTGTTAGGCATGGGGGCTGTTCCCTGCAATGTAGTTACCAGTGCTTAGGTGAAAATGGTGTAAGAACATCATACGTCAAGAAGTTCTGCGATTCGCTATACTACAGGGGAACGTGATTAGTATTCGACTGCCCGAAGATGGAAATGGCATTCATGACGGATGGATTGATTCCACTTCTATAGGATAATTGGCATGTTTTTGAATCCCGCAAGGCCACGCCTAGCTCGATTGCTTCGATATGTGGGCGGACAGGTTTACAGGTTTCGCATTCACAATGAAGAGTTCCGTTGTTCTAAAGATTAAAGTTTGTCTCTATAGTATTCTGCAGCATAAATTGGTAGTCCATGAGTCTGCTGAACAAGAGATGATGTATGGGCGGATCACTGTGGAACGAGGGGTTTCCACTCGATCGGTTCATCTGCAGAGTCGCCAAGCAAATCAACAGAGGCGGAGCTTGTGCCTGCTGCGGAGTAAGATTGCTGAGAACGAGCAGATCCACCCCCGGGGATGTAGCATTTGTCTGGCGTCCCGAGATCGAGGCCGGCTTAGAACCTTGTGAGCTCAGGGAAATGGGCTTTCTCGGGACCGGTGGAGCTCTCTCTAGGCGTTGTCGCTCAACCTCCATCGTCGGTGCTGAGACATCTGCCGTGGCGGCGCGCCGTGGGGGCAGCATTGGTTTTGAGTCAAGAGGAACTCCGGACATCGATACTGGAGAGCCCGTACGCGCCACTGATGCTACCCGCCTTGGGGGCGGTGCAGGTTTTCTGTCAATCGTATTCTGCCTTCCGAGCCGTGATTGTGGAACCCAGTCAGGCTCTGAATCTGGGGAGAACGGATTCGATTTCCGCCGGGGGGTTTGGCACGAGGCCTTCTCCAGGCGGCTGAAGGGTGGCTTTGCCAGGGGCACCTGTGATTTCTAATTAGCCGTCATTCATCTTATAGCTGGATTAGGGACCCAGGGACATACCGTTGTCCAGCCACCACCGACTGCGGTCGGAACTTGCTGGCGGAAGCCCTGGAGCAATGGATACTGGACCCGCACTATCTTCATCGTCCAGATCCAAGAGATTAACGGCGTCAGAGAGGGCGTCTCGTTGTTTATTTTCATAGATCTGACGACGGAGGTGATCTTTGCGGGCATGGTCAATGACATTGATTCTGCTCTCGAAAGTTGCCCACACGGGACGGTGGTCCGAAACCAGCAAGGGCGCAGTTTGATAGTTGGTTTGTCGCAGGTTTCCTCTCCAGAGCACACGGTCACACCAAGCCGGAATACGTCCTTTGTCACTGCGAATTGGTAAGCGAGCGCATCCCTGGATGCGAGTGAAGGCCACTTACGAAGTGTCGTAAGTCTCAGTCCCGATATCGTATTTGTAGGTTGGTGGGAAGGTTATCCGGCCCTCTTGATAATATTGGAATGCTCTCCCGGCAACCATTTGAAGGTTCAACTGCTATCGTCAGCCAAGTTTGAAGTCGGGAGGAGAGAGGGAACGCACCTGATCGTGTTCGTAGAGCTTTGGGTACTCGCGCTGTGCAACTAGGTCCCTCACAATTTGATTCGCAAGGCCGATGCGGTAATTGAAATCACCGAGCCAAATCACCACGTCATGGTCGGCAATTGAGCGACTCTTCTGGAAGCGAAGACCGCCATGAATAGTTTCGTAATCCTTATTCCGTTCATCATAATTGGCGAAACCAGCTGCCAGATGTGCAGTCACGAGGCATATACTAGTATCGCAGAGCTCAAATCGGATGGCACATCCACCTTTATTTCCAGCAATCCCAGAGAGACCAGTCTAGAGATACGTTAGCTTGAAAGCTTGTTTATACAAATAATCCCACGGGGGAATAACCTTTTTAACGGCACCTTCGACATTCTTGACATCGTGCAGAGAATCCGCCTTCACATAAATCATCAAGGCAGCACCTACGAGCTGCCCACTTCTCAGTAGGACATACCTGCCCGTCCCTTTTTGCTTGCAACGCCGATTCAAGCAGTCCTGAACGGCCCTTTCCCAGACCTTTCGAGTGCCTGGGTCTGTAGACATGATCTGCTGGGGGCTTAAGTCCACAATTTCCTGGAAAGCGACACCAAATATCACTGGGTCTTCGTCGGATTGATCGGCTTCAGGGAACAGCCAAGGGGTAAGATCAGTACCGGGCCCCTCATTACGACCGTTGACGTTGAATGATCCGACCCAGAGCCGGATATCTCTGGTGGTGGAGAATTCAGAGGCATGTCGGGCCAATTCCTCTGTGACCATATCATTCACTGGATCGTAGAGATAGACTGGTATTTGATTTGCCAATCTACCCAGCAGAAGGTCTATCGTCTTCTGACGAGCTTTATCCGTGAAGTTGTTGACGTAAAGTCGAGTAGCGCTTTTACGTGCGTCCGCAAGCGCTCCCGCGAGCGACATCTTCCCACTCCGAGTGAAGGAAGATTTGAGAGCACCTGTACCTGCATAGATCTTTGAAAGAGCATCGCCGTTGTCCGCCCAGAGGGTTGAGTGGCGCATCTGCATGTCTGAACCAAACCTACCCCCTTGCTGATGAAGAAACGATTCTATCGACATCGAACTGATGATAGTTTGGACTAGATTTGTTCGATCTAGACAATCCAAACAGTTGGTGCGGAACACGCCCTCTTGTTGCAGAATCACGAATGAAGAGCTGGGTGCATCTTCGGATCGTTGGTGTTCCTCAGATAGGAAGAATGAGAATGCACCCAGAGAATCAGACAGTAGCGGCCTAATCTGGTTACTTGCTTCGTACCCAGTCGGCCCCCGAGTCTCAGCTTGGAAATCGTATTCTGTCAACCGAAGGAGGCTGTGCTCGAGACTACCATCTGCTTCCCTTTGGCGGAGTGAACTCCGTGCAATGTGCTTGCGATACTTGGCAGATAAATCAGCTTCACCTGATCTTTGTTCACTGAGCAGATTGACGACATGCACAGCGCCGTATTCCAATGCGAGGGCTTCGAAGTGTTGGTCGAACGCATGTTGCGTTGCCTCGCTTGATCGTGTGATCTCAATCTTTTGCTGACCAGGAATCAATCCTGGTGTTTGCTCCCAGAATATGGGTATCGATCCTCGAACTTGAACATACGAAAAGACGATACCCGGGGCAACCCAGAGAATAACTTCGGTTTCGACAAAGTTGGCAACATGGCCGTCATCATCAATACCCCGGGAGTTGAACCTGGTACCAGCACGCCTGGAGGACTGCCGTGAAATGATGGTAAAAAGTGAAGGCAGTGTTGACCGCACATTAGGTAAAATCGGAATAGTAGCCGGCAGCTTCAAAGTACCGGCATATCCGCGGATGACACATGTGAGCAGTCGGGATGCATCTAATTTAGCCTTCTCAGACGGGGGCAGACCTTGTCGAAAATTAAGAAGAGGTTTGATCATGTATGAGTTCCAAAGCATATCTTGGTCTAAAGAATCGATGTCGAAAGCCGCGGACTTGTCGGCACTATTTGGAGTCAGTCGATGAGCCTCAGTGTTTGCTTAGGAATTATCTTACCGGTCTTGAAGTCTATCGGTCAGGTTAAAGTCCAGACTGTAGTAGAAACTGCCATCCCCCAGCAACTTCTTCAATGCTAAGAAAGGATGATCGGTGAGCACTTCTCTGCTCTCTTGCCCTGGACGCTCGTCGGCAGCAAAATGCCCTGAAGTTTCGTAGTCCAGCCCATACTCATAATCGATCCGGTTGAGGCAATCTGGGCTCGTTAGAAGATATTTGGCAACACAGGTAAGGGTAAGTGCATACAAAAGTCAACCGATTCGATTCGTGCCACAGTCTCCCCGGGCCTTACGTTGGCGGCTTGAGAAGCAGTCGTTATCACGCAAACGAATACATCGTCGTTCAAAGTGACCAATCCAAGAGTTCCATACCCAGCGCCCAGAGGCCGATAGGCTTCGAGGTCTGCAGAACTAGCATCGGAGAATTCGACCCGGCAGCGGGGCGGACCTGCGGCTGAACCAGATTCGGTCGCACCGTAATGGAAGATTAGGACATGGTCTGATGTCACGAGGGCAATAGTCCGCTGTGGATGGTCTCGACAGAGGACCCGGAGATTGAACATGGTAGAAAGAGCTGGGTTCTAGCCGACTGCCCGCTGTGGTCAAGTGCTTGCTCCAATCTTACACGCTGTCGATGGGGCTGCCCAAGCGGGTAGCAGCGCCTTGACACAGTATTGGGCGCAACGACGTCCGGACTAGCATATAAGTCTGAATGATATTCACAATTCCTCTCCAATAGATATGAACGCCGACTAGATTATCAGGGGCACCGCAATATGGCGTTCCAAGCTTCAGTTGGGACGCGATTAGATTCGCGGGGGGCCCCGGCCGGGGATCTTATCGTGCTGACTCAGCCATTCTGCTTTGGCCCCGGGGCCCAGGTGGATTTTTTTTTTCCGTCTCCGCAAAACTTTGCGATCTCCGCTGCGACGCCCTGGTGTTCATTTGTCTTTTGGTTCAGGAGCATTGCACTTCCTGTTTACATGAATAGCCATGGGTCTATCAGGTCCTAAAAAGTATGCCTATCTGCTTCAGGACTCTGCCATTGCCACGCTAACCGCTTTTGATTGTTAGGAAAACTAAGATCTCCAATGATCCCAACAACACCAAATGGGCACGTTCGACCTCGGGATTCGGCCATAAGATCATGAGCTCCCAGGGCTGGACCCCAGGGAATCGACTCGGGGCACGGAATGCAGCACACGCCGATTTCTTGACCAACGCCAGTACTTCACATATCAAAGTGACCCTTAAGGACGACAATCTTGGGCTGGGCGCAAGGTTGGGGCGGGAGACTGAACCCACCGGACTTGATGCATTCAAGGGACTACTTGGACGGCTGAACGGGAAATCCGACACGGAGCTGAAGCAGGACCAGCGCAAGAGGGATGATGTCAAACTGGCCCGCTATGCTGCCATGAAGTTCCCCGAGGTCCGTTTCGTCTATGGCGGTCCTTTGGCGCAGGATAAGGAGGAAGACAAAATCGCAAAATTACCGAACTTGAAGTCCCAGGACGCGAATGAGAATGGGCAAGAGATCGACCAGCAAGCCAACGAGGCTAGCGACCCTGACAGCGATTCTTCTGCGGCCGACCGCAAGTCTTCGAAGTCCAAGTCCAAGTCTCAAGTCGAAAACCGAAAAGTCCAAATCGAAGTCAAAGGAGAAATCGAAGGACAAGTCAAAGTCAAAATCCAAGTCCTCCAAGAAATCCAGCTCGCGTTCGAAGGAGGTCGACTCATCATCGGCTTCCATCGCGGAGTCGAAAAAAGAAAAGAAGTCTAAGAAGCGCAAGGCCGAGGCAGTTGAAGAGGTACGAAAGAAGAAAAAAAAATCCCCCTTCTAGACTATGATGAGATATTGACACTCCAAATCATAGTCGAACCCATCCACTGAAGATGATGAACCGTCCAAAGCCTCGGAGACTCTAGCACAGGGCCCAGTAACTCAATCCGCGGTTCCCCGGGAGCGCCGCCCCATTGGCCGCCAAGTTTTCAGAGGCCGGCACATAGCACAAAAGAAACGGGCATTATTAGACGACAAATCCCTCAACGAGGTAGGTTCTCAATCGCTTATACCTTACCCGTGCCCGCACCTAACACATCACAGATCTTCATGGTGAAAGCTTAAACCCCCGGCTTGAACTTGACATGGCATTCTGCATTTATATCATTGGCATTGGCGTCTCGGAAACAATAAAAGGGTATTTGTTATTTATACACCCCATACAGATCTTTTCAAATCTTATGAAGATGAGGAATGTCCTGCTACACTTCTGGCTAGTTCACTCGCCTTCCAAGTCAAAGAAGACAAGAATTCCAGCCCAGTACAGCATTTTCCGGGCTCTTGGGAAGGATCTCTAGCCGGTCGATCTAAGTCACGGAGTGAAAGGCTGGGGATTCTGTCGTATTGTGCATTCATGAAGCAGAACACGCTATAGAGCCATGGGCTGTCCATCACGTGCACTCTTCCCGTGCTTCAAAAAAAGGGGCTTGAACCTGAAGCATATTGCGCCGAAGCAAGATTGCATGTCGACAGTTCTGGGATTTGTAGCGTGGAATTAATTAGGTACTTTCATTCTATGTACCACGAGCATACCTCTAGAAAGTGAAGCTCCCTCGGGCTCTGTTTCCCTGAGCTCAGTTATGAGAAAGCTCTACACTTCTGCAAAGGCTGTACTCTAGCACATACTACCACTAATCTCCATTCTCCGAGCCTGGAAAAGCCATAGTGCCATACTTTCATAGACCCCGTCAAAATCATCGAATGACAAAGATTCAACGGCTTAATTCCGCGGATCGGCAGGGTCCAGTTTCGAGGCGCCTGCCAAGCCGAGAAATGATCGCCTGCGAGAATTTTTCCTGACGAACTTGAAACGTTGATTACCCTAATTCTTATAAATTCTCCTGTAAGACCGGGAAAATCAGACACTATGCCTTTCTAGGTGAGACGTGGAGGATCAACTGGGACTTGGCAGATACTTCTATGGAACCCAAGTGGCTGTACAGTTGCCTAAAAGGGGATAAGACAGGTCATGAATGACACCGGCAAGCCGATTCCAATCTAACGGCGCCGAGGATTATCAATCGTCCCGTGGGTTCGGGACATTGCATGCCGTCCTTAGATGATCTGATATGGCCCAAGGGTGGGTCGGCGTCGTCTACGCTACTAGGACGGGGGCCGTCCACTTGGCCTCAAGATCCACTTGGATCACATCTAGGAGGGCTAGATGCGAAACTTAGGAGTGAATAATATCCTCAACTTGAAACAAATGATAGAAAAGTCCTTACTATATATACCAAGCCGTGCCGCTAGCGACAACTTGCAGCACATCTCACACTGTTCCTATTATCAGACCTACCTCCTGTCATCATGCGCAGGTTCGCATACCTTGCACTCCTCCCTCTTGCCGCTGCGGTACCCCATGCGGCCAGATCCGCAGAGCCCAACTATGACTATGTGATTGTTGGAGGCGGCACCAGTGGCCTGGTCGTGGCGAACCGTCTATCCGAGCTTGAAGATATCCATGTCTTGGTTATCGAAGCCGGAGGCTCCGTGTACAACAACCCCAATGTCACCGATACCAACGGATATGGAAAGGCGTTTGGAACGGAGATTGATTGGGCATACAAGACAGTGAAGCAGGAGTGGGGCGGTGGCACGACCCAAACAATGCGTGCTGGAAAGGCCCTGGGAGGTACATCTACCATTAATGGAATGGTGTACTCTCGAGCTCAAAAGAGCCAGATCGACGCGTGGGAAGAGGCCGGGAACAAGGGCTGGAACTGGGATACTCTCTTCCCATATTACAAGAAAGGAGAGCAATTCCAAACCCCAGCAAACTACTCATGGTCTGAGGGAACTGGCATTACCTACAACCCGGCCTATCACGGATCCACTGGCCCTTTGAAAGTTGGCTGGACCCCAACGCAATTGAATGATGGCCTTGCTCAGACTCTGAACAAGACTTATAAGAGCTTCACACCTTCTATCGCCTATAATCAAGATCTGAATGGAGGTCAGATGCTTGGCTATTCGCTCTATCCGTCGACTGTTGACTCGGACCTCAATATTCGAGAAGATGCTGCAAGAGCATACTACTACCCCTACCAGGCGCGACCTAACTTGGACGTCTGGCTCCACACCACCGCTAATAAAATAACATGGCGGAATGGTACTGAGGCCACTGCGGATGGCGTTGAAGTCACCCTGAGCAATGGCACTGTCACGGTTGTCAAGGCATCTCGTGAGGTGATACTTGCTGCGGGTGCGTTGAAATCGCCACTATTGCTTGAACTTTCCGGCGTGGGAAACCCAGAGTGAGTATGACCACCCCTTCAACCGAAAGCATGTTGGTTGACTTGTCTCCCTTTCATAGTGTTCTCTCCAAATATAACATTAAAACCAAGGTCAACCTTCCAACTGTCGGCGAGAATCTTCAAGACCAAATGAACAATGAGCTGGCCTGGGAATCCAGGGTCAACCATACTGGAACGGCCGATTATGTTACATATCCGTCCGCTTTCCAGCTTTTCCGAACTCCTCATCCATCGGGACTCAGCTGCTCAAGAAACTTCCAGCATATGCAGCCCAGATTGCTTCTGCAAATGGCAATGTTACTCGCGCAGAGGACATTCTTCGATTCTTCAAGATTCAGTGGGACCTGATCTTCAAGTCCCACATCCCCGTTGCTGAAATCCTAGTGGAGCCATCGGGCAATACATATACCATGGAGTACTGGGGCTCTGTACCATTTTCGCGCGGCAATATCCACATTTCTTCATCCGATCCCGCCGCTCCTGCAAATATCGACCCCAAGTACTTCATGCTGGACTTCGATCTTCATTCCCAGGCTCAGGCAGCTCGCTTCATTCGCACCCTCTTCAACACACATCCCTTTGCCGCTACCGCTGGCGCCGAGACAACCCCAAGCCTATCTACCGTAGCAGCAGATGCTGATGATGCCAGCTGGGCGTCTTATTTGAAACCGAACTGTAAGCTCCCTCATCTTACTTTGACAATGACTCTTGGATTAACACAAAACCAGTCCGTTCAAACTTCCATCCTATTACCACTGCGGCCTTACTACCAAAGGAGCTGGGTGGTGTTGTCGATACGTCTCTCAAGGTATATGGCACGTCTAATATACGGGTTGTAGATGCCTCTGTCATCCCATTCCAAGTTTGCGGGCATCTTTCTAGTACGGTGTATGCTGTAGCCGAGCGCGCAGCAGATATCATCAAGGAACAGATGTGAAAGTAGGCGTGACAAGAACTTGAAAGATAACAAAACTGCATGGGTCGCACAACCGGCTTCTGCACTGAAGGTCGATTGCGTTGATTGAGTACTTCGCTATGGAATGACTAGATTATATACGAGGTTTAGAAAAATATAGAAAGCATGCTTTCAACGTCTAGATTGTCTTTGTTTCCTGAACCAAGAGTGAGAATCTGTTCTCCCACCAGCCAAATCCGAATCCCAGCCTGTCGTATATACCGGGAAGAAAGTGTATCCCAACAAGACACCAAGCCTGCAACCAGCCAAAGTACTGCAAGAGTGAGATATGACTTTCTACAATGGTTGCCTGCATAGCATATTATGATATGCGTCTCCCGCGTCATAGATCGGTTTCCTCGTGCGGTGCAAGCTATTCAGAAGAAGCCCATCTGGCCAGGTAATTTCCCTTCAACGACCCCTTCCCCTTCCCCTTCCCTCTGATATTCTCAGCCAAGGAAGAGAAATTGAATCGCGATGTGCAAGGCGCGCCGCATTTGTCCGAATCAAACACAGTTGACTGACGTGATAGTTCAATGCAAATTCCTTGAGGTCATCATAGGAACTACTCTCGATAGCTAACGAAATATGAATGCGACAGGCTGTGCCAATTCATTTATTTTGTTTCTATCCGAGGCCGCGCAAATATTTCCCGAATGAAAAGCGGGGCTGCTCGACCTACTTCTTCAAATACGCAACATAAATTTACTTTTCTCGTGGAGAAACCGCCAAATCGTGGGTAACAATGTCATCAATCTTATTCCGGTTCATGAGTTAGGTATGCGACATGGGTGTAAGGTACTTTCTCCGAACCACGCACGTTGGTGGCAATAGCACAGTGTCCTATTACATCTAGCATATTAGTCTAGCTCAACGCCACTTACCCAGAAGGAAGCAAGTGGCGAGTTGGATCATTCTGAATTTGGGGAGGTGTGCTCTATAGGGAGAAGATCAGCATCGTCAAAATGTGGGGGAGTGGGCACCCTTGCTGGCTCTGGGGTTCAAACCCGCTTGAGATGGGGGCTTTCGATTCGAACTTAAATCTTCCCATGGGAAAATTTTCTGGAAACACCCGTATATTAATGAATAATATCAGGGCCATGCGGTGAAAGTCTTATTGGCCTTATCTTCAGTTATGAGACAGGAGGCATTCGCAGAATGAAACACCACACAATGGAGAACAGAAGCACCAATAGGTAACGTCCAGAAAAAAAAAAAAATAACCGATCCAGTGCTGGTGCTGTCAATAAAAAGTGATGGTATCCGAAACGCGAGAAGTATTGGTCGTATCTCGTTATCTTCGTAAAAATAGCCCATGCCTTTCCAAAGTTCCATGTCCAACCCCCCAAACATCAATGTACACACACACGTCGAAAAAGAAAACCATAAACATACCCATGGGATTTTCAATCAAGTAAATCAAAGCCACAGTAACCAAATAGCATGAAACATGTTCTCGTGGAAGAGGAAAATGGAGATAATAGTTCAAGAAAAGAGATATAAGCCAAGCTGCTGAGCATATTCTGCAAAGGCGCAAATCAGAATGTTGCAGGTTGCCAGGGCTCCAGCGACAAACAGTTGGCTTGTCTTGTCTCGGGTACAGCTTAAGTGTTTGTAGGGCCCATGGGTACCCCCAAGCCAGCTGCTTCCCAGGGGTTGTGGATGACACGAGCATTAAGATAAGCACTGTTCCCAGTGACATCGCTAGCAGTTCCATCAGGGCCACCCTGAGATGACGGATTTGCATGTCGTGCAACGGTGTCTGGAGTCGGCATTGCATGATGCCCCATGTATGCACCACCGGTGACATTTCCCTGATTCGGATAGAAACTCTGGTTGAGAGCACCGCAAGTAGTACATGTAAATTCGATCTTGAAGTTTGTAAGGACCAATTGAGGAACCCCGCCGGTGGTATCATCGCGCGTTTGGTAATTTGTAGACTTGGCACCCATAGGCTCTGCTACCGGCATAGCAACAGCTGTTGCGTATCCAACGCCAGTGTGGGGAACGCCTATGGGCCGAGGGTCGTTACGGAGAGTAGGGTGACCGGGTGGGCTAATCGGGTGAGTATTTGGCATCTGATGTTGCCGCACGCTTTGGGAAGCCGCTGCAGTCGGTAATGGAGGCGCATGAGCCTCAGGAGATTCACTGGGATCAACGGCGTCATCGTCCATCAGTGATGGCTGTAGAGGGTCAGAGATCCAACGGCTTTCAGAAAGGTCTCGATATGCAGGACCCGCATCGCCCTGTGATTCAGGTTGGGACTGAGTAGGCGAATGCTGGTCACCTGCGCTCAAGTCCATGGAGGTGAGCTGGTCAGTCTCATTTGGAGATTCCGCAGACTGCAACCTGATCAATGCGCGTTGTGCCTGCCTCGATGAGATGTCATATCCATGATACCGCTTGACGGCATCCACCACATCCTGGCTTCTAATCCTGCTTTTCATATCAAAGAGTTTGGGGATCTCGCTCAAAAGGAATCGGACATGGGAGGCTTCTGAGCGCGCTGGGGTTCGAGTCGGGGAGTCTCCACTCCGATGACAACTATGGCTGTCCTGCAGGCTAGTGATATAGGTCGCATTCTTGTTCGAGCGACAGACCACGCGGAAGAAGCAATTGGGGGATGAACGACACCCAATAACAACACTCTTCTTATTACTGCGGATCACTCGAAGTTCCCAGTGTTGACGGACCGATATGCTTCGGATCACTGATTTAAATTCCTCCAGGGAAACAAACCGCTGATCCACGTGGAGCCCGGAGTACATTTCCGTCATATTGGCTCTGAGGGCATTCGGTAATGAGATTGGGCCGATCAAAACAGAACCCTCGTTGCGGATAATTTAGTGACAACTTCCATCGGGGTATCGCGGTAGTTTGTAGAAGTTACGAGCGTAGCGAAAGTGCTGGGCAACAAAAGGTGAACTTTGCTTAGCCGGTCGTCATCGAGGTCGACATTGATGCCAGCAATCACCTTGGCCACGCGAATTCTGGTTAGAACCCCTGGCACTCGTCGCTAGTGCTGCTTGGTTAGAGCGGGGGCCTGGGGCGGAGGTGGTGGTTTTCTCTGGGGAAAGCAGCCGCATGAGACCAGTTGACCGCTCGCCATTCACAGGCGACTGATTGCCATGGCGGGTTTCCCATTCACTCGACCTCACTCCAACCCCCCCGCCAATGGTATTTAGACCTATTTAGACCTGGACACCTATCCCGAGTCGAATTCTTAGGTTAATCCATATCTTGAGTCCCTTTCAAGATGGCATCTTACGGGCTGCTAAACCAAGCAGAAGAAGGTACAATCTCGTCCTTGTATCACGATCTACTTCTCCTACTGACCTCTTTTGCTCTATTAGATGAGTACCACAAAGCACGACTTCTCAATGTCGAAGAAAGACCTCTCAAGCGTATCTTGAAACGCCTCCTACCTTCCGAATCTCCCATCGTCAACTTTTCCCTTCCGCCCACTCCTCCCCCGAAGGATCCGATTCCGATGCGATCGCATTGCATGAGTCCGACCGATCCGAAAAGCGCAAGAAGACGCACCATTTCTACGATGACGCGAGCCTCGATTATGCCGCTGGGGACTCTCTAGTGGCGTTCGAATGCAATTTCTCCAGAAGAGTAACGAAGAAGAACGCGCACGCTACGGGACAGAGAAGGACCGCATCCTCTCCACAATGCACGACGTCCGATCCAGCACCGCTGAACTTCGCACGCAGCTGGAAGAAGCACAGCGCGTATTGGCTTTGCGCAAGAGCTACGATGACCTGACCGACAAAATTACGACCAACAGACTCCTGAAACCGCGCGAGGACCAGGAGTCTAATTTGCAGAAATTGCGCTCCGAGATCGCGGAGCTAGAGAAGGAGAGCAAGGATTACGCGAAAACTTGGTCCGAGCGTCGGGAACAATTCGGTCGCATCGTCGAAGAGGGTATGCAATTGCGCCGCTTGATTCGCGATGAGAAAGAAGAGGTCGAGCGCAGGGAGGGCATGCAAGAGGGCGAAGACGGAGATGATGCCGAGGCAACATCCAAGGGGAAGGCCAGCGCTGCTACAAGCCCTCATCCAGACACCGACAATGGAGCAACCCCGCAAACCAGCCAGGATGAGTCTAGTCGGTTGCAGGTCGACAAGGGCTCAATGCGATCCGAAACCCCTCTCCGACAGGTGACCAGTGTTAGTGGGACTGCAGAATCGACAGAGGATGTGGATGATACCAATATGGATGAGGGTGAAATCGCTGGTGAAGACGAGGGGGAACACTCCGATGAGCTCGAAGAGGGCGAGGAACTTGGGATGACCACATGAATGGGCATATGGATACCCGTTAGGAAGCTCTTCAGCGTGTACAGTAACAAGCAAGGAGTTCAGGTTGCAATGATTAGGGGTTCGTCATTTTTGTGGGCTCTAAATGATATTTTCTGGATGGGTATTATACTTGTGACTATCACGATGGAACGTATCCCTCATGAAATCTCTCGCTCGGCTGTTTTTGCCTGGGCAATGGCTTCCTTTGCTGCCGTGATGTGGGCAACATTGCTCTCAGCGCCCTTCTTGCCCTCCTCCGCCTGTAATCCAAGTCAGCGCATGGCCATTCTTCCGTCCATGGTAGAACTTACGATCAGGCTATCCAATTCAGCCACGGTCTCTGCGAGTTTCTTCTTGAGGGTGGGAAGGACCTTCTTGGTCTCCTCCATAGCCAGGTGCTGTTCCAGACAATGTCAGACCACCTCCTCGTATAGCGGCAATCAATTGCATCCCAGCATTGGCCTACCTCTTGTTTCACGAGAAACTCCTTATTCTCCTCGTCCTCGCCTTGTCCAGACTCGATTTTCTTGATCCGCTCTTCCTGTTGTTTGAGCTCACGGTAGTAGGATGCTTCTTCCTTAACCAGTCGAATGACCGAGGAAGTAGTAATTTCAAGTTGAGAGCGAGGCGCCATTATGTCGATGCTGTATAAATGTTAGGGATGTTTTGAATACGTTGTATGACTGCTGTCTAGCTCCTCGATGGCTCCAAAATTGCCCCGTATTTTTCCTAGGCACTATTCCAGGTACATAAAAGTTCTCAGAAGAGTCACTCACCCTGGTTTCTAAGCAAATTGTAGATTTTCTTGGGATCGAGAACAAAATCATGCATCTGCCCCTCATGATGTTCCATGATGTTATCGGATTGTTTGCAGTGTTTGGTTGAGGGGTCTCACGTGCTCTTTCAAGTTCGACCCAAAGGTACTTCGGACGTTTGTTATCGAGGACTTTCAACGAGAACACAGAACCTTGTGAAAAAATACTTGAAATTGGAATTATGCCCCGAAATCCTGTTATATACAAAAACAAGTCACAGTAGTTTTGTATATTCCGCTGCCTATAGTGGTATCTTCTCCTTTCGAAGGAAATGACATCATATATACACGGTTCAACAGCTGTCATTATCATGCAACGAGCTCATCAAACCCTCTGTCAGAGCTATAGCGCACAGCAGCCTGGATTTGGCCTCGTTTATATCTTAGTTAGAGCCCATTTACCACCAAAAATCCTCTTCGCCCGTTATTCTCTTAGGCAGCTGCTATGTACTTCCAATTCAATGAACCTTGAAGGGTCGTGATTCGGATTCGGGTATATGGGGAGGGCACGAAATTACCTTCCGTTTGTTACAAGAGTGAATGCATTTACTTATCATTCACTCACTGGTGAGACTAGGCTAATTTGGGAAAGTGAATATCTGTTGTGTCTATGCGAGGGTTCGACAGACGCCCGCCCGTGCCCACCTCAGCCAATAAGGTTTCAAGTGGAGCTTCGTGACCCCGTCCCCAGTCAACCTCTTGCCCGACTCCCTTCCTTGAATGCCTACTTTGGCGAAAAGTGAAACAGCCTTAGATGCCGCTGGTCATCTCCTTTAAGAATTGACCAGCCTCACCTCTGATTCCCTTGATCTCTGAGATCAACCTCTTTTTTCGCCGAAACTTCGAGGCCTGCCGCTTATCGCCCCAACATGCCAGCCCAGTCACTTTTGCAGCTAGCGACGGCGACTGCGGTCAAAAACGTAAGAGGTGAGTTGAACAGTTCAATCTTATAGGATGGGACTTTTTGGGAGCCCTTTTGTCCTTCTTCTTGTATCTCCTGGTTCTAACAGTTCGGTGTTATACAGTTTTAAGTGATATTGGAGCCCTACCCTACGCCGTTGCTCGCCCCATCCTTATGAAGATTGATAGCCCGGAGAAACTAGTACGTTTTTGGATGACCCTCCCCATTTGGACATGTAAAGGAAAATGAACCAGGAACGGAGCATGTCTCGAGAGGAAAAATGATTGTTAACGTGCGATCCCCTTCTTTACAGCATTCTATGGAATTGCTATCGCCGCATATCGCCGAAGAAGACAAGGAAGTATGGATGGAGTTGATCAAACGAGACATTCCTCAGTGGGACCGATACGAACTTCCAGAGCAAACAAACAAATGGTACGAGGTATACTGTGACCTCCGTGAGGACGTCCAACGATCTTTGGACGCGGATGCGGCAGAGATGAAAAGGGCTATCGACGGCATCAAATCAGAGCGGGCGCGATTGACGCCAAAGATTATATCGGGTCCCCGAATGAAGCCAAATTTCCGACAGCGACTCAACTATGATCGTAGAATGGGTGGCACTTCGTCATTCAGCAGAGACAGTCGGTCGGACTTCTCAAAGAAGAAGTCCATATTTGCTCCTCAGCGACGAAATAATGCTCTGGCGGTTCCAACCAAGCATTTGAGCAACCGTGCTTCGCAAATTAAGCAGGCACCGCGAGGCCTCATCGAGGAGCATCGCCGTCCAGCGGAACAGCCTGCCGCTACCCGACGCAGTGAACAAAGCGCTCGGCTCCCACATCCCCCCAGCCTGGGCGCAAAGAGCTCCTCGCTGGCTGAGCGGGAAGCAAGGCTCCGAGCTATCGCGGCTGGTAAGCCTCCGCCGCCGCAGAGCTCTCCAGATGGCCGCAAAGTACCGGCACCCGCAACATCAGGTGATCCTCCTATCAAGAAAATCCCCCTCAAGCGTTCTGCCGCGTCTCCTCCCCGTCTAACGCGGGGTCTGAGGCGAAAAGTCCTCCGTCGTCGTCATCGCGTGCGGAGCCAGCACCCTCCAGTTCGGCCACATCCCCAAAGCCGCCACGTCCAGCTGTCGTTCGTAAGCGGCCAGACAGTGTCTTCATTCAACCGAAGCGGAGAAGAGTTGCCTAGGCTTGACTTCTTCATTTTCACATTTACATCTCCTTTTCGGCGTGGATTCTTTTGGCCTAGGCCTTCCTCTGGCATATCATATTGCATGGGTAGAGTTTGCATTCTTCGGCGTTTTTGTTATTCACATTCTGAGGCTGCGTGGTAACTACTGGTATATTTTAGCTTGGGGTGTAACATTGGAAGTCTGTTTGTTCATAGGGTATGGTAAAATTGGCATGTATTTCGCTTGCTTTTAAGGAATGCGCTACTAAAGTACATGGTTTGGCTTGGACCGGGTTTCAAGGTTCTCCAATATGCCATAACCTTTGGGTCCAAGGTTTAGATGTTAACAAAGAGGGTCTGTAAAGCTAGTCGAAATGCTCGAATTTTCTAGACGTTTGAAACGGGATTCGAAGAGGTTCAAATCGATGCGCTAAATGTGGTATTTGTCCCGGTAGGCCTTCCATAGTTTGACCACTAGCTCGTTCTTCAACGTGAATTTTTCAACACACCGACAGATACAAGATGGCGTCGCTCGGTAGCTTCTGAGACCTGGCGAGTTGCAGAGGGGGGAAATATGGTATCGTAGGAGCAAAATAGATTACACGGCATCACATCCTCCACGCAGAGCAAGTACGAGATGAAGTGTAGCACCGCCCTCAAGGTTGTATTCTGTCGCTGTCTTATCGTCGCCCCTAGTGGAATATTGTTGGTCAGTTTCATATGTGGGGGCGTTGGGGAATATGCCGGAACTTACATCTGCTTTCCACCGAAGATGAGACGCTGCTGGACGGGTGGGATACCTTCTTTTTCTTCGACTCTCTCCTTGATACGGGCAACCTATTTTCCTTCATGTCAGCCTCTCTGAGTTCAGGTGGTATAGCTCCGTAGTTCATTTATGCCGCCTGAGTGCAAGTCGCGGTGATCTGACAGATGTTTCCGGGACACAGGGTGTAGCTGGGAGCTTAGAGCGTACCTTGTCATCTGGCTCGATATCCAGTTCGATCTCCTTGCCGGTGAGGGTGCGGACCCTAGAGCAGGGAATTATGTTAGCCGAAATCCGTGCTGTCACATTGGCGATGGCCGTTCGATGATGCAATTGGGGCTCTCGGGGACAAAAGACTGACTTGATCAACATTTTGAGGGCACAATGTGGTTTCCTCGAGCTTCAACACGGCTTTATAGAATCGAATGAAAGTTCCAAAAGAAGCGGCGTTCCTGTAGAGGCCGTACCTGTCAAAAGAGTGTCTGGTGAAGGGAGAGCGCGCGTTGGCGGGGTTTTGGTGGGGCGGTGCTTGATAGACGCCTTATTGCCTGATTGATAATGAGGCTGCGGCAGAAAGTTGACAGCACCAAAAGTCACGCGGTTCCGGGTGCTGGGGGCTGGAATGGTATGACGCTGCTAGCTACTGCCCCAGGCTTCCGTATGTTCTTTCCTATATATATGGTCCAAAAGGCGCCTTGGCTTCGCTCATCCAACTTTCTTGGTGCTTTGGCTAGAACCCCAAACAGGAGCTCACGCACCCCTCGATTACAGATTACCACAAGTGTACACCTTGCTTCAATACCTTGATAAGTCACTCTGTGTGACAATTTCGAACAACATCGCATCTTGCCTCCTGCAATTGAGCATGGAAAATTTATTCCAATGTTAAATCCCAATGTTATTTACGCGGCAGGAAGGACTCGGAAGTGCTTGCGAAATATATTTAGTATGACTCGCTAATCACATTTGAATGTGCCCATAGAAACAGCATCCCATTAGATTAGGTTGAACGGAGGTATTGGCCGCCAAACAAGGCCTTATCATTTTTACAGACCCAAGACATACTCTATCCCTGCTAGTCCAACCTCCGCCACGCTTGTGTGAGCTTATTTACGAAGGAACAATTTTCCGAGCCGCAGGCGGCAGGTCCAAGTTAATTGAAATATTGCTCTCTACTTTACTAGGATATACCTTGCTGACCGTGATGTCGAGTCTCTGGCGTGTGCCTAGGATGCACCCGCATTTGACTGCCTCGGAGAAGATATCAGGAAAACCCCCGTGAGGTAGATGCGCACATTGCGACTCTCCGACAGTATGAACTTCTACTCTCATGCATCTCTCGTACGTCTTGGACTAGATGATGGTCCACAGGCCATATTTAATGCGTACAATGTTCAGCTACAATGTTTCTGTGATCGCTTGGAGGGGTTTACCGGACCACGGGTGGTAAGTATGAGTCCTATTAGCGATTCAGGCTGATTTGGAATATACTATGACTTCCCAGCGGGACAGTCCATTTGCGGCTCGATATTCTGCGCTGTACACACGGCAACTGCACGGTCTGCAGTGCCTCCAGGCCATGACAAGATAAGTGAAATTTCTGCATTATCACGCTGCTCAACTCGAGAGATATAGAAGCATGGATAGGGAAAGGGATTTAAGCTTCTACCCAGACAATTCGGGATCTCAGAATAGGCTGTGGAAATTAAGAAACGAACGCCGGCTAACGTTGCGTAAGGGTATTCTTGGTATAGAGCGAAGAGGCTGGTAGCCGCCGGTACTACGGTAGAGACCTAGATGGTAGTCATCGACTCTGGCACGATATGACGGCTGGATAGAGGTAATGTTTGTTTGACAATATCAAAGTCAAATTCAGATGGGAAAGATAGATTCAAAAATAAAAAAAATGGAAGCATGAGGTCTCACCCGGAATCGAACCGGGCTCTTCAGAAGAAGTGATTCAGAAGCGGAACTTCAGAATCTGACGTCATAACCACTAGACCATGAAACCTTGGAAGTTGCAGGAAATCTTCCGTGCTGATACACATACTGATCGTCTGGGTGATGAACCTTGCTGGTTGCATGTGATAGATCGATTCTAAGGTGCTACAAAGACACAAGATCACTAACCAACCAGATCAGAGAGCCATTGATGGATAGTATGGATTATCAGTCAATCGAAAGTTACACGACAGAAACTCAAAAACTAATAGTAAGATGGATCTCCCACTACCTCAGCTCCTAAATAACACACCCACATCTACACCTTATCTTGCTGCCATCGTTTGCTTCCGCGAGTATCAATCAAATAGTAACTAAGTGCTAATAGCACATACTGTGCAATCCTCGAATTATTATCCAAGCACCAACCACTAGTAAACAGAAGATCCATTGGTAGCTTCATGCTGGAGGCTTGCAGTAGTATATAGCAGATGCTCTTGATTTGAAATTATTTCACCGCTTGCCCGGTACCGCCCTTGATACTATTTAGTGTAACTGCTTACGCGGTTTTGCGGGGTTAAAAGAAGGAAATATCTGTTCGCAAGCAATGAATGTGATATATGGGCCTGAGGGAATACCACCAGGAGTATGGCTGGATCCAAAGGAATGCTTGGGGTTGGGCGATGAGCGCTAGAAATCGTGATAGTAGTGCGTCTCTCGTGTCCGTGCTACTTGAAAAGGCTAATGATAGGTAGACACCGCCATTCTTGACAGAAGCAATCTACTAGGTGCAGTACTGGATGGCCAGCTGTGAAAAAGCAATTCTGTTTGACAACACAATTTATGCTCGAAAAGCGCGCGGGGAAACCAGCCATGGAGTTACACCGCATGAATATTGGCGTGACTCGACCAACAGCGTGCTTGTTTGAAGTCCATACTCATAGACTAAGTAATTTGGAAGTACTTATCATTGAACGTTGAGAATGGCTATAAATATTCGGATAGGAAGGTCCTTTGTCTACACCAAAGCTATCAAGTATCTCAAATCTCCTTCTGAGCATATTTAGCCTGATTCAGGCTTGATCTTAAGTTTCCTAAGGCTGCTAGTCTCACTTACACATACGGGACCTCAGCGATTAGCTTGCTATGGGGTCAATCGGGGCGGAAGAACTCCCATGCGATCGGAACCATGGAGAACATGATACCCTGGATGATCTTCAAATGAGATCTCTTCTTCAAAATGAAGGAGGACTGCAGATACCAGTTCAACTGTATCAAGATGCAGCCGGAGAGGCTCGTGAGAACGACATATCAACCATGCCACCGATCGCAATTGTGGGAGCCGCATTCAGACTACCGGGAAACGTGAGATCTATGGACAGCCTCTGGGAGCTTTTGCTCAGTCAAAAGGATGTCAGTACAGAGTTTCCACGAGACAGATTCAACATCGATGCTTTCTACAACGAGACACGCTCGATGGGAATCAAGACAAGAAGGGGATTTTTCCTCAACCAAGACCTCGACAAGGTTGATTCATCCGTCTTCGAGTCACAGAAAAGCGAGACTGCGCAGTGTGACCCTCAACAGCGCTTGTTGCTGGAAGTCATATGGGAATGCATGGAAAATGCAGGCCAGTCACACTGGCGCGGAAGTGGCATTGGGTGTTATGTGGGAACTTTTGGAGAAGACTGGCTGGAGATGGGTCTGAAAGACTCCCAAGCAGTACAGCGAGCCCATGTATTCGGAACTGGAGACTTCGCTCTTGCCAACCGAGTGTCATTTGAATATGACCTGCGAGGTCCAAGGTACGCCAAAGGCCGCCTGAGTATGAGATGATGTGTACTAATCTGATTGAAAAGTATGACAATAAAGACCGGCTGCTCAGCATCACTGGTAGGGCTGCATGAAGCTTGCCAGTCTATTGCGTCGGGTGACTGCTCAGCGGCAATCGTGGCGGGGTCTAACATCATCCTCACCCCGACCATGGCAAGAACTATGTCACAAAATATGGTTCTTGCTGCAGACGGCAAGTGTAAGACCTTTGATGCCAATGCAGACGGCTATGGACGAGGAGAAGCCATCAATGCGATCTTCATCAAGAGGCTCGATGATGCGATTCGTGATCGGGATCCAATTCGTGCCATAATCCGTGCAACGGCCACAAACTCGAATGGGAGATCAAGCAAAATGGCTGTTCCTAGTGCCGGATCCCAGGAGGCCTTGATAAGGAAGGCTTACAAAAGAGCCGGGATAGCTGATTTGTCTGAAACTGGGCTTTTCGAATGCCATGGAACTGGCACCGCCGCGGGTGACGCAGCCGAAGGCGAGGCGATTGCTCGTATTTTCGGCGGGAAAGGGATCTATATCGGAGCAGTGAGTTATATGACCGGTTTTCTTATCCAAAAATAGCTAGGACTAACTCAACAAGGTCAAACCAAGTATCGGCCATTCGGAAGGTGCATCTGGCCTGACCAGCATCGCTAAAGCAATTTTGTGCTTGGAGCACAAAGCGATACCCCCAGCGGTTCAATTCAAGACACCTAGCCCGAACAGTAAGGTTGAAAGACGTGAAATTGAGGCAATTCATCTAACCCTTCTGTAGTCCCTTTTGAGAAGGCAGGTTTGCGTGTAGCCCAAGAGGTTACTAGCTGGCCAGCTGATCGTGCAGAGCGGATTAGTGTGAATAGCTTTGGTATCGGAGGATCAAATGCTCATGTAAAACCCCAAAAGTTTCCTGGGGAACGTATATCAAGCTGACGTTGCATCAAAGGTCATTTTAGATTCTCCCCGCACTTACAATGAAGCGAGGGCAAAATCATCATTGGCAGAAAAGTCGCCCAGCTTATTGGTCCTTAGTGCATTCAATCCGGAATCTCTCAAACAAAAGCGTCTCCTGCTAGCCGACCATTGCAAGGATCGAAAGGTCACCACCCGAGACCTAGCATACACACTAGGGGAGAGGCGTGATCATAGTAAGTACCGCGGCTTCTGCATCGTTTCCGATGAAATCCTCGTCGATGTTCCCGAGCTCCAGATGGGGCAGACCTCAAACACTCGGCCCGGGCCTTTGGTTTTTGTTTTGAATGGACAAGGGTCTCAATGGCATGGAATGGGACGTGACCTTGTATATAAGTTCAGCGTTTTCCGTGAGGTGATCAAGCAGCTGGACTCGGTCCTACAGGCTCTCTCAAACCCCCCCATCATGGAAATTGGAAGGTATGACGCACCAAGAATAAAGGATATATCCTCAATATGGAAGTATCCTGACCAAATGACAGACAAATTGACCGCCTGCGATGATCCGTCTTCTATCACCAAAGCTGAGTTTGCACAGCCAATGTGTGCAGCCATTCAGATCGGGCTCCTGGATCTCCTTAGCTCCTGGAATATTCGTCCTTCACTAGTTATTGGTCATTCTAGTGGCGAGATAGCAGCTGCGTATGCTACAGGCGCAGTATCTGCTGCATCTGCCATTATTGTTGCATACTATCGTGGGCAAGCAAGTGGCTCAACCCTTCGGAAGGGAGGAATGGCAGGGGTTGGTCTAGGTTGCGAAGCTATCGCAGAATTCTTGGAAGAAGGCGTTATTGTCGCATGTGAGAATAGTCCACAAAGTGTGGTTATATCTGGTGACGAGGATGCACTCGATCGTACTATACATCGTGTCGCGGAGCAGCGACCCGATACTTTCATCGGCTGTCTGGATGTGGAAACTGCTTACCATTCCCGTGAGTTATCCAGCTCTCAACTGGTATGCTCATCAGCTACTAACAGGTTTAAGACCATATGGTGGAAGTTGGCCCACTACTGGAGACTTTGTTGCAGAACCAAGATTTGGATTTCCTCACCCCACAAATACCATTCTATTCTACGGTGTTTGGTAGAGTGCTCACCAAAGAAGACAAAATTGACGCCGCTTATTGGAGGCAGAACCTGGAATCAACCGTTAGGTTCTCTACTGCCGTACAGATCGCTCTTGATGATCTTGGTGGAGAAACCCCATGCTTCCTTGAAGTGGGACCTCATTCTCCGCTGTCGGGCCCTTTGCGACAAATTTTCCAAGAGAAAGTGCCGAATTCAGCTCCACCCTATGTGTCTACTCTCCAGAAAGGCAAAGATCAAGTAAACAGCATACTTGAATCGGCTGGTCGCCTGTTCAGTTATGGTTACGACATCGCTTTCACGGCTATAAATGGAGAAGGCAAAATCCTCACAGACTTACCCCGTATCCCTGGAATTATGACAAGAAACACTGGACTGAGAGCCGAATCTCGAAATCGTACCGGCACTCGGAGTTCCCGCACAATGAACTTCTGGGCCATCGAGTTGCTGAAACGGGCGATATTGACATGACGTGGCGAAATGTCCTTTCGCTGGACGCGAGTGAGTGGCTGGGCGACCATACGTTTTCTGGGACGGTCATTTTCCCTGGAGCAGGCTACATTGCAATGGCCGGAGAAGCAATCAGGCAAGTGACTGGGACGAGCAGCTACTCGATCCGGAATCTCTTTATCAAAAATGCTTTGCTTCTAAGCTATGACAAGAGTGTGGAGATTGTCACCAGCTTGAAATCGGAAAGATTGACCGACATTCTGGATTCTACTTGGTATCGCTTCACGATATCCTCTTATGATGGAGAGACATGGACCCGACACTGCACTGGCGAAGCAAGAGCTAGCAATCAGATTGCGCATTCTGTCAGCAATCCAGAGCCTTTCAAGCGGAAGGTGAACCCCGAGTCCTGGTACCGAACCCTGAAGAAACTAGGAATGCAATACGGGCCTCATTTCCAAGGTCTTGAAGATGTCACAGCGGACCCAAATGGTCAATCTGCTACAGCCACTATTGTCAGCAATGGAGAGCTTCCTGAGTTTGACGCATTTGCTGTACACCCGACTGTCATCGACAAAGCACTACAGCTCGTGGGAATAGCAGCTAGCAAGGGTCTATCTCGGAACCTTGATCGTATTGCAGTCCCTATTTCCATCGACTCAATCGAAGCGACTACTTGTCATGCCCTTCAGATACACGCTGAGTCAAAGTGCCAAGATGTAGTTGACGGGGGGGTTTGTCGGAGATACCATCCTAGCCCATGATGGCCAGTATGTCCTTGAAATTCACGGACTGAGGTGCTTTGCAGTGGAAGATGAAACCATGGAAGGAGACATGACCAAATCTTCACGATACACGTGCGAGGACTGGAAGCCTGACATAGAATTCCTCCCCTCTCTGGATGAGTTTGTGGCACCTAAGGAATTTGGTTACGATCTTGGCTTCAGAGATATCAATCGGTACGCTTGCATTTTGCTGCTCAGGGAATATGCTGCCATAAAAGAGGCAGTTCCTGCAACTGATGCCCTTTCAAAATACAAAGACTGGGTAGAAAATCAAATGCAGATCTTCAGGCAGGGGGGATACAATTTGGTTCCTGAGATAAGAGAGTGGGTATTCATGAGTGATGATGAGAAAGCTTCCCTTGCCTCATCTATGTGGGAGAGGCTGAAAGGGACCGACAGTCGGATTCTCGCATTCGTGAATACTTTGAACGAAGTGTTCTCTCGCGGTGTCATAAAGGAGATAATAGAAGGAAGGACGTCAGCTTTGGAGATTTTGACAGCTGGCGACGGGCTTGAGAACCTTTACAATGGATTTGGATCTAAACAGGTTTCGCCCGAGTTTGTTGCTCTGTTGGGACATGCAAAGCCTGACATGAAGGTGCTGGAAATTGGTGCGGGCACTGGTGGAACTACAGCCCCTGTGCTTGAGGCCCTTCGATCTCGAGGAAGCGCATTGTACGCTGAATACGTGTTCACCGACATATCAGCGGGGTTCTTCCTACCAGCGAAGGAGAAATTCAAAGCTGTTCCTGGTATTACATACAAGCAACTTGACATCAGTCAAGATCCATCTGTGCAGGGCTTTGAACCGGGCGAATTCGACTTTATCATCGCAGCCAACGTATGTGGAACTCGGAGTCAGTGCAACAGATTGCTCATTAATTATTCATTAGGTTCTCCATGCAACGCCTTGTCTTAAGGAGACATTGGCCAATGTTGAAAAATTGCTTGCCCCGGGAGGCTATTTCTTTCTTCAAGAGCTCGATACGGGTAGGTCCCTGAAAACTGGGTTACTTCTCACTGTTAATTTTGCTAAACCATATGTCCAGAAAGCATAGTTATTAATTCTATTATGGTACTGGAGCCCTATTTTGGATGCCAGAGAAGGGGCTAATAAGACTTTGCAGGGCCTTCTTCCAGGATGGTGGCTAGGTGAGAAAGACAACCGCGCAGAAAGTCCTCTTGTTTCCCCCGAACGATGGGACTCTGAAATTCGGAGTGTTGGCTTTACAGGAATTGAGGCAACTGGGCACGATTTTGAGGCGCCATACAATATGAACGCAAACATGATAATTCGCAAGCCGCCCCCTCAGAAGCCAGAGAAGAGCCATATCGGTCTGCTCTATGGTGGAAAACTGACCAAGTCTATCCGGGACATCAGCGAAGTATTCGTGAGAGAAGGATACGACATATCTTGGTTTACGTTGAACGATGCAACAGTTGAGTATTCTTGCGTCGTGTCCCTTTTAGATGTTGATACTCCATTCCTCAAAGATATCGATGAATCTGCCTTCGTCGCCCTACGGGATTTTCTGTCATCTGGGAAGGTACAGAGCTTGCTGTGGATAACCCATGGATCTCAGATGTACAGTGACAATCCGTATTGGAGCTTAGCACTCGGGCTAAGGCGGGTCCTCGAACGGGAGTATTCCCTTCCTTTTGCAACGGTCGAGCTGGATGCGTGGGATAAAGATTCTTTGCGATGTCTCCTCAAGATCCAGACAAGGCTTCAACAAGGACTCAAATCCCAAATTAGTCTTGATTATGAATACGCTATTTCCGACAAGCAAATTCTCATTTGTCGTCATCATCAAGTCCAAATCCCCCAGGAAGGTGTGAGCCAGCCCACAAAGGTAAAGAAGCTGGTAGCTGGTACTGGTGGATTGCTCGATACTCTCAAGTGGGTTGACGACGAAGAACGTGCGCCTGGATCTGGGGAGGTTGAGGTCGACATCCGTTATGTGGGGTTGAATTTCAAGGTAGGATGCTGTCAACTCATTCTGAAAGACTTATATCAGAACCATGGACTGATGAACTCCAGGACATGATGATAGCAATGGGTTTCATTGGTCGGAAGGACGTCCTTGGGTCTGAAGCAACGGGGGTCATCTCACGAATCGGTGAGGGACCCCATGCCCAAGATTTCAAGATTGGAGATCGCGTCTGCATAGTTCAAGATGGTTTACTACGAACGCGCATCGTCGTTCCTAGTGTACGCTGTCTTATACTCCCGCAAGATGTATCGCTTGACGATGGGGCAACCATCCCTTGTGTGTACGCCACGGTGTTTCATTCTCTTATAACCCTTGGAAAACTAGAAAGGGGCCAGGTAAATCAGACGTGATCTATCTGAATGGGCGCATTTGAGTAACTAATGGAAATAGTCCGTGTTGGTACACTCGGCGTGCGGTGGAGTGGGCCTTGCGGCAATCAACCTGTGTCAATCGAAGGGTGCCGAGGTATGTGTTCCAGCTCATAATATCGGGACAAGGCTAATTCGACCAGATATATGCTACAGTGGGTAGTGAAACTAAGGCTCAGTATCTTGTTGATAAATTCCACATTCCGCGTCACCGGATTTTCAACTCCAGGACCCCAGCTTTCAAAGAGGACGTGTTGCGGGAGACCTCAGGCAAGGGAGTGGATATCGTGTTGAATTCACTCTCTGGGGAATTGCTACATGCTTCTTGGGAATGCGTGAAAGAGTTCGGGTCCATGATGGAGATCGGCAAGAGAGACATGATGGGACACGGAAAGTTGAACTTGGATCGTTTTATGGGCAATCGATCGTTTTTCGGAATTGACCTAAACGCCGTGTTACTCCACGAAGAAAAGCTCAAGAGGTGAGAAGTGCTTCCAGAAGATGCATTATACACGTGTTAATACTCAACTGAAAGTATCCTGGGGCCTATTGCTGCGTACTTTGACCAGGAGGAAGTCAAGCCAATCGAGCCCAAGAATGTTTTTGAAGCTAAGGACGTGGAAGCAGCCTTTCGTTTCATGCAAACAGGTCAACATATTGGGAAAATTCTCATCAAGATCCCTGAGGACGAGACTGAGGTCCCATGTTCTAGTGGTGAATTGCCACTGAAACTTTCTCCAAACTCATCTTACCTCCTGGCTGGGGGGCTAGGTGGACTCGGGTTACCTATTTCAAGATGGATGGTCGAAAGAGGTGCCCGAAGCCTTGTATTCTTGTCACGTTCTGCTGACCAGACTGTCAAAATCGTGAAGCCATCCAAGAGCTCCAGTCCATGGGATGTACAGTCGACGTTATCCAGGGTAGCGTCGCTGAGATACGCGACGTCCAAAGAGCGGTATCTGCTTGCCCTAGGCCACTATCCGGTGTGATAAATCTTGCGATGGTGATGCAGGTTAGTTCTTACCCCTTCTGTTGCTATTATGCAGGATGGCTGATGGTTTGGAAGGATGCAAATTTCTCGGAAATGACATACGACAATTGGACTACTTCTTTAGCTCCCAAGGTGGTCGGAAATACAAATCTTTACGAAGCAGTCCAAGGTTTCGACCTGGATTTCTTCGTTATTTTTGGCTCCGTGATTGCATTTACCGGGAATATCGGCCAGGCAAATTATGCTGCGGCTAACTGCTTTGTCGACGCATTCGCAAAGTATGCTCGATCCAAAGAGCTACCTGCCTGTGCAATTCACATAGGCGGCTTAGACGAAATTGGCTATGTGAGCGAAAGGCCAGAACTGGTCAAGATGTGGAGGAACAGAATTATGGGATCACAGGACGTATTCCTGTCTGAGAAAGAACTGCTGCAAGCCTTGCATATTGCCATTCTTAAAGCTCAATGCAGACAGGAAACTAGCCGCCAGGCCTCAGTCACTGTGGGATTAGATGCTCTAAGCTCTGTGATGAATCCGGAATTTCATCAGACCGACTTACGATTCGCCCCATGTCGCCGTGCTGGGGCCCAACATTCGGAATCTCAGATCTTGGAAGGAGTAGATAAGGTCCACAAATTCCTGGAAGAGGTGAAGGCGGATCCCTCGATGCTCTTGGAGGAGTCCTCTCGCGATTTCATTGTCAAAGAGCTGGTACAGGCCATCACGGCCCATTCAGGCGACGAAGGCTCTGGTTCTCCCGAAGAGATAGCCATCGATTCTCTCATGGTGATTGAAATCCGGAGTTGGCTTCGCAAGCGCCTAGCCCTTGATATCCCGACTCTACTGGTCACCAAAGTCAAGAATGTTGGAGGGCTGGCAACGCTTATTATCGAAAAATTGCAAGAGAAGTATCTCCCAAGTGGCGATGTGAAGAGTGAGGAGGGTGAGACGGAAGGGGTAGAGGCAAGTTGAAGACGAAATTCTGGGCTCATTTTCGGAATCGATTTCGGTACATTTGTGAGATCAATTTAGGGAAATTGGAAGTCAGTACTCTACTTCTACTAAGACGATTCCCGCTCATTGATAGCGGAGGTGGTGACTTAGGATACTGAGCGACATCTCTTTCAAGGAAATGTGGCCATGCGCATCACTACAGTCATATCTTAGCAGTAAATGTTTCAAGTTGGAGGTTTCAGTAAGACTGAACCAGCTTAACTGGAGGTCAGCATAGGCGATGTCAAAGGAATTCCATCTGTAGTCTATTTCCAAGTGCCACGTGACAACCGACCTGCTTTCTCGGGGGCTCGCGCGGCGTCAGATCCACTCAGCCACCCTCTGGAGATATCTAAACAAGAATTCCAAAAAGGCTATTTGGTACTCATCGCAGCAGTGAGCTAATATAACTGATCTGAAAAGTTTCAAGATCCTTTTTTCCCACTCTTCTCGTCATTCATACTGCATCGCTTGCTTGCTCTCTTCCCATCATCTGTGGCTATTGCATCTCCGGCATCACGTCGAAATGCTGTCAAATATCGACGAGAAAGAGAATTTAGCTCGTATGCAGCGAGGTGAGCTTTATTACGCATTTACTCCGGAGCTCGTCGCAGCACGGAAACGATGTGCCGCCGCTGTTGGTCGACTTAACCGGGCAGGCGAGCTATCGCGACGAGAGCTGGCGACACACTGGAAAGAGTAAGTTCACATCTGAATATGGCCGATGAGCAAGCTATGGGAATCCAGCGTATATTGTGGGAATTTGGACCATGCGCTGACCAAAACCAGAATCACCAACGACGATCGGCCTTTGCCGCCTCCCGGTGCGACGGAGGAAGAAGAGGATGCAATCTTACATGAATATCCATGGATCGAACGACCTATAAACATTGACTATGGAACAAACATCCAAATCGGTAGCAATGTTTTTATCAACTTCAATTGCACGTTCCTGGACACATGTACTGTGTCGATTGGCGCCCGTACCCTCGTCGGTCCCAATGTGTGCTTTTTCAGCGGGACCCATCCTTTAGACCCTGACCTGCGAAATGGCACCAATGGGCCGGAGTTGGGTCGGCCCATCGTTGTTGGCGAAGATTGCTGGATCGCCGGCAATGTGGTCATTCTACCAGGCGTAACGATTGGCGATGGATGCACCGTCGGCGCCGGTAGTGTCGTCACGAAGGTAAGGATGAAGCTACCTTTGACCCGATAGAGCAGAGCTAACTCCCAATACTTCTACTTCTAGGATGTCCCTGAGTGTCACGTGGTAGCAGGGAACCCTGCGAAGATCATCCGTAAGGTCGAGCGCTCTGGCAAGCCAATGCTTCAGAATGGCGTACCAAACTCGGCCTAGACTTCCAGCTTCTTGATAAGTGATGAACAGCATGATGAACTCCAAGACGCACCCAGGGAACAAGCACCCCGATACAATATATGATGTAGTGGTGCGTAGACCGTAGGCTGCTTGCCATTTCCATACACCACTAGCTATATATGACTTCGATTGAGATTCAATCCATTTAGAACATCATGATGACACGCAGCTGAAATACGATCAGAGTTGGCTCTAGTGGCCCATTTCTCATGAAAGACACGATTGCATTAGTTCTTGGAACTTTCTCTCGGATATTATCGCCCACAAGTCGGGGGACTTCCAATGATTCAAAGAATGAAATTAGTTTGTTGACCTGCAATGTGCTTGAATGGTAGCTATCATCCCCCATAGATAGGGAAACTGTCGATGCACCTGGTGGTGGCGTCTGGACGATAGTTCGACATTGCCCCGGTCTTTGTTTCCTTCCGGACCTCGATTATCCTCCTACGACTTGAAAGCCTGGGACACCCCTGAACCAACACCCCCGAACCGGAAATTGATGTCGATGAAGGGCAAAACAGATATTGGCACCATTTAGCATACTGTATGCTATGGCCAAGATCTTCATGGTGATAATTCGAGCGCGGAGCAGAGTGCCTCGGACGATGATGCTAGTCATTACTCGTCAAGTTCTTTGAATTTTGCTCTGACCGGATAACGCGCGATTTGTGATTTAGATCAAAGAGTTGAAACACACAGCCGGGCACTTGCACTAGAAGCACTTCTTTTAACCCTTGGGGGCTCGAAGCTACTCCCTTATCACACCTCATAATGAAGTGCATGTATACTAATACTAGCGAGCAGCTCTCCTTTGTTCATGGAGACTGATCATCGCTTGCAGGATAAGCCGATGCCAGTGAGCACTAGTATATAAGAACTCCGTGAGTCTCGACACTAGTGGCAGTCCGCAGTCCCCTGTACACAGCAATTCAAACTTGAGGATGTTGAGACTGTACCTTGGCCAGCTGGCTGGTCTTTCCTTACTAGTAGTGCTTTTTGCAAACACTGCGCTCGCACTTAAAGAGCCATATGTACCTTCTTTTCCGGTACGCATGCTATTATTCCTACTATAAGTTACTTCTTGGTCAATGGAAAATTAACCCCCGTTCAAACACAGGCAGGCAATACAAGCTGTTCTTCTATTATCGCAACCACGAACGTTACCTGTGATCTCTTAGCCGCCAGGTGCGGAATCACAATCGCCGAGTTCAACCAGTACAACTCAAATCCATCCGACTGCACCAAAATCAACGGGCCCGTATGTTGTTCAAAGGGTGCTCTGGCTATCCCTCCCACAGAGCAAGAACTCGGCGAATGCTATGTTTATACAGTCAGGGATGGTGATAACTGTGCGACTATTGCCAAGGCATATGGAATCACTGAGCAGGATCTCAATACGTTCAACAACCAGACGTATGCATGGAACGGGTGTGACAAGATCTTGCCAAATAGTTTCATCTGCTTGAGTGGTGGCGAGCCCCCTATGCCTGTAGCTCTTCCAAGGGCCCAGTGTGGACCCCAGGTACCTGGCACGGCTCGCCCAGCGAACATGTCAGAGCTCAGATCCCTCAATCCATGTCTCGCAGGGAATTGTTACGTGAGTTGGCTTCGAATCTCGCCTCATAGGACTCTTCCGGCCGATGCTAATATGCAATGCTAGTGTGACTTGAAATTCGGCAATTGTGTCAATTCTGTGCGTGGCTCCGACTGTCCAACTCCCATTGCGGGGACGAAGGCTCCAAGTTCGAAAGCAACACCAGTCGGGGCTACTTCCTCGGCCTCCAAAGAGAATACGATTCGGGCGACAAGTGTTAAGCAATCGACGACTTCAGTAATTTCCACCTCCGCTATAGCGAATACAAGTAAGCCTACGACAAAAGCTACCAGTCAACCCACAGCTGAGACTAATACTAGTCCTGTTGTGAACCATGCCAGCTTCAGTACCACCCTCAAAAGCGAACCCATCACTTCTCGAACCACTGCAACGGACAAGCAACTGACATTCAGCACTTCTAGTTCACACGTCCCTACTGGCTCTGAACTGGATAATCTACCTATCACAACTTATGACCCGAATCAGACTGCTAGGAAACGTGCTGTCCCGACCGGGATGGCCAAATCTGAAATCACGCCACGCTCCTATGACGATGATACTTGGGATGTGGCTATTTACAGCGACGAGAACTGTACTGGGGACTACTACTACTTGTTTGGCACCCATGAAGACAAGTCTACGGAGTGTTTAGATCTCCACGGCGGACTTTCATCAAGCCCCTGGGATGACTCTTGGTGTCGTTGGTACACTGATGGCGGGGAAACGACAAGCCCTTGCGCAGATTCAAGGCTCAAGAGCCCAATGTCTTGGAGAATCCGGAATGCGGTTTGCATGGTGTACGATGGGAGGAAGTGCACCAGCGACAATAGCATCAGCGCGAATGGAGTATCCCAGTATAGTAGCGTCGATGATGGGCCAGGCGAATGTTTTAACCACCGCGATATTATCCCCTGGCGATCACTTCGCTGTAATACTGTGGATAGTATGGATATTTAAACGTACTCAGCGCCGACAGTCGCTCGTTCGGCGAAGCGGCATTATGACTCGTTTATGCTCCCGTATTCCACTTGAAGGGTCTACGTTCTTTTCTACATTGTCTCTTTCCTCTGTCATTCAATCTTGTCACTGTTAGAGTTGTATTTCTCGTGGTTTGGATGGGCATCTTGCGTTAATGTGCCGAGGACTATGGTGAAGGATAGCACACCAGGGAAAGTATACAGCGTTCTTGGCATAATCCGCGGAACGTTGGTATTGGGCCTGACGAGACAAGGATTGCAGTGGCCTTGCAACTTTCAAACTAGCGAAATTAAGGTGACTCTCGCTTATGAGCTAGTGCATAGATTCGCATTGACGTTCCAGACTTGATCCTTTCGCGACCTGAAGGTGGAACCACCGGGCATTTACCGGAGAAAACAATACTGCCTTGGGGATGGGAACTGCCGATCAGGGGTTGCCCGCACGGCACCGTAATGAAACTGCTTCATCCAATAATTTGTGCACCCCCGCCGTAGACTCGAATTGCACATGCAAAATGGCGTCAGACGGGCGCCGGACTCCGCTGAGGCAATGATACTCATTAGCTTACCGTCCAATGAGACCCCATCGTGGGACCTCAACCCCCCGGGGCAGTAAACAAGGTCTGGGGAACGTGTTCAATGGTGCGAACAGTATATAAGCCAGAAGAACTTCGCTCCGATGATTTTTGTAGGCAATTCTCTCTGTTCACTAGTCATGCCCAACCTCAATTTCCTTGCCCTGGCACTGCTGGTGCCCGGTGTCTTTTCAAAGCCATTGCACCCTGTTCGGCGCCAGTCTGGCCTTGATGGATTTGTGCAGGCCGAGTCGTCTATTGCGCGTCAAGGCGTCCTGAATAACATCGGAGCGAACGGCAGCGCGGTTCAAGGGGCAGCGGCTGGCGTGGTCGTCGCTTCCCCATTCAAGGTCAATCCAGACTGTCAGTAACCAAGCCTCGCCCACAAGATAAACAGAACTGATTGGTTCGTAGACTTCTATACATGGACCCGTGACGGGGCCTTGACCGTGAAAGCGCTGGTGGACCTCTTAATGGCCGGAGACAGCTCTTTGGAGCCTACGATCCAAGAGTACGTGGCCGCAGAGGCAAAGCTGCAGACCGTCTCCAATCCATCCGGCAGCCTCTCGGACGGATCTGGACTGGGCGAGCCCAAGTTTGAAGTTAACATCACCGCATTCACTGGCGACTGGGGTCGGCCTCAACGAGACGGCCCTGCTCTGCGGGCGACGGCGCTTATTGCATACGGCAATTATTTACTGGGCAAAGGCAAAGATTCCGTTGTCAAAACGAACATCTGGCCGATTGTGCAGAATGACTTGAATTACGTTGCTCAGTACTGGAATCAAACAGGCTTCGACCTCTGGGAGGAGGTCCAGGGTTCGTCTTTCTTTACCATTGCGGCTCAGCACCGCGCCTTGGTTGAAGGGAGTGCCTTTGCCCGGACTTTGGGACAATCGTCGGATTCCTATGACTCGCAAGCTCCGCAAGTCCTGTGCTTCCTCCAGGACTTCTGGAATGGGACTGCGGTCATCTCCAACTTGGCGAAGAATGGCCGTTCCGGCTTGGACGCGAACTCTCTGATCAGCTCTATCCAGACATTCGACCCCAAGGCCGCATGTGATGATGCTACTTTCCAGCCCTGCTCGGCGCGGGCGTTGTCAAACCACAAGATGGTGGTTGACTCTTTCCGCTCGATCTACAATATCAACAGCGGCAAGTCGGTTGGAGACGCTGTGGCGATTGGGCGCTATGCGGAGGACACTTACCAGGGAGGGAACCCTTGGTATGCACCATCGTCGAGCTATTTGATTCCGTGACATTTGCTAACGTGCGAAGGTATCTGACAACCCTGGCTGCCGCCGAACAGTTGTACGATGCGCTATATCAATGGGGGCAACAAGGCTCCCTGGCCATTACTCAAGCCAGTCTTCCCTTCTTCCAGGCGCTTGACTCCTCGGCTGTGGTTGGCAACTACTCCAGCTCATCGTCGACATACTCATCCCTCACTGGTGCAATCAAGACATACGCCGATGGGTTTGTTTCCGTGGTGCAACAGTATACCCCCAGCAACGGTTCGCTACCAGAGCAATTCACGCGTGACAACGGAACTCCCACCTCTGCTGGGGATCTGACCTGGTCGTATGCTGCGTTCCTGACTGCTGCGTCGCGTCGCGATGGATCTGTTCCTGCTAGCTGGGGCGCCTCCAGCGCTAACGAGGTTCCGACTCAATGCCACGGAAGTTCAGCTACCGGGAGCTACACAACGCCTTCAGTTGGTCCATGGTAAAATGGGATCTATTGGTTCAGATAGCGGGTACATAAAATATGAAATTACAGCCTTGGAACCGAGGAGGTCCGAGCTTATCACTTCGACACATTTTTCGCGACTGGCAGGTGTAATGACGGTGCTGAAAGCTGCAGTTCTCGACTCTTTACGAGTCCCATCTCACGTACCTAGAAACATATCGTAAGGGACCATTTTACACTTCCTCCAAGCCCCTTCTGTGGGAGAATTTGGGCGACCTGAAACTTCAAATCAAGGGTGTTTGGGTCCGAGCTCGCGTAGTTTTGGTTGTTGTGACTAGGGATGCTCCAAGTAGTTAAGGCTGGCGGGGCCACGAGCTTGTTGCCTTCGCCGCAGGATCTTCTCGTGCTATCAGCCTCAATCACATTCTTTGCACCATTCATTTCCATTCACTCTCGTTTTTCTCCTTTAGATTCTATACTTACCATCCTCGAGCTGTGTTGGGGAACCATGGGCCGTCCCCACAGTGCCGATCGCACTGATCATCCTGACGGAGCCTCCACGCACTCCCTACATTCCATCGACCCAGAGGATGATCTGCCTCCTCCATACACCGACGACCCCGAGGTCCCAGTGATCCCAGGCCCATTGGCTGCTCAACCTCCTGGTCTCGTTCCCCTCCAAATCGTCGATTCTGCGTACGCCCTCCCCGATTCCGTGAATTGTAGCAGCGATAAACATGTCTACTCTACCGCCCCGTACCTGTCCCAGAACAGCGCTTCACTTTTCAGCCTCGCCCTCCGGCAGATAAGGCTCCCACCACGCCCGCTGCTCTATATCAGGGGAACCCATACAGAGACGAGGCATCATGACAACAAGAAAGAGAGCTCCACGGTCGAGGATTTTAGCTTCAAGCTTGATCTGGCGGAGACTCTCCTGACTGGATGGCAGGATAGTCAAAGCGCCATCGGGGCTGGATGGAAGCAGGTCCATGTCATTGAGGATGAGGACAACCTCCCTGCCTATCGCGGCGGAAGGCTTCGGTCACGCACCTATAAGTTCCCAAAGTCGCGCAATACAGCTTTGGTGGCGGACAGCGAGACTGGGACCGAGGCTGAGGCCGAGACAGGGCTTCTCAGCAACGAACCATCCGACCCCAACTCCGCGGATTCCGTTCTCAATATAACCTGTGCTGGGTACCGCGCCGACCGAAACCTCAGGCTCTGGTGCGAACGCTTCTGCGAGGATCCTGCACCCGTCAAGTCGTAAGCCAGCCCAGCAATTCGACTTTGTCCCGAGATTCAACTAATCCATTCTTGCCATACAGATTCACTATCGTCCGCAACCTCAGGGGGTTCGACGAATCTGCCATGAGAAACCCCCTCGTGTCCCACATCCGGTCGCTGAACTATCACGGCCAAATTTCTTGCAAGGCAGTGCTTGCCCAGCAGTCCGTGACGATCTTTTCACCTCACTGGATCAACCGCTTACGCGCGAACCGATACATATGGTGGATTGTTGTCATCCTCCAGCTGTGGATCATCTCCTGGCCGATCATCTGGTTCCTTGAGCGGCGCTACGAGGTGGCTCACACCACCTGGAACGCCGCTCGAGACGCTGGTGCAGAGAACGGCCTTGTCCATTGCTATCCGCAAGGTCGGGACCCGGCGATGCTCGCTGAGTACTGGGCACCGGCTGTCAAGCAAGCGGCATGGTCGCGCCGACGTGGAGAAGATAATACTTTGACAAGGTTGGATGCCGACCGGCTACAAGGGTTGAGCAACAATCAATTGCTGGGCATGGACCGTCACGATTCCCAGGCGGAACTTGAACGACGTGCTCGCGTCGATAGGGGAGAAGGCGGTTTCATGGACAGTGTTGTGGGCCTCGTTCGGGGCGTTGGGGAAGTCCACCAAGACTGGCAAATGGCCGTTGGATGGGGCAACAATACCTGATCGGTGCTAATATACTACTTTTTTCATTCTCATTATATATATCTCCCTCTTGTGAATACTACGCAGTCGCGTATACTAGCATTATACAAAGAGTAACTTGGTGATCCTGGATTGTACTCTTTCTAGTCCTAATAACGATACCTAAAGCCTTGTGTCTTCCAATCAGTGATATCGGCATAATCCTCAGGCGCCAGCTGAGCGCGATTTGCGGCCTCAGCGATATTCCTCGAGTCCACCTCGTTGTCCGCTAATTTCCCATTAATTGCGCCCGAATTACTAGCACTGCCCTCGAAGCCTTCTTCACGCACACGACGAGCGTTGGTATATTGCAAGAACACGCGCAGAGAAAGCGCCAGCAAGACGGCCAAAGCGTAGCAGATCATGATTGTTCGGAACGCGGTGCCGTAGGTTGGCGCCTCACTCTTGAGGAAGAATTGGGGGCCCGCGATATTCCCCGCACAGTATGCGAGGAATAGCAGTGCCGTCACTGTCATCTTCTTGGTTACTCCTCGGTAATTCGCCTGCACCAGCGACATCGCGAGCGGCATCGCCGCAGGGCCCGTCGATAACAGGAAATATCCAAAGAGCTGGACGCCGCGAACAATATTCGCTCGGCAATAGATGATTGCGCTTCCAACGATGCACGGAATGATCACAGCAATGATCAGCAGGCAATTGAGTTGCTGGTAGCGCCCGGCAAGCCATCCGCTCCCTGTGATAGCCGCGACGGTGATCAGGGAGTAGGGGATGGAGATTAATGTGGACTGCAAGCTCGTGAACCCGAAAGAGGTAATCACCAGATTCGCAAAATTCTGTGTGCCGCCGTTGGGAATCTGCGTCAGGATCTCAAGCCCGAAGATCAACCAGGTCTTCGGGTCGATGAGGCATTCGGCAACCTGGTCCCATTTCCAGGCGGTTTTCTCGGTTTCGCCGGTTCCTGCGATGACGGCTCTCTTCCTGGCGAAGGTTTTCTCTTCTTCGGAGAGGAATCGGGCTTTGGAGATGGAGTCTGGGAGAAAGATCCAGATAAATAGCCCCCAGAGGAACGTGGCGACGCCAAGGACGATGAACATCCATCTCCAAGGCCCGACTTTGTCGTCGACGTGGCCAAGGCCGTAGGCAAGAAGACTTGCTACAATCCCTCCAACGCTCTGTAATCAAGTCAGTCAGTCAGTCTTTTTTTTTTTTGGAACCTTTAGGCGGCGGAAAAGCAGACGTACATTTCCAGCAAACCATATCCCGGTCCGTGTAGGGATCTCATCTCGAGTATACCATGTTGAGGTGATAAACATGAAAGCAGGAGTAATTGTCGCCTCTGTAACCCCCAGTAGAAACCGGACAGTCATAAGACCGCCAAAGTTGGTACAAGCAGCTGTCAAAGCCACAACGGCTCCCCAGATCAGGGTGTTGCCAGTCATGTACTTTGCGGTAGGAAGTCTCGCGATCAGTAAACTCGTTGGATATGACCAGATCAGATATCCGAAGTAGAATATCGAGGAGACCCAGCTGTATTGCTGGCCCACAAGGCCCTAGAGTAAGTGTTATTCGAATTACTTCGCGTCTGAGGAGCACGACTCCAGGCTCTTACAGTATCTTTCGATAATCCAAACACGGAAGCACTGGACAGGATCGTCTTGTCCATGAAGTTCAGCATATATGTCGTGAACAAGAGGGGGATCAATCGCATGTCGATCTTCCGTACGACCTTCCTGGCCAGCGCGAGCTCCATTGCATCCCCCAGGGGAGGCTCTTCTGGGTTCTCTATTGACACGGTCATTATTGAGATCCCAAGGGCACCTAGGAGCTGAATGGGAGGAGGAGTATACTAATAACAGGCACTAGTTCGAGGTTGTTCTTCACATTTATCCCCTGTAAACTCGGCTAACTCTTATCTTGCTCCCCCGTTCTATTGGCCCCAGCCCCGCATCCCGCGCAAGATGGATCACGATGGGGGGAAACCTTATCTCCCAGACGCTGCTGATGTCCTAAACCCTTAAACGCTCTCTTGGCTCTTTTAGCGTCAAAAGCCGCAACGGATGCACTTGCCCACCTAGGCAACTTTCGGCCAGGACCGATGCTTCTACAGAGGACTCTGTCAGATCCGACGCCTCTCGGCTAGAAATATAGTACTTGTTACTTAGTATATTAGCTCCCCTTTGGCGCAAAGGTATCAACTGGTCCGATCGAGCTTATCAGTAACACACCGCAATGAACGGCCTATCAATCAGCCCATTCATCGCAACCCTCCCGAAAGTTGAGCTCCACGTCCATATCGAAGGCACTCTCACTCCCGCTCTACGCTGGGAACTCGCCCACCGTAATGGAGTCGCCCTCCCATACGCCACATACGAAGACCTCAAGGCGTCATACGCCGTAACTCTGAATCATCGCCCGGAGCTCAATGGCCGCCAACCTGGGATTCCGACCTTCTTAGAAGCCTACTTCGCCGGCTGCGAAGTCCTGCGCACAGAAGCCGACTTCTACGATCTCGCCATGGCGTACCTCACCCGCTGCGCCGAGATGAACGTACGCTACGCAGAGCCCTTCTTCGACATCCAGGCGCACACGCGCCGCGGCGTGCCCGGCCAGGCTGTGCTGGACGGGTACCTGCGCGCCAAGCAAGACGCAGCTGCGCGGCTCGGGGTGCACTCCAACTGGATTTTCTGCTTCTTGCGCGACGAGCCTGTCGCGGACGGGCTGCGGGCTTACGAGGATGCGAGGCCGTGGGCGGCGGGTTCTGTTCAGGGCGGGAAGGGCTTGTTTCATGCTGTCGGGCTTGCAAGTAACGCGTACGAACGGCCGCCGATGTTATTTGAAGAGGGGTTTCTGCGGGCGAAAGCAGATGGGTTGCATGTGACTATGCATTGTGATTTTGGGCAGAAGGATACGCATGCGCATATGGATGAAGCGGTTTTTCAGGTCTGTGGGGGGATGGGAGCCGAACGGATTGATCATGGACTCGATGCGGAAGATAAGGAGGGGCTTTGGAGGGGGCTTTTGGAGAGAGGGATAGGGCTGACGCTGTGTCCTCATGCTTACCATCGCAGGACGGCGACGGAAGTGCTGTTTCCCAAGATTAGGAGGTTGTGGGAGAGAGGGGTGAGGTTTTGCATAAACAGTGATGATCCGACGCTCATGCACGATGTGTGGATTGATGGCAATTTGCAAAAGGTGTATACTTATGGTGGGTTCAGCAAGGCTGAGATGGTGCAGCTGGCGAGAAATGCGGTGGATATGTGCTGGGCGGATGAAGGTATTAAGAAAAGCATTTACGACGAGTTAGAGGCCGTTACGATCACTGATTAGGACGGTCCTATTCAATTCCTCAAACAGGAGCCATTGCTCCTTACTAGGAAACAGTGGTGATCTTGCAATCGGTTCGTTCGATACAACGTGTTTATTTGGCTCCACAAAACATACAAGGCTGTGAATGGCGACAAAGGCGTGAAGCAACTTAGACGTCATGCATTGAGCCATTGGAGCATATTCTTTATCAAGTGAGGAGCAAGATCGAGGTGCAGAGAATGACATTGTTTTTGATGGACTTGTCATTCTCTTTGTATGATCAATATCTCTTTACTCTATAGTCAAATACTATATAATACCTACTAGTAGAATACGCCGTCCAACGGATCAAACTAACGTGGAGGTATCCCATACACCGATAAAATTATCTTAGGCAAAACTTCCTCTATACCAGAGCAGGCACTGGAAAGGGAACCGCACAATCACACTCCTCGGGTCAATCAGCACTCCTTTCAGAATGGAAGATCTGATGAAGAAGGCCCAAGAAGAACACGATATTGCAAGTCAGCAGTATATGGAACTGGATGAACATGATTCCCAGAGAAAGGCCCAGAAGGATCGAATAGATGAACTCACCATGACTATGAATGTGATAGCAGAATTCATGGCTGGAGACAGCTACGGGGTGCCGGCTCAGCATCGTCGACGACGGCAACATTACTGTTGTTCACGATGGTGGCAGGGATTGGTATATAACTTTCCTCCAAGATCTGACTTATCATGACTGGATCATTAATGAGAGGCTGGTGGTACGGCGCATGCCTGCTCTCTCAATGAGCACAATGCTTTCACTATCCCAAGGGCCAGCTCAAAGCTTCCAAGAGCTGTCACTGGGTGAAACCTGTAGTATCTGTTTTGAGCCCCATGAAGTGGACTCAATTGTCATACAGCTTGCTTGTGGTCATTACTTTGACGCAGAATGTATTCTTCATTGGTTTGTCGGAAAGACCACTTGTCCGATGTGTCGTGCTGATATAGAACAATGCACACCACGCAGAGTATTCGCTGAGGGGTTATCTTTTCCATTTTTTGAGGAAGATGAATGGTGAATTTAACATTCCATTAAGTTTAGAGGTTATCCACAGTACATGATACACTAGTACCTAATCCATCCAAGTTTTAAGATAATCTCTCACAGATAGTGAGCCGGCTATATCTGACGTCGCATAAAAAGAGCAATCGCTTCCCGTGAAATCAAGAAATCGAGTCATATCCTATTTCGAAGGTCGTTTCGCTTCAAATTTGAAACTGCTCCGTAGGGAGGGGTTCCTCAAAGGCAACGAATAGTCCCCTATCAGGGTTTCCACCATCTGGAACCCTGATTTAGCCAGGACACGGCTTGAGGCCAGGTTTTCAGTATCGCAGTATCCCTGCACCACGTTGAACTGCGGCTTTGCGTCCCAGAATAGCTCCAAAAACGCCGTTAATGCTTCGGTCGCGAACCCTTGGCCCCACGCTGCACGGTTATAGATGAACCCAATCTCCGGCACCGGGTCTGAGCGCCAGGTCCCGACTACTCCAAGGAAGAAGCCTGGAGGTAGATATGAGTCGTTGGAGTGGTTCTCGTCTACTCCAGTCTCGTTGACCTGGGGTTCTTGGCTGGTTTGCTTGCTGGTCTTGGTGTCAAGGCCAGAACGTAGGATGACGGCATAGTTCTCTCCCAGTGGATTGTTTTCGAGTAGGTATCCGGCAAGCCAGTCTTCACTGTCTTTAAGTGTCTTGCAGGCACCGTGCGGGCTCCATTGGGTGGCGATAGGATCAGACCATACAGCATGGAAGCCCGGCAAGTGATCTTTTGTGAGGCGGACGAGGTCCAAGCGAGCAGTCTGCATGGTGGGTGTCGCACAGATCAGATGGTTTCAATTTGGCTCTGGAATGGGCTCTTGTTAAGTGAAGATCTTATAATGCTCTCGAACGCCCCCGTTGTGCGAAACAAAAAAACGCCTTGTAGTGGCGGGGACCGTAATGGTTCTAGCGCCTCTCTCCACATCCCATCCCGATTGGTTTTGGCAGCCTACAAGTATAGCTCGGTTCACCATACCTCGGCTTTCATAGCCAGGGAATTGGGCTCCTTACATTTGATCGTTGCGTGGGGTGACACGGGTAGATTTAATTATAAGCAGCCATCTGGTATCTCGCAAAGTTTGTAGACTTCGAGGCTCATAAATCCAATCTTCCAGCATCACATTCAGTATCTTCAACGTCATATACATCTTCAGGACAACTCTCAGTCAACCGAGCGAGCTCTCCATTCATTGATGCGCGTAGTCCAGTCACGAACAAGAGCTTCGAAGACACCATTCTCGTCGACGGGGATACCATGGGTGCCGCGATCTAGGACCACGAAAGTCGAGCGCGGGTAGAGCTCCAGCAAGCGAAGGCTGTCTCGATAGCCCACGACGGGATCGTGGCGACCACATACAATGAGTGTCGGTGCAAGGAACTTGACATCTTTATCGTCCAACGACCAAGATAGAGAATATCGCTGGAGGTCGTTTCGAATAGGACCTAACACCTTTGTATCCGATGCTGCTTGCGCTGGTAGGTAAGCCTTCTCGAACTTCGCCTTCAACGCGGCAACATAGGCAGGAGTTTGAACGAGAATGTCCCCAAGAGTTTCTTTATCCTCCGCTGATATACTGGACATAATCTGCTGATCTCTGACCAAGGCCTGGAACGCATCAAGGTCACGCTTGTTATCATCTGGCTCGATAAGTGGCACACGAAGTAATAAGCCGTCGATTTGGTCGGAATACTTCTGCGCTATCGCACGAGCAAGGTACCCTCCGCATGAAGTCCCGATCAGGACAAACCTGGAGCCCCGCAGTCGAGAATCGATGAACTGTTCTAAGCGGTGGTACATGTCGTCCAGATCCTTCACATTATTTGCGGGCGTCTTGCCCATCCCTGGGAGGTCGATATAAATCCGGCGAAGCCCCAGTATCTGGCTAAAGATCGGCTCGAAATCCAGCTCCTCCACCCTCCCATCCCCCTGCCATCCATGGATGATCAGAACGGGAAGCCCGTCCCCGATCTCATGTGCCGAGAGCTCAGATGTCATTATTGCAGGACTGTCTTTCGGGTATTCTGAGGCTTGGGAGCTTGGAGTAGATGTGCCATATCAAATAGTTAAGTCGAATATTGTGGTGAAAAACTGCTAGTCTGCGGGCCCCCAGGGGATCTTAGCGCAACGTAACCCTGAAGCGAGCCCGGGCCCGCAACTAAAAGGGTTTTGGCGTCCTCTGGTGCCTACGCTATAATAATTGTCTTCAATTGCGACTGGTATCATTCAGCACGGAGTCTAAGGTTCTGGTGGAGCGTTTTCAGGCATGACTTGAGTAATACAGAGCATTCATGCAGATAGAAATCTCGTGATGTAACGACTTCGCCAATTCTTCATGATGGGCCTGGACCTCCAGTCGAAATGTTGCCAATTTCGGGCAAGGATTACCTGCATAATGGCCCAAATCACAGCTGGAAGCAATTGAACCGGTGTAGGACACCCTTGCAGCTGCTAATAGTCGTCTATAGAACCCGTACCACGTGCCGGCTAGCTATCATGCCCCCATTGCTCCAAACATGTTTGCCCCTCCTAGCTCTCGGCACAGCGCATATATCAAGTCATGGCTGATATCTCTGTTCCCTTCTTTATCGACGGCAAGGACGTTGTCGCGTTTGATGTCTTTGACGTTACGAGTCCCTACGATAATAAGGTCTGCTGGACAGCTGCCGCCGGAACACCGAAGACTGCTGTATGGGCAGTCGAGGCTGCCAATGCCGCCTTCCCCGCATGGTCCCAAACGAAGCCCACAGTTCGTCGCGATATCCTTCTCAAGACGGCAAATGTGCTCGAAGAGCAGCTAGATACATATGCTGGATATATGAGGACTGAGATGGGTGCGGACGCGGGGGCTTCGTCAGGCTTCGTCGTCCCACTGGCTATCTCTATGCTGCGGGATATCGCAAGTAGAATCACTTCGATTTGTGGAAGTGTTCCTGTTGTTGAGGCGGAGGGTCAAAGTGCAATTGCCTTCAAAGAGCCTATGGGTGTGATTTTAGGAATCGTGCCGTGGTATGGATCTCTGTTGCTACCGTAACCAGTGTCGCGAGGGCGGCGTAAGGTGGTTCTTGCGCTCACAGAATACTGGCTACTTAGGAATGCACCCTACGTCTTTGGTATCCGGTCTGCTGCGTGTGCCTTGGCAACTGGAAATACGACCGTCCTCAAGTCCTCCGAACTGACTCCACGTTGCTACTGGGCCATTTGTCGCGCCTTTCGAGCTGCGGGGCTCCCCGACGGATGTTTAAATCTGATATCGTGTCGCCCAGAGGACGCAGCCGAAGTTGTCAATGCGATGATTGAACATCCGGCCGTACGAAAGATAAATTTCACTGGTAGCACAGCTGTTGGGCGAAAGATTGCTCGTTCATGCGGGCAAAACTTGAAGCCTTGCTTGATGGAGCTTGGAGGGAAGAATAGCTCGATTGTGTGCGCAGACGCCGATATTCAGACAGCGCTCAGGGGCGTGCTTGCTGGAGCCTTTTTGAATGTATACCCAACCTTTCCCTTTGTATACATTTTCTCCCTACGGCAAGTTCACTTACCGTCTACAGTCCGGACAGATCTGCATGGCAACAGACCGAATCTTGGTCCACAAATCAATCGCTCCAGCCTTCACCAAGGCACTTCAAAAAGCTCTCACAGCCAATCCCGATGCCTCCGCACTCCCACCGACACTTGTCAACACCGCTTCGAAGGCCCGCGTGGAAGCTCTGATCGCCAGCGCCGTGGCAGCAGGTGCGCACTTTATCTCCGGGTCCGCGAATATGCAGGTGCCTTCTGGTGCAGGTGTCCACATGGCCCCCGCAATTCTGGGCGGCGTTAGAGAAGATATGGCATTATGGCAAGAGGAATCATTCGCGAGTGTGGCTGCGTTGATGGTCTTCGAGACGGAGGACGAGGCGATTCGGCTGGCAAATGGGGGTGGGTATGGACTGTCGGCATCTGTATTCACGGAAGATTTACGCAAGGGCTTGGCTATGGCCAAGCGCATTCAATCAGGGTAAGTTTCGAGGCTGTTTGACACCTGAGTCCTGACGAATCTGCATGCTAACTTTAGTGCCAGTGCTGTTCACATTAACTCCATGACGATCCACGACGAGCCGGTGTTACCGCATGGAGGCGTGAAGAACAGCGGATGGGGCAGATTCAATGCCGCAGAGGGATTAAATGAGTTCTTGGTGACGAAGAGCGTGACCTGGATGAATTGAGCTGCCCAAAAGGGAATTGCGTAGCATTACCCATGGGCATTGCACGCCTTGCTCTGCGGGCTTTTCTCTTTCTGATAGCTTAGCTGCCCTCGGTCCGGGGACTGCCACGCATTTCCCCCCGGTGCAATGGATCCTCAATGAGCGTCGCTGTCCAATCTCACCGTAAATCTGCGGGAGTTCGGACGGATTTCCGGCGCCGCAGTTCAGAGAATTGCCCCGATCGGTCAAGTGTCCGGCATCGTACCACCCCGACTTGATAGCTTCCGGTCGGGAGGAATTGCCGACCTTTATGCAAGCTGAATCTGTCTTGCCGTTGATGGGTTCATAGAACTGTAGAATGAATTCCGTCGGTAATTGAGGTGCGTAGGCCACTAGGGGCGTGCAGTCATTGGGCCCAGAGGGAACATTCCCGTGACCAGTGGTCTTTTCACCAATCAGCATCGCCGTAATGAAGGATCGCTCGGCAACTGCTCTTTCCCGATCGAGGAACGCATAAGACGACTTGCGAGAAGTCGCTAGGATCTCAAGATCTATACAAATATCAGTACCAGTAGATATTCTATTATGATTTTATGTCGATATGTATTCTTATTTCATGGATTTGTGATGAGAATCATGATTGGTCCTTGGTCCTCGGGGTCCAGTTTTCTCTCGGTCAGGTTGATCTCCCAGCGCGACTAACCGAGGTTCACACGCTCGGTCCAACCGACCCCGGAAAAGCGTCGAATAGGCAATGAATTATAGACAAGTACGGAGTAGTGATCCGGAATTAGGGCCAGACTCCATTCTGGCCGTTTTAGAGCTGGCCCCGGATCTGTTGACTCAATTCTTCAAGTATGGCATTTGCGCCATATCGTGTACCTTCGTACCCAGGCGATGACGCAGGCGCATGTGAAAACATATGATCCTCTAAGCCCAATTTAATCAGGCAATGTGACCGTGCAAGCTAGCTTCATACCAAAGGGGCATAGGGTTGCATGTGATTGTAAGAATATGAAATATTCACGTTCTGCGGTGATCGCGCCCCCAGGTTTTGGACGGAACAAACCAGGTTGCGTCCATTACGCAGTGCCCCAGTTTTGTCGAACCCCGGCTCCACCGTACCCCATCTTAAGTGTAATTCCTGTTACCCCCACTGTGCCTCGGCCGATAGCTCGTCGGCTTCTGACCCCTTCCCCGGGCCTTTTTAAAAAGATCCCCCGGTCGCTCGTACCTCTCCACCTTCCCACCCATCCCTCTCCTCATCACTATTTCATAATGGCAGCACCTCAAGTAATTGTGGTCGGTGGTGGATGTAAGTGCTCCCGCGTCTGATCAAGGGTCTGTGTCTAACAAGAACAGTGTCCGGCCTGAGTGCCGCCCACACCGTCTACCTGAACGGCGGCAACGTCCTCGTTCTCGATAAGCAAGGTGAGATCCGAATCCTGTGAAACTGATCAGGGAAGATGCGCATAGCTAACATCCCCCAGCCTTCTTCGGTGGTAACTCTACCAAGGCCACCTCCGGTATCAACGGTGCCCTCACCCGCTCCCAGGTCGACCTCGGCATCAAGGACAGCGTGAAGGAGTTCTACGAGGACACCCTCAAGTCTGCCCGCGAACAGGCTCGCCCCGACCTCATCAAGGTCCTCACTTACCAGTCCGCGGCTGCCGTTGAGTGGCTGCAGGATGTCTTCAACCTTGACCTTACACTTGTCTCCCGTATGGGTGGTCACTCCAACCCCCGTACTCACCGTGGTCACGATGCCAAGTTCCCCGGCATGGCTATCACCTACGCTCTTATGCAGCGTCTGGAGGAGCTGGCTGAAAAGGAGCCTGGTCGTGTGCAGATTGTGAAGAAGGCCCACGTCACCTCCGTTAACAAGGAGGGCAACGATGTCACCGGTGTCACCTACTCCGTCAACGGCGAGACCAAGACCGCCGATGGTGTTGTTGTCCTCGCTACCGGTGGTTACGCTGCTGACTTCAGCGACTCCTCTCTGCTCAAGCAGCACCGTCCCGACACTTACGGTCTCTCCTCCACCAATGGTACCCATGCTACTGGTGACGGCCAGAAGATGCTGATGGCGATCGGTGCCAACGGAATCGACATGGACAAAGTTCAGGTCCACCCTACTGGTCTGGTTGACCCCAAGGACCCTCAGCCAAGTTCAAGTTCTTGGCGGCCGAGGCCCTCCGTGGTGAGGGTGGTCTCCTGCTCAACTCCGACGGTGAGCGATTCTCCGACGAGCTGGGCCATCGTGACTACGTCACTGCCCAGATGTGGAAGGAGAAGGAGAAGAAGAAGTGGCCCATCCGCTTGGTTCTGAACAGCAAGACCTCCAACCACATGGACTTCCACACCCGTCACTACTCTGGCCGTGGTCTCATGCGCAAGATGACCGGCAAGGAGCTGGCTAAGGAGATTGGCTGTGGCGAAGCCGCCCTCAAGAAGACCTTCGACGACTACAACCAGATCGCCGAAGGCAAGAAGAAGGACCCTTGGAACAAGAAGTTCTTCCACAACATGCCCTTCAGCATTGATGATGAATTCCACGTCGCTCTAATGGAGCCCGTGCTGCACTTCACCATGGGTGGCATTGAGATCAACGAGCACGCCCAGGTGCTCAACAGCGAGAAGGCCCCATTCACTGGCCTCTACGCTTGCGGTGAGCTGGCGGGTGGTGTTCACGGTGCCAACCGTCTCGGTGGTTCATCGCTGCTGGGCTGTGTGGTATACGGCCGTGTCGCCGGTGCCTCTGCCTCGCAGCACCTCTTCCAGAAGCTCATCAGCAATGGCTCCTCCGCCGCCCAGCAGCGTTTGGGCCAGATCTCCCTGCACATTGATCCCTCCACCCCGGGAAAGATCTCCGTTGAGTGGGGCGGTGCCGCCGCTAGCGGTGGCAGCCTCCCTTCTGTGGCTGCTACTCCGGCTGCTGCTTCTACCTCCGCCACTCCTGCTGAGGCCCCGGCCAAGGCTGATCCCGGGAAGTTCACAATCCCAGAGACTGAGTACTCTATGGAGGAGGTTGCTAAGCACAACAAGAAGGATGACTTGTGGATCGTCGTCAAGGGCATTATCCTAGATGTGACCAACTGGCTGGATGAGCACCCTGGCGGTGCCAACGCCTTGTTCAACTTCATGGGCCGTGATGCTACCGAGGGTAAGTTTCTTCGCCAAGACCAATAGCAATAGCATACCATACTAACATTCTATCTGTAGAATTCGCCATGCTCCACGATGATGAGGTCATCCCTAAGTACGCCGCCCAGACTGTTATTGGCCGCGTCAAGGGCCAGACCCCCAGCCTGGACATCTAATCGGCCTGGTTGCCCTTTCTCTATACCATCTACATACCCCCTCTTGTCTCTTATCTTAGCTCGTCCTTACAGTGTGTCATGCACGTCATGTCTTGAATGATATACCGATCTACTCTGTCTCGGTTCTACCCAGCCTGGGTCTCAAATCACCTGGCATTGGTGTTGGAACAATGGCCTTCGTGTACCATACCATTTTTAGTTCTTGAATGCATCTTCTAGAGTGATCAATTGGCCTTTCTAGTAATCTCTTACAAAGACTCTGATGCCCCGTAGATAACGACTCGTAATTAGTTAACTAGTCACGGGTGTTTGATACCGCTTCCATGGCCTACAACCATGCCTTAGGCCCCCAATCATTCCCGGAACCCCCACTCGCAGCATCGCGATGCTGCGAGTGGGGGTTACATAAGGAACTTGAATAGGCCTAGCCATGTCATCAGACACAATCTCACCTGGGCAATGGATCATGAAAATCTTGTCACTGGCTGATTCTTTTCCCACCTAGCAGATCCACTCTAATGCTTTGCAGTCTCAAGATTGTCATCGGGAAAATGCTGGCAGATTTGAACTCGATCATTTTCTTTACAATATCATCATAGTACAATGGTAATATGCAATGCTTCTATATAACATAAATTTACACCTTCATATGCCGCAAAATCTGTTTTAGTCGTCTAACGGCCGGCCCATCGTCATCACCGTCAATTTCTTGGCCTGTTCTTTCATCTAACTCCGCCTTCGCCGCTTCCAAAGCCGGCCGAAGGTACTCCCCAGACCTCATCATGGTATCTCTCATGGACACCCACCCAGTCCTCCGCACCAGGAAGGTTGGCCAACACGTTATCACGAAGGGTAGTAGCTCCAGCCGAGCTCGTTTGTGCATATCCCACCGGGTCATTCTGTTGCAGGAACGTATCAATATCAGGCACAAGGCTATGAGCCGAAAGCTGTTGCCCAGGCTCAGACCCTTGCATTCGAGACCCATCTTCCTTCTGAAGCTCCCGGCGAAACGACTCTAGCATATCAATCTCCTCTCGCGTCAACGGAGGCGGTGCAGCCGCTAAATCCAAATCAAGCCCGTCCGCCTCGGCATCAGCCTCGAAACTCGGATCAAACGACGGATCAGCCAGAAGACTCGCAACCGCCTCGCCATCTGTCACAGGTACTTGCATCCCCGAGCCCTCGGTCTCCGTACGCGCCCGCTCCCACGCAGAACTGTATACCTGCACCGGGTCATACGCGCGCTGCTTGCCCTTCCAACTACCCGCCTGCACTTCTTGTAGTCCCTCCGCACCGTGACTTCTGGCGCCCGGTTCCTCATAACTCTGCGTGGCTCCCACGTCCGGTATTGAGCCTGCGCGCTGAAACTCGTCTTCCGTCATCCCGGGAATCTCGATCCCGCCTGCGTAAACCCGCGCGTGCCCTCACGGAACGCCTGCGGTCCGGCCTCCGTCTGTCGCGCATGCGCACTACCTTTCCGTGCTCCTGGGCTGAGTATATCACGGCTGGCTGATCCCGCGGCTGGGCGCGAGGCAGATGGGGCTCCGGCTTTGCTATCCGTGGCACCGGCAATCGTCTGCGCGGCTCCGGCGCTGGCTCCTTGGAATGCGCTGCGCGCGAGCCCGGCTGCAGACCTCTGGACGCGGCTTGCGAGAGAAGGAGGGGGCGTGTCGTTGTTTGTGGCGGGTGCGGCGTTTGAGGAGGGTGCTGCCGGGGCGCCACTGTCGTCGCGATTGCTTTGCGTGGCTTGATCCGGGGTACCCCGCGGGTTCTTTGGATTGTTGCTCATGGCGGTGGGGGCGAGTTGCTGAGAAGGGCTTGACCCAGGTTAAGGGTGTTTCTAGGAGGGCATTGTAAGGTGATGGTTCCTTCGGGTTGAATCGTGTGTTCGGGTAAAGGGATCTTCGTGCCGAAGGAGGAAGGGGGACATGTGATTTTTATGTCGATGTGGAATAGCTTCGAGGTTGTTGGGAGAGGGCTGCGGGCGAGGGGGACTGTGCGTCTTTTATTTGATAGCCATGCAGGGTTAGGCGTTGATACAGTACGAGTATGACTATCCGTAGGATACGTGCTATAGTACAAAAATGCAAGCTGGCAGATAGGATTGTGCTCCCAGTCCAAGATTACCGCGGGCACTGGCAATGTATATCCGGTGCGGTGTGTGGTGCAGCAGCAGCTCAAGTGATAATCTTGCCCCCAAGGGTCTAGGCCATTTCATTGTAAATCCCTGGATTTCATTGACAACCCAGATCCAAGGTCCAACTGGCCAGATCCATTTTTATACGATCTAAAATGGAGGGGAAGGGACTAATGCAAAGTATAGTGGGCGGGGATGACGACACAGGCGGGTGCCCAGTGGTTGCCAAGGTCCGACGGCACAAAGACCAGGCGGTTGTCCAGTGGATGCTTCCCATGCTTCTTTGATCAATATAATTGCCCTTCATATGCAAAGGCCGAAGAGACAGATAATTTCAGGGACCTCGCGAGGTGCCTGCTTTGGGCAATGTTGCAGTCCGCTGGGCAGTGTTGATGTCAGCATTTTGCTCGACCGCCCGGCGCTTTGGTCGTAGGGCTTTGCCCAACAAGACCAGTATCTTCATCTACTACCCAGACCCAATGACATTTATGAAAGGGTAGCTTGCTATCGTACCACGTAGTCAATGCTGTATATACTGTTCAAGTCGATTGGTCCAAGGCTCGAGGGCTGGTCTGAGTTCAGGGGAAATGGGAGAAAAAAAAACCCACTAGCACTCCCCACCACCGCCTCACTTTCCTTTTTCTTGGGATCGAACGGAAGCAGCTAATGAGATGCAGGCAGTAATGTACTGAAAGACTATCTGAAGGCTACGACGGACAGGGGGGGCTGTAAGGTTGAGGCGGAAGACGCAAGAAAAGTAGTAGCGATCGCGAATCTTCATAGTGCCATCTCCCAATGATCCCCTCTCAAGCTCTTCTTGGATCCACTTCATAACACCGGCTCGTTTGCTCCCCCTCCAAATCTCCATCCAACAACCCACTCCAAACCCAGACCACCCCTCTCCCGCCATCTACCATATCTCCCTTTGGAATACATTGCGAGGATCGTCTTCTTTTTCAACCTTGCCCTCGTCACCCGGGCTGTCACTTCCCTCTCCCCCTCTTCCCCCTCCCTCGTCATCGGCCCCTCGCCTGTGGTCCGACCGATTCTCATCGCCATTACCTCTCTGTGAACTTTGTCCGACCGGTCCCACTGTGTTGTCATTCGAATCTCGTTTCGACTCCGATTGTGCTTCGATCATAGCGTCTTCGGAAATCGCCATTTCGCCAATCTCGCTTTCTCTTCCATCCTTGCATTCGTCCTTTGCTCTCGTCCTTTGCTCTCTGTGAGGACGATCCTAGAACGAAAAGATGGGAGACAGAGACCCAGGCACACCTACCTGGAAGTTCACACAGTAAGTCAGCCGCCAGGCAATCACTCGCGTCATTGTCCGGGGGGGTCTTTGTCGCCCGCTGCCAAATTCTGCAGGACCACCGCTGACCGTTGTCCATAGATGCTTTGGTGATAAGGGAGATGTAGAAGATATCACAGAAGGTTGGTTGAACTCGTGACCTATTTTGGCTCCTTTATCCGGCTTACAAAATTTCTTTCAGCTGATATCATCTCGACCGTCGAATTCGACCACACCGGTAACTACCTGGCGACGGGAGATAAGGGTGGGCGAGTGGTTCTATTCGAACGGAATGAGACGGTAAGTAGCCATCTCAATCGCTCCGACACTTGCTTCAGAACTGATCTATTTCTGTAGAAAAAAACTTGCGAGTATAAGTTCCACACCGAATTTCAGTCACACGAGCCAGAATTCGACTATCTCAAGTCGTTAGAGATTGAGGAGAAAATCAACAAAATTAAGTGGTGTCGGCGACAGAATGCATCGCACTTCCTTCTATCGACCAACGACAAGACCATAAAACTATGGAAGGTGTTCGATAAGTCACTGAAGGTGGTTGCGGAGAACAACCTCTCGAATGAGATGACCCCTGCGAGCATCGTGGGTGGTGGTCTGCCTCGTGCCCCCCGTGGAACATTCAAGGATGCTTCATCACTGAAACTACCCCGTCTGACACATCATGACACAGTTGTGGCCGCTGTTCCCCGGAAAACATATGCCAACGCCCACGCGTACCATATAAATAGCATCTCAGTGAACAGCGACGGCGAGACCTTCATCAGCAGTGATGATCTTCGTGTCAACTTGTGGAATCTCAACATCCAGGACCAGAGCTTCAATATTGTGGATATCAAACCGGCAAACATGGAGGAACTTACCGAGGTTATCACAGCCGCCGAATTCCATCCCGTTAGCTGTAACTGGTTCATGTACGCCAGCTCCAAGGGCACCATCAAATTGGCTGATATGCGTCAGCGGGCCCTTTGTGATGAACATGCTAAGCGTATGTACTATCCATCTTTTGATCCGTTTGTGTCTCTTTCGAATTTAGCTACTAATGTTGGTTCCCAGTGTTTGAGCAAGAAGAAGACGCCTCCTCCCGTTCCTTCTTTTCCGAGATCATCTCCTCCATTTCAGACGTGCGATTCTCACATGACGGCCGATACATCGTTTCCAGAGACTATCTGACCGTAAAGATCTGGGATGTGAACATGGAGCGCCAACCCGTCAAGACCATCCCTATCCACGAGCACCTGCGGCCACGTCTCTGTGATACCTACGAGAATGACAGCATTTTCGACAAGTTTGAGGTGGTTTTCTCGGGCGATGCTGATAATGTCATGACCGGAAGTTATAACAATAACTTCATGATCTACCCGACGGACGAGCAGAAGGAGACGGAGATTGTGCTGCAGGCAGACAAGTCAGCCTTTAAGGCCAAGAAGGTCGGCGTGCCTACTCCAATGAACAAGGGTAATGGAAAGAAGGCCGGGTCGAGATCGGGTAGTCCCGCAGGCCCAGGTAGCCGCATGAAGAAGGAGACGGATGCCGACCAGATCGACTTTAACAAGAAGATTTTGCACATGAGCTGGCATCCATTCGAAGACAGCATTGCCATTGCCGCTACGAACAACGTAAGTCCATGAGTGTTCATTTCTATCTACGTATCCGAGCTGACCAGCCTTTTTCTTCGCAGCTCTTTGTCTTTTCTGCTCTGTAACCGCGGATTTATTCGGTTATAGGGTCATGTTTTTCCATGGACAGGCGCATCTTGAAAATGGAGTAGGAGCAGCCAGTGGGTGGGTTGTCGACCTGGCCAGGAGAGAAAGGAACTACTAAAATCAAAACAAAATAATGGTCATAGCAGCAGGCCTCAACCTGCATAATCTCAGGACTTTCCATTCACCCTCCTGCCCGGGGGACTTCTCCACCATCAGCCCCATGCACCCTCATCACTGCTTTTCCCGAACCATACATCCTCTTCTCTCAGCCCTTCCTATGCCTTGTCTGCGAGCAGCTTTTCCTTTAGTACCCTCTAGGCGTTGTATGGGGGCGCTTCATGATAGAGAATGTTAAGCCTGCTTAGGTCATATTGAATGAATGTTCCAAGGTTCTGATTACTCGTAGATTGTAGCAAGGGCATGCTATCATAGTGTTTTACTTGTAGGCAAAGAACTTGAGATTATCGAAAAACTTGGGTGTGAGCTTTAGTAGTGATCTAGCTTTATACTCATTATAAATTACTTACTTAGTAAAAAACTCATTACCTGCTCTGGCGCTGATTTCCTTTAGCATCCTTGTGTTTACCCATGACCCGACCTCGTTCCAGGTCAGCCCCCCCTTTCCGAGTATGCCCGCGGTTTCGTCTTCTGTCAGATTTTGTCGTCATCAAGATATATGCTTAATCAGGTGGGGGATTACGTTACAGCATCATGGAGACAAAGAGGAATAAGATACGTAGTAGACCATGCCAGTTCACCTCCTCCCCATCTCCTATAATACTGCCAAGAGTGCTCTGGATTTTTCTGCCGGACTTTGTGAGCGATGACGAAGGCGGAGGGAATTATTACATCCGTGGTTACCATACATTACAGCTATAACTGCTCTGATTGCTGGGGAAGCCGGGTAGACTGGTACGAAATGGTCCCTGAGCCCCGGATCATTAACGGTCCGGGGTGTAGTAAGCCATACCGCAAGGGGACTAGCGAGAGTCGGTCAGGAAAGCCTCCGCTGGAGAGAGCCCGCGATCGATCGCGCGCAATCCCATTCTGTCCCTTATCCCTCATCTCGTCGTCTTTCTGGCGCCCCAATAGGGAGATACCTTACCAGTGCCTACGTTATAGGTCATGCTGTGAACGACACCTCGACCCTCTCGTGGACCATTCCTCCCTCTTGCGATTCACTCGGGGAAGCCGAGAAACACACTACTGCGCGGCTGGAGCTTCGTCAAACATTCAGTCTGCTTCTGTAACCCCACCTACTCGCAAACTTTTCCAATTGTTCCTCTAATAGCAAGTTCGAGTTCATGACTTGTAGATCATGAACTCCGGGAATGAAAGTTGGCACTCTGGTGGTGGGCCTCCATCACACCCTAGCATGGATCAAATGAACCAACAGCCTCGGCCATTAGGGCCTTTCAGGTATGCATTCCCTCACTGTCTGATCTCCCAAAACACCAAGGCTAATGCTCCTACCTTGTTTGCAGTCAAAACCCTTCTCAAGCGGGTCCGCCTTCACAGAGCTCTGGTCCCGTTCTCCCACCCCCAGGTTAGCCTTTTCGATACCCTCCCTATGAATTTCCCCCACACCCGCCGTTGTTGTTTACGTTCCCTCTTCCCGACGTTTCGCAATCAGCAAGCTGATTCTTTTTGTGATGTCTTGAAGGTCCATACCACTCCGCCGGCCAGTCTGGTGGTCATTCTCTCCCCGGCCTAGCGGAACTCAGCCAGAGCCATGGGGCTCCCCACCAACCTCCATCATACGCACAACACCCTGCAGGCCCCCCCCCACGGTTCCGGACATTCTCTCCCCGGCATCGGCCAGGCGATGCAGCACGCCTCTCCTCAGTCTCTTAACCGCGAACGCGAGCGAGACTCGAGAGAACGCGAGATCATGGAGCGCGAGCGCCAACGACAGGAAGAGATGGCCCACCGCGAACGCGAGCGCGAGCGAGCAGAGCAAATGGAGCGCGAACGCCAGCACCATCCTGTTCAGAGTCACCCTGGTTCGATTCCCCTCCATCAGCCCGTGGCCTCGAAGGTCCAGAATACGATCCACGGACCCGGCGGCCTTTTATCTCAGCCTTGGAGCCAGCCAGTCTAATGCCCCCCAAGGGAATGTGCAGTCATCCGGTGGCCCTGCCAGCCTATTCGGCACTCCGATGCAGCAGCATGGTGATGGTACACCTCGACCTTATATGCAACACCCCGCTGGTCCTCCAATGATGGGAGGGTATACCGGCTCGGGGCAGCAGATCCCCGGAAATGTTGCAGCTCTTGCCCAAGGACAGCAGCCAATTCTGAACGCAAGTCACCCAACTGGGCCCCAACACACTCAGAACATACGTCTAACAGAAACCTTCCATGTACAGGATGCCCTCAGCTATTTGGACCAGGTCAAGGTACGATTCGTTGACCAGCCCGATGTATACAATCGCTTTTTGGACATCATGAAGGACTTCAAAAGCCAAGCGTATGTTTCGAATGATCCCGTTGATTCCAGATGTATTACTGACAGATTATGTGTGGCATAGCATTGATACCCCGGGCGTGATTCAGCGAGTTTCCACGCTGTTCAATGGCCACCCAGCCCTCATCCAAGGGTTCAATACCTTCCTCCCCCCAGGTTATCGCATTGAATGCGGCACGGAAGACAACCCTGATGCCATTCGTGTGACTACGCCTTCAGGCACAAACACTTTGAGCATGCCTCGCGCAGGACGACCTTTGGAGCCCACAAATGAAATGGGTCCATCCAGTAGCCTCGCTCAGCATAGTCGGCCCGATTATTATGAACAGTCCCGCCCTGGTTGGCAACAGAATCAGCAGCAGCCATCTCAGCAACAGACGTCAGGATCTTATTCGCCAGGCTCGCGTATGATCAGCTCGATGTATCAGCCCGAGAATCAAGGGTCTGCCCAAGAACATCCTTATGCGTACCAAAACCCGGAGTCTCAGGGAGCTTCGGCCTTATCACGCCCTCAGGACCATCGGGGAGTTGCCCAGCTTCAGGGCGCCGCATCAGCCGCGTCTGGCTTGGGAAGAGGTTCCATGATGTCAACTTCGAACGCAGGCCAGAACGCCAGTCTCACCCAGTCCGCCAGTGGGTTAGCTGGCTTGGGTGGTATGCTGCAGGGCGGACATCCCGATTTGAACAAGCGGGGACCTGTTGAATTCAACCATGCAATCAGCTATGTGAACAAGATTAAGAATCGGTTCTCAAGCGCTCCGGAAATTTACAAGCAATTCCTGGAGATATTGCAGACCTACCAACGCGAGTCGAAACCAATTCAAGATGTGTATGCACAAGTGACTCAGCTATTTAACACCGCACCTGATTTGTTGGAAGATTTCAAGCAGTTTCTGCCTGAGTCCGCTGCGCACGCCAAACAACAAGCGGCGCAGGCAGCTCGTCTTGCTGAGGAAAGCATTCCCATGAGCAACATGCGTGGTGACTCCATCGGTCATCCTTCTCAAACTCCAAATCGGGACATGAAAAACATGCCCCCAATGGGCAACTTTAACGTGAAAGACTCAGGCAAGGAGAGCAAGAAACGACGAGGAGGTCCTGGCGGCGGTTCAATTTCAGGGCCCGCTGGCGTTGATGTCCGTTTGCCGGAATCCAGCTTGCGGGGCCAGCCTCCCCAGTTTGGCAACAAGGTGAGTTGCGCCCGCCATCAATTCTTGAGTTGTCGTCCTCTTTTTATTCTTTACTGACTTGATAATAGCGAACCAAGTACACCCATGGCAAGACTGCTGGACCGGCCGATATCCCTAATGCGTCCCCAACCCTTGTCCCTGCTCTCCCAGAGCCGATCCCTCCATCCGTATCGGCGACTCCAAGCCAAGAGGAAATTGCTTTCTTTGACCGTGTGAAGAAGTTCATCGCCAACAAGCAACTCTTCAGTGAATTCGTTAAGCTTTGCAGCCTGTACACTAGCGATCTGATCGATCGCTTTGTGCTTGCGAAGCGCGCGGAAAAATACATTGGCTCCAACGTCGAGTTGATGAACTGGTTTCAGCGGTTCTTGAATGCCGAACACCCCGAGGATAGAATAATTGACCCCAAGCCCACCGAGGAGACTGATGGAGTCAATCTTTCCCGGTGTCGAGCCCTTGGGCCTAGCTACCGTCTCCTTCCTTTCCGCGACCGCCACAAGCCATGCAGTGGTCGTGACCAGCTGTGCCGGGAAGTTCTCAATGATGAATGGGCATCTCACCCCACTTGGCATTCCGAGGATTCTGGGTTCATTGCTCACCGCAAGAACGGGTTTGAAGATTCTCTGCATCGCATTGAGGAGGACCGCCACGACTACGATCACCACATTGAGGCTTGCACTCGAACTATTCAACTTATGGAGCCTATTTGCCAACAGTTCCTGCACATGTCTGAGAGCGAGCGAGCCAACTTCCAATTACCACGCGGTCTGGGTGGACAGAGTGAAGCCATCTACCAGCGAGTCATCAAGAAGGTCTACGACCGTCAGCGGGGTGAGAAGATCATCCGCGACATGTTCGCACGACCTTGCCAGGTTACACCAATTGTTCTGTATCGGCTCAAGCAGAAGCTCGAGGAATGGAAAGCTTGCCAGCGGGAATGGGACAAAGTCTGGCGTGAGCAAATGCAACGCTCCTACTGGCGCAGTCTCGACCATCAGGCCATTGCAACGCGGTCGACGGATAAGAAGTTGTTTATTGCGAAGGTTATCCAGCAGGATCTTCAGGCCAAGTTTGAGGAAACTCAAATTTCTCGCAAGAACGGTCTGAAGGTTCCAAACCACCAGGCTGAGATGAAGGTCCAGGATATCGATGTTCTCTTGGATGCCACGCACTTGCTCTGCATGTTCATGGACCGGACCAACTCCGGATTCGGCGCCGAACCATCGCGGCTGATCAACTTCGTCAAAGACTTCATTCCCATCTTCTTCGGGCTGGATCGCGAAACCTTTCATGATTATATGGATGAACTTTCGGCCGCAGCCACCCCTGCGGAGGAGTTAGAAGACAATTTCGATGCTGACGACGTTTCCAATACCAGCCGCAAGGGCCCTAACATGCAAAAGCTGGCAGTCCTCCGTGAGGCCCTTGAGCGCCGAGAGCCGAAGAGTAGCTCCAAGGAAGATGGGCCTACGGCTACCCAAGCACCCCAAGTCAGTCAGCAGCCTACGCCTGATGGCCTGCGGGCTCTCTCTTCAGGCCTTTCAGACTCTGGAGAGGCCTTCGATGCCGCTGAATTGAAGTGGATGGAGCACCCCGGCCAGGGCAACTTCAATGTCGAGCAAGAATACACGCTCAACGAGAAGTACAGGAAGACATCGCACCACATGTACTGCAATCTGAACATCTTATGTTTCTTGCGCACCTTCGACATCTTCTATTCTCGTCTGCTGCGCATCAAGGAGCAGGAGGGAGAGGCACACGAGCAAATCCGCCGTGGCCTCCTTCCGAAGCCCGCCAAGGATCTTGGTCTCATTGACCGCCTCCCCAGCGATTTCTTCTACGATGTTGACCCCAAGGCCAACCTCTACAAGCAAATTGTGCGCATGTGTGAGGAAGTCATTCGGGGGGATATAGACCAACTCCATATGGAGGAGACTCTTCGCCGCTTCTACATGCAGAGTGGCTACCTGCTGTACAACCTGGATCGCATCCTCAACTCCATCAGCAAGTACGTGGCCTCGATCTTCACAGGAGACTCGCGTGACCGTAGCTCCGACATTGCGAATCTGTTTTTCCGGGAGCGCGAGAAGGAGGAGACGACCCACGCACAGGAGATTCAATACCGCAAGCAAGTCGAGAAGCTCGTCAAGGAAGGCGACGTCTATCGGGTTACATACGTACGTTCGCCGGTTTTTATCTCCACTACATTTTTTTCGCTTGGCTAACAATCCTTTCCAGATACCGTCAGACCACCTAGTCACCATTCAGGTGATGACCCCCGAAGATACCACCCTTGCAAATGACGAGTTAAGCCGGGAAGCTCGCTGGTCATACTACGTGACCTCCTACTCCATGCGGGATCCCACAGAGGGTGTAAGCTTCTCTGACATGCGCATGCCCTTCCTCAAGCGGAACCTCCCGGCGAAGCTTGATGAAGACGAGGAGTATGACCGCTTCTACCGTCGCCTCGAGCACCACGACGGTCTCGTCCACCGCATCTGTGCCAACAATTATACCATCCTCTATCAGCCCGGGACCTACGACTTCTTTTGGCGGTCAAACGCCCCCATCCCTGGGAAGGATGCGGATGCTGAGACCCTCTCCACCATGGAAGAAGCCCTCAGGCAAGAGCAGGCGACCCTGGCCGAGAAGCGTCGGGACCGCTTCCGCGAGAAGTTCGTCAACAATCCGAGCTGGGCCAAGAACCTCAGCAAGGATAGTGTTGACGAATCCAACCAGCGCTTCCGCAGCTGGATGGATGGAGCCCTGCTTCCTGCGGAGGACGTCGGCTCCGGTGAGGGTGTTGAGAAGCCCGCGGAGCCCATCCCTGCCAAGCCTGAGCCCGCGGACACCGAGATGGAGGATGCGCAACCAGAGGCTGAGACGGCTGCGGCCGGTGAGGCTGAGGCGTAGACGGCGGGAGTTCGTGACATGGAGTTGGGGGTGTTTGGGGGGGGAGGCAGCCATTGGTTTACGGGTTGTCGTTCTATGTGTTTTCAATTTTTTTTTTTTTACCTTTCTTCGTTCTTATTGTGTTTTTTTTTTTATTGTTACACTTAGTTAGATATGTTCAATACCAGTGCGTTGAAGCACTTGCTGTCTGTATGTCGAGTATGAAAATGAGTCCTTTAGCAAATGATAATTCTTACAAGCAAAACGCTTTTGAATCTAGCCTGCCACATATAGCATTCCCAAGCTGTCACGTTTATTCACAATACTAGTAGCAGCATGTTATAACAGAAGGTTTGATGTGGATGGCTGTCCTTGCCCGTCTTATGACTCCAGCTAAACCTTCAAGTCCGAGCATGAATTGTAGGGCAGAGCGCAAGACCAGTTGTAATAAGACTACCGACCTCCCACTAGCACGTATCTGTATCTGTAGGGTTGCCAAGTGTATCGTGTATCTGACTTTCAGTACAGATCCCCCAGAGCCAGACCGGGGTCTCCGGCTATCCATCTCCTGTGGCTTGATGCTCCGTGCGACCGAACCGATACAGTCCCGAGACAGCATCGGGCCGGGTGAGCCTTGCTGGTTCGATTTTGAGTTCGGGAGAAGTTAGGGCTCATTCGAGCTGGAATGGCGGCTTTCAGCACTCCCACGCTATCTTTATCATGAATGGGGCTTGGGGAAAGAGTCAGGGCCACCCAAAGGTTCAAGACAGCTGAAAAGCAAAAAGAAAAAGACGGCGTGCTTACGGGCCTACGAGAATACCCCGAGCTCCACCGAGTAAAGTCCGGCGTGATGTCATCATTCGGGCCAACTTACCAATCCGCTAGTGAACAATTTGAGTGGTCGATCATGTTGTAATCGAGCATCATCGGAGGCAAAATCGAGAGGTATATAACCCTAGGCGGGAAAGAGTTACTCTCTTAATATTCCAAGTAGCCACTCTGGGGCAAGAAAGTGCTGAAGTTTATTGGTTCACTAAAGTGGGAGGACCTCTACAGAATCCGGGGGCGCGGATGAGACCACACCCAACGTCGCGTCCTGCTGCAGTCTGACCCTTCCATTCTGCCGAATCCCTGGAGCTTGTACCTCGTTTTGTCCGGTGGAACCGATCGTGGGGTTATTTGAATCCCCCTCGCCCCTTACCCTTCCCAATTCTCTTTCTCTCCTCGTTGATCCCTCTCCCTCCTTCCTTCCTTTCCCCCTTAATTGCGTTCCAACATGGCTGCTTCGGCGCTTTTGAAAAGCCGTATTCGACGGCCTTCGTATCTAAACAAGCTGGCCAAGCCTGAAGATCTGATTGATCTGTTTCCCCATGGCACATCCATCGGCTGGTCCGGTTTCACGGGTGTTGGCTACCCCAAGTATGTCATCAGCTTCGTTCGCAATTTAAATTGTGGCTGTATCGATTAACGCGATGTTACACTTCAGAAAAGTCCCCACGGCATTGGCAGACCATGTAGAGAAGAACAACCTGCAAGGCAAGCTCAAGTACGACCTCTTCGTGGGAGCATCCTCCGGTGCTGAGACCGAGAACCGCTGGGCTCGCCTCAACATGATCGAGCGTCGCAGCCCCCACCAGGTCGGAAAAGAGATCGCCAAGGGCATCAACAATGGCAATATCAAGTTTTTCGACAAACATCTGAGCATGTTTCCCTCGGATCTGGTCTATGTGAGTTTTCTTCTCGGAAGTTCCGGCCGCGGGCATACAAGGCACGATCGACGCTAACCAATCGTATGACGTTAGGGTTTCTACACTCTCAATAAGCCAAAGAACAAGATTGATGTTGCCGTTATTGAGGCGTCCGCCATTACAGAGAATGGTGGAATTATTCCCGGTGCCTCCGTGGGCGCCTCCCCAGAGTTGGTCCAGATGGCCGAAAAGGTCATCATCGAGGTCAACACAGCCAGCCCTTCATTCGAGGGTCTCCATGATATCACTACTTCCGACCTGCCCCCCGGTCGCAAGCCATACCTGATTATGTCCCCGAGGACCGGATCGGAACTTCCTACATTCCTATCGACCCTGAGAAGGTCGTGGCCGTCGTCGAATCCGACTACCCAGACCAAACACTCCCCAACTCGCCCGAGGACGAAACATCGCAGGCCATTGCCACCAACCTGATCGAGTTCCTCAAGCATGAGGTCAACCATGGCCGTCTGCCACAGAACCTCCTCCCCATCCAGTCCGGCATTGGCAACATCGCCAACGCGGTCGTTGGCGGTCTCAGCAAGGGTGGCGCCGACTTCAAGAACTTGAAGGTGTGGACTGAAGTCCTGCAAGACTCCTTCCTCGACCTCTTCGACAGCGGCAACCTCGACTTCGCGACCGCAACCTCCATCCGCTTCTCTCCTGACGGCTTCAAGCGCTTCTACGACAACTGGGAGCGCTACGCCGGCAAGCTGCTCCTCCGCTCCCAGCAGGTCTCCAACTCCCCCGAGATCATCCGCCGTCTGGGCTGCATCGGCATGAACACCCCCGTCGAAGTCGACATCTACGCCCACGCCAACAGCACCTGCGTCATGGGCTCGCGCATGCTCAACGGTCTGGGGGGGCTCCGCCGATTTCCTCCGTAACTCCAAGTACAGTATCATGCACGTGCCCAGTGCCCGGCCCAGCAAGACCGACCCGACCGGTGTCAGCTGTATCGTCCCCTTCGCGACGCACATCGACCAGACCGAGCACGATCTCGATGTGATCGTTACGGAGCAGGGTCTGGCGGATGTCCGCGGTCTCTCGCCGCGGGAGCGGGCCCGAGTGATCATCAACAAGTGCTCGCACCCTGACTACAAGCCTATCCTGACTGATTATCTGGATCGGGCGGAGTTTGAGTGTCTGCGTAAGGGTATGGGCCATGAGCCCCACTTGCTTTTCCAGGCCTTCAAGATGCATCAGAACTTCCAGGAGAAGGGTACCATGAAGATTGATTCTTGGGAGTAAGGGTCTTCCCATAGTTGTACATATAAAGGGCGTTTCTTTATGTAATGGGTAATAGCCATAGTTCAGATTTCATAACTTAAGTTTCTGTTCCAACTGAAATTCTCATAGCAGTTCATGCATCTCGCATAAGTACCAACTTAAGAGAAACCCCTCTAGGGAATACTTTATAAACGGATAGAAGCTACTAGCGCTAGTTACGGGCTATAGGAATAGGAATAGTTCCAGGGCTGTGCGAGAAATGCCGAAGGAGCGTGGTAAAAACCGCACGGGGGGGTCTTATTGTCTGCAATAACTTGTTTCTTCAAAATACTCTAGTTTCATTCCAATTCCTCAAACTCCGGAGCTTCTAAAGCAAATGCCTAGGCCAATATCCAATGAATACCGCCTTTGTATATCGTAAATCCATTATTTGCATCCAAAGTGTTTGGGATGTCAGATGCCAATGCCACACAGGTATAGTCGACATTTTAGTCGGTCGGGGCATGGTAAGCAGCTCCACCCGTGATCCTGTGATGTATTAGTCTGCGTTCACCTTTGGAAGTCCCCATATACCCGTAGTACAAGTACTCACTTGTTGTAGATGAAACTGAATAACCCTGATGATTGCGGCTCGGACTTGCGGCGAGCCCAGCCGTTCTCGACGTTGTAGTGTTTCACGTCTTGGAGGCCAGCGAAGAGACCACGCCCTGCGGTAGAATGCTGCGAGGCTATTAGCCATTGCCCGGTAAACTTGGAAGGTTGTGCAATAACGTACACGATGCTCTTTCTGGTTGCGGACCCAATAGTCACTGCCAAACTCGTTCGGCATGCGAGAAGCTTGCGAGTTCTTGGAACTGGACGACATGTTGTAGTCAAGTTTGTCGGTCGTCAATTGCGACGAAGGTATATAGTCTTTATCGTGTGAGGATATGCTGTATGCACTTTATTGTATGCTGGTGAACGAATGAAGCACCTCCGGCATCCCGTCTACATCCTTATATACCTCGAGCTCGATATTCCAAGCCCCCAAGAGAACATGAAAGCACTGCCACCAAGCCATAGCAATCATGGCCTGACACCAACAGCCCGAATCAAACCGAAGCCAGACAAGGGTCGACCGTCCCAAGGTGAAGTCATCGGCTCCGAGGGCAACAAGTCGGGCTGCGCTCGGATGCAATGAATAGGCTCGAGCGAAGGAGTAAGCCGGATCTGATTCGCTGCCTCCGACTGGATAGCATGATTGCCTCGTCGGTGACTGGCGGACTGACGTCTCCCCCAGTCCGGGGTGGGGGGACCCTACAGACGTTCGCAGGAATCTTTGCTCGGGGGGCCGTGACGTTTGCTTCGGCCGAGCTCGGAATTCGACTTGCCGGGGTGGTGCATCGATGGTGTCGCTAGAGATCCGGCTCGGAGCTTGCCGAACTAGCGCCATGGTCTGATTGATTTGGAATTCATTTCTTTTGATTTGTTCTTTTGCGCGGTCACGTGCTAGGGTTGCTTTCGGGTGGTATGATCGGTGGGGCCGTGTGGTGTGATGCGAGTGTACGGAGTAGAGTAGCGAGGCTTTGTTAACGTCCACGTGGATTGACAAGGACATTCGCTACAGGAATCGAAACGGCCAATCGTTCATCTTCTCTTCGTATCGAATCATTTTGAGATCTGAGTTTGATGTGTTGTGCCATGCGGGAGGTCGCAGTGCTGGAAACACGACCACAAGGGAGCACGAGGCAGCATGCTACACTATGATAGTCGGACCTGTAACAGCCCTAAATTGACATTTGTATGATATTCGTTCTGTTGGTGTCTAATATTGCCCCCAAAATGTTCTTGCGGGCTGCAAAGGCTCAAATGGGAGAAGCGCCTGACACGGTTAATGCCTGAGATCAGCTGACGGCGGGGCTGAGCTGCCCGCCAAATCAACACATCGCAATGTCAGAGCCCTGCTGTAGATGTCCGTGGCTTTCATAATGAGTTCCTTACAATTTGACAAAAGGAATAGAGGCACTCAGGTGGGAATCAACTATGGGACGATCAATGTATCAACGGGTAGGCCCCGCAGAACCGCTGGATCCGACTTGAATTGACTAACAGCCATCTCTGGGGCCCAATAGCACACAACACAGACGGCTCAGAAACACCTGGTATGCGGCTCTGTCGATGTTTGGCTGGGAAACAAAGGACTAACCGTCATTTGTAGTGGACCGGTTCCACATCCCACTCGATCTGACTGCGGTCCCACTGATCGAGAATTTCGTGGGGCGCCAAGAGGAGCTTCATGACCTGTGGGAGTATCTACGGCCAGTCGATGGGTCTTCACGCAAAGTCGCCATTCTACACGGGCTGGGTGGGATGGGAAAGACACAACTGGCTGTTCGCTTCGCACGAACTCACAAAGCGGATTTCTCTGCCATCTTCTGGCTGAGCGGGAACGACAAAGGCGCACTTCTACAATCCTTGAGCTCTGCACTATCCCAAGTACTAGGGGAATTCCCGGCCCTTCAGTCGGTCGACGATGGTCACACAAAGCAGCGCGCGAATCAGATGCTTCACTGGCTCGCATCAGAGGGTAATTCCCGCTGGTTGGTCATCTTCGACAATGTCGATCAGTACTCGTCGGTTGAGGATGCCATGACCGGTGCCTATGATATTGGGAGTTTCCTTCCTCCTGCAGACCACGGCTCTATCTTGATCACTTCCAGGATTCAAGACCTCACACACCTGGGCCGATCTTTCCCTATCTCGCGGCTGAATACAGGCGATGCGGTAACACTATTGCTGCAAAATCATTATCTCCCAGCAGAAGACGTCTCTGGAGACCTTGAAAGCTACCCAGGTACGGTGCCCGGCCCGCAAGCAAATGGTGACAGCCATACTCACGTACTCAGATATCATGGCGCTTGTCAAATGTCTGGATGGGCTGCCATTGGCAATCGCCGTTGCCGCGGCCTTCATGCGACAAACTGGAACTACCATATCAGAGTACTTACAGCTCTACCAAAACTCTTGGTCAGATCTCCAGGCCCAATCAAGTCCTGGGCGCCAATATCCCCAAGGGGATATGTCACAAACATGGATGATCTCGTATGAAGAGGTTAAAAAGCGGAATTACAGCGCTGCGGTACTTTTGCTTTTATTCGCTCACTTTGACAATCGAAATATCCCGTCTGAGCTCGTCAGAGCCGGTCGCGACCATCCGACCTGTGCCTGCCTAAGAGAGATCATGTCAGATACACTCTTATTCAAATCCACTGTGAAACTCCTCTTGAGGTTTTCTCTGCTTGAATACAAGCAGCAAGAGGGAAGCTACGCCATGCATCCAGTGGTACAGAAATGGTGCCTTCACGTTGCTGATACCGACAGTGATATGGACTCCGCTTGTCTCATCTCGATCGCGCTTGTATCTGTCGAGGCAATGGTCCCAAAGATATCTGACAAGAGCTACACGGAAAGCCGACAAAGCCTCATACCGCATGTGGATTGTATTAGGGCTTTTGACTTATCGGTCGTGCATGCTCCTCTCCTTTGTCAAAAAGTTCCGATACTGGCACTATTCTACATCGGGATTGGTCGCTCGAAAGAAGCAGAACAGTTGTGCCAGATGTCACTCCCGGAGGACGGATCATTGAGGAGAGAAAATTTCGCCGCGCTTCTTACACTGTCGAATTTATACGCTTATGAAGGCAAATTAAAAGAAGCTACTGTTACCTTACAGCAATTACTGGCGAATCAACGTGACGTGCTCATGTCTGAACCGGTCGGCGTACCACTTCTCCAGATTAGCTTGGGCAATATCCTCTGGCGACAAGCAATGTTTGACGAGGCAGGAAAGATGTTCTCCCAAGCACAAGTGAGCTATAAGAAGGCCTATGGCCAAGACCATGAACCGACGCTTCTCGCGACGGACGACCTATGGCGCATCTTATTTCTCTTAACCTTTGACGCGCGCGACAGGTTAGGACTTGTGTATCTGGAACAAGGTAGGTTAGAAGACGCAGAATCAATCTCTGCAACGTCCTTGACAAGCTGTGAGAATACCTTTGGAAGGAATCATATGTACACTTTCAATGCTACGGTAATGCTGGGCCGTATCTACTGTCATCAGGGGAGGTGGAATGAAGCTCAAGACAAGCTAGAGGGTGCTTTAGCGGGGTATGTTGAGGTTCTCAGACATGACCATCTGACACACCCTGGGCCCGAACGGCTCTGGAATGTCTTCACCACATTTATCGCGCAAAGGGCATGTTGACAGAGGCACAAGATACGGCCCGACAACTCGAAGTGGGGAAAGCTGGGCAACAAGCTGCTCAACGTCTTCTCAACCCCTAGGGATCGACAATTTTTCCCGGATTCAGCAGCCAGTGTGGATCCAAGCTCCGCTTCAGGGTCCGCATAACACCAATTGTTTGCTCACCCAACTCTTTTGCAAGGCAGTGCTTCTTCCCGAGACCAATCCCATGTTCGCCAGAAACCGTGCCCTCCATTTCCAGAGCGCGGGAGACCATGGTATCAACGCATTTCTGGACCCCTTCCACTTGCTCCGGAAGATCCGGGTTATACATCACGGACTGATGGAAGTTGCCGTCCCCAACATGGCCCAAAACACTTGAGAACAGGCCCAGCTTCGACGCATCTGCCTTAGACCTTTGGACTATTTCCGCCAAGCTGGACAGCGGCACAGCGACGTCCGTGGACCAGATCTGGGTGCCCTCAGGTCGTACCGCGAGCATCGCCCAAAGCGCTTGCTTTCGCGCCGACCAGAGCGCTTCCATCGTGGGCTCGTCCAGAGCCGCCGAAAAGCTGGATCCCGCGTGCTCCGTAGATATTTGCTTCGCCGCTTTGATGCTATCCTCCACCGCTCTCGCCGAGCCCGAAAACTTGATAAACAACGTCGGTCGCTCCGGCCACTTCTTGCCCCCTGTTCCTCCAGTCTGATTCACCACCCGCATCTGTACGTCATCCATCAATTCAAGTGCCGCCAGCGATACGCCTCGCCGGATCATTGAGGTTGCTGCCTTGGTCGCCGCTTCAACTGAAGGGAAAGCCGTAGTTGCTACGCCAAAGTGCGTTGGAATGATTGCCAGCTTCAGAGTGACCTCCGTGATGATACCCAAGGTGCCCTCAGACCCAGTAAAGAGGCCATTCAGATTGTACCCTGCAGATGTCTTCCGCGGCCTGCGGCGCGTCTTGATCACTGAGCCATCGGCAAGCACCACCGTGAGATTGACAACATAGTCTTTCATAGTGCCGTAGCGCATGGCGTTTGTGCCGCTGCAATTGGTCGCCACCATGCCCCCGATCAGCGCCGTCGGGCTAGGGTCTTAGTGGCAGGAACAAGCCGCTCGGCTTCAGGGTGTTGTTCAAATTCACCCAGTTCACGCCCGGCTGGACCACCACATCCATGTCCTCGTCGTTGATCTGTAGGATCTTGTCCATGCGCGAAAAGTCAATGCTGAACCCGGAGTACGGGGCGCTGAAATGGCCTTCCACGCTGGAGCCGGCGCCGAATGGAATCATGGGGATTTCGTATTTCGTGCATATTTTTGCGATGAGCGAGACATCTTCGGTGCTAGACGGTGTGATGATGGCGACCGGGCGGGTGTCGACATTCGACGTTGAGGCTTCTGAGAAGCCGTGGGTCTCGAGATCATCTCCGTCAGTGTTGACCGAGTCTTCTCCTAGCGCGGCTTGGATTTCTTTAGCGGCCTTTTCTTGGTCAGAAATTTACTCTGCGTAGCAGTTTCAAAGCTCTCCATACCTTGAGCATAGTCGCCTTATCCGCATATTTCAGAGTGGGCTGGGTAGAACTCCGCTCAGCGCGGTTTAGGCTATAAAATCCCAATGTTGCCGCGGCCGCGCCAATGGCCACTCCCGCGACACCATAAGTAATCCCGGACGATGGTGACCGTGTTGGCGCTGTCGCCAGACCTCGTGGTAATCCCAGTTGTGTATGAAGTCTCTTGCCACCGCGCAGGGTTCTAGCCCAGCCGAAGATGCGGAGACGCATCTTCGCGTTCTGTAGCTGTAGCGGCCGAGAGAAACGGATTCCGGTGTGGTGAATGTTCCGGAACAAATGCTGGAAACACGACTTGCCTCAATTAGCTGGGGCTCAATTGTCCTTCGGAATTTCAATGTTCTCCTTGACGCGGGAGCGCAGAGTTTTTTGTCGACAATCTGGGGAAATTGCGGGGAATCCGGGCGGTGTCGGGATCGAGACCGGGTTCGGGTTTCCAAGGAGGTTTGTGACCGAGGTCGACAAAATATATGGAGAGACGAGGAAAGTTTCTAGCATTGCCACCGCGGTCAAAGGAGGTCGAGAAGAAGAAGCAGCAGAGCTCTAGAATTCTTCCCCCTCAGTCAATCAGCCTACTTGAGATGCACCCAGACAAGGAATACCCAACCTCCGCTCGGGCCTGTTAACCCGCGCGATTCATTCGAGTTTGAGTAGATGTGGTCCCTGAGAGAATATCAGTCGGAGCGAGATTTCGAGAATACATTGAATACTTTAAGAATGATTGATTGGCTACCACTGATAGATGATCCGAGTCCACGATCTAAATAACTTGAACTGGTATTTAATAGCTTTGGGACGTAGGCGGATATATATTTAGCATGGGCAACCAACATTACATGCGTCCGCCAAGCGGACAACGTCAAGTCCAAGGTGAACTTGAATTTACTTGTGTAATGTGGAAGTCTTCGATGGGATCTATGGATACTGTTATTCCTCATCTTCATTAGCGACAACCATGGGTGTTTTGGACGTTAAGACGGTCACTTTATCACTTAATAGTTCACTAGTTATACGTGGACTTGACATTCGTCATATAACTACCAGTCCATTCACCACTCCGGCCTGGAATCGATCCGAGAACGTCTGGTTGGGAGTTCTTCACAATAATGATTATAGCGGGACGTTTATCCAAAATTCAGCCCTGAACACTCCATACTGCCTAGATTCTGAACGAGTTCTGAAATCCGTGCCACCGTTCGCAGGGTCCTGCAGCGTCCCCTTAGCGCTCGGGGTCTGGTATGGTTCAAGACAGTGTCTTACTCGTACAGGAACGCCCGCCGAGACGCAAAATTGCCTGCACCCGCCACCAGCTGAACTGCGGACGCTGAGTGGAGGCACGTTCAAATGAGATCCCACCGAAGACCCAATTATAAGGCCCCACTCAACAAATGCATTGGGACTGGCTGGGTTTTTACGGATAAATAGAAAACAACGAATCGCACGCCTCGGAAAGGACACAATTACTCAGGGGCAAGGGGTCCCCGCCCCGTCGAAAGCCATACCGTAAACCGCCCGTCCTGCCAAGCATTGAGGTGGAAAGGCCGGGGCTTCAGCATTCCAAGAGTACCCCGTACATACGGTATTTCTTCCTTTTCTTGACGGATGACGGATCCAATGGGGTACGGTCGCCTTTGGGTGGGAAATGGTCGAGACCAAGGCTGGCCCTTTGTAGTGGAGTCGTGCCCAGGAAACCAAGCCTGGATTACACACCGCTAGAGGCTCAGGCGTTTGCCTCCGACCCCCTTTTGGCCTTCTCCGCAGTGTCGAAGTCTTTGTCCAACCTACTGGAAAAGCGTCGAATACCGAATTCAATATTCATGCCAGGAACCGCGATCGCGCTAGAGCAGAGTACGTACGCAAACTTAATCCGAACCTGGAGGTTGAACCGTTGACCAATAATTGTCCCCGCAGGAGAGCCAATGGACTGGAACTAGCGAAAGCCCCCCTCAGGAGACGTGGCGCGGCAACGGGGGACTTTGGCTGATGCGACCAAAGGCACCCGAAAAGTCGCTCCACCGTTGCAAGATATGGCCTCAGTATCTTTTCCAAGTAGACACCCGTCACCATGAGTTTCTGCGGTGCGCTCTATATCTCTATAAGGGGGATACATGTAGTATAAGATCTAGACCCCGGTCGCATTATGATCAGCACCACCCGAAGGCGAGCCGCTGCGATCGTCAGTGCACAATGTGTGGATGCGGATTGGGGTTGATACGGGCGCTTGGAGATGTGTTGCTTACTAGTCCGTGACGAGAAAGATCTCCGGCTAGAGCAGCAAGATGCAGGGCCGTTCTGCAGCGTCTCGGTTGATCGGCAGGCGCTTTGCCAATGAGATGGGCACAATGAGGCAGATTCAGGAACCAACCACTCCAGATCCTTGAAACCAATGCAATCCAATGAAGTGACAGGAGCCTTAAATGAGATACCCTCGGGGACTAAGAGAGATATAGAGAAAAACAAAATTAAAGAGAAAAGAAAAGGGGACAAGACGCCGACTTTCTCCACACTCATCATAGCAACCCGAGAGCATAAGAGCATAACGTACTCCGTACTCCGTACAACTGGGAGGTTCCCAATCCATACAAAGGGACCTCAAGCCATACAGTAAACACCCCCAAAGCGACTCCCGCGGATAGCGATCGGCGGTGCGGGAAATTAGGAGACGGTGCGACAGCCAATCAACGGACAAGCTGGTTCCCCACACAAGCTACCACTTTCCCCATTCCAGATTAGATCGTGCCCACATGGCGCGGTTTCCGGTTTTTTCATCACGTTCGTGTTGTGAATGAATCTCGTTATTCGTTCTCTTGGTCCCTCTACGACGCTGGCTGTGGCAGTTGATGACCACCTCATCTACGCATGCTTCATTGAGAAACCTTCCAAGGAGGTCTTGGATATGTTTCTACACGACATGAGTCTTGGTGCTGTATCTCGCTGTATGTCGCGGTCAGGGGGCTCCGTATCGCTCCCCGCGGTAAGGGATGCCTAAATCTCGACAGCCCCGGGCGTATACATGGCAAACACAGACATATTCGTAACGTACACACAAGCGCCGAAAGAGCATAGTCAAGTCGACTTTTCTGGTGAATATTCACGCCAGTGGCCTAGGGAGGCGAGAGGGAATATACTTCGCCCCAATGTGAGACAGGCTATTTTGGCACGGGCGACCATGCTGGAGGAGCACCGTAGGGGTAATTTTCGCGTACGGCCGGAAACGAACACTTGGGCTCTTTTGTGCTCGGTACTTCGTACGGAGTAAACAGACCGTAAGACGGTATGACGGCAAGTGGCTGCAGTGCTCCTGAGGCCCCCACTCTCGGGGCAATGTGGGCCAACCAAAACTGAGAAGTGGTTGGGTCCAAGAGGGCCCGAAGGACTCGAACCAATCAAATCGCTTTCGTACCTGAGCAGTCTAGAACTCGTCCAGGGGCAGCCTAAGAGGCTGTTTGGTGGTGAATACAACGAAATCTAATTTCAAGATCGGTGGAGCCCCTGTGCCTGGCGCCCTCTTTTCCCCTTTTCCTGGCCTATTTCTCTTTCTTTCCCCCCCTAACCTCCACTTTCTTTCTTTTCCCCCCAAACCCGCAGATCCTCGAACAAAAGGCCTTGCGTGCCCACCCTGCCTCCTTTTCCTTCTATTCCACACGTTCCTTGATCTTCCCAACTGACCACCGCTTCACTCGTTCAGCGGGCATTCTTTCGTTGCACGCCTTTGGATCTTCTTCTTTTCACACAATGAAGGGTTCCGTTTTCGCGGCTGCTGCCATCGTGGGCTCTGCCCTCGCCGAGGGCAACCTGCACCGTCGCCACGACGCTCTGCACAAGCGCGCCGTCGCTGCTCCTGCTCCGAACTCCTCCAGCGCCATTCCTACTCCCTCCGGCAACCCCGGTGGCCCTGCTGAGGAGACGTGCGGCTGCACCACCAAGGTCATCACCGTCTGGGGCTCTCCCACCCTGATCCCGATCCCTCAGACTTCCACTGAGGAGGAGACCACCACCAGCACCTCCACTGTGCACTCGACCAGCACCAGCACCACGACCGTGACCGTCACCCCCTCTTCTTCTGTGGCTCCTACCTCCACTGTCTACGTGAGCCTGCCCACCGGCGGAGTCACCTCCTTCTCCACCACCGGTACCTACACCGTCCCGGCCACCACCCTGACCGTGAGCGACACCACCACTGTTTGCGGTGCTACCACCACCAACGTGCCCAGCGGTACCCACACCATCGGCGGTGTCACCACTGTGGTCGAGACCGACACTGTCGTCACTTGCCCGTACGCCACTGTTAAGCCTACCGGCACCACCTTCACCAGTGTCATTGAGTACACCACCTACACTTGCCCTGCTGCCGGTACCTACACCGTCGTCCCCGGCACTGTCACCACCGTGCCTTCCAGCACCGTGATTGTGTACCCTACTCCCTCCACTCTGACCCCCGGCACTTACACCAAGCCTGAGACCACCATCACTGTTACCGAGGTTGACACTACCTACTACTGCCCCTTCGCCGATGAGACCACCAGCAGCGCTGCTGCTCCCACCATTGCCCCTGCCCCTGCCCCTGCCACCACCACCGCTGCTGCGACCACCACCGCGGCCCCCGCTCCCGCTGCCACCAGCAGCGCTAGCTCTGGCTCCTCTGGCGCCGGCTCTGGTCTCACTGGCGCCGGTCAGTTCGGTATGACCTTCTCTCCTTACACCCAGTCTGGTGCGTGCATGACCAGCGATGAGGTCAAGAAGAACCTTCAGATCATCAAGAACAAGGGCTTCAACCTGATCCGTATCTACTCTACTGACTGCAGCGGTCTCGAGTTCGTCGGTGAGGCCGCCAAGTCTCTCGGCCTCAAGATGATCGTCGGTGTCTTCATTGACCAGGGCGGTATCTCCAAGGCCCAGGAGCAGGTCGAGGCTATCGCCAAGTGGGCCCAGTGGAGTCTCGTTGAGCTGATCGTCGTCGGTAACGAGGCTATTTCCTCCGGCTACGTTAACGCTGGTCAGCTCGCTGGCTTCATCTCTTCCTCCGCCAGTGCCTTCAAGGCCGCTGGTTACACCGGCAAGGTCACCACCACCGAGCCCATTGACATCTGGCAGTCTTACGGTAAATCCAACCTGTGCGAGCCCGTCGACCTGGTCGGTGCCAACATCCACCCCTTCTTCAACGCCCAGACCACCGCTGAGCAGGCTGGTGAGTTCGCCCTGAGCGAGTACAAGATCCTCGAGGGTATTTGCAACAAGGACGTTCTCAACCTCGAGACTGGCTGGCCCAATGCCGGTAATGCCAACGGTGCCGCCGTCCCCGGTGTCGCCAACCAGAAGGTTGCTGTGGAGGGTATTGCCAAGACCATCGGCTCCAAGTCCATCTTCTTCTCGTACGCCGATGATGCCTGGAAGCCCGCTGGCGAGTTCGATGTTGAGCAGCACTGGGGCTGTGCCTCGGTCTTCTAAGCTATCACGCCCCGTGACGCGGTTCCTTTCAAAACTTGTACAGGAGGACTAGGAGTTCCAATTTACCCTTCTTACCTCGGATCTCTGGTTTGTTAGAGTCGGTTGGAAAGCTTCTTTTCTTTCCGAGCTTGATCTAGCTGGCCTTGATCCACTTTTGGTATTCTTGTTCATTATCTTGGACGTTTTACGCGGTAGATATAACTTTTTTTGTATTTGATGTTGTCTACTGACCTGGTTGCATCCATCATCTCTTTGTTCTCATATGCCTTTTTGCGTTGTATTGTATATTTTTTAGTCATTGATGCACTTCATGAACTGGCAGTCTCGGGTAGATTTCCGTCGTAGTGGCGCATGCTGCTGACGTCCATTCTGGACGTCCGTCGTATCCTGGACATGCCTGTCATGCTTGGGCAATGGATGGCCCACAGTCTTGCTAGACATAAGTTCCAACCGCAAACCACCGTGCAGCCGCTTTCACCTTTCTACCCGTAGTGAACGCAAGACTGAGAAGAACGTGACACCGGCAGTGCGACATGATGTGTGCCGCGGCCGTTATAGTATACCAAGTTGTCTAGTGGACAATCCGATTCGATCTCCCACGACTATCCAAGAATACGGGTTATATGCTGCTCCCATTGGAAGTCTCAAGTTCTGTTGGGTCTGAGCATCTTGTAGCGAAAACTGCTTATCATAGTATGTATTGGTGAATACCCTGAGTGCGCCGTTGCCAGTAGTACGAGTTATAGGGAAACATATCGTGGCGGTACGAGGCACGGTAACCTGGATGGGAGCTCCGATACTAGATGAGCCGTGATCGGGCTGGGAACTGTATACCAGAAACATAACCTATCTCAAATGTCATTGCCCAATGGGAAGATAGATCGTCAGAGAAGATTTACAAGTCACAGGAGTCGTGCAACCGGAAGGTCCCTATATATAAAAAAAGAATAGATACCAGGATCCGAGGCTAGTAGCCTGGAAAGAAAACCAGCACGCTCTATACACGATCTTTTCAGCTCCCCCTCATGCGCGAAAGACAGGTACAGGAAAGTGACCCCTAGTATAGGTGGCTGGGTAAGGCAGGCTTGGCAGGGGTGCAATGGCGCATACGACTTGAGCTTAAAGGGTTCTTAGGGCTTTTTGGCCTTATATGCATGCACTTCAATAACTGCCTTGCTGCGATCTGCCAATAGATGTAATGTTCGCAGGGATTGAATGGCATATTATTATGCAGCAACGCCATGGCTCGGCTTTACCTGATAAAGCGCGGGTGTTGGATGATGCCACTCCCCGCCGGGTCGTGGGTGGAGCAAGGAGTCCAATTCGTAGAAGACCCTTGCTCCTCTGCTGTTTACTCGTCTAGGCCTTGTGCAGGTTGGACCTGGCCCGCGTCCAGAGCTTCCCAATAAGGGTGGATGCACCGATGTGGGCCGCTGAGGTGTCAGGGAGTCCGAGTCCACGCTCGGGCATAACTTTCGTAGCTCGGGCTTGAAATTTCGGCGGATTGGACCATCTGGGAATCGACTGAGATGCTGGCCTGATGACTCAATGAGGCGATCCTTCAAGTGCTCAACCATGTGAAGCAGCAGGAGGACTCATCGGATCTTTCATGCGCCCTTCCGTAGGCGGCCGGCCTTATGGAATGTTCCACGTTCAATGCTTGTTCCAGGAATGCATAATTAAACTTCCAGAACCGCCAAACCGATTCTTCAGGATTGAATGTGGTTAGCCCTTTATCCCCGAAGGATGCAAGGCCTAAGCTTACGAAGGAGCCTGGAACCTTGGAAGCTACGTTATTGCCAGGATCCTGCATCGGGAATTTGAGATCCAGTGCTAGGGATCGCCACGTCGCTTGACGCCACCTGCGAACTCCAGTTGTTTTCTGATGAAACACCCATCGGGCGCCGGAGATGCCAAACCCCTCCCACCTGGCTAGGCGACCCCGCTTGATAAGGCTGCTGATGGACCCGGCAGTCTGGCGCCCCATCAGAACTCTTTGGGCAATGTATTTCCCCTGCATGCCTGCATTGCAAAGCCGTGTAGCGACTCCGACACACCGCTAGTTAGCGTGGATGACAAACCGGTTCGTAGTCGACTCTCGAGCCCTTTCGACCCGGAGACAAGCGACAAGATGCGCTGGCAGACTATACAAGCCAGCCAACCGTAGGCGCAGCAGTGCCGCCGCGGGCCTCCTGATTGGAAGGGAGAAAGTATGGGGAATCCTTGTAAGTGATCAATGACCCACCTAACCAAAATCTTCCCCTCTAAACGTCATTTCTCCCTCCATCACCTCACTGGCTGATTCTGATATCGCCTTCTCCCCACATCTGCATGTCTTCTGTCGAGTTCCCACGAGGGCAGTGGGGTTGTCGGGAAAGGCAGAGGTGAAGATCCCAATGACTTAATTCCCGATACCCGACTGCCCGGTCAACTGGTCCCGATAAACGCACATGGCGCCCACGAGTTTCATCTTGGAATGTCTATGTTCGCTTCTTAACCTGTGGCGACCTTCTCTTGCTTCCATTCTTGTTCTTTTCTTTTCTTTTCTTGTTTTTTTTTTGCAGATCTTCCCGTCCCGTACCTTCAATCATTGCTCCTCCCAGGTTCTATCCTAATCTTATATGCTGGCATCTGTTTACCTTCAGCCCCCACCTTTGGCCGTATTCAGAACCCGTGGTTTCGCCACCGGGCTTACCGTGTTTATTCTATCGCGATTTGGGCAAGTGGATCAAGGCAACATAAACCCTATTCCTTCCATATTAAGATCGAGACTGCCGTCCGTCTGAACCCCCCTTTGACAAACTGGCCGGGCACACCCTCAGCATGATATCCAAAGTTGCGCCCTCGACCCAACCGGATCTCCTGCCAGTATACCTCGCATGGGCAGATGCATGGCTGCTGGACTCAAATGGCCAGAACACCGAGCCGCCAAAGAGCCCGCTCGGGCTCGACGAACTGGCGAATCTTTTCAAGGAGGGTAATACCCACCGCTTGATGAGCCATAGCACGCTAATGCATGCCATTGCTTCCTTCCGAACCCATCTCGCCGCTGGAAGAGTGATATTTGGAGGCTCCAAACCTCCTTCATGCGGTGAAACAGACTTACTATCCGAGCAGTACAATCCTCAAACGGACTGCTCTTGCGACAAGCTGGACCCGCTGAAGAATGGCTCCGCGTGTGCCCCGTCTGCCCCGTCTGCCCCGCCAGGGAAGGCGGTTTGTGGAGCGCACCGCGGCATGTTGGAAGCCATGGGCCGCGTCCTAGATCGCCCGGACGAGTGGACCAGCGATCTCTTCACAGCAGACAAACTCACCGCCGCGGTGCACGAATTGATCGCAGCCAACACCGAGATCGAGTTTTCCACCGACACGTGCCAAGGCCATGACACCATCCACCTTATCCCCGAAATCAAGGCCCCGGACCGCAAGCCCAATCCCGGGGTGGACGGGAATAAACTCATGTTCCACCAGCTGTACCCAACCGCTGAGCAGATCAAGATGTGCACCGATGCGAAATACTACGGCGTCATCGCCTGCGGCGCCGGCAACTGCGACGAAGGGCTCGCGCGCGCCATCGCCGACTCCTGCAACGATATCCTGATCGGCGACTACTGCGAAGCCGCCGACGCCAAGGGTCTAAAACTGCTGCAGCAGACGGGCGCCGCCGCAATCTCCTTCCTGAAGCTTTGCACCCTGGCCGGCCGTGTTTCGGACTGGCAATTCGACAATCTAGCCGCCTACATGATCCAGTGCCGCGTGCTGGGCTTCTTCCGTGACCACCAGCGCCCACGGCTCCCCGCTGGGATCTACGGGAGTCGCATGACGGGGCTGGCCGTGCACCGGCACATCGACGTCGCGGCCTTTCACGGAGTGATGACTGCCTCCTCGCAACGGGCCAGCAACTCTCGGAGCGGGAGTTCATGAAGACAGTCGAAGCGTGTGTGTACATCAGCGACTTTGTCGATTTCCGCGGTGACACGATGCGCAAACAGCGCGAGAGTCCTGTCGTGCGCGGCATCCACGGGAACCTGTGCTCCTATCTGGATGGAATGGTCGTGCGCGCTCTAGACACAGCGATCGAGGTGCTCGAGACGAGCGCGGTCGGCGCCCTGGTCGTCATGGGGTACTGCAATTGGGCGGTGCTGGGGTCGCACCACAAGGTATTTGAGACGGTGCAGGGCGTCCGGCCGGTCAGCCGCTATTCCGCGTGCGAATATGAGGCGGAGGGCAATGGTGCCCGGTATGCACGATTGGTGCGCGCCCTCCAGCCGTTCGGGACGCTGGGCGGGGATGGTCCCCACGTCACCAAGAAACGCGTTGAGATGGAGAAGATGTACAGCGTGTGCAGGAAGCAGCCGGAATCAAGTGTGGCGTGGCTGGCGGATGCGACGAGAAGCTTGATGGAGCCGCGCGTGCTGCGCAAACTTGTGGACGTGGTGCATTTCGAGTGGGACGGGGATGTCGGTGCTGTCGATTACTGTCCATGACCTGTTGAGCCGTCTGTGATGTTTTTCTCCTTCTTACTTTTCTTTTTCTTCTCTTTTCTTTCCGCTTTTTTTGATTAGCATATATATCCCCCTTTTGGCGTCTATGAATGCGAGCGACCTACATTTACTTACGATCATGATTGGTAAATAAATCGATTGATTATTCAACTTCCAAAGATTAGTTCCTGATCTCTCTTTCGCAAAATCGGTATGATCTGTGATAGCTCCGAGTCTAGACTAGGTTATCTGTTGCTCTCAGTCATCCGCAATACCATGGGAACATTGCCTGAGTTGCTAGAACGCCGCCTTACTATATTGGAGAGAAGACTTAATGTTGGAATGTCTGCTTGAGTGACTGGGATTGAGAAGTAAAATTCCATTCATGTTGTTGCTCTTGATAGGCAAAATCCATGAGCATTTGAATTAAGCTTCGTGGACTGCTACTGCTTTAATAAAGAAAATCCAAAAAGAGATAGAATATTGTAATACGGCATTTTATGAGCCAATGGATGATGTTAGACGATGCTTTTGCAGCGGATCTCAGGGTCCTCTACCTAGCGAGAGAATACTAGGAGTTGGACTACACTACTGTTGAAACGCATCTATGTGAAAAATATTGGAATACAGTGGCACCTCAAAAGTATTTGAACCATAGTACTTTCGGCCCACACCGCCCCTTATATACCGCCTACCTATATCGCATACCGCCTACTTCACGTAAAGTCGCGCTATAATAAAACTAAGGAATAGTTGCTTGCTACAGCACAAAATGCGTGTCTACCAATCTATCTGAAACCATGCCACACTGTGTGAAGGTTGTTATTGAGGACGATGGGTGATATACAAAATATTAGCGAGAAATATTAAGGGGGTGGAAGTTTTAGACAGGCAGAAAATTATGTAATATAGTGGAGCTAAGTACTATGGTTTAAATACTTTTGAGGTGCCACTGTAGTTCCCTGGATAGATAAAATAATTCTAAGTGCCCAATGGCTGCGCAAGAATCACATTGGTTCCATATTTACTCCTTCTTGTCATCCTTCTTGATTGACTTCCACTGAAGGCCCAGGGCAGCTAGCAGACCAGCACTCACCAGAGCAAGTGCGATGTAGAATACGTCCCTGATAGCAGAATTATACGCCATTATAAGCTGCGGCTGATACTCCGCGGGCACCATGCCCTTCAGCCCGGTCGCTCCATTTTTGCTTGGCAATGGCTGGGTTGAAATTCGGAATGTTGTGTGTAAGACTGTTTGTCAGCTCGTCCAGGAACACATTCTGCGAGATCGATAGGAAGATGATGCCACCAAGCATCTGCACAAAGTTCAGCAACACCAAGGCTCCAGGGACGAGTGGCTTCTCAAGTACTGTTTGCAGGGCAAGAAAAGGAGGCTGGAATGCCATTCCAACACCGATGCCGTAGATGATCTGGTAAGCTATCCACCGTGCTGGAGGCGTATTGGTTTCAAATGTGCCCAGCAAGGCGGCTCCAACCACACTCAGCGTACTTCCAAGAAGTAATGCGGGGTTAAAATAACCAATCCTGGATGTGAATGTTCCACTGGCCAGCGCGAAGATGGACATACTGAGTGTGGTTGGTAGATACATCAAAGCCGAATGAAGGGTATCTGCTCCACGGACTACCTGAAAATAGACGGGGAGCTGCCAAGCCATTAGCACCCTGCCAGCAGGGAGGAGGTAGATTCTTTGCAATGGAACTTACGTAGTTGGTGAAGATCCACAAAGCGGCGAAATTGCAAAAGCCAACCACACAGCTGAAGGCGACATTCCGCCGTCGCAGGATTGGCAAGGAGATCATGCTGTTACTCCCACCAGTATGCTCCACCACCAAAAAAAGGAGGGCAAGCACACCGGTCATGGTGAGCAGGAGGATAATTCTCCAGTTCGACCACGCGTACGTCGTGCCGGCCCATTGCAGACCCAGGATCAAACAGATCGTCATGGGAAGCTCTGTAGCCAGTCCATACCAGTCCAGCCGCTTCAGCCTTTGACCGACGCTGAGTTGATCGTCGTTCGCATTTTGGCGCAGATGGCCTACACTGACGGAAACGCCTAACGCAACAGCGCTCCCCAGACCCACGATCGCCCAGAAATTGACCCTCCAACTGTCGGCATGAGCGATGGATCCGCTGATCAATGGGCCAAAGGCGAGCGCTGCGCATTCTACGGCGCCACAAATGCCAAAAATCATGGGTTGAAGCTTGAGCGGAACGGTGTGTGCAAGAATGCTGCGATACGAGTCAGCCTTGGGAGTTTCTGTGGGGATGGCAGACTTAGACTATTAGTCTGAGTACTAACATGTACATGCCAGAATTTATCCCTGCTGCTCCGAGGCCGCTTACTGCGCGGCCAAGAATAAAAGCGGTAGATGTTGGAGAGGCCGCCGTGAGGATAGAGCCAGCGACAAAAATGGCGAAGGAGATCACATAGAGCAACTTCATGGAGTAGAAAGTGTACAGGCGGCCCATAACCAAGATAGGCGCGCACAGAGTTAACAAGCTTGTTATGCATGGTTAGGGCAGATGTCCGAGGTTGAATCATTACACGCCTTTTGTGCAAGACTCACTATGTTGTTTGGTACCACCCAATATCTTGAAGAGCGTCAAAATAGTCGGTGAGAATCACCAGGAGGGTGCCAATGCAACTGCTGTCCTACAACCAGCCCGGTCAATACTGCCCATACTATTTGTCGGTTTGCCCTAACGTCGTTCATCCTATACGACCAAGCCACTTACAAATCCAATGGTGAAGTTACCAAGGAACAGGCAGGATAATAGAAAGAATAACCGGATGCCGTGGAGACCCGGAGGGTCGTTAGACCTTTGAGTAGCCGTTCTCTCCATTCTAGGCTCGACATCTTTCGCTGGATGTGCAACGGCATTCTCTTGCGTCGGCTTAGATTCTAGTCGGACGTGGCTATCGTCTGCCTCAGGCATTTCCGCCAATTCCATCGTCGTAGGTGGTCTCCGTAGTAAATTATCGACCGCAATAGAAGCACCCGGTCGCAAGGCCGGTATCACGCGACTCGTAAGAATATAACTTCTCCTGGGAAACGACCCCGACTGAAGAAACCCTTGACCGACTTCGCTGAGGCTATTGGGCTCGGGATTGAGCACTGCTGGCATCAGACGTGGTTCTCTCTGGGAGACATTGCTGGGGGAGATAATGGGCAATGATTTCTGCCTGGAGGGGGTGGCTGTTGGAACTATTGTAACGCTAATTAGTCCCGAGCCGGTCGCTGGTCGCCTAAAGATAACATTCCGAATCAGATGTACCTCTAGAATCTTTGCCTTCCAATCCCGAACCCTACCAACCTTGAAACACGCCTAGTCTGAGTTAGTCCCAATTAATCTCTGTCGGACTATATTTTTTTGACTAAAAGGATATAAGTCACTTTTATAATACCCAGATGTCTGTTGGAAAGTGATAGAATCTTCATTCTGGGTCGAGATAAGTGAAATCTGTTCTTCAGGCTTAGAGCTTCTTCTAAGCTCCTTGCCATTTCAAAGTTTGCGATCAACTCTAGAATGTGCTTATCAGTATTCTCATGGGCCAAGCCTACATTTTCGGTTCTCTGCTTGATAATAGATAACTATGACCAGAAGAAGGGCACCTGGGATTATGGAATGATTATGGAAGTGGCGCTCTCTTCAACACCGCTCGTAACGCCCTCAACTGCAAGTAATCTGCCATTCCATTTGTGTCCACATCAAAGACAAATTGATCAAGACCAATGTTCCCGTATCTGAACAAGTTCACAGTCCCCCAAGCATCGCTGCTACAGAGAGCAGTGAATCCAATTTCGCTGTCATTATCTAGCCCGTTGGGTTGAAGACGGAAATCGACCGCTTGGCCTGTTTCTGAGAAAGGTCTGCCAAGCTCCCGGAGGATATCAGTCCCGTTGTAAACCCATTTCGTAAGCCTGATGAGGGGGATGAGAGTCTGCTTCAAGCACAATGGCGTGAGGCACATCATCGGTAGATGTATAAAGACCAGCAAAACGCTGCGTTGCTCTTCCTTGGCTATGTTTTCGAGAGCAGGCAATAGTACTTTAACTATCCCATTGTCGACGCCTGATATCACTTGAAGACCAGCTTGTCGTTTTAAAGGTATGGCATCAGATGCTGTCAGGATGCTAAAACCAAGGTCATATTCAGGGATAAGCGCTATTTTGCTGCTGTAAACATTCCCTGATAATTGTCAGTCATTGGAACTACCTTGAAAAGATCCAGATTCGAAGCGGTCGTCTCACAGTCACCATCTTTTGTGTACATATCCACAACCCTTTCTCCCACTTGGACACGCTCGATCTCCCAAGGCATCCCCACAGCTTTTGATATATCAGCTAAATGTGACTTTGGCTTTAGCCACCTCCGAGTTTGCGCTTTGGAGATGAAATCACTTCTCAAAATGGACTTGCCAAGCGCTGAGATGTCTTTCAAGCTCATGTAGTTCGCACCGGCACTATGAGCGAGCTGTCAGTATACATGTCTATATTCCCTAACATGCACTTGCAACCCACGGGGAGAAAGCACCAAATTCATTAGACCATCCGCACTGTGATGGGTCTCCCGGTACCACGCCGTATAACCACTGGGTTGCAGAAGGAACACTATAGCTACTTCTGTGAAGAGCCAAAGGTTCGAGAATACTTCTGTTGAAGAGTCTCTCGAATGGTTCTTGCTTCATTCGTTCAAGCGCCAATGCAAAAAGCACGAATCCGTTATTGCAGTAAGCAGGCGTATAACTAGGAGGAAAAGCGGCCGGTGCGTTTGCCACCCCCCCATATAAGATCAGTTTGATCACAGGTTGCATATGCCCGCTACTGTCTAGATACCCACAAATAGGCTTGTCAGAAGGGATCAAGGGCGGCAAAAGTGGTGGTTGTAATCGTGGGTATCCTGCTACCATTTCATAGTCATGCACGCTGAAATCATTCAGTCCATAGTCCCTAGATATCCCAGAAAGATGGCTTGCCAACTCTCCCAAAGTTATCTCTTCCCAATTAGGACCCAGGTGAACATGCCCTCCCATTTCAAGTAACTCGGGAACGTAGTCCGTGATAGGCTCGTTTAGGTGACGATCACCGGCTTGTATAAGGAATGTGTATACAGTCAACAGCTTGGAAATGCTGCCAATTCTATATATGGAATCGCCGTTGATCTCATTGATGCCGAACGAAGCTTTTGCCACAGTCTCAGATGTGTGATGACGCTCGTAGAGCAGAGCGGGGTCTGAAGCCGAGAATACTGAGACCGAGAAGCTTGTGTTCTGATTCGCACCTGAATCAGAGAGATGTGTACTTAGAAGAGCATCAAAAGATTTGATTGCGACCCGGAACTTAGCATCGGACGCAACGTTCGTAGGCGGTGGGAATGCTCGACCGAGTAAGGGAGAGGTGGCAGATAGTATCATCGTCGACGTGGTAGCCATCGTCAGGACTGATTGTAAGGTGTTTATCATGGTTTGGGTCAGAATCCAACGCAACAAGTCACAGTAGTTTTTGATATCACTTCTTCAGCTGCCACGAATCAGTTCTCGAAAATAGAAAACTTAGGAATAAGCTAATCGAGTTCGGTGCACTGGTCTGTCGTGTTCATTTCCGCAGAACTGTTACCGTGCTCGATCACCTGACGCCTGCCCCCGCCTGACGCCCGGAAAGCAAGATTTTGGCAGTAATAACATCATGTTTAATAGCCTGTATCTCAATCACTATGGCTCCGTTTGACAAAGCACTTGAAGAACGGAGATCCTTGGAATCTAGAGAGAAGCTTAATTATACCAAAATTGCCAAAAAATAATGGTGTTAACCACTCAGCACTGTCACGGCATTTTCATGTGAGTTCAACAGCTGAAAGAGGACCAATATGAAAACCAGTGAGTTCTCAACAACCAGCAAGCCAAAGAGCTCATTACCTATATAGATAAGCCTGTAGAAGAAGATTTATTTCCCTCATATGAGATGCTAAGGAATTTCACTGCAGAAATTACTGGAACCAGGCCTGGAAAGCACTAGCCTACTAGATTTATCATGCAGCATAGCAATTAGCTTGCTTCTCAATACAACACCAGCATAGACTCTGTCAAGGTTCTCACAAGCAGGCTAACTAAGCATATAATTTTGCTCTATCCCTCAAGCTTCTTCATCGAAAAATGATTAAATAGATCTACAGGTTGAGAATCTCTATAATATGGATGAGAAGGCGTTCTGGTTATTATTCTTGCCAATAGCAAGAGGATCTACTCAAAGCAAAAATATAACAAGGATAGCATGAAACAGCACTTAAAAGATAGGAATATCTAAGGGGGGCATTAGGCTTGATGGAAAGGTGCACGCTGATTACAGTGACAGCATTAACGACGAGATCAGGCCTTTCTCGAAGCCTTGTTAGGTCTGACAACGTCCTCAGCTTAGGATTTTAAGCCAATAAGGCACTGTGCTTGGGTCTGGTCCTTCTCCGGAGTCTTGAAGACGCTGCCCCAATGTCATTTTTGGCTTAGAAGATTATTTTTCCCCACCAAAATCACTGTTTGCGCCATCAATACACACATTCCTTTCGTCCAACAGAGATGGCAGGGAGTCTCCATAGTAGCAGGCATGACGGAAATATATGGAACGGAAATGTGCCTCTTATAGACCCTTTCATCCCGTTTCAAGGAGGTTCCCGATGTAGAATTTCAAGATGTCAGATACCTGATTGAAAGAATCAGTCTACGGGCCTTTCACAGGAATGCTTGATTTTATTATGTTGGATAAGTATAGAAGACTCGATATCTCTCAATGAGATTGGAGGGATTACTGTTTGATGATGTCGGATCCTGACAAAGACATTCCTATTTTAAGGAATACACAAATAATGAATGAGCACCCCACCAAAACATCGTCCACATAAGTTTTCTTATTATTGGTCTTTCTCCGTTAAGACATATTACTTAAAGCCTCCTAAGTCCATGTCAGTAAGAGGGGCCCAGAACGAATTTCACGACCAAAATGTTACTTTGGCAGATAGCAGTCATTGTCGGCTGCCTCGGAGCTACACTGCTGCCTATCTTGCCTTCTCCTTCTACTCTCTTCCAAAGGAGGACACGTCTGAATGCGCAGACAACATTCTTCGGCTTCAACAACTGCTCTTTAGAGCAAGGTGCAACGATCGTGCAAGCCCATCGAGACGCTCTTCTTTTAGCAAACTCAGCATTAGAAAAGGATAGCGAGCTGCTTCCGGCTGATTCACGCTATCTTGATTTCAGTTCGGCGGCTGCTATCGACTATTGGGGCCCGCCAGAGCATAACGTTCAATGGCGACAGCGAGTATTTGACACATATATCCGGGCAACACGAACCTATCGTGGACTGGGATGGAGTGACTGGTGGAGTAATAGATATGTCCAGATATCCTGTGGCGGCCTAGAGGGAGCCTGCGAAAGCTCCATTGCGTATACAATGATTGAGAATGATCCTTATCCATCCATCACTTACTGTGAGAGGTTTTTTACTGACGTCAAGTCCTACGATGCAGCAGTCAGAAGAATCAGGAATTCAGATTGGAGCTTGACCAAAAACGTTCTCAATATGGTCTGTCAAGGTAATCCTCTCATCCCACAAAAATTTTGCTTGCGTCTAAGAGAAGTCTGGTGTCATAGCATCGGTGGCTTTCCATGAATGGCTTCATATCGGCTACGCTTCGTCTGAAATCTGCCAGGGCGGCTGTAAGTATTCTTTTCCGCATATTTTATCTCAGCGACTTTGGAATATTCCCCTTCATATTCGACAGTGGTTTTCCAAGGGGTTTTCCATTCTCGCCTATCAATTTTATCAATTAGCTATCAGGCGCGCTTCCAAACCTTTTGGTCTGAGAACACGAATTCCAGACGCAAGTGAAACGGACACCTCTGGCAGGTGATATTAAGGCCATTTTCCTAGCAAGGACACGCTTCTTTCTAAGGAACATAATGGTTCGGTCTGTGCAGAAACTTTTTTTTTTTTTAAATAAACCTGAAGGGTTTTATTGCAAAGAATTTATGCAAAGAAGAAGTGGCAGTGGCAGATATCATCTTACACAGACCTTGCTGTTAAGTGAGTTCAAAAGGACGCTAACTATCGGTTACAGGTGAGGATACGCCACAGCCTATTGGTCAGGTCGCCACCAGAACATATGGAGCAGGCGCGGCGAAGCTACTAGCCCTCAGAAGCACCAAATGGGTACCGTACACAGTTGAAAATTACGTTTACTTTGCCTTGGCAAGACACATGACCCAAATGTTCGGAAGGTACCCCCCCTTTCCGCTTGCATGGGACCCTGATAAAACGCCTCAGAAGAACCAGGAGCAGGATAGGAAACAACCTGGATACACCCCACCTCCCGTTGAACTTGAGCTAGAAAAACCCTCAAATTCTACTGAAACAGCTAACGTTCCCACTGCAAAATATCCACTCTCAGCGTATCCGAGCCGGTATAGACCTGTGTTGACCGCCAGACATCCGTATACAAGTGAGCTTCTAAGATTTTCCGAGCCCAAGAAACGGCATACTCCACGCAATGTCTCTATACCAAATACTAACGACATTGTTTGCAACACAAACAACACCTCTCCTTTGATAGAGCATTGTGTAAATGCATTCGCAGTGCTGTACTCGAATCCGAATGAGCCCGCCCGAAAAGGCAAAAAGGGTGTCTGGAGTTGGCAGGCCGTAAGTTTAGAATTTTCTTTCACAATTTTTTATGCACTTCTCTTGGATACATATTAATTTTGACATGCTATTTCTAGTATAAAAAGAGCTGTGCTTTGGCTATCAAATATACTGGGGATTGGTCTAAATGTGAGGCCAGCTTAGGCGATATCCGTGAACATGCGAGTATGGTATTTGAAGCATGTCAAGATGGAGGTCAAGGCAGAGTCAGCGGTCAAGTTCCTTTCAATCGTGCTGACTGTCCTGCAACAATCTCCATAGTTCACACCTTAGGTAGAAGGCCACCGGGCGAAGGAGCCTCCATGCTCCCAAGCTTTTCTTGGAGTTACTTTTAAATTTGCGAGCAAGATCTCTGTTATTCTAAACCCTTTAAGTACAATATGCCGTAGCTTCAGGCCCTCCTAGCTTACTCTATGTGATGGAAGCAGCAGGATGTTACTTTGAGAAAAAGATTGCACGTATTGATTTTGGCCATCCCCTAGACTCGTAGCTCAACTTCCATGCACTTTGATCACAACTTTACCACGCGCACGTTTCGTCACGATACGTTCGTAAGCGTGCACGGCATCCTCCATATCAAATATAGAATCAACAGGAATGGTGATTTTGTCCTCCTCAAGCAGGCGCACCAGATAGATTGCATCTTCTCTGTTTGGCAGCGCACTGAACATGATATACTTGCGGGACACTCCCCCAGCAATGTGGGTAGCCATGGATTGAGTAAGAAGTTGCAAAATGGTATCCAGAGACTTTCAAGTACCCCAACATTTACCAGGGCCCCGGTGTCTTTGAGGTACATTGGCGAGTTGGCAAAAAGTGCTTGCGTCCCAACGCAGTCCAGCACGTAGTCGAACGGCTTGTCGCCATACTGTTGGGCTAGATAGGCCGGTAGCGAGTCATGCGCGCGGTAGTCAATAAACTACGCATTTTCAGCCATCAATTCTCTACTGGATGCGAAATGTAAGCAAGCTTCACTTACATCATCCACACCAAAGCTTCGAACCAGTGCCTCGTTGCCGCCGCTGGCCACCCCAACCACCCTGGCACCACGCAGCTTGCACAGCTGCACCAGCACCGCACCCACTGACCCGCTAGCTCCATTCACCAGCACCGTATGTCCCTCGCGGACACCTACTGCTCGGATCATCTTCAAGGCCGTACTGCCGCACCCATTAATGCCCGAGGCGGGCGCTAAATCCACAGAGGGATCGATACGTGCGAGCTGGCTGCCGGATATTCGCACATACTCCGCCAACACGCCATGACCCAAAAGCAAGTCCCGAGGGACTTTCGTAAAACCGACAACATGGGTCCCTGGATCTCTCAACTCTGCTGGCGCCCCCGCGCCAGCGGCGACCACTTCCCCAGCAAGTTCGATCTCCGGCACCCACGGCCCAGTGAAGGGTAAGCCGGGTATTACGTCCATGAACATCTGACTGTTGCTCTGGAGGGCCACATGCGATACACGGATCAGGACATCTTCGGACGACCCAGTAGGTATGCCAGGCGTGGGAAGGCCGGTTGTTAGCTCGAGCACTTTGCGCGCAGGTCCCCGCTGCGAACGTGTCCAGGCGCGCATTGTCAGCGGGGCGAGCAACCCTTCAGACAGAGGCATTTCGAGTGATGTAGATAACTGCGTAGTCAGAGCCGATCAGAGAGATATTGAGAAATAGGTTGAAAGTAATAGTTGTTCACAAGTGTTGGGCGGCACGGAGTGTTTATTGTCCCGAGATACGAGGGGGAGATCAGCAAGACCGACCCCGTCCAGTGGCGCAGGCCGCTTGACCGTCCATTCGCATATTAGCAGGCAACTTATCGTGTGGTTATGGGACTATTAAACTAAGAACCGATTTTGGGGATGGCAGTAGCCGCCGCCCCGCTTTTCCAGTTTATTTTATGCGCGCCTATCCCTAGTCTCATCGTTTCAACCGGGTTTCCTCGAAAACTTCACTGCGATTACACGGTTTGACCCCATACCCTTGATTCACGTTGCATGAAGAATGCAGTCAGACGAGCCCGAAGACCTACTGCCGTCGGCACTGGATGACGCAGAAGCTGAAAGACAAACCGCAGCAGCTGGTGTCATGGCGTTTAGCCTAGGAGACAAACTCAATTCTGGTCGCTACTATCCATTCCGCAAAATCGGAGCAGGTCAGTTCTCGACAGTATGGCTGGCGTAGGACCTGAAAGGAAAGTCGATATGTGGCTATCAAGGCCGGGTTCACTTGGCTCGTAAAGCCTCAAATGCATGAAATATCTATTATGACATTGCTCCGAGAAGACCCCATCCCCGATCATCCTGGAAAACGTCATGTTGTGGAGCTCCTGGACAGTTTTGTTCATGAAGGCCCCAACGAATCACACGTCTGCCTTGTCACTGAGCCACTTGGGCGGCAAGTTGAAACGGTACTTTCTGGCCTCTACTTGGATAATCCAGCACCTCATTCACTCTGTCGCATATTGTCCATCCAGGCACTACAGGCTCTTGACTATCTTCATCAAAAGAATATCATGCATGGCGACGTTCACACTGGAAACCTGGTCTTTCGCTTAACATACGACATAGACAATGACACCGAGACAGACATCAAGGCCAAAAACACGCGAGGAAACGAGCTCAATGATCCTGATGATCCTTCCACCCTTGATGACAGAACCAGTATCACGACAGGGGATACCGACGCAAACGTTGTCTTAGTCGACCTTGGTGCTTCCAGCATTCTCGCAGACTCTCCAAGTAACAGCTATGCCTACCCTATCCCATACCGCGCACCTGAAGTGGTAATGGACACTGGGTCAGTTACAAGCAAAGCGGATATATGGGCTCTCGGCTGTGTTATTTGGCGGATCATTACAGGTATCCCTCTCTTTGCGCCGGAGGGATGGGGCGATATGGACGCTACGAACGTCGAGCAGATTGTAATGTTTGTTGAGCGTTTGGGCCCTGTTCCTGAGACTCTACGGGAAGCATGGCTCGACTCAGACAATCACCTAACCCCTGATGGTCATCTGAAGAACCCGTTCCTGAAGAAGAAAGGGAGCTCCCGATTGCAAAAGAAATCTTGGAGTATAAGCCTGAAGGTATGGGGGAGGACGAGGTTTCAGCATTTGTTGAATTTTTGGGGCTTATATTTTGCTTCGACCCGTGTGAGCGGAGATCTACGCAGGAACTTCTTCGGCATCGATGGATTACGGATTGGCCATAGGATTGGCCTCGGAGCTGTCATACTGCTATCGCTTGATACATAAGCGATATCCACGAGTCTGGGGCTTACTGAGGATATGTGGAATTAGACAAATGTTGATGAAAACGATTTCAATAATCTACATGGGAAAGTAGAAGCAAGAAATGCAGCCAACATTGCAAAATAATCTTTTCCTTCCAAGCCACATTGATACTTGGTAGGACAAGTACCCGGTATATTTTGAACTTTGTTTGACACGTATAATCAAGACCTCTTGGGCTGGCCTTTATAATGATCCGATACTAATATTGCCGATCTATGAGGAGGTCTAGTTGCGGTACTGCTTTCATCGGAGTCAACCCTTTGAAGTCTAGTTTCCTAAGTTACGATTTGAAGATAGTCATTGGCTCTGAACTTGCGGGTGTAAAATGCGATATAATGAGTGGTAATTTGCAGTAAACGTTAGGCTGTTTTCTGGCTGGATCAGCGATTTGCCGTAAATCAGGACTTGGCGTATAATAGGACCACCAAGTCGAGATGGGTTTCGCTAGTGATGTGTCCCTTTCATCAAATTCTCGTCGACTTCTGAGATTCCTAAACATTATGGTGTCCATGGACTACCAGGTTTGATCTACGACGCCGCAATGGCCCCATTATTCAGTCATGCCCAATTGTGTTCCAAGAACGCGGGGTAATCAAGCGGTACTAGTTGACTAGTGGCAGCAAGTACACTTTGGAGCCCCGCAAACCTAAGTACTAGGAAAGTTAATCGTTCAGGTTTAGGCTCTCTAATTAGGATAGCTTTCCATTGATTTGACAAATTCGTTTTGATTTATCAATAGAAAATGGGTTGTGCCTACTGGTTAATCCTTGCACTTCTTATTTTTCATCATACTAGTAATGCATCTCGCTAAAAGAGCCCTAATTTCCTTAGCATCCAAAATAAGAATGGTCTAGTCAGTCCCCCAGTGCGGGGTTTACTGGGCCCAAGCGCTACCAGAAGTACATGGGTGAGATCATCCCCTGTCGATGTGACGGTAGCCTAAGTACGAGTTGATTGATGATAGGTGGGCGGATGTTTCGCCTAGTCTCAAAGTAGATGGACCAGCCAATAAGTACTCTTTGGAAATAGGGGGGCTGCGTAAAACATGTGATGCAGCGTAAATTGGGAGGTGAGGCCATCCAGGACGTGTACTTATCCCTTGGTTCCTTCCGAATATTGGAATGATTCGCAGGCTACAAGCAGGCCTTGGTTAATCGATAAATTCCTGTATTTCCGCAATTTTTCCATATGAAAGCTTTACTCTCGAACAAGTTCCAAGGTTGACTTTGTGGCTTAGGAATATCGCGGGATGGTCTATCCCAAATTGATTTCCGTAGGACACAGAGGGTATCCAAAAGCGCCCATTTACCGTAAGGGTAATATGCCGCCCCTGGGTCAAAAACCGACTTACATGAGTTAGCTTTGGAGGGTGGCTGCACTCTTTATCACCGTCATAACTGCACTCATCTGGGCATAGTCCCAAGGGATGAGGTTCTCTCTACAGTAAAGGTGTACTATATAATATTTACGAGGATACTCCTACTCCAGAGCCACTGAATCCAAAAATAACTGCGGTAATGTTGTATTGAGGGTAAAAAGTAGCCCTAAACTCCAAGGTCTGCCCTGTCATCTAGGGTGATGAGACAATGACCGAGTACAATGGTAACAAAAGAAAGACTATGCCGAAGCATTCGCTTCTATCTGTGTAACCAGGACTAGAAACGGTAAAATGCCGTGAAAGGAATGAGAGCAGACATTCAAGGTGTTGCGGTGTCTGTTCAGGTGTGTGTGTGTCATGGTGATCGTGAAAGTAATCGTAGGTGGGGTGGAATGCCTAGTCTATCTGACTCCTTTCATATAACGCATAGTCAACAAGACAGCTGCCAGGCTCGTGTACAGGCCGCCACCAGCGGTGATCCAGACAGGGCGGTGGGCATTCAGTGAGGTGCGGAAGAACTGGCCCTCCTTCTTAGGCTTTTCTCCTGCAGACTGTCAGTGTGTCTGGTAAGCGAGAGGGATGGGAGTAAACTTACCCTGCTGGAAGAGCCTTTGGCGCAGGTTGTTCAGCCCCTGTCTCGAACGGGCTGGCAGCGTTGCAAGTTGTTGCATGAAAGGTCCAGCGGCTGCTGACATCTTGTATGCGTTGTTGTTGGAATGAACTTGGATGGAAAGTCAAGATCTCGCGATGATAGGATAGGCGTCAAGTGTAGAGGGGAGAGATTCTGATGAGAATAACATGACTGTGCCTCTCCTGATCCTTATATACTACTAGTCATCTGACAGAGGGATGCGGGGTTGGGAGTGACATCCGGGGTACCTTGCCCCTGCAAGGTGGCAAGAGTTTCAGCCTGAAGAGTGATCCCAGGTCCATTGGAGACCAGAGAGGCTATGGGCGAGTGGCACCCTACCACTCTTTTCTTTGAAGGAGGCATGTTCCGTGCTAAGCCTACCTTCCTTTTGTCTTTGAAAGCTAATGCAGACTGACAGATGGAGCTTCCAATCGAACCAAGAACTAAGATTCTGTATGGACTGACGTAGATATACTAGAGATAGAGAAGGCCTAAAGTAGCCCTTTCACCACATCTCTGGCACACACCGTAGCGGTGCGATTGGCTCCAAACGAACGGGCCCCCAAGTACATGGCGCGTAGTACATCATAACACACAACACACGATTCAAGGGGGCTTGCAGATCTCAAATCTGCCCCTGAGATAATGAAATTATTTCCAGGCCATTGGAGAACTTACAGTTACTCCTCAGGGAGATTCCCAGAAGGTTCGATTGGATATGTTGGCCCAGGGGACCTCATAAGCAAGTGTGTGTTGACATTCTTCGGGTCGAGTGGAGTCACGGGGGAGTCCCACAGTGGAAATCCGGGGTTTGTGGGGTTGGCGGGTCTCCAAATGAATAAGGAGAACAGCCAGTGAACGAACTTGATACAACGAGTCAGATGTCTGCAAATCATTCAGTCTACTCCAGAAGCCCCTGGAGCTGCCAGGAATGCCTCGCGAGAATATTGCAAATTGGGATGAGACGCCGCAGGGCAGCCACGCAGCTCGGGGGCTCGTAACACGATGGGGGTCTCGGTCGCGACCGTTAGCTTCTTCTCCTGACACCTTCTCCATGCCTTCGCCCGCATTTCCCTTTGACTTCGTCAATGGATTTCCATCTACGACCACTGGAATTTCCCCTACTACCACTGGATTTTGCCGTTCTAAAGCAAGCTTGACGGCAGCATATTTATTTCTTCTGTTAGGGCGCAATGTTGCTGGAGAACCCCCGAGGCCCTTTTGGTGGTTGTCCACCAGCATCTGTGTGGAATTCCTTGGGATTGGCCCGTAAGGATCATTCCATTTACCTGAGACCCAGTTTCTTGAAGGTATCATGCTGACCTATTTGCAATATATAGGAGCATACCGACGTCCACCCGCGCTAACGCTAGGTCAGAACGGATAAACACGATCTGCATGTCTATAACGGTCGTTGTGGCATTTTACTGCTTTCGTGGTTCCAGACTTAGGAGATGCGAACCCATGCACTTGGGTCCCTCGGTCGCTCCCTAGCGTTCACATTGAAGAAGGCATCAAGCTCTGCTTGGTACGGGTCCTTGTCACAGCTGGGGGACATCGTCACCAGGGGCTGCCAAAGGGACTGGAAATTGCCCCAGTCTGCTGTTGTGCTCATGATGGGTTGGCCACATGGAGGATTGCTCTTACCAGGTAAATTCGTCTTACGCGATCGACGATGATCGAATTCTGTTATGCACACCTTTTCAGGCTTATGGTTTAGCCCACTGAAGGAGTGTGCGACGACCATGAGATATGGACAAGATTAGTGCTAACGTTAAAACACAGTCGCTGTTAGATTCGCATGTTGTCGATGATTGCGCCGTGTTTCCCGTACGTTCCACCTGTTATGACGTCTCGACCGATCAAATCGAATCTCCCCGACCGAGAACGGCTAAAACCAAAGAAAATAATGAACCGCATTCTTTATAAATTGACCTCGTCCCAAATACGGACTGGGGGTGCCGGACCTCGGAGAGTGATGAGATGGTGCTCAGTTGATATTTTTAGGGGCCGCTGCCCGATTATAATCGGGGCGCTCCGAATCGGTATAGCCACAAGGGCTGCTCATCATGCTAGATCTTGCGGCCGACCATGCTTGGAGTAGTATTTCTAACCACAATCCCATAGTTACTGCATACCGGCGATTATCTCATCATCGCTGCCGAACTTGGAGGATTCTGGTCGCCATGCCGATTCTGGCCTCACCGGCGCGCGGTCTCGTTCGGCTCGAGCGTTCCAGTGCTCCTTCACTGACAAAGCGGAAAGGGCGATAGTTGTACCGAATGCTTAACAACGAAATACCTTACACATTAACCGACAGTAACATATCAGCGGCGTGGTTATAAACGCACACGGTCAATATGAAGACACCTCCAATGATGGCTTGCCATGACAATCCAGAACCCCTATCACGAAAAGTGGCTTCAATCAGGACGGAACGGGCCAGTTCGATAAGATAAAGGGACATATTATATCGAAGACTGCCGCCACAATGAGCTGCGGTATGCACCGTACGCAGAGAAGGATCGAGCCAGTCAAGCAGCATATCGAGGCAGTTGCTACTAAAGCAAGTAGTCAGCACTCGAGGACTCACAGTCCTCCCAAACTCTTTACGTTATTGAGCAGAATAGTCGAGCCGGTATAGCCTTGTCCTCACCTCCCTAACTGAAATGAAGCAAATACTTTATGCCTGAAAGATCGGCTCTCTTGGGGATTTGATTTGCTACCGAATGCTGATGTGGGATCTAGCGAGTCTGCGCGTGGATGTGTAGTTAGATGGGGGCGATATTGAACAACCGCGCAAGGCAGAAATTACATAGATTCCCAGCAGATATTGCAGATTTGAGCAAATTAACAAAGGTCTTTTGACTGTAACTCGAAGCTTGCATGGAATCCAGAGTACCCGCTCGTTGTAAACAACCAGCACCCGAACGCGTCAGGGGTGCAAGGATGGAAACCTCGGATAATCCGGACTTCCTCTTTGAATGTGGCAAGCAATCAGGGTTGGACAACTTTAATCCGGCGGAAATATCATGCAGTGCACCATGGTTGACTGGGACCAACCAGCACATACTACAAGTACACATTCATTGTCATGGAGGATTCGGAAGCCCCCAAGTGTCGAATGTGATTCGAAAACCCCAATCCAAAGACAGGCTTCTCGGAGATACTTCGGTTGATATGACACTGGAGGTTGGTCTTATCTCTCAGGTAGTTTGCTCCTACGAGTCTGGCAGAGCTACCACGAATGTCCAGTGCAGGTCTAAACATTGCTCAGTATTGAAGCTTGGACGCGTGGGATCAATATGAATTCTTTTCACTGCTAGTTGTACCAGAGCCTCAGGGGCCTCTTCTTCGAACAAAGACACTGTCGCCCACCTGAAATTCCTTTCATGCAGGTCTTCGCATATCACTATTGGTGGAGTTTCTTCGCACGATAAACCGATGAGCTACGACTACATCCTAGTAGGGTCGGGGAAAAGTGGGAGAAAGTTTAGGCCTGGAAGAATCACTTCTAGCAGTGTCACTGATAGTTTCAACCTGAGCATACGTATACTGGCCCCGGAGTATCCCAGTCCTGTGGGTCCCATGGACTAGGAAGAGAACCTCGAACTTGGGCTAACCTCCAGAAATCAAATCGCGCAAAATCTCAAAGTTCCTTGCCGAGCTGAGGGCATTGGCAGTCGCTGGAATCCTTTACTGTAGCAAGAAAAACTCTCCACGGGTTAATTAGGTACGCCAGCGCCAAGGGTATACCCGGCATCAACGCCACCATTGGCGATGGCGCTCGAGGCGACGCCACTGATCTGAGCATGGTCGTAAACTGCACACACAAAAGGCGCACTTTAGATAGGCAAACTCTTCTCCGTCGCCGATCGGAGATCATGGAAACAGGGCAAGCTTAACTTTTTGCTTTGAAACAGCAAAATCATGTAGTGTTTGTTCTTGGGGGGGGGTAGGGGTCAGAAAGCAGCTGTTCCTGCGGGACTAAGTTGGCAACCAATAGACATGCCTATTGGGACATAGTTATGCCTGTCTCACTCGAGTCTCTCTCGCCCACTATGAACAAAGAGCGATCATAATCGAGGGAGATCGGTGGGCTGGACTCGGAGCTGGTCAAAACAGGCATTGCACGTTTGCCTCGGAGTGGCGAGATCTCACGCCTCTGGGTCACGTGTGCAATCGGGAATGTTGACCTGGAAGCCTCAAGGCATACCTGATGAGATCGGAGAAGATTGAGTGTGGTCACTATCAGAGTCCCCACTGATACAAGGGAATATATGCCTCTATCGGGCATGGCATGGTCTGTGTTGCCCCTTCAACGTACCTTGGGGACATTGACCAAGGCTCGTAGCCGGGCGGGGCCAAGATAAGGTGATAGAGGCACCAGGGCAGTACTAGTCATTCCCACCGGGTGGTGCGGGTTTGGACTAGAATTATGATACAGCTATCGGGCTTTAGCGCATCAGGATTCCGGATAGATGCATATTTGTCCTGCGCCCGGCCGCCACACTGGGGAGTGCACTGAGATGGGGAGAGCCTCAGGCGGGAGCGAAAACAAGCGAGCGTACCAGGCCGTTGCCCGCGGAGAATCGAGTTCCCAATGCAGAGCACTCCGGAGTCGATTAGAGTTCCTCCAAATGCGGTTGTGATTGGACTCAAGTCGCCCCGTTCAGGGAGGTTGAAACCAGTCCCGGACTTGGACTCGACAAAAGCAGCCTAACGCAGCGACGCGGCTTGGGAGAACACGGGCCTGCCCCCCACCAAGCCAATCACGCAAGATAACGGAGGCTTGGGACCTTCCCGAACAAAAAAAACGTGGCTCAGACGTGCATTGTTCGCTTAGTTATCTCTTAATCTCCGTACTCCAGGCGTGGTTCCGCATTCGCCATCACGCTTAGTCTAGACCAATCATCCTTGGCCCCGGCCAGACGCAGCGAATAGTGTCAGTAGAATGTCAAAGGGAAAAAAAAAAACTCTTGTCAACGACGCCCCATTCCCTTGGCGTCCTGGGGTTCGTGGTGCTCTTTTCTTCCACCGTGGTGCCCCCCCATCTCTGGCCAAACCGCATTTTAACTCCTCTTGCGTCCTAGTCGACTTGCTGAGTTGGATAGATTTCTCTGCCATCTCGTACCTCATCCTAGGTCAACCTCTTACGACAAAGTATTTTTGTTTACTCTTATCTCTCTCTTCCAGATCTCTGGCTCCACTCAACCACCGCGCGGCTGAAATCACCCCAAGTACATCTGGTACATCAGATACAGGTACATCTGGTGGATGACTTCGCCCGATCTCTAGCTTCCAATTTCCCCGAGCGGCCACATATATAGCAGCACATCGTGCCCTACCAAAGCGACCTAGCCAAGTTTCCCTTGCGACAACTCCAGACCCATCCCATCCGGCCGCCCGCACCAATTTGAAGTAGCCCGTTACGCGACATATTCCTACAACCAATGCAACAGTGACAAGCCCGTATATTGATGGTCCTTTCGCCTTGATTCGAGTATTCGGTATTGCTTCAAATAGCCAACGCGCCTTGCCTTGATCAGCCCTGTACTTTCATCCCGGATCACAATGGCATTCACCAAAGAGAAAGACGACGCTCCCACCTCGGTTGGAGTCCTTAGCTCACTTGGGCTGAAGGGCGCCGAGGGGCCCCAGGATGTCCAAGAGGGCGTTCTGGCAGACAATGCTGACAATCTCCAGCGCCATCTGGGTAACCGTCAGATCCAATTGATCGCCATTGGAGGTTCCATCGGAACGGCCTTGTTCGTCAGTATCGGGACGGGTCTGTACCACGGTGGCCCCGGCAGCTTATTCCTCGCTTACTCGATCCAATGCATCTTCCTCGCCATGGTAAACAACAGTCTGGCGGAAATGACCACGGCGTTCCCCGTCAGCGGTGGTTTCATCCGTCTTGCCGGTAAATGGGTCGATGAGGCCCTCGGTTTTATGGTTGGCTGGAATTTCTTGTGCGCAACTCCCTGAACCATCCTCACCTGGCACATCGCAGTATACCTAACATGCTTGCAGCTTCTATGAGGCTCTTCTGATTCCGTTCGAAATTTCGGCCTTTACTCTTGTGGTCTCCTTCTGGTCTGATAAGGTTACGGAGCCTGGACCCGTTGCTGGTCTTTGCGCCGGGATCATCATATGCTACGGGTAAGATAACCACCTCGAAACCCAAGATTCCAGTTTGTTGGGGGGATTCAATGCTAATGTGCATTATAGTGTCCTGAATTGTTTGGCGGTCAAGGCTTACGGTGAAGCCGAGTTCTGGCTATCCGGCGGCAAGGTCATCTTGATTTTTGCTCTGTTCTTCTTCACGTTCATCACCATGGTTGGAGGTAACCCAGCTCACGATGCGTACGGATTCCGATACTGGAACAACCCCGGATCTTTCATGGAGTACCTCGATCAGGGCACCCTGGGTCGCTTTGAAGGTTTTCTTGGCAGTCTGTGGTCCGCTTCCTTTGCGGTGGTGGGTCCCGAGTATATTTCCATGGTGGCGGCTGAGGCCAAGCGTCCTCGCATCTACATCAAGAACGCCTTCAAGACCGTCTATATTCGATTCGGTATCTTCTTCATGGGTGGTGCTCTTGCTGTGGGCATCGTTTGCTCTTCCCGTGACCCTGCTTTGGCCAATGTCGTGGCGGGTAACTCCAACGGCTCTGCTGCTGCTTCGCCTTATGTTATTGGCATGACCAACCTTGGAATCACTGTCTTCCCTTCGATTATCAATGCGTGAGTTTTGGGTCTTCATTCCTGGTATTCTGTTCCGTACTAACAGCCCTTCGTGCCAGTCTGCTCCTGACTTCGATCTTCTCCGCTGGTAACACTTACACCTACTGTGCGATCCGCACTCTGTACAGTCTGGCACTGGAGGGCCGTGCCCCCCGTGTTTTGGCCAAAACCACCAAGAGCGGTGTTCCCATCTACTGTTTCATCGTTGTCATGATCTTCCCCATCCTGTCCTTCTTGCAGGTCTCCAACTCCTCCTCCATTGTGATCACGTGGTTCTCCAATCTCGTCACCGCAGGCGGGTTGATCAACTACATCACGATTTCCATCACCTTCATCTTCTACTACCGAGCCTGCAAGGCCCAGGGTATCGACCGGAACCAATTCTCCTACACAGGATGGTTCCAGCCGTACGGTGCATACATCTCGCTGGTCTGGATGTTCCTCGTTACGCTGTTCTACGGATACCCTGCCTTCAAGCCCTGGGACGTAGAAACCTTCTGGTCTGATTACACCATGCAGATCGTCATTCCCTGCCTCTTCGTCCTATGGAAGCTTTTCAAGCGGACGAAGTTTGTCAAGCCCCATGAAGCGGATTTGGTCTGGGACCGACCCCTCATCGACGCCTACGAGGCTAGCTTCATGGATCCCCCTGTCGGGTTCTGGCGCGAGGTTGGACAAATGGTCGGCTACCGCCGTATTAAGGGCGGAAACGATAAGCGCAGACAGTCCGTTGCTCCTCCATCTACCGGGACCGGAGAAGAGGTTACTTTCAGTGCCTAGATGCTCTACGCAGGAGCTTGGCTGTTTATGCTACAGGTCGCATAAAATAACCCAAAAAAAAAAAGAAAAAGCAAACCAAAGCAAAGCTATTGTCTTATACTTGAGGACTTGCAGGTTCGGTTGTGGAAGATTATACGCTACTTGCTACTGGATCCAAAGACCCAACGTGTCAGCACTCTTGGTCCTGTTTTAGTATCAATTTCAACTTATCTCTGTTCTACCAGTAGAATTCTGCATCTATGGGCCTCATGGCTGAGTAGTACAGTATGATCATTCCATCTAATTTGAGTCAACAAATACTCCTCACCAGTGGTATCCGTATGGATCTACTGAACGAAATCAAGCTTCCAAATATCTCCAAGGCGCTCATTAGACTCTCCAAGACCACCATGCACTATGATGGCATCTTCACCCAACGTATCAGCATCAAACCATCCCCGCGGAAGCGGCAGCTCATCCCCTTCCAGAGAAACATGCTGCCAAATTTTCTCATGAATATCGAAAATCCACACATCATCCAGCATCTTCCCCGCCCCTTGGTGGCCCAGCGAACTAGGATCGCGCTCCCCGAACAGCGTGACAAGGAACGGCCGACCACCAAGACGGAGCGGCAACAGCGCGCTCACACTGCGCGGCGTCGGACCCGCTTTGCCGTCCGGCGAATACGAATGAGAAATCCATGAGTTCTCGGCGGGAGAGTAGATATCAAGCTTCCCCCCTTGCTCCGATTTCCCATCAAACCCATTCATCCGGTACAACAAGCCCTCAACAAACGCAATAGACGTACCGCCGCGCGGAGGATCGAAGGCGGGCGCAAGCTCCGTCCATTCTCTGCGGGCGATATTGAATGACCAAACATCGCCAAGCCGGCCCTTCTCAGGACACCCCGCATGCAGGAAAAGTGTGTCGGCGCCGTCGCTGGTCATGCAGTGGTAGCTGCGTGCTGCGGGATATTTCTGCTCGGCTGAAGGCCGAAGTGACGACCACGTTGATCTGACGGGGTCGAATTCCCAAATGGTGCCTTGTTCTTCAATCGGTGCCATTGCGACGCCTCCTCGGCCGGAAAAGATATAGATCTTTCCATTAAGCGTGGCTGCCGCTGTTCCGACTCTTGCGGAGGGGGACGTTGATGTTGCGGGTGCGGATTTCACTGTTGTGTCGTCTGCTCGTTGGAGAAATATTTAGTATTCACTGCTTATATTCTATCCACAAGTTGCAAAAGGCCACGCTTACTGCTTTGTAAAGCGATGGAGTGGACATCGTTGTCGCGGGGCTCGCGGGGCTTCAGCTCTCCACCAAACACATAGGCTTGACTACCAGCAACAGAAATGATATGCGAGGAGCGGCGGAGGATCTCAGCTTCCAGGAGCTTATGACATTTTGCAGCGATTTTCCCCATCTTGAAATATGAATTGCTTGCAATCTCAATTATTTTGCGCTGGAGATGTGAGGGGATGATTGATTAGACAGCGCCTGGAACTTGGATTTCCACGGTATATATAGGCGCATCTGGACTCCTCGTGTATGCAGCTATTTTGCAGATCCGGGGATTTCAGGTTCCGAAATCACCGCCCCACATTAGCAGATGCAAAGGATGTGCCAATAAGAGGCCCCCATGTGGGGGTCAATACGGCCTCCGAAACCTCCGAAGGACTGTGGAGTCTGCGACACGCGGTCAGAAGACTAAACTGCATTGGTGATTGATTTATGACGGTGCTCCCTTCTCTTTCATGATTGCACATGTCCCAAGCCAGACGAACCTCATCAATAAGGTTCCCGTTGCGTGGATCTGTGCTTTTTCGTTAGTCGTTAGCGCATCGACAGGCATATTCTGAACAGCATTGGCCGTCGATATTAGAAGTTCCAAATCACGCGAAGCATGTGCGCTGAACGGGTGGATAAGTATATCGAGAAAGATCGCAAAGGCAGCAGGTGTACAATAAAGGGCGATGAATCTCTCGGTCGGTTAGAGTGTAACTTTAGCCAAGTTTGCGTTGTACTCACCGGAATGCTTGTTCATTGGAAACGTGAATCAGATATCGCAAGCACCATAGGGTAGAGCGACCTGCTTCCAGCGATATGTCGAAGCTCGAATGAGCTACGTCGTGGAGACCCCGGATCCCGTCGCTGGCATCCAGGGTGCATCTTCTCACCATGGTATGGATAATGATCATTAGATGCTGGTGTTGCAGCTGAAGCGATATGCGGTGAAGCATTGTCGGGGACACTTGATTGGCAGCTCTTGAGTTGGTATCCGGTAATACAAAAAGCGCAGGGCGTAGAGGCTCTGGGATTGATGCTCTCCATATTTCAGCTTCTTCATCTAATTGACGGATATTGGTAAGAATTTGGCCATCATGCTCGTTCAAAGCCTGGGCGGAGAACAAAAGCTTGAAGATTCTTTCCTTCAATTTGCTCAGATGAATATCGCCGAGAAAGCGAGGAAGGAATTGATACAAGGAGCCTTCGCATTCTCCAGGCATTTCGCTTGTAGTGTCGTTAGTGGCACGTGGAGGGGAGAGGTCGCAATAGACATCTACCAGGAGGGGCGGAGAGCCGGTCCGTAGTGAAATTTCTTTATCGAGTGCGTAACAAACCCAGAAGAGATTTCGGATTTGTAGTCTTTCTTGAATGGAGTCCGGCGCGAGCTGTTGCGGTCTTACCACATGTCCTTGAAGTGAGCAGACTATACGACATGCAATCGAATTCACATGTGAAGCACCTTCCCAATCGGCGCAAAATACATGCTGGAGGCTCTAGATCATCTATTAGTCTCGAATATCACTAGGTTCCAGTCATGACATACCAACAGGAGGGCAGTTTGGAGAGTATCTAAACTGGCGTCATTACCGAGAGAAACTAGATAATGGAGTGCCCTTGATTCTAAGTTATCTACTTCCATGAAAGATTGTCTCGAGTTTGCCAATCGCGATGCCATCGAAAGAGCGCTTAAGAGACAGGCCGTGGCTAGAATCTGTTCGGACGAGGGGCTTGTCCAGTCTGTTGGCTTATAAGCGACATCCATGGTTCTTGCGAGTGTTTCTCTATTTAGGATAGGAATCCCAAGCATAGAGCAAGAGTCGATGAACTCGTTCAAGATCTCTTGCACTCTCAGCCTTTCGGGCAGTTGATCAAGATTAATATGCGATAATGCAGACTGCACACTCCACAAAGGACAGTCATTGACCCTCGGGATACAGAGATCAAATAGTGAAATATCTTGGCCGGTCTTCGTCGATATCCAGTGACAGCCTTGTTTAGATGATAAAGGTATGCCATTGAAATACCAGTTCGGTCCCAATAAGCCCGGTACCCTAGGAATCGGGTGCACATGCCCAGGAGGTTTGCGAGCTGGTGGACTCTCCGGCGGCGCTTGGGAATCCCCTTTCTGCGGGTTTGCTATATCATTTCCTGCTAGCGCAGCCTCGAGTTGCGCAACTCGTCGAGAAAGTGTCTCCACATCGCTTAACGCACAAATCAGAGTACGCCCACAGCGAGCAATATAGCCAGATACGCACCTATTCACTCGCTTTTTTCTGGGCCTCTCTCGGCCGAAGGTGCATTGAGCATCGCGATTCCTGCACCACTCGCAGGGGACTCCCGGGGTAGGGAGTGAGCATTGGATCTTGGGCGCAATTAGCACAACAAAACGAATGGAAAGTCTGTAAAGACCTACCTTTTTTGCATAGCATACATCACACGCTCGCTTTTGAGGCTTTCTCCTTACAGGCGGCATGGCTACGATAATTTGACATTTGAAAGACTTGGAGTCTTCGGAGATTTCGGCTTCCGCCAGGACTAAATATCATGTGACCTGGTCTGTTACTCTGCATTAAAGGAATCAGAAATGTGAGGCACAGTAGCTCAATAATAGACTGTAATCCTCTATTATAGCATGTGACATGTTACAAGTGTCGTTGCTTGGTCTTGACGTTCATCTCTTGTTTCAGACAACAGTGCCCTGCAGAGTGGGTGAGCCATCTGCGCTAGCCTTCCAACTAGGTTTATTCTGGCCTCCAGTATCGAGGGCACGCGAACATCAGCCCAAGACAGGCCTCAACCTTGTACAATAGCAGAATGAGTTCGCTGGCCCATTGGAAATATGGAAAATGGTGCCTCTAGCGATGAGGACCCGCAGCTACCTCGCGGTCTGGGTCATTTCATGGACTGCCAGATCCAGCGGAGCGTAACATAGCAATACAATTGAGTTCAATTTCCTGAACTCTTTTTCCTGCGGGAGCGATGTCCTTGTGGAGATACACCAAAGGCCCTCCGGACCGTCGACCATAAGATAGATTAGCACCGGGAGTTCGAGCGGGCATACACGTGAAGCACTGGCAGACATATAGTTGATCGTATATTCTCTATATGCAGTCTATTTTTCATCGGTATATACAGGAGTCAAACGTTTGAACCAGCCAGCTGGTTCGAATGTACATCGCGAGGAACGCGACATACCTCTCTTGCGTCGTCGGGCATCGTATTCCAGATAACCTGGCGCACCTCGACGCCAACTTGTTCAATAGCATCCATAGCCCATATCACATCAATATGCTCATACCCCTCGATGACTTTTGAATGCACAAGCTGTACATGAGGCTCGAACCCATCTTGAAAGCGACGAAGGAGTCGACGCCCATCCACGAGTTCGTCGGATCCACCGATCCAGAACGCAAACGGTGGCATTCCGGGTCCGAACCAATTATCTTGCCTTTGAGCGCCAAGAAAAGGATCCTGTGCACGATCTCCAGCTTCGTCAGAATTCCCCTGGAGATTGCTTTCTGGTTCATCACGTGTGGATAAGATGCATCGATGTTTCGCAAAGCTCTCATTTCCTAACCACCAGCGCATGGATTCTGAGCTGACATAGACCGGTGAAAATTGGAACATGCGGTGGCGTAGATCACGCTCCCAGCGCGCATCTGTCCACCCAAAAAGAAAGGAGAAGACCCAATAAGCCAACGTACCGTATAATTTAGGATGCAAAATATCTCGTGCACTCATCATGATCGGTATGAAGGAGTGGATCCCGAAAACCAATCGAAATGATTTAGCGGAAATGCCATGCATGAAGCGAAAATAGGGATTATGCACGAGTGGACCAGCGTATGCAGCTGGTGCAAGCGCACAGAACACTGAGATCCGCTGACCGAGTTCTGGCCTGTGTTCTTTTGCCAGAGCGACAAATGTTTCAGCGGTCCCTTGTGAATGGCATACAAGGCCCAGTTTCTCGAACCCGGTCTCGTACAAAACCCTCGAAGAGAACGCTGCGAGATCTAGAGTCCCGAGGTGTCGAATATCCCAGGCCCACATGCGAGGGTCTGAGGTAGACAGTGTGGTATGCTCTGGATTGAGCCCACAGCGGTTATTTCCAAGCCAGACATCATACCCAGACTTGCATAAGAAGAAGGCCAAGCTGTCGTCATCATTCGTACAAAATGTGCCAGCACTTTGAAGAAGTCCGTGAATGAGGAGAACGGGGTAGCGACGGTTTGCCTTTGGGGTCTCCAAGGGGTTTCGCCTTGGTTCTGTGAATATAGTCGGACCTCGGGCCTCCCTCTCCTCGTCTGACAACGCGGTATATTCTTGGGGGTTGTAAACATGCCAAAGAGTAAGTATAAAGCCATCCTCAGTCTGGACTCGGAAAGTCTCAATGTCTAGGCCGACCCGTCGAGCATAGTAGGCAGCGTCGCAGACGATGGGGTCCTCCCCACCCTCCAACGGTGGACATTCATCTGAACCTTGTTCCTCATCCCCATCCCTCTTATGTTGTCTCAGATTCCATTTCTGCTCTGACTCTGCTCTTGCTTGCCTCCGGGCTTCCTCTTCCTCGCGGAATGGCCTTCTGACCTCAGCACGTCCACCCAGTCGAGAGATCGTACTCGAGATACCCAGACTTGCTGTCCAAATCAATGCGCTCGTAAAGATAACCGTCAGAAAGGTCAATGAGAGGGTAAAGGAAACGGCCTGGATAGCGAAGTATCGAATCTTCCGAGCGAGGGTCGGCGTTTCGTAAAAAGGGAGCGGTGGGAAGAGGGGATGATCAGGCGAAACGACGGGCAGAACAAGGTTGGCCAACTGAGCCTGCTTCTCGGCGACAGCAGCCGAGTCTAAACCCACGGCTGCCTTATTGGGGTGTGACAGCAAGGAGGGTTCGCCGCCATACTCGGCAGATGCGGAGGATGCATGTTGGGGTCCAGGTTGACTTGGGGTCCCTGCCCGCATACGTGCTTCGGGGGTTCGCATAGGTAGGGAGACCGAATTATGCGAGAGTTAGATTATTAGTGCAGACCCACCGTCACGCATCCTGGCCTGTCCACGAGTGGTATGAGACGAGATGCGGGGAGGGAATACGCTGTGGAGGCGCGATTCACATGCCGAGGCCGCTTGGGCCCAGGCACAGGGGCACGCACGTGACGAATCACCAATCATAGAAGACATTTTAGAGTGGGCCGTATATATGTGCATACTGACCTGGGTCGAATGGATGGAAGTCGACATGACCGTGAGTCCCGTTCCGCATGGTGTAATTATACCTCCCAAACTTTCAGGCCGTTCAGGGCAAGCTCTGTGACGGCTACAGCTACTGTTGCCGCGAACATGCTGGGCGATGACTTGAAGTTGGCGGCAAGGATAAGCCCTTCAGATGACCAGCCAAAACAAAGCTCCTCAAGATAAGATTACTCCTCAGGTTGTAAAGAATCAATAGCATGCAATCTCAGACAACTTGAGACATGAAGTACGCATCCTGAGAACGAGATATTTTTATAGTCAGATAACCGGAAGATTGAGACCGTGAATGACGGATGCAATTCTTATGTCTATGCACTATATTCGCTATTTTGGTAGACAGGACCTACCAGCGCCATATCAAAAAGAGATAAAGAGTAAGGACCACCTGAGCAACAAATATGAGGGAGCGAGAAATTTCTTTAAACATAGACCCCACCTTTTGGGGGAAGCCGTAGACGCGAGGACGATACGATCCCTTGTCTTTCGAACTCGAGGCATAATCTGCTCGAGCTGTACCCCAATAAGCATCGTGCGAAGGCTTGGCACTAGAGGTACGAGGGAGAGCGGACAGCCCACCGCGGCTGGCCAGGCCAGCGGCGGCAATGGTGGAGCTGGACGTACCGGAAGTCTGGTACTGGTGTGTGGGGGCTGGGGAACGTTGCTCGGAGAGAGGGAGGAGTGAATCATAGGAGTCTGAGGGTTGAGGCGTAAAGCATGATCGGTACACGGAGTTGATGACAAGGATAGTGACACTCAGTCCGAAGAGATAGGCATAATGGATGAAAATATCCAGCTGGTCTGGGAGGAGGCAGAGGTGGTTTTGTATGGTTGGTGACGAGCTCTGGGACTGGCCGGTTTCTGGATCAATTGGATTCCATAGACTTGTCAGCAAGAAACCGGGTTGGCGGACACCCATCGCCCATGAGAGACTCTTCACGGTGATTTCATTCGGTGAGCCATTGAATTCTCGGTGAACAACCTCACAGTAGTCATGATCATCCCCGGAATAGACTTGAGCGATGTTCGGACCAGCCCTGCTCACTAAACCAGTGGAGATAGAGGGTGTCAACACATTCTGGTATTGGTAGCCACCGGCAACTGTGAGCGCATTCCGCTCATCTTCTTCTAGATCACCTGGAGAAGATGGCGGGTATTTCTCACGAAGGGGTCCACAAGGGGTTCCAGGCTTGCGATAAAGGGGGACATGGGTAAGAAGAATAGTTGGGAAGGGAACAGATGTAGGTTCGGCGGTATCGTGAATCACCGCGTCCGTGGCATCGGCAATACGATGATCGAATTTTGTCGTCGCATCTGAAAGATGCTTCAAAAATCGCAGCTCCTCAGTCTCTGCCTTAGCTCGATGTGCGGGCATATTGTTGAGGAAGTCATCAGCATCTTTCCAAACCGGCGAGGGCTGGAATTCCATCTCTGCTGGCGGAGTAGAGCTTCCCGTCTTGGGATCCGGCTGATCCATTGCGCTCAAAGACGGGGTATCAACTGACACGAAAGTGTGATTGCCGATCACATCGACGCGATTGCTGGGGCCAAAATAGCTCTGGAAGCGTCGGCGAACGGGCTCTTGAATGCCGTAGCCAAATCCTAAATCATGATTGCCAGGCAGACTAGCGAGTAACTTGCGGCCTCGTCCATCCACCGGCGGCTCATTACCTTGGACCCATGGATCCAAGAAAATCTTCATGAACCGAGTATATTCCTTCTTCCAGAATGAGTCGTCAATGTCTTTATAGCGTTCCTCCGGGCTGACTGATGTGTCTGTCGCCCATTCTCTACCTCCGTCGAAGAGGTCACCAAGAAAAAGAACCGTGTCTGGCCCGAGGTCTCTTTGTATTGAGTTGAATGAACGGCGCATATATTGATCTGTATACTTGACAGTCAAGGTAGAAAGCGGCCAGGGTCGGTCGGGGTAGGTATGAGGATCAACCAGCTGGGGATCGGCGATGAATGCAACGTGATGGGGGGTAGCCCCTTGAGGCTGGACGGATAGGCTTGTTAGTTGAGATCTCACAAAGTCATAGAGGTTCATTGCGCAATGCCATGTGGAAGACTTACCCATCTCTCCCAGCTCTCCAAAGACAAGCATTGGTGCTCTCTTGGAAGACAGTGCGTTCTCCCCACCATAGTGTATAAATCCAGATGATTATCACCGCATTGGGGACAGTGAGTATCTTCCTCAGCACCAAGCGTGCCAAGCTTCGTGAATCATGTCCCTCGAATGACAGCTCTCGTCTCCAGGCCGACACCTTCTCCGCAATCCATCGCTTCGCTAGGCTCGGTACGCTTTCCCATGGGTCATCCAGCTCTGAGAAATGAGATGAAGGCGCATATGAAGGAAGAGAAGATCCGCCGGTATTTCGTGGGTATGCGTAGCTCATGGTTGGCCCCGCTGGCTATTATGGATTGTGCCCGAACAAGACGTGGGGAAGTTAACGAAAAGAGCGACACCGCATGCTTTGGCACGCGGGAAAAGAAATCAGGCGCTTCAGAAAAAGAAAAAAGAATGAATAGTGAAAAACGGAGTCCAGAGAAGAAGAGATTTATTTCATTTCAACATTCCGGGGTGCTCGAAACAAGGGGCCAACTGGGCACATTCGAGGCGCAAGCGTCGATCAACGGGCCAGATCGGTCACGTGCTTATCGATAAAAATATATCAGCCTCGTACCTCAGGGGGAAGACCCGGTTAGGGGGCTTCTTGCGCCATGTGTTTCAAATCGTGGCAATGTCTTGAAATAAAAATGAAAAATCTGCTCTCTACAGTTAAAAAGGACATTATTTCCTTAGCACCGTTATCATTTCACTATCAACACTCCAATACTCCAATTTAAACCTCTCAAGCCGCATCCGGACTAGTCTATTACAGGACAGATAAAAATACATGCACATGGGTCATTAATGCCAGTATCATAATGATGCCGCCAACGCGGGTGCAAAAGAAAGAGCGGAATGAATACCAAGGCATTCAACATACCGGACGGGTACGCATGGGAAAGAGTGGGAAGCCATCTATGGATAGACGTTTTGGCAACACCCTAGGACTCACGAATGAGCTACTCTGGGCAACAGGATCGCGTCTGCAAATCAAGTAGGCTTTTTGGGCAGCATTGACCACCCTGGGCACAGTTATCATCGCATTCAAGTAGACAGGCAGTGGGGTCGGCATCGCGCAAGCTGCCAGCTCGACTCGGCTGGTTGGGCTCGTCTGATTCCCGGGACGACGAAGGCTGGTTCATGTTTGCGCCATCTTCTGTGTCACTTTCGGGGGCAAATTCAGGCTGGATGGTAGAAGAGTGGATGCCGTAGGCGTGCAGACACCTGCGGATCTGTCGAGCAAGACGCATGTAACGCTCAGAGCCCTCGCCCTTGATCTCAGTATCAACCTGAATATGGATGGAAGCCACGACCTTGGTGTCGCTCAATTGCCAGACGTGGAGGTGGTGAGATCCGATAACACCTGGGAGACCTTCGATATCTTCCTTGATGTGGTCAACGCTCATTCCTGCGGGAACAGCTTGCAAAAGAATACGCGAGGCAGCCTTGCAGAGGGGAATGGCAGATGCAAGAATAATAACTGTGATCACCAATGAAATACCCGGGTCGACATAGAATCGCCACTCGTAATCAGTCAGCCAAATGACCAAAGCAGAGGCAATCACACCAATATTGCCAAGCGCGTCACCCATGACGTGCAGAAAGACTCCGCGCATGTTGAGATCATGGCTATGCCCACCCTTTTGACTCTTAGGCTTCGGCTGAGCATGGTTGTGGTGTTTATGGACATCGTCCTCCAAACGTGGAGGGACCTTGAACGGGGCGTCACTTTCGTTCGTGTAGTTCGTTTTGCGGTCTCCGTGGCGAAGCAGACCAGACGTTTCAGTGGGAGTTTCATCGTCCCGGCTATCAGTGTCCGATGTCTCTTCGTTGTCGTAAGAGTCACGGCTAGCAGCAATGATGTCCTGGCGCATCGTCGCTGGGTGGACATAGATGTCCTCCACGTTGGCGAGAGCGGATGTACTGTACCGCCTTGAGCCTCGCACCTGTGACTCGGCTGTACGGCGTCTGCGAGATCGATCGGCGGAATGCGGAAGACCAAGCCGGTCCGCGGCGTCTGACGCACCATTCCCGTGAGTCTCGTCAACTTCGTGACTATGATCGTCACCCTCGTGTCCAGTCTCCAAATCCTCCTCGCCATGTCCGTGGGAATGCCCGTGTCCGCCGTGGGAGTGGTCGTGGAATAGGGCTAATCCGACAATGTTGGAGAGCAAACCAAAGCATCCGACGATGCAGACTAGCTTGGGATTCTGAACTTCCTGAGGCTCAACCAATCGCTGAATCGCGTCCATGACGATTGACACGCATAGAGCGACCAAGAAGACACCGTTGACGAGAGCACCGAGCGTCTCTGCTCGTTGCCACTGCAAGACCTTCAGCTGCTGTTCGTGCCGAGGTTATTTTGCGGGGCGACTCACACCGTAGGTATACATTTTCGAGTTTGTTTCCTGGTTGGCGACCTTGACGGCCCATAGACCCACGAGTAAGGAGAGGACATCATTGAGCTATATTATGTGTCAGCCGCAATTCTGTTGACAGGAGACGGGCTCGTAGGGATATGCTTGACGTACCATGTGAAAGGAATCGGCGACCAGGGCAAGGGAGTGGACAGTGTACCCTAGAGGGAAGCTGTGTCAGCCAAAGCGCGGGGGCGAGCGAGCATGGATTTCAGTACCGGTGATCAGCTCCAGGAGGAAGAAGGCAGTATCGATAACAAGCAGGATGATGATCCTGTTGGTCTTGGAGAGGCCCATTGTGAATAGTCGCTAGGTGCTTGCGGTGTGCTCGGGCTGAGCTCCGCAGCAGGGAAAAGGGGAATAAAACCTGGTGTTACACAAAGACCTAGGAGGGGTTGAAGGAGGGAAAAAATGAGGGAACGATTTCAGGTGGAGATATGATGTGAGCGGAGAGCGTAACGGTAATTGGGGATATTCCTCCGTTCTGGCCCGGGGTGGCGTTATGACCGAATGCGGTACTCTGTCGTCTAGGGATCCTCCTCCTGGAAATTTCCTCCCGGGTACTCAACGCTGCTTTATAGGGACCTCCTGGGAATCCTAGATTGGCAGCCCGCGCCTTTGTTCTAAAAAATCTAATCCGAAGGGCTTTAGCGAGGCCCATTCCCTGCAGCGCCGTTTGAGTTCCCCACTTGGAGGTTCTGCCATTCAGACCAGCCCAGCACCCGATGAAGAAGCTGCACTCCACTGGCCCGAATTCCGCTTTTGCGCTCGAGCATTTGATCGCCAGATGATCTGCTGGCTTTCTCTGGCTCGTTCCCCAGTCCAATTTGCTAATTGACCCCTCTCTGTGTTTCTAGAAGGACGCGCTGGAAGGTATGCCCTTGTGTGTTGTGTGCTCTGTTGACTGTGAACCTTTCAACCCGTCGGAGCCGAAGGCCTGCAGCCGCTAACGACTTTGGTCCACCGAGCAAATTTTTCTCTCCTCGGGGCCATATCTAAAAGCTCCTAGCCAAACTTTAACGCCACGAAATAGTTAGGCATCCAGTATTTACATCATGAGAGATTTTGAGACCCCCATCCCAAAAAATAGCAAATTCTTAGCGAGGTACACCAGTTTCCAGAAAACAGAAGATAGCTTTATAGCAAGAGACTGCATATTTATTGACTGTCTCAACTTGGCGGCCATCACGATGTGCAGCGTTGTTCGACTGCGCAGAGAAAAAAAAAAAAAAAAAAAAAAACAAATTCCCCTCAAGTCGATCGATCGATCGACCCCGCCCGCTGCGGGGCGTATTAAGCCTCTATACTCCGTCCACGGGTACTCCGTAGTTAGTCGCCCATTAAGGCTGGTCGACTACTAAGCGAACCTAAGTGGGCTCCATAGTCAGAACCTTCTCACCCTGCCGCTGAACAAACTCGCCAGCCAATTGGGAATCTATACTTCTGATTCGACCAATATCGCTGTGATCTTGACTGAATCAAAGCACATCAAATTCAAACTTGTTAATAATACTGCAGAAGCACATCTTATATCATACCGGAATTCGTCCGACGTCCATTAATGACCAAGGGCGAGGATGCGCCTTGTGGAGTCTCCTAAAGAATCGCTCGGCGACGGTCCGTCGACCAAAGCAGCGACGCCATCGATGAATGCCTTTCCCTGGGTGAAATCCTTTCCAGGTGCCATAATGATATCCATGTCAGCCTGGCCGGCCAAGATCGCCCGGGTAGGGTTATCATCGAAAAGCCCTCAACGCACCCGCTTTAACAGCATCAGTGATAGTGACTCCTTTGAAACCAAGGCGGCCCCGCAGTTCGCCTTAAATTCAGGTACGGCTTAGTCCTGATGGATGCTTGGCGTCAAGTCGGGATATAAAGACCCAGAGTTCATCACCATATCGACTCCCGCTTCATCTACAAAGTGGACCTCGCCGAGAGTGAGATTGATCTAGGAAGTCGTCTGCTTCGCGATACACGCCCAAGACGGACACAAGGTTGATGTTCAAGTGTGCAGGCTTTGGCGGCTTGCTGCCTGTCTCTGTGGCTATGCTACCGAGATTCTTGGACTCGCCAACCTGTTTGGCATTCGTAGCTGTTCCACCAGGGAGACGCACTACTTCGGCACCTTCTTGGTCGGTCATGATCAACAACGGGTAGCCAGAATATGAGACACTCTGCTTGTAAGTATTCTAATCATCTGCGAAGATAGAAGGGAAACTATCCCACCACATTCTCCCCAAAAATAATGATACCGCCGACTTTCCCTTGAGAGATCAGGTCATGACGTTCGGCGGGAGGCTGAGCTCCCGGGTAAGAGGAGATGATCTGGTGCCTAGTCTGTACCGAACGTTCAGCTTTCTTGGCAGCATAGCTAGCACGGATGACGGATGATAGGGAGCAAAAATGAAACATGTCGATCGCATGTTGAAATTGGAGCTGTTTGATGACCCCGCTATGTATTGGAGGTGACTCTGTCAATTACAAACCAAACTCGCATATTATTGACATTTTGGGAACCCGTATCATGACCCGCATTACATGTGTGAGCTGCACCCAAGGTTCCATGCAGGTACAACAGGGTGTTGTTACATCGATCGACGCCCGCTTACCCTTCACGGAGCGGCCCCTTAAATAAAGATACGAGGGTGTAATCACCATGCATCGTTCAGGATAATGCATTTAAGGTTGGAAATCAAACCAAGTATTGTCTGCTTCCTACGCTCCTATTAGCGCTATTCTTATGGGGCTTCGGCAGGCTGGAGCTCCACTCACACAGCATGGCATATAACTGGATAGGTCCGCAACTTGTGTTAACAGCGGTCTTCTCAAGACCCTACCGGTCAAGCCACGTGGGGGGCTCCAACTCTATCTGGAAATCATAGCAGTGATACTAATTTCGTGTCATGTGCCATTCGTCAGGGGAATGGCTCGTCCTAGGATGCGACATCAAAAGGGCCTTTCCAAAGAATTTGAGCCGGGCATTTTCTCCTTATGTCTCTCATGCCGCCACCTATCTTTCTGGTAAAATTCTGTTTGTCATGCTTATGAATTCTTACATTCTATGGACGCCTGCGGATCCTGTCTATCGATCACCAGGGACAGACAGACCGGGCGTTGTGTGGCTGATAGGCAGCCAATGGAGTGTCTCAATTAACGAGAAGGATCCCCCACTTAGCCACAGCCAGTATATGCAGAGTGGGACGATACCAAAACGTCCAGCCATATAGCATGACAGCGGTCATATCAGTGGACAGGGAAACACAGCCATTGATTGGGAGTCCCGCTCACACATTCCCTCAAATGTGGGGGCCTCGAACTGATCGAGCCGCGATCTACAGTGCAATACGAGGGATCTTCGATCAGCCATGCTTGTCTGCAGCAATCAATCTAGTTTGAAACGATAGTCCAGTATTATAAGGCCGGCTGTGATTTGCTACTTGGGCTGATATCTGCTCTAGCTTCACTGACGGTCCGCGTCCAGGGGTGAGGTACTGAACATATAAAGCGCGTGTTTTCGAGTTGGATCTCATATTTCACTTCTCTAGGACCAATCTCCCACGTCAACGCTTGAGACTGTCAATATTGAGGACCAACATGAAGTCCACTCCCGTCATCATTGCTTTATGTATTGCTAGTGCCATTGCTGTTCCACACGTAAAGCGAGCAGCTGTCAACTCTGGCACTCTTGACCTCATTGGCGAGCTTGAAGGCTTCAGGAAGAACTTCTATACCGACAGCGTCGGGCACACTGCCATTGGTAAGCATCATTATTAACTGTTAGGCCCTAGTCACATTCAGGACGCTGACAAATCTAGGCTATGGCCACGACTGCCAGGAAAACGGAGACTGCAGCAGCATCCATGCCCCATCACCGAGGCCGAGGGCAAGAAACTCCTGGCTCATGACCTCCAGACGTTTGAGAAGTGTGTTTGCAAGCTGCCCAATGCCAAGGATTTGAATGCCAATGAATATGGAGCCTTAGTGAGCTTTACGTATAACTCAGGATGTGGTGGAGCCGATAAGTATTGGAGCACTGCCATGTCGGAGAAGAACTTCGAGGGCATCTGCCAGGCTTTGCCGACTACAAATACTCTGGGTGGCCAGCTCAACAGCCGTCGGGCCAAGGAGGGTGCGTTCTGTGCTTTGCCTTCGAACACTACCTCTGGATGTTAGGTGCCTCGTCGGGTTGAGCATCGTGCGGCCTCCCGAGTCTGGAGCAATAGCGAAGTTGGCGAAGTATGAAGCTTCTATAGATTACCAATCGTATCTGTCTTCTTTTCAGGGTCCGGGTACCCGTGCACTGCCCCGCATGTAGAGCAACACCCCCGGTGGACAGTCTTCGACAAATAGCCTTCCAGATCCAGATCGCGCGCCAGGTTGAGCGGAAAGCCCCGTCCAACGAGCGGTGCCATCCACAGCCCCACTACCAACAACTTCTGCAATAGGAAGTTGTTCGGCGAATTTCTTGGCCGGCGCATGGCCAACAAATCGAAAAATCTTATAGAGCATCTATTGAGCATTTCGGCCATAGCTTCGTGAGAAAGTTCGAAGTAGAACGAAGATATTACAAATATAGGGTTGGGGCTGTCTCGGCCTTCTTAAGCAAGAAAAAAGCCTCTGTCGAACATGGATTGAATTGCAAAAATCCATACTCCAGCATGAAACAAAGCACGCAGCAGTCAACCGACGGGCATATCCAGCAGGAGCCAGATCTTGAGCAAAACGCGGGTACATTAACCTCCGACTTGGACTTGGAGAAGCTCGGACGAGAACGGCCAGCATGCTTCTCAAGCTTAGGATCCGAGCTAGCTTTTTGCTTTTCGGTTGTGATGTCCCAGATACTGGCGGTTAGCAAAACCCCCCTTAGCTTTCGTGATATCAATCCGTTCTAACACCAAGAAAAGGAATTCTACATCACAGGATCTAATGTCATCACACCAACCCTTGTGAAAGAGCTAGATATCCCAGAAGCTTCTACGATATGGCCAGCAACAGCCTTGTCGCTTGTCGTCACCTCTACATTGCTCATTTTCGGTCGCTTGACCGATATGTACGGGGCATATGCGATTTACGTTGCCGGTGCCATCTGGCTCACCATCTCGTCTATTCTGTGCGGTGTCTCGCAGACCTGGCTGATGCTGATCATCTGTCGAGCATTGCAAGGCCTAGCTCTCGCCGCTCTTCTCCCATCCGGCATCACTATCTTAGGTAGCACTTACCGTCCTGGCCCCCGCAAGAATCTGGTTTTCAGTGTCTACGGCGCCTGCGCCGCTCTGGGATTCTTCGCCGGTTTCTTCTTCTCCGGCGTCTGCAGCGAGTTTACGACGTGGAGGTGGTACTTCTTCGTCGGCGCCATTCTATCTGCAATCACCGCTGTCTCATCGATTTTCTCCATCCCTCGGGATTATTCTGAGAAGCGAAGCTGGGGCATTCGCATGGATTGGATTGGCCTTGGTCTCTCTGTTCCCGGTGCTACATTCCTCGTGTTTTCTATCGCAGAAAGCTCGTTTGCGCCTCAAGGGTGGAAAACACCTTATATTCCCCTTTTTCTGATTCTGGGGGTTATCCTGTTAGGGATCTTTACATATGTGGAAGGATGGGTAATCTCCAATCCTCTTCTGCACGGGGATATTTTCCGCGTGAAGTATATGACGCCCTTGACGATCGCATTGCTCTGTCTATATGGAAGCCTGGGGATTTTTCTTCTATATGGAGTTTTTTAGTAAGTTGGATCCCTACCCCTCTACGGTGGCATGGTAAGTTAGATGGCGTTACTGACAAAACGTGCAGCATGTCCGAGATAATGGGTGCAACGCCTCTCCAGATCGTCGCATGGACAGTACCAATGGCGGTCGGAGGCCTGATCCTCTCCGCGACCGGTGGTTTCATACTTCACAAAGTCTCCGGAACACTCCTTCTCTTGATTTCCTGCCTCGGGTACGTAGGATCCGGGTTGTTATTCGCCCTGATCCCCGTGGGTGGAAACTACTGGGCGTATGTTTTCCCCTCCATGATCTGTGGCACGATTGCGATCGACATCAGCTTCAATCTCGCGAATATCTTCATCACGACTAGCGTGCCGAAGGCTCGACAAGGCAGGCGGGTGCCTTGATTTATTGTACGATGCACATGGGGATTGCTCTGATGCTTGGATTTGCGGACATTGTTCAAACGCAGACAGCACACCTCGGTCCTCGTAAAAGCTACAAGGCTGTCTTCTGGTTTGAGACCGGATTGGCTGGTTTTGGACTCCTCTTGGTCATATTCTTCGTACGAATCCGCCACGCAAAGAGTGAGTTGACACAAGATGAGCGGCAAGAGTTGGAAGAGGGAAGAACTGCCAGGGAAAACACCACTGGCGATGTATAATTTCATCATGACAGTATTAGTACATAGCAACACCCTAATCTCAAAGCCAAATTTTTCACGTTCCGGATGTTTTTTGGTTAGGAGTCTGGGGATAGGTGTCCTCTCCGTAAGTTGCGTTTAGAGTGACAGCACCCACGATATTGTCGGATTCTAACCTAATCCAGGTTTCAAGGATCCCCTCTTCGAGATCAGACTCTCTTACGAGGATCTGCCGAGACCCGCGGATCCAGTCGCCATATCCTCCATACCCTGTATGCTGCCCAAAGCAGATATGCATCCCATTTCCCTTGAGCTCCATCCCGGGGATTTGGCTGTCCCATTTATAGCACCACGTGTTACCGTGGTCATGACCTGAGAAGAGACCCATCATACCAGGCGTCTCCACTAACGCCTGCATAAACGGCACGTCCTCTCCACTGTAGCCACAGGAACTCGAGTACCTCTGGTCAGGGCACCAGTACCGTCCTTGTCCAGCAAGGAGATAATCATCGTTAAGCCCCGGCTGCAGATGGGGGTCTATCCCGACCTGGTCTTGCGCCGCAAGCGATGCATTCGTGGGGAGATGCACAAAGGCAAGCGACGGGATGTTCCTGCGCCATTTCTCCACCAGGCGAGCGTTGGCCTCTTTAAACCAATCCACGACACTGACATCCACCCAGTTCGGTTGCGCGACGAGCTTCCCGTCGGAGTTCAGCTGCTGGAAGTATGAGCCTCCTCGGCTATCGAAGAACCACAGGATGAGTTCCGGCGCGTGCTCTTGCTTATCATCGCCTGACCCATATACGGGAAGAAAGTAGTTGGAGACACCGGCTTGCGCCCCAAAAACATGCTGCTGTGTTCGGCAGTTAGTCCACTGCTGCTCACGGGCTAGCAACGCTTCCCGCGATAGGTTGTAATGGCTATCGTGGTTGCCGTACGTCGACGCCCAACTGAGGCCGCGATCAAGTAGCGGCCCTACAATTTGATCGACGTAGAGTGTCGAATTCTCAAGGAATGTGTTATCTCCTGTGATCAGATCGCCGTTCAGCACGACCAGGTCTGGTGTTTCAGCATTGAAGATTTTGTCAATCACTCCAACTGATTTGGCGTCATTTGCGGGACCCCAGGCATCCCAGGCATCTTGATTTCAATCAGCATGGTTACGTTGCATGTGTTCCAAAAAGCAAGCATACTCTCGCCGAAGTGCAGATCCTCCAGTATAGAGATTTGGAAGGTGCCATCCTGGGCGAACTTGAGCGGCGTCAAAGGTTCTGGTGGCGGTTGAAAAAAAAATTCCAGACCAAAGCGCCGCAAGGGCCGCTGTATACAAACTGTTGTCAGTATGCTGGGAGGTTCCGAGCGGAGTTCAGGTAGAGAATCCGACGGGGTTTTGATGACGCCGACATCAGAGCGGAAAGGGGCTCGCGGGGGATAGACTCACACGCGATGGGATCCATCCCACGCCCTGTGCTACCTTCAAGTCGTAAAGCTCTGCGCTGTATCAGATAACATCAGGTGAATGTGACGATCGTGGTCCGATGATTCCGTGTTGTTTAAGTTCAGGTCCGACCGCGGGGATCGCCGCGTTGTAGCGGGAATGTGAGCTGACAGGGATGAGTGGGGAAGGGTCACATCATCACCCAACGTTTGACTTGCTGGGGTTAAATCCGATCTACAGCGGTCGTGCATATTCCTTGCTGGAAGGGGATTTTCTCCTCATCATATTCCTGACTAACTCAAAATAGAAATTGATTAAGCCGTTAAAATGCGCTGCGCAGAACCCTAGCAAGGTTCTGCAGAAAGCTTCCATATTACGAATCCATCTGTTGGAATTTTGGGTCTAGCAAACAGCCACTTCTTTCTTCTCGACTCTGAAAAACAATATCAATTCGCGAACTCTAGCCGCAAAGGGCTTTGATGTCGGTAGGCACATATGGCGTCATGATGTCGATCAAGTCATCGATACTGACCCAGTCAAGCTCACCGTGAACAGTCTTGACGGGATGACCGCTGTAAAGGACTCGGGAAAAAAGAGATCCAGTGGCATTGGTTTTCCTGTAAGAGCTTAGTAGTCGATCCCAACTGGCCAGTTACCGCGGGGCCAAACTTACCAGATTTCAAAAGCGATGTTAGACGCCATCCCTGGCCATCGCAGAGCATCAATGCCAAGAGATCCAAGAACAGGCCCGATGTCTCCATCGTGAATAAAATTATGGACATAGTCGAGCGCGGAGGTGCCGTCGCGCACCGCCTTCAAGCGAGCGACGATCTCCCCAATGAACAGCCCCTCGACAACTTGAATATACTTCGCAACATAAGGATTTGTGCGCCAGTAGTAGTTCCATTCCCAATCACCAGCACGGAAGACCTCTTCTGACATCTGCTCGGTCACGCACGCAGACGAGTTAGTCACACTACAAGGAAGCTTATAGCCATTACAAAGGCGCGCCTGGAAGTTGTCAGAGAAATGATCGAAGGTGCTTTGCCAGTCACTTGACGTGGCACCCAACATGGATCCAAGCCGCGCGCGCAGCTCTGAGGTGACCTTGAGATGCTCCTCCCACTCGTCGGTGGCTTTCAGCTTGGTCAGAGTCGATGACACGGCGCTACAAGAGTAGCCCTCGTTCACAGTGTCTACAGATGTGACCATCTGATGAAGAGGTAGAGCACCTCCGTACTCAGGCCAAATGCCGCGAAGGACTGCACCGGCGGAGGCTTGGGTCAAGGCCGAGTCGCTGGAGCGGAACCAGGCACGGTCGTTAGGCTCATTGGCAATCAGACCGAGCTTGTCACCATATACGCTCCACAGATCTTTGCCGTGTTGAAACCCATCTTGGATCCCACCGATAGTAATCTGAGGATATTGGCAAGAGCCATTTACGCCCGGGGTAAAAGGGTCGGTTGGGTCTTGGTATGTCTGGGCATACATAGGAATTGGCTGTATGCCATTGTCATGCGCGGGTCCAGCATACAGATAAGGCCGCACGTTGTCGCAGTTATACGGTTGGTTCTATTCAAAATAGTTAGCTTGCCATAGACTTAAGCTTGTGAGAGTTAACTCACCTCTCCACCCGGGAGAATGTTGTAAGGCGAGCGCCGCTGGTGGCGCTGCAGATATTCTAGGTATACCAGCTTTCCCTTGACAGAACCTCCAGCGACCGGCTCAGGCAGCTTGTATTCTTGAGCGCGTGGATGCGGCATGGAGCAGTAATCGTAGGTCCCGTACGGCTTTCCCTGGGTTGGGCCATTTGTGGGTGCTTTGTAAATTCCGCCGTATGTACCGATAGAGGAGTTTGAGATGTACGTGGTTTTGTTAAGATCGGGCGGGTAGAAAGTATCCCAGGGGCTCTCCATCCAGAGACCAGCCCCCAGAATCAGCCCAGAAAAGGTTGCGCGCATGCCAAATGCGACCCCCGCAACCAACAGAGGCGATCTGAAGAAAGAAGACCAGTTCTCTATCCATTTTCTCTACTGGAATGCCTCGCGTCGCTGTCGGCAAAACAGGGGGGCTAGTTTCAATGGTAGCGGCTTCAGCCACCTCCACTCCCTTGGCCACGTGCGCCAGATGAGCGACAGGACTGTTCCAAGCTCTCAGGTTCAGCCTGGAATTGATTCACATTGTTGTATTTCGAGGATATAGAATCTGGCAGGTGGAGTCTACACCGCGACTCAGGCAAGGGAGGTTAGTATTTTGCCGAGGGGAACCATTGCAATACTGCGGCCCGCGGGCCTCAGGGGCGCGCTTACTAGGGTCGTGAAACAGTCATGATGCATATACTTGTGTAGTTTATTGGACTTGGCCTCCAACCACCTCATCATTCTTCCAGTTATATCTGCCCAACTACATTACGGATCCGAGATCGAGTCGCAATGCGCACTCTGCCGGTCCGCCTGGCCGTAATGGCCTCCCCCCTGCTCTCCTTGGCTCAGGCTTCTTTGGCTGATTTCGCTCTGGAGAAGGTCCTCGGCGATGCTTCTCAGATCTTTGGTCCCTACATTAAGAACGCTACCCGCAAGACTGAGTGGATGAAACACTACAATGATGATACCTTATTAGTCCATATGAACATACCAGGAACTCATGACAGCGCGACGTGGAACTACACGCAGGCGACCCAGGATGCATTGCTCGGAGTTACAAGTCTCAACGGTGTGACCGTCCCAGCGCCTGAAACATTTCGCTGTCAACAGCGATCGCTCATTGACGGGCTCAACAATGGGATCCGGGTCTTTGATCTGCGCTACGCATTCGACCCGACCAACAGCACTCTGGTATTTTACCATTCCCAGGCACTGCTCTCCCAGATTGCCGATCTTCAAAGCGTCTTGTTCGGATTCTACCAATGGCTTGATGACCATCCGTCCGAAGCTGTTTTCTTGTCTCTTCAGTATGAAGGCTCGACTGCAAAGTATGCAGCCAACGACGCAGAATTGCAGATGCGTCTCTCCGACACTCTCACCAATTCAGCTGCCCGTCGGTATCGGTACTTCGTTCAAAGAAAAGGGCAGCTCGGGACCCTTGGTGAAGCGCGTGGGAAACTGACTCTTTTTCGCCGCTTCGATCTTGATCAGCTGCCCGCTTCCTACACCGAAGCACTGCCGGGCCTGCACTTTTCGCCCAGTCTATGGACAGATAATAGCCCCGATATCACCTTGACTTATGACACGGCGAAGAACCTGACTGCGCATATCGAAGACTATTACCAGCCACTGACCCCGTCTGACGCGTCCGCTACGGAAGCTATCACGTGGAAGTACAATGCGACCACGAAGAATCTGCTGTTGGCTGCTAGCCAGTACCCCGATGATCTTTTCTGGACATGGGCTTCGAGCGAAGACACCGAGAATTCTCCTCCGATCTGGCCGCAGATAATGGCCGTCGGGAATGGCTCCTCTACCCCCAAGGGTGGGGTGAACCAGCAACTCCTCACGTTTTTCAAGGAAAATCCGCACAAGCGCATGGGGATTGTGATGTTTGACTATTCTGATCAGCCAAGCGATCTTATTGATACTTTTCTCAGTATTTGATGGTGTCTTTGGTTAGTTGGAAATTCCGGTGGAGACTATTTAGAATAATGAACTTTTCTTGCAGAAACCCCCTACGTCAAGAACAAGTAGTATCAGCCGACACAGGTTTAAGGTTTAAACAGACCAACCTCCTGATTTCCAAGGTTGGGAATCCATCGGGGCATAACAGAATTGTGTAAGCGGGATAATTCCACCGGCTGTTCCGAGAGGAACATATAATCGCCCCGATCGCTCGGCTGATCTACAAGCAACCGCATCGATTGAAAACGAAAGCCTCGGCTCCTTATGAAAAAGCACCCATAGGGCTGGATTTCCACGTCACGCGGCCTGGCGGACCCTGGCGGACCTTACGCAGTAAGAACGGCCACCGAAAAGCCGGGAAACCGAGGCTCTGACATCATCGATAGTTCTAGCTCTGCCCACAGCTACCCTGAATGATTTTTCAGACTAAAAGACATTCGAGTGCTCAATTTCTCACTTTCTGCTCCCATCCCGCCCTCAAATAGATTTTCCACTGGCACGGGTGGTGATTTTTCGTGCCATCGGATCTGCGAACCATGTCCTCGGCGGGAACCGCCCAGAGGGCCCCCGAAGATCATGACGGCATCAAATCTGGCGACTCGCCCAAGAATGCTGGTTCCGCCCGCCCCAATTTAAAACAATTTCATGGCGATGGCTTGGATACGGGCGTACGGGTACTAGGTATGAGTCGCATTTCGACGTTACACGGTTTGACCATTTTCTAAATGCCCGACAGGCGACGGCCGGCTTGACATCCGGATCAACGAGCGCAAATCCGGCATCGCAAGCCTCCTCGCCCATTTAAAACCGCCAGAAATAGCATCTGATGATGTCGAGCAGAAGGAGGACAGTCCAGATATAGACGGGCTGGCTCGCGATTCGCAAGCTTTTCCGCTTCATCTCAACATCGTCATCCAGGTGATCGGTTCGCGAGGAGACATACAGCCGTTCGTCGCGCTAGGCAAGGAGTTGAAGTCGAAAGGACACAGAGTCCGACTGGCTACCCATCTTTCCTTCCGAGACTTTGTACTAGACGGCGGACTTGAATTTTTCGATATCGGCGGGGATCCGGCTGAGTTGATGGCATTCATGGTCAAGAACCCTGGCCTCCTGCCCGGTGTCGAAACAATTAGGAGTGGAGCTATTAGGAAGCGCCGGCGCGAAATGAAGCAAATGATCGACGGGTGCTGGAGATCATGTTTCGAGATGGGCGATGGCACTCAGCTCCACCAGATCAAGGAGGACCCATTCAGCGACGCGGTGGACTACCGGCGCAGGCCGTTTGTCGCTGATGCGATCATCGCGAATCCTCCCAGCTTGGCCCACATACACTGCGCGCAGCGCTTGGGGGTTCCCCTTCATATCATGTTTACGTGCGTAGTATCCCGTTCTCTAACTTTTTCGAGAATATGGCTGACCAGGACCTTAGTATGCCATGGTCACCAACCCAATCCTTTCCACATCCACTTGCCACCATTAACCATCAAGACTGCAAGCCGACGGTTGCGAATTTCGTGTCATACGCCGTGGTTGACATGATGGTCTGGGAAGGGCTCGGTGACATTGTGAATAAATTCAGAAAAACAGTCTTATCGCTGGATGGGTTGGACAGTATGACCGCACCCAGTCTGATACATCGACTCAAGACACCCGTTGCCTACCTCTGGTCCCCCGCTGTCCTGCCAAAACCAAGTGACTGGGGTGACAACATTGACGTCTGCGGCTTCAGCTTCCTGCCCTCCAAGGCAGACTATACGCCATCCGACGAGCTCGACAGATTCCTCAAAGCCGGGCCAATGCCAATCTACGTTGGATTCGGCTCCATCGTCGTGGATGACCAGGTGAGTCTCACCAAGACGGTATTTGAAGCAGTTCAGAAATCAGGACAGCGTGCCATCGTCTCCAAAGGCTGGGGAAATTTAGGTGTCGACGGGTGGATGTTCCCGAAAATATCCTTGTGATCGGAAGCTGTCCCCATGATTGGTTATTCCGGCAGGTATCTTGCGTGATACACCACGGTGGCGCTGGTACAACTGCCGCCGGATTGGCACTTGGATGCCCGACTATCATCGTGCCTTTCTTCGGAGACCAGCAGTTCTGGGGCGAGATCGTCTCGCGGGCTGGCGCGGGCCCACTGCCGATTCCCCACAAACAACTTACGGTCGACAAGTTGACCGATGCGATCAAGCAAGCCCTTGAGCCTTCTACCAGAGAAAGGGCCAAGGAGATCTCACGGAAAATGGAGAAGGAGTCGGGCGTTCGGGATGGAGTGCGCAGTTTTCATCGGCATCTGGATGTGAAGCGATTACAATGCTCTATCTGCCCATCCAGGCCAGCCGTTTGGGATCTCAAAAATACAGAGATAGGACTCAGTGCCTTTGCAGCAGCTGTACTTGTCGAGATGGGCAGAGTGCAGCCGGACGACCTGGTTCTGTGAGTCAAAATCCTTTTTGCAAATTCCACACCAAAATACGTTTGTACTGATCTTATCATAGTCACCGCTCTATGGAATATGACACTTATCGCGATCCAGTGGGACCGTTGAGTGCCTCTGCGCAAGTGTTATTTGGCGCTATCTCGTACTTTATGTCAGGACTTACGAGCGTACCTGCTGAAATTGTGCAGGAGGTTGTCTCTGCTGGTCGGGCCGTGGGGCATCCGCACCGAAACACCGATCCTCATTCTCGATGGCATATTCACAAGCATCATAATGAAGAAGAGATGGAAAGCGACGAGAGCTCTGAAGAGCGAAGCAACGCGCCGGCTGGTCCCTCCGAGGAGCGTTCTTCTGGTTCAGCTGGTTTAGAATCCCCCGCACACGAGCGTGACAGTGTAGGCGGAGAGACCCTTGAAATCGACCGACGGCGCAGTCTTCAACTCGAGAAACAGCCCACAATGGGCAGCGAGGTCATTTCTTCAAAGTCACACGGGGTTTTCTCCGAGGCGATCACTCAAGGCAATCGATTGTCGATGAAATTCATCAACTTGGTCATCTGGCTTCCTACCGATCTTACACTCAGTCTTGCCAAAGGGTTCCATAATGTACCGAAGCTCTACCATGACCCAATGGTGAAGTCGACCCCTCAAGTGACCGGGCTCCGCAGTGGATTCAAAGCGGCAGGGAAGGTGAGATTCGAATTCGATCCTGTATTACACTTTTCCGTACAATGGCTGACATTTACAGGAACTGCGAGACGGACTCTACTACGGTGTCACGGGTCTCGTGACCCAGCCTCGCTACGGGTACAAGAAGAGCGGTGCGAAGGGAATGATCAAAGGTGTGGGGAAAGGGGTTGGGGGGGGTCATCCTCAAGCCACCCGCAGGTGTGTACCAGACGTACTCTGTTTCATCTGTTGGCATGACCACCAGATTGAATCCCAAGACTTGGATAAATCAGCTAACCTGTTTCCCCATGTAGGACTCTGGGGGCTGGCAGGGTACCCGCTAAGTGGGCTACGCCGAAAGCTTTTGGACTCGCTGGGCAAATCCCAGGAGAATCGAATCATACTTTCGCGCATTGCCCAAGGGCTAGAGGAGATGCGAACATCCTCGGGCGACGAGCGGGCACATGTAGCTCAGAAGTGGGCCCTTGTGGAGGAGCAGCTCCAGCAAGCTAATCGCAGTCGGCGCTCGCGCAGCAGCAGTCATCGCAGTCGGCACTCGCGCAGCAGTAGTGATACACGCGATGCATAATGGTTCAATCATCAATATACCCAACTCCAGTTATCTGAAACGTCTCGCTTCTGAACTCTTAATTATACCACTGCTTTATTCGAATATTCCCCTCTATCCATTTCTTACATATACACCTACACCGAAATCGTCGTGTCTCGTACTGATAGAACTCTTCTTGATAAGATTATATACCTCCATGAAGATATGGACCCGACAAGACATCTGAGCAAGTTGCGAGGGCACTGGTAAATAAGGCTACTCCTTATTTGTCTTATAGCAGGACCAGGCCAAATCATAAGAGCTATTACGTAAGTCCCAGGACTTCCTCCAGGGCTCCAGGGCTGTATAACTAGATATCCGCACGGGTGCGGTTTTCGATTTCGCGTCACCCCAACCACCATCTTCCTTCCTTAAGACACCGGGTCTTCAGGCCCAAGACACTTTTGGCTCTACAACGAAGCGATGTTTCACAGTTTTCTTCGTCGCGCGCAAGGTTCCGCTTGTGGTAGATTTCGTTCTTCGAATCGTCGAGCTTTCTCATACGTGTCAACGCACCGAACCTTTCCAGCAAGTCTCTATCGATTTCAAATCCACCGCGGCTCGCAGCTTTTCGACAGAGCTATTGGACAAGAGGATCGGGAATATGAGGATGGTGTCGAAATCTCTGCGGATGGCTTGGTGCACCCGAACATTACCATTGATTGTACGCGAAAGCCTAACCAATCCTCATTCTTCACTTACTAATTCAATCCAGTTTCTAATGGTGCGGTACTAATGCCAAACACACTCTTTATGCAACAGGTCACAAGAGAATCATTAGATTACTATTTGGAAAATTTGGAACGTGACCAAACTTCGGCTGAACCTCATTACTTGTGCATACCCAAAGGTGATTCAAGGCCCTATTATTATGTACGAGGCTAATTTATTTCTCCTGCCTAAGGCACTTCTATTCCAAACTCATTGGCCCTTTTTCGTGAGCGCGATTCTCGCTTCTCTCTACAGCCTGCGCATCCCATGTCACTGGATAGTATGTTCAACAAGTAACCCGGGAGAGACATAATTGCTGACAGCCAAAGGCCTAAATAAAACTTTGACTCAGTTCTATCTCGACGCTGGGGTTGTTTTTGATCCGGACGACTGGCTTGAGAGGCACCCTTACCACGAGGCATCTTTCGATGAGAAGGAAGAGTGGATGAACAAGTGAAATAGCGCGAGGCGGAAGAATGAGCCTGATCGCTATTCGCCTGGAGGAGGCCTCATGGGTGCAGGAAAACGGATGTAAGATAAAAGTATTGCAGAATCTCCTAGTCTATTCATAAAAAATATTTCAGCATGATGCTTTTCCAATTGCGACCGATTCGTAACAAGCTGGTCCTGCTCACCTCTGCCGGGCTACAAGGCCCAAAGCAAGGCCACTAGAAATGGTAGACAGGAGGCAGACCTCCGATGTGACTCGACCAGGCTGTGACCCACTTGATTATCTCTACAGTTGCAGAATGAAAAAGTACGAGCTTCAAAGAAGTTAAAGAATTCAAAACAGCCTATTTTACCAGAAAGCAGGTCGCGTTAAGCATATTCTTAGAGCCACTGCATCACATCCATCCCAAAATTATAGCCTGGTCAGAATAGTCTCCAAAATCAAGCTTAAACATAGTAAGGTCTGGATGAATGTGGAAAACTTGAGCTTCGTGCTTCTTGGTTGTGGTGGTTCCACCCTTCCCCGCATTTATGGTTCATCAGGCTCATCATCAACTTTTCGTGCCAACTATGACCTTAATGCTCCTGTGGGATGAACCTTGCCAATTTACTTCAGTTTTAGTTGAAATCTCTACGAGTATTTAATTGACACAGAAGCCATCCTTCACCGCGTCTCTTGGGCCCTCTTTGGACGCACAGCTCCTGCAACTACATACATGTGACCAATCACTTGTGCGTTTGACAGGGCCTGATTGCTTCATGTATTCCTCATAATAAACCAATCATTTCATATCGGCGTGTGGAGCACTTATTTGCCCCTCCCTTATAAACCCCTCCTGGTCTCCCAGAAGCTACACCTTTCCCATATCATCTATTCTAAATCCTCGATTTAGGATATACTACTGATCATCATGTCTCACGTTTACTTTGACATCCTCTACACTGACCCATCTGGGGCTGGTAAGAGCTAATTGAAGCATCTGGAAGTCCATAGCTTACATGCTTCTAGCCACCCCCTGGGGTCGCATTGTCTTCCGCCTCTATGACGACGTGGTCCCCCAGACTGCGCAGAACTTCCGTGCCCTCTGCACTGGCGAACATGGATTTGGCTATGCGGGCTCCAAGTTCCATCGGGTCATTGCTGGCTTCATGGCACAAGGTGGTGACTTCACCCGCGGAAATGTAATCTCCCTTCAAAGACGCATCATTTATTGCATCGAGCTGACTCGGGTTGATTCGCTTAGGGAACCGGCGGCAAATCTATCTACGGCGAACGATTCCCCGATGAGAACTTCGCCCGCCGTCACGATAAGCCATTTTTGCTTTCCATGGCCAATGCGGGCCCCAATACCAACGGATCCCAGTTCTTCATCACCGTAAGTGAGATGGAATTTTATACGGTCGGTCGACCTAACCCTGACAGTTTACCCCAACTCCTCATCTCGACGGAAAGCACGTTGTCTTCGGAGAAGTCGTGGAGGGCCACGATATCATTAAGCAGATGGAGAGCAAGAGCTTGAACAGCTCTGGCCAGACTTCTGGCACTATTACCATTGCGGGCTCTGGTATCATATAGAGGAGGTTGGCATAAAATGGGGGTCTGTGAAGAGCTACTGTGCCTAGAACCTTAGAAACCAGCAAAAAGAACTCATACGTCTCCAGACGACTCTTTGTAGTTGGAACAAGAGTCATAGTGAATAAAAAGTCACCACTGGCGCTCCACAAGCTCGAAGGTCTCTCAAAGATCGTAAGCTAAGTGATAACGCGTTTTCTGTAGGAGCCCGTGAACACATCCTGATAGCTCCTTTAGGCCTCTAGAGAAATTTTGATGCGCGAACTATGTTTGAGGAGATAACATGGAAGATAATTGACATCAATCATTGTGTTGTCTTCTTCGATCCATCAGAACTGCCAGAGGAACATCATCTTCATCATAAAACTCCACATCCTCATCAACACCGAAATCGCGGAGCCGTTCTCCATCTGCATTGCGCCAAGACTCCTCTCCTTCATCAGAGTTGTCGCCGTAGGTGGGACCAGGTCCCCGCTCGTCATCACTCTTATAGTCCTCCTTTGCAAGTCGCTCATGGAACCGCTTACGTCGTTGAATTTCCGCCGATAGATTCTTGCACCGCAAGTCTTCCGCCTGACGTCGTTGAAAGGCTTCGACTGTGTCTCTAGCGGATGAATAGGCTTCTATAAGCTGCGGGTCCTGCTCTTTAGGGGGATTCACTGGCCAGGGAATCCGGTCCGGATCCGGCGGGGGCCATGAGAGTGCCGGGTCTAAGGAGTTAGCCAAAAATTACCATTTCACCGGGGGAAGAGATCATCGTTTGTACCTTCGAAGCCATTAGTCGGAAAGTCCCAACCTGTATGAGGCTCGGGGGTAGCAGCCAAAGGCCAGAACCAGCTCAAGACCTACGAACCGATTAGCTCAATTCTTATCGGAAATAGGGCAGACTAACGTTCGGACTTCCTCCCATGCCATCCTTGATGTTGGTCCAGAAGCTCATATCGTAGGGGAACTCTTGCTTCCGAATGCGTATCTTTACCCCGCCGGGGCCCTCGAGGTAGCCACCCATGACCCGAGCTCGTCGAACAAGAGTCACGTGCCGTTCAATCTCCCAAGATTCAATAGTGGTCGTGTTGAGGGCCATGGAGTAGAGGCTGCGTACGAGAAGGATAAACAGCATGAATAATGTAAAGCTATTCAGCACAAATAGCACAAATAGATGAGCAAGTTGTCCAAGGCTGGGGCCAAGATACTAGAAACTCATTAGAAAGAAGCCCACTTGATCAGAGAAGCATCCTTACACTCGGCATGTTTCGGTTCTCCCAGACAATAGAGACACGCTCCCAAAGACAGGTCTCGAGATAGGACATGCCGGCAACTGTATAAAACAGGAACCGAATAAAATGAGGGAATGTGAAATGCGAGACGCAGTTCGTAGTCCACGGACAATGGTGGTCCATTTTTGGAATGCATCTGGCTCAAGTTAGGACCGCCCCGCTATCAAAACCAAAGCTCATACCTTTGGCAGGTCTTGCAGTGATGGGCCCGAGGGGGTTTGAAGGCCTCGCATCTACGGCACCAGCGTCGAGCACTGGCTTGGTCCTGTCCCCGTTTATCGACGCTGGCAACCTTCCAATTTTCAGGGAGACGGCCAGGGTCTACAAAGCATGCTCTGAAATAGCAGATCCAAATACACAGAGCGAAAATATTGATTGTCCATATCTCGTCTTTTCGGAGTGGCGCGGATTCGAAGCAGTAGAAAAAGTATTGAGACGTGTAGGCCAGAAACGCGATCAGCACACTGACAGACGGGATCGCAAGTTGAGAAATCTCAAAATTCTCACATAGCGCCATCGTCACATACCCAAGATCCACTAGTCCTCAAAGCAAGAACTGCTGAGGCAAGTCGACGTGTTGTTTATCGGGGCAAATCTTCAGCATGACTAAGCAGGGTGGAATCGCCGACTCGAACGCCAACTTGCAACTCTCAGATGACGTATCGCTTTCTCTGGATCTCTGACCAAGTCTCGACGTGAATGGCATTCACGGTCCGAATGGGGACGCCATAGGGTCTTGGAATTATGACTAGCTGATCCGGGCTGCCCAGCATGCCAATTGAGCCTCTTCCTAAGGCTACGGTCCGAGCAATTGGATCTACATCTGTCATCTCAGATCCTTGCTCGGTAGTCAAAGAGCTTATAGACAATGCTCTGGATGCGTCTGCGACTAGTTTGCAGGTTGAGATCTCACAGAATACCGTGGACGTTGTTCAGCTGAAAGACAACGGACATGGAATTGCACCAGAGGACTATACGTGTGTCTGCAAGCACACCTTCACGAGCAAAATCCAAACGATTGAGGATCTCAAAAACATCGGTGGTACCTCCTTTGGCTTTCGAGGAGAAGCTCTAGCAAGTATTGCAGAGATGTCTGGCGGCATCACTATCACTACGCGGGTTGCATCTGACATCACCGGGTCGTGCCTCTCCTACGGACGAGACGGCGAACTCATGAAGTAAGTAACCCCTAGGAACGTTGAATCATGCTCTCTAATCATAATTCGAGCAGGGCCCAGAGGGCTTCTCACCCAGTGGGGACCACTCTCCGTATAACAGACTTCTTGAAGAATATCCCGGTGCGCAGACAGACAGCATTGAAAGGCGCTCCAAAGACGCTCATCAAGATAAAGAAGCTCCTCCAGACTTACGCCATCGCTCAGCCCTCTAAGCGCTTCTCGCTCAGGGTACTAAAGGCAAACAATGAAAATAGCAACTGGGTGTATGCTCCTGGTGTGGTCGCGAGCATTCCCGATGCCGTCACCAAAACGTTCGGTCGTGATGTGTCTTCCTGTTGTGTAGTCAAGAAAATGCCTTCTGAGGCGCTAGAAGACGAAGAGAGTACGCATGATCAAGGCTATCGTATCCTTGCCTTCCTTCCAAGGCTAGACTCTGGTAAGTACCCTATCAACTTATAGCACGGGCTCGATGACTGATTTGTCCAGAATTGTTCAAAGTGAATGGCACCGGACAATTCTTTAGTGTGGATGGTCGTCCTCTATCTACCAGTAGGGGTGTTGGGCAGGAGATTGTCAAATTGTTCAAATCCTACATCCGTGCAGCGGCTGCACGTAATGGAGTGACGAAGGCCATCACCGATCCCTTTTTGTGCGTCCAACTGAGCTGTCCGCAAGGCGCCTATGATGCCAACATTGAGCCCGGCAAAGATGACTTGCTGCTCGAAGACCGTGAGCATGTAATCGCGCTGGTTGGCAGTTTGTTTTGTGATTTATACGGTCAACTACCCGAGTTAGAAAAGAAAAGCCCGAAGAAAACGCAAGCGGTATCGATGAATGAGAGCGACCGTTTTGATACTCTGTTGGCTTCTCGTCGCGATCAGCAGCCCGATATCCAGCCTGCAGAAGCAACTTCTAAACTTACTCAACGGCCTACAAAAACTGTTTCCACGTTGGAACTCATGACTGAAGCTTTGGATACACCTGAAGCCCAGGTGTCTAGGGATGAGGAGCCTCAGGTAGGCTCTCGTACTTCTCAGACTTCTACCCAGGCGGCAAGTAGTCAAGGACCTCGCTGTATCAATCCTTGGTCTATCACACGCCTGAATGCTTCTTTTCACACCCCGAGACGGGCCTCCCATGCTACAATTTCGGAACGAACTCCGGATAACTCTTCACCGGAGCAGGAGCGTGACAGAGCCATACAACAATCTAGCCAGTTAGCAGAGCCAGAAAGCCCCAATTTTCCGAGCCCTGCATCTTCGCGGCTGGCCTCAACTTCCCCACAGGCACAACGAACTCATCCTCCAGCTTCTCAAGAAGCTGCTGCTCGGGAAAGCCATCTGTTGAATAATCCCAAAAAGGTGTCAAGAGAGCGTGATCGGGAGCGATATGGCAACGGAGCCCTTGATACTTGGTTTCAACGGCTCACTCAAACCTCAATTCAACAAGGTTTTTCAGGGCCTTCATCTGAGCTCGATGAAGTGGCGCCGCCCCTTTCTCAGCTAGCCCAGGAGCGTTTTGGATCACCAAAAAGGCCTATCCCAGAACATGCCGTCGCGGACGCTTCTCCCAGTGGTGAGCAGCCTAATGATTATGTTGAAAACACATCGTCAGAAGGAAATGCCTATCAGGGCTCCATGGACAGCGGGCGCGGCTTCCCGGTGCTCGAAAGATGGGCAGCTAATCTGCACGAGGGCTTCAATCCAGAGAGCCAGTCCGAATTGGACAAGGCACTTGACTTCGAGAAGCGAAAGAAAGAAGCCATGCGTATTCATCGCCTCAACTCCCGCGGGGCCAACTCCTCGCAGAAGAGCTCGGCTTCCTCGCATACACCTCACCACAATCGATTTCTTAAAGCTAAAGCTGCTCTCTCAGCCGAAGATCCGTTCGCTACAGTAACCACGTCTAGAGAATTGGTCTCCCAAGATCCACGAGCATATCTACTAAACCAGCAAAGCGACCAGAGCGGCACCGACCTGCCTGAAGGGGGTAAATCCCGCCGGAGTCACACCCGGCGACTACCCTTTGAGCGCGTCCCAGATGGATGGAATATCCACGACCTGGGTACCTCTATCCATGGTGAGATGCATCGAGTGAAGAAGCAAATGGCGCTCCTAGCTTCATATGACTCGTACATGAGCTCTGGACATGACGAATCACCATTCACGCCGCGCAATCTCAATTCACTAGTCCCATTCTGGAACGAGCGAGTAAACAAACTCTTGGGTGGATTCAAAGACGGCAACCAATCCGAGCCCCAAGCGCCCAGAAGCCCGGTGGAGCTTTCGGAAAGTCTTAATAATCACATGAAGCAATTCTCATCGACGCACAGTAATGGCGATGCGCAGCACTGATCGTTGATGATCTGAGTAGTTCCTCCGACTCTTATATCATAGATCCACTATGCCCAGCAAATATATTACAGTATATTATCGATGAGAATCATTCTTGAAGATATCATAGTCACAGCCAACTCTCATGACTCGTGGCTGATCCAAACATAAACATTAATTACCGAATGCGGCTAGGGCCTTTCAGCGCTGCGCTGCACGTTCGATGTTGTAGACCAATTATAAGGCGTGGATACTATTTTGCATTTTCAAAGCCTGCATACATGCATAGACACGCATAATTTGGCAAATGCAAGATAACGGTTGCAGAGCTTGTTGCTGTAGCAGCATGTTCAATGGCACGGTTGAAGATTTCGGGCGAGATATAGGTACGTCAAGAATACTACTTCCATAGTGGATCCCATTAATTATCGAATATTCCCTTGGGGCTACGTCCAGTGTTTTCAATGTATGTGTGCAGCCAGATCAAGTTTTCCGGAGACTCGTTATTCAAGGAGTGGGAAAAGCAAAGATGATCGACACTCCGCGTATCCCGTCCTGCAGTCCATGGTGCCCGGATTTTCCTGCAGGATTTGCGAATACTCAAAGCTAGGAAAATCAAGCCTATTACTCCGTGTTTCATTCTTCTACGCCGGGTTTTAGTGCCGTCGAATTTGCAACCTTGCATGAATCAGATTCAGCTCGCCACGACCCTAGGGGGGACCCCAATGAGCTTAGCATGATTTGCCGAGCCAATCAGCGATGTCACGAGGGACAAGGAGTCCAAAAACGAGAGCACGGGATTTCCGCTCATCCTGCTCCTTAGTGGGTCTCATCGTATGCAGCTTGCAAGCTGTTGGGAGACTCCGAGCACTCTAGTCCAAAGGGCTGAAGACGTAGTAAGGGCTCCTCAATCGAACCAGATGAACCAAGACACTCAGATTCCGAAGGGCCCCAAGCGTCAAACACATCCCAGTCAGCTCAGTCTACCACAGATCTAGATCCTGAGCACAGATCCCAGATCGGGTAGTTTCCTTCCAATCTCTCCTTTTGTGGGTGAAGAGTTCCGCCTCGGCTCCACTTTGCTCCACTTCTCCCCCGAGTCCTACAAACTCTCTCTGCTCCATCTCAATCATTCCAAGACGCTGGAGCTGGTGGAGCTACAGACGACAAAGCTTTGCACAATCTCTGCAGAACGCCAAGGTCGGAGGTTTTTCTTGCTAGCCAGTGGAGATGTCGAAAGGGCCGTGCCATTGATCAAACCTTCTGCTCGGCCGGATCATGAACCTGATCTGTGATTCAGTCATGCCTCTAGCGCTAACCCGCCCGTTCTTGACTGTATCGCGAACACTCCCTGCAGATCAGCACCGGATTCGACGCCACCACGCCGCCAAACTTGCGTCGAGCCCAATTTCGGCCTCCTTGCTAGCCAACAAGTGCCGTATTATAGACTTTTAGCCCGCGCACGCGGGTCACCCCAAAGCATACGCTCTCCACGGGCTCTGTCCTGTCATAGCTGAGCTCTATCTCTTGGCTTATCCCAGGCCAAAAAGACCTGCATGTCTCATCCACTTTGCCTACCCCCTTCAGGTAGGAAAAAACGCCCATCAGCACACGAAGTAGGGTCAACATGCCAATTTCTGCACCCGCACGATGTCATCTGCGCCTATCACCAGTGTAGTCACATCCAATCATACCCTGCAGCTGGCCGGTTGATCCGGCTGTCTGTTTTGCAGCTACAAATGCAGGACAGGCGCCCCGTACTCCCCGGCTTTTTCCTCTCCTTTCGACGCGTCGTGACATTCGCCTGCCTCACACACCCGGCCAGATTACACATCAATCATGGCACAAGAAGAAGGATCAGGAAACCGCAGCCTCTTGCGCAGGTTGATTGAAGCCGTGCTTGATCGCAATGAGCAAAAGTTTCCCCCCATGATGGCCCACGCGACTGCTGCCCAGGCAAGGAACAATGCCGACCTTGAGGCAGGGAAGCAGTGGAACACCGCGAGAAGCGATCCTGAGGCTCTCATCCCGACGAACGACAAGCTTCTCATCTTCCGTGCTTTGACTGGCATCGACAGCGTCCCAGCCCTCACCCAAGGCGGGCATCTCCTCCGTAGCGCACCTAACGTGGGTATCTACACTCGTGTCGTTCGCAACGAGGGCACGGCCAAACGCGCCTATACCATCTTCAACTGGCTCATCAACATTTGTCTGAGTATCCAGATTGTTGTGGCCGCAGCTGTCACTGCCGTCGGTGCAGCCAGCGGCCCTCACGCCGCCGTCACTGCCTTCGGTGCCATCAACACGATCATGGCTGGTATCTTGACCTATCTGCGTGGTACCGGTCTGCCAGACACCATGAAGGCCTACGAGAACAAGTGGAAGCGTATCCGTGAATACATCGAGCAACGGGAACGTGAATTCTGTTTGGTGGGATGCGACCTTGATGTGCAAGAAGAAGTGTTTATCGTGGAAAGCATGTACCAAAGCCTCAGAGCGGAAATGGAGACATCGCGCAACAGCGGCGACACCAAGGCCGTGCAGCCGGATGACCCTCGCATTCGTCGCTCGCTTCTCCCAGCCCACAACGAGCTCAGTGGCCACCATCCGGATCAGACCATCACCAGGCGCTCAGAAGCTCTCTCTCCCAGCGGCACGTCGCACATCCGCGACGAAAGGGAAGCACCTGTCAGCCCGGTTGCTATCCCGGAACGCGTCCTGGATAAGCAATAGGCGGCATCATACCAAGCTGCGTTCCGGCTTCGGTGCTTGGCCCATCACACTTGTCGAGTAGCTGGACCTGACGCAGCATCGACACAATGACCCACATATACGGTCGAAAACGGAGCAAGCGAGGTCCAGACTGCTTGGTGTAGAAATGACCTCGCTCGTCCTCGTCCTCCGGTCCCCAAAACTTCTTCAATCATCTTTACCTAATTGCCAGCCAAAGACCGGCGTTTCATGTCTCTATTCTCGCCTATTGGCGAGCGAACATACCATCTGGGCGGCGTTCTTCTGGCATATATACCATGTCGGTTATGGAGATCAATGTTTTTAATGCCTAGAAACAGACCTAATTTCAATTCTCATCGAGTGCCCAAGCGTAGAACTATACGAAACTCCCGAACCACGGGGCCCATCCGGGTAGTAGAGCCCCGCCGCGCTAAACCGATGAAACCCAACCAAACAAAGAGAAAAAGGGAAAAAAAAAAAGGGAAAAAAAAAAATATTACCCAACTGCCGCCCATGACTCAAGCCCTGAAAAACAAACGGCCCGCCCCTGAGGCTGGCAACAACCTCCCAATTCCATCCGATCAGTAGCACAGCAAGATATAAATATTGCCCCGCGGACCAGGAACAGAACAAAAGGGCAAAAATACCCCCCTTCTAAAATGTCAGCAGTCGAACTGGCCACCCCAGCCGACGCCCCGCATCTCACGGAGATCTTCCTGGCCGCATTCTCGAACGCCTTCAACCGCAGGTTATTCCCGCCCACAGCCGAGGTACGAGAATGGTTTGCAGCGAACGTGCTAAACGGAACGGGCACGGCGCCAGAAAACGAGATCGTCGTGAAGATCGCAGACCCGACCACAGGCGAGCTAGCGGGGTTTGCGAAATGGGTGCGTGTGGCGGGGGCCACTGGCGGGGACAGGAAGGGCCAGAAGCTGTCCTGGCCGGAGAGTAGTGATCGCGCGCTTTGTGATTTGTTCTTTGGGACTATGGAGAAGGACCATGCGCGGATTATGGGGGGGGAGGGAGCATTATTGTGAGCCCTTTTTTTTGCCCCCTTGTTTTTCAGTAGGGTAAGACGGGGGAGACACTAATTATGGGCAGACCTTGATCTTCTTGGTGTTCATCCTGCTTTCCAGGGCCGTGGGGTTGGTGCGAAGCTGTTGAACTGGGGGGCTTGCCCGTGCCGATAGAGAAAAAGTGGAGGTTTATCTGTCTAGTTCGCCGGAAGGGAACGGGCTCTATGTGAAGAATGGGTTTCAGGTGCTGGATTCCTTCACACCGTTTCCTGGTTACGAGCAAGTCAATATGGTGCGGCCGGTCCAGAATTGATGCCGCAAAAGGTTACAGTTGGTGGTCGAGGGCTTCCGAAGGGAGCCCATGGACTGGATCAAACCGGGTTTCCTCTCTTCTTCTATGGAGATAAGACCTGGGCAGTCGAGGCACCATTGATCTTGGGTAACAGCGTGGCTACTTTAATTCCTCACCCGTGGACTTGGAGGGCGTGCGCTCGCCACTTCACATTAAGGCAATTTGGTCAGGAACCAGGAAAGTTGGATATGCAGAGCGAAGAGCTTAGGACGCAGCAAGACTGGGCATTATGCACACATCGTCACATTATATGCGTAAGGAATAATATAATATAAATCACAGCCGAATTCAATCGCGGAGAAAAAGCAAAATTCGCTCATCAATAATCCGAGTAAGTATCGTAATGACCATAGCCGTTCGCATGGGCCTGGTGCCAAGCATTATTTCGTAACCGTCGTTCTGTCGTACCAAGTTAGGGTGTGCATCCAAAGAAAGCCGTGAAGGGGAATAATCCATACCTCTTTCAAAATCGCGCCAGCGCTTCATCGTGATTTTGGTGCTATCAAACTCGCCCTCGGCACCGCCGTGGCCCTTGTCCTTTTCGCCATCCGTCTTGCGGGTATCGCCCCAACTGAAATCGTCAAACTTCCAGAAGGCGTACACCGGAAGGACGAAGTTCCAAATGGGAAGGGAAAGCAGGTAAATGAACATCCACAACACATAGACGAGTCGATGGGCCGTAATGACGATCAAAACACCGGGCAAACCGAGAATCAGCGCTAGCAACACCAGGGGGATCACTTGGACAGGCTTCTTGACGATGGAGGATACTATGACGTAGACGGTGAATGAGATAGCCGCGGGAAGCACAAGGGTTCCGACCAGTTCAATGAAGATGACGAATTGCATGCTGAAGCAGAAGGTTCCGCACAAGTCCTGGACGAGAACCAGCTCGAACAGATTGTGCACGGTACTGTTGATCCAGCGACGACGTTGAGACAGCAGGACCATGAATTTATCGGGGACGACAGTCTTGCACACTGCCTGGGGGACGAAGATCTGCTTGCGCTTTGGGAAGGTCTTGAGCATCAGGGTGGTCAGGTATCGATCCTCACCCAACAGGAGCAGGTTCTTCTTGTGCAATGTGTCCACGACGTTCTCGGAGTAGTGTTCTACAATGTCAGGGTTGGCAAGAATCGGCACCCAATAGTTCTGGCCGCCCTTGGGAGCTTTGATGCGATACATGGAGAAACAACCGGGAAGACAGGTAACACCGCCAAAGACGGACTCGAAGGACTTGGCTTGGTGGTGCGAAATGAAGTATCTAGTTTCTTGTTAGCCATGGGTTAGAAGAAACGATAGGTGGTCAGAAACCTACTCAAAGACCTGAATCATAGTGACCCAACTATCGGTCTTATTTGCGATCTTAGTCTCGCCGCAAAGCCCCATGACTTCCGGATCCTTGACCATGGCAGAAACCATGTGCGTGAGACTATCCGGGAAGACCTTGGTATCGGCATCCACCATGAGGACAACCTCGTAGAAATCAGGGGGGATGCCGGTCACCTGCCAAAGGCCGTTGAATATTTCGAATTCGAGTTCCGTCATACGTTCGTCGAACATGACCTTCTGTAAGAAGGACATAAGGATGATTTGACTGTCACGCTTGCCTCGGTTTCCGGGCTTCGCAGCTTTCGCCTCGTCGCGGGTGCCGCACTTGACAATGACCATCATTGGAACGCGCTGCTGCTTTTCCGGAGGGATGATCGACGTTTCACCATAGTCGTAGAATCCCGTGTAGACCTTGGACATGTTGTGACGCTTGGAACCAGTAGCCACGGCCACGTACGAGAAAGGCTGCACCTCCGCAGGGGGAACGACATGGTCCTTCACCATGCTGAGCACGATATCGGGGGTGGAAAACTCTTCTCCTTTTCCTTTGATGATCCCGTCACAGATCACCAAGATTGTTTTGTGACTGTTGGGATAGTCGGTCATAGCGATCGAGTCGAGCGTGCTTCGGATTCCGTCTTCACCCTCGGAATAGCAGGTCACCAAGCAGATTGCATGTGCCAGCGGGAAGCCAAAGGGCTGCCATTCCGGCGGTGGCTGTGGAACCACTGCCTCGTGAATGGATCCAGCTGGACCTGCGCCGTCATAATCGGAAACGACGTTATATCCAGATTCTAGCTGACCGGGGGTAGCTAAGCTGGTCCTACTTGCGGCGTGTCGATTGTCCAGCGTACCACCGCTACTGTTGTGGCTTTGCTTGTAAATCGTCGGAGTGGCCGTAGAACTTGGCATGAGGCGAGTGGTGGAATTTTGGCTGGCCATGGTGACATAGTGCGGACGCTGCTTGCTGCCACCTGCACTGCTTGCGGTGTATGGACTGGAAAACCGAGATGTGGTAGGGAGGAAGCTCGCGCGCTTGCTCATGCCGCTGGGGACTGGAGGATCGGCCATCCGAGGACCCGGCCGGTAGATGTCATTTGACCAGTCTTCAATCTGTTGGTTTCGGGTTCGGGAGTCTGAAGGCATCGATGTGCTTTGGGGCTCAAACTTCTTCGCCAGGAACCACTGGAAGAGTACTGCGAACCCGAATTTGACAATCACGATGGAGAGAATGAAGATCAGGGAGACGTAAAGCACAACCTTGGAAGCGATACAGCCCACAGTATCTGTGTCGATGCTGCCTACCCTGACGATCTGTGTCAGACACTGGCCAATTTGCTTCTCCTCGCCACCCTGGAGATAGTACGTGAGATCAATGCCTCGTACGTCAGGGTTGGTACGGAGGTTGTCGAACTTGGCTGGGTATGTTACCTGGGATGTGTTGAACCAGCGCAAAAGGTCAAGGTCCAGCACGCTGCCCGAGTAAACAGCCAGGTTTCGGCTTTTGTTCTTCGTGTCTTCCCAAGTGAAGTACACATCGCCGTCCGGTTTCAACTTCCAGAAAGGCCTCCGCGCGGCGGAGCTGGTATGACAGGCATAACCCAGATAGTACTCGTCTATCAAGGTGTCGTTCACCTCACCGGTGCCATCTTGGTTGAATGCTTGACATGGAAAATACCATCCCAAGTCACCATTCGAGTTAGTCGGCACACCACCACCTTCGACAGCCTTGATGAGACCTTTGCATGCGCCATTCACTTCTTGGAACATGAAGCTCCCATCCCGGCCGCCGTATTTGAAGGGCAAGTCGTATAGGACATTCGAGCCGTTAGGGATACCGGCCGCGGCTGGGTGCTCAAACTTTGTCAGATCGTAGGCCTGGCCATGAAAGATCATGTATCCCTTATCAATCTCGTTAATCTTCAGACGAGTTGGTGGTGTCCCACAGACCGTCGCGGTGAACCCGAAAGTGAGAAACCCGACAAAAGCAGCAACCATCAGGATAATACTAATCAGCCCAATTTTCTCTCGCCACGCACTACGCTGCTCCTTCTTGGGCATGCCGAAGCACTTCAGAACAAAGTCCGGCACCAAGCAGCTCACCAGCGCACAGTATGTTGTCCATAGGTCTGGTGGGCGCACCTGCTCCATGGCCTTTTGTCGCACTCTATCCTCGACTGACACAGTCTTCGAAACTCGTCGCGACGACCTCCTCTTCTTCTTCGAGCGATGTCGGCTGGGCGGCCGATCTGATGAGTGAACGGTGGCCCCTTTCTCTCCGTAGACGGTCTCTTTCACCTTCATTTCCACGCTCCTTGAGCTATTCGTCTCCGCCTCGCCATCCCGCTCGAGCAATGGATCATGTCCGGTCGCGGAGGGGTATGTATTCATGTGGTGGGAGCGCTGACGATAGTGGTAGTTGGGCTGTTCTCGGTCGTCTTGGCGACGTTCAGGTTTCACCATGCTTTTCTTTCGCCTTACATCGGTGGCCCGTTCCAAACGTTCGTCGTCGGTGTCGACGTGCTTTCGCTGGCTATGTGAGCGTCGGCGACGATGGCGGTGGGATGTTGGGGAGGTCGTGGGACTTTCGCTGTATGCTTCGGAATCGGCCTCTCTGCGACGCCGCCGCGAGGGTTCGCGAGAGGTTCGTGCTTCCTCACGCCTTGGGGAGGCCTTGCCCGGCCTCTGGGGCGATGACATATTGGCGCTGTAGGGGCGTGTCAGACGATATAGGGTGGATCAATAGCCTGCTGCTATCACACTCACTTCTAAGAGGTCTGTCGCATGCGCAGGACCTTGAATGAGCGATGTGGGATTTTCTGGGTAGGTGGATCAATCAGACCATCCCCGCCGGGTAAACAAAGGACGATCAGAATCGGATCGGTGGCCGATGCAATGCGAGCAAAGTACACCTTCCGGTCCCCTTGTGGTTGTTTGAGTCCCCAAGTCCCCAATCTCCTCGAAGAGCGAAAGTCCGGACCGGTACAGAATGACGAGAGCGGTCCCCCAACGTCACTGCAGGTTCCTCGATGTAGCGATCCCTGCGGTCGGCCGGTGCAACGAGTGGAGACAATAAACAAGCAGCGGGCCGCACGACAGCCAATCGAAAACAAGATGATCGGCCGAGATCAATAAGCCGACGCAGTCTAGAGAGACCGACAGAGATCCAAGCTAGAGGAGCGAGTCCGTTCAGGCACGTTTGGGATATTCAAGTTCGCAAGTGCTCCTAGGTTGGCCGGTGACCAGCGGAGTTTTAGCGTCTTGGTTCTAAAAGGACTCGAGACAGGGGGTTGAATCAATACCATACGAGGCGTATTATATTCGACCGCTCCAGCCCCAGAATGAGCCGTGTGCATGTTCCAGTTGCTGATGAACAGGGGGTAAAGTATACGATCAGTTACGCTTGTTTTGTAAGGACGGACCTCGGTAGCATCCAACCGCACCCTATGTGCTAGCAGCTGGAACAGAACTAGACCAGTACAACAATACTTCTTCGAGCCAAATACCCACCAAGGCTCAGAACCCGATTCGCTCCAAAAGTGCTGGCAGTGAGCCGTGGACCCTGAAGATGAAGCCAGGGACAAATCATGACCACCCGCGGCGCTGGGACTATACCAAGCTTGGTCTAATCTGCACCTCGCACGGGGCATCTGGAGCCGACCGGTCACGCGCAAAAGCCCAATTACTTCTAGCTCCGTTATTTTGTTAGTTCTAGGCTAGTAGTTCAGAGGCACACTAAAAGTGCTATTCCTGGTCCCCGCCACGTTACGAGAGAAATGGCTTGAGTCGCACGGCTTTTTTGTTTTGTCTCTTATCCTAAGCCCTGCGATCGATTGCGGAACCCTCTGCGGCCAGTGGCTGTGGGTCTAATTTTTCCTTTCTCTATCCACAGTGGTAGTCCGACAGAAATAGGCGAGGACGTCAGTTAATAATCTACCGTGACAAATGACCTCAAAAGGGCGGACCAGAGCATGCTTGTCCTTTTTAGGTGGATGCATGCGCGGCTGAGGCGTTGCGGCTCCCATGCTGTAGACTAGATGGCCTGGGTCAATCAAGCTCTAGAAGAGTTCCAAAAGAGGGAGATGTTCGTGTAATATGGATCCCCGAGGACAAAGCAACTTCAAGTTGGGGCTCAGTCTTGTGCGCCACGATGAGACCGACTGGACAACCGTGGCTATGGGCCCGATCTAACATTCTATGCCATGTACTGGTCACCCAAGAATGTCCGATTATGTTTATAGTGACCGGACAAGGAACTCGTGTATAATGGCCGGGGAAATGGGATGCTCGGACAACCTCCATACTTATTGTTTCATCGAAATTATTGTGTGACGTGCTTATCCCGGATTCGCTGTACTGTGAACTCTGTAGCCCTTGGAAACTCAAGAGCCTCCAAGCTGGAATTCGATGGGGCTCTAGACGCAGGCGATCTTGGATTCTCGGACCAGATCTAGAGCGGGGAGGCGTTGGCATGCGCCATGGTCTGCGGGGGGGGATTCCACCCAAACAGCCCCAACAAGGTAACCCCGAAACGGCTCCGAGGGTTGGGTGGCCTAAATATAATAGACCTTGGGCTAGTAAAAGGTGCTGTTGATGCGACATTATTCCCGCAAGGAGCGTGCATGAGCTCGCGGGAGGAATCATGAACGTGCCACTTTCCAGGATACCAAGGTACGCAATTGCCGTAATGCGGAGCTAAGAAGGCTCTACGAGGCGAATGACTGGGCAGCGAGGAATGTGATTGCTGGGTTTCCAAGTCAAGAAAGTTGGCTCACTTGAGCTGAGCCGGAAGCACCGGGGGCGAACCTACGAACCTTTGCATCAATCGCACTCATGCAGCTAAATTCCCCGTTCGAACTAGCTGCTTGCCCCAATCCGTCCCCACTGCTATCGAGGGGCGCGATCATCCGAGGCCTCCACTTGTCAATTGTATGAGGATTTTTAGGCCGGTAGCTTTTGGCGTCTATACGAACAAAGCAGGCCAGGTTCCCCTTGTGTATTTGGCCTGTAGTGGCCGTTCTGGAGCGAGTACAAAGAGAAGCGAGCAGGAGAGAAGCGAAGGTTCAAAATTTTCGGTCTTCTTCGTAGCGCTGGAACATTCTGCAGATAGGCTTATCAGCAACCATGTCTCGGATGTCTTGACTGGAGTCCATCCGTCGTACACTGCAGGCAGCATGCTGACAGCCTCAGCCATGCATTGGCGTTACTGGGTGGACCTCCGGGCCATACGAGTGGCCGATGACCCCATGTGCCAAGATCCTATAATTCTAGCACACGAAGTAGTTACAGCACTGGATGATCCAATCAAGGCCTCCTTTGCGCAATGGACGAGATACGGGGCATGATAAGTACGGAGTTTAGGAGAAAAGAAAAAAAGACAAAAGAAAAGAAGAGAAAAATCAAATAACAAGCGAGTCAGGGAGCTAACTCGCGATGCCAAGTGGGGAGGCGGGTGCTGTGTCGCGCCCTCTTTGTTGGCTGAAACCCTTTGGCACTCTTCCTCCCCTCACTTTCTGAATACTTCACTGGGGTCTCTCCCCTTCCCGAGGATTTTCAAGAGGTTTCAGCCCGAGAGGCGATCGACTGGATCATAAAGTGAGAGTGACTCCAAGGTAATGCAGCCTTCCTGGCACCCAGGCCTCTTTTCTAATTGTCCGCAGCAAAAGATCCACTGCACTGGGGCTACCCGACTCCAATCCTTTGGCTCCAACATTACAACGCTCATTGGAAGATCAACGAAGAGCGCTCTGTCTGCCGTCCATGTCTCCGCAATAACCAGCGCCCTCCAATTCGCTCCTCACTTTCGTTATTAAGAAGAGCTCCTGCCTGTCATTCGGCCTCCTACTCGCTCCAAAATGGCTTCCTCGGTGGCCCACGACCCTCTCCCTTCTCCCCCTCCAGCCTACCTCCGAGAAACGCCTCCATTCACGACGCAAGAATCAATACCCCGAACTACCCCGGATTTGTCGCAAGGCTTCTCTTTCGCTGGGGCGGCAGTCAGGTCCATGACCCCCGACCATGACATTTTGCCGCCAATCCAACATTCCCCTCGCGCCTCAGTCCGAATTGATACCGGTGCAGACATACCACCGGCTTCCACGGTGAAGATCGAGACCTTGTCCAATGGCCCTCCAACTCCCCAGCTGGAGCTTTCAAACTTGTCTATTGATGATCTCGAGTTTCCTCGGCACACATGGAACCCATTATACCAGAACCGTAAAGATTCATCGCAAGCTGACGCTTACCAAGCACATACTTATGGCCATACCCCAGGTAGTAGTGGCTCATGGTCAATAGTCGATTCGCAATTGAAGAGTGAGGCTCAAGAAAAAAGCCACCATCCAATCGATCACAATGGGAACAGTCGCCCTAGCTCCCCAGGGAGCCTAGAAAGCACAGATCTGGTGTCCGAGGGATATGAACCTCTCCCGTACCATCATCAGCAGCTGGAGCAAGCCGCGCAAACCCCAAAACCAATACTTGGGGCGGGCTTGGTTGACCACCCGGCAGGGTCCACAGGGAACTTGCTCGCGCGGAATAGGATGTCGCAACGACCGCTGTCAACGTACTCATCCGGATCTGATCGCGGACCTGGGCATCGTCGCAATCTCTCTGCTTCACCATACCTACACGCTCGATCCTCGTCTCGAAACTCCGCGGCTTCGGCGGACAATCGGTCAGCCTCCGCTTTGGACCTCCTCAATACCTCATATCCTCAGCCTGGGCCCACGGTTGGTCAAATGGACAATTCGCACCTACAGGCTTCGGTAGGCAATAATGCGTCTCTTCTCAGCCATAAGCAGACATTTGAGATGTACCTTGCCAATGTGAAGAAGACGGATGAACCGGCTGTCCTGTACGAGTTTGCCGTTTTCATGATCAACTCAATGCGTGAAATGCCAATGGGCGACCTAAAGGACGACAACAAAATCAGCCGTGTCAGACTCCTTCAGGAATCGAAGTCCATCCTTCAACGGCTTGCAGATCGCAGCTATCCTTTCGCCCAGTACTATCTTGCAGATGGATACGCATCGGGGCTGTTCAACAAGGATAAAGAAGACCACGAACGCGCGTTTCATCTGTTTAAAGCGGCTAGCAAACACGGGCATATCGAAGCTTGCTATCGCACAGCGCTGTGCTACGAGTTCGGTTGGGGCTGTCGGGCTGACGGTGGGCGAGCAGTACAGTTTTACCGACAGGCCGCATCCAAGAACCATCCTGGCGCAATGCTCCGCATGGCAAAGGCATGCTTAGCCGGTGATATGGGCCTGGGAAAGCGGTACAGGGAAGGAATCAAGTGGCTGAAGCGTGCAGCGGAGACATCCGATGCCCAATATAACTCTGCGCCCTACGAGCTCGGTATTCTTCACGAAACAGGTTACGGTGATGATGTTTTCCCAGATGCTTCTTATGCGGCACAACTCATTACCAAGTCTGCAGAGCTGGGACACGTCGAGGCTTGCTACCGAATGGGCGATGCATATGAGCATGGCAAACTGAACTGTCCTCGCGACCCGGCTTTGAGCATCCATTTCTATACTTCGGCTGCGCAGAACGGCCATGCGCTCGCGATGATGGCTCTTTGTGCGTGGTATTTAGTAGGCGCTGAGCCAATTCTAGAGAGGGACGAGGATGAAGCTTACGAATGGGCTGTTCGAGCTGCCAATCTCGGTACGAACCCAGGCCCATTTACCATTCACATGTACGATCCACTAATGTCGATTCTAGGGCTCGCGAAAGCTCAGTATGCAGCTGGTTACTTTACCGAAACTGGCATTGGCTGCCGACGAGACGTCCTGGCAGCAAACGTGTGGTATGTAAAAGCCGCTGACCAGGGCGACGCACGCGCGAAACATCGCCTTGCGGTGATTCGCGCTGCCGCCGATGGCGTGCCTCAGGTAGCAGAAAAACGTACCGGCCGTCTTTCCAAGTCTGCCAAAAATGATGGTATTATCTGCATATCCCAATGGTCCGAGGGAGATTCTGACTCGTATACAGATCCTGAGAAGAGCAAGAAAAAGCGCTTCGTCATTATGTGATCTCGGAAGTAATCACTTTTTCTCGACCTTGCACCCTCTCTTCTCTATCACATCCACTTCCCCTCGATACATTCAGTTCATTCTGCGCACACCATCTTGTATATTCACTTTGCCGGAGGTGTGCTACCTCTGGTTACGGAACCAGTGGTTCATGATTATGTATAACGAGCTTCCATCACTTGGCTGGCTTCCTATTGGCCTTTTTTTCGGCAATTCTTCTAGCATCATGATGAGTACTTATTGACTTGGAGGTTCTAGCACGGTTCTGTTCGCGGAGTTTAGATATGCTGTTTTCCTCTTAAGGCGGGGTTCTGTCACGAATTTAATGCACACTCATGTCAGTTGAACCATCCATGTATTCTCAGGATAATCTCCAGTGCCTAGGCCCGGGAAAATACTCAACTGTTCCTCCTTATTTCCATGTTATTTGTTGGACTGATGCTGGCAGGGCATAAAAATGCGAGCATGTTCCCCCGAACACGGAAATTAACAGAATGGCACCATATTGTCGATATTACGATTCGGACCATCAGTTCCATTCGGGTACATACTTATGTCAAGATTCTGTTTTGGGCCCCCTTTGAATTGTGATCCATTCAGTCTCCAAGTAGCCTCACATTGGCGGTGAGAGTGGGAGAAAACATAGACTCGGAGTCGTCGTCTCTCCAATCGCCAGCGCCCGTACTCTGGAGCAGAAAGCCCTGAGGTTCGGTACTGGAGCCTAATGCGTGCCGGGAGATTGAGTATAATCATTTGAGCTCCACTGCCGGATATGGCCTCAAGACACCTCCAATATGGCTACCTTGGTGGAGGAAGGGTCGCAGCCTTATCGAGATTTGGGGGTATCTGGCCCCTCCGAGCCTCAACAGCGAACAAGCAGATAACAACCATGCCAGTCCTTCCATAGGCTTTAGTGGAGTCCAAATTGTGGGGATATCCCGTCGGGGGCTCAGTTCCCCCCCGAGGCTATTGAGCGGGGCGTGGCGGGGCTATAAATAAAACAGCATCAGTCAAGACCGCAAAGAAGAAGCTTACATTCATTGTCACTTCTGCTCACGTAATGGAGGTTCACGTAGTCTCAAAACTGGACAACAGCCAGCACAAAACCATCATACTTCCTGATGACGCTGAACTGGGCAAGCTCGGCGAATCCGCGATTCGAGTTCGCACACAGCTAGTCGGTCTTACATCGAATAACCTTTCGTACGCCCGACTCGGCACCGCTCTGCGATGGTGAGGAGGTCTATTAGCCATGCTTGAAGATAGCTCCAGCCTGCTAATGCCGAAACTGCAGGTGGGACGCCTATCCCGTACAACAATCTTATCCAGAGCCTTACAACGACACCGCGAGCTGGGGAATTGTTCCAGCATGGGGCTTTGCTGCCGTGCAAGAGAGCACCATTCCTGACCTTGTTACCGGTACGCTTCTCTGTGGCTTCTGGGCTACCTCAAATACCGCCGCAGACCTCAAACTCAAGCCAGGTGAGGCAACCGGGCACTGGATCGAAATTAGCGAGCACCGTACTGGTCTCATGCCGTTGTATAATCGCTACGTGGTGACCTCCGAGTCTCTGGAGTCACCTACAGAAGACCAGCTGGACCGCTTAGCCTGGTCGTCTGTGTTTCGCGTCTGGGCAGCTGGCTACTATCTTGATGAGTATGTGTTCCCGACCGATACCGCCAAACAAGCGCCCGTTCACCCATCAGGTGGGCTCGGGCTTCCATGGACTGCAGAAGATGCGGACCTCTCGTCGGCTGTTGTAGTGAACCTCGCGGCGTCTACGAAGACGGCGCGTACTTTTACGTATTTCTTCGAGCGGCGGGCGAAGGAGGCTGCTCCCTTGGGTCTGTTGCAGGTTACTTCCGCGGTGGAGGGTCTGACCCGGGCTACGGAGTTTGCCAAGCCTGTTTTCCCCTCGAATGCCGTGAATTACACGCAGTTGGAGAGTCAGGATACAGTGACATGGCTCAGGGAGCGGGCTCCCTCAAAGATTGTGATCCTGGACTACGGAACGCGCCCTGGTGGACTAGAGCGCTTACTAAACTTGGTCGAGAATGACTCCATTCTTCAAAAATCGAAGACGGTCATTATCAGCATTGGCACTCAGCAAATGGTATGCTATCCAGGATGCTTTCGCAGCCGCAAACTAACTTCCCTTTAGGTACTGTCCTCGGAGGAGACTCTCAAGGCGCAGGAGCAAGCGGCTGCACTGGGCAAGATCCAATACAATACTTCTAGCATAGAGGATGTCGGAATCGCCACTAAAGGTGAGAACGGTTTCTTCGAGTCCCTCGGCCCGAAATGGGAGCGGCTGCTTGACCAGCGCCACCAGTGGGCTCCTGATCTCAAGATGATATGGGGTGATGGCGTGTCTGGCCCTGAAGGTATCGAAGGTGGCTGGGACAGAGTTGCAAATGGACGTGTAGGGGCAGATGAGGCCCGAGTATACCGACTCTTCTAGATGCTATGGCGATATAGTAAGTGCTTAAACGTTGTAGTTACATTCATTAGCCGTAGGCACATCGGGTATTTGTATATCACGTCCTTGTGTCAGCCATCAATAGCACATACAGAGTCGATCGAAATGGTATTTCTCAGTATGGCTATTAGTCCAGATACGGTCCTTCCAACGTTAGTATGAGTACGATAATTGATGGATTACCATCCAAGTCGACACCGAATCAGATCTAAGAAGGGTCCTCCAGGTACTTGCCTGGGTAGGTCCTATTCATGTAGCCACCTTGGAGCCGCGATAAGCCGCGCCATGAATGAAACCCTATGTGAGTACCATACGTGGGGCGTAAAGCTGCCCAACGGGATCATCGTGTAGGTCACCAGACTTCCTTCAATTGGCCCGACTGTCGAGTCCTGCATGCGATCCTATAATAAGGCTATCTGTACAGTGGCCCTTGCATGGCAATTATTTTTGTCTGGATAATCTTGGCTCAACTTCACGTTGGTCAGCTTACTACGTAACTATAACTAACTAATAGCAGCATGGACATCCCAGCCCAGGCTGCATATATATCTCATCCACTAAGGGGTGATCCTGTATCAACCTCGGCAAGTCAGATGCTACTCAATCTGCCAGTCTTCAAGAACTAGGGGATCCATTGGCAGTACTCCGAGGAATTTTCATAAAGCACTCTTCATATACCAGATTGGTGTTGCTGCAGTCCCGGACTTTAGTGCCTCCGCTGCGACGCCCCACCGGTCCCCGTTTCGTCATCCTGCATTCCGCTTATCAGCCTCGTGCATAGGATTAGATCCATCAGTCGCTCTACTCCACGGTTCCCATTGAGTATTCAACAACCTTGCAACGCTCGGACGAAGCCCGCAGTCCACTAGCCTTGGTGTCCGCCCCATAGTCGATACTCCCAAGCGCCCCGTGCTCCCGTTAAAACGGCACGGGGTTTTTTCCTCCTGGTTTTTTGGCGGTATCTTCACCCCCCTCCTCCCCTCGTGCATCTGATCGCCGACTCCCGCCCTCGGTACACTTTCACGTCACCGGGGGCCTGTGGGGACCATCGCAAAGCGCCGAAACAACGCATTGCGACCGAACAAGAAATTGCAATCGCACCAGAGGGGGGGGATTAAATTAAGACCAAAGAGGGAAGAAAGTGCTCAGCCTACGACCTGTCACCCCGGTCCAACGCACATTTCTCCCGTGTCCCCTCCACCACCAATTATTTCCAGCTTTCAACGCTCTTTAGGCTCTGATCAAACCGCCTCATCGCCTGCATTGTGCCTGACATTGCTTGCTGTCTCTCGGGGCTTCCAATACTTTGGTAGTGCCGGCGGGCGCGCCTCCCCACCCCGCCTATTCGGTACTATCCCGCATTCCGGGATCTCTGCACAGCCATATGACGGGCGATGCTCGGTGCCATTCCTCACGCGGTCGCCCATTATCTTACCCCCCCTATACCCCAAGGCCGCCGTTCGGGACTTGATAATGGGTCAGGTGATAATGCTGGAGTGCCAGCTCACCTAAGCATGAATTACGCCCCAGATCCAACAAGAACCCGGCCTTTGTTCGCCTCCGCAATTCCTGGTTCGACTTCGGTTTCCTCTGGTCCAGATCCTCCTCCGCGCTGGTCTGGTATGCCGTCGGAAGACGATCAGCGCTTGCACAATGTGGGGGTTGCGGCTCTTGCAGCCGTCTCTCAGTATCCACATGCCGTGAACGAAGAAAGCCATTCATATCTCATGTCTGAGGTTGTGAATGCCGTGAGAGATGTGCCAACCCATTTCTACCGGTCCCAGCCGCAGGTACACCGGTCTTATGGCGACAACTTTCCTACGCAACAAGAGCAGCACTACCCGACTCGCGATGAAGCGGACAGCATGCCCTCAGAAGCTGAGATGACGTCAGGATCGCGAGACTCAGACAGTGATGTGGAAATGGATAGTGTGGTCCAGGACTTAATTGAGCAGACGGCCTCCTGGCACCAAATTGCGACCATCGCAAATCCCCTCGATCATGAGAATAGTCAGAAAGATATGGTAACGGACTACGACCCAGTCTTTGAAGATGACTATACGTCTCCATCCTCCGGACCCGATGATGATTTAGAAGACCTCATCAGGTTCTATCCCGGAGAAGAAGAGTACCTTCGCCAGCGTAGTGCCCCACGGTCTCCCGAGAAGTCCACGCGTGATATCAACCTTGATGAGTTCTACCGTCGCGTGGAATACGGCGTGCCGGATATTAATTTGGGGATCTCTCACATTCCCGACAACATGGTACCACAAGGGAATCATTTCCCAGGCGAGCAGATGCAACCTGCGGCCCAGCACCCTGACGCTATCGTGCATACAACCAGTACGTTTTTCGAGTTTCTTTTGTCTGATATCTGACAAACCTCAAACTAACAAAAATAGTTCATGAGCAAAATCTCACTATTGACGAGTTTATCCAACGATGGATGGACGAATCCACATCGACCTTAGCTCGTTCACAACCGCGTGCGCTCTCCCACTTTCGCCCGCTTTCTAAGATGATTGACTGGGAGCCACCGAAGAGCATTTACCGACCTCGTCGATACAAAGGCCGATCATATGATATCCAGCAGATCCCATGGTCTGACTTGCTCAAAGTCAAGCGCAGCGACGCCAGAGCACTTCGAGATGCTTGGTATACATCCTACCATAACCTCGATTACTCACAAGTCAAGCACGCAGAGCGATTGCCAGATGGCGAGACGTTCTACCGGGCTAAGTCGATGCATACTGCGCACACAGCGTCCGTGGAGCATTTTCAGTTGCGCAATCTTATGTCCGTGCAAGCATGCGATACTGTGAGCTTCTCCAGCCGATCGAGGGTTTACTCATGGACTCCAGCCTTCGACAATATCCGCACTTTGATTGACGTTAGCCGTCCAGATCCAGACGTAGGCTTTCTGAACCCTGTCAAGATTTCCAGCATGAGATCCGCCTATGGACTGACGATTGCCGGCGGGTTTTGTGGGGAATATGTCTTACAAGGTCTAGATGGAGAAGGCTCCGGGGCCAAGGGGTTGGTGGCTCCCGACTACAATGATGGTATCACCAACCATGTGGACATCATTAAGAGTCGTTCCGGAGGATCCGTCACGGGCGTCTTTGCGTCCAATGACAGACATCTTCGCCTCTTGGATTGCGAAACGAATATACTCTTTTCAGACCAGGAGCTGTCTCGTCCAATCAATTGTACTGCAACCTCTCCGGATAGCCGCCTGCGAGTGGTGATTGGGGATTCCCCGGAGGCATGGATCATCGAAGCGGACACTGGACGCCCTGTTCACCCACTCCGTGGACACCGTGATTATGGCTTTGCTTGTGCTTGGTCCCCAGATATGCGCCATATCGCAACGAGCAACCAAGATAAAACGGTCATCATCTGGGATTCTCGTACCTGGCGTGCTCTAGAGACTATTGATTCCGACGTCGCCGGGTACCGCTCCCTTCGCTACTCACCCGTTGGCGGCGGACCTCGAACGCTCTTGTGCTGCGAGCCTGCAGATCGTATTTCGATCATCGATGCTCAGCTCTACCAAAGCCGCCAGGTCCACGACTTCTTCGGAGAGATAGGCGGTGCAGACTATTCGCCGGATGGCGGGTCCATCTGGGTTGCGAATACCGATCCTCACTTCGGTGGATTCATGCGATATGAACGTCAGCAATGGGGCAGTTCGTTTGGTTTGACCGACCTTCCAAACGAATGGTTGCGCGAAGCTGATCTTGATCTTGATGATCGTTGCACGATGAGTGCCAAAGAAAGGCGGCAGCGTTTTCTGCGTAACCTTTCAGATGACGAGCATGATCAATTCCTCCTCTGAGCTACACGGTCCTATTTCTCGACCATCTCTGGGTATAACTCTGAATTATATGTTGATATGTATTTTGTTTTCTTTTCTTCTTTTTTTTTCTACCCCTTCCCCCTCTGCATTCAATACCCTGGGTTCTTTTTGACTTTCTGGAGTTGTCGGTTGTCTGCACTATTATTACCATAGAGTGCGTCGCATAGCGAATTGATTCGAATCTACTAGATCCCCTTCAAGCCACCGGTTCAGCCTAGAATGCCCAAAGAATTTTATTCGCAGAATTCACCCGCCATCGCATTTGCATCTCCACCGCCCCCAAGCTTGACCCTTCCACTGGCAGTTGGGCTGCACAGCTACGTCACCGCATCTCACGGCTGAACGATCTACAATACCTTTTGGTCGAGCCAGCAGCCAGCAACCCCCAATCCCCGCCGCCATAAGCAAGTCTAGAATCCAAAATACCCCCCCTAAGATCTACAGAGGATGAAGTAGCAGAAAGCGAATCGAATCTGGATCGGCTCCACCGCCCGGCCACATCGAGGCAAATCACGAGGCTATGTAGACTACTAAGTAGATCGCGTAAACAACCACCCCGCACCCCCTCCATCAAGCCAAACCTCCCCTCTCCTCCACCTTTCTCCATCCTCCTCATCGTCATCCATCACCATCCCATCATGTCTAACCAAGACTACTACAACAACGCTCCCCAGGAGTACCGCGATACTCGCTACACCGGGCCCGACAGCTACAGCGGCGGCGACGACTTCAGCTCCGCCGCCCACCACGCCTCCGAGCACCACTCCTCCGAGGACCGTAGCTTCTTCGACAATGCCCTGGGCTTCCTGCAGGAGCGCAAGGGCCAGTTCTCGCAGCCCGACAATGTGCAGGTCGACGAGAGCCACGCTTTGAACGCCCACCAGGCGCTGTATGGTGGGGGTGGTGAGGGGCAGACGCACGACTCGGGCTCCGTGGGCGCGGGCGCAGCAGTCGAGGCGCTGAAGATGTTCACGTCGGGCGGGAGCAGTGATGGGGGCTTTGATAAGAACAAGCTTATTGGGCTTGCTATGGCTCAGGCTGGAAAGCTGTGGGATGAGAAGCAGGGTAGCGGTGCTAACATGGTCAGTTTCCTCCTTTCTGCTCGAATGCCAATTTATTTTATTGTTCTTTTCCTTTTCGCTTCAGATGTGGAAGGGATCCGTTACTGACGGTGTTTAGTCGGGCGACAAGCAATCCGCTATCAACAATGCTGCTGAGACCGCGCTGAAGATGTACCTGAAGGGTGGCGGTGGCGTAAGTGGAACCGGTGGTCCTTCTGACCTGCTGAGCCTGGCGAGCAAGTTCTTTTAAGAGGGCCAGCGGTCCTGCGATTCTTGCTTACGAATACCACGGACTGGCGTGGATACATGATCCAGAATGAATGCAAATAAATGCGTGGGCAATATGTATTGAAAACTCGACCTTTTCTACCGTAGAGCGTATGAACAACGCTGGAAGTCAAAAAGGAACCAAAAAAGTGGGAAAGTAAGAAAATCAACAAGAGATCCCGCTCGCCAATGCCCAGACTGTAATGACCTCCATCATCAACACCTGAATGCACGCGCATGGGGTCTCTCTAACAGGGATAAAACACAAAAAAAGACACGGCCAACTTTGTGGATGAAGCGGGAAAGAATAGGAAAAATGAATAATAGAGCCCAACGCTAAGCGCAGAAAAAAAAAAAGGCGATGCAACACCTGCGATCGACTATGCTTCAAGATATCTACCAGTCGTCGTCGTCATCGTGGTTCCCCTGCATCGCGCTCTGCCGAGCACGCAATGCTTCAGCCAGGCCACCTGCCAGGCTGGCGTTGGAGGCGCTGCTGGGGGTCCCACGTCCACTTGCCCCGGACGAATCGTTCGAGTTCATACTGACCGCACTATCACGGGGCGCCGGTGGAGGCGCAGGCTTACGGCCAGCCATGTTGGGGCGCTTTGCTGGCGGTGCTGGCGGTGCAGGCTTGGCCTTGGCTTTCGCGGCCGCGGCGACCCCAGCGCCATTTGCCACAGGGCTGGGTGTAGCACGAGGAGCGGTTGGGGGAGGTGGGGGAGGGGTGGGTTTTGGAGCGGCTGCGACCTGCTCCTCGAGGTAGGCCTCAGGGGTCCAGCCTTGGGTGGAGGTTGTCATGTTCATGCAAAGCCACCATCCTGTGTAAATGTTAGGACAACAAGAGAAAAGGTGGGGAAAAGGAAAATGCAGGGTTCGACGATGAGAGAGAAAATACATACCATTTGCCTCCTTCGAGACAATCTGCACAATCTCACCGGTGCGGATGTCCAGCTCGTTCGAGCGATCACTGGTGAAATCATAGAGAACCTTGGCGGTTGGCACGGAGGGTTTCTTAGCGGCAGGCGGTGCGGCAGGAGGTGGTGGAGGGGGAGCTCTGGTCGAGCTGGTCGACGCGGTCGACTCATTGCGAGAGTGAGACGCAGCTGCGGCAGCAACTTGAGGAACGATTCGGGGTGCGGGAGCTGGCTTGGGGGTCGGAGTGGACTGTGGTAACGGCTGCGCAGCTGGAGGAGGTCTGCGAGCTGCAGCCGAAAGCTTCGAGGGGCCACCACCCGGACCGCCAGGTCGCAACAATTTGCCTGTTGTCACAGGTCGGGCGGCGACCTGCTTAGGGCGAGGAGTAGGTTTGGAAACAGAGCTTGCCGGCTCTCCACCGTGGGTGTGAATTGTGCTACTCTTGTAGCTGTCAACATTGCCTGCACCAGGATCCTTGACTACCTTCACGATAGCCAGCTTGCCAGGCTTCTTGTTGTATTCAATAGCATCGCCGATCTTGAGATTGAGAGAGCCGCGCAACGCGGTGTTCAGATGAGTGAAGAACTCCGTCTTGAAAACACAGTTCAACAACGGGTCGGGCTCCTGAGCACCAACAACCAGCGAAAACCAATCATCTCGGAGATTAGATGTGCTGACAGTTTTCACAGCTCCAATTGGGATGGTGCGCTCGGAAGAAATCACAAGTTGGTTGTTAACAATTTCTTGGGCCACAATGTAGATATTCCGGTTGCTGAGGACGAGAATCCGAGGGGCAGGCTTGCTAGATCGACCGAACTTGGAAACAAGAACCTCCGCACGGCAGGAGAATAGTATATCTTCGGAGCTACTAATAGCGGCGCCTTTGCGAATCATCTCACCAGGACCGCCGCTGTTAGCAACACCCAGGTAATCACCTAGGAAGCGACGAGATCCGAGAAGACTCATCCTGCGACGTTCCTTGCGTCCCTTGAGAAGTTGATGGCCTGAGTCTCTGACCTTGATCAATTCCAATCCGCCATTCATGCGGCGCCAGAACCGTTGAATTCGAATAGCGCATTCGATGCGGTACCGAAGATAATTTCGCCAAGCTCGTTGGATCCGGATAGCCATGTTGTGCCAGTATCGGTCTCGCATGGCTTCAAGAGCGAAGAGGGTTTCGGGTGTCTTGACGAAAACCTTGGTGATACCCATCTGGTACTCCTCTGCTGGGATACTGGTATCCTTCAGGATTTGCCTTGCACCAGACTCGGAGTCCCCAGTCCATGTGTAGTCACCAGCATATGAAGTCTTGGGGGACAGGAGGTAGAAACGCTCAACGAACTTGTCGAATGTTTGACGGTAGGCAAAACCCGCACGACGGATACGCACGTTCTCTTGGAGACCGAGATATTTGATCTGGTGGAGCACGTTGCCCTCGTTGTATTCCTTCGGGGCCTTGTTGTCGTTGGGTTTGATGGTTCGGATGTATGACGGCTGGGCCTTCATGAGCGTTGCAACAAGATCGTTCGCAGAAGCCTTGATCTTGTCACTGGCAGTGGGTGGCCGGCGCTTGTCATCTTGGTTGACTTGCTGGGGGAAGAGGGTGTGCACGAATTGATTACTACTGGAAGAAGCCAAGTTCAGCAGGTCCTTGAGCAGTTGGTCCTTATTCTTGTCTGTCATTCCCTCAACCGCGTAGCTGACATCACCGGCGTAGTGCTTGATGATGAACTGGCCTTGGCGACCTTCGAAATTAGGATTTTGGGCAAGGAAATTCAAACGGCCAACAAATGTGGTATCAGCTGCTCCGGAATCGGCGTGGGCAGTGGCACATGCATCATTAAGCGCAGCAAAGACTCCTGGCGGGCGTTTGTCCTCAATCAAGGAGCACACGACCTTGTTGTCGAAGTACTTGATCGGCGTCCATTGAATTTGTTCGCGCGCATACTCGTCCTGCTCGGCCTTGAGGGTGAGCTGGATAAAAATCTGTTGGAGCTTCTCGTTGACGTAGTTGATGCAAAGTTGTTCGAAGGAATTTTTCTCAAAAATCTCGAACCCGTAAATATCCAGGATACCGATGGAGTTGGTGATAGCTGAGCGGGCTGTGAGAGACTGGTTGACACGCTCAACAATCCAATCGAACAGATTGAAGTAAATGGCCTTTGCTAAGGCATCACGGACAGCAGATGCCTGCACAGTATTAAGGGGAACTTCGTAAACAGATCCTCTGCGGCCGCCTCGGGAAGTCTCCATCAAACGAATTGTCATGGCCTTGTTCACTTGGGTAGCATCCACCTCCAGCAAATATGCTACAAAGTCCACGACTGACTGGTCGGTGATAGCTGCATTCCCACTGTCATCCTCCGAAAACTGGATGTTACCAATCCAAAGGATTGCCGCTAGCATCCGGAAAACATTATCTTGCTCTGGCTCAGTCATACCAATCACTCGCATCGCATTCAGTGTATCTTGGAATTCGGCCACGTCGTCAACTCCCGGGACATCATAACATTTTGAACGGCTGGTGTAGAGGTAGGTGTTTGGCTGCTGGATACCGAAGCTGTCCCGGTATTTCTGGGGGGCGCCCTTGGCGAACTGGTAAAAGATGTGGAAGTTCCGCTCGTTCATGATCTGGCCCACTACCCGTGATTTCTCCAATAGATAGTTCGTAATGTTGGCACCTACCGGCTCGCCGTTGGCATTGAATTCGAGCTCCAAGTACTTTCCGAAACGAGAGGAATTGTTGTTTCTCAATGTTTTTGCGTTACCGAACGACTCAAGTAAAGGATTCGTGGCCAGCACCATGTCCTTGGTTTGCTGAATTGACGAGTCACTGCCTCCTGAAACACTTGCGATGTATTGCATGATTCGCTTCGCAGCTTCCGTCTTTCCGGCACCGGATTCTCCTGAAATAATGACACATTGGTTGTCTTTGTAGGATTTCATGTTATAGTATGCTGACTCCGCCACGCCAAAGACATGGGGGGGGACTTCGAGTCGGTTCTTGCCGCGGTAGGAATCGAGGACGGCATCGGTGTAGATACCCACTAGAAGACATACATGTTAGCCGTCGAGACACTTTCTAGCAGTTCGGCATTCATTCGACGTACAGTCTTGGAATGGATTGACTGAGACCAACACATGGCCGATATAGGTCTAGTGAGATCGAATTAGCCCGTGCCCTCCGGAGCGCGCGGCGCACGCTCCCCGCCAACATGCAGGTCTCCTTACATAAATTTCACCATGTTGAAAGCGCAACTTCAGGTTCTCATTGATCGCCTCGTTCGAGATCTTGCTGAGCAATGTCAAGTCCGAGACGCCGATCTCCTTCTTCTTGGTGCTCTCGAACATGGCCTTCTTGATCTGAGGCTTGCCGGACTGGCGACCATCGCCAACGTCTGCGACCGCTTTGGAGCGACCAAACCGGCTCTTCTTTTCCCCTCCAGCGGGGCGTCGTGATTGACCCTGAGCAACCGCAACCGCGGGGTCAGTCGGAGTCTCCGCGTTCGCGATAAGAGGCAGTTCGGGCTTACCATGATGTGTCAAACTCCCGGAGACGCTGCACCTGGCAAGGGGAGTGACGGAGAATGAATACCAAAGGTAATTGTAGAGAGGAAGGGAGGGTAAGATTCAATGTACAGAGAACCTCTTGGAAACGAGGGCGGGTTACGTACACAGTGCCCATCCGGCCCCGGCAATCAACCAGACTGCGCCACAGCAGGGTCTGGTTCCGCTGCTGCCTCAGGGGCGATTACGAGTCTCCATTTCCAGTACGAGTACAGTATTGTCTGCATATACTTTGAAGAACTCGAGTACCAGTTCTCCAGATGTGGAATTCTCCAATTACCCTCTTATTACTCTGTATTCCGGCATCGATGCTTACTTGCTTTTCTCCTCGAATATTAACCAGCCACAGCTCCAGTGGCTCGAGCGGGTCAAGAATAGCAGGCCTACGTCATTGGGCATTCGGGCCAACACAAATCCAGACTTTGGAGGCGCCTAATGGCATGCGTGGAGCCGAACTAGACTGTTATGATTCTTGGCCAGGCCAGTACTCGTAAGCGCTTCTAGATCTCGTCCCGCAGATCTTTTTGAAACTGCAGCCAAGTATTGATCACCCCACATGATGGTCAAAGTAGAGAAGAATAGATGAAATGGCGGGTTTGCAACATCGTCAAAGGCATTGGTGGCAAATGGAATTGGCTTGATTGCTGCCTTAAATAGAGATGATTGCTGTGCGATTATGGAAGGGGGACTTGATCTATGCATGTTGTATGTACAATGATATATGCCAGTGGCGATAGGAGAAAGGAGATGGAGAGAAAAATGCAGAAGAGGAGAGGGTATCGACGCCAAATTCAAACGGGACTGGAGATGAACTGGTGCAAATCCACAAATCCTGGACAATATCAAAAATCATATTGTAGGTCAGGGGATGAAGCAAATCGCAAATTGAGGCCAAGTTATCAGGTTGGCTATCAATGCCCATGCTCAATCATGAGCTTCTGCTTTCCACAGGCTTGGCCTCTTTAGTATTGGGGGACTCTGATTGCCCATCTGGCTTCTTATCGGCAACTGTCTTCGGATCTACCGAAGAGGTCGGACTAGCGGACTGACTGCTCTTCAGAGCATCTTGGCCAAATGGGAGATAAGATGCAATTGAAGACCACCAGCTCTGTTCCACCACGGCTGCCTTCGGCTCTGATTGTGTTTCCCACACTCGCGGGGGAGGATTCGCAAGGTCGGCTTGGCTTGTTCATCGTGCTTGCTTTTCAGCGCAAGCAGCTCCTTTTCCAGAGCAACGAGGGCCTCCCGCGTGGCCCGCTCAGATTCTTCCAACTCTATAAGACGATCCTCCACGCCCTCTCTGCGAGTGCTCTCCTTCCGGCGAGACCGCATTGATTCGAACACGATCAGGCCGCCTGCGACCAAGAAAAGGAAAGTTTCACTGAGGAAGTTCGCGCCGGACTCGATTGCTTTTGACTCGGACAAGGGTCGGATACGGTATTTATGGGGCTTCGCAGCCTCTTCTGCGGCCGCCTTAGCTTTGGCAAGCGCTTGTTCCTCGGCCTTGGTGTCTGCTTCCGTCTTCACTGTTGGGGATGTAGGGATGTGTTTCTTGGCTTCCGCTGCGGCTGCCGCCTGGCGCTGGGATGCGTTGGTGTCTCGGATGTTTCCTAGCCGGAGGCGCATATCGAATCGATGGAGTGCTTGTGCCATTGACACGCACACTTTGCGGAACCCTTCATGGTCTCGGGCCTGGGCTTTTATTTGGTTCTGCAGCGCGGTTAGTCAAAGAAGCTGGTTGTGGTCCTGTCTCACGTACGGCAATCGGTTTTGAAAGGGTTCTGATCACAAGCGAGGAGATCTTCAACGTTAAAGACATTTTGTGGCGTCAGTCAGCTAGAAGCTTAACCTCGAACCTCATGCCCCGGCGATTATGACTGCACTGCCCCCACGCTCTGATTACCTAGGCAGGCTTAGCGTGTGTTTAGTCAGCGGCTCCGAGCGCTCCAGGGCTGAGCTGGGCAGCTGCAGCCCAGGTACCTGCCAAGCCCGTTGATGTCTAGCAGAAATTAACTACCTATTCCTTGCTATGACAAGCGGGTTCTACTCTTTTCGAAGGTGTAATCTCTGCGTCTCTGGTTTCATGCTCTACGGCCTTAAATTATCAGGCATACCGGCCAGTATAACCTATATTTATCGCCCTGATAGATTCGTTATGTGCTTCCTGTAATTCTTCATACTACTAGTGGTAACAGCACTCACGCAATTACTCAAGCTGGCAGTCAACTTGAACAGACGACCATTCCAAGATTCTATATTAGCCCTACTTACTACTTACTACTGGTAGCGACAGGTAGAATGTGAAGATCTCAATTGATGGAAGTTAACAACAAGTACTAGTTGTACTTGCAGAGGTCCATGGGCGCAGGGTCTTCGAAAGCGGGTTCTGCTGCAGGTGGGTAGCGATGCCAACGCTGCCCCCATACTTGAACAGGATCAGAGTCAACACATAATCAAAATAATGACATGTCTCAAACAGGCATGTCAATTTCTAGGGAGGAACAAGATCCCTGTCGCCGTTAGTAATTCCGTTGTACTGAAGTCCAGCCGCCAAAAAAATTTCTGAGAACTTGCGCAAAATCCACAGGCGGGAGAGATGCCAAGATATATAGTTACTATTGCACGGAGGTACGCACACAGGGCGACAGGCCAAATCCAAGCAGCAGACCACAAAAGCGATAATTCTCGAGGAACAAGGCTCTAGGTAAACCCAAATGGAAGCTTCTTGTTCATAATGAGAGAAATTGTCTTGAATTATGTCCCATATACAGCGCAAACCTCGCCGGAAGCCAACTCACGTGATGTTGACATAGCAAAATCCACTGTTTATCGATTTCCGGATTGGGAAAACTATTATGGCCCGCCTTCTGCACTTCGGCTTCAATCTTCCCCCACTCCATCTGTCGGTCGGGTGCGTCCTATTCTTGGTCGGAGATCTGTACAGTTTTTGATTCTTTAGCGATTTGCATTCGTGTGAGTTATTGCGCGTATTGAACCTCCCCGACTCGACTCCTTTTCGAATCTCCGGGTTGCCGAACAGGTGGAGCTTTGCAAGCCCGCCGAGCTGACTTCGGATGATCGCAGGGATACCAATCTTGCTCGAACTTGATACCCTCTATTGCTTCAGAAACCTAATCTTCTTACGACCTTTACGCTTGCGATTTGTTTTCAGAGTTCAACGGCACAAGACATATTACAGCGACCTAATCCTGTGTCGTCAACAGCGCCAAAATTCGACCACAGGAACTTCACAATGGAGCCCTTGTCCCCGCGGTCGACAAATCAGTTGATTAAGCCCAAGTCAATCATGGATCGGAAAGTTGTCGATAGCAAACCCGCCGCCGCTGCTGGTCAGAAGGCCTCGAGTTCTAAGAACCATGCCGACCCACCACCGGCTTTAGTGCCAGAGCCAGAAGATGGCGGGGAAAGATATTCCATTGGGGGATTCTTAGGGAAAGGCGGCTTTGCTGTTTGTTATGAAGGAACATTAGCGAGGAACGGTCGCGTGTATGCGATGAAAGTCGTGCGATCGCAAATGCCACAGAAGAAGATGGAAGAGAAGGTAACCGGATTTGTTCCCTTCCATACGATCAGATAGAAACGGCATACTGACACTGTACAGTTTCGGACAGAGTTACAAATACACTCGAAAATGCGACACCCATTCATCGTCCAATTCTACCGTGCATTCGCATTCGAGCAAAGCACATACGTTGTTCTAGAGCTCTGTCCGAATGGCTCAGTGATGGATATGGTCCGCAAACGTCGATTTCTGACGCTTCCAGAAGTGCGTCGGTTTATGATTCAACTGTGCGCCGCAGTGAAATACCTACACAAGCGGTTCGTTGCGCATCGCGATCTGAAAATGGGCAACCTCTTCCTCGATCAGGATATGAACATCAAAGTTGGAGACTTTGGGCTGGCAGCTATGATCTTGTCTGATAAGGATGCAAAAAGGCGGAATACGTTGTGTGGAACGCCAAACTATATCGCCCCAGAAGTTCTGGATAAGAGCAAGGGGGGCCACACCCAGAAGGTTGACATCTGGTCACTTGGTGTTATATGGTAAGACGATCGCACCGCCCATGGGACCCCTATCTAATACCTTTTCAAACAGCTTTGCCATGTTGACGGGCTATCCACCATTTCAATCAAAAACCCAAGAAGAAATCTATCGCAAAGTACGGAGTTTGACATACGTGTGGCCTAAGGATACGGAAAATTTTAACTTTATCCCCGAAGAGGCGAAGGACTTGGTCAGTGCTTGCTTGAACCTGGTAGACGAAGAACGGCCCGACCCTGATGACATCGTTGAGCATCCCTTTTTCAATATGTATGATGGCTGCATTCCTCGTCAACTGGATCCGGCGTGTCGCTACAATAAACCATTATGGTTGAAAGACCAAGCGCCAAGAGGCGATAGCATGGTCAGCGGATACGGTTTAGATTCCGATGAGAAACTCCGCGCCTATGTCCTCCAAGTTGACGATCCCAGCCAGCGATATCACTCATGCAAAGCCGCCTTCTACTCCCTGTGCGGTGTTGGGAAAAAGCCAGATGGCACTGCTCGCAAGTCCGTTGGTCGCAACTGTTCCAAGTCTGCGTACTCTGAGTGCGAGACCGAGGACGCCAGAGGTCTTCGACCTGTTGTCCCATTACCTATGGACTTTGTCTACCGTTGGCCTCACGACATTGATGGAGACTGGTGCCTGGTGGAAAATAGCCGGAAATCGATTCGTACAGAGGAATCTGCAATGGAGAGCAGTGTTCTATCGAGAAGCAGCGTCACGTCAGTTCGTACAAACACACTTGCTGCATCGCGAACCAATGCAGCCCTCGTCGCGGCTCAACAACGCAGGTTGGAGGGTCAGAGCCACGCCGCCACCTTGCGAGCACGCCCAGGAGGAGGATCTGTTCGAGGAATGCCGGGCACAGCCGAGCCGAAATCGCCCGTCCGAGGGCATCAGGATATGAGGGAGCAAGGACTCGCACCACCTACGATCGGTGACGCACCTTCCGGAGGTCTTGCTGAGCGTCCGATTCGAACAAGAAGAATGGCATCCAGCTCTCAGGCCCCAACCGTTCGAGAAATGGAGAACAGGGTCGCTCCCCAACTCAACAAATCTACAAGTATGCCATCCGGTCTCACTATAGGCAAGACCCGGTCTCAATCTCGTAGACTGGAAGCCGCCAGCCAAGCGCCTCGCCTCCCGTCAGTTGCTGCATCTGAACCGAAAGTTGCACCATCCGCTGAAGAACGCCGGATTGCTGGTCGAAACACGTCTCTGCGGTCGACGTCTCGACCTGATCTCAAGATTGCTGCAGATCACGCAGAGCGACCCAGGAGCAGTGCATTAGAGGAACCGCCGAGATCAGCAATGGCTTCATCGATGACCCAAGGCATCAGTCGTTCAAACAGTAAGGGAGCGTCAAGCAAGGCGCGCTCGAGTCTCGGACTCAGCCCTCTTTTCCACCATGAGGATCTCTGTGAGCTACTACCGGGGACCTCTCTAACGGAGGTGAACACTGATATACGTTTGATGTTATCGAACCTTCTCAACCATTCCTCCTCGCGCCGGAGGAACGGGCCCCGGAAACAACCCCATGCCTATGTCATTAAATGGGTGGATTATACAAACCGATACGGTATCGGGTACGTCTTGGATGATGGCAGCGTGGGGTGTGTCTTCAAGGGCGAGAATGGTCAGCCGGCTACCAGTGTTGTTGTCAGAGATGGCGAGAAGCATATTCGTCGCAAGGCGCGCAGTGTTGATACTCCCGAGGAGAAGGGGATTCCTTATTCCGAGGCTGACTACTTGATTCCTCGCAACGGCAGCCCAGTAGAGTTCTACGAGAATGACGATGATAGCACGTTGGGATGTCGTGGCATTCGACGAGGCTACATATCACCATCCTTATTCGATGCGAGGACTTCCAAGGCCATGAGACTTCGCGTGAACGCTGGCTCAGAGACGGAAAGATCAGATAGCGAAAAGATTAAGCGAGTCAAGTTGGTCGATCAATTCGGAAAATACATGATTGGCTCGCTCGGCCGCCATGGCGACGAGGGAGTAAATGACGAGGAGCTGTCCGCTCACACAAGTGGTCAGTTCATTAAATTTTACCAGCGTCTTGGTAATGTTGGCATCTGGGGCTTTGGTGACGGTGCTTTTCAATTTAATTTTCCTGATCATACCAAGCTCGTCATTGCCCCTGGCCGCACTCGCAGCTCCTCGCCATGGATTGACTTCTACCATCTCTCGCCATCGGCCGCTCGCTACTTTGCAGCTAAAGGCAAGATGCACCCTTCTGGCTTTGATACTCGTGCCGTTGCATCTGACGAAGCCTCTACCTTCTTGAGCATTGCCAATGGGGAGTCGCTAAGCTCTATTGAGGACCGCATCCGGGACATCTTGGATGCAAACTCTTTTGTACAGAAAATCAGCTTTATCAAGGATGTCTTCAAAGTGTGGATGAAACATGGGCGGCTCGGTGGCCGCCCTTCCAGTCTCTCTGCTCCGGGAGAGGATTCCTCTACTCCCGAGATGTTCTGGCAAGGTACGCAAGAGCGGGCACAGCCTGGGGCTCATGGCACAAAGTACGTGTGGGTCACCGTTGGAGCCCCTGGCGGAGATGGCGAGTATCGATCCGTTATGTTGAAGGAGACAGATAAGGAAAGGCGGACCGGCCAGAGAAGCGGCGGGGAGTTGATCTCGACAAGGAGATGGATATGTTGAAGGAAAGGTTGAGAGTAATGGGTCGGGAATAATCTACTTTTCTTCTGATGTTGAGATTTAATCTTATGATGCTACGACTTTGTTTTTTTTTTTTCGTTCGGTTCTCATTTGTCTGGAGTCAGGAATTCTGGCGTTTGATAATCCTTGCTTGAAATAACTATACCTACATTCGAGACTTTTACGTGCTATCGAAGAATACCTTGTTCCAGTAATCTTTTTCTGTGCAATCATCCCTGCATGCTATTCGGTCAGTTAAACACGGAAAAAGCCTGAGACCAACTTGGCATTCTCTATCCTTAACAGTACTGCCTGACGGTTGCTGGGCTGCATCGTGTTCTATGACTGGGTGATTAGATCTTCATTCCGGCTCCCCTTCTGCTCCCCTTCTGCTTTCGGCTCTCGCTCTACCTGTTCACTTTGTGTGCCTTGGTTGGATACTATCACACCACGACGCAACTTGGAGTACTGGTTTCCCGGCCTCAGGAATACAGTCTGCATCGACAGAAGAAATAAGGCTATGGCTAACTGGAGGGACTATAAAGCTTGGGAGTAATGCGCCGCTCCGGCGCGCCACTAATACGCTGAGGAACTTGAATCTAAAATTTATGCCTGAGCACCATTATTAACCCGAGAAGAATTTTGAGCAGCTAATACTAGTTGCAACACAAGCTCTCATTTGCACGAAATCTTGCAATGGTCTCCTATCTACTAGTAGTCCCTGACAACGAATGACCTCGTCATCAGGGTCTTTTAAGATATGTATACAACCATGTTTTCAAGGTAATCCTAACAAATTCGCAACGAAATAGTAGAATTAAGCTTACCCCTGAGACATTATTGACTGATATTTAGACTCCAGTTCACCTGCACATATGTCTCAAGAGTGAACTAGCCGTTATTCTTCAGATTGGCAGAGCCCCGTCAGTTGTTACGGTGTCATCGAAAAGAAGACGCATGGAGTAATTTGGGTCGGTCTGTGGTCCCAATAGGTTGAATATCAGGAACCAGAAGCTTTGAGTGATGAGAAGCCTCCGAAGTATCAATCTGGTCGAGTGCAAGAGTCAACGTTCTTGTTATAAACCCAAGTAACCCAAGGAAGCACGTCAATGGCCCGGGAAATGACGAAGCTTCCCCTCATTCAAACCCTCCGCAACCAACATCAGCGAACTAAATTTTTGATATATTTTATTTTGACTTGAACAATTTTCTGCTGGAACCCATTATGTCAATTAAATCTGTGGCTGTCGTTGGGGCCGGGGCCTCAGGTGCCATTACCGCCGCGGCTCTAGTCGCGGAAAAATATTACGATCGGATTCGAGTGTTTGAGAGACGAGAGACAGCAGGTGGAACATGGTACAGCTATCGTCAAGGTCCTAAATAAACACTGGCTAATCTCAGCACCTTGAAAGGATATTTGATGCCGATCCTGGTCCTTTATTCGATCTAATGCCGGGCAAGAAGCCACCAGATGTCGACCCCCCGTTGGAATTGCCCAAGTCACTCCCTGCCACGACTAGTCCGTCCTCAAAGCAACGCTATGAGCTGACCCCGATATACGAAGGCTTGACGTTCGTTGCCCATGATACCCGGAAGGAGAATGGAAGGAGCTGAGAATTATGTAGAACCAACGTACCTGATATTGCGATGGCTTTCTCCAGGAGCGCTTTGCTTATGGGCCTTTTGTTCCTCACTGGGTTCCGAAACAATACATCGAAGGATATTTCCCCAGACATGGAGCAGACACAGCTCTTGTCACCCGTACTACTGTTGAAGATATCTCGAAGTTGCAGAATAAAGGACACCAGCACCTACCGAGGTGGCAGCTTACATTGAGGCGGTTCAACCCGAGCATCCATCAGGATGAATGGTGGAATGAAGAATTCGACGCTGTCGTCCTAGCAAACGGACACTACTCTGTTCCATTTGTGAGTCTTGTATTATATTCCCCTCCCAGAGATATTTGTTGATACTTGGGTGGCCGCAATAAGCTGATTAAGATTTAACATTAGGTTCCCAAGGTCGAAGGCCTTGAAGAATACATGAAAAGATACCCAGGAAGAGTCATTCACTCTAAACAATTCAGGAGCCCTTCCAATTATGAGGACAAAAAGGTAATAGTGATTGGCAATTCTGCATCAGGAAAGGATATTTCAACCTTCCTGAACGGTCATGTCGCCTATCCGCTTTATCAGTCTCGCAAGTCTCCAAGTCGGTGGGACGGGGATGAGCCCCCCTCTGGAATCTCTTGGAAGCCGATAATCACAAAATACCATCAATCAGGCGAGATTGAATTTGCAGATGGATCCATTCTTGCAGACGTGGATAATGTCATTTACTGCACCGGCTATCACCCTTCGTTCCCCTTCTGGAACACTGGCAACAATGGCAGACCCATTTATAGCTACGAAGAAGGTCGGATAAACGGGAGCTATCTCCACACGTTCGTCCGGAATTTTCATACACTTGCGATCATCGGAATACCGCGGGTTCTGACATTTCGTTCGATGGAGTACCAGGCTATAGCCGTCGCCCGGGTATGGGCTGGCCGAAACTCCGTACCATTACCACCCGATGAAGAGCAAGCCAAATGGGAGAGTGATAGATGGGATCTTGTTAAGCGGGAAAATCGGAAGTTTCATGATATAACGTGGGACAATGGCGAAACTCATGATTATCTGCAAGCATTGTACAACATAGCGGGTCTGCCACAGCTTTATGGTGCTGGAAGATATCCGCCCGTTCTGAACGATGAGACGAGATGGGCCATAAATCATCTCAAAAAATATCCAGAGCCGAAAAAGAACGAGGAACACGGTGGTTTCATCCTTGTTGATAGAGCTCAGAAAGATTCTCTCCACTTCATTTGAGAAATGCAGCTTGATTACATCTGACTACTACTTGTAGAAGGTTGGAATTCCACATGAGCACCCTGGCGGGCCCCGGGGCCCCTGGGCCCCGGGGGCCCAGTCCAGGCTTAGTCACAGTTGCCTCCCCCGCTCCCAGATGGGTTTTATTGGCGCCCGCCATTCCCAAATTTTACATCTACAGTGATTCGACCTGCTGAGCAACATGGCCATTTAACCACCTTAGACTTATCAAGAGCCAGCTGCATACATCTCATATTGCCTAATATGGACGAGGCAGTCCACACTATACTCCCTGATCCAGGTCTGAATGAGTCCTTCAATGGGGCTCCGCCGCTTTTCGAGGACAATGCATTTTTGTCGCCAGGGACATTTTCAAGCGTCGATGACTATGCTGCAAACCCGAGGTTTTTGGAACTACAAGAAGAACTCCGCTGTGTGCTATTTAGTGCAGTTTCGAGTCTAGAACCAAATGAATACTCCCCCGCCCTCTCAGATCCACTGGACGGATCCTCATCACGGACGCGGCAGAGCCTTGACTTCACACGTGTCGCTCTTCCGAAAGTACGGTTGATATATTATCTCAAGAACTGGATTAGCGAGTGTGCGCCTTACTTAGACAAGTTCGATGAATGCCGGAACTTCGGCGTCAATATCCCCATATTGTCACAGCGATTCCCAGCTCTCCTCTATGCAATGCTTGCCTTTTCCGCCCGCCAGACGGAAAGGAAGTGCCGTCTCGACAAAGCTTATGATAGCTTAGAGCTCTACCAAGAATCCATTCGTCTTCTAGCACCATGCCTGCAAGCGAGAGACCCAAACGTCCTCGTCCCAGTGTGCATTCTCGCCGTGATGGAGCTGATGTCCGTTAGCCCGCGCGACTGGCGCCGGCATGTGGAAGGCTGCGCAGCCTTGTTCGACTCTTTTAACGTGAATGGGCTCTCAGGTGGACATCTTCAGGCCGTATTCTGGTGCTACGCTCGCATGGAGCTGTGCGGCGCAATAATTTCCAACGGCGCGGAAAGTACCGTTCTCCCGCTCTCAAAATGGGTGCCGGCTCTGCCCGTCCCCGCGGGGCCCGAAGAGCGCGAGTCACTCATCAGAGACCTGTTTTACGAAAAAAGCTGCGACTCGCCGGATATGCATGCTAACTGGGCTGTGTACCTGTGTGCGAAGACTTGTGATCTCGCTTGTCGGCAAACGCGGCATATGGAACTTGGAGAGATGGCGGAGGACCCTCGCCCCTTTGTGGAGCAGTGGACTGTGTTATGGGATGAGCTTCAGTTTTGGCTTGAGAAGAGACCTGCTGCTATGTTGCCTATCAAAACTACAGGGCTTGGAGGTGGGTTGATCTTTCCTGAGATATTGTTTGCCCACTGGGCTGCTATCTCTGGGAATCAGCTGTACCATGCAGCCTGTATCATGATGCTCGATATGAAGCCGCCTGAAAAGGTTCTGCCGTTGTCTAAGCCATGCTACTCTTCTATCTGGCACGCAAGGCGGGTCTGTGGCATCTCTCTCACAAATCCACATAGCGGCAACTTGATCAATGCGATTCAACCGCTTTATATCGCGGGGAAACTCTTGAGTCACCACAGTGAACATATTGAAGTCGCTAGATTGTTCAAGACGGTTGAAGAGACTACAGGATGGGGCGCTCTTTGGAGGCTGAGAGATCTTGAGCGTGCCTGGGGCTATGAGCCAGGAGACATCCTCTCGGCGATCTGAAATTCTCACTGGCACATTTGATTGAAAAATGTGCAACAATTGATCATACAATAATGAATATGAATTCTGATTACGACAGTTCATCTGGAGGTCTCATCAAATCCAGAACGAGAGATCAGTGAAGATAATCCAGATCAGCGCAAGTCTTGGGATACTGCAAAGAGTGCTTGATGCGCTGTTTCAACCTGTCCTCGTCAACCTGGAAAACGAAGTTGACTTCTCTAATCCCATCGGGTGCCAATGCCTTCTGATAAACGTGGATGTTGCCATAGTTGGGGCTTCCGTATGAGGTGTCGACGTCGAGGAACACTGGCGCGCATTATTAGCCTTTAACCAAGGAGGAAAGAGAGAACCACTCACCAGAAGTCTGGTTGATGGCGAGCGATGGCTCAACCATCAATGCTGCCGCGGTTTCATCCCAGAATGGGAAGGAAAGGTCATAGTAGTCATGAAAGAGCTTCGAGTACGGGTTTGGGACACTCAGGACCTCATCGGCGAACTCCTGACTGGGGAAAACTTGGTTTGCAACATTTCCTGCAATGGTGATGTTTGGGAAATCGGCAGTAAGAGCGATCTTCGAGGCCTCAGGGTCGATCATCAAGTTGATCTACTCTTATATTAGCACCAAGCACACAAAACGAAAGTCAGCTCCAGAAATAATCTTACATCGGATTGAAGATCAGCAAGTAAGATACTTCCAGTAGCCTGCAGCATATTCAGGTCCACATAACCCCCCCATAATAACCAGGTCTTTCGCTAGCGAGGCAAACTGCGGATCCATCCGCACAGCGAGGGCCACATTGGTCAAAGAACCGGCGGAGTAAATCGAGACTTGACCTGGGTATTTGTGAACCATCTCCACCATGAAATTTGCCGCAGAAGTCGAATTTCTGGGCCGGCCCTTGGGGAATCCTTCTTTGAAAGCCGCTTTCACAATCCGATTGGGGTCGCCGGAAGTTGGGTCATTGCCTTGCGCCTCATATGTCTGATTCTCTGGAGCAAATGCCCCCTCCCAGGCCAGCTTGCCATGAATGGTTTCCCAAGCTTGGAATCTCAATGGGGTGTTAATCAGTGGCCAAGTCGCGCCGGAGTATACAGGGATGCAGCTCAGATTGCCTGCTTCGAGTGTCGCTACCGCATGCAACGCCGCTTGCGGCTGCCACGAATTTGCAGTGTCTGAGTGGATTAGTATTAAAACAAAAGACCGAATAGAAACGACCTTGACATACCAGACGCAAGGCCGAGGACTTTGACGCCACCATCCAAAGCAACTAGGTACGGGACGAATCCTGCCGTGTACCAATCATTGTCCATAATAGCATAATGCGTCTCAGATTGCTCATCTGGCTGTGCAAGGCTCCCAGTGGCCAGGGGAAGTAGAGAGCCACAGATCAGCGACAGGGAGACAGGCCAATACATGGTGGGTAGTCTCATGTCCAGACGAATGAAAAAAACTACCACCTCTGCGGCACCTGCAATGCTCCTCCTTTTTTATATCCTATTACTGATCTGCTCCTCTAACACCGATTGAGTCCCATATTCCGAGAATCAGCCGACAATTGGATGGTATCAATCGACCATGGACGTTGAACCCCCAGTAAAAACCCCACAACCCCAGAAATTCCCCCGCATCAATTTAACGAAGCAGGCGAAACAATGCCTCTGACTCCCCAAAACAGAAATCTTTTATGTCAGGATCCGCCAGATCCTGCCCGGTTAATCTCGCCCACGAGACTGTCAGTCAATTTAAAAGGCTGGGCGAGCAAAAATTTCTGCGACTAAGAGGGACTAAAAGCCGCCGAATTAGTGAAGAAAACCAGAGGGGGGCCCGCCCCGGAACCCTAAAGTGCATGCGTAGCCTACGGAGTCCATTTTGGGACATTCTCCTCTCCACATTTTTACCCCGAATTCCCCGGAGCCTGTTGGTCGGCAGACCGAGCCCGGGGAAAAGACGGTAGCTGCTCTGCTTGAAAATAGAGTTACCTCGTGAATACAATCTATAAATAATGTCACAACCCCATGGGTTCTCCAGTTTTTTCTCTACATCAAATTCCAAAAGACACCTGAGGCAACTGGCTTTGCGCAATAGGGGTAGCAAGATTTAGCAGGCTCTTTTCATCATGGCAGAGCTCAAAGCTATCGATCTGGAGGCTGCTCCGCAGGTGCAGATCGCCAAACAATCCATGTGGAGGTCGATTGCTCAAAATCCAAAGGTCTTAGCTATTGCCTTTTTTGCCTCGTGAGTGTCTCCTTCAAATATCCCTTGGACGCGTGCTGACTCTTCTTAGCTTCGGTGGTTTTGAGTATGGCTACCAACAGGGTGTACTTGGCCAATCTCTCGTGATGACCCGGTTCAAAGAGAATTTCCCGTCGGTCGTTGCATCTTCAACAGCAACCGGATGGCTTACATCAATTCTCCAACTTGGGGGTGTGCTGGGCTCGCTTAGTGCTGGTATCTTGGGAGAGATCATTTCACGGAAGTACACCATGTTCCTCGCTTGCTGCTGGGTTATCTTGGGAAGTTACCTCTATATCGGCGCGACGAATGGCAACCCTGCGCTTCTCTACGCGGGTCGCTTTTTCACCGGCATCGGAGTTGGTCTCTTCTCCGGCGTCGGGCCTCTGTACAATGCGGAGCTTGCGGTTTCTGAAATGCGTGGGCTCTTGGTTTCCTTCTACCAGTTCGCTACCATTCTGGGTATGATGATCTCTTTCTGGGTGGGGTACGGTAGCAACAACATCGGGGGCTATGGCGAGGCTCAGTCAGATATGGCTTGGCGTCTGCCCTCGATTATCCAAGGCATCCCAGCAGTCTGCTTGGCGTGCGGTATTTGGTTTATGCCTTTCTCGCCTCGTTGGTTGGTGAAGCAGGGCCGTGATGAGGAGGCTCTCTCCACTCTGTCTTGGATGAGAAAACTGCCGGCGGGTCATGACCTTGTTCAGATCGAGTACCTTGAGATCAAGGCCGAGGCGAAGTTCGAAGAGCGGGCTTTTGCCAAAGCCTCTCCCAAGCTGGCGGATCGCGAGCGCAATAGCATGTTCATGAAGCAGATTGCGCAGTATGCCAACTGCTTCCGTACCATGGATAACTTCAAGCGGGTCGCCACTGCGTGGCTTGTCATGTTCTTCCAGCAATGGAGCGGTGTGGATGCTATCATCTATTACGCATCCAACGTTTTCCAAAGCCTTGGTTTGACCAGTGGTACTGTTGCTCTTTTGGCCACCGGCGTTACGGGTATTGTGTTTCTTGTAGGCACCATCCCCGCGATGCTCGTTATTGATAAATTTGGTCGAAAGCCTTTGATCCTTGGTGGATCCACCTTGATGTGTGTTTGCATGGTCATTGTTGGAGTTATTGTGGCCAAGTTCCAACACGACTGGCCGGGGCATGTTGCAGCCGGCTGGAGTGCTGTTGGTAAGTGACTCTGTAACGAGCGATGATGTGAGCAAATTACTAACGCTGTCGCTCTAGCTCTAATTTGGCTCTATATCGCTACATTTGGAGCCACATGGGGACCCGTCAGCTGGACGTTGATCTCAGAGATTTTCCCTCTTTCGATCCGGGCTAAGGGAGCTTCGATTGGTGCTTTCAGCAACTGGATTAACAATTTTGCCATCGCATTCTTCGTTCCGCCGATGTTAGCCAACTGGCAATGGGGCACCTATATCTTCTTCGCGGCTTTCCTAGCAGTTGGTATTGTTTGGGTGTGGTTCTTTGTGCCCGAAACTAAGAATGCGTCTCTCGAGGAAATGGATCGGGTTTTCAACAGCCATAGCGGTGAGCAGGATGCGGAGATGTTGCGCGATGCTCAGCGCGAGGTTGGCTTAACTCGGCTTCTTGAACGCATGGGACATGGTGACCGGGAAGTGGAAAAGAAAGAGGATTCTCAATATATCGAGGCTCTATAATTTCGTGGCGATTTGTCTTTAAGCAGATTATGAAGTAATGAATATGCTCTAGGCTCTCAGCCTCGGATTTCCGTGATCACTGGTTTCTACTAGATCTAGGACTCAGGTAGTGCAGCTTATAACGAGGTAAACAAATTTAATACTTTCGACCTCCGACAGCAAAAGCCGGTAATAATGTGATACCAATCCTCTATCCTCTTGTCACTTTAAGTAGAGGCTGAGATGCAACTAGAACCCAGAGAGCACAGTTGGTCGGCGGTGCCAGAAGCTGACCTGATTCTACCACGAAGTTGCTGTCAGGACGATCAAGTAGGATCAGAATCCCACCCGCTTCTTGCTAGAGGCGGAAGGTACTTGCTCGACATCCCGCATGAAGAACTTGATGAAACTTGATCGTGGATCTCGAGGTGAGCAAACGATTAGACCACAAAAACCAGGAAAAGGATGAAAAAAAGCGGGCCAGTCCGCTCTTCTCATCCGGCTGCCTCTTTTTGGCGTCGCCCCACAGTCACCATCCCCGGAGCCTCGGTCACCTCTGATCAACACATTTTGGGCGGGTTGGAGCCTCCGATTCGAGATTCTCTGGCCTTGTGTCTTTGCAGTCCTAAAACATGCCCAGAAAGCCTACGCCTGCTGAGAAACAGAGGGTCAGAACGGGCTGTCTTACCTGCCGCAAGAGGCGAAGGAAATGTAAGAACGCAAATTTCGGCATGTGGCACTGAGGTTAACATGAAGATATACAGGCGATGAGCAGAAGCCGCGATGTGCCAATTGTGAAGTCAAAGGATTCACTTGCAAGTATGCATGTGTACAATTCGTGCCGCCTGCCTCTACAAACGCATTACCAAGTCGTTATAGCTCCATCACTGTATGCGTCTGAAAATTTTGCTCGGATTAACCCCTGCTGATATCAACACGCTCTAGTTCATCGATGAATCGCCAGTAACGCATTCGTCGAACAAAAATAAGTCGAAGCAAAGGGAGCCCACCCCAGAGGGAAACGAGAGGGTGGGGTCTACTCCATCCGTCCAAACCACCTTTGGGGACTTCGGACCAAATAAAGAGCTTCCACTGCCTGATTTCGGCCAGAAACTTGTGAGCTATACGCCGGCTGAGCCGAGGCTGGTACGCAGACCAGCAGCAGTAAATGCGAGCTATGAAACAGACCTGCTTAGGCACTTTCGTTATCATGTAGGTCCCTGGATCGACCTTGGTGACACCAGCTGCGCCCTCACAGGGCAAGTCCTACTACAATCCCGATCAAATCGAGCCTTACAAGCTACAATACTAGCATTCTCAGCAGGACAACGATCCCTCATCTCCCTCAATCACAATCAAGATATTGATGGACTTCTACGCTTCCGAAAGGAGGCAGAGGAGAGTCTCTCCATGCAGCCTCATCTGGTGAGACACACAGGAGGCATGCTATTGCTTTTACAAGAAATACTCCCTTCGGGTCTATATACATGGAAAAATACCGTTGCTTTTTGGGTAAATCAGGCAGACAGGCTTCAGCCAACTGACATGTCCCAGGAATTGGGCGACTCGCTGTTCTGGCTCACTTTAAGGATTGGTAAGTACCCGGACTAAGGGAACACCACCCTCTCCTTGATGTATCATTCTGATCAAACGAAATACCAGACCTGGCAGCATCAATAGCCGTAGAGCAAGCGCCCATCATGCCCTTTAGCTCTTTCGTGCAGCGCGATGGCTCGCCAGTTCACTCCCACCAAAACATCTCAACGACAAACTCAGTGAAGCATGCCTATCGCCACATACTGTGTCTTCTCGCCCATGCCCTATCCCTTCTATATGGGGTATCAGACGTGACGCCTCCGGACCTTGCAGTGCAGTGGACGTATCTATGGACCGACTGCCAAAAGTGGTACAACGAGCGCCCGACAGATACCCAGCAAATCGTGGACTTCCGGGGTAGCGAAGCAGATCAAATTGACCCGGACCACAATTCATCATTTCCTATCTTGATTTATACAACCCCTATGGCGCTGGCCGCCAATGTTGTATATCACACTATGTCACTCTTACTCTTGACACACAAACCACGTCTCTTGAAATCTCTACCAGGCCCACGCTGCTTCACGTCTCACATATGGCATGCCCAGTCGATTGCTGGAATCGCCACCAGTAATGACTCTCCATATCAATGGGATCCAATTATGGTCTCCAGTATTCTACTGATCGCGAGAGACATGACCCATGAGTCACAACAACTGAGTTTAATGGGGCGACTTCAGAAAATATCGGCGGTGACGGGGATCAACCTAGTGGATGAAATGCGTATGCTGCAGCGCACTTGGGACGTTGCTCGGTGCGAAGAGCTCGAAGGCGAAGAAATGATTTGATACTTTGATGACAGTCGATTTGCTTCAACCAAGATAACTCTTCTAGTCTATGTATCTATCCAACATGAAATACTTCATACAATGTTACGCCAATTCATACGCAAAAGGGACACTCTCCATCGCACCATGTCGCTGCACGCATTTTGCGGCGGCAGAATTCGCCTTTGTCACAGCATCCTGAATATACTCATCGAACCTTTCCAGCTCTGACCCAGTGGCGAGGACTCTTGCTAATTCAGCTGAGAAATAGCCCACAAACGTATCTCCCGCAGCAGTGGTATCTATCACCTTGGCCACCTTGACACCCTGCACAGTACCTGAGCGCCCACTACGCGTGGAGAAATAGACACCCTTCGCTCCGAGCGTAATCAAGACAATCTGCACCTTGGCGACCTCATGGAAGCGGGGTGCCAGGTCCTCGGGCCTCAGGGTATCCATCTCCGCCGGCTGAGCAAGATCGGAGATGGATAATCCAGCAATTAATCTCAACATTTGCACGGCCTCGGTTTCGTTCATAATGAGCACCGAGGTGTTGTTTAAAGCTGCCAGAGGGATGCCTTCCGGGAACACTGGTGCCGGGTTGAACACGACATGCGTGCGCCCGGCGATTGAATCGCCTCCATTAAAGTACTTCAACAGCCCCAATGTCGTCTGTCGGGGGATCTCTCCCTGCATAACAACGACCGATGGCTTTTCGGCCTGCTGCTTAATTACCGAGACAATCTGCGACACATCACTCATGAAATCGCCATAATTGGCACCAGGGACATAAAGAATGCGGTTCTCGCCCCCGTCTTCCACAATGATAGTGGCAGACCCCGTCTGAGCCTTGGTTGACTCTTCGATGGTTGATGTGCTGACGCCTGAACTCACGAGGGCTGGTTGTAATAATGTCGAATAATAAACGTCCTCGGCGCCCACGGCTCCAATCATTGTCACGTTAACATCTTGCTCTTCCTTCGTTTGAAACGAAGCGCGTCCACATGCGACTGCTTGGTTCCCGCCTTTGCCGCCCGCCGATACGCTCAGTGAAGTTGCTGTCAATGTTTCGCCTGGGCCGGGGCATCGGGGAGTTGCAGTCACGAAATCTATATTCAGACTTCCGATGATAGCGATACGGGGTTTCTGGAGCGGCAAAGCAGGACTCGTTTGGATGGCCATGATGGGCAGCTTGTTTCCTTGGGGATATAGAACGAAAGAAAGGAAAAGCCAGAAAAGTCGAAGCTGATTGAGAGTTATAGAATGATCATACTCGGCTAACTGCCCAGTTGGGGTAGCGTAGGCACCGTACCGCTCGATATGGTTAGGCCGAAAATGGTGAACGAAAATTGTCGAGATGGTGCATTATTTTCATCCCGAGCCTCATAGGAGACAATTTCTAGTAGCATTGGCCACACAAGATACGACTGCAGGTTATGGGTAGCTCACGCCGGTGATTTCCGTCCATGGATAACCCCCTTTCATCTTCGTCGAGGCGATTTTCCTAAGATAAGAGTTCCTTGGGCATACAATACGTATGACACACGGAATTGCGCTCGGGAGATACTATTTCTAGTACTAGTAGCGAGCGCTAGAATTGGGGTCTTTTGGGATTCCCTTAGAAGATCATTGCCCTGAAGGCGGGCAAAAGTAACATCTTCCAGTGCAACGGCCTCCATATCCATAGAAATCACCATGCTAGGATCCGACGATATTGCTGCCGTCTAATTCCGACACAACTTCTGCCTTAGCTGGCAGTTCACGAGCGAGATTCCAATAGCTTTACTAGACCTCATTTTCGGCGCAATGCCTTTCGTGGTTGTGGAATATCGGTCCTGCTGATGCTGATAATGTGTCTATCGTACCTTTGCTGCGGTCCTCCCGTTTGCCGGTTCTCCGAAGGTGGGTCGTTTGGGAGAAAGCTCAGCTTGAAGGCGGGGGAGGGGGCATGGTTCAAGCGTCGAGAACTCCCTGTCACTGTAGGATATGATTTCATCTTTGTATGATATTTTCGCAAGAATGAAAGGAGTAGCAGCTCCGGATCGCACTGCCACCCGGCATTGAAAAAAGAAACTTCAGACAATTGAAAGCCAGCGAGATACGCACCCTTAGCAAGTAAGAGAGGATTGAATAGCGCTCTCATTGCTACTAGAAACTCTGGCTACGGTATGAACACCTAATCATTCTGTATATCTTAATTATCCACAAAGTGGAGAGACTGCTGCCTTCTCTGCCTGTCAGGCAGCAGTCGACACCTGAAAAAGGAGGCGCCAAGACTCCACACTAGCTTCGAGCTGTTGTACTTAAAAGGAAAACGGTCCCAATGGAGCTTCCAATTTAATTTCTGTTTGTTAGCGTGCCTCGGAAGTTCTTCTCCCACCTCCCATAATCCCTCCTTCCTTTTCGTTCCTCCACCCTCAGTTTTTCTTTCTCCTCGCAAGTCGACCTTGCCCATTCATTCTACACAGCATCGGGCGCCATGGCCCCAAAAAGCTTCCAAAAGTTTATCATTGCGATTTCTGGGTCATTTCCAGGACTCAGGCAAGGTAAGGTCACTTTTTCTGTCCCACAGGCCGCCCTATACCACCAATCCCATTCTCCCGGTGAAGTCCCCTGGTGTAGTCTCCTGACGAGGACGCCTTTTGCTTACATATGACAGTGGACGTTAAGGCGATGATTGAGGGCCAAGGAGCCACCTTCAGTGATAAAGTTCACGACCAAGTCACTCATCTCGTCACAACCGAGAAAGACGTGGCGAAACGAAGTACTAAATGTACGTTTGCTGTGTCACCTTACAACTTTGTCGAAGTGCCAACGCGGGCATGACTGACATTGCCACAAGACGAGCAGGCTCGAAAGTTTCCTAACTGCCAAATCGTTTCGCTTGAATGGCTGCAACTTTCCACGAAGTCCCGAAGCCTTGTTCCCGAGAAGGAATACATCTTAAAGGCAGGCCCGGCCACCGAGACTAGCGCCAAGGTAAAGCAGGAGGACGAGCCGGGGACCAAGCGCAGCTTCACCCAGGATAATGCGGAAGATCAATCGAACAAAAGACAAAAGGATTCCCAGAAGGCCAGCTCCAAGTCGCTGACTATTCCTGTGGACGGGGTCTTTTTGATGCAGTGCAGAAACTACAAGAGTATGGACTACCAGATGTTCTTATCCACGCCAAGCAGAATCTGACATCGATTTGCAGATCCCGAGGTCTATATCGATGATGAGAACGTCATTTATGATGCGACATTAAATCAAACCGTTGCATCTAAGAACAATAATAAGTTCTACCGACTCCAGCTGATCTACTCGAAGTCAATCAACAAGTATATCACATGGACTCGCTGGGGACGAGTTGGTGAGCAAGGCCAGTTTGCCTCCATTGAAGACCCTCAGGGATCACTTGATAGTGCCAAAAAAGCCTTTTTGGGAAAATTCAAAGATAAGAGTGGACTCAAATGGGAAGACCGACTCAGCACTCCCAAGCACGGCAAGTATACTTTCATTGAGCGAAACTACGAGGACGACGATGAGGAAGAAGAGAAGGAGATGGTCAAAAAAGAGAAAAGCGACTTTCCAGTCCCTGAAAGCAAACTTTCCAAACCGGTCCAGGACTTGATGAGCTTTATCTTCAACATGGATCATTTCCAGATGGCGATGGCCGCCATGTCATACGACTCAAAGAAGCTTCCTCTGGGGAAGCTCAGTGACCGGGCTCTCAAGACAGGATTCGCAACTCTCAAGGAACTGTCCGAACTGCATGCGAATCCGAGTCTTGCAAGTGATCGGTACAATACCAGCATCGGCACCGCCCAAGAGGATCTTAGCAACCGATATTTCACCACCATTCCTCACGTTTTTGGACGGAACAGACCTCCAATTTTGAGCACACTTGCTCAAATCAAGAAGGAAGTTGAACTTTTGGAGGCGTTGACTGATATGGACGTGGCAAACGAGATAATGAAGGACGCCAAGGAAGCGAATGATGTCCACGAATTGGACCGTCAATTCGAGAACCTCGGGTTGCACGAAATGACACCATGTGAGTAGCCACGTCTCGTCCGCACGAATTAGTACTGACATCAACAGTGGAAAAAGACTCTGCTGAGTTCCAAGGGATTGAGGAGTACCTTCTCGGTTCTTCTGGGGCAACACATAACTTGAAGTACAAGGTAGGTCAAGTTTCGATATGATCTGCGAAACTACATGCAGAACATTTTATGATACCATACACAGATACGCGGACTAACGCAGCTTCCTCTTCTTCTTCTTCTTCTTCTAGGTCATCGACATCTTTCGGATTGAGCGACAAGGGGAGAATGATCGGTTCCAAGCGTCAAGCTTCGCCAAACTACAAAACAAAGATCGTCGCTTGCTCTGGCATGGCTCTCGATCGAGTAATTTTGGTGGCATTCTGAGTCAAGGGCTTCGAATAGCCCCTCCCGAGGCGCCAGTAAATGGCTACATGTTCGGAAAGGGCGTTTATCTTGCAGACACCTCCACCAAGTCTGCGAACTACTGCTGCCCCTACAACAGCGGGGGAATGGGGCTACTTCTACTCTGCGAGGCAGAGCTCGGTGATCCTATGCTGGAACTGATTCATGCCGATTCTTCTGCAGGGGAGAATGCTCGGAAGCAAGGCAAATTCTCTACATTGGGGAAAGGTCGAAATATCCCCGGTGGCTGGAAGGACGCGGGCTGCATTAACCCAAAGCTCACGGGGGTGAAGATACCCGACGTCTCTGTTCCTCGCGGGGATGGCCAGAACGTGGGTCTCCAATACAATGAGTACATCGCTTATGATGTTGCTCAAATTCAACAGCGCTACCTTCTCTATGTTCATATGTGCTAGTGTCATCGCTATGTTTATGAGAGGTTCTGAAGAGCCTTGGGAGAAACGTACCTTGTTATCGGAAACCGTTTTAGCGGTCCTGCACTGGGATGGAGTTCTGCGGTGGGTGCATTGCTTCTAGCCTGCATCAAGATTGGAGTTTTCTTTTATTTGAGTGCGAATCGAAGACCTATTTCACTATCTTCACAATACACCGGTATGAATTCAGCATTTACCTGAGGACATTCTCCTATGGTTCAACACTTGGATCTCCACATAAACTCTTCTCCGTGTGTCGTCCTTTGGCATAATAGTAGCAGCCCCGTGTAGATACGGATAATAACTGTTAAGATGCAGTTACCATGTATCCAGGTACTCAAAGCGATCAACGGAATAGTGTTGTCTTCTTGTCCCAGACCGAAGCAAAAGACGGGCCAAACATCTCATCGCGCGTAAGAACCAAAGTAATCAACGACGATACTCTGGGGCTTCTATGTCTGCCCGGGGGTTTTCTGATGCAGAAGACCCAGCGCAACCCCACTGATCATCAACTTTGGCAGTTACTAGATAAAACTTTCCTGAAACTTTCCTGTATCAGGAATTCCTCATTCTGTGGGTGGATCATATCTACTATAGTCAAAGATGCGACACATTTACCTCAATTATGCAGTCTGGTATTTAAGCAGATTAGGTCAATACCGTGAACACGCATCACCACAATTATATTCCGGCTATGTTTCCCTTCTCTTCGTCCCGCTGTTCCAAGCTCCACTTAATATATTTACTGTTTCCGGTTTAGGGTTCGCGTGGCCGGAGACGTGATTATGCTGTAGTAAATAGATGCCAAGAAATGTCCCACCTCTAGTCAATAATTGCAATCCGACACCAGCGTTGGTATCATACCCCAGAAAGCGAGTAACTGTAGGGTTGAAAAGTTATAGAGTAGGTATAGGTTCGTCAGACCTGAGCAGTGGCGAAGTTACACCATTGTTACGTACAGAAGACCCGCAGCCAGAATGAAAACTCCATCCATGAGCAATCGAGGAATACCCAATATTGAGATCATTGTGACGCTTTTAGAGTGACCAAACATGCCGGGCATAGGTATAAATGGAACTTCAAATCCAGAGAATATTTTGATAATATCAAATCCTTTCCCACAGAACAACGATTTTCACTATGGCCCATAACACGAACCCTGGAAACTTTGCCAACCGTCCCCACGAGGAGGTCGAGAATATTGCTCGGAAGGGCGGCCACTCCAGCCACTCTGGCGGGTTTGCAAACATGGATCCTGCAAAGCAGGTAAGACACAACCTAATACCACCATCAGCGTTCATATTCGAGTTCCAAAGCGAGCCAAGCTAAACCCTTTTTCTTCTTTGCAGCGAGAAATCGCCTCTCACGGCGGCCAACGCTCCGGTGGTAGCTTTCAGCCGGACGATTCCCGTACACGTGAAGCCGGCCGGAAAGGGGGAAGATCTCGACATGCAAGTCCAGAAGAATAGATTGAGGGGCAATAGTCTTGTCATACCAGCTGCTTATTTTCTGAATGTGACTTAAGATGCTTATGCGTCATACCTCAATTCCAACGTTCAATGGCGGCAACTTTCAGAACGCCTTCACGTAAATATGCTCGCAGAAGCACTATGCTATCATGACCACAAAGGGGTATTAATTGAATGATAATTACTCCAGATCGAAGTCGAAGATCTTAAAGTGCCAATCTTGCTGCTATTGTGATTTTTCAGCAGCCAGGTTTGAATTGTTTACAAAAGACAACTAATTGAATGAAGGTTTATAGAAATTCTAAGAACTTGTTATGGCCCAGAATTGTTGATCATCAATTCCAAGGAAATAGGATCACTGGAGCAGACTCGTCAAGGGGGGTAAGACTACGATGCTACGAAGCAGGCCTAGACTGCAACATCAAATTTTAAGGACGGAGTTTTGAAGCCTAGTGCCGGTAATGATCGTCACTTCTCGCTTGGCAATTACCCAACAGACTTTTGGCACGCTTTAACATACACTGCCCTTCTGACGTAGCCCTTGTATCACGACACTTGGCGACCAATTCTCGGCAATCGGTGAGAGTAGCCTACTCATTTCTTGTGGCAAAAACCTGCGTTGAGTGTCAATGTGATATATATCGCATAATGACGTGCAAACGCATGCAAAGGATAGAAGTATACTCGATTAATAGTGCTACATAAACATATAGCCTAAAGACCCGTTGTTTTTTGTTGAGTGTACCTTCCATACTGCTCCATCGTGGCGTGGACGCAAATTGTATACCTTATGAGCATTATCCTCGTGTTGTGTTATAGGGTAAATCCAATATGATACTGTAATATTAAGTGTATAGACGAACAAGTAGTCCAGCACAACCAACATGCCGATCAATCCAGTGTATGGCTCCGCTTTAACGTGAAATTCAAAGAGACGGCATGAACACCATTGCAATTCTTTTAAATTAAGTTTAGGACTCCGCATGCTAATAATGCAAGGCTCATTATCGCCCCTAGCCTGACTGGTACAGTCCCAGAGCGCGCACATGAGGATTGATCATCGTCAAATTGAACGGAGTAGCGTCAATAGCCTCGTCGGTAAGCGCAATGAAAATCGTACCATTGAGAGCGGGGTCAGTCTCAAAGACCTCGTTTGCTGGCTGATAAGTAAATCCGGAGTTGGATCCAGTCACCGTCAACGGAGTATAGGTGAGATTGAGCTGCGACAGCCACGCAACGAAGGCCGGCTGTCTTGCAGTCGTAGAAGTGACGTAGCTGTTGTTAGGCCCCACTGCGCGACCGGGATCATCCCAGGTCAGGTTTACCTGCCTACCGGGGAAGCTGACTGGATCATTGCGGTCACGCGAGATGGCAGGGCCGCAGTTGTAGCCAGTTGTGTTTTGGTGTACACACGACTGGTTTTCAGCGATGTTTGAGTCGCTGGGGTCGCCAGTGCGGTTGCCGACAGTTTCCCAGTTGTTCGTGGTGTTTGCAATAAATCTATTTTCGGGTCAACTTCGCAGCTCCAGCACGGTGCTCAACAGAACGTACCGGTTGACGTTGGGCTGGTTGACGACGTGCAGGTTGGGGAAGTTCTGCCACACAACCCGAGTATTGTTTTCCGGACACGAGCTGATATACTGCGATAAGAGGGTCCAATGCCACGACTGCGGAATACCTTAAGAGAAAGAAGAAAAAAAAAATAAGCAATCAGTGATGATTCCTCGCTGCCCTTAGGAAGGAATGTATGACATACCTGGAGCAAACCAAATGGGCATGGGGTGAAGGCCTAGCAGCTGACGGAAAATGGCCTGCTGGCGAGCTTCAATTGCTTCTGCTTGGACGATCAAAGTCGCCACCTCCTTCGAATCGAGATGGCTTAGGAACCCCCAATTCCCGGACTCCCCCCAGCGAGTAAGCTTCGCGTTGAAATCCAAGAACTCGCGGACGGTTTTGAAAGGGTAGTCGTATGTGCACTGTTTGGGCGCTGTTTCGCCCAACATATTGCTCAAAAGGGTAGCATGTCCCGCCTCCTGGACGGCCATGTACTCGATCAAATTGCGGTCCTCGGCCGTGAGCCCGGCTTCAAGAAAGTCTTGCTCACTGAAGAGCTCAAGACCGTAGTGAAAGAGATCGAGCTCGATATATTCCTGATGAACGCCGAGGGCAACTGATTCGTAGTCATAGTCACTTTGCACCATGTAGACCGGCAAAGTACCGTTCGTGCCGACACCACCAGCGGGCATGTAAGGCATCGGCTGGGGTTGAGTTAGCTTGCCATTCGTATTGTAGTATGTCGCCATGGGATTCGGCTGTGCTGCGATGGTAGCCTCCAGGGTAGCGGTAGCTTGCTCGGCCCCAGTTGTAGTAGGCGTGCCTGAGTAGGGACCGTGTGTCGTAAGGCCTGTCGTGGCACTATTAACCAGTGTTGGGGCGGCGCCTGGCTCAGTCCCGCGTGGTGGATGTGTATTGACAGCTGGTATATCTACTACAGCTCCAAGTGAGAGTGGCCCTACGGCTGGCGCGGCAATGATGCCGCTGGCGAGGGCCAGCATGAGGATTGTCACAGGAGATTTCATCAGGATTGCGCAAAGGTAGTGCAAGTTGGTTTTGAGGGGTAGGCAATGACCGTGCATTTAAAACCTCTTTCATTTACGGCTGCAGGGACTCTGCTCTTATACCCGTCTGAAAACATATTAGCTGTTATTCTTCAGGTATTGCAACGTGTGTATGTTTGCGTCAGGCCTGCGTAGTTGTCTTGCCCAAGAATATGAATCAGGCCCCTGACAGAGGTTGCAGCTAGTGATAGATTCAAACGTCAGGTTGACTACTTTTTGAGGAAATTTCCTGCTTGACTCTCTTTTGGTCACTGCATCAAGGCATGATCATCACCGGTGGTACCTCGGTGTTCCACAACTAGCGGCCACGCAGGCCAGCCAATCGCAGGAGGGAACCGCCTCGAACCAAATACCCGCAAGGTACAGGGGAAAGCGAACAGAGAACCGCAGTAAAGAGGTCTTCCCTATGTGTTTCGCCCAATACGATTTACACGGTGGATGCAAAGTCGTCCACGAGATTGTGTTGATATATGACGTCAGTATAGAGGCCGGTGTGTAAGGGGATTCTGTGGCATACTATGATCCTAGATTTGCAAGACGCCTATGCCAGGAAAACATATACGATGCCCAGACTCTTCTCAGAACATCAGGTACGCATTGCCACCTCGTTTCCCTCACAGCTCGTGAGCCCTTGTGGCGCAACGCAACATCTTTAGATTAAACACGGATATATTGGTCTTAATATCCTGTCGGCAACGGTCGCGTCTTGGTGCCAGATACAATGGTCGTCAATTGGCCCCCGTCAAGGCCCCTAAGGATTCGAGTTCATCATAGACAACAGAAGCCCTTCTATATCAGATTCTTCTGGCCATGAGATGAAATCCGCCATGTAAAAGTCAGGGTCAAATAAAGACACAGAGTCATGCTCCCCGGTCGGACTTGTGTGCCGTTCTTGCACACCTTCAAATGACGAATCACCCACTCTTTCTAAGTGGCCAGCATTGGGATCCTGGAGGTTGCTTTGGCTTTCATTGGCGTAGGTCTCGCGTCCGCTGTGTGGCTGCTGCGCACGAGGAACTGCTTTGCCACTTTCTGGAGCCTTTACTAGGTGTGGTCGGTATCGCCCTTCGTTCTGCTCGGAGGATGGTCTTTCCTGATAAGGTAGCCCGGAAGTATCCAGACCTCGCTTCTCAGCGATGCGGCGAAAACAGCGATGGCAGAACTGAAAGCCTCTTCTCGATGATTCTTCGGTCTCTCCGAGTACGTAAAGCCAGCGAAGGGCTTTTTTTGCAGCTGCGAGAACAGAATCTGATGACTCAGGTTTACCGGCAGCGCTCGCGCTGTTCTCAGAAGCGTCCCTTTCCCCGAGATTTCCTGATGCCAAGCCTATGGAAAGACAGAAAAGCAGTACGACCGTAGCCTGCATCATGAAATGAAGAAGAGCCCAAGACGGGGCGACAGTGTTTGCCCAATCTGGATCTAATTGATCGGGTACGAACTCGAGGAGAGCCAACGAAGCACGCAGGCATTCTTTGGCAGTGTCTTTGCCAAACCTGGACCGAGGAAAGCGGATCCCGGTGGGCTTGTGAGTCTCTGGACGAGTAAGGCAAGGTCGGTTAATAACGATGCAAGCACTATAATAATGAAGAGCCAAGGAAATTTGCGAAGACGACATGTCCACGTGGTGGCCATCGAACACCAGAGAGTGTGGCAAATTGGCCAACCACTGCCCTAGTTTTCGGTTATAAAAATTGATGCGATCTTCAATAAGCTTCCAACCGCGGTTCACAAGGTCCGCATTGTATACCTGATTGGTGATCTTGTGGGTAATAATAGCGAGGTCAACCAGGTAGTGAAAATACAGAGACCCGCTAAATGGCAGAGCCTTCACCCATGCTGGCCGTTCGTCAATTTGCTCTGATTGCTCGGTCCATCCTACCTCGAATGTTGAAAGCGATCGCTCCCATGACAGGTCGTTATCTTGAGACTCATTTGCGGTGATATCAAACGGCAAAGGTAAAGAGACAGAGCATGACCCATCTCCTAGACAAGATACTCGGCCAGTAATGGCGGAAAGAAGGTGTTCCAAGTAGAAGATAGACCACCACAACCGGACCCTCGCTTCGTGAGATGCCTTGTCAAACTTGTCATGCGTTTCCCGAAAATTGAGGCCTAATGCAATGCCTGCACGCGCAGCTAAGCCAATCATCTTCCAAGACCTCCAACAGTGTCAGTAACGTTGTTCAGACCTGACCGTACAAGGGACTAATTTAGGAAATAAGCCAACCTTACCTACTAATTTGGGACTCTGTGAGAAAATAGAACGCCATGAGAGTCAGAAATTGAACTTTTTGCAGGTCGTCGTGGTTGTAGATTAGGTCATCAGAAGTCGAGAGCCGCCTAGCGCGATGGAAGAATATAGTCTCATCAGCGTGGCCAACGTGGTCATAACGATAGAGACTGTCCAGTCTGCAACCGATTGTGAAAACCATATTCAGAAGGCTGAGCCATCGTTTACCGGGATTGACATCGGAGGAGGAAAAGACCTGTCTATACTGTTCCAGAAATAGATCCTGCCGGATTACCGGTAAAGAAGGATGCACCTTATCAAGGTAAACTTGAAGCAAGCGGTCTGCCAGAGGTTTCTCTGGAAGTAAAAACTCATCCGATACCGTCGAGTCGTCTATGTTCAAGTCATCCAAATGATAGCTCACATCGGCAATGGAGTCCCCCTGTGGAAGTTGATGGTGAGACATATTCGCCGCAGATCGGTCGTCGTGAGCAAACCCCCTGGACTCAGCCTCCAGTCTTTGCATCCAGGCTACTTCGGAGTTCTTTCCCCTATAGCCTGTGGCCCTGCTCTGGTCATGCCGATCCAGGTCTTCGTCAACCGTGTCGATGGCGTCGAGGGACCCGGCAGAGGAAGGCAGTGATGAGGATGAGGAAGAAGAAATGCTCGACCGTCTTGTCGCATGGCGGTGGACGTCGGTAGATGATTCCTGAGGCGATAATCTTCAATCTCCGGTCGTATTCTGTCCCATCTGTGGTCGACTAACCTTTAAAGCGTTTTTTATTCTTTTTTTATCCTTACGTCCAGCTCCAACAGATATGTCACGGAGCAAGTTTTCATACAGCTCAATTGTCTTTCGGGCTGAGGCGAGGGCTTTTTGCTCGGCCTTTATTTTACTTTCCGAATAAACGCAAGACGAAACTCCTTCTGATTGACATTGAGAGCATACTGGCTTGGTTCCATCGCATTTTACCTTGCGTTGCCGGCACTGATTGCAGGCACGGGCCGTGCGGCCTGGGCGGGGTTTAGCACCTTCGCGCAGATGGAGTCGGGGAATTGGGACTTTGCTGGACATCTTTAGGGAAGTTATTGAGTACCCGGAACCAGAGTTATAATATGAAGCATGTCGCTGAAGGGATATTCGCAGACGGTGAAGATAGTAGCTTTGGAGCAAAAGGCAGTACTGAGCAGGCAAGTCTATACGTCACATGGGGGGGAGCCACCGAGGGAGAGTCAGGTCTTGATCCCTGTCTTTCGCCACCAGCCCAATTACCCAACGTAGTCCTCTTAAATGCGCTTTTATTAATATATCATCTTGCTGTACTGCTTTCGTTTCGATTCAACTCCTTGTCAAGCTTCTTGAGGGCATCTAAGGATCTAAACGAAGATGATGAAGATGCAGGTGAGCTCCTTGCTGGCAGTCGTGCTTTGCTGGAGTGTGGTACTCTGCACTGAAGGACGCTACATGGTTGGCCAGCATGAAAAGATTGCTCACAGTGAATGAAATAGACGGATTCCTTCTCCGTCTTATCTACTGGTCTACTATAGCCAGCTAGACTTGATCTGGTATCTCCTCAACTATGTTTTCATAATATCGTAGTCCTTGTCCTATTAATCATCGGTATACTCTCTTTCCTTCTTCGATTTGGGATATTAGTAAAATATAATGACCATCAAGTCAAATGATGGTGATACTGTAAATTTTCAGTATCTGGTTTGTGCTCGATCGAACATCTGCTAAAATCTTTAATCTAACTATTTAATGTAGTTGGAGTAAAGAGATCACGGGGCGCGGATTGACCGCCTAAGGCAGAAATATAGTTTGCTGATCGCCCAGCCTCCAGACTTTACGATTCTTATCGCACCTTCCAATCTCTCAAGTCAAAATGGGTGGCGATTTGAACTTGAAGAAGTTAGTTTCTGGTTGCAGAGGCAAATGCGAAACCGTCCATAAAGGAAGTAAAATGACTGACTGACCATCTCTCAGATCATGGCATCCATCTTTGCTCCGCAATCAGGAGCGAGTATGGTCGGAGGAGAAGAAAGCGCTGGAGGAGCGCAAACGTATCGACCAGGTCCGCCGCGAACGAGAAGAAGAGCGTCAAATCCAAGAACTCCAGAAACTGCAAGAAGCGTCCGGCAAGGGCAAGCAACAGAACCGCGTCGACTGGATGTACCAGGCCCCCTCTAGCGCCACGGGACATTATTCAGAGGAGATGGAAGGATACCTTTTGGGAAAGCGCCGAATCGACGGAATCCTCTTGAAGAATGACACAGACAACCAGAAGCTGGAGAAGGGTGCTGATGTGGTTGGCGCAAAGGCTGCGGCGGGGCCTGCTGTTGGCTCGCAACGCGACACAATGTCCAAGGTCATGGCCGATCCGCTCCTGGAGATCAAGAAGAGGGAGCAAGCTGCATACGAGGCGGCAGTGAAGGAGAATCTCCGTCGCCAGCAAAGAGAGAAGAAGCGCGGCTCACGGGATGGGGATCGCGACCGCGAGCGTCGCCATCGTGACCACGACTCGAAACCACGACGCTACAGCGACAACGACGATGACCGTCGCCACCGATCCCACCGGTCCTCCCATCCCCGGCATCGCTCACGTTCCCCTTCTTCGCCGGAGCGTTCCTCTCGCAAGCACCGAAGCGACCGAGATCGTGACTACAGCCGCGACCGCCGTGACGACAGAAGTCGAGAGAGACGTCGTGATGACGACCGAGATCGCAGAGATGAAGAATACCGATCTCGCCGTGGTGACCGAGACCGCGATCGAGACCGTCGAGACTCGTACTCGGGATCTTATCGAGACTCTCGAAGCGATAGACGGGACCGCGACCGTGACCGCGACCGTGACCGCGACTGCGACTATGATCGCGGAAATGTGCGGGAGAAGTCACCACGTCGCCTATCTCCCGGTGCTCGGCTGGCCCGTGACCAGGAGGACCGAAATCATAATGCTTCCGATAGCAGTCGAGACCAGGATTCCCGCCGCGATTACCCCGGCACGACAACCGCAATGGAAACGACAATCGACGTGACTGGGCCCCTCGAAACCGCGGACCTCCTCCACCCCGAGCGCCGGCTAAGGGACCTCCTCCACCCCGAACGCCGGCTGAGCACCTACAGGAAATGGAAGAAGAACGTCGCCGCAAGTATGTGGAAATGGAAGAAGAACGTCACCGCAAGCTTGCGGAAATGCAGTCCAGCGCTATGGAACTCGAGACTGAACGTCGCCAGCGTATTTTTGAGCTTGATGCCAAGGAGGAAGAACAGCGAGAGGCCGATGACCGCCAGCGTTCGGACAAGGGAGCATTCATGTCCCAGGTTCACAAGCGCGCTGGGGAAGATAGCCTGGATGAACGTATTCGGCGCAGTCGCGGTGGACTCGCAAAGTTAGAAGAAGATTAAGGAGCCTGGGGTCGGTTACGTCAATTGAACACGGGCATTTCCTGCTTTCCTGATCCTTTCTCTTTGCAAGTGATATCTGATACCTGAAAAGAACGTCTTCACTCGGTTCGCCATCGTGCATTTTATGATCTTCACCCCACGCAATGAAGCCATTTCAAGTAGTACTCAGTCCAATACGTGGAATATTCTTGCCCTTTAAGATTCTTATGAGCTTTATTATGTAGACTAGCTTACGCCAAGATATGGACTAGCTTACCCCGAGATATGAAATGACCATTCCCGATGCTATCAGCCTGCTATGTGAAACGCTTTCCTAATTATAAGTACATTCATCTAGCCAAAACAGAAGAAGCACACCTTTAAAGAAGCAACAACTCGCCCGTAGCAGCACCGCCGGCCAGCTGCGGCTGGTAAACCTGCTGCAAGTTCTGGGTAACGACGTACTGCTGGGTGCCACCACCACCTAGCTCACTCTCCTCACGGCCGCCGAGGTTCATCGAAGCCATCTGCTGAGATCCAATTCCATTGAAGTATGAATCAGCGGCACTGATGGCTTCAGCAGAAGTAGCGTTTGTATTCGCCGCGGCTGCTTGGTTGGGACCTACTGGGAGGTTTGGAGGCGGGGGGTCGTGGACAGGACTGATTGGGTTGCCGGTGGTCGTAATGGTAGCCAGACCGCTGCTGCTAGTTGAAGCCGTAGCGGCCGCTGGGGGGTTGTATTCCAGCAGCGGCGAAGTGCCATCCTCCACACGGGGTCGTTGAAGGGCCGGGCTCTGCTGCAGTCGACGGGGTCGAGCTGCACGGAAAACCTGGTTGATAGGCTTGAGATAAACTGTAGCCAGGGTTCCAACGTTCAGGCATAGCTCCTCGAGCGTCCGTGGATCAAGTTTCTCGCTCTCTGCGGTGATAGGCGGCTTCTGACCCATCACAACTTGCTTTGCAGTTGCGGGATCGGTGGACAGGAGACGCCAGTACATGTAACCGCGGTCGCGAAGATCGGGGTCATCTGTTTCTTCGGTGCACCATTTGAGAACTTGAGGCACAAGCTGTTGGCCCTTGGTGGGCCGTTGGATGAAGAGCTTGACGGTGGCTGTGAGCAAAGCGAGCTGTACCTCAATCGTCTCATCATGGAATGTGGCTAGGTAATCTTGTAAAAGTCCATCTGAATTCTCAATTCGATCAGCGTATTGACCGATGATCCAAATGATTGCCGCCTTGGCCTCTGGCTCGTCCAGGTCATCAATATTGCTGATGACATGTCTAATAATACCCTCGTACTGATTTGGATACTTGCGGAAGATGTTGCGAATCACTACTGTCGCTTCCTGGACGATGTACGGAATCTTGGCATCTACCAACTCCAAAAGTGTATCGATGCATTGACGCGCCGCGGACTCGATCTTAATAGCAAGTTTCCCGATAGCACGCACAGCTTTTCGCACAAAGTGGACGTCGATTTCGGTTGCATATCTAGGGCAATTAGGTTAGCATGCAGACGAAGGATAGAATTCTGGCGCCAATCTTACTCTCGAAGTTCTGCCAAAACCACAGTGATGTTTTCTTTCGTGGTCAGCATGAACATCAATTCCAACTTAGTCACCTTGACGTAGATGGGATCGTTGTAGTTACAAAAGAAAACGCGAATATCATTTCGCAGGACTTCGGGCCTCTTTTGAAGAATCAGGATTGCGTTGCGCAAAGCCAAATATTGAACCTCCGGGGGCTTCGCCAACAAGGTGACAAGTGGTGGTGACATCTTCTTGCACAATGATGTGATATGCTTCTCTCCAGAAATATAGTTCATCAAGTAGAGGATCACTCGACATGAGGTGAGAACGACTGCGGAATTCGAATGCGATAACCGTGGGGCGATACGTTCTGCTAGCAGAAGAGCTTCCGCAGTATCCTGGGGAACATATGACATTAACGCCTCAAGAATATATGTCTGGCCCCACCTGCACGCTTGTTAGTAGATCTCCTGATATCGATAAGAATGGAGGGCCATACTCGGAACAGTCCGGGAGGATCGAAACTAGCTTTGAAGCACTCGTGTAGTCGATCGTCAGGGAGATTGATTCACTGCGGCCCCAGATGTCTACCAGAGAAGCCAGCACACTAGAGACAACTGTGGGATTTTCATCTTTCAACATGCGATTCAGACGGTCGATCAGGTCTGAATTTTCGACGGTTTTTTTATCATGCTCGTAAAGTTTAGCAACGCAGAACGCAGCTGTCTTTCGAACATACGGGTCATTATCCTGCATCAATCGCTTCAACGGCTGAAACGTCGCTTCAACGAATTCGCGCACGTGTATGTATGAGATAGTTCGTAAGGCAAGAGCGCGCACGAGAGGATTGTTGTCGCCCATGTCCTACAAGCTGTTAGAAAATGATCATTCCGATTTCAAACGATATGAACGGCATGGCTTACCTGGACTAGGGTTGGAAGTGCCCTCAGCGCAACATCGGGCTTTATCCTCGAATAGTTGACCAAGAACAGGAAACACCTGAAGCGCATATCAGCAAAATATGTCTATCCACACTTCATCCCGATGTGGCCAAGGCCGCAGGGTGTCTCAGTGTCAACGCACATCTTCTTAATCTCTAAACTCGGAAGGTTCATGCATTCGACGACGTCCGGGAATAGTGCAACCATATCGTTATTGCTCATGGTCATATTGGCGACGATCTTCTTCAGGGCGATTTTCTTGGCGGAATAATTCCTGTCCTTCTTGCCGCCACTGTTGAGCTCTTGTCGCAGCTCGGCGACCTTGCCCTGTGGGGTGCGCGAAAAACGTGAGTTATTGGATAAGGCATAAGGGGCAAATCCGATGAACATGGGATGATGATGAAGAGCGTCCGGGGAGAACATCAGAACCAACTCAAGACTATAGAGAAAACAAGCTGGAACTATGGAGTGGGTCGTTTGGTGAAAGTCGCATGAGAGCGGGGGGAGGGGCAGATAGGTAACGCGATCAGATACATGGCGTACTCACCCTAGCAAAGAGCTTCGCATCTCCTCCGGTGCTACTCATGCTGACCGGGACGAATCGTAGCCGTTTTTAGTGCTTTAGTTCGGGTCTGATTTGGCTGTGGCTTTGGCCGGTCTAAGACGGTCACATGCACATACGGCAATCGGATAAAAATCGAGGTTTGGCAAGCGGAGGATGCGATTCTTGGGTTCGAAAGTATTCCGACGCGAAAAGTGGAGGTTGTAGTCGTGGCAGGATAGGGAAGCGACGGATGGGACGGGGTTGGTCTTCGGGACGACAGGAAAAGGGAGCGGCCTTGTTCTTCTCCACGGCGCTTGGAAGGAATCGGGAGGACTTGCTAGGATCGATTGAACATTGTCCAAGCAATTGCAATCCCGAATGTCGTTCAAGGGTGTGAGGAGGGGACGATCAGGAGAAGGAACGGAACGTCCAAGGCGGAGTGAGAGCTGCACGGCGAATCCCTTCCATTTCCAACCGCTAACTCCACCAACCCCGTCAAGCCCACTTTTTCAGTCTCTACCATCTCCTCTTTCCTTTCTCATCTTCAAATACAGAGCGTCTCTGGATTACCACCGACGATGGGATCAGCTCTACCTCCTCCACCTCCACCCCAATGGGTGGTTGCGCTCAACTCTCCCCTGCCGCGTCCCACCAAAGCTGCCTCCAGCATACCGGATCCACCAGGCTTCTCGAGCAGCCGAGGCAAGCAGGTAAGTGATAGTCCTTTGAGCTTCTTTAAATCGAACAGACGATGCTAACAGATTATCAGCGTCAGCAGCAGCAGCAACCGATCGCGAAAAAACCCGAAGATAACGATGCCCTCAAGCTCAAGAAGGCGTGGGAGATTGCCATCGCGCCGTCCAAGTCGATTCCTATGAACGCGATTATGATGTACATGTCCGGCAACAGCCTGCAGATCTTCAGTATCATGATGGTTTTCATGCTTTTCAAGGGTCCGATTCAAGGCCTGTTTAACACCAACGCGGTGTTCGCCAAGTACGAAACACCCACCACGCACGCACGCCTGCTCGGAGTGAAGGCAGTCTACGTGGTGATGCAGCTAGGGTTACTAGCACTGGGGATTTGGAAAGTCAACGCGATGGGGCTACTACCGTATGTTGCTCTTCGGTGCTTTACTGTGTACGGACGAATACTGACAAAGGTTATAGAACTACGAGATCAGATTGGCTGGCTTGGGAAACCGAGCGTTTGCCTCTGGAACGGGCGAGCTTTGCTTTCAGCTGAACATCTGAAGAACCGGGACAGATATCGAATCTTTTTGTAGCATAAATTAATGAATCTGGTAGATAATCTACCACCGTTCTAGGCTTTCTCCTGTCATGTATTCAAGCCTCTTTTGATAATTTCCCTGCCAATATTGCAGACTGTCATTGTATTGAAATGTGGAGAAAACGGAAGCCTTTTGCTCGCCGAATATCAGATAAGATGTTAGCGGGGAGGAAACAAAACAGTTTGAGATGGCTGATGCAAGGATGATACCGTTACCGGCGTGATATTCCGTCAATATGGTACCTCTCTGATGGGAGCAGGCTAAGAGGCTTTTTCGGTCTGGTTCTCATGTACAACTTGGACAGTTGGCGCATTTTGTAATTCTTTGGCATCTTCCTTCCGCCGTCGTTCTTCTCGCCAATTGGGACCTCGATGGACCACAATCAACAGCAGCGGAGCGGTACAGAGCATGACGAGCGAAATGAAGGTAAAACACCAGCCCCGGCCCATGGCATTCAACATAAAATCAACCACAGCAGTAGCCCCAGCTCCAAGCAGGCAACGAACCACATTGTTGGCTGCGGTTGCTTTGGCGGCTTGGGTAGGATACAGATCAACCAGGAGAGTGCTGACTGTATTGAAAGAGGCTGTAAGTGCAAGACCCATAACGAACAAAATGGTTGTAGGGGCAGCAAGATGGACACCAAAGTTTAGGCACCATCCAAAAGCCAAGATGCTCAAACTGCCAATTGTGAGCGCGGGAAAGGCGATCTCGAGGCGGGACCTTTCAATGGGAAACCCTCGCAGGTCCACGAATCGGTTCTTGACAACAGGGAACCCCATTCTCTTTGCTACGCGCCGATAATTGAAGTCCAATAGCTTGCCATTGAGGATAGACGCAACACTTGCACCAAGCCCGAAGGGGATATAGCATAAGCCAACCTGTAGATCATCTAGTCCATATAGGTCATGATAGATCGACGGAATCGTGGCGCTAACATCGTAGAACCCGGCGAACAGCACTGCATTGCAGAAAAGGATGATGCTCGTATCTTTCTGAAACACAATTGCCAGTGTTGGGAATGGGTTTGGAAAGCTGAGCTTTTGTCTCGGGGGAGGCTCCGGAACAGATACACCTTGCTTGCGAGCCTTTCGTGTATCGAGGTAGTTCACCAAGGACATATTCCATGCCTGCGGGGGGGATCGATCCGTCGCCAACAATGCCACGCGCAGTCTCGGGAAAGAGGACTAGAAATGGGACCAGGAATGCCCCTGCGAATATCACCAGAAACCAGAAAATAGCTCTCCAGCCAAGGAACTGCGATAACAGTCCTCCAATGACAGGCCCCACTGAAGGACCTAGAAGAGATCCTGCAGTGACAAAGCCCATGTACGACCCTCGTTCGGCTGCAGAGGCTACATCGGCCACGACTCCGGACGAAAGGGCAATCGTGGTGCTGCTTCCTGCACTCTGCATGCACCTGAGCACGAATAAAGCAGCGTAGTCATTCTGCAATGCAAGCCCGATATTGGCTGCGATGTAAATGACAAAACATACCACGTAAGCTGGTCGTCGTCCAGCTTTATCGGCGAAATCTCCGATAAACATGGGCGAAAGACCCTGGAAAATCTAGAGTTCGGCATGTTAGCCCTATCGCCGAGCTCCCCTCAACGATCGTGTATCGATGAAATGAAGCATTTTAACTACCAACTCACCATGTAGCTTGTCAGAGTCAAGTTGATCAAAGAATTTGACACATGGAGATCTTTCGCCAATGTATTCAGAGCGGGGAAATAATTCTGCGACGAAACCGGCGAGAAGAACCCTGCCCACGAGGCCATAAACACAATAAACCGTCTCTGGCTCAAAGGGAAAATGGAGTAGTCGACATCACCGACCGCCTCGCTATGATTTCCCACATCGTCGTTCAGATTAGACTCTATATCGACGGAGACTGTGGGCGTGAGTGCGGTTGCCTCCATTTGCACTTGAAGTGACGGCAACGGGAAGCAGTGTAAGAGCCCGAAATTATTCAAGATATATGTAAGTGGGACCTATTAACTAAAGACACCCACGGATCAACCAAGAAATCTTTGCCAGGCCGATAGGCTCTGATCCTGTCGACTAACCCATTTTGGGCAGTACCGTAGATGCTAAAATGTGTTGCCGCAATTTCAAGTTTGCTAGTGGAGAACCAACGGCTGACGTGCCGAACAACCGAAATATCGGATTTTGGTTTAATAGCAGTTCTTAGCGCTGAATACTGTGTAGCCCAAATCGGAAAGACAAGCGTCATATAGAAGCCTTATTTTCATTGCGATCTACGAGACTATCCAATCCAGGGTGACCGTATATTAGTGGTTACTTTAAGCAAAGGACCAGAGCCTCTAAAACTGGAAACTCACATAGAGCTTGATAGACATATGTATCAAATTCTACTGACGGTAGTTTTAAGTTGGCTCCAGTAAACAATTCCTAAACGCAAACTGGATCTCTATAGCTTCATGAACGAGCCTTAACTGCCTCGCGACACGCCTGGAGGAAAATTTGACAGAAATCCCATATTTCGGCGTACGTATTGTACAAAGGGGCGGGGGCCACGCGAACAACATCGGGCTTTCTTTCATCAATAACCACACCGTTCTCCTCAAGATGATGCAAAACACGATCTAGCAGTCCTGGCTGGAGCCGAAGGCTCAGCTGGGCACCCCTTTCAGCAGGGTTGGAGGGCGTAATAAGGGAGAATGGCTTCTCTTCTGGCGGGGCATCGAGTGGATAATTCAGTAAAAGATGTTCAAGGTATCCTGTCATCTTGATTGACTTTTGCCGGATTTCCTTCATTGTCGCTCGGTTGAAGATTTCCAGAGAGGAGGCGACGGCAGTGATATCGAGGACTGATGGATTGGAAAGCTGGAACCCTGCGGCACCTGGTTGGGGAACGAATTCTATTGCAGGTTAGTTGCATGCTAGATGGTCCGGAAAGATGCTCCACTTGCTGTTGTCCATTTTGAATCGTGTTGCACTATCGAAACCCCACCACCCCGAGAGACGAGGCCGGAAGGTCTGGTCACTGTCAGGCTGCTTCTCATCCACACGGCCATGGCGTTCGTGAACGAATATGGCTGCCATTCCGCCGGGCCCACTATTAATATACTTGTAGCTGCACCAAGCTGCAAAATCAACATCCCAATCATGCAATTGTAGATCTACATTGCCTGCGGCATGAGCACAGTCCCAACCAACCAAGATGCCATGGGAGTGAGCATGCTTCGTGATTCGCTCCATATCGAAATATTGACCAGTATAAAACTGAATTGCAGAAAGCAGGACCAGGGCCGTGCTGGATGCATTATCGTCAATCACTTTGAGAATCTGCTCAGTACTCAAAATTGGACGATCAAGATCCTCTGGCTCAATAAGGACCATGGCTTCTTCAGGGTTGAACTTGTGATGCCGAACTTGAGAATCGATTGCATACTTCAGATCCTATCAGTACCTACCATCTCAACCTGAAATTTCGGCTGCAGCAAACCTGAGTTTCATATCACTTACATGATCGCTTGGAAAAGCTTTGCCCTCGAGTATGATCTTGTATCTTTGAGGCGTGGGACGGTAGAAGCTTGCCATGAGGAAATGTAAATTGGCGGTTAGTGTTCCCATCACAGCCACTTCGCTCTGCAATGCCCCAACGACTGGCGCCATCAATTTTGAGCCTGCAGAGTCGACGTCAACGAACGGTGGGAGAAGTTGATCATCATGGGGTACAAAGTGGCCTGTCACACCCTTAGTTGCCCATGCTCGTAGGTACTGCTCGATGTAGCGTTTAGTGCTGCGAGGTTGAACTCCTAGCGAATTTCCACAGAAGTAAATGCATGTAGGATCTGCACTAGTATCGTTTTCGGCTATTTTGAGCGGTTAGCGGCAGGACCACTAATGCATACCCAGTTATCACGTATATACGTATACATACATTCTTCAACAGTCAATTTGGTTCTCTTCAGGTCCTTCTTAGATGGGATTATGAACTCATCTCGGAAGTGGCGAAGGGGATCTTCAGAGTCTAAAGCCTTTGCATATTCTCTCTTGGAGGCTCTGATATCATCCTCATATGCAAGTGGGTGTCCTGACTTGATGTCACGGAGATGTTGTCGTGAACCCATGGGTATAATGATAGAAGGGCACAGATGAGTGAACTGTGGGATCCTGAATTCAGAATTTGAGACCAGATTCAGATCCAAAGCATGAATGAGGCCTGAGCCCGTTATCTAGAAAAGTCCAGCAGACAGTCCACCCCGCGCGCAAATGTTCTGCCGCTAGACTCCGCCCAGGATGACCAATCGCGCATCTGACAAACCCGCGGTCATCGGATGGACTGATCGCATTGAACTAAATTTCTTGACCTTCCTTACATCCTGAAAGTACTCGGGCCTTCACTCTGCAGACCATCGAAATGTCCCGACCGTTCCTATCACAGTCAGCTGCTCGGCGACTGTCCCGACAGTCCAGCCGACTGTTCTCAACGTCTCGGCCCGCGACACGCTTCTCCGCTTGCTCCGTCGGCGAAGCTACCTTGGACCGGCGGACACCTACAAGCGCCAAACAGACGTCTCCATGCCATCCCTTAATTCGGAGAGCCTCCGTTCGACCTCCTTTTTCCTACCAACAAGCTGCTCCTTTCTCCTCATCGGCTGCCTGCTCAGCCACCAAGGTCCTACAAAATCCGAGGACCGGAGACGAAGGCGAACCACTGATGATCAGTATATCGCCACGCGCTGTGGAGGTAGGTACCTGGTCTTCTTATATATCGCATGCCTTTTCCCTTTCCAACGCAAATGCTGGGTGGAAAGCCATTTGCATCCCTCATAAAATGCAACGGACGTACAGCTTCGGGACCATCTGTATCAGTCTGGTTTAGTCCTCAGCACATACGACCATAGGGTGTGGAGAACAGGGCTTCCCGTCCGCTCAGCCGTACTTAAGCCACACGCCGGTCAGTTAGTACTATGGTGGGTGACCACATGGGAATCCTGACTGTCGTATGTGTTTTTGCTCACCATATTTTTCTTGTTTTTCTGGAGTCGACTTTGTTTTCTTGCTAGTAATTTTACTAACTCATCCTAGCGCTTGCGTGAAATTACAGATCCTTCTTCATCACCTTCCGCCACAAAGGAAGAAAACCCCTACAACCACCTCCGCATTACCGTCACTAGCGGCGGCTGCCATGGTTTCCAGTACATAATGTCGCTCGAGTCCGCAGCCAAGATCGACCCCGAAGAAGACACAGTCTTCGAGGGCGAGGCCGAGGGCGCCGAAGCAGATGCCCGTGGTGAAGCAAAGGTTGTCTTGGATGAACCCTCCCTAGAGCTGCTTTCAGGCAGCACGGTGGATTATACTACAGAGCTCATTGGCAGCCAATTCAAGATTGTGGATAATCCCCGAGCCTCAAGTAATTGTGGCTGTGGGACGAGTTTCGATGTCATGGGTTAAATGGATTGATTCATCCAAAACATGTACAGATAGTTCTGGCGAGCTGCTAAGATAGATTAATTTGCATTCAATACCCCTCTCTTGCTACGTCGCATCGTACCTTGCTGGTAATATTATGCACCTCGGAAATTTGAGTATAACGACAGGCTGCACGGCAAAGAGTAGTGGAATATGATGGGACATACAATGTCATATTGGGTGCTGGATACAAGTCTTATGTATGCAATTCATTGAAATTCTCTTTTTCTTTCTTCTACCTCACAACACACTCTCCACAATGTTCTGTGAAGTCAGCCACTGGGAAGAAGACCAGGGCAAATGGGAGAATCAATACGCCCTAGAGACACCGCAATAGCCCGACGGATTCTTATGCCGTGTGGAACCTTTGTAGTAAACCACATGACCAGAGCAGAATCGGACTCAAATAAGTTGGAAATAAATGGAGAAAAAAAAAGAAAAAGGAAACGGATACTAACCAGGGAGAAGTGACAATGATGACAATGGAAAGAGGAGAAATACCAAAAGGGGGCGTGAAATGAATATGGAAGAATAAAGAGGTAGATCGTCTTAAGTCATGTCCAAGGTGGGGCTTTTTTTGCATGTCAGAGTCCATCATATTTTAAAGCCTTCTAAACACCCGCAATTCAACGGAACGAGATGTAGTGGTTGGTTGCGCGATGTTTAGTAGACGCGAGCAAGGTTGCGCAGGTACCAGTCCACCAGGCGGCGACCGGCCTTGGTCTCGCTGACATGGATCAGGTCATCCTCGATAGCATAATCAAGGTCGTTGGAGATGACGGGCTCGCCCTCAAGTAGACCTCCCTCAACCCAGCGGATCTGGCGGCTACGTTGCTTGTTGACCAAGAGCCAAGAGCGAAGTTGGTCGGACTCGACCTCGAGGAACCCAGCTAATTTCTTCAGGTCCATAGTGGTGTAGAGCTTGAGGTAAGAGCGAATGGTAGGGTTGAACACAGTGTTCTTGACCTCGTCCATGAAGATGGCGGTGTGGTGGTCAACGGGGTCGACGTTGTAGGCGGGGTTCTCGAAGTCAGGAGGAGTAGGGCTGATGAACTTGGGGCAGGCGGAACGAAACAGCTCCTCGAAAACGGGGAGAGACTCGGGACCACCCTGCTGCATGCGGTGGAACTGCTCGCCGTACTTCTCACGCACAGCAGAGTGGATGGTGTCATCCAGACGAGTAGGGTGGAGAGCAACGCAGATGGCGATCAAAGCGTACATCTGGTCGTTCTTCTTGGCAATAGCGTCGTAGCTGTTGCCGCCCTTCTGGAAGTTCTTCGTGCGTGATACGTACACTAAGATGTGGCTGAACATGCGAATGGCGTCGGCATAGCGGCGCATCATCATATAGGAAAATCCCACGTAGTAGTAGGTAGTGAAGTGAGCGGCCATCACACGGGCGAACATGGCCTTCTTGTTCATCTCGATGTCATCGAGGGTCTTCAAAGCCAAGCTGAAGTCACCGAGCAAACAGTGCACACGGAGCAGCCCAACGATGGAGAAGTAGCCAAGCATCTTGTAAAGAGGGCGCGAGCCGTACTCTCCCGCGAAAGCGACGGGATCCTCACCGCGCTTGATAGCTGCAAGTTGCTCGTTGATTTGAGAGCGCTGGATGAGAGAGTAAAGGACATTCAGAACTGAGTAGCAACCCCATGTGTTGGGGTTCTCGCGGAGGACTTGTGCTTCCTCCTCGTTGGATCCGGTGCGAGCGACTCTCGTGCGGTAGCGGCAGAATGATTCGAATTGGTAGATGAATTCATCGATAACGTCCCAAGCCCAGTAATACTAAGCATTGTAACCATTAGCCCCACTGTTTTCATAATCGACCAGGAATAGACAGGCTGAGCCTTGCTTTCCCATTGTTGTTTCCAACTCGGGGAAATGGATAGTGCACAAAACATCTGACACAAGAGTACTCACCGAGGGAACTTCAAGGTCCACAGGCCCATCCGAGTTGAGAATGTAGTGGAAGAGACTGCAGTAGTTATCGTAACTAGCAAACTTGGTCTCCAGAGTAGCCTGGTACTCCAGCGGGGTAGCGGCAGCAGCTAATTGTGCCTGAAGGTCCTGGGCGGCGGCACCACCGAGGGAAGTCGTCCGGTCCAAATCACTCAAGCTGTCATCATAATTGACCTGCTCACGGTAGTCGTTGACCAGAGCCTCCTCCTCGACATCGGACTCATCGTTGATGTTGGGGCGCGCATTGGCGCGGTCGTCGTAGGACATTTTCAACGATAGGGAGAGGATTTCCGAAGAGAGGGACGGTGGCTGGGTTTCTCTACTTCGATATGCCGTCGAGTCGGCAGCGGCAGGAAAGGGGGGGATGGGTGGGTGGAGGTCGTCGTCGGCGTGTGGGATTTGGGGATTTACCCGTCGAATTTTGAGGGTTTTCGCTTGGAGAGTTTGTGCTTATCTTATCTGCGCATAAATGCATACGATGACTCAGCATATGCATCAACCCTACATAACTACTTCTAGTTACAACCTGGTATCTAAGGCGCGAATAGGGCGCCGGTTACAGAGTATGTCGTGCTACTGTACCTCCAAGCTGTACCACACGATGTCTTACTCCTTGGATCACGTGCTCTGTAAAGTTTCTTTGACCAAGATCTCATACTCGTCTTGGGAACTATATCGTGTTCTTTGTACATCGTATACGGCCCGAGCACCTCTCAATCTTACTGGGCAATCCGGAGTATGCGTAAGGCTATCTCATTCCTGCCAGACACTGATTCTGAGGGCTCCTCCGCAGGTCATTGTAAATATTTTCTCCTTCATAGGAAGTACGTGCGAAGGATTTGCCACCTGTAATCTTCGAAGCCACTCTTTCATGTCCGAATCGACAAATTCTGAAAGCAGAGACTGGGATGCACAATCCTTCTCTTGCCAAACGTTCTTCTCGACGTGGATTTATCAAGTCCCACTAAGTTGATCATGGTAGTGGTAAACCCAACCGATAAGGCAAATGAAGGGGTCCAGGGAGCCCACAAGGATTCTGGACGATGATCGGTCAGGCGTGCAATAGAAGGAAAATAACATCGAGAACGGTCCACATGACTCGTCAGATAGGAAAAGTCACAGAGGTCAGATAGACAGGAATTGGCTCGAGGCCCACCGGTTAAGTGTCAGGACAATTAGTTATGTGGTGTTGCGGTATGAGTTGCTGCCGTGTTCCCCAAGAAAGAGCTGGCTCGTCCGGAAAAGTGTTCCGCGCGTTTCCCCGTTTCCCCCGCGTGTCCCAATCCAAAGGGTTTGACTCCTCCCCAATGCTTGTCTGAACCACTGCCCTCCGTTCCGTCCTGTCACGGCCATGCTCTAAGCTTCTGGGTGAAATGATTCCACGACGCATGACTAACACAGCCGCTCCCTTTCAACAAAGTAGTATGAACCAACTTCCTTCGAACCGCCTAGGTCCGTGCTCGTCTGCCAGAGATCTTGTTGAGTGAAAGATCGAAGACAGGGGCTACACACGCCATCAAGTGCTTGGTCCGGTCCATATTAGGAACCCGCCGATGCCCTTCCACTATTCGCCTCCCTGTTGACGCATCCTTCCCTTTGCCTTCTCACTCCGACGACCTATTCTGCGTATCCCCTCTTTCTTACTCGTCTCGGGTCTCCAATCCGCTCAAGATGTCCTTCAGCTCGCCAGGGAATGCGGTTGCACTACCATTGACCAACACTAGGATCTTGTGGATGGCTTGAGATGCTGGTCTGAATCTCTGAGCCAAGGCGACCCCAAATCGACAGAGCTCCGTGAAAAGATGCTTTGCTTCATCGGAATCTTGTTGCTGGAAGACCACACGTAACGCAGCTGATATCACAACATCACCCAGTTGGCCAGGGATGTGCTTTAAGCCGTATGAGCTACGGTGAAGTGCAAGGCACTGGGCCATATCCTCAGCCTGCATGTGCCACGTCTGTTGTAGTTGCTGAGCTAAGCCTTTCTGGTCCCGTTCAATCAGAAGCTCCAGGATTGCCATGGAGAGATCCAGACATTGGATCCTGCGGAAATTGTCAGTTCAAGGCCCATGCCCGGTGGCCAATGTGGGGGTGACTGAAACAAGGCGCCAATTCTACAATGACAAGAACAGGGGCATTGGGCTGTGCTCACCGAGGGACCAGTAATTGAGGCATGATCTCTTTCTCCTTTTTGATAGTTGATGCGGAGGGCCATTGTTCAAGCCACCTTTGCAATTCGTGGGGCAAGCTGTCAATCGAGCACCCGGCTTCCGCATTCGAGGCAGAGCCTCTCAATGAACCCTCACTATGCAAAGTCTCCTGAAACTTGACCATAATGCATGATAATTCAGCAAGTCCTTGTCTCACCTGAGGAAGGCGCGCGAGTTGGCGGGGGTAGGTGAGGTGGATCGAATGAGGATACGGTTTCCATTCATAGTCTCGGCCATCTTCACCAAGGACTGCGAAAGCCGGCGGCGGCAACTGCGCGATCTTCTGGAATTTCATGGATATTTGTCTGGCTCTTTGTCAGGCAAATCTCGACGGTTCATCTAGCCAGCAGGCACTCACATATTCAGGTTGAACAGCCCCCAAGCAGTAATGCTTCGGACTCTCCTCATATCTGGTGAGATGTTTTCCCAGAGTGGGTGATTTTGTCCTGGTTGATCGAACAGTCCCAAATCTTGGGCCAATGAAATAGCTTGCTGCAGCATTAACCAACACAAACTAGACCTTCCTTGCCATGATGACCTGATCGATATATCAGTGAGAGAGGGAAATGAGGTGCAGAAGAATTTTGCTTGCACTTACACGCAACACATAAGAAGAAGGCCTTGGACACTAGTCAGTGATGGGTTTCCTTCCTCTGCCCGCCAAAGTTCCTCTGCTGCCGAGAAGAAGTGTTGGCCTCGTGAGAACCGGTCTTCATTATCTGCAAAGGCTCCGACTCGATCGGAATTTGTCTGCATAATTAGAACCACGCTGATCGCTGGATGGTTGGAATATATGGGCCTCATACACTTGCCACTGACAAGATACTATTAACTAAAAGCGGGGAGCAAAATTCAGATTCCGATTGCCCTCGCTGCATATTTCCGAGAAACGTTCCTTGGTCAAGAATCTGAGAACATGGATGATCCCATGTAAAGAATAGCGAGATGAGATGTGACACTAGATCATCATCATCCGTGACGGATGTCCATGGCTTCGCTGAAACCGCGAACAGGGGTACATCACAGAGGCTCTCCAAGCTAACTCGTGCATATGGATCACGAGCCGTTTGTGTGGTGAGATTTGCCACTTCCTTCCCTCCCCATATAGGCAGATTGTGCTGAACAGATCCATGTCTGGCTCCAGACTCTGGAGGACTTGGAGGTGCTCCGTCGGGCTCGTTATCCCCATCCTCAGATATTGATTGACTCGCGAAGGAGAGTGCTGAGGGGTCTCTGAAGTCAGTGACATCGCAACCCACGAAGCTAGCAACTTCCTTCAACGGCCGCCCACTTTTTATCATATCCACAAGTGTATCAACGGTACCCGTCTCGCCGCTCCGTATTGTCGTCAATAAGGAGTCTAGCAAGTCCTTATAGCTCGTCAGGTCTTGTATCGTTTTCTTCACGGCTACTTTACGGCGCAAATCTTTCGTCCGATCGAATTGGCAGTATTCTTCAGTGTGCGCGCCGACACAGGCTTTACATGGGCCGGGTTCTCCAGAGCACTAAAAGCAAATGTATCTCGGTCAGCTCTCATTGATACGAGATGATCAAAAACATGCTTATTTTTGATCGGCTTACCTTCCTCTTGGCTGCTTTACATGCTAAGCACGCCGTCGAGTTTTTTTTGGTCCTGCTGATCGGCCGGTGTGACTGTGGTGCGATTGAACGGCCTGGCCCTGGGGCTAGGGGAGGAAGACTCTTCTGAGGATCGTGTGGTCTCATTGTTGCCCCCCGAAAGCAAGCGGCTTTATAGTCGTAAAGCTTCCTCTCTTTCTGGTATCTGTTCGCTATCCGTGGCGAAACCGCCCATCCAATTTCCTCTCGATGGCCCCGTGCGCAACGTGGCCAGGGTTAGAAGCCGACCCTGGTCTTTGGATCCCACCAGAATTGAAATCGTACCGAAGTCAACCCCTGCTGGAGAAGTAATATGGCATCCCAAGAGCCTGATTACCCAACAGATAACATCAAGGTTCGGAAAGATTTGTCGTGATCAAAATGTTCAGGCCAAAAGCCATGCTCCAGAGCTGGCGCGGTGTATGGGCGGTTCGGACGAGACAAGGTACGCGAAGCGGAGGGTAAGATTGCGTAAAGTGGAGACCAAGATCAAGCTGCAAGCAAGACAGAAGAAGCGTCTGAAAGAAACAGGATCAACCTTGGACCAAAATGAGGGGGAAAACACCGACGGACAAACACAAGACGGTCCGGGGGCCCGTCACACAGCCCGGGTACTCCAGTGGCTCAGTGGGTCAAAAGCGAGCGAAGGAAGGTGATTGGGAATGAGAAGATCCAAGGGCATTTTATCTGGTGTCGTTGGTATGTCCATAGGGACCAAAAATACCCAAGCATCCATCGACACGAAGTCAGTCCCAAAACTTGGTCTAAGGGCGGGAGAGCTGCATGAGTTGGTGCACGGAAACGGGACTGGTATGGCCCCGGTGGGCGCCACAATCAGGGCTTCGAGCGAACCAGGATTCTGGAATGAGAGAATGAAGGAACAAAAGAAAAACCAGATCCTCCTGCCTGTCACTCAGCTCCACCCATCCTCCAACTACAGCCTCGCACTGGGCAGACAACAGGGTCCGGGATTGGGAACCGGAATTATTAAACCCTTGCCACAGCCCAGTTCCAGCTCGCGAAGATCCTCATCCAACGAATGGATCCTATTGTCGAGTATGTGGAACGGAAAGAACGCCTACAGTACAGCTGGACGAGTACATACAGCTTTGTAATGCCAGGCATTTGGTTGATGTCGACTAGTACGGGAAATGGGTTGCTCCCTCCATGCAGCCTACCCGTGCTGGAAATGTCAATAGTTCCAGTCAATGCCTTCATCCCAAGAGGCATTTGGGATGTTTGACAGACTTGTTTTTTTCCATGGATTTCCTCAGTTTTGAGGGTCCCAGCCCTCCTCAAAGATCCCCTGTCTAGCTCTCACTTACGAATCCGCAGTCAACCTCTTCACCCCTATCATGGCTCGGTGTTGAGATCCATCGGATGAGAAATGCTGCTAAATGATATTAGCCTTTTAGCCTTGCGCCTGCGTGTTCCACCTTGCTAGATCCCTGCAAATGCCTAGAACTTTCAATTTGGCCCACTCAGCAGATGGTGGGTTAAATCCCGACAAGACTCGGAATTCTTCGCCGCTAAGGACTGTTGATCGAACTCAGGATTTTATTTCATAGCCCGTTTTGCCCAGTCATCGAACGAATCTCGAGGGTCGACCCGCATACTGGATTATGAACTCGTATCCTTTCGTAAGCCATTGGCGCGGGATTTTGTTCCGCTAAGTCGGTCCACCCTGACTGCTATGGCGTCTTCAGACGCGATCTCGAACGCATACTTAGCCTGGCGCATATATTATACATTCCTTTCAGTGAGAACATTTATACCCTACGCAGATAACTTTATTCTTCGCGCTTCTCCCCTTCTTTGTCTCCTCCTTCCACCATGTGTCCGATCATAGGTTCTTATTGCGGTAAATCTGCTATCCCAGGATATGTCGCCGCAGACCTGAAGCCTACCAGTTGATGTAATAATACGGCATGTAACTATACCAAAACCCCTAGCGTAACCTCCGGCAATTGTCACAGAGATCAATGCGCTAGCCCTTCCAGCTAACCTCTACTTGCAGTTAGATAGAAGCGATACTACATATGTGGCGATACGGGGTGGGGAATTATCCTAAGAAAGTTCTAACACGCATCGCGACAAAGCATCGGGGTCACTTATATCGATTGGAGCGCTACCAGGTATCTTTTTGTGGCGTGCTCCAGCTATATCTACTGAACATGGAAAAGGATTAAAAAAAAAGCCACTAAGTTAGGTTATGGAATGTTGTCTTCGGCTGGCAGGGAGTCGCCACCTTTCATGTTTCTTCTCCTGATACTTGTATCCTGGAATACACCGGTAAGAATGAAGCGCAACCCGAGGTCGTCATCTTCGATCGCAACATATGATTCATTCAGACAATTCCGACTGATGATAGCTCTTCATACTACCTCGGGACCGTTTGGGTTGCAGCCCATAGTCTGTCACCGGGGAGAGTGAGCCCGGATTTGGCAACACTTCTTCTATTGCCCATGCCTTCGCAAGGTACGTGCTGGAGAGATACCCCATCTTAGGGATTTGACTTCAAATCCCGCGGAGGTACTGTAGATCAGACATTTGCCGCCAATCAAAACTGCAGCTACCGAAAATTACCGACCACTGTACAAACACGACGCACTCGTCAAGGTCGTTAAGGTCGGCACTCTTCATTGGCCCGGTAAATCCAGCCGCGGCTGGCGCGCCCGCATATCCGGTTCAAGCTGTCATGCTGGCGAGGCAAACTGTTGGCAAACCTGGTTCGATGCACAACCTGCAGTGGGTTGAGCTGAAATCTCACCTGAATAATAGTGCCGGCGTCGAGTACTAGATCTGGCTTAGTGGGGAATATTCCATAAACCTTATATTGGCTATTGGTACGGAGTAGCGTTAGACTACCCCCTGTTACTAGTTAGTGGGCCGCGTCCATGGCCTTGAACTTACTTCCCACCTAAATGGGTCGGGTTCCAGCTCAACGGTACTTATGGCCAGGGGCCGCCAGACAGCCGCATGGGTAGCAAGCTCCTCCTACTGTAGTAGGCCGAAGCTTTATCCTAACGACGGGAAAGCGATTGTGGCTGCTGGCTGACCTCTAGCAGCTAGATAGGCTCAGCCCCAGATCGGATTTGCGTTGGTGCTCGGGCCCCTTCAAATTAGCCAAACATCCGGTACAAATGCAATACGCCCAAGAGGTTGCCCCAGCCTTTTTTTCTAATTTTGCTTCACTTTTCTAATTTTCCAAGTGGGGATCTCGTATAGCTACGGCCCCTTGAACAAAGAGACCGGAAGCTTTACGTCTGATTGGCGGAATATAAATACCTTTGCCGTATCTTTGACGGCCTCGGCCAATTCATGTGCAGCACCCCTGTAAAATATCAAAAACATGGTACGGTTTCATTCGGCTGAACCCTTGATATCATAATGCTTGAATCCATCTTGGTTCTCTAACTTCCGTACCCCGTTCAACGAGACACAAAAGTACCCACGATGCATGGAGGGGGAAAACAACGATAGCAGGTAGTCCAGAGTGCCCCCTTCTCTACTCGAAATCCATCTCTACCCGGAGTCAATGCCCAGGACACTTGAAAAAGGCCTTGCATACGTGTAGTAACAAGTCTGGAAGCTCCAGAAGGAAATCTGAGTCGCCTTGCAGGGCTTCCCACATCAGATGATGCTGGCTCTTGGGCTGTGAGGGACTGACGCGGAAATGCTTCAAAAAGATCTCCTGGAGTTGTTTGTATGGGATTTCGCAAGAATAAAGCTCCTTCAAAAGGTGGCAGAACTGGTCCATTCCCATAGGAAGAGAAAGGCTCTCTTTGAAGCGAGCGGCGGCCAGTCTCTCCAACCCGGAGATTTTGAAGTAATCTGCCTCGGCAAACATCCGCAAGTGATAGTAACTGGGGTGGCAACCATCCAACGAAGGCCTTGGATCCCCGATATGGTCCGCTGCTGTGTTGGTTTGATCCTGTACGTCGTAGTGGCTAGATACCTTCGCCTGTTTCTTACTCCCAGTCTGCATATCCCCTGCAGTTCGCTTCAACGTCGACTTGGAAGGCGTGTGATTTGTAGCGCTGGCCTCTGCCAGTGTCGCTTCAGGCACTACTTGGTTCCCCTCTTTCAAGGGGCTTTTGGTGGCCGTATCCTGTCGAATTACATATCGAGAATCATAGTAGCCCTTGTAGAGGTACTCGAGCATTTTCTCGATGAGGATAGCGTCTTTCGTCTCTGAGTCGAGGACAATCTTTCCATTGGATTCCTGCAGGGGAACATGGGTTCAGACTCCAACGCCACACGCGGTATATGATGACATAAATACCTGAAATTCGCCCGTGCAGGCCTTCTCAAAGTAATCAGACTGCGGACACACGATGGTTTTGTGCGCGGGAAATATTTTATCGCCGCAGTAGATTTTTAAGTTGCTATACTTTGTATTCAGAAATAGACTGTCTGGTCAGTATGAGACTCACTTCATCATGAAGGAAGGATCGCTCTCACTCCGGGACGGCTATATGGAAATGAGCCTGGCCTGCTCTGCCCATGGCGAGTCTGCTCAAATTTGGCGTTGGGTATGTGGAGGTTATCGGAAGGTAGGAGTGAAAGAAGGAACCTTCCTCGCCTTCTATGGATGGCGTGAGGATATTTGTTGGTGGGAAGTATGAGGAGATTCGTTGGCGGAAGAAGAGTCGTTGGCGGAAGAAGAGTCGTTGGCGGAAGAGAACCTAGGGAGGAATGAAGTATTGAGATGAAGGCAAATTCAAGCTGCGAAAAAGAGCCCCGCAAGAGTAATAAGAAAACTACGAGGATTAAGGGCCAAGGCCTGGGTGATTCGAAAAGCAGATTTGATCTTGGAGAAGAATTGCAGCTTGGGCATAAATTGATTGCACGTCCTACGAGTTGAACTGTTGAACCCGCTTCGAGGCGGAGGATCCCTTTGCTCTAGTAGAATTAATATGCATGCACAAATGCTCCTCAATGACAGCGGTACTCTTAGATGATACTCCCTGTCAGTCAACGCCTCGCATCGTCTTTTCAGACTCTATGTTTTCACCTGGTGTATACTATGTCGCTCCTATCAAGGGTCTACTAGCAGCTTCCTTCATGCTGCTTGTCACTTGACGCCGACTGGGGCTCACGTACTAGTAATATCTATACAAATAGTAGCCAGCTACTGGTACTATATACTGTTCACGTATGGGTGCTTTGCACACACAGCTTCAAAGTGAAGGGAAGAGAGAGCCTAGATCGTATCTTCCGGCGTATACAGTAGGAGAAGAGATCCGTCCAATTAAGGAGAGTTTACTACCAGTAGTAAGTTCTGTGGTACTACGGAGCCTCCCCAAGCTAAATAACTATACTCTTCAAGGTTAAACCTGGGAAGCTGACGTATCAAACCTCCCAAGGTCACACTTGCGCGGCTATTGTCGGCATAGGTGGGTCCCCACAGTAGATAGGGAACGGCGCCTATCAGACCATCCATGCCAGTATGTCATGGCAGGGCGTACGTTATGCAGGCTTTGTGCTCTCAAAAATGAGCCATTATCGGCATTGATATGCCAGGAGCAAATCGGATCACTCAACTGCCAGTCGCACTTATCCGTTCGAAATGCTAGTGGGCGCCAAACCCGAAGGACAAAGTCGGTCGTCCCTCGGCGAAAATCTTTTCTCCGTCGATTGGTACTCTCACGGGCCGGTACAAACCGCTCGGAAATATTAATATGCCATCGTCGCGGCTGTTCTGGGCTCTTCTTGTATTCATCGACTCATAACGGTTTCGCTCATATATAGAAGTTTATCCGCCCATCTGCCGACTTAATATTCTACCCGGCAAATTGTCGACCCACTTGTTGACTCACGAAATCCGTGGAGAACTTTCCAGATTTTATCTGCTTCCTTGAAAACGTCTTAGCAATCTACCGGACAGTCACGGACCTTCGTGTATTCATTATGGGTTCAATTGCACCTCAGATGGCCGAGCTCGATGGCTCACACTTCAACATCACCCGATCTACTACCCTGCGGGATGTGCCTTTGCCGGGTTCCCCAGAGGAGCTGAGCCATTCTTATTGCACGGACCACATGGTCACTGTTCGATGGACCGTTGGCAATGGATGGGAGACCCCTGAAGTGAAGCCTTACCAGAACCTGAGTATCGCTCCGACAGCCTCGGTGCTCCACTATGCTACGGAGTGTTTTGAGGGTATGAAAGTGTACCGCGGTTACGATGGCAAGCTGCGATTGTTCCGTCCTGACCTCAACGGGCAGCGACTAAACAACAGTTCCCAGCGCTCATCTCTGCCTGGCTTCAAATACGACGAGCTGAAGAAGCTGGTTGCGAAGCTGATGCAGATTGACGGCCCCCGTATGTACCATGGAAAACTTATTTCTTCCCATCAATATGCTAACGTTCATCTGTGCATCAGGCTGGCTTCCCAAGGATCGACCTGGCTCGTTCCTCTATATCCGACCCACTGTCATCGGCAATGGGCCTCATCTCGGCGTTCAGGTGCCCAAGGAGGCCCTCTTGTTCATCATTGCGGTGCCTTGGCCTGATTTCACCAAGACGAGAAAAACCGGTGGCCTTCGGCTTTTCGCCTCTACACCCGACACTATCCGCGCTTGGCCTGGTGGATTTGGTTACGCCAAGCTGGGTGCAAACTACGGCCCATCCCTCCTGGCCCATGGCAAGGCCCAGGCTCTGGGCTTTGACCAGATTCTGTGGCTGTTTGGCGACGATCGCCAGGTCACTGAGGCAGGTGCCAGCAACTTCTTCCTTATTTGGAGGAACAAAGAAACCCAGAAACTGGAGCTCGTGACTGCTCCGTTGGAGAACCAGCTGATTCTCCCGGGTGTGACCCGACGAAGTGTCTTGGAATTGGTTAACGAGAGGCTCTCCAAGAAGGCCGTAGGCAACCTAGAACCTTTGGAAGTTGTGGAGAGGACTTTCACCATTGGTGAGATCGAGCAGGCAGCGCAGGAGGGCCGCATTGTTGAGTCCTTCGTATCGGGCACTGCAGTAAGTTTTGCTGACATCCTAGTGAAGGCGTTGAAACTTTCCAAAGCTAACAGCTACCAATAGTACTTTATCACCCCTGTGGCCATGATTCGCAACAACGAGACTGATATCAGCACTTTGCCTGAGAATGGTGAGCCTGCTGGCTATGCTGCTCAGATCAAATCATGGATGGAAGCTATCATCTATGGCAAGGAGGCACATGACTGGGGATACGTGGTGGAAAACGAAGAAAACTGAACATGGAAAACTGATTTACTGAGTTACATTTTCATCGATAGATCGCGTGATTTGAAAGAGCCTTTTCATGATGACAATAGAAATATGCACGTTCAAGCGACCACAACCAAAATTATTGCCGGATACTGTACATGTAAAAATGGCTTCTGAGAGTTCTGAATAGAGCCTGAAGAGACATAAGCATAAACTTATTGCCTGAAAAGGGGTGTGGAAATCTCCGAGGAATGGAGACGGAACCTGGTGACTTTATAAATTATCTGGTGGATGCGAATTGCTCTCTGGTGAAAGCCGACCGTACGCTGGTGACATAAATCGCATCCGGGTGGCTCAAAGTCGACCTTGGTGATTTTACAGATTATTCGAGTCAATAACCCAAAATAATTCGTCAATTTCACCATATTCATAGAGTACCACCACCTTCCTCCACGATGACCGGCGCATACTCACCAGTCTCCTCATCCTCGTCGTTATCCGAAACATCCATCTCAACCTGTTCACCGTCCTCTAGCTGTAACATGCCTCTTTTGACAAAATCTGCTGGTTTCAAGTCCCAGTCAAATTCTTCCTTGACCCATCTCTCGATTTTGGCAAGCTCCACCTTGACGGTAGATCTGGCCCCATCTTCAAGCATAAAGTCCACGGACCGCCGAAACTTCACAAGCAGTTCGCGTAAGAATGCGCCACCATCGTCTCCGTCGATTTCGAACACTCCGCCCTCGACATCATCACATCGTTTTAATTGTTGTAACAGAAGGCGAAGAAAAGCACTGATGAAATGCTCCCGGTCCAATATCGCTTGACGAGAAGTAAGCACGAGCTCCACCAATCTCTTCCATTGTTGTAAACAGGAGTAATTCATCATAGTCATAACCATGATGAATGTGAATTGTATCTCCCCGAGTACCTGGGACTCGCCCTCTCGTTCATCGATGGCCGTTTCCCCGAGTATTCTACTCGAATATCGCGAGATCAAATCTCCCAGAGCCCAGGATCGATCTTGAGCAGCGTCCGTCCGCTCTCGCCCAATCGCACCTTCTCTCCAAGTTCGTTTTAGATCGATAGGAAGAAACCCGAAATCTCTCTCTTGTTGCCCCATAGCCCCAGGCACCCCGTCCGGACCAACGGTCGGAGTATCGAGACCAGGAATGTGATCCGCATCGCGGCTCGCCGAGCTAGCAGAGGTAACCATCCATCGCGGATGGCCATCAACATCGTAATTCGGGTCTCCGACAACACGGGACAGCATCTGAGGGGATATCCGACTCGTAAGCTGTCGCCAGTCCTTCCTGCCCTGCTCTTCCGCCTCGCTATCTTCTTCAGCCTCGGCCACACCAGCTTGCTCTGAGCCGCGCTGATTAGCCCGCCACGGCGCAGACACCCGGCTTCGATACCGGAACAGTCCACCTCGCTGCCAGATGGAGCTGAGATTGGCCTTGTAGCGCATTGCTTCCTGGCGGTCAGCATCACTGTCGCCGCGCAGCGTGGCCAGGGACTCGGTCTCGGCACTCCATTTCCATATGTAGATCTCTGCGCCGGGGTTTGGGGGTTGTGCTCGGACGAGCGCAGAGTCGCTTTGTTCTGTGCCCGCGGCGCTGATATCGCCGATGTAGAACCATGCTCCTGATCGCAACGAGAGGCTCTCTGTTGTGCCACTGTAGAGAAAATGCCAGCCGCTGGGCAGATCCTTGATTCCGTGGAAGTTGCTGGTCGAAGTGAAGGTGATGAGGTCGATGCCGACGAGGGTCTTGAGAGGGAGGTCTGGGAGCAGGATTGTCGGCGAGGGATGCACGCGAGAAGCCATGATTCCCAGGCACACCGAAAGAATATCTCACGGGCGACTAAGTGGTCTCTCGTTGGCGTAGAGCAGCCTACACAGCTTGCGCGCGGTCCTGACGCGGTGCGGTGGTTAGGGATACGGTACCGAAGTTAAGGTCCGGAGGAACCCGATGGGTTTAGTCAAGACAAATGTTGGACGGTGGCGATTGTGAAAGAAAATGGGTATCAAGTGGTCAATAGCCGCGCTTTTACGCAGAAGGTGTAAGGAATAGATGAGTGTTGGAGCTGCCAAAAAAAACGCTCGAGCTTCTTCATCGGCCCCGCGGTAGGTCCCCGCACAGGGCTGAAAGCGCGCCAGGATATAATCGACGGCATCTGCCGGGCTGAATCGACAGGTAGTTTTACGAGAACTTTACGAGAAAATCATATTAGGCAACCCAGAACCGGCCAATCGATTTAGTTGTCAATGACAATCTACTCCAATAGCTAAGACTGAGCATAACAAACTTTTCAGGGCGTGATAGAAATTGAAGACCAGGCAATAAGGGCCGTTCTTCGCGTTTATTCCATCCACAAATGCAGGTAGACCCCGCAGATAGCCTCCAATCCAGCCACGCACGCAAGTCGTAGGCGGAAACGAAAGACGTACCCGCACACGTCTACAGACGACGACCACGGCGACCACCCTTGCGACGAGTAGAGTCGGAGGGGGTGGGGGTGACGTCCTCGATACGTCCAATGCGCATGCCAGCACGGGCAAGAGCACGGAGAGCGGACTGGGCACCAGGACCAGGGGTCTTGGTGCCGTTACCACCAGTGGCACGGATCTTGATGTGCAGAGCGTTGATACCGAGCTCCTTGCAGCGGGCAGCGACGTCCTGGGCAGCCAACATGGCAGCGTAGGGGGAGGACTCGTCACGGTCAGCCTTGACCTTCATACCACCGGTGACACGGGTGATGGTTTCGCGACCGCTGTAGGACAGGATTCGTTAGCCATTGCTCAGATTCAAGTTTGTTCGGGTTTTGCGCATGTTCCACCAGGTTGGCTGAGTTCATTGCGGGGAGGACGTACGAAAGATCAGTGACGTGGACGAAGGTATCGTTGAAAGAGGCGAAGATACGGGCAACGCCGAAAACGAGCTTGCCTGTACAAGCACAAGTCAGTCTCCAATATCACAATTAAGAATTATTCCAATGAGCGTTCAACATACCGTCACCGGCGAGAGGGCCGAAGGAGACGTTCTCCTTGGCGGCGGGAGCCTTCTTGGGGGGAGCCATTGCGAGTGGTGTGGGATGGGGTTGTCGTGGATGGAATATGAGAAGGAAAAAGTGAAGCGGGCGCAAACTTCGAAGATGCTAAAAAGTGGGTGTGTGCCCTGAGAGTATTCTTGCATCCTGATTGGCTTGTATGGCCTGTGGGTAAGCGAGCCGATGACTAAGATGCGGTTCCGGTACGACAGTCGGCCCGGAAAGCGGTGTATGTAGCAAGCTGCATCCGTCTATTTAAAATTTTCTCTCTTACCGAGACGCTGAGCTCTCTTTGTTTCGCGAAAAGATCTTCTCCGCACCCTTGCAACCCGATGGACGACAAGAGTGACGGCTAAAGTACGAAGACCGACCAACTGATTTACTAACAATAGTCGTGGTGGTCACTGTGAACACTTCAATCACCGACGCAATTGGTCTTGACTCGTTGCGGAAATGGGTCGTACCAAGCAGGATGCCTCCATTGGCATCATTGGAATGGGCGACATGGGCAAAATGTATGCCCAGCGTCTGAGTGATGCAGGATGGAGGTAAATTGCTTCCCCCCCTAACAGCACGGAATCCGTGCTGTGTACCCAGAACAGGTAAGCTTACGACTCATCTCTCTCGTGTTTGCCCCTCCCTCGAATGATGACAAGAGTGCATTTGGCTCGAGCATGGCCTGGTGGTTAATTGCCTCGCCTTTCTGGTCGGTGATGAAACTACTGGGTCGTCAATGATGTAAAACCCTCGCTACCTTACTTTTTTCTTTGTCTGAACGTTTCTGAACATGATCATTTTTTTTGCTTGACCATTCTCCCAAGAGAAAACATATCATGCTAACGAATTTTCGTATTAGTCCACTCTTCTCGTGATATTGGCCATTCTGGATACTTCGCGCGGGCTATCCTCTTTATACTCTTTTACTAACGAAACATCTTTCCTCTTCAAGGATAAACGCATGTGATAAGCCTGAGAATTATGAAACCCTTCAAAAAGAATTTTCGTCCCAAGTACGTCTCCCGTCGGGGTCGTCCTGTTCAGACGCTCATCGTATAATAGCCCTTGGTTACCATTTTCCCCAATGGCCACCTTGTTTCCAGAATTAGCGATTTTATTCTGTACAGTGTAGAGGCCGGCGTGATCGACCGGGTTGTGGCACAGTACGGGCCATGTACGTGGATCTATTGACCCAATACCCTAAAAAACACTGTATTTCTGACTCGGTGTTCCTGAAAAGCAACGAAAGTCGGTGCCATTGTTGGAGGCCAAACCTCCTGTAAGGCTCCGGAGCTCAGCGCTTTCGAGAGACACCTGCCCGCGGATGTAGAGATCGTTTCATGCCATTCGTTGCATGGACCCAAAGTCAATCCCAAGGGCCAACCGCTGGTGGGCTTTCCCCCTTCGTTTTTTGAATTCACACCGGCTGTGACGTTAACTTCTGGGAATTGCAGGTCCTCATCCAGCATCGCGCTTCAGATGAAAGTCTCCGATTCGTCGAACATATCCTCTCCTCATTTGGATCGAAACTGGTTTATCTGACGGGAGAAATGCACGACCGTATTACAGCCGACACGCAAGCGGTGACACATGCGGCGTTCTTGAGCATGGGTACTGCGTGGCAGGCGAATAACCAATTCCCATGGGAGATGTCACGCTGGGTCGGTGGTATTGAAAATGTGAAAATTAACATCACTCTTCGCATCTACTCCAACAAATGGCACGTTTATGCCGGCCTGGCCATCTTGAATCCCGCGGCCAAGCAACAGATTCGGCAATATGCAGAGTCTGTCACGGATTTGTACAAGCTGATGATTGGCGGTCACCGAGATGAATTGAAGCGTCGAGTGAAGGCCGCTGGTGCATCAGTTTTCAAAGATGGTACCCCGGGCCAAGACCTCTTGCTGAAGGATGAGCATCTCGACCAATTCTCTCTGTCGACGCGCTCTCGTGAGGCCTCGCCACCAAACAACCATTTGAGTCTGCTCGCCATTGTCGATTGTTGGTCAAAGTTGGGCATCGTTCCCTATGATCATATGATATGTTCAACTCCTGTATGTGATTACCTGTCGGCAATAAGAAAGCCGTGGACCAGTGCTTCCGTCTAACATACCTTTCCTTAGCTCTTCCGTCTTTGGCTGGGTGTCACCGAATATCTTTTCCGTAACCCAGAACTTCTGGATTCGGCGCTGGACACGGCCATTGACGACAACACTTTCCGCTCGGATGACCTGGAATTCACATTTGCTGCTCGGGTAAGCCAGTGCATTCTAAAATAACAGTCAATCATCTCGAAATTAACCTTCTCTACTAGGCTTGGTCTGATTGTGTCTCCTTCGGGGACTTCGAATCGTACCGGGACAGGTTCGAGCGCATTGCTTCTTACTTCTCTCCCCGTTTCCCTGAAGCTGCTAAGCTTGGCAATGAGATGATGAAGACGCTTCTAGAAAAGACAAGCGGTCAGCCATAGACTTGGATATGTGCTGATATACCCAGCCGGGCAAGCGCCCGGGTATATTGTATGATACAGCGAAGGTTCGATTGGAACATGCAGAGACCCATAACGAGGGTTTTCAAGGTATATGCGATGATGTGATGATATGAAGTCGGCGGCAGGGGCGAGAGGATATATTTTTCAGGGGTGTATTGATATTTTCGTTCTTTGTCGATATTAGTATGAATCACGCCGACGAACTCTGGTGTACTAGCCTCTCTGGCCGAATTAGAGATGTAATAGCACTCTATGTTGGAAATTCTAACATTTTGAGTTTTCTCCCTCTAGTCCTCGGTTTGTGCGTTTTTAGTTTGCCCTTGAATGATATTTGACGTATCATATTGCCCGCTGGCACGTATATGCCCTGTTGCGTGCCGTGCTTACATGGTAGGTGTATAGGATCTTTCAATCTGGAACTGGTAGTAGGAAGTAGAAAGGAGGGTTCATCTATTAGTGTCCATTTCCTATATTCCGTCTGGCAATTCCAAACTCGATGACATAGCTGTTCTGGATTGCCAGTCATCCCAACTGTTTCGTATTTCTCCCGGGCCTCCTTGGCTGCAGTCCTGTGACCCAACATACGTACAGCCCATTTTGCGCGGCGATGAACTTATCAATGGCAGCAACAAATCCTGGTTCATTACCACGAGCAAAAGTATATCCGAGAAGTGAATAGACCAGGACCAATAAAGACAACGTCAGCGCCTGGAATGGCACCTATAGCATCAATCTTCAATACCTGTTTGACCCTCAATCTTGATCATATTAGTGATCGGTTCATTGGCACATCTCATGTACTCGGGGGTAATGCGCCCATATACAATTGCCGGGGAAGCAGATCCTTGACCGCGTCTTCCCTGCAGTATGAACTTGGATGAGGCCACGGTTTGAGTAGGCGACGAGGGAATTGCTGTGAAGGTCATCGATAGGAACTCATTTGCCATGGGTCTCCTCAACAATCTTGTTCGAGAATTCTCGATTGTGATTCTGTGTCTAGTCGGGTGGCGGGGTGGCTCGTTGTGGGCAAACTGGCTATGGGTGCTTAGGTCATGCTATGTTGAGGGCATATCAGTCCTAGAAGGTGAATATAAGAGGCAGTAGGAAAAATTTCTGATTAAGTCCTCATCGAGAGCAAGGCCCATGCACCAGGGCGAGTATATGTGTGTCAGGGTCATGCTTCCCGTTTGATCGTCTCCGAACTTTCTTAAGGTTAGTATTCACTCATTCTGTTTCTGAAAGTTCGAAATAGTCACGCCTACTTCAAGTTTAACTTTACCACTTGTAGTTCCATTTGTACTTCGAGTTGAGAATTGCGCCTCGTCGTAGTGGTACCAGAAGCCGTGATAATATATTAAAGCATCTATCCACCGTGCGCAGGTGCTGCTGGTAGTGGATGACAACGAATAAGTAATGCTAGCAGGCAAATAGAATAGAGGACCATTATTCAGACAAAGGGACTTCATAAGTAGCCATCTGATTTGCGCCTAGGTAAGGACCTGCGCTAACCAAGCCAGGCGTTTCACTCGAAAGTCCGGGGCCCGGGGCCGTTGGGTCACCTTAGTCATCCATGTTTGAGGCTGTGGATCAGACTGAACTGATCCGAGGGGAATAGTCAAGCGAACTCTAAGAGATCATTTCGTGCCAATAGACCAATATCCAACAAATTCAACAAATTCCCATGCCCATGGCAGATGCAGGTGCTCTCTGATCATCCCAGCCCGCGACCCGTGACAGTACGGAGGGCCATCCTCAGCTTCCCCTCTCCCTTCTCCATACTCCGAAACCCTTGCGCCGCGACTCGTTCTACCCAACTCCGGACCCCAATGCGGCCCCTCGATACTCAAGAATACTGCGACTGTCGCTAAGCTCCCCCCCCCTTGGCTTAATGGAGTGCTATGGCTTCCGCACACAACTCAACGTTCTCCGCGTCTACCCAGCACCGGGCGCTCGGTGACGGACGCGCTTCCTTCAGTCAGGATGGCTCGGTAGACGGGAGTTGGATCGAGGGGATCTCGAAGGCTGGACGAAATGGAAGGTCTGGATCTGGAGGGAGCATGGCGTCGGGCCCTCGTGGTGCATCGCTTGCTCCGTCGTTGGCTCCGTCCTTTGGAGGCCCAGGCAGCTTCAGCTCGGAACTCAAGAGCATGCAGTCCCGCAGTGCGACCCCACGAGCCGATACAACTTACGCACGCAGAGCCAGCAGATCAATCGGCGAAGATGATCTACCGACGACCGAGGAGCGCCAAGATTACCTACGAGACAAAATAGCGAAGGAAATGAAGATCAAGACCGGAACTGAGAATATGCTGGAAGCCCTATATGCGAAGCCACTTAAACAAACCAAAGAACAGCGACTTCGAGTGGAATCGGAATTGAGTACCTCCAACCGCAAATTAGCCGAATTACAACATGAGCTTGAGGAGGAGGTTTTGCGTGCGCAGGAGCCATCTGCGACCCCCCCCACGCAGCCGCCTCTCGGGATTTTTTTCGAGGAAGCCCTCTACGATCGCCGTCACGGAACAAGAACGGGACTAACTCATATGAAGAGGACCCCCCCGGAAGACGGCGAGGGGGATATGGAATCTCCGACCTATGTGCTTAGCGAGACTCTTCAAGCATTGGAGATCGAAGGCATGTCGCCTGATTTCTACGTGGAACGGGCTAACAGCTTAGTGGAGCTCTTCACGAGACACCCAACCCTCAAGTATGACCTTGCATGGCCTGTGTTTGGCCTCCGTGTCCAAGTAATGCTTTTGAGCGACAGTAAAGAAGTTGTGGCTGCTGGCTATCGACTAACACGCTACGCCATTGCCGACCGAAAATCGCTGCAAACTATTCGTGAGCTGCACACTGATGAACTTGTCATTTTGTCTCTAGTCAAGGAGAGCAAAGCTAGCATCGAACGAGAGCAGGCTCTCAAATTCGTGCGAGCATTTCTAGACGTGAAGGACGGCGTTAAAGAAATTTCCCGTGCCATTGTCAGGACCATCGTGTCCATTGCGGAGCATCATGAAGATCGTCTGCGTAACATTTCAATCATGACTTTGGCGGAGATGCTGGTCAAAGACCCCAATCTTGTGGCTTCCGCGGGCGGTTTCTCCGCTCTTCACGATGCATTATCCGAAGGAACCTTTGGCGCCTCGGAAAGTTTGATATCCAGTTTCCTCCATGTATTGGATACACCGCGCAGCCGTCAATATCTACAGGGCTGCGAGCTTGAAGCTGTTCTGGCACCCTTTACTGACTCGCTTGCGGATTCCTTCCGCAATGGCCGGTTAAAATCTGCCGCTCGTGCCATATCTGTGATGCTTAAAACGTGGCCGGGTCTTGTGATCCTTGCACGCCATGAAGCTAAGCCACTCCGCTCTCTTCTCGAGTCACTTCGATACCCGGATCCCCAAGCACGAGATCTGATTATGGAGTTAATATTCGATGCCCTGCGGATCAAACCGCCATCCTGGTCATCATCTTTCTTAGCAGGAAGGAGACTGACAACTTATGGTCGCGTGTCAAACCTCCGACTGGACACTGACCGGAAACATGCAAGGTCATTTTCCGGTAGTGGCCCCAACAAATTCGATTTGACAGCGCACTTCTCGACTCTCATTCTTGCGGCATTGGTCGCTGCTGGCCTACCTGAGGTAGGGTTTCTTTTCCTTTACCTTTTTCTTTTTTTTTTATTTAAATGATAGTTCAACCCGGATCAAAAGCTGATAAAACCAGGCATTATCAGAACTTATCGAAGATGAGGAAGATCCGTCTTTACGAAGAAAAGCGACTCTTCTATTAACGGAAGTGCTGAAACTGGCTCATCACTCATTACCAGCAAACGTCAGCGCGAAATTACAAGTTCTCCCTCATCTAATTTCCCCAGCTGTTCATCATGAAACAGAAAACCACGATGTCTCGACGACCACAATTTTCCAGATTGAAAGCATCAACCGGACATTGGCTCGCTCTGGAGCGGTGCCGAATGGCGTGGGGCGATACAACGTGGACACCGATATTTCAACTTCCTTGTTACCAAGTGAGCAGGGGAAAGATAAGCTCAGCCCAGCTATGGACGAGACTCAGTTTCGGAACGCTATCCTGGAGACGCACGTGTTGAATACCGTGAACTTCAACAAGTGGAAGTGGGATCTGATTCATCGTCTCCTTGAAGGTCCCCTGACAAATCCAAAGCGGATGGACGAGGCGATCAAAGGTTCGAAGTTCATGAAACGCCTCCTCGGCTTCTACCGACCTTTCAAATACCGGTTCGCTCTGATCCCAAACACAAAACCAAATCAACGCTACGTGAGGACTGGCTGTGCCCTGATGCGCACCCTTGTCCAAACCCCAGAAGGCACCAAGTACCTGGCGGAGAACAAGTTTCTACGGCAGGTTGCCGAATGTCTTGCACAACTCGACCGTATGAGTGGCCTAACGTCGGAATCCCCACTATTCTCTCGAGAGCAAATGGCGAACACGCTGAGCGGCGGATATTTCGCAATGCTGGGCACATTAAGCGCCGATGCGAATGGACTGCTTATGATGGAACGATGGCATATGCTGAACATGTTCTACCATATCATTGAGCTGCAGGATCGAAACGACCTCATCCAGACCCTTCTAGGGAACATGGATTATAGTCGAGAGAGCCATTTACGTGTGATGCTGTCGAAAGCATTAACAATTGGATCCAAGGAGATTCGAATTTTCGCCACCAAGCTCCTCCGCAAATACGCCGTTGGAGATGTTACGATCTCCTTACAGGTGGCAATCAGCAACGCCGAATGGGTTGTGAAACTCCTTGTTACCCAATTATACGACCCCGATGTCACGGTTTGCCAGATTGCGGTTAAGATTCTGGAAGAAGCATGCAACCAACGTGATTATCTGGAATTCGTGGTCAAATGTCGCCCGTCTTTGGACCATCTTGGAGAGATTGGGGCGCCACTTCTCTTGCGCTTCCTCTCAACTTCGGTTGGTTATCACTATCTGGATGGGCTGGACTATATCACCCAAGAGATGGATGATTGGTTCCTTGGTCGCAATGATTCCTATGTCGGTCTTGTGGAAGCCGCTCTATCACGTGCTTATGTTGACCAGCCACGGCGTGGTAGCTTTGTACCAGAGGACTTTGTTGAGCTTCAAGACATCGGTGTTGTTCCGCCTCACTTTTACCGAGAACTTGCAAGGACAGCGGAGGGTTGTAAACTCTTAGAGCAATCTGGGCATTTCAACGAGTTTGCTTGGACAATTCGCGACTTCCGCCTCAATGAGGAGGACCAGGAGGCTTTGCTGAAGGTCAAAGGTTGCCTCTGGGCTGTCGGAAATGTCGGTTCCATGGAACTTGGTGCTCCCTTCCTGGAACCAGAGATTGTTCAGCATATTATTGCGATTGCCGAAAGCGCCGGTGTCCTAACGATGCGAGGAACTGCGTTCTTTGTTTTGGGCTTGATATCACGAAGTCGACACGGGCTTAATGTCCTGCGGAGTCTCGGATGGGATTCGGCCATCGACCAGGGTGGCGATTCACTAGGCCTGTGTCTGCCAGTTGACTTTAGGAAGCTGTTCTTGGTAAGTCCAAAAACAATTTAATGTTGGGTCGTTCCGGCCGTTAACAGTCGCAGGTTTCTTTTCCTGGTTATAATTCCAAATCGAAACGCACCCCGCAGACCAAGCTCAAGGAAGCAACCACCGATGCGGATCCCACCAATGAAAAAATCCTCAAGCTCATCGTGGATATGGGTAATACCGTCTTGTCAAAACGATCTGCTTCGGATCTCAACAAGTAAATATTCTATCTCCTCTCGCGCGATAATTCCCCTTTACTGATAATCGGATATAGTATCAAAACCAAAGAGCCTGAGCGATTTCACCAGGTTCATCTCTTTCGAAAGACTCTATGTATCCTTGAGAGTCACCATTTCCGACTTCCTTCCCGGCGGTTTTCCCTCGATCTATTTGACAAGAGTGTGATGCGGCGCATTGTCTTCGACGAGGATTCCGAGTCTGATTCCGACTCGTCAGTCTAATGGCGTTTGATGATATTAGGCTATCTCCATTCAGTCTATGGTTTTTCAACCCTGCCTTTCGGAGCAAGTGGCGGTATCTCTTTTTTTCTTCCCCTTTGGTTTTTAGCTTTTCTGTTCGTGTTTGCTCTGGGCATTTGAATCTAGCATAACGGCGACATTGGCAATGAGACACGAAACTACATCTGAGGCAATCCCTGAGAAATAATCACCCGTAGAAGCCATGGAAGTGATGTACCTTGAACTTCCAGCATCTGGAAGCCGGCGACTTAGTTACGCCTCAAAAACGCCGATTATCTAAAGTTGACCCGCTTTCCAATCTTAGGCCGGCTATATGCTGATCACGTCTCTTCCCCCAGTCTTCCAATTCTCTCCCCCCGAGCTTTGTTGCCCATATCGCTCGTCTCTTACAACTTCCTGATGCACCTCACATAGGATCGCATCGGAGTCGCCTGACGAGCGAACTGATCGATCATGAACGCAGCTACGTCATCCCCGCTACCTCCGACAGCCGAGGCCGAGGCTCCCGCCATCGAGGTGAATACTGATGAAGCATTCCGCCCTTCGGATCTAGATGTCGCACCTCATCTAGTCGTGCGCCTGATTCAATGCCCGCGCTGCCATCGTCCCCTCGAGCACCCATGTCGTTTGCCGTGCGGGAACGCAGTGTGTAAGCGCTGTTTACCTCCCGTGCGACCGCGCATTGGGATCACATACCCCGTGGCTCAGGGCCGCGAGGAAGGATTCACGTGCTACTGGGAGGGCCAGAACGGCTGTGTAGGAGAGCACTGCGTTGGGGACTGTGGGACCGATGTTGTGCTCTGCTCTGTGGCTGGTCTCTTCCACGAGGAGCTGATGTGGTCCATGCCGGGTGTAGAAGGCCCGGACCCACCTGAGATCGGGCGTGTCGTGCGCTGGAAGATCAATCGCAAAGCGGCAGACTCGGAACCACAGGCGTTGCGCATGAAGCAGCGTGGTTGGCTGCATGCATTGTACGAAGCGGCGTGGGGTGGCCGCTTGCCTTCTGATGCAACGGATATCGTCTATGAAGATACGGGCCCGGTTGATGCTCAACGGCTGCTGCAGCTTGCAGAAGAAGACCGCGGGCGTCTCAAAGAGCTGAAAGATAGATTGCGGGGAGAGCTAGATTGCCAGGTCTGTTATGGTCTGATTCTGGACCCGGTAACGTTGCCTTGTGGTCATACTTTCTGCCATTCATGCATTGCTCGCTCCTTGGATCATTCAGATCTCTGTCCAATATGCCGCCGCAAACTGGACATGCTATCATCTGTGTCTTCTGAGCCACTCAATAGGACGCTCGTGCGGCTCATCGACTTCTTCTTCTCAGACTTGGTCGAGGCCCGGCGCGAAGCGTTGGCACAGGATGAACTCGGTGTGGATCATAAGGACTTGCCACTGTTTGTGTGCACATTATCATTCCCGACGATGCCCACTTTTCTCCACATATTTGAACCACGTTATCGTCTCATGATCAGAAGAGTGGTCGAAAGTGGAAATGGGAAATTTGGGATGGTCATGTGGAATCGCCGTGGGCGATCACAATCAGATGAACTTGGCAGTGTGCCATTCATGCAGTACGGAACATTACTGATGGTGGAACGGTATGAACTTCTTCCAGACGGACGCAGCCTCGTAATTGCAACTGGGATCTCGCGATTCAAAATATTAGAAGCGGATGTGCTAGATGGATATCATGTTGCGAAAACAGAACGCGTGGACGACATCTCTCTGGCAGAAGAAGAAAGGCTGGAAGCCATTGAAACCACTACAAACATCAACACGGAACTAACGGATGATGGAGATGGGATTGATGGTCCATTGGATTCAATGTCGACCCAGGACTTGATGCTCCTGACCCGCGAATTTATTCGCAAGCAGCGCCAATCCGGTGCACCATGGCTCCATCCTCGTGTTATGCTAGCGTACGGACCTGTCCCAACAGATGCCGCTCGGTTCCCATGGTGGTTCGCTAGCATTCTGCCTATTGCCGAAGAGGAAAAGTATCCTATTCTTTCGGCAATAAGTGTACGAGAGCGATTGAAGATCTGTGCTAGATGGGCGAGAGACCTGGAAGCTCGTGAATGGTATGTCTATGCACTGACGCGAAGAATGATTCTCTCTAACCGATCTGATAGGTCCAGTCGATCATCCATCAGCTCTGCCTTATGACTAGCCGTCCCTCTTCTCATATTCTGCTTGATTCCCCTAGCATACAACCCATTTCTGTCACTAATACACTCACTAATCCCGGACGTGCTCACATCATTCACACCATTCTCCTTTTCAATATCGGTGTCCTTTGGTTCCCGAGGGCCTGTCGTCCTTGATTTGAACGACCAAACTCTGAATTCGATTACAGAGCCGGAGTCTCGTGTGGACGGTCAAGTGCAGTCGTCCATTTCCCATACCTTGGTGATCGCTGCATTCATGGCGATATTCCTCATCCAAGTTGGAATCAACTTCATGCAGGTCTTACGTACAGGAAGACGACAGAGAAGGCAGGCTCTGGAGCTCCAGTTTCCTCAACCTTTACCGCCCCGGAACAGAGCTTGAAACCGCGCGCAAGATACGAATGCTAGGGAGCAAGCATTACGACATGATGAAGAGGGACATCGACTGTAAGACTACGACGAAGGCCATCGAAGTGGTAGCCTTTCCTCAGAAAAGCTCAAAGAGCTTCAACACTTCTTGATGCCCACCTGTGGCCATCCTGTGATCATCTATAAGAATTAATTGATCTGGACCGGGCTGGGAGTAAATTTCCATCGAATCAGCGAGAATTTACAAAAAACGAGACACAGACTGTCACTGTTCTTTTCGGTCTTCGTCTCTACTGTTGATAAAATGCAGATACCTTGAATATGACATTGAAGACATGAGGCTTAGCTCTGCTAAGTAGCCTATCTAGGGAGTGTTTGCAGCCGTGTGAGCCAAAGGGCAATTGAACGAACCGAGGAAGGAAGGCCATGAGTTGCAGATCCAAGCCGCCAAAAAAGGGAGGCTCAGGCTTTACGGCTTATGCGCGACCAGAGGATTAACCATGGAAACTCATGATATAGGGAGGGCTCAACCACAGAGAGCTATGAAATACCCTGCCTGTTCATGCTGTATATGTATCTGTATCATAATACGAAGTTGAAACCATTCCTCCCGTTTGGTGGATCTGCTTTTTACCGATGGAAGAAAGGGAAATTGTTCAGATCGTGAAATGCTGTAACGGGCAATTCAAGTGAGAAGCCTTCTAGTACTAGTGCAGGACGCTCCTAGGGCTGAAACTAAAGATTCACACTGGCAGACTCAGGGATGCAACTCTACTATTAACCCCCAAAAATTACTAGAATTTGCCCATAAAATAACTCAGGCTGGTACTACTGTGTTTTCTTTCAATACTGACAACCATTTTCATTGAATTTGCTGGAGAAATCTGTTGAACAAATCTCCACGGGCCAAGCCATGGGAGTAATGATAGCCGAGTCACCACTGGACGAATCTCACTCAGAGGGTAATATCAGTAGATATGTAGGGCCCATCTTGGTTATATTTCCATCTAGGGACCAGTGTAGGTGCAGTTGGACAGGTCGAAGGTAGCCAAGTCAATGGTGTATGGGGGAGCAGTGCCGCCTATCTCTTATTTTAGTACATCCTAGTAGAGCATCAATCATGGGGCGTGAGACTACCCAAAGTTAGCGTGTAGGAGACAACGCAGCTGATGTTTTGGTCGCTTTGGTCTACATCAAAGTTGATGTTGCCGCCGTTTGCCCTCAGAACATCCACAAGGCTCTTGAGTTTGTTTCCGCTCAGCTCAAGACCGCTGGATGGGGCAGCAAAGGGGAATGCAGATGCAACAGCACACAGGGAAACAAAAGCTCCGAGGAACATCATGTTGGGGGTTGTTTGTTGAAAAGCTAACGAGGCTTGGTTCGATATACTAAGGCCTGTGGGATATCAGCCTAAGCGTTGAGATAGGCTTCCATCTTATACCGCCGCCTTCAAGCAGTCCTAATGAGGTTCCACTGGGCTCGACCGTTCTATGGGGTAACAGTATCATACCGTACCTGAGCACAAAACTCAAATTGACATTAAGCAACTCAGTCTGGGTCACCGTGTAACAACAATGTACCACGGCTGAGTCCACATCGTGGAGTTTGATCATTGAATCAAACGAATGTCTCTATTGTGCCTCCCCTTATGCTTTGAGCAAAGTCAACTTTAAATTGTACATATGTTTCGGGCTGATCTAAGTTCGCCGGTGAAGAAGTGTAGTAACGACCGGAGAGACAAGATGGATCATGCCAGTGCTAAATTAACCTCGATCCTTGGCTGTGAACACCTGCAAGGCCATCAGTAACAACTCTAATGTTCAAGTGCTACCTTATGCCGTTTCACGGCTCACTGTATGATGCTCAAGTAGATTCTTGGTACCTGACTAGCAATACCGAAACCCCCTGAGCCTGAAGATAGCTTAATATATCCGAGGAGCGCCAACCCAAATACTCGTACTAAGCCACGCTAATCTTCACTGGCAACTTGAATTATCGAACTTAAGGTTTCTTGTTATCAATATACAGGTTGGCACAACAGTGCTGCTATCAGGGCGAATTATAGCATTCCCCCCTTGATCGATCATCCTTGTACTCAGACGCCAGTAGTGACTCGGGTCAATGATTTGGGTCATGCTCAGCTTGAACCCGATTAGTCTACGCTATATGCAGAGCCCTGGAAGGAAAGACAAGAAATGATGTAATGCTACGACCGAGAACCTTGGGAAACGTGGAAGTATCTCTATGTTGGATTTGAATGGGGCAGCCCTTGGCTTTTCGGCGACCCTGGATTAAGGCACCACGAATACTAGAAGTATCTAAGGTATGAATGAGTAGCATGGTATTCAACTTTGGAAGTTCATCCTATAATCGCTCCAGGACATATGAATTGAAACGCATCAGGTGCTATAAAACACGAGGTGCCAACTATATCAGATTTTCTTTTAGCGTGGATTGATGACATCCGAGTCATATATATCTACTTACTGCAGTGTTGACCAATGTGGAATGCCGTCAAATTACAGATGACGGTGAATTGGCTAAGATGCAAGTCTGCCGAAGGGATGACCTGAACAGAGCTTGCTAGTTTTTGCAACCCCGGGCCACTAAAGTGACCGTTGGCAGCCAGCAGAGTCGTTTCTGGGAATGTTGTGATAGCAGACGAGGCTGCTGGGGATACACTGGCCTGCGCAAGAGCCAATCCAGCTGCCCAGAATGGAATTGCCACGTGAAACTTCATAGCTGAATTATCTTCCTCTGCTTGAACTTCTTTTGGGCCGGATCAGTACTAGGAAAGCCAATAGTACCAACAGTGAGTTGCGTGTTGAACGTTCCCGGGAGCGTTTTGATATCACGCAATATATAGCTCTACTCTGGAATAGAATTCCAACCCGCTCTCGGACCTTCCGCCCCGGCTTTCCATGTTAAGGTGTGCATCGTCAGGTATATGAACCTTCGAAGGTCGCGACACTCCGAAGTTAGTGTAACTCCCTACCCTATTCCCTAGCAAAATATATACACTAAGACTACTTGTACGTAAAGGCTTAATGCAATGCTGCATTCCACTTACCACAACTAATAAACACCAGTTCAGTCACGTAACCCAGGACGAAGAAAAACTATGAGTCCTCCGAATGGATTTCTCTGGTTTAGTGATTTAAATTCTCATCAACTCCCATCTTGGATATAGTGCTTCGGATTTGAGACTATGTAACCCTCTAACCTCCTCAGCTACGTAGGGTGACCTGCAAAGTCTCTGGAGGTGGGACAAACGCAAGACCCTTGCGCTTGGATGGGAACTCGGTAGGTTAAACGGAGATCAGTCAAAAAGCGAGATAACTTGAAATCGACTAGCCTTTCAGTTTTAGATCGAAGCGATGATAAAAAGCAATCGTCAACTGATGACTCTCCCGGTGTATCTAAGATATGTAGGGCCAACCTTGGAAGTCTCGATCTGAATAGGACGACTAGTATCAAAAGTAGCATCTAGTTTTCATCCGGATAATTCTTGGCTAGAATTCAAGCAATCCTCTCAGTCGAAAGGTTGCACGTGCCGCGTGCCTGCGAGAAAATCCTAGCAGTCTGAGGATGCCCTGCGTGTAGCCTGGGCATTGGCGTGGTGGCACCCCCGAAAATGAATTGGTCTCGGGGGCCTGGAAGTAGTGGGTCTTATGGCATGACGTTGGTCTAATGCATATAATGAATGCGATCCAAGTGACATGTGTATTTTACTGGGATGAACTTGATTGGGGCATCTTAGCAGGAGTAAGGCCAAACGGTAGTCATTGACACCCGGAGGTTCTCCAGAGAACCATCCATCTAAAAATCCGAGCCGCGCAGAGTATACTACAGCAGGCTGTGTGACGACCTGTATGAACGAAGAGTTTTAAAGTGGCAGTGCATTAATGCTAACTTAGCTGTCCCAGTGGGGCTGTCTTCGTTCTACGCTATGCGGGATTTCTGTGATTGGCGATTCCTGAGATTAGGCCCCCAAGAGCCCCCATCCGTAGCCGGTGGCATGGCCTGTTGATTGCCAATCCACTATGTCTTTCTGGGAGGGACCGCGGCTCATACCCGACTGAACCGTCTATATCTGAGATAAGCTTACAGCTATCCAGATTTGTACATATGCGCAAGGTGCCGCCTCTCTTTATTCAAAAGCGGAATCGCTCTATGGATATATGCCCAATCTTATGCCTGGCCCATGTCCGCTCCTAATGATCCGCGCGTCCCAGGACCCCTCAAATGATATACTATAAAAGGAATGGCTGTGCCCAAGCTAGATTGCGAGCCCCTGCTACTCTTCCAATTCTTTACCTGAAAGCCCTCTCGCGATGCCTGAAAACTCCGAAGAACAGCCTGTCAAGCTGACCATCACCCATTATCGGAAACCGCAGCACACTCATGAGGCTTTCATCAACTGGATGGTCGAAAGCCACCTGCGAGTAGCCATTCCGGTGTTTAAGAAGCATGGGCTTATTAGCTACCATCTAGTGAGTACTTCGTTCAAAATGCGGGTTGCGCTCTGCTCTGACTCTTGTGACTTAGTTTGTTACCCCGCCAGCTATGAACCTTTCGTTGAAGGAAGAAATGGCACCGATCAAGCCGAGCTGGGATTTTGCAGGGTACGATTGCGTGATTGAGTACATTGTTCCCAGTTTCCAGATAATGAGGAATATAATGTCTGATCCCGGGTGGCAAGAGTCCCTCAAAGATCAAGACGACTGGGTCGACGGACCCAAGGCTTTGCTTTCCATTGGCCATTCTATTCCATACCTACTGAACGGAGAGGCTGTGAATCTGCCTGTATAAAATTTAATGCCAAGGTGTAGATGTTTCCACGACATCTTACTGATATTTCCAGACTTGAAGCTGTAAGAACAAAACACGAGAAAGGAATCAAGCAGCAAAAAGACTTAGGCTCTACAGATCAAGGATCATCTAAGACTTTAGATCCCGCAAAAAGGATAGAGAGGCCTGCAAACTTCGCTGTGTGAGCTCAAGGCCCAGGCTAAGCTCCTCCGCAATCATTGGTGCCCTTGCTGCTTCTGATACCTTGCCTTCTGGCACAACTACAGCATGGAGATCTCTGATGATGCACTCCATTTGCTCAACAACCTTATCCTCTAGAACTTCAAATTGTTCCTCTATTCTCTCGTAGGATGACCAAGTAAGGTCCTGATAGTTCGAGAATAAGCCTGAGTGCTGAAGGTGATTTGCCATGATTGCTTTTTGTCTGGCGTGGCGTCCAGTCCCTGAGAACACTTTATTAGCTAGTGATCAAGAGGTCTTGGGAAATGTCATACCCGATTCACAGCTACATTTATTATAAGCAGGGCGCATAAGCTCCCCGATGAAAGAACTGTCATGACCGTAAAGCATATCCCTCATGATAGTCCTGGATATTCATTAGCATTACAGTATCATTGGGCTTCGGTCAGGATGGATAGACGGACTCAATGTGTTGCAGAATATTTTCGATGCCATTCCGAAGTTCACGAACCAGCCATTGCTTTCTGGCATCCAAACTCGTGATTAGGTTGTCGAGGGCATGAGGTGCATCGTTTTGCCGCTCTTGAAAATATCAGCGGATACTCCTAGAAGAGTGGATTGATGTCAAGCGGAATCCTAACTGACTGACCTTGAAGTTTGTTTATCCATTGTTCGAATAGCTCGGAAAACGTCATTTTGATCGCGCCCATCTGAGAATCGAGGTAGTTCGTCACCGATGCCCATCGTTGACTCAACACCTCCCGGGGAATCTCTATCAATTCATCATTCCAGCAGCGGTATTTAACATTTTTTGTCTCATGAGTGCCATTTTTGCGACAGAATGCTGCATAGGACGCATGGTTCCACTGGCAGTGTCAGTAAGTAGTCCATTTGCGCATATGGAGGACTTACAGTGGCCCACTCCTGGCTGATGTTGATGCAAGAGCTTGTCCATTCCCTCTTGGACCTGCCTGTGTTCGTTTTGTCAGACGTGAGATACATCATAGGATATGGTCATCCTCCTAGGACGTACGGATAGTTTGCAAGATTTGGTCATCGAACATATCCCACAGATTGCTTTTTAGACGAAAAACAAATGCGCCAGGAGATATGAGATCCTATTCTGCATTAGAAACAAGTAACAACTCCGAGGCTCTCATTCGAGCAGTCTAGAGGTGACATGTGGAATGAGCAATAGATAGTGTTGTCCATACCCGACGAACTATTCTTTCCATTCCTTCCAAAAGCACGCGAAGATTCTTGGCTTTCTCAGTATCTACAGAGTCGCGTCCGGAAAGAATCCATTGACGAAGGGAACCGATGAGAGCCGGGACTTGATGTTCCAAATATGCGGCTGTTGCTTGCATTTGCGCTTCAGCAGGCACGAGTTGACAGTGCTTGCGTAAATCTTTGATGGCACTGAGACGAACATACGCCTCCGATTCATCATCTTGTTCATCCCTATGGTCGGAATAGAGGGTATTGCTGACCAAAAACACCGTGGTGCCATCATGCTTTGCAGAAAGTTCGGCGCCTATTCTGTTGTTTCGCTCATTTACTAGCATTTCGGTTCTCCTGAAGAAAGATTAGCCTTGACAACGACTGAGTCGAGATCTCGAAGAGCCATACGTGAGTTTGAGTTTGCTCAGTTGCGCACTGATACGTCAGCGGATATTACGCTTCACTCAAAGCCAGACAACCTACCCGATCTCTGCAAGCTCTACCGCAAAGCCTTCCTTTCCCGACTTTGCTTTTCGGAAGTCCGAGGCCCTTCTAGAGCAACTTTTTGACAACTTATTGATATCTTTGTTGATTTGAGCGATGCTTTTGCGAAAATTGCTAGAACCACGAGCCGATTCTTCTGGATCAAAATCCTGCCACATGTGAGAGAATGACCCCGCGACCGAAGGAAACAAACGTACTTCAGATCTTGTACAGACAATCCTCTGGGTCTTTCCGCGGCACCTGGTTCTGATATCTTGAACGGATGTGTCTGTAGTGCATCTGCTAATTCCGACCACAATAAACACCTCATCGCAATTGTGCAGAAGGTATCTCTCTGTGCTTCGGACTCGCGCGTAGTTCAAGTCTCGAAACCCTAGTTGTCATGAGCACCAGTTATCTTTGATCAATTAGTGGGTTGTATGTACCTGGCAGATCAGCAATCACCAAACCCATCCCCAGGATGGCCGAATCAAGGTAAACTCTGCGTAAAATTAGCTTTTCTTCGCCAACATGGATACTTAGAAGTCTCCAAGGTTACCTGATGACCTTGATGAAGGGCCAAAGAACAGGATGTTCGTCACTTGACTCGTTCGAAGTGAGCTTGTCCAGCTGGCTTTTGCAGGCTTCTAGGTCTCCTGTAACCACGGAATATTGAAGGGAGTTAAGACCGCCCGGTCGACGAGACATTTCGTCGCGAGCCCATTGCGCTAGTGTCGACTGAATGACTACATCGGCGCCTTCCGTCTCATCCGACAAAAATTCATGGTCTAACTTATCGTACCTCCCGAACAGAGAGTTGAGAGTCTCCCAAGCCCGGCCGGCCGTCTCCCGAAGTTTCTCTTGTTCAGCCGTCGATGTCACTTCCCGGAAGAGGGAGGCACAATAAAACATCCGGAAACTCCTGACTAGCTCGTCCGAAAGCTCTTTGACTTCGGCCTCGTTCATAAAGTCGGCTTCGATGGTAAAGGGATGGGGGTGGTCCGCATCGATGTTGCGGAACTCCGTTACGACGCATGTGCATGCGGCTCCGTCCCGGCTCTAACACAGCCAAATTAGTTTGACGAAGGAAATCTCTCCGAGTGAAGACTCACGGAGCGGGCAAGCATAGGCTGATCGAGAAGCGAGTTGATCACTGAGCTTTTGCCTATCGCATTCACAATGTTAACCGTTGGAACAAGTAGGCAAAGATCTGACAATCCATACCAACACCCGAGTCTCCTATGAATCCTACGTTCCAAGTTTCTGGGGCACGGAACTCGCTCAATTTACGGGCTTCACGCTCTAGCATATGCAAATTTGTCGACGCATCACTCGCCAAATCAGACGATCGGAGAGTATTCGCCATGTCCAGCAGATGGCATTTCATAATTTCCAGGTTATGTCGTAGGCGCGGATTGTACACTGGAGCTTCGGGCAGCTCATCTCGAGGACTAGTGGAGGGATTATCTTCTCCCTCTGAATCGGAAGTCGATGATTCGCTCGTTGGACAGTCATCGGAAGCTTGCGATGCAGTATCCAGGGGAGGCTTCTCTTCAGAAGGGTCCGGAGGAGGTTGCTGGGGGTCAACTGCAGCCTTTGGATGATGCGGAATGTCCTGAGAGGGGCCATGGAGTTTAAAGCTGAACTTGAACTCTGTAGGCAGAGGACCATCCGTTGAAAGTCTGGTAGTCTCACTCGCCTGCCCAGGTGCCACTCGGATTGGGAAACTCTGGGAAGAGCCGCTTGGCGATCCGAACTTGAATGGCGCTCTTTGGGGGTTGCTACTGGTAGCATGTGCATTATTGTGGGGAGAATCCAATACCGTTCCCTCTGTTGAGGATGTACTAGGACTTGAAAACAAGGACATGTTCAAGTAGAAAAATCCTGGGGAGAGTGGATGAGAGTGATTTTGTGGAAGAAAATGAGGGGGGGGGGAAAGAAAGGAAGTATTAAGGTCAAGGGCTAATGCAAACGAAGATATAGCTGGTGAAAGTCGCACCCTAAAAATATCGTGATCATGATTGCGAAACGGGTACTTGTACCTAGACGGGGTCGGAGGGGTACAGCCCCCCCTGGCGCTTGACTAACGGCGAGGGATGAGCTGTACCAGGAAGGTTACACTGCATGATAAGCCTTGCCGAGGACAAAACAGGATAGGTGTCTGAAGTTACAGATTCTAACTGATGTTCATTGGCCGCTATCTAATAGAGGTAGAGAGCAGTTCGCGCGGGAACAGCCGGAGTTTCATGAGGCGCTGAGATCTGTGACACCAAACAAACTCGACCGAGGCATGAGAGGATGCTTGCGAAACTCGAGCGGTGCGGTATCTGCTACATGTTGATTCGCTGGTCGCTAGTTGGGATGCCGAGTTCAAAACGCTCTAAATATGCAGCGCGAGTCATGCACAGTGGAGCAGTGGAAGGGCCCCTCACCTCTCTTTGCTGCCTCAATCAGAGTCTCTCTCGGCACTGGATGACACAAATGGGTCTCCAGTCTGAGATTATGGGATTGGGATTTTTTATTGCAGTATATTTCTGCTGGTATACGTTGTGCCTGGGTGATCATCATGACGCGGCTGTTCGGTTCATCATGCTGTCACTGACAGCGGCAGAGCCATGAGCCTAAGCTGTGAATCTACAACCTATTCAAAGCGGACATTCGAAGCGAAAAGCGATAGTCCAAGCAATATCAGATTCTATCTGGTAAGTTCCGAGGCGTCTTTGGCCTATGTCTTTTTCTCCCCGTCCACGAGGGAGCGAACTTTCGAGACGAAGGCCGAGGACGAGTCTCGTGCTCCAACTTGAGGTTCACGAGTGTCACCATGATGGAATTATTACACTGGGCAGCCCTCGTGGCTCTTTCGATTGTAATTGATGGCATCTTATGTAGCCGTGTGCATTCAACGACGGGTCCGACTATACTTTTGGCAGCAAGCTTCACCTCCGCATCTGTTTGAGTGCTGACAGACGCGTCTTCCCAAATCCCCCAAGTCTTCTTTTCTTCTTCTTTTCAATTCATTTTTGTTCTTCACGTATCCTCAGAGTTTCCGTGTCTGCACATTATAATCATCAAATACCTTGCCATCATGGCAAACGAGACGTATCCAAAGGATGTTGAGCTTGGAGTTCTTTCCGATGGTACGTTGTCCGGACTGAAATGCTCAAAAGAAGCAGAGAAGATGCGTTTTTAACAAGTACTGAAGGGTCCTCGACAGTATATTCTCATGACAAGGTCCCGCTGGGGCCGTCCAAGGACCGAGTCGAGCAGTCGAGGGCTCGAGGATGCTCACTGAAGAAAGTGGACACTTCAAAGATCATCCTGGCCGCGCTCTTAATCCCGTTATTGGCAATTTTCCTTCTCGTTGCAGGACTTGTGATCTTTTTGCTGGTTGAAATGGCTACATCTCAGTCGACGGAAGGGAATTGAGTTGATCCACTTCTGGGAGAACATAAATGTATTATTCTGTGCGTAACCTGGAGAGTGAGCTTATGGCTGTGATGCACCGTGTCGGCTTGCTATGTAACAGTCTCAAACCAAAAAAAACCCCCAGAAAAGCTATTTAAGATGTTTCAGCATAATACTTTGGCTGAGTATTGCCAGTGCCACTGTATTAGAACGCCTGGTCGCGCAGGTCTTCACCTGGGCACACTTTAAGTATGATTATCAGACAGCAACATATGAATTCTTTGGCCCGAATAACGGTCTTCTAGTCTATTTAGCCTACTAATGTTACTAGTCCATCATTGTCCACTACCAGCGACACCAGGTCACTTCAGCTTAGAGCTGAATGCACTTCCATAGCTCCCTTGTATCCATATGATCAATTCGGAATTCTAAACTTGAACTCCAAATAGTAAATCTAAGCTTGAAGTAGGCGACCGAGGCAGCTATCCAAACTGGATGTACAGGAGACTTGGCTGTAATACCCACGGCCTTGCCTCCCGAGGCATACATAACCTGTTTCACTACATCTAATTGGGCCGCAACTCCAGCGAAGGTAGTGCCAAACATGTCTGTAAGGACCTGTTTGGCATTCAGTGTGTCCGTAGACCCGTGCTTAGGAGCCTTCCTTGGCCGGGGAGGACTCTGGGAGAAGAAGGCGGATTCTATCCACCTGAACTATCGCGCCGAAGAACATGTAACATTGAGAGTATATGTGAGAGACAGAACATGCTAGTGGTATTTATCGTACAACTGGAACGCGCAGTTTAATCCCAGTTTAATAATGCGTACACAGTGGGTCCAGAGCCGCATAGTATTACATAATACAGTACGCGTTGAGCGTGTCGACGAATGTTGTCTTTTTCAAGCAATCGGACTGATGTGGGAACTACTGACTTGGCCACTGAACATTCTCTGATTATGACAACTCTAGCATTATCACTGGCACCACCGGCCCTTGGCCGGCTGCATGATGCCTTGATATGCCTGTCCAAATTTAGCGACACCGTCGCCCTCGAGGCCGAGAACGATCTAGTATGTTTTCGTCTTTCGTAGCAGTCCTGACCAACTCTGACGAGATACTTTCAGCTTCGATTGAGCGCATTGAACTCTACCAAGACAGCCTTTGCGTCCTTTGTTTGTGCGCGGGAGCAGTTTTTCGAGACGTACGCCTTCACCTCTCGCGCTGGTCGATCGTCGCATCAGCAGGCTACGGATCGTTTTCACTGCCAGGTGCTGTTGAAAGTACGTAATTCAACGACCTGACTCTGCAAAAATTGCTGAATTCATCCCCACCTAGGCTTTACTTTCAGTCTTCCGAGGAAGAGTTGATCGGAATAAAGATACGGCGGTAGAGCGCTGCGATATGGAGCTTTATGAAGACTCGCAGCAGGGAGAGTGCCGATTAACGGTGAAAATGATATGTGGCCTCGGTGAGTATTGCACTCATTGGTCCTGCTATTCAGTCCAGATATCTAATCCAAGAAGGTGTGATCAAGTCCTACAAATTGACCTACGAGCCTGCGGCCATCCAGCATGCTGTATTTGACAGGAATGGATCGATGAACCGATGGACCGCAGACCCGCGGTTTCTGAGGCAAATCATTGAGCATTTCAGCACGTCAGCAGAGCAGCTTGACATGTATTCTGAGAAGGGGAAGGCCGTGTTCACCAGTTTTACGACCAAGATCACCGATGGCAAAGGTGAGGACACGAGTGGTCCCTCAGCTATCCGTAGAAATGATGAAGTAGAAAGCTAATGTTCTAGAAATCCTCAAACACCCTGTCCACACCTCCGTCGCAGCAGACAAGGGGGACTTTGAAGAGATCAATATCGAAGACAACATGCACATTGCCATTAACCTGAAAGACTTTAAAGCCGTGGTCGCTCACGCCGAAACAGCCAACGCGTCCGTCACGACCCGATATAGTCGGCCTTGCAAACCACTACAGATGGCCTATGCCTTCGACGGTGTGAGTGCAGAATTTACGATTATGACCCGGGGCGAAGCTAGCGACGACGAGCCGGCGTCAACACGAGCAACGGCGCCGCAGCTTTCACGGCAGACCCTTACTCCTGCCCCGGTAATGGTGAGCAGGACCCACGCAACTCGCAACACTACACAGAACACGCAGGATACACAGATGCCACCTCCTCCGTCACGCAGCCGACCAATTAGGCCATTGAATGGCTCCTCGACTCAGGAACATCTTTCGCATAGACCAACAGCAGAGCGGCCGCCAACATCTGCGACACCGGCAGACTTCGATAGCCTTTTCGTGCCACAGGATGATGATCGCCAGTGGGATGAGATGGATGAACAAGAGGAACCGCAGGATATCCTTGGCTGGGATGCGACCGGCGGTCAGGTATGTGCGCCTATCGGCACGGGTGTGGCAGTGATAGCTAACAATCCATACCAGGACGCTCTTGAAGGGGGCATTCGAGATGCGGAGCCCGACTTCACGAAATTGTCCAATTCAAACGGCGAGTCCATGAAGGACGACATGGGTATACCTCCAACCCAACGCATGTCCCAAGTTCGCGGTCTCGGGCTTTTCGATTGAGTGAGCTCAAGGTCATAATGGTCCAGACACATTTTATGTCTTATGTCAAGAGGACATAGCATCGCTTGCTCACTTCACCATCAGCCAGCTGGTCGCGCACCCAGCGCCAACGTTAACGATCTTCCGATCTCCTAACCCAGCATGTGGCAGCGGGATGACCTTATATTCACCGGCAACATTGCCACGCGGATCCGTATCAGGGCCACAATTACCGTGCTCACCCCATCCAAATGCCGCCACAGAGCCATCTTTCAGAAGCGCAAGAGCATGCTCACTGCCGACGGCGAGATTTCGTACAGAAGGAAGATTCTTAGGTGGGAGCTGCCCACGATCATCCCGGCCCCATGCAAGAAGGGAACGTGAACCACTCTGATCCTGCACTTCTGCCTCGGGCAGCTGTACATATATACCATGCCAACTAGCCCCAATATCCAAATATCCCACCCCAGCAGCAGGAACAGGATCATATCGTAAGGCATCCGGGATACGCAGCACACCCCAGCGGTTCGCAGGGTCCCCAAGCACAATGAACTCGCCACGCCCCGGCCGTCCCAAAACAACCGTGAACTCACGTCCACACACAGCCCCCATCGCATGGAATGGGATACCATCGACTCGAGTCGGCGACCAGACAATCTTCCGAGCCTTCGATCCCTCTCCCAGCTGGCCCTTGCGCGCCCCGCCCCATCCATATACTTCCCCGCTCGACAAGATAGCCACCGTATGCCCCATCCCGCTGGCCAGACCAATAACATCAGTTCCAGACGGCGGGAAGTCGGGGATACATGTTCCCGGCGAAGGAGGTGTGGACTGCGCAGACTCGCCGAGCCCGAGTTCGCCCTTTGGCGTCGACCCAAGCACGAATACCCTATCAGTCGAGACGGGCATTGAGCGACCGCTATCACTTGGCGGGCAAGGCACAGATGCAACGAGAATAGTCCCTTCCCATGTCGCTGAGATGCATTTGAACGTCTCTATGTGCGAGCCGGAGGCGGGATCGGGCAGGACGAGGCGGCGGAAATGCAGGAGATTTGCTTCGTTTGATGTTTGGACCGATTTGTCGCGCGCGGCCGAGGCCGCAGGTCCGCACCTGCCATCGTCGTTACAGCCTGCCGCGTAGACATGGCCCTGCTTCGTAAGGAGGAGGGTATGGTTTCCTCCGGCGGTTATGCGGGTGACCTCGTCGTTTGGGGCTATGGGGGTGGCCGTACTGAAGACGCATTGGGTCGGGGTGGAGACATCTTCGATATGGCCGATTCCCAGCTGGCCGGAGCCGTTGGAGCCAAGTGCGAAGATGCTCATCTGGGTTCTCCTGGCAGTCAATGTGAGTAAACCTTTCTAAGTTTGGGCGGGATTGGAGCTTTACGCATATCGCCGGTTCTAAGGGCTACCGCCTTCCATACCGCTTCTGAGCTACGATAGGTCATGATTTACGAAGAAAAGATTGTTCATGTCGAAAATGGTTTATATATTCAGCCAAAGGCAAAGGGGTATTAATGTATTGACAATAAAATGAGAACCGCATAATGCAATTCATGCAATTGATGCAAATGATGGCTCGAAGCCAATGCGCCTGGCCCGTATCCTAACCCCTTTGTTTTCTCCAGTCATTGCGCCCTATCCCAAGCAAAAAGAAATAGAAATTCAAATCGTGAAACTCCTAACCCTGCTTCTCATCAGCCGTAGTCTCTGTGTGAGACTTGCTGGAAAGAGTCTGCTGATTGGCAGGGTTATCGTGTCTCTCGACTCCAAAGCTATCTTCGGACTCAACCTCAGCAGCAGGTGGAAGAGCGAACGTGTCCTTATTGGGCGTGCGAGGCTTCTCCATAGGCTTGAACATGGGGCTTGTCCGGTGGAAGTAAGTGTGCACGTGGCCCTCGAGCAACGAGTCATCGGTGTCGATAGCAGTGTCATCACCAGCTTCCTTCTCAGCAATGCGCTGCGCCATGGCCGCCTCCCACTCCTTGCGGTACTCCTCAACCTTGTGCTTATAGTCCTTGTCGGCATCATAGTTCCGACCGAGGCGAAGAACGTAGCGCTCGTACCAGGACAGGTGCTTAGGGTGGACGGCAGGGCCGTGGTATTCGGACTCGCGGCCTTCGCGAATATATTGCCAGCGACGCTCCTGTTCCTTCAAGTCCAGGCCAGTGGTATCAGGCAAGAAGGCCAGAGTGAGGACAACACCAGCCAGGCCGAACCAGGGAACAACATAGAACTTGGTCTGGGTGTCGATGTAGTTGTACAAGACGGAGGCCAACAGAGCACCAGCCTTGCCAGCAGCGGCGGAGATACCGTGAGCTGTGGCGCGGATGGGGGTGGGGAAGACTTCTGCGGCAACCAAGAACGTCACAGAGTTGGGGCCAAATTGGTTGAAGAAGGAACTGAGGAAGTACATAGCTTGGAAGGCTTTGATGTGTTGCACTTCCGTATAGTAATGGTAGTGGAAGCCCGGCACCACGAACATGACAAACATAAGCAAGAAGCCGACTGTCTGCATCCATTTGCGGCCATAGAGCTTATTATCAATGAAGAAAGAAGCCAGATAGTAGCCAACAAGGGAGACGCCCACGTTCACCAAGTTCCAAAGCCAGGTAGGCATGATTGATTCGGAAGAGGGGCTGATGACTTTGATAAAGTCACTTTGGAAGAGTTTGTTTCCGTAGAAAAACACGTCATTGCAGAACCAGCTGCCAGCAGTGGCTAGCAATCGAGGGCCGAAGTAAGTAAATGTCAGACGAAGAGATGCAAAATCGTAACCAGTAATGTGAGACTTCTTCTTCGCCGCGGCCAATTGTTTACTCGCTGCCTTCATATGATAGGCACGGTAGTAGACAAGCCAGAGAGTGCCAACCGCAGGGATGGCGAATGAAACACGATAGGTCCACTGGGCCGAGACAGTTGAATAGGGGTTGTTACCGCTGCCGTGGTGGAACACCAGAAGCAGAATAATCAAGATGACTTGGTTGAAGAATTGACCCCAACCTTGCATCAGGAAAGCGCTCGTAACCTTACGACCCCGGTGGAGGCGATCTTCCTTGGTCGAGATCTTGCCAGATCCAACGGCATTTTCCATACCACTGGTAGCAGTCATAGGGTATTCACCGCCTGTTGGAAAGAATTAGAATGAGGGGGCGATTTTGTGGACAGTTATTTTAGAACGCTTACCAACTCCCACACTGTAGAAAAACAGAGACCAAGCATAGCAGATGACCCAGCCGTTCATGGTGACACCCCAAGCAGCGGTCAACATAAGCAAACCGACAAACATGATCGTGGCATCTTGAATCAGACCCCAGCGACGGCCAATCCAGTCACCGATGATGCCAACCAGGATCTGGCCAAAGATGATACCAATGATCTCCAAGTAGTCAACGGCATTCAGCCACTGTTTGTTGCAGGTAGTGTGATGCTTCCAGCAATCAGGGAAAGACTTTTCGAATAGAGGCTTAATGTTGCCGATGGAGAAAAGGACGTAGCCCTCCAACCCCAGACCGGCACCGGGCAGCACCATGTTGCGGAAATAGTATGAGACGGGGGACAAAGGGTCTTCCTTTATCATCTCCCAAATGTTGCCAAGTTCGCGCTTAGCCTCCTGGGCATCGTACGAGCTAACGAACTTGATCTTCTTGCCTAATGGCAAATCGGCCCAATAAACGCCGTCACCCGTATAGCTATCGTCAGGGCGGATCAATTTGTCAAAGGCATCCTTTTCATGCAGGTCCATGTCCTCCAAGGGATTATGGGTGCCCGTCATGTCCGGCCCGTGGGGAGCGCGAAGTCCAAAATCAGCCATGACGAACGACGGTAGACTGATGGCCTTCGAAAAGATGTATTGATCAGGCGATTGACCGAGGTCAAAAGACCACGGGGGAGGAAGTGGAGGAGGTGAGGTCGGGGGATGACCACGAGGAAAGTTGGTGGCTCGCAGTCAACGAAATGGAGGGAAGGTCGGATTTATACAATAGAACGGGGGATAGCGGAAGCCGGGGACTGGTAGGCGGCGTTGCCAAGCGGAACACATGCTCTCAGGGCCATTTCTGATAAGTCAAGGTAGTGGCAAGATCCACCCAGGTCGCAGTCGATGGCAATTAAAGCAAAAAAAGCAAAAAAAGCAAAAAAAGTAAAGAGCCAGACAACGAAAAAGTCCAGACGAATTTGCTGCGCGGCTCACAGGCCGAAAACAGCGGAGCCTGGTGGGCCGGTGGGGCTGTCGAAGGCGACCTTCGTCATCCAATGAAGTCCACACGTGGCGGCAGAATGGGCCAGATTTTCACCAGATCCAACTTATTTTGTCGACCGCCTGCAGAAACGGGCCTTGGAGATCGCGGACAAATGGTGGACACGCTGGATCCCCGCTAGTGGCCTTTTTCAAACGGAGATGCCCTGATGTGCTCATGTGTGAGGGGCCCTGGAACGTGCTCTTCTTTCTCGTAAGAGAGCAGATCCCGGGGCAAAGGACGGGATAGGCAATTTAGATTACGCAGGGTGCCCCCAATGCTTTCCATGGGGTATCGGGCATATAGCATCGCACAGTAGTTTGCGAGCAAAACCCGCACGTGCTCTCTTGCCTTCTCTGGCCAGCAGGTGGAATGATTTGGCATCCTCAGCCGTAAGTTTTTTTTTCCACTTCCTTGGGGCGCTAGTGGGTTAGTGCCGTTCTTCGCTCGGAAGATGTCCTTTTTTTACTGCGTACTCTGACGTTGAGGGTCCAGTGTGTAGGGTTCATGGTGCCCCGCAGATCGTTCTCAACCGACCACTCAGATCCGCCCGTTCGAGCACATGCTCGCGCCTTCGTATCTGCTTTGCTCCCCCGCTCTTTCGTATCAGAATTGATACTCGGCAACGGCGGCCTTCCTACTCTGGAGACCTTGGGCCGATCTGTACCCATATTGTGTCTCATCGTGGACTCGGGCGCTGCAATGGCATCCACCGTGACTAATGGCTAGAATCTCTTGCGAATGTCATAGAAACGCGAATACAATACAAAGCAACGTATAGGAGAGAGCCCACAGGTGGACTCACCTGGCACTGAGGCGTTGTGGCGCATCAATTCCAATACCTAGCGTGGTGACACCCCAAGAGCCGCGACACGAAGCACGTGCAGATTGCCGAGCGATGGTCCCTGCATTGACACGATAGAGTGCCGGATTCTAGAAGGGAACAGGCTGAGATGAAGCTAAACGCAATTACATATGTCGGGCAGACGATATACGACGCGACCGCCTTGTCAGACAAGCCCATGTCGGAAGAATTGCGACCAGGTCAGTCTTTTCCAGGTCGACAATCGGCGATTCCTCAATGACTGGCTAGGCCTGCTCCCATATCGTACAGGGGCTATGAGGAAGGAACCTCCATGGTCAGCGGCGCCACGTACTGGGCCCAACGTGTCCTTTGCATGAAGATCAGAATTCGAAGTCGCACCATCACATTTTCTGGGGTGGCGTGCCAATACTGCGACATAAAGACCAAGGGCAATGGTGGTGAACTCATTTGATCATCGCTACTTGGTTCAGAAGTGACTTATTTCATCCGATTCAAGTTCTCATTACGGCCCGAGATAAAATCATATAAATTGTATATAATCGTCAAGATTTGCATAAACATCAGGGTATCCGTGGCTCATTTCTAGATATCTTTCATCTCTTGCGCATAAAGCCGCTGTTGCCTAAACTTCGCGTCGCAGGACGGCTTGCAACTGGGGCCGTTTTATGGGTTTGATGAGGAAAGTGTTGATGCCAGAGCCCAGAGCCTCCTTCTGAGCATCAGAACTATCGAGCCCGGTGAGAGCTGCAATAATAAGTGGCGGAATTACTTTTCGCTCAGACTCGGACAGACTCGATCGGAACTCCTTCTCCGCCCGGCGGATTTGCCGCGAGGCTTCAAAGCCATCCATCACTGGCATCGAGATATCTAAAGAGGCTATTAGAAAGAATTCACTAGAGCGAAACGGGGGCTTGGTAGCTTACCAAGGATGACGACCTGGAACTTGCCAGGATCGGCTTTATACAGGTCAACGGCTTCGGCTCCGTTCTTCCCGGACGTATATGTGAAGTTCTCTTTCTTGGCGTATGCGCACAGTAACTGAAGATTTAAATCATTGTCATCTACTAACAGCACACATTTCTCACGAGGTTGCGGGCCGCCTCCATCCTTCTCCGATGATTGTTCTGGCGCAGCAGGGGTTTGATCAGCGTCGGCATCTTGCCGCCTTTGGGCACCAGTGCCATCGCCATCGCCGTCGAGGTATTCTCGTGGTGAGCCAAGGTTGGGGCTTTCCTCGTCTTTGCCAATCGTATCTTTAGTCGGTCGTTTTTGGATCTTCAGCCGTTCTTCCGGGGGGTCGATCGGTGCGAAATCAACAGGCAAGTGGGTCGACTCGGGCATTTCTACCCAGCGAGTCGGCTCCTCGGAAGGGCTTTGACCGGATTCTTCGTCCATTCGTCGCTTGATGCAAAGATCTAATGCCCGTGCCAATTTTCGTGGGCCACATGGCTGGCTCACGAACTCGAAAGAAGTTGTGCTTCCCCGGTTCTTGGCGCTCACAAACATGCGATGCGCTTCTTCAGGGGTCTGGCAAATGACCACGACCGGAGCCTTGCAAGAATCGTCCCCGTCGAAGTGCGCTGGCAATTCAAATAAGTTCCTGCCTCCAACATCCTCGCAGTCCAGTTCTGTCTGCACAGCCAGGTAAAAATCGAATGGAGCGTGCCTCCCTCGTAAAGGCGAAAGATTCGTTACCTTCATACCAAACCACTCACGGCACATCCGATCCAACGAATTGTACAAGCCTGTGTCACGTTGAGAAACAAGCGCAGTGCCGAACCCCAAGAATGCGATTTTCTTATCTTCTGTATGCTTCCTTAACGAGGAATATACTGAGGAGGTTGCAGATGTATGCTCCATTACGGCAGATGACTTGAGAAGGGGCGTGTGGATTGAAAGGACAGTCCCGACACCCTGTGTGGATTCGATATCAATCGATCCGCCAAGGAATCCAACAGCCTGCCGAACAATACTCAAACCCAATCCACTTCCAGATGCAAGGGGGTCTTCCTGCATGAATGGAGTGAAAAGATCTTTCTGCAGGTAAGCTGGGCTGATTCCCTTGCCGGTGTCCTTCACAGTTATCGTGACATTGAATTCATCCTGATGTCTTTTCTGTGATCTGGACGATTGAGAAGACTTTAGGCCAATATAGATATATCCAGAAGACGTATATTTGAGGGCATTGCCGAAGACATTCATCAAAATGCGCCTCCAGGCGCCAGGGTGCGTATAGAAGTCCCACTCGGTGTGCGGCTCGATATCAAAAATAACTGTTACTTGGTTCGCGCGCGGTCCGGCAGGCGCCGCTTTGCTGGCTTGTCCGGCAGTCCTGGACGATGATTCGGTCAAAGCGGGCGGTGGAGCTTGAGGGTGGTTGTAAAAACAATATCCGGCGAACACACATTCCGTAACCTCCTCTAGGACAGAGTCTAAAGTAACACGAGTAAATGAGGATTTCTCACCACCGGGAAGACTTTGAGGTATGCTGGGCTTTCTTTTGCCATTGGCCTTGACCCGAGACGACGGGTCTTTCCTATACTGATCTATGAAAGTAAGATCAAGAAGGTTGTTGATGGTATCTAGTAGGGTGCGGCCACACGACTCAATCGTGTGCACCATGCCATACTGGAGGGCATTCATGGCAGTGTCGCTCAGGATATCAGCCGTTCCAAGGATTCCATGGAGTGGATTCCTAAGCTCATGGGTAATACTACTGACCAAATTAGTCTTTGCCTTCTCCGCAACCTCCACATCGACCCGACGAATTTCAGCCATGATGCTGTTGGTGAAAGCGGATATATAAACCAATTCGTTTTGGAAAGTGAAGATTCGGTCCGGTTGATTTGTCCAGACTATTGCCCCCGCAAACCATCGGTTTTTATCAGAATTCCAGATAGGCAAGAGGAGAATATTCCTAGCTCCAGAAAATATCTTGACCAAGGTATCTGCGTCCTGTCGGAAAGGCTTTTGCCTCCGGCTTGAACCAGCGCGAGAATCCCTGTTGGCTGAGGTCCGATCTTGATCTGAGCCAGAGACTCCCTTTGTTGGATCGTCGCTATCCTCGGAGACCGATCCATTGGCGTTGTATGTAAAGATCTTTCCACGTGGATACCGACGGATCAACGAGGAAAAGAGTGGCTGAGGCACCCGGATGGCTTCTCCTGCTCGTTCCTCATCGTTGATACTCGAGAGCCTCGAGCTAGAAAATCCCAGGCACTCTGAGAAAGTGGCTTCTTCGCCGCCAGAGTCAGCCCTACGTGCTTGTCCGTCATGTCTGGACGAACTTGAGTCCGTGCTCTCATCGCTGCTTGATGTGGTATCCTTGCGTCCGGTACCTCTGACGGTGCGCTTATTGTTCTCGACGAGGTTTCCGAATGTGTCCGTGTCTGCGTCAAGAAACATGACGCCCTCTGCGCTGATCGCTTCCCGGATCAAATTGGCGGCCCGGGAAAAGATGTTCCTAATACTGCTCGGCAGAGATTCATCTTGGAGACGATCACCAGCAAGCACACTACGCGTAGTCGCCTCTTTTTGAGATCGCCCTGATTGGGTTTCCTTTCCTCTATTTTCTCGCTCAAAGTCCGACTCTCCAGAATTATGCCTACTATGTCGAGGCGTTCGGCGTGCAGTTTTGCGATCTTGCCCGTCGATATCCTTCTTTTTAGGGGCATCGCGGATAGGCAAGGCTTGCATACCGGATTCTTTGGATATGTGCTGCAGATCCTGCTGCTCCATGTTCAATTGACCCTCTGCAGACTGGCCAGATGTCTCTGCTGCGTCATGTTGTGCCTTTGCCTCCCACCAGGAATCTCGCAAGGTGGAACGGCCTTCCACAAAACTGCCGAGCCCAACAATCATCTTTTCTGCCCGGCGGCTTCTGTGTGCTGTTTCCTTCGTTTCCAGATACTCCATCGTGGTTGCAGCCGCATCCTTCATGTACTGGAAGGTGTGTCGATCCGGGCCTGACGTTCTCGGTTTACTGTCCATGACGCAGAATGAGCCGATCAAAAACCCCCCGTGGGCTAATGATAGGCACGGCCGCGAAGAATCGTACGCTAGATAACGCCGAGACCAGCTTGGTCGGATTGAAGCGATTATCTTGGGTGATGTCGAGAGAAAATACCGAGTATTTATCCTCCTCATTATCTTCCTTGGAATGGTCCTTGCTTTGCGGGGCGGTGGCCTGCTGGCAGAGGCCTCGTTCCTTGGGGAACACGCAGCATCCTAACAATAGCTTCTCGTTCCCGTGCGCAGTACGGCCACCGATCAGGCTCAAAGTCGGTGTAGCCTCAGCCAGAATGTGTTGCTGGGTCCGATCGAACAAGGAGATGATACATCGTTCCGCGCCGAGTCGAGTCGCACCTAGTTGAGCGAAAGAGTTCAAGGTGGCGTCTTTGGACGATGCAGGGACAAAGTTGTTGCTGCTGGCATCGTCGAAGGGGGCATATCGCGACGTGGAATTCTCAAAGGGGAAGTACCTTTGCACACAAGCTCAATTAGCCCCCGGGCGTTGCGATTTTTGTTCCATAGTTTGGGGCTACATACTTCCAGAATTCACGCTCTTGCGCCATGCGATATGGCGTTTGTCCATGGGACGCAATGATCGCCGCCATGGTGGATTGCCTGGGCAGCGCTGGCAGCTAGAAGTTCTCGGGTATGCCAGGCTTCAATTTGAAGACAGCAAGACATCTTGTGGCACTTCCAGGATTTCCCAGATTTCCCAGATTCACCTGCAGAAACAGGGAACAGTTGCGCCATCTGGCCCAATTGGCCGCAGCCCCACCTTCCTTTTCTGTAAACTCTCCAACTGCGACTCTCTCTTCAAGCCCATGATGTCAATGCTCTACTCTGAGCCCTGGAGCCCTTGTATTTGGGTTGCCCAGGTGGCACTGCATATAAGGAGAGACGACTTAAGAAAGAAGGAGAAGGACAGTGTTCTCCACTCTTAGGCCAGATCTCAAAGGTTCCATGTTACCGGGAATTTTGCCCGGGGTGGAGGATCTATTCTGGATGCAAGACCGGTCAATGCGGTTCAAGGTTAGATTGGATTCAACGGATATTTCCGAGCAGAACATAACAAGTCTGCATGTTACAGGCATAGCAAATGACATTAGTTCTGGTCGTACTGTAGATCCGGGCTCATCTCGAAACACTAAAGCTGCTGGACCCTTGGAGTCCCTGTCAAGAATGCTGGATTGTGATTGGTTTGCCTGCAAGTTGCCCCCTTTCAGAATTTGCGCAGTCCTGCGTAGTGAGTCATCTGAGCACGGGCCATCTACACCAGTTATAAAAGCCCCCGTCTGCCCGTCACCCTTCCTCTTTCTTTTCTTCTTTTCCAGCTCTCTTTGCCAATTGGCTTAGATCAAGTGTAGTATCTGTTCTTTTCAGTTTAATCTCTGAAAGTGTTCTCATGAACACCTTATTGATTATTCTTATTTTTGAAACCCGCGACTGGCCTCTGTGCTTGCGCATGCCAGTCGCACAGTGTCATTGGGCTTACACTACCCCCTCTCGACGCGAACGCCTTTTTTCATCAACTGTGTCGGCTTGTTCCGACCGCTTGGAGAAGATATGGTGTCTCTTACCCCTCATTTCAGCACCGCCACCCCTTAGGTGAAAAGTTACTGCTGAACATCAGTAGTGCGTATCTACGTTGTCCGTTATGTTCTTTTTTGGCTCCTTGTCTGCAAGCTGCAGGTTTGATCGAGCCCTCTGAAGCCGACAAAGGACATGGCATGAAACATGATGTTGTACCACCTCAAGGGACACTTAATGCTCTGGGACTAGGCCCCCCACCAAGACTTGAAAGAGACGCCACATGCTGATCTGCTCCCGATCTTAGTGTCATTACTGAGCCACATCGTAATGATCTCCCAATGGTCATCGCATGACGAAACATTCACAGTTTTGAGAATCCTGTGGGTGTCCAGTAGTAGAGAGGCCCGGATGTCCAGTTCGGGGTTCTCGCCTTTAAAAGACCACGTGGAGTTTGGAGATTCGACCTCTTTGCTAGAAGATCGTCTGTTGTAGATCCTCTTTGCGCAATATTGTTGCCATTCAAGCTCGATGAGATCACTGTAGGCCTAATTTCCTCCAGGAGGGATGTCTGGTCATACTTTGACTGGGTCATGGAGAGATTTGGATCATAGCGAATCAAAAAGGAATCAAATTGGCCCTACTCTGTAGAGCTTGCGCAAGTAGTATGACTGCGCGCCTAAAAGCAAGTGTGCCAAAGTCATAAGCATTCTATGCACATCCGCATCGTATTCGGATCTTTGTAGCGAAACTCTCTCCATACTATTGGATATCTTATTTAAGCACCCCAATCGAAGAATATCTGCTGTGAGGTGTTTGAGACAAAGTGACGAATATTGGGGGCCTTAAACACGAGATGCTCACTCGCAGTATTATCTGCCGGACCTCGGGAGGCAGTGTATAATGGCGGTCTAAGACATTAACGTCGTCACCTAAGTCAACAAGTCTCAGCAGGGCTTAGCTCACTGATCTTCGTCTCCTGAATTCTGGGGTATAAAACGAATCATTTCACGCTCCAGGGATCACCATCAAGGGCCAGAAGAACAAGTCATTGAATACTTGACCAAGCAATTCCTCCAATTTTCCAGGAAATCTCCAAACCCATCCTTTGGACTAGTCAAAATGAAGGCCGCTACTATCACCTCGCTGCTTCTTGCCGCTAGCTCTGTCCTAGCCGCCCCCGCCAAGAGAGATGGAGAAACCATCACGATCACCAACCTCAGGGCCCACCAAACTGAGACATTTGGTCTTGTTACCTTTGATATACACGACCCAGCCTACACCCCGAATGACAGTGCTACTGTCGCTTGGTATGGATTTACTCACCCCCTCGGCCAACCATGCTAATGTGAATTCTCAGGGCTATCCCCGGACAACCCCCTGCGGACACTTGGAGCGCCAGCCATAACTACACTGTCCAATTCCCCGATGGCGTGCACAGTATTGAGTTCTTGATATTTGACCTCGATCGTGCCGACAACTCTGGATCCGTCCAGGTCGCTCTCAACTCCAATGCAGCGGATTCCACCTACAGCTGTGGATCCGATGGCAACGGTGGAACTGCCTGTGCCTTCCCTTCCCCTATTGTCTTGCCTGTTAACTCCTCTTGAAGCTTCTAAGTCTAGAGGTTAACCTCTAAACCTACGGCTGGGAAAGCGTATACTTTCTAGCCTTTCCTTTACATTACTATATATCGCATGTCTGTTAGGCTTTATTTTGATATACTTTTACGTGCATAATTGAAATATTGCTCTTTTCTTGCTGATGGAATCTGCTTCCCAACTTGAAGACGTCCTTCAGAGTCCATTATGGGGACAGTGAAATCCGCCAGCAGCTGCTTCCGTCACTGGCAATTCTAAGACAACCTCGATTCGATGCCAAGGAATAAGCCTCTAGTAGGGCGGTCCAGGAGGGATGATCAGATTACTGGAGCTCGTATTCCGTAGCGATCAATTGGGATCCTGACATCGACCTACTGGATGTTGTAGTGTAGGGAGCAATGGGTATGGGCTTGTAGGGAGCAATGGGTATGGGCTTCACCGGCCTGCGGAGAGTCGCCGACGCTTGGCAATCACTTGGCATCGTCACTTCCCCAGGAATTGTAGGGAGGCTGTGTCCAGTTGTATATGGCAAGGATGTACGCACTGCCAAGACTGTTGAAGTTTTACCATTGCAGATTCCCCTGGACAAGAATCATTGTTTTGTCCACTCCAGCCTGAGTGTCTAGCATCTGAAGCTGTACTTCTACCCATACGATCATGCCTTCCAAGTTATACGACCAATCTAATCCATCATGGTGCCTCGAAGCTGTACCTCGACAGAGTAAAAAATGGCTGTCACTCGTTACGCTGCGGTTTGGCGCTCTGCTTTGCCAACTGATTTGTGTAATCTGCTTTTCTTGGGCGTTGGCGGAGCATGAGAAGGGTATAGCCTATATCGATGGACTGGGGAGTGGCTGGTCATCGATCAACCTCGGGACAGTAAGCAAGCCCAAAGCTAAATTAATATTTCCATTCACCAAGCTGACTGGTTCGTCGAATGCCAGTCCTCATACGCGTTTCTCTGGTCTGCCACATTCCTGACGGTCGTCGCCTTCAACCGCAGAGTCCATCCTGGCATTGGTATCGCCTTCGATCTTCTCGCTTTCCTTGCACAGATGATAACCGTCGCTTTCTACTTGAACGAATTTGCACAATGGCAGACGGGCGGATACCCAGATGACACGGAGGAGGCTAAACGGCTTTATGGGGTGGAATGCTTCGCTCTTGCGATGATGCTTCTCGGGTTGTAAGTTGAGACAGTCTTTTCTTCGAATGCAAGAGGTAGGGTTTGTTAATCTTTTGCATGTCCAGGTCATTCAATCTTATTCTGCTGATCCGATCATCCGTGGCCTGTGATGTTGAACGCAAGGAAGCGAAGTCCTTGAAGAACAGAAGGAAGTTCGGGCTTGAGAGTCCTTAAAGTTTTTGAACCTACACGCACATGTAGAACGGGACTCTCAGGAACTTTCTATGGCAGTACCCCTTATTTTATCGAAAGGCTCAGATTTCACAGACTGAAACATCTCTAGAAGGCCGGTCTTGTTATTAACCGGAAGCATGTGGAACATGGGTCACTATGGGACATACGATTTGTTCCAGGCTTTGATTAATGTTTAATACTCTTGCTATTGGGACAGTTATGATTTACTCCTTTAACAGGCAATGCTGGAATTCTTCTCATTAGCTCAATTCCGTATCTTTGCCTCAGCGTGTTTGGGATATGCTCATTATTCCTGGTCATAAAAATGCACCGTGGGGGCTTTGAACGACCCTTGAAGACCATGCAGTATGAGCCGTATCATGGCACACAAAGGAATGAAATGTAGAATTTCTTCTGAAATTCAGCGGGCCAGATGCTGTAGCGCCTTGGGACTTAAACATGAGATATTGAATCACAGGAGAACTCTTCAGATTTGCGTGGGACTCCCCTCCCCGGCTGGCCAAGTATATCCTGAGCTGTTTGAAGCGAATATGCACGACTGAGGCATGGCCTTCAATTATGCGGTGTAATAAACCCTCGACGTATCAACAAATAGCGCTATAAAATATGGTTCTACTGCGAAAACCCTTGGTTTATAAACTATCTGCGGAGGGCCAGCCCTGGAGTGGAAAGACGGCGGAACTATCAGGCCATTTACCAGTGCATCCAACGAGGTGAATTACGGCAATGTAATTGAGTTCAATAGATAAGGGACGTTGTAACTATCATATGACATCCAATAAATGACCAAGCTGTTTTCTTTTAAAAGTCACAGAAAGGGAAAAGAAGCGGCTCGGACCGACGGGCGAAATCCGGACGACTTTATGAAACGGAGAGATCTGGCCAAATCTTGGCATAGAGATGGAGCGAATTTGTGAAAAGGTGAGAGGCCCGGTCGCCTTGAAGCCTACTTACGAGGATTGGCCGAATCTTTTGGATCTGATCCGCAGGTGTGTCCTAAACTTCCCATGATATCCAACATCACGATACAGCGTTTGAGTTCGACAGACCACTCGTGTGGAGGAATGATGGAATATACCATACTAGTGTTGCATTCGAGGACTAGAAAGATTGTATTGCCCACCGGCTGATTGCACGTTCATGAACGTGCAGGGATTGGATGTCTGATTGAGAACATCGCGCGAATACCGAGCAGCCTGACAGGTAAGCCACGCATGTAGCCAATCAATCTTATCTGATAGATCCTTTTGCTTTGGTTGGAGGCAGTTCTATGCTTAACATCTTATTTGCTATCGAGATAACTAGCATGTACCTATGCCACGATCCCTGTGATTGGTCTCCGCATCATATTACCTTATGCCACTTGTGATTGGACATCAGGAATAATCTCTCTAGGTCCCACGTACATGAATTCGTGGTTTCCGTGGCAGGCAAGGCAAGCTGGCCATTGTTGGCACTCGCTGCCAGAGGAGAAAAGACCGCTGGAAAGATCTGGACTCTTACAGCCTTCCTCGCCCAAGCTTATCTTACAGGCTTATCTCGACCCCTCACGCTCACCCATCAGCCGCGTGTGTGATAGGCTGACGCAGGTGAGCCATATCCAGAGAGTCCTGCACTAAACTTGGGAAGATAAACGATGCTCCTCAAATTAACCAAACTACAAAGATAAGTCATTCCATTTACTCTCGGGAAGTGCGGGGTGAGTCTCAACCCCATGGAAGTAGGTTTCGGCCCTGTAAGACAGAATCCCCGCGAGATAAATATGGAGCATCCGTTTGGTGGAAAAAGCGCATTCGGAGGATAAGGCTCGTTGAATTTAAGTGTACTGAGCGCTGGGAAATAACGTGCCCCTTGCTTGGAGAGATCTGCGGACGTACATGATTCTTTGTTATTGCTTTTTTCGCATTCCAGTTTTACGTTTTCTCGAACGACTCAAAACAACGTCACTAGAAATCGCGTTAGTGTCAGTTTTCGAAGCCCCATCTTCCAATGGACATGATCAAAAGGGTGCCCGGATCCTACGTGTGGGCAAGTCCGCATCACCAGCCCCGGCAGCTGCGGCGGATGGTGGTCCTGCAGCCGAGCAGAAAGCAGATGTGACCAGTCTCGGAATAGGCAGCACTGACATTAAGGAGACTTTAAACACAAGAACCGATGCATCCGGAATACAAGCAGCCTCTGCTATCTGGGGAAAGAAAGGGAAATGGCTCGTCATTATTGGGTAAGATCCTTGGTACGAGCTGCGAAAGGCGCCTACTAATCTACTCTCGCGAAGACTGGCTATGATCATGGTGACCTAGTAAGTGACCGCGGCGGTGGTCATCCCAGAGCCATGCTAATTCGATCCAATGCACCAGTGAGATTGATAACTCGACAGTGTATATCTACAACAACTACTCAACGTCCTCATTTGGTGCCCTGTCAAAGCTCGCAACTCTGAACACAGCCGCATCTGTGCTGTTTGCTGTTATCAAGCCGCCGGTTGCAAAGCTATCCAGTGTCATTGGCCGCGGCCAGACTTATGTGCTGACTATAAGCTTGTACATATTGTCATACATCCTCATGGCCTCTGCGAAGACCCTGAATACGTATGCAGCGGGGTTTATCTTGTACACGGTGGGACAGTCGGGAACAAACATCATGAATGATATTGTCATCTCCGACCTCAGCAATGCGAGATGGCGTGGCTTTGCGATCGCGTTTTCTTTCGCTCCTTATTTAATTACCCCGTGGGTCTCTGGGTTCATCGTTGACAGCGTCGTGAACGGGATTGGGTGGCGCTGGGGCATCGGCATGTTTGCGATCATCATGCCCTTCGGAGCCAGTTTCATCATCACAACCCTGCTCTACTACCAGACCCGAGCGAAGAAGATGGGTCTGGTCGAACGCCAGAAACAGTCGGTCTCTGAATTCTTCTCCCAGATCGATGTCGGAGGCTTGATCCTCTTCAGCGGAGGCTTTGCTTTGATATTGGTTCCAATGAGCTTGGCCGCAACAACAACCAGCCAATGGAAGACGCCATACGTCGATGCACTGATCGCCATCGGGGGCGTCATGCTGATAGCTTTTCCATTTTACGAGCACTATGTTTCTCGACATCCGTTCATGCCTCCCGAGTATTTCAAGAGCTTGACCATTCTTCTTTGTCTATTTCTTATCGCAACAGACACTATTGGGTTTTCATGCACACACGCATATCTTTACACTTGGGCGACTGTTGCTCGAGGCTTTTCGGCGCGCGACGCCACTTTTTACAATGCAACCAATGGTGTGATGCAATGCTTTGTTGCCATCATCGCTGGCGGCTTCATGTTCTGGACGCGTCGATATAAGTGGCTGGTAATCCTTGGCGCAATCATTCGCCTCGTCGGGTACGGCATCATGATTCGCCTGCGGGGCGCGTCCAACTCTATGTTCGAGCTATTCTTCGTTCAGATTATGCAAGGGTTTGGATCGGGGATCATGCAGACGAATTTGATTGTGCCAGCTCAAATCTCAGTACCTCATGCCCAGATGGCGCAGATCACGGCTCTTGTGATCTGCTTTTCCTTCCTTGGATCGAGTATTGGTTCTTGCATTGCGGGCGGGATATACTCGGGCAAGATTGACCAAGCATTATGGCATCACCTCGGCAAGAATGCGACACACGAGCAAGTATCGAGCCTTGCCAATTCGATTACTGGAGTTCTCCCCGCTTGGGGATCTTCAGAACGCATAGCGATCAACTTGGCTGTATGAACTCCACCGACTTCCATATCAGTATATGTTCTATGCTCACATTTACTACAGTTCTCAGATGTCTTGAGGTACATGACATATGCTGCTTTGGCGTCTTCGGCCCCTGCTGTCATTCTAGCTTGGTTCATGCCAAATCACGAACTCCCGTCAGTATTCCTCTTGTGACATGCATTTACCGCCGCTGATCATTCATTAGGGATCGTAACAACATCGTCGAGGAATGAAAAAGACCCTGACAGCCAAGGCTCATAAGCAACCGGACAGAAGACAAATACTCGCATCATGTTAGAAATGTGCCTTTGAGAACTTCAAAGCTCGGGCACGACTTCTCCAGGCCGGGGTCGCTCCAAGCCGCCCCTTTCTGTACATTGCATATGGAGCTCTTTTGACCATGACGAGACCAAGAAATTCGAACGGTGACCAAGGTAAATAAATAATGATAGAAATAAGTGCATATTAGCCTCTGGTATTTTCAGTAGTTCATAATGCGCCTTCGAAGTGAAATTTAGCGAAGCTAGATACATGAGGTGGCCCCATACAAATTTGCGGTAGGACCATTGGCTCGGCCAAGCTCGAGTATCATACGAGAACTAATCTCACTCCACCATCAATTCGAGATATTGTCCTCTGGCCGTGTCTTTTTAGCATAATATGCACCGATCTCGCAGTTCCCAGACGGGAGATTATCTGCAAAAACATCCAGAGGAAGAACAAAGGTATCCGTGCCCAGCGGGGGAGTTCAAAGAGCACAACGATTAGGGCATCCCACTATTCTCGCGTATAGGTCGCTTTCAGTGCTTCAATAAGTCGGTCAATTCCGAAATTCAGGGCCAATCTGCCGATTCAGGAAAGGTCAGGAACGGCATGAAAAGACCTGAAAATTCTTTCGGCTTGTGGAGCTGTCCCATGCTTGGTTCTGGATGTTATTCGTTCTTCACTTGTGGCTGTCCCCCATGATGGGCCGCATGCCTCCACCAGGCCACACAGACGGCGGCCCGTTATTGGCCCCAGCTGTGTACCCGCCATGGGTCATATAAGATCCGATTGTGATTGTCTAATAGTTATTATTCGGCTACAGCGCAGTTGAGTCGGTGGTAAATGGGGTATGGGCTCCTTTCCAGAGCCTGTTTTGTCTGGCGTGCGTAGCCCCATCTGTGCCGAAAGCTCCCAACGACTTGAATCGCCATCTCGTCCACGGTATCTCTTCAGTATCTTCACGCCTTTGCTTCAGTCACAATCAGCCTTCCATTGGACTGTGCATGTCTTGTCGCTGACAGCCTTCTTGGCTACATAGTTTCAAAGTTCAGAAGAAACTTGATTTTCCAGTGTGGCATACCCTCGAACGAAACAGTAGCAGCAAATAGTCACATCTTAAATTGTGTTACTGAATCCCCCTCGCAAAAACGTCGATTGCCGCTAGCACCCATCGCGGAAATTTCGAAAGAAAAAAAAAACCAAAAAAAAAAACATAATCACAGGTCTCTTTTCACAGGCCCTGGCAACCACTCTTTCATATCCATTGCGCCATTGTCTGTGACGTCTGAACTGAAAAGCGGCAAATCCGACGCGACACACAGGCCTAGCCCTTACGCAAACGCCATAGTCGACCCGTTGCGCCAATTGAGAAACCCACGCGCCTATCTTCCCTTCTAGCCCAGCTGAATTACCGCTCACACGATATGGTCAGCTGGAAAGGCCTCTTCGTCAATCGGGAACGGCGAAGCTTCCCAGAGGTCGTGGTGCCTCTTGCCCAAGGATGTGCACCCAAAACGAAAGATACCCTGGAAATCGGCACTTCCGACAGTACTGACCGCGCATCTCTCCAAGAAAATGGCGTTTCTGGATCTAACGTTGGGACCATACTTACTCTCGAAGCTCTGCGGGCTGAAATTGAAGCAGATCTCGCTTCGTCCGGCCATGACACTGCCTATGACCGTACGTTCATTCTATCTCCTTTGATGATCCTATGATTATCCGCTGGCAGTCCGGCAAATATGTTACCCGTTGAAAAATAACACATCGTCGCCTTCTAGGAAAGGCTAAAGTGATCAACCGAGCCGTACAAGACATAGGAATGGGCCGGTACCAATGGGGACTGTTCGTTCTCTGTGGAATGGGCTGGGTTGCGGACAAGTAAGACTCTGAGGCCCCAGGCTTATGAGTTCATCACTAACGTCATATTGTCTATATATAGCCTTTGGCTGCAGGTATGATGGCAGAGATGCACAGCCGGTGGAAATCATCCAGCTAATCTCTTATAGGGCGTTGCTTTAACCCTAACTCCCGTTGCCATGGAATTTGGTGTCCCGGAGGATCACTCTCGGTTTGCAACTGTTGCTCTCTTTGTCGGTCTGATCTTCGGTGCTTCTTTCTGGGGAATTGCCTCCGACGCCATTGGACGCCGGCCCGCTTTCAACCTGACTCTATTCATCTGTGGTACCTTCGGTCTTGCGGCGGGCGGCGGGCCTAATTTTGTGGGTATGATCCAGCTACTCCTGCGCCCAGATTTGACTATCCTGACTCATGAATCAGCACTTGTGCATTATACGCTTGTTTGGGGCTGGGCGTGGGTGGAAACCTGCCCGTTGATGCCGCCGTTTTTCTCGAGTGCTTGCCCCCCAACTCCGGCAACATTCTGAGCGGTCTTGCAACTTGGTGGTCGGTTGGTACACTCGTTGCCAGGTATGTATGTCTGGGCATCTTCTATCTGATCAGATCTGATGTCCTTCAGTATGCTTGCCTGGGCTTTTATCCCAAGCTTCTCCTGTGATAGTTACGCCACCTGTACCAAGGCTGATAATTGGGGCTGGCGGTACCTTGTTCTCACTCTGGGCGCCATCACGTTCTGCATGTTCCTTTGCCGTTTCTTACTCTTCACTCTTTACGAATCACCCAAGTTCTTGGTCTCCCGCGGCCGCCAAGACGAGGCTGTTGCCGCAGTGCAAGGAATTGCCCACAAGAACAAGGCCACCACTTGGCTTACCGAGGACATTTTGAACGAGATCGGCGGATACCCCGAAGAGACACAAAAGCGACAGGGACTATCTTATGGCCAGATTGTCAAGCGATCTCTGGAACGATTCTCGTATCAGCAGGTCGCTCCTCTTTTCAAGACCAAGCGCCTCGCGATATCCAGTATGCTACTCATTGGCTTAGGGGCCCTTGGAATGTCAGCTAACATCTCGCAGCTGTCCTCATCTGGTTCTGCTGGACTTGCATCGGAATGGGATACACACTTTTCAATGCTTTCCTTCCACAATATCTGAGCGCCAACTCTACCAGCACCTACATCACATACCGAAACTACGCCATCACTGCGGCGTGTGGTATCCCCGGTCCCCTCCTTGGCTGGTGGACCGTCGACGTTAAGTACATCGGTCGGAAAGGCACGCTTGCCGCTTCCACCTTGATCACTGGTGTACTGCTGTTCTGCTTCACTGCATCAAAGGACCCGAATGTCCAGCTTGTCTGCTCGTCTCTGGAGTCTTTCTTCCAGATGATCATGTACGGGGTCCTCTACGCTTACACCCCCGAGGTCTTCCCGGCCCCCAATCGCGGTACTGGCACTGGTATCGCTAGCTGTTTGAACAGAATTGCTGGCTTGATGGCCCCGATCATTGGCATCTATGCTGCCTCTGACCCGGTTGCGCCTATTTACGCGTCGGGGGCCCTTATTCTGGCATCTTTTGTTGCCATGGTTTTCCTTCCGATTGAAACTGCGACTACCCAGATTCTGTAAGCATGGGGTGGCCCCAAACAAGGATCTCTCGGTGGCTTGTGCCGTGAAAGATCATATATACTACATGACGATTCAATACTGTGATCCCATGAATGAAGATATTCTCAGTGTAGACATATATCAGACCCTTGACAGCTTTAACGAGCCCTCACTTTCAGTAGTGACAGGAAACTCCAAATGGCCACAGGAGAAGCTCAATGTATATATGGAAGGCCGAATCCAGGATAATTATTTGTTCAATGACTTGAATCAGCACCTCGCAAAGCGAACCTAGCTTGTCCTCGAACGTCCCGCCACTGGGAACCTGAATGTGTTCGTCTATGTCGGCCTCGCGCCCATGGGAGACGTCTCTCTTCAGCCGTTTCCCCCCGTTCTGGGATGGATGGAGCCCTGGAGTGGGCCAAGACGCTGACCAATCTCTTCCCAGTTGGGGGGGGCCCGATGATCTTTTGAGCCGTAGATGCGGGACTTCATGCATAGGCTGAGGCGGAGGTGATGAAAATTAAATTTGTTGAACATACGCATTTCCTTCACTAGAAGCCATCTTCACAGATAACTAGATAGTGGAACTAGCCCTGGTAAATAGGATTAAAAGACCTACTGGTCCTAGAGGATTCATGTGGCTGCGAATCCCCCACTCCCGCCCCACCGAGAGTTACCCCGGGAAGTAAACCCCGGCTTTTCCGGGGGTGCAGGTTTCCCCGGGGGTGCAAACCCCTCCAAGGTCACGTTGCATTAGTTTCATGATTACGAGACTATATCGGCCGGTAGTTCCTAGCTTTAGCTATATGAAGTTCTAGCTCCAGCTATATGAAATTCCCGTTCCAATGGAATCTCGCCACAGGTCTCCCCGCAATAGCCGCAATAAGCAGCGCGAACTTGCCAGCCCCTACAGCCGCGCGGGGCTAGAATTACGCCACGCATATCCCGACTTCCCAAGGCTATCTCGGTAAACTTCGGCAAGGGACAGTCTGAGGGGTTCGGATCGGAATTGCTTGTCTTTTCCGAGCCGGGGATTCTCTACAAAGAGGGCCATGATAGATCAAGTTTGATCTTCAGCGCAGAGCCACGATGAAGGGCCCCATGATTCCGTCCGCCGAGATTTGGCCTGTTCTCTTTGATCGGCCTTCGCTGCCATCCCTACTGATCAAGGTGCGTAATGTAGTCCTCCATAGCTCGGCTTTGATTGACAATACAGTCATCTTTCGCTCGGCGACGACGAATGCGGTACGGACATACCACGATATCTTGCGCCAAGCAACAAGCTTTGGAAGCGCTCTGCAGTCGGAATGGAATTGGAAAAAGGGCGACGTGCTGCTAGTAATGGCGCCTAACCATGTTGACGTCCCTGCAACAATATGGGGCTGCCACTATGCGGGCGGCGTTGTCTCTCCGGCTAATCCAGGGCTCTCTGTGAGGGACCTTCGGCAGCAGCTGGAAGGGAGTCGAGCCTGCGGTCTCGTTGTACCTTCGCAATGTTTGCCTGTTGCCCTTGAGGCTGCTCGGTCGGCCAACTTCCCAACTGATCGCATTCTGGTTCTGGAGTCTGATTCTTCGGTGGATACCTTGGGTGTATCTTCTGTTCTACAGTTAGTCGTATCAGCACAAGAGAAGCAGGCTCCTCTTCGTCCGCGGGTACCATTGAGCCCATCAGAAGATACCGCCTATCTTGTCTATTCATCTGGGACGACTGGTCGTCCCAAGGCGGTTATGGTATCTCACCGGAATGTTGTTGCGGCGATCGTGATGCAGACAGCTGTGGAAGGCCCGCATCTTGACTGGCGTGTTAGCCGAACATTGGCTATTCTCCCGATATATCATATCTACGGTAAGCAGTCTTTTCACATACCTATACACAAGCACATGGGCTTATGCTGAGCAATGCATCAGGTCTTGTTTGCCTGGTTCACCTGCCGATGTATCTCGGCACCACGACATTCTTCATGGACAAATTCGATGTTCAACTATTCTGCCAGCACATTCAGAGCCATAAGATCTCCCATGCTTACGTCGCTCCGCCAGTCGTCCTCCATCTCGCCAAAAGCCCATTAGTACAGAACTACAATTTATCGTCCTTGAAGATGCTGACTTCTGGCGGTGCCCCCCTTGGCTGCGAACCTCATAAGGGAGTTGTTCAAGAAACGAGGGATTCCAGTGCGTCAGGCATATGGATTGTCGGAGACGACTGCCGTCTCCCATATCCAGGTAGGTTCTCCCCAATTGAGCAGATCCAGAGTATAGCTGATAGCCTTAAGCGCTGGGACGATTGGCGTAGCGGAATCGGGTCCAACGGCCCTCCTATCCCCGGACTCGAGTCGAAGTTTGTCCGCTCTGATGGTTCCACCGCTGCGAAAGGAGAAGAAGGGGAGTTGTGGATCCGCAGCCCGACGGTGTTCAATGGCTATCGCGATGAGCCAGAGATGACTGCCGGCTGTATGACGGCGGACGGGTGGTTCCAAACAGTTGAGTTGATTCCGCGGTGACTCGGAGAGCTAAATAGATGCTGATTCCTGCAGGGGATATCGGATACGAAGATGAGCATCGCAACATGTTCATCACCGATCGGTCTAAGGATCTAATCAAGTTCAAAGGATATCAGGTCGCCCCGGCAGAATTAGAAGACTTGATTTTAGAGAGCGACGCAGTACGCGACGCGGCGGTTATTGGAATCATGAATGACGACCTAGCAAGCGAGGTACCACTCGCGTACATCGTGCTGAAGGAGGGCAGAAGCGAGAATGCCGCAAAGGCTCAAGAAGTGATAGATCATGTGAAAAAGCGTGCAATTCATTACAAGCATCTGCGGGGAGGAATCATCTTCACCAACGAGATTCCCAAAGGCCCGTCGGGTAAGATTTTGAAGCGAGTTTTGCGCGAGCGGGCCGTCGGAGTCGATAAAGCGCGGCGGATCGGAGCAGTGGAGTATGGGAAATATCAAGAAGGGCGGACAGCCAAATTATAGGATGGCAGGCTTTTGCTTGCTGCGGACTGCTATGATAATAGTATTTCAAAGCTCAGCCTTGCAATACTAGGTTCTAGGGGGGATCGCCGTGCTAGTTACATAGAAGCAAGTTCGAATTCCCCAAAAAGCCCTGACTATGCAACTAAACCCCAATATCTGAAGCCGAGACAACAGTCGCAAACGCATCCTCTAATGCACTCAAGCTCACAGCAGTCAAAACCGGCGCTTTCACCCCGGGAATATCCCTGTCGCCGACAGCATCCCGGACAACAATCACATCGTAACCCAGTTCATGGCCTGCTCTAGCCGTCGTAGAAACACACACATGGGCCATGTATCCGACCAGCACAATTTTCTTCCCAAAATCCCCCAGTGTGCTCAGGTAGTCATGCAAACCCGTCTGGGCAAAAGAACTAGGAAATGCCTTGGTGATGACTTTCTCGCCCGACCGCGGAGTCAGTTCTTCTAACTCTAGCGCCAGCTCAGTGTCTGGGGTGAAGAGAGGAGCCCCCGGGGGGAGTCTCGTGGACAATATGAACGATATTGCGACCATCGCCTCCTTGCCGGTATTTTTGCAGCAGGGCCGAGATCACTGCTCGACTTTCGGAGATGCCCTCTACCTGCAGTTTTCCAAAGGCATATTCATTTTGAGCGTCAATGATGATCAAGGTCGAGTCCTGCACCGAGGCAGAAGAAGCCGTGATTCCAATAAGTTGGCGGAAAGATGCCGGATTCATCATGATTACTATGGCTCAACTTCGCGATTCGATAGTTTAAGGTCGAGTAGCCCCGGTGGCAAACGCGGGGAAGATAAGATGAGAAGCCTTGGCAGTACCCCACCGCCTGGTGGTTCATGGCGTTACCAAATATGATCAGGCTTTCGTTGGAATGTTAGGTGTAACTTGTCAGGTTCGACTTGCCAGTAAATTCTAATAATGTCATACTATCCGGGAAAGCTTCAACTGGTGGTTCCATCGAAAAGGTGAGACCGACGGACAGCCCTCCAACCTAGGACTACCGCATTCCTATGTGCCTTTCTACTGCTGCTGGGTGATGGTCCGCCTCAAAGCTTGCCGTGTCGAGGAAGACTAGGTGTTTTAGGATATTGTCTATTGTAATGTATGTCAATGATAGATATAGACGTCGCAGCCTAGACCCAAGCCTGACCAGTACAAAGACAGAAGGATTGATGAGACAAGAGTGACCACTTGTGTATCGAATGGAGAAACAAGGGTAAAAGGAGCCTCACTGGGGGGTTGTGATGCTGCTGGGACTGAATGACCAGCAGATAGCAGAACGAAACAAGCGCTCAAGGTGGGAAGTCGCAGGAGAAAAAACGGAAAACATCGAAATGGGATGAAAGGTGACTCGGAAACCAAGGCCCGAGTCTAGAATGATACAGACTCCTTGAGATGGAACAAAAGCAGCGAAGGGCAAGATGAAAAAAAAAAAAATATTGATCAAGATTGGTGATATGTGGGTCAAAGACAGAGAATCACAATACAAAGAATCGTGTCTATTGGGCCGCTCGTCCACCGTTCCTGCACCGATCATTCTTGATCTACTTAACGAAGTGGCATGTTCCAGGGCTAAAACTCCAATATTTCCTGCATTGATTCTTGCCCCTGATAGGCATGGATGCTTCACTCCGGTATGCTTACAAACGAGGGGTCTTGGACACTACCACCGGCATCTCCGAGACCAGCCACCGGCCGGTTGTAAGACCATCCGACGAATTGTTGTTGCATGGTAGAGGACAGGGCGGGCCCATCAACATATGAATCTTGAGGTTTCTCGGACGTGAAATCCACGTCAAAGTTATCTGTGTCACGAGCATCGGCCTGGAGATTAATCATTAGTAAAAGGTGTGTTTGATATCGATCGGAAATTGTGCAACATACCACGTTAGGACGGAAGCTCGGCTCATACTTCCGCTGCAACAGCTTACGCCAGTCAATGTTGGCAAAGAAATGATGCGACTTGATCTCGGCAGCTCCGTTAGCACCCAGACGGCGCTGGGGATCACGGTCCAAAAGCCGTGTAAGGAGGTCCCGAGCAGCAGGTGGGACAATGTCGCTGCTGGGGAAAGTAAGCGGTTCCTGCAAGATCTTGCGGTACATTTCATTGACATTTTCATCGTAGAAAGGTGGTAGACCCGTCAACATCTCGTAAAGAAGCACACCAAGGGTCCACCAATCCACAGTCTTGGTGTAGCCGTTTCCAAGCAGCAACTCGGGGGCAAGGTACTCGGGTGTTCCACAGAAAGCTAGATCACTCATTAGCCTTTGCTTTTTTTTTTCTCCAGGTTGTACATTGGGCAAATGGGAATTACTCACTGTTGGTGCGGTCTTCATCCTTCATATCCAGCTTGCAAAGACCGAAATCACACAAGGCGATATGTCCGGTATAATCGAGCAAGATGTTCTCGGGCTTCAGGTCTCGGTAGATAACCTTGAAACCGTGGAGACATTCAAGAGCACACAACAATTCGGCGGTGTAGAAACGAGCGCGGTTAATATCAAACCGTTGCTCTTTCTGCAAGTGATGGAACAACTCTCCGCCATTCACGAACGCCAAAACGAAGTACAGCTTCTCCGGCGACTGGAATGAGAACTTCAAGGGAACGATGAAGGGGTTGTTGATTTGTGCCAGTACCGAGCGCTCCGCAAGGGTGTGTGTCACTTCAGACCGGGAGATGATGTGGGACTTGCGAATGGTCTTGAGGGCGTAGATTCGGCCCGTATCCTTCTTCCTGTTGGTATGAGGTGTGGTTAGATATTGAATGATTTGACAATTCGAAGAGAGTCCTTCTTACATGACCTGCATGACCTTGCCGAAACTTCCTTTGCCAACGACCTTCAACAAGTCAAAATCTTCCATCTTCAAGCTGCGTTGGCGGTTTTCCACGAATGACACGCCAATTTTGATTGAGCCAGTTCCAAACTGAAGGTCCAGCCACTCAGCTCCCAACTGGCCATTTGCACGCTCTTGCTCTGCATGAGCCGTGGCCGCCTTCTGGTTGTCCTTCTTGCTTAATTTGGGGTCTTCCACGTATGGCTGAGATGCTTCTTCGAATCGAGGGTGAATCTTGACTGCACCTAGGAATATGTCTTCGCTGCGACCGACGCCGGGTCGAGCGGCTGGGTTTCTCAGATACAACTGCACATTTAATTCCGTTTTGCGGGAAACATCGAATTTGAAAGCGGTGTTATCACCCGCCCACAGCGGGTTCTCGGGTGTACCAGAGACAGCATCGACGAAGACCTGATTCTTTTCGAAATCGAGAAGTGCGTAAGGAAGGTATTTGGTCGAGTAACGGCCGTGAATGGTAGGGGCTGCATTGATTCCTCCGCTTGTAGACTGTGGTCGATTAGACTGCACATACGAGCCCGCTGCTTGTGCGTTGGAGGAATGTGATGAGGAGGCCGTGCTCGGACGCAAAGATGAGGGATTGAACGAGTTGTTTTGGAAATGCGAGTTGAAAATCTGTTGGTAATGGGGAGACAAGGCAAAATCTCGGCCTTCGTGTAGAGTGACAATGAGAATCCCTGGTTTCACGGGGTTCACAGGGGGTGAGACGAGTGACTCGGAAGCGGCTGTTAATGACCCAAATAATGGCCATCGTCAACGGAGTGCTCTAGCGGGAATATACTGATGTGATCCATTGCTTACCGATGCCATTTGAGGACGGCGTAGGCGAAATGTTTGGTGCTTGGGGGCTAACGGGGGGTTTCATCACCACCGCCATTTGAGTCACCCTTGATTGTAGAAGTGGACGACGACCGGCCGAACCCCTGTGTCAAAGGCGCCAGATGCGTCTCCTTTAATTCTAGAGCGTAGAAAAATCAGCCATTGCCTCCGAGGAAACAACCTCCCCCCAGATCATCAGCCGCACCATGGAGGGGCCAAAAGGCATCCAAATTCCGGGGGAGAACGGAGAGCCTAGAGGAGGACGGGGAGACCAGGGAGACCAACTGAACATACTTTTGGTGAGCTTCCAGGACATGATGGCGGTCTTTCGAGGCCGAAGATCGAAGTGGTGAAAGATCGAAAGCAAGCCAACCACAGTTGTGCAGACTGGAGCACCAAATAAGTCAACACTTGAAGTTCCCAAATCCACGGGGCCAAGAGCAGCGCCACGGCAGCCTAAGTTGACCCACGACCAACACGCCTACCTCTTCTCTTGAGTCGGCCCTGGACTCTCTGCTCGGGTCGGTGGCTGCACTGGGAGCCTCAGGAAAGGAATGGATGCACAGTCAAAATCTTGGGTCAAGTAGGAGTTTTCAGGGGACAATAACAAGGAGAGACTTTTTAAGGAGATGGCAGCATGTCAGAACGAGGGAGAAGAGGGGAAGTGCGGGTCGCAGCCACCTTACCGAAGCTTACGCCTGCCAGGGAGCACAATGCCTGCGTGGGCAGGTATTAAACGGTAGAGATGAGGGCGATAGGGCTGGAGACGCGGTAACGGCAGTGTACCAAGTCCGTAATTTACGGCAGATACCTCAGGCCAAAAGAGCCTTTTTCTAACCAACGAACAGGCTAGGCACTAGCCTTCCCACTGTGGCAATGCTAGGCGCCACACTCTCCTTCAATCAGCTTCCCCGGTCCATCTTGCACCACCCTGAGCACGCAGCCAATCCCCGATCAAACATTTTGCCCTGCGCCTCCCCCCTGATTGTGACACAAAGTCGTGTATCTCTACCCGGACTATCACTATCTCCCCACTCCGATCTACGTTGATCCTTACCCCAGTTCACCGCATTCCGCTACCCTTCTCCTTCGCCAGCTATTCGCCCTCTCAGGTTCCTGGAGGGTGACTTGGGTTTTCACCACGGCCTTGGATAAAACGGAGGATGACAACACCCAGGAATCGATGGGTGTAATACGAAAGAAGACCGCCACGCGCGGCACTGAAGCTGGCACCAAGTTCCATTGCGACGTGTGCTCCGCTGACGTGACTTCCACCGTACGTGGCGCTTGTTTTGAATAGAACCTCCTCCCCCGCAAGATACTGATCCAGATCGCGTACCTAAGGTTCGAATTTCCTGCGCCCATCCTACGTGCTCCGAATACGATCTTTGTGTCCCCTGTTTCGGCGCGGGGGCGCGTTCCAAGAACCATGATCCAGCGACCCATCCATTCCAAGTCATCGAACAGAATTCGGTCCCCATCTTTCAAGAAGATTGGGGTGCAGATGAGGAGCTGCTTTTGCTTGAAGGTGCAGAGATCTACGGTCTCGGGTCATGGGCCGATATCGCGGATCACATTGGTGGCTACCGCACTAAGGATGAGGTACGCGACCATTACATTGATACGTACATCAACAGCTCGAACTTTCCTCTTCCGGAACGTGCCGACCCATCGGACCATTCATTACAAGACTCGATCCCCAAAGATGAATTCCAAGCACGAAAAAAGCGACGCATCGAAGAGCGCAAAGAGGCCGCTAAAGCGGCACCTCCCGCTACCCCCAAGCAGAAGCCCACAGCAAGTGTACCGGCATGTCATGAGGTCCAAGGCTATATGCCGGGTCGTCTTGAATTTGAGACTGAATTCCTCAATGATGCCGAAGAGGCTGTCCAGCACATGTCCTTTGAACCGGGCGCCGGCATTGGTCCGAATGGAGAGATAGATGCGGAGACCGAGCTGAAGATGACCGTGGTCGACATCTATAACACCCGTCTCACTGCTCGAACGGAGCGAAAGAAGATCTTATTCCAGCATAATCTCCTGGAGTATCGGAAGCTTACCGCCCTCGAGAAGAAGCGTTCCAAGGAAGAGCGGGAGCTGCTCAATAAAGCCAAACCACTTGCACGGATGATGAACCACAAGGACTTTGAGGACCTGAACAAGAACCTCGAATACGAGCATAACCTGCGCTTGGCGATCCATCAACTACAAGAATGGCGGCAAATGGGCATTGGCGACCTGAAGACGGGGGAAAAGTACGAACAGGAAAAGCAACAGCGGGTTCAGCGAATGATACCGCAAGGCTCGTTTGATCGCTTCGCTAGCACTCGTCCCAGACAAAGCCAGGCTCCCGAGCCTTCGACGGGGGCAAGCCAGTTAACCACGCCTGAGCTGCCACTGCGCCTGCAGAAAGCCGCTAATCCCCACAAGCTGCCTGACCCTGTCAATGTCCCACTGAATGACTTCGACATGGCCTTTGGCGATTCTTCCTCGGCACCCCCTGCCAAGACCAAATACGTTGTGCAGCCGCTGAGCGGAGCCCCCGCGTGGAAACTTGACAGTGAAGGTGCGGCCGATCTCCACTTGCTCACTCGGGAGGAAGCCGAGGTGTGCAATGTCCTACGCCTGATGCCAAAGCCGTATCTGGTCCTGAAAGAGACCTTACTGAAAGAGGCTATGAAGCAAGGCGGCAGCTTGAAGAAGAAGGACGCACGGGCGATCTGCAAGGTTGGTATTCCCTGTGTTGTCCAACCTGGTCTCGATACATTTGCTAATAGTTTTGACAGATCGATAGCACTAAGGCTGGCCGGATTTACGACTTCATGGTGCACAGTGGATGGATCAGCAAAGCGTAGACTTGATTGTCAACATGGAAGGCTGTCTTTTCTTTACGATGATATCCATATTGATATGTTTCTTTAACAGCGGGGGTTTATGGCGTTTATCGTACAAGAGGTGGCTTAAATTTGTTTCATACGGGGGGGCATAATTGATACTTCTATATCTTATGAAGATTTATTGAAGATTAACCCTATACATTCGGCCTCTTACCTTTTTCCTTTTTTTTTTTCGCGGGCAATATGATAATTCCAACTCACTAGGCCCATGCTATAGCTACGTGTGGTGTTTGTATCTGTTGTCACTTTACCCCATGATTATAAACTGCGTCGCGGAGTTCGGTCCAGTAGGTCGGGGCCTCGGCATCTCCAATGCTCTCCACATTTACATTTGCTCCGCAATCGTTAGCCTATACACTCCTCTCCCTAGAACACCTTTTCCACAAATCCCATTCCAGTGAAAACTCTCGCAATTCTCAAAAAGCAGACCTACCTTCAGACCATCTCATTTGGTACACCCCAACCAACTCCAGCGATCACCTCCCAAAATGCCAACCTTCAACAACCCACCTCCGGTCCCACAAGACTCGACCCTCTCATACCCAGCACCGCACATCCTCCTCGTGACCCTCAACCGCCCAAAAGGCCTAAACTGCATAGACTCGCAAGGCCACGCGGACCTGCATGAGGTCTGGGAATGGCTAGACTCCGAACCCAGTCTCCGCGTCGGAATCCTGACAGGCACAGGCCGGGCATTCTGCGCCGGCGCCGACCTAAAAGGTACAAGCAACGAAAGTTGAGGGGGAAATCCCCGCAGAGCCCACTTCCCTGCCGAGGTCCAGCTAACAAGGAGGGAGTCCAGAATGGAACAAAAATACCAACTCCGGGAACACACGGCGGACGCAGCCCGCGAGCGGGTTCGGTGGGCTGTCGCGGCGCAAAGGCCGAAAGCCCGTGCTGGCAGCTGTCAACGGGCTTTGTTTCGGCGGGGGCTCCGAGATGGTGATTAACTGCGATATGGTAATTGCGTCATCGCGGGCGGTCTTTGGGCTGCCGGAGGTGAAGAGAGGGGTTGTTGCGCTTGCGGGGGCGTTAACGAGAATTGTCCGGACGGTGGGGAAGCAGCGGGCTATGGAGATGGCGCTCACGGGCAGGAATATCAGCGTTGAGGAGGCGGAGAGATGGGGGCTTGTGAATGAGATTGTCTCTGTGCCTGCTGGGGCGACGGAGGAGGAGAACTCGAAGAAGGTGGTCGAGAGGGCTGTTGCGGTGGCGGGGCTCATCGCGGCGAATAGTCCAGATGCTGTCTTGGTGAGCAGGGAGGGTATTAAGCTTGGCTGGGAGAGTGTTGGCGCTGATGAAGCCACCACCATGCTGAACGAGACTTGGGTGCGAAGGTTGTATGAGGGCGAAAACATCAAGGAAGGGCTCAATGCTTTCGTGGAGAAGAGAAAGCCTGTCTGGAAAGACAGCAAACTGTAGATCATTACGAAGTTGACTTGTAGGGGGGACATTGACGAGGACTGTTGCTTAATTCATATCATTCCATTGCATTTGCTTGTCGCTATTCATAAGCGTCGGTATTCATAAAGTCATTTCAAAAAAAAAGCAAAATCCCAGTTGCGGACCACGCCGTGTATGCCCATACTCATGCGGATAAAGAATACAATAATACAGAGCTTCAATCCTTCGCTCAGATACGTGGCTGCCCAGTCTCCCTAAAGAATATTTGGTTAGCAAAAGAGTTTGGTGACACTATTATTCGACAACGTACTTTGATTCGGCTTGGACCTGCTCCACCACCTTAACAATGGGGGAGAAAAGAGGATGGCTTCGCTCGAGGCCAGTCAGTTGGACAGTTGCATCGCCGGGCGAGTTCTCCTTCAAGATACGAGCAAGAGTTTGGCTCTCTTCATCGTCTGCAACGTTCTGGAAGCGAAGGGCCATCTCAATAGCCCCCAAGATCGATTCATACTTCAAACCTCGCTCAGCCAGCTGAGAGGCAGGTCCGATGAACCGCTCCTTGCGGCCTAGTTTGCGGATGGGAGCACGGCCAACACGATCGACTTTGTCTTCCAGGTATGGGTTGGAGATTCTCGCGATAATCGTATCGACGTAGTTCTTCTGTTCTTGAGGCGAAATGCCGTGCTTCTCCACAATGAGAGTGGCAGTCTCTTTCATGACGTCGCAAACAACTCCATGAATGTAAGGATCCTTCAGAGCTTCAGCAATAGTTTCCTTGCCAGCGTATCTTCCGTAGTAGGCAGCAGTGGCGTGGCCAGTATTGACGGTGAACAGCTTGCGCTCGATGTAGGGCTCGAGATCCTCAACCCAGTGAATAGCAGGAATGTCGGGATGACCGGTGCTGCCAAATGGCTTGGTCTCAACCGCCCACTCATAGAACTCCTCAATGCGCACGTTCAGGCCCATGCCCTCCGGCTGGCAAGGAACGATACGGTCGATAGCGGAGTTAGCGAACTGGGCACGCTGCTCGAGAGCCTCCAGTTGGGAGGAGTCGGTGTTATCCTTGATATATCCATGCAGCGTATCGGTTCCGCCAATCATGTTCTCGCATGCAATGACGGCCAAGGGTTTGGGAGCCGAGCGAGCTGCAATGCCCTTCGCAATGACCGGGGCGATGAACTTGAGGACGTTAGGGCCAACGGCGCAGGTGACAATGTCCGCCGTGGCAATCTCGTTGACTACATCCTGCTCGTGGGTCTTGGAGTTGATAGCGCGGTAGTTCGTGATGGTCTTAGTGGACTCGCCCTTTTCGCTGACTTCGGTGACCTCATAGGACGGGGTGTTCTGCAAGGCTGAGATGATCTTATCCATTACGTCAATGAACACCACCTCATAGCCAGCAGTATGCAGGAACTCGGCAACGAAGCCACGGCCGATATTGCCACCTCCGAAGTGGATCGCTTTGGGGCCCATGATTGGAGTACGAATGTATTGGGAGGGTGAACGAAGAGAGATGAGAGGTGGGAAGTGAAGGGTAAGGAAGTGGAAATAGAAGTAGTAGATTTAGGAATAAAGAAGCCACGAGAAGGGAGGGGACACGCTGCCTTTTTAGTCTTTAGTAGGAAAGAGCCACTGTCGTGACTCTTGTGAACCAGGGTCGTGGCTTCCTCCGTTCACAGTGTCGCGGGTGTATGACTTCATCGATTCTCATCGATTCTCGACGATTCTATTGGAGGAAACGCGGAATCCCCCTCCGCCCTGTTTCGCTCCCATCATATTATGAGGGCACCTTGACTTCACTCCTCTTTTCCCCTGGGAACTTTCCCGCTAGCAGTGTAACCCCCAACCCGTGTCACTCTAGGCGGATGTATAGACTATAGCCGTAGTATGGCGTAGAGACACGTTATGGCCCGACTGCTTATCCGACCCACTTTCACGGCTTTCCCTATTTTGACTATCCAGTCCCCGCACCGCGATTATCTTGATTTCCGGCTTTAAATCGTCCTTCCGGTTTTCGTGCTTTATCTGCGCATGCTGTAATAATTCGCCATCACAGGTTGGCTAGACTCTGCGAGCCTGACGATGCCCGAGTTTGCCCGCTTGATGCACTCCGCAAGCCTCGGGGCTTGTGAACCTCATGCGTCTGTTGACTATGCCTAGCCCCTGCGCCTACCGACAGGCCCGGGGCGGTTGGAACTATGCGGAGGACTGTGTTCCTAGCAAGGGCGTGCAGCGCCGACTATGTCGCATCGAATTTGATACTCGGTAGTCGCACCGTCTCAAGATCATCTGCACTGCAGGCATTCATTACCCTTGAATTGACTCTGCAATCTCCACTTGGAGTAACGTCGGATGAACGGCCGACAGGCCATAGGACCCAATTTTTTCCCGTAGTTGCAGATTGCCATTCAAACCAACCGAGGCCTTTTTTGAGGCCTTTTTTGAGGCTTTTTCACCTCGACCTAATCTTGGCCTTGGAGACCACCTCCCTCCTGTCGCCCGTGCTCGCCAGCTTTCCTTAATTGGTCCTAGGACTAACATGCATGCATCGTGCATCTAGCGCGTCGATTGGTTTACCTGCAGTCTAGCGTGCTTAGAGTCCGGTGAAAGAAAAGGGCCCATGGGGCCCCATCGGCCCCACGAGCCCCGTGCTCGGGCGCGATTACGTCGGTTCCTACTAGGTACTCAGATAGACTGCCTCATGATTGGTTCCATATGTAGTTTCATTCAGGTAGCATCGCTGGTCATACAATATTCATTTCATCCTGATGCACGGCTTTCCCCGAGGGTCCCCTTCGAATGCCGGTAGGCACAGGCATCTGGCGACTCCCCCCGGTTTCCCTTTCTGCACCGTTAACCCCCTCATGCGGGGCCCTCTTCACTTAGCCTTCCTCTTCTTCGTCCTTCGGGACGCGCTCCTCCGCTAGTGGCAGGCCTCGAACGAATACGTTGATGAAACTAGAGAGACTCCCTGCTAATAGCAGGGCCGTTGCTGCCCAAGTCATCCCGAGGAACTTTTCCCCGTAGCTGGCTGACACGTCGGACCCCTCCCCATGGGCATTGATCAAAGCGACAAACTCAAACGCAATGACCGTCGTAATAATCGAGGCGATGCTCAGGACTAGTGACCCCAGCTGATCCGCTCATGTCAGCCTTCCCCGGTCTTATATCAGGACTAATAGGATCCGTGCGAGAAAGGAGAACTTACCACCATAAATCCAAATTCGAACAGCCCCTGCTGCGGCCGTGGGGCTATGAGGGCGGCGACTCGAGTCAAGAGCACAGCCCCCATTGCGCTCACGCCTATGCAGTACAATATCGCTATTGACTGCATTGTGAGCCGAAAGGCGTGGAAGTCGTCGGTGATCACGCGCGGCCACTCTAGGGTAGGGCCGTGTGTAATGTTGTCAGACCAATCCTTCGTTGGGTCGAAGGAAAATAAAACCTGACGGTCTGAACACTCGGTCACGTTGCGCACAGCGCCTGAATCTGGCTCAGCTGAGCCTATCGTGCCTTGGCAGTACGACATAACATGGATAGAGTAGAAGCTGTGACTGTTGGAGCTCGTTGAGGTGCCCTCTGGGGTATAGAGCTATATGCCGGGTCAGTAGCGGCTTCACTGACAAGGGCTGACTGTCTTGTTACTCACTGTAAGGAGGTGGACATCGTCCATTAAGCCTGTCTCTGTCCCAGCAAACAAGCACATCAACGTCAAGATGAATGCGATGAATGCTGTCACCGTCGGGAACAGGGTTTTCGGGTCTGGCTTCTGCATCTTGACCGACCAGCACCTGTTGCCATCAGCTGCTGCCAGGAGGAGCTGTTGAAAGGACTAGTATACTCACCAATTTACCAGTATGAAACAATGGAAGAGTGCCAATGGGGTCTACTAGCATTGGCACAAGAATGTTAGATCGGCTCATCTTGAGGAGCGACAGCAAATCCATGAACTTACCACAGGCTGCTAGGGCGTTTCTTTCCACTTGAATTCATCCGAGTGACGATCAGTGCCTTTGTCTTATATACCAGCATAGCCGCGACCCAGATGAGTCGCGTCTAGTACACGCGCTCTGTCTCCATTCCCACAGTGGGCTTGCGGGCCTGCTTCAGAGACACCTCTACATTGACGCATGCTGTGGCTTGAGGTAACAGGTTTAATCCTCAGAGCCCTGTCATTCTCTAGGCTGAGAATGACAGCTAGTCGAGATAAGGGTTCGGCGGGTGTTATGTTTGGTCCGTTTGAAAGGAGGAGGCTGGTCGGCCTGCGCCCAGGAATGTGTTGTCCAGCCACAAGCAATATTGCCGATCTCCGGGGGGCCTGTCATGAACATCATGGTGAGCAGCAATAGAATATTATCCGGGTTTTGCCAAATTTCCAAGAGCCATGGTCGCTCATGTGATAGAATCAATTGTATCCCTTCGATTGTCCCCCGAAGCTAATCTCGTGATGCCGAGTTTAGATGTCTACCCACGAATGCCTTCTTCCCCAATAGCAAGTTTCAGTTCATGGAGATTGGGGAACAGCTTATTCAGCTCCAGTAACTAACTAGTTATATTTCCCGAGGTCTAATAGTTTGAAAGCACAAGACGTGCTATTCGGGTTTGATAGCGAGGGGCCGAAGGCAGTTTAACCCCACAGATTGACCTTACGGCCCCCGTGAGAATTCAAGGTCAAGCTCGCGTGCAACTGCGCTTCGAACAGTCCGCGTTTGCTCAATGGTATCTAAAGGGGTCTTCCATAATACCCCATGAAGTCTCCTACCAAATTGTGGCCAGGTGAAGTCATCTTCGTACAGCGTACTGCCGCATGTTTCCACTTCGTCATCAACGGGCCCAATCGGCTAACTTCGTCTCCACTCACGAGCTACTCCACACATCTAGTATAGACACGGTTCCTACAAATAAATATTCCCTATAGTGCCTTTCGAAACTCGAATGCAAAGCAAATACAGCGATTTTCTTTTTTTTCTGATCTTGAAAATGACACCCGTCCTCCTTATTGGAGCCAACGACTTCATAAGATCCCATATTCTCTCTAAGCTTCTGCAGGCTATTTAGTTAGTCTGTTGCGCTGTTGCGCTATCAAAATTTTAGCAAAGGGCAGACAATTCTGCAAGACTTTTCTTCCTACGGACCGAAGATCTCGCTCGCAATCGTGTCCGACCAGCGCTTATGACGAAGCCGTCCAAGGCTCCTTTGACACCGTCTTTCACACCGCATCACTATCCATCTATGGAATTGTGTCGGGTGACCGCGATTTCCTTCATCCTGCCACTAACGGTACCACGGTCTTCTCGAGTAGATCAAGGACTATGCCCAGTCCGTAAAACGGGTAATCCATGCCAGTTCTTGCAGTGGCCGTTATCGACTACGATCGGTTGACCTCCGGTGATGCTTTTACGGAGCAAAGTTGGAACCGTTTGATGTTGGCAAGGAATTATTCTGCGGTTCTTATGGTAATTGGTCTGTGCTAGTTTATGCCCTTACTAGGGGCTGAAGAATTCCCGACATACTTTAAGGTTATATTAGAAGATAGCCGATGCTAGTGGCCCTGGATGCCACCCCAGATAGGATTTGGAAGAATCTTGCTTCAAGCGGCTCTTCTTAGCAGCCGTCTATTGAATGCCTTAATCTATGAATCATGTGCAAAAGCATGGAACAATCATAATGTTCCAAAGGGCGGAAGGAAATGAATTACTATAATGTAGGAAGTTACGGCTTGCCCGGTCCTATTTATGACTATCTGTAGAGTCAACTCGGGGGGCCTTGGTACATTAGGGAAGCGAGAATTGATCGAAGAAATCAATGACGAGGTCATTAGCCTCGATCGGCTGTGGGCCCATACCGGCGACAATCATGTCTGCGTTAATTGTCCTCGAGGGCCAATCGTGTCCTGTGCTTGATTAGTTTATAAACCGACCAGGAGATGTTACACTATTTTGGATCGAAAGGCTCACCATTCTTATCAACCTTCCAGTGCTGCAATGCATTGCCTGCATCCTGACAAGACCATGTCGTATGATGGACATTACCGTTGTCGCTGTTCACCGTTGTGTTCGCACCACAGCCATTGCGCCGTTGCCAGGCAGCGAGCCTTGATATTTGGTTGTCAGCCTTCCGCGGTCGAATCGCTCACTCTTCAGAAGGAAAGCTCCGAGGGACAGTATTCAGAAAATATCATACCAGTCGGGAATTGCAGGCAACATTCCACCCTCCCCATGGCCGCCTTCATAGTAGACCGTCTTGTCACTTCCACCGTGGATCTCCAGGATCGGTAGCGGCGACCTCGCTGGCGTACAACTGCTGTGATCCGAGAAATCGGTGTCCGTGTAGAATGCGCCTGCGACGGGGGCGAATGCCGCAAAGAGGCCTCCAACATCGCTGCAGGCTATGGTGCCCACGAAGCCGCCGCCGTTAGACAAACCTGTAGCATAGATGCGGCTAGTGTCGATATTGTTGTTAGCTTGGACATCTGCGACAAGGTCTTTGACGAACTGCAGATCTTCTCGAACGGATACGTTGGCATAACTAGGACCAGCCCACGCGCCCTTGACGCCATTTGGGTAGACGAAGAATCTCTGACTTTATTTTAGCCTCGACACGTCGGGATCATAATTAGAAAAGATCTGACCGAATGGACTCACGTTTTTCGAATACTCCGTCGGTATGACTGGCAAAGATAACCGAATATCTAATTCCATTGCCAGCCCATCTGCATCCAGTCCTATTTGGCTAGATCCATGAAATGCGACAACAAGAGGATACTGCTTGCTCTGATCATTGGCATCGGGTGTGTGGATCCAATAGCTGCGATCGCGATTACTGCTCTTGATTGTCTTCAGATAAGACTCCGCGACAGATCCCTGAGCATTCAACAGCAGCCAGATCCCAAGGACCAGGATACGTGTCAATCTTTGTGCCATGGTCGTGTTCGATCTCCCGCTCAGAAACGGAGCAGGACAAGCTCTCAGACTTGGGGAATTCCCGCTGGGACAAGTCGGAACACTAAATAGACCTTTCCGGCAGCAGCAGGGGCGCCGACCGAGCAAGTGCAGCGATCAGAGGGACGACAGCACGCGCTCTGGACATGCAGCGCTCTTTAAACGGTATGCAACCCCCTGTTAATCAAGATCAGCAGATGGACTGTCCTACTTGGGGTAAGTCGAACCCTTAGCGCTCCCCCGCCTCAGGAACAACTGCAACCTTCCCTGTACGGAGCGGTTTTATTGGCTCCAAGTTCAGTTTGATCTGTTGATCCGTTCTCTGTCACAAAGTACGGGTTTGTATGCACCGTGTATCTGTGATCCACTGGGGCGGTTTCGCAGTGTCTACTTGAGTGGCCCACAGGAGGCGTCACATGGCTCTGGTCATTTGAATCTTTATCGGGTTGCATACTTTAATGCTATGCGTACTCTGCGACGGATGATGCCTTTCTGATTCATGTAAAATAAGAATAGCAATTTTCTTTTCTTTTTTTCTTCGACACATGCCCACACATGCCCATAGCAAATCCATTGTCATTTCCAGAAGCCCCCACTCGTTCCTGTCGATAAGCACTGGAACAGTTAGTTACTGTGTGACTTTGGCTGGATTGCCGCCAGGAACAGGGTCTGAAGACACGCTGAAATCAAGCACCTATATGGAACTGTGTTTAGCGATACACAAAAGACCATTTTTCATACATGGGGACTAGTGTACGAACCTCAATGTAGGTATCACCACCCCTCTGGGCTGCAACAATACAGCGCTGGGCGTCAAAGCCTACCTGCCAGACCCCGCTGAGGTCAGTAAGAAGATATTTCTCGAAGCAAGCAGTTTTTGCATTCCACAGCTTAAGTGCTCCTTGTGAACCGGAGACAATCTTGTCATGATCATGGTCAAAAGTAGTGATAACGTGGGCGGCTTCTGTAAGAGTACCTCGGCATTGTCCTGTCTCAGGGTCCCAGATTCTGAGGGTCGAGTCCGCTGATGCAGTAAGAAGCTGGTCCTCTTTCAAGCTAATCAAGCCCACCAAAGACGTGTGGCCTTCTAGATTATACAACAGTATACCTTTCTCAAGACACCAAATCTTGACCATGTGGTCCATGGATCCGCTAATACAGCGATTTCTTTTCCTGTCCAAAGCAATGGAATATACTTTGGCCTGGTGATCGTCGAACTTATGGACTTCATCGCCTGTGGAGATCTTCCAGACACGAACAGTCCGGTCATAGCTGCCGCTCACGATAGTATCTCCATAGGCAGTCATCGCCCTCACGGTATGAGTATGGCCCGCCAGGGTCCGGAGAACATATGGACACTCTTCTTTGCCCTGAGCCTCCTTTGAAGGAAGATACGGCTCGTCGCCAGGTTGGGGTAATCTCCAAATCCGCATAGTTGAGTCACGAGAGCCCGAGATGATGACAGGCTGCTGAGTCGCCCGTAACGGGGAACTATCTGAGCTCTCAGGAAGCTCCAGCACCTCTAAGCATCTCACGGTGGATGTGTGGCCATGGAGAATATGGGTGCATTCGGCCTTTGCATGATCCCATACCCGCACAGTACGGTCTGTTGATGCCGAGACTAAGGTATTTCCAAAATATCTAAGTGCCCATACCCCGCCTTCATGGCCCTGCAATCTTGTTCGAAGGGCACCTGTTTTGATGTCGTATATATCGACGTTCCGGTTGTCGTTACAGGTTACTATCTTGTCGCTATCAAACTGCAGGCAGGTTACAATATGCTTTGGATCAGCTGCCTGAAAGGAAAGCCGTGCCGGGGTGATATTCTTCCAGGTAGAGTCGCCCATATCAGAGAAGCAATCCACTGGTCGCCCGCTTTGTTGGATGGAAGCCAAAGGCGAACACGGGGGGTCGAGAAAGGTCAGCAATCCTGCATGCAAGATAGATATTCGCAGTGGCGTCAAGTGAGGATTTCAAAGAGGATCGAAACTTACATCCTACCCCACCTCGCTGAATAATAAGCAGGCTCCATTGCAGGATTGTGATGACAGGCAGCTGTTTCGCTTTTCAAGACAAATCAGAGGGTCCAAGCTAAATTTGCAGATCGGTATCTGTAGTTCATGAGGTCTACATCTCATTTTGTTATTTTATTATTTTGACCGGCATATTAGAAAAATACCTTGGGCTACTAGTAGACATGGCGATAGTTCCATCCTATACAGGGATTCCTTCTCAGGCAAAGGTGGGACCGATTGATTTAACGGGCTACTACGACTTTTAACACAACCTGAATTTGAACATAATAATATCTTCAAATCACGGAATGGACGACTTCTTAAGTTACTTACCCCACTAGGTCTCGCCACTGATCCACATCCCCTATCTCCACTGACATCAGCCGTTCATGAATCATAGCGGCGGGCTTTACTGGACAGCCGAACCCCACTGTGAATCAAATCGCCCTCTTACTAGCTTCTTCCGTCCTCTTCCGGCAAGCGCCTTTCCTCAAAATAATTCACGTACAAAGGAAGATGTCCACTGAAACCTGCCACCTCGCATTCACGATTCCCCCGGGGTCTGTCCTGGCCGGTGTGCCTGTAGGGGATATCAAGTTGCCTACCCCCTATGTATCATATGGTCTACCATTCACGGAGTCGTGTGCTCACCATATCAAGCACACATTCGACTGCAAAAGAGTCTTTATCATTGCTTCTAGGACTCTCTCACGGGAGACAGATGAGCTCGAAAAGCTCATTGAGAAGATAGGGTCTGATCATGTTGCGCATGTTCACAAAGGAATCACGCCTCATACACCATGGTCGGAAGTCTTAGAAATAGCCGCGGAAGCCCGGAATGTAAAGGCGGATTGCGTGGTTACCCTGGGGGCGGGAAGCATCTCAGACGGTGCGAAGCTGGTTGTCCTGGTGCGTCTCGAAACAGAAACGTATTTTGCTGGCATAGACCTCTCATTCGTCCCAACAGGCACTTGCCAATGGAATCGAAACACTCGAAGAGTTTGCGAAGTACTCCCTTGGCAGTAAAGAGGCTCCAAGTTCTGTGAAAGAGCCAACAACGCCTCTTATCATGATCCCTACAACGTTATCTGGGGGCGAGGTGAGACTTCCTGTGCCGCTTGATGCCGGAAAATGGCTAATTCCTTTTCTATGGAGTAGTATTCCAATTTCGCTGGAGGCACCAATGATCAAACGAACCATAAACAAGGTTTCTTGCACTCGGGGATGGGCTCCAATCTGGTCATCCTTGATCCAACTCTTTCCAAGACTACCCCTCAGTACCACTGGCTGAGCACCGGTTTTCGCAGCGTTGACCACTGCGTGGAAGCATTTTGCGCCGTCGAGAGCACCCCCGAATCAGATGAACACGCTGAATCCGGGCTGCGCAAGCTCATCCCGAACCTGCTTAGAACCAAGCAGGATCCCGACGACCTGGAAGCGAGACTCCAGTGCCAACTTGGAGTGATCGACGCCATGAATAATGTTCGTGCTGGCATCCCAATGGGTGGGAGCCACGCGATCGGCCATCAGCTAGGTCCTCTGGGCGTGCCGCACGGTGTGACGAGCTGCATCATGTGTCCAGAAGTGATGAAATTTAACTGGAAGCATGGTCAATCGAATGAAAAAATTCGGCAAAAGCAAAACAAGCTGAAAGAGATATTGTGGTCAGATGGCTATGTCGACAAGGTTCTCCAGGGAGCTGGGAAAGACAAAGCTACTTCGGACCTCGGTGACCTCTTGGATGCTATTGTAAGAGAGCTTGGTCTACCAAGGAAACTTACGGAGATGAAGATCAGTCGTGAGGTGTTGCCGACCCTGGCTGAACGCGCATTGAGCGATTTTTGGGCCGCGACAAACCCAGTGCCGCTGGCCAAGTCGGAGCAAATATTGGAAATATTGCAGAGCGCATACTGATTGAAAGGGTTGCCGGAATACTGGTTCTCCTGGGCACACGTAGCCTGATATCGATACCTGCACTAAGGGACATCTCAATTTGCCATTTCCCCGCAACACCAAGCGGGGTAGCAATACTTTTGACGCAGGATTGGAAACTAAGCAATGGGCGAAGTTGTGCCGAGGTTCATCCTTTTGCAGTTCTATGTTTTCTCGGTCGAAAGTACTTCGAATGTCTGCTCTGGTTAATTTTCGTTTCCGCAAGGGAAATTCTTTGCGTATCCGTAGATTGTAAGACACATGTCTAGCACAGGGCTTCTCTCATATTGTCTTCCGCTCCATGAGACTCACACTTTCACTCACTAAAAGACCCTCGTACTTCTGCCGGAAGTAAGAATCCTTTGACGTGGTACGATGGTATCGGGGTTTGAGGTCGGTGAAATACCCCTCATCTAACTGACAATGTGCATCACAAAGAGTACAAATCTCGCAGACCCCGGTTCTATCTCCTTGCCTTGAATATCTTCTTTATACATAAACACTCAAAAACCCCCCAAGTGGCAATCTAGGAAATGTCCCAATCCCCTGCTATCACCATTTCATATGGGCCAGATCTCAATGCCATCCCCGGCGAGGGCTTCATCCATGAGAATAGCTGGTACAACCAAGACTTTGACGGATACCGTATCTCAGAACAGCCGCTGTTCGCGAAGCGCCATCTTCGACTTATCTGCGTCGGCGCAGGTGCAACGGGCCTCCAACTCGCATACAAAGCAGAACGTATCTTAGAGAATATCGACCTGCAGATATACGAGAAGAATGATGATATCGGAGGTACATGGCTGGAAAACAGGTATCCGGGCTGCGCTTGCGACATCCCCAGCCACAGCTATCAATTTCGGTGGGCCAGGCGAGAAGCCTGGTCGTCCTTCTATTCGCCGTCGGAAGAGATATGGCAGTATTTCAAAGATATCTCTAATCGGTTTAAGCTGGAAAAGTATATCAAGTTTAACTCGGTCGTTGAGTCCGCGACGTGGGACGAGGAGGAAGGGAAATGGAATCTGCAGATCAAAACCCCCGAGGGTCCGATTGCCGACTCGTGCGACATCTTGATCAGCGCCTCAGGGGTGTTGAACTCGTGGAAGTATCCGGATATCCCTGGCCTTGAGGGGTTCAAGGGCAAGTTGATGCACAGCGCCAACTGGGATGCCTCGTTGGACTTGGATGGCAAAAATGTGGCTGTCATTGGAGGCGGATCATCTGGTGTCCAGATCATTCCCTCCATTCAACCACAGGTGAAAAAGCTTACAGCTTTTTTGAGGTCTCCCGTCTGGGTGATCACTGGCATCGGCGGTGTACATTCTGGTCCAGGAGGGACAAACTTCAAGTATTCTACCGAGCAGATACAACGATTCAAAGATCACCCCGAGGAATACGACCAGTACTGCCGCGACCTTGAAGGCGAGCTCAACAAGCGCTTTTCCCTGATGCACTCCCTAGGTGCTGATCAGAAAAGGTCCCGGGAGGCTATTTCCAAACTCATGTCGGAGCGGTTGGGTCATGATGAGCGACTTACTTCCACCATGATCCCTCAATTCGGATTGGGATGTCGCCGAATGACACCGGGCTCGGGATATCTTGAGTCCTTGGCAAAACTGAATGTGGAGGTCATCAATCAGTCCGCTACTAGGGTCACTGAGGAGGGGATCATCGATGAATCAGGGGTCGAGCACAAAGTGGATGTTATCATCTGTGCAACGGGATTCAATACATCCTTTTCGCCCCAATTTGAGATTGTCGGTCGCAACGGCGCCAATCTTAAACAGCAATTTGGAGACTTCCCGGTCGGATATCTGGCGATCATGGCTGCCAACTTTCCAAATCTGTTCCGTGGGTGTATCATATTCTCTTTTTGGTAATTCTGACTGATGACCTTTTAGTTGTTATGGGGCCTAACGGGCCTGTCAGCCATGGCTCAGTTCTTCCGATCGTGGAATGGATGATAAGGTATATCTTCCAGGTAGTTGAGAAGGTACAGCAGGAGAACATCAAGTCCTTCGAGCCGAAAATAGGTGCCGTGAAGGACCTATATAATCACACTCATGAAATCATGAAACGCCTAGTGTGGTCGTCTAGTAAGCACATTCTAGTTTCTGCCCTCTGGGCTTGTGCTATCTGCTAAAAACATTGAAGAATGTAGCTCCTGGTTCAAGAATGGCAAAAAGGAAGGCCCTGTCACGGCCATCTACCCTGGGAGTCGGCTTCATTTCTTTGAGATGCTGAAGAATGTTCGGTGGGAGGATTTTGAGCTCGAGTATCGGTCAAGCAATAGATTTCAGTTTATGGGAAACGGGTACACGCAGTGCGAGATAGACCCCGATGGCAACAAGGTCTGGTATTTTGATGACGAGTTCACTCAGGTATAGTGTGTTCTGTGCAAACGATGGAGATAGATGAACATGTTGTGATTGTTCCGTCTTGCTAGCTAGTCCTGAAGGTTGGCATGATCAGAAGGCACTGATACTATCTCACCGGGCCAACTATCTGCTGCCATTTCAATTCCCTGACTGCCCAACTTGCGCATTCAGATGTAGAATTCCTGCGAGTCAGCATCGGAAACAGCGTCATCAGAAAATTCGAAGGGTATCGGAGATGACATTCCCTTCTGAAAGCCTGATCGTTGGGATAACCTCTCGTGCCATGATTTGATGCGAGGGCTAAATGTCAAGTCAATGCCGCACCGCTTCGAGGTGGAGGTATAGACATAGATTGCACATCAACAATGGTCAAACGATCGCCGGCCACAAATAGGGTGATAGACTAGTATTTCCAACGAGGAGGAGACTGAACAGCATCTAACTCGAGAGAATCTGGTTGGCTTACCAATTATTTATCAAGCACATATGTAGGCGCCTGCACTCCGCCGTGTATCTCCATTTCCCACCGGGCACATCAGCTACAGCGTAGCGATTGAAATGGCATGCTTGGCCCATCATGGGTCCATAGCCTGAAATTTGCCAAGGAAGCTTATAGTTACCGCGATGGGCTACTAGTCAATGTCTTCTGTGTGCTTTTCTCGCTAAACCCACCCCGCTCTTTTGCTGCCAATACTCCGGAGTACCATATGGGTGAGAAAGTTTGCCCTCCTTGTCGAACTCAATGACGATGAACTCCAGGCAAGCACCACTTTTCCAGACAGGGACCTGACTACTATCACCTTCACATGGACAATGGCAGGGAGTCTGCCGTTCGGGTTGATAGCTGTAAACCACTCAGCTTTGGCTTCGCTCATTTCTACGTTGATAGGGGGTGCTAGCCATATATGAGCGTTCAAACTTGACTTTTCGAGGCAACCTTTTTGGAGTCTTACCCAAGCTCCTCGGCTGCGATTGTCAGCTTGTATGGGTTGAGAGCCACACAGCCATAGATGTTCAGCCCCGGCTTCGGCGCCTTTTCAGGAGGAAGAGTCATATTTGAATAAGTTGGATGGACAATGGTCAACTCACTTACTTTTCGGGTTTATGTGTGGAAAAGAGGAACATAGGAGAGAGGCTGCTTTTAAGTAGTGCAGCTCTTTTTTCGGACTACATATTGATAGGTACTTTTGCAATCCTTCTACCAAGCTTGGCCCGCGGTGGCTCCGTTGTAAGCGCTAGAGCGCCGCGAAGCCTGGTGCTCCACGGGGATCGGTGTGAGGCCCGCCGATCCTGGGAGTACAAAGGATAGTGACTTTGGATCCACTGACCCTCGAACAATACTTAGTACCCGCGAGTTGACAAGCATCATAGATCCGGCCTCCTTTCCGCGTGACGAGATTATATTGTAAAAAGCACAGTTAGTGGTTCTTGTCCGAGACAGACACCGCACGGGCTGATGAAGTCCAACTTGGAGGTAAAGGCCCTAAGGAAAAGATCCAGCGGGTTTGTTTTCTAGGTTTACAGGTCTCGCGCAGGGCACAGAAGAGACAGACATTTATCTCTGTATTCTATTTGTTCTTCCAAGCTCTGAAGAGCGGAGGGAAGCGGGGTCATGAGAAGGTACAAGGCAGAAAAATGGAACATAGTTGAAGAAAGCAAGTCATTGTCAGAAATAAAACACGTTAAGACGCCGCTCGCAATTCAAAATCAACCGACCTCATCAATCGGGGAAAATGCTCTTCTATCAACGCTTCTCTCGAGCACGAATATAAAATCAACAATATTGATCTTTTTTTTTTTACTCCGAAGCTTCCGCCTCCACTGCCGCCTCGGGCGCACCGTTTTCCGCACTCGCCGGCTCCTTGTCGTCATCTGCGTTGATATCGATCAAGGATTCGGACGAGGGGGCTCGGGTACGACGCCCTCCTTCTCGATACGAAGGTATTCGTCCCACTCCGGGAACAAGTCATCATCTGTCGAAGCAACGTTGGGAGCCCCCGGGGGAATACCGATGAGACGAGCCACCTTAGTCTTGCCCGAAGTCTCAAGCGACTCCTTCCATTGAACCACAAGTGCTGGTGCGCGAGAGGGCTTGTAAGTTTGCGCAAATAGAACAGCTTCGGCGATACGGCCGGTCTGGACAAGGAGATCGATACAGGTATCAACTTCGCCGAGAGCCCAGAGAGTGGAGAAGGCCACATTGTGCAGACCAGCCTCGGAGGCTTGGGCGGCTAGCGCACGCAAGCCAGAACGGTTGTTGGAAGCAGTGTGCAATAACAAGAGAGAGCCAAAGTCTTTAGCGTTGGCAAAGCACTCCTCGGCCAGCTTGAGGTTCCAGCCGGCAAGGGCAGCATCACCAATGGTCTTCCACTTGTGGGAGTCGGCGTTGGATTCACGGGCAATCTCGAGAGCGGTCTCGAGGTCATTGAGAGACAGGGCCAAATCAAATCGGTGCTCTGGGTCGGTAGCGACCTCAAGAGCCAGATCTTTGTATCCTTGGCCCTCAAGGAATCGAGCCACCTTGTTCATTTGGTCGTGAGGAACATCCTTTAGCAGCTCAGCAGCTGTCTCCATGTCACCACGGAGCACCACGGTCTGGTACTCAACCATGCTAAGAGAGAGTCCAAAAGAGACGACATTGACATCTTTGTCGCAGAGATAGATGCGACCATCCTGGGCAAGTATCCAAGAATGTACATAGGTTGGTCAAAGTGAGAAATAGTGTAGGTCTGGTCACCCACAAGATAGTTCAGGCGGTTGGTCGAGTTTGTGTAGATGAAACAGTCGCCGACCCATTCACCAGTGCGAACCTCCTCGCTGATAGAGGCGACAAGGTCAATAGCAGCCTCGACGCCATCTTCATCGGCTTCGCCATTGTTGACACCATTAATGTAGGCTTCTCTAGAATAGCGAAGCACGTAGAAAGTGTCTTCACAAGCAAGAGTAACCAGCTCTCCCGACTCGGACCAGTAGACCTATGAAAGGAGTTAGTCCCTGACACTTTCGGGGTTTGACAGATTTCACGGGCGAACTTACGTTCTTAGGATCGACCTCAATCCGCCGGACCAGGTTGCCGCTTTCCCAGTCAAAGAGCCCGATGCCACCCTGGCCCTTGACACCCAGGAGGACACCATCACTCAAGCCCTCGGCTTGGAAGCCCACATCGAGACCAGGGCTCTGTTCTTTGAAATTTTTGAAGATTTTGACACTGGTCGTTGACTCGCGGATAGCGTAGTCGTTGCTGTTTTCCTTCGAGCCCCATGCAAAATCAAGAGCCTGGCCAAAAGCCTTGTTGCGCCACGCCAGCGCAGTGTAAATGATATATTCACCGTCGCCGCAGACAGAAACAAAACGGCCATTAGGGGAGTGAGATAGTGTTTGAGGGTACACTTCACAGGTACCCAGGTCCTTCGTTGGCAAAATCAGGGGCTCGCCATCTTTGAGTGTCGCATCACCGCCTTTGATGACGGTGGAAACAACCTCACTGTGTCGGGCCCAGATAAGCTTGCCAGAGCCATCCATGGAGACAGCGGGCTCCTCACGGCCCATCTTCACTACCACGGCACCATCATCAAAACCCATAGCAACTCCCTGGCGGCCCCTCTGGTAAGCCACACACCATGCCCGCTCCAGGCCATAGCTTAGTGACTGTTCGAGGCGGTAAGTATTGGCGTGCCAAATCTTGATAGTCCCATCCTCAGAACCTGAGATAATGACAGGCAACTCGGGGTGGTAACAAGCGAAAGAGACATTGCTGGTGTGGCCCTCCAAGGTTGCGATCAGCGCCTTAGTCGTATAGTCCCAGACCTGTTATCATGTTAGCATCTTTCGCATCGCCCGATTTAGCTTATCAGAACCTTACCTTGACTGTTTTGTCGTCTGAGGTTGTGAGAAGGTAGGGCTTGTCCGCAGCTGGGTAATAATCCACGTGGTTCACGCCCTTAGTCTCGTGGGCTTCCAATGTGAAGTTGGCGTGGGGGGGATCCAAGGTTCCAAATCTTGACGGTTCGATCTAAGCAGGCCGAAGCAAAAGTATTTGTGTCCTTGGGGTTGATTGCCATGCCCATCACATAATGGCTGTGGCCCTCGAAGACCTGGACACATTTCCAGCCCTTCTCCCAATCCCACAGCTTGATAGTCATATCATCGGAGGCAGTCAGGACGAATGGCTGCGTAGGGTGGACAGCGATCGAACGGATGTAATCTGGGTGTGCTTCGAATGAGGTGATCTTCTCGGAGGTGTTGTAGTTGTAAACACGAAGTTGGAAGTCATCCGAACCACAAACAATCCAGTTCTTTCGCGCAATGAAACGACCGGCACGGACGGGGACATCTGTGAGCTCGAATGTCTTGATGATCGACTGCGATTCGTAGGACCAGATATAGACGTGACCTGGTCAACAAGAAGTTAGTACCCATGGAGCTTGACGGAGAGAACAAGTTTCCTCATTTCCCTAAAACATACCGCTATACAGCGTGGTCAAGATCTAAGCGATGTTCAGTATAGATACCAATTCCTTGCAAGTAATTTTGACTTACCCATGGCTCTGTTGGGTGGAAATCGATTCCCTTAACCCGCTCCGAGCGGGCAAAGAGTTGCCGCTACATCACAAGTTCTCGTCAGCCATCCTGCCAATACTTTCTGGAGTATGCAGCTTTGAAGTTGCTGGATCGTTCCAGATCATCTATCGCCGCATTGAGTGTGTCTGCGTACCTTAACATCGAGGCGCATGTTGTGTGTGGGGTGGGAGGAAACAAGTTGAAGAGGAAGGTTAGATTGTGTGGTGCGGCGTTCGGCCTACACAAGCGAGATCTGCGAGCCAGTGAAGCAGCCCAAGTAATTAGGGACAGCACGAAGCTCGGGGTCAGCAGAGAACCTTTGGAGAGACACAATGCTTTCCCTGATCGAAGAGCTGGAAGGCGCTCAGGGACCAATGTGTCCACAAGGGATTCCCACCCTCACCGCCTTCCGTTGTTGACCCATAGGTACCTAGACTTCGTTTGGGCTTATATGTACTCCAAGACTCTAGGCTGCTTTTCTCTTCTTTCATATTCTCTAGATTTGGTACAGATATCCCATTCTGAATTCCCAAAATGAAATATCTCCTCCCAGAGTCTCTTCTTTTTGCACTCTTTGTTTTCCCCGGATGATCTCCGGCGCAACCAGGCTGAGATATAATTGGACTCTTAATCCCCAGAAAACGTGGGGAAACCTACTCCTCCATTTGTGCCGAAGATACTGATTCATACATTGCCATACTTACACTCGGTAAATTATCGGGCTAGGATAACAGATTCCTCGTATTACCATATATGGCCTTCTATCCTGAGAAGGCAAGCATGAACCATAGTCGCGGGAATTTGAAGTAGAAAACAAAACAAAGTGTATTTGAAACAACCCAGGTTCTAATAGTTACAGAGAATAGCCTCTTTGGCTTTTCCGCTGAAATTTAATGACGTTCAAAGTAGGTCCATTGGCCGGGCTTGGGTTTTCCTCGAGCTCCTCCCAGCTACGAATCATGTCAGCAACCAGCATTGATCAGGATATGTGGAAACTTACACTTTAGCCTTGTAGAGCTCGTCTACGAGCTTGGACTCGGCCTCAGCCACTTGGATGACCTCTTCAATAAGTCCAGCGCCAATCTGCTTTTCGATCTCCGCAATTCTGGGGGGGAAAGAATGGTGAGCCACTCGTACATGCGACTCCGCGACTAATGTAGACAGTGTAAACTTACTGATCGGCCTCCAGAGAAGGCTCGTTTCTCCCACTTCATGGTGTGGTTGTGAATTTCACTGTCACTTGGGGGAGCGCTCTCGGCTTCAAGAATCTTGTTCAACTCGGCCTCTTCTTCTGGGGTACGTGTAGGGCCTTCTGTGGACGCAGACATGCCCTCGCCATCCCACTCTTCACCACGGGTGATATCGCTACCATCACGCTGCTCCATACCGACAAATGCAAATGAGCCATCCGAGCGCTTGAGCTTAGCAAATCGCTCGGGCTCTTCAGCCACAGTTTTCCTCACTCGCTCCAACCAGGCCTCAAATCCAGGAGGCTTCTGCGCTTCGACGATTTGGAGACGGTGGCGTGACAATGCCTCGACGGACTGCCGGTAGGCGGAGGATTCGGGGAAAGCCTTGAGCTTCTCCAATGTGCTAGTGTAAAGATAGATCAAAGTCGGGCGGGGACTCGGATGGGTGTGAAGTCCAGTCAATCCCGTAGGAGCGAATGGCTCCAGGTACCGGGGCTTGACATTGGCCAGCAGTCGCAACGTAGACCTCATTGTGTCAATTGAGGGGGAGGAGGCTGAGGATTGGAATGGCAGTTATTGGTCAGGGAGTCGTGGCGCGGGAAGTTCACTATTCGGAAGCGGGACCAATTTAATCCGCCCGGCCAGAACGAAGCAGGGGCGGGCCACCTTTTCTTTTGATCCAACGCGTGCGCTGAAGTTGCTCCCTGGCCTTTTTCCCAGATTTCGGTCTGATCTTCTTTTCTACGGCTTGGGGCTTGGATGTTCCGCCCTTGCTGGTTTCTTTTCCTATACAACCAAGAGTTGTCGTCTCGCGCCTTATCTGCGCCGCTTTTCGCCCCCCGTCCGATGTGCCACCTGTGACATTTGCGATTTCTCCTTTTGACCAACGTCTTTCGTTCAATATCAAGCTATCCAGATCCGAGACATACGCAAGAATTGTTTACTTTCTTTTGAATTTTGTTCTGCATTGAGACTCCGTGTCTACCGCCACAATGAAGATTTCCTGGCTAGGGTGGTGTCTCCCACTCCTGGCCGCATCAACACTTGCGGCACCCGCAGACTCAGAGTCAGGACAGCGGCCGGAAAAGCGAGCCAACCGTGGTCTGGACCCTGAAGATCCCACAGTGTTCAATGGACTTGATGTTCCCCCATTGTTCCAACTCACCGCAGAGAACTTCGACGAGACCATCAAAGATGGCACTTGGTTCGTACTTACGCTCAAACCTTCCCTTCACCTCGGAAGCCACTAACATGAGACGTTTCTCTAGGTTTGTGAAGCACTACTCTCCGCAGTGTGTGCATTGCAGACATGCGGCTCCATACTTCCAGACTACTTATGAGTACTACTATGTACATAACCCACCCCCAAAATAGGCCTGAGAAGTCTCGCGCTAATACATATTCTAGACTTCGAATCCCACTTCCCCATCATCCGGAAAATCGCCTGACCCGAAATCCATGGACTCCTTCACTGGTTATTACAACTTCCACTTCGCTTCTATGAACTGCATCACGGATGCCGATCTGTGTCAAAAGCTTGGCATCCTAAGCTGGCCTACCTTCGCGTTCTACGAAAATGGCGTCAAGACAAATCAAGTCACGGGAGCAAAGAAGATCTCGGATTTGAGTAAACTTATCGAAGAGAAACTCGAAACCATCAAGCCAGGGTCTCGTCCTTCTCAGGGTATCAAATTGCCCGAGGTCGGCGCAACAAGCGTGGATGCCTCTGCAGCACCCGACTCGTCTGAAGCTAAAGACAAGGGCCCTCTGGACAGCATCAAGGCTGCTTCTGGTGAGAAGCCAAACGCAGCTGACTCACAGAAGGGCTCAATTGACACCAAATCAACTGTCAAGACTACCAATACCAAGTCCACGGGCCCACCTCCGAACCCTCAGGGCGTATCCGTCCCTCTCAATGCTGAAAGTTTCCAACGACTTGTGACCACTTCCCAAGACCCTTGGTTCATCAAGTTCTACACTCCCTGGTGTCCTCATTGCCAAGCACTGGCTCCCAACTGGCAGCAAATGGCAAAGGAGAACAAGGACACTCTCAACATTGGTGAGGTCAACTGTGATATGGAAGCCCGTCTCTGCCAAGACGCTCGAGTAAGCGCTTACCCCACACTCTACTTCTTCCGAGGTGGCCAGCGTGTGGAGTACACGGGCCTGCGTGGTCTGGGTGATCTGCTTTCTTACACTAAGAAAGCAGTCGGTCCAGGCTCCACCATTGAAGATGTTGATGCGGCTACGTTCAAGGAGCTGGAGCAGACTGAGGAAGTCCTATTCTTGTACTTTTATGATGAAGCGACCACCTCAGGAGGATTTCAGGGCCATGGAGCGTCTGACACTCAGTCTCGTCGGCCATGCCCGCATTGTCAAAAGTCAAAGTGATGCATTAGCTCGGCGTTTCAAGATCTCTACATGGCCCCGTCTTTTGGTTGTTCGTGATGGCCGCCCCAACTATTACAATGCTCTCGCTCCGAAGGATATGAGAGACTTTCGTCAAATTCTTTCCTGGATGCAGACCGTTTGGTTACCCATCGTCCCTGAGCTGACCGCTTCGAATGCTCGGGAAATCATGGATGGCAAATTCGTTGTCTTGGGAATTCTCAGCCGACGCCGCTCCGATGACTTCAAGCAGTCTAAGAGGGAATTGAAGGAGGCTGCCCATGAATGGATGGACAAACAGGTTCAACTCTTCCGGCTCGAGCGTGCAGAACTTCGTGATTCGAAGCAACTGCGCATCGAAGAGGCCGAGGATCGCAACGATGAACGTGCAAAGCGGGCTGCGAAGAACATGCGTATCACCATTCGTGAAGATGACAAGAAGCCTGTTGCTTTTGCCTGGGTTGATGGCGACTTCTGGGAGCGCTGGATTCGCACAACCTATGGCATTGACGTCGAACAAGGTGACCGTGTGATTATCAATGATGAAGATGTAAGCTTTATTCCTCCTGTGCTTTGAACAATTGTTTACTAACTCTTTGCTAGAACCGACGATACTGGGATACTGCCTCCAGCGGAGCCACCATCATGGCTTCGCGTACGTCCATTCTTGAGACTATTCCCCTGGTGGTTTCTTCTCCACCAAAGTTGTCGCCCAAGTCAACCGTTGGTGCCTTTGAGACCATCTTCTTCTTCACCCGCTCCTTCATCACTACCCACCCCATCCTCTTCTTCGTCTTCTTAACCATCACCATTGCCGCGGTCACCTTCCTTGGTCGCGGGCGTCTCTTGCGGCGTGCTGGATTCAGCCGCGGTGGCATTATTGGTAACACTAATAGTAACGGGGGCGGGTTCTTCCACTTGGACGGCAAGGAAGGTGTCTTGAACGGAGGTTCGACTGGCAAGGTCGACTAATGAGATGCATGTACAGTTCCGGTGTTCGGATGCACGGTTTCCTTTAATATATTCCTTTCCCCACATTTCCACCTGTATTTGTTTGATTTCAGGCTGGTTTTATCCTTTGCAGCCTATATGGTCACTGCATGTCTGAGCTCCTGGAGTGTTGAAGCACATACTTCCTTTTTTTATTTTTTTTTACACATGTTTTATCTCGTTGTAACTCAAATTTCATATCCCTGAATGAACGACCACATTTACTAATCGAGTGTATCATTTCCAAGGTTGATTGTAGACTATAAGTGCTCCACTCACGTAGTAAACCATGATGCCAGCTTGAACTGCTTTGGTATGACTTCAAGTTCAAGTTATTGACCCTTGCTCTCAACCCGTTGCCGGAAGAACTGCTCCAGGTGAGACAAAGCACCATACGTGAGGATGTGCATTTTTAGGCAATATACAATAGCTCGCTGAGCAGCAACTGGGACACGAAAAATGAGATAGATTGGAATTGATTATTCGTCCTGTGATTGGCTGTATGGTGGTATAGCACGTGATATACTCAATTGCGCGCGCTGATTGGTCAGAGGCTCGGGCGCTTTCGGTTTTCGTTGACCACCAAGTTGCCAGCTCCTTGTCCCTCCAAGTAATTGTCCAACGACCTGCCCTCGCTGACAACCATGGTATGCACCTTTCTTGCTTCTTTATTTTCCCTGCCTATTCTAGTCCTAGGCCAAGCTACTCTTGTTCTTTGATTTCTGGCTTGTTGGCTAGACTGTGGCCACCGCGTCACCGATGCGAATACCCAAGGCTCCGGAACATACCACTGCGCTCAAGGGGATTGATGTGCTGATTCTGGATTCTTCTCAATTCATAGGTTTTCGCTCCTACTCTCCGCCGGGCTGCGGCCCAAGCTGGCACTGCCTTCGGTCCCAAGTAAGAACACCCTCGGCCTGAGATTCGACCCTCCGATCGCGAGCCCAAGCAACGGAAGATACGGCACGTGCAAGCCATAAGTGGCGGTGCTATCTGAGCCTTTGGACCAATATAGCCTCTAGAGTGCTATAATTTAGAGTCGGCCATCAGTCCGATGTGGCTTCCTCCAGTCCTTCCCAGCTCTATGGATTGGCCAAGGACCGGCATTGCAAGGGTTCAATTGATCACCATGGGAAACCTATGTGAAATTGGGAATTGAAAGCTAATAATACCTCTTTAGGATCGCTATTCCTCCCCGCGTCGCTGGCTTCGACATGAAGAGCGCCATCAATGCGTGAGTCCTTTCTATCTGCTCCCGGGCTTTTGTCGTGGGAGTAAAGAGATATATCTAGAGACTATCCGTTAACGAAATAAACAGCGGCACTCTGGCTGCTAGCTTCGGTGTCTTCGCCGGTACCGCCGCTCTCTTCATGCTCGGCGATGTCCCCCGTGTCCGTCGCGATATCCTCCAGCAGCTCCCCTTCCTGGACAACTACCTCGACCGCACCATCCCCCCTGAGGACAACGTAAGTTCGGCTCACGCGCGCTTCTGGATATGCAAACTAACGGAGTTAGCCCTTCTAATTGTCTGCGCTTGAATACTTGGGGTGGCATATGATCCCTCTTGACGGGTCGAGTGTGTAGAATAGTGACGAGAGTCCTTATGTTTTCATTAGCACATAGAGACCGACTTTGAAAACCATACCTTCGGTTTTGTTTCTTTTGTCAAGCCGACTTCGTTCAGCACGACGGGTGCTCTGCCCTAGCTTGTATCGGTAAATGTAGTGCGGATCGTATGGATTGCAAAATTGAAGAGCAGCCAGTACCCATAGACCGCCTCTGACATAGGTCTTGAGTCTTTTGATTTGTAGATAGGACGCAGCGGTGGAATCATGGAACCATGTCTACAACCGCAGTTCGACGCGAGGTTGCCTTAGCATTCATAGGGGGCCTTCCAAGCACACGCTTGTAGAACAGTACTGAGGTCAAGATCCAAGATCTCGTTTATAGCCAGCTCCGGACGCCACTTTCTCATCAGGCAAGTCCTGCCAGAGCGTGGAGATAAGCGCTCATGCATGACCAAAGAAGGGCCCTTCCCAAACGCCCTTATCTTTGAACATCGCTGATAAGCCAATGCTTGACGCCTCAAGTTGCCCATCTGGGCTTAGAGTTTCGTGTCAATCTAAGTTATGGCTGGCACGGATCTCATCCCTGCGCGATGACAAGGCGTTTGAGTTTCATGGACCTCGAATCACAGACTACGTTTGGCGAGAAGCATATGCAGCGGATCGAATCAACCGGCGGGTTCCTCAATGCAACCAATACAGTTGCCCCGTCTCATGAGAACGGACGCGTTGTGATTTGCCGCCGTAGATAACAGATACATTGCCCCCCTTGTCTCTTCTCTCTATAGCCGCGGCCTCTTTAAATCGGTTCGAGCCCCTCTTCTGGCTGTGTAGCCTGCACGATCGTGTCAATGGGTCGTTCCCTCTCCTCTTTGCTAACCATTGTACACTGACCCGGTTCATTTCTCTTTCATCCTGTAGTGCCCGCTATCAAGGTACAGGTAGCAGCAATGAGCTCAAAATCGTTGGGAATGGGGGTCTTTCAGCGCACTTCTTCCGTCAAAGACGTCGACCACGCCCCCGTTACATCTGTCCTCCCGGATGGCGATGTGCCATATACAGATCATGCGCTGGATGCCGATGAGCAGGTTATTTTAGCGCTCGGTTACAAGCAAGAGTTTAAACGCGAGTTCTCGTTATGGACAACCTTTTGCGTGAGCTTCGCTGTTCTCGGTCTGCTGCCGTCTTTTGCGAGTACGATATACTACGGTACGTTCTTTCACACCATCTGTTTGCTGGAAGCCGGCGCTAAATTATCCTCATAGGCATGGGATATGCTGGGACGGCAGGTATGGTCTGGGGTTGGATCATAGCCATGGTATTCATCCAATGCATTGCAATGTCCATGGCAGAGCTGTGCTCCGCCATGCCCACGAGGTTTGCATCCAGCAGCCCGGTCCAAACAAGGATCAAGAAGCTAACCAATATTTACCCCAGTGGCGGTCTATACTACGCAGCAGCCGTTCTCGCGCCCCCGGGATGGGGCCCCTTCGCCGCATGGCTCACTGGGTGGTCGAATTGGATCGGGCAGATCACCGCGGCGCCTTCTGTAGACTATGCGCTTTCTGCTATGATCCTGGCCGCTGGATCTATTTCTAACCCGGGTTACGTTCCTACGAACTGGCAGATCTTCCTCTTAACAACCTTGGTCATGATCATCCATGCCGGTATCAGCAGCATGCCCACCAAGCGGGTCGCACAGTTCAACTCGTACGGCTCGACATTTAACTTCCTGGCTCTTGTCGTAACGTTAATCGTCATTCCTGCGGCGACGAGGAACGACTTCACTCCTTCGAGCGAAGTATCGGGCAAGATAACGAATCAGACAGATTACCCCGATGGAGTCGCAGTGCTGATGACTTTCGTCGGTGTCATCTGGACTATGTCCGGCTACGACTCCCCTTTCCATCTGAGCGAGGAATGCAGTAATGCGAACGTTGCGTCGCCCCGGTAGGTTCATCTTACACCGTTTTCTCTCTGAGTAACTTCTGCATCAGGCTGACGTATCTTGTGCCAGGGCTATCGTGATGACCTCCGCGTTCGGTGGTCTCTTCGGCTGGTTCCTCCAGCTTGTCGTTGCCTACACGGTTGTTGATATCGAGGCTGTCCTCGACTCTGATCTCGGCCAGCCTTGGGCATCGTATTTGCTTCAGGTCCTGCCTCAGAAGGCGGCGCTCGCAATCCTGGGTCTGACGATCATTTGCGGTTTCTCCATGGGACAGGGGTGTATGGTGGCCGCTTCACGTGTGACATACGCCTATGCGCGCGACGATGTTTTCCCTTTTTCGAATTTTTTCAAGGAAGTCAATGGTTACACACAGACACCCGTCAATGCAGTGATTCTAAATGCTGTCCTGGGGATCCTGATGTGTCTCCTGGTGCTCGCAGGGTCTGTTGCCATCGGAGCCCTGTTCTCCATTGGCGCTATCGCCCAGTTCGTGGCTTTCATTATTCCGATCTTTATCCGTGTTTTCTTCGTGGGGGATCGCTTTCGCAAAGGACCCTGGAATCTTGGACGATATGGCCCCGCTATTGGCGGCATCGGATGTTCGTTCGTGGCTCTGATGGTGCCTATTCTCTGCCTTCCCAGTGTCACGGGCCGTGATCTGACGTTGGATCTGATGAACTGGACTTGCCTTGTCTACGGTGGTCCGATGCTGATCGTGACTATCTGGTGGTTTGTTGATGCCCATCGCTGGTTTAAAGGTCCTAAAGTCAATGTGGAACATGCCGTCCACCCGTACGATGAGGCTATGGTCAGTGAAGGAGTCGAGCCGGCTAATGTTCCAGTTCCGAGTCCAGACTCGGCCAAAGAAGATAAGCCCTTATCATAGGCCTGGACTGGTCTCGTCCTGTCTGTCAGTTGGTCACCTCGATAATAATTAGCCCAGTAGATACTCTGCTTTACATATTATAATGCTAGGACGGTCCTGCGTCATAGGCTACAATGCCAGTTTGAACCAAGTGGCACGCACTACACAGCCCTCATGAGCGATAGGCTATACTAGTATCATCGAGTGTTCAATTGGAAGATACCATGTGGCAGAGATACAGGTCTTTGTCTGCTGTGAAGCTTCTACCGGAATTTTCCAGTCGCGGCACGTTGAGTACTACTGCTTGAAAATATACTCAAGATCGCCTCTTTCACGGAAATATTTGTCGGAAGTATATTCTCTTCAGCTCCGACGCGGAATCCAGAAAGATTCTCTCAGCCCATCATCCAAATAATCAGAATCACTAATGTATCGACCTTACATATCCAGATGCAAGACGAGGATGACTCCCGTACCTGCAGTCCCTGGGGGGCTAGGCAAGTGATCCTAGCCTGAGGATCGAACTAGGGGGCGGGCATCAGGCGCCAATTAGCGGCTCTTCCGAGTCGAGCTGAGCCATGCGGGTCGCAACGTCCTGAGAATCTTCTGCAGAAAGCCGTTATAGCCCGTTGGCTCTATTATTGGAAATGCTGCTCAGAAATTGTTGGGTGGCGTCCTCGGTTGCTGCGGAATGACCGCATACAGGATTACTGGAGCTATCCGAAATGATAAATCATGTTTCAGATTCAGCGAGTTCAGGATGTACGAGATCAGGCAGCAGATATTGGCCAGCCATGTCAAATAAATACATTGCCTCTAAGAAGGTTACGTTCGTAATACTAGTACTAGTAATTGTTAAGGCGATTGAGGTTGGGGGCTGACAACAGTGGCTGTTTCTATATATCCATGCGAGCTCTGGTGGAGATGGCACGCCTGGATCTGACCATGCATTCAGGACCAACTTACCCGCAGACCCAGAGCCCCAGTCTGTCTATCTTATTTTGTGGGTTATGGACTCGGAGTGATGGGGGGTCCCGCGATGGAGGTGTGGGCTCTTCCCCACTCCATCCCTGCCGTGGGCGGAGTACTTGATATCTGGGGATGTCCGCCCAAGCTGGTAAGATTGCAGGTCTAATCGGTTGAACATTCAAAGTCACCTCAAATTCCCAGGTCACCCTAGTAGACAAATAGCAGGGTAAGAAGATATGACTGGCTGCGGCTTGTCTCCGAGTCATTTTCTAGTTAGTTAGTTAGTCCTATTACATAAAACCGCCACTGCTGCAGGGCAATGAATACATATGCAGTGGCAGGCCTGACGCAAGCTCCAGCTACCTCCGAGTCGGAGGCTGCAGGTAAGAATGCTCACGGCCCCCATCTGGGCTACACCGGAGCGCACTCGGGCGCCCACTTTACGCAGGTGCTCAAGACGATCAGATTCACACGCCTTGAGAACTCGGTACATGATCCTCGCGACGCGGCACACGAAACTTCTCCCGCGGAGAATCTCGGCCAATCAGTGAATCCCGAGCCTAAGGCCAGGAGAGGCCCGCGGAAAAAGCGCAATTGTTCCACCGTCGAAAAGGAGAACCTACCCCGACTCCCATTTCGCGGTCGACGTACCTGGTACCAGAGCCAGCAACTCCCTAGGGATCACCCGAATAATTCTACAGATCCACCCTCTGGTCTCCACTGCGTGGGCACTTGACATGGATACAGCGGATAAGGGGAGGGGGAGATAGAAATAAGATGGGACACAAGAGATATGCTTAATCTGACTCCAGACGGGGGTCATCCACCCCCCTTGTCCAGTCGTAAAAACTACCGGATCCACACGCAATCCATCTTACAGTTGAACTCTATCCTCAATGACGCCTCGCTAAGGACGTGGTATTGTGCTTTGGGGGGCGTTTTCTCACCTCTCCCAAAAAGGGCAAAGACTTGTAAGTGCGTCTGCCGTCCCAACGAATAGGATGCTCGGATCAGGCGCTTTATTAGGGGATGTTCGGTTGCCTCCGCTCAATCTTACCCTCTTTTTCGATGGAACCCCTTAATCCTGGGCCAGCCTATGCCCTGTTCGACCACGAACCAAAAGCCATGACAAACCGTAGGGGGTTGCACTGTACACCCGGACCCCCAGACGAAGGAGGCGCCGAGGAAGGAGGCCATGTGCGGTTCCAGGAACCACAGCCCCGCTACTCCCTACAGCTCGCCTCTTGTCCGGTGGAGCAGATGGCGACCGTTCCTGAATCGGGGACCCATTTCCCGATGCCATTGTACAAACCCCCGGTTCCCTCGCCGTAATTATCGCGGTAAGCGAGCAAAGGTTAGGACCAAGGGGGGGGCCAAATACAACTAGGTGAACATGCAAAGCACGCAGGCTCCCATGGTAAACAAGATCGAGCCGGGTGAGAAGCCGGTGTGTACCGTACAAGGCCTCTTTGCCATTTTCCCGCCACTCCTCTTCCTCGTTCCCTCTGGTTTTTGGGCCTTGAGGATTTGGAAGGGCTTCGCCCAATCATAGCATGTATTTTTCGTGGTGCGCCCATGCAGCCATGGTGCTGTACCCTTTTTGATTATTCTTGCCTTAACGAGTTATTTGCGTACGCCCGTTACGATAAATTACACTGCAAACGTCCATACTTCCGCCTACGGCTCCCGCTAAATTCAGCGTAAGAACCTTCGGGTCACATGCTCCTGTAGATGTTCGCACTGAATACTCAAATTGCCGTCCATTCAATGTTGCCTAACGTAATGCCCTGCAAGGTCACGTACTTGGCACTCGGGGAGGTCGAGCACCGTAACAACTTCCTGTACACATATCCGAAACGAAATAGACGAACGTGGGCCAATGACAGATTCAGGGGAGAGCAGGCAAATCTCCGTGTTCTCCTGATACGACCACAATATAACTTTTTTTTTTCATTTGCCTTTCGCTCGTCCCAGGTCCACGGTACAGCGGCTAATTGGGAGGTGTTTTGTCCGTTCCCTCTTACTTCCTACGTGCTGGGTGGCTCTTGGCGCGCACTTTTGGGGTCGCTGAGTATCCGTACCCCGACCAGATCCACAAACACATGGTTTCTGGGAATTGGTTCGAGCAGTAAGACAAATTCGATGTGGCGGTTCCCAATATAGCGTATCCAATCTAGAGCATAGAAGGTATTCTAGTATCCATCGACTGGTATCGTGCTTCGAGTTCCTCTCGAATTCCATAATACGTTTGGGAGCCAGAGAACAAAGGAAGGGTGATGACATTTTGCCGATACCCCAATTAAGCGGGATGCATCCGAGGAGGGGGACCTTTGAGGGGAAAAAAAAGAAAAACTAGGCGGGTCCGGATGAAGGGGGCCCCTCAGAGCCTATGAGGTGGGTGGCGCCTGTGATCCTGTCTCCATTAGGGCCTGTCCGTCCCTCTGATTGGCAACCCTGCTGAAACTCGGCGATCCAGACTTGACTTTGTTGTGTTTCTGTTGGCCTTTCCGGCCTGAGCCGGGGTTAGGTTGGCTCCAATTACCGTGATACCATGATCGAGATATCTTCATTCCCCTACGAAGTATGCCTTAGGATCTTCGGCCTTGCAGGGTGGCAAACTCGCCTGCATAGTGTAGGATCAAGGCCAAGTCTTGTACTTTTGCAACGGCAAGCCTCCCTGTCCGGTCCTTTCTGTCCCTTGTTTCGGATCGGGGGAAACCATGGGGATCTACGTCTCAAGTCCACTAGTTATTAGGCTTATATCGTCCAAATGAGGCATCTCACGGCTAATGAACCCATATACGTCTTGGTAGCCCTCGTGACCCTTACAAACAGAGCTTAAGGGCATAAGCAGCCTGGGCGCCACATCGTCTAGGATCATGTACGCATCGTATGTTGTAGAGATCAGTCTGACAGGAGACCCCAGCACGTCGTCGGAGGGTTGCCGCGATGTCAAGCTCTGCTACGGAGTACAGTTAACTGCCGATCGCGGGTGAATGGGCCCTTTCTGCAGTCCCACGAGCTCCAACAAAAGCCTCACCGTAATTTGCGGGAACGGCCATTCTGTTTCTTTCTCGTGGACCGAACCGTCTTCGGGCGCCCCTGGAGTGGAGTTTGCCAATCCCCGGCAATGCTTCCGAGTCCCATCTGCCAGGCCTGTACGGAGTACGGAGCGCATACGGGGTACAGACCGCGTCTCAGAAGCTGTCAAACTTCCAAGGTCAGAGCATCATGAGATTTTGCTTATTCGCAGGATTGCCAGATCAAAGACATCGTGCAGGGCTACCCTGCTGGGCAGGAATGCCCCGGAAGCAGGCTATCCGGGTACATCACATTGCCGAGTTCAAGGAGAAGGTTAGGCGAGAAACCCTGACCACTAGGTGCCTGCCTTTCTGGTCACTAGCTCAGATAGATTAAAAAGTGGCGGGTTTTCAAAACCAGAGAAAAGAGGAATGCTTGGAAATGAACCAGGATATTACTATGATATGAATAATTTCCAAAAAGAAAAAAAAACCGCCCCCCCTAATGTCTGGAAAAGCCATAGTGTGCGAAATGTAAGCCAAGGATGTGGTATTTTCCTTAGTGCTTGAAGTCACGCGCTGAGATCCGATCACTGGATTTCTGCAGAACCCTGGTCGAAGCCTTCTGCCAGGTCCACAATCGAAGCGGGAGAAGCTTTTGCGAAACCCTTCGGTGGAGACGGAGGGGCCAGGGTTGTACGAAGTACCTGCCGTAAGGACGGAGTATGCGTACATATCTCGTCTGCTGCAATCTGGCTTAGTTTTCACGACCGAGATGGGCGAAAGGGATCAATTCCTCGATTTTCGGGGGAACGTCGGCGACCGTGATCCTGCCATCCAAGGGCTAACCCCTTCCTGAGACATCGAACCATTCTTCTCCTTCCCCAACCACCCCTTGGTCTCGCCAATCGAATTAGGTAATAAAGGTCCGTCGAGCCCTAGATCTCGGGCTCCGCTGAATAGTAGCCTTCGGATGACTGGCGGAAGGTGCGGCCAATGACGATGCGGCCGCTCTGCGTCTCCGCGGACCAGAAGGTTAATGTTCATTCCGCAATCAGATAGCCTTTCTCCTTTTACTAGTCGTCCTAGCACATTACGGGCAGTCTCTTCAAAACGCTTTACCAGTTCGTTCCGATCTGAGATGGAGGCTGGCCCGGGCTGCGACGTGTTCAGGTAGAGATACATAAGTGTACAGTAGTACACAGGAGCCTAGCTGACTACAGAATAATGGGCGTCAATCTTTAGGTACTGATGCCGAAGTCTACGGTTCACGTTTGGGCTACCACCAAAAAGTACCTAGAACCTCATTTTCTCGGTTGGAGCCACCCGACGTGGAAAGCGGCTACGGCGCATCGGACAAAAGTAGGGCCACGATGCAGCACCGTTACCGAAGCAGCCTGGTACAGATGCCGGAGGGGTCGCTTGCTAAAGCAAACACCCCAAAGGGAAAAAAAGAAGTCTCCAACGATCTCTAACCGCAACCCCTCTTTTCGATCCGACGAGGATCCTGCATGCAACAGCAAACAGCATGCATAAGCATAGCTGGAGATCATTGGGCTACGGGTTGAGGAAGTCGAGGCCTCAAACTGGAATCCTCAGAGCTTCGCAAAGATGACGTGCGGCCCTGGAACGCGATCAGTGCGAAGGGGCCGAGACCCTGCCCACGACGTCGTCCCGACGATGCTGTCTGCCTCTGTCATACTTTGTTGAGGTTATAGGACATGGCTCTGCATGAGATGTGTGATCTGTTGCGCTGCGGGGCGCACCAAGCCACTGCGGAGACTATGTCAGAGATGTCGAAATGGCTGTTCGGGGGTCGACTGGCCCCATATCCAGCCCGGAGTATAGTACAGAATTATGCTACCAACTAATGCATTCTTGAAGTATTCTGTATAATGAAAAGATGAACAAGACGAAAAAAAGAAGAAAAATAAACTGCTACCGTTGATTGTTACTTCCTGCATGCTCAATGCCTCAATGCAGGCAATGCTGACCAATGTTGAGAGGAGGTGTTGCGTAAAGAGCTCGGCCGTGATCGGGGGGGGGTGCCACGACCAGGCTGGGCGGCCGATACTGCAGGAGCCAGCCGTGCGAGATCTTTATTATTTGTTTCTTATTTGTTTCTTATTATCCTACTCCGTACTGAGCTAGCTATGGAGGGGGGTCAAGGGCCTACTCTTAAGTTGAATGAACACAGTCATGGGCGTCAATGATTTATTTTAGGTGTTAGATCTGGGGAACAATATGGTCTGTTGGTCATAGAATGAGGGAAAGTTTGTCATAGAAAGCTGACAATGCTAAACTTTGGGAACTTGAAGCTCAACAGATCCCCAATTGGGGGCTGCTATTGCCAACTAGCAGCCACTAGAATAGCTTGGTAGCCTATATACCGTAGAGACTATGCTAATATGCTGTAAAGCCAAAAATTACATCCTATTCAGTATAGCCAGGCCCGCAAGCAGGAGATCGCCATTCCTCTGTGTTCGGAAGGCGCCCGGCGACATCGTCATCGTCCCGAGGGTTTGTACTGCGTTTCCGCTCAACCAAAATTCCTGCGCGTATTTCTGTAATCCCGTTACCACAAAAATACATACCAACCTTGGGACTTTTCCCAAGAGAGAATTGAGATTCTATCATGCCTTGCACCAAAAAGGTTGGGTTATTCTTTTTTTTTCTTTTTGCTCTTTGAGACTGGCTACCGTTCTTCCAGGGCTCTCGAATGCTGTTTCCATTGAAATTTGATTTCGCCTCTTGCCTCCCCAAGAAACGATCGCCTTGTTTCGCTCCGGTCTTCCGTCTTTTTCGATTTTACTTCCAATTTTTTTTCGGGAATTTTTTTTTTTTTTTTTTTTTTTTTTTTTGGGAACCATCTGTTCTTGTAACTTTGGCCGCGCCCGCCCCCCATTTCCCTTTCCTTTCTCTCCCCCCCGTTCCGCGATCAGTCTTTTCTATTTCCAAATTTTTTTTTCCCTCTTCTCTTCTTCATCCCTGAAGACTCTTGTGATCTGGTGACCTCCTGGGCGAATTGAATATCAGACACCTCCCATCTTATTATTTTTTTCTGTTGCGCAAACACGCATTTCGTGACGCGAAGCAGATCTGACTGTTGTCCTGCGAGTTGAGACCCACTTGCAGGCCTGGTGGATACAGAACCCATCGACGGTGACAACGTGCGGATAACTCTCCAAAGTTCCCACACGACTTTCTTCGGTGGGTGTGACCGTGGGGAAATCTATCCTCAAACTCTTGTGCTTTTTTTTCGACTTCATCTAAATCGCTGCTCGTTAGCCTTGGTGGCTTCAATTGGTGATTTCGTGATCGTGGGCGAAAACTTCTCTTAAAGGGCGAAAAAAAAAAAGATATTCAGGTAATCAACGAGGTTCCGAGGAAGAAAGAGTTTTCTCCTCTTCGATGATTGCTTCGTGATTCTTCACATATCCTTCTCGTCATCAACCTTCACAACGCGCATTTTCCTCTCCTTCGTTCTCCTGACTCACGATGGATCCCCGATCGCACCCTTCGCGCCCTCCCTCCACCACCATGCCTCAGGGCTCCACGCCGCTCTCCTCCACCCCTCTGTCCAGCATGCCTATGCCACAGTACTCCATGCAGCCTCAATACCCTGTCTCGCAGCCTCACACGCTGCCTCCTCTGCAGCCTCACCACTCGCAGTCGCCTGCGCCGCATCCCTACATGGCTCAGCAGCAGTACCGGCCGGACCTGTCTCGGTTTCCCGCGTCGACTCACGACGTGTACGGGGCCTCGACCGCTCCGATCATGCCGCACACTCCTGTCAGTATCCATTCTCTTCCTCCATGGTCGCGTTCTAACAGTCAATTCTAGGCTCACCAGTCTTATCCCCCCTCCTAATGTGCTGCCTCCCGCATCCTCCGCGCAGACTTACCCGCAGCCTATCGCCCCGGCTCCCCCACGGGACCGCCGCGACTTCAACGGCATGCCGTCCGGTGCGTTCAGCTACTCCGATGGTAAAGCCTGGGGAGGCATGGGTCACGATGTGAACGGCGCCAATGGTTCACCTTACGGTGCCAAGGAACCGCCACGCACGCAGGTCGTGGGCTCTCAGGGCCGTCGTGGCATTCTGCCCAGTGTCCCCGGTCGCGCCACCCCAGTCACCAACGGTGTCAATGGTGCTGCGAAGAACACTACGATTCCTGCTAAGGACGCCGATGGCAAATTTCCTTGTCCCCACTGTAACAAGACTTACTTGCACGCCAAGCACTTGAAGCGCCATCCTCGAGAGACGTGAGCCTCACCCTTCCCCTCCCTCCTTCTCTCAACCTTCCTTCGCCTCTGTTATGCCGCACTTTCGCGTCTTATTTTGCTCGGGAGTTGGCTATCTTCATTAGTCTCCTTGAAACTTGCCAGGATATCTGCTAACGACGCGTTCTTTTTCTGTTTTGATTAGACACCGGTGATCGTCCTTACATGTGTGTTCTCTGCAAGGACACTTTCTCCCGCAGTGATATCTTGAAGCGCCACTTCCAGAAGTGCTCAATTCGTCGTGGTAACCCGACCGGCGCGACTCATCTGTCGCACCCTCAGGCTCACCTCAAGCGCTCACAGCAGCAGGCGGCGGCCGCAAACCCTGCCAAGCCAATTCAGGATGAAGTCAGTAGTCCCGTTCCCGTTTCCAATGGCGTTATGGGTGCGCAATTCGGCGATGGGCACGTGAATGGCAACGGAATGGCTGGCAGCCGTCCCGGATTCACGGATCAACAGCCTCTAGGATTCGCCATGTCGCCGGCCAACGGTATGGCCCGTGGCCCTGGCGATGCCTGGATGGCTCAGCCCAAGCAGAATCCGTACTACATGCACCCTGGAAACGATTCCCATAATCAGCAACTGAGTGTTGATCGTCCTATTGAACAGGTAAAGCCCCTGGTCGCTCATGACCCCAAACATGCTGGCATGGCCGGTCCCCATCCGAACCAGCCCGGTGTTGACTGGACCTCGATGTTTCAGCACGGCCACTCCGACGGCTACATGAATCCCGTTTTCCCCCACTCCATGGCTGCCGGTCAGGAGCCCATCCACGCCCCCGTCGACGCCGACCGCAAGTTCTACCCCGCTACGACCGCCGGTGGCCCCGAGAATGGCATGAACGGCCTGTATCTTGCCCTCGACTACTCTGAGCGGTGATGGTAAGACATAAGCAGACAGATTCTGTTTCCGATCTTGATTGCGCGGGAGATTAACACGTCTTGGATACAGGCACAGTCCAGACTGCTCGACAGTAAACAATCCATTCGGTCCGAGAGCGCAACGCGACAAAATAGGAAGTCCACTCTGCCCATCGTGAAGGTTGATGTTATCCTTTTCTCACGCGATGGATGCGATTTGAATCGTTTGCAGTCTTATGTTTCCATATGCTATGAGGCAGCTCCAGATGTGGTTCCTGTTATCCTGGTGTCAGGATGTAAAGTTTCTGACCCGCGGCCGCTTGCCCCTCTGACTTCTTGATTCCATTCCGCTCTTGTTTCACGGCCTGTGTGATTCTGGCGTCCAATATCGGGGTTTTGCGTTTTCTGACCTTTTTTTTTATGGCTCTATTGTTCCTTGTCTTGAGTCCTGCTACATGAACCATGTTGCAGCCATTGTTATTCAGGTCTGATCTGGAACTTCTCGACAAGTCCGATATGGTGGTTGGTTGCGAGTCATGGTTTGTCTTTTTTTTTCTACCCCCAGCGGGGCAGATGGTTAGTGGGTGGTTTCGTTCGGCGTCCACTATAGACATGGGCATGTGTTTCTTGCGCGATCGATTCGACGACAGAAAAGAGAAAAAAAGCTTGCGCGAAGGCTACTGTCGTATGTTTCACTGTTTGATTTTTTCCATTTATCTTTTTTATTTCTTTACCTCGATCTGTTCGCGTTCATTTCGTTCCCTTTTTCTCCCCCTACGTGCATCTGCATGGCCTCATCCCTGTAAGTAGAGTCGGCACGGCACGGACATATTACGCGCTTCGGGTTTTGAGTGATTTAGGGTGTTTCATTGTTCCGGAGGGTTTCTGTTCTACTCGAAAAGCATCTTAGAAATAGACCCAATGATCCGCGTTTCTCCCTGGTTTCCATATGCTTTCGTCATAACTGGAGCACGCGAGATCGGTCCTGGACTAGCACTCGCAGTAATGCATGAGCCGTGATGATCCCGATGATCCGATCCTTTATCAGATGGGACCGATAGATCGATAAAAAACATCGCCCCTCCTGGTTTAATTAGAGATTACTGGCCTGTGGCAGTACTGGAGTTGAATAGGGTGCGGAGGTGAACCCCAGACCTGTTTAAAGCGCTGCCCGGAAATTCCCATTTCGACGTCATGTCCCTAATCCCCGCGGCCTGATTGGAGCGGGAAATGTTGGATTCGGGATCTCAACTTTGATTTTCCCCCCTCCCCGCTGCTCGTCTGGACTGACACCCTGGGAGCAAATCCAAGATCTCTTGCGCCTCTTCTGCTCGTCCATCCTCCCCTCCTGCTCACATCCAAACCATGTCCAGCAACCGGCCTTTTTTAGCCAACTTCCTTGCCGCCTTCCGTGCCCAGTCCGCCTATAAGGCTGGGGCCTCTCAACCCACAGGCACAACCTCGCTCTCCTCAGCACAGATATCCCAGAATGCTCGCGCAATAGCCACCAAAGCCGCCAACTCTGGCTCTGGCTCTGCTGGCCCATCAGGTTCCGCTTCAGCGTCGGCGTCGGCGTCAACATCTCACCACTCGGGCGCAACCGCAGCGCCGGCTACATCCTCTGCCTCACAGCCGCCTCACCACTACCATCATGAATCACCTCTAGCTACCTCCCTCGCCCACGCCCGCCTCTGCGACTCCAATCCCCATCACCCGGAGCGCAGACCGGCAGCGTCGCGGCAGCGACAGCTCCAGTGGCTCGGGCGGCTTCCGGGATGCAATGGGCCCAGAAAAGTGGTACATCGGCGGCCGTACACCGGCCGGTGAAGAGCGTTTCTACCCGCTGGGCAAAGTCACCCGGGGCGGCGGTCGACTCGGAGGCCGAGGGAGAGTCGGAAGCATCGATCAGCTCAGTCTATAGCGAGCTTTTTCTATTTTTGACTTTTTTTCCTTTTTTTTCTTTTTCTTATTTTTGATTTTTTTATGGCGGAACATACCACTCGCGCCCACCGTGCCACATCCTCTTTCCCCACACGTGTGATGATTACGACTATATTCCGGGCGGACCTGACCGGCTCTTCTCTATGACCTTTTTTTTAAATAACTCATTTGTGGCGTTGGGGTTCCTTCAGTCAGTGTTTGGGAATGTTTCAATTCCCATGTTGTTTCCTTCCTGGATGGGGGAGTTTTCCGGCTTTTCTTGATGTTGTGAGACAAGAAAAGAAAAAGAATAAACATGTTTCGTGCGCCTTTGACCATGCACTTAGGCCTTGCGCTCTTATGATTCTTCTCTTCTTGGAAGCTGATCGATATATTTCTTGATAAAAGTTTGATCTTCGGAATGTCCTCTGGCATGAGCTATAACCGCACCTATTGACTAGTTTTGGGAACTGATCGATTTATGTGTAATGTATAAGAGCATGCTCGACTCCTGGTCTATAGTAGGGCTCATTTTACAGGACCTGTTGGGTCGTACAATGTAAAACACCTCCCGTTCTCGGCAGCGCGTTGACGGCCACCTGGCGCACCTCTCGCTCTGGCAGCAGCTTCTGCATCAGCTCGAACGCCTTGCGATCCGCCTCCGCATCCCCAAACGCCGGCATCACCAGCCCTCCATTCGTGAAGTAGAAGTTGACGTACGAAGCCGCAGGCATGTCCTCTTCACCTGGCACGTCGCCCTTGACAAGCTTCGGATCCGGCTCCTCCACATCGAACACCTGCAGCCTCCTCCCACGCGCATCCGTCGCCTGATCCAGCACCGCCCGGATCTCCCTATAGATATCCCAGAAAACCGCCTCACAATCCACATGCGGTTTACAGACGACCACAACACCAGGCCGGACAAACCGTGCCTCGGCATCAATATGACAGTCCGTGATATCCAGTCCCTCCCGCCCTGGAACCCAGATGAACCTCTCAACCCCAAGTAACCTCCTCAATTCCTCTTCCACCGCCTCCCGACTCATCCCCTCATTCCTTGAATCAACCAGCACGCTGCTCTCCGCAGCCATAAGCGTCCCTTCCCCGTCCATATCAATCCCCCCTCCTTCCAACCTCACCCTCGACTCAACCCTCTCCACCCCCGCCCCCTCCAGCTCCAGCACTTTCGCCGCAAACTCCGTATTCTCCCTCCGCCGCTCCGCATCAAGGACGGGCCAATCGTCCCCTCCCAGCCCCGCGCCCACCTTATCCTCCGTGCTATTATAGATCGCCTCTTGGTACTTCTGCCCCCACTCGCAGAACCGGAAATCCACCGCCGCCCGCCGCGATACATCCTCTGCATCCCGCACGTACACGGGCCCCGTATCCCGGACCCAGATGTGGTTCGTGGGCGCTGGGACGAGCGAGATCCGCTCTTTGACGGCGCCGGGGATACGCGGGAGGCGAGTGGAGAGCAGGGCCGTGGCAGCGGGGATGTCTTCTGGGCGGGCGTGCAGGCGGACGGGTTCGAAGGCGGAGATTGTGGAGGCGAGATCGATTATCTCGTTGCAGGTTTGTGGATAGAGGCGTGGAAAGGTGGAAGGGCGGGAGGGATAGCTGAGGATTGTGGCGAGGTGAGGGGTTGTTTCGGGGAGGTGGATGTATTTTTTACCCGGATTGGAGGTCATGGTTATGGTTCGAGTGTGAGACGGCTGCGTTGAGTGGGTGTATCTTGCTTGGAGAAAGGGAAGGGTTGTCTGGGCCAGCGGGTTAGTTTGCGATTGCTCAATGGGCGGGGGTGGGATGTTACTTTTAGTTTTGTTGGGAGGTGTGTCGATGTCCGTATTGCACGGGAGGATAAGGCTGCCATTGAATCTTGTATGTCGAAGCTGGGTGGGATGGGGATTTATGAAGCTCGAAAATTAAAAAGTAACTTGACGTCGCAGGACTGATTGTAGTTCGTTGCCCCGAAAGGGAAGGCCAAAGCGATGATCTGCCAGAACTCTATTTGTTCACCCGATCAGGATGCAAATTGGAGCTTTTACAGCAAGACTTTGGGGCGATGCATTGCACGATGTCTACCTGGATGTATATTAGAGGAGTGCTACAGCTGCCGATACTTTATTTCTTGAGTCCATCACGTTTGGAGTCTTGAATTCTTCGCATGTCTTCCTTCTCTTGGCCCCACCTCCACATCTGCTGTGCCATGTGAGATCATGAGTAACACTTCATTGGATCTAGCGCTGAGCATGTTCAATGCGCGTATGGCGATTAGTGACAATCTACGGAGGAGTCTCTGGGGGAAGAATATGGTTTCGGTGCCTCGGAGTATATGTTCATATTGGCAGTGGCTGTCAAAAGAGAATATGCGGGGGGCCAGATAGACCCCACTCTCAGGACTAGGGTTGTCATAGCCTCAAAAGGGTGTATTTTTAGTTCTAGGACTTATTTAGAGTGGACAGAAGCCTGCCCAGCCAGACGTATGGCTGTATCCGAATCAGTGCAAGGTCCAGTAGCCACGGGTGCATACCTAGTATTGGCGATTCTAAAGGTCGAATGCCGGCATAGCTTTAGCTTAGACTCAGGCGAAAGATCTTGATACTTGCACCTGTTGGACATCCAATAGTGGGGCCTGGAAGCACGCGAGTTCTAGTGAGGCTCTAGCCTTGCGTCCTCCAACCGGCCTCGTACTTGTAGGTTAGAAGCGCAACCAAGCCTTTTAGTCTGTCTTTTAGGCTCTGCTTTGAATAACTGTATGATAATCTGTCTGACGATTGTGTCTGATCTGGGACGAATCTATCAATGGTGGTTTTCTAGACCAGTCTATAGGAGAAGTTAATCAGGACTGCTAGCTCCCTCGACCGGAACGCAGTACAGCACGCAGGCAGGATCAAGTCTATCATGGCCTACGAGAGCCGCTGGGTATCACAGACAGCGGCAGATTTCGTCTGAGCGTCTCTATGTTACCAGACAGATGCTGTCCAGCATGCGGTGGGATGACCCAAATTCAGCGAGGGCTTCCAACGTCTGATTCTCTTGAAAAAAATTCTAACGGTAAACCGATCTCAAGTATACACCGTATCGCCCTGACCACCGGCGCCTCACGAAGTGTTGCGTGGACTGTGCCTACTGCGTAGGTAAGCATGGGCAGTTTGCCCGGGCTGGACCGCACATCCCCGCATGCCAATCTGGTGGAGATCGCCGAGACCTCTCGGCGGGATTTGCTTCCAGCTCGAAAGAGATTTTGATCAAGGAGAAACCCCGGCATATTGAGCCGGCCGTCGGATTTTCGGGCGTCGGACCTGGAAGATTTAGACACAAGCTTCTCCAGGTCGCGCTTGTGTAGCAGAGCTGTCCAAGCTGTTCACTGTCCAGCTTTCTGATTAAGCTCCAACGGCTTCCCCCGGGGGGACAGTCTGCCTTGGGATTTGTTACCCTTCAAATTATAAGAATTGAAAGGTGAATCGCTGCTGAGCCTTTTTGAAACTATCGCTAATTTTTGCTCAAGCTCGTAGAAATTTAAACCCCTTCGAAAGCCGTTCGCAGGGGCCGATAAGGATCGCCAGTGGGGATCGGCCAGCCGCGGGTTTCGGAGGTGCCCGATACTCTCGCTGGTCAACACATCAGCCCATTTTTTTTCCCAGCCAAATAAATAGAGAACTGTCATTATCCAGGGATATTCTTGTTTTCAAGACCTCAGTTGTCGAGCCGTTCTCCTCTTTCCTCTAAAGCCTTCGGTCCTCGTTGTTCTCCTCCTTATCTCTCCTTATCTCACCATGAGCACTCTCGCCGCTGCCCGCTACGGCAAGGACAATGTCCGCGTGTACAAGGTGCACCGCGATGAAAAGACTGGTATCCAGACTGTTGTTGAGATGACTGTCTGTGTCCTGCTCGAGGGTGATATTGAGACTTCGTAAGTGGGAACTACCCCCAGATCGAGGGGATCGCGCGAGAGGCGCAAATGTCACGAAGGCAGTCGCAGCGATAAGCCCGAGTTGGAGCTAAGAGGCGAAAGCTAACAGCGCAATTCTTGAACAGCTATACTCGCGCCGATAACAGCGTCATTGTTGCCACCGATTCCATCAAGAACACCATCTACATCACAGCCAAGCAGCAGCCCGTGACTACCCCCGAGGTGTTCGGCTCCATCCTGGGCTCCCACTTTATTGAGAAGTACAGCCACATCCACGCTGCGCATGTCAACATCGTTACCCACCGCTGGGTGCGCATGACCATCGACGGCAAGCCTCACCCGCACTCCTTCGTCAAGGACAGCCCTGAGACCCGCAATGTGCAGGTGGACGTGGTCGAGGGCAAGGGCATTGATATCAACTCTTCCATCAAGGGCTTGACCGTACTGAAGAGCACTGGCTCGCAGTTCTGGGGCTTCTTGCGGGACGAATTCACCACTCTCAAGGAGACCTGGGACCGCATTCTCAGCACCGACGTTGCTGCTAACTGGCAATGGCGCCCCTTCAACAGCGTGGCGGATGTCCGCGCGAACACTGCCAAGTTCGACAATGCCTGGCAGGCTGCCCGTAACATCACACTGAAGGTCTTCGCCGAGGACAACAGTGCTAGTGTTCAGGCTACCATGTACAAGATGGCCGACCAAATCTTGGCTACTGAGCCTCTTTTGGACACTGTCGCCTACGAGCTGCCCAACAACCACTACTTCGAGATTGGTACGTGTTTTCTTCGCTCCCTCTAGTCAAGTGACATGTCAACTTTGCAACAGCATGCTAATCAACCTTCTTTAGATCTGAGCTGGCACAAGGGTACTAAGAACACTGGCAAGGATGCGGAGGTTTACGCGCCCCAGTCTAACCCTAACGGTCTCATCAAATGCACCGTTGGCCGCTCCAGCCAGAAGGCCAAGCTGTAAAGAAACAGCTGAATGTTCCGGAGGATACTGTATCCGTTGATGTTCTGCATGATTTGATTTCTTGTACATAAAATTGTCTTATACCTCATGGGAGTGTAGACACGGCCCCGACTTAGTTTGGCAATATATTCCTTATTTTCAGCGATCTGCTATAAGTACACATCAAGTAGAAAGATAAATAGTCGAATAATCAACCATAAAGGAGAGAATCAAAATAGCAATTCCCAGAATGGACTCCACACCCATGCGCTTGCGGTTTTGTATCATAACATAGAAATAAATTACAGATGACCTTGATCGGGTTTCAGGCCGTGATGAAATGCAACGAAATCTTTACGCGGACGCCTCGGCTTCCTTGGCCTCCTTGAAAGCCTGCTGCACCTGCGGCTTGTTCAGGACAGACTCGTTGCCAAACTTGACAATGTTCTCTTTGTATGGATGGGCAAGGCCCTCGAAGGCTGCATCGCGTACCATTAGCCATGGGGCAGAGCATAGTCATAAAAGCACATATCACTCACTCTTCAGCCGAGCCAACCGGGGCTCTTGTAGACGGTTCTTGGGCAACATGCCCTTGACGGCGCGGCGCAGGACCTCGCCCCCTCCCCACTTCGCAAACATCTCATCCATCGTCATGCTCTTCAAGCTACCGGGTCGTGTGTTGTGGTGGTAGTACTTCTTCTGGAATCGCTTCTTGCCGGTTGTTCGCAGGTCATGGCAGCCGGCCACGACGACATAGTCACCGCAGTCCGTCGAAGGGTCGTAGATTGGCTTGTGCTTGCCCATCAAGACAAGAGCAATTGATGAGGCCAGCCGGCCGAGAGATCGTGAGTCGGACCCGGCGTCGACATAGTGCCATGCGCGAGAATACGCAAGACGGGTCTGGAATGGATTACATGTTAGAACCTGTTATCGAAGCTGGGATTCAAAGCCATTGGCGAGGGGAAGTCACTGCCACATGCAGGACCAAAGTATCAATCTCACCTTTCCAACCGTCTGCGACATGTTGATTATTAGATAAAAGGAGTGGGAATGTAGAACCAGAACTTCGCGGCCCGCGATCAACACCCCCCAAGTCTTTTGCCAAACTTCGAGCTTCCGGGTTCCGGATCACATGACACACGTGATCATGCCCTAATGGCTTATATAACCCAGCTGAACGGCTACTCCGTTTTAGGACTAGTGCGTCTTAAGCGAAACCCGCACTCAAAGGCCAATTCACGCGAATCACTACGGTGCGGTAATCTGCGGTCGACCTTTTTTCCATCTCCCACGACAACACACTCCCTCCCCTATCGACACCGACAGGCCATATCACCCATCATGGCTTCCGTCCCGAGTGTGCAAACCTTCGGCAAGAAGAAGACGGGTATGTCCAACCTCTTGAATCCCTCCCCAGGGCCTACCTCGATGAGTTTACTGACTGAATTTTGATTAGCCACTGCTGTCGCCCACTGCAAGGTATGAGACGATATCCCCTCCAAGTCCCCCTCCGTCCCACTGCGCCAATGGAAAGAATCATTATGGAAAGTTTTGGTTTGGAATCGCAACGAAGAGAGAGGAAAATTAATTCCGGCAATAAACGGTTGAAAGATTTTGGTGGTGGAATTTTGAATATCAAAATGAAGCACGGAATGGCGGCGCATGGGAAATCACACACTACACGGTTCAGAGCGGATTACTGAGACTCTTTTCGATTTACAGCAAGGCAAGGGCCTCGTTAAGGTCAACGGCCAGCCCCTCTCTCTGGTCCAGCCTGAGATCCTGCGCTTCAAGGTACGACTCGCCCCGCTGAAAACCCTGGCCCTCTCCCGTCGCCAATGAACCTTATCTGACCCGTTATCCAGGTCTACGAGCCCCTTCTGATCGTTGGCGCCGACAAGTTCGCTGGTGTCGACATCCGTGTCCGTGTCAGCGGTGGTGGTCACACTTCGCAGGTCTACGCCATCCGTCAGGCCATCGCCAAGGCCATCGTCGCTTACTACCAGAAGTACGTTGACGAGCACTCCAAGAACCAGCTCAAGCAGGCTTTCGCTCAGTACGACCGCACTCTCCTCGTCGCCGATAACCGTCGCGCGGAGCCCAAGAAGTTCGGTGGTCGCGGTGCCCGCGCCCGCTACCAGAAGTCCTACCGTTAAACTTCTTTCACCTGCATCGCTGTTATATCATCTTTGCTATGTTATTTCGGCCTGTGGCGAAGGGGGTTTGCATCAAAAAATGAAAAACGGGAACGAGGTGAGGAAAGGCTCTGGGATTCTTACGACTTGTTTCCCGAGCTCTTTTCTCGTCTCGACTGGACTGGTTAGCGTTTTGGGAGGAAATTGGTAGTTCGGAAGTGGTTAAGATCGATGCACCTGTTGGTGCGGACAGGATCGGTGTCGCGGGGCGTCGAGGTCTACGGCGTCTCGTTCCCGGTGCCGGTGCTGTGTGGGAGGATAGATATCTCTATGTCATCATGTTCATGGCGCTGTCCTTCTCGGCTAGAAAATATCCCTAGCATAGGCCAGGAAAATCTGCTCAAATAACACCGGGTTTTTATCTTTGTTCCATTGGGGTCTGTCGTACGCGATCGGAGTGTGAGGCACCGTAGCCGTATGTATCTTGAAATGTCACCTAGGTATCTGGACTCCGTGTTCTGCCGTCTAATGAATCCGCGCGAGTGATACTAGTATGGTAGTGATTGTTCATCTGCCCTCGCTAGTTTAAGAACGAATTCCAAATCGACATTTGGTGTTCTCCTTCCAAGCAGCGTATTTGTGTTATACGGTGTACGATGCCACGATGCTAAGCTCACATTGCCGCCAAAATAATACTGCTATTGATCCATTCAATTGAGCACTGTCTAAAGATCTATTTGAGTCGTAGTCTGGGCTGTCTAATCTCTGCCTCGATATTGCGGCATCTATGCTGACCAGCTGTGGGCCTTGACACCTGGATGCCTCGACATTTTAACCCACTTCGTAGACCCGCTAACCTATTTTGGAAGCCACTTCACGCGTCGCGAACCCACGCGCCCAGTCGCGCAGCCCTGGATTCAGGCGTGATTTCCTTCGATCCTCACCCTTCCCCGCCCAACATTGAAACCTCCCGTACATGGGCCATTGTCCTTCAAAAATACTGACATAATGCCCACTGCGAAGGAAAGGCTAGCAGAGCTACGGGCCCTTCGAGCCTCGGGCAAGAAACGTCTTTCCACTTACGAAGTCGAGGAACAGGGCGATATCTACGAAGAGGTCGATGACGACGGCTACAAGAAGATTATCCGCGACCGATTAGACGAGGACGATTTTGTCGTCGACGACAACGGTGCCGGCTATGCAGATGACGGTCGAGAAGTCTGGAACGAGCGCACCGCTGAATATGACAGCGACGATAGCGACGAGCTGCCGGCACGGGCAAGGTTGCTAAGCGGAAGCGAGAAGAAGAGAAGCAGCGCAAGGAAAAGATGAATAATGGCATATCCAAGTACTTCAACAGTGGAAATGCTTCGACGGCCGCACCAAAACCCAAAGTATGTGGATGCCCTTGTTTTCCTCTCGCTTCGCCCTGGATTCGTGAGGGGCGTCAATTGACCGTTCTCTCTAGCCAGTTGCAACTGCCGAAGATGATGCCTTCATGGCAGACCTCCTTGGAGAGGTCGACACCAACGTCGTCTCTAACCATGTCCCGACACGAAACATAGTCAAGTCCGAAGCCCGCCGAAAAGTTCGCGTCCTCTCGCCTCCCCTGTCCGAGAAACGACGCCGCGAGAAGGCCGAAGAGGCCGCTGGAAGTGAGGTGCCAAGCTCTCCGGTTAAAAGCGACCTACCCCTCCCATCCGATGATCTCGACGACGGGCCACTCCCTGGAGCCGACGATGACGATGTCGACATGGGCGACCCCATGCCTTCTTCTCCTATCAGCAAGGCCGTGGAGCGCAAGACAAATATCATACCAGTCAAGGCTGAAGAGCCGGATGAGGATGATATCGACATGATGGATGTTGCTGAAGCTACTGGAAACTCAGACATTAAAACGACCAATATCAATATGGCTGGCAGCCGGCCTCCACCGAAGATCAAGAAGGAGGTTCTCCCCACACCAGCCAGCTCTTCTCCTGTCAAGATGGCGCCAGAAGTCATGGACGCCTCTTGGAACAATGTGAGGGACAAATTGAATGTTGTTAGCAGCCCAGCTCCTGAGACGCGTTCTTTTCGGGAAGCTCCGCCCTCAAGACGTCGTCGAAGAGGATGGCAGTCTACGCATGTTCTGGCTAGACTACACCGAGGTCAACGGGAGTCTATGCTTGTTTGGAAAGGTCAAGAACAAGCAAACGGGATCCTATGCAAGTGCATTTGTCAAGGTCGACAATATACTTCGAAAGCTTTACTTCCTGCCCCGTGAATATCGAACCAAAGGCGGCAGGGTGACCGAAGACGAAGTCGAAATGAGCGATGTCTATGAAGAGGTCGATGGCATCATGTCACGCATGAAGGTCGGGATGCACAAAATCAAGCCTTGCACTCGGAAATATGCTTTCGAGCTGCCTGGCGTTCCTAAGGAGGCGGAGTATCTGAAGCTCCTCTACCCTTATGACAAACCTGCCATTCCCATGGAAACTAAGGGAGAACTTTCTCGCATGTTTTCGGCACGAACACCGCTCTCTTTGAACAGTTTGTCCTATGGAAGAACATCATGGGCCCTTGCTGGCTCAAAATCGACGATGCTGACTTCTCTGCCGTGAACAATGCCTCTTGGTGCAAGTTCGAATGTCAGACCTCCAAGCCAGCGTCGATTACTCCTTTTGATGACTCCGAGTCGGAAACGCCCCCCTTGACTCTCATGAGTCTGTCTTTCCGCACCCAACTCAATGTGAAAGAGAACAAGCAGGAGATTCTTGTGGCTAGCGCCCGAGTCTATGAGAATGTGTCTTCTACAGATACCACTCCCCCAGAGAAGCTGCCTTGCAAGACATTTACTGTGATGCGTCCATCTGGCTCTTCCTATCCACTGCACTTCGAAGCCGAGGCCCAAAAGCAGCGTGGGACAGTCATGCTGGAGAAGAGTGAACAATTCCTTCTCAGCAAATTCTTGGCAATGTTCGAGAAAATGGATCCCGATGTTATCATGGGTCATCAGCTTCAGGACGTTGACCTAGGAATTCTATTCTCTCGATTACGAGAGAAGAAGACACCCGGCTGGCATCGTCTCGGCCGTCTCAAGCGTGGTGACTGGCCCAAGAACTTCAACAAAGGTGGCGGTTTCTTTGCCGAGAGACAGCTCATTGCGGGAAGATTGATGTGTGATATTGCCAATGATATGGGCAAGGTAGGTAGCCCAACTCCTTTTTTTTTTGCCAGTTGAGTGCGAGAACTAATAAGAATTGCAGTCTCTCATGATGAAGTGTCAATCTTGGACTTTGACTGAGATGTGCCAGCTCTATCTCGGCGAGGGCAACACACGTCAAGATATCGATGTCGAGGCTGCTCTAAAAACATGGGCGTCGACCAAGGATGGTCTGATGAACTTTGTCAATCACTGCGACACCGATACCTATTTTATCGCTGCTCTTGTGCTCCGTCTGCAGATGTTGTCACTCACTAAGGTTCTGACGAATATCGCTGGTAATTCATGGGCGCGTACACTCAGCGGTACCCGTGCGGAGCGAAACGAGTACATTCTTCTTCACGAATTCCACCGGAACAAGTACATTTGCCCCGACAAGTATTCTTCCCGATTGCAGAAAGCCGAGGAAAGGATGATGGAAGGAGATGATGAGGAAGCAGGCGATAAGAAAAAGAAGGACAAGTACAAGGGTGGTCTTGTCTTCGAGCCCGAGAAGGGCTTGTATGATCGATTCATCCTTGTCATGGACTTCAACAGTCTGTATCCTAGTATCATCCAGGAGTTCAACATTTGTTTCACCACTGTGGACCGAACCGCTTCGGTAAGCAACTCAAGTGCAGCATCAAACACCGAATTACCTAGCTAACATGGACGCGCAGGCTGAAAACGAAAACGAAGAGAAGGTCCCTGAGGTCCCCTCTTCGGATCAAGACCAGGGAATTCTACCAAAGCTGATTGCAACCCTGGTCGGTCGGCGACGCGAGGTGAAGAAGCTGATGAAGGACAAGCGCGCTACTCCAGAGCAGCTCGCCTTGTGGGACACAAAACAACTTGCCTTCAAGCTGACTGCCAACTCCATGTACGGTTGTTTGGGATACACCCAGAGTCGATTCTATGCTCGGCCTCTGGCCATGCTTACTACCTTCAAGGGTCGTGAGATTTTGAGGAGCACGAAAGACCTGGCCGAAAGCAAGCAGCTTCGCGTTATCTATGGTGATACTGATTCAGTCATGATCAACACCAACGTAGATACCATCACCGATGCGCTCAAGGTTGGTGAGGAGTTCAAGCGGCTGGTCAACGAACAATACAGGCTCCTGGAGATTGATATTGATAATGTCTTCCGCCGACTCTTGCTGCATGCAAAGAAGAAGTACGCCGCTATCAATCTCACTGAAGTCGATGGCAAGTACGTGGAGAAACTTGAGGTCAAGGGTCTGGACATGAAGAGACGAGAGTACTGCGCACTTTCTAAGGAAGTGTCTTCGAGGCTTCTCAACGAAATATTGTCAGGCGAAGACCAAGAGGTGGTGCTCAACAAGGTTCACGAGTACCTGCGAGAACTCGCGGAGAAAATGAAGGAATACGCTATTCCAAACCAAAAATACGTCATTTATACGGTATGTGAACCACCCTGTGTAGTTCATCCACTCAAGCTGACTCTTGTGCACAGAAACTTTCCAAACGACCACAAGAATATCCCAACAAGGAGAGCATGCCCCCGGCACAAGTCGCTCTCCGGGAAATTGCTCGGGGCAAAAACATTCGGCCAAACGACGTTATTTCCTACATTGTGACCACAGGGGACGCCGAAACCTCGTCTCTTCCGCCGGCCAAGCGGTCTTACACCCCGCAGGATGTCTTGAAGCCCAATTCCGAGCTTAAACCCGATGTGGAGTTTTACTTGTTGAAGCAAATCTTCCCTCCTATTGAACGTCTCTGCGCGCCTATCCCTGGAACGGATGCTGTCCGCTTGGCTGAATGCCTGGGTCTCGACACTCGCAAGTACCAGATCAACACATCCAGCTCAAGCAACAACCAGAATGCGGAGATTTTCCCCCTCGAGTCCCAAATCCCTGACGCTGTCCGCTTCGCCAACTCCGCACGGCTATCTCTCAAATGCCGCTTCTGCAAGGAACAATCAGTCTTCGAAGGCTTAGCAGAGTCCCCACATATGTGCTCGCCGCATGGCATCATCTGCGCCAACGAAAGCTGTCAAAAGCCATTCTCGGTCATCTCCATCGTCGCACAGCTGGAGAACCAAATCCGCGAGCAAACAGCAAGATACTACGAAGGCTGGCTCGTCTGCGACGACTCCGCCTGTGGCAATCGCACCCGGCAAATCAGTGTATATGGACACCGATGCCTGGGCCCTCGAGGCCGCGCGGAAGGCTGTCTCGGGCGCATGTCGTACGAGTACTCTGAGAAGCAGATGTACAACCAGCTGTTGTATTTCGCTGGTCTGTGGGACGTGGACAAGGCCAAGGCGGCTATTAGCAAGGAGGCTGGGGAAAAGAAAGATAGTCTTGCTGCCCTGGCTGAGTTCAACCGCGTGCGGTTCGGAACGGTGAAGTCGGTGGTCGATAGCTACCTGAAGAAGTGTGGTCGGCAATGGGTTGAGATGGATTCTTTGTTCCGCTTTATGTTACAATAATGCCCTGGTGGTTAATGACTTCGGATATATGTACATAGCTTTTTTTTCCCTGAGATGCTTGCGATGAGAAATTGCATAATGTTGTTCTGCTTCAGCTTATTTTCTATGGAGTATAGCATGACTTAGAAACGATCCACTACTAGTCGACCTATGGGAAACTATAATTCTTAGGGATCAATGTCAGGACTCCCAACCACCGTAATGAGCAATAACCGAATACACCTGAGTAACTTGATCGTAATACGAGTGTCTGGCCCAATGTTCAAGTTCTCGAAACCAGTTAACTTTCACTGTGGATCCATTCTTTTCCAAGGCTATCCGAGCCAAGCTTATCACCCTGCCCGCCGGATCATTTCACCCCACTCTCTTTATCTTCCTTCTGCAGTTTTTGCGGTATCTGGTACCTGCCATCATGTCGGTCAAGCGGGTCCTGGTCATTGCAGGATCCGATAGTTCTGGCGGCGCGTATGTTCCTCATCACCGGGGTACCCCACTCCCGCATTGCATTCCACAGACCCATACTTGAATCCCAACTGGCTATGTCCACAGACTTCTTTATTTCCAGATACTGACCTTTGCTAATAGAGGCTTGGAAGCCGACCAGAGAGTGTTGGCTGCCCATGGCTGCTATGCCCTCACAGCTACCACGGGACTGACGGCTCAAAACACCCTTGGGGTCCAGGACATTTTTGTCGTTCCATCAGAGTTTGTCCGGAAGCAAATCAATGCTGGCCTGGAGGATATCGGTGCTGATGTGGTAAAGCTCGGTATTGTCGATTCTAACTCCCGTTGTTGTAACGGGTCCTTTGCTCACTCTTGCTAGGGATGCTGTCCTCTGCAGAGACGATTGATGTCATTGCCGAAACACTGCAATCTCATCAAGTCAGCCATATAGTTCTCGACCCGGTATAGTATCGATGTTTCCTGACTGTATACTTTGGTTATTGATTGAGTCCCTACAGGTCATGGTATCTACCAGTGGGTCGCAGCTACTCCCAGAAAAAGCTGTAAAAGAGCTGCGAACGAAGTTGCTCCCCATGACCACCATTGTCACGCCGAATATCCCCGAGGCTCAGCTCTTACTCAAAGACGCCGGCTTGGCCGTAACCGAACCTACTAACCTTGATGGAATAATACGGCTCGCCAAGAACCTCAGTACTCTCGGCCCCAAGTCTGTTCTACTGAAGGGTGGCCATATTCCTCTGACGGAGGACCACAAGGTAGCCCAAAGTGCCGAAGAATCATCCATCGTAATCGACGTCCTTTATGATCGCGAATCCGATACGACATCATTGTTCGACACCGAGTATCTGGTGTCGAAGAATACTCACGGCACTGGTTGCTCACTGGCCTCGGCCATCGCTGCCAATCTCGCGGCAGGCAAGGACAAGGTACGTGCTGTGCACGACGCGGTGCGCTTTGTCGAGGCTGGCATCAAGACTAGCTTTGATCTTGGCAAGGGCAGTGGACCTATCAACCACTTCCATTCCATCTATACAATGCCGTTTGCACCGTGAGTCAATTGGAGTGGAAATCATATCCCAAACTTTCTCTGACTCTCTTTCGCTAGCGGGCGTTTCCTTGAATATTTACTAGGCCGTCCCGACGTCCACAAGGTATGGCACCCATTCACTCACCATGAGTTTGTCGAAGGGATGGGCCAAGGAACGCTTCTAGTGGAGCGCTTTAAGGAGTACCTCGTTCAGGACTATCTATACCTGGTCAGTCCCTTTGGTTCCGATATGGTGTCTCGTGTCTAACAAAAAGGCTACAGATCCAATTTGCGCGAAGCAATGCCCTTGCGGCTTATAAATCGCAGAAAATGGATTCGATTGCGGCGGTACGTTCATCTACAGAGTCGAAAGCAAGCGTCGTCTGATTGGCAAATCCTAGTCCTCGAACATTGTTTTACATATCCAACGCGAGATGGCCTTGCACCTGGACTATTGTGCTTCATTCGGTCTGTCGAAGGAGGAGATCGAAGCACACCAGGAGACCATAGGTATATGACCCTCTCTTCATCCTCTTCATCCTCTTCATCCACCCTCTCTAACTGGAATTCCTGTGCAGCTTGCACCGCGTATAGTCGGTTCATCCTTGATGTGGGGCAGTCAGAGGACTGGCTTGCGCTGCAGATGGCACTCGCTCCCTGCTTGCACGGATACGGGGCCATCGCCAAACGTCTGCATTCATCAAAGGATACTCTCCGAGAGGGCAACCCATACATGAAATGGATTGAGAACTACGTTGCGGACGACTACACGGAAGCTGTCCGAATCGGAGCCGGTAAGTCCAAGTCCGAGTCGCCGTTTTTTAAGTTTATGTGGCGAATTTTGACTAATTCGACGCCCTCTGTTGAATAGCATTACTAGAGGAGCATGTGCACAAAGTGTCGCCAACCCGTATGGAGGAATTGATTAAGATTTTTGTTCGGGCGACCGAGTTGGAGATTAGCTTCTGGGATATGGGACTGAGCGATAAGAAAGTCTGAGGAATACCCGACTGGTATCTCTTATCGGCTGCGTCTGAGACTGCATCTCATGCACCCGGCTACGCGGCTGTTCTACACTGTCACCATTAGCTCTAAAATACCAGATTCTTTCCAGATCTCTATCTTATGATATAGAATCGAAATACCCTGTATTTAAATCAAGACCGGTACTTTCCGGCACCGCTGATCTCCTCGAAACGATGTTGCTTGGTTGTAATCACGTGGGAGCTAAACCTAATATGGAAACTTTCCTGAAACTTTTTTTTTTGCCTCCTTCCTTCCTCCCCTGGAACTTTTCTTTTGTTTAAGTTCTCCAGAACTCTTCCTTCTTCCCTCTCCCCCCCGTATCTTCCGCGTTCCTTCTCTCACTTGTGATTCCTATCGCAACACTCAGTTTCACTTCTTTGAACACCATGTCTTACGGCGGTGGTGGTTATTCGCGCGGCGGTGACGGTGGCTACCGGTATGTTTCTTTTTTTTTGTTTCTTTCTCCTTGGTTTCCTTCTCCTTGGATGAAATCAGGCATACGCGGATTTGAACATCGCGCAACATCGCGCATTTCTTGTCATCGTGACAGGAATTATTTTCCCCTGCATCACCCACTCGACCCTGCCACCTACGGTCGCTGGTTTAGAGTTGGGCTACTGTTGGGCGATGTCTCTCATCTCGCATGTCGGATTTCTTTCAAATCGGGCTTCAACTTGGAACGTCCCTTTCATGTCAACAATAAGACTGACTTTTTCAGATCCCGTGGCGGTTATGACAACAGCAACGGTAACAGCAACGGATATGGCGGCGGTGGTGGTTACGGCGGCGGATACGGTGGTGGCCGTGGCGGTGGTTACGGAGGTGGTGGTTATGGCGGCGGTGGCGGTGACCGCATGTCCAACCTCGGCCAAGGTCTTGAGCAGCAAGAATGGGGTAAGTTTGCATCTTTATGCGATGATATTTGTGAAATCGAAACTAATCAACCTCCAGATCTGAGCGCCCTCCCGAAGTTCGAGAAGTCTTTCTACAATGAGCACCCTGATGTTACCGCCCGCTCTGAGGCGGAGGTTGAGGCTTTCCGCAAGAAGCACCAGATGGCCGTGCAGGGCCGCAATGTTCCTCGCCCCGTTGAGACCTTCGATGAGGCTGGTTTCCCTGGATACGTTCTGTCTGAGGTGAAGTCGCAGGGCTTCGAGCGCCCCACCGCTATCCAGTCCCAGGGATGGCCCATGGCCCTTAGCGGTCGCGATGTTGTTGGTATTGCTGAGACTGGCTCCGGCAAGACCCTGACTTACTGTCTTCCCTCCATTGTCCACATCAACGCTCAGCCTCTTCTGGCCCCTGGCGATGGCCCCATCGTCCTTATCTTGGCCCCCACCCGTGAGCTTGCTGTCCAAATTCAAGCCGAAATCACCAAGTTCGGAAAGTCTTCCCGCATCCGCAACACCTGTGTGTACGGTGGTGTCCCCAAGGGTCCCCAGATCCGTGACCTGTCCCGTGGTGTCGAGGTGTGCATTGCTACCCCTGGTCGTCTCATTGATATGCTCGAGGCCAAGCGCACCAACCTTCGTCGTGTCACCTACCTTGTTCTTGACGAGGCTGATCGCATGCTGGACATGGGTTTCGAGCCCCAAATTCGCAAGATCATTGGCCAGATTCGCCCTGACCGTCAGACTTGCATGTGGTCTGCTACTTGGCCCAAAGAAGTCCGTCAGCTTGCGTCCGACTTTTTGAACGACTACATCCAGGTGAACATCGGTTCCATGGATCTGTCTGCTAACCACCGCATTACCCAAATTGTCGAGGTCATGAGCGACTTCGAAAAGCGTGACCGAATGATCAAGCACATGGAGAAGATCATGGAGGACCGTGCCAACAAGATCCTCATTTTCACTGGTACTAAGCGTATTGCCGATGAGATCACTCGTTTCCTGCGCCAGGACGGCTGGCCTGCACTTTGTATGACTCCCCCCCCCCCCAACGTCCCCCACACAAGACCTTGTTTTACGAGGCTAACAATTTTCTCTCCAGCCATCCACGGTGACAAGCAGCAGAACGAGCGTGACTGGGTTCTGAACGAATTCAAGCAGGGCAAGAGCCCCATCATGGTGGCCACCGATGTGGCCTCCCGTGGTATTGGTATGAACAAATTAAACCCCCCTTCCTCACTTCCCCCCCCATTCCTATTCCCTCCTTGATGAGGCCCTTGAGAACACTCACCCGTGTTGTTTATTGTAAAGCGCAATGACACGGTGCTCAACTCTCTGGAAGCGTGTTGTTACACGGACTTGTCCAGGCGGAAAAATCAGGTCATGTCAAATGGCTCTCATGCCAGAGGGAGCCTTGGACTCACAGTGCAGCAAACAGACAAGCAATCCTGATAGGATTCTCTAACTCTCCTGTTACTGGGATACTCTTTTAACGAGTTGGAGACTTCACATCTTTTTGGAACTGTTGTTGGAAGCTGCATTTCCAAGGTTACTACTCCAGGACCACGATCAACCCGCCGCCACCCCATATGGACCTGCTTCCCCTGTCGGGATTTTCTTAACAGAAGTTCCACGTAGAGAGCAATGATGCATCCAGTCCTGCACGACTGAGAAAAGGGCCCTCTGATGGCCACGCTATTATTATTCACTAATGTTCAGTTGGCTAACTCTTGTTTTTCGTAAAAAAGATGTGCGCGATATCACTCACGTGCTCAACTACGACTACCCAACAACTCGGAGGACTATGTCCACCGTATTGGTCGTACTGGCCGTGCTGGTGCCAAGGGTACCGCCATTACCTTCTTCACCACTGACAGTATGTGTCCCGTTGTCTCCTATCCTCTAGACTCTCTTGGCTCATCTGACTTCTCTCCTTTTCTACAGATGCTAAGCAAGCCCGTGACTTGGTCACTATCCTGACCGAAGCCAAGCAGCAGATTGACCCCCGTCTCGCCGAGATGGTCCGTTACGGCGGTGGCGGCGGTGGTGGTGGTCGCTGGGGTGGTGGTCGCGGCCGCGGTGGCTGGGGAGGTCGCGGACGTGGCGGCGGTGGTTACACTGGCTCCAACGCCGGTGCCCTTGGTGGAAACCGCCGTTGGTAAACGTGTTGCACCACACGTCTGATCATGATCCCCGGTAGACCTCTTTTTTCTTTTGTCCCCCTTTTATTTGCTTCCCTTCGGTTTCCACGTAATTCGGTACGGATGGCGTTACTTTCGAGGTCATAGACAGTCTCACATGATTTCCCAGCCTTACGCTGCTGAGCCGGCGAACTTATCACCGGATTTCTCTATTCATACATCTCGTTATTCGCAAAAAGTTTCAAGTTGTTCTGGAGCCTGGCTGGCCTTTGATCTTGCGGCTAGTGCAGCATGTGCATAATTTATCATGACTTTTCAGCTCTTATCATTTTTGCCCCGTAAACCCGTAGTATGTAGCCTTGTTGTTCAGAACGTTAGTAGTATCTGGTCCTGCGTCCCTTTAGACGTCCACTTGTCCACTGGCATACTAATGGGGAGGTTTTCGACCCTAAGTTCCACGGTTGAGATACTCGGATTGGACATGGTACCTATTTGCGTGTCTCTTTGTACTATTCACGCGATTGGGTTCTAGTCAACGTTGAAAATTGCCAAAGATTATCTGTGTTGCGTCTGCCAGTGCCAGTCTGGTGTGACGTGTTAAGATATATAATGGTGCTCGAGGCTTGGGGCTCTTGTAAGTTCGACTGGGTAGGTTAACTGACCAGCATGCTACGCTTCCTAGTACTCCCTGTTTAACCAAGCTCGGATCCGTTTGCACGACGGCCTCTAATGGTACCATCTCCCTTGTGATGCAAAGCCTGCGAGGTTCCCTGCGTCCTCCATGGTCTACAAGCGGCTCAGACGGACCAGGATGTGATAACACCCCGGTAGGTGATATCTAGAACTGGTGCCCAATGTCAAGGCAAAGTGGAGATGATGAACACCCATTTGTCTTCCAATAATCGATGTTTGATTCTGGTCCAATGTCCTGGACCCAAGTCGCAGGACACATTGACTCCTGCAGGGACCACGGGCCATGGGAGGGACCATTTCTCCGCTCCGACGCTAGAGCCATGGACCAGATGGCCTGGGCGTTCCAACATTAGTGCATCAGGAGTGCATCAGTCTGCAAAGTCTGCTAGGGACCACCATGTGGCATGCTAACCCCCCTGAGATGCTAGTCTGTAGTCTAACGGGTTGTGTTTATGCTTAAAACGGCCCACAGCGAGGCTATGCAGTTAGGGCGTTCCTTAGTCGCAGATTTATCCCATCCTATGACAGGGCTCAGTCAGCGAAGCAGACGTGTATTAAATTTAAGAATGCCACTAAAGATGCTGAGGTGGGGTTTGGCATTTCCCTGTCTTTTCCGCCAGTGGGATTCGGCGAAAGTCGTGGTCACCACCTGAGATCATTCTGCGCCAAAAAGAGCAGTTGGAATCGGAAATTCTCCATTTTGTCCTCTGTCTTATTTCCTCGGCGCATCGGCAAGAAGAACAGTGCGAACATCGGTCAAACAAAGGGAAAATTAGCTGGGCGTCAAGGTTTTACTCTCGATCCCCCCAACATGGACAAGCCGCGAGCCCAAAATTGAGACCATGACTCCATCTTTCCAGCTCCAATAACCACAAATACCTTGAAGTCCAAGCTGCACTTCTCCCTGCACGGAGCCTAAAAGCCTTCTCCCAATGCACTCTCCGCGTCCTTTGATTCCCAGAACAGCGACCCGCAGCAGCCTACGCCCCATCCCCCATCCCGTAGTCTCTGCACACGCACCGTTGACGTATAGGAGCACGCCATGCCCCCCGTTGCTTGCTGGCATATCTATCAAGTCCCGAGAGAGAGAGAGGCAAGAAGTGACAAGACCACTAGGCCCGTTTTGCCTAAAAATTACGAACCCAATCCTGCATCAGGGTGGCCTGAGCGCCGCGCCGCATTTCCGCTTCCGCCAACTATCCTTGCCAGGATGCGCTAGCTGGACCGGTCATGCAATGTCAATGCTGGCGGGCTTTTCTCCCTTTCTAGTTGGATGGATTGGACGATGTACAGAGCAGCCGAAGAATATGCATGGAAAATGTAACCTCTGCTCGGCTTATTCGGATGGGGAGCGCTTCTGGGGTAGGAAGGTCCTAGGTAAGCTCTTATCTGAGGACTTTTAGTCTTCTTCTTTGGGGGAGTGAGGGGGTGAGGGGAGGGTTGGATTGGCTTTGTTTCTTCTTTGCCTTTCAAGGCAACTTTTTTGCACGAAGATAAATCCCCACAAATTGGCAAATTGTGGGCATACGCAAAAAAAAGAAAAAAAGAGGCAGTCAAATTCAAGACTCCGCGTCAGAGTCCCTGCTATTATGTCTAGTGCATCACCGCTGATTCAAGGAGGAATTGTAGACGTTTCTCTCTACATAGTTTGGGTATATCTAGTGGACTTTAGCCGACGGGGTTAACTCCCTGTCTCGGGATCTGGATCCTTGACAAGCCAAATCCAGTTTCGATATCGTCTTCCCTCCGTATTTGGGAGGCGCGAATATCCCGTACGGCTCGACCTCGCGGGTCCGTACTCGCCGGGGGTCTTCCGATCGGTGAGCAGTCAACTCCAGCAAGATAGCAAAATGCGGCAGAGTCTACGGAGTAGCTATCTCCCAAGATCTTCGGCCGGGATTGTCGCGTTCGTGGACATGACTAAACCATTGCTAATTCGATCTCCCGGACGTACGTGCGGGTGAAACTTACCGGGTCAGGCGTAGTCCAGCCTAACGCAGAGAAGCCCTGGCCGCATTGGCCCGTACCAAGTGGAGTCGGTGGATTGTCCCCTCGTCGAGCGGGAGTATCTGCCCTGAGCACGGGGCATTTGGTCGTTGATTCTGGATTCTCTTGAAACACAAATGCTTTGCGGCCGAGACCCCCAGTTCACCGCACGGCGTGTTGCCGGGCGGGCATTCTGTAGAGGCGCTGCTTGGATCCATTATGAAGGTAAAGGGGCGGGGAGGAGAGAGCCCGGAGAAATGGGCTCCATGGTCTTTTCTCTCTTGAGCTTGTGTTTACGCCAAGCCGTTGTTTACGGGAGTATACCCATGGCGCACTCCATGCATTGCTTACACACGTGTGTCTGGGAACGAGGATCCTGGGTTACTTCCATGGGGTGCAGTAGAGGCACAGTCTACATTAAGCCACAGCCGCGCAAAGCGCCTCATAAGGACCTTCCCTATTGAACCAGGGGGGGAAAGACAGTAGAATCGTGGGGGGGGGAAGGAACGAGCATAACGTACGTTTTACGTCAATTGACAACAAAACACAGAAAGAATTGCCTCGTAGAATGCCAAGCTCGAAGCGGTGTCTCCTGTTTACCCTGGTTTAGCCCCTACGATCTCAAGCCAAGGCCAAGGACATGAAAACTGGGGACAAGAAGCCCACTTTCGGACGGATCGTCCGAGGTTACAGAGAGACATGGCCCGTATCCCGTGTACTGGAGCCCTGCGGCTGCGGCGTCCAATGACTGGAGCGCTGGACGTGAGTATCAATCCCCGGCTTGATGTCCGGATTTCTCGCCTTTTTTTGAAAACCCCCCCCCCTCCTCTCTCTCGCTTGTACGCAGCGTATCCCCGCGGGAGTTGAGAGTGCTGACTCCGCTGTTAGCCGGTATTTTCGCGGTAACCAGTCTCCGAGCCCTGAGCGAGATTCTCGGTTATCTTATCAGACGCATATGCAGGTTTAAGGGGTTGCTGTTGCACTATGCAAAAAAAAAAACAGAAAAGAAAAGAAAAAGAAAAGAAATCGAAAAATAGGCTTCAAAAGGACCATCAAGGTGTGGAGAGGGTGCAGGCGCCTGGAGGAAGGATACGATGACAATTACGGGCGCATTTGCTTTTTCTTCACCGGGAAATCAGAACTTAACCGGTTTTTTTTTCTTTTTTCTTTTTTAATCCCTCTTTGATTTTTGTTTTATTTTCCCGCGCGGGGAGGGGGGAGAAGAAGAATCCAGACTCTCGAATGGACGCCAGGAAAGCAACATCCGCTTTCCGAGGCGGGGGAATTGAAGGGAAATTGGGCGTTGCAAGCTCAGAGGTCACCGTGATGAACGAGGACGAGATTATGCCGTAAATTATGCATGGGCTTAGAATAGCGTTGGTTTCTGCCCTCTTCTGACGTTCCAGGTCCGTACTGATAGTCTCTCGGTTGCTAATAAATAGATTCCCAGAATGGAGGGTGCGGGTTCTTACGCGGTTCCACTGGCGACCCACGAGGCTCTCCGATTTGTGTACAGCACCGGAGAGCCGCCGATACTCCGCTTCGACAAAAGGCGAACTCAATGGCTATCTGGAGAAGCAGCCAATGGACCCGAGCCATCGAGGGGCTGTTCCATGGACCAGCAGAGGGCCGACAAGGTCCCTTTTAACCCATTTGGGATTTTGGGTTTGGAGACGGCGCTGGGGCCGGCTCGCGCTACATGATTCAGGGGAGAAACATGGGTAAAGATGGGTTTCCCAACCAGCCCTTCGATCATTGCATGTTCCAAAACTTCGGGGAAAACCAGAGAACAGCAGTGGGGATGGGGGGGGGGGTGCACACCCATGCACGAAAAAGGGGGCTTTGACTGGGTCTTGAGATTCCCCCGTCTGTTTTGGCGCGGGCGTCTCCGCCGGAAAGTTACCAAGTTACCTGAGTCGGTATCTGCAATGGGCGGGCTCAAGGCAGGAGAATCGAGGATATCAAGTAATAAATTAATAAATTGAATCCTTGAGGTATCAAGAAGGTTTACCTCCGATCACGGACGGTGGGGATTCGGTGTGCTCCTCCAACCGACGCGTTCATGTAAGATTGGCCGTACAGAGTCCTTCTTTTACGCGAGAGCCGGAGGGGAGAGGACATGTCTCCTGGAGATCGTGGTTGCGGGCGGTTATTAGTATACGAGGGCTTTCCAAAGGTAGCCCGCTGGAGATAATAATAGCTCCCACAGCGACTACGGAGTAAGGATAAGCACCGGTAGTCTCGGGAACCCCCTTCCCGCTAGGACTAGCTAGGGCAACTCCAGAGCTACAAGAGCCAGACCCTATTGTCTCTTCTTCTGGGGTCCTCAAAGATGAGCTCAAAGATGAGCTCAAGGGTGAGCTCAAGTATGAGGTACAATCGGGCCACCGCAGTCCAGACAGCCCGCAGCCAACACAGGGAGGTACCGGCGACATACCGAGCCAGTACGAAGTAACAAAGTAACCAAACCCGCCAGCAACGAACAAAACAGACTTTGCAGCTCAAGCCGGAAGTAGCAAGCCGCCCCACCGCATTGCACACGTCCACGCTAAACGTAGTGGCCGTCCTTCCTTGTCTTCCCGAGGACTGGTTTTCCCCCGACTTACGCTACGCCCTCGTCGGGCTTAGTCCGTGCTGCCTGCGGCCCCCTATTCCCCTTTGGGGTTCGTTTCCACTGCGCGCCCTGTTGAACCGTGGGAAGTTTGGGCACGCCATTCCTACTTGCGCTTGGCCGCTTTCCCCTCATGTAATCCCCCCTGTGATTCTGACAGCGCGATCTGGGTCCCCACTAGATTTACGGGTTTAGTTTGGAGCTCTAACAGCTATAGCTATCTCCTGGTCAAATCATTCTGAGGTCTTCTTCTCTCTGGAACGGGTCGTATGATCGGGGAAATCCTCGGGGTTTGTAGCTGCCCCGGGGTGTAATCTGGGCTGTCCCGATTTCGCCACCAGGGGAGAGAGATGGAGGAGGGCAACGGAAGTGCTATCGCTAAAATACTTGAAAATTGCCGTGTTGCAAAGAGATGGTTCCCAGATAATAAGAGAAAAACAATACAACAAATAAAAATGATAATAATAATAAAAAAAATAGAAAAATAAAAATAAAAAGAAAGAGAATGAGAAAAAGAGAAAAAGAGAAAAAGATAAAAAGATAAAAAGATAAAAGACAAATCCATAAAAAATTTCCTATCACACGGACAGAGGAATACTTAGCCGGGTGAGGGGAAAGGGGGCCAACCCAGTCTCTGCTCGGAGTATTGGGTGGGAAAAGGGTCAATGGCCCGATGCAAAAATCCTAGAATATTAGGATTTAGGATTTATTGTGCTTTGCTATCGATGGGGAACTCCTGTCCTGCCTGTCATCCCCAATGTCATTGTCCGTCCCTGAAGACTACGGGTTCACTAGGAGGCAAGAACAGGAACAGGCGCAACTACAGACCGTGGAACTGGACTTAGACTGTATATCAAGCCAAGCATCAGGGGAGGGAGAGTAGGCGACGGGGGCTTCCTTTCGCCTTGTGCTCTTCTTGTCCTCTTTTTTTTCTTCCCTGGCTCCCAAAATTACGCTCCACCCGGATCCACTGCATCCTCGGATCCCACGAGGGCTGCCGAATCGTCCTTTTAGTGGCGGCGGTTGCTCCAGAAGGACTGTTTCTTTTCTTTTCTCAAGAGGCATATGTGTACTGCTTACCGCCACCCTGCAAGGCATTCTGAAAAGCGAACTAAGATTTAAGCATCAGGGTCTCGCTAGAACGCGCTTTGACAAGAACGCGTCGATCTCGGTTTTTTTGGGATCCTATTTCATTATCCTGAACATCTCCACCTTTTCGATCTGCAATCCTCGCCAAAACCCCCGGACTTGTAAGTACGTCCAAAGGTTCTTCTACCTCTCCCTTGCATGTGTCCAATTGCCTTGACCTAATTCCCCCGATCTTCATTCGTCTTCTCCCCTCAAACCCCTCTTTTCTTTTTTTTTTTTGGATGCCTTTGACCCTCGACGGTCGCCACCCCTGATATCATTTACTGACCGGAATCTTCCACCGCGTGCAGTCGTACCGCTTTTCCCGTCAGGAACTTCGCAGAGACCCCCTCCTCTTTTCCCTGAAGTCTCTTCTAGAGGATCCCATTTTTATGGACACACGGCCTGCCTCCGAGTACGCACAGTCAGGTTCGCACTTTCCAGCACTCCAGCAGCACCGGTGGTAAACCCCGCGCGCGTCACCATTTGTGTAAAAAGAGCTTGAAGACCTGAACATTTTCCCTTCCTCGTTCGCCGCAGACCCCAGTTCTGCTGCTGCCAGTACTCCATACCACCCCCTCACTCCGAGGCGCGTCCACAGCCTCACTATCCTCAGTCCGAGGTGCGACCCGCCAATATTTCGTCCTCCAACACCCCCCAGTCCGAGTACGGGCTGAACCCACCGCCCACGCGCTCGCCCGCCTTCCCGGAATATCTCCCGCGCCCGCAGTCCTACGTTCCGAACTCCCAACCCGCGGGCCCCCCCGGTATGGCGCAAGCAACAAGTCCGTACTCCTCCATACCGCTTGAGCCTTCTCCTTCTGACGCGGTCGCTCCTATAGATCCCTCCCTTCCGGCCAACAGCCCGACCTATCCCCCCCCCTACTCCCCCTTACCAGCCAGGCCCGGGCCACGAGATGCAGTACCAGGGCCACCCCCCGCCTCCTCACCAGATGTACGCTCGTCCCGAATGGCCTCACAGCTACGGCCAGCATCAGCCGGGCATGCCTCACTACCCCTCTCCCGCTACAACGGTTGGTTCTCCCTCCCCTGCCTCTCCCGCAGGCTCGCGTCCCGGTCAGGTATGTCTTGGGCGATTCTCACGGAATCTTCCGAAGGCTTCTTTCCTTGTCTTGGATCTCTCCGGGCATCGTTTCGGCCTGGGGATCGTCAAACACTGCGACTCTTGTCCCTTTCCCTCTTTGCCGTTTCCTTTTCTTCCTCTAGAGACACTTTCACGTTCTTTTTCTCTGGAATCATATCAGACAAGCTGACATGGATAATTTCATCAAGGTATACTCCTTCGTCCCCATCCCTGGTGCACAACAGCACAAGCGCCCCCGTCGTCGATACGAGGAGATTGAGCGCATGTACAAGTGTGGATGGAATGGATGCGAAAAAGCCTACGGTACCTTGAACCACTTGAACGCACATGTGACGATGCAGTCGCACGGTCAGAAACGAACTCCCGAAGGTGAGTTGCCATTGAACCTCCTACCCATCTCCAATCGAGCCTGGGCGCGGAAGGTGTGCATTCCCAAGCGGTTTGTCGCAAATCGCTTGATTGGGTTAGCGCCGGCTGTTCCGCGCTAGTGAGTTACACTAGATTTCGCGGGGCCGCAGTAGCGTGGCCGACGGCGTGGAGGTTAAAGCTGGCGCTTGATCCCTTCCCCGCCCCGCTAGACTTGGAGCCCTTTACCTGACCTCGTCGGCGCTTCCTGGATACTGGATATACTGACCTATTTTCGCTCTAGAATTCAAGGAGATTCGCAAGGAATGGAAGGCCCGTAAGAAGGAGGAGGAGACCCAGCGCAAGGCCATCGAGGAGCGTGAGCGTGCTGCTGCCCAGGCCGCTCAAGCCAACCAAGTTGAACCCCCTCCTGGACCCTCCGACCCTCAAGCCGGTCAACCCTCGGCGTACGGCGCAAGTCGCCCTCAGCTGCCTCCCATCGGCTACCAGCCCGCAGACAGCCAGGTCTCAAGCCAGTACCCTCCCGGCGGTATGGTCTACCAGAGCAACGGACAGATGGGCTACCCTCCCAACTACCCCCACTCTCCATACCAGAGCGGTCCCGTTTACCAGCAACGTGAGTAACCAATCAAACCAGTAAGAGCGGTCGCCATTTTCCGCTAGGATCGACCTTCCATGGACATCTTCGGTTCTTCGACATCCCCAGGACCAGCCAGCTGATCATCTCGCTACGGCATCTCCAGAGACTACTCCCAGCTACCCGCAATAATTTCCTCTAGTAATTGACTCGACCCACGCTGTGGAACGGACTTATTTCTTATTATATTTTGGTCCTCTTTTTTTTGCATGTCTGTTATCCTTGTTTTCCTAATCACGATATCCCTTTGTCTGGCGACTCATGTCATCTCGGATCCAGTGCCCCATTCCCTCTTCCACGTCTTCCCCCCCCTTGATGATACCATTGACTGCGGCTTCAACCAAAGAGTGGCTTCCCCCAACTTTGTTCTTGCGATTGTTCTTCCTTGTACTAGAGCGCACCCAGTTTTCCCAGAAGAAAAGACTTGACCGAATACCTCGTACCGGCTGGACTCTCGGAAATGAGACCCGCATACGGGGGTGTTTTTTTGGATCCTTCTCATGCCGAGGTCACGGCCTTGATGAGTGGACCGCTGGTTTCTTCTTTCCCCTTGCATCGATATCTTTTTTCTGGCTGGGCTTGTTTCTTTGTTCGGGCAATTCACCCAAAATGGTTGTTTTCTTTTTCTTCTCTGGGGAGGGGCTGTATTCCGTTTCGTGTCTCTACGAATTTTGGCTATGTCGCAGACTTATCTCTATTTCAGAGTCGTCCTGCCCTTCTCTCCACTTGAACGTACATTTTCTGCCATTGGGCAGCTTATCTACAAATGCTACCTGTGAATTATTAATCAATATTTCGTAAATTCCGAGATCTAGCGACGTTGAAAGCCAGTCAAAGTAGGTCTCAAGGTGGACGACAGCTGCGAAGGGAATCATTAGAGCTGCAGCCAATCACAGACTAGGTCTCATTTAATCATATATGTACTAAGCTTGACAGGGATTTCAAGACCCTGCAGGTTACACGCACAAGGTCCATTCGGATGTCATATCCAGAAGAGACGGGCACTAAAACTTCAAGCTAGCCCCCACACCAGTCGACTCAGCCACCCCGGCCAGATCGTCCGTATTTTTTGATTTAAGGTTGTCATAAAGTCCTCAGCTTGCCGCCCGGTAGGCTAATCACTAAACAGTAAAAGATTTTCCTTTTTTTTTTCCCTTCGGGTAGCTTTAGCGCCGTTCTCCACTGGCTCCTTGGCTTATACTAGCGGCTTAGGCTAATCGTACAGGGCTGTGCGGATGGCTGTTACGATCTGGAACTAGCGTGTAACTTCCACTACTCATGTTCTGCATATGCACTTGCAGTCATTTATTTTATCCTTTTTGTGTGACACTGGCAGATGCTGTATTCTCCATACTCTGGGTATTCTTCACCTCCATAATAAAATTAACGTCCTTCAGCGAACCTCGGCAGAACCTCAATCTGGAAACATAGACCCAACCAAAAGAACTTCTGAACCCTCGTAACAGACCAATCAGGGGAGTCCCAATCCAAGGTCTTTAAAAAGGAAATACTAGTATGATCTTGAAAATTAAAAGTCCGAAAAGAGGTAACCCCCATAATGCAGTATCTAGCAGCCAGATAGATGAACGCCATGGGAACGATTTCCCCGACCCACTGACCGACCCATCCCAAGCCACCATTTCCTGCTTATGGCAGCCGCTGTGATACATCATCATACTAGCCTCCGGATAGGGCTAGGCGCAGCGTACAAGAACCTACATACAGGCGTGGCGGAGCCCCGGATCCCTGCATGGGAGCCCGGCCTCGATTAGGGCTAGCGGGCCCGATTGGCCGGCCTTAGCCACATGCACGTTATCTCTGCTGGAGGGTCCGGGGAGCGTCTGCAGGGAGCCTGCGAGGGTTATGCAAGAAGAAGCGGGCTGTGGGTGGTATGGAAGGAATTGTGCTTCAAGTTTTGTTGTTCTATTGTTGGGTATTGGTTGATGGTGTCTGATGTACTTACTAGTACAAAGATAGTAGCTTGGGCTCAAGGTTTTGATGCTGGATACTAAGCGGAGCATTTCCTATAGGGTAAATGAGTACCTTCCTGCGACTATACCTGAGCCGCTCTGCTCTCATCCAGTAGCAAAAGGTACTAGGAGCTAGAAAGCTTGTCGCGGGGTATGCCACTTGACATTCGTCGGCCAATTGCTTCGTAAAGCCTGACCGCTAAGCTATATTTGTCGAAATCTGCCCTCTGTCGACATTAGTGATTTTCATTTTTTATAGGCGCGTTATAAAGGCCTTTCGTGGTCGTGTAATCGAGCCTTGACTTGGATTTTTGGCCCGTGCTCTTGCACCAGGTAGGATCTGATCTTTCCACCGTCTCTTATGGGGGATTGCTCTGCGTTGCATGCATTTCACTTTCCCCAGCCCGAGTGACTTCATTTCTAGGTTCGCACCTGTTCGTCGCATGATCCGTGTCCAGACTGAATAGTCTGACGAGGGTCATCTATGATTAAAGTACAGTCTTTAGTGACTCTAAGACGATACAATCCCAAGGCATGGTTTGTAATAGAGCCCTTGGTATGTACGGAGCAGATAATACTAGCGTTGGTATTATCTAGGGAAGAGCAAAACTCGATACAGCAGAGCGCCTAGGGCTGGGCAGAGATTCGTAATTGTATACTTCCTGTCGACCTACCATGTACAAATAAAAAATGCAGGAGCAGACCTGAGAACCGAGAGAATGAAGAGTGAAGGAAGCGCTGTAATTTGCTAGAGGTCAATCCTAATGAAAGGTCACTCCTGACGGCGCCCAAAGATCCTCGCCTTAATCCTCAGGTAAAAATATTTAACCTAATCGGGACTAGTCCGAATCGCCTCCGAGAAATTGTTGCCAGCTCCGCAGTGATCGAGAAAAAAGACCAATCAGTCATTTCGACTCCATATCCCATTTTTCATTCCGGGACACGAGGTGCCTCGAAACCGAGACAAGCAAACCTCGTACAACTAGGGGATTATCTCGGTCGCATAGACCGGTGATGGCGCCCACGGGGCTAGCATGGAGCAGAGCTGTCCGCAGCAGACTCGCTCGCCACCAAATCACGCGCGGAAGCACGCCATGGTCTCAATCACACTTCCTGGCAGGCCGGCGCTCCTTCATGTCGCAGAACAGCGAGGATTACGAAGTCCCCGAGGAGGGAGAAAGAATTAACCAGAAGACCGGACACAACGACACCAAGGTCGGACGGCACGAATATCGCGCTTCCATGAAGAGCTTGCACCATGCGAACGTGAAAGATGGTCGCGGTGAACTGGGCCGGGTCCGGGTCTTTGGTGATAAGACAGAGAGGGAGCTGTTGATGCGGGTTGCGTCGCGGACGGTTCGTGAAGGAGACTACCCCGATCGCAAGATCATCCTCCGCGACCTGGAGTGGTTGGAGGATCCCGCTTCTTTGGAGCGCCATACGGGACGGTTGCTGGAGAACGGAAAAGTTGAAAGGGCGGCGGAGATGGTGCGTGAGGCGCAGAGGAGGCAGATGCGGTGTGTTGTTTCGTGGAATCGGATCATTGAGTTCTGCGCCAAGCTGGGGCATATGAAGCCTGCTTTGCGGTTTTTTAATGACGTGCGTACACTTCCATGCCTTGACGTTGGTCTGATTGAGAGTTGCTAATGGGTTATCCGGGTTGATAGATGAAGAAACGCGGCGGAAAACCGAATGCCCAGACCATCACGATCATCCTCTCCGGAATGAAGATTTCGCCTCCAGTTCAGGGCATAAATTTGATGCAGATCGCGGAGGGGTTGGTCAAGTCGCTCTCTGCACCGAACTCGGAGGTTGCGCCGAATCTTTACCATATGAATGCTTTGCTGTCCGTTTGCCAATCCCATGGTACGCTGGAGGATTTGTGGCGGATTGCTGGTGACCTTCCTGAGGAGGGACCGCTCTCACCTGATGCTTCTACTTACTCGACTATTGTTCTCGCGCTCCGTGAATTTGCTCAACGTGATATTCAGACCATGACAAACATCGAGGAAATTACCGCTCGGAAGAATCAAATGGTCAAGGAAGCCAAACGTATCTGGTCGGATGTGCTCCATCGGTGGACCCATGATGAGCTGAAAGTCGACAACAGACTTGTGCAAGCCTTTGCCTCGGTGTTTTTGGAGGGTGCTGCGGATCATGACTACTATGATGTGCTTGCTCTTTACAACCAGACCATGGGGCTCCCCATAAAAGCCCCTCAGCCTGCAGAGCGTACCAAGGTCTCGCCTTGGATGAAGGGTCAAATGAAGCGAGCCATTGACGCGCAAAAGGCGGCCGGAGCGGCCAACGAAGAGGACGTCCCTTTTGTTGATGAGCAAAACCAGGCTCTACAACTGGGCAGAGATGGACACCCTCGACAGGAAACCCACTACACAGAGAAAGTGGCGGAGGAAGGGGAAGAGGGAGAAGAAGAAGAAGAAGAGGAGAATTTCGACTCTTTATTCGACCCCATCACCAAGTACGAGGGCCTGGAGCTTCTTCGCCCTGACAGCAAAGATCTCTCTATGATACTGCATGCATGTCATTCACTTACCCAAGGAATGGGAGCCGGAGTTGGCTATTGGGAAACATTGACGTCGGGCCCAGAGCCCCTTGTGACTCCAAACAAGTTTGCTATCATCCAATACCTGCGTCTCCTTCGACTTTCTCGATCGAGCAAGAAGTCTGTCCAGGTCCTCAAGGATCACAGGGAAATTCTCAAGGACGAGAGTGGGTCTGCATTCCGCATTGCATTGTCCTGTTGCGTCCGTGACAAGAAGAATTGGTCGGCATTCATGCATGCCAACGAGATAATGCAGTTGTTGGGAGACACCATGGTGCTTCCAGACCAGCGGGCCATTGAGGCTTATATTGGCTTTATTAACGATCTTTCCCAGCAGCCAGGTCTCCTTATCCACACCAAGGGTCTAGGCGTTACTTTCAATAAGGATAAATTGCATTCAAACATGCAGACACTTGGCAAAAAGCTAGTTACTCATTTACAACTTCGCGCCCTCGACACTCTGCGTCCTCACGTCCGACGTCTTGACGATGCTTTCACCAACGGAAAGCCCAAGCCTATAAGTCGTTGGTCTGACCGAGAGGCACCTGAATGGGTTGCCGGTGACAAGGTTGTGAAGAATATGGCCCGTGTTCGCCTTCTGGTTGGCGATGTTCTAAAGGTCGAAAATGCGATCTTTGTTTCCAAGAAGGAGCGTGAGATGCTTGAGTCAGACTCCGCCCTGCTAGGCCGCTATTCTGATAAGGAACTCCGCCATACTTCGAGACGGAAGATTTATCCTACCAAGGAGCAACGAGAGCGGTTCGAGAACAAAGCAAGCACCGTGACGAGTGAGGATACTCGCGACGTGAAAAAGACCGAGACACAGGAGAAGCTAGAGGAGAGGCCCAAGGAGAGCAAGCAGGCTGAAATTTCTGACGAGAGCCAGCCAGCCAAACCAGAAGAACCAAACGCCTCGGAGGCAACCTCAAAGTCTGCGGCCAAGTCTGAGGCGTAAGGCTCGACCGACGAAACTTGGCGATGCCAAGGTTGATGATCTCTTTGTATAATATCTGTATATTACCCATCTGGCCCGGCGTTTCGATTTCTATATGTACAAAAAAGAGCATAGCACATTCTCTACTTCGATAGAAGAGTACATAGAGCATTCTATTGGAGTTCTTGTTTGCGCATCTTTTTCTTCTCCCGTCTTGCGAATAGGGGCTGACCTTAAGCCAGCACGTCTTCGCTCCACTTTTTGACATTTGTCTTGCTCAGCATCCGCTCAGCCTCTGACAGCGAGGGAATGGAATTCAATAAAGTCAGTGCAGGCTTGCGGCTTACCCTTTGGCGTTCTTTCACTCCGACCGGCCAAATCTGCACGATGCCGGTCACGCAATTGCAGCGTGCGATAGCATCTTGCGATAGCATCTTGCGCGATGTTAGCCGTCCCCATCAAAATCTAGACGGACTGTTTCAAATAATGGCCGAGAAGACTCATAAGTCCGTTTAAGTTATGTCGCCCTGCTTGAGGTGATTCTTGTTTCTTCCTAGGTTGCTAGTAGCCCGGACCAACAACCATGGGTATCCAGCAGCGACGGAAATGGTACTATCTGCAATGGTTCTCCGACGAAGATACCAAGGAAGAGCGACGCCTTCTTCTCAAGCTGGACTCGTTGATTGTTCCGTATGCGTTTATCTCTTACTGGACGAAGTACCTCGACCAAGCGAATCTCAGTCAGTATTCTGCGCTGCCCAATGATGACTGGCAGCTATTCTGACCTCCGCCCAGATAGTGCACATGTCTCGGGTCTTGAAGCAGACTTGAACCTCAAGGGAAATGACCTCGTTCATCTGCAGACGCTATACACTGTTGGCGCAGTGGTCGGCCAAATACCCTTCATATACCTCTTCAGCAAGTTCCGCATCAACTGGATTATCCCCTTCTTGGATCTTGCATGGGGAATATTTACCCTTCTGCAATACCGAGCAACCTCCTATGCTGAGATAGCTGCCTATCGATTCTTAGTGGGTTGGTTTGAGGTAGGTCCTTCTGTTGATGGATGCAAGCCAGATAACTGACTCGACCAGGCTGCTTATTTTCCGGGGATGCATCACATATTCGGTAGGTGCCTTATACGTGTCTCACCCCCCCCCCCCCGGCCAGAAAAAGTGATGCTTACAGATATTAGGCGCTTGGTATAGGGGCGATGAGATAGGCCGGCGAGGCGGCATCTTCTACGTCGGACTCACCTTGGGTACGATGACTGCCAGTCTCATTCAAGCCGGAACAACCGACCGACTCGACGGTGTCAATGGCCTGGCCGGGTGGCGATGGATGTACATTGTCTGTGCCATCATCACGCTCCCGGTCGCTATTGCTGGGTTCTTCATCCTCCCTGGAACCCCAGATAAGCCGAACAAGCTCATTATAAAAGCCAAGGACATTGCCCTCGCGAAAGAGAGACTACGACGCTCCAATCACGCGTTCAAAGAAGAGGCTTTAAGCTGGCGTGTTGTGCTCAACGTCGGCCGCAAGTGGAAGTTCTGGGCCCTACTGTGGTTGGACATCTTCTTCTGGAACGCCTCTATCAACACTACAGCCGGAGGCTACCAGTTATGGCTGAAGAGCTTGGATAGGTTCTCGACGGGCCGACTGAATGAACTCGCCGCCCTCTCCCCGGGCCTCGGGATATTCTATGTTCTCCTCATTTGTTTCGCATCGGACCTCTTCCTGGGACCTGCATGGGCAATCACGGCTTCTCATACTTGGAACATCATTGGGTGCATTATCCTGGTAATCTGGAACGTCCCCGAGTCCGCCCTCTGGTTTGCGTTTAGCACGACTTATTCTGCTGTGGCCATGTCGAGTGTTCTGTACGGCTGGGTGAATACCCAACTCCGAGGCTCGCCTGTGGAGCGTTCTTTCACGCTTGTTGTGATTAATCTCATCTCTCAATCAACAACTGTCTGGACCCCGCTGCTTGTATTCAAGACAGTGGAGGCGCCGCGCTTTACTAAAGGGTACTCCTTCGTGATGGCGAATGCGATTTGTTTGATTGTCCTTGCGCATATTGTACAGCATTTCATTTCGAGGGAAGAGTGAGTGGTCATGCTTGAGTTCATACTGAATTGAGTCGCTGATAAGATTGCAGAAATAGCATTGCGAGAGTTGATAGCATCTCCGGATCGGACAGCTTGGAGATAGATCATCCGGATTCGGAGGCCGGACTGCAGGAGGGTGTTGTGCATACCAAAGGGCTTGACGTAGCGGAAGCTTAGTTCCCCTGGAGGATCGAGCTCGAGCTTGAAGTTATCTACTGGACAGAGTTCTTATTTGATTGAGAGACTTTCCATACATTCTATTTGAAAGACCTCATCACTATGGTTCTTCACTTGTTATCATACCATATCTCCATAAATGATTCAATACGAATAGAGTGGTCTCAAGAAGCGATTTAGATGGCGTCCTTACCTTACGAGACACCCTGCTAGTAAGAAGCCAAGTCATAAATCGGCACACAGAACATGCGCGGTCGCGTGTGCTGTGGGGATGATGGCGAAATCTCCGCTTATCGTCCGCAAAACCATCCGCGGGTCGATGGGGTTTTTGGGCAGTTGAATTCGGGAAACCTCCGAGTCTATTTTTCAAGGATGGCGTGAGAAAATACCCGAATTGCTCATATGCTTATAAGAGCTGCGGGGCCTTGGAAGCTTCACGTTCTGACTGATAGAGGCAACCGGCGGCTCCTCATACAATCCTCCTTCAAGTCAAGTTGGCAGCTGGAAAAATACACCTCTAGTTCTGTAAACTATGGGTGGTGCGACGACGTCTTCTCTCAATGTAGCCGGCAATGGCGAAGGGAAGAAGCAGATCTTAATCAATGCATTCGACATGTCAACAGTGGGGCATTTATCTCCTGGACAATGGAAGGTACGTGATGTTAGCAGCCGGAAATGAGCCTCGTACTCATGTAGATAATCGGAATTAGGATCCCAAAGACCGATCAGCCACTAAGCGTCGACTGGACTATTGGATCAACTTAGCAAAGCTCCTGGAGCGCGGCGGAATCAACGCTTTGTTCCTGGCAGACACGACTGGAGGCTATGATACCTACCAGGGCAAAGTCGACGAGTGTATCCGACGAGCTGCGCAATGGCCCGTGACGGATCCGACAATCGTGAGTCTTGTATTCTACGTCTTTCAGAACCCACCATAGCTAACCTTCGGAAGCCCATTTCCGCAATGGCTGCCGTGACCAAGAACCTGTCCTTTGCCATTACAGCGTCGACATCATTCGAGCAGCCCTTCCTGCTGGCTAAGCGGTTTTCTACCCTCGACCATCTGACCGATGGCCGGTTCGGCTGGAACATTGTCACATCTTACAAGAAGGCGGCATTCAAAGCCATTGGCCTTGAGACTCCAGTCGAGCATGACGAGCGGTACCTCCAGGCTGATGAGTACTTGCGTGTTCTGTACAAGTAGGTCGATCATGCAGAAGAGACATGACACGTCCGCATGGGGTGAGGGTTAAAACTTATCAGGCTTTGGGAAGGCTCGTGGGCATCAGACGCCGTGAACCCCAAGCCCGACGAAGACTCCTATGTCGACCCCGACAAGGTCCGCCAAATCAACCATAAAGGGAAATACTTCTCACTCAACGCACGACACATCGTTGACCCATCGCCACAACGCACCCCATTCCTTTTCCAGGCAGGGACCTCTGCGGCCGGGTCGACCTTTGCTGCGACTCATGCTGAGGCAATTTTCGTCTCGTCGCACTCCCCCGAAGTTTTGCGCCCCAAGGTCCAGGCGATTCGAAAGCAAGCCGCCGAGCTCGGTCGTGATCCACAGTCCATCAAATTCTTTGGAACATTTACACCAATTGTCGGTCGAACAGACGAGGAAGCGCAGGAAAAGTACGAGGATCTGAAGAAGAATGCATCCGTGATCGGTGGTCTGGTCCTGTTCAGTGGCTGGACAGGCATCGACATCTCCAAGATTCCCTTGGATCAAGAAATCAAGCCCGAAGACTCGCACGAGGCCGGCCGAATCACCAGTCTGCTGGACTCCTTCCTCAAAAGCAGCAAGGATGTTCCGAAGTGGACTCCCCGAATCGTTGCGCAGAAGGCAGCGATCGGTGGTCTTGGCCCCGTTGCTATTGGTAGCCCCCAGACTGTTGCTGATGAGATGGAGCGCTGGATCCGAGAGGCTGAGATTGACGGGTTCAACATTGCCTACGTTACTACGCCAGGAACGTTCGAAGATCTCATCGACTTGGTGCTTCCTGAGCTGCGCAAACGAGGCCTCTATCCCGAGCTTCCAGATCCCTCGGAGGAGCCATTGACTGCTCGTGAAAGAGTTTATGGTCGTGGCCAGAAGGAGCTCCGGGCGGACCACCCAGCCTCTAGATATAAGTATGATGTGTACCAGGAAGAGGAGCCATACATTGCCGAATAAACATCAAATTAAGACAGACCGATATGCCAAAATCTGCAAAAATGGAAGTAATTTTCTAAGAAGGTAGAACCAGTGCCAATGAGGTTGTATAGATGGACACGTAAACTGCCCGGCGGTAAGATGGGGCAGTGACCAACGCGGGTACCTGGGGACGTGATGCCACTCTAGCCCTTCCGGGACAGCTTGTCCATACCAACGTCTTTTGTGCACTTCTAGGCCATGCTCATCCGGTGAGACAGCCCTTCCTACACTTGACGACACGAACCTCATAATGGCGACCACACACCATGGTCAATCGCTGGGCGACCTGCACGACGATGAGTCTCTCCTGGACGACGATCTGATCGAGGCTGACGATGGTGAGCAGTCCCCTGTCCCAGCCGCCGCGTCGCAGCTATGTCCCAACGTTGGATCGATAAGTATAGAGCTAACATCTTTCGCACCTTTCAAGCCATCGAGGCCGACGACCCCCTTCACGAAACTTCCGACACAGCCCCTCTCCGAGGCAACATCGCATCTGATTCCGGCTCACGAGGTGGCAACACGGGCTATGGCAACTACCTAACTTCCTCGATCCCCGGCGAGGACCGCCGCGCGACGCAAAATACCATCGATGAGACCGTATGGGCAACGCTGTCGCGCGACTTGGTCGCCATATGGGAGAAGATGCGCCTGGTGCTCTGGCCCAAGTACCTTCTGGGGGGGCATGTTGCAGCGTGGCGGCGGCGGTATCAACGATGCTGCAGAGCGAGGCGAGGCCTCAGGATTCGGGCGGAACCTACGCGGGCTCGTAGGACGCTGGCCAGATGCCGATGTCGTTTTGCAGGGTGGCATGAGCGAGGGACTGCGCGACTGGGACCTTTGGTATGCTCAATCAATGGCTCTGTCTTGGTGAATTGGCTTCAGTGTGCGTGTGGTACTAATTGTGTATTACTTCTTAGGGGTCCGCTGGTCTTCTGCTTGGTTCTCAGTTTGTTTCTATCTATCGCAAACCGAGACCAATCACCAATGGTATTCTCTGGTGTGTTCTGCCTCGTGTGGATCGGCGAGACAGCGGTCACACTTCAGATCAAGCTCCTCGGTGGTAATATGTATGTGGATTTGATTTGATCTCTTGCGCTGATATAGACACGCATATACTGACCAGTGCGATCTACAGTTCCTTCTTCCAGTCCGTCTGCATCATCGGATATACCCTCTTCCCACTCGTCATTGCAGCTCTCTTGAGTGCTCTGGGCCTACCGACAATCCCAAGAATACCCGTTTACCTTGTTCTTGTGGCATGGTCCTTGGCCGCCGGAGTCAGTATCCTGGGAGGCTCAGGAGTCCTTCGAAACCGCGTTGGGATTGCAGTGTACCCATTGTTCGTGTTCTATATTGCAATCGGGTGTCTCTGTTTTATTAGTTAAGAAGCCCTCCTTTCTCCCTTGGTAAATACTGCCTCTTTATTCATGATTGGCCGAGGATCCAGGTGTCCCTTCAAGAAACTAGGAAGAAGTTGTGCCGCAGATGTGTACCATAGCTTTGTTCTGTCTATCTTGTCTCGAAGCAACTCGTTTCAATTCATATGGTTTCTCTAGACTTCGAATTCATGGCGTGGCGATAGTGGAACAGAATGTAATCGAAGCCTGCGCGTGTAGCTCTCCAGTTAATACCAATTGCTTGAATGGAGTGTGGTGAATCTGGCGATGGCCTCACGAGAGCCTTTTTTAACCATAACAAACGGGCAAACATCGAAGACAATTCACTTTGACGTTGAGGGTGGGGAGGCTAATTTTCTACTCCTACTCTTCCTGGAACTCAATAGACAGCTCGAGAGCCAATCAAACGAGCAGGCGCGGACGTCCGTTTGCACAATATTGACATTCACTACATTTACTGCATTCACTGCGGGGCGAAGCTAAGCGGTGACCTTCGACCGGAAAGGAACCGCCGTCAACTTTGAAGGATATAATCCCCCATCTGCTCCCCCACGGACTTCTCTTCTCTTTTCCCCAACGTTTCAGTTCTTTCGAGTGCTTTAGGTCTTCCTAGAACAATCGAATCTCTGCTCGCAGTTCCAACTGCACTGTGCTTCCACACGCTCTTTCTCACACTCCATCTCACCATCGACCTCTTTCATCCTCGATCACACACTCTCTCTCCCCCCCCAACCTCACACTATCTCGCGTCATATCTTCACTCTCCATAGCCTCATATCCTCTCGCGTCATACCCTCTGAAGTCACCGCAACCCAACAAACGGTGCGGCATGGCTTCTACCTCGAACGACCGGCCGGTCTCGGCAAACGGTGAGTAACTTCCCTTCGCGCTTCATTTTAACCCTGCCCCCCCAAACAAGTTGCAAGTACCATCATTGCAGCCCGCTCTGCGCCAAGGTCATCATACAAGCTGTGATGGCCTTGTCGAGCCATGGTTGACTTTGCCACGCTCTCAGCGCTTGCGCAATCGAAGCCTAGGTTGCTCGCGAATGCGACACAACTTGTTCGGGCCCCGCACTTGCAACGGAGATTATTTTTCTTTCATGGTCTTATTTTTCATTATGCTAACGATCTTGCCTTTGCTTCAGTGACCGCCGCTCAGTCCCCTCCCTCCGACAACGACGGCGGCGAGCGTCCCGTTCGCCAGCAACTCCAGGAAACTACCATTGAATCCACCTCTCAACCTGCCAATGAAAGCTCCGGAGGCCGCAAGCGCTCCTTCGAAGAATCGCGCGAGAACGATGACTCTCCTGCTGACAAGGGCGAAAGTCGCAAGAAGCGATCTCGCGAGAACACCCCGGATAACTCTAACGCTGGGGAGGCTGCTGCCCAAGCTCAAATGAGCAAGAAGCGGTCTCGCGAAAACACCCCGGACGATACCAACATTGAAAAGACTGCTACCCAAGTTACAACTGCTGATACCCAGACCGTGAAAGTGAGTGAGAATGAACCCAAGGACCAAGCCACTTCTGCGCCTAAGCGCAACTACTGGATCTGCAACGGCAAACGTCGCAAGTCTTTCCATGATGATTCCCCCGAGACGGACGTGGACTTCTCTCCCCTCATGGACCGCCATGATGCTTCTGCCGAGCGGGCCAAGGAATCTGATCGCCCCAACACGTCCTACCGTGATGCTGCAACCCAGGCAGATCAGGACTCTAAATACCCCAACACTTCCTACCATGATGCTGCAACCCAGACGGATTGCGATGCTGAATTCCCTAACCCATCCCTCCATGATGCTTCCACTCAGACAGACGCGGACTCTGAAAACCACAAGTCGTCTCTCTGTGAAGCCGCCACCCAGACAGACGTGGACTCTGAATACCCCCAGTCCCCACCCTGTGGAGCTTCCACCCAGGAAGAGGTGGACTCTGAACACCCCCAGTCGCCTTCCTGTGGAGCTTCTACCCAGGGAGAGCTGCCAGATGAGTCTGATACTCCTCTCATTCCTACCCAGAGATCCCAGTCTGCACCCGCGGTCCCCACTACCAGTTATGCATCCTCTTGGTACATGGAATCTCCCGATGCTTCCCTTGTCGGTGCTCAATCTCCCTGGTTTATTGGGTCCCCTCTTGAATCTCCTACCGGGGTGGGCTGCGGTTCCGCCGCTGATAATGACCATGCATCTTGTGCCGAGCCACGTACTGAATCATCATTGGGATCACCTGTCAAACGCACCTATTATGGGCCTTTCTATGAAGATGATGAAGAGGACGAGGAAATTCCTCCGGACCTGCTGAACACATCTGAGACCCCCCACCTCGAACCATCTCTACCTCCACTAGCATCCACCAAGGGTCCATCCAAGAAACGGAGCCTAGGAGAATATCAAGCTGACAGCCCGAAGGCCTCGGAACTCACAGACACAACCACCAAGACCCCGGAGCCCGAGAAGAAGCGCCACCGAGACAATTCACAGGAACCTGAAACTAAGACTGACAAGGTATGTCGGAGCAGCCTAGCAAAACTTTGTGAAACACTGACTGATAGTTGCCACCAGGTATTTGCCGCAAGCGCTTTCGGGAAGGCAGCCGGCGCTTCCCCATTTGCCTCACTGGGAAAGAAGCTCGAGCCTACCAATGCGGATTCTGAGAAGAAGACGAGCGCCTCAACCTTTGCATCGTCAAGCCTTGCCGGATTCGCGGGATCTGAGAAATCACCATTCAGCACCCTGGGGGCATCGACCCCTTCTATCTTCAAGCCTGCTGCCAGTTCTGGATTCGGGTCCCTAGGAAGCGGGTTTTCAGGCGTGGGCGGCGGATTCTCAGGTGCTGCGAAGTCAGGCGGTTTGACCAGTTTTGCATCGAACAGCCCTGTACCTCTCGGGGGCACGCCGACTTCGCAGCCCAAAGAGAACCCGGCTGCCGACGAGAGTGAGAGTGCCAATGACTCTGAACAGGAGAAGGCGAGCACTTTCAAGGCGGAGAAGACCGATGACCGTTTCTACGAGCAAGAAAGTAAGTAAAAGCAATATGTTCCTGTGTGACGAGAAAAAGATTGCTAACCATGCCAATAGTGGCCACCGGCGAGGAAGAGGAGTTGACCAGCTTCTCGTGCAAGGCCAAGCTCTTTAAGTTCCTTGACGGGGAATGGCGAGAGCGCGGCATCGGCACGTTCAAGGTGAACTGCCGGTATGACCATGGGCGCCTCGTCGGTCGCATGATCATGCGCGCCGATGGGGCGCTCAGGGTCATGCTCAATAGCCCTGTCTTCAAGGGCATGAAGTATGGCGACTCGGAGGGGAAGCCCCCAAAGAGCAAGCAGCTCTTTTTGGGGAGTATGGAGGAGGGCCGGCTCGTCTCCTGCCTGCTCCGGGTAAGTTGATTTGGTTTTACCTTTGAGTTTTAATATCTGCTAACTGAAATTACCTACTTAGACTGGCAAGCAGGAGACCGCCGAAGAACTATATAAAGTTCTCGGCGACCTGCTGGAGTCGGAGCGGGAAGGAGGCGAGGGCTCGGAGGAGGAGGAGGAAGGGGAGGAAGAGGAGAAGGCGGAAAAGTAGGTAGCGGAAGGGGTGGATGGGGGGTTGGGGGGGATGTGTGAGGGAAGGTGGCTGGTGGATTGTTGATTATTGTTTGATTATTAGCGATATGAGCCCGAAGAGGGCATACAATTGAATATTCTTACCCAAAAAAGTTCGTTCACATGCGTAATTTTTAGACACTAGATGTACCCAATGTTGAGATCCAATGTTACTGCGACGATCTTCCCCAGACTCAGATTCCACTCTAGTATGTCGCTTGTGCGCTTGCAAATCTGATAGAGTCTACTGATCTTGCCTACCGATACAATTGAGGCGAGACCAAACACTTTAGTCTCCTTCTAGTCTTATCTTAGTTTCATTTGCTTTTCATTCTAGACCCATTTTGGTTTCATTCATGTATTGATGAAATTCGTCAGCGTTCGAGATCCGATCTCACCGCAAAGCCCTTCCCTTGATTTCGAAAACCACCCCTGATCCTTCCAGGCTCTCCTTCAGCTTCCATTGACTAATGTTGTAAGACAAGAGCAGGGAAGCAATTGAATGTTTCTAGCCTCATCCATGTCTGTCAAAACTTTGCTTCCCGGACACTGAAAATGGCTTACTGCTCCCCAATTGTTTGTTACTTTATCCTGGCACGATGGCCGCCGGCCAATAAATCCATCGCTGTAATTATGAGCACCAAAGCAGGCCTGATACAAATGGGTCTGGTAAATGACCACTTGAATATATCACCAGCCCATTGTGCACATATCCCCCCATCTGAGCTCTCTCTAACAGTATTCTCCCATCCCGAAACAGCACCAGCCTCAAGGGAGGAGAGAGGATAGTTTTATGAATACCTGGTGTGATGAGACGGTACAGAACATGGAGAGGTGGCTAGCTATTACTAGGTGGAACAGCCACCCAGTACAATGTGGACCGGTCTCTTGTCTTGTCCTCAATTAGCGTTGGTGAAAAGCGTAGACTGATAAATAGCCGTTCTGATCAGGGATTTATATCCTGGAAGACGGTCTCTTTCCTCTTCTTTTTTCGGGTAGAATACCACAAGACCAGAGCGACCATCTGCTTTACCAGAGCCCTGACCACTAGGACCAGAATCAGAAGCTGAAGCTGAACTAAATTGTAGTATAAGCTTCTGCGAAGGAACCTTCATCGCAACCCGAATATTCTTAATATCATCATTGTTCAGCGCCTCGGTTGCTGCCAGTTGTACTAGTAGACCTGGCACTCACCCGCCCTGCGGGTCCAAGATTGGGAACCTCCACCTGACCCTCTAAGGGTCCCTTAAGGGTCGCATCGACCCTCGTCGACCCTCAAATGTATGATTCTTCCCACTTTCTCTATTTCGGGTGTATAAAGCTGATAATTCAGCTTTTAAAATACTCTCAGGGGCGTGCTCAGATCGACTCAGAGAGCATAAAACAGCACTCAGTGTGCTCGAAAGCGGAAAGAGGAAGCCAAGACGTGGCATAGAAAATCTGTTACATTGGTGATTCTACAGGAGTTCGAATGGATATGTGTGTTTGTGCGGAACAGTTTGGTATAGCACGATAGCTGACTGGTATGGATTTCATTCCTTATGTTGACCTAAGGTCCAGAAGCGCTAGTTTTTGACAGCAACAACGAAAAGTCTTGGATAGGGAAGCAGCACGCGGCCGTCTACACAAGCGGGATATGCATCCTTAAGGCGTCTCAAGTAGTCCTCCAAGAAAGCTTCCTTCTCTTGAGGATCCAAAGGATCCAAATAGGGTCGTAACCCTGTTCCCTTGACCCATTCGACAATAGCCTCGTGGTTCTCCAGAGCATGGTAATAGCTCGTATGGAAGACATCCACGCGCGACGAGATCGGCTTCAGGGCATCATAGATCTCTCGCGGTGATTGGAAGGAATCACGACCAATGGTTTCCAATTTTGCTGCCCAAGGTCCGTTTTTAGCAGTCTCCCTCATCGAGACATGAGAAGGTTGGTCCAGATTATCTGGAACCTGGAAAGCAAACACGCCCCCTGAGGGCTGGGTCTCCATCAAGCGCTTGATGACGCTGATTCGCTGTTCCCGGCCCAGCCATTGGAAGACAGCGTTCGAGTAGAAGAGGTCTACCGGGAATTTGGAGAATAAGATTCCAGGTCTTCGACGGTGAAGTCAAGATGTGGAAGAGTTGATTGCGCCTTGCGGATCATGTCCGGGGAAGAGTCCATGCCCACAAGTTCGGCTTTAGGGTATCGCGATTCCAAGACGGCAGTTGAGTTGCCAGGGCCGCAGCCCAAGTCCACTATCCTCTGGGGGGGCTTGAAGAGGAACCCGGGCAAGGAGATCGCGGGCTGGCTGGGTGCGCTCATCTTCGAACTTGAGATACTGGGCGGAGCTCCAGTCGTGTGCTGGGTTGGCTGGTGTAGACATGAAGACGCGTCCCGCCGAGAATGCGGGGAAAGCTCGCGGTAATAAGTTCCGAACGGGTGGGATCGTGTAGAACATATCAAAGTCCAATGGAGATTGTGGCTAATATACAAGAGAAGCGGAAGTCGCTCTAATAAATAGTCAAGTCGAAGACTTTGGAGTTCTCCTGTTACGCCGGTGATGGGTTTCGGCGGTGGAGGTCAGCTTGCGGCCCCGGCGGATTCCAACAAAGATTTCGTGTATACGGGCGGTCTTTCAATCGCCACCTTGGTCCTAGAATATACGTGAAGAATTACCTAGAAGCCGATTATAGGAGATTGTCGATATGCTTGTTTTTGCCGACCTTGAATCACCGACTACCACGCTGAGGCGCCCTTAGGTTGAAACTGCCGATTATCGGAAAGAGGGCAAAGAGGGCTAAGCAATGCCGAGTTCTGTTAGCTGATGCACTGTAGATCATAGAAGTGAGTATGTATACGTATGAGGGTTTTTTTTTTTTTGGGCGGCTACAGCATGATGCCATAGATGAGACAAGGTATTTACTAATGACGATGCCTCCAAGTTGCGCCTGCGACCTCCCCGGCGACGAAAGGGCGGAAAAGCACGGAGTGTGGGTATACAACAGTGTATTAGTAGATCCTAGAGATGTGTAGATACACAACCATGAGTTTTCATATATGGCAGGTGCGAATAATGAAACATTGGGTAATAAGCTTGGATGATTTAATAGGGCTGTTGATTTTCCAGTCCCCCTTTCAGCAGTAGTTCTACCAACCGAATCTCCTGTCAAGTCATGGAGGTAGCACTTAAACTCCACCGAATGAGTCCCGTCGAACCGAGACATGCTCTGTAACAGTAATTCCAGTATCATCTCGGATGATTGCCTCATCGCTGGCATTTGTGGTTGAGCAAGCAATCACGTTCTTCCCGTAACGCTCGGGGTACTGGTGGATGGTGGATCGATCGACTCCACTGACGGAGAACTTGCTATACTTCCGGCCTGAGCTATACAAGGGGAATTTTGTAGGCATTATTTTCGGATGAAGGATCACTCTTGCCGTCCTTCTTGTTGTATCGGATACGCACATAAAGGGGACGGAGGACGGGAATTGTCGAGCACATGATTGTAGCGGTGCTTTCGGTTGCCGACCAGATGAGCATCGGAACGGTATCGTCTGAGAAGCCATTAGCTTAAGAGCAAGAGTGCTTCCAAGGCGATAGAATGGGCTCAGCAGGACATACAGATATACTCATTCATGCTTAAGCCTGTTAGTGCTACAGTGCGGACAATTCCACATACTCCAGCACTGTTGCGAATGGTCAGTCCCATTCGACATGGCATGAACGTCGCTGACTTACAAAATACCCAAGCTCAGACCAGATGCAACTAAGATCTTTTCCTTCTGCTTCATGTTGAGATCCCAGACCACAAACCAAGGCAGGATAGCGAAGGAGAAATCAGCGGCGACAAATATTGCTGGAAAGGTCAGCTGAAGCAGAAGATAGTAAGGGGGGGGGAACAAACTTACACCCAACAGTGTATCCGACCTTTGAGAAGTCTCAGCCAGCAGGTTCCTGGGACAGTGTGATCCCAGCTTTTCTGAACCGGCACACACTGTACCACCACCGTCACGCTAGCGAAGACTGTGATTATACTGACTATCGCCAGACAGGCCCAGATCATGGCAATCTGATATTTGTTGCGCACAATGCGAAGAAGGAACGTACCCACAGCCCATTTTCCAATACCAATGGCCATGAGACCGGCCACTTGGCTGAAAATTTCGTATTTGACTGCAATAACATAAGTAGCCGCATCGCCAACGTCCTCATACAGTCGACCAAGGCCATAACCAGTTGCGATTGTCACGAAGATTGTATATAGAATGTGAACAAGCTGGAATAAGTCAGTAATTGCATTGCCTCTTGTAAGTCGTCTTCGACTCACCAGACAAATAATTGAGATCCAGTCATCAGCACCAACAGAATTCAAGATGACCTTGCGAGTGAAGAGCCTGAGCGATACAAAGAAGGCAAAGATAACAGCTTCGGCCCACAGCACCCCATTGACCATAGGACCACGGCCTCCGTATGCGCCCATTTTGAAGATTGGGGAGGCGTGAGCCGAATTATGCAAGGTTTTAGGGATCCCTTACCTTTAGGTCATCAACCGGCCCTAATATCGTGGGAAGAACTAAGAGGCCTAGTTACTGAAAATGACCTCTCGACTTTTCCGAAGGACAAGGCCAAATCTTCACACAAGTGGCGAAAATAGTACTTTTTCCTTCAAGGAACAGTCCCTGGGCTTGGTTCACGACTAGGGCCATCGTGCGATGAATGGCGCAAAGCCCTAGCGGTACTGGCTTTCCCACGAGCTGTCAAAGGGATCTGTCGCCAAAAGTACCAAAAACCTCACAACTAAGTTCAAATCAAGACAAAATGGGCCAAAATGGAGCCAAGAAGTTTCACATTATTAGCCTGCTGCCCCACAAGTGCACATTCTGGAGCATGACAGGCCACCATGCCACCCCGGCGGGAATGAGAAGGGCCCACTAAGCCCGTGGCTCTTCGACAGATGACAGCTACAGGGTTCTCCTATCAGGACTCGTATTTCATGAAAGCCTTACCTCAAGCACCATTCTCTTTACGTCATCATGGTTTGATGATTAAAACGCCGAAGTATTTGAAACCCGGGGATCAAGTAGCGAGTCTGCATATAGTTCTCGAGGAGCGGCGCAAGATCTAGAGGAATAGATCGCACGTAACGGGTCACTACGATTTATTGATAGAAGGCTCCTGATCTGCGATGAATCTGTTGTGCATTCAAGGTGCGATTGCTCGATCCTTAGCCCTGACTTCTGGGGGCCCGCATCCGAACGGTCTCTTAATTACATGTTTAGTCCCCCCCCTCATGCTGTCTAGATTCTAGTTGGATCCCAGCTAGTGTTCCTAGCTCAAGCGATCTTTAACCTACCAAGGAGAAAGTGACCTGTCAACTCACCTCGCTCGCGGAACCCGCTCTCGGCTCCGAATATTGGCGCTAGCGGCCGTTGCGCGACAGAATTGGGGGCTCTACACTTGGCGAAAGGCCCAGTTATCGTAAACATCCAAAACCCCACATGCTACTGCTCCACTCAGACCCAATTTAGTTGGCTTGGGCAGACAAATCAGTGAAGTCGAGCTCTTCAGTGATGTAGCTATATATGGCTGTATTCCCATACCTCCTGTGAAAATTCTCTTGAAGGTGCGTGTGGCGATGCCGTCCCTGTGACTGCCATCGTCGAAGATTTTACCAACACGAGAAGCTAAAATAGGCTATTCCCTAGCAATTTCACAATCAGCCACCGAGGATGATCCCTCCGCAATTCGATCAAGCCCCGTTCGAAGGCAACTCTCTGCTTCGATCAGAGGTGGGCCCACCTCAGGGGATTGAGGAACCTTGGAAGGTTCCAGGTTATAGTAGCTATCAACCCATGTTCTCTAGATCGACCTCATGCCAACAAAATCCATATCAGCCAGGCGGAAACGTTATGCCAGCGAAAAGAGTTACGTACATGGCGATGAAACAAATAACTTGCGCATGAGGTTTCTTAGATTCAATTGACTGTTATCATGATCCTATGGCTCGCATCTCTCAAGGCTATGGGTCCAGGCAATAGCGTCTTTCGGCTATGCACAGGTCCGTTTCTAGAAATGGTTCTGTGCTTGTATCACGCCCTCCTATTGGAGTGTCATGGGTCTCATTACTGAGGCGTGTGTCAACCGGTTGTTCGGAACGTAAAGTGCCCCTATGCGGTCCTTGCCAAAAGGCTCCCCTAGCTCATTCCATGCCATGGCCTCAGTATTGGAGTTTAAGCTATCGAGATGAACGGCGTCTCTTGGCAGTGGACCTGGGGCACGGTCACGGTGCTGTTGGGCTTTCCGGGCCGCGACGGGCTTGTGTACCAGGCCAGGCCTCCGTGTATCCAGGTCATCTATCTAGGGGGAGAACTGATGATCCTCGACGTAGTTTTTGGGCACCTGCTCATGAGTGCGAGTCAAGCACTGTGAGACGGCTCGGAGCAGTGATTATTCCACGACGTAAAAGGGAATCAGCATCATGGTGTGGTATGACAGCCCAGAGGTTTGGATTGGCGATGATCTTTTGGTAGTTCAAGTAACTTCATGTCCGTAACGCAGACTAGGTGTTTCACCTTGAGAATTGCGACCCTGAACAGGAGGGTCACTATTATCAAGATTGCTAAAGTCCCCACCGAGGAGCCATTAGTACAGGTCCAAGATGACGAAGTTCCAGTTGCACAAAGAGGAACGATCCCCATGAAAGCCATTACCACTGATCCGGGCCTTAGGGATTTACTAGTTCACAGGTCAGTAACCTTACCAAGTACTTATGAAAGGGCCTAGGCGCTCCCCCCCCAGGAACTACCCTTCCCGTCTTTTACACAAGTTCATTTCGCAGTCCAGGGTGTACGAGACAATTCTCTGCATCAGTCTACTCGAAGACATGTCAACTCAGACACAATCGATTGTTTCTGCTCTTGACGCAGTTCAGCCGGATCTCTTTGGCGGCAATGAAGTCGAGCGCCTTCAGGTTCGAGCGGCAGCTCGTCGCCTGCTTGCAAGGGTAGAAACCCCATATGAGCGTGCTTGGGGCTTCTGCTTTGAGCACCCGGTTGTATTTTCAGCCTTACAGACATGTATTGATGTTGGGCTTTGGAAGGCCTGGACTAGTGCCGAGGGGGGCGAGAAGACCCTAGACGAACTGGTCAGCTTCACCAAGCCTGTCGTTGAAACGAACTTACTACGTAAGTGGGACCCCCATAAAGCTATCGAACCCCTGTATTTATCGGGAATCTAGGTCGACTATTTCGGCTATTGGCTGCTTTCAATGTAGTCGAAGAGACCGGGCAAGAAAAGTTCAAACCCACTCCATTTTCACTCGCCATTGGTGAGCCTAGCACCAAAGTCGCCGCATCTCTCGAAGCAGCGTAAGTGCGCTGGTGAAAAAGTTTCTATGATTTTAATTAACACTGTTTTCAAGGACACATCAATACATTAGATCCGCGCACAACTTACCTTCCTTCCTTGCCAAGAACTTCTACAAAGAGCCAGTAGATGCAAATGCCAACAACTACTCTGACAGTGATCCAGATGGTCTCAACTTCTTTGGGCGGCTGCAAAAAAGCCCCGAATGTCTGGAAGCCTTCACTGGACACATGGAAGCCTGGACAATGTGGAAAACCCCCTGGGTCAATGTGTACGACACGAACAAGCTCCTGGACGGCGCTGATCTAAGTGATGGGTCTCCATTCGTGGTCGACCTTGGCGGCAATACTGGTATTGATATATCGCATGTCCTGAAAAAGCATCCCGATCTCCCTGCTGGATCCCTCGTGCTGCAAGATCTTCCTGAGGTGATTGCCAGGGCAAATGTGGACGAAAAGATCACGGCTATGGTCCACGACTTTTTTCTTCCCCAGCCTGTCAAGGGTGGGTTATCCGATGCATCATCACAAATCATACTTCGAATTGGCTAACGAGAAGGATAGGGGGCCGTGCTTACTTTTTACACGCTGTCCTCCATGACTGGCCGTATGACAAATCTAAGCAGCTTCTTGAGAACACCCGTGATGCTATGAAGAAGGGGTACTCCAAGCTCTTCATCTACGATATCGTACTTCCGCCCACAGGCGCAAGTATCAGCCAAACCACTATGGATGTCAACATGATGCAGCTACTTTCAGCAGCCGAGCGTACGCAGGCTGAGTGGGAGAAGCTCTTGAACGATTCGGGCTTTGAGATTCTGGGCTTCTGGCCTGACCCTCAGCAGTATGAGATGGTTATTGAGGCTCAGATCCGAGAGGAAAAGAACGGAGATGCTGTTACAAATGATCCTGCCCACACTAACGGTCACACTAAAGGTCATTAGTGGATGAAACTGGATACGCATGGGGGCTTTTGGTTTCATGAATTCCTGATCGAACTGTGCTTTGAGGGCTTTTTGAATTGTCCGAACTTGATTAGGCGTCTTAAATTAATAGTTTCGTAGCTTCAAATAAGCATGCTCTGAACCTCCTTGGCACTAATAATTGATACAATGATCAACCAGAAACCTACGAGTGTCCGGTCTGTATTCTAATATAAGTTGTGAAGACTAGTAAGATATCTATACAAAATTTTCACGGTCCGACGCCAGGAAACGCGCTTATTTCGGCGTCCAAATGGGCTTTGGCTGCTATGCGGCCTAATAAGGCAGGGTTTAGTAATTGAGTGAGTTCTATTTTGGGGAAATTTGTCAACTTGAAGGGACTAACGCACCGCCACTACCCATGAATACATACAGCACGTAATGGCGCGCCTATGACTAGCTTTTAAGAGAAGCTTATCATGTCTTGCCTCAGCGAACCTTATGGGACTAGAAGAATGAGTCAGTCCAATTTGGTATATTTTGACCGGTGGGTGGTAATCTTCCTGTGGTCGCTATCAGACATGATCCCCTAGGTGGGTGCTCCTGCTTCTGCCCCTTTAGGGCTTTCTCTTCTTCTGTTCCTTGGAGAACTTCAGGAGACAGTGGGCCTTGAACCTGCTTCATTTAGCCCGTAGAATATGTAGAAGCGTAGATGCTTATGTGGCTGTATTTGTAAGGTCGATCGCACTTAATAACTAGACTGATCGATCTATGGAGATAACTAGCTTCTCCGGGCTTATCGTAGTCGACACGTGACATTGGGCGCCCCAATTCGGCATCCCCATGATATTGTCCTGTTACTCGATATCATGAATTGTTCCTGCATGTGACATGCCAGGAGTATCGTCCATGGGAGATAGCGATCCCATTTGATACTTGCTGTGGAAAACCGGCTTTCCCCAATGGGACATGGGCGTGACAGCCGCACCGGGGACGTCGATCTGCATGAACCTATCAGCCGGACCTAGCGGAGTCACTTACGACTTAGTGCCATATAGGGCCAGCTCGCCCCCCCACCCCCTGTGGACCAAAGACAACCCTGTCGCAGAAGCTGCTGGCCAGTCTTCCTTGCACTCATCGTCCGTTGCTAGGATGGCCTCGGAACCCCCGGCTGCCGCTGCTCTGGAGCAGCCGGCCGACCAGATGCACACCACTCCTCAGCCATCGATCTCACTACCCGTTGATGAGGGGCAAGAAAACGGACACGATGTGTTTGACAGGCGAAGTTCCGCCGATTCCGGCATTGGCGACGGACAAGCAGATGATGGATTCGTTCTCTCACGAAGCTTGCAAGATCCGTCCGAGGAGCTCCCGATCGAGCTTATCAGCTTGACTGACAGGTATGTACAGCTCGATGCGTGTGTTGATCTCGAGCTCCGCACGATGGCTAACACATCTCCAAATGCCCAGGTTCATCAACTCACTGAGCGCCAAAGTACACAACTCCCCCCCAACGATCGAGAAAATATCATCCCTCTTTCAGGTCTTCTACAGCCGTGCCGAGACTCATATTGCGACTCACATCTCAGCTCTCGCGTCTCGCATCAACCGTGATCCGCCGCCTCAACCTACACCGAAACCGCGGGGAGGTGCACTGTCCATGCTGAGCAGCAAGCGCTCACAAGACGACTTCAACCAAGGTGCACCGGGTCGGCAAATGTTGACAGCGGCTGAAGTCGCTGAAAGACGGAAGGCACGCAGAGACCTGGAATACAAACGGGCAGCTTTGGAAGAGGCTGCTGAGAGGAGGATCTGTGAGCTGGTGTACGACAAGATTTGGCGCCACAAAAGCACATTGGATGATGTTCGGGACGAAAAGCTGCGCTCAAAGACTGCTGCGTTGCTGCTGGTCGGCATCGATCTGAAAGACTTGGGCGTAGATATTGATATGGCCTCGATCGACGAAGATAAGCAGCGTGAAGCAAACGACTGTCTTGGCCAGGCGAGAGAATGTCTTGACAAGATGAACGATTATAAATACCCTTTGGGGAAGCTTCAACAACTTGCAGCAGCCCATAAAGCCATTGTCGATGCGCTTACGAAGCTATTGCCTTCTTCATCGTCGGCGGACGAGATTCTACCAGCCCTGATATATTCACTCATCACATGTCCGCCGGAAGGTATCAACGTTGTCAGCAACTTCCTATTCATGCAGCGGTTTAGGTCTTCCAATAGAATCGATGGAGAGACCGCATATTGCTTGACCAACCTTGAAGCCGCTATTAGCTTCTTAGAGAATGTTGAGCTATCGAGTCTGCGAGCAGACGAAACTCGAGAAGGTCCTCTCAAGAACCCGGACACAACAACGCCGGCGTCAGAAAGATTTGACCCTTTCAGGCCCACCAAGGAACCCGCGACAGCGTCAGTGACAACTATGTCTGCATCACCCGAGATTGCAAAACCACAAACTAAAGAGCCAGCCTCTTCGTCGTTACCTCGAGCCCAATTATCCCCGCCACCTCAGCAACGGCGCTTGAGTAACCTTCTCCAACCCTCTGCAAAAGTATTTGAAGCAGCCAATGACGCCGTGCGAAATACAGCCGACCAAGGTCTGAAGAATATCAGTGCATCGCTTGATAACTCGTTCAGCTTCTTTTTTGGTCGATTAAAAGAATTTCAAAACCAACTACCAAACTCGCCCGGTGAAAAGCCCATGTTGCCGAAAACACTCGCCGAAGCGCGGCGTCTTGTTGCTGTACCCCCGTCCGCCAAACAAAACATCTCTGATGACTTGGCATCCATCAACTCTCTCCAATCTGAGGATGGTCTCTCCCGCGAGAACCAGCTCGAGGGCAGCAGAGCTCACCAGCGGAGTCCCTACGCCACGCGATCGAAGCGCCGATAGTGCTAGAACGCAGGACAGCAGCCGAAAATCCATTGCCCCCTCGCTGAGAGACGAGCCCACTCCAAGCCCATCCATAACCCCGCAGAATCCGCTGGAGTCGATGCGTAACTTTGGTAACTCACTCAACCCCCTCAATCATATTCCAGGCATGATCAAGAACTTCGGTCGTAATGCCCCGGAAGCTCCGCCGCCCGTTGCCAGGCCGCTTTCCCCGGCAGCAATTGAACGCCTACGAATCAACACGCCCAATGAGAACGCGAGCGGGACAGCAAGTCCTGCGACCTTGCTTCCCCATATTGACCCTCCCATCCAGAGGTTCGTTGAGACACAAGATGCCCGCGATCTTCGGATTGGCGATGTCGCTGTTCTACTGGAGGACTACAAGCGGCTTGCTGCAGCCCTTAAAGCAGGCGCAGTGTCTCGTTGAGTATGCCTTTCGACATAGCGATCTCGTTCATTTGAGGCATTCCGCCGTCCATTTCCTTTCTAATACAGTGCTGTCGTTTGGAAATTGCTTAGGTTGGGCCATTGTTGTAAGGCTCTTGCATCGCAGGTTTATCATGGCGTTATACAATTTTTGTTTGTTGCCAAAGTCTCTTCATTAGGATCATTAGCCCAGTTAGAGTAGCATTAAATCGCACATTGAAAGTCTGTTACACATTTTAGGGAAGCCAGGGAAAAGGAGCGAAAGAAAGAAAAAAAAAAAAGACAAGATCGTAGACCATATTCTTTAGGGATATCAAATGCCAAGGATAGGATAAGAGATCATGATGTTGCATAAGAATGTCGAGTATGAATTTCACGTGCAGAATACAAAGGACACACCATGTGCACCATACCATGCAAAATAAGGATTTCGAGGGGCAAAAGACCGAATAATACGACATGAATGTCATTTCATTCGCCTCTACGTCCACGTAACATCTCCGCGCCTCCAGTTCTCATCTCGTCAAGCTTAACGGCGAGCTCTGAACTTTCGTTTTCAAATTTTTCGTGTCGACGTTTCAGCTCCGCTTCAAATACAGCAGCGGTACGACGACGTGCTCGGCGCAAGGTCTTCATCTCGGTGAGAAGACGAGTGAATCGCTCAATGAGGTGGTCTCCGCAATCTTCCCATTCATCGACAGACATATGGGAAAGGAATGTTTCGCGCTCCTGTCCTTCCAGTCTCAGAAGTTGAGATACTGCATCATCTGGGGTGGTGAAAGACGGCACCACCGACGGCTCGGGTGGCAATGAAGGAGATTGAGCCGGTGAAGGGGCTGGAGTAGGGGTCTTGTCGAAAGGCTCGGCTTGGAGTTCGGAAAACGATTTTTCGTAGATTACTTGAGGAGGGTAATCGGCTTCGAATGTACGCTTCTTCGTATGGATAACCGTGTTGCGCCGCCCTCGAGTACTGGAATCGCGCGAGATGAATGGATCTTGCGACATCTCCCTGTCACCGTGACCAATGTCCGATAGATGGGATATTCCAAACGCATTCATGGAATGGTTGCTTTCTGGTCTGCTGCTGATACGAAGCGTCTCATCCATGCCGGGCCCTTCTTCTTCTTCCTCTTCACTGTCATCGTGTTCGTGGAAGGCGTCGATGCTTAAAGTCCGCCCAGCTTGAGATTGAGCTTCAGACGACGGTTGTCGAGTTGGTGATATATCTAGCTGCTCTAACAAAGACGGCTTCGGAGGGCTGAAGCGAGTCCGTGGCGTAGCCGAGATATTAGGCGGGATTGTAACCTTTCTAGCTGGTCCAGGAGGCAGCATATGGCCCAGTTTCCTTGGCTGCGGCTCCGGGATCGGATTTAAAGTAGCAGATGGTTTATTGCCAGCATCAATATGTTCGAACGATCTGGACATCCTCTTACTCGAGGACCAGAAATTTTCTAGACGCTTGCTCAAAGGCTCCTCGGCCGCACGGTTCTTGTGGGACAGATACCAGCTACCTCGAGGGGGTTGGGTCTTCTCATTATCTGCCGCATTCAAAGAAGTAGCATGGCTCGAAGTGTCATCGGCATCATCCGAATCGAATCCAGCTTTTTTCATGGCTTTGTCACCAAGACCTTCGAACCAAGATGGTCGGCCGCGCCGAGACCTAGATGGCCTGGGCAAGAATGATGGCTTAGGAGAGGTCTCGCTTTCCGGGACATGCTGATTGGTTGGAACTTGCAATTGAGCCTCATCGTGTCCGAGTACACTAGTCCCTGCAATGGTTGAGTCATCGATGCCCTCCACATCAGTGTCGAATGCATCACGATCACGGTACATCCCATTCGAAGAGGGAATCAAGGGACGATGGTTCGGGATCGTCCTTGGTTCATTGAAGCCTTGCTGAGCCGGTACGCCATTCCCATCCGGCCCAATAGGTTGAGGTCCTGACACATCAGGTTTTGGCTGCGCTGCGCGTACCTGGTGTTGCGAGGGGCCCAAGTCAGGAGTGGCACGGGGCTGCCCCATTTCCTTAGAGTGGATGTAGTCCCCCACCCCCATGGTGGATGACTAAATTAGTCCTGGGGCTTCAATGACCTTGTGGGTTCAACGGAAGTGATGGATGGCCTTTCCAATCATAAGTCATTTCAGGAGAGGTGGGAACTCAAAGGCTGGACTGCTCGACCAACGCGCGAAGACCGTGAGATCACGTGCACCTTCGATATCCTCCGACTCAAACTTGAGGTGCAGATGGAGTATACGCTGCGTATGTCGCGCTAAGGGGAATTTACTGGGGAAGACTAATTGTGGAGCCACATGGATTGAGTTTCGGTTCATGGGATTCTACTCTGAAGATTTCCCGTATTTCTTACCTTTAGGAATGGCAAGTTCCGTGGCTCGAATAATGATGGACACAAGGAATCAATCCCGTTCAGGGGTAGCACAAGCCTGTTTAATTCTTTTTAACTTTATGATTCCTCAGCTGCCTGTTTTAATCCTCCATTGCAATATCTGAACTTGGAGACGAATCATCTTGGATATGCAGCAGACCCATGTTAAATGCAACGCCACGGCCGCGATGTTTGGACCTCTCGAAGAATTCCTGAGACTTCTGGACTTCAGTAGCTCTCAGCTCCATTGCCAAACGCTGCTTGCGTTTTACTTCGAATTCTGCTGACATCTCACCCATGGGGGGGTATATCAGATCTGAGGTCATCTTCTGGGTCGGGAGGTGACTCCAAAGATGAGAGCAGCAAATCGCCGATCCAAAGGGATACCATGCCGCGAAGCTCTAATAGTTCGGTGCAATCTGAATAAGGAGGCGAACCCAAAAGGGAGTCAAGCCGAGTTGCAATCTGCTGCGCTTGGTCTAGTTCTTGTTCCCGAATCCTTGCAATCAACTTTTGTCGCTTATCAGACTGCCGACGATCGAAGTCGATAGATGAAGTGTCGTTATCGGAATATTCGTCAGAGAAATCATCCGCATCTTGTTTGATCTGCTCTCGTGCAAAAGTGCTCTCCTCCTGGGCTACATAGATCCATAAACCGAACATCGCAGGGTAAAAGTGTAGGGCGGAAACAGCATTGGGGGCTGTTTTCATATATGGATGGTTCAATATGAGTCTCTCGTAGTAGTCTTTTGCCTCCGCAAAGCCTTTCTTGGTGAAAGGTAGAGGGGTGCGGTCACCAGAGTTAGTTGGGACCGATGCGTCTTGATTGTTTCTACGCAGTAAGATCTCTGCCCCGATGCCCCATCTTCCTTCGTTCCGTACGTCGACCGGAAATCCTCTGAAATCCTCCCTGAGTATCAAGCCCCATGCTCTTCCAGCTCGTACGTAGTCTCCTTCCAACAAACAACGATGGAGAATAGCCGTCAACACGGCGAGATGTTGGAGGCGGAGGTTGCCTTGATGCGCAGGGGTTTGCGGAGGGAATATGGGCGTTGACAAAGACGATAAGCCTCTAAGAAGATGGCTCGGCAAATTTTCCGGGTTGGAGTGCTCTGACTTGACTGGGGCGTGGGGAAAATTCCCTCCTGGCAGTTCCTGATCGAGAGACAGACCGGCTGCTCGATATTGAGTAACTTCATTGGGAGTTAGGACCAGCGACTGTCCACCTGGCTGGGAGTCCACCACCGAGGCTGCATCGGTCGTATCGGCGCCCTCTCCATCCGTGTCGGTCCACTCGGCGGGCCTCTTTCGTTTCTTGCGATCATATTGTTCGACTCGAGAACTAGCGGGCTGTAACCAAGGCGGCAGAGGCAGAGAAAATAATGCAGCCGAAAGGACCGGTGCCATCCGGAGGACTTTCGCCTCAAGGAACTGCGAATCCCATGCAAGTCCTTGTCGAAGGTGGGTGGCGCAGGTCCGAAAAACAAGCGGATGACGAAAGAAGACGAAAGAAGGACTTTGAAGAAGATCCGCGGTAATTAACCGCGGGCCTAACCAACCAGAGGGGGGTAACTCGTTAAGTTAGCGGGTCGAGGGAAGTTGACTAATTGGATGATTGACGTTGCAAACCTGGGAAAGATGGCAAACATCGGCTTATCGGGGCTATCACACGCCTTCCTCGTCGCTCTTTCTCCCCTTTCTACTCCTTCAATCTTCCTTTCTTCTTTCTCTCTCTTCTCTCTTCCCAGACTCACCTTCATCTGCTTCTCGACCGACTTCAGGCCATCCTCTGGGGTGTTGCCAGTACGGACACTGCCGGAACCCACACGCTCCACGGGTATCTGGCTGCGGGTGTGGGTTGCTCCTGGCGCCCGTCAGACGGTTTGAGACAGGGCCAGGTCGCCTCATTGCGTGGGTAGGGACTTGTAGTTTGTTTCACATTCGCTACTGGAATCCTGCTCTTTACCGCTTTCTCACCTTGTCTTCTTTGTCCTTGTCGCCCTCTGTCAAACATCTGAACGACTTCCTCGCCGGAACCTGCCGCCGATAAGACGATTCGCCATTTCCTCCCTCCATACCGATCGGGCATCATCATCAGGCGCCAGTTGGACGAACAAGCCTGAGCCTTTATATACCTAGCTTCTTGGCGATTTATGTCTGTGGATCGCTCCTATATTACGTGCTTCGTCTCCGTTGTCGTCATTCTCTAGCAGCTACTATGGGCCAGTCTTCTTCGACAGCACGACATCTACCGGACACACATTCGGATCATCAGTACTCGGACTCGATAGCTCGCGAATCCCGCACGAATGAAGAAATGGACAGGCACGCAGCCGAGCTAGCCGGAGAGGCCGACGTAGCCGGGGAGGCCGGTGTCTCGCCCGCAGGGAGCAGCAACCCGTTAAATAATGAGCAAGCAAACGAGGCGGAGGAGTCATGGCACCAACCCACAGGTCTATCAAATGGCCATTCCCAACAGATGCGGGACATTCAAGAGGAGGCTCCTGAGCTAGATCAAACCGAAAGAGAATATCGCAGCGCAGCTATCGCCAGAATGGCAGCGCGCAGGCAATCCACCATGTCACGACTAGGCTCCAGGATACTTCCCAATTCTGTCATCCGTGGACTACTCAATAGCCAGGAGGAGACACCCGCAGAGGGCCATGCCCACCGACATGGACTGGTGTCACGACCCCCTCCAAGAACAGAGTCCTCTGCTCACAGTACTGGGCGATTCAGTCCTTTCAGTGCGTTAGGATCCAGAGGTATCACTAGGCGCCGTTCGACCCGGGGCCCGCCTTACTTCATTCCACCACGGCCTGATTCAACGATTCTTTCTGATGGTGCTATTGACGACCCGCCTGACGGGTTGGCTGAGCCTACTAGAGCCTCTTGGCGCCGTAATGTCCGTCTAAATCGCATGCGTCATTCGATATCAAGCCCGATATCTCATATGTTTGGCCCCTCTGGCTATGCAGACGCCCAAGAAACCGCCTCGGAGCCTTCGGGCACATCTCTCAGCGACAGCTTACCAACTGCGATGGATACCCGTCTCGACTATGCCGAGCCTTTACATGAGCTGGATTCTGTTGAGCCGGGTATCAGTTCGGGTGAGTCTTCGCCACTTGGGCCCAATCCGAATCTCATTCGTCGCCTGCCGGGGTTACTCCGGACACGGTCGCCACGGGCATTAAGACAGGAGGATCAAACACCTCTGTCTCGCGTTCTACAACTTGCGGCAGCAGCAATCGCGGCTCAACTCTCTGGCGTGAATGGCCCTGCACTGCCGAATATCCACGCATTAGGTAACGATGGTCTAGATGGCACATTGGAAGGTTTTCTTCGAAGCCTGCAAAATACTGCCTCTGCACAAGCACAGCCACCCGCTCAAGGCGAAAGTTCTAGCAACTCTGGGAATGAGGGGACATCGCCACCGGTCAACCTTCTACGTGTCTTCCGGTTCGCGAACTCGGATCCTCCCATGGGAACCTCGCCCTTCGGACGAAGCACGAACGACTCTGAAACTCCCAGGTCTCAGTCGGATAGAATGTCTGTTGATGAACAACCAACTGAAGGACCCGAAGGAAGGACTGTCACACTGGTGGTAGTTGGTGTACGATCAGTTCCATCTGGAAATGGAGGCAACAATGAACAGGGTTCACCTGGACAAGGAAGTGGTGTTGGTGGTGGTGGTGGTGGTGGTGGTGGTGGTGGGCTAGATGCTCTCCTCGGCCTCCCATTTCTCCCCCAAAACATTCCGCGGCCTCAAGAGATGCCCGGCGATACCGAACAAACAGATGGCCGACCAAGAATACACTTACCTCGTCCTACCGGTCTACCAACCCCAGGTCTACTGGATCCTTTACGCCAGGCGCGCACCAATGGACCTCATGGATTGTCTGATATAGGCAACCGGCCAGGTGTTCCGTCTTACCCTCCAGGAACATCCGATAGTCCCCCCGAGTCTCATCCTCCACCCTCAACGCCAGCCGATCAAGGGCTTTCGACGCTCTCTGGAACGACTACGCCGAGCCGTAGACCATCATCAACCTCGGCATTATCACCACAGGCTATGCCCCAGCTTCCTGAGGATCCATCCATGCAGCCAATTGCCGAGCCCGTCGATGAGCCTATGCCGGTTCCCAGTTCTGCTGAGACAGCGTCGGCGCAGTGATTCTGAGTATGCTCGCCATCGCGCTCTTGGCTCCGGAAATGTCCGTCGTAACGGCGTGGTCGAGCCGGATCAGCCTTCACCAAGTGGTGGTCGCAGCTGGCTGATCTATGTTGTCGGCACTAATCTCTCTGAAAATCACCCGGCACTCACCACGCCGAGTCTCTTCACTGATGTAAGCTTTTCCCAGAAATTCTTTTGTGCAAAAATCACGCCATACTGACATGTTACAGAACCCTACATACGAAGACATGATTCTTCTCTCATCTCTGCTGGGCCCTGCTAAGCCCCCCGTCGCGTCCCAGGAAGATGTGAACTCTGCTGGTGGATTGTTCCGCCTCGTTGAGTATGGTGGCTCATTGGTAGCAGAGTCAATCAATGGCACTGGTACCATTCAAATGCAAGAGGAAGAACGCTGCCTTATTTGCCTAAGTGACTATGAAGTGGCCGAAGAAGTACGGGAGCTTGCGAAATGCAAGCACGTATTTCATCGGGACTGTATCGACCAGTGGTTGACCACTGGTCGAAACTCGTGTGTCCTCTATGTCGAGGTCAAGGTGTGAATGAAACGTCCACCGACGAACCAGGTGATGCTGCTTCTCGTCCAGCTCGAGCCCCGGCTACTGAAGGTACCGCTGTTTAAAGCGCTGTACATCTTTAGCCGCGAATGACTGTTTCTGAGCCTTCGACCGTCTTGCCTCCAAATTTAGCATCCAGCGTCTGCATAGAGATCTTAACGAATTCCCTTCATGGATATCCCTTTGGTTTTGTGTCTATAGCGTCTCATGTCGCAATTTTTTTTCTTGGATGGTCCTTTTCTTTTTTTTTTTAACATGGTGCAGCTCACGCTCGGATCATTTGCCTGCATCTTAGATTCGGTATTGCGACTTGGAAGAGCTCTTAAGAGACCTGGATGAGTTTCACGGGAATTTTCTGCCTGCGTACCCAACCATTCTCACCTTTCTTGTTCTTTCCCCATTTTCTTTGCAGTCGGATTCAAGAGCCCTGGATTGTCCTTCATAACCCAATGGCGTTACAACAAATTGGGATGAGGTTTGCGACTATCCCATATGTGCGAGTATTGATTTTCGACTTTGTATGTGAACTATCATTTCGTACCTAAGGAAATTGATGCATTGAGATAATGTGGCCTCTTATATGTAGTTGTACTCGTAGTATGCCCCGCGGCCCCGCCAACGTCACGTGGGGAAAACTTTCCAGGTCCGAGTCAACCACAGCAGGCCGCCAGGCATATTGTTGTACAGAGATAGCAAAATTCGAGTAAGTCGCACCTGGGTCTGTTCAATTGAGTCAAGTATCAGCTCGTTATTACAATCGACACTGACCTTCTTCCAAGAAGAAAAGAAAGAAAGCGCGTCGCGGCCTCGCGAACCCTCGAGACCTCCCCGCGACATCGGCAGACATTCTAGAAAGAAAAAAAGAAGAAGAGCCAATGATACCCAGACCCATCGCATAAAAGACTCAAGCGTCGACCTACGAATACAATGTCCGCCCCAATCCGTACGACCATCCTAATCTCAGGGAGCGGCTCCAATCTACAAGCCGTGATCGATGCCGTGGCTGCAGGCCAGCTCAACTTGAACATCGTGCGCGTGCTCTCCAACCGCAAGGATGCCTTCGGCCTCGAGCGCGCCCGGAAGGCCAACATTCCAACGCATTACCACAACCTGGTCAAGTACAAGAAACAACATCCCGCCACGCCGGAGGGCATCCAGTCCGCACGCGAGGAGTACGATGCAGAGCTCGCCCGCCTGATCTTGGCCGACCAGCCGGAGCTGGTGGTGTGTCTCGGCTTCATGCATATCCTGTCGCCGCCATTCCTGGAACCGCTGGAGAAGGCCAATGTGCGCATTATCAATCTGCATCCTGCCCTGCCGGGGGCATTCAATGGTGTGGTAAGTGAGACTTCTCATTTCCGAGCTGCCGTCCTACATAGGGAGTGGGGAAGTTGGGCGCCGAGGTGTATCGGATTTTGTAGTTTCTTTTTGGTTCTCGCTCTCTCTCTCTCTCTCTCTTTGCCTTCTCCGCTGCCTTGGCTTTTGTTTCTTTTTCTTTGTCTGTTCGATGTGTCATTTTTGCGTCTTGCCTTTTTATCGATTTATTGCTTATTTTCATTTTTATTTTCTTCCCTTGGCTATCGGTTCACTAATTCGGGGCTTTTTCTAGAATGCTATTCAACGCGCACATGCTGCGTGGCTGGAGGGTAAGATCGACAAAACGGGAGTGATGATCCACGACGTGATCTCGGAAGTGGACATGGGCAAGCCGGTTCTTGTGCGGGAGATCCCGTTCCAAAAAGGGCAAGACGAGGACTTGGACGCCTTCGAGAAGAGAGTGCATGAGACAGAATGGGGCACCGTCGTTGAGGGCGTGGGGTTGGTGCTGCAGGAACTCTCGGCCCAAAAGCAAAATTCCAACGCGTAAGAGGCAATTGCGATGGTCATCAGGAATTCTTTTTTTTTCTTTCCTGGTCTCTATCCTTGCCGTTGACGATTTTATGACTTTCTGTCTTTTCCTTAAAATTTCTTGCTCTAAACCCAGACGTTTTGTGTATATCAGGAAAACTAAAATAGAATGCAGGTCATAAGTTGGCGATTGGTTGCAGGGGAATATATTCCGCTCGCCGATCCACTATTCTCCATTGGGTATTTTTAAAAAGCAATCTTGGGGGGAAGATACAGCCCCACAAAAGCGTTGTAGGTCCAACCAGAAAAAGGTAACAGGTCCAAGTGAGATCCAGTTTGGAGCCCCGAGGACTGCCGGGCGTAGATCGGCCCAGAGAAGGGGGGGGAAGAAAAATTGGAGCACGTTATGAATGACGCAGCCAAGAGGCAATAAGTCGGGGCTAAGGAGTCTAGAAGGTTCAAGTTGCTGCAATATGAAGCCGCCCCTGGGTATGCGCGCAGCTAACTTACGTTCTTCCAGGGAAGTGGGCGCTGGGACCGGGGGTTTTCCCAGAGGTTAGTCTGTTTTAGGCGCGTAGGAACCAAACGGTCGTAACGGTGCCCACGAAGAGCGAGGTCTAAAAAGCAAAGCAAAGCTAAATAGATTATGCCAACGCCTTTCGTTCCTAGCCCACCTTGTCCAGCCCCGGCGAGTGCCATAAACCCGTTGCAATTGGCACAATTCGGACTTGGCGACATTACAATTTAGGCCCAGAACCAGAGAAGCATGCACCGTGCCTCCCGCTGCACGTACGTGGCATGGGGAAGTGAAGGTGTTCAAAGAAGTAAAGGTAAGGGGTGCATAGCAGCTCAGTATACTCCGCATTGGAGTCGAGAACACAAAGTACTCCGTACGGAGCGCCGGGATGTGGAATCGGTCCTATTCGACCAATCTGACAATCACATGTCAAGTTCGTGTTTGGCCCCTCAATCCCCCTCTTCCTCCAGCTCCTCTATTTCTTCTCCGCTACGTATTGGCTGGGTTCCTCCCAACTATCAGTCGGAACCGCGCGACACGAGGACCAGGACGACACATTCCAGAATGCGCCAAGGGTGGGGAGAGAGCTGCAGTGCAACCTTGAGGATCAGCAAGCAATCAGCAAGCCATCCGGAATCAGGCATCCTCTAAGGAACCGCTTGACTCCACGATGCCGTACTCCATGGTGGTTGGCCCGCTCTTAGCGCCAACGAGGGAGGGGGGCAAAGTGACATATCCCAAAGCCAATTGCGCCGCGCGGTGGATGAGTGGGCTTTCCTCCGTTGAGTCCTTCCTCGGAGATCCAACAGGTCCACCTACGTGGATGGGGCTGTCGACTAATCATCGTCGGCGAGCTTTAGTCCCGCAGTAGTGCAAACCCAGACAGATGGAGACTTGGGTGGATATAGGATGTACATGCGGTAATGGTTGGCCCCCTCTTTGATCTTCTTTCTGGAAGTGTCGGAAAGGGCACGTCGTATGGACCTCGGAATCCTCAACGGAATGAATACTTTTGCGCCTAGACTCGAGGGTTCCTGGGTAACCCGTGGTTCGTCTCTGGTGGAGTTCCGAGTCGGACCCAGAGCGCGGTGCTCCGGCACCCGGGTCCGGTGCGCGACAGCTGGAGATAGTCCGAGTTTGGTGCGAAGGACTTTTGCCTGAAACCGTCGAAGATGAGTTGGGACTGGGGAGTATAGCTACTGCATGGTGCATGGTGCGTGGTGTTTGTGTGGCTTGTGGATTCTGGAGATAATGATATCAAGGTATGGAGTAGTTTATGCATGTGACGACAAGACTGGTCTTCTGAAACAGCAATGGTATGGTTGCTGGCATTGGAGGGAATGGACATAGAAAGTAGTTTGTAGTGGCAAGCTGAACTTTCATCTGAAAGGAAACTTATACGCTTATTCTTGATCCTTTACCCAATACCACTCGTTGGAAGCTTATACTTCTGAGAAGCTTAAACCCACTTTCATGCCTTGCTCACTACATCAAGTATGCTTGGTTATCCCGGAAGTCGTTCCTTCCTCCCCCGAGTCGCTGCTGCCTAGAGGAATCCGTACGATTCTCGATGACAATAGACTTGACCCGCTCACACTAACATGCGCCGGTCCAGCCGGTCCCACGCTAACAAGATGTATGATGAGATGCTTGACCGAGCATCATTCTCCACATGCCCCTCGATGGTCATTTTCCAGAGAGAATGCTGTTTACAACGTTCTCGTTTGTCTGCTTATATGGAACAAATTCCCGAATAGGCTTGCTGCATACAATTTACACCGCGCCCTGGAGTATATCCGAGGTTTGAACGGGATAGGCCTGGTGGTGTCTATGTGGCGTTACGGAAACCTTCAAAAGCCCCCGTCGAGATTTCAAGCACTTCTCGGAATCCCTCCGCAGCCTGAAAAGATGTGACAACGAGATCCACGGATCTTCTTCAGCCAAGGCCGGTGGAGATGCGATGCTCAAAACATGGTTATATGGCTTGTTCTAAGCTTTGCGCCCACACCAGTTTGCACGGGGAAGAAATCTGGTTTGCACGCATCATACCATGAGAATATCAAGTCAAGAGACGGTGCCTCAGCTCCCACGAAGGGATGTTACTTTCTTTTCTGCGGCTGAGGTTGAGGTTCTTCTGTACTAGTAGCTCTATGAACGATCCGTAGGCGCTGGTGACCTATTTGGTACCTGTATCCTACTCTATCTGTTGTGATTGACGACTGAACTACGGGCTTTGGTCTCTGCGAAATGGTCGAAAAGTACGCCCCCTGCACCGAGTATCCGGGATAAATGGTTGACCAGAAGGTTACTTTATCTTGTCCATGAACCAACCTGGGCAGTTCGCTAGGTGGCTTCTACCTTGATTCATGAGAAATCATTACAATTGTGTGGCTATCCCGTCGGAGGTCCTGATTTTCTCTATGTGTCTCATCTTGTGGGAGATTACCACGAAATTGCATAGTTATTAGCGCATCAGCGCGAAGATCCAGTAGACAAGGAGGCACGGCTTTTTGTTTTTCTTCTAATAATTCCTCCACCAATGATAATTTTTCAATGACCGGCCAACCTCAAGCTTCCGGCTTGACGCTGGGGCCATACTCTAGATCAAACCTCCGATAGATGTCAGATAATAGGGGATTTCCTCGATGATTCGGGGATCGGGCCAACTATGCAAGGCCGCCGGTAGGAGGGAGAGGATTCTACGTATCATAGCCAACCCCACATGCATATCAATCCTCTGAACGGCGCCTATTGAGAAGGGCCGGGAAGATAAGTCCACTGTACTTTTGCTTTTGACATCCCTTTAGTCTGGGTCTCTCAACTTGTGCATGGGAGCCTTGATCCGTCATGACCACGATATTCCCGATGCATCAAGTGCGCAACGGACACCAAGTGTAGCAATTGCCGAATCGACCGAGTTGCTAGCGGGAGGCAAACATAACGACAATGTCATTCAGCTTCGGAACACGCACTGCGTCGACATCGTGGAAGTGGCGGATGCTCCGTCTTACTAGACCTCCTGCTTGGTCATGCTTATGAAGTTCAGGTTAAGGTACGAAGGGTGGGACTAGCCCGTTTCCCCCAAAGGCTGTAAGGGCCCAAATCCCAACCCTTGGAACGCAGCACGGGGACGAAATGAAGATGATGGTAAGATCTGGCCGGACATTTTGCCTAACACGGCGCTGCGGCCCCCTCCAGGCCAAACTGCAACGAGAGGATCGCCCGGTTCCTCTGACACCATGGCAGCGCAAGGGGCCACATGGACATGGCCCCACGGTCTGTCAAGGGGAACTCTCCCACCTTTCTTATCCACATGGCCAGAAATGGGATCTCAGGGTCGGTGCGCAACGCACTGGCGCAGGTCCCAGCAGGTTGTAATAGTCTGCTGGATCCAGTTTAGGGTTGGAGCTTGCGAGCCCCCCCCCAGCGAATAGGACCGCGACTGGCTCGAGCCGCCCACCAGTGCCGTCGTGATCGACCTTCGTGCTTGTCCTGCAATATTAATCGGTCCCCATCGCGCTTCGCCGACGTCCGTTGGGCCGAGGGGAGAGACTGAGGCCACAGGAGATGCTCCCCAATCTGGTCTGGCCTCCCCGAAAGTACGATCTTTGGTGTTCTTCTGGCCCTGGGCCTTTGTTCCAGCTGTCAACCCTCGGTCGATCAGGTACACGATGATCTCATCTGCGCTAGAACTTCGGCTAAATTGCAATTTTCCCGCACGACTCGTTGCTGCTTTGGTCCCGATGGTTCCAGTCACTCGATCATTCAATGGATCACTTCAGGATCTTGGGACTACGAGTACGAGGATCTTCCAGCAACAGAGGCTGAATATCTGCAGCCTTTCAGCTCCGCCCCCTTTGATCTCGTACACTAGGTAATTTCCCCATCAGCCGGGAAGCGGATCCCCCGTGTTTTCCGGCCTTTTTCTCACGTTTCAAGGTTTCAGTGTTGGAGGAGTAAGGCGGGGGCCCCTAAGAGAGCATTCCCCAAGAACAAAGGGCCCTCTCCGGCTCCTCCATTTAGTCACCGGGTCCACCCAGACCCAATTTTCACAAACGGAGCGTTTTCGGAAGACTTTCTGGCGCTTCAGAATCTACAAGATCCGAGCGGCCATCTCCGCCTCTCACGAGGAGATCAGCCGCGACTCTGATTCCATTTCCCGGGTTGACCACTTCCGAAGCTTGGACCTGATCTTGAGAGCCCCATGTCGATGATCCATGCGGGGTTCCACTGCGGAATTGACCTCAATCCACCGAAGAAAACCCATGGCACCCGTGAATGTGAAAACAAGGTGAGCGGAGGATAAAAAAACGCCGATTGACAGACGCTTGGATCACCGGACAGGATCGGCCCCCCTTCCCCCCCCCTTCACTCTAGGGCATTCCCCCCTCCTACTGGAATGGGCAGGGCTCGAGCCACCCACATTTCTCGTGAGGTCCCGATGTGGCTGTGATAGGATCGTCATCGACATAGAAGATTACTCAAGATAGGTTCAGATAATCTCCCCTTTAGTGCTCGCCCGAGTCCCGAGGCTCATAGGTCGGGGAAGATCCTCGGGACAAGGATTGTAGACTGCGTAATAATAAGCCCAGGCCATGATCCTCACAATGTACAGGTGGGGAAAGCCCGACTTTGGAAAGGGACCATTGGCCGGAGAGAGGGGGCAAAAAAAAAAAGAAAAAGAAAAAGAAAAGAAAAGAAAAGAAAAAATGGAAAATAAAATAAAATAAATAAAAATGAAAATAAAATAACAATACGATCTGGAATGATTACCCTGTGGATATCATCATTCGAGCCTCTTAGAAGCTTCGGCTTCTACTGGCCCCAATATGTATACCCTTGTCCCCCTTCGTCCCTACTGTATAGAGGCCAAGAAAGCCTCGACGTCGTATCCGCCAACAATCCACCCAAAAGCCCCATTTTAGCACGACAAGTCCTATGAGAGATTTGCACCATATTGGACTGATCTCATATTGGATATGCCGATCAGGATCGCTGCAGTTGGCTTCAGTATATTTAAAATAGAAATGGAACTCCCAAGGATGGAAAGAGCAAAATCGGAAATGGGGGGGGATGGGAAATAGGGGAAATATGAATCAAAAAGAGGAAAAGGGAAAGGGCAAAAAAAAAAAGAATTCAAATATTAATAGTCACTCAAATAGTCAAAAGAGTTAAATGCCTAAACCGATGGGCAAAGGTTACTGGTTAATCTCCGCACATCCTGGGTCCGATAGTCTGGGTCAACTTCACCCCACCCAGCACACTTTACTTCCCCTACATCTTTTCATTTCGAGGTCATTAGTCTCAAATCTTCCTCATTTCCCCGGGCTGCCTCTGTCCTTGACGATGAAACTCTCGTCTTTACCCCGTTGATTTGCGGAGCTTTCCGCATCGACCTCGACCTTCGTATGTGAAGAGCCAAGCTACGCCATGGAGCAATATCACCAGTCTCAGGCTGCCATGGGTGGCTTCTCCGATGCAATGCAGCAGGATCCGAGCATGTCGGCCTTTTCACTCTTCGGCTCAACGCAGTACCCGGAGAGTGTGGCATTCTGGCATGATCCCTCCGCACCGGCCATGGCTCTTCCAACGTCATACCCCTCCGAACAGCCCACCATACTCCAGCACCCACCAGACCAGAAGAAGCACAAGCGCACCCGGAGTGGCTGCTTCACGTGCCGTGCTCGCCGTATCAAATGCGACGAGAGTCGCCCGGTCTGTGAGCGCTGTCGGAAAGGAAGCCGGGATTGTGCTCTACCCTTCGCCCATTGCTTCCTCGTCCAAGGTGGGAGGTCGGAGTGCGGGCAAAGCTCGATCTGCCCGGCCTCCATCGCGGAGTCATGACTCCCCTGGAAAGGTAGGGCATGATGAGCCTAGTCCCCTGGAACCTATAATCGACGAGGAAGAACCCAACGCTATTGCCGCGGCGACTCTCCCCTCACCTGCTAGCATCGGCCCTGGTCACTTTCGTCCTGATCTCGAACGAAGGCAGAGTGAGCCATCACCAAGATCACAGCATACAAAGCAGCCATCAGATCCGGGCCCTTTCAGCCTTGAACAGGCGGGGAGTTCCCCGTCGGGCGAGTCGTCGCAATACGAGTCTTTAAGCGTACGGTCGACGAGCATCAGTCAGACTGCGACAGACTTGCTTAACGCAGCACAGCTGCCTGATGACATTCGTTTTTTCTTGAATTTTCACCAGGAGTTTCTTACACACGAGCATTTCTTCTTAAGACAGCCTAGTACTCCGTTCATTCAGCATCACCTTATTGAACTGGCCTTGCAGTACGAACCCCTTTTATACGCTTTGGTGGGATTTTCGGCGTACCATCACACTTTGCAAGCTCCCGATGGCAAGCTCTATTCGTTTTTAAAGTACTACAATAAAGCTTTGGCGCTTTTACGGAAGTCTCTCGGCTCCGGGGAGGATCATTGCCTTGCAACGCTCTGTACGGTTCTTGTGTTGACGACTTTTGAGGTGAGCGATCTTTCCCTGCTTTTTCATTCTCGGATGATGAAGTAATGAAACCAAAACCCCACAATGTTTCTAACGACTGTATTTCGGCTACAGGAGTATATTGGTGACTGGGTGAACCTGATCGACCATCACCGTGCTGCGCACGCATTAATGAGAGAACTTCTGACGCCTGAATCATCAAATCTCATCGAACTACACACGAACATTTTTCTCTGGTACGCACGATTTGACGTTGTGGTTGGAATCCTCGCGGGGACGGAAGCAATTCTACGTCGGGACTGGTATCTCGCCATCGAACAGTATGCTGCCGACCAGGCAGCCTCCTACCCAGATGATCCACAGACGCAATTCAACCTTGTGGCATCCATCAACCGCCGTTTTGGCTTAGACCTGGCCTCACTATACGCCAAATTGTCGCAAGGGTTAGTTCCCTACGAAGATTTCATTGTGCAGAACACACAACTCGGGCAAACCTTGGAGAAGGCAAAGGACATCATGAGGAGGTTCAATGATTCGGAATATGCCGTTCGCTCTTATCCAAACAAAAAACCCTTGACGGAAGACGACATAATGGACCCTTACGTACCGGGTGCCATGTTCGAGGGCCCGCTGTGGGATGCAAACCTCATCTGGATTGATCTTTTGTCGACGGAGTTGATGTACAAGTATCAAACCATGTTGGCTGTACGTCAACCTTTGCTGCCGGAACTGGGCAAGCTGGCTCTGGAACAGTGTCAGCTAATGGAAACAATTGATCGCTTCCCAAACAAGCCCAACGGTGCTTGCATTGGGTTCAAGAATGCCATGGGAATTGCCTGCTTGTTCCTCCCCCGAGAACCCCCGTATCAGAAGTGGGCTCAGGGCAAGCTTGCGATGATGGAAAGAAATGGGTACGCATTAACCTCTACGTTCCTTGGATCCTATGACCGCTCGATAAATTAACTCCACGGGCTGCAGGTATATCATTCCCCCCAAATTCCGAGAAGTCCTCTGCGAAGTCTGGCAAAGCACTGAATACATGCACTGGTGGCTGCCGAACGGTGAAGACTACCCCGACATCGTCCGCCAAATTAGGGAGATGACCGACGAGCGCCTGAAACAGCCGCGCGACGGACTCCGCTCCGACGTCCGCGATCTCAAAACGCTTTTCTGGAAATTGAACGTCGATGAGAGCGATAACGAACAGAGCCCTCCCCACATAAGACCAAAATAGCGGAAATGCTTCTTGCTTTCCTTCCAGGCGCCTGCAGACCCATATGTTTTCGCAGACCCTGGGGGCCCCAAGGCAACGCCTTTAGCCAGCCGTCCCGCGTTTTGCGCGAGGCCACGTCACGATCTATCCCCGAACTACTGCGTACAGTCGATATTTCGGCTTTATCGACCCGCTAATATGGTGGACAAAACCCGGCATTGTTTGCCGAGGTTTTTGTGACCAACTCCCGCATTCTCCGGGGCTTGTCCTTTTCTGGTCCGCTGTTTCAGTTGTCAACCTTAAATTCCGGCAAAGATGGAGGTCATCGGCTGAATCAACGGAGATGCTGCTTCTAGCACCGAATATCAGGCTCTTGGCCCTGAAATGCCTGCTCTCTGTGAAGATTTGGCCCTTTCACTCGCGGGATGCCAGAACTCACAATCTGTAAAACTGAAGTCTGTATACTCCGCCATCTCCATCTGTCCGAGTCCAATTGCCCTCCTTCCCTTCGTCTTGGGTTTCTTTCCCTTTCTAGTCATAACTTGACGTGTACATTTTTCCATCCATATACCCGGCTGTTTAGAGGCTATGAACAATAACATCGCATAGGCGTGCTTTTTTGGAATCCAATTTCGGTCCATGTCTTTAGAGCACGCACTCCCAGAATTTTTTTTTTCCCCATCACATGTAAAACGAGGGAGAGGTATTTCCCCTCCACCGAAAAAATGAAGATAGAATAAACATGGGGGGTTTTCATTCCAGTTTCGTAGAGAAAACTTTTCACATGGCGCTTGTTTTGTGTTATTGCATTGCTAAGTTCTCGACCTCTCATCCGGGTTACAGCCAGCCTTCCAGGGCACTTCTCCAGCCCTGATAACCGTCTCCAACCCACCGGCCAATTCCCCAGCGCCACCAACTCCATACTCATTCCCCTCGACGTCTTCGCCCCACGGTAAAGCATCGACGTCTACCTCCCAACCAAGCAGACATCGCAGAATCACCCCAGCGCCGGCCTTACTCATAACAACATTCATCTCCTTACACCGCTCGTCACACACGCACTCGACACATCCCTGCGGCGCAAGACACGAACACGCCTCGATCCGCGCCACCGCCCGCCGAAGCAACAGCCCGATGAACTCGAACGCCTTGCTCGCGATGCCGGAGCCACACGCTCCGCCCTTCGCATCGTAGAACGTCAGTCGCGCCGGCCGCTGCCGCGACGGTGGCTGGAGGACTCTCTCCAGGTCCTTGCCGGAATCGTTCGCGCGGCGCAACGAGCGGCCGAGTTCTTTCTTCGCGACCTTGCACTCTGTGCGGACGTCGCCGGGCGAGGAGATCACGAAGGAAGGAAGGAGAGAGAGCACGGCATGCTCGGCGGCGTGGATGGCGGCGGCAATGTTGAGCCTGTGCGATTCAAGGATCTCGATTGCTCGGCTCGGGACGTCGAGCCACATGCCTTGGTCAGAATTTCGATCGGCGGGTTGTCGACCTGTACAGCATCGAGGACGCGGCCGCGCTTGTCGACTTTGAAGAATCCGTAGACGACTGCGTGGATTTGGACGGCACCGAAGAAGGCGCAGCAGGGATTCGGCTCGGTGCTAACCGGGCGCATTGCTTCCGTCTCGATCGGGTCGATGTCGGTGAAGTCACGCTGCATCGTGTTCCAGTCGACGTGGACGCGGAGGACCCGGGCAAAGTATTTCTCAGGGTTGAGTTCTTGGACCAGGTAGGTTTGGCCTTGGTGAAGGAAGATGCCGCCTTCATAGATGGTAAAGAAGGCGCGGGAGGCCTCTACTTCTTCGAGGACGACGTTGCGGTTGTTGGTTGTGTCGATCACGGCGAAGTGGTGGTCTTCTGTGTCACGGATGGAGACGCAGCGGGATGGCTGAGGGCGAAAGCGTCCGTGGCAGTGGTAGAAGCCCATGCTGTCTTTAATAAGGCGGGTTGCGGTGATGGTGAAAAGCCTCTCGCCGAAGTAGATGTGATCTTCGTCTGGGCGGATGGGCATTTCGAATGCTGCGCATTGGATGTGGCCTTCTAGGATGAGCTCATTGTCCAAGTCAATCTGTAGAGCACAATTGGGGCGTGTGAAGATCTCGTCTGGATTCTGCATGTAGTGTTGGTCTGTTGGATATCGGTCTCCTACAAGGACTGAGAGTGAGTCCTTGTTGCGTCGTCCAGCACGACCGCTTTGTTGGCGTAAGTTGGAGATTGAGTATGGGAAGCCCAGAGTAACAACGGCATCCAATGATCCAATATCAACGCCGAGTTCTAGGGCGTTGGTTGCGACAATGCCCATTAGCTTGCCTTCAAACATCTCTTTCTCGATTTGACGGCGGTCTTGAGGGCTATACCCGCCGCGGTATCCCATGACCATCTTACCAACTTCTGGTCGTTCGAGGGCCTGGAATTCGGTACGCACTGCCTGGAGGAGGACTTCACACAGCTTTCTGATCCGGCAAAATGCTATGACCCTCACACTCCGAAGCAGCAATTGGCAGAAAAGACGTGCAGTTTCAGAGACCGTATCTCCGCGCCCAGAGGTCGGATCTGCTGGGTCTTTGAAAGGGGTGTTCCAGCAGATGAACTCTTTACGGCCGGACGGAGAGCCGTCGAAGTCCACTAACTTCACATTTTGTATGCCGAAAACGGATTTCATATGCTCTTCAGGATTTGCAACTGTGGCAGAGCAAGATATGAATTTCACATGCCGATTACCAACAGCTGCGCAGATACGACGGAGTCGGCGCATGATGAAAGCGACGTGAGACCCAAACAAGCCATTGTAGACATGCAGCTCATCTACAACCACAAACTTGAGGTTCTTCAAAAATGTCCGCCAGGCACTCTCCTGGGGCAGGATCGTGATGTGAAGCATGTCTGGGTTGGTGAATATAATGCGTGCTTCATCACGAATGAGGTTGCGACTTCCCATCGCCGTATCGCCGTCGAATGTCTCTACCATAGTGCTCTCCAGGCCATTCATATACTGTAGGAGTTCCAGCATACTTCGTCTTTGATCTTGAGCAAGGGCCTTTGTGGGGGAAAATATACATTCCTCTGCTGTCCGGATCTTGCTCAAGCTCATGAAGCATTGGGATCTGGTAGATGAGCGACTTGCCAGAGCTTGTGGAAGTTGAGATGATCACGTCATGACCATCATATAGATGGTTTATTGCCTGAGCTTGGTGAGAATAGAGCTGCGTGATTCCTTTTGTGTTGTACAGGGCGTTGACAAGGTTTTGTGATAGCTGGAACGTCAAGTCTCCATAAACAGGGTTCTGGGCTTCGAATACTCGGTGTCCTTCCGGGACAATCTGGGCATGGTACCATTCCATCTCGCGTATTTCAGCTATGATCTCAGCAATGGACTTGCGCTCCTTTGGGATTGATGGAGGAGGCTTTGCGGCATTGGCTGGCGTGTTGACACTGCTACCGGGAGGCGTCGGTATAAATGTATTCTTCTCTTGGTCTAGCAATAGAGCCGGATCAATCATTTCATCTTCACAGCGAACCAAGAAGGCGTCAATAGCCTCAGAAAATTTCGTATTGCGTTTTTCGATGAGTTTCAGCATTTGTTTTTGGCTGTACACTGGCATCTTCAAGTCTTCGTCCTTCATACGGCGGAACGGCTTTGAAGGCTCTCCAGTTTTAGGGTGTGATACCTCTCTTTTGAGGTCGCCGTCCACAAACTCAAAGAACAAGATGTCTTTCGAGACCTCGAGGTTTCCGGGTTGATTTGCATTAGGATCCTCCATGGTTTCCGCCGTCCAAGTCTGTCTCCTTTGGTTTCTTCCATAATCGGCAATATCTTTGTCTCCGACCGTCATCACTTCCAGCTTAGCCTCATCGACATACTCGAACCGAATCGCCTGTGGCACAAGCACTCGTACTCTCGCAATATCTTCAACCGTTAATTCCTGGCCCTGGCCAAGCTGCGCTTGGACAGCTTTCTTAATATTGTCAAAAGTGGTGGCGAAGTGCTTTCGCGTGCAGCAAAACGTATACACGAGATTCAGCGCGCGGTGAGTCTGTGACAGGCGCTTAAAATCATCAGGCCACGGGGCGACCGGCGTCCTCTTCTTAGGCGCTGTAGGCTTAGAACTTGTGGCCGTGGTCTTTTTTGGCTGATGGCCCCTTTTTGGATTGTCCTTGGCATTTTCTGTGTCAGATGCAGTCAAGTTCGCGCTTCGGTGTGAGCCGACCTCAAAAGCTGTGTCGGGCTTCCCAGGCGCGTTCGCGGGCTGATCTGTCAAGTTCACATCTTGATCATCCACGTCGTGACCCCTCTTCCGCTTTAGCGCGTTGTCGGGTTCAATCGACAGGGGCTGTGTCATATTGAATCCCCATTGTTGTTCAAACAAGGCTGATGATCGGTGCTCGCAAAGAGGCGAAGGCAAGATCGAGGAACGCGAAGTCACGTGATTAATCAGAGACCGTAAAGGGATAGACCATGTGCAGTCGAGAATTTGCACCCGGAATAGCAGGGCAATATTGAATTCAGCGCCTAAACAAAAGATGCCTTGTAGGTTTCCATAGCCGTAAGTTCAATATGGACAGTTACGATCCCTGTAAGATAAGCAGAGTAACGCAGTGGTGGTGGCCATTGCCTTCTACAGTATGAGCCTTTCGGTGTCATTTACTTAGCTAATTATTCAAACTCGCCTAGGACGACGCTTGAGGATTCTCATTATCTTCAAAAAAATTTTGTTTCAAGAGAGATTTGTCAGAGTCTTCCTGCTCACCTGGGCATAATCCAAGGCTGCTTGGGTTTCTGGTTTTGGTTGAAACTTGATGGTCTGCTTTCCACCAATACTAGTAACCCCGGGCCCCAGGGCCCATGCTTAGCTGGCTTTAGTAATACGATTATGCCAAAACGATGCAGAAACGCTGTCTTATCTAGCATAAGTTGAGACCCGATAGTCCAATCTCAAGCCCCGACAGGAAGATCCTCTGACCGGTCAAAGTTAAAGCGAACGTTGTTTCGAACTTCCCAATCGAAGCTGATAAAGCCGGTCATCAAGTAGATCTGGAAAAGCCGCTGGGTGTATTCCAGAAAGGGGCAGGTATATAAATGCGGGCGTCTAAGCCTTCCTTGCCAACCATTGCTCACCGTGACTCACGGCGTGGCTGCGTAGAGCGGGCCAATGAAAGGGCGTAAACGCAATGAAGCGCGCCTCAACGGAGGGGTTTTCCTCCTTTGAGTGTCCGGCCTTACCTGCATTGTTACTTTGCAAAGACGATGAACAAAAATCAGAATGGGCTGGCTCTATTTACGAGGTACTCACCCGGCCTCTTTTGAGCTCCCAGACTCAACCTGAACTTGACGCCGAACTCGAAGGCGGCACTGGACAACATGAGCCCCGTCGACGTTTTCCAAGTCAAGTCCGAGCGACTCTTTCCGAATATCAAACCCGAAGAACAAGTAGTAGCCTTGTCATTGCTTGATGCGACTACTGTAGACTTCTCCGCCAGTTCTGTGATCTGGCTCTGCGAAAAGCCGGATACGCATCCCGATTTCGATTTGTCGGGTCATTTACGCGAATCGCTGCAGCTCACCCTTGATGCGTATCCTCAATGGACCGGCTTGCTCAAAGGCATCTCTACGCTGAACCCAGATAAGCTGCCTCGCGAAACAGCCCACTTCGCGCCGCACGCACGTCGGTATGGTCGTGTCTATGCACATTTTGGAACATCGCAAGATCCTGGCGTCGAATTCGTCACGGCCAGATCAACGGCTACGCTCAATACGCTCTGCCCGGCTGCCCGGGTCAAAAACGAGCCAATTTATGACCGACAGAAGGTTTCACTTGCCAACTTGGTCTCATCTGCTACCATCACCAATGCCTTTCGACCAAACCTTCCTGATGAATCCGGGCAGCTTCAGCCATTGATGGCCATCCAGTTGACTCATCTGGCCTGTGGAGGATTTGCTCTTGCAGCTAAGATCGGGCATCCGATGTCTGATATCCAGTCATTGGTATCCTTCATGAAAGACTGGGCAAGTGTCAGTCGCTGGATACTCTCAGGCTCCTCGGGTCCTCCGCCAGAACTGAAGCCGAACTTCGACCCCAGCCAGCTAGATAAAATGGCGTCAGGCGACATCAACGCAAAGGCTCCCGATCCCGCTATTTTGGACCAAATCACCCAACTCCCTCTACACCGCTATGATTGGTGGATTTCAACCGAGGAATGTCCCTGGGAAGTGCTGGTCCCCGATCCATATAGAAATAAGCCGATTCAACCTATTGGGAAGTCCATGCCCTGGTCTGAGTGGGACCACGAGTCTCCCGTCTCACATTATGTGGTACATTTGACCCACGAGCAAGTGGAATTGATATTTGAAGACGCCACCAAAAGCACTTCCCACCCAACTGACGCTGTCCGAATCAGTCGCCACGATGCCGTACTAGCTCATGCCTGGGCATGCATTGCTCACGCCCGAAATCTGCAAGACGATTCGGATCCAGTGCACTGCGATCTTACGTTCGGTTCACGTGGTGCATTCGGACTTGACTCCTCATTCGTTGGCTCCCCGATCATGATGGTCGACATTGAGATGACCGGTGCCGGTCTTTGCTCTCCTCAAATCCCAGAAGAGCAAAGGCGAGGCGCAATTGCGCAGAAAATTCGCACGACGATAAATCAGATTAACCGACCAGTTGCAATGGGCGCGCACTTGCATAGTGTAGCGTATGAGACTTGCCCTCAGAGGATCTGGCAGGCATTCGTCGGCCGGCGCCATATTCTGGTAACGAGTTGGGCGCGAGCGGGTGTTTACGAACTCGACTTCGGGCTCAGTTCGACTCCTATCATTCGCTATGTCGAGCCGGTCATGGTGGACATGGATGGCATCGTGGTAATCAACGACGCACCGCCACCCAAAGGAGTGAATATTTCTGATGGACAGTCATGGACAGTCCATGGCGTCGACATTTCGATGCACCTCCGTGCACAGGACATGGAACGCTTGATCAAAGATCCACTACTTCTTCCACGGGTCAAGTAAGGGTCTTAGAAGCGTCATTCACGCTCCACGAAGGACTTTGTATTGTTCTTGTGCTTTCTGCGAGGTGCAATTAAGCTACAATATTCAGGGTTGTCCGAGACTTAATGATATGTCAGAATACATACTTTCATGCTACATACAAGACTTAGTCCCTAGTATCGACCAATCCAGGTCCGCATTAACCCAAGTGAGCGCCGCAGGGATATCAACCTCGTACTAATTAGCCCAATAGGGCACCAGCTGACTAGCCCGACCTGTTGCAGCGGATGCAACTCCGGGATGTCTCTGGATCGCCCAAATGCGGCGATCCCACATTCCGCATGCAAGGAGCTCGGAGCGGAAGCAGCCACACATGTGCCAAACTATAAGCTACTTTTCTGTGAAAGTCTGATCTGTCGTAGATGTAGCATCTAAACCGGCATGGTTCTGAACTACTCCAAAAATAAAAAATAAAAAAAAGAGCCCCCTTCAATGGTTACAGGCTACTGCGTAAAATCCTGCGAGCCAATGATTCACCGTTCCCCTCTTTATCTTCGCCAAGCATCCAATCCCGTAGAAAATTTTGTGTCTGGAGGCTCGAGCCCGAGTTCCCCGCATAATAAACTCCCTTATCTTCAATCGGTCTAGCCTGTTCGCTTTGGCTGGCAAACTACCCCCTGGGGAAGGATCATCCTCGCCCCTGGCTGCGCGTGGTTGACTCCAGGTCCCTGTGGGTACAATTTTTTTTTCTCTCGATTTGCCATCTCGGTCCCGCAAACTTGGCTCCGCGACCTCCGAGGCTCCTCCCCTTTCCTTTTCCTTCAGACTCCGCCTCCGTCAACTTGCACCTCTGCCATTTCACAATGGCCGACTCCAATGTGCAAGTTACGACTGCTCCGGCGGGATCACAGCCGCGTCCCAACCCCGCCGAGCGGGGCAAGGCGGACAGCCCAGATGGCATTGAGCCTGTAGAGGAGGCTCTTCGTCATTACCATTCGACGGAGGACCCGGGATCGGACTCGTCCATGACAAAGGTCGTTCACAATGCCAAAGCGGCAACCGAGAAGGAGCAGAAAATGAGCTTGTTGGAGGGCATTCGGCTCTACCCTAAGGCCGTTTGCTGGAGTGTCCTGATTTCAACGTGTATTGCCATGGAAGGATACGATATCAGTTTGGTCAACAATTTCTATGGGTTCGACCAATTCAATCGGAAGTATGGCCAACTGCAGGCAGATGGCTCATATCAAGTTTCCGCACAGGTACGTTTCACCCCATCAATTGACGGGATGAAAAGAACCCCCGGTCACTGACCCATAGACAGTGGCAGTCGGGCCTCGGAAATGGAGCGTACGCAGGCGAATTTATCGGATTGCTCATCAACGGTTGGGCTTCAGAACGTTTTGGATACCGCTATACGATCATGGCATGTCTTGTCTTGGTGACGGCTTGGACCGCTATCTTTTTTACCGCCCCGAACGTCAAGTCTCTTCTGGCAGCTGAAATCTTGTGCGGGATTCCGTGGGGCGTCTTCCAGACTTTGACCGTGACCTATGCGTCTGAAGTCTGCCCGGTTGCGTTGCGTGGATATCTGACCACATACGTGAATTTCTGCTGGGGTCTAGGCCAGCTGATCGGAGTTGGTGTGATTAAAGGCATGTTGAACCGGACCGACCAATGGGCATACCGCATTCCGTATGGATTGCAATGGATGTGGCCTTTGCCTCTTTTCCTTGGTATTTTTTTCGCGCCTGAATCCCCCTGGTGGCTCATTCGGAAAGGCCGAACCGATGACGCAAAACGCGCCCTGGAACGTCTGACCAGCAAGAATCGCGAGACTGACTTCAACGCGGACGAGACCATCGCCATGATGGTCCATACAAATGCCCTGGAAGCTAAGATCACCAATGGCGCAAGCTACATGGATTGCTTCAAAGGCACGGATCTCCGTCGAACCGAGATTGTATGCGCAGCCTGGGCTATCCAGAATCTCGCGGGTAACTCGTTTTCCAACTTCTCGACTTATTTCCTGGAACAAGCTGGCGTTTCGCACTCGGATTCTTACTCTTTTGCGATGGGTCAGTATGCCATCAACATGGTTGGCACTTTTGGAGCATGGGGCTTGATGGCTCTAGGTGTTGGACGTCGTTCCCTGATCGTGTGGGGCTTGGTTGGTCTTTGTACCATGCTCATGATTATAGGATTCCTTGGTCTCGTCCCCGCAGCGCACCACGAGCAAGCATCTATGGCCACCGGGTCCCTGATGCTTGTCTGGGCCCTCATCTACCAACTGACCGTTGGGACGGTTACCTATTCCCTGGTGGCCGAGGTGTCGACTCGCCGCCTCCAAATCAAGACGGTCGTTCTGGGCCGTGCGCTATACATTATCGTTGCCATTGTCTGTGGTGTCCTCACCCCTTACATGGTGAACCCGACCGCCTGGAATTGGCAGAACTATGCCGGCTTCTTCTGGGGCGGCAGTTGCTTCTTGTGCATCATCTATGCGTACTTCCGTATTCCGGAACCGTCAGGTCGCTCATTCGCAGAGTTGGATATGCTTTTCGAGCGTGGCGTCAGCGCCCGCAAGTTTGCCACGACCCCTGTCGACGTATTTGACGAAACCGTAGAGGGCCGTGTGATCCAGGACTACCGGGCAGAGAAAGTTGCCGTGGCCGATATCAGCGAGGCCGAGAAGGGTGCCAACCCCGGATGATTTATGTTCTCCATGGTAATGATATGAGAAGACGTCGCATTTGCTGCCCTTGCATAGTATACTTATGGGGCTCTCGTTGCTCTGCATGTACATACCTAGCTGATTTAATTATCACTTATCAATCTAATAATAACAATCTGCTCACACAATGCCGCCCATGTAGGTTTTATATAAGTTTCCGAGATACGAGGGCCTGCATGAACAGGTCACGATTGACCCCCACCGGAACGCAGTGATGTCAAAATCGCCCTTGGCTAGTCTTTGAAACATTCCTATTGCCAAGAATGTTCCTTGCATACGAATACCGAAGCCTGTTTCTGCCCCGCAATCAACTCTTGACAGCCGTTGAGGGAGCGCTTGGTCCCGCTGTCAAGGCAAATTTTTCCGCCTCATATTGTTTTCCCTGAATTTTTTTTCCTCCTCAAGTCTCCAGGAGGGTTTTCCTTGCTACGCGAACTCGAGATCTCTTCGAGGGCACAAGAGGGGCTTGGAGGCCCCGTCTCTTTTCTGCACAATGGACACCACTTTCATCACAATCCATGGCAAGTCCACCCCTGCGGTTAGCTCAGCCAACACCCGAATCTAATGCTAGTGTGCAGATCTCTCGCAAGACGCCTCTATTAGATATGCTTCCAATAGTATCGAGGTGGTCCTCGGATATAAGCCACAAGATGTCATCAACCGCTCATGCTGGGATTACTTCCATCCCCAGGAACTGCCCTTTGCACGCAGCGTCCACGGACGGGGGTGCACTTGGACAAAGCCGCAGTCTTGAACTACTGCTCTATTCGTCACCAAAATGGATCGTGGGTTGGGTGCGAATGTGTCTTTACCGTCGTATACGATGTGATGATTGCGAGCACCACCGTCTACAGCCGGGGCAAAGGCAGCCAGAAACGTGCGGTCGATGCTCCTGTGGTCCGCAAACTCTTCGACTCTTCTCCTAATGATCCGAGATACCACATGCTCACCTTCATTTCGAAGAAGTTTTCTCAACGCTTAGTCGAGCCTCTTCACGAGCCCCGAGCAGCGCTCTTCGTCAACCGATTCACACGGACGGCAACCATCATGTATGCCACCAGCGGCGTGAGCGAGATTCTGGGTCTCAGCCCAAACCAATTGGTTGCAAAGAGCTTCTTTTACTGTATTCAAGAGAAGTGTCTGCGGGACGCAGTGCGCTGCCTGGAAAGCGCAAAGAGTAACGACTCCATCGCGTATCTCCGATTCTGGTTTCGAAACCCTCTGCAGGATGACAATCCGAATATCTCGCCATACACTGCAAGCATGGTCTCAAATCCAATTCCGCCGCTCGAGCTGGAAGCTGTCGTCTCATGTACATCAGATGGACTCGTGGTTATTCTGCGCCGTGCCCGTGCCCCAATTCCTACAACCTCTCTCCCACCCCAACCGGTCCCGGTCTACTCGAATGGTCTCTTCGCGGCACCTTGGGCACTGGAGCCAGTGTTCTCATACGGAGCGTCTTCGCATACACAAGAAACCGCTCTGTCAGGCTCGGCATACCCTGAAAACAAAGACTTTCCCCAAAAAAAGCCTCCTTCTGGGGTGGAAGATACTCCATCTACGAGTACTGGATTCCCGCCTTCGGTTCGGTCCCCACCAGAGGCGAATCAGCGCGGCTCTGGCGGCCCGGACGCAGATCAGCTTATGCAGTCTATTCGGGATGTGGCTGTATTTGCATGGGGTATTGTCGGGATCAATCGATCTTTAGAACAATTCAAACGTGGGACTCCGTCGGGCGCTGCTCAACCGGAAGCCCTGGAGACGATGGTGGATGACAATTAGTGAAGAGAAGCTGCGGCCTGCCGCAGCTAGTTATCGCTCAATGAAGACGCATGGCTATACCCGTGACATTTGTAGTTTGATATTTCTACGGTTGGACTCGGGGCTCATGATATCCAACTGCATATGTAAATTGGTACATGCTTGAAAACTGCCTAAGCATTGGAGTTGACTAGATCCATTGTATACACTGGCAGATCTGAGATAATCAATGCCTCCAGGCATTTACTCGTTCGACCACTCGGGCTTCTTCTTCTCTGCGAAAGCAGTCATACCTGTAGACGCGTTAGAATGAGTCCGAAGATCTTCCAAGCCAGTCTCTAAACTGCCAGACTCACCAATTGTCTGATCCTTGCTCCCAAACAAAGCATGGAAAAGCCGCCTCTCGTAATCCACCCCTTCCTTCAAGGACAGCTCCTGGCTCTTATTGACAACCTCCTTGGCCGCAACCGTCGCAACCCGTGAATATCCGGCAATAGTCTCCGCCGTCTTCAAAGCAACCTCGAGCACCTCGTCCTTCCCACCATCTACCACCTGCGCCGCAACACCCCACTCCCCAGCATCCTTGCCGCTGAAGTTCTTACCCGTGAGAATCAACTCCATCGCCTTGCTCTTGCCGATCAGCCGAGTCAGACGCTGCGAGCCGCCTCCGCCGGGGATCGTGCCGAGCTTGATCTCCGGCTGGCCGAAGTTCGCGTTCGCGGTGCAGTAGAGTATGTCGCACATCAGGGCAAGTTCGCAGCCTCCACCGAGCGCGTGACCGGCGACGGCGGCGATGACGGGCTTTCGGATTGTGTTCGCAAGGTGCGACCAGGGGGCGATGAAGTTGTCGTTGTAGGCGGCGGCGAAGCTGAGGGGGGCCATTTCTTTGATGTCGGCGCCGGCTAGGGTTGTCAGCGTTTGCTTGCTTATTTTTTTTTTACATACAGAGAGTTGCATTTAAATTGCAAGCATTGCCTGATCTGCAATTTATGCATTGGTTCGGCATCTAATAGGGTTAGACGTACCTGCAAACGCCTTCTCGCTCCCGGTGATGATGATAGCACCAATCTCCTTATCGTTATCGTACTTGCTCAATGCCTCATTAAGCTCGACAAATAGAGGGCTGCAGAGGGCATTCAGGGCCTTAGGTCGATTGATGGTGACTAGGTTGAGCTTGTGAGTTGATATTATCTGGCAATCGAGTTATACAAGTGCCTTACTTAAACCCACGCCTGGCTTCGGGGTAGATGTGAGGATGTGCTCATAGCTCCCGGTCGAGTACGGTCGCACGCGGGAGAGATAGGAGCTCAAAGGGACAGCAGTCCGCGAGGTAGCCAGACGAGCACAGCTTCGGGCAAACATTGCGATTGAGCTATTCGAAGGGATTGGCAAACAGAGAAAGCTTCAGGGTATGATGTATATCCCCGCCCAGAATTGGCCGAGCGTAGCCGCGATTCAGTACTCCCGAGGCCCAGCGGACGGATGAGTCAGCAGCATGTGACCTGCTCTGGCAAACAAGACAAACATCTACTACACGGTTGCAATAGAGGAGATCCATCGTCTCTGCTCCATAGAACGACACAACTTTAATAGAAGATGGATTGGGAATGCTTAAGCATAGTTCATGGAGAAGAGACGCTCCAGGCTTAGAGACGGCTTCTTGGCTGCCTTTTAGCCACCGAGTCCACGAGCTCGCGAACCTTGCCCGCGACTCCATAACTGAGGGTATAGCCCAGACCACCGAATCCATATGCATGCACCGTGTTTCCTTCCACTTCAAGGCGATATCCTCCCTTCCGCCCGGGCCTGAAGGCAACAATATCCCTCTGCAGATCCTTTTCCAGGGAGACCTGATCCAGCTTGCCTTTCGTAAGCTTTCTCACACGATTCAGAATATCAGACCGCAGCCTCACATCCACTTCGCGACCTTGAGCTCCGGGCTGTGACACACCGCCAATGATGGCGCCTTGGGTAAACATTCGGGGAATGACATATGTGAAGTGAGAGCCTTGGTTCATTTGAAGCTCGTCAAAATCCGTGTCAACGAGCATGGTTTGTCCTCGAACTGCCTCGACCGCTTTATCGTTGGCAAGTTGGAAAGCCCCAAGGCCGGAGGCATGCACAATGATCTGAGCCCTGGTGATGCCTTTTGCCTCATCTATCGAAGTAAGTGTTTTGCGAATAAAAACTACGCCTTTAGCTTCGAGCTCTTTCTTGATCCATGGCAGAAATGCAGTTGGATTGATTGACATGGAAGTATATTCAATGCCAAGCTGGGCGCCATCGAGTAATTTGCTCGGGGGGATCTTGCGATACCGCGGCACAATATGCTTGTACCAGATGGTCGAGTCGTCGTCTCTATCGTCATAGTATTCCGTTGTCTTTATCACCTGGGTCGAATATCTTTAGTTCAGCACTCCTGAAGACTTCGATATCGTTGCATCTTACTTGGACACCACTTGTTGGGTCCCTGTGTGCCAAAGCCCAGAAATATTTGAAACTCTCCGTTTGAAGCGATTCACCACCGACGTCAGGGCTGGGCAAGATCCCCGCTCCAGCCCTGTAGCTTCATTAGCGGCGCTGATATCCTCCTGAAAGTAGCATCTGGGCATCTTGTTGCTTACCATGGGCTTGCCCAATCTTGATTCTCATCACCAGGCAGGTCGCGTGCAACAATGGTCACTTTGTATCCGGCATCGACCAAGGTCAGGGCTGAGAGGAGGCCAATTACCCCTGATCCAATTATTCCGACCTCCATGGTGATCGTTCTGCTCTATTAGGTGGTTCCCAAGGGCATGGATGAGGATTGGGTGATAAGAAACTCAGACATTCTAGGAATGACCAAAATAGGTCAGACTAGCTTGGGCGACTGGGAACGGAACCACTTGCCCCCCGCAGCTACAAAAGGCTGTTCTTCGTGGCGATTGCCCCGCACCACGGAAGAAACCCCGATAGTAATATACTAGTGCATGACGCTCCTCTGGAAGATAGCTTGCTCTTGGGCTTATAGCGTTGTACATGAGGACAGAATGCTACTGAGATGAAATATTAATGAGACATCTAATTCGATAATACTAGTATCTACTATGAACCTTCAAAGTTAACTCCCATGTCCCTAAGCAATGAATAGTGGACGTGGGGTACCAGGGTCGGGAATGACAGAACCGTTCAACACCTAACGAATGCATGCAATGAAGCGATGACCCTGTCCCACCTGGTCTTTTAGTATAGCGGGATGAAACTCCTGTGCCCGTCTGTAGAAGAGTATCACGAGCGCATAGTCAAAAGCCCGAATGATATTTGCGTTGGAACACCGACCATTGAGCCATTAAATTCGCGAGGCTCGAATCTCGAGCCGCATCAACATCTGTCTGTGATTCGACCGAAGTTCCCCCCTCTTGCCAGCAATGTTCAAGAATGAGAAATAGGGCAAGTCCTCCCGGCCCCGCACCAATATGAGGGCTGAGACAGAACAAGTTGCCTGCATCCCTGCTGAACCAATTAGCTGCGCTGTTCTTCATCAAAAGTCTTCACTAAACTTAGTAGAACTTGGGGATTTAGATTCGACCGGGTCATGTTATTGAGATCTAAAGCAATGTCGACCGGCAGATTCCATGTTTGCTCTTGGGCTACAGCTTGCAGGTTGGAATTCCTATTTCTTGCCGAACGGGCGGTAAACACTCATCTATAGTAGTGATTTAGAGCAACTAATCCCAGTGGGATGGGTGATGGCGCCCTCGGATAGAGTAGATAAGAGGGAAAGCAGCCTTGTGCAACAATTCAAACGTCTCTCTCAGACTCGGGACTTGCTCAGAAGCACTCGATTTGCTTGTAGCTTGAACACTGCCGCGACTGAAATGTGGAATAAAGCGATCCTCGGAGAAGGAGGGGTTCACTATCAAAACCTTTGTGAGATCATTGGTGAGCCACTTATCGAAGACATGGTGGTTGGCACCAAGGAGGATATGTTATTGCTCGAAGAGCGTGGAAAAGTTCGTACTCGCCTCCATATGTATGAAACTTACAACCTTTTCTAACTCTGGACAGGTTGAAGAAGAGAAATATGCGCTCCAAACGGCTTTCTTGAAGCAGTGGCTGGATTCGGGCACTGACGCCTTACTTGAGCCTGTTATTCCGTGGGTTGGATATAAGTCTAAGACCTGGTGAAGAGTAAACAATGGATGGGATACACGGCTATATGGAACCTGCTGAACTACGCCGCTGTTACTGTGCCTGTTGCTAAAGCTAGTGGGGATCTTCACTCAGTCGGTGGTGGGAAGAACGCCGATTGGGAAGCGTATCCACCCAGAAACGAGTCAGATGAGTTTGATTACGCTGGCATGCCCGTATGTGTGCAGATTATAGGCGGACGGTTTGGCGAAGAGAAAGCTGCCGCAGTTGGAGAAGTTGTTGATCAGCTTATGAACCCGACTCCTTCTATCCAATTGGCTAAAGTTTGGAGCGTTGGAAAATACACGAGTCGCAAGAAATGTAGAGAGGGCGTTGAACAAGTCATGATTGACGAGAGGATAATAGCTGCCACGTCCTTAAGTTTCTATGCAATACTAGTAATTCATATTTCGTAACATGAGGCCAGTCCCTGCCGGCAGAACATCCCGGACACGCGCACACATAGATCGGAAAAGAAAAGGAGGACAAACTGTCCATCTTTTGACATCAAACCGGGGAATAAAACTAGAATTCAAACTCCTTGCGGAAAACATTCACATCCATGCCAGCAACAACCTGGTCGGCGAGATCGCGTCGGCCCATCTGACTGAAGACCCGGCGCAGGGTATCGTAGAGGTTCGTACTTTGGTTCTGGCTAATGTGCAGCATACGCTCAAGACGCTCATCGTCAAAGCCGTTAGAGTCATCGCCGATGATTTCGCGCGCGCGCTCTCGGCCTTCCTCCTCAACAACACGGTGCATGGACAGCGCGCCCAGAAGGTGCTGGGCAGCTTCAGGGTAGCAGCCGATGTTGATGCAAGATACACCGAGGTTGTAGCGAGCACGGACAAAGTTGGGGTTGATGGTAAGGGCTTGCTCGTAGGCTTCAATTGCTTCCTCGGAGCGACCGGAGTTGGCGAGGGTTGCGCCGAGTCGGTTCCAGAGCAGGTGAAGCTGCTCTTGCTGGTTGGTGCTGCCAGACTCCGTCGAAGCCAACGCAGCAGAGAAACAGTCAACGGCCTTTTCATACTCCTCGGCACAATAGAACAGGACTCCCAACCCGACTTGGACATCAGGGTCCATCTGTGCGCCCGAGGGCGAGAGTTGGGCCGCTTGAATGAAAAGCTCTGTCACCCGCTCATGAAGGAGTTGACGATCTGTGAAGCCTAGGTCGGCGTCTCCAGATACTTCAGCGGGGTTGATGACAGAGGGGTATTTGTGAGAGAGCCAGCGCTCCAGGGTACGGTAGGCAGTTGAATCGTAGCCCTCGTTAGTGTATGAGACAGCCAGACCCATCAACGCGTCGAGATTGCCGGGGTCCACCTTGAGAGCCTGTTCGAGGGCTCGGATGGCTGGAAGTTCTTTCTCGTTCTGGGCTTGAGCAGAACCCAACATGGTCCACGCCTGCACATGCTGCGGGTCCTTCTGGACAGCGGCCTCGAAAGCGAGAGCCGCAAGTGACAGGTTGCCACCTTCACGCATAATCTTGACACCCTCCTCGAAGGGATTAGTCACCGATGAGTACACATTTTCCTCTTCAAACATGTAATCGCCGAGCTGTGGATCTCTGAATCGGGTGTTGAGATTGTCGAAGCCTTCCCAGTCACCTAGATCGCCCACATGCACACCATCGGTGACTTCAAATTCACTGTCTTCCGCCAATTTTCTGTCCGCGGCTTTTTCAGCCTGGATTCTTTCCCAAACAGCCTCGAAGTCATCATGGGGGTTGGGCACTGACCTGTCAATCTCATTCAGCTCCTCTTCGATCGCAGCATTCGCCTCCTCATCCGTTCGCGTCTCAGCCCCCGCTGTCTCCATCTCCGCAAATTGAGCCTCCCAGTTCTCATCGTTCAGCTCAACCAGTCGCCCTTTCCCTTTATCTTGCGCAGTGGTATCCATAGGTCTCTGGTGCATCATCCCCATGCCACCCATTGGACTCATCATTCCCATGCCGCCCATGCCACCCATGCCACCCATATACCCGCCCATACCCATCGGTCGCTGATACCCCGCCATCATCGGCGAAGCATTGGCAGCAGCGGGGCTTGAAGTCTGGGGCACACCCATGCGATTCTGCTGCTGGAAGCGGGCAAACTCGGCGGGAGTAAAGCCTGATTCATTGTTCACCATGCCCTGCTGTGCAGGAAATGCAGCCTCCATGCGTGCCTGTTCACCGGCACCAAACTCCGCCAACCATCCGCCGGGCGAGCCCGAGCGTTGAGGTACAGAATGCATGCCCTCCAGTTCCCGCCGCATCTGCTCCATGGCGAAAGGTTGTGGGCCGGGCCCGTCGAGTTGCTGGGATTGCTGCATGAATTCATTCATCATTTGCTGTTTGGGCATCGACGCCCCCCATTCGTTAGCCAGATTGTTCGGAGAGTATTGGGGGATTGTGCACAGCTTCTCGGAGAGGCTCCGGCCGCGGGTGCATACGTACCTGATCCTGCCCGCCCATCATTCCGCGCGAGCGCATGCCTTCTTGCATGCCTGGTCCACGACCAACAAGCCTGTCTCGTTGTAGGGACTTGTCATCCTGGACATGCTTAGTGAATTGCGTCAGAGGGTTTCCCGCGGTGGAACATTCTGCGCCACCGAGGAAAGACATGCTGGGCTGGTTGTGGTGAGATGCCCCGGGAATGTTGTCAGGTCAAAGCAGAAGGAATCAAAAGAGTGAAATGAGCAAAAAAGAGGACCCCGTCTTGTTTGAAAGACGGCAATGCAAAAAGGAGGAGATGAGTCCCCGGAAAACGTGGGGTTAGATATGCTCACTAATAAAGATCGGCTGGGCAGCCGAGGTCCCGAACAGTCACGTGTGGCGTGACGGCCGAGCAAATGTCAAGTGATGAAGAAGCTTGCAAGTTGCCGGGGGAAAAGGGGGCGAAGACAATGTTGATAAAATGGATGAAAATACGGTATGATAGTATTGGTATTGTCGCAGATAATATACAATGAGGCCTCGTCATCTCAGTCCGACCCGCTTGGACCACCGCCCTTTTTGATGCCATGAGCAAATTGCACCTTCAGCTTCCTCCCATACGGGAACTTCCTACGCAGGATTTCCCTGGCAGCTTCAGCCGCTGGGATATCTATGAACTCAGCATGTGCGTAACCACGAGGGGTCCCCGATCTCCGATCCACCGGAATGCGAATGTCAGTAAAATTGTATACATCGATGAAGAGATCTTGCAGATCCCGGTCTGTCAGCTCGTATGGGATATTGCCAATGAAGAGGGTACTCGAGGGTTTGGCATTGAGGTCATCTTGCGTCTGCTCCATTTGCGTACGCGCAAACCGCACAACTGTCTGGCGGCCATGAAGCATCTGCATATCTTGTCGCTCGATAGCTAGCCTTGCTTCTTGGATCGTGCTGTACTGAACGTATCCGAATCTAGTCACAGATGTGGTCAGAACCGAGGCTCGAGATCGTCTTTTGTAGGGTTACTAATTCTCACCCTTTACTTAGACCCCGGTTGTCATGCGTGATCATGGCGCTGATCACCGTCCCGTACTGCTCCATGTGCGCCCGCAGATCTTCTGCCTTGAGGTCCCAGAACAAGTTTCCAATGTATACAGTTTCTATTGGGCGGTTGAATCTGTCATCTTCTGGAAGTTTCGTTCGGGGGCCGGGTGGAGAGTCTCGACCGAATGCCTCCGCCTTCTGAGTTTGAGTTGCGTGTCGCTTGAGATCGCGCATGGCCGGCGCGAATCCGCTCCTTAGAAGGTGTGTCGCGTTCCAGGGCTCGTCGTTCTTCGGGCTCTAGACCTTCTTCTACAAGCGACTCCTCTGGTGTCGGTGGCTTGCTTGAGAATTCTTCGTCGTGGAGTTCACGGGTCTCTCGGTGGTTTGATGATTCGGGGGCATGTTTCCCCGAGTTCAATCGGATTTGGAGGGCGGAGGCATCTTGAGAGCTATAATTTTTATGTGGAAGGAGACGTAGTCGGTTACTAGGCACCGCCTGTAACCTTGAGGCTGGATTCGATCTGGAGCTTGTGAGGAGCCGTAATGAGGCTCGTCGGAGGCAGTGCCTGGAGAACGTGGTCAGATACGTTTAGCTGTGATGAGGGCTCAGGGATCAAGTAACATGATCCAGAAGAAGAAAGTTCTAGGTTTGTTGATTATCACTTACATTTTGATCAACTCCTGGGCCAAATCCAGCGCGAAACAAAATAGGGCGATCTTGATCGTCCTGAAGATTGCGTGAAAAGGATAGCGATAAGGGTCACGTGTCAGATCATTATCGCTCCATATCAACGCGGGCCAAACTGTTGAGCTCCATCTATCACATGAGACTCTGTTTCAATGTAGTCAATTTCTTCAGAGAGGAGGTTATTATCCAATAATAGCAACTATAATACAAGAATCTAGTCACGCATATTGTCCCAAGGTGCCCTTACCTAGCACCGACTTTTTCGAACCATTCATCATGGAATCAGATCCATCCCAATAGGCAGTCAAAAGGCCACGCAGCTAGCCTAACTTGAGCCCCCAATCCAATTTCAGAACACCAACAAACTCATGGGTATTCTTAGAGCACGCATCCAAAATGAAACCACCAAGCGCAGAAACCATTCAGCAAAGGGATACGGAAATGCAAGATGTACAGTCCTCCTGTTTATCATTCTACATCGACCCTTGGCGCCTGCTCTTATCTGTCTGAGTGGATATTGGGGTAAATCCAGCTACTGAGCCACTGGTTTCAGTGCTGTTAGTGGGGGAGAAGGTTGACGGGGCTCGTGGCCCGCTATTTGGTATGGGCGGGACTCTGCTCGAGCCAAGAGGGCTTGAGATTGAGGATTGTGGCAACCCCATACCGCCCTGAGGGAGGCCTGTAGCATCCATCATAGGCCAAAACTGATTGGAAGCATCAAGTGTCGGGTTTTGAATGTATGTGTCCCAGGCATCCTAAATAGAACAGTCAGCATAGCTCTCTCCCGGAGCGATTCTTCGCATCTGATAAGAGCTTACCCAGTCAAGATTAGACTGCATGTCCGGCATAGCACCGAACATGCTGCTGAAAGGTGAGAGAGGGCCACCAGGCATTTCGGCCGGGTTGCCCAGACCCGCAGGCATAGTCGGGTCACCTCCCGTCTTGAACAAATTATCACCGAGTGGCGACGGGCCCGGATTCATCGGGCTCATTCCGCTGCTCAAAAGACCCAAGGTCATTGCCGCATTCTGCTTCTCGTCTTGCGGCTCGAACAGATCGGGTACACCGGTGCCGCTTTCAAGGCCCGGGATACTGTTGTGTAGCTTGGACAACATCACGCCCAGGATGTTGCTCGCTTTCCATGCCTCCATGCTTTGATCCCGCAGTTCATCCCAGATCTCTTTCGAGCCTTGGACTGCGGTGATCATCTCGTCGCGCCGTTCACGGCCCCACGTGTACGTATCACCGGAGGGCCGCCCGGCGGCTTGCAGCAGGTATCCCTGATACAGGTCGAGACAGGCAATGGTGGCTGCGAGGAGGAAATCGGCGGAGCTGAGGGAGGTCACTAGAGTCTGGCGGCCTCGGAGGCGACCGTGACGCGTTTCTGCGTGAAACATCCGTTGGAACCCGAGCAGCTCGATGGCGGAATCGATGCAAGTCCGTCGCGAGTACGTGAAACGGGGATTCTCGCGGGCGCGGACGAGATAGGGGCGGTGGAGCACAATCTGTGCCTTATGGTAGACGGTGTGGACTGAGAAGCGAGACATAATGAGCTGCACAGGATCTAACTGGCACTCTTCGATGGGACGGATCTGCAAGTGGTCTGGAATCAAGTCTCGGGCCCGACGAAGCTCCGTGTCGAGTTCCATAGCCTTGTCGTAGGAAGCGGTCATCACCGAAGATGCGAATTCGTTCACTTTGCCAAACGCACCAACCAGGCGAGCCTTGGTGATGAGATAGGATATCGGAGTTGGCTCACTTAACTGGCGAGGGGCCGGCATATCTTTGGTGTGCTCGTCGAAGTCATCATCGTAAAGGTTCTGCGGCAGTTCCGTATCCATGTCGGCAGCCCGTAGCAAACTTGGCAAGCCAACCTGAAATGAAAATAGCACGTCTGATAGCCTTACAAATGACCACACTCGCCGCCGCATCTCGCCCTGGAATGGACTGATATTTGGAAACATCTTTGAGTCGCGATGATAGCCCATGCGCATTGCTAGACGAGCAATTACACCGGCCAAAACCCACACGGACACATCCGCTTCCCGGGTTTGAGTGAAGTCACCGTGCAAGTGGAACACAAGCGCTTCGATCAAAAATGGATGGGGTTTAGTATAGTCGGCCAATGTCACGCAGTGGGCGAATAAATTCCTAAAAGACCCAGCCATATCCATTGCTTTGCCCTTGAACTCTGGAGGCTCATCGCCTTCTCTCTTATATGACAACATGGCCAGCCTCATCAAGGCGAAAAGCATGGCAATCCATGTCAGATCAGTTTGGCTAGGATCCTCCCAGTGCTTATTGTATTGGGCTTGGAACGTTGGGCCATGAAGGATATGGGTTGCAGGGTCGTAAGTGTTGAAGTATCGCGCAACTAAGAGATCGGTCATGTATTTTGAAGGCATTGATGCAATGATTTCGCTCCGGGATAAGGGCTTCATCACCCCGAAAAGAAGAGTCGACTGTGGTACAACATCGGACTCTTTCTGGACTGACTTTATCTTGTTCGCCTGGTCTTCGAATGCCTGTTTATGTGAGGTGAAGAATTGCCGTACCTCGGCGATCTATTTCGAACGTTAGATTCGTTGCCTCCGAACGCATTGCTATGATATTAGGTTCGCAACTTACATCGTTCAGTACAGTAGCCCAATGTGCCTCACTGATGTAGTACGATTTGTTGTTGTCCATCATCTTCATCACGCCAAACGATTTCGTCACTTGCTCAGTATCACTCTCTTCCCCGTGGTCATCATCAAGGTCCAATTCATTCGATGGCTCAGCGGCTGGACCACTACTCTCTCCGTTTATGGCAGCCAAAGCCGCCGCTCGTCCAGACGACTGAGAGCCATTGGTCATCAGCGATAGAACCAACCCTTCCAAGCGGTCAATGCGATTTTGCATGTCGTCTGGTGATGTTGGCGCATTCTGTTGTGGTGAGGTCTTTTTCCGAGTCCCTACTTGGGCATATGAGCAAGAACTTGCATCCCCTCGCTTCACGCAATTTTCACATGGGTTGGTGCGGTTGCATTTCAGCCTAGAAAATTAGGGGGGAAAGAACACCGTTAATAAACCACAACTCTTTATAGAAACATGTGCCTCACATGACTTACTTCCTGTGTCGACATGGCGCACACGAAAGTGGTACTCTGTTGCGCTTGCGAATTACTCGAAACTCAGGCGAATGCGCACCTGCGCTGGATGAGGTTGTAGATGGCGGTGTAGGCGTCATTTTGGTGGGGAGGTGCGCTTCGGGTAGTTGTGGGATAAGACTGGGAGGCAGTGCTAAGCTCGCTGTGGGCGCATGTAAATGGCAATCCCGCGAATTCTTCGAGTGTCAGGTCGTAGGAACGGAGGATACTGGTAATATCGCCCCCGATCTGGGAGAAAAATCGGCGTTCCCTCTGGGGGAGTTCCGTACACCTTCGCGAAGACGCTATGATCTTGACCTATAGAGAACCTATACGCCCCAAAATGCGCCACTAATCTTTCAAAAAATCACTCAGAAAACACTCCTTGGGCGGTACCCCTGATTCGGCCGTCCGCGCAGTGTTGCGCCAATAATCCTAGTCCGAGTCGTTTCAACTGCGCAGCTAGAAGAGCGCCGGGGATAGTTGAAACTGGATATAGCGATTCGCAAGATATGGGTCAGGAGGCCGGACTCTCTGCGACAAGTTGGCGAAACGTGTTGGACAGTGAGCAGTCGCGCAAGCTCTGGCAGTAAGAGGGGTGATGAGTCTGAGACGCGTCGATATCAGGATCCGCTCGTGGGGGCCAAGAGAGTAAATGGGCAATGTGGAATTTGCGGCAACGAGAGTGCTGCTGATCCCCTGAGGGTTTGCGCAGAAGAAAGAAGAGCAAAGTTTAGAGTCCCACGTCGTCCCCTCCAGTGGATGATTAATCCTCCGCTATCTCCGTTTCTGGTTCGTTATCACCATGATGATCTCAGCACCCGTAGAACGGCCGCACATCTGGTACGATTTACTAAGGCGGCTAGAGCTCACCTGTCCTGAACCCATGGCCCTTCTTTGTTCCAGGCTATGTGGCCCTGGGTGCATCGGTTTGGATTTCCCTAGGAAGGAGATACATTCTGGGTCGGATTTCAGAGAATCGACAAAGTGATGAACCTGTCTCACCATTCGGAGCTCGTTCTCCATCCATAGATCCATCCATGGATCTCCCCCTAAATACTTACATAATAACTAGATTTCAGACCTCGGGACCTCGGGGATCACTGTTCCACTGACCGCAATGACGATCAATGAGCCCGTGATATACAGGGATGTCGCGAAGATGCCTGGCACCCAATGAGGCACGTGGTGATTGGCCCATTGGTAGGCGTTCTTGCGGCCCAGGATCGAGTGAGTCATTGAGGCATCCACACTTCACGAGTCTAGGCCACACAGAAGCCAAGCACTGCGCCAACCAATTCGGTCAAAGTCAAACCCGTGGACCCTCGGATCACGCTTATCTAAGCCACTTCGAAGTTAAGATAAGTAACTAGCCCAGGCGCCGTGGGGGTAGGGATCTTGGATCCGGAGTATATCAATCATATCGAGCATCTTAGCTTACGAGCATCTTAGCTTGTAAGCGGTCGCCGCTTCCCCAGCTCCACAGCTCCACATACCCAGTGTATGTACCATCATTTGGTATCCGATACCGTACGGTACTGATCTGAAAGGGGAGTGGCCAAACAAGCAAATGCCTGAAACCGCCAGCCTCAGGCAGAGTTAGATAGAGCAGGGTATATCCATAGCTCATCCAATGAAGTAACCACTCCGTACCACCCATAATGACCCCCCTTGTCCCACCAACACAAACGACACAGCCATTATGCATGTGTTGGCACGCACGTAAGCTGGAGAGTCCCTCCAACAAAGACGTAAATAACAAACGGATCATTTAATCTCCTCCCTTCTCCTTTCCAGCTTCTACTTTCTCTTTCTCCTTCATCTTCATCTATCAGCTTTACAGTCTCATCATTACAAGGCTGAAGGAGAATGTCTGACAACGCTCGAGGTCGGGGCCGTGGCCGTGGTAGCCGTGGTGACCGCGGCGACCGCGGCGGTGGTCGAGGTAGAGGAGAGCTGCCTTTCCGTCCTGCTGGTCGGGGCCAAGAAGACCGTGGCCGTGGTGACTTCCGCGGCCGTGGGGATTTTCGTGGTCGGGGAGACTTCCGTGGTCGAGGAGATTTCCGTGGTCATGGTGACAGAGGAGGGCGTGGCGGTCGCGGGCGTGGCGGCGGTCTCAACCAAGGCCCAGAAATCTTCAGGTAAGGAGATCCATTCTTGCTTGATTGCCAAAGGCAACACGATGTAAATTGATGGTACTAATTGTACTACAACATAGGGATGGTCAAGCTCCGCCGCAGCCCGACGCCACTGTCGCCAAAATTGAGGAAGGAATGGCCAAGGCCCTCGCCGTATCCAAACAGAAGCGAACCCTATCCCAGGCCTACCCTGACCGGCCGGGATACGGTACCAAGGGCAATCCAACCTTGCTGTATGCCAATTGCTTGCCTATCCAATTAGTGAGCAAGCCGCTGTACAGGTACCATGTCGGCATCCTTGCCGACGGTGCTAAAGCTGCACCTGCAGGCAAAAAAGCTCGACAGATTGTCCGGCTGCTGTTGGAGGAGCACTTTGCTACGTACTTGAACAATGTGGCAACCGACTACCGCTCGACTTTAGTTGCAAGCACCAAGCTCCCCCTCGCTGGAAAGGAGGGCGATAAACAAACTTTTGATGTCCGCTACAAGGACGAGAACGAAGATGAGTACCCAGAGGGCCCGCGAATTTTTAAAGTAACCTGCGAACAGACAGGAACCTTGGTAGGTATTGCCGATGGTGTCAGTGTTCTCCGATGGCTAATGCTGTAATCAGGATCCTGGAGAGCTATCCAACTACCTTGCCTCGTGCGATGCGAACGCTGCGCTAAGCAATAAGGAGGAGCTTGTCCAGGCACTGAATCTGATCATGGGTCATCGGCCCAAGACTGACCGCTCAGTGATCAACATCGGTGGGAACAAGCACTACAGTGTGAAGCCCGAGGCAATTGAAAATTTCTCGCTGGGAGGAGGACTTGAAGCAATCCGTGGATTTTTTGTCAGTGCACGTGCTGCTGCTGCTCGAGTTGTGTTGAATGTGCAGGTCAAGTACGCCGCCACCTACCAGGCTGGCCGATTGGCTGGACTGATAGAGGCATTCTGGCAAGGCGAACCCAGTCGAAATCTTTTCAGGCTTGAGAAATTCCTTAAGCGTTTGCGAATTAGGGTGACTCACTTGCAGAGGAAGTCAAGCAGCGGAAAGGTTAAGGCTTCGCCTCTAAAGTCTATTTCTTCTTTGGCGTACAGTTCGGATGGGCAAGGACAGACGGACCCCCCTAAAGTGAAAAGAACCGGCGCTGGGCCGTTTGATGTTGAGTTCTTTGTTAAGGGTGCCCCCCCAAAGGCTGTCCCAGGGGGGTCTGGAGGTGAACCTTCCAAGACCGCAGCTAAGAAAGGGAAGAAAGCACCCAAAGCCGGCCCATCACTCCCTGGTAAATACATTTCTGTTGGGGAATACTTCAAGGAAGGTTGGTCATCTTCGAAGTCAAATAATGATCATAGCTGACTGAATATGCAGAATACAATATCGACGTGGATCCCAAAATGCCTGTTATCAACACCGGGACCCGGCAGAACCCAATCTACTTGCCTGTTGAAGTCTGTGAAGTCCAACCTGGTCAGACTTTTGGGTCTAAGATTGGCCCAATGCAGACAGCGGCTATGCTCAACTTTGCTGTGAGGGGCCGGAAACCTGGCCATAATGCTCAGTCGATCGTGACTAAGGGTGTCGATATGCTTGGCCTGAACGAGTCCGACAACGGTACCCTGGTAAGGTTTTGATTTCTATTAACCATGGGTTGACTTACAGCTGACTTAAACCTCGCTATAGGCTTCCTTTGGAGTCAAAGTCGGCACAAGCCTGATCACCGTGCAGGCACGAGTCCTCCAACCTCCAAAAATCCAGTATGCCAAAAACAAAGAAATCAGAACTCAATTTGGTAGCTGGAATATGATGGATATTGCCTTTTCGAGGCCCGTAAGGATCAAGTCTTGGACATATTTGGCCATTGAGCAAGGAAGACCATTCTGGGAGAGTCCAGCTCAGGTGCAAAAGGCTCTAGAAAGCTTCAGAGGCACGCTCACGAAAATGGGAGTCGATCTTCCTCCGGCGTCTCAGGGTCAACGTGTCGTTCTGAGTGGTAGTCGGGATGAAAACACAAGAAAGATCGACGAGGCCGTGGGTAGCCTCCAATCCACGTACAAGGATCTGTCTTTGGTGCTCGGTATTCTCCCTGGCAAGGATACAACGATCTACAACACAATCAAACAGATTTGTGACGTACGGCGAGGTGTCATAAACATCAATGTGCAAGCCACCAAACTCGTCGACGGCAACTCACAGTACTCTGCAAACGTCGGTCTAAAGGTGAACTTGAAGCTCGGTGGGGTCAACCAGTCCCTTCGTGCCTCAGATCTGGGCTTTTTCGGCGATGGAAAGACCATGCTCGTCGGCATAGACGTTACCCGCCCCTCGCCAGGCTCAGCCGGAAACGCACCCAGTGTGGCAGCAATCGTCGCCTCTATCGATGCCTCTCTCGGCCAGTGGCCTGCGAAGATCTGTATTCAAACCCAGGAGCGCAACGAAATGGTCGAAGATCTCAACAACATGATGCAGTCTCGCCTGAAGCTCTGGGCCAAGCACAACAAAAACCAATACCCGGAGAACATTGTAGTCTACCGCGACGGTGTCTCCGAGGGCCAGTACTCCATCGTCATCGAAAAAGAGCTTCCTCTGTTGAAAGAAGCCTGTAAGGCTCTGTATCCGGCCACTTTGACCAAGAAGGGCCTCCCACGCCTCTCCATCATCATCGTCGGCAAACGCCACAACATGCGCTTCTATCCCACCACCTCCGCCGATGCAGAGCGATCCATGAACCCCAAGCCCGGCACCGTCGTCGACCGCGGCATCTCTGAGTCTCGCGTCTGGGACTTCTACCTGCAGGCCCATTCTGCCCTCCAAGGTACCGCTCGCCCGGCCCACTACTTCACCATCTGGGACGAGATCTTCTACCCCAAGCACCCGGGCAAGCCAGGCACTGCAAACGCCGCAGATGTCCTGCAGGATTTGACCCATAAGATGTGTTACATGTTCGGCCGAGCTACTAAGGCTGTTAGCGTCTGCCCGCCAGCGTATTATGCGGACTTGGTGTGTACGCGCGCGCGGTGCTACCTGGCTGATCTGTTTGACCCAGAGAGTTTGGCTGAGGGTAGTGTTGCTACCGGTGGTACGAACCAGGTTATTGATGGTTCTAAGGCGCTGGTCCATCCGAACGTGGCGGATACTATGTTCTACATTTAGCGGTGAGAATGGTCAGAACATTTGAATTATCTGGAGGGTTTGAAAACTTTGCCTAGATTGATGATATGCCGTTCTTATGCTATTGATTTGCTTTGAAGTCTTTGTTTCCTTTCATATTTGAAGTCTTCTGTTTCGAGTTTGCAGTGCGAGATTTACTGGTACAGATTGGATTTGGAACTGGACAGTCAGTAGCTGAATATCGCTCGCTAGTATTCGTTGGCCATATGAAACTGGCATCCTTAGATTCTTTTCCCTGTCATTTGGCAGAACAACTTAGTGCTAGTAGAAAAGGCAGCATATTTACTTGGGAAAGTTGAAATAATCCTCGGGGCAGTTGGGGGTATAAAGCAGGTTTCAAGATTTTGAGTCGAGGACATTTTCAACTTGAACGTTACTTGGCCAAGTCCTAAGGTAGACACTACAATCGTCCTAGAATCTAAAGCCACAGCCAACCTCGTTCGAGAAGAGATTACCTTTATTCACTGATACCTTGTGTAGGAAAAGACCGTGATAGATAATATCACTACGAACTTGAGATCAAAAGAGCCTCACTCCCGGAGAAAAATGTTGTAGTCTTGTACAGAGAAAGATATAATGGCGAGCAAGGTAAGAAAAGAAAAGAATAGAAACCAATGAAGCACTCCTGGCGTAGAAATGAAAGATCAAAAGAAAGTGAAACGAAAAAAAAGAGAAGGAAAAGGAAAAGCAACAGCGAAAGTCAGGGGCCGGGCCAGGATCAACAAGACTGCATCAACAGCGCTTGGTCACTTGGTTGAGACCTAGATTTGTTCCTTGGGTATCGGTACGCATCGCTCGTGATTAAGGATAGATCGGATCGGCCGTGCATCGTCATACAAGAAGAACGCAAAGCATTAATAAAGAACGTTAGTCTCGTGGGTGCCTTGCCTTGGACCCGGCTTAGAGGCTCAGAACTGGGCTTCTTGTAGCCGCGAGTCTTCCACGCAATAGTCACTGTATTGCAAATTTATTCCTCGTTACCAAGGCTCCAGCTAGGCTGATTGTGGCGGCGATTGGGCCGAGCGGTCGCAGTGCGCTCTGGCTGGGGAGAGTCATCAGGCAGGTCCCAGTGGGCCTCCATCATCTGGACAGACTTTGCTCGGTCGAAAGCTAAGGGCTTGTTCTCGGCATCGGCCTTGAAAGGCTCTGGGGCCTCATCTACCGTATCCCAGTGCTGATCAAAGTCCTTCTGGCGGTTGGCATTGTGGCCCACCACGGACAGGGGTCGGTTGTTCTTCTTCTCGACCTCGCTGGGCTCAGCCTCACCATGCTCATCGAACAGACGGTTTTCGTACAGACGTTGGCCACGGTTCTGGTAAGAGCTGATAATGCGTCCGTCGTCGCCATCGCCTTTGTCGTCCACCATATCAAAGTGAACCTCTGCGTCTCGGCGGGGCTTGATGACCGCGGGACGGGCAGGAGGAGACTCCTTTCCATCTTCGTCATAACCAAAGGAGAATTGGGCCTGGGGCGCGGGGTGAGCACGGGCAGGTCGCTCAGGAGTATTAAACTCATCGAAGTTCCAATGCGGCTGCTGACGAACCTTGTTTTGCTTGGGTGCCTCCTTGGTCTCTGGCTCATCGGCAAGATTGAAGTGATCGAACCGGTGCGGGTTGCTCTTGTATGGGGCACGATCGTTCGGAATGTCGTCTTCTCCCTCGTCGCCCAGGTTGAAATGATCGAACCTACGGGGATTGCTCTTGTAGGGAACGCGCTCATCCAAGGATGGCTCCTCTTCTTCTCCGAAGATTCGGTTGCCTTGGAACTTCCCCGCGCCCGCTTTGGGAGCAATCACTCGCTCCGGTTTGGAAGGAGTTGTAGGGGCCTCCTCATCAACAAAGATCTCGCTCAAGTCGCGTGGAGGAGGATGTGCGCTAGCCCGCGCAAAGGGACGAGGGCCGTGCTCCCCCTCAGCATCTTCGTCTGCAGGCGACAGGAGATCTGCGAGGGAATTGGCTGCATAAGGGTCTTTGGTAATTCGCTTTCCGGGGGACGCGGGGCGTGCGGTATGGGTCTCGGGCTCGGGCTCGTCAGAGTTGCCGGGCGCAACAAGGTCGAAGAGCGAGTTGGCAGCGTAGGGGTCCTTTGAGTACCGCTTGCTGGGAGACACTGCCTCCTTTTGCTGAGACCGACCCTTGGTGGGTGAGATCAAGTCGAAAAGAGAGTCGGCCGCATACGGGTCTTTGATGTGTCGCTTGGTCGGGGAGGAGGATCGTGGAGGCGGATCCTGTGCGGTACTTTGGGCCGGGGCGGAGGCTTCTGTGGTAGCTGACTTGAGCAATCGAATCTGTTCGGAGCCAGCGCGAATTGGCCAGTTCTTGCCACGCGAGCCAATGACTTCCACCTCCTTCAACAACGAGGCCTGATCCCAATAGATACGGATCTGCTGGATCTCATTCTGGGCGTTCCATTGTACGATATGGAGCTATGAGGTTGCATCAGCATGCATGCATCGCGTGGACAGGAGAATATACGCGTGTTGGGGACTTGACTTACCAAAGGAAGTGTCACAGTTCGGTCGGCCAGGAAATTATCGTCGAAGGAGGGGAGATAGGCCCCACCGCCCTCAAGAAACTCCAGGGTGGTCTCGATGTCTAGGACCAGCGCACTGGAGCTCTCAATTGCGCTGATGATCTGTTCTGACTTCTTCTTGACAAACGCCGCTTGTCGCGAAACATGGTTCACCACGGCATCTCGGCCTTCGAACTTAGTGGTCGAGGTCACATAGAGCAGTGAAATGTTGTCAGCGAGTGTCGCGTTGCGCGGGTTCGCCAGAAACTTGTTGTACTGTGTCTTGAAGAACGTCGCCATGTTATTGGTTCGCCTCCTGTATTCTTAGTTATCCTTCAATCGTTGACCCAGTAGGCGCAGCGAATTTCGCGAGGATAAGGGAGGATAGGAAGGACGGTATCAGGGGAGGTGGAAGATCGTGTAGTTTCGCAATGTCGCGACTAAAAAAGATTGAAGAGAGGAACAATCGGATGAACTACAAGGAAGGAACGTAATGGGGAAGACCCCGTTACTGGTACGCGACAGGACTGTTGACCTGTCTAACAGCATTCGGTACCTGGTACGAAACCAGGGGGAGTTCACGGGCTGTGTGCTATATTACAGGGCGTACCAAGTACCTCCAACCCCACCAAGTAATAGATTGGTCGAATCTCCACAGACCAAATAGGTAAATAACAGACACGCACGGGGGGGAGGAAAACACGCCAGTGTTTCACCAGTTCCCGGGAGAGCCCCAGTCCTTTTACTAAGAAACTCATGCGGGAGCCACGCCGTCCCTCCGGCAACTTGTTTAGAGTTCAGTAAGCAATGCAAATTCCTCCTGGGCCCGGCTTTTATCAGATGGTTTTGAATTTTTGGTATTATACAAGGAGTGCCCTACTATTGGCATACTTACTCTTGGGGCGGGGCATAGATGGATTGTAAAACAATCTTCATGAAAGAGAGACTACTGGGCTTGGCCATAGAACCACTCCCCATTTTAGGGGTTCTGGTCGTGGTCAGGCACATGCAGAAATGCCAATGACCGCACGTCATGCCTCAAAATCAACTTGCGGGCTCTTTTTCAAGGTTTCGGGCCCTACACCGCCATTGCAGTTACGCAGGCTTTGCAGGCTGGCAAGGTATCGAACAGAAAGAATTTGTATGATGCGGACAGTTTTGAAGGGGTATGTGCGTCAAATCGTATCGCGTTACAGGGGTCTGCATAGAAGATCAATTAGTGCATGCGATTTCATAGGTCCAGACCTTGTCACTTACCCAAGAAAATCCTCTTTGATTGTGCCGATAGCATTGATCGCCGCGACATCTGGCTTCACACCGAGAATTTTAAGGCGCAAACTCGTACCTTTCTCGATTACTTGGTCGGCATGGTCGGTGTACTGTGGGGGCACGGTATTGGGCTCCCATTTGATGTCAGAAGGTATGTTCTGGGATGCGCGTTAGCCAATGGCCCTTGTAAGGGGGGGGGAAGAAAGAAAAAAGAAAAAAGAAAAAAGAAGAAGGGCCAGACAAGGCCTACCTTTCGGGCAATGAATACGGATAATGGACCGGCAAGAGTGAAGATACCAGTCGGCTTCACAGAAGTGACAATTGCATCGACCTAACAATACGTCAGTTCAAGCGCTAAACTACAAGGAACCTCAACCCGCGAGGCGAATCCAGAGTTTTCGGGACTCACCGTCTCCCCTCGGAATGGCTTCCAAATGATTGCACGGTACTTGATCGTGTACTCGGCATGTCCACTCGAAGGAATCACTCGGCCCTCGCCAATATCCACCATGTCCATCACACAGATCACAAAATGGTCTCCAGTGCAGGTGCCTTCTTCTTCCTCGTTCAGCCGAGCGATGAGGTACTCTCGCATATTGGGACCAAAGTAAGACGGGTGCAAGGTGATGACCTTGGCTTCTTCCTTGAGAAAAAAACATTCTGGCGGCTACTTGGACGAGCGCAAAACGGATTGGAGCTGGCGCAGGGAAGCTTTGTGGACGGTAAGGATGAGTCGCCGAGTTATTTGGTTCGCCTCAGGATATCTGTAGCTCTGGTGTATGGTGATAGGAGATGAGAGGAAGAGGAGTCGTGCGTGGAAGGGCGACGTCGATCAAATGAATGATTAGCCGTCACCTACTACCTCTTGCCCAAGCCAGACACCCGCCAGGTGTGTCAAGCGCAAAGAGAGTGGATGCGCAGGGATTCCAAAGGCACTGGATCTGCGTCGGTGTAGGGGAAATCGCAGGCGCAATGGAGCTGCTGGAAGTAAACTTGGGCGGGCAGATCTCATTATCGTTGGCGCGAGCTGGTTGGTCACGTGTATGTGCACGGTCCATATGTAATTGTTCCCCAACTCACAGCATTTGTACGAAAAACAACCCCGATATTTTGTATGCATCCCTAATAACGGGCAATTGGCATATAAAGATGGTATGATAAGAAGCTCAATGCCGTTGGAATTTGGATATGAAAATACCCAAATCCGATCCTTTCAGTTGCTGCTATGTAAGTAAACATCAGTTAGAAGGTCACAGTTATATAGTCAAGGTCATGGTACCCGCTACCACAGGACAGTCCAAGAACCACATTCAAGCTCTCAAACACCACCAGTGGGAATACCTACCACTGCCAGCTCATTTTCTAAATTTCCAATTCTTGGAGAGTTGCCTCCAATATTTGACTGGAGGCGCGCGACCTCCACTGGTAGCGACTGCGAATACCCAATGGTCGAAAGTGTCAAGATGAGAAACTTTGTATTACTAGTAAATAACTTGGATAGACTGCGTGTACAGGCGGGAGTCCTATACTTACCTCTAGTCTTTACTGAGGAAGCGAGTCACAAGTCACAGTACCATTATAGGCTGGTGAAGACCAAAAATTTGAGTGTTCTCACAATATTCGAGCGCTTCCAAGGTCAGAGAAGCTCATTGGACTGGGGTGACTGTGCAGTACTAGTAGCCAGACCCCGTTCACCACAGGCGTTTAGCTGAGCGACAACTCGAATGATGGAGGCTGCGAAGGTGGCTGCTGGTGACGGATGGAGACGTTGAAAACCTGAATAGATTATGATGGTCGGCTACTCATATGTGCACTTTACAGACAAATCCCTAAGCATGGCCTTTGACTTCTGTTATTATTGATGGCAAGACTTTCAAAATGTTCCTACTAATTACAAGTAGAAAGTTAGTCAACTATTGGAACTCCCAATTAAAACAGAAGACCTATGAGGATTATGCTGCCTGGCATAGAAGGTATAGTACATCTCCTTTACAACCATGGAAAGACCCATGAACCTAAGCGCTTCTGTCATTATCCATTGGAACGCACTGGATTTGGCTCATGATACTCGCGATCCTTGCGGCAGCATCCTCTTGGGCGGTATCAGTCCCACTCATCGGAGTGTCATTGTCTTGAGCAGTAGAAGATTCCTTTGTTGACGTGTCATTGCCTGGACCTGTGGCACGACAGACTGTCAGATTTTCGTAGTCGAAGCCCTTGTCAAAGCCTTTGGCAGCGGCAAACTTCGCCACTTGGCCTTTCTCGTCCTCGAGGACATCGATATCCTTCGCCCACTCATGTATAGTGGTAAGAGCTTTCTCTTTATCTTCAGGCTTCGTGGGTGATAGCCCAATGGCCCACATGAATCCGCACCAACCACCGTACTCTCGAACAATGACATCCTCTTGGTGGGTGAGTTTGGGGACTGTCGCCAATGTTAGACTAGTAGCCTCGGCAAGACCTCAAGTATGTACACACAGATTGAAAATGTAGACGGCATCTTGGGGATTTTTCAAAGTGTTATCTTGTTTTGTGTTGGGATGTTGTTATGACTTGGAGAACTCAGGAGCTTGCGAGCCTGCGAGCGGTTGTAAACAACATTATGAGGGGAAATTGGTCGGTATTTGTAGGCTCTAGCAAACGGAGCGATTGATATACGAGGCCTCCTATCTAGTAAAGCATCCTTAGCGAACCTCATTCACTGCTCGAGTATACAGTTCAGATGATAAAAACAATTTTCTACTTGATACACAAAATTACCGCATTAAACACAGTACAATACTGTACCAAAACAGGATAGTGCATATCCTCGGTCCCATGCACATGACGGGTAAACGATCCAATTGGACCACTTAGCGCACCTGTTTTAATGATGATGTAGCCCCCCCCCCCATTGTTTTATTCCTGGTGTACCGCTCCCCAATACCAGGCACCCTTTACAAGATGGCCCTCAACCTGGAGAAACAGTTGATCTTTGTAAGTTCTATCTTTGATTTTGATACGAGGCCCATGGTTTCGCTGACTCCATCACAGTACGGGGCTTATCACAACAACCCGGTATCGTTCCATTGCAACTGAATCTCAAACATGACCAAGCCATCCGTGGGCTGACCTCGAACCCCAGGTGAATGTTGCGATCCATATAACATGTGTCCCTGTCCTACTTTTCACGGGCATTGTTCTGGTGCGTATGATTCCCTTGCATTAAGCATGGAAATGGGTGCCCAACTAACGCGCCACCCCCGCAGGCATGTAATTGTCCTCCTCTGTTCACTACGCCCGACATCCTCACTTTCGAGTATCTTCCTGCGAATGCCGGCACCATTGGCGCGTTCATCTATGCCATCTTCTATATTCTCCTCGAACCAGTCGCAGGTGGCCTGATTGCACCGCTCGTAATCGGGTCAGCCGCGTACGGCAACTATCTCCTCGGAAGCTACGGGATGATCGTGAACTATTATGCTGGAGGAATTCACATTGTGTCCTGGCTTGCGCAATTCGTTGGCCATGGTGCTTTTGAGAAACGGGCACCTGCTTTACTAGACAACCTCGTGCAGGCACTGCTGCTTGCGCCCTTGTTTGTCTGGATGGAGATTCTCTTCTTCTTTGGGTATCGTCCGGAGCTGAAGCAGCGCTTCCACAAGAACGTGGAGGTCGAAATTGCTAAGTTCCGTAAGGAGACGGCACAACAGAAGAAGAGCAATTAGCGACCGTGCAAGGGGTCTGGGGTGCACTCGGACGTGGTAACCTGCTTGGCTTTTAGCTGGTGCTGATCTTGCTGAGTGTACCCTTGGAATAGAACTAAACTCGTTTTACCAGTTGTGTTTTTCATGCTGTAGCAGGGAGTTTCTATGATGCATTGGGATAATTGAGAGCTATGGCCGTGAGAACTTATGTTTGGAGATCCGGTAATATTTCTTAAGCCGCACAGATTGTTGATGCTCAAGTGCGCATGACTATGCCCTTGAAGGCATATAATTAAGTCCAAAGCAAAATTGAACCAAACGAGTCCTACGAGTCTTGCGAGTGCTTCAAGTATCTTGATAGCTCATGAGGCCTAACTAGTTAGTCTATAACTATGGTTGCCGTGACGAAGACGTTACCTAAGCAAGACACCTGACCAAGATTCCGACAACCCGAAGAGGAAAAAACGGGAGCGCTGGCCCGCTTGGAACTAGCCTCGTTTACAGGTACTCACCACCAGAGGAGGGTGGGTAATCACCCCGCAAATCTGGGAGTCAAATGAAAGTACATAGAAAGTAGAAACATATGCCAGCTCATCAACCCTGAACCAAGCTCCCTAGCAGGGCAACCCAAGACGGGCTCAGAAGAGTACACCGTGGAGCGGGCGCACTAGGGCCACATCGGGAGGGACCAGCCCCCAAAACGGTCTAGCGCGAGTCCTGAGAATCCAATCCTCCCCCCGAGCGACAAAGCTCTCCTTCCCACCCGTCCACAACCTCTTCTCCTCCCCGATCTCCTCTCCCCAATTACATCCCTCCTTCAGAGTATTCATTCTCATATCCTCTGAACCCCTTTCACAATGTTCAGGAACGCTCTGCGGCAATCCAGCCGCTCCGTTGCGGCCGTCCAGGCCACTGGTCGCATCGCCTCGGTGAGTCTATCCATCCCCCCGGCCATCCTCGTCCATCGTCGATTCGACCTTTTTCCATCTCGAATTTGAGCTCGATTGGTTTTCGGAACGCCCTCCTACCCCAATGACTGCCACTGAGGATGGCTCAATCGCCCTGTCACCCTTGGAGCTCGTCATTGACAAAGTTTTCGCCCTTTACAGGTCCGCGCGGCTGTTCCCGGCCCCATCTCCGGCGCTGCTAAGCAGGTCCGCTCCTACGCCGCCGAGGCCAAGGCTGCCCCTACTGAGGTCTCTTCCATCCTCGAGCAGCGCATCCGCGGTGTTCAGGAGGAGGCCGGTCTTGCCGAGACCGGTCGTGTTCTGTCGGTCGGGTACGTCAACCACGCCCTGGACGGGAGGGAAGAAAAATTCGATCGCCGGATACATTCTCGCCAACACGTCCACCCGCGGCTACGATCATTCCCACTCGAATAAGAAACTAATCTGAATCTGAATAGTGATGGTATCGCCCGTGTTCACGGTATGACCAACGTCCAGGCTGAGGAGCTGGTTGAGTATGTGATCCCTTTCTCCCGCCAAGTCTTGGCATTTTCCAACCTCGGGAAACTAACCGCCAACCAGGTTCGCCTCCGGTGTCAAGGGTATGTGCATGAACCTCGAGGCCGGTCAGGTCGGTGTCGTGCTCTTCGGTTCCGACCGTCTCGTCAAGGAGGGTGAGACTGTCAAGCGTACCGGTGAGATTGTAAGTTCATCAACTCTTGTAAAGGGGCTGGAGGGAAGCTCGTCCGACTTGATCTTGGACATTTCAGTCCTCTGCCTCAACCAATCGGTTCCTGTTTTACTTACACGCTTCAGGTCGATGTTCCCGTCGGTCCCGAGCTGCTCGGCCGTGTTGTCGACGCTCTGGGTAACCCCATTGACGGCAAGGGCCCCATCAACGCCTCTGAGAAGCGTCGTGCTCAGCTCAAGGCCCCCGGTATCCTGCCCCGTCAGTCCGTCAACCAGCCCGTCCAGACTGGTTTGAAGTGTGTTGACTCCATGGTGCCCATTGGTCGTGGTCAGCGTGAGTTGATCATTGGTGACCGTCAGACTGGTAAGACTGCCGTCGCTCTGGACGCTATGCTTAACCAGAAGCGTTGGAACTCCTCCGGCGACGAGGCATCCAAGCTGTACTGTATCTACGTTGCCGTCGGTCAGAAGCGTTCCACCGTCGCTCAGCTCGTCAAGACCCTTGAGGAGAACGACGCCATGAAGTACTCCATCGTTGTTGCTGCTACTGCCTCCGAGGCTGCTCCTCTGCAGTACCTTGCCCCCTTCACTGGTAAGTTTATCTTTCCCTTATTTCAATTTTATCTCGTTGTTTGTCGTTACTTCCCAACCTGGCGAACTCGATCTTGCTCTTTACTCATTTGGCTCTTTCCTCTTCTGCGGCTTGGCATTTGGCTAGCAAGCGCCATTGCGCTGCCGCCGCCGCTGCCGCCGCCGAGTCTGCCGATGAGGAAGAGCAACCTTCCTCTTAACTTTTATCGGCACACTTCAATTCTTATCACAACTTTTATCAACACCTAACATTTATACGTCAACACATGCTAATATTCATACAATTATACAGGAACATCGATGGGAGAAGCCTTCCGTGATTCCGGCCGCCACGCTGTCATTATTTACGATGATCTGTCTAAGCAGGCTGTTGCGTACCGTCAGATGTCTCTTCTGCTGCGTCGTCCCCCGGTCGTGAGGCCTACCCCGGTGACGTTTTCTACCTCCACTCCCGTCTCCTTGAGCGTTCTGCCAAGATGAACAACAAGACTCACGGTGGTGGTTCTCTCACCGCCCTGCCCATCATTGAGACCCAGGGTGGTGACGTGTCTGCGTACATTCCCACCAACGTCATTTCCATCACCGACGGCCAGATCTTCCTGGAGTCTGAGCTGTTTTACAAGGGTATCCGTCCCGCGATTAACGTCGGTCTGTCCGTCTCCCGTGTCGGTTCCGCCGCGCAGGTCAAGGCCATGAAGCAGGTTGCCGGTTCTCTGAAGCTGTTCTTGGCTCAGTACCGTGAGGTCGCTGCCTTCGCCCAGTTCGGTTCCGACCTGGATGCGTCCACCAAGCAGACCCTTGCCCGTGGTGAGCGTCTCACCGAGCTGCTCAAGCAGAAGCAGTACTCCCCCATGGCCGTCTCCGACATGGTTCCTCTGATCTTCGCCGGTGTCAACGGTTTCCTTGACAACATCCCCGTCAACAAGATCCTCCAGTGGGAGTCTGACATTCTCGCCCACCTCAAGAGCAACAACCCCGAGATCCAGCAGACCATCGAGAAGGAGGGCCAGATCAGCAAGGAGCTTGAGAACCAGCTCAAGGAGGCTATTGGCAACTTCAACAAGTCTTTCAACGCATAGGTGAGCCAAGAAAACAACCATTGAGAGATCCGTGGTGATTGTTCTGTTTTCCTGACTTGTTCTATGTGTATAGACGAGATAGCTTGTACAATTTTGAGGCCATTGTTTTGTTGTGTTCCTCTCGGTCCTGGTGTTCCCTATGGATCTGTCGATCTCTACGCTCTGGACGTAGCGAAGTAACCAATTACTGAGTCTACTGGTTCGGGAAGTGCAATTGATATTCTGGACAGGAAATTGGGACTGGCTAGGAACTGGCCGATTCGATGGGCTGCCAAAATGTGATTATATCCTGTACTCTTAGATTTTTCCGCGCATCGGGGAGCGCGGATGGGAGGATGGCCATTACTCTCGTCTGGTCTCCATGTGTCTCTCTCCACGTTGAATTCGCAATTTATTTCATTTGTTCACATTTACGCTCGTAGACTTCCATCATCCTGCTCCGGTTTTGATCAGGCTGAATTGAATATCTTGGTACGTGAGTTCGTGGTGCTATGCCGAAAGTTGACGATGGAGATGAGATCTCCAGCTACAGCCGAGCAATAATCACAGTTTGAAATGGATTTATTTTTTCCCCTAATGGATCAATCATATCAATCTGTGATGCGCCAGAAAACCCAAAGAAATGTACCCGGCGGAGCCGCTTTCGGCCTCCGATCTTATCGATAAGTGGAACAATCTTTTTTTTCATCGGGTCAGCCTCCCCGCGCGAACGCAAGGCCCCACGTTCTTGGAGTACTCATCCTAGCCTTTCATATTCACCATGTCGGCCCCTCAAGACGCTGCTCCTTCCTCCTGCAAGGTGATGCTCGCCAAGAATGTCGCCAATGGTCTGCTCAAGGAGGTCCAAGAGGGCCTCAAGACCCTCGAGAAGCCGCCACACCTGGTCGGCTTCCTAGCGAACAATGACCCTGCTGCGCTGATGTATGCGCAGTGGACACAGAAGACATGCGAAGAGAAGTGAGTGATCCTTCGTTTCAAATGGCTAGGCCCGTCTCAGTATTATCTTGTTTTGCACTTCGTAGATGGCGGCGGGGGATGATTCATACTGCCCCTCGTCGCGTCGCGAAAAGACACCCAGATCGACATCATTGTGTGATTCAGGAAACCAAAGATTGCTAATGCTTATTTCTACCCTGCTAGTGGATTCAAATACTCTCTGCGCGAAGTCTCCCAAGCGGACATTGAGGAAGCCATTTTGTCCGCCAACAAGGACGCATCTGTAGACGGTATCATCGTCTACTATCCAATCTTCAATAACCGACAGGACCAATACCTACAACAGATCGTCGACGTTGAAAAAGATGTCGAAGGCCTTAGCCACCGCTACATCTTTAACATGTACCAGAACATTCGCTACCTGGACGGAGAAACCAAGCGCCAGAAGTCCATCCTGCCTTGTACACCCCTTGCCAACATTAAGATCCTCGAGTACCTGAACATCTACAACACAATCCTGCCCTATGGGAACCGTCTCTTTGGCCACACTATTTGTGTTGTGAACCGTTCCGAGGTCGTCGGTCGCCCACTAGCAGCGCTGCTCGCCAATGATGGTGCCTGTGTCTATAGCGTTGATATCACTGGTGTGCAGAAGTTCACTCGTGGCGAGGGACTGAAGAAGGGTCGCCACGAGGTCATTGATATGGAGGGTGCTACTATCAAAGACGTTGCACCTTTATGTGATGTGGTTATCACCGGAGTACCGAGTGAGAAGTACAAGTTCGATACTAGCTTGCTTCGTGAGGGTGCTGTCTGTGTCAACTTCTCTAGCGAAAAGGTATGTTGTCCTTTCTATTTCATATAGGATGGATCTTAACCAATATTCCAGAACTTCCCCCACGAAGTTAGGCAGAAGGCCTCCATTTTCGTCCCTTCGATTGGCAAGGTGACTATTGTCGTCCTACTTCGAAACTTGCTGGTTAGTCTCCTGCCTCCTTGATATTTCTTGAATCATTGGAATGAGACCGTCATTGACACAATCTATAGCGTCTCATGCAGAACCGCCGAATGGACGATGTCAAGCCTGCCGCGGCTACTGAGCGCCCTGGCACTCTTGAGGCTGCTTCCTAAGCATACCCAGATGGCCCTGAAACTGATGCGCATTGATTCACGAGGTCAAACTTTTCGAAAAATAACATAGACTTTTTCTTTTCTCCTTCGGCTGCTCTGAATATATCTGATTCTCTTTTCAAATTATACTCCATAATCATGAATATCCATAGACGCTATTGACTATGGCAAATACAAAGTTACTCCACGAATCAAATCTCAAGGTGTCACATCTTAGCCTCGCGCATATTGATCGTAGGTCAGACTGCCTATTTCTTCTTCTCGATCTCTTTGGCTGCCAATCTCAAGACATCAATCTCGCTTGCGAGCCAGCTGCGGTATGGCTCCGGGTGGAAAACGCCATCTGCTGAGAACCAGTTGGTGAATGGTGCTTCGATGCGCTTATCCTGAAGGACTTTCCCCGAGGGAGCCTTGTAAACAATGTGAAGCTTGTAGGGGAGGCTGTTCTTGTTTACGGACGAGGAGATGGTGATCTAATTTTTTTGAGCGTTAGTATCGGTGCAATCCAGGATACGTATGGCTTAGCGAGTTCTCAAGCAGCATCCCTAAAGAAAGGTGGCAATACGGCAACAGTCGGGCCACGTACCGTTTCTCCAGTCTTCCTTTTGCCGTGGAATACCTCGCCCGCCTCGACAGCCCATATCCAGAATGTTAGGGCGGTGTTTAAGATAAAGTATGAGCCAACAGCAGCGATAATCCATGGTGAGGTTGTTGCCTCCCAACCGAGTTTACGGTCTGCATAGAAGGTGAACGCAGCGATTGCGACGGCGGTGTAGCCCAGTACGAAGCGGATGTTGGACTTGGTGTAGTCTGGGGTGAAGGTGTAAGGGGCGGGAAGATTGGTGAGGTAGGGTGCCAGAGCGTCATCACTAGTGGATTTGAGATCTATAAAAGTATGTTAGCCCTGCTGGACCGAGATATTTTGCTTCCAATTGACAGGATACTGTAAGCTTAAGCTGGAAGCGGTACGCACCATTTGTAGAATATATTGGCACCTTGGTAGTCGCCATCCTGCAAGTTTGTATGCTAGAACGGGGTCAAAAAGCCCACAAATTCCAAGACAAGCTTCTGGATCCGCCTTTGTAGAGCGGTGCTGTGGTGTTCGTCGAGTGTCGATCTCAAGGACACAGTTGCGGGTTGGAGAAAGCTGGAGTTCGCGCGGGCCAATAACATCTACCGCCGCGAACCCAACCGCTTCCGCTAAACCTCAGGGTTTCCTCTCCGCTCTTCCCACCGCAGCTGCCAGAGATCCCTGGTTGTCCAGTCATTCACAACCTTGAATAAAGTCACGGTATTCCATTCGCCATGGCTGTTCAAGTAGTCGAGCAGACTATCCTTCGGGATCCGGCACTCTTGTGAGACAGACCCTCAGCACGAGCGAAACGCATCGATCTAACATTCACGATATAGCTACTGGATCTTGATTCCCATTTCGGTGGTCATGGTATGGCTAGATTCCAGCTCGTACGCCTCAGATCCAACTCTCACACAGCTTCTAGATCCTCACCGGTATCTTGCGCCATTACGCCACAGTCCTCATGAACACGCCACCGAAACCCCCCCGCAACCCTCGCCGAGTCTCGCGAGAGACATGCTCTCCTCCGCGGCGTTAACCTGCGCAACCATGCTGCTGCCGTTCTTGACCGTGAGGCCTTTGAGCAGCGAAAGACTTACTTGGTGAACGGCTTCCGCAATGGATCCTTCCTCAAGGACCCGGAAAACCAGGGCCAGCCCCCGGCTAATCCTATGACGGATCCTGCAGGCATGGAGGCAATGATGGGTATGCTGAAGGGAAATATGATGATGATGATCCCCCAGACCCTGATCATGAGTTGGATCAATGCCTTCTTTTCTGGGTTCGTGATCTGTGAGTTAGATTACCAGCCGTGGCATTATATGTCGTTCGCTAATGGGTTTTGTAGTGAAACTGCCGTTCCCCTTAACTATTCGTTTCAAGTCCATGCTCCAGTCTGGTGTCATGACTCGTGACCTGGATGTTAGATGGGTGTCTAGCCTGTCGTGGTACTTCCTCAACCTCATGGGTTTACAGTCTGTGTTCGGGTTTATCCTGGGCAGTGATAATGGTAAGTAAGCATCTCCATGAGATGCGTCACTCCATTTTCTTCGATGTGGATACTGATTTTCGCAGCTGCAAACCAGATGGCCCAGCAAGTGGGTATGGCCAACCCTGCCGCCATGATGAACCCTATGCAACCGGGTCAAGACCCAGACAAATTGTTCAAGAGCGAGGCGGAGAATTTGGAAGTCATGGAACACTTCTGTATCCTGGACGGAGTAGAGGAGAATCCTGCAGAACTTTGCTCCCGAGGCGAAATAATTGACTACTTGTGTGACATCAAGTTGGTCTTACTGTATGGTATATAGAAGAGCAGAGATCCTAGAGAACGGAAGAGGCGTTGATCGATACTGCGCATAGCATAGATAATAATGTCCTTTATTGATATCTGAAGTCGTAATCATTAGATCTCGTCATCGCACTGGTACCGATATCTTTTTATATCGCATAGGCTGAACATCCGGCTCTGGAAGATAACACTAGGGTCTAATCTAATCAACCCGGTTCGATTTGCGCGTCTTCAACTGGATATCATCAAGTCAATGGGATACAATAGGGGGCAAAAGTCCGTGTGCATACCGCTTCACCTACCCTGTCAAATGCCTACGTATATTCATGGTTACATATCCTACATCCTACATGTTGGATTATACTAAAATACAATATACTAAATAATCTGGTTTATATACAGAGTTACCTTGCTTAATATCTCGGTATAATAACCCTGGTTCGTATACAAGTTATCCATCATTCTTCCCATACATATCAATCATCGTCTGGTCTAATATATCACATACAGCATCATTACACTCTTTATAATAGACCCGATCCTCTTCAGATCTTCCTATCTATATAAGTTCTTCAAATATACAAAAAATTTCGCGCTTTAGTTTATTCTAGACCAGCTTAATAGGATCAAGACCGGGCTAGTATATAGGCCGATGTTTTACATACATCCCGTGCTCTTTAAACTAAACCTGTATATTTTTTTTTGTTTTCGCTATATAGAACTTTGTGTTATCTTGCTAAAATATTGTTCCAGGTTGACAGCGATCGAGACCAAGGGGGGAGGTGTAGGAGGGAAGATAGAAATGTAGGTGGCTGTTAGGGTGATGGCAATGGGACTGAGTGCGTAGAGACTTTTGCGCGGGTGCTGTAGTAGCTCTAACGTGCAGTTCTAGTAAATGATACTAGGATTCAGTTAAGTCGACCCGGTATTGTTTATAGATTTCCCTCTCTGGATACTATAACTGCCTTCATGTCTAATGCTAGAAAATAAAACTAATACGTAGGTATATCAACCCTATTCAATCCGTATTTCCCCTTTTCCGCATATCATTGTACAGCCCTAACATCGTCTCCAAGAAAACAAAAACCATACCTCAACCTAATCAACCAGGTTCCGTTTACCAAATTCCTTCCCTAGATTCTACAGCATACTCAACACCTATTTTGAAAAAATGACACCAGATTCCATTTCAATCGACCAGGTTTTGTTTACAGATTCCTCCTTTTAGATACTACAACAGCCTTTACACCCAGTTCTAGAAAGTGACGCTAAGATCTAGCAAAATTCACCAGGATCAACTTTCGTGACTTTTCCGCCAGATACTAGCAAAAAAAATTTCTGGCTCAGCATTTTCTCTTCTTACAACCACTCGACCTTGATAGCTTTGATTGGAAGTAGCTTGACCATAGCAGTTCCACCAATTTCCAGTAAAATCCACCAGGATCAACTTTCATGACTTTTCCGCCAGATACTAGCAAAAAGTCCTCTGCTGGCTTTCTTTTCTCTTCTTACAACTACTCGACCTTCATGGCCGCCTCATTTGCTGGAGCGTTAACGCCCCGATCCTAGAAAGTGACACCTATCTCTAGCAAAATCCACCAGGATTAACTTCCACGATTTTTCCGCCAGACACTAGCGAAATATTTCCTGGCTTTTCGTTCTCGTTTTTACAACCACCTGGATACTCTTGATTCCAGGAAGGGGTATTACCCTACTATTAACCTGTGGAAGTCGATTCATGAAAAAAAATTTAATATTGCAGTAATGTCGTAGAATCATAAACACTTCCTATTAATTCAGCGGTAGTTTACCACATTGTCTAAAACCCAGACTTCTCCGTTGGAGACTCTCTCTGCGATGCTGTTGACCTGAACGTTGCCCGGTTGAATCTAAAGCTTGTTAATATCATGAGTGCACTGATCTGAGATTTTCCACGTACAATCATCTTATCGCCATCCTTGACCCATTTAAGCTTTTCGCCTCCCATGGTCTCGACTTCTTCGCCCTCTTTCCATGGGCTTACGGGTATAACGTGAGCCTCGACGAATTTCTGCAAGTTCTGCTTTGCCCGGTCTTGTCCATCCTGGCCCTCGTAGGCATTCGCTTCACCGAACTTGGCATAATCTTCCGGGTTCTCCCAGGGCTTGCGGGGAAGAGCCTGAATAGCGCTATTCCGAGGGGCGAGGACAGTTACGTTCTTTGTAGCATCGTTCAAACGGGAAGCGACCGGGTCGAAGTCTCGCGTCAGTTGGGAGAATACATTGATGCCTTTGGTCTTAGGCAGGACATCCGAGATCACGGGCGGGTTGTCTGGATTCTCTGACCCTTGGCCTGGTTGTAAGAAGCCTGGGAGGTTGGCCATGATAGGGTGCTGGTTGTATTTTGAGTTCAAAGGGTTCTGTCGGAGAATAGAGGGTAAAGATAGCCCCGAAGCCGCAGTTACAAGCCCGAATAGAGTCCACGTTAATAGAAGAGATGTAATACGACGTATGTCCTTCATTTTGGGCGGGCGTGGGAGTAGCTTGATGTGCTTTGCGACTCAGATCAGCCATGACGCAAAGTGGCACGTGATGTAGAGGGGCATGTGACTGTTATCGATAAGGGCCACAGAAATTGGAAGGAGCAGGCGCAGATACAGCAGAGTGGTTTCCTATCTTCTCTCGAGCGCTTTGGGAAACTCTAGCATTATGTCGGCCCTACAGACCTTCCTACTGGTCGTTGAGCACGACAAGGAAGAGGCCAAGCGCATCGCGGAAGGTGTCGCTCAAGGTTGATTCTACCGAACTCCCCGCACTATATCACAGCACACTAATCAGGACGTATGATAGATGTGGAAGCCAAGAAAACAACCCTGATTGAGATTGTCCAGCAGCTCGGCGAATACATCAATGATGAAGACCCAATTATCCGCGGAAAGGCCGTTTCTTTCCTTACCGCTGTGATCAAGGCCCTGCCACCCCGCTTCTTGTCAAGACAGCAGATACAGGTTTTAACCACGTTCTTCGGCGACCGAATTGAAGATGGGGGTGCTGTGACGGGTTTGGAGCATTTGCAAGCGCTAGATCGCTTCACGGTCGAGTTGGCAACAGAAACTGCACAAGCGTATGTTGATATTAGCCATGACAGTTGGATCGTTGTTAATTGATTCATCCAGTCTATTTCGCAACTTCCAGGACTTGCAGTCTCGCTCGCAGACTCAGAGGTTTCACGTATATCAATTGCTTAATGAGTTGATGTCAAATCATCGAACTGGTACGTACAAATATGCTCCGCTACGCTATGGTAGCAAGAGATTGCCGGAGCTGATATTTGGTAGCGTTGCGTGAGATGGGCGATGAATCTCTCGTTGGTGTCGTGGATCTGATGACAGGCGAAAAAGATCCTCGAAATCTGATGATCGTCTTCTCTATCCTCAAAGTAGTTATGATGGAATGGGATATCAGCAACCATGCCGAGGTATGGCAGCTTGCAATTGAGAATGGGACTTGAAGCTAATGGGACCAGCTCTTATTTGATTCGGTCTATAACTATTTCCCAATCACATTCAGGCCGCCACCGAATGATCCATATGGAATCACCGCGCAAGACTTGAAGGATCGTCTTCAAGAGTGCATCTCCGCATCCCGGCACCTTGCTCCACACGCCATCCCTGCGTTGTTGGACAAGCTGGACTCCACCTCTCCTAACGTCAAGGTTCGTTAAGTTTATAACCAAAATAACTCCCACTTCTAACAGTTTTGTAGAAAGATGCTCTTAATTGTCTGATCGCGTGCATCCACTCTTACGACCCGGACACCGTCTCGCGATTCTCTATCACGATCTGGGATGTTTTGAAGTTTGAAATCCTTAATGCCCAAGAGGAATTTTTATCAGACTTATCTCTCGACGCTCTCAAAGGTATTACTCAGCGCCTCTCAGAAGGAGTATCAGAGGTTTCGCAAGAACTACCCTTGGCGCAGTTCCTTAAATCTATCACGAAGGAATGCAATGAGCAATTACAAGAGCCCCAGCAAAGGCAAGCCAAGCCCGCACAGCAGATCCTTAGCTCCGTTTCATCTGCTTCGTGCGTGGCATTTGTACTTGTGGTACAGACTGTTGTCGCCCCGATCTTCACAATATACCAAGAAGCGGATGGAATCGCTAAGCAGAGAGCTCTCCTTGAGACTTTATCTGTGCTATTTCAATCCGCGGTTGACTTGTTTGGCCTATGGACTACTCGTAAGAGTGAGGTCAGCATTGAGAATCCATTGATCGAATTCAAGGACCAGTTCTCCGACGTCCTGGGCCAGGCCTTAATGGGCTCTGCAAAGGAAGAGTTCACCTTCCGGACCACTGCTTTGAAGGCCTTTCTTCGTCTTTCAGTCTTGCGAGATTTTTTCCAAGATAATGAAATTGGTCTGTTTGTCCAGTATCTTGATGATATCTTACTCAAGGAGGAATCCTCTGGACGAGGCGACCTGAAAAAAGAAGCCATTTCCGCACTTGCCGAAATCTCCAAACACAAACCTCGCTTGATCATCGATATCACATTTCCAGCGTTTGTGGCGACTTTGCCAGACGAAGACGATGGAACAAATAAGAATTATCTGCCAACGCTCGACACGTTGGCTCAAATTAGTGTCGAACGAGATATCTTTGAAACTTTGTTCCGCCGTCTCTTCGGCAAACTATCGATCCTCTTGCAGAAAGAACAGCCCGGCTCTCCGGCGTACCCTCGGGCTATCCTGATGACCCTTCTTTACGTGATGCGACAGAGAAAGATGGATTCAGACCCCAGCGTGGATCTATACTTCGACAAGATTGTTGTTGGTCTTTCACAGAGTGTCGCCGAAACAGCCTCAGGACAGGGTAGAAACCAAATTCTGAGTGATCCTACTGTCCTCGATACGCTTGGTCGGCTGTGCAACCTTTTGGTGCGATCTGTATCCCCGAGAGGCAGCAACAAGTGGCCGAAAATGTCTACAGTCTTTTTTCACCTGCAGACAACTTTATACCAGTACCATTCTCTCAAGGTGTGACGGCTGATCAAGAACGCACGATCATCATTTCTACATATCTACTTGCAGGTCTGTCGAAGGATTGCGTTGCTCATATTCCTTACACATCTCCGGATATGTCTGCTCTACTCTTGGATTTGGTACAGCGTGCTGTATCCGAGAGCGCCGAGCCTGCTACACATCTCGCTTACCTTCGTCATGTGGCCCTGCTTGCCAACAAATTCCTGTCGAAGCAAGACCTTCCCATTGCGGAAAAGCTATTCGATTCTTTGGTCTCATCAGACCAACAGACCATTAGCCCAGAAAAAATTCGAGTCATCTTCTGGCTGGCGAAAGCTCTTGTTCTTCGCCTTGCCCTTACGACCACTCATATCTTGAACTCGCTTCTTGATCTTCTCTCATCTTCCGACTTCAAAACCAGCAATGCCACTGCGCGTGGATTTGCTATTCTACTGGGTGAAGACGATGTTGTTTCTGCTACAAATGGAGCGTCTATTCGTCTGTTGTTCAAGCAGCGCGTCTTCACAACAGTCATCCCACTTATCTCTTCCCGAATCCGCGATGTTAACATCACTGGCAGCGAAGGTCAAGCAGCCGACCACATCAAACCGGCTCACCTTACCGCGCTTGCTGGTATACTGTCAACTATTCCTCCGGATCTCGTGATGCCCGAACTTCCTACGTTATTACCACTCCTCCTTCAATCCCTCGATCTCCAAACATCCGATTCCGTGGCAGTCCGTGCCGCAACACTCGACACTCTCAGTGTTATCATTCGTGAAAACGGTGTTGCTGTGATTGAAAAGTGTGGCCACGTTCACAGTCTCGTTCAAAGGCTTCTCAAGACCACCGAGTTGAAGACATCCACCGGAGCGGTCAACACCCCTCGTCTACGTGTAGAGTCCCTCAAATGCCTCCATCTTCTGGCTACCAAGCAAATCCCAGATGCTGCGCAGAATACCAGCATCCCTGCTTCGATTTCTCCGCTTCTTCCAGAGAAGGCTCTTGTTCTGCGCTCCCTGCGCGCTGTGCTGGATGATCCCAAGCGGGACGTCCGTAAAGCAGCAGTGGATGCTCGGGGTGCCTGGTTGCGAAGTGTCGACGATGCCCCCGAGGAGGAGGACTGAGAGAGTGATTTCGAATAGATTGATGAAGACTACCATATAGGGGTATAGACTTTAGAAACAAAAAAGCAAATCCATTGATTCATGAACATAGTTCAGCGGTGTATTTACATGTTGCGTGCACACTTGGAATAGAATACTCGTTCTCTTCCGATCAAAGAACATTCGATATCGAGTAGTGCGATAAACAGGGTCACGCAATCCACTTGCATCAAAGCAAATTAGGCAACAGACCATGACAAAAGATCGCCGGAGTGCAAGACTGCAGTCATATTTTGCTCAGTCATATCGGGGGTATGCTTGTCATCATACATCACATCTAAACAATTGAATCTAGAACAGGGAAAGACTTAAGGTAGAACGGATACCAGATGGCGCAATGGGGGTATCTGCGCTGCCGAAAAACGCCAGACACCGTAGAAAGGGAGTTTCATGCGAACGAGGCATGCAGAGGGGGGGCTGAATGACCTTGCAGGGAAGAGAGACACAGAGACAGAAGATTGAGTAGATGAGAGGGCGGGAGATTTCGGATGCCGGAGAAAAGTGAGGTTTTTAGGAGGAAGCTTTTATAGAAATAATTAGCACCACGCCGATCGATCTCGTTTGGTATAAGCGCTACTCCTCACATTATTCTTTGGACTTGCTCTCATGGAGCTTAATAGCCCATCTCATCTGGGCCTCGGTCGTCTTCATCGAATCGATCGCCTTGTCAATCAGGGTATTGTTCAGATTCGTCCGCTCGATCGTCTCCCGCAGCTCATTATCCTTGACCTGCTTATATTCCGCATGTGTTGTCATGAGCTTCTCATTCGACTCCTTCAGCGCCGCGATCTCCCGATTCTTCTGGTCGGCCAGGACCTCTAGGCGCTCCGTCTGCACACTCTGTTCCTGCTGCGTCGCCTGCATCGAGTAGAGCTCCTCCCAGAGCGCCTTGATCTTTGCCCCCAGCTCAGCTTTGTCCCGCTTCAGCGTGCCGGACAGCACATCGTATTGCGTCTCGTAGTGCTTCGCCAGCTCCAGGGCGTGGGCCTGCGCGCGGTGGTGAATCTCTCGTTCCTCGCGCATGGTGCTATTCGTCAGGTTCGCGACTTCTTCCGCGTCTTGACGCTTGACGCGCTCATGCTGCAGCTCCGTGCGTAGCTCTTCGATCTTCTTGTCCTTGCGGGCAATCGAGTTCAGGTTGGTCTCGTTGACTTGCTCGAGATTGCGGAGTCGTTCCTGCGCATTGGTATATTGGATCTTGAAGGTTTCATTCAGGCGGGTTGCTTCTTCGGTTTTGGAGCGGTACACACCCAGATCACGGGTGAGGCGCGCGATTTCCTCCTGCAGGTTGTGGATTACTCGCCCGGATTTCCCGGTGGCTGCGTGGCCCACAGCGGACCATTCGGTTTGTTCGGGGGTGTCACGGGCGGGTTTGAAGCTTGTGGGGTCTGCGTTGGAGGATGGTGAAGGTGACTTGGAGTCTACGAGGGAGCATGTGAGCTGGTAGGGGGGGGTGGTTGGGAATGTGATTGCGCAGACAAACCTCTCTCGTCTGGCACTGGACTCCCGTCCTGGAAGAGGCCGTTGTGTTGGTGCATGTTCAACTGTGTGTCCACATGGGGGAGGTTTACTTGTGGAGGAGGTGATTTGGATTTGGACTTGGATTGAGGATGAGGTTGGGATTGAGAAAGAGGGGAGTTGGGATCGATAGGCGCGTCTGACCGAGAGTTAGTGGAAATGAGTCCGCGAGAATCGAGCCGCTGGAAGGGAAGCCCAAAAAGAGCCATGCTGCTTATTGGGCCTGGAATTGTGTGTTTCAAGAGTTCCCAGTAGATCCGGTGAATTTCCCTTACCATTGAACCTCAATTGGGCAATATGCGTGTTTCGGTTCTTGCGTCTAAGCATCGCCGTATCGCCTGAGACTAATCACTGCATTCTACCTACTAGGTATGCAGTGGGGCGGTGGGGAACCTGGGTCAGCATCCAAAAGTCAAAGCCAGAGTGGAATGTAAACCAGAACAAGGGGAATCTTGTCAGAAGCAGAAAGACAAAAAAAAAACATCAGAAATCAGGAGGGCAAAGCTTTGGGGATGGCCCGGAACTCACGAGCCAATTATTGATGTCGGTGGCCACTAGATTCGGACACTAGCAGGGGGGGGCCGAACCACTTGTCATGCATGGATCATCTGGTGTCATCCAAACAAAAGGACCAGCTCATAGGGGTTCTCATAGGGGTTCTCTTGCCACATATTGGGGGAAAACGGTATCCTGAAAACTATGATTTCATTACCTCCACAGCTCCAGACCAAAGGCCGCCTATGAAGGTAGGGGGTATTGGATATATGTACATGAAGGTAGGGCCCAGTCCAGGTTTCTGATTTTAAATAGAGTAAGTGCAGCTATGGAGTGTGAAGAAAAGGGAAATCAACCTAGAACCCAAACACGAAAGCAGCAATGGCACCAAGAGCCAGGCCGAGAGAGAATTGCGGAGCAGAAGCAGTATTCTCGTCGATGCTGCTAGTCTGCTTTGCCTTGCGGCTCTGGCCAGTTATGGAAGGCTCAGCAGCCACCGAGTTGGTGACAACTTCAGTAGAAACGGGGCTGCTGGACGAGGGGGTGCCGGAGGGCGTAGAGCTAATCAAAGGCCTGCTGCTGCTGCTACTGCTGTCGCTGGTGCTGGCGCTGGCGCTGGTACTGGCGCTGACGCTGTGACTACTGCTGCCAGTAGTCATGCTAGTGAGAGTGGCACCGGTAGCTGAGCTTCTGGTGGCACCAGTGGTGCCGGTTGGATGGGGAGCAGTAGTCGAAGCCCCGGTCTCGGTGGCAGCTGCGGTGGTGCCAGTAGACGCCTGGGTTTCCATGGACTTCTCGATACCGGGAGCGGGAGCAGCGGCCTTCAGCAGGCTGGAGTAGTTGTTTTCGGCGCCCTGAGACAGCATAAAAGCGTAGTTCTGGCCCTCCTTGATATTGGCACCGGGGGTCCAGGTGAACTTGCCATCCTTGGCCTGGGCAGTGATTGTCTCCACGTCTTCCAGATTTCCAGCGGCTCCTTTACGGAGAGTAAGAGTAACGGGCTATAGATTGTTAGGGCGACTCCTTTTTGTTTTGTTCTTTTTTTTTCTTTGGCTAATCTGGTAGTTTACCTGATCGGGAGCACCTCCGGCCCAGGTCAGGGTTACGGGCTTGCCGGCCGCGATATCAGCGGGCCAGCTGGTGAAAGCCAACGGGTCGGTGGCATATCCCAAGGTGATGAGAGAGGCTGAAGTGGCGAGGACGGCCGTGAAACGCATAATTACTATGGGGATCGAAAGGAGCGAATGATTATAAGGGATATTAAGGAACGTGTTATTGTATTAGGTCGTGTATGGCGAAGAAAAAACCGATACAGAATCACCAGATACCAGTGGCGTTCAACGCTCCTTTATTTGCATGCTATATCCTCCCGGCCCCGCAATATGGTTGATTCCAACATTCGGCATTTGAGCGTCTGAGAGCTGACGCCCGCTGAGGGAGAATGTCGCATTCCTCGGCTTAGGTTCAGGGCCATCTTGCTCTCATCGAGTGAAGACAGGTGATTATGACACGGTGGAATGCCTTAATGAAGGGCTCTGGAATTCTTCATGAAGCCTGGGGGAAACAGACAATAGATCTTCCATATTGATAAGATTGTCGGCCAAGAGCCTGATTTTCATATCTGCCAGCGAGTATTCCGGTCCCTTCTATGACCCTCAAATAGTTTATTCTTCCCAGCGTAATGAGTACACTAGAGGGCTCAGAATAGTACTAAGAAACTACTTGAGGCTAGATGGAGTTCTCAAGTGTCAGTAAACCAAGTTCTATCCAAAGCCTGTTTAGCCGGAATGTCATCCCTTCCCAAACGGTGATCCGTAAACAAAGCATAGGGCTGCAGGCCCACTCCTATCTAATAAGTTGGCTCTTCCAGCAAGAATTTCTCGCATTTTTGCATTCAAGTTGTGCTTTGTCCTGTATCCATACCAAGGGATGGCAGGAGATAGAACTCGAGCTTTTCTCATGACCACCTACACACCCACTCTGGACGGTCTTCATGGTCGATCTGTTGATCAGTTGCTCTGCAAGGGAGGAACTGACGTGAAGACTAAAAAAAAACCTTCGCTGAGACATCCTATTGTCTACGAATTCTCAAGTGGTTTCCCAAGAACTTGGCAATGAAAAGACCGGCTCCAGACTCTTTTGCAGATCCCGGTGGCTACAGAAATCCACGAGTCAGGAAATACGCCACGACCGCTTGCCACCTTACACAGAATTCGTGGTTCGAAGGAAATAGAGACGGTCGGGTGCGAAGTATTTAGTACCATAACTCTGACCATCTAGGGAATCATCTGAATTTGCATCATCGCTAATAGATCGCCCAAACGCCGCAGGTGCTAACTTTTAAGATCCTAATAGGATCAAGAGAAACCCCAGAGACTCCTCACAAAAGCCCCAGGGCCAGAATCGACCCCACCGTCTTCCTCCAAGAGTCGATCCGTGAAGATACGCTTGGGAATTTGGTATTCCACCACTGGGATCTTCTTCAAAGGTCGCTCGCCCGTGCCGAGTTCACCCTGTATCATCCCCTGGTACGTGTGATCCAAGAAGTCCTCAATGTTGTAGGCTTGTTTTGTGAACTGCTCCGAGATAATCCGCGCGATAGCCGCAACGTTAGGATGGTAGTGGGACTGTAATGATTCAATCTCCCACACGCAACTCTCGATAGCGCGCGTACGCATTGGGTCGGCTTCGTTGGGATCAAAGGGATCGGTCATGCCTTCCGCCTCGATCTTTGCGGCTTTCTTGCTGTCGCGGATCTCACGGTGCATCATGAATGTGCATGTTGGGTGGCTCTTGAATATGTTGTACATAAAAGGGACAATGACCACAATCGCAGATGGGGGGGCGTTCAGAGCGAGCCGGGAGAGACGTTTGATGAAACTGGCGATCAGGGCCGCGGGAAGGTGGGTCGAGGCGAGGAAGGTGTTCAGTAATCGGAAGAAGCGAGAGCGGTGCTTGGAGTGCAGCAGATCCGAATCCAGCAGAGAATAAAGTTTTGTGTAGAATTGCGGGTAGTCCAAATTTTTTTCCTGGATAAGGTAGAAAAGACCCGATAGGGCGAGGAGCGATGTAGCACCGCCGTCATTGTATGAGTCCGTGAGGAAGTCCAACAAGAACTCTGGGTTGATGAACCAGGGCTCGATGCTGCGCACCATCATGCGCAACAGTGATTTTCGTTGCCCTTGTGATATTTCGTTCCGGAGGACTGCCAGCCATGCGTCCTGGGCCCGCCTCTTATGGCCGGTGACAGACTTGATCTTCTTGTTCTTGGTTTCGGCCTCGGCAAAAAAGGATTCGAACACATGGCCAGCGGCGGGGACTTCGTCGCATTCGGAGAGAATGGAAATGATGACATCCAGGATATCGGAGTCGCGCTGGGCTCCGGCATACTCACTATTGCTTTGTTAGCAAGAAACATGAGTCTCTGAGCGGAAAGGACATACGCTATTTGGGTGAAGGTATGGAATCTCACGTCCTCATACTCCTTCAAGAACTTATTCACGAATTCGGCGTGCAGTTCAGAGCCGTCCTGCGCCTCAATAACGGCTTCAAGGATATCACGAAACAAAGTGGACCAGACATTGTCCTCGGCTCCAGGAATATGGGTAATGCGCTCTTTGAGCATCCGCATGGCGAGCGTCAATGCGGCGACCTGAGACGCGGTATCGGCCTCTCGAACGATTGAGACGAGTGCCTGCTGGTACTCTTGACATCGCTCCTTCAACCATGCGGTAACGATCTTTTCGTTCTCAGTCGCGCGACTCGAATCCTTGAAGCTTCCCGCAGCCATCAATCGGCTAAAAACTCGGCATAACGAGACCGCAGCCGCAAGCTCAGGGTTCTCAGAACCGCCGGCATTGAGCATAGAGATGAGGGTTGCGATATTATTGTAATGCTTTCGGGATTCGGCGATTTGAGCTTCAAGTTGTTGGATTGTAGACAAGGTATCGGCGAAATCGTCTTCGGCTACAGCTCGTCGTTTCGAAGCGGCGCCCGCATTTTTGCTGCTTTTTCGTTTTTTCGAGCTGGCGATATCGACTGGGCCCGGCATCTTAGAGGAATGTAGGAACAACGTCCTACAGTATTGAGCGCTGGCGTGATCTCGGATCGGCCACTTTTTTTTTTTCTATGGAATAATTTGATGAAGGTCGGATGCTGGTTTTTCCGGGGCACGAAGACTGGCGCCCAAAGTGGTTAGCGTGTGCAAGCCCGTCCTACCCGTTCCGACCTCAAACCTCCTCTCCGGTTCACCCACCCTGTTCAGGATCTTTACATCATCTGCAACAATGGCCTCGCGTCTCGCTAAGACTGCCATTGGTATGTTCTGAAGTTCTCCTTGTCACCCAATCGATTGATCCCAGTAACTGACATGACTCTCCAGGCGCCGCTCGCCTGCGGCCGGCTCTCCCCATCCGCACCGCTGTCCCTTCTTTGACCTCAATCCGCGCGGCCTCCAACGTTCCCACCGAGGACCCTGCTAAGAAGGCCCAGTCCATCCTGGACTCTGTCCCCGGTAACTCTCTTGTCTCCAAGACCGCTGTCCTCTCCGCCGCCGCTGGTCTGTCCATCGCCGCCATCAGCAATGAGCTCTACGTGATGAACGAGGAGACCGTTGCCGCCTTCTGTTTGCTTTCGGTCTTCACTGCCGTCGCCAAGTATGGTGGTCCCGCTTACAGTGAGTGGGCTCAGGGTCAGGTCCAGAAGCACAAGGACATTCTGAACGCTGCCCGTGCCGACCACACCAACGCCGTCCAGTCGCGCATCAACAACGTCCAGGAAATGTCCGGTGTCGTGGAGGTCACCAAGTCCCTCTTCGCTGTTTCCAAGGTATGAGCCGGTAGATACGGAGGGATTGTGGAGAGACGGATATCATAGGGCTAGCTCTAACATAGATGTATAGGAGACCGCCGAGCTTGAGGCTAAGGCTTACGAGCTCGAGCAGCGCACTGCTCTGGCTGCCGAGGCCAAGCAGGTTCTTGACTCTTGGGTCCGCTATGAGGGCCAGGTTAAGCAGCGTCAGCAGCGTGAGCTTGCCGAGTCCATCATCGGCAAGATCCAGAAGGAACTTGAGAACCCCAAGGTCCTCCAGCAGATTCTCCAGCAGAGCGTTGCCGATGTTGAGCGTAAGTCCCTGCCCATTCACGCGGAGAAGCTCCAGACGTATATTAACTAACATTTTCTGTTCCAGGCATCATGTCTTCCAAGGCTCAGTAAATGGATGACGGTGGCTCCGCCGGCAACTGCCATTTGTGTACAAAACTATAGGGGCTATTTGCATCTGCTGAGTTAGAGTTGCAATACCATTTTATTCTGTCACTGTATCTTTCCGGATTGGATTCTTGGGAGCATATGCACCTTGGCTGTCTTTAACTGAGTTGCCGAGGTGGTGTTTGCCGGACATGAGTTCCGCTCAGTAGAGGAAGATGCCTGGGTTGGACTCTTCCGCCTCAAACAATCTGAATTTTCTTTTGTTCCGAAGTCCCGTCGAACTCGCTATAGTCTCTTCATTCTAAGCATGCCTTTCACCTGGACATCTGAAGCTGTAGAGTGTCGCGTATGAGGTCGGGGTCCTGGGCCCGCTCGACCGATCAACTGCATGCAGGGGCCGCAGGCGCCCACATGCCATGCATATATAGATCTGTATGAGACGAGGAAATATCACCATCATTCTTTTGATTCCCGCAATTGTGCCTGTCACCGAACCATCCAGTTGATAATCAAATTTCTTAGCGTGATTGTCAGGACTCTTGCCCAGCCCCTCGAGCAGATTAGCCGCCTAAGAAGAACCAATGGAACCCGCGGGTTACAGCTGCGGCTCAGCCACCACGCTGGGATGTTTCTATTCTTACGCGCTGAGCTTGCAATTGCCCCAGGCAGATCGTTAAAAATCGATTCATTCACTCATTCATTTCATTTTCTAACTCCAGCTTATCCCGAGACCCAAATCATCTTATCTTCCATCAATCCAGCCCCTCCGCCCCCGCAAGTTGGACCCCGGCAAGCACAGAACGAGAAACGAGGAACGAGAAACGGAAAAAGAGCGCAGAATGCCATCGCTACGCCATATCCTCCATAAACACGATGACATGAATAACATGCCAGAGACATCCTCTGTCCCATATCCCACATCACCACCACCTCCCGAAATCAGATTCCTCCGTACCGATACCTTGGACGAAGAAGAGATCGCTCCCCCGTCACATCCGCAATATGAAGACGAACGCATGCGTCCAATCGACTCTTCCCTCGCCAATCGACCTCCCCTCGCCGCAGCTTCCAATTATTTACCCGTTCCCGCTCAGATTCCCAGTCCAGCAACCCCAACTCCCCGTCCCGCCAGCACCGGATCTCCAATTTACTCCATTTAGACCGGCGCGGCAGCCGTAGCGCCTCGCGCGAGTCGTCGCAGAATATTCCCGACGACCTGCCCCAGATTGAAGATAGCCAGACTGGCGATAAGCAGGAGCGCGAGGCGCAGTGGGAGCAAAGAGCGACTGTTCTCGCACAGCATCCGCCACAGCTCGGGAGCCCCCTAGCATCCCCGCGATTGCCTGACAAGGATGGCTCGTGTGCTGGGTTCCCGGGGAGTCGGTCGAGGAGCTCGAGTCGGAGTAACGTGGGTGATGCGCAGGATGATGTAAGATTCATATGAGTCTCGTGGATATGCAAAGCGGGTGGGCTAATTTACGACGGCAGATTAATATCCAAGAGGCAATCCGATTGCATGAGTCGGGGGGTGAGTTGGTGAAATTTTTTCTTCTGCTGGTGCAGTTGGGTGCTGACGAGTTTAATAGATCTCGAGCGGTCAACAGAGATGTTCGGCCAGCTTGCGGATCCGAATGGACTGAACAATCCTCTCAGCCAGGTTCTATACGGCCTGGCTTTACGGTATGCTTCGAATAATCTTAACTGCTGGCACGATTTGCAGCGTGGCTGATACCACTTCTAGGCATGGTTGGGGCTGTACGAAAGACGAAGCACGGGCCATTACCTATCTGTCCGCGGCGGCAGCGAACTCGGCCGCCGTAGAGTCTGAGGCTCTACGCGCTGGAATCAAGAAAGGAGGCGCTGCAAAGGGGGAGCTAGTTCTTGCGATTTTCGAGCTGGCAAATTGCTTCCGCAATGGCTGGGGCGTCGCAAAGGATCCCGCTGCCGCGCGTCAATATTATGAGACTGCCGCCAACCTGGGCGACATGGATGCAATGAATGAGGTTGCCTGGTGCTATCTTGAAGGATTTGGCGGGAAAAAAGATAAGGTCCGGTGGAGAACACTGACTTGGGATTACAAATATGCTGATTGTAATTGTTCTAGTTCAAAGCAGCCAAGTACTATCGACTCGCGGAGGAGAGTGGAGGGCCTACTGTTGGGATGTCATGGTAGGGGTTCTCATGCCTTTATATTTGGCAGTGCTAACGAGATATATTTAGGATCTGGAAGGAGAAGTACAATCCCAAATAGCTCGAATGACTGTCTTGTAATATTTACAAAGGGCCGCAGCTCTTATTGTACATCTTTCTTTAGATATCCCTGGACATACCGCCTTTTCTTCAACTTGTTTATATTGATGACGAACGGATTGCGAAGCGTTAATGCGACAGACTATTAAGATAACGAAGTGCAATAAAGTTCCATGTTCGAATGTTTGTTCCGCTGCGATAGAACTTCCAACGATTGATCCGATTCTAAGATTCTTAGTACATTATGGAATGCCTTAGGGTGGATAGAGCTTCGATGCTATTGGCCAAGAATTCTGTTCCAAGACATGCAATGAATATCCCACCATAACATACGTCGACTCAACTCTATCAGTCGAGACTACAATATCCGGGATTACTGCCTTGCCTATTATGATCCGGTTCAAAGCCGCAGACTCTGATGTTGTGCCCATCCCTACCGATTCGCTCAACCTGCCGGGCCCGGATTCCTTGGATACGCGGCAAAAAGTCGGCATTTGGATCGTCGTCCTCGCCGCCGTCCTGCGGTTTAGCTTTTATGCGTTTAGGTACTATCGCCGATCACGAGTATCGAAGAAGTCGGAGCTCCCCTTGCGCGACGCTTACATGTCTATGCCCCCGGATCCTAACCTCGAGAGAGACCGAAGGTATGACTGGGAGAGAATAGAGCAGTTAGAGCTGGAGAGGCAGCGAGAATAAGAACGAGAGCTTGGGAGATTTGAGAGAACGGGCGGAAGTGGATGGGCAGCATGAGATCGAGATGGCAAATGAAATAGACCCACCCCAGCTTACAGAAAATAAAACATTGCAGGTTGAAGGACTAACGAAGCCCCGTCTGGCTACCTTAGATAGGTGAGTCGGGATGAGTTGAAGGGCTTACCAACGCCTGTTGACATGCACAAACCCTATCTGTATGCACAGTACTTACCCTGCTGGGCTTCCCTAAACCGTCCAGATGCCCGAAGCCTCAAGACAACTCGGCATAACCCTTCCACTGCATTTCGCCTTTGTCTACTTTCCATCCCCGCAGCCTTGGGAGCCTTGCCAATAGCACTTCTAAAACGTCGGGATCGGCGCTTGTGGGCTCCGTAGATGATACCTTCTAGAGTCCTCTATCGGGGTTGAAAAGTGGAGATACACATCCCATCGAACCAATAACTCCTCTCTGTAATAGTGAACCGACTGCAGCAGGGCCGAAATCGGTTGATTCGGTAATCTTGCAACTGGAATCCTGAGCAGCCAAAGGATCTGAAACTGGGCGCTCATCCGGCGGGCCCGTTGATGGCCGGAGCGCCGAATTAAGTCCAAACACCAGGGGCACTGGACACGATCCTGCGGATTATAAGTTAATCTCGTCGATGAATCAAATCTTCCATATCACCATGGGTAGCAATAAATCAGTAAATAATCTCATGCCTATTCACAATGCGTTACTCCTACTCTTACTCCTACGCAGGTTACATCGCCCTGACGGCGTTGCTGAGTAGTGCGCCCGTTAGTGCCAGGCAAGTCTTTGGCCACTACATGGTAAAAACCTTGCATAGAAGGCAAATTTGGGATAGACCAAAGGCTAACAGATTCCAGGTCGGAGGACTGGATTCTTCCACAGACCATGCATCGACGGATATCCAGCAAGGGATGGACATGGGACTCGATGCCTTCGCACTGAACGTCGGGGCTCCCACTGCCGACTGGGCTAAGGATGCCGTTGACCAGCTCTTCAAAGCTGCTGGCCATACGAACGGAAAGTTCAAGTTGTTCTTTAGTTTCGATCTTTCTGCGTGGGATAATCTGCAGGACCACATCGATCTGTTCAACTCATACTCCAGCGAGTCTTCCTATTTGACTTACGGCGCGGACAGTTAGCCATTGGTCTCCTCCTTCGCAGGATACGACCAGTACGACAACTGGGTCAGTTTCAAGAAACACAACGCGGTCTCGCTGATCCCCAACTTGGACACCCAGAACATTGACAAGTACTACAACGAGCCGTCGAGCTACCTCGCCGAGTTCGTCGATATTGTGGATGGCTTTTTCAGCTGGGAATCTGCTTGGCCCGCTGCGAGCGACACTCCCTCGAACCTGAGCTCGACTTGGGACCGCAATGTGATGGACTTTGCCCATGGCGCTAGCAAGGCCTACATGATGGGTAAAGCAATCTTCCCAAGAAATGCACACAAGCAGTACCTGACAGAACTAGGTCTCTCTGCCCTCCAGTTCAAGGACTGCTGCGGTGGAAACTACTATCGGATCGGCGAAGCCAACCTCCCCCAACGTATGTCGCAGATCCTCGACATCGCCCCCGACCTGGTCGAAGTCATCACATGGGTAAATCTTCCCCTCCCCCCCAACAACTTCACCGTCGAAACAAGCCGTAACAAGAAGTTAGAATGACGGCGGTGAAAGCCACTACATCGGCAACCTGTGGGACGAAGCCTACTCAGGGCCCGATGCCCTGCAATACGCCAACATGTCATCTTTCCCCCATAACGCTTGGCAACCCCTCATAACCTCCTTCATCAACGCGTTCAAGGCCGGCTCCTCCGCCTCGGAGATGGCGCCCCCGGGCTCCGACCCCATCGGCGCTTTCTGGTACCATCCTGTCCTGAAAAATTGTGATGGGATTGACAGTATCGATAACATTGGCTCGGCGCAGAGCACCGTGAACTATGCCGTCGTACTGCCGGCTGATAGCCAGGGTGTGTCCATCAAGATAACTAGTGGTGGGAACCAGATCGCCGAGACACAGCTTAGCCCTGGTCTTAACTTTGCTGCTGTTACCGGGCAGTCGTCGGGGGCGCAGAAGGTCGAGCTTGTGTCGAATGGGCAGACTTTCATGTGTGCAGACAGCCCTTCGAATGTTCCTGCGAACCCTGAGATGTGCAACTTTAATTTTGTTGTTGTAGGGCTGGAATCAAGCTCTTAGGTGAGGCTCGAGATAGTTTTGAGGGCGTTGGAAGAATAAGTAAAGTACCTTGGAACATGAGGGTACTGGACCTAGGCTTTGTATTTATAATCGAGAATGACAGAAAAGAACACCTATGGAGTTGGAGAATTCTAGCAGATCCCTGCAGGGTTTTAAAGAGCGTATGAAGTCAGTTCTAGGTATAAAGTTGGGGTGAAGAACAAGAAATAAACGGGCGACAGTGAGATTTAAAAAAGCCAAGAGGTCCGAGCACCTCATTGTTCCAGAATTATGTACCCCCGCCCTTAGTAGATACATCGCAGTGAAAAAGCAAACAAAAACCATAAGCCCAGTTATATCCTACAATGCTATTCCAGAGTCCAATCCATTTCCCAAACACGTTGCAGGCATACTCACATCAACGCATCTCCAAGCGAGAAATACCGCGGGTATCAATTTTTCACCTCACGCTTTACGCCCACTTGCCCAGAAGAGCCATGATGCCAGTGCCGAGAAGCACCGAGATCACCATGAAAGTAAGACGCTTGTCATCCTGCGTCCGGTGAGGGTCGAAGAGGAAGTCGCCCGCGAGCAGCTCGACCAGACCCGTGTAGATCAGAATACCAGCCGAGATGGCATCCAGGACACCCGAGACCACGTTCGCGGTGTAGGAGCCCGAGTTGTAGGTGGTGCGCACGCCCAGACCGATGGCAATCGCGATAGGCGTCGTCAAGCCATAGGCCGTGCACAGCGCCCAGGGCAACCAGCTTCCCTTCTTGAAGGGGATAGCGGACATACGGGCGCCGATACCCAGGCCCTCGAATGACTGGTGGAACACGAGCACAGGGTACAGAGTCGAAAACTCATCACCCGCGACACCGAGGTTGAGGCCGATAATCACAGAGTGGAAGATCACACCGAATTCCAGAATCAGGAAGGCGGCGATCTGCTGCTGGAACGACCGCTCCACCATCTCCTCCGAGTCGGAGGTCCCATCCTCCATCTGCCGCATCTTTTTCTCCTCGCCCTGGACCGAGCGAGGCTGGGAGTTGGTCCGGTGGACTTGCGTGTCGTCGGCGACCGACGTAGCCATGATCGGCTCCGGGTCGTCACGGCACAGCCCGAACTTCTTCTCGACGTAGCGCTCTGCACCGAAGTCCATGAGGAAGACGATCATCAGCGAGGTAAGCACGATGGCCGGGCACCAGGAATACTCGGCCCAGTAGCCGGTCATGCCGACGCAGGTCTGGCCGCCGATTTCTGAGTACGCGGGGTCAAGAAGGTGGATGAAGGCCGTGGCGATGATGACACCGGCACCAAAGTACTTGGCAAATAAGTAGACGTATATCGGGATACGCATCTTAGGCACACGCTTGGCAACCACGGGGAAGAAGGTGAATACCGTGGAGACGAAGCCAATGACGAAGATGGAGGAGATGCGCGCTCCTAGATGGCCATTGTACTCATTCTTCCCGAGACCCAGGTAACAGATCACCTCGGTCGGGTCGGCCGTTGCGAGGTCGACATTGTTTGGGTCGAAAGGCATGGTGCTGAGGAACCCTGATAGATCCTGGGGCTGGTACCGATGTCAAAGTTGGAGCCCTCGAGGGAATTGTTCGGAAAAGAGGGTATATGGGGACGGAAGGGTTGAAAGAAACAAGCACGAGCAGCTAGAAGAGGGCAGGATTCGCACTGCCATTTATAAAACTATCTAGGATGGAAAATTTGACAGCTGCTCAGGGCCTCCGTTGGAATGAGGACCTTGGAGGCTGGGTTGCCCTACTAGGAAGGTAAATTTGGCCTCGTCTATAAGTCTAGTCGCATTGGCATCGTACTTAGTTGATGCGAGTGGAGTATGATCAAGTGTGGATAACTTCTAGGTGGTTCCTAGTAAGTGTTCGATCCGTGGTTGTTTGTGCCATCAAGCTCATACCGCTATAGGGCTATGGCGATTCCATGCGTAACATGGCGGGTAGGATCGCGTGGCAAGCATCGCACGGCCATCATTTCCGAGACTGGAAAAAGGATCTGATCGGGCTGGCTAGACCATGGCAAGGCCTCCAAGATTTGAGATTTGAGAAGAACCTTTTGGCCAGCGGGGTTCTGGCTTGGTGAATGATTGGGTGAGAACAACGTGGTTTGCTCCCAAGGTCCTTCGGCTAACGCGCCTTGCAGCTGCACCGTGTGATGGGGGCGAACGAGGAAACGTTACGTACTTCGAAAAGTTAGAACGCGCAAAGTTAGAACACATTGGAATTTGCTCAATATGATCCGCTCACGGGTCGATCGAGTGGATTCGATCAGACAGAGTAGCCTATCATTCGAGCATCGACTGGAGGCTCTCGGTAGGAAGCCGAACTCGTTCAACCAATCCACAGTGGGCTCCAGACGGAGTCTAAGAAACGTTACGGAAGTATCCAATAGCACGCCCAAGAATGGTCATCATACTTTTCATATCGCATGTCCAGAATAATTGCATCAATTGGTAGGTTCGTATCGTTCATAAGTCGTATCAGGGCGTCGCCGCCAGTCCACAAGGGTTTAGTCATTAAACGCTGAGATCATGAAACACCAAAGGGAAAAAAAAACCAAAATGAAATAACAGCGAGCCAAGGACAACAACAAAAGACAAAGGAGTTTGTTTCAATCCGAAGATCCAAAAGCCCAAACCCGGATGCTCGAAACATGCTCTTCCTTGGCGCTGGTAAGAACAACACAAGAATGGTTAGAGAAAAGGAAAGAAAGTAAAAAAAAAAAAAGGCAAAAGTGGATAAATGGACCAGGCTGGCTCTGGATCGCTCGTTTCGTATGTCGTTCTGTCAAATTTCATGTTCCGTGGTCTGTACATCGTTATGCCCATGCCCATACCTCCCATCCGTATGATATAGAAACACCACACCTTCCCACGCTGATAAAACACATATCGCTTTGAAAAAAGGGGAAAAAAGAGACAGAGAAGAAAACGCTAACACAGCACACGCTAAACATCCCAGAATATTCAGAAAAACAATAGAATGATGGGCTTCCGAGGGAAAACAAATGAAAAAAAATGGAAGCCTATCGAAGTATGAAAAGTGGGGTACCCATGCAAGGCGTTGGAGTCTCGCCCCTCACCGGCGCCCTTTTGATAGAAAACAAGCATGTAGCAAAGTGAAACTAACCGCAATAATGCCGGCACAATAAAAGTGGACCCATTATGCCTGGAAGCCCATTTCCTGCTTCACCGGCGGGGCACCATACTCTTGGACCATGCGACGGAAGTCTTGGATGACCTTGGGTGGAACACGCTCCCACATCAGCGACCGTGAATACACGTCCGACGTCGAAGCGTCGTTCATGCGATGCTGAGCAGCATTGTTGCGCATAGTCGCGAGGGCCTGCTGCATTGCCGACGGCTGCGCCGGCTTGAAGCCGGAGCCGTCGTCCTGGAAGGTTGTCAGGGAATTGTACTGGTCCACATTCATGGTGAAGACCTGGGCACGCTCTTGTTCTTCGGTAGGCATGACTAGCGTGTCATGTAGCTCGTCTAGCGTCGAAGACCCGGTGGGCCCGGCCATCTGGGCCATTCCCATGCCGGCCATAGGGCTGGGGCCTGGAGCAGCGGCAGTAGCGGCGGCGGCGCCTACGTTGCTGGTGGGGTTGGCCACGTCCGAGGGTGAAGAAGCGAGCACGGCTTTCAGCACATTAGCGGACTCAGCGCGGTACTCTTCCGACAGCTGTGGGAGCGAGTGGCCCGGCAGCGAGGTGTTGTTCGAGGCGATGAAGGCGCCGAAGAGAAGGCACATGTAGAAGGCGTTCCAGCTAAATGGGTATTCCCCATTGTTGGGCTTTTCGGCCGACCGGTCATTGACCTGCGACAGAGCATGCGATTGAGTGGGCTGAGCCGAGGGGGGGCATCTGATCTGGCATGGAAAGACCGTGGGCCATCGAGAACTCGTCCCAGACAGGGTTGTCCATAGTCAGATTTTCGAAGCCGGCGAACTCGCCGTGGGACTCGGTCATGCCTGATTTCATGCCTCGCTCCAACTTGTCCACTGTCTCCATCAGGATGTTGTTCTTCTTGCGCAGCTCCGCTGTCTCCAGGGTGTGCACGCGAATCATCTCGTCTTTTTCCAAGTGCATGTTCTCAACATAGTTGGTAATGTGCTGCTGTCGGTTCATCAGCTCGCCCTGCTCGCGCAGCAGATCCGATTCCCTTCTCTGCAGACTCGCGACCATGTCCTCGAGTTGGCTAATGGTATGAGCATAAGACTTTTTCTCCTCTTCCAGCTTTTCAGTGTGAAGCTTTTTGCGCTGACGAGAGTCGAGACTTCAAAGGACGACAATGTTAGTAACGGGTTGGGAAAGAATGAACCAGCGTGCACTTCTGACTTACGCTGCTTGACGGTTTCGTAGGAGCCGCTTCTGCTGCTTCAACTCCTTGACCTCGTCCTCGTTGGTCGACTGGCTGATAAGCTGGTCGATATTACTCAAATTGCGCTCTTGAGGAATATCAAAGCGCGCATTCTTCTTGCGGACGCCGTCACGACGCATCACCATCGGCGAATCATTTCGGTACAGGCTCTTGGTCTGAGGGGCGTCAGGCAACTCCATAGGCGCCGGTGCCCAGCCCTGACTGGACTGCGGTGACATGGCGACACTACCGGACGGAAAACCCAAGCTACTCCGATATGAGACGGGGCCCATGGGAATCGAACCGCCGACTGGACCTACAGCACCGCCCGCGAAGGGCGCTGAAGATGAGCCCTCGGCTTCTGGGTACTGGTCGTAGGCGGTTGGAGTACATGAGCCCGATGCATTGCGCGACATGTTCCAGGCCTGTTGGCCATAGGATGTGCTGTCGACGGGCATGAAAGAGGAGGCTGATGATTCTAGGATGGAGTGGCCCATGTGTGAATTTTGACGAGACTGGTCAGAATTGGTGGAGTAGTTGGACCAGACTGAACCCCGATGCGAGAAGGCTTCGTTGTCGTATGAAGCCCGCCTCGGATCCGATATTTCAGGCGAGTTGGAGTCCAGGATGTTCTCATCTAGTACCTTCATGTCCTCTTCCTCCGACGGGGACACTTCAAGAGTTGATGGCGCTTGATAGCAGTCAAAATGGGAAAATCGTGCCATCGCAAACAGGCGGTGTAAGGTGGGGGTGGGTCGAATACAAAGTAGAAACGAAAGGATATAATAGCGATACAGGATAAAAGGGGAAACAAGGGGGGGAGGAATAAAGAAGGGGAGATGCGATAGAAAAGAATAATGATACCAGGATCAAGATCGAAGAGGGTCAGATGCAGTACTTGCAGAGGGGGGGGGAGGAAAGCGCCGGCTATTGTAGCGGGCGCTGTGACACCGTTTAACTTGGTCTACATGGGGAGACTAGAACGAGGAGCGCCAGTAGGAGGACGATGAGTGGGAGGGAGACGGAGTGGCCCCACCAGTACTGAGTACATCGAGGAGACCCTCGTCCTCCATAGTCCTGCCGTATCAACCAGCGTCTTCCCTCAAGTAGAGGATACCAGCCGGCGGTCTGCGCGGGAGTGGGCGTGTGGCTCCCATCGGGGCCCTCGGCGTGTCATTGGCTGCTCTACTCCTCTTGGGCAGACCTGCATCCAATTCTGGTCTTTTTTCCCTCTTTCTTTTTTCCTCTCCTTTTTGGGCAGAGAAGCAGTAGATCCTGGATCGGCTTGGGCCTCAGAGAACCATCCCCCTACAAGACGCAAACGAAAAGGAAAGCGGGGGTTGGGCTTATCGATAGAGCTGAATCCCCCCCCGTGGTCCGTGCGGCCCGGCACAACATTCACGCATCGCCAATCATTCTCGACTTGGTGTGACTGGCAAGATGATCTTCTGTTTCAACCGTTTCTCTAGATTTCTAGTACGGGTCCGGGCCGCAGCTCCACCCCTCATTCCATGGTTCATATGCGTATCATCGGTACGGCATCATACGTGGAGTATCATTCTTGGGATGTAATCAACGAGTCTCGATGATCTCCGTATCTTGGACTCCTAGAACTCCTGGAATCCAAAGAATCCCGACTATCGCAGACCTCCAGAGTAGTACAGAATCCACTCCGGAAAAGCAGGGCGGATGCACCTGCAAATGCACGGATGTCCTGCACTGTCACTCGTCCCCTCCAGATGACGCCCTACGAGTCTGGCCCCGCTGCTGGATTTCAACACCCTTGTGACAGCATCAAGGTCACCCTTACCATTATCAACCTCTCCTTGCTACGAGGAAGACTGAAAGCGCCGTCCTCTGATGCCATAGTCCGGGACCCGTGGGCAAAACCTGCGAAGCGCTGTCCCAACCGATGACAGGCCAGTTCGTCGTCAAATCGAAACCCGCCCACTCGGTTATTTTTATGCGATCGCCCTCCTGCCGTCGTGATTCGCTTGCCTTCCGAATACTAATTTTTCTCTCTCTTTGTCCTAGGATTATCTTGGCCCCGCCTCCCCTCTTTCCTCCGTATTACGCGCCCACAGCGCCAGGATTAGTGGTACCTGTTCCTGTCTCCTGACGTGCCAGTTCCTAAGCTTTGAACTCCACTCCGTGTATCAGCCCCTGAGTCTGTTTATAGGGTGTCGTCTTCATGGTATTGATAGGCCCTCTGACGTCGGCGATCCCGTGAGATGCCTGGCAAGATGTAGCGGTGAAAGGCCCCATATTCATCCAATAGGCGAAGGGCCCTCCCTCAGCCTAATCAAGGTACACATTAATATTGACCAGAGACCAACAAGAGTCTCTTTGAGAAAGTCCGAGACCCAACGGGGATCTAGATCATAGAGATGATTTCATGACTTGGCTAGCTTCCTGGCCCAGGCTTGCGCCGAAGGAAGGCATTTGACAGGATCGTTCGCGAGTCGAATAACCGCCGGCGAATCAGAACGCCCGTCACGCGTTTTGTTTGGGAATGAAGTCATGGCTGGCTGGGATATAGCTTGTAGATACCCATTAAGCACCCCTAGAAAGCGCAAAAAAGGTCATGATTGACCTGATCCCCCATCGCAGGTTCACGGATCCACAGCCTATGAACCGCTGGACCACGCGGGTCGTCGTTGCCCAACGGCTCTGAAACGACCGTAAGCCATCGCGTAGCCTCACTTTTGTCTGTGGACCGGGAGATCCCTGCCTGATCTTTGTTCTGCATGCCGAGAAGCATTGGGCACATGGTAATAGTCCCGCACTGGGGATTGGATGCAAGCAGACGGGGGGTTGACGGGAGAGTTCCTATTCGAGGGCGGATTCCACCTTCACAGGCTTTGGTCCCGAGCGCTGTTCTGTCGGTCTGTATCAGGCTGGGAAGATAGTATCGTCTTCCTTCGAGACGATCCTCATCGAATGTGTTGTTATGGGTCTGATTTGATAATCATATAGTTCTGGCCATATTCGAGAATGAGTCATAGGTGTAGTGTTCAGCAGCCTCTGGGGTTTCGGTATAGTCTGGCATGGCCTTCTCCAGGGCCCCGCGGGTCTTCAGAAGTATGACTCATTACTATAGATCTTCACGTTGTTCATCTTCTACAACTTCCCGAACTTCCAGTATAGCTTCAGTAGTAATCATGGCTCTAGTGATATGAATGAGGCGTATATGATGAATAGAACAGTTTCAACTGATCTGTTGAGTAGCATTCACTTTATTTCTTGAGGTTGGACACTATGGACGGATACTGTGACTGATGGGCGAAGTGTGCTTACTATCTTGGATAGTCAGCGTCCACTACACCTGAATCTGTTTGACATGTACCGTTTGAATAACAAAAGACCGAAGGTACAACAGTATAGGTTGTCCTTTTCTAATTTTGAGCCAGGTGGATTCAGCTAGCGGCTGATTGCGATGCTTGTAGTCATAACCAGGACGACTCGGAGTACCAGTAGAGCATTGGAACACCAAGTCGAACTGTGCATGGATGTCATACATATGCCTATGGTTACTTTTACAGCCTACAAATATCACTTGAAGATATCTAGACAACTGTCGGCAAACGATGTTTTATTCTGAGTCACTGGCAGTGGAAAGCTATATGATGAGATATGCTTGTAGAAGTCGGATCCGATCTACCAGTATGCTTAAGGCTAACTAGCTCCGACCCATTTACTATGACTTGCGGGTGCTGCCCATGGCTGGATTCTCAAACGTCACAGAATGGATCTGGCAATTGAATTGATAAATACGTGCTGAGCCACCGTTGAGTATCGTTTCAAATACAAGGATCAATAGGCATACGTCTCAATCTATAAGTGGAATTCCCATCTTCTTTCAATTTTCTTTTCTTATCTCTTGACATGCGCCGGGGGTATCGTGATGCAAGGGCCTGCGAGGGAGCCACATAGATCGAAAATCAGAAAACATCAAAAAGCAAAACGAGAACTAGCTACGCTAGAGGGCAATACGAGCGTCAAAGAGCACATGGATCTACCATAGAAAGATAAATCAAGTGCTTAGAACGGGATAAAATCCTGTTGTTTTGACATCTCGCCACCATCCTTCCCTTCGACGATAAGCTCCTCAGGGTCATCAAACTCATCAGAGTCAACGTCATCTTCGTCGATAGCATCGTAGTCCTCCTCCTCGCTAGACTGGTCAGACTCGTCTTCACGTTCAGCCTTACTTGCAGCCGATGCAGCCGCCTTGCGGATCTGACCTGCACGGTCCACGTGGGGAAGCTGGCATCGTTTTTTGTGGCAGACGCCATTGTTGGCATAATCTGGGCATTCATGCACATGGCGTTCTTCGCATTCCGCACCTTTGTCACAATATCCCAGAGTTGCAAAAGCTCGGCAGACGGGGGCGCCGGGGGTCACTCGGATATGTGCATAGCGACAATCGGGTTTTGAGCATCGCTCTCTAAGGAAATGCATACAAGTAGGGGAGCGGTGGGGCGAGGGCTCATGGGAAAGATCACAACTATTACCAGCGCTGCATTCGCCTTTCTGAAGGAAATCCTTGCAGATAGCAACTTTGTTTGGATCATGGGTGTAGAGACAAGATGGTCCCTTGTAGCAGGTACCTGGAATATGTGTCAGATTAGCAGGATATTCAAGGGGCCTGGCGGAAGGGTTTGATCCGTCGGAAGAAACAATACCGGTCGTAGAGAATCTTTTGCATAGCTCGTCTCGCTTCTTGACAGCGCTCGGTCTGAGGTGGATTGTTCGCATATTAGTATGCTTATTCTATCAGCATGTCGACATGTGATATGACGTACTTCTTGGATGTTACGTCGCCAAGGCGCAGGAGATTGCCGTTCTTGCTTCGAATGAAGTGGACGCCAGCGACAGTAGCTTTCTTCGGCGTAGCGTTGGCGGGGTTGGGATCATCTAGAACTTGTGAGCGACTTCTGCATGCCAGTCGAGGCTCCGAACAGGTCGTACCGGAAGCTCGGATGAGCTTGCTGCCGCCACGCGCGATTTTGAAGGCGATGTCGTTGATGATGATCTGTTGGGCGGACGTAGAGACAGATGCACCGCCTGGCCCACCTTGAGCATACCGCAGAACCTTTTTTTGCTCGCGCTCGGCGCGTTGTTTTTCTCTCAGTTTACGAGTTTCCCTCATAGCCTTGGCTCGCAATCGGGTCTCTTTATCGTAAACGGCCGAGTTAATCAGTTGCATGTGCCGATCGCGCTTGGCGACCCAACCGTTCGACGTTGCCATGGGACGCGACTGATTGTTACTCTCGCTTGGGGCAGGAGAGGACATATCACCAGTAGCAGACTTGGCGTTGTTCAATACCAGTGTGCGATGACGGTGTGGAGCTCCACGGTTACCGCGCCCACGAGAATAGGGTGTCCAGCCCAAGTGATTAGGCGTATGTCGAGCTACGTAGGGCGAATGATGAGACGAGGAGCCCTGATGTTGTGATGACTGTGCCTTGTGTCGATTGATTTGGCCTGTTTCCATGAGCATCATGTAGTACAGGCTCGGATGTCTGGAGAACTCACCTGCGAGGCGGCCAATCCGAGCCAGCAGCTCGTCGTTTTCTGTCATGGTAAAGGAAGATTAGAGTGGTTAGTAAAAAGACTCAGAGTGTTTTGAAAGTCTAAGGAGTCGCGAGCAGAAACTGACGGCTCGAATAGCCGTGGATGGTCTACTGTTGGGAAAGAAACGAAGGTGGACTCGCGCCGCCGGCGCAAACGATGTGGCGCGACTTTCTCACGTGACAATCCGGTCTGCGCATAACATTCGAGAATCTACTATAGACGATAGACTACTTCGTACATTGTGTTGCTTTACTGGGTTTGGGGGGAGAGATCCACGCTAGCTTAGATTAATTTATGAGTCTTTTGTATTGTTACAGCACAAGTTTTCGTTAGATGGCATGCATCGTGTTTTTCTCATGACCACTCGCATTCGAACATGGTACAGTGAGTGCTCTAAGCATTCTCGAATTGAAAATCGTCATGATCCGTGCCCATTCCTGACGCGGTCGGGTCCTCATCAGATCCGTCATCGTGGATGTCTCCTCCTGGTGCAAGTTCAGCTTTGACCTCCCCGAATGACATAGCGGCGTAGTTAGTCTGTTGCGCCTCGGGCTTTAACTCCCATGTCATGGCGAAATCTCCAGCTTTGACCAGGTGGGCGACCATCTCCAAAGTTTGCTTAAGATAAGCTTCAGGCTGTTGGAGCTGTTTTTTGAGAGCCTTAAAAGGCCAGTATTTGTACTGACGGAAGCATTCGAAGATTTTGTCGAGTAGTTCGTTTTGCGGCATACGAATGGACTTGTTTTCCTGCGGTCTGACTCTGGAAGCCGCTGTAGTTTGCACAAATGTGTTGCCCGCGACAGGCATGCCGGCACGGTTTTGGAGAACCTTGCCGGGAACCCGCTCGATGAATTGGGTTTCTTTCTTCGGCTTGAGGGCATCGAGAGCCTTCTGCTCCGAGATTCGTCGAAACTCGTCGTTTTCAACAGGCAGACAATTGAACTCTTCGGTCACTTGACCGAGCAGCGCAGTTTGTTCTAAAAATGTAAGCGACGGTAAGCCCATAAAAATCAACAGAACTTACTAGGGACTGTCTTTCGAACGTATGGCTCCCACTTCTTGCCTTGTTCTCTCCGACGCGCATCTCGCTTCATGGCCTCATACAAGGCTGATCGGGTCTCCCCAAATACGGCCATACGGTTCTCAGCCCCTGGTACATCCTTTTCTGTAAAGTGATACGTATTTTCTGTAATGTGAGATGCATTTTCTGTGAGGAGAGTTTGTTGTTGGAAAGTGTAGTCTTTGGGGATATCTTGGTTATCAGGGCGTTCGTGGAGTCGCAAGCTGACCTTCAGAATAAGGACTCGTTAGAAAGGTTTCGGAACAAGGCGCGAAAAGCTTGATGGTTTCTTACTCTCTTTAAATCGCCTGGCTCTCCCTCGATTCTCATCGTGCCGATCTCAATCTCCTCGTCATCATCCATCTGGGCCCAGTTTTCCCAAAGTGCCCTTGGAAGCCGCGACATCCACACATTGGTGTTCGCATGAGTAAAATCGAGGTCGCCTGCGTCCTCGTAGATATCCTCATCGTCAAGATCGGCCAGCAGCGCGTCTTTGCTATCGGGGTCGGGCTTGATGTACAAGGAATCCGGATCTGGCTTCACCTGAGCCATGGCGACAGCGAAGGGCCGAAGCTCACGGATTCCGGTCGAGGCAAGACGATAGATTTGCGACTGAAAGTGGCGGGATGCAAGCGCTCGAGAAGAGGGTGGGAAAAGCAGTAAATAGAGTGAAAGAAGACGCTATCTTTGAGATGGAGGTGCGCGATAAAGTGGAGCTTGAGACAAGCGGGCGGTGAATGCTTACCTTGCCCCCGAAGTTGCCGCCTTATCGATAAGCAGGCCATCAAGTAGCTTCGTCCCACATTCACTGACCTCCCTCCCCGCATCATCGCGCCTGGTTCGCGGTCATGGCTTCTCAAAAGATTGCCGCTGCCTTGGCAGCCATTGAATCTACCCCTCAACAATCCACAAAACTCCAGCAATACAACGATCTTCTCAACGAAATCCTGAACACCTCGTCGGGGGCTGAGCTAGCTCACGACCTCGTCTACTATCTCGATTCGATCCTCGGGGAAGATGTCAGCATCGTATCTGCGCGTCCACTCCTCGATTCTTTCATTACCGCTCTTCAGAAGTTCGAACCAGAAGTGAAAATCAAAGCCGGCCAACACGCAGTCACCCTCCTCCAATCACGCGCAACCTCAGCCGAGGAACAGGATGCACAGATCCGCGAAATCCTCGCCGAAGCCTACGAGTCAGAGGAAGACTACTCTTCTGCTGCAAGGGCACTTCAGGGAATTAACATAGATAGCTCTCAAAGGCTAGTCACCGATGAGGCTAAGGCCAAGTTATGGATCCGGATTGTGCGATACTACCTCGAGGAGGACGATACGATAAATGCAGAGGTTTTCTTGAACCGCATCAAGAATTTGCCCAGCAAGTTAGAGGATCATGACTCCAGGTTACATTTCCAGCTTTCCCAAGCGCGCATTCTCGATGCCCGCCGACGTTTCCTCGATGCCGCTCAGGAATATTACAACGTCAGTCTGGTGTCTAGTGTCGATGAAAATGACAGGCTTGCGGCTCTGTCGGCAGCCATTCGCTGTGCAGTTCTGGCCCCAGCTGGTCCTCAGCGGTCACGCAGCCTTTCCCGTCTCTACAAAGATGAACGCGCTTCATCAGTTGACGAGTTCTCTATCTTAGAGAAGATGTTTCTCAGACCGGCTGCTGAACGCAGATGAAGTTGCAGCCTTTTCGAACAAGCTTGCGCCACATCAACTTGCCGTAACGGCCGATGGTACCACGGTTCTCAACAAGGCCGTGATTGAACATAATCTAGTAGCGGCAAGCAAGCTGTACCGCAATATCTCGGTGGATGCGCTTGCCGAAATTCTTGGTCTGCAAGCCTCCGGAGACTTCTCGGCTGGTGAAAAGGCCGAAGAATACGCTGCTCGGATGGTCGAACAGAATCGCTTGCATGGCCGGATTGACCAAATCGAAGGAGTGATTTACTTCGGCACGGAATCTCCTGGTTCCGCTTCAGGGGCAAATAGTGCCAGCCTGCGACAGTGGGATTTCGGGGTACAGAAGGTTGCAGAGGATGTTGAGCGGATAGCAGCTAGCATTGCCGAACAATTTCCGGAGTTCGCGGCTAGTCGTATGGTACAATAAGGCGTCTGCAGCCACACAATAAAATAACCCTTCCACGATTGATGACACCAGCAGTCCCTGCGCAGTTTCAGCCATAGCCATACTAGAAACAAAATACCCATTCGCTCCAACAACCCTAGGTAAGGATCCTGGTATTTGCTATAAACTCAGCAATTATGTTTCTGCGACGTCGATGTACTATGAGCCTCCTGATGTCAATGGATTTACGAAGAGAACTAGTATTCTACGTGATAACTTCTGGACCAGCAAACTGCCCTTTAAATCTGATTTTTTTTTAATTGGTAAGAATCCTCTCTAATGAAAGTTAATTTGCACTTATATCCATCGCGTCTGGGCTCGAATTATCGCTTTCAGGTGTCCTTAACCCGCTCACGTCACCCAGATATCCCAAGATCTCTGAATACATTACTGTCTTCCACACATCAGCAGGAAGGTCTGCCTCCAAGAATGACCAATCAAGCCGCTGTTCTGCCACTGGCTCATCTTCGCCATCATGATATGGAGCAAGGTAGTGAGATTCGAGAGCCTCGGCCGCTGAGCATCTTTTCTCTGGTACGTATTGGAGCATGCTGTCCAGGAGTTGCAGAGCTATTAAGGTCAGTAATCATACAATTAGGATAAGGACATGATGTACTCACCTCTCCTGTCCGCGGATGGAATGAGTTTGGACAACGGCTTGCGGGATCGCCGAGGGCACGACTTTATGAAGTCCAGAGTCTGGTATTGAACCGTTAGCTAGAGCGATATGGAAAGCCCGTGGGTGGGCCATCACTTACATTCGTATTGGTCACATTTGCCGTCAGCTCGTCGGGTGGACTCCCCAGCAGTTGAGTAATGGTGTAAAATTGATCAATGTGCGATTTGCCTGGGAGCAGAGGCTTCCCCAGCATCATCTCTCCGAAGATGCACCCTGCACTCCAGATATCAACTTTGGCATTATACCTTCGCCAGGTGAGCATGATCTCCGGTGCTCGATAATATCTCGTTGACACGTAGCCAGTCATGTGAGTTTTCTGGAGTCGAGCAAGGCCAAAATCACAGATCTTTAAATCGCAGTTCTCATTGACCAGGATATTCGACGGTTTCAAGTCACGGTGAACTACTCCCGCTGAGTGGACATATTTGAGGCCACGCTATCGTGATCAGGTCAATATCCTAGAGTACCGAAGGTTCGAAATTCACGGTGCGCTAGCTTACCATAATTTGGTACATGAAATATTGTGTGAATTGATCTTCTAGCTTTTTGCTAGCCAGCAGAGTCCCGAGATCGACTGCAAGGCGGTCCGTAATGATATAGCTGAGTAACATTAATGACTGGGTGGGAAAACCACAAGGCTAGGATTGGAGATACTCACATATCCTCCGTCGGGGAGATGAAGATGTCTTTCATATGAATGATCTGCTCTACTGTAAGCTAGTTGGATACCGCGAGAATTATCGTGGTGATGTGCGTACATTATCATGCTGCAGCATCTTTAATAATTTTACTTCGCGAAACATGTGTTTTGCGACATGTGCACTTTTGAAGGGCTCGGATAGCTTTTTGATCGCTACAGTCTCTCCTGCGAGTTGGTCGTAGGCGGAGCTGAGGATCCAATTAGTATATTGTTGTTACTGAGCCTGACAGCATTTTGCTTCCTCGTGGCTTACCAGACTATGCCGGAAACGCCTGCTCCGACCGGTTTTAAGGAGGAGTATCTCCCGGTTATTTCATAGTCTGATCCCAAGACATTATAATGGACGAACTGGGCCATATCCTGGCCTGGGCTTTGGGATACTGTTTTGGACATTATTGTGGTGGATATACTGGGTGAGTAGCTACGTGTATTTGGGACGGAGCATTGAATACTTATAACAGCAATGCGAAAAATGATCGGAAGGAAAGTTGGAGCCAGACGACGTTCCGGTATTGGATGGTTTCGAATTGACATCAGTGGCTCTTCGCCAGTGAGTCGTCGTGGAAGTCATACCCGCACAATGCATGTGGGCTTCGAGCACGTTCGTGCAGCACAAGGTTTCGCGGCGTCAGTTCCCCACTGATGATCGTCCAGATCCTCGAAGTTTAGTGGTGGTTACTTCGACCGGACCAATCACAGCTACGGTGCACACGGAAGAGCTCCCCGCAAAACTGGAACCACTTCAGCAGTCTTCGTGCATTTTTGCCCAATTAGAGCCTAGTCACCGTTGAAAGCTCTCGCCACTCGCAAAAGTCTGGACGTGGTGGATTGCACAAGGCACCAGCCACTACATCTAACTGGCTGAATGATCTTTACTGCCTCGAGTGTGTAATCAGTTGTAAACAATCAGGAGTGGCTAATTATATAAACTGGTTTAATTGACTGCATGACGTCAACACAACAAAGCATCGCTAACTAGCTCCCACCGGGGCCTCCGGGGCCACTCAAAGCAGGCTTATTATACAGGTACATTCACGAAGGTATCGAAGAACGACTCATCAGACTTTCCAGCAACCGGATTCTCCGGCACCGAGTCGTCGGCGCCATTATCACTCGACCACGTGCTGGCGGACAAGGGGGATGGGGAAGGGAGGAAAGTAGTGGACGATTGTAGAGCATTGGAGGACATGTGCTGCAATTGATGGCCGAGCTCGCCGTCACCACACTGCGAGTGGGCGAAGATCTGATTTTTAAGATGCCAAGCTTCCTCGCGTAGGGAATCGACTTCTGCCATGAGCATCTCCCGCTTCTCGGTTTCAGCATCCAAATCTTCCTGGATCTTGTTCTGCTCGGCCTTCCTCTTCTTCCGACATTTATTGGCGGCGATGCGGTTCTTCTCGAGTTGGCGTGCTCTTTCGGGCCCGACCGCGTCCCGCGATAGTCGCTTTTTAGTTTGTTTGCGTGGTTTGCTGTCCGATGCTGAGGAAGCACGGCGTGGGGCTGGCGGTGCTTCTGAGCGCCCGAGCCAGCCGGGTAGAGCTTCATCGCGTGGCTGGAGAAATTCCATCGCGCTCATGGGTGGCAGGGAGTTGAATGATGCCATAACGTGTTGGTGGATTGTATGTGGCAAGAATTGATTGCATTCAAGGGGTATTCAGTGGTATAGATAAATCGGAGAATGTTATCTTAGTCTGTGTGTTCATCCTGAATTGCCCCTTGCGGAACTGGGAACTGGTTTGCAGGGCTTCCGAGTCTTAAATCTTGGTGAGATTGCCAATGTTAATGATTATTCCAAAGCTTGATCTGAAACGGTGCCGTAGGGTATAATATCTGACAAGGTTTCATGGCTGCAGTACCGGCACGGATTTAGCTAATAAATCAGGCTTCGCCACGAGCAGGTTACATCATTCCTTGAATTCTATCTGCTTCGGATCGCGTTCCACCAGAAATCGCGAGAGTTGTTTGACCAGGTGCTTTACCTGTTGGCTCGATGGATGACGTCATACACTTGTTCTAGAATGCTTTATCGCTAAGCCGCGAATCCAGTTTAGGCCCATGTAGAATGCAAACAAGCTTACGCAAGCGGGGTCGAGGGTGCCCAGGCGGGGAAATCTGGGCCCGTCTGGTGCCTGCCTGAAACAAGGTGGTAGTGCACGTAGGAATGAATACTGTTTCTGAGACTTAGACGCAATGTTATCGACATGGAAATAAATGCAGTTCATCATGTATAATCGTCACTTCATTGTAGTCGAGAGTCCCCGCACGCAAGCTTTCTGATAAATACCTCTTAAGCTCTGTAGCGGAAATCGGAAAAATCGAGGGACTGAAATAATCCTATCGGTAAGGGGTAAGGGGGAAGATCGGTCGCTCCGGGGCAGTTTGAAGGTTGGTTCGTTATCAGCTACAGAAGACCAGCTTCCGCGACGATGGACTTGTAATATCCCCTTCCTGTAGATAGGTAAGCTGATCAGCCACGATCCCAGTCATATACCATCGTCGAGCCTTTCACCTGGGCAATGGCGAGTTTCAGAAGAGGTGGGAGACGTACCCTTGTTCATATGCAGCAGCTTTTGCTCGTACGTGCCGAGAGGCTCTTCCATCATGATTGTCTCAGGTGGGGTATCCTTCTCAGGACCGGAGTATACCCAGCCCCATCGGCTTTCCTCGTATTCCTCAATGCGTTCGGCTCCATCACTAGCGTCCCGAACAAGACGTTCCGATACAACGCGCATCCGTTCGAGCTCCCAGGGCCCTTTCCGCAGGAGCGCGCGGCATTTGTAGAGCCCAACATCATCATACCCTAGTCCTTCCAGAGCTAATCGGATGCGCACACTTCGGTGGATGCTTTCATTCGTTCGCTTCAAAAATTGGTGGGTGGGATCACCAGTATCGGGGTCTATTCGGCGATACATGCCAGGGGTGCGGGTGGTCTTGCCGGCAAGACGATAAACCCCTGTATCGGGCTGAACAATCTCACCAAGGCCCCACGGTCTAACCGGCCTGTGGTCGTCATAGACCGAGGGGACCGCCCACTCGGTCCATCGGTCTTTGTCCTTTGGGCCTTCGTCGGGGTGAGTGCCTTAGGACGGGCATGGTAATAGTAGAGCACATTTTCGGTGAATATCTTCTCGATGATGCCGTTCTCGAATGATACACCGATTGAGGCCAGCTGGTCCATCATCCAGGCCATGGTGATATTCGCAATTTCCTGATCTGGCATTCCACCGCCAACATTGGAGTGGGCCCCTGGGAACCAGACCTGTCTGAGATGGGTGTGGACATGAGAAGGTCGGTGCCAGAGCGTTGGAACAAAAGATGTGCGGGTCTCATCTAGGGCTAATGCCTGGAAGGCATACTCTATCTCATTGCTCAATGATGTGTCGTAGAACTTGCATGTAAAGAACGGTCAGTTTGAAGCTTTGAAAGAAGACTGATGTACTTATTCTTTGGTGGATCGAGGAACGTGAAGTCGGTTTGATAGATTTGTGTCAGGAATACCTGGCAACGAAGTCAGAAGTGCTGAGACAAGGCATCCCGATCAGTAAATACCAAGACTTCCAACCGTCTCCCATACCGCGACGCAGCGAACTTTGATCCGGTAGCCCTCAGGATCGTAAAGTCGAGTGAGTTTATTCTAGAACTAGTCAGTTTTGGGGAAACAATACGCGGGAAGAGAAGAAGCTCTGGCGCAATGTACACACCTCTTCCAGGCGTCGTCGATACTCATTTCCCCGAGTTGGTGTGCTGGGTTTGTCAGGGAAAGGGACTGTAGGAAATTTGTCCTTGTAGTGCGGATTCTTCCAGTTCTGCACATCCTCAAAGATTGCATAGAAGTACTCCATGCCTTTCGTATTGAGAAGCCCGATGTCCGTGATCAATCCCTATCTGTGTTAGTAGTTCTTAAATTGGGAATCCGAATTCCTTTGTGATACTTACTGCGACAGCACGCGCTGTGAAAGCACCTCGTGAAAACCCCACTAAGATGATTTCATCTCCCGGCTCATAGTTGGAGACAATAAAGTCATAAGTCTCTCGGACATTCTATCTCTCACACTTAACATTGCTATCCACTCTGCAGTCTGAAAGAACCTACTTCGGAAACACCGGCCCCAAATACTCCACCTTCGAGCGTGTCCACGAGTTCACCAGACGACCCGACGCCAGGATGGTAGTACAGGACTTGACTCGTGTCGCCTAAACCTCGTTTTCTCAAAGCACGATAGAGTCGAGTCACATTCGTGGGTACCTGGATGGTGGCATTTCGTTCGTCCAGAGTGGGCCGGGTATAGCCGTAGTCGCTATTAGTCCAAGTGCCATCCATGCATGCAATGATGCGCTTGGCTGCGTACGACATTCTCCGTCGAGCCCGCAGGCGATCCAACCCTGACCGTTTCACCACGCGAGAGTAGGGAATGAGTGGGGACTGTTCGTCGCGAACCGCTGGGATGTAAGCTTCGATCCATGCGGCTGTGATTATGTAAGATATCTACAGCCACGAACACGTGGTGGTGATATCGATCTAGCTTCTATGGAGATGGAGGACTTTGGAGCAAATTTTGAAGATTATTTGACTGTCATAGTGGGTAATGTGAGCTTATATGCTACCCTTAATGTATCTCGACCATACGACTCAGCCCTTGATTACCATTAGAAGTTTTCAGAAAGTTTGGCAACACCTGCAAGATGGAATGCCGTAAATTACAGGATTTGAGGAAGGATGAAGTAAAGCTGCAGGAGTGCCCCACTTCCAAGGTTGGGGGGTAGTGACTTTGTCATCTTTGTCTCCTAGATTTTACTGCTGCTCCTTGATGGAATTCCCTACGAGGCTGGAGCTCTGCTATTTATGGCCCGGATTCGTCAGAAGAGGTAACAAATAGAACAGCATCTACCCACCAATCAAACAATGCCTTTAGTCTCATATCGTCAACTTGACATTTCCAAATTGACACCGTCAGCTTGATCGCGTCACTCGTGTCAGAGTCTGTGCCCTTGCAGAGCATACTGATATAAACCACCCATAGATTGCCCCCCAGATCCACCCCAAACCTTCCGGTCGCATGGACCTTCCTCCCGCCAAATTTGGATACCAGGGGCCCACATATATGGCGGCGGCTGTCGCACCAATGACACTGTACCAAATTCATTCCTGACTCTGCCGAGGATCGAGACTGGCATCTCAAAGCACAAAAAATCTATTATGCTTCTCTCACCAGGGCCGCGCCTCTATGTATCAAATATCGCCAAATACTGCCGCAAAACCCCGCGAGATAAACTCAAGACAAGTGTCGTTAGATACCAATGGGCTCGAGAACAGCAAAGACTGACCGCCGTGTTAAAGACCGCTCTCGTAATGGATGCGAGAACTGCCGTCGAAGCAAAGTCAAATGTGACGAGCAGAAGCCAAGTTGCACTCGGTGCTGGCAAAAGGGCATTCCATGTTCAAAGGCCACCATCCAATTGAAATGGGAGTCTGATTATCATGAGCGCGGAATCGCCTTCGGAAGGTCCGGGCTCTGGGCAAGCATTCAGACCAGCGGCGCAAAGCTCACATGGATTCCGAAACATCTAGCGTGACTCCACTTGGCCATACACCCGTTCATGCTTGGACCTTTCTCAATAGCGAAATGCCTCTGTTTGAACGATTTTATGACGAGGATCTGGGCTGTTCAGAGCCTCGCTTGCTGCCGGCAATCAATACGAACAGAGAAGACGACACTTTTGGTTATTCTTTTCCACCACCATCCTCGGCCTCATATTCGTCTTCGTCTTCGCCGTCGTCGTTGGGTCTATCTCACTGCCAAGAAAGCCCTGGGACGACAACACCGCAACCTCCACCAGCCCTTTCCTTCATCCCATCTTTATATGGATTGGGGAACCAGCTATTATTCGACTACTATGTAAATCAAATCTGCCCACGCACAGTGCCGAGTCCCACGTCGCGATCCCCCTTTGCATCCGTGATTCTCCCATATCTTGTCTCTGCGTCACCCTCTGTGGTGAGAGCGGTCCAGGCATTATCGGCATGCCACTGGGCACAATACGACTCCCAATATAAGGGCCTTGCGCTCCAATTAAAGTCCAAAGTCTTACGCGATTTGAACCAGCAGATTTCGACAGATAAGAGCTCGCTGCTGAATAACGACCCCGAGATCCTCGTCATCATCATGATGTTATGCCTCTATGGGATTGTTGATCATTGTGATCATAAATGGATCATTCATTTACAAGGCGCAAAGGACCTTATCCGATTACGGAAAACCCACCGCCATTCAACAGAATCATCTCCAGGCGAGAGAGTTGATCCGGTATCTTCCTTCGCAGAGTTGTTCTTCGCCTTCCAAGACGTCATGGGCCGAACAGCTTGTGCAAAGGCAGACCTGTTTGGACCAAAGTACTGGGACGAGAATGACACCAACATCAATGAATGGATGGGGTGCAGTCCGGCGCTCGTCTCGATTCTATTCGCAGTCATGGACTTGAGCAAGTCTCGACGACACATGACATCTGACAAGGACCAGGTTCAGTTCAGTATAAAGGCTGCGGCCTTGAACAATACTCTGCAAACCCTCAAGCAAAGCCATAGCTCCTACACTGAGGACGGTATTATTCAGCGAATCGCAGATCTGAAACAACTTACCTGTACAGTGTATCTGCACTGTGCATTGTATGGTGGCCGCCCCACTGATACGTTCGTACGATCGAGAGTACGGACCATTTTGAACGAAATTCTGAGTCTGCTGGAACAAGAATCGGCTTGTCATGTTATTTGGCCAATCTTTGTAGCCGCGGTTGAGCTTGATCCGCTTGAAAATGACCATTGGGAGAACCCTATTGCTGGAGAAAGCATTGATGGGCGAAGGCTGGTGCTAGAATTACTGACGCGAATGGCGAGAGTCAGTGTCTCTAGCGTAACTAGGGCTCGCGTGGTAATCGAACAGGTCTGGCAAGCCCGGGACTTTAACATCTCAAGAGGCTTCGAAGCAAAGGTAACCTCCATGTCTGAGGTCAATGACTGGGAGCGCTATGTGGTACCAGTTAGCGATGCCCTCAGCCTGGTTTGAGGAAAGTTTTCCGTCGGGTGGATGAGGTGCTCGTCGTCGCTACCTGAACGAGCTCCAATATCAGGGCTAACGGATGTTCATCTCAATTTGAAGATTCTTATTGAACAGGTCCAAACATCACGATATGAAAATCATCTACCATTGGCCTCATTTTTGGTAAAGGCATGTAAGGAAAGTCTAAGATAGATGCCTGAGAATAATATCAAATGGGACTTGCGAACGGACGAAGAGATTGTTGCATGATAATTTTTTGGAGGAAAAAGCCTAGTATATAAAATTATACCGATGGGACCTGGAACGCTGCATTGTTTACAGGGAGACTGTTTGTAGGCTGCAACGGGGTCTGGCTGGAGATTATTCTCCTGTAGCATCGTATCATTATCTGCCAAGTTCTCCATGAAATGTTTCAGGCTCTAGACTATAGGAAACCCTCCGGCGCTAAAGCCGCCAGGTTCAATTGTAACTGGATGATGCAGCCACCGAGAGCAACAGTGGAGATCGCCCAGACGTTGTTACAACAAGGTCAGTACAGCTCAAGATAAACATAAACCGTTCGGCCGATAGGATAGCCAATGCCAAGAGCACGCCATTGTCAATGCATTTGATCAATAATAGTGGGGCGCATCCGGCTGTTTTAAAGCTCGAGTTGAGTGATCGCCATTGCAGTGGGCGCTGACGTGCTTAGAGATGCCAAATCCTTATCATATAACCATGACCTACCGACCTGTTTCCAGCCTCATTGGGGGTTCAGATCTTGACGAAGGTTCTCATAATGGACGCTATGGAGCTCGGTCGCTTCGCTCAAATATACCGATCATGTCTTTTCCAGATCGTCATCGTCGGTCTGGTCGCGTTTTGTGAACCTGGCATCTGGACAGCTCTCAACAACCTCGGAGCGGGAGGCAATGCTAGTGTAAGGTCCCCTGATGAATGCAAGTCTTTCAGATGCTAAGAAATCTACAGCCTATGCTTAACAATGCCGCCAACGCTTTGACATACGGACTCATGTCGGTGGGCTGCTTCTTGGCTGGTGGAGTCAGCAACAAGATTACGGCCAAATGGACCTTGTTTCTTGGTGCCGCATTTTACACACCTTACGCTGCCGGTCTTTACTGCAACAACCGGTATGGGAATGAGTGGTTCTTGCTGCTTGGCGCGGCCCTTTGCGGGATAGGCGCCTCTTTGCTGTGGGCGAGTGAAGCCGCTATCGCCGTTGGCTATCCCGAAGAAGAGAAACGAGGACGGTCTGTTCACCTATGTTCCTGGTGAATGATCATGGAACTCACAATTTTGTTAGGTACGTTGGTATTTGGATGGGGATTCGTCAAATGGGACCGCTCGTAGGCGGTTCTATTTCGCTCGCCCTCAACATCAACACCGCACATGCCGGCAAGGTCACCTACAAAACCTACCTCGGGCTGGTAGCAATATCTGCCTTGGGAGCTCCATTTGCGCTTTTACTGTCACAACCCCAGAAGGTTATTAGGAGTAACGGCACAAAGATCCCTTACATGAAAAAGACGAGTCTTGCGATCGAGGCTCGCGCGATCTGGAAACAGCTCCACAACACATATATGCTTCTCCTTATCCCTATCTTCCTTGCGGGACAGTTTGGCGTGACATACCAAGGGAACTACCTGACAAGCGAGTACCACTTTCTCTGATCCTTGCGGCTCGAGTTAACAAGCTGAAATAGCATACTTCACCGTACGATCACGGGCATTAGCATCGTTCCTGACAGCCGTGGTTGGCGCCTTGGCCAATATTTTGACCGGGATAATTTTGGATATGAGCCGGTTCTCAAGAAAAACTAGATCTAGAGCTGTATACCTGTGCATCCTCATCATGGTCACGGCATCTTGGGCATGGAATGCTCAGACCGAAGCCAAGCTCTCCGCCATGTCAGACCCTCCTACCTTTGATTTGGGCGATGGTCCTTTCTTCACCTCTGCTTTCACCGTCTATATGTTCTTCAAATTCTTCTATGAGATGATGCAGACATACATCTACTGGCTGATGGCTGAAATCAAGGGAGCACAGGGAGATGGTGATGTCGCGCGCACAACTGGGATTTTGCGATCCTGGGAATCTATTGGGAGTACCATTGCCTACGGAGTTGGTGCCAGCCACTGGTCCAACTTGAACCAGATGATCCTGGGATTTGTGCTGTGGGGCTTTACCATTCCTTTCACCATTCTGGCAGTCTTTGGCGATTGGAACCAGCCGCAGCCTTCGCCGGGCGAGGATCAGACTGGTGACCAAACGGATTCCAGCAGCCTCGAGGCCCAAAGCGTTGTTGTCAGTGCCATAGGGAAAGACTAGTGGCTCGATGTTGTTTTTGAGTGAGAAAAGATATGTTAGAATTTAGACCACCCTTTCCCCATTTGATAAGAAGCTGTTATAAATTCTATTATCTCCAGCAAATTCTCATACCAAATGAGTAGGCCTGAGAAAAGAAACTTCCTATCGTAGTAACGTCGTATCTCCAGGGAGAGCAGAATAGGCTGAGCGATGACCAACCGATGTGATTTCCGAGTCCTGGCTCCCAGCTCTGATTCGTCCCTCAGAAGTAGAGCCGGCGATTTCGAGCGAGGAGCCCTGGATATTCTTTCTTAAAAGGCCGAATCTTGCCAATTGCCCAACGCTGGAATCCAAGATGTCCTATTAATTCCCGTTCCTCTCCCAATTATAACTTGGCCGGCACAATAGCTTTCTCGGTATTTTGTATCGACTGCCACCACTCGTTCTTGAGTGCCAGGATCTTGAACCCTTGCTCTACCCATTTCTCGTCAAAGCGAGGCAAGGCATACGCATCAGAGTCTGGCGCAGCCGGTCCAGCCAAGTCCGCTAGGAAATTGAAATATTCCGCAAAGTCGGGCTTGATCTCATGGAACACAGCAGAGTTTCCCTTGTACTTCAACCGTTCAACCTCCCAATTATCCTGCTCCTGGGGCGATGGAAGGTCAACGTTGTTCCGTCCAGCAAAGTACCGTGCAACAGCCACTGCCTGATACTCATACACTCGGAAACTGAGGGCCCCTCGAACTTGGCCCACCAACGCTAGAGATGGATCGCCGATCTTGAATACATGCTGGTAGAAGCCAGCAGCCCTGTTGTTGGGAGTGACCGGGTCTGGGGTGAGGAATGGGTAGGAAAGTCTATAGCCAGTTGCAAAAATGATTTTGTCCACTCCTTCGGTGCGGCTGCCATCGGTATATTCCACGGCCAAATTCTGCCCTGTTCCTTCGATTGATTTGAGCCCTGGGCGGCGCTGGACATTTGGAAGATTCCAGGCTGAGTCGAGCGCCTCGTTGTGAGTTCGCTGGGAGATTTCGAGCGGGGCTTGGACAATGCCGTACAGATCTGATACAGCATCCGCTGCGGAAACATTACCACCAACCACGACAACTTTCTTACCGACGTAGTTATCTGCGTGTCGGAATGACTTCGAGTGCTCGAACCTCGTAGGATGTAGCTTGAAGGCAGCATCCAGTCCTGGCACGTCAGGGACAAAGGGCACACTGTAATGCCCGGAGGCCACAATTACAGCATCGAATTGTTCTTGCCACCAATATTCTTTTGGCTCCGAACCCTCGAAGTGGCCTTTTCGCCGAAGAGTCAAGTTCCATATTCCATCGTTTTTCTCAACCTTCACGACGGTTGTGTTCAAACTTGCTAAATGGTGATAGGCTCTGAACAGATCTTCCAGGTAGCGGGTGATCACCCGAAATGGACGGGTCGGATTCAACCGGCCAAAAATGCGAGTGGAAGCGGCGGAGTTGATTTGCGGAAAAGGCGTATGGGTGAACGACATGGCTTCAGCCCCAACGTTACTATCTAGTCCCTCATATATTCCACTTCGTACGGTCGTATCTTCTGGGCTGGGGGGTGATAGTTGAGGCAGATCGGCGGGGACGGCCTGCTGCTTAGGGCTTCCCTTTGCGCCGGGGAAAACATCTGGAACCTGGTCGAGATGCCAGATACCCCCGACTCGACCCTGCCGCTCGAAGATTCGAATCGTGTCAAACACCTTCTCCTCGTGCAGGGCTTTCACGGCGGAGATGCCTGACGGGCCTGCGCCGATCACAGCGACTCTACGATAGCGTGGACCCATACTGATTATAGCTGCGATAGAGATATCCAGATATATGTCTGGGTATTGAGAGATTTTCAGGCTAGCCTTGATTTTAAAACAGGCCACAAGTTATTTGTAGTGTTGGGGGCCCTTGATGATATGGACGAGACTCCACATTGTCGCAATTGTGCCGAATAATGGTTCGAGATGGCGCCATGCATCATCGCAATCGTTGCATTAAGAGCCACATTGGTCACTGTAGAGATGGGGTGCCTTACCAAGAGGTTCTAGCAGAATTTGAAGGGTCTGCAATAATTTAATGGTCCGATCAAGACAATGCCATGTTTAGGTCAGCCTAGACTTTAAATTCAAGTTCAGAAGGTCATAGTAAACACGTATTTCGAGAAATTAAACAACCGAGTACTACCAGCCCTAACTTCAGCCCCTAGACTAGGGCCTCGAAGCTATTCAGCCGTGATTGTTTTCGTTGATAACCAGGCCGAGAATACGCACATCCATAACCCGGAGCTTTTCCATTGCGGTCTGTCTTGAACTCCCCGCACGAGAAATCACGAAAAACGAGCTAAAATGTCCTATGCTTCGATAGGGGCTGGGTAAGGTTCTGTTCGCAATAAATCCCCGCTTATGAATCTGGCTCCGAGGGGAAGCGGATTAAATTTCCCACTTGGTAGCAATCGATACCATAAAGGTACCATTCGGTCAATGCCGTGATCGTGCTAATCTATGGCGTCAAGAAACACAAATTTGAATGTTCTCAAAGCATACAGCTCCATGAGTTAGACGAAGACATTAGACGGAGGCAGCAAATTGTCATGCAGCCCTATTAAAATCAATGTAATCAAGTTTGCTTAGACTTTTCCAGGACGACTCAAAATTGCGCGCTCTAGTGCGAGCGTGCCATGCATCTCAGTAGGGTGGTTCTTCCATAAAACATATTCTGTCATTAGGTTTTCGTAATATACTCTATTGGCTAGCACCGCCGATACGGGCCAGGTAAGCCTCCCAGCCTTGCTGCTGATATTGCTTCGCTGCCTCCACAGGATCAGGAGCCGCATAGATGCCACGGCCCGCAATAATAAAGTCCGCACCACGGCCAATAGCCGACTGGGGGGTTTGATACTGCTGTCCCAGCTTATCCCCTTTAGAAGAAAGATTGACACCAGTTGTGAACACCACAAAGTCCTCATCGCTAGCCGCCTTGACCGACGACTCAACCTCGTTCAGCGAGCGAGTCGACACGAAGCCGAGCACAAAGCTGGGATACTTGCGCGCATAGTCTACCGAGGCGGAGGTATAGGCTCCTGTGGCCAATGACCCTTTCGAGGTCATCTCAGCGAGGATCAGAAGACCGCGCTCTGAGCCGTGGGGGAAGTCGGGGGCCTGGGCGGTCTGAGCGAGAGCCTCGACAATGCCTTCTCCGGGCAGGATACTGCAGTTGATGATGTGGGACCATTCCGAGATACGGAGGGTGCCGCCGTGGTATTGCTTTTGGACCGTGTTGCCGATGTCGACGAACTTGCGATCTTCGAAGATCAGGAAGTTGTGTTTCTCGGCGAGCGCTTTGAGACCCTCAGTGGTCGCTTCGCCGAAGTCGGACAGAATGTCAATGTGGGTTTTGAGGACAGCAATGTATGGACCGAGGCCTGGTGCGAAGAGCTGTATTAGTATTGGCTTGTATTGGCGATCGGCTTCAGCCTGGCTACTGACGATCGGCAAGATCAAGGAGTTCTTTGGTGGTGGTCACGTCGGCGGACACGGTCACATTGCTCTTCTTAGCTTCTGCTACTTGGAAGAGCTTTCGGGCCAGGAGATTGGGGTGGGTTGTCGCCCGAGCGCTGTATGTCAATTGAGATTTGGACGACATGATGATGGCGGGGTTGGTTCAAGTTGATGGGGTGTTGAAACAGAGGCAGCGTTCGTGGTCAAAGGCAAACTGGGGCTTCCTAGACAGAGAGGCGTTGTAATCGCAGTTCGAGGTCGTAAGAAGGGTAGTGCCACTCTGTTTTGAGCAGTGGTTTAGAATCTAGAATACGTTCTGGGGAACTTGCACTACTCCGCGGGGGCCTTTTTTTTCTCGGCTGCGCCACAACGGGAATCAGCCACACTTAGCGGAAATTTCCGTACTGATTTCATTGAAGAATGAGAGTGTCCTTTGTAAAATACATTATTGGGAGACCAGATATCAGGTGAAAGAGGGAGAGGAAGGGTAAATCGTGCCATTGGATGGTTTCCCGTCACAGTCACCATTTGATCAGGTCACGAGCAACGCCAAAGACACTCAGAGCCCACAAAGCACCCTGGGCAGGCAGGTAGAGCGTGCCATTGTAGCGGCCACGGCCCTCAGGCTTGTCGGAGTAGACATATCCGTAGAGGTAAAGGGCACGGGAAACCACCCAGACGGCGCCTAGGGCAGCCGCGATCTCCGGGTACTTGAGGCCAGCGACCAGGATGGAGAGTGTAGTCTGGGGCGCATGTTCAAGGAAGTTCGCATGGGCGCGTTGAGCGCAGTTGAATTGGTGGGCTTTGGGCTAGGGGAAATGTCAACCAGGACACCGAGGGGATGCGCTTGTCAGGTGTTTGGGAGGGGTCGTACGTTGGACTTGGTCTGCTCGACGGTTGCATAGGCATGGGGATAGGGGCAGCCAGCTGGCTTGCGCAGACTTCCTGTCACACCCGAGTGAGTGATGGCAAGTAGGGGGATCACACCCACTGCGATGGCGAGAGGAGCACTATGCCGAAGAAGAAAAAGCAAATTAGTATGCGTCAATGAACCGTGGCAAGACGCGCTACTTACCCGAAATTGTCAGGGAGAGTAATGGAAACCATTGTGGGTAGATGATAGCTGTATGCCGAGAAGGACAACTCGAAAGGCGAAACCTGGAACTCGGAGCAGCAGAATATAAAGGATTGCAAGAGTATCAGGGCACCCTAGACTCTGGATGAACGAACTACTGCTAGTCGGACTATCCCTCCGTCCCGCGCCCGGGCTCGGGAAGAGAACGTTCCAATTCGTCCGATTCGCCTATTGACCAGATGGAATGTGGAAGGTTCTAGATACTTGGGTTCAGGACTCTGAACCTCAGCTGGAGAGGCTCGACGCCATGGTGGTTAGGACATTTCACGAGTTAGACCATAAGGCTGTTAACGTCAGCCATGTTCTTCGCAGGGGAATGCATCTAGGGCACGCAATCAGCCACCGAGGGTGTTACCAATTGACATTCAAAAGGCGTCAATATTCAGAATATCCGGGCCTGGAGACGTTGGATTTAAGTATTTATGGAGACTCTAAGGGCGACTATCAAGATAGAAGACAGCTCATGATAATGCACAGGCTATCAAGTCATCCCGAGGTGTCATGGCGTGCGCTGACAAAGGGGCCACGGGACTCCCAGGGTCGCATTCAACATTCAGGGCTCTGAGTGCTAAGTGAGGCAGAATAGCCATTTGTTGACCACGAGCTTCAAACGTGGCATATATTAGTGATAATCACAGCTACTATGGGTGTTTTCACACGAAGCAATTATATTCCAGGAAATCCAAGTTGACCCTCAAGACTAATACATTGTAGATAGATCCAACCGCCACCGTTGTGATTATGATGGCTCAACTGAGCTTCAATGTGTGCAAGATGATACAAATAGCACCTCTGGGCTTTTTGACTGCGATCAAACAGAGGTACGACTCACACTTCCATACTTGGCCTGCCATGCGAAGAAGTACAATAGTGCCCCAAGAGGCTGGCCGACCAAACAAAAGCTGACCCAGAAAATGCAGTTTCCAATCGTCTTTCCCAGGGGATCAGACATCTTCTCCAAGGGCGTGGTCAGTGTAATCAATGGCAATTGGAACATCATCCCAAAGAAGGCAACACCTAGGATTCGTTAATAAGCACGTGTATAAAGCGACTATAAGGGCCGGGTCATACCAATGAAATTATGTGTTGGAATGCCCACGAGCATTTCGTGTAGGACGGCAGAGAGGGCGAAGACCACCCCACTCGCTGCGAGGGGACTCCATCCCCGGCCCACCAGAGGGGAAAAGACATGGCGCTTCATGAATAGATACACGGGCCGGTTCCAAGACCTCCAGTATACTCCTAAGCTGGAACTATTCCACCAATCGGTGTAGAACTCTCGGTCTCCAAACTGCATAACCTCGGCCAATGCATTCAGCAAAGCCTGGAAGAGAGCGAAAAACCCTGCAAGCCAGATGACCAGGGAAATGGTGGAAAGTTTCATGACACGCTCCAAGATAGAGGTAATATCCATGACGGCGATCTTATCAATTGAGTTGCGTAGTACAGGAGCCGCGTACTGGGCAGAGAGCACCCAGATGATCATTGAAAGACCCACAAATTCTGCGAGTCGCTTGGCAACAAAAGACCAGCGGATCGAAGCAGTGCGTGGATAGACAGGCTGATAGACCAGGGTTGGAGCTAGCCAAAAATATGTTAGGTTCCTGATCGTTATATTTCTTGGATAAGGGCAGGCGGAGTAGATCTCAGGGAGACCAGACTCGGCAGAGGGGTTCAAGAACGCCAGACGAAGATCTCGATTAGTGAACGCATAAGAACAGATCTTGAGCCACACAATGATTGCATGGAGCTCGCAGATTGTCCCTATTCCCGGGTGGTGAATGTAGAAGTACACCACAAAGCTGGTGACTGCCAGACACAGTGTAGCATTGACCGTATGCAGGAAGGCTGTATACGGCCAGGTAGATCGGAAGGCCTGCTGATCACGCTCTTTCTCCTCGGCAGTTTTCTTCTGTAAGCCGACAGCATTCTTAGCTGAGGACGCAGCCGATAGCTCAATGATGTAGGCCGTGAACAGGTGGCACGGGACCAGGGCATAGAGAATTGATCCGAGAACGATATCCTGCTTTCGATAGTCATGACACTTTATGCATATGAGCACTCCGTACTATATCATACAGTTAGTGACAACTAATCACCTCGAGGAATCCATAGCGAAATCTCACTCACTTTCTTGAAATTCTCGAGAATAAGTCGAAGATTCATGGCAACTATTTGACATTAGCAATCAAGGATGAATTGCTCCCTTTTAAGAAACATCAGGCCTTACTCAATACAAGTACCATGAGATTTCTAAAGCCAAGGAAGCTCGCCGTCTCGGTCGAGTCTCGGCTCGAGACTGGAATGACGATTCCGAGAGTGGTATGCCGCGACATGGCGATACTTGCTTCGTTTCGGTTTAGTTGAGGGTGTACGAGTCTCTGCTTCACCAGGAGCAGATCCAGGGGCCACGGGGTCTGAGGCTCCAGGAGTTGCCATCACGGCTTGGGTTATTGAGGTCATTCTGCCGTGGACCCCAAGGGAGGGAAGTCCCTTGTGGTCTCTGATTGCGCAACTGGGATGAGGGCCGGGCCAGTGCGGCAATGCGGAGGTGCTCGGGAGCAATCCACGAACTGTTCACCAAGAACCAAGGATAATCCTTTCAGAAGAGTCGAGGATTAGCACCGACATGGAGGGGAAATGTTTAGGAAGAGTAACATTCGAAGATTGGCGGGGCGTAGGACATCATAGCGCACCAAGACCACTGCTCACTTGCAGGTCAGCGAATCAGCGGGGGCGGACAAGCTCCAAAGATGTCCCGATCCTGCAAAGCTCCGACTTTCTCTCCCAACGCAATTCACGGCCGCTACCGGTTTGACCACGCAGGGGCGACCCCTGCCATTTGATATTTTAAATTATTCAAACCCCGCCAGATATGCTTCTGCGAAATCGCGTTCTTTGATTTGCAGATTCGTGTCTTCCTTTTCATCGGCCTGTCGCGATGTCCTTTTACGACGAGCATGGAGGCGACTCCTACCCGGGGAAGTTCAATAAGAATCATGACGGTGGCCCTGTAGGACCCCGGCGACCGAGTACGGACAGATCAAATCCCCAACAGCGCTTGCTGCAGTGGCGCTCGGAGTGAGACGACCGCTTGGCTAACATACGCGTTGCACGTAGGACTCGTCACGGACTACGGCTCATCAATGGTACAATGGATGCGGACGCGCAGACCTCGATATCAGGGCGGACATCGCATGGAGGTGGAGCGCCCAAGTGCAAGCTTTGCAGTCGATGTGAGTTGCGCACGACCTGGAAAACGCGTCGAGATATGCCAGCGCAGGAACTAATACGATATAAACCCCCTCCTATAGATGGTCCCTCCCATCGGTCGAAAATACTCTCCAGCAGACACAATACCCGTACGCCACCTGCACCAGTCGATCGGAAAATCGAAGAAGCCAATCGTCGTGGTGCGATGGACCCCGGAAGGAAGACGACTGTTGACCGGGGGCCACACCGGCGAGTTCATGCTATGGAACGGCACGGCGTTCAATTTTGAGACAGTTATGGATGTGCGTTCTATGAAGTTTTGTTGAGAGATTCCACCATTGACTAATCTTCCTAGGCACACTATGATCAAATCCAAGCAGGTGTGACGTCTCTGGCCTGGTGCCATAGCCATGACTGGCTTATCTCTGGTGGACAAAGGGGTGATATCAAGTATTGGCGCCCAAACTTCAACAACGTCGAAACAATCGATGATGCCCACCATGATGCGGTCCGAGATCTCGCCTGGGCACCCAGCGATACCAAGTTCCTGTCTGCCTCCGATGATACGACCCTGAAGATTTTTGACTTCACCTCTCGAACCTGCGACACGGTTCTAACGGGACACAATTGGGATGTGAAGTCTTGCGACTGGCATCCAACCAAGGGATTATTGGTGTCTGGCTCTAAAGATCATCAAGTCAAGTTTTGGGATCCACGAACCGCTCGATGCTTGACTACGCTACATACTCACAAGAACACAGTCACCGCCACGCGATTCTCGCGAGTCAACAACAACCTTCTCGCAACTTCATCTCGAGACCAGACGGCAAGGGTCTTTGATTTACGCATGATGCGCGATATTTGCATTCTACGTGGACATGAAAAGCCTGTTTCTTCTTTGACATGGCATCCAATTCACAGCAACCTGATTTCCACTGGAGCAGAGGATGGTTCATTATACCACTACTTACTAGATGAGCCCAACCTGCCCAGTGGTGTTGTCCCCACGGTGGCACCGTACGACAGTCCCGATCCTGCCAATACGCCTCCACAAGTGATCTATCCAGCGCACCGCGTCCAATACGCGCATGGAGCCACGATTTGGTCCCTCGACTGGCATCCTCTGGGACACATTCTGGCTTCCGGATCAAAAGATAATTTCACTCGATTCTGGTCGCGGGCACGACCCGGCGAGACTAGCTACATGAAAGATCGATTCCATATTGGGGAAGAGGCTGCAGAAGCGCAGGGTACATGGAACAGAGGCTTCAGCCGCAGACAAGCACGGGAGGAAGAGGAACAGGACTTACAAGACGAAGCCGACACTCTGGCCGATCAAAGAAGAGCCCCAGGGCCGCCTGCTCTACCAGGAATTCAGACCGTCTCTGCTGTGGGCCAAGATGGCGCTGGTTTCCTTCCTGGCATTGGCGGCGCTCAGCCCCCACCACCAGGTACCATGGGTGGCATGGACCCAGGCCGCCTTGCAGCTATTATGTCTTCGCAAGCACCAGCACCTGTTTCGCCTGCTCAGCCTGGCCCGCCAAATGCTATGCCTGCGTTCCCCATGCTTCCGGGAATGGGGGCGCCTCCTCCGCAAATGAATATGGACATGGCGCAGCTGCAGAAACAGCTCGCCGCGCAGGGTATTCAAATGCCCCCAAATTTCAATCTCCAGAACTTTACAGCTGCTATGGGCAGCCTACCCGGTCTGCAGGGGGGGTAACATGCAAGATGGCGGTCGTCGATAATAGCGAGCACGGTGCTCTTTTATGCATATGGGCGGGGACGAGTTCAAAAGCGGCGCATTGGATGTATCTTTCGCGGGAACCATGGATGGGGCGGGGCGCTCATTGCGATACCCAGTGTATTATAGGAATTTCAAATATGGTCTTTCAAACTGAAATGCATAAATGAAATTGCCAGATGCGATTTGTAGTCATTCAGGCAATAGTCCCTCAAAGGCCGCCCTGCATTGGGAAACTGGTTAAGATAAGGACCATCACGTTGACACCACCCCAGATCAATGGGACCCAAGTTGACATCCGAAAATTGCCTGCTTCATAAAGAGATGCAAGGCTACTTAACAATCAGCGATTGACGGGAATCATACTTGGCAGCAAGGAAGCTCACATCAAACCAACCAAACTCCCGGCTAAAAGTGCTTCTACACCAGCGATCAGGCTATAAAGCAGTGGAACGAGCCACAGGACACTCCAATTGCGGAAATGAGTAAGAACAACACACCCCGCGACTGTCAAATGAGTTGCTCCATAGAATATTAGCGTCCAGTATAAAGTAAAGCGCCAGATATCCTCCGTGTAATAGAGATAGTAGGCCTCGTGGTGGTGCGAAGGTACGAAATCGTACAACGATGGAAACGCCGGCGTGTAGTAGTTGATTGGGACCCGGTTGTTGGCCATTGAAAGGGACTTCTGCGGCCGGGAAACTGACAGCAGAGAACAAAGCAGCTCAGAACATATTCGCACCACGCGATCCTTGGGATGTTGATTGATGCAGGAACGCTCCGGCCCACTTGAGACGTTGCCTGTTTGCACTGTTTGCGGCTCCACTCCGAACCTCGGCTAGTCAGGCCTGGAGTTTCTCCACGGTCTGGTCTGTAGTCATACCCCGAACCATGTAGAGATCGGAGGACTCCTGTCCTAGTCCGCAGTAATCCTCTCTATGGCGACAGAACGCTCCCTCGCCGCACTCTTGCGGTCGCTGCAGGCTTCATCTAGCTTTGAAGATGCCTCCCAGTCAGTGGCACCGTTCCATGTGCTGCAATTTGCCGATGAGATGCTAATAGATCATATTGGGACAGTCTTCTACCCACAGCAACGAGTTTCCTGTCTATTCTCGGCAACCCATTGAACCTGACCCTCCTCGCATCGCAACTCCTGTCTGCTCCCGCCTTATGGGATCATCCTGTCGACCTCCAGTCATGTCGCAAGATCATGAGCGTGTTCAACACCGCTGCCATCGCTGTGCTACAAAACGATACCACAGACGCGCCCCGTATGCCATACAACCGGAACAGAAGCATTGAACGTGAAGCCTGGGTCAAGGCAATTGCTCAGGGGGCGGATGAGAAGTCCCCGCGGTGGAGACACACCATACTACTTGGTGGCATTTTGCTTGGATTCGAAGGGCAGAATCGACAGGGGCTTCCACGGGGAATCAGAATCAAACTCGAGCGGGCATTGGCTACTGCGGCTCAATTGGCACTGGAGGAGTTACATCCTGATGCCGGTATAGAGGGAAACTGTATTACCATGGTATTGAACTACACGTTTGAACTGCTTTCAGATCAAGAGCGCGCTTCGTTGAATTATGACCGCCTCTTGCCTGCTATGGTGCGCTCTGTCTTCTTCTCAGGTGAAGGTCTCGAAGCTGGATATTTCTTGGGGACTATCGATCAGGATGTAGTCGAGGCCCCGGGAAGAAGTTTCGGTGGAACGCTACGTCTCCTTCATACGGCCATCTATCTGCTATCGGCTCAAGGCCTCTTGTATCTGCTTTAGGCCCATTGTCCAGGCTCATCTCACATGGTATCGATCATGTGCGAGATCCGGGCTTGGTTACCCAAACAGTGGATTACTTAGCGGACTTTGCCCGGACCCTCATGGTTCAATGGAGGCAAAACAAACTGTCAGAAATCGACGTTGCGGAAGAACTGGAATTCTTGGAAGCAGAGTCTCTTCAAACCACTTTACCGGCTCTCTGGAAAGTGCTTCGAAATTGCCCTCTACTCAGTCGTCATTGCTCTACGAGCCGTTCTAGGGAGGACCATCAATGATCCTGCTTTAGCAGCCCATAGCCGTATGTCAGCTCACATTGAGGTTTACTGTCGATCTGCTAACGAGAAACATGTTCAGGCGCCCCTTACCTCTCCATACAAGCCCTTCATATCCTTCGCAACTTTTATTTTGTCACGTCACGGGTTGGTCAAAATGCATCAACACAGCAGGCCTTTGTATCCTTGACGGCCATTGATATTCTTTCACAATACCCAGATCTGTCAGAAAATTTCCTGCGAAGCATCAAGCCTGCGGAAATGGGTCAGATTCCGGCACATCCAGTTGAGCGATGCTTGGATTCGTTTTTCCTCAACACGGCGGAACACTTCCCCTGGTTCTCTCGCCCAGTGCCAATGAGGAATTATTACTATCTGCTGCCTTCCCATACCTGGCAGCTGGTGCTAACCCCCTGCTGCTGGATATTTTTGAGGCGGCGCATAGCCTAGTGCTTGTAGTTTTTGCTGTGCCCCACAATTCAGATTTAGCGGCGAAACACTTGCCTTTCTACATCGACAATCTCTTTGCTGTGAGTCGCACCACATTTCCAGCAATCTGCCCTTACTAATATAACGCTCCCAAGGTGTTCCCCGAAAACCTTTCAGCGCGTCAATTCCGCCTCGCGTTCAAGACCGTCATCCAAGTCACCACTCCTCCATCTCCGTTAGCTAATAGTCAACCACTCCTTCCATCTGTACTCTTGGAAGTCGTACGAGACCATGCGATCAATGCATCATCGACGCCTATTTCGCCTACGCCACAAAACACTTCATCCAACGCGCCCAACCTAGGTGACGAAAGGCCCCTATCCGCTCAAGCCGTGCTGACCTTGGCTCTGATCGACGCGCTCTCATTCCTTAGGGTAGATGACCTCAAGGAATGGCTGCCCCTCACAGCTCAGTTGATAAATGTCATTGCGGATCGCCAGATGCGCAACGTCTGCATTGATCGATTCTGGGAGACTCTAAGTAATGGGGAGATGGACGTTGACCGTGCCCACTGTTGTGTCAGCTGGTGGAGTACCGGGGGCGGACGCGAGCTAGTTCTCTTCGGGCCAGAGCCAGCTCCTGGGGCCCCAGATGCCGAGAATGGGCCGTTTATGAGTGGTGCCGTTGGTGGGGTGGCGCCGGAGAGTAAATTATAAGCTTCTACCTTGGTAGTTGACATTTGAAGGGATTTGACGAGGGGATTCTGTCTGCATAGGATGAGCGTAGGTCATGCTCATACCAGTATGGCCTGTCTAAGGCCCGCTACATTATACCACTGGTACTTAATTTATGACTTCTCATTAGCAGTATTCAAAGCCTGAATTAGGCCGTCCACAGATAGAGTAACGCTGAAATGGTCATGCTCAGCACTTCCGGTACATCCATGGTTGCTAGCGTCACGGTGAAACGAAAACTTCAGGGAAAGCTGATAAGCCCAAGGCTCATTAGGAGATCAATCTAGTGTGACATGGTCATAGCCCAGGCCGTGGCCAGGACAATAGAAGTTCCTGTGGGTTACATTGAGCTGCATGACTGGGCCATACAACGATGTGGAGGAGCTCCGCTCTGGGGAAAGCTTCTGTCCGTGGAAGATCCGTGTTTGCGCTTATGCCTTTGGTGGTTCCTGCGGCTCCAGGAATATATCGTTTGTCGGAGCTCTACGGGCGGCTGCCTAGACCCTGAGCTCATCCTTGAAACTTGAAAATGCCTTGGAAACACACATTGGCAAATACCAACCAAGGCATTCACTGTTGTGATCAGCAGAGGGTTCAACTTGCGGGGCGAATACAAAAGCTGATCCTGTTGTTCTGGACTCTCCACACCACAACGTCACCGGCTTCGCGCGTTTCCCCCTCCCAAAAATAGCTACCGCTCCAAATCTTTCCAACTTCCCCCATTCATCCTTTTGCTTCTCCTCTTTCCTTCCCTTAGCGACCGAGGGGTTGTTCCGGCCGGATTTCATTCTCTAGTGCTTCCCTGCTGTGGTATTTCTTCTTATTTTTCTGAGAGGAACAGAAAATGTCATGGCAGCACCCCCGCCAGAGAGCTCACGAACCCCGCCAGATACACCCTTAAGTGAGTTCACGAGGCCTCACAGTGAATCTATGGAGGACTCCGATCTTCCGGCGAACCGGAAACGTCCGCGTCTTGACAGTGGGAGCCGTGAAGGAGAGAGTCTGCCCATGGACGGGGTCTGCTCTCTCTCAGCCGTACCTGCCGCGGATATGGACGTGACGGCCGACCAAGCTCGTCCCAGTAAGGTCACCATAAACATGAAGTCGCCAACCTCCGACATGGCCTCCGAGTCAGCGACCCAGGCCTCGCAAGACACGACAACCTTCAATGCCCCCCACCCTGAACCCGACAACGTGATTTCCGTCTCTTCCTCCCCAGTCAACTCTCCTGAAATCGAGGTTGCCGAACCTGAGGACATGGATCAAGATCCTCGCATTTCAACATGGCAGTCGGTAGAAATGGCGTATACCTCGGCCGCCGATCTGCTGGATGAGTTCCCCAAACTCCGCGACAACACAAGCGCCTTGGACAATCTTACCAGAATCACTCAACTGGTTCACAAGTGTCAGCCCCACTCATACCTAATAAATTGAGCGTGTTTAAATTCAGAGAGCTAACGACGAGACTAGGCGATCTCCGCGATGCAAACCTGATGGGCCGAGTGAAAGTCTGGATGGATGAGTGCGTTCGAAGCCTTGACCTGCTCACGATGGATGCGGTGATCGGCGAATATCCATTCTGGGAGGCCCTGCCAACATTGTTGGAGAGCTTTATGCGCCGCGAGTATGGAACTCCCTCTCCATCCCCTCCCCGACTTTGTATATGTTGTATACTGACAAGGTTTATAGCCAAGAACTGCGTATGGTTGATGACAAAGGAATGTGGTCGTGCTTGGAGGAATTTGCTTTGGACTGGGCCCGGCTCACTTTACACCTGATGGAGTTGGATATGCAAGAGTGGCGTACTTCGATTGCGCAGCCTGATGCCCGGGATGTGGATTGCATCTCGGAGCGATACATCGAGCCTCTTTCATGGCTACTCCACGTCCAAAACTTCCCACACTGGCGTGTCCTGGTCAGCTTGTACGATGACGAACCCTATGACCTAGTGGCCCGAGTGCGCGCCCAAGTCATCACCGCCGACACTGTCAAGAAACTCGATGAGTACACTTCGCTGGTTCTGGCAGTCTCCAATAAAGCCCCGAGTATGGCAGTGGTCGCGAGTCCACTTACAGTGCTCGCAAATGTTATCCTGGACAAGAGTTTGAAGGAAAAGCAAAGCCCGGCAAGTGAGCCTGACGCTGAATTGCTCGACCCTTCCAGCCTCCAGAAGATGCACCAGCTCATCTGCTCAGTCGACTCCAAGTGGCAAGACTGGGTCTCAAAGAAGTCTTCGAGTGTCCGAAACGATTTGAGTGATCAACTTCTGCGCCAACTCATGCATAGCCATAACACTCTTTGTAACCGCGAGGAGAAATTCCTTCGCCAGCTAGAGGAGTCTTTATCTCTGGAAGTCCCAGATGATATGGAGGTAAAAGACCGTATCTTCATTGCGGTCTGGCGTTGGAAGCTTGATGTGTTGAAAAGGCATATTACTGAAGGTCGAATGGAGCTTCGAGCTTTCGGCGTTGAGACAATGCAGTCAGATCTTGTGCGGCTGTGGCAGAAATACATCTCCAATGACGCGGCTGGGGTTGCAACGCCCTTCATCCAATCCATTGTCCAATTCATCCGATCGACAAAGATCGTCGATTACCTCGTGGGGGTCGACTCTCACCCACAGCTGATAAGCCGGAGCAGCAACATCGTTGGCTTCTTGATTGTGACATCAAGTTATACAAACGGTGAAACGGACGTCATCTGGAAAACAGTTACCGAATCTCAGGACAGTCGAATTATCGCTGAAGTTTTGGCCATGTTGGTCAAGACCTTCTACATGCATGTCTCTACCTCTCCATTGCTACTTTACATCTGCTCGAAGGTTCTGGAGCTGCCGCTGGATCGGTTTGATACTCGAATGCTCGATTTCTGCGACAACCTTCTGCGAGTTTTATTAGACAAGCCAAACAACCAAGCCGGCGAAGACGTGGATGGTCTTCCACTCCGTTTATGTGTTCGCCTTATACGGGAGAGTACTGCGGCCGAGGACATCCCTGTGGACCAGAAAACGCAAATGCAGAATTTTGGCAGCAAATTTCTTGCTCTGTTTATCAAGGCTGGGATCAGTGAAGTCGATCGCATGGAGATCTACGAACGCTGCATCCAGGACATTTCCGAAATGAATCAATTCAGCGCGGGCAGCCTCCAAGCACTCAGCGCTCTCGTTCCCCTCCACGAACCCCGAGAGATTTGGAAGTTGGCAACAGAATTTGATTTGACCCGCCTTGTCATCAACGATTTGTTACATGCTGTCAATGATGATAAATCCGATTTTTCAAATAGCTTTTCGTACCATGGACTCGTTGCACGGTTCAATATGTTGTTCCGCCTGATCGATATGGTCCCGGAAACGATCACGCCAGAACTTGGAGCCTCGCTATGGAATGACATCTTCTTGTCGAAGAAGCTGGGGCGGGGTGGATTCAAGGCTGTTTGGAATATGGTGGTCCATGCTTTGAGCCGCAGCACAAAGCCTAATCCATTCCTGGAACGTTGCATCTTTGAATATTTGCCTGGGATTCTACCCAGTGACTACTCTTTGGAGGTGCTTATGTTTGCGAAGCAGTCCATCATCTACGAAATCAGATTCCACCCGCCCTCTCCGGCAAGTGAGGATGAGGTTGTCACTATCCCTGGAATGGATCGCATTTGGTCGATGATATTGACTGCACCGCCTGGTTCCATCGAAAACGAAGCAATGAAGCTTGCAATCGAAGTCTACCTCGATCATACAATCATCCGCAGCTCCCCACGGTCGGCTGTTGAGGCTACGCATATTGCAATCGCTAATCGCTGCATCGACCAGCTCAATTCTGCCGCGACGACACTGAAAAATTCCGAGGGATCAGCCAACAACGGTGACATCACCATGCATGATAGACTTGGCCCGGAGATAGGCGCCGACGAGATCAAGTTCAGGCGGTCTCTGGTGTTCCTCCGTCAATTCCTCTACGGGCTACGCACTCGGCCTCATTACAGCCCACCCCGTGCCTCTCCACCTCGTTTACCGGAACGGCCGCTTAAAGGGGATCTGATTGAGATCAACTGGCAATCCTTTGATGGCAATTCAAACTCCAAGATCAATACCCTTCGAATTGGAGATCTGTCAACCGCAGCAGAGCTGGTTGAACGATTTTCTCTGGCGACTGGATTCTCCAAGCTTACAGCAATTTCAGGCGGGCAGCGGATTGATTTACTCAAGGACCCTGATGCTCCTGTGAAGGAATTGAAACTTCAACCTGGTCTTTTGATTATCCGGAAAGCGCCAGATTCCCAGGAGGTCGCAAGAGAGAACAAAGGCTCACTGTTCACACCTGTTGATTTGGAAATTCTCAAGCATTTCGATGAGATTTACGAGCTTCTCTCTCTGAAAGCCGACCTGGCTCATGAGATATACGATTTCTTGTCTGTTTTTCCGCCACAAGAGCGAGTCACCTCTCTTGTGAGATCGACAGAGATATCCGAAAAGGAGCTATTTCCTTTGCAGACCCCTTTCATTGCATTTTATTCATTTAATGCATTATCTGCCTGTCTTCGTGACGAGGGGATCGAAGATAGCCCGGACGTGTCTTTCGTGTCTCATAGCATCAACATCCTTGTCGCGTTTTTGATGTCTCCGGACCTTTTGAGATTAATCCCCCAGGACCGCATTATGGTGGCTCTTGCCACCTCAGCAGTGGGTTGTCTCTTATCTGCGTTTTCTGTCTTTACATCCAAATCCGAGAATACGTGCCTGATTGACGATCCGTTTCTTTTTGTGAAACAGCTCCTCAAACTAGTAGACGCTGCCAGGAAGACAGCCACACACCCCACAAATGCAGCTGGCATTCAGAAATTTGTTTGTGACTCTTTCGCCATTCTTATCGAAGGCTCGGTGAAAGACCATAAGTATTGGACTGCTGTCAAGGGAGAAGTTCAATTTGATCAACTCATCGAAGGAATGCTTCTACAGGAGGAGTGCCGCCCAGTTCGAATTGAGGTCGCCGAGAGAATTCAGACGATCTGCGGGTCTTCCAAGCTGCAGAAGTACTCGACCAGCAAGGCGAACGATGCTGCTGATGCGTTGATCGAAAGCCCAACGCGTATCGACATGCTCGCCACAATTTGGGAATCTATTTCTTTGGCCATCCCGAAGACGCCACAGTACGCTTTCCAATCTGCAGAGTTCTTCCAGACAGCAATGAGGGTCTTCAATTCCATTGCCGATAAATCCCCTAAAGACGTCTCTTTCAGTCGTTATTTGCGCCAATGGAGCGAAGTCATGTTCCAACACCAAACAGAAGAATTCGTTGGGCGTGAGATAGCGGATGAGTTTATCTACGGTTTTACTCATCTGCTGGAACTCTGCATTGAGCTAGCTGACGCTTGCAAGATTGAATTGGATACCTTCGATCTTGCAGAGCAAATACTGGCCAAATATCTCTTCCCGGATCTCACGCCTGATGGTGCGGACCCCGTTGTGCCACTAGTGCCTGTGATGCATTCCGCGACTCGCCAAAAGCTATACAACATCGTTCTCCTTTTGTGCAAGCGGAGCAGCTTGGATACCCTAAGTGCTTTGAAGGTCATGGACGAGCTTGTACCTCGGGATGAGTCTTCCGGCTCGAATTCAAAAATGATCAGAGCCCCAGAGGGATATGCAGGCTTGAGAAACCTCTCAAATACCTGCTATCTGAACTCCTTGATGACGCAACTCTTCATGAACGTTGAGTTCCGTGATTTCATGCTTCACTTACATACTGTGGATTCCCAATCCTCACAAAAGCTCTTAGACGAGACTCAGAGACTTTTTGCTGAAATGCAGGAGTGCTGGAGCAAGGATGTCAACCCAGAGGAGTTTGTTAAAAGTATTCGGCATTACGACAACCACCCCATCGATGTGACAGTCCAGATGGACGTCGATGAATTTTACAATCTGCTTTTCGACCGCTGGGAAGCTCAAATTCTTGATTCTGAAGACAAGAAAAGATTCCGCTCCTTCTACGGCGGGCAACTCGTCCAGCAGATAAAGTCCCAAGAGTGCTCGCACATCTCTGAGCGACTGGAACCATTTTCTGCCATACAATGCGATATTAAGGGCAAGGCTAGCCTTGAAGAGAGTCTACAGGCATATGTCGAGGGCGAGATCATGCAAGGAGGTCAGTGAACCCCTTTTATACTATTCTTTTCGGATCTGCTAACTTTATCATAGACAATAAATATTCTTGTACGGCATGTGGTCGTCATGTTGATGCGGTTAAGCGGTAAGTACAAGGGTGCACATCTGGATACTGAGGGTGATTGAATCGGGATCCTAATATTATTTGCTCATAGGGCCTGCTTGAAGGATGTCCCAGACAACCTCATCTTCCACTTGAAGCGATTCGATTTTGACATCACGAATTTCCAGAGAAGCAAGATCAACGACGAGTTCCAGTTCCCCCATCGTATTGATATGTCCCCTTACAAAGTTGAGTATCTGTCTGACTCCGGCTCATCCACTGGTCCGGATGAATTTGAGTTGGTGGGTGTTTTAGTGCATACAGGAACAGCGGAATCAGGGCATTACTATTCTTATACCCGGGAACCCCCGTCGGGGTCCAACACCACCTCCTGGGTAGAGTTTAATGACTCTGATGTGAGTCGATTCGATCCATCGACGATTGCTGACCAATGCTTTGGTGGGGTGAGCGATCCACCTCATTCGATGGGGGGTGTCCATCTGAACAAGGCCTGGAATGCCTATATGCTCTTTTACCAACGCGTGTCCACAATCGACAGATTGAAGAAGTCTTTTCCGCCGTCAAAGACAAACTATCCCATCCAGGTTCCCGTGCCACGTGCTTTGGCAAACAGCATATCCCTGGACAATGAGTTGTTCATTCGGAAATATTGTCTTCTGGATCCCACTCACATTAAGTTTACGGCAAAGCTTCTTGAAATTCGCAGGCGCCATGCTAATGACACCCAACACACGCGTCTGCTTGATGAGTTCGTAATGTGCGTTGGACTGGAGACTTTTGAGCAGCTGGTAGTACGTACAAAAGACTATACGGCACACGAAGAGATTTTCGAAGAGGTTTTTCACACTATTAGAAAAAACTCGGGTGCAGCACTGAAGGGTCTTGAATGGGCATACAGCCGAGAGACAGCACTGCAGAATATCATCCTGCGAATTGCGAATCCTGAAATCCGTGGCCGAGGCATGTTGATGATTATCGAGTGCGTGAAGACTGCGCTCAACATGGTGAGGAATGATAATTCCGAAGGTCACGAGCTAGAAATCGGGAAGCCTCATGTCGAAACGGCTGTTGAAAGGATCGTTGTCAAGTTGCACGATCTGTGGGCTCCGCTTCAGGGCACCCCACGAGCCTGGGAGGACTACTTCGAGTTTATCCTCAAGCTCAGTGAGGCTGGACCCGAGGTGATTCAAATGCTGCTTCGGAACGAATTTCTTCTTCGCTGTCTCCAGCTTCTTTGGCTCGAGAGAGACGACAAAAAAGACCTCCGGAGGCTGTACCCAGTCTACATTCGACTGCAGGAGAAAGGCCGGCGTTTCAACCAGCAGAGTATGATCAAGGTTTTGTACACTCTTTTGAGCAGTGTGGAATTGTCTGTTCCCGCACTGCCAGACGATGCTCCTCGTACCACAGGACCACATGGCAAATTCCATCTCAACTCATCAGAGAGCGACCTTATTTGGACACTGGAAGCAGACGGTAGCCTGAGCATGCTCTTCAGGCTCCTAACTTCGGAACAATTCAACACTATGTCGACCGCGTGTAGGATCATCGGGCTTTTCACAGCAGCGGAGCCTGAAGCAGGCTTCCTTGCTAGTATCATCAAAACCCTCGAAACAGGCCTACGCTTCTCCCCGGCTGATCTATGCATCCCCTTCCTTCTAGCAACGATTGAGTTCTGCGAGAATGCTCCTAGTGAAGCATTCGTCGCTGCTATGATCGACTATGTCGCTCAAGGCGTGGATTCGATTAATAATTGTGCTGGTTCGGAGCATTTAGAGTTCTTCCAAACTCTTTCAACGCAATCTAATAAGAGGCTAGGACTGGGACCAGACTGGTTTACATCCGTGATTATTGATAAGCTTCCGGAGTTTGCTCCTACTCTACTTATGGATCCCGACCGCCTGACGCGCCAACAAATGCTTGAGACCATTAACGGGGCCCTGTTTGCTTCTGAAACTGATGAACTAGACGACGATGCGCGCGCAAGAACCATTCGTGTCGGGCGCGAACTGGCACAGTCATGCGTGGAAAAAGTCAAACGCATCTACGCTGTTGATCAGGCCCAAACTCCGAATCCCAGAGTGATTAAAGGCTTCAAACAGGTCATTCCTTTTTGCCTGCAGAAGTTTTACGATCCAAGCAGCGAGGAAGAGCAAGAGTTCATCCAAGAAGCCAAAGGTATTATTTCAACCTTCTCGTTCTTATCTTTGCCATCGTCTTCCCCGTCTTCTTCTAGCCAGCTAAGCTCCGAGACAGATATTGTCGACTTCATAGAGCATATCACCGCGGAAGCATCCGACGACCTTGTTTCAGGTATGAGCGATTTCTCTGACGACTCCGAATCTTTTTAACTTGGTCGTCCCTCAGAACCAGAAGTGCCATCGCCAGAGGAGTGGGAAGCTACGTCTATCTTGGCTAGCGATTCCGAGATGGGGATCGCAGGTTCACCTCCATAACGACCTTTACCAGTTCTCGGCCCGAATCCGATCTCCACCGTCTTCAGTTGCTTTTTTTTGGTTTCATCTCGCTACGAAATATCATTTGCCTCAGCGAACGTCATTTGGGAGTTGTTAGCGCGAGATTCGTTTACGATTTTATGACTCGCGAAATCTGTAGTGCGGTTCTAGGCTGGGGCAGGGGCGGTTCGGCGTTGCTTTCTTTCGTGTTTTCTTTCTATTTCCACAATCTGAAATGGCCTTGAGCCTCAATCATCCAAAGTCTTTCCGCTATCCATTATCATCTGGCTCACATAGACATCAACGCCCGTTGAAGTACATTGTTAGGAGCAGCAGGTTTGTGTAGCCCTATCTTTGCCAATAGTTGTGTGAGTGGTACTGATGGGAGTCTTGGAGGTAATTCGAAGGGTTTCAACGGTCAGTGACGATGCATTCAAGGTAAGACTAGATGGTAAAATATGATTTTTTGTTTTCAAGTTAGATGCTTTAATAATGATACATGGAATGAAGGCGCCAGCGCCAGTCATGATAGTTCGTGCGCAGTAGTTTCCGCCGCTTTGAATCCCACCCAATTTGAATAATTTCAAACGTCTTCAAACTCCTCGTCGTCCTCATCGGACTCTTCTTCATTCTTGACCTCAGGCTCCTCCAGCTTGACTCCCGGCTCGGCCTTGATGGCTGGGTCGGCCAGGCCCGGTTCGATCTTCACCTTCTTTGCCGCTGGGCCATCTTCCGCGGGAGTCGATGGGGTACCAACCTCCGAAGAAGCAGGGGCACTAGAAGCCGTATCATGCTCGCGCTTGATGCCCGCGACAGTGGAAGACGGGGTAGGGGCACTGGTAGGGCCCGCGCCGGTGGCAGGAGTCGCGGGACCGCTTGGGCCAGAGATCCCGACGTCTTCGAATTCATCCTCCTCTTCCTCTTCCGAGCCCTCCTCGGCACTGCTAGCTTCCTGCTCGGCTCGGGCCCGTTCCTCTGCTTCGAACTCAGCATAGATACGGGCAAGGTGGTCATCCTCCTCGTTGACCTTGGGCTTCTGTTCGCCATCAGCATCCTCCGCTTTGATAGATACTCCGCTCTCCGTCTTGATTCGAGGGCCGGTGCTACTGTTGACGGTGGATTGTGTATGCCATACGGGCAAAGCATTGGCTGCTTCGATAGCTGCCTTGCGCTCCACCTCTGCGGCTTGTTCTGCGGCAGTCTTCTCTGCGTTGGAGGTGAGTTGGATCTCGATGTTCGCCGCATCGGTCTTCGCTGTTCCACGGGAAATTTCTTGTTGCTTCGGAGGCAGAGGAATAGCCGCACGAACGGGATGGGTGTTTTGGTCGCGAATAACCTCCACCTTGTGATCCCAGGCGGTCTCGAAATCGTTGGGAGGAATTTCCACGGAATCAATTTGTTTCAGGAGCTTGAGCATGCTGTCCAACTGGGCCATAAGTTTGCTGTTTTTCTCGTGCCCTGTTCGGTCGGTGCCCTCGACGCCCTTGACGTCTTCGGTCCGTTCAAGGATATGCCCACAGTTTTGACATTCAAATCCTTCCTCCGAAACCAAGCTCAGCACATCCAGTTCTGTCCATTCCGGAACCGCACCTTGTGCAAATGTATTCCTTGCGCTCTTCGCTGGGCGTGTACTGCGCCTTAATCGTAGAAGTCAGTTTCGAGACCTTGTATTTTATGGCATCGACAACGGGGTGGAGCGGGATGAAGTAGTATTCGCGATTGACGGGACGATTGGAGCCATCGCGGATCTCTTGGCGTGTGCTCCTGTAGAGCAAAGTGTTCAGTATTAGCGTGCATACCAATCAATATTGGCTGACGGCACATACACTGCAAGCAAACGATCTTCTCGGAGGCGGGCACATAGCTTCCGGAGGTCCTTCTGTTGCATCCCCATCAAAAACGCTAGGTCCTCGGCATGGAGACTGTGGTATACGTCAGGTCAGACAGGCTTAACTTTCATTACTTTCAAGGAAGCTCCATACACCGAGTGGAGGAAGAGCGCATCCACAATCAGGATATGGCGTGTTTCGTAGAAAGCGCGCACCACGCTTCGAATGAGCGTGTTGGCGAGATCCATTTTGCTGGACGTATGCGACAAGCTGCGAAGTGCGTACAAGGAGTCAAGAAGGCTCAGCTTCGAAAAGAAAAATCTCACGGTTGAGTCGACACCAGCATCGTTTGTCAATCCAACTCGGGGGAAGACCTGTGTATATCACCAATATACTTGGCTCAAGGACAAAACCGAGCTGCAGGCAAGACCAGAACAAAGCGGGAGCTGCACTCGCAAGTGAATGCGACCTTCACAACGCGGCTCTGCCGTCATGTGATCAGACTATTTCTGCCTGATTTGGCCGTGGAGCAATTATGCCAGAAGAGGGTTAGCGCCCTTTTTCCCCAATGCCAAAAAAGTCGCTGCGGCCAGTGGGTGCACGGCAAGCAGCTCTAGCATTTATTTTCATGCTCTCTTCAACTTTTCGGTGGCACAACTTTTCGAAAGTTGTCCTCCGCCCCGGAAGTGCCGTCTCGGGCTCTTATTCTCAACTCGTCTCAGCCGTTGGCTCATCTGTTCGGTCTTATCATACCAAGTTCAATCAGCCCGCCCCGCTGTCTGAAATCTTCAATCGCATACCATGGCCGACAACAAGGGAGGAGAAGGAAGAACTGGTGGCCGGCGTAAGAACCGCGATATGGGACGCGCCGAGTGGAGGTATTCAGATGCAAAATCTTTGTCTTTGACCAACAACGGCTAACTAAACAAGTCGCCAACCACTAGACAAGCGAGAACGCCTTGAACGACAGTCGGAGGCTAAGCGCCGCAAGATTGAGAATGGCGAAGGTGATGTTTTGCCGGTCTATGCGACCCAATTCTCCGCAGAGGAGATCGCCGCCGAAGAGCGTCGCCCCAAAAAGAAGGTCGCCCTCATGCTGGGTTACTCGGGGACTGGCTACTCTGGCATGCAATTGAATACGGATCGCAAAACAATTGAGGGTGACCTTTTCGCTGCATTGGTCGCTGCTGGTGCAATCTCCAAAGCTAATGCCTCGGACCCAAAGAAGTCTTCCTTTGTTCGCTGCGCGCGTACCGACAAGGGCGTTCATGCCGCCGGAAATGTTGTCTCGCTGAAGATGATTGTTGAAGATAAGGACATTATCAAGAAGGTCAATGACGTGCTCAGCCCCCAGATCAGGGTCTGGGGCTATGAGCTGACCACGAGTAGCTTCAGCTGCTACAACCTTTGCGACTCTCGAATCTACGAATATCTCATGCCCAGTCATTGTCTCCTTCCACCTCATCCCAGCACCTTCATGGGCAAGAAGATTGTCCAGCTGGCTGAGAAGGAAGGTGAACTTGAAGCTGTACAGGCTAGGCAAGCAGAGGTAGCAGACTATTGGGAAAAAGTCGACGAAAAGTTCATCAAGCCGATCTTAGAGAAGCTCCCAGAAGATGTTCGTGAGATCGTGCAAAACTCCCTTTTTGCCAAAGAGGAGGAAGAGGCAGTCTCCGGACAGAAGAGTGATGATGCCACGCCAACCACTAAGCCCTCGGCCCAAGAAGAACCCCCAAATCGATCCGCTGACGGCCCCGCCCCGCCTACGGACGCCGGCAACCCCAAGCCGTCAGAAATGGATCCACGACAACTCTTGGTCTTCGACACCATCAAAGCTATCAAAGCTGCATACATGACTGCGAGGAGGGAGTACCGTGCACCTGCTACCCGCATCAACCGTCTTCAGGAATGCTTGGATAAGTATATTGGTACTAGGAATTTCCATAATTACACCGTCCAGAAGACCTTCAAAGATCCTTCTGCCAAACGCCAAATCAAGTCTTTCAAGGTGAACCCGGAGCCAATCATCATCAATGGCACTGAATGGCTTAGCTTGAAGGTTCATGGTCAAAGCTTCATGATGCACCAAATCCGCAAGATGGTTGCGATGGCTGTCATGATCACTCGCAGCGGTTGTACTCCCGAGCGTATCCTCGAGAGCTACAAATCCGATCGGATCGCTATCCCCAAGGCTCCCAGTCTGGGACTGCTGCTCGAGCGCCCTATCTTCGACTCGTACAACGAGAAAGCTAAAACCCTTGGTCGTGACCCCGTGGGCTTTGAAAAATACACAGCTGAAATGGAAGAATTTAAGCAGCGCGAAATTTATGACCGCATCTTCCGCGAGGAGGAGCAAACTTCTGCGTAAGAGCCGTTCCCTTTTGGACACGTGGGACGATAAACTAACAAGGATGCAGCTTCGGTAACTTCTTCAACCATATCGACCACTTCCCCGCGGATTTCTTTCTTTACGTGACTTCCGGTGGAATTAAGGCCACCCAGCAGGTTGCAGCCGCCCCAAGTCAGGCGACCCCCAAGCCTGAGACGGAAAGCAAACCAACTGCAGCGAATGCGGGCAAGTCTGAAAACGATGTCCTTGCTGCGGTCGAAGTTGAATCGGAGGACGAGGCAAACCCAACTGAAGACAGCTGAAGTGAAGGGGAAATCAATTAGTCCTATGTAATCCCCGTGATCTAAACCGAGATGGAATATGCCAGCGGTGGCGGGCCAACTTTTGAAATGGCGTTGCAAAGACCACTTTGTTTTTTGGGGTCGTGTCTGCTACATAATCATCCTAAAGTCCCATCACGACATGGCATCCGAGCCTTCACTTTCTTCTTCTAGTAGTGGTGGTAGTAGTAGTGGGATGTGTATAGTTAACCCATCTCTCATACGCGGAGTGTGACTCTATTGTTTACATCCCATTTTCCTTCATCGTTTTGCTTGAAATCAAAGTACCTCGTAATTTCATGCAGGTTCTCGCTGCAAGCGCCATTATTTTGATGAATCAATTGAGCCAGAATGCTTTCACACATAATTTTGCAGCGACGGTGAGCCCACCAAGCACTGTCCGCTAGGACGAGCCACACGCTGGCGTAGAAAGAAAGCAGGACAAGCAATGCATGCGATTTTCCTTGGCTGATATCATCCACGAACTGCTGGGAAGTCTTTGTTGGCCATATCAAGGAGTATACCATGAACGATGGCATCACGTCGGCAAGATCGAGTCCGATCGAGTATGAATCTACGACGTAGAAGATCGGGGCGAGCCGCTCCAAGGCATTGATCTCACGACAGCTTGGCGGAGGTGTTGCATCGTTCTGTGTACACGGTGATTCGAGGTTGCCAAAGAAGTTCTTGTTGAAGTCATAGGAGCAAATGGCGTTCTCAGTTCGGTTGCGGATGTCGGCCAATACTTTGACATATTGCGGGATGGCGATGTCTTGGAATAGTCCATGGGCTTGAGCGCGCGTTTGGGTTTCATATGCAGTTACGGTCACTTCTTTCAGCCCGAGCGCGAACCAGAACAGGCCATCAGAATCAGCACTGAGGCTTGGGTTACCCTCATCGTTGAAAAATGGAACAGACCACATGTAATAGAGAAGGAGGAAACCGCATGCAATCAACACATCTGTATCCTGGATTGACGCGACAGTGCCCACGGCTTTTCTGAAACCAGGGAGGGTATGCCCGAGATGGATTTTCATGCTTCTTTCACTCTCACGCGCCTGTGGAAGGAGGAAACTTAAATGCGACGAAGCTATCGCGAGAATAGCATGCATCAGATAATCATGCTAAAAATGTCAGGATTGTGTCTTGGCGCGAGAGAAACGAAAAACTGACATGGAATGCAAGAGGAAGAATTTCCTCAACCCAGAAACGCTTTCCGAATAATAAAGTGTCGGAAGTGAATTCCTCAAAATGCCATATAAGCCGTGCGGCCTTCAAATGTTCTACAGGTGTTGTGACTTCCTGTATATAAGGAGACTCACATCGATGAGGTGCCCCAGAACGACCAACAGCCGTGGAAAGTCTAAACTTACCCTGCATCCCTTTCGGAGTCGTAAAGCCATGGTCTCGGGATACTCTGCGCCGTGGCCACTCATCTGTATCTTGAGAATGTTCAAAAACACATTCTTCGCCGCGTATCAAACAGCGCCGACAGATTGGTCGATTCTCGTCGCACTGAAGAAGACTGGTAAGTTTATGATTCAACGATATGGTGCAAGATCGCAAGCGAAGTAGACGGCGGATTAACACACTTTGATCTTGCGGGACTTGCATTTGATGCACCCGTTCCTCGTTTTTCTGTGGCGCTTTCGCAGTCGAATCTGGTGACCCTCTTCATCAACCCCCGGCGTCTGCGTCGGCGGAGCATCCCAGGCGCCCGCAGAAAAAACACCAAATCCGCCCTTGAAGCTCATCCCCCTGGGGATTTATTTGGAAAACATTTTAAAACTAGTATCCTTGAGGATGATGAGAAAGTGATCGCAAATCTTCCGAAGCCTAAGCTTTTGATCGACGGCTGTCAGCGACTGGGGCGGAGTTAAAGTAGGGTTTGGCTCGTATAACGTTTTGGGAAAATGCCAAGCTTTAGATTGTGGCCAATGGGTGTCCAAGAAACGGACCAGGTATATCTGCACTGCACAAGAACGGAAAACGTAGGTATGTAGAAGGTGTCAAAATCTTCCAGTATTTACACGTGGTCATTCTCAAATCGGCATGGCACACCAATTGGGATTATTGGCATTGCAAGACCCTTGAATACGAAGCAAATTTGATTTAAAGCGGCTGGGAAATCCATCTAGAAGCTCAATATCGGAAAAGGTGGACTGTCACGGAAAGAGATACACGAGCAAAGGTTGAGTACTTCGAGCTCATTGTGCTCTTGAAGCGACTCAGACAACTCAAGGCCTCCCACGTTTTCTCTCCGCGTGCTTAATTTTGACGGGCCGCCGGCGCCTGAAAGGATGTCAGAATGTATTTTTGACTGGCATTCGCAGACTTAGACTCACCTGCGGCTTCGAAACCCAGTCAAAATGTCCATATCGTCGGGTTAGCCAGACATCTGCTGCTTTGGTGGCACCAGTTGGACCACCAAGCAATGTCTGAGGATACCCAAAGTCGAAAGGTACGGCACTTTCAATCGTTTCAACCTCCTCTGGCATGAGAGTCATGCCTAATGCCTCAATACTGGCATCCAGGTGCTCGATCTTTCTGCCTCCAACGACAGGAAAAATATATGGCTCTTTCAGTCGAGCCCAAGCAAGCGCAACACTAGTGAGCTTGGTTCCTCTTTCTCGTGCGATCTCATCCAGCGTATCGGCCATGATTGTCTTCTGGGGCTTGTCAATCAGAGCAATATTGCGGCCCTCATGTTTGGCCCCGTTCTTCTCTCTGCCTCGCGCTGGGATGATGTCCGAAAGTAGCCAGATCCAAGAACCCCGTAGGGAATAAACGCCATGCCTTGGTCATTGCACATGGGGATAATATCACGCTCGACATCACGCTCTGCGGCAGACCATTGTCCTTGGTAAACAGAGAAAGGTGTCAACCCATGATATCGTGCATATTCATTTGCTTTCGAAACAATCCACGCTGGCGTGTTCGATATACCGAGGTAGAGAACTTTTCCAGCGGAGACAAGGTCTTGAAGTGTATGCATTATCTCGGGCACTGTCGTTGTAAAGTCCCAAGAATGAACATAAAACTATCAGGAAATACGGGCACATGTTAGGGCCAAAAAACGCGAAGGATTCAAATAGATAGAGTGAAAGGAACTTACGATGTCCACAAAATCGGTCTGCAGCCTTTCCAGACTTGCTTGGAAGGCCGACATGAGCGCTTTTTTATTGTTGCCGCCAAAATTCGACTGAATCTTGACCTTTGGATTGGCCATTTGCCAGGAAGAGGTATATTTGGTTGCGAGAACAACCTCGTCACGGTTTTCTCGCAGCTTCATCCATTCACCGACGATGAGTTCGGATTCGCCGTTCTGGTACACGTTGGCTCTACTATCGTTTAGTCACCGGATGCTTTGGCGACCGCGATGTATCGGCCGATAAGATCATACGTACGTGTCAATGAAGTTGCCGCCATTCTCATAGAAGAAATCCAGCATCTTGAAAGACACATCCTTGTCGCATGCCCCCATCAAGGTACTAAGCGTATTTCCGAATCCCATGGATCCGAGACAAAGAGGGCTCACTTTCACTGCGGCGTTTGGAGCAAGCTGGCGGTGATACCCGAGGAGGCTCTTTGGCTCCGGGGCAACGGTCATGATATTCGCCATTTGGAATGGGGAGAAAAGTCTCTAAGACTGCTAATGAATGGATAAAAACAGGAACCAGGAAAAATCCAAGTCGCAAGAGTAGAACTGCTGTCTGACGAGGAATACTTCTCGGGTCTGAAACATTCTATATACTGTGATACCAGAATACTCACTAGCCTCATAGACTATACGAGGATCCACATTTCCCAAATAGTTGTACGAGGTCAACCATTTTTCAAGGAGCCTGACTACCATTAGACCCTTTATGACAGATCCCAGAAAAACACACCATATGACCGGGCCATGTTATACTAGTATTTCGAGAAAAGAAAATATGCGTAGGATAGGTGCTGGGGAAAGCTTTCCAATACTCGGACACAGGGAAAGCAGAAGTGTCACCCAAGATCTTTATGGGAAGACTCGCTCATAAGGAGGTTTCGTTGTATGTAGTTCAAACTTGATGGATTGGACTACTTTTCTTTCTTCCTCTTTTTTGGGGAGGGGGGGATTCTGTAGTGACAAAGTCGAACATGAAGCTCGCCAAACCGTGCCCAGGCCGATGAATCACTATACGAGTTAACTAGATCACGATGGTGCATTGAGCAATTTGCATTATTAAGCAGAGCTGATCTCGCATGCATGTTCAGACACAAAGAGTCTCTGGTGGATTTCCTGCCATCCCTGATCTCGGTCTCCGGGCTAACGCCGCGATCTTAACTCCACCCGCAGATCGTTTGCTCGACACTCCAAAGCTTCATTAAACGGTCTACCATCTCGATCTCCGTGTCCTCGACTGGTTTACACACCCATACTTCTTGTTTGGCCTAATATTTCACAGTGAACACCATGGCATGTTTGTCATTCTCGTCACCTCGGTCTCTGTCAAGCACCGAGCGATGAAGGCGCTTGGTCCTGCGCGGGAAAGGACGAAATGCTGTTCAAATACAAAATATAAGACTCGCCGGATTTCAGCGACGGGGACGACAGACAGATAGCTCAATATCAACCACGTTTCAATCAAAGAATAATTGAAAATCGTCAGTAGGCTCAGCCTCATCAAAATGCCCAATGTCCTAATTCTCGGCGGAAGCGGATATGTCGGCCTGGCTCTCGCCCAATCCCTCCTTCGAGCGGGCACATACGCTGTCTGGGGGACTGCCCGATCGTCCGACAAGGCAAAGCTCCTTCTCATGAACGAGGTCGTTCCGGTCGAGATCGATATCACCAATCCCAATGAACTCAGCAAGCTGATTCTGGACAATGCCATCAACGTTGTGGTAGATGCCTCGTCAGTTTATGAGAAGTCCGGAAAAATCCTCGACGGCGTAATTCAGGCCGCCACTGCTCGCGAGCGGGCTCTGACCAAAGACAACATCGTCGGACCCAAGCTGGGCTTCGTCTACTGCTCCGGAGCCTGGGTCCACGGCTCCCAAAAGACGCGCATCAACGACCTTCTCCCTCCCGCAAGCGTATACTCCCAGGACAAGCCAGCTACGGCTGTCGCCTGGCGCCCGGCACATGAGCAAGCGATTCTGGCCGCGCGTGATATGCTCAATGTGGCTATCCTGCGCCCCCATACTATCTACGGCCGAGGTTCCTGGGTCTGGAGCACCTGGTGGGGTGTAATTGCCGAAGCAGCCAAGTCGGGCAGCGCTGCTCCCATCCAGATCCCAGCCGATAAAGAGACCCGTAGCGGGACTATTCACGTTGATGATGTTGCTGCTGGCTTTCATGCCGCTATCGATCGTATTGATGGTCAGTTGGGTTCGTGGCCAATCTTTGATCTCGTGGCCGAGACTGTTTCAGTCGTGGAGATCACTGAGAATGTTCGAGAGCTCTACGGCGTGAAGGCTCCACTGGAGTACACTGGAGCCCAGGGAAACGTGTTCTTCGAGGCTCTGGGTCTCGTGTGAGCAAGGCTGATGCTTCTCGCGCCAAGACTGTCTTGGGTTGGAGTCCGAAGAGAACTGAGTTCCTGCTCAACCTGCCGGTCTATGTTAAGGCCTGGCAGGCGACTCAATAAATATGTAATTCAATTGGATCTATTTTGGTCTACTCGTATAATGCATGTGATACAAAATGATTTCTGACTCATTGAGAATTGTAGCCAGAACCACAGACAATATAACGCGGGTATCTATGATTCCTCGAATACGTCCCGATTGACAACAGTGAAAGTGCACCGGCAAAATTGCCATCCCGCCCGACGACTTAGATGATGATTTTCTTCGCATTGAGAGTTCAGAATCCCTTCCCTGGTTCGCTTGTCTCTCAGAAGCAATTTGGTATTACTTGCGACCATTCACATGCCCGACGGGGAGGCCCTTTCCGGACTGATGGTAAGGAACTCGGACGTGCAGAACTTCGCGCTGAAGAGAGCCACCTGGGAATAAGATACGGCTTCTAGTGCTTCTGGCTACCTTTGGCAGAGGGATCCGAAAACAGTCAAGGACAAGAGGGTAATGGGTTGGTTTAGAGCAGTTGAGAAGGATTATGGCCCGGGTTTGGGTCAGGGCAGTTGTAGCTAACGTAGAACTTAATATAGCAAGTTAGGACGCTGGCCCTATATGTTGCGGAGTATTATTATTACAGCTATTACAGTCAAGGCTATTACAGTCAAGGCTATTACAGTCAAGGTTATTACAGACCTATCCTGCTCATTCGGGCCACCTTACATAGTTCTGGTAAGGAAGTCTTACTTCCCCACTATCAGATCTATATTCATACGTTAAATACCCGACTTGTTCCACTTCTCCAATTTTCCGGGTTGGAAGCAGGGCTCGTAAGGCCTCTGTATTCGGAGAAGGGACACCAGCTGTCATATATGCCCACTTTCGAGCTTTGTAGAGTGAGGAAGCTTTTGGGCTTTCATTTGGCTCAAAGGTGATCTTCGTATCCAGGGCTGTACACGCAATAAAGTTGTCAAGGTCACATTTCCCATGCTCGCCAGCTTCGGTGATACTGGGGGCTCGTGATAATGCACATCCAGCCCTGCTGCGGAGATATGCCTAGATTCAAGAGCCTAGGTCAAAACATCCTCGTTTACAATCTCCCCTCTCGCTGGGTTGACACTAGCCTACTCCCCGGCTTCATCAATGCAAATATCCGGTCGTTCAACCGATCTCAAGCATGCTTATTGAGAGGCGTATGCAGCGAGATATTCCGCAACCTTGAGCAAATTATCCAGTGACTCGTTGTATGTCGCACCCAGCTGCTCACTCGCAAGCACAGTATCGAAATTGTAAATCCTCATCCCCAGTACCGTCCCCGCCATATAAGCAAGCTTCTTACTACATAGGTTCTCAACCTCAAGCACGCCGATTGCTCAGATAAGAACCAGGAATGTGAAAGTTCCATATATCTGTTCCATTATTGACCCATGGTCTATCTTCAGACTTGGTGTGTAGTTTAAAGCCTTGGTAGTATTAACACCACAATTGAGGAAATTCCACCTGGTTTGCGATTAATCCGCGGTCTATTTTCTAACCTGGTGCCCAGTTTAAAACCCTGGTGCTGTTAACACCACGATTAAGGAAATTTTACTTGTTCCATCAGTAGACCGCGGCGTCTGTTATAACCTAGTGCTTCTTTATATAGTCAGGTGATACTATTATCCAAGTCGCTCAAATAAACACCAGGAATAAGAAATATCCACCTGGTCCATTATTAACCCCGGTCTATCTTCTAATCTGGTGCTGTTAACACCACGATTGAGGAAATTCCACCTGTTTCATGATTAATCTGCGGTCTATTTTCTAAGATGGTGCTGTTAACACCATGATTAAGGAAATTCCACCTGGTCCATTATTAACCTGCGGTCTATTTTCTAAGATGGTGCTGTTAACACCATGATTGAGGAAATCCCACCTGGTCCATTATTAACCCCCGATCTATTTTCTAAGATGGTGCTGTTAACACCATGATTGAGGAAATCCCACCTGGTCCATTATTAACCCCCGGTCTATTTTCTAACATGTTGCTGTTGGCACCACGATTGAGGAAATTCCACCTAGTTCATGATTAATCCGCGGTCTATCTTCTATTCTGGTGTTGTTGGCACCATGACTAAGGATATTCCACCTAGTTCACGATTAATCCGCGGTCTGTCTTCTAATCCGGTGGTATTAAAACCATGATTAAGGATATTCCACCTATTTCATGATTAATCCGTGGTCTATCTTCTAATCTGGTGCCGATTTATATAATCTGGACATATCTTACCTAGGTAGAGTTATATGGTACTATCAACCCAACCATTCAAGTTAACACTATAATCGGGATATATATTCAGCTGTTCCGCTGTCAGCTCGCGATACCCTTTCCCCCATGGTTATTATTTCCTACAGTCCCGTTGCATTACACCTTGATTGATAAACTTCGACTTGTTCTGTTGTTGGCCTGCGGTCCCTTTTTGAACCTGGTGCAAAAATGTACAGTCTAGTGCTAGTTCCTACAGTATGATAGTACAATCGACCCAGCTCTTCCATTGAATACTTTTATCAAGACATTTCTACCTGGTTTATTGTCTAATCGTAATCTCTTTCCTAACCTGGTGTTGATGGCTGAAATCCAGTGCTGCTATCATACCAGGTTGCTCACATCAACACCACGATCAAGACATTGTTACCATGCCCATTACTCGTGGTCAGTATGGGCTTTTTAGCGGAATCCGGCTACTGAATTATTCGTCTCGAGTGCTTCTATGAAGCTCTTGCGATCGGTCTCGATGACCTAGAATCACATTGAACCGCGATGCGAATTGAGTCTTGTAAAAATGATGATTGGACTCGATGGCTTCGCCGATGTGAAGAATGGTGTGACTTGAATTCATTGTCGATTATCCCCTGTTTCGATGTTCCCGGATGTACAATGATGAACACTTCATGAGGCCCGCACCCTTTGGAGCCGATTTCGCGGAAATACCACATTAGGCCGGCGATAATGCCGGTGAAGGAGTTTCACGAGGTGAAAATAGCTTGTATATGAGGGTTTTTCCGCAAATATAAAATTCGTATTTTCCCCAATAGCGTATCTTTCTATCTCTACAATGTGTATCACAACCCTTCGCCCCGCCCATTCTCCTGCTCCAATTCCTTGTTCTCCCGTCGCAAGATAATCAGACGAACACCTGCAGGCACATATTTCGGCGCTTGAGAGTCGGGCTAGAGATAACTACCAGAGACAGGATACATTCCCGAGCATTCCACATATAGCCACCGCCGAGCGCTTCACAGGCGATCGGGCAAATGAAGATCCACTCTAAGATCACTTGGAAAGCTGGGGAGAACGCCAGTTGGCATGAGATGCATGGCAAACGTTTTAGCCCCACTGTTCGATGTGTTGATGAACGGAGAGAAACGCGGGGCTCGCTGGCGCAGGGAATCCGGGGTAGATCGCCCCATCAATTGTGCGGAAAAAAGCCGAAATATCACTGTGGCTTCGTGAACAGCATGGCTTTGTTCATAGGAAGCATGAGGTGATTCTTCTAGGATTTATATTAAGCAGAATTCATCCTATTGCGGATTATGACCATAAAACGACAGATACTTCGGTCCAGCGATCTTCGGATAATACCGGTCTCTAGGTCAAGATGCTGGAGGGTGAAGAAGATATATTTGGATTGATGGGTAGTTCGAATAAAGCATCGGAGTTTTACAAGACTTCCATTATTTCCTAATATGGATAAGCAGCTTATCGCCAAGATTGAGTACGGGGAGAGTCCGGGAAGAAGTACTGCCCTGGGGCTAGATAACCTAGCTGCTATACAGCTCCAGATACAGCCATATCCCAGGGTGTGCAGGGTTGTCTGTGCTCGACAAGCCGTATGAGTAAAATAGTGCTGATAAGACGCCACTGATAGCTCCACACGCATATGTATTGGCTGCGTCGGCAGCGCGATAAGCTCCAAACGGTAAAGCCAGCCTTTGGAAGCTTCTGCTTGGGCGCATCGGCAAGCGCTCGCCACTCATATCTGAACGTCTTGCGGAAAAAGCCCCGTCCTGAATATTATCTTCTCTTTGACATGATGTTATCCTCTTGACACGCCTCGGTACGTGAGCGAGGCCCTCGTAGATAAGCCAGCGACAAACAAAAGTCCGAACGGGCTCGGGAGTTCGTTTCCTGTTACGAAATCGCTTGCCGATCTCTCCTCATTTCCCTCTTTACCAGCCAGATCTGTTGCTTATCGCAGTGGGTCACATTTGAATATTGCACGCTGATAGGAGGGAGGGCTGATATGAACAACCAAGGAGATGTCTTTGCGACTGGTGATAACAGGACGCTTAGCCGACTGCGTATCACAACTCCATGTCGTGCAGGGCGGATGCCGCGATCGCACTCTCTATTTATCCGTTACCACCCCCTCTGCTTGAGCCGTTGCAGGCGCAACTCCACTTTCCGTTGCAAGGTTGCTGTACTCTCCAACCCGATTTCCCTTCTCGGTCAATATTCAGGTTATGACGGACGACGAAAAGAAGGTCGATAGCCCGGCGGTGGCCGTGGGTCTTGGCGATCATGAAGAGCTACCGATCGAGAAGCATGCGCACGACGCCGACGAGGCCATGAAGGCCCTGGAAAGTGCCCATGGGGAGTCAATTGAATTAGACGAGGCGACCAACCGTCGGCTGCTGCGAACGATCGATTGGCACCTCATGCCTATTATGTGTTTTGTCTACGGCATGAACTACCTGGACAGTACGTCTTCTTAGGTCAATGATATAGCGGCGGGGGTCTAACCTAGCGCAGAAACCACATTATCCTACGCGTCCGTTATGGGAATCAAGACCGACTTGCATCTCAAAGGAGATGATTATCAATGGCTTTCCAGTTTATTTTATTTCGGTACGCGCATATCTCAGTCCGGTAACACGCGATCTCATTAAGACCGTTGGCTGATGAGTTATTAGGCTACCTGGCCTGGGAATACCCCACCAACCGGTTGCTCCAGCTCTGGCCCTTGGGGAAATACTCAGGAGCGTGCATTGTGATCTGGGGTCTCACTTTGAGCTGCTTTGCTGCTGTGAAGAACTACCAGGGGGCGATTGCGATCCGCTTCTTCCTTGGGGTCTTTGAAGCTGCAGTCACTCCAGGATTCGCTCTTTTGACTTCACAGGTAGGCGAACTGACACCGTCGGCGCGACCGAAGCTAACCAAAGCCGTCAGTGGTATACGAAGAAAGAGCAAGGGAGCCGAGTGAATATATGGTTCTGTTTCAACGGAGTGGGCCAGATTCTAGGAGGCGCCATTGCGTACGGAATTGCAGTTGGCACTTCAAAACACGGGTCCGCCATCGAGCCATGGAAAATTATATTCCTCGTCACCGGCCTGCTCACTATTGTTCTTGGTTTCATCTTCCTGTGGATCATTCCCGACAACCAACTGAATGCGCGCTGGCTAAAGCCCGAAGACCGCGTTCTAGCAGTCGTCCGAGTGCGAGAAAATCAACAAGGCATCGGAAACAAGCACTTCAAGCTCTATCAGGTGAAGGAAGCGCTCTTGGATCCGATGACCTGGGCATTTTTCTTCTACGCGCTCATTGCGGACATTCCAAATGGTGGAATCACAAACTTTTTCAGCCAAATGGTAGGTCAGCTTGACCTGATACTAAATGGGACCGCGGCTGACATAGGATTGGACTAGATTGCGAGCTTCGGCTTCTCTGACCAAGAAAGCTTGGTTCTCGGCATTCCAGGGGGCGCTGTGGAGGTCATTGCTCTTCTGTTGAACGGGTACATGGGCTACGCCACGGGCCACCGCATCTTGTGCAGTGTGGGCGGACTCGTCTCGGCATTGGTGGGAATGATTCTCATTGTGGCCCTTCCTGAATCGAATAACACCGGCCGGCTCATTGGGTACTATATGTCGCAGGCGAGCCCGACCGCTTTCGTGGCTCTTTTGGCCATGATTTCGTCCAACGTGGCCGGGTATACCAAGAAAACAACAGTGGCAGCGTTGTACCTGATCGGCTACTGCGTGGGCAACATCATTGGTGGGTGGAGAAACCAGTCTCTTAACCTTCGTAATAGCTCCGAATCGCTAACAGTCCTCTCCAGGCCCACAAACCTTCCGCCCGAAAGATGCACCACGGTATGTCCCCGCAGAGATCACGATTATCGTCTGCATCGGGGTCTCCATCTGCATCATGCTCTTTGTCTTCTGGTGGTACCAGAAAGAGAACAAGCGAAAGCTAGTGATCCAAGCGGGGCCTGATTTCGTGAGGTTGGAGAATCAAGAGTGAGTTGGCCGTGTGGAACTTTAATCTTCGTCTGCTGACCCGCTTCTCCGCACAGATTCTTGGACTTGACCGACCGCGAAAACCCCTCTTTCATGTATTCCCTTTAAAGCGTCTGAGCGTAGTATATGTTCTTGTATAGTCTTTGTTGAGCGGGGCATTCATTTTAGCCTCGCACCGCCTGTGGGCGTTTGGAATATAGTTTGACCCCGTCCTGTTCAATCCAACCCCCCCCCCCCTTGGCACCCCAACAAACTAGAGCATTCTCAACCGACTAGGATTTTGCGGTAGGCGCAGTAGACTCGGAGTTTGGCACAGTATCCGAAATCCTGGTTCCCAACGCTCTGTTCGTTCAGCACATTGAGAATTCGGCCACATTCGCGACCGGCTCATGCAGGTACCGACTTTTCGACACTCGGGGACACAAAGGTACCCATGACAGACATCGATAGTGGTGAAGATAGGGGTTGATTATGGATTTTTGAGTCCAAGAGACGACCCTTCCTGATCTCCTTCGTACGGGTGTTATATGCACATAAGTACGAACTAAGTGGGGATAATTTGACCTTCGCGAAGAGCGAGGAAACCCTGGTCCTTTACGCAGTAGAGTTGTTCGAGGGAGACTAACCGAGACCGAGCGAATATGGGGACCAAAAAGGACAGGACAAAGGGATTTATCTGCCAACAGCAGGCGAGTTAAGTAGGAAACCTGTTTCTGGATGGCCGCGTTTTCGTTCCCACTCGACCGGGGATGACATGGGAGATGGGTGGGGGGTGACCTCAAACGACGATCACCTGGGTCCAGGATAAGGATTTAGTGACACTCTCCCACGCGTCGAACAGGGATGCCACACTACTCTATTCCGTCGGCTCTGCAAGAGTTTTCAATTCGTCTGCAGGTCGACTATTCGAGGGGCAAAAACGAGGGGCACGACTGGGCACGACTTTGCGTTTTTGGGTTGGTTTAGGGTTCCCGCCCAGTGGCGCGTGCTGTAACATGTTGCCATGATTTCCTACTGCATCCCGGCGAAAGTCCGGACAATGTACTCAACCAATAGGCGCCTAGCGGGGAGGCAATAGACCCTTAAAACCCCTGCAGATTGGGCCACTGCAGGGGCGTTACGCCCGAGCGTGGTGAAGATCCAGACCGAGTCTGGGAAGGGGAAAAAGCGTGGTGGAGTCAACACTAGTCTCTCCCCCGCGCTAACCACACTTTCCTTAAGTACATGTACAAAAAGACAGGAGCGGTGTAGTCAATAAATGTGCGAGAATCGCCCCAAACGTGTGGGCACTCTTTGTAGTGTTCTATAGGGATTCCCTACCATTCACTACGGGATTTACTTTTTTGCCTTCTCTGGTTTGCATCCACTCTTTTCGTTCTTTTGCTTTGTGATCAAGATATGCAATGTGTTTCCCTCTAGCCGTATCGCTCTAAGTACCGATCGGCGTCACGCAGCCAAGTTGCGCTGCCATATTGTTTGTCGATGGCGTCCGTCACATGTCGTGGCGACCTTCACATGGCAGGGCCTGCTAGGCTACGGACTTTTGATATAAATGCGGTTGCCAAAGTCCCAACCGACGCCATCGCTGAAATCACTGAGAAATGCGCCGACTGGGAGATCACCAGCACTCCCGCCGAGACGAATACGCCTAAAGTGAAGAACATGGATCCGCCATGCTCACAGATCCCAGACTCGCCAACGCAAACGATGCAGACAGTGCAGATGGTGCAGACGATGCAGCCTCGACCCGCGTCTCGCCCAACCTCTGCGACCAACCCGGGGCTTCCTTCTCGCTCAGCGTCTCGAAGCACAGCCCGGTCTCGGCCAGCAAGTCGCCATGGTTCTCTTCATTCACCTCGACGACCAACAGTCAGCCCTAGCATCGTCACAGTGCCAGCCCGGAGCTCACAACCTGTCGATCACCGAGAGTCATTACTGGCGTTACACCGAGAATCATGTCGTCTGTTCCAAGATCCGGCATCAGCTGCTATTGTGGATTCTCGGCTTGCATCTACCTACAAGCCTCGACGGGAAAGTAGTCACTCCTCGGACGTATCAGCACCCCCCTTCCCCGGTGGCTTCTTCTCGGTCGAGTTGTATTGCAGACTATGATCGCGGTGGCTCTATCGGCTCTATCGGCTCTATCAGCTCCATTACACGGCCTCATCTCCAAGCAAAAGAGCGATCTCACACCGTGCCTGCCGGAACCGTTGCCAATAACTTGAGCCCCACTACATCCTCGGTACATGTCCCAGCCACGGTCATGGAGTGGACATCACCCTCAACGCGACGCCGTGAGTATGAGAAGATCGATCGAGCCAGTAAGGGTGCCCGTGGTCTCATGGCGACGGGTCGCACCCAGGTGGTGCCAGACCCAAGAAACGCGGATACCATTCTTTGAAGAAGGAAAGACAAATCGTGAAGGCAGTGTGCGGCGGTTCCGAATGGATCTCCCCGACGAGGAGACGAGTCCCCTCGAAAAACCGCAGAGTCAGTTTCCCGATTTCCGCAACAAAAACACCGCGCAGGAAGGCAGCTCTCGACGCCTCTGGTCAGGCCGCCGATCCAAGACCTACAGCTGATACCTCCTGCCAATCTCTATTCTTCGGTCTCCCCATTTCCTTTCACCACCCTTATCCTCCTGCTCGCACCGGTGCGACATGCCCCTTATCATGACCATAGCTGAGCCTTTCAACACCCATGACTATGCTTTTTTGATCGCTTGTTTACTTGCATTGCGTGTGGCTGCATACCTCGGACTTCTTTGCATAATCTTCTCGGGCCCGTGTCAAGTCTCCGAATCGCTTTGATGGGACCCCTAATACCTACCACATTCTTAGCTATCCTCTTGCTCGGTGTGGTTTCAATTTCGTTTTGCCTCGCTCACCCCAAACTGAGATACCCATTCTTATTACCGTGTGATGTACATAGCCTGCGTTTGAATTCTAAGTCTTTGAAGCCAAGTCCTATGGTTCAAAGCCCATCAAGACTACCATTGAGTTACAATGAAATGAAGAACACGTCTTGAAACCTGCCTCTTCCAGTAGCAAAAAGTTCACATCGCATATAAACCAGGGCTATTCTGTACACTCCTTTACAGAAGACCCCCGCCGTCTATTTGAAGTGGTAGTAAGACCAAGCACAGAGACCAAGGGCATTTTGGTACGAACCAATGACAACCAAAGTGCCCGTCGCATAGTCCGCCCTCACAGCATAGAGATAAGCCTCGGCAATATCCTCCGGCGTAGCCACAAATCCAACCGGAAGGGCAGTAGACGCCGAATCAAACATCGCCTTTTGCTCCACCTTCGCCTTGCCCAGTTTATCCCAAAGCTCGGTCTGGACTAACCCAGGGACAACCGTATTGACCCGGATCTTCTTCGCAGCCAGCTCGCTTGCCAGGCCTTGCGTGAGCGAGAGGACTCCGCCATTGAGCGCGCCGCCGATCGCAGCGCCCTTCCCAGGCTTCAATCCTGCTACCCCCGATGTAAGGGTCAGTGAACCGCCCGGGCGGATTATATCGTATTTCGCAGCGACTTGGTCCAAATAGTTTTAGCCTGATGTCCCGTCTCCATGGGGAACGGAAAGCTCACTTTTGCCCACGGTTATCGCGCCCCAGAATTTGACGCCGAAGAGATGCTTCGCTTGGTCGAGATCGGCGTCTGCAAGGCTGCGGCGGATGATCTTGTCGACGCTAGAAAAGATGACGTGGTCGAATGGGCCGAGGGATCTTAATACTTCTGTAAATGTTCGTCCCGCACGTCTGCTACTGCGCCTCGGACTTTGTCGCCGCCATTCAACCGCTCAGTGACTGCCTGGAACGTTCTTCTCGGACGAAGATGCAATGGTCACGTTTGCGCCATGCTCGAGGAGGATCTGAGCGGCGCCAAAGCCGATACTGAAGATCGTGTTTAGATTTAATGGAGTTGGATACGAGTACAGCCGCTTACCCGGAGGTTCCACCTTACGACCAGTACCTCCTTGTTATGTAGTTTGTCGGTTGATTTGGGGCATCTTTGAGTTTCAGTTATTGTCTGAAAATAGGATGATTCAATGGTGATTCATCAAGTGGACTCTCCCTGTCTATTTTAGTGCCATGAGGACGTGCTTAGAAATGCGCTTTGATGCGATCGGAACCCCTCCGCAATGGTGCAATTGGGTAGAGAAGCACGTTTCCCTCCGACTTATTAGCTAAGATGGGGAGGTTCCACGCCTGTATCTAATAGTAGATCTACCAGTGGCTCCTGCTAGGAGAGCACCGCTGGAGATGGTGTCTGCCTGGAGACAAGCAAATACGTTGGATGGAGTTTTACTTCTTTCATGTGCGGCTCCAAGTGGACCCGGCGGAAACTCCGAAGTTACTATTTCCTGTAACCTAACATGTTCAGGTGTGATGTACTCGTAGTACTAGCACGATCTACCATTTCGGCGGTTCACGCCAGCCAGCTATCCACAGCTTGCTTGAAGACATCTTGAATCCACGGTTCCGTCAACCGAAAATCCATATCAAACCCATGCTCTCCATGTTGCAGACTCAGCACAATCTTGTCATTTCCCGGCTGGCCCTTGGTCACCTCGCGGAGACGATCAACAAATTTCTGCGCGTCTTCAACAGGCACTATGCTATCTTCGTAAGAATGGAAGATCGCCACGCCTCCCCCGGGGTATCTCAACGGGCGATTTCTCCAGTCGTCGAAACGGATAGAGCAACTCGGGGGCTACACCGTCCGTGCCCCGAGCGTAAATTTGGCCAAACGTCTGATACTCAAACGCAGCGAGCATATATTTAGAGCGCTCCCCTACCAGGATTGATGACTCAACAGTGCCAGGTGGTGGACCCTCGTCGAGCACTTTCTTATCCGTATGCATTCCCAAAGGTAGCTTCGGGCTGGACTTGGATGGGTCGGGGTTTAGATCAAGCATTGGGTATGCAGCTGTCATAACCCGGATGTCCGCCGGGTGAGAAAGGCCAACATATACACTCAGCAGGCCGCCCGCCGATTCACCGAAGGTAAGCACACGGTCGAGATCGGCCTCGACAGGCGTCGGGTTCTGCGCCAGTAAGCGGTTCAGCTCGGGGGAATGCAGCCATTTCCAGAAATCTTCCACGTCTTCGTAGATTTCTGGGCTGGTCGAGCCTGGGAGGAGGCGGTAATTGGGACTGATCATGATCGCTTCGTGCTGGAGGGCTAAGTCGGAGAGCCAATGAGGCCACCAGCCAATTGAGTCGCCTATTATCTGTATGTTTTGGTTAGTGCCTGTCGGAGTCGGATGGTGGAGGGTTATCGTAACCAGGCCACCGCCGTGAAAGCGGACGATGATCGGCCTCTTTCCGGTGACAGAGGTGCGAGGAACCAAGACATCTACGCGGATGTCATGGCCTTGGACGGTCTTGTATGGAGTTTGAAGGAGCTCGAAGCCCTCGAACTTGGGGTCGGTGGGGATGACCATGGTGCTTTTGAAAGAGGGGCAAAGAAGAATTGTTGATACCGGGCGACGTGCGATTCTGTTCAACTGCTAGTCGAAGAACCGGCATAACGGAATTTATGAAAGCTATCACGGCTGCATATTCTCACCCCAAGCCTTATACAACATTGGGTCCCCATCCTCAGGTGGCATATCCCGCATACTAAGTTATGCCTGGTGCCGAGGTAAGCAGAAGCTCGGGTATTATTAGCCTCTCGCAGTTAGACCCTTTGGCGGAAAGGAATTGGATCTTGGTGATTCGCCCAGTCTTTACCCCTCCGTTAAGTGGGGGCAGTCCGGGGTCAGGCTTCTGTGGGGTAGGCTTGCTAAGCAAGTAACGATTTACTACTCCGGAATTGGATCTTTTATCTCCACAATTCGGACGTACTGCAGGTTGACGTAAGGCTGGAATTGGTGAATCGCAAGGGTATCTAATTGTAACATACTATCAGGATCAATCGTCTATAGTTCGAGCAGCTGACAGAGATTCGGGATATCCAATTATAGTACCTATCTGGGTAAACCAATAACCAATAATGGGTATGATCGATAGAATAGCCATTCCATAAGAAACAGTCTTGTCGAAAGAAAAAGAAAAAGAAAAAGAAACAAACAAAAAAAAAAGATAAGGAAGTAAGATAATAGCAAACAAGAATGACAAAGCAAGCGTCATCCCATCGCGCCTCACTTCAAGTGATTAGAACATAGTCAGCTGTCGTCCACTCATGAGAGAGTCTCCCACATTTCTGTAAGCCCTCTGGGCGTCCTCAAAACGCATGAACCGACAGCTCTCACTCTCTAAGTGGTTGAAGAGCGAAGCCAGCGTGGTGAACTGTTTGGAACAAGAGCCGCGGTTCGGGCAATGATACACTTTTTGCTGGTGGGCCGGCGACCTCAGATGCTGATTGAGCGATCTGAGGGAACCATAACCGCGATGGCAGAGATAGCACTCATACCGATCTCCGTTCCAAGACTCGGCCGTCGCAATGTACTCTGTATCGTCTCCGTGCCATTCCAGCTGCCGGTTGGTAAAAAGCCCTTTTTTGTCTGCTCGAAGACACATTTTTTCGGATAGCTTCTCGATTGACGGATGGTGCGGCCGGACAAGACCCTGTCTCCAGATGGTGGAAGACACCGCTGGGGGTGACAAAGCCTCGATTACAGAATGGGCACAATGCGTCATTTCCGCGATGAACATTGGAATTTAGGTGCTGGTAATGTCGTTTCAGAATCCACATGAGCAGACAACTTTGTCTGTACTAGGTAGCCACATACCATTCGAAGGGCATTCTGGGTAGGGAACACCCGGTTACAATCTTCACAGTAGTTGGCCCAGTGACCCTCGTTTTGCATATGCCGGTTTGCGGCCTGTATCGACGTGAACTGTAAGTCGCAGGTATCGCAGGGGACACGAGGTAGCCAATGATCGACTGCGTTCATGTGCTGGGCTCGATACCGGCCATTGGCAAATACTCTGGTACAGGTTTCGCACTCAAACCAGTGGCCTTCGTCGGTCATATGCCACTCGAATTCCTCACGATCCCAGAATCTGTCACCACACTCGCCGCATTCAAACATGATGGTACGATCGGTACTGGGCCAGATCCACGGGCCCGAGAAGTGTGTTTGATCGACTTGGATATCACGGGCGAGGGCGGAGGTTGAAAAGTGGGAGGTCGAAGAAGAGCAGGAGCAAATCGGGGAACAAACTGATGAAACGGCAGCCAACAATGCAGATTATCAAGCTCTCCGGTCAATTCCAATTCGGAGCCTACGAGACAAAATACCAGGCCTCCACAGAGGTCTGAAGATCAAGTCAATTGCATGCGATTGAATAGAGCCATTGCAATCAGGGGTACGGAGTACAGGCAAGGCCATTGGCCAATGGTGTACACGGAACAGCCCACCGCATTAGGGGGCCTTGATAAGAGACCTCCAGGGCTGACAGATCCTTGATGACAATTCAATCAATCAAGCCATCGCAGATTTGGAGCCGTCAGCTTAATATGCCATCCTTGAATCCCCCGACTTTCCGTTGTCAGATTGAGGTACCCCGGAATGTCCGATGATGATCTGCATCGTTTGACTTCCATGAAACTATGGCCATCTCGAATACCTACATAAACATATAGCAGAGTGATGGGATAATAGACAATCCAACAGCTCTAACAGCTCTCGGCGCCACCACTAGGTGATCTGACAGGCACCAGCCTTGTTCAATTCAAATTGGATGAGATGCTTGGCTTTACGACCTTCAATATCGCTTGAAAGTACTGAGGTATATAGATGCGATCTACTAACTACTAGGGTAAGACGTAGTCCGGAAATCTATATGTTTTCTTCCAAGGTCCTCAAGCTGGATGCTTGCAAGCCCAACGGGAGGCAAGTCTAGTCTAGCTCCTACACCAATTTCAAAATGCAGAACGCCTGATAGCGATTGAATGCAATATACAAGACGAGAGCGAGGGCCAAGAGCTCATAGCTCGTCCTTGACTTCCTCCGCCGGCGGAGGTACCGGGCGACCACTATCTTTACTCAGATCGATGCCGATCTTCTTGCGCCACTTCTCCCACAGTGCGAAGAACTCCTTCTCCATGCCGCTCTCCATATCATCCGGCAGCACGACATTATACTCAATATAGAGGTTTCCGGGGGTATCGTTCTCATCATGATCATGCAAATGGCCCTCCGAGTAATGCGGCATGCCCTCGCCATGGATCGTCTCCACAGAAAGGGGCTGCACCACCTGGCCGCGACTGCGACCAAGCCGCACCACATGTCCATCTAGATGCGTCAGGTTGCGCGACCACTCGCCCATCCACGCCTCGCGCAACGAAAGCGGCTCCTTCCAGAACAAGTCCTTGCCCTTACGGCGGAAGAACGTTCCATCCGTGCGCTCTGCCTCGTCACTGCCAAGCTCCGGGTCCTTCTCTTCCAGCACAACAATCAAATCCCCAGCAACCCAATCTGGACTCTCGTCTGCCTCGTTTTCAAACACCAATCTTGTCCCCGAGCCCATTCCCGGCTTGATCTCTGCAGACTGCTCCACATTATTTTTAACCACCCGATTGCCGTGACAAACAGGGCAAGGGTTCTTGATCTTCTTCCCCTGCCCTCCACACCGATCACACGGCATCTGCACCTGCTGGAACATGCCCGGCGCAAGCATATGCTTCTGGATCACCCGCCCTTGCCCATTGCACTGGTCGCACGTAACAACCTTCCGGTCCTTCGACCCCGTCCCCTCGCACGAGTCGCAGATTTGCTGCTTCTCAACCAGGAAGTTGATCTCGCGCCCATTGTAGAAATCCCGCAGCGGCAGCGCCGCTTTCACTTCCATGTCCGGGCCCCGCCGATGTCCGCCGCCATGCCCAAAGTGCCCGCCGCCACCGAAGAACCGGGAGAACAGGTCGAAGGGATCGTTGCCGCGGCCACCGGCTTGGCCGCCTTTGCGCTGCTGCTCGACGCCGTCATGGCCGTATTGGTCGTAGACTTTGCGAAGCGAAGGGGTGGAGAGGACATCGTAGGCGTCTGCTATTTCGACGAATTTCTCGCGCGCAGAATCGTCACCTCTGCATTGATCGTTAACTCTCTTCTTTCCTTCCGTCTTTCTTCTTCCTCTTCTTGCTGCTTGGGAAGAAAAGCTTGAGTTACTAATTTTAATGGACTCACGGGTTCTTGTCTGGGTGGTATTTCTTGCTTAGGGTTCGGTATGCTCGCTTGATATCTTTTTCTGAAGCTGACTTGTCCAGACCCAGCAATTTGTAGTAGTCTTCCGCCGCCAATACCAGGAATGAGCATAAAACGACCGCTAAAGCGGCCAAAAAGCGAAGAAGTTGCATATTGGGCGCTATGCAAGGACAAATTCGACGTCAAGAGCACCGTCTGTTGTTTTGTAGCACGTCTGCGTGATTTGGTAGCTTTGCGCTGCAACGAGTGCTCGGTGCCTCCCGCACTAGCCTTCGGCGGTGTTCCGCGCAAGCTTGAGCTGCGTGCAAGTTTTGGATGAAAGAAAGAAGGGTCAAATCAAGAGATAGTCATGGAGGGTGAATGGAAGTTTCGCGGGGAAGCTTGCCCACAAGCAATGAGGTCCAAAGCGAGTGCTCTCTTCCTGGAGGTGTACCGTGTCGACCGCCGCGTCGAACGGGCCAAGTAATCCTTATCGCGATGCGGGAACAATATTGCGCCGGGTCACGTGTGCTATATGAGTTCGATACTAGTACGAAGTAAGAGTGGAGGAAAGCAACTGGAAAATTGGAATTGGGATTGGTAAACTAAGAATACAGCTAGAATGTTTTTGGGCATATTACAGTAAGTGCCAGCGTCGTGTTTTCACTATTCCCGAATCCTTTAGCGTCCTAGCATCCATCGCTGCGCCTCATCGTAAATCATTAAAATCAAACGGAAAAAAAAAAAATCCCTTTCAACGAGTTCCCGCCACGTCAAATATGTCATTTCGCCATGTGTGCCCGATACCCCGAGTCTCATCTCCCTCTTCGATGGCTTCTTGGGCACGGGTGGCTTCTTCATGCCACGTTTTCACGATGCTCCCTGGAGCATAGACGCCCTTGAAAGGACCGCTATCGGGTGGCTCAAATGCAAGCCGCGTTTCGACATCCGTGTCGGCAGGTTTCAAGCGGGCAAGAACAGCACGAATGAATGTCGCCAGATCTTGCGGGTTGGCAATGCGAGCAGCACGAAGTCGTTCCCGAGCAAATACCAATTCTCGGTTCAGGGCAAAGGCAGCAGCAACGACCTCCTCGGCGATTTTCTTTTCCAAGCTTCGGCGGACCAGATGCTTGAGGAAGGGTTTCGTGAGCCAGAGTAGGAACCGCCATTTGCTCTTGTGAACTTTGTAGTCGAGCTTGTGGATTCGTACGCGGACTCCGCGCAACGTAAATATTTGGTCAAGCCGGCCCCGACCTACTTCGACGTCAAGGGAGATGTCGATTCCGCGTTGATCGAGGAAAAAGCTAGCAACACCTTCATCTTGAAGTCGGAAAAACAAAGCGTGCGTCTTGAGCCAGTACCCGAATTCTTGGGCGCTGATGTTCAAGCCGTGGCAGAGACTTGGAAGAGCGTCCGAATCGTTGTATCTGTGCGTTTTGCATGTTTCTTCACGATATCAACGTCATTCTTTGTAGATAAATGCATGCGATAAGGAAGGAAAGAGAGTAGTTGACTGTACGGCCCGGCTCCAGGACAAGGTTCTCCAGCAGCAAATCCATGTCTGGGGCAGAGATTTCGAGCCGGGGAATGGGGATATATTGAATCATGCGCAGGAAGACAGGGAAGAAGACATTGGCTAGATCCGTTGGAAGATCATTTTTGTGGTCGTGGTATGCCTTGTATGCGTCATGGTAGATTTTTTGAGTCGCGCTGATCAGCTGGGTCACGGTGTTATCTTCCGGCACAGTCCGCAGGGTCTTTTTAGCTTGAGCCAGGAAATTATCCACATCCCGGCGTAACTGAGTCTCTGACCCGACTTTCTCAGACTGGCGCTGGAGATCGTTGATTTTTTCCGAGGCATTATCGAAGAACTCGGGTTTGGTGAGCATGTCCTGAAGCGAAGCTCCTACCTCTCCCATGAGCTTTTCGAACTCTGGATCCTTGTTTGCATGTTGAATCACAATGTGGAAGCTCTCCTTGAGCCGATCCCATTCCTCTGCACTCCCAAATAAACGTAATAACTCCCAAAACTGTTCCACTGCAAGTTTCAGATCGGCATTGACGTCGAGATCTTCATTCGCAGCTTCAGCTGCATCTTCAGCAGCGGTAGAGTAGAGAAGGGCATAGCGTTTCACCAGCTCGACAAGAGTCGAAACCGAGTCTGAATAGTCTGTTCTCTCTCGGAGTTTCAACACCACCTTCTTAAGACGATACAGGAGCGTTTCACGTTCTTGTCCAGACAGGTGTTCTCGAGCACTATCCAACGCCGCCTCGCCAGTCTGCTTGATGCCTTGACCGGCTGCATCCGCGACGTGCGCAACTTCCTCCCGAACCTCGTCCCTCGTCAACTCGTGGCCTTCGTCTGCGCCAGGGCCCGTCAGTGCTTCCTTCTCATACTCCGAAGGTTTGACCTCCTTTGCGACCTGCTTCGACGCCTCAGAGAGAGAAGAAGCCGTATCCGCGAAAATCTGCCGTCCAACTGTGGCGACATCGTCGACAAAGAGGCGAAAATCAGCATTCGTCAAGAGCAAGCTGCCCACCGTGCGAAAGCTGTCATAAGCTAGAATCCCCCTACATTAGCATATGAACATAGGATAGACATGGTGCCAAGCATCGGTTGTATATAACGGAATCCATGCATGGAGCAGAGAGACCCACCGGCTTTGGTATCGGCACGGGCCTTCACGTGGGATGCCTGCTGGGATAGGCGCGAGGTGTCGAGCAACACTTTGGATCGAGATAGGTGCCACAGGAACTCCTGGAGTTTGTCCTCCTCGTTCTTCGTTCGGAGGAAGTGGATGAAGGTCTCAATCCAGAGGCGGGCATCGCGGACTAGCTGGCGGCCGACGGAACCGATATCCTGATTGCGTAGATTGAGCACGTCGGAGGCGAGGAGGGTGCGCAGGTTCGCGATAGTCTGTTCAGTGGACGGCATGTATCCTTCTGAGAGGGCGCGGACCATCTGATAGGTATGCAGCTTCTGGTGCAGGCGGCGCTGGCGGGAGGTGTCATCCTCATACCGCGGGAGGAGGGGCTCGGTTTCACTAGGCATGATGAAGATACCCCTTGGGCCCGAGACAGACACGGATGGTGATGGTCGATGTCGGTGAACTTGGAGGAGGAAGGAGGTGCAGCGTGCTGGTGTGGCGGGAGCTCAACCTGTTTTTAGTTTGTGATGACGACACCTGCCCAGCCCTGGAGTGTGACATGCGACTTACGTGGGGATGGAAATGAGGCATTGTGCTACTACTAACCTTCCGGAGACAAATCTAACCCCCAGAAAACAATTGACTATAGAACGAAGTATCACCGTCAGAACTGCGACCTGTCACCGTGTACGGAGTAGAGATCCCGCCGATCAGCGCAATCTGGGGAAGTCGCTCGTTGCGGGTTTGGGAGGGCCCGATCCAGGGTCCGCTGTACCTGACTATGGGGAAACCCACCCTTGTTCTTCATCGCGATTAGATGATTCCCAGTATAATGCAATTCTTATTATTCTACTTATAAGCAAAACCAGGATTTCCCGGTTACTAGCTGTGAAGGAACCTGTTGTAGGCATGCCTATGACCCGATCTGATTTATCGAAGGTAGTACTTTTTGGGCTTGGGAGGTTGCTGGGACGGTCGCGTGTTTAACGTGTTTAACAACTCATTGAAGCTGGTATGCAGCCGTAGCAAGTTGAATAGGGCGAATCGAGTCTAGACTAGGAATCGGCCGAATGGTGGGCCAACCGAACTGTATGGGCGGAAGGGGGTCCTTTCTCCTTTGTGCGCCCAATCACACGACCCTTATCCGTACACTGTATCTCTAGGAAGAAGGGCAGCCCGGAACGCAGACCACAGGTCCCCGCCCAGACCGACTAAGCATTGGCCGGGAAAGAAACCGTTGGGACACTTCAAACCTGCAACGGTCCGAAGACCAATCCGCTATAATTCGTTGGAATTCCGCATTCTCCGAAAATGGGAGGGGCTGAAGAGGTCAGATTATACTGCGTAATCAACAGGACCCGTCCAGGTCGGCGGTGAAAACCATTCAGAACGCAGTGCGCGAAATTGTCCAACGTGAAACCGGGTGCTCCCTTTTGCCCCCCCCCCCATCGTGTCCCTCCGACAAACCCCCTTCTGGGCCTTCATTGCGGAAGCCTCCGTCTTCCGCTTTCCCACCACATTTGGTGAGCTCCGCCTTGTTGTCGGATTACTCTGTGCGGGGGCCATGAGGGGAAGAGGCCTCGACTCTTGTGAGGGGAAGCTCAGCTTATGAGTCAGGCAGGTATACACATTTGTAACAAAGTGTTTACTGCGTAGTCTAGACTTGCAGAGCGGATCCTCCGCCTTCCAGAACAAATGGAAGTTGTGGGATCCCACCCCTTACCCCCAATACCATCCATATTCCAATAGACCCAATGACCGTCCAGGAATTGGGCAGCGAGCTCGGTGTCCTACACTTCTAGTGCGGTTTTAGTGCGCTTTTGGGCTGTCGTCAGCGTCTCTGCTGAGGCGCCGAGAGGGTCCACTTCGGCTCTATCTGCGGCTCTGGAACCTCCTTCGAGTGGAGTCATACCGCTCGATAGGCAGGGCCTCTCCGGCATGGGTGACCACTCACAGTGCTTTGTGTCTGACCACGCGAAAAAAAAAAAAATTTCCAGCCCTGTGGCTGGGTGGCTCAGTTCGAGAGCTACACCGTAGCTGTCTTTCTTGCGGAATGCACTGCGTATTCGCATGCATTTCGAGAGAAGAAAATCCCTCAAAATGCAGAAGGGGTCGTTGGGTACAGAATGACGATCTCGTGTCCAAAGCGCTGGGGTGTACGCGGTAGGCAGTGGTATAGAGTCATGTTGCCCGGCACAAGGATAGAATCTACTCCGTACAGGCCAGGCATGCTCGAATCCACCGCATCCACCATGCTGCTCCCCTGTTGAACGAACCTCCGCAATTGATCCCTCGGCGCCCGCCGTCTCCACCCAGCCCGGCGACAGCTCCTCCTTGCTGGATCTGCTTCCCGAAAAAGCACAGAGAAGGTTGTGGGGGATCCAGATTCCACCGTCCTTGCGAGCCCGGCGGTTCGCTGCCATCACCGAATTATCCACATCGTCGTGTCCCATCCCTTGTAAATCCCCGACTCTTCCCGATCCCTCCAAAATGTAATTGCTATTACTCTGGATCGTATGGCCCATGAGCTTTCTTCCGGCTAATTCCCTTTTGCCTGGTCTCGGAATGTCGTGGATGATGCGCGCTCGAACGTCCCAGGAGCAGGTTAGTCTCCTGACGCGGACACTTAAAACCACCACCCGGGCGCCCCATTCCTCTTCAAATCATCTCAACTCCTCTACTTCGAAGTCATCGCGACCTTCGCTGGACAAAATGGCTCGCTTTACTGCTCAACAGAGTCGCCCGGTGCACGCCACCCCATTCATGAACCACTCAACCACTCCCTCGTACGTTCGACGTCCTCACTGGTATCACTTTGTGCATCAATAGATTTTCATATTCTAACCTCCGATCGATGGCAGAGATGCGAACTACGATACCGCCAACCCTGCCTACATTCGCAAATACCTCAAGACCTACGGCCTCACTCCTCCTCGCGCCGAGAGCTACGAGACCCAGAAGGCTCGCTGTCTGACACAATTGGGCCTCAAGAACACACCAATTGACAAGTTCCAATATCTAAGCACACTGCGCAAGAACAATGTGCACCTTTTCTACCGTCTGGTCACCGATCACTTGAGGGTATGTCAAAGAGCACTCGCCCCGTGCCAAAAACGACCGCTGAAAAAGGGGGGGGGATAAATAAAGACTAATTCCATCTCAATTTATAGGAAATGACCCCTCTCATCTACACTCCTACCGTGGGGGAGGCCTGCCAGCGTTGGTCCGAGATCTACCAGCAGCCAGAGGGTGAGTTCAACCAAACAGCAAGAAAAAAAAAAAATTAGGCCAGTAAACGAAATAGAACCGGCGACGCTAACACTTTTTAGGTATGTACCTTAGCTGGGAAGATCGTGGCAATCTTGCTGCAGTGATCGCCAATTGGCCTCAACCTAATGTGGAAATCACATGCATTACTGATGGCTCCCGTATCCTCGGATTGGGAGATCTGGGAATCAACGGAATGGGCATTCCCATCGGGAAGCTGGCTCTGTACACTGCATGTGCGGGGATCCGTCCCGAGACCACCCTGCCTTTGACCCTCGATCTGGGTACCAGCAACAAGACTCCCGGGAAGACCCGTTGTACATGGGCAGCCGCCGCGACAAGGTTAGCCCCGAAGAAGAGCGGGAGTTCTTGGATGAGATGATGGCTGCTCTCACCGAGCGCTGGCCCGGGTAAGTTTCTCGTGTTATCCCGGGGCGATCCTCCGGGTTTCCCCACGCGGCCCCGATGGCGTGCCAATGCTAACCCGTCGGTTAAACTTTATAGTATTGTGATTCAATTCGAGGACTTCAAGAATCCTTTTCCCGCACTGGAGCGTTACCGCAACGTCTACACCAGCTTCAACGATGACATCCAGGGTACTGGTGCTGTCATCCTTGGTGGCGTCATCAATGCCGTCAAGCGGTCCGGTCTTCCCTGCAAGGAACACCGTGCTGTCTTCTTCGGCGCCGGCAGTGCTGGTGTCGGTGTTGCCAAGCAGATTGTCGACTTCTTCGTTCGTGAGGGCATGACTGAGGATGAGGCCCGCGCTTGCTTCTACCTGGTCGACACCAAGGGTCTTGTCACTGCTGACCGTGGCGATAAGCTCGCGGACCACAAGGTCTACTTCGCCCGCCAGGACAACGAGGGCCAGCAGTGGAAGACCCTCGAGGAGGTGGTCGACTATGTCAAGCCGACCATCCTGATGGGCCTCTCTACCATGGGCGGTGTCTTCACCCCCGAGATCCTTCGCAAGATGGCTGACTGGAACACTGCCCCCATCATCTTCCCTCTGTCCAACCCCTCGTCCAAGTCCGAGTGCGATTTCGAGACTGCCGTTGTGAATACCGATGGTCGCTGCCTCTTCGCCTCCGGGTCTCCTTTCCCCAACCACACCTTCACCAACTCCAAGGGTGAGACCAAGACCTACTATCCCGGCCAGGGTAACAACATGTATGTGTTCCCTGGTATCGGTCTGGGCAGCATCCTGTCCAAGGCTGTCCGCATCACCGACAGCATGATCTACGCCTCGGGCGAGGCCCTTTCCAAGGCCCTCACCGGCGAGGAGCTCGAGCGGGGCCTGCTCTACCCCGACATCACCCGGATTCGCGAGGTCAGCGTTGTCGTCACCCGCAACGTCATCCGCGCTGCTCAGGCCGACGAGGTGGACCGCGAGACTGGTCTCCGCAACATGAGCGACGCTGATCTGGACAGCTGGATCAAGTCTCGTATGTACGACCCTCATACCGAGGTGCGTGCTCTGGAGCGCGAAGTCGGCCATCTGCTCTCCAGTCTGGGCAGCATGTCTCCTTACGGGATCGGTGCTATTACGCCTCCGGAGGATGATAATGGAAAGGATGCGAAGCTGTAAGATCATCTTCAGCACCGCCTTCTCCTGTACACGCCAACCTGCGCACTTGCATCTTGAAATTTCTAATCACGTCTTGTAGGCTTGCGTGAACTGGCTTTGCATTCGTCTACCTCCCTTACTTTCTCATTTCCTGGTTTCGAGCGCGGCTTTTCCTATGGTTTCTCAAGGATGGATAGGGATTTTCCTTTTGTCTTTTTCCCTTTTATATGTTCTGATTTCTGATTGAAATACCCTTTTGTCTGATGTTTGGGCATCTTGGCATCTTGTGCATATACGTTCGCGATAGCGTGAGATCTACCACGGTAGACTCCAAATGAACAAAATTCTCCATTTGACGTCCTTGGAAGCAGTCGAAGCAACATATTGAGTTCCGAGAAGTCCACAGCCAGCAATCTGCACTACCTGTCATACTAACCCAAAGCCAGCTACGAGTGCGATCTCGGTGGGGTCGGGGGCAACCGAAACTCCGCGACTTCCATCGCTTCACGTTTAGTTGGCCCCACAATTGCTGCCTCGTTGGCCATGAGAATGCCGCCTCTGTCATTGGAGAGTCGCATCGGGAACGTCGATTTCTAAGGATTGATAAGAAAAAGCCTCGAATAACTAATCAATAGTGGCGGTCGATTAGTCTCCGATCCCTACCTGCCCCGCCTTATTTTGCGATTTTTCTGCCCGTGAGAAACCGTAATATATTACTTCTAATCCCTGCTCATACACGATATGGTTTACCCTTTGGCTGAATATGGAAGACGGTGGAGGGAACGGCGAAAAAAGTGGTCGGAGACTAATCCACCCCTGTCGACCCACTTCGCAAGCTGCTTTGCCACTGAAGAATCGCGGCGAGATGAGTTCCTCCGCTGGGCCACGCTATGCCTTCACGAGCCGAGGTCCCGGGTCTTTGAATTGGCGGAGCTTTTATACTCTAACCTTACTTTAGACCTATCGATAAGAATTAAAATCCCCACTCATTGGTCTAGAAATAGGCCGGCTTCCCCGAGCCGAGAGGACGATATTCTATGCGTACTTTGTTCCCGCACACCCCTGCAGCCACGTCAAGCCCTATCTATACTCCGATCAGTAATACTTCAAAACACCCAAACCAAATGCCCTCCCCATTGGCAGACCCCGTCACACTGCCATGCGGTCTCGTCTTCCGCAACCGGCTCTCCAAGGCCGCAATGGCCGAGGCCCTGGGCGGCAAGTCGCATAGCGCAAACGAAACCCTAACAAGCGCCTATGTCCCTTGGGCGAAGGGCGGCTGGGGTAGCATTCTGACCGGTAATTTCATTCCCCTATTACCACATCAAGAGCCAAATTCGTGTGGTTTGTTTGGCCGTACAATACTAATACTCAGATCTCAAAGGCAACGTCCATGTCGACGTAAACCACCTCGGCAGCCCCGACGATCCAGCCCTACACACAGAATACAACGGCGACCCTGCCCTCGTCGCGCAGTGGAAGCAGTATGCGGATGCCTGCCAGGAACACGGCGTCCCGACGCTTGTGCAGGTCTGCCATCCCGGCCGCCAATCTTTCCGGGGCGCAGGCACGCGCGGTCTCTTCGGACAGTCGGTTGCGCCGAGTGCGGTTCCGGTGAAGTTGGGCGATGGTCTGTTCGAGCGTTTGCTTGCGACACTGCTGTGGAATAAGCCGCGGGAGATGACCAAGGCGGATATCGAGAGGGTTGTGCGGCAGTTCGTTGATACGGCGCGGTTGATGGCTGATGCAGGGTTTTCGGGGATCGAGTTGCATGGTGCGCATGGGTATTTGATTGGTGAGTCCCTTCCTTTATCCTGGCTTGTCCTTCTCTCTGCGATTGGTAGTGAGAGGGTTTGTGCTGATCAATTGGTTCTTCTTTGTAGATCAATTCCTGAACCCGAAGGTAATCCGCTTTGCAGTTGATCCCGATAAGCAATGGGGTACTAATTGACACTCCAGACAAACATCCGCACAGACGAGTACGGCGGTACCCCGGAGAAACGCGCAAAGTTCGTTCTCGACATCATCGCTGAAATCCGAAAGGTCGTCCCGCCGAAGTTTGCTATCGGCATCAAGCTTAACTCTGCGGACCACAGCTCGGCGACTTTCGAAGAGACAATGACCCAGATCAAACTCCTTGCCGAGGCAGGAATCGACTTCCTCGAAATCAGCGGCGGCTCATACGAAGATCCGAAAATGATGGGAATTAGCGAGCCAAAGTCCGAGCGTACCGCTGCCCGGGAGGCATTCTTCTTAGAATTCGCCAAGACGGTGCGCAGCAGATACCCTGAACTCGTGCTGATGCTCACAGGTGGGTTCCGGAGCCGTACCGGTGCCGAGTCTGCTGTCCGTGATAATGCCTGCGATCTTGTGGGTATTGGCCGGCCTGCGGCCGTTGATCCTCACTTCGCGGCTTTGTTGCTGGATGAGAGTGTTCCGGAGGAGAAGGCTGTGCTGCCATTGAAGAAGGCTCCGACTCCATGGATTCTGCGCTGGATTCCGCTCAAGATTGTCGGTGCTGGTGCTGAGACGGTGAGTTTTTTTTTCTTTTTCTTTTTCTTTCTTTCTTTCTTTCTTTCTTTCTTTCTTTTTTTTTTGGTCGTAAAATATCAGTGTCGTGCAGGTTACTAATCTCGGTATAGTTGTACTATGCAAGCCAAATCGGCAGGATCGCGAAGGGACTTGCTACGTTCGCCCCTGGCATGTAATTTATTGCGTTATTTGTGCTGTGACAATATCGGCTTTATCGTTTTGAGTCCTCGGGCTCGCATATAGTTTGCTCTGCTCGGGTTTGATTCAATTGCCCTCAGCCTCGGTTTATGGTTATTTGGACGCAGTTATTTAGACACTAATAGACGTCGCATATTTCTGAACACGAAAGGTCACCGGCTAGACGAATCACTCTGTAATTTGAGGGATGTTGGCTTGCAGATCGACGCGCAGATACCATACACGAATAATATTCGAATTATATTCCAAAACACTCTCCACCAAGCATGGGGAGGGATCTTCACTGTCGTTGTTCTCCACAAGCCAAAGGCCCACCGTCCCTCTGATCGTTCGTCACACTCGGATATGGCACATGACGTGAATCTCCGCGCCATGCCATGGAAAACTGAAATGATAATGATCGTAATAAGTTGATTCGCAGTGGCGAGTGCCCCCTGACTAATATCGGGGCTATCCGAACTCGGGGTCGGATGTCCGACACCGAGGATCCACCCACTCCAGACGCGGAATTGCCCGCGACAAAGAACGGCTGCAGTCCACCGGTGAGGAAACAGGTTGAGATGAAAGGCCATTTCTGGCCCCATCGGGGTCAATCCGACTGCAGTTACAGACCAGTGCGGTGCTGGCTTCCAATCGAAGGAAACGGTTTCTTGCCGACATGCCGGATAGCGCTAACTGCATCTCTTCCAGAGGGGGGAAATTTCCAGTCATTTCCAGTCTCTCGAAGTCCAATTTGGGCAACTTTCAATCGTTTTTCCTGAGCTTTCAGCCACATCAAATGCGGGGGTAAATTTGCTCTACCCGTGACGAAAACACTAGATCGTGTGCCTTATCACGGTGTCATACATCGCTTCAGATAATCATGGCCGGAGACCGCCAAAGAGCGGCCGAAAAGGCGCTCCATGACCAGACTAACATCCTTCCATTTGCCCAGCTTATGGTGGTCTTCACAAGTCTGGCTATCTCGCTGTTGATCGTCATGATCGATCAGAACGGTATCAGCGTCACGCTACCTACCGTGGCCCGCAAGTTAGACGCCGAAAACACGATATCCTGGGCTGGGACCTCGTCTCTTATCGCCAATACGACTTTCACCGTGCTGTACGGCCGACTATCAGATATCTTCGGCCGCAAGATCGTCTACGTATCGGCTTTAATACTGCTCTGCATTACAGATCTGTGCTGTGGTCTTGCGGTCAGCCCGGCCATGTTCTATATCTTTCGAGGTTTGGCTGGGATTGCAGGCGGCGGTGTGACTTCTCTCACCATGATCATCGTCAGCGACATCGTTACGCTAGAGCAGCGCGGGAAGTACCAGGGCATTCTGGGTGCGGCTCTGGGCCTTGGGAATGTCATTGGTCCTTTCATTGCGGCCGCGTTTATCATGCGCTCCACGTGGCGTGGCTTCTTCTGGCTGCTTTCCCCGCTGGCCGCTTGCTCAGCTGTTGTGGGGATTTTCCTGATCCCGAAGACAAAACAAAAGAGTTCCTTCCTCGTCAATGTGCGTCGGATTGACTGGTGGGGCGTGCTGGCTTCGTCGGTGGGTGTGATCTTTTTGTTGATTCCTGTCTCTGGCGGCGGTGCATACTTCCAGTGGCAGTCACCAATGGTTATTAGTATGCTTGCGATCGGAGGAGTGTCGTTGATTGCATTTTTCTTTATCGAATGGAAAGTGGCTTCGTTGCCGATGCTGCCAAGTAAGCAGTCTCTTGTCAAGGTTCTTCATCGCTGTCTGAGATGGTACTAATCCCACCCAGTGGCCTTCTTCAAAAACCCTGTCCTTTCGGCATTATTTGTTCAAAGCTTTTTTCTTGGGGCAGTTTACCAAGTGTACTTGTATTATCTGCCCCTTTACTACCAGAATGGTCGTGGCTGGTCACCTATTGCTTCCGCCGCCATGACAGCGCCCATGGTTTGCTGCCAATCGATTGCCTCGATCTGCTCTGGGCAGTATATCTCGCGAATGAAGCGATATGGCGAGATTATTTGGGTTGGCTTTGGTCTTTGGACATTGTAGGTTCAGACTGGAAGCTTCACGTGGCTTTACGAAGGAGATAAGAAAGAAAACATTACTAATTGTCTTCCAGGGCGGCTGGCCTAATGCTACTATTCGGCCCTCACACTCACCCTGCGATCATCGCTGTTATCGTCGCGATCTCCGGCCTGGGCACCGGTTTTACCTTCCAGCCCACCCTCGTCGCCATGCAGGCCCACTGCACCAAAGCCCAACGCGCAGTCTGCATATCGAACCGAAATTTCTTCCGGTGTATGGGCGGAGCAGTTGGTCTTGCCGTCGCAGCTGCATTGCTACAAGCAACACTCCGCTCGCATCTACCCAGCGAGCTGTCCTATCTTGCCAAATCTACGTACTCGCTCCCTGATAAATCCAGCGTCAGCCCGGAGCAATGGTCGCAAATCCTGGACTCTTATTCGAAGGCTTCCCACTCCGTGTTCATTCTCCAAGTCCCGCTGATCGGGATCTGCTTCTTGGCCTGCGTCTTCATCCGTGACCGTGGGCTGGAGCGCCCTAAGGATGCTGACGAGATTGAAGAGGAGAAGCGGAAGGCTGAGCAGGCTGCTAGAGATGCGGAGGCTGCTCTGCAGGAGGCTGATCGGCCGTCGATGCAGGATGAAAAGGACATGAAGCAGGAGACTCGTCATTCTTCTTCTACACTTGTCGATTCTTCCATGTCTCCCTCCCGAATGGAGCCGGAACTTGCTGGTCTGGAGGAGAGCAAAAGTGAAGCGTAGGTGGGGATGACGGTGGGGATGACGATGGGGATGATCGCATTTGCATACGTTTTTCTGGGATGCGTACCGGCGTTTTGATTGTGCATCAGTGAATGAATATTCAAAAGCATAGAGAGTAAAAAAGCTATTATTGAAAATAGGTCCTTCCATATTGATAATATCGAAGCTGCTGTGGAATTCATGTTTTATCCTCCACTGCAAGTTGATACTAAGACGAGTAGAAGGCCGGATTTCATAATCCTTGGGTATCATCATGACTTGATCGATTGACGATCTATTTCCAACCCAATGGTGATACCCCTGCAATCGGGATCTTCCGCCGGCTCGAGAGACAACCGGCTTGGCTTCAAACACCTTCAAACACCGTCAAACACCGAGCTCTTTAGCTGCGATCTGCTGTTTGCGGGTGATCGACCTGGCGCTGAGTACCCGAGATTGGTAAGCGTCTGAGATCTTGACGCTCCCTTGACGAGTAGCATATAACAACTTGGACCGTGGGGAATCATGTCCCATTCCATTGTTCTGTGCCTTCCTTGTATGCGTTCGGGCGTTCTCCAAGACAAGTATGGAGGACGGATTTCATGTTTCCCCAATGTCATTTCCCCGGGAGATCGCTATGCTCTTTACCATATGCTCTGCCAGGGGATGGTACAAGCTTCGCTGGCGCAAAGCTTCCTCCCAAATCGAGTGATTGGCGAGTCATTCGGAGCGAAGTCGGTCGATACTGCATGGTACCCAGCCGCATACGGTATGACTTCGGGGGCTTTCATGCTCGCCTCTGGCCGTCTGGGTGATATAGTGGGTCACAAGCGCCTGTTCGTGGTAGCTTGGATGTGGTTCTCTCTTTGGAGTCTCCTGGCGGGTATCTCGGTATACAGCGACTCGCAGGTCTTTTTTTGACATCTGCAGAGCTTTCCAGGGCACTGCAGCAGCGGCCTTAGTTCCCAGTGCCCTTGCCCTTCTCGGTTCAATCTACAAGCCTGGCTTCAGGAAGAACTTGGCTTTCTCGTTGTATGGATCGGGTGCACCGATTGGTTTTACCCTAGGGGCCGTCTTCTCGGCATTACTTGCGCAGTTGGAGAGCTGGCCATGGGCGTATTACATCACTGCCATAGCCTGTGCTGTTTATAGCATCTTATCGATCATCGCGATTCCAGATTTGGGGGAGAAGGCTGAGTCGGGCCAGGAGAGCTTTGATTATTTGGGGACTTTCGTCATCATTGCCGGTGAGTGCCCCCTGCTTCGCTGCGACCTGTTTTCACAGGCTGATTGAGATACAAGGGCTGCTTCTCTTCAATTTTGCCTGGAATAGGGCCCCTGAGACGGGCTGGGGTGATGCACAATGCATCGCCACGCTCATTATCGGCCTGATTCTCATTCTTGCCTTTTTCGCCATTGAGAAACGAGCTTCACAGCCGATCATCCCCGTGACCGAAATCGACCGGAATGCGTTATGGGTTCTGTTAATCGAAGCCCTTGGGTGGTCGTCCTTTGGAATCTTGATCTTCTACTCCATTAACTTCGTCATTCGCGTTCGCGGCGATACCATGCTATCAGCCGCGGCCCAGTTGGTACCAGTGCCACTGACTGGACTCGCCGCTACTCTTCTAACTGCGTTCCTTCTCAATAAAGGAGCCAGTGCCCCGATGATTCTTGCATTTTCCCTTCTCTGGTTCTGTGTGGGTAATATTATCTTGGCTACTATGGAGGTGCACCACTCTTACTGGCTTGATATCTTCTGGGTATGGGCGCTCAGCCCCTTGGGAATGGACATGAGCTTTCCGGCAGGAACACTTCTCCTCAGCAGTCTGCTTCCACGAGATCGCCAAGGGATTGCAGCAAGCTTGATTGCGACCGTCGTTTACTATTCGCAAAGCCTGGGGCTGGGAATAGCTGGAGTTGTGGAAGTCATGGTAGCCCATGGCTCCGAGATGAAGGGTTATCGTGGGGCCTGGTACCTTGGAATAGGCTTGAGTGGCTTTGGTCTCATAGTAAGCACGGCCTATGCGATATATCACGCAGCGGCCAAGCGAGCGACTTGAATTGGAGAAAGTCAAGCAAGGTATTGTTCTCGAGAGCCCTTAGACGGAGGAGGGGAACCCAACAAAAATCTACTGTTATTCTTGTCTTGGCCATTTTGCAGAAAGTAGGATTTAGCTATCAGTTAAGACACTGAAAATAGCGAGATTTCTATTTTTTGCAGGGGCAGGGGTGGGAGGGGTTGTAAGACTAGCGTAAGTAGACACAAGGCGTCCCAGCGGCTTTAACACTTACGGAGCGTCGCATCTCCGAGCCTTGGCATTTCCAAGCTCCGCCGTTTTACTTCCACTTCATCTTTCTCGATCCAATTATGCGCCCCCGCACATGGGCCATGAGCTTGCCAGAAAAGCCTTAGATCACCCTTTGTTCTACCATGATTTATAATGTATGCAGGTAAGACCAACCCGGACTCGCGGCAGACCAGCCCGGCATCCCGGGAGTACAACCCCCGAAAACGAGGGCGCACGGCGTGTACTCGCTGCAAGAGGAGGAAGCAGAAGGTGAGCCCATCGGCAAGCACATACTCAGGCACAACCTGACCACGTATCCGTATCAGTGCGACAATGAATATCCTACGTGCTCCAACTGCCAAAAGGCGGGCGTGGCATGCGACAAGTCCAGCGTGAGAGAAGACTCAGACCAGCAGAATGAGTAAGTCTCCAATTGTAGATGATTTGCCATTCGCAGAAGGGTCTCATATAAGCAACAGGTACACAAGGGCGTTGGAAGAACGAGTGGCCTTCCTCGAAGACCGACTGAGCCGTCCCGAGCCATCCACCAACCAATCTGCTTCTGTTCCCCATGCTCCGGCCTCGATCTGGTCGCAGCAGGATGGGCAGGCAACCCCACAGCCCGCGCCATCAGGACTCGAGACGAATCCAGTCGGCGAGATTGTTGGACTCCTCGCCTTGAGTTCCTCCGAGGCTCCAGCTTATGTCGGCTCCAGCTCCGGTCTGGCCTTGGCGGCTAACCTGGGCGAAATGGTCCAGGGGAGCGTGTGGAATCAGTTCATTTCTCGAATGGGCCCAAACGCGACGCGAAACTCTACGACCTGTTACACAGCAGGGGTGGCCCCGGGGCAGCCGGGGCAGCAGCCTGGACTTGGGCTGACAAGGGAAGTTCGCGACAGCTCTAGGCCTATTGACCCTCCGAATGATGAGCTCAGTACAAAGCTCATTCAAACGTATTTGCAAAGACTGCATTTGCGGTACCCGTTTCTCAACCGTAAAGTCATCTGGCAACTCCACGACATGAGATGGAAACTTGCGAAAATAAAACGCGAGGAACTCACCAAGGCCGATCGGTTCTCAATCTTCAAGCTCAACTTGATTTATGCTATTGGAACTACACTGCTTCAACTGAGTGATAGCAAGGCGTATGCCTATGCACCTGCCGAGGTATTCTATTTACTTGCCATCCTTCCCTCCCCCCCTTCCCTTCGCTGGTTGCTGACCTTGGTTCTAGCGATATTATGCTACTGCGCTGCAATACGTCCCCACGATGTGCGAGGCCCGCTCTTTAGAAAACATAGAAGCGATGATTCTTCTCGTTGTGTACCATCTGCGCACCGCTACAAGTCATGGAATGTGGTATATGATCGGACTTGCAATGCGTACTGCCATCGACCTTGGGCTCCACCGGAAAGCGAACGAGATTAACATGGACCCTTTCTCGGCTCAAATGCGCCGCAGGCTGTTCTGGACGGTCTATTACCTCGAGAGAGGAGTATCGGTGTCCCTCGGACGCCCTTTCAGCATTTCCGATCGCAATATCGATTTGGACTTGCCATTCGATGTGGATGATGACGTCGAAGATCCGACCACGATCACAACATCGCCAGTCCCAAACCAGAGCACAACACTCACATTCGCCATCTATATGTTCAAGCTTCGTCGGATTGACTCTAGGATTCAGCATAAGATTTATCGCGCCGACCGTCCTTTGTCGTCGTTGCGCCCCAAGATGGATCCATTATACCTCGAACTCGAGCAATGGAAAGAGTCCGCGCTGCTGCGATTCAGCGGGTCTGATCTGGATTACCCTATACTACACTATAACAGGGCCGTCCGGCTTTTGATCCAGCCATTCCTGCCTCTTCTCCCCATCTCAGACCCATACTACCACATCTGTGTTCGGGCAGCGGGTGAAATCTGTCAATCTCATAAAAGACTACATCAGACGCTTGAATATGGACACTCGTTCTTGGCAGTGCAGACGGTTTTCATGGCTGGCATTACTCTGCTTTACGCATTATGGACTCATACCGAGCAGGTCTGGAATGTGAGCATGAGCAACGACATCCGCGCCTGTTCTACCGTTTTATTCGTCATGGGCGAACGAGCCGCGTGGGTAAAAAAGTACCGCGACGCGTTCGAGCTCCTCGTAAACGCCGCCATGGAGAAACTGCAAGGGAACGAAACAGCCCGTAATGCCGGTATGGCGGAACTGATGACGGCCCAGCATGGCATTCCTGCCGGTGGACCCTCTGATATGGCAGGCGGAGATAAAGGTTCACAGCCAAATCCCACTGGACTGGCACCTGAAGATATCAGTGCCGCCTATGCAACTGGCGATGCAGATCATGCTGTAAGAATGGCACTGCAGCTAGCGCCTTGGATCGATCAAGACGAAAGTGATCCGCTTTGGATGCCGGACTTCGAAACACTGGAGAACCTGTCGGGAACATTCTGGACCCACGCGGACACGACCTTGTTCGATACTCTATGATGTAGCAACGAGGTGGAAATTACTCTGATACGTCGGGGAGATCGGGAAACCAGCTCGCGAGGTCGGGCACGTCGAATCTACCCAAGAAACCGAATTCCTCTTGCCGCATGTCCATTTCATCTAGACTCATGAACGGGTTCATGGGTCGACCGCCAACATCGGAGTCTTGCATATTTTGGGATTCTGGCAGATTCACGGTGATTTCGGCGGGGTCAGCAGTCCGGTCTCTGGGCTGCATGCGATGTCTTTGACTTGGAGTTCCGGGCGGGTGCTCTCCGCTATCCCAAACATCTAGCTCTAGATATTAGCGGCTGTAGTTTAGACGCTTGGGAAAGGGCAAGGAAAACATACTGGTATAGTTCTGTATAATGTGCTGGTGTGTCACCTGGAGAAACTGCAGGGAGTTGCGAGCAGATAAACTGAATGCGGCCATGTGGGTAAGGACCTCCTCACACTTGCGCCATGTTTCTGCGATGACTTGGGTGTCTATTTGCTTCAGGATAGAGCGGCAGGAATATGACATGATGAGTACGAAGCCGGCAGTGGATGTATCTGCATTGCGTAAGTTCTTGGACGGCTAGTAACGGTCTGGTTATACTTACAGAATCCATTATACCACCACGCATCGGTGTGGGATGTGAGATAAGTCTCGTGCATGAGCGAGACAAGGTCGATAGCGGCGTTCACGCATGCCGCTGCACAGTTGACCAAGATAGAATCGTAAATGAAATTCTTCTTGGTGCGGGAGGTCTGCTGTGAAGATGTGCTGGGGGCTTTCGTAGGTCCGGTCCGCTCCTCCGAACAGAGCTGGGTAAACATGGGACGGTACAACAGGAGTCGAAGGTGAATGAATCTGGCACGGAGCACGTTTCGCTGTCGGCGGAATACTGGTAGCTGATACTCAGCATCGGATGGGTCAGAGTTAGTCCAATTGAGGACAGATGGGACATTCGCTTCAAAATTAGCGAGCTTATTGTCGAGCTCCATGACAACATCTAAACTGGTAGGTGAGGTTTCTTGGATAGGTGGGGTGCGGTTATGGTGTGAGCGACCTCGCCAGGCATTATAGACATCGGCGAGGATCGACTCGAGAATAGTATAGAGTTCAATTGTCGAAGCATAGAATATTGTCTGGCCTTGGCTATGGTCACATGGCTGCTCGCTAAGTGCGCAAGGATCCTCAGACTGGGATTTAGGACGCATTGCTGGAAGCGGGACTGCATGGACAGGAGATATGTGAGATGTCATGCTGGGTCTGCCATAAGTCATGCTCACAATCCTGTTTTCGATTAGTCAAATTCGTCGTGGCACAACTTCTGGCCGGTGGTAATGCTCACATATCCATCATGACGCAGCCATACCAGGTCCGACGTCTAATCTCCTGCTCGAGAGGCTTATGATTCCGCTGGGCAGTTGCTTCATGTAAGCCAAGGCCCTGAGCCACTCGACAAGCAAGACCGATGGCATTCCAACAACGGTTCGAATAGGGGGTACTTTGAAGCAGCAACGCAATAATCAAAAGAGTTTGCACTACCCCGATTGTAGACGTATCTAATAGGTCAAGGCCGACAAAGCGCTTAGACCGAAGGAAAAGGAATACGCTTGAGCTTCGCGCTCTCGTATTGGAATATCTGAGAAGTGGCAACCAAGGGCGAAAATTGCATTCAGAGCACAATGAAAGACAATCGACTGAGGCCCAGAATCATATGAGCCTCCAAGCCCAATATTCAGTTCTGGTAGTTCTGTTCTAGGCCATTTTGCTGCTCCCCAGAGGCTTTCATATGCCTGTTCAAAGCTTGGACGATGAAAGAAGGGATATAGACAGTAGAACCTTTCCCAGAAGCACTCGAGCAAATGGTCTGCTAGGTTCCGGGGAGGAAGCGAAAAGTCATTGAATTGGAATTCCGAATTTGCAGCACTCGGGTTCAGATCTCGCCACAGGCCCGAGTCAAACGATGGAGCACTGGGATTCGAGTTATCTGCGTTTTTCAATGCTTGCATGTACGATCGAATAGGCATCGAGTCCCTCGCTAATCGCATGAAGGACGCTGCGGATGAGTTCCCATAATATTGCTCGCTAGGTGAGTTGACGCCCTCCCCATCATCGGCTGCAGAAATTGCGCCCATTGCCGTAACATGACCATGGGATGCAAGAGGAGAAGACTGGATGCCCTTGGGTCCGAAATGCGCATGCGATGAATGATCCGCTGCAGAAGCATCTCGGGCGTTTGGCAAAGGTGACTGAATATATGGCTGAGAATTTCTGTGCCATGGTGATCTGTTGGAGTTAGGTGGCGCCGAAACGATCTGCTGTAACGTCGTAGAGCTCAATCCTAGCAGACCCTCGGCAGCGACAGAGGTATTTGATTCGTTAATGGTGGGCTCAGTATTTGCTTCCCCCCGGGGGTCTCTTTTGCAGAGCCTTCTCCATCATGAGAGATCTCGGATAAGTGGGTAGGCGGGCATGCTATTCCATTCCGGCTGCAAGTCTCTTCGAGCTTGCGGATCCTATCATGTAGAACCTTCAGATATGCATCATTACTGGCAGACCGAGCATTTTCGATTTTGTACACACATCGGTCAATTTTATAAGACCTCCTGGAACATGGCCCACAGATTGGTTTCACTCCGTCACATCGAACCTTTTTCTCGCGGCAAGAATCGCAAGCAAGAGCGATTTTCCGGCGATGCGGAGTATCGCGCTTTGACCGATTGGGGCTTTTGGGCGACATCCTGGATATTAGCCTTTCGAATTCTTGAGAGAGAGCTCAGATTAACCATGCTGCATGTTCTCTTTAAGAGCCCTGGAACAAACAGCAAGACGTGAGGATTTGGATATCAAGATGAGCAGGAGTCGTGGCTGGTACCACGATGCCCGGAAGTAATATTATCCGGGGCTTGGCTGTCCGCGTGGTTATGGACTACGTGCAAGGAGTCTGGCTTCTGTTTCCTTACAGTCGAGATCACTTTGAATCGAGCTCCATCCATATGGGAAAGCCCCCTACATTTCTCGCCGACATTCAGATAGCTACTAGTCCAATTACAAGAATTCCTAGAGGGAAAACGGGACGTCCCTCTTTCACCACGTGGTCCAGCATTACGAGTAGGAATCGTGGACAAAGAATGTTATAAACCGGGGTATAAGTCTATTCTTCTGCAGGTTCGATCAACTAGTATTAATAGATGTTGAGGCCAGATATATCAGCATCAGCTGATTTTGCCTACCTGTAGACTGACGCTGCTTGGCTACCACGTGTGTGGCTTCAATTGGGATTCGCTTGCAAATTGGACACTAAGAGACTACACCTACGGAGGCCCGTGCTACTAATAAGCGGGGAAATTGTCCCCCCTTCCCCGCTTAAGCTCTAATATGCCGCCTGGTATTCGGTTACCAGATCAGGGTCGACCGTGGCGTCGTCTATTTCAAAAACATTACTGGCCCACCGCCGGAATAGACCCGGAGGGCATCAGATGGACAGACATTCACTGTTAGAAGATGCGAAATTTTCTCAATTTTCATGTCAGGTAGGTATTGTGAATTGAGTAGAGGAACCAGCTTTCTCTGGTGCACAGTTTCACGAAGTGAACGAGGACTAGCCACGGCATCCAAGAGGAATTAGTGACCTCGGTCGATCATGGAACAAACCCGAGTATGAGCACGTGATGAGAACAAGATGCGCGCATCCTGCAAATCAGCCACTCACAGTATTCAGTCATTTGGCAGTCTACTAATTAGCTTTGGACTTTCGAGACTCACGCGACCTTGTCCCTTTCACAATATTAATACCATGGAACCAGATTTTGAACTGTTGGGGGCCGTACGAGCATTCGGGATTGACCCGGTGGCTTTGATTCATGTTCGGGTCCAACCCGGGCGTTGGGACCTAGACCCTCGCAACTCCAGATAAAAATGGCAGTGATCTACGATTTGGGAGCAATTTCTAGTAAGTATCTAGGCTGCATTTATTTGACATCATACCACTTGCTCCAGGTGCCGTTGTTATTAGTATAGGGCTCCGGAATGGCTCCGAAACCTGGGGGATCGGTGCCTTTCATGACTCCAGGCCGATCACCCTGAACGTAACATTCTTAAACACTCAGCACCTCTCTTTTGTATCTAGCTACTCTGCGCATACAGGAAATATGTTAGCCAAATCAGGCTCCGCAACTGAGCATAAACAGCAGATCCATTATACTCCGCACCGACAGAAAAGAAAGTCCCCTTTTCAGCCAGGCCAGCCAGGAGAGAGCGGCTTACAGTGGGGGTCTGACCCGAGTTTCTGCTATCATGGATTCTCCGGCCCTATCGGAACATGGACGGAAGAACGACTCTTGCGAGACCTCATGCGCAATATGGCCTTCATGTGGTGTGGAAGGAATATCGACCAGCACATGTATAACCATTTAAGCTATATTCAAGGGAGACCTGTTGAGACACAGGACCAGACATCCAACCAGGCCAACGAACAGTCATTTCTGCATTTTGGCACAAGTCAGATGACTATGACTTCTCCTTCCCATTCTGCGTCACCATCCCAGTCCACGGAAGATGATGAAACCAAAGCGGTGACAACACCCAACAAGAAGCGAAAATGTGTGCAGAAGCCTGGGCAGGCGCTTTGCCATTGCCGCTCGGAAAAGAAAAGGAGAGAGATTGTCAGTCAAGGGTATAAAGACCTGTCAAATCTTGTGCCGGGTCTTGAAACGCAAAATTTTACGAGAAAATATATCTTGGATGAGACGGCAAAATATATCGAAAAGCTATTGCGAGGGAACAACGATCTCCGGGAGCAAATAGCGGCTCTTGACAAATTGAATAATTCAGAGAGTCCTATCGAACATTTCAAAATGGAGTCAGGCTAAAAGACTGGATGCTGTTCGGACCATGCAGAGCTATGGAGTTCGTCGGATCCGGGGCTCCTTTATGTTCAATGACCTGTTGTGTTTGGGATACGGAGTTGTTACTATTATCATTTGGTGTTAAGTTTTTGATGGTCTACGACTCGGCTTGAATCATACGCCGGTCTATCATATCCTGTGCGTGCCTGCGAATTGCTTGTCTGGAGGAAAACTGTAAGGATGGTTGCTAGTGTCCTGGCTTGTCTCTGTTGCCAGTGCCTATCCGCGACGTTAATGTTGAATGAGACACAGTGGTGCTAGTACCTCTAAGATTTGGTTAGATACAATATCGAAATAAAAAAAAGAGTCAGAACTGTTGCCTGAGGACAACGAACTTGAAGGAGCTAGCGTAGGTAAAATCAGTCAGATTTATATAGATATTCTTGAGTAGGTTGCACATAATGCCAGCCAACTATGCTCAATTAGTGATCCTAATATCCGTTCTATAGGTATTGATACAGCAAAAATATCTGGCCGAGTGGGCCTGCTCTTAGACCATCATGTCCCCTACGTTGAGGCAACCATACTCGATAACAGTGGATCGCCACTGCATCTGGCACCGTGGCTCAGAGCTCCCTGTCCAATATAGCAAGGTGCCTGGAAACTGAGTACTAGTAGGCCTGCTCGCTTGTCTGGCAAACATCTACGATCTCACTTATACCACGGAATTGTCCTAAATAATATGATTTAATTTCCAACACCAAACCCGGCCTCGAGCTACCAGATTTTGATACTGCCCAGCGTGCCCTTGCAATGCCAAGCAGCCGCTTTCAAAGAGTAAAATGTTGCATCCACTTCCAATTTGAATCAGGGCCAAACCATTCACTTCCAAAGCATGTGCCTTGCCATGTTCTAGTGTACACTATTGACGGTCTCCGCAATCCCTTGCTTGAGCGTGACGCGTTGCTAGTGCCCTTTAAACGCGAAGCCCTAGAATACGTACGAAAAATATTGCAAATTACCGAAATTGCGGCAGCAGAAACGTTCCAAAGGCCTTTTATCCAACGATGAACTCCAGATTCATGCTGTATAATGCATTGCGCTGTGTATACATATATAGTGTGTTACAGGGTCAAAATATCAAATCCCAGACCACCAGCCACGTACATAGGCCGACAGTACCCCAAAACACTGCTTGTGCTGTGCTTCGTCGCTCTGTCGCCCTCTTGAGCTCCTTATTTCCACGGCTGACGTTCGTCTGGGTCATTTCAGCATCGCTGACCAGTTGCGAGATATACTCCTCTTGGGTAGAGAGATGAGAGACCAGAGTCTCTTGCAGCGAGGAGATTTCCAACAAAGACTTTTCCGCATTTCTGCGAGATGAAACGTCAGCTACCTGTAAGAACACATCCAGGACTGGAAATAGAAACATACTGGACTTTGCCTAAAGTATCCTCGTAATGGCGTAGCATGGTATCGTTCTCTTCAGCAAATAGCTGCAATTGCTCGGCCGAGAGCTGCGATTCGATTTGCGCCGAGTCGGCCTCACTCAGAACTGCCGCATCGGGCGTTGATAAATCTGGCGATGTCCACTGGGGATGCCCGCTAGGGGCACGATGCTCTGTAGGCACACTCCCGCTTCCTTGGGCAGCAGAGCCCGCGGTGCCGGCAGCCTTATATAAAACACTCTTCTCTTTTTCGCGTATACGCTCAATTCTTTTCTCAACCATCGATCGTTGCGCACTAGCTGCGCCCTCGAGGCCACGCCTCAAGAACCATAGTATTGCCTCGCGGACGGTACGAATTGTGCGCGAGGTCTCTTCTGCGCTTATTTGCTCTTCCGATTTCCCAGTATTATTGGTGTCGCCTTCAGATAAAGCACCTGAACCGCCAGCCCAGCGAAACAGAAGAGCACCTGCGATACTGTGGCCATATCGTTTGCGAAGGATTGCGGCCTCGGTGTCTTGACGGAGGGACTCGGCAGATGAAAGATTTGAAATCGAGGCTGAGAGATCCCGAAGAAGAAGTGCTGTTGAAGAGTCTACAGAATCGCGCTCTGCGTCTGTGAGATGGGACTGGGCTGAAGAGGGTGTGTTATTCTTGGTGGAGCTCCCGCCTCGGCGTTGTGAGGGTGCTGTTGTGGAGAGGTAGGCATGACGAATGGACTGGAGGTACTGCAAAAGAGAGTGAATGTGGGAGTTCTAATGAGCACCGGTAGTTAGCATCAAATCAGGCAGGTCCATTTCAAGCCTCAGCTTGAACATGTAGACTGACAATTCGGTACGCCTCCTTCAGGAACTCATCAGCGGTCTCGACACTCGTCGGTCGGGGCTGAGTAGGAATCGGCGCAGCATTTCGAGAGACCAGCAGCTGGTTGAATGTCGGTGCTAAATTGGTCATTGTGCGGGCCTTGGGGGGACCTCGAAAGTTGCGAGAAGATCGTTGGAAGGCGTACAGGACAATTGGATATCACGTGTTGTGGGGGGGGTTGTGGTTATGGCCTACGGCGGCTCTGGTCCAAAGCGCTTCGTAGTCACTCTCGCGCCCTGGGCAGGGATCTAAATTTCGCCGGGGGGGCCAATTTAAACCGCGTCAGGCCATTTCTTTCTCCTTTTCTCCGCTCGCCTATGCGACCAACGATGGCAGCCTCGATGCTTTCGCTGCCCACCGTGTCCACATACATCCAAACCCCTGATGTCTTTGCCCGCGATGGCTGAGATTTATAATACGGACCGCTTCGCCGAGCTCTATTACCCTTCTAACACCGCCGACCTCCTGCACCTAGGCCTTGCTGCACGCTTTGTAGCCACCCTCTTCGAGTCCAACCAGATCACCTATGCCTTCATTGGCGGGTGGGCCGTATACCTGCGCGGTGGAGGCCGCCGCACCCAGGACATTGACATTACCGTTGACGACTCAATGGACCATGTCAAAGAGATTTTGACCATGCAGCCTCGGTATTGAATGATCTGTTTCGTATTCGTGTTGATATATATGGCGTTTGCACGAATGCGTTGTTAATCCGTCCTAGGATCCATTTCCCGGCTGTCCACGGACCGACAGCGGTCCAAATATTCATCGACACCGGCCAGAGTGTGGACGGGGAATTCCCCGAGGTTCCCGATCTCGCAGTGAGCATGGATATCGTCATTAGTGGTGAGTTGGTTTTTTTTTTCTGAGGTTATTCCCAGACAATTCTAGAGGAACTAACCGTTGTCACGCAGGTAACCTGGGCACGCCGGAAGATCTCCGGTCCTCGCGCGAACCAATAAACCCCCACAGACCAACACCTCTTGGATCCCCCGTATTAGTACTTGGATTGGTGTTCCAAATATATGCGAAGCTCGACGCGTTCTCCCGACGCGGCGAGCAGGATAGCAAGGACTTTATGGACCTCGAGTTCCTCTTTATGCAATATGCGACGGATATCCCCGCATTTTGTGACTACTATGATGTGGATCACCGGCGCTATTTCTGGGTACAGTATGCGTCCAAATACGTCGCTTTTCCCGATCAAGTCGAAAGTATGCGCAATCTGCTTGGCTTATGATTCTGTTCTTTCTTTCTTTATTTTTTTTTTATTTTCTTCTTTTTTCTCTCTGCCAGGCACTTTTCTCTGGGATATCTCACATTGAGAAGTAATTATAATTATCTACACTATGTCACATTTCGAGGTTAGCTTGATATCAGCTTCTTTGTCCAGGGATCGGGCGAGCCTTTCAGCCGGAACCGCGTATCGAATAGCGATTCGGGCGTTGTCCAGCCTAATCTTGCTTTCTTGCTTCGCACTCTTGACTCCCATTTTTCCTGCCGACTGATGGTTGATGTTGGGTAGTAGTGAACGAACATCCACCCTCTTCCCCGGGCGGCTTCTGCAGCGGCGACGTTCATTGTCTGCGTCCACTTCAGGTCATTGGTTCCATCCAATTGTAAGTTCCTGGTTCCCCATTCTTCCGACACATTGCTCCCATCGACGCAATCGCACAGCGACACATCATCGTTCATATCCAAGAAGCTCTGCAAGAGGACAGGTAGAGTGGGGTAGGGGATCCCATTGAGACTGCGCTGTATAGAGAAGGGACCGTAGGGAATATGGACGTGGTATGCGGGCACGAGGAGGAAATAGAAGTGGACGCCATTCCCTTTGAAGCGGTGGTATGTATGACTGAGGGAGAAAGGTTGAGGGATAGGGATGGAGGGCACGGGATGGACCCTGTGCGCCATGGAACCAGTGCTGAGAAGATTGGCGGCTTCGACCACCTTGTCATCGGGAACGCAGAGATCCCATTCCTGCTCCTGAATTAGCTCTCTCAACTCCCAACACAAGGACCCGGCGGACGAAAGGAAATTTTTCTCCAGAAGGCGGAGCTCCCATCTGGTGAGGGCAGTATCGTAGAATCAGCACGTACATCTCGCACTCGCCCAGCGCCGTAGAAAATTAGCGCCGAGACGCCAACTATACAGCACTCGATTCCATTTCTCTCGAGGAAACGGATCACCTCGAGAATCTCGAGAATGCCGTGTCCGCCATAAGACGGGACCTCGTCGGGGGAGTAAGATGAACCGCTCTCCACAGGGTCGGACGGAACTGGCGTAGGATGAAAGTTAGGAGCTAACATATCGGATGAGGCCGTGAGAGGACCTGCATCATTGCAGTTTGTATTGGAATCCGTAGTTGAAGACCGAGATTCGCGGGGAACCGGAGGGTCCATTCATATGTCTCCCCACGTGACTCTCTTAGTAACGGCACGTTTTAAGGTCTGGATGGATCGATCGAATCGGTCTTCTGCATAATCCGGGCTTCAAGATCTCGCGGAGGGAACTTGAGAAACGCGTAATTTCCAGGGCTCCCCTTGAACCGGGCCCCGGAATTCTTCGATTCTTTGTAGCCAGTTGCCCTTTGGAATCCCCCATCCTGCCGTCCGGAAAGGGCCCTGAAGCTGACACTACTTCCCGCCCATGTGTCTCAACCAGTAGATCGGATGTGGGGCATTGAGATGATTCGTCCTCATGGTCGATCGCCAATCCACGATCCCTGGTCTTCGGGTCTTCGGTTTTCCGGGGTGCCGGATTGGAGTCGGCCCTGCCTCATAATCGTATTCGAGGATGATTCTTGAAGTACGGAGCGACGATCTCGTTGGGGTGTTCCGGTACTTCATATGAGCTCTAGAATTTGCCTGCGGAGATGGCGATACAATACGAACGCATGGTCCTCTATACCCCGTTCTCTCATGCATGCAGCTCTCTTTTATATGAGCTATCGTCTATAATGCGGCATTTGAATATCGCGAGCATTATCATCGAAATGTGTGAAACTTGCAGACGCCAGCTGAATCCTGCACTTGGGACAGTCTCTAACCAATGGAAAGGTCACCGTGTAAATCACATCGAACATGCAGATCTCGGCTACGTGGGGTTTCTGCAGTGGCTGTAAACTAATGTTGGAGGCCCCCCTCTACACCAAATGCACCCACTGGCAGGAACTAGTCGGGCTGATCATAGCCCTATGGTAGAGCTCGTTATGCGGGATCATAGTTGTGATTGCCAAGTCTCTCTGTCTCTTCATGCTTTTTACTATTGTACACCAATCCCAGCTCAAACCATACCTAGACTGACCTGCTCCTGTCGCTCTTGCCAAACATTCTTCCCCGAACATGAACAGACCATCTTATCGTTATCCCACACCCCAGCACTCCGTGCAATTACTCCCACCAACGTATTACTGTCTTCTCGCTTGAAAGGACCTTCCTTGCTATTTGCAACCACCATACTCCGGCCAATCAGTTCCCAAACTGCCACAGGGCGGTCGAAGAAAACATTGCCGCGGCCTTTTTCGTTTACATCAATCGTACCAAAGATTCCGCGAGGCTCTTTCTGGGGAGCTTCTGCTCCAAAAACCTTTGCCTTCAGCGATTCCCAGACACCGCCCGTGGACGCTGCGCCTTGTGAGATATCTCCCGCTTCACGGATGGTCGCCCAGTACTTTCCTGGTGCTATTCCGTTTATCGTAAGGTCAACGAGGGTAACGTTCGAGGACACCTGGACCATGCGAGCAAGGCCTCGGATCTTATTTGAGACGGCGTTCGAGTGAGTTTCGAGGATGCAGACCGCCGAGTCTGTGCAGGAGATTCATGTTAGTCGCTTTCGCTCCGTAACCTCAAGTCTTCGTCTGGGTCGCAGCGTACTGTTTGTGGATCCACTACCTCGGAGGATCGCATCGCGGCCGGTGTCTTGAATAGCGGAAACAATGGAACTCGGGGGCGCAGTGCCTTCGATAAAGACTAACTGGTCCTTCAGATTCGCATCTATCTTGGTAATACCTACAGGTTGAGGAATATTAGACTAGGGCAAAAGATAGCATGCCATTGCATGACCGGGCCATACCTTCGAGCTTGGAAAGAGACTTCGAGATGTCCTTCACACAGCCCTCGCAGCTCATTGGGACCGAAAAGGTCGTCTGTAGAGATACATAAGCCACCGGATCACTCCAAGTTCTGTTACAGTCAAGCGAGACCAACCTGGAACGGTTCAATCATGGCGGGGGGTTAGGCCGATGCCGGGAGCGAAACAACACAACGTCGGTAGGTTGAGGTTGAAGTATTTATATGTAAAGAAATTGTCGGATATTTTTGCGCGTAATGCAAATATCAGAAGTAAACGAAAGCGCTGGACGGGGAAAATGCGAAAGATCCAAAGAGTGCAGGGCGGGGCCGGTTTGGATTTCAAAGCGCTCCAGCTCGGCCCCGTTTCCATCCCCAGAGGAACGTCATTCCGCCTTCTCCTGGCGCAAAATTGCCCGCTCCTTGTCCCACCCTTGCTCTGGCCATCTCACCATGTCGGCCTCAAAGTCGCGCTGGGCAGATGACGATCCAGAGACAGAAGCGATCATCGCCCAGCAAAAGCGTGAGAAGGAGGAAAAGCGCCGCGCCAAGGCAGAGAAACAACGCCAGCTAGAAGAGTCCCGCAAAGCTCAGGCGGCAGCAAAACACAATGACGCGACACCAAACCCCAGTGGAGACAAAGAACCCCCGATGAAACGGCGGAGACTGTCCAACGAGCCCATGGACGCAGAAGTCGGGCAAGACCAGGAGAAGGTGAAGAAAGAAACAACATTGTTGCGGTTCCCCGTACGAGGATGGGAGACTTGTAGGCATGTGGATAATTTCGAACGATTGAACCACATCGAGGAAGGATCGTATGGATGGGTTTCACGCGCCAAGGATATCACCACCGGCGAGATCGTCGCGCTGAAGAAGTTGAAGCTCGAGAGCTCGCCGGACGGGTTCCCTGTGACAGGTCTGCGGGAAATTCAAACTCTTTTGGAGGCGCGTCATTCGAATGTAGTTTACCTCCGGGAGGTGGTGATGGGGAACAAAATGGATGAGTAAGTTGTGCTGCCCAGCATCCAGTGATGGATTTGGATCAGCCGATGAACAAAGCTAAAGATGCTCTCAAGCGTGTTTTTAGTGATGGATTTCTTCGAACACGACCTTAAAACCCTGCTCGACGAGATGCGCGAGCCATTCCTCCCATCAGAGATCAAAACACTTCTTCAGCAGGTCATGGGCGGCCTCGAATTCCTCCACTCGCAATGGATCATGCACCGCGACCTGAAAACCTCCAACCTCCTAATGAACAACCGCGGTGAAATCAAAATCGCCGACTTTGGCATGGCCCGCTACTACGGCGACCCTCCACCGAAGCTTACCCAATTAGTCGTGACCCTCTGGTACCGATCTCCAGAGCTGCTACTCGGAGCTGAGAAATATGGCCCGGAGATCGATATATGGAGCATTGGCTGTATATTCGGCGAAATGCTCACCAAAGAGCCTCTGCTGCAAGGCAAGAACGAAGTCGACCAGGTCACCAAGATCTTTGCCCTTACCGGCCCACCAAATTCCACGATCTGGCCAGGATTTCGCTCCTTGCCCAATGCCAAATCTCTGAAGATCCCTTCATCCTCCACATCGGCGTCCAGCAACCCGCCTCTCCTGCCTCGCTCAAAATTTCCATTTCTTACTAATGCAGGCCTGGGGCTAATTTCTGATCTGTTGGCGCTGAATCCGGCTTCGCGGCCTACGGCGCGAGAGTGTCTTTCGCATCCCTATTTCCGTGAAGATCCTCGACCAAAGCCCAAGGAAATGTTCCCGACCTTTCCCTCGAAGGCTGGTATGGAAAAACGAAGGCGCCACCATACGCCAGAAGCACCAAAGCGCGGACAGGAGGCGCCAGAGCTGGACTTTGCTAGTGCTTTTGGCTGTGCCCCTGGTGAAGATTCTGGTGTGGCCGGGGCCGGATTTACACTTCGCCTAGGCTAGATGAATTGTGTATAAGACATCCCCACCTGGACGAGGACACTATTTTGGAGCTAGATCTTTCCAATGGAGACAGGTGTAATCAATTCATTAAGTTGGAATTTAAGAATACCGTATTAGCAACGACATCGAGAAACGAAACATGCAGTCCTCGCCTAGGTCTTGCGAATGACCCAAGCCTTCCGTGAATGCAAACGAATAGAACAGGATGAAAAGCCAAAACGACTCCAATAACCCGGTGATCATGATCGCTACATGTCCGGCTGGGCTGACTATCGATGGACACCATCGCTCGACTCACTTCCGTCTCTTTCAGTCATCGACTGTATTATGTTGGAGATCGGCCGCGGGCGCGCCCACAAAGAGGGGGGCCTCGTAGTTTCAGGTCTTCCAGTGGACGACGTACGATCCAGCCCAGGCCCGCTGTGAATGCTGCCATCACCGGTCATGATCACATGGGGATCCTCTACCTTGACGAATTGACCACCTTGGTCAGGATAAATGCCGCTGGTTTTGCCATCCACCATATAGAACTCATCTCGGAGAAAGTTTGAGAACAGAATCTCCTCATCAATAGGAGAGTCCAGAGGCGACCACAAGGCACTGCTGGGCGAGGTCATAGCCCCATACGTAAATTCTGAATCACAGGGTGAGACAGGTGATGTGGCTAGTTGCCAGCTCGTAGTGAATGTGTATGGCTCTCTTGCAGACGGCTGTTGACGAGAGACCAAAGAGAGTCGACTAGGCCGTCTCCAGCTGCCCAAGCCATTTCTGTTGGCAATTTCCTGTTCCAAAATTAGTAATTTATGCGCGGCCGGTAAGTCTCTTCTTACGCTTCTGGGAGATATGTGGAGACCAAATGAATGATTGGACTCTGGACGCTGCACATCTTCCATCGCTGCTGACCGTGCACGCTCAAGGCCCAGTGCTAAGCTCTCGTTCGAGGCTGATGAAGGGTCAGACGCTTCACCAAGTATCGGAGGAGAGAGCCCAAGAACCCGCTGCTCAGGCATCTGCAGCACAGTGATGGGGCTGGGCTCCGGGTGGCGGCTACTATGTATGTCTATGAAAGCCTCAAGTAAATCGCCTGCAGGCCCCTGGCTGGGACTCTGTTCTCGTTTCCATTGGTCCACCAACTCTTGATATAAAGCAGGGAAGGCGATCTTCACTTCAACGGACCTTCCCTCGGAATCCTCGTGTCTACACCGAAGGTCCTCAGATACCGGTAGATTTTCAGGTACCTGCAGATGCTCTTGAGAGACGAATGCCCCGGAGAGTATAACATTGGGATCGCGATAGTGGGGTGTATTGGACGAAATAGTGCTCAATGCTTCCTGCTTTGAAAATGCCAAAGATCCCCTCTCATGGCCGCATGGCAGACCGTCGTATTCGAACAGCTGTTTGTCTCGAGACTTGATCCAAGCTATTTTGTTTTCCTTCCATTGCTCACGATAGACAGAACCATCATCGTACATGGTGATTTCTTGAGGCTCACGCGGTACAGCAGCCTTCTCAGATGTGCGCATGTCGGGTTCAAACCCTTCTATCGTATTATCACTTGGTGCTTTCAGCACCGTCTTCTTTCCGCATTCTGTTGATGAGTCGGAATGAGTTATTTGAATCATCATATTCTCGGGGTTGCAATCGGCTCGATACCCATGATTAGATTCCATCTCCCACACCCGAGAAGCAGTGTTCAAGCGATGGCGATTTCCCCCTGGTATATACTCCGGCGCTTCGTCTGGCCCAAGCAAAGTATAGTTATAACTTCCCAGTTGCTCTGGAGCTGAGACAATGCTTGCCAGCGGGGCGAAAGCAGCTACCCGCATCAAAGCCTCCATGCTAGCCTCGTGGTCAGGATTAGGAAGTGTATTCGTTCGGTAGAGATCCACCCCAAAGGCCAAATCTTCCTCTGTGCTCATACTAGATATTCCTGGCCTCGAGAATTCAGTTTCGTCGCCAGTCGCCCGCGTGCGACTGGAACGGTGGAACCAGCCTGCCGTGATAGCCAGAAGCCCTGATCGAGCCTTGTGTAGCGATCGCAGTGGGAAATTCTGCTCACGCGGTTGTTTCTGCGAGTCCGAGGACGAAGAATGACTCTCACGCTGGTTCCTATCATGCTCCAAGAAAGGATTGTGTCGTGGATCATTTGGATTGAAGATGGGATAGTTGTATCGCTCTAGGCAAGTTGGCGCCACCTCTACCTCCGGTGGATCGATAACTCTAGTTCTTTTAGTGGTCTCTTTCAGAAAAATTTGACATTTTTGTCTCCTCACCTCTGTCTTCTCGCTCGTGAGCGGAGTGATAGACTCAGTGAAAAGGGGACGACGATATCGCGTGATGGGGTGATCTTCGTCCTTGTTCAAATCCATCTTAAGTGGTGGGAAACAAAGGCAGGAACTGTGGTATGTAGAGTGTTGAGAAAATTTGATAAAGAGGGCTTGTATGGTGAAATACACACAATGAATTGTCTTAAAAGAAAGCTGGGCTCAGATGTGCACTGGAACGCGAATGCCCATCGCTCCTTCCAATTTAAGATGGGGAAGGGTCGATTTACAAGATCCCATGTTGTTTAACCCTCATCTATTACAATGACATGTACTATTTGATACAGTGTGACTTCGGGTTTGACTATGTGTAAATCGCCAACCCGGGCGTAGATTGAAGCTTTAAAGGCTGTTGTGAATGTAGATGTATAGATCTACTTAGTACCGCGCCACGGCTCCGACGACTAATCGATCGCGAACGCCCTCCGGCGGGTCCAGCCCCAAACTTCATTTTCTTTCGACATTCCTCCTTCCCTGACTTCTTCCCATGCTTGCCTTCAAGCTTGCTTTGATCAATCGCAAATCTTAGCTTGATTGATTCCTGTTTTTCACCCATGGCGAACAAGCAGGCTAACCTGGCTGTAACCTTCGACGAGATCATCAACGCTGGTAATCACGCTGCCCCCTCCCCCTCATATTTGCTTGTGACTGAATCTAACACGTGTTTCGTCGCATCTAGATCGCCAGAAGAAGAAGAACCAGCAGCTTGCAAGTGAGCTCCTGGGTGGAAAGAACCGCCGAGCCAGTGCACCAGGCCCTGGCGCCATCCAGAAGTCGCAGGATGCCAAACCAGGCAGTCTAGCCAGCCGCATTGGCCCTAGGGTATGCGCCCCTCCAGGGCAACCATTTTTCGAGTCAATTGACCTCAAGGAATCGTCTAATTTTTTGTTTCGTCGCAGCGTTCCGTATCAACCTCCTCGCGTCCCAGGAAAGGCACCCAGGCTCCCGCCACAGTCGCATCCGCCCGGTCACAGCCTACCCAGAACAACAAGAACAAGAACAAGCGCGACCAGCCTCAGAATGCCGAACGTCTCTTCAATGCAATTAAATCTCATATTGCCCAGCCCACTGCGCGCGGCCCTGGCCTCTCCATCAAGGGCGTTGCTGGTCCGTTCTTCGTGATCGGGAGCAACTTCGCGCCGGGAACCACAGCGGCCGACATTCAAGCCTCGCTGGAGCCGGTTACTGGCAGTATGATGAGTTGCCGGGTATTGGCGCACCATCCAACCGTGACTGTAGAGCTTAAGTATGCCGACAAATGGCAAGCTGAAACTGCCGTCGCCAACTTTCATAACCAGAAGGTGAGCATATATCCTCGCATACTTCCCGAGTGAAGCAAGAACTGACAAACCCTAGGCCGACGGTAGAATCCTCTCTTTGGTTTTGACAGACCCCGGTTATGATGAAAATGACTACAACAGTATGCGCGCACAGGCTGATCGCGAACGCATGAACCGTCGAGGCCCTCCTGTACACAATGGAAGCCACGGCTTTCAGAACGGTGGCGATCTCTTGCAGACTAACACATCAGGCCTTTACAGCGATCGGATGACGGTTGACAATCCCCGAAACAATAACCAGCGACGACGCCAAAAGCGCTGATTGCTCATCCCCGGAAACTGCCTGCAAAAACCTCGGTTTCTGCCAGGTGCGATCTAACATGCTGTCCAGGCTTCATTCTGTTTCTTTTTCCTTCGAGTTTAATTCTCATGACATGTACGATAATCAGAAATAACCTGGGTTGCAATTCTCCTGTAATATAACCGAGCAAATAGCTAGCGACCCAGTATGAAATCCTGTGGAACTGTTCCGGTATCTAGATAGATCCGCACCTCTCCACGGAGTAGGATGGGTTTTCTTTGCAACCCATCACTTGTCTCGCAAAGACTTCCAAGCTATAACTAGTGTACTTTCGAGCTCCCTTAAGATACCGATAAGAGATAAGATGATCACGTGCATACTTCCGCGGAGATGAACGGTGGACCGCGTTCGAAGCAAAACTGAGCAACAACACCAATCGCATTTGAGCGGAGATGGATTGACAATTCCACATCATAAACTCTCACAAAACTATATATTATCAGCACTGTGGGTTGTCTCCCAGAATGAATACCACGGCGAGGCGCGCGGCGTCGCACTTCTGGCGCTCTCGCATCCTCAATCTACCAGCCTGCTCCCGTCGGTGGAACTCGACATTCGAGACGAGAAAATGGTCTACGCCATTGGCTCGCACGCTAGCGAGCGCTATGAAGGTTTTCGAAGTCGACCCCAAGATACTACCGCAGCCCTGCTTACAGCGTTGGTCTATAGGTGACCGGACCCATTCCCATCGCAGCTTTTATGCGACAAGTCTTGACCTCCCCCCGAAGGTGGTTACTATACATCCCGGCCAGAAACAGGCGCGGTGTTCGGCAAACATGGTGACTTTGTGACGTCGCCCGAAATCTCGCAGGTATTCGGAGAGTTGATCGGTATCTGGACAATTGCCGAATGGATGTCACAAGGGCGCAACAAGAGTGGTGTCCAGCTGATGGAGGTCGGACCTGGGAAGGGAACACTTATGGATGATATGCTACGGGTCAGTTGACCATGAAAGCCCTGACCTCAGGTGATACGGGCTATATCATCTCGGGTGGACGGGGACAGAGCTAACAAATACGGACAGACATTCCGAAACTTCAAGAGCTTCTCATCAAGTATCGAGGCAATTTATCTTGTCGAAGCAAGCCATACCTTGCGGGAGATGCAGAGGCAGCTCCTGTGCGGTGATTCTCCGATGGAAGAGACGGAGATAGGACATCGCAGTATCTGCAAGTATTTTGACGTGCCAGTCGTTTGGGTGGAAGATATCCGGCTCTTGCCCCACGGTATGTCCAGAATAACGTCAAATCATTGCCCTGTTCCACTTTCGCTTTGCAGCTTCTGACATAGAGATTGATGCCAGAGGAAGGCAAAACACCCTTCATTTTCGCGCATGAGTTTTTCGACGCTCTTCCAATCCATGCCTTTGAGTCCGTCCCACCGCCCCTGAAAACCAAGTATCAGACCTACCACAAGAGATCATGACGCCTACTGGACCTCAAATACTGCACAAGCCCCTTAAAGCGGCGAACACACCCCAATGGCGTGAGCTACTGGTTACACTCAATCCCAAGGCAATCGAGGAGAACGTTGAGGGCGAGCCCGAGTTTCAACTCAGCAGAGCCAAGGCCTCTACGCCATCCTCCCTTGTCATCCCTGAAATTTCAGAACGTTTCCGTGCTCTGAAATCCCAGCCTGGTTCCACCATTGAAGTCAGCCCCGAAAGCAGAATCTATGCTGCCGATTTTGCCCGCCGTATCGGTGGTGATGCTTCTTCAGCCTTGGCTTCCAAGAAAAATTCCACCGCACCACCTCCGCAGAAGAAGACACCTTCCGGTGCAGCTTTGATTATGGACTATGGTACTCAGTCCACCGTCCCGATCAATTCCTGCGGGGTATCCAGCACCACCGAAAGGTGCCCCCGCTCTCAGCACCCGGTCAGGTCGATGTGAGCGCCGATGTAGACTTTACGTCGCTTGCGGAGGCCGCGATTGAAGGGAGTGACGGCGTTGAAGTGCACGGACCTGTTGAGCAAGGGGATTTCCTCAACGCTTTGGGTATCACCGAGCGTATGGAGCAGCTCCTGCGCAAGGCTGGAGATGAAGAGAAGAGGAAAACCTTGGAGACGGGATGGAAGCGGCTGGTTGAGAAAACCGGTGGCTCGACGGGGGCAAATCTACAAGGTCATGGCGATTGTGCCCGAGAACAGCGGCCGTCGTCGACCTGTTGGGTTTGGAGGAAGTGTCCAAATGTAAAAGAAAAGAAAAAAACTACTGTACATATAATGATCGTCGTGTAAGAATACTATCCATGGCCATCCTGGCCATGCAGCATCATCAACATAGTAAAGATGTCCCATTGCTTGTCTAAAATGCTGCGCAGCTAGCTTAAGAACACACTGTATGGAAATCAACGCTCGTGGTATCTCATCGCCACATATGAACCGAAACGCCGAGATAACAATGCAGACGAAGCCCCGGACCATCGGCAAGCTACTCCTGCCAGATGTCCTGCACGTAGGCCTCGGTCAACTCGGCATCCTTCCCATACTTCACCTGCCATTCAACAAACCCGCCTTCCAAGACTTGGATTTGCTGCTTGCTGCTCGCCTCTGGGCCATAGGCGCTCTCCCGCTCGCGAGCGTATCGTAGAGCTGCCCGGGGACCCCGCTGCTGGCTCAAAGCGCAGTGGAAGACAACCAGCTCCGTGTCCTTGAGGATGCGAACAAGCTCTGGCATGCGGACATCGAAGGAACTGGCGGGGACCCAGGTAGAGGTGCGGATGTGGCCACCGATGTGGTCTGGGGGGGATACATGAGTATTCAGGTCGAATTATGCACATAAGAGGAATCTGAAGCAAGTCCCTGCGGTTTGTTTGCCATACCTGAGTCACGAACGTCAATAATGGCCAGTTGAGCCTGGGTAGCCCCCCCTCGAAGCAGGGCCGCTAGGGTGTCGCGGCTAATGCGGGGTAGGGTGGCAACGGTGAGGGCTGACATATTCGCTGGAGAGCGAGACGGTCCAGTTGGGTTGGATTTAAGGAAGCGAAAGTCAATGCAGAAGGGGGAAGTCACTGAGTGTCTTGTTGGGAGTCAATCGTTGATGTTCCGACCGGGCAGAAATTTCTGACGCTAATCATCTCTCTTTGTAATTTTTCGTTGTCTGAACCCTACGTGCATACCTGTTGCATATGCCAGAGTTCGTCTCATGGGGACAATCCTATAGTTCGAGTCAATTCTGAATACGGTTATCGAGCGAAGAATTAGAGTTAAGGACCCTAGTTATCGTGGGACTACCAGCAGTCCAGTAGTGACCCCTGGACGATGGTATAGGGTTGTCTCCCGAGAAACATTTTAATACTCTAGTATAAATACTCTTCTCAGCACAAATGACTCAATCATTGTAAGTTGGGATGAATTGGGAGACAGATTATAGTGGTTACTAGGTGCTAGTACTCCTTTCAACTTAGCTGACCGGTGTAGTTGCCCCGAAATGATCTGCGTCGCTCGCAAAATGGATTCTGCGAACGAATTCGACCACCAGCTCCTTGCGTTTCTCGCTCACCTCCAAGATAAGGACAGCAAGTTACACCTGTGTTGCAGACTTGGTAGACACATCGATTCCCTCCTCATTAATGGTATCCAAGAATAGGGAAAAGCTGTTACCAGTGTAGATTATAATATATAATTCGACTCTTCCACAGAAAATACAATTTGTGTGGTATAACTCAGCACCTATGCATGTATAATAGGACCCTTATCCAGTAAAGACAAAGACGATGAGGATATGTTATAAAGAAAAGGAGTCACTACTGCATTCAATCTGGGACTCAAGCTTTGAAATGGCCTCTTTTATCATTAATGCAGTCAGCACAAACCTAATAGGATAGTGTATCCTTCTTGCTGTAGTTACTATCAGCTAATAGTGTCACGGGCCAGGGCCCGGTGTTGATCACGTAGGACACGTGGCCTTGGTATACTAGTAACGGGGAACTGGCGCATTGAACTCCTTTCCTTAAGTTTATCGACCACAGTTCGAGGCCTAGTATAGATTGAATCAAGTCTTGCTTTAGTCCTTCACAATTTCTGTAGATTTCCTCAGGTAGATAGCAGAACAATTTCTGATTTTGGCATCGAGTTCCGATAAAAAGAATGAAAACAAAAATTGGCCTTCACCTTTTCCAAAACTTAGGTACTCACCGCATATATGAGATGAAGTGCTATATGTCGCAGCACCACCTGTGTGGACGGGGATTACTAACAGTAGATGATTTTGCCCTCGATTTACTCTCTACGATATAATGGTCACTTTCACCAACTAAAGCATGGACGCTTTATACAATCCATTTATAACACTCTTTATGCTACTTATGTAGACTGTCAACCTATGTGGGCCAATATGAAATCAAAGTATAGAGGTTTCCCTAGAGCTGTTTCTACTTTAAATTGATAATTTACTGCGTATATCAACTTTTGCCCCAGTGTTGTGAAACATGAACGGAGGAGTGGGTCCAAAGGACGCTCCCAGGAACCGTAACCAATTGCTCCTGGGAAAGACACGATGCTCCCAGAAGGTAACTACAGCAAACTAAACCAGGCAACAACAGAAGTCATATGAAATTGGACCAGGCTAACGCTCAGTGACCAAGACCCTGATTGGCCCCATTACCAATGCGGTCTAGTACGATCTACGTGGGGTGCTCGGAAGAAAGTGCGCGGCTGATCTGCTGTAGTGGAGAGCACTGAGGCAGCTGATGTAGATCTTGGCTCTCAACTTCAAATCCCCTGTCTCATAACCCCCGCACCAATCTTATCAGCGGCTGGCCTGGAGTGGAGCCTCACACACATAGCCTGTGTCCTGGTCCCTACGACGGGATTGACGCAGATCGTAGGCCTAAAGTAGGCAAGACCGTCACGTCCTTTCCATGGCTCACATCCCTGTGGGATCACGGGGTTTGGAGCTTAGGCCGTTTGGTGGCCAAGACGGGGGACATGGAGGTGGAGATGGCGGTGGACGAGGATCGGGGCGAAGGTGGTAGTAGTGCGCTGGGGGGGTGGGGGTTTGCATGATGTTGTTCTAAGTCCGGGAATGGGTCTGGCCGGTCGTGGAGTTACTCTAGGAATGCACACTATCCATTCTCTCTGACTTGAAAGTGGAGGAAGGGTCATAAGATATCGTTTGAAGTCAAATGAAGCAGCCAAACACTGCACGGTAGACTACCTTATCGGCATGGATTTGATTATCTATTTGAGGTCGATATTTTTTATAGCATCCCGAACGCAAATCGCCTCAATGAACGCCTCCCAATCTTCCTCAATGATGCGTTCGCATTGCCTTTTACGGAAGCCAAACATTGTATAGTTGCTTTGACCCTTCACACGGTCTGCGTGTCGACTGTGGGCTGTGTTCCATCAAAGGTTCCTGATCGAGTCCACATCCGTTGCTGAAGGACTGTGTTTAGATTGCGCAGTGGAACAGAGCTGGTCGAGATTCCGTTGGCGTATGTTGCGCATATACGCCCTCTGATCCAGGGACATTTCCGGACGCCGAGGAGGCGGAGGATCTAGCATCTGTCGGATCCCACAGTATACCATGACCGACACACACATGCCGAGAATAAAAAGTCCGACGACTAAGCTTCCGTGACCCTCGTTGTTGTTCGCATCGGTTGTCATCGTGGTTGGCTGTGTTGGGAAGTGGTTTATCGGCCACTAATAAAAGCGAAAATCGTGTCGATGGGCTGAGACAGCGCTAGTATTGGTATACTGTATAAGTGTAGACAAACGGTGTTGCCCCCTTTTTTGTAGAACAGTAGATATAGATGAGGATGATCGCCTAGGAAAGGCAAGACCAAGTATATAAATGAACCAGTATAGCTGTTGTGTCGGTAATAAGCGAAGTCAATCGAATGAAGAATGCCCCACGGGTGGGTAGTTTCTTTCAATTAAGATTGAATGCTGTGTGCTCATACGACCAACCCGGTGCAGTTTATGAGAAAGATGCTAAGTATAACCCTTTTATATTCATCTAATTACGTCCGGTTCCTTTTTTAGTATCGACCCATTCCCTTAGCTTGATGTATTCGAATATCTATAGGGTAATATGGATCAAGAGGCGCTGAAACTCGCTCAACCCTCGTTCTTCGGCCCAATGTGTTTGGCCTAGAACTATGCAACTCCCATGGCCGACTTACCTGAAAAGGTGATTGACGTCAGGACCCGAGCGAGAGAAGCTACGGAAGGGCTTTAGTAAGGTATTAATTATGGGGCGGCTTACTGCGCTTGCCGAACGTGGTCTAGGCTAAACGGCAGCTGGAGCGGTGGGAGAATCCATACGAACTTCAAGCATAACTCATCAGTATTCCGTGATGGTACCGTGAGTTGTCGGTTGGTTGGCATCAAGGTATATCGACGGAAAAGCCACAGTAGCCAACATAAATTGCCAAACCGCACGGATAGCCTGTAAGCCGTTTCAAACGGACATCTCTCCCTGGCTGTCTGAATGCAGTCAATAACGACAGCTAGAAGTTCATGGGAAGAAAGCGTTCCACCAGTTCAACCTTCCCTGTGCCTGGGTCTTTCTGATTCTTGGTAAATCTCAGGATGACCGGATTCTGCATACGCTGGGACATGGCCACCGGGACACTTCCATATGCTTGAAAGATCCCAAATTCATGCACACGGTGGCCTTCCGGGATGAACTGCCTTTTAGCCACTGTCACTTTATTTGATGATCTGTCCAGGCTGTTGTTATCAATCTCCACAAGCTCTGCCAAAGAAGGCACACTTCCTATGGCGGGTAGAGCCCCACGAGTGCTGCTGTCCGGCTCTTCCATATTTTCCGGAGCTGTAATGTCATTTATCGTAGGTTGAAGCGGCGGGCGTTTCCTCATGCCTTGTACAGAGCCTTCTTCTATCCGAATGATCATCTCCGCAAGTGTAGCCCACGACATAGATTTGAACATGCTTTGAACTTTTGGTGTCTGTCGAAGCAGCTCTAATGACGTCCGTCGCAGTATCTGATCTCGACATTTCACAGCAGTGAAAAACAGCGGCAGGCCAACGTCGGCTTCGAAAGTAAAACCCGGTTGCGCATTATTCCGTTCCACCGGTGCGTGCGTCGCAGCTGCTGCGTGCTCGACGATCAGTCGAAACTGGCCTATGTGCTCATCGTACGCAGTCTCTTGTTCTGCGAAACAGGTGGAGATCATGATGGATGCAGCGGAGCGAATGCTCAGTAACACTGGTATTGCTCTCCGATCCGGCGAATACAGCTGGGGGTGGCCTTCCGCGCTCCGGAGGAAGGCAAATGCATAGTCCCACTCGTCCAGTTGACGGGCCAGGGCGTGCTGCTGTACGGTCAAATCGAACGTTGTGCTAGACACTTTGTGACCACTGCGGTAATGTCGGGCCCCCAAACATCGGAGGATGTGGGCCTCTGCAATCAACTTGAGAATCGCCGTCTGGGCGGCTTCAAAAGACAAGGCCCGGGATTGCTAGGAGTTGCTAAAAGGTCCGACAAACCCTCCGGTGAACAATTGGTTGTTATAAAAATGGCCGCCCCAAGACGGACGAGCAGCGGCATCATCATGTCTTTTGCAGCTAATGTTGTTTCTGAGAGACTTGGGCTCTGTTGCTGCCAAGAGATAATCAGCTGCACGGCTTGTCCATATAGCCGGAGAGCCTTGGCTACATCGCCTTGTAGCATTTCAGTGCAGGTATACAGTATACAAGAGATGAGTGCGATCTGCGGATGTACTTTGTTCCGTGCCAGTTGCGATCGGATGTTTTCCACCGAGCGCAGATACCACAAGAAGGCTTCTCGAGGCCTTCGCGCTGATAGCACAGCTTCCGTGACCATGGGAGGCCCAATGAAAGGATCGAGGTTCTCGTACAGAGCACTAATGGCGATGATTGCGTCCCAAATGGCGGGTTCCGATCGACAGGCTTTCAGGACCGCGCCTGTCCAAAATGTGCAACTGATGCTCCCCGCTATCGCAGGGCCTACACGCTGGCAGTAATATTCGAAAGCACGTTGCTCGCGAGAGGCATAAGTCACAATGTCGGATAGTGGCTGACTGTGCCATATCGAATGCGTGCGCGGAGGCGCGCTGCGCCGACTTCGACCATCGAGCTCATACGAACACTTCCGACCGGTGCTTTGACAGCGCCTGCAGCATGGTTTTGTTTCGTCACATTTGATCTTGCGAATTCTGCATTGGACAACAAGCATAGTCAGTCAATCACTACTTTGTGTCGAATGCTTAGAGGAAAGGAGAGAGGGAACTCTACGATACTTGCAAATCGTGCACCCAGTGCGCGTCTTTAGTTTCGCCGCTGAACCGACGGTCTGGTAGTATGCAAAAGTATCCATAGTCTCGAACGCCTTCGACCTGGGACTGTCGAAGTCGAGGAATCAATATATGTTTGGTGAGTGGCCATCTTGATGATGGAGGGGATTGAAATGGACCGGCCCATTGCGCTAGTCCCCATACGTCCATCTAATATTAACTAATTAACTTAGAAATTATCCCTGGGACCCTAGCGTGAAACTACATATAGCTAGCCTATATGCAGGGGCCAGCTCGCAAGCTTACACAGTAAGGTTCTTTCAAGACGTAATTATATAAATGGTAAGTTACATGTACGAAAGCATAGAGTCGTCAATAACTGATAGCTCATTCGATAAAAAAGGTAATTAACATGCTAGCAATCCCATATATTGTAGTAATTTATCTTTTGTTAACTGGTATGTTCGCTTTCCAGGGCGGTAATTCCTTGCCGCCTGCATTCATCAATGGCTGTCCCTTTCCTGAACGCGGCAAGCGCTCGCAAGTAAATCAGCGACGGTGTAAATAATTGGATGGCAAATAGCACTCACTCAATATTCCTATGTAGCCCTTTGACCGTAGAACTCCGCTAGTTCCTGTTTGGATCACCGAATCGAAAATAGCAAAACTAACTTGAAGGGGGAATTCATAGGTCCTTTTACACCCGCTTCTCTCCGTAAGCCCTCCTTTACGATCAGAGGTGGCAAATGTGAGAGTGATTACAAACAATGCTAAAGCATTCCTAAGAATGATTTTCCCCTCAAACCCTATGTACCATCGAAGTGTAGTAACACGTCATCGACAGCTGATAGATTAATGCTTTGACGTTTCGTGAAGATTGCAACGAGCAGAACCACAGACTCTCCATATAGATGAACTGCTGGTATACCAAATGGCGTTTGAGTCTCACGGCATACTTTCAATGAAGGGTATAGTAGTTTGTACAGGACAAGGCACAGTTGACAAAGATGATATTTCCTATGACCCCCGCTGAGATAGCCGCTGTTTTTTCAGCGTCGTGCTCCAGTACACCTGTATAGAACCTTTAGTCCTACCGGGGAACTTCTGGTGGAATCGCTTGATCACTTCCGACCAGGAAAGGGACTCTTCTTCCCTAAGCTGCACCAGAAGGCGACTCTCTTCTAACGACCAACGCAGTCCTTTTGTTGAGGAAGTAGGTTTTCCGTGGACAACTTGGTAGCCTTCGCTTAATTGGTCAGCTGACGAAGCTGTGACTGCTTCCTCACTGATGGTTCCGTTCGAGACTAGTGCGGGATTCGACGAGGGGTGCATATGGCAGCACTGAGACAGAGCACCCTCAAATAGCCAGGACAAAAACTCTAGCCGCTCTTAGATTGGTAGCGAAGAGAATTGATCCCGAAAGACCGAAAACGACACTCTGATGGGGCTATTTGCTTTGGTCATCTGGGCGGGTTTGTTTATACGGCGGTTGTCTGCGACGACAGCTACCTCGCCGATTCTGGCGAGGTAGCACCTTACGAGAAATCAAAGTTTTTGGGTTCTGGGGGGGGAGTATGGTCGTGGCACTTGAGGGCGCACAGCAGTTGAGCCAAGCAAGACAGCGCGCCCCCTTCGCCTTCTGCGATAACAAGACTGATTGTTTAGGAGCAGCCCTCAGTTGATCGACGATCTCCGCCCTAAAACAGACCCCGTGGGTCATCCCGCAAGCTTCCGTGGTTCCTACAACATCTAAAAAGTTGCATATGAAATGATGATTTTATAACACAACCAATCTTCCCTTGAATATGGCTTCTTCAATAGTAGAAACTACCCCGGCGAGGCGTACAACATGACCGTTCTTGCAGGCGATGCTGAAGAAAGTCGATTCAGGGGCCGTACAGCTCGCGCTCGACTAACGACCCAAGAACGCAATGCTGATCAGTCCGCGGGCCCCAGCCAACCAACTGAAGAAAGTGACCATATGGAAGGGGTCAAGTTCTGGCTTCTGATGCTCACACTAGCGGGGGTTCTCGTCCTTTCCAGCATAGACATGAATATTATCGCTACAGCAGTGCCCAGCATCACAGACCACTTTCACACCGTGGCAGACGTAGGCTGGTACTCCTCTGCTTTCAGACTTTGCCAGTGCTCGTTCCAATTCGCATTTGGAAAGGCATACAAGCTTTTCTCCATCAAGCGCATCTTCTTGCTTGCAAATGTCGTCTCGATAGGAGGATCACTGGTTTGCGGTGCGGCTAACACATCGCGCATGCTTATCGCGGGCAGGGCCGTGGCTGGGGTGGGCTCGGCTGGTCTCATATCGGGGTGCTTTGTGATCCTGGTGAGGACGACACCGCTGCGGCGACGACCTATGTTTACTGGCATGATGGGTGCTGTGGAAGGAGTCTCTACGCTCGCTGCACCACTTCTCGGCGGCGTCCTCGTGCAGTCTCTTGGCTGGCGATGGTGCTTTTACATAAATGCGCCCACCGGGGCTATCACTCTGCTTCTCACATTTTTCTGCTTGCCAGATCTGTCGAAGTCCCAGGACGTTGTCAACATGGGAGTGAAGGAGAAGCTGTCACAGCTTGACTTGCTTAGCAACACTCTTCTCATCCCGGCCTTGACTGCTCTCTTCATCGCGTTTTCATGGGCAGGGACTAAATATCCATGGAATACTGCACCTGTGATAGTGCCTCTTGTGGCGTTTGCTTTTCTCATGGCTGCCTTCATATACAATCAGGTCCGCCGAGGCGCTGCTGCTACACTGCCTCCCCATATCATGAGACGTCGAAGTGTTCTCGCGGGATTTATTTTTGTCGTAGCCAGCAACAGCACTGGCAATGTCCTGGAATACTACTTGCCTACATATTACCAAGTGGTCCGTGGATATTCGCCGGCTGAAAGCGGCTACATGATGCTGCCTTTTGTCATTGCTGCTACTGTCGGGGCTCTAATGCATGGCTTTGGTACAAGCATTTTTGGCTATTACACACCGTTCATGCTTTTTGGCTCCGTAATGATGCCCATTGCAGCGGGTCTGATGACTACGGTGAAAGCCAACACTACTCTTACACAAGTGATTGTGTACACGACGCTCTCTGGCCTCGGCTACGGAATCGGGTTCTCAGGGCCACAGAATGCAGTGCAAACAGTGCTTCCCACAGAGGACATACCAATCGGTACCTCAATCTTGCTATTTGCTCAGGCATTTGGTCCTGCAGTGACTATTGCGATCGCGCAGGTCTTATTCATCGAGCAGCTAGTAGCCAATCTGAGTGACCTAGTGCCTGGGCTGAGCGGGGCGAATATCGAGAATTTAGGCCTCAATCAACTCATGGAAAATGTTACACCACCTAATTCTGAGGCAGCCTCCTCCGCGATCGATACGAGTCTCACTCACACCTGGTATTTGGCGATTGGGCTGGCTTGCATGACTATGGTGGGCAGTTTGTTGATAGAATGGAAGTCTGTCAAGTCAAGACGGGACTAGCAGCCTGGCCGATTATAGCCAGAATAATCGACTCTTATTAGTGGCTCCAAAGTTGACGAAACTCCACACAGAAAAGAAATATCCCTTGGGATTTTAGTACAGAATTGCTTTAATAGTATGGTTCGTATTTCTGCCTCAGGCTGCAGATAAGTAAGCAAACTCCGGCCGACGCTGATTTTCCGCTGCCGCAGCGTTCACTCCAACCTCAAGAAATCTCCAGCGTCTCCCTTGATCAGCAGCCCTCAGGATTTACCAATCAGGTCACGTTCACCCGGTCCTGCTGCATTGATCACCATCATAGGCTATGGAAGCCCGCTACTTAGCCAGGGGCCTCCGCGCCCGGCCAACCCCATGGCTCTTCGCCGCGCGCCAACAAACTGCCATCCAGCAATCCTTCCTCAATACACTCCGCTACAACTCCTCAAATAACTCTCCTAAACTACCGCAATCCACAGAAGCTCCAGCAGCCGCGGCAGCAACCCCATCACAACCGCCAGCCGCAAATGGCCGTCAGAGTGTCGCCTCCGACTTCGACGACATCCTCAATAAACTCGACCTGGGCAGCCCGTCCCAGTCCAGCACACAGGCGACTGCGCCACGCGCCAATCCCAGTTCCGTTCGCCCCGTGAAACCTGCCCAGCCCAGCCCTATCGGCGCGGAGTTGAAGCTCGGTCCCACTCTCGGTCGTCAAGTCTACGTTGAGCCTGAGCGTGGAATGGACCTCCCTGCTGCAATTCGTAACTTGCAACAAACCTGTATCTCCAATGGCGTGAAGATGCAGTCGAATAAGCAGAAGTTCCATGTGCGGAAGGGTATGGTGCGGAAGGAGCTTCGCAGGACTCGGTGGCGGAAGCTGTTCAAGTTCTCCTTCAAGGCTACTGTGAAGAAGATTCAGCGCATGCAAGCCCAGGGTTGGTAAGCAGGGTTGTTGGTCTGCGGGGTGGTCTGTACATAATAGACTTGATTGGGGATGGATTCTAGACTTTTTGAGCAAAGTCTAGCGGCCAAAACGAGGTGGCCCTCTTTTTCTTTTGTTGTGTTAAAACATGTATACTACGTTCGAATCTGGGATACGAATCTTGGATCTACATTTGCATTGGAAACTAATGGAATGCATAAATCTTCATCAAATTTCAGAGCCGTATATCCCATTTTTTTTTCCCCCAAATGGCGTCCGTCCTTCGCAATATGAAGTGCACTGTACATCTAAAAACCGTACATAAACATTAACAAATCCCAATCTCCCTTGCCATGGTATATGCATCAATCTCTTTTCCCGGTGGGAAATCCGCCATATCCACCACCACCGTTCGTTCCAGCGCCATTCGCCGCCGAATATCCTCCGTACCCATTAATGCGACCCCCGTTCCCAAAAGTAACCCCCGACCCCTTCCCAACAGCAGGAGGCACCCCCAAAATGCCATCACCCTTCCAAGCAGACCGACCATGCCACCGGTTCCCGCTCTTCTCCCAATAAAGCGCCGCCAGCGCCCCCCACAGACGCAGCCATAGCAAAGAAAGCCAACTTCGAGAAAATCGACCAGACCGAACTGCCTTCTTTCGCCTTCACCACCTCCCCAAAGCCTAGGAAATCCGATCCCGCAGGCCGATCCGGCCACCCGATCCCCGCGCCGCCCTCAACCCACGAAACGTGGAACGAGAACGTCAACGGTTCCCCGCGAACCACCTTCGTCCCGTGCCCGGACGTCCATGGTTCTCTCGCCGCCTGCGCAAGCGTGACAGCCGCCTCGTCCAGGTCCAGCTTGAGGTTCGCGGCCGTAGACTCGAACTCCGGCGTCGAGTACGCGGTGCCTGCGACGGCGAAGCCGGGCTGGCCGGACTGGAAGCCTGGTTTGACGGATTGGGCGGCGGCGTCGGAGGCCATGTTGTGCATGAGCATGTTCATGTCTGTCCAGATGTGCAGATGGCTTAGTTGGAGGGTGCCCTGGAGGGCGATGGTGAGGGGGGGTGAAGGGGGGACCGTGTTCGCTCAGCGAGTCAGTCTCGCTGGCGCCGGTTTCGGCGTCGAATTTGGAGGCGTGGTTCTCGCTGCTGGAGGTGAGGGGGGTTGTAGGGATTCGGCAGGTCATGGGGACGTCGGAGTGGACGTAGAATTCGAGGAGGTGGTAGAGGCTATCGGAGAGGGAGGGGATTGTGCAGTTGATGGTTTCGGAGATGCCGTAGTGCAGGGATAGAGGGCTGGAGGTTTCGTTGCAGGTTACGAAGGGCGTATATTGGAGTCTTCCCATGCTATCTGTGATCTGTGTTTCATGGGGTCTCTATGGTTAGTGGGCTTGTTTGGATGCGTTGTTTAAGGGGGGTGGGTTGGTCTGTACATGTTCGCCATCCCTACGATTGAAGGTATTGGTTAGTGAATTGAGGCTGAACAGGGTAGTTCGTGGACAAACTCACTCAGTTCGACTCAAGCACGATACTGGGATCTTCTCTCCTATGCTATAGCCATCCCCGCGGTTGCTAGATCTGTCCGCGAGTGCTCCGGCCGGCCATAGCGCTGCTGCGAAGGATAGCGCTACTGTGGCAGTGAATCGAGTCAATTGCCCAGCGGTAGACATTTTCCAAATGTGCAGAGAATGTACAAAAAGGGACAAACGAAGCCACCTCGCAATAGGCGACTTGGTCGAAGGGGGGCGCGCGCGGAGGAGAGGGTTCAGGCTGCGGAGTTAAAGTTTGGTCTAGCTGTCCATATCAACGCTGCCGCTAATTTACAATCCAACCCTATCGCGTGGCAACTTTCAGATCTGGTCCAACATTGATAAAACATCCAATGATTTCGAGCTTACATGTTGAAAAGGCTACCAAATTAAAACTCAACTTTACACAGTGAACACACACGATCTAGAAGGCATAGAGGTGGATTATTGATTATTTTTTTTTCTTTTCTTTTCTTTTTTTCAAGATAGGAAATGGCTCGCCTGAAACAATCATTGCTCGTCAAATCCGCTTCGTTGACCAAGGTCCTCGATATGCGGTAGGAAAGAAATTTATGCCAAGTTAGCCTTGGCCTTGAAGGCAAGCAGCAGCCCGCTGGTGGAGCTGTCGTGACCACCCCCCCGCGCCTTCGGTCTCGAGCTCCTTCTGGATCTTCTTGGCCAAGACCTTGCCCAGCTCGACACCCCACTGGTCAAAGGAATTGATGTTCCAGACAGCACCCTCGGTGAAAGTGAGGTGCTCGTAGTAGGCGATCAGAGCACCCAGAGTAGCGGGGGTGATCTTCTGGGCGAGAATGGAGGTGGTAGGGCGGTTACCCAAGAAAGTCTTGTGAGAAACCAGGTTCTCGGGAGCTCCCTCGGCGCGAACCTCGTCGGGGGTCTTGCCAACCATCAGGGCCTCGGACTGGGCGAGGAAGTTGGAAGCCAGCATGCGCTGGTGCTTGCCACCCTCGATGGGATTGTGTGACTCGGCAGCCATGAGGAAGTCCGAGGGGATGAGCTTGGTGCCCTGGTGCAGCAGCTGGAAGAAGCTGTGCTGGGCGTTGGTGGCAGGCTCACCGAACAGGATGGGCCCAGTAGTGTACTTCACGTAGTCGCCGCTGCGGGTAATGGCCTTGCCGTTGCTCTCCATGGACAGCTGCTGCAGGTAGGCGGGGAAACGGTGAAGGTACTGGTCGAAGGGAGCGACCAAGTGAGTTTGGGCACCGAAGAAATCGCTGTACCAAACACTCAAAAGACCACCAAGGACCGGGATGTTCTTCTCGAGAGGAGTCTCTCGGAAGTGCTTGTCCATGGCATGGGCACCAGCAAGGAACTGGTGGAAGTTGTCGAAGCCAATGTACAGAGCGACAGAGAGGCCGATGGCACTCCAGACGGAGTAACGACCGCCAACCCAAGACGCGAAGCCGAACATGTTCCGCTTGTCAATGCCGAACTTGGTGACCTCGGCCTCGTTGGTGGAGAGAGCCACGAAGTGCTTAGCAATGTGGGACTCATCCTTAGCAGCCTCGAGGAACCATGCCTTGGCAGAGTTGGCGTTGGTGGTGGTTTCGGCGGTGGTGAAGGTCTTGGAGGCAATGAGGAACAGGGTAGTCTCCGGGTCGGAGTCCTTGAGGGCCTCAGCAATGTGAGTGCCGTCGATGTTGGAAACGAAGTGGAGCTTCAGATCGGGGTGGCCGTAAGGCTTAAGAGCCTCGGTAACCATGACAGGGCCGCTAACAAAACATCATATGGTCAGTTCCAAGCTAAACTCTTGAGGTATTGATGTCGCAAAACCTTTTGCAAAAGGTAACAGACAAGAAACACTTACAGGTCGGAACCACCAATACCAATGTTGATGATGGTCTTGATCTTCTTGCCGCTGTAACCTTTCCATTCACCGCTGCGCACCTGCTCCGAGAATTCCTTCATGTGCTCTAGAACGGAGTTGACATCCTCCACGACGCTCTTTCCGTCGACTTGCATGGGCTCGTTCGTGACGTTGCGCAGAGCAGCGTGGTAGACAGCACGGTCTTCGGTAAAGTTGATATGGTCACCACGGAACATAGCATCACGGAGCCCCTCGACATTGGCCTCCTTAGCCAGCTTCACCAACAGCTGGAGGGTCTCCTCAGTCAGGAAGTTCTTGGAGAAGTCGAAAAGAATGTCTTTGCCATCGACGGTGTTGGTGAAAGTGTGGCTGAACTTTTGGAAGCGTTGGGGGTCCTTCTGGAAGTATTCCTTCAGGACAATGTTACGACCTAGAGTCTGGTGGTGCTCCTGGAGCTCCTTCCAGGCATTCAGGTCAGAGGCCTGCGCGAAACCAGGCATTGTGAATGATGTATAGAGCTATTTGGGGAACGGTCGGGTTAGCGCGGGGTCACCGGAAGTACTTGTAGGGCGCGAGATTCGCAAGGTTCGCACGAGCTCGAGGGTGTAGGCCAGTATGACTTACGTAGGACAAAGAAACAGGGTATGCCAGAGGAACAAAAGCGATGATGAAGGAAGTTTGAAATATCTCCGGTCAAGACAACCGGCGCGCTGGGGTCCGGATGGAGGGGCGCCGTGGGCAGGCCGACATCATCATTGCCGCATTTGGGGCTGGCTTTTGTTGCTAACCTGCCTTCCTCGTGGTTTCGGCAGCCCCTCTCAATAGCTAATGCCCAGATCCCTCCAAATTGAGAATGCCTTGGGCAGCTGACCATTGGATAAAATTTCGTGTTCCCCTGGCTTTCGCTAGACCCTCTATCGATCATTACTTGTATGCGTGTATCGCTGGCCCGGAAAAACGGGTTTAAATCAATTTTCCATAAGGTTCGCGGCAGCTGCTAGTATATTCCAACCCTGCCTCCGGGGATCCGGGGGAACCGAGGGAACCGGGAGAAGGGGCAAGCTGATGCGTGTCATTGCTTTGAGATACATAGCCATGTATCTAGGTACAATATACAGTACAGGACTGACTGCAGGAGCTAGAACGGCAGAATTCGTCATATACTAGATTATCTTCAAAGCCCCCCTCCAATGGTGAGATACATATCGAACTAGCCCTCTATCTAGAAGCAAAATAGTACGCTTTACATATATACGATTGCGTTGACCCATAATTGTTTTATGCTGCCGGTAAGTGATCTGCTGACTCGTGCATTGAAATTACTCTACATGGTTGATCTATTTGGTATGATTACACCTTCCAAACGTGGGGGCTTCCTTCGCTATTGTTTAGTGCTTTCTATGGAAAGCACCGGACTTGACAGGAGGAGTCATGATCAAGTGCATACTTTTATTGCAGCTTTCAATATACTAGGAGGAATTCAAATTTCAACCTTTAATTACTCGTCCCTTCAATTTACTCTCGAATAGGCCTCAATTATCCTGAATTGAATATTATCATACGAGGGTACTCTTAACAGAACTAATTATACCAAATCTAAGCAAGTGTTTGGTTACCAGTGCTAGTACTGGTATTTATTTTACAGAATTAAATGTATAATTTGGAGAACGTGGTCTTTCTTGTGAGACTACTCACTGTCCACGAATGATCATGTATACCAAGTAGTGGCATTCTGATTGTTTACCTATGAGAGATCTGGCTATCACGAATTTCATTTCTACAAGCTGGAAGGCTCAAGCTATTTGATGGTTGGAATTGTGAATTCGTTGGGGATAGATACATATATTGGGGGGAGGGGAAAAACTATCGTAAAGGCCATTTTAAGACTGTGAACCAGTGTATAGGACAATCAAGAATCGACGAATAACAAATAGCTTTGGAAGACTAGCAAAGTAACCACAGGGCGGTATAGCCTTGCTAATGATCTTATTGCCTCGTGGGATCCAAGGCGGTGAGGGTGATCTGCCCGGCGGTGAAGATAAAACTAATCTATCTTGCTTTCTCTACAAGGAAACACAGCAGCTTCAACTGTCGGGGTTTACGCGTCAGCATCATGTACCCGTACCACCAAGGTGAGTTCTATCACAGCAATTATGCAATGCCATCTTCTATCATCCAAGCTCACAAGCGTACAGCTCCAGGAACTTACGGCCAACCGCCAGCTTATGGCGCATATGCTGGTGCTCCAGCCGTGGGTGAGTCTTGAATCGATTGTCCTCCTATTCAAAGAAGCAGCTCTTACAAACAGCTCCAGCCCTGCCTCCTGGGATGGCTCCCCCCCGGTGCACCCGTCCCCGCCATGCAGCAAGCGAATGCTGCGCGTCCAGCCTTCCCCCAAAACTTCCAACCGGGCAATATGCCTAACATCAACTTCTCCGCCCCCGTGATTCGCCTCGGGACATCGGGCCCCGCACGGCCTGCTGGCCCCGAACACGGACATGGCCGCGATCGTGTCAATGACGGCCACGGACACGGTCGTCGCAGCGGCCTTGGCTCGCACACGCATTCTGAAGCACCTCGTCATCAAACCCGCGAGTCTTTGGCGCAGTTCCAGCCCCAAACTCGAGATGAGCTTGTGCGCACCCTTTTTGTAGGGGGCATTACTGAGGGTGTCGGTGGCGACGATGGCATTGAGCAAATTCTCGCGTCTGCTGGTAGGCTTCGCCGCTGGATCCGGCCTACGGATGCCGACGACAAGCCCTGCCGATTTGGCTTTGCCGAATTTCAAGACACCGAAAGCCTGGAAGTCGCCGTTGAGCTGTTCAGGGATGTCCAAGTCCCCTTGAAGAAACAGACGGTCAAATCAGAGACCAAGGTCGAACCCGACATCAAGGTTGAACCCGACATCAAGATAGAAGAGTCTGACGCCAAGGAGTCTGAGACCAAGGAAGAAGTGGAGACGAGCAAGCTTTTGGTTTGTCTACTCCCCCGACCCATGTTCTTCCAAAGCTATTAACACGTCTTTCTAGGTTGTCGTGGACGAAGGCACCTTGCGGTACCTCGAGCAGTATGTGGATAGCTGCGGCGAACGTGACCCTCAAGAGCTTCAAGCTCGTTTTACTACCGCTCGTGAGAAGCTTTCCCTTGCTCTAGACAGTCTCTTCAACCCGAAAATCCCCGTTAAAGAGGAAGGTATTTCTGCTGCGGATAACGAAGGCGATGTCGACATGAAGGATGCTATGCTCACGAAAGACGGGGAAGTGGTGACAATTCCAATCACCCCTGACGACGAACTGAGTGAAATCCCTGCCGAAAGACGCGCGATGATCGAACAACAAATTGCCAATTTCCGCGAGCGGAGCAACCTTCGGGACATGGAGCGCGTGAAGCGTCATGACGCCATGGAGCGGGCACGTAATTCCGGTGGCCGGGACAATGACTTGGCTTCTCCCTCCCTCTCTGGAACCTCCGGCGGCCCTGTGGGCGGTGCGAATTCTATTCCTCTGGGACCACGCGACCGTGGCGTGCCCAACGCTCCTGCCGGCCCAAAGGGCTTTGGTGTGCAGATTCCCAAGGATTATCAAAAGGGCGTCTCGTTCGTGGCGGGAGGATCTGTCGGCATTGATCGCGAAGAAGAAGATGACACCGATGCCAGTGATGATGAGCTGGAGCGTCGCCGCCAAGCCAAACGCGAGGCAGAGCAGCAAAAGCAATTCGCTGATCAAGAACGCCGCTGGCTCAATCGAGAGCGCAGCCGCACGGCAGCTTTGGAGCGGGAGAAGAACCGCGACAAGCAAGAGGAAGGACGGCTCCAATCTGCCCGTGATGAAATGGACAAGTATCTCAAGGAGTGGGATGATGATGTCGAGGCAAAGAAGACTTCCGCCTATTACGCTGACCGTACTGCCTGGCGCCGCAGCCGCGATACTTACCGCTCTCATGAGATCGCCAGGGATAAGGCTGATCGGGCTGCCGAGGAACGTGAGCTCGCTGCCGCTGCCGCTGCCGAGAAGCAGAAGGAGCAGACTCGTCATGCTGCCGACGACTTCCTCGCTCGCCAGGCCAAGGAGATCGAGGATCGTTTGGAGCCCCCACGTGAGCCTCAGCGCTTCAAGTTGTCCCTTGGTGCTGCTGCCAAGAAAGCCCAAGCTGCCACGACTCGCCGTACCGCCGCTGAAGTTGAGGGTCTGCTAGAAGATGAAGAGGAGCCCACTGCCGCTGTTCGTCGGCCACTCATCCCAATTCAGTTTGATACCCCTTCTGCCCAGATGTCCGAAGAAGAGCGAACCCAGGCTGCCCGCCAACTGGCCGCTGAAATTCCAAACGACAAAGAAGGATTGTGGGACTGGAAGGTCCAGTGGGATTATTTGGATGACGGCGTCCTCACCTATCAAATCCAACCTTTTGTGGAGAAAAAGATCGTCGAGTACCTGGGTGTTCAAGAGCAGATGCTTGTCGACATGGTGGAGGAGCATATTCGCAAGCGTCGTTCTGCCCAGGAGCTTGTAGAATCCCTTTCTGAGGTAAGCTCAATCATGCTATGGATTTCCCCCTTGATGAATTTCCGATGCTAATCCATCTTCCCTGTAGGCACTGGATGAGGAGGCTGAAGTCCTGGTCCGCAAGCTCTGGCGAATGATCATTTTCTTCTCAGAGAGTGAGAAGCGTGGAATTTCAACCAATTAAGGTTCCTTTTTTTGAAACTTGCGTGTCTGTAAGGGAAAATCTCTGTGATGGATATCTACGATGGATTTTTGAAAGGAGCTGCGATCAATCCTACGGCATATCTATGTATCCTTTATCTGCCCAGATCCGTGCTTCTTCGAAGGACAAAATCGAGTCCGATAACTGTGACTTGAGCAATCTCAACAATATTCAATTCCATTTCATGATTTGTAGTCCCAATCGCTGGTTTTTCGTAGCTGAAGCATCTCCTTTTGAGGTCCCGTTCATACTTCCCCAACTCTTCACCCCAAACCCCAGATCGGAGGTAAGCCGATGCTTTCACGGCCGCCGATTGGTGGATAAACGGAATTCCTCAACCCCCCGAGAATATCCACCAACCAGCGACCCCGAGTTGTGGAAACCGGGGGACGCGGACTGAGGGGCGCGGGGGTCACTCTGTCCTTGAACTCTCTATATACCGGTCCACGGCCACAATTTCCTGGTCTGTTTTCTCTGGATTGACCGTCACATTCTCCTCCATTAAGGCCCCTTATTTCGACGCCTCTATTCTCTCAAAGCAAGCCTCCTGTATAAGCATTGACTTAAGGTATAGCCAAGTGTCCCGAGTTGGTCCATATTCTTGTCATTCCAGCCGTGAGGGAGATCGGCTCTACGCGCATTATACTTTGCGCCACCACTGGTCCCGCTATTTGAAACGCCCATCATGGTCAAAATCACTGGCTTCACCACACGGGATGTGCGGTTTCCCGTATGTACTAGCCTTACTATGCGCCAGGCCGTGCGTTGACCAAATACCTGAGACTTCGCTAGATAAGACTGGCTCTGATGCTATGAACGCTGCAGGCGATTACTCCGCTGCATACTGCATTATTAACACCGACTCTGAGTTCAATGGACACGGCATGGTAAGTCTTACCGCGCCGGAATGGCAAGCACGTGGAATGAACCAGGAGTCTCACGATATCCCATAATTAGACATTTACTATCGGCCGCGGTAACGATATTGTCTGCTCTGCTATCTCCCTCGTCACACCTCTTGTGGTGGGCAAAGATCTTGACGAGCTCACTGCCGACTGGGGCAAGACCTGGCGCTACCTCGTCTCTGACAGCCAGCTCCGCTGGATCGGCCCCGAAAAAGGTGTGATTCACTTGGCTCTGGGCGCCGTTGTCAACGCTCTCTGGGATCTCTGGGCTAAGACCCTGGGCAAGCCCGTCTGGCGTATCGTCGCTGATATGACCCCCGAGGAATTTGTGCGCTGCATTGACTTCCGTTATATCACTGATGCCATTACTCCCGAAGAGGCATTGGATCTTCTTAAAAAGGTTGAGGGTGGCAAGCAAGATCGTATTCGCGAGGCTGAGGCTAGCAAGGCGGTGCCCGCTTACACTACGAGTGCTGGTTGGTTGGGATACCCTGAGGATAAGCTGAAGAGACTCCTCAAGGAGAGCGTGGAGGCCGGATACAAGCATTTCAAGTTGAAAGTTGGTGGGAACTTGGAGGATGACAAGAAGCGTCTGCGAATCGCCCGTGACGCGATTGGGTATGATAAGGGTAATATCCTGATGGTGGATGCCAACCAGGTAAGTCGTGCATACCGATTCATGCCAATGACACAGACTTGGAAGCGACTTGGAAGCAGGGGTATGGACTACGCTAATTCGTTTAAGATCTGGTCTGTCCCTGAGGCAATTGAGTGGATGAACGAACTTGCCGAGTTCAAGCCCTGGTTTATCGAAGAGCCAACCTCTCCTGACGATATTCTCGGACACGCCGCCATCAAGAAGGCTCTGCAGAACACCCCTCATGGCACCATCGGTGTCGCTACTGGTGAGATGTGCCAGAACCGTGTGATCTTCAAGCAACTGCTTCAAGCCGGTGCCTTGACCGTGCTCCAGGCTGACGCGTGCCGTGTCGGCGGTGTGAACGAGGTTCTAGCCATCTTGCTTCTTGCCGCCAAGTTCGGCGTGCCCGTGGTGCCTCACTCTGGTGGTGTTGGGCTCCCCGAGTATACTCAGCACCTGAGTACCATTGACTACGTGGTTGTCACTGGCAAGAAGAGTGTGCTGGAGTACGTCGACAGTCTCCATGAGCACTTCCTCCACCCATCCAGTGTCAAGGATGGATACTATGTCACTCCATTAGAAGCTGGGTATAGTGTGGAGATGAAGCCTGAGAGCCTCGACGCTTTCGCTTACCCCGGAGAAGAAGGCAAGAGTTGGTGGCGCTCAGACGCGGCGAAGACCATCCTAGAGGGGCCCCGCGTTATTTAATCAATAGAATTTACTAATTTAACGCGATAAAATATAGACTTCATACTAAACTTTTCATCACTTACATACATCGCTTAAAGCGGATTCGAACTAGGTTCTCAGACTACTAGGAGCGACCAAGGCATCTCAGTTCAAAATTTATAGAGATCCCTAGTCTCTCAGTAGAAGCCGACTTGATTTCAAGTTCCTTTGTTAAGAGCGCGCCGCGCGAGCACGGTATGGGTCTTGTATTATAATACATGGTATAGGATGATAGATACTTCGGCCTTAAAATACAGCGTAAATACTCCATTGGCGAAAGTCGGACAGTGAGGGCGTAGAGCACGAAAAGTGAAATCGTGTTGATAATGCAGGATGCCAACGAAATCACCGCCATTGAATACCGAAGAGCTTGAGAGAGCTGGCAACGCTTGTCCTCTCCGTAGCTTTCTCTAATACAATGCGGGAGTGCCCCTTCACATCAAGCGCAAGGAGCTGGTATTCCCACTCACTTTTGTCGAGAGGTTTGATCATATGCACAAATACAACGCCTGAATTCAGAGGGCCCTCAACCTGCGGTAAAGTTAGCGTGGTGATCCCGAAGCCGGTACCACTTCTCTAAGACAAAACATACATGGAAACTCATTCGCAGGTGTTCGCGGCCTAAGCGGTCCTTTTCTGTAGATGAGGCAATTGGTCTATTGCTTGCCCATCGACTAGAAGTCTGCTCCCCAAAAGCCTTAATTTCCCTCCGGTCTCCCAATAGGTCTGTGCATCGAGGATCATTCTTAACGCGCTCGACGGCTTTTTCGAATTGCCAGGTTCTGCTATTTGGCGAGAGGATCTCTTGGTACAAGAGTGTAAAGACGCCGCCCTGCACATTGCGGTCAGCATGCTCATGTTGCTCATGGCGCTTTATTTCTTGAACTGGACGCACCGTTAACACCACACCGGCCAAAACCACTATAACGTTGAAAGACTGTTGGGTGGCCCGTGAAATCTTCTCACGCCCGCTCAGCTCAGCCCACTCGTAACGTCCATCGTCCGACAAAACGGTGATATTCCTCCTCTTCGGACGAGGGCCACTGCCGAAGTCACTTTGCGTAGCGTAGAAGCGCGAAATCTCCGTTCGGGTACAAGGGCGAAGAGCAACCGATGCGCTTGTCGTCGGACGGGGCAGAGCGCGCAGTGTCTCACGAATGTGTTGGGAGTTCATGGTGGCTGATGCGAAGCATCTGCATCGCAGCGCCCATTCTCGATAACGATAGGCTCAATCACGTGATCGTTTGCTAATTTACTGTACTGTAAAGTTGCATACATTCTCGCCTCGGTCGCTGCCAGATTCGGTGGCAAATGCGCCCCGCTCCGGTAGTGAGGACAGGGGGCAAACTGCAAATTTACAGCAATACAGCAAACACAGCCCAAGTCCGACCACGTTCGCCGTTCCCATACCGGCACATCATTCTTGGCCTCTTTTACTTAGTACACCGCTCGTCTTTTCCCTGCTCACCGGTCCGATCTCATTGCTCCAGCTCTCATCATGAGTGCCTCCAAGGCGCAATCTCAAAAGATCTTTGAGAAGCTCAAGCTGAAACCCGCAAATAAAGTGCGTTCTCGCCCCGCGACACCCTGGTCCCGCCAGCGGGACATTTTAGCCATTGTTCACTAACAGAGTCGATATGAACAGGTATGCTTCGACTGCAACTCTAAGAATCCAACATGGTCGTCTGTCCCTTTCGGTATCTACCTCTGCTTGGATTGCTCCTCCAACCATCGTAACCTCGGTGTCCACATCTCCTTCGTTCGATCCACAAATCTTGACCGTATGTCTTAGACCACTGCGCAAACGATCACGGTATTTTTTTTGGAGGCCATCTACTGATCAATTATCCTCACAGAATGGAGCTGGGATCAACTTCGTATCATGAAGGTTGGTGGAAATGAGTCCGCGACCAAGTATTTCCAATCGCACGGAGGGTCAGCCGCGCTCGCCAGCAAGGATTCCAAGGTCAAATACACTTCCAATGCCGCGGTGAAGTACAAGGAAGAGTTGAAGAGACGTGCAGCTGCCGATGCGCAACAGTAAGTTTACCTCATGCGTTCCTCAATGTTCCGACTAGTACGGTAATCCTGACATTGGATATTACCCAGGTATCCCGATGAGGTTGTTGTCACTGATGTGCCTGCTGGTACACCGTCCGATGGCTCAGGAACTCCCGCCGGTGACCCAGACGACGACTTCTTCTCTTCCTGGGACAAGCCAACCATCAAACGCCCGAGCAATCCCCCCCTCTCGCACTGGAACCCCCCCTGTCGTGAGCCGAACTGGATCCCCATACTTGAATTCTGGTGCTGGCGCGAATGGCTCGCGCTCGAAATCCCCGCTTTCTGCCTCCGATGAAAAGACCACTGCCTCTCCTCCCGCTCCTGCCGCAATTCGTGCCAACTCCGGGGCTCGGAAAACCGTCACCACAGGTGCCGCCAAGAAGGGGAGCGTTCTGGGAGCGAAGAAGGCTCCTAAGCTCGGCGCGAAGAAGGTTGTTGCTGGCGATATTGACTTCGACGAGGCCGAGCGCAAGGCTAGAGAAGAGGCTGAGCGCATTGAGAAACTTGGATACGATCCTGAAGCTGAGAAGGCCGAGGCCGAAGCCAAGGCCAAGGCTGCTGCTCCTCCGATCTCCTCTCCCACTCCGCTTAACCCCAGTCGGGGTAGCTTCGGAGCCACTGCGCCATCGGAGCGCAACTCTAGTGACGTCGAACGCTTAGGAATGAGAATGAACAGACTCGGATTCGGCCAGGTGACGAAGCCTCCTGCTCCTAAGAAGTCGGGATTCGGTGCCGTTGCCCCAAAGAACCCTGCTGATGGTACGTGGAGCCACGGAATAGCTTTGCGCAAATTTTACTTTTTTTTTTTTCTCCCCAGAATCCACACTAACTAGTCTATAGAGGAAGAGCTTGCCCAAACCAAGTCGCGATTTGGCAGCCAGAAGGGTATTTCGTCTGACGAATTCTTTGGCCGTGACCGATTCGACCCCAATGCCCAGGCCGAGGCCAAGCAGCGTCTCACACAGTTTGACGGTGCTACCGCTATTTCCAGCAATGCTTACTTCGGCCGGCCCGAGGATGACCTTCCCCTATGGATGATGGATACGGAGATCTTGAAACCGCAGCTAAAGACTTCGTTCGCCGCTTCGGTATCACCGCCGGTGATGACATCGAGAACTTGTCCCATTTGGTTGGTGAGGGTGCCACAAAGCTTCAAGGTGAGTTACTTCCCATACCTGGCCCCCTAGAGGTATGGCCTCGATGTTGACTGTTTGAACTCGCAGGAGCTATCCGGGACTACCTCAACTCATAAGCGAGGTGCCTTGCCTTTGTCTTATATTGCGTTTGTTCTTGTTACATCGTATTCTTAGCAAGCCCCGAATGATCCCCCGCAGATTCGTGATGAATGACGTATATCTTCTGCCTCCCTCCTCAGCACCAGCATTCAGATTCCTCGAATATTTGTTTTGCATGACGGTGGAAGCTTTGTGGACTTGTAACCTGGCGTGATCGGTGACTGATTCACGATATTTATCTCATTTCTCCTTCATCGCGCATCTCGCAGCAACGCACGGATGGGCTCATAATTCCCCTGGTTTATGTTCCCTTTGGATTTTCCTTTCTTCAGTTCAGATTTGGTTTATACAGAAAATTATGGATTGATAACTTCATTTTACTTTTTCGGCTGGCTTGGTCCCATCTTCCAAGAAATAAACTTGAGAGAATGCCGGTCACCTCAAATGAAGGCATAGCGCCCCCTCCCCTGGAGTTCCCTGCGAAATACCATGACTAGGAACCTTTCAAGTTGCTCCTTGGCCTTAAGAGCAGTCTGGATCTGCCACCCATTCTTGTCTTGGTATTTTAAATGCTTCGTAAATGGCTTCCCTACTTTTATAAATGCCAACGCCAAGCTTGGGCGATAGAGGTGATGCGACAACAGCTACAATATATGTTGGGGGGGGAGGAGGGGGGCGAGTACAACTCGCACATGCCAACACGTATGGCGATGGTCTGCTCTAGGTACTGATTCCCATCACTATTTCAATCCTTCTTCCACATTCATTTTTATATATCTATGGGGTTCTGCTCACTTTATCTATTGTGTGCGATATATCGCGTCTGCTACTCTGACAACCTGCCACATTTCGTGCACGTCATGAACACGGACGATATCTGCGCCTCCAGCAACACTCGCTGACACAGTAGCCCCAGTACCCCAGACACGCTCCGCGGGTGTCTTCACCCCGGTAAGATGGCCAATGAACCGTTTGCGACTCGGCCCCATCAGCCACGGTAGACACTCAAGACCTTCTGCTCCCCGGAGCTTATGTAGATCACGAAGGATTTTCAGATCGTGAGGCTGGTTTTTGGCGAAGCCGAGTCCCGGGTCAAGAATAATGCGCCATCGACGGATCCCTGCGGCTTCGGCCGCGGCGACACGGCTGCGAAGCTCGGCGCTGACTTCGGGAATAACCCCACTAGGGTACTCTGTTAACTTTGTCATGGTCTGTGGAGTTCCGCGCATGTGCATGAGGATGATGGATTTTCCGAGCCGTGCTGCGGTGGGCAGCATCTCAGGGTCCATTAGACCGGCGGATACATCGTTGATGATGTCGGCGCCAGCAGTGCAGGCTGCCTCGGCGACCGACGCGCGGTATGTGTCAATGCTGATGGCAGTGTTCGCTGCTTCAGGGATCGACGTGCGGATATGCTTGATAGCTGGCACTACTCGGGCGATCTCTTCGTCGGCGCCGACTGGTACTGAACCGGGGCGAGTGCTTTCGCCGCCAACATCAATAATTGTTGCACCTTGGGCAATGAACTTTCGGACGGTCTCTGTGAGCTGAGTCAAGTCGGTTGGAGAATGTTTACCGCCGTCTGAGAAGGAATCCGGAGTAAGGTTAAGGATAGCCATTACATGAGTGGTCCGAGTGGGGTCCGTTGCATGGAGAGATGGAAAATACGGCGCAATTGGAGTGGTCGAGACAGGCGTCGGCTCTGGTGGTGGAAGAGTTTGTAGATGCTCTTGGTATGTTCTTGTCTTTTTCTCAAGCTGCGGAGGATGCTCATGAGGAATGAGTCTTCATGTATGTCAGGGAATGACCAGCCAGAGACAAGCGCGGAAATACGTACTGACACAACGGCCGAAGAACAAAGTCCCGTTCAAGCATGAGTTTATGTGGGATATCAAGCCGCTCATGTGAGAATACTTCTTGATCGAAGAGCAAAATGTCCAGATCAATCGAGCGCGGGCCTTTATCAATCAGTTTGATTCGGCCCAAAGTATTTTCAATGGACTGGAGAGCATCCAAAAGCTCTATTGGTCCAAGAGTAGTCTCGACCTAATGCAGGTTAGCTACGCTGCAGATAGTCCTGAACGAAATAAATTCATTAGGGCTTACCTCGCACACTCCATTCATGAATGGGGCTTGGTCAAGAACATACATTGGAGCAGTCTCGAATAGCGAACTTGTTCTTTTAACTTTTATACCAGCCCGATCCATCTCCAGACAGGCTTTTTCGATCATTTCAACGCGGTCACCCAAATTGCTCCCAAGAGCAATGAATGCGCGACGAACCCGGGCACTGTTCATCTTAAAATCTAGTCGCAAGACAGAGCCTGTAGAAAAGTGCCTAGGGCAAGCCTTCGAGGTTAAAGGCGAGTTTGTAGAACTCAAATATACATTTTTTGGTCTGGTGGGGAAGACTCTCGAGTGCTTAGATGAACAATGTCCTTCGGAATCTGTCAGTGCTAAGTTCATACAGAAGGTGGCATATTGTGGCATATTGTGGCGATAAAAAATGAGCTGCAACGCGTCCCACTTTTTCCCTTTTTGGGATGAGAGCTTAAGATCGCTGCACACCATTTGGAGCACCTACTGATTTGTCCCAATGGGCTAGGTCTAGACCAGATTAGCCCAATCACTGATATTTCCTGCAGTGCAAGAGCACAACATACCGCCCAGCCCAGGACCCCTGCACAGAGGGATCATCCTGCCGCGCTGCACTCCGGGTAGTCGGCAAACACGGTAACCGAGAGGCGTGTGAAGATTGCGAGCGCAACAAGCTTCGGGCGCAACTGATACTTGCTCGAGTGGGAGCAGCATGCATGGCCATGGTGGCCAGGGCAACAGACTACAGCTGGCAACCCCAATGCAATTGAAGTGTTTGACGGGGACCAAATCGATAAGACGTGGATTACAAGCGCGTCAGGTGATGATACTATTTGCTACCTTACTGCCTTACTGCCTTGCTGCCTGAGGTCATACGATCCCCGCATTCTTCACATTATGGGGGTATGGGTGTCCACCGTGGGTTGGACCGAGGCTTTTGCTGCGCATGACAGCGCCTCAGTGACCAGCGCCTCGGTCGTCCTTTTGCTTTAAGAGCGTGTCCCCTTGCCCCAGGCTTTTCTCCTTCTTTCCCATCCCTTGCACATTTCGCGTCGACATGGCTTCTCCTCGTACGTCTAACCCGGTGATCTCTTCCCTCTAGGAACGCTTGTGTACAGCCTGTTAACCCATGTGATCGCTACAGAAGTTATCCGAACCCCGATTACTGATCTGCTCAAGATCAACCACCCAGTCCTGCTGGCTGGTATGAACGTGGCTGCTGGCCCCAAGTTGGCAGCTGCTGTTACCAATGCCGGTGGACTGGGTGTGATTGGTGGTGTTGGCTACACTCCTGAGATGCTGAAGGAGCAGATCGCCGAGCTGAAGGGGTATCTGACCGACAAGAACGCCCCCTTTGGTGTCGACCTTCTCCTTCCCCAAGTTGGTGGCAACGCCCGTAAGACTAAGTACGTACAAATGACCAGCGGATTCAGCATACTCGGAAGATTCTATAAGAAGCGGAGTGCTAACGCTGGGTTCTGCTAAACAGCTACGATTACACCAAGGGCAAGCTTAATGAGCTTATTGATATCATTATCGAGAGTGGCGCCAAGCTCTTCGTCTCTGCTGTTGGTGTGCCCCCCAAGGCGGTCGTCGACAAACTCCACGGAGCCGGCATCCTCACCATGAACATGATCGGCCACCCCAAGCACGTCAAGAAGTGCCTCGACGTTGGCGTCGACATTATTTGCGCCCAGGGCGGTGAGGGTGGTGGTCACACCGGTGACGTCCCCACCACTATTCTCATTCCCACCGTGGCCAAGTTGGTCCAGGGTCACAAGAGCCCTCTGACCGGCCAGCCCGTGCAGGTCATCGCTGCCGGTGGTCTTTACAACGGTAACTCTGTTGCCGCAGCCCTCATGCTGGGTGCTTCCGCCGTCTGGATTGGTACTCGCTTCATCCTGGCTGATGAGGCCGGTGCTCCTGCTGCTCACCAGGAGGCAGTCCGCACTGCTGGCTTCGAGGACAACATCCGTACTATCATCTTCACTGTCAGTACCCTGCAACATTGACCCTCTCGAGATTTCCCTTGTACTAATGGCTTTTATAGGGACGTCCCATGCGTGTCCGTAAGAACGACTACATCATGAACTGGGAGGAGAACCGCGCGGAGGAGATTAAGCAACTCACTGCCAAGGGTGTCATCCCGGTTGAACACGACTTCGAGAACCTCCCCGATGACGTCGATGACGACTACCTGGACAATGCTCGCCCCTTCCTGATGGGTAAGGTGTCTGCTGTTGTGAATGAGAAAAAGCCCGCCAAGGCCATTGTGGACGAACTCGTCCACGATGCTGCTGCCCTCCTCAAGAAGGGTAACAGCTATGTTGCCTCCAAGCTGTAAATAATGATCTCCCCTTCCTACCTTATATCTCTAGTTGCCCAGAGCATGCGGAGTGGCCATGTAAACGGGACCATTGGTTAACCGCCCTCACCTCGAACTTGAAATGAGAAGACTTCCGAATATATTCCCTTTCTTCCCTTGGGAGTTGGAACCGTGTAGCCTGGTAGAGGGTGGACAGAAGCTGCTACTCTTCCATGGCGAACGGGGTCCCTTGCCTCGTGCTAGTAGCAGTAGTAGCCGACTGAGCCTTCGCGGTGATTCCAGACCCGAGATTCCTCCCGACCGGAAGGCAATATTTGCGGATACGATAATGTCGGTTAGATGAACCCTGCTGACAATTGATGCGGACGACTGTCTTCTTTGTTCCACGGCTTATGGATATTTGGATAGCAGTCTGGATGAGAGTTTCTCCATAGCAGTCCCCAAGGTGTCCGATTATGCCCGAAGTGGAGCCGGCATCTCCTCCACTCCCATCCTTGCTCGTCCGAGTTATTATCAGATCGGAGGCGACCGAAGACAGCCATGCATGCCCTGGCAGTGGTTACGAGCCTCAAAGTGGACAGTGATGACGCTGGAAATCGTGATGACGCCGGACAGCCATGTGGCGTAGAACAAGGGTATGTAGGCGAGGAAAAAGCTCAACCCTGGCATTGGGACGAACTGGCTTATGAGCCTGGCATTATCGCCCGCCCCCTCAGCCAATCACGGGCAAGAGGTTGACGAGAGCTACAAATTCGTTTACATTATTAGATCTACGGGGCCCCATATGCAAGATCCGGGGTGATGACGATCGTGATCGTGACCGTGATCGCACCAATGGCGCTCGTTGCGGTGATCGCCGCCGAGGAAGTGCAGCGGGTTCAGCGGACAAGCTTTCCAGACTCCCCCGATATCTTAGGCCCCTGCATATCATCCCTGTGGCACAAGCTTAGCCTGTTTTGGCTGGCTGCCTTCCAGGCCTGGACAGTTCGCCGTTCGCCATGGGCTGGCTGCCTCTCTTTGGCTGCCTCTCTTTGCGAAGTGATGTTACGCTCTGCTGACTCTCGCAGAGTACACACATACTCTGTTTTGCCCCGACGTCCGATCATAACCCTTTTTGAGTTATGCCGTGCATCTTCCCGCAACGGCTGGCCAGTGCAGAATGACAGCTCGGGGGCATTTCGGAGAGCCCCTTGCGGGAGGTACCGTGAGAACCACAAGCAAAAAAAAAAAGAGGAAAAAGAAAAAGAGAGTAGAAAAGCTTAGCCGTGCGGATGAGGCTATCAGCAAGAGCCTGATAGGCGAACATTAGAAGAAGTAAGAGGATGACTGTTATCGCTCCGCCTCAGCGTATCAGCGCACGGGTCTTATCGGTGGCCCGACGGGCCAATCAGCGGCGTGAGCGTTTCAAGCGAGGGTTACAGAAGTCACGAAACCTGCGGACGGGCGATAAGCGGAGCCCCACTTGGCCTCCACTGTAACCCCACTGCAGCCGTCCTCATTGGCCTTTCAGCGCCCTGCGTGGAAGGCTTTCCATGCTTGTCATTTGCTTCTGGAAATTTTCTGGCTGGGTCCCACGCGACAAGCCGTATCTTAGGCCTTTTCGCCACGGAGCCCACAGAGGCTGGTCTTGGGACTATATTAGATCGTGGTCCTGCAGTGGATCTCGAAAAAAAATAAAAAGAGAACACCAGCAAAGTATGTGGATTTGGACCGGCTCCGACTCTTCCTTACTCTATTGACAATTGAATCGCCTGAGCGAGAGCTCTTCAATTGATCTCAAAAATTTGACCATTCGCGCCTCTGTGGTCACCGTTCGGTCCAGCATTATCACGGAATACTCCCTGGAGAAAAACCATTTTCACACCCAAACACATACCCATTCCATATACCATGACTTCAAAATTCAGCCTCGGGTCTCGTGGAGAGGCCGACCTCGAGAAGGCCCCTCAGGTCGAGAATAACTACGACACCAACAGCAACGAAACCCGCGATAACTTGAGCGTCAATGCCGTCCCCGGCGAGACCTTCGTGTACGGCAACTCGACTTACGCTAAGCTCCAGCGATTTGCGGGCAAATTCAACGTGGAGCAGCGTGGTATTGAGCGCGTGCCGGAGGATGAGCGGACTGATACTTCATACGTGAATATTGGCAGCATGGTGTGTTTTACAATTTTGCATTTGCTCGTGGCCCTCCCACTGACCAGGAACCAATTTTAGTGGTTGGCTGCGAACATGGTCTCTAGTTCTTTCGCCATTGGTGTGCTGGGACCCCAGACCTTCGGGCTCTCGTTTGTCGACGCCATTCTCATTTGCTTGTTCTTCAACTTGCTGGGTGTGATGAGTGTGTGCTTCTTCTCCTGCTTCGGGCCCCCATTCGGACTGCGCCAAATGGTGCTTTCGCGCTTCTGGTTCGGATGGTACGCGGTGAAGTTCAGTAAGTCGTTACATCTGGATATCCCGGATAGCGGACGCTAATCGACGTCCCTAGTTGCCATTTTGAACGTCATTGCTTGTGTCGGTTGGTCTGCTGCCAACGCCATCGTGGGTGCACAGCTTCTCAACGCTGTCAGCAGCGACGTCCCTGGATACGCCGGCATCTTGATTATCACCTTCTGCACCCTTTTCATCACCTTTGCTGGATACAAGGTGGTTCACATTTATGAGAAATTCAGTTGGATCCCAACTTGTATTGTGTTCATCATTGTTCTGGGAACATTCGCCCACTCTGGCGATTTCATCAATGTCCCCATGAACCCCGACTCCTTTTTCAGCAAGGCTGGTGGCTGCCTTTCCTTCGGCTCGACTGTCTACGGTTTCGCAACCGGCTGGACTAGCTACGCGGCCGACTACACCGTTTATCAACCCGCCGATCGCAGCCGTCGCAAGGTCTTCCTGTCCACCTGGCTCGGTCTCATTGTCCCATTGCTCTTCACCGAGTTCCTTGGTATCGCCGTCTATACCGCCACTGCCTTGAACGACGGACACAACAAGTACATGGACGGCTACCTTGCGTCCGGTAACGGTGGTCTGCTCGGCGCCGCCCTTTCCCCTCTCGGCGGATTTGGAAAGTTTTGTTTGGTTATCCTGGCTCTGTCCATCGTCGCAAACAACTGCCCCAACATCTACTCCGTCTCCCTCACCCTCCAGGTGCTGAGCCGCTACACGCAGCGTGTTCCCCGTTTCGTTTGGACCTTCTGCGCCTCCTGTGTCTCTCTCGCCATCGCCATTCCCGGTTACTCCCATTTCGAGACCGTCCTGACCAACTTCATGGACTTCATTGCTTATTGGCTGGCTATCTACACCGGGATCGCTCTGGCGGACCACATCATCTTCAAGCGCGGCTTCTCGGGCTATCGCATTGAAATCTACGATAAGCGTGAGAAGCTTCCTTGTGGCATTGCTGCCTCCATTGCCTTTGCCTTCGGTGTTGCCGGTATGGTCACTGGAATGAGTCAACCCTGGTATACCGGTCCTATTGCCGACCTCGCACAAGGTAGCGATATAGGCTTCGAACTTGGTTTTGCTTTCGCCTTTGTCATGTATTGCGCATTGCGACCGATTGAGCTTCATTACTTGCGTCGTTAATTTGGATATTTTCTGTATATAATGAATGGGAAGGAGGTTACTGGGTTTTCTTGTTTTCTAGCCTATTGACTTTTGTGTTGCATATTGAATAGCATTCATGAATAGTGAGCAAATGTATTATCTGCATTGAACTGGCCTTGCCCTGTACGTCACCAGAATGGAACGCGACAGGCACTGGTAGCTGCCATCATCGGCCTAGCCTGGCCACATCAAATCTTCAAGGCTTGACAAAAGTCAAGAAATCCTGGGAAAGATCGGTAAAGAAGCTTGCCCCCGCTACCGTCGTGGGGTGTCCAGTCTCCGTTACATTGCAAAAATCGATGAAGCTGCCTGCAGCCTTACTCTTCTTTTCAACCATGGACACATATTCGGACAGCAGGCAGCTTCTTCCGGGTCCGTCCTGGCAGTTGGGGATTGGGTAGACGGCATCATTGAGAAGCACTCTGAGATAGGTCTCCTGGCCACTCTGATGCTTGTAAGAGCCTTCACACCTCAAGTTCTCGAACGTAACAGTGCCGCGCATGGTGATAAAATGGGCCACATTATACAAATGGTCAGCTGGGATATGAGTATCCGGCAGCGGATCCTCACTCTCGAAGATCCCCATGGCGGCCGTCATCTCGGCAATTTGATTGTCGTTCAGAAAAGCCATTATCAGATTAGGCACTGCAAACTCACCACCATCTGCACTGGTTCCGGTCTGGCCGGGCCCCTTTTCAAGCAGGGACAGCAGGCTTTGCAGGAACGGCAAGAAGAGCTTGCTGGCCGGCCCGTCAGAGCCGGGCCCTACACTGTAATAGTAGCTCAGGTCCTGCGAATAGGCGTAGTTGCGAAGTTCGTCCTCGGTGAAAACATTGCACCACGGGCTCAAGCGGCCAGTGATCTGGCTCTCGAAGGCGCACAGATATGGAAAGAATGTGATGTCTGACTCGGTGAAGGTAAGGTTTCCGCTGACAAGGTTATTGAGACGCTTCACCGTTTTGGGAGTCCATGTAGCGTCCCCTAGATTTATATTTTCAGATATGATAAATATGCAAGCTTCGGATGATACTCACAGTTTGTAACATTATTCCGCCCACTGGACGTTGCGGCGGCTTTGGGACACGCATCAGAAGGCCCGAGAGAGTTGCCTATGGCATTGACAGAGCCTGTACTGTTCACACTGACGACGGTCCCATATTCATCTGCAAACTCGTACAGATAGCCATCGACGAAAGCACGAGCCGTTTGGACGACTCGCGACTCGTTGATAGGGAACGCATATTGGTTGGCCCATACGTAGAACGGGTTTCCATCCTCATAGAAGTCCGGGTCTAGTATCCATCAGTCCCTGCAAGGGCCGGGCTGTAAGGTGGGCAGCTTGCTTACATCGCGCACGAAGCTGGTATCCAAGATCATGAGCCTAGAAGCTTTTAGCCTGATATCATCATAATCAAAGATGGGAGAGGCCCACATACCTCTTTCCAGCCGGTCATGGATTCCTGCGCTATTTGCAGCGTCGGATTTGTCAAGGCCGGTTTCCAATCTGGGATGAAGCGGAGGGATCCGCGGGCCTGAAATCCCTCTTCTTTGACTGCAGCTTGGATCTGTTCGGAAAAGTGAGTAGTAGTCCGAGAGGATAGTCGGGTACTTTTACGGACTTTTTCTTGGATACTAACCCAGGCATTGTATGAGCCGGTATCAGGGAATCTGGTGTGGTCAGCAGATTATTCGGGCATGCCCCCTGGGGAACAAGTTGGAGTACCTGCTACCATGTCTAACGACATACGCAGCTTGCTGGACGGTGCATTGAGCTGGTACCCCGTTATCTATACCATTCACGTTCGGGCCTAGGAAATGTTAGAGTCTTTCCTTCCTTATCAATTGACATGGCGACTGACCCGCAAAATAAGGAGTATTTCCCCCAGAAAAGCGCAAGGGGTTCTGAGAAGTGCTACTGCCGGGGAAGTCGAGATCATTCCGCAGGAGCTAGGACAGCACCATGAGCCGCAGCCGTGGCTAACAGCAGAGAAAATATGCTCTTGATCTGGAAGGTAGCCATGTGAGCCTTGTGAGTCAAATGCCTGTCAGCTCAAGTGTACAACATTATATTCAGACTCGGATGGAGCATTTATAGTTAAGTGATCGGAGTGTTTTAGCTCCTCACTAGCGTCTGCGAGGAGGAAAGGCATACAAACCTATGCTTAGCCCACGTGCCAAATGCCGCAAGTCCAGATTTAACCGAGATGAGGCTATTCCATCCTGGAAACTCCTTGGCTTGTCTCTGATTTGCGATTTGGCTGGATCGCTCTGAAGAATGCGGGTGAACCCGCGAAACAATTGCCTTGCCAGACCTAGCCAGTCCTATATGGGCCCACATAGCTAAAATAATCTCTCATGTCAAACGCTGGCTCAAAAAAAAAAAAGATAAAATAAAATAAAAAACACAATAAAATAAAAAAAATAAAAATAAAAATAAAAACCACTATGATAACGTAGAATTCACTGAAGCATCCAGGAAGCTCGAGCCCAGCTTCTCGGCAGCCTTACCAATCGCCTCCACGGCGCCCTCAAAGTTCGAAAACATGACTCCGATAACCGACTCTCCACAAGTACTCTGCTGGTGCAATGCGGCCCCGGACGTTGATCGCTTGGCCCTCTTGAAGTTGATTCCCGGAGTAATTTCTACACAATTATACTGCGACTCGGCCGCACGGAGCTGGCAAATCTCGCCTGTCTTACAATCACCTATACAAGAGCTGTAGTCCCATCCGCGAGTCTTTCTGGCGACGTAATCCTGGAAAGCGGTATCGTTCTTCTCAAACAACGTAGTCACGTTGTGCCAGAACTCCGGCGTCAATTCAGCCGCACTGTCGGTAATGGCTGGTGAAAGAAGAGACCCGTATGCCTCTTTCGCAGAGTAGTACTTTTCCCAAGTTGGGTTGGTTTGGTAGGTTGAGCTCGACATGTTTGCGATGTAGACTGTGAAATCCAGGATGCCAAAGGTCACAGGATCCACAGAGTACACGCGGAAAGTAGGATTACCAGACGTAGGAGTCAAGGCCGGGGCAATATACGACATCATAGTAGCCGTATCGGCAGAAGGACTCGAGTTATCAGCATAAGCAATCTCAAATTCGTCCTTGTGAGTGTGACCGTAGAAACATGCCGCAATAGTTGCTTCGTAGCGTTGGATAATCTGGTTGAAATAGCTCGAGCCATCATGGAATGCATCGCTTGCGCCCATAGGCATGTGGCCCATCAACCAGACCCGCTCACCAGCAGACTCTGCGGCGTCAAGTTCATTGACCAACCATGCAAGCTGTCCGCTGGGGTCGGGCGCCATTGTTTTCTCGTACAGCCAGAAATTCTCCTTGTAGTAGAGCTGGGTGTTGAAGGAGATCAATTTGAGGTTTCCGCCGGGGTATTTTACAGAATAGGCGCCGTAGTGTTTGACGGCTGCTGCGGTCGTAGGGCCAATCCACTGGGTCCAGTCAGACGCAAGGGTGTCGTAGACCCATTGGCTTGAGATAGTGGTCTCGACATCGGCTGGCGGGAATGAATTCACTGGCGCGGCGTCGTGGTTTCCAACTACACCGTAGACCGTGTGTAGGTAAGATGGCATGCGAGTGCTGAATGCATCGTTCAGATCGTTGGTCACTTCGGTTTCGTTGACCAGCCAGACAGCTCCTTCAACGACATCACCGGTGAAAATGCTGAATGCCGCGTCAGAGGCAAAACTTTGGATCGCTTTGTACATGCTCTCCTCGAGGTCTACAGGTGAGTCGCATTTATTGTTTCCGAACGGTCCGGCAGGGTAGCTGGTATTTCCCGGGGCATCGCTTGATGTGTATGGGCGGCAACAGATATTTTTGGTGCAGTTGTAGCTGTCAGTCCGGTCAGTATTGTAGCGCGCAGGTTTCAGACTTGACAGTGCTCGTACTTGGCTCCCTCCTCGTAGGAAAGGTCGACGTGGATGTCGCTGAAATGAACAACTTGAATAGGCGTTTCTCCGCTCGGGCAGGTCGAGTCGCATTCGCTGGCTTATCGGACGGGAATTGCACTGTATATTCAGTTATGTCAGGGTAGTCGCATAGCCCAAAGATGGTGCCGCAGAAGAGGGTTGATGTGTGAGATGGAATGACCATGTTGCGAAGGTCGTGAGCCAATATAGGACCTTCTCTGGAAATAGCACCTTCACAGACATCTTTGTCTTCAGCCTAGGAAGGATCAGCAACTCGAGCGTCGAAGATTTTCTGAGACTCACTTACGCCAACCAAGACGCAAACATCAGTTATAACCTCGACGAAGTCGTCGTTCCCAAGATGAGCTAAGACTTGAAGTACCAGAAGGAGGGACTGCATGGTGAAGTCAGTACTTCCAGCGCTTATTTGATGAGTGGCCGATGCATCTCACACCCACCTCGCAAGCTGTACAGGTGACTGCATTTTCAATATCTTTCAAAATATCACTAACAGTGCTTCTCTTGGACAATGCATTGCTCTGGGACGCGAATGCGGATCCAAGAAGCCCCGTCAGAAAAATCCAAGGTAGAAAAAGCATTGCCCCTGCTTCAAAGGTGAAACCGCTTGAATATGTTGAGCTGTCGAGCAGTGGCAGTGTAAGCTCCCGTACCGCGATTTCTGGGGCTCCTTATATGCTCTCACTTGAACCAAACGTAACCCGGACTCAAGCCGGAAATCCGACAAGAATTCTGCAGGGGAACCGAAGGCTCCAGGCACGTTTTGATGTCTTTGGTAATGATTGACCATCCTTAAGCGAAGTGGAGCATGCGGAGCTGAATCGATCGTCGGCATAACGACCTTGCCAGGTCTCCTTATTTGCCGCCAGCGGACTCATCTCCAATCGGGACAGACCAGGTGGTTCGTCAGCTGCTGATTTAGCCGGGAACTAAAACATATTAGAACACCAGCTATCCCTCCTGGAGACGGGAGCCAAGCATCGGCGATATTGCCCCTTTTGACTATCGATCGCCTCGCTAAAGTATCCATCTCTAAAGTATCCATCGCTACAGTATCCGCGAAACTATGGTGGATGTAACTCGACTCGTGAGTCACAAATTCAGCCGTAATGAGGTAAACACTTGGTAGACGACAAACAAGCTTGAAGACCACAAGCATAATTTCATACTCGACTATGAAATCTTTCGGTCTCCAGCTACAATGAAGACAGTAAGGGATTCTGACACGTCCATCGAGTCATTATTCTTACAAACTTGTCTAGGGACTGGGAAAAGGAAGGACAGAACGAGGGTCCGAGATATGTTTTCGTGGCAAGCTCAACTTGGTTTAAAGATTCTAATTATACGAGAAATTGACACCAAAGAGGTGTACGTTTATCCATCAAAAGTTGGGCACAAAATTGAATTAAACCCCGGCAGGGAAGATTCTATGAATATCGCAAAATCGGAGGAGTTTGATGCGGATGCGGTGCGCACGTTATGCCATTAAGACGGCCAGGAGGGAAGCTACTTGGACATAGCGGGTAAATCAGGTCTTCGCATTGAATTGGAACCTGATGGCTTCAAAAATTATATAGTGGATATGGATTGCTCTCCGGTAAAAGCCGCCCCCTACTCCCATCCTGGTGATAATGTCCTTTCGATTTCACCGCCTTATTCTGCCATAGGTGTCCATATCTGCCTTAGTTTCCTGGATTATCGAGATCTCATGTCCTAGTCCGAGTGAAGTGTTCAGAGCCCTGTCTTCTTGAAATATGGTACTCAGCTTTGACTTCCAGCTAGACGGATTTCCGTAGAACACAATCATAAACAACCCGAGTCATCGCAATCTTGTATATTTTTTATAGATAGCCGAGCGGGGCTTGCTATCTGCCCTGGTTGGCCACACCAGCCACAGCACACAGAGCTGCGCCACAGAAAAATCACCCGCGAATGAAATCCACAACGGACTCGCCTGTAAAAGAATTCCCGGAAATTCATCTGTTGCCGCAACACATATCTGCCACACCATGTCTCGACTCGGGAAGTGAGTGTAGACCCTTCAGGACGCGCTCGATACAAGAGCTTTTTCTAACCCTCCGATTTTTTGTAGCCATGCCGACTGGGCAGACGATGAGGAATTCGATGACCCCTCCGCGCTCCCCGCGCAACAAGTGATCGAGAACAAGGATGGCACCAAGACCGTCATCTCCTACCGCTTCAACGATGACAACAAGAAAGTGAAGGTCTCTCGCCGCATCAAGACCACCGTCCAGCGCGAGCATGTCAACCCCCAGATGGCCGAGCGCCGATCGTGGCCCAAGTTCGGCCTCGAGAAGGGTCACCCCCCCCGGCCCAACCTTCGATACCACCTCTGTCGGCGAGAACATTGTTTTTCGACCAAGCACTAATTGGAAGGTGCAGGCCCAGGAGGCTGAGAAGGAAGGCGGAGAGAAGGGCAGCATGAAGGACCAGCTCAAGGACAAGAAAGTCAAGTGTCGTATCTGTAACGGAGAGCACTTTACTGGTGAGTTTCGATCGCGCGGAAGGCGAAAATCTTTGGAGGGTTGCTGACCGTATGACTCTTTTCTTTAGCTCGCTGTCCCTACAAGGACACTATGGCTCCTGTCGAGGAGCCAACCGGTGGTGCTGGTGTGGAAATGGACGACGAGAAGGCCGGTGGTTTGGGTGCCGGTTCTTCCAGCTACGTGCCACCTCACCTGCGTGGCAAGGCTGGTGCTGCTGGCGGCGAAAAGATGGGCGGTCGGTTCGAGAAAGACGATCTCGCGACTCTGCGTGTCACAAACGTACGTTCGATACAATCTACCCGCGCTATATCGGGCACTTTGCGCGTCCGCACTACCGTGATTCGCTTGCTAATCTCATTCTCAACGAGCAGGTCAGCGAGTTGGCAGAGGAAAACGAGTTACGGGATCTTTTCGAGCGCTTCGGCCGTGTCACCAGAGTCTTCCTTGCTCGGGACAGAGAAACCCAGAGAGCCAAGGGCTTTGCTTTCATCAGTTATGCGGACCGGGGCGATGCTCAACTTGCTTGCGACAAAATGGACGGCTGTAAGCTTCCTTTCCCCTTGCATCCAATGTCGAGTTGGGCATAGCCATGATCACATTCAACTAACCTTTCTCTCCAGTCGGTTACCGCCACCTTATTCTCCGCGTCGAATTCGCCAAGCGCTCTACTTAAAATTATTTCGCTTTCTTATTCATGACATGACCGATGCCTCATTTCCTTCTTCTCCTTTTCAGACAGGCTTTCACCTCCTCTATGCCTTTGTACCGTATGATCGATAACGATGATTTTAAAAGAGACTCCATGTCAGATACTTACACTCGTCCGTCCATACAAAAAAAGCAATGGTTTTAGAGATTCCTGCGCGATCTCCTTCCCCCCTTCAAAGGCAAGCTTCTGGCTCCAAGGGAAATCAGATTGTAGTAGCCTTGCCACATAGCTATAGTGAGCTGCCATAGTGAGCTCTCCGGCACCGGCGCCCCTTGTGCAACGCAAACGCTACTTTTCCCCGGTACTTTAGGTTCGGACGCCTGGTTTGTTGCTTCTGAATTTGTATCTGGGAAGTCCTTCGGGTTTTGGATCGGTTGCTTTTTAATTACCTGTAAGATGGTATGCTAATAGCGGTCGACCCGGTATGCCTGACATGTGGTCTCTGATTAAAGTATAGTAAATTGGCAGTATATCCACCGCTGGTTTTTCTCCCCGGTAACTAGGATTTCTGGTAATTTGCAACAATATGCTCATGTCTCCACAGGTGCATGCTGCCCGATACCCCAAATGGAAATTAGAGCCCCCAGGAACCCCTGTCACGCAGCCCGGATATGATTCATGCGCCGCCCCCAAAACCTACTTTTATTTATACCTCTCCAGGGCTAGAGGTTCTTTGCTGCCTCAGATGGACTCACAGGCCCCCAGACGTAAGAATCGACAGGAAATTAGGTTTCGCCTTCCACCTATAGGACGCGTCAATGCTCGGCCGAAGTCATGAGAAGATTGCTGCGCCTAATGCCTGCCCAGCGCCATCTCTATCCGGATCACAGATCCTGCCACTCAGCTGCAACGACATAGATCTAGATCTCTGGCAGCCGGAGCTACTACTCACTGTACACAGAAAACGTCTTTGCGAAATTTCCCGAAACCAAATTGGGTTGCGTTTGCGTCGCACCCGCAATTCTTGTCCAGTGTATCGAGTATGTGAAGACACTTTTCAGTCACAAAAAAACTCTGTTACCAGGCCCAACCCCCAAGCGCCCTCTCATCCCTAGCAGTTTTGGGGAAACGCCCAGATACGCCTCTGCATCGCTACAGGGATCAACGCCTGTCAGCCGAAGCTCATGTTGCTTTCTTGCCCCCAGTTGCCCCTGATCATCATTCCTGTCAGTCCTCCCTTGCTACTCTTGATATGACTAGACCGCAGAACTCTGCGATGCGGCCCCCACGGCGGCATACAGTTTCACAACCCTCCCCCGACACATGTGAAAGGCGTTCGTGACTTCCCGAAGTCCTAGTGGCATTGCATTGCAGGAGACCAAGCGTCATATCAGGCAGGTGCTGTGATCGTGGGACGGGGGACTGCTAGATAATCGATCAGAACAGGCATCTCCTCATGCATGCTTCTCACGAAGGCATCATCTCTGTCGGCTTCATGCCGATGGCCAGGATCATGGAGTTCTGAGTCTTTCATTCTGTGCGACTGGGAGTCGTCTCCGGGTTGGCCACGCGGTCTCCAGGGATGGCAGTCAATGGCCCAGGCGGATCGCCACGGTGTCAAGAAAGAAACAAAGACATTATCAGCAGAGAGAAAAACACACACCAAAAAAATAAAAATAAAAAAAAACTTAAAGTTTCTATTGGGAAGCGGAAAGATACATGAAAAATAGAATAACATGAAATAATAAAACTTTAAGCCAAGACGTTGGCTCCCTGTTGATGATTGCCCGAAGTAGATGAAGTATGTCTCTAAATGGCCTGCCATCCTCCATGCCGGCAAAAGTATAATGCGCCGCCTGACGATCTTCGCGTTGAGGGCTTGTCCAGCGGTCCAATGGTAAATATGGCTCATTCTTCCGCTGCCATCCCGATTTCGTTTGAAGGGAATCCTGGATACCCTGCCCTCTTTTGCCTCATCAATGTATGGCGTATTCTCGGTCTCTGCGTGGCTTGGAGTGGGAACGATGGTGATACTCATCACTGTGGTACGATCCGCCCCCGCTGTTTGAAAATACCAGTTTGATCATGATTCAAGATAGCTGGACGATCGGAGTTGCCAAATGAGAGGCATGGTCAAGTGCTCGATGTGGCTTTTTTTTTCTTCGTCGAGCACATGATCCGTAGTCCTTGTGACGGTCCAAGGATCCTCGCTTCCGCAAGACCAGCGATATTTAGAAAGCCGGCAATTGAAGCCTGTAGCGCCGCAACATTGCCGTCAATTTTTCACAATCCGTGATACGAGGCAATAGACCGCAAGCCCTTGTGTCCGGTTGAAGAAATACATCCGGGCTGGTTCACGGAACGGCCAGCTTAAGCCAATCAGCGGAGGTTCTTGACGGGCGCTCCCGACATAGAAGAGGTTCCAAATCTAGACGACCCAGCGGAATTAACAGACCGTTATTATGATCTTCGTCCCTCACAGATCAACGGGCAACTTCTGGTACCGCTGTGGAGCACCTCCCCGGTGATCGTTTTGAACCCCCAAAGTCTAACTGCGTCCTTTGATCCATGGGTCCTGGAAATGCCACGAACCCACATCCATCTCCCTCAACAGCTTTTACCCCCCCCGGTCTCCGATGGGGCGTTTTCCTTCCGGGGGAGGCAAAGCTGATCCGAGCAGACCCAGGCAAAAGCGAATGCCCTAGACCAGGATTCTGAAGGCCATGGCGTCAGTCTATTGGCCGCGGATCCACCAGGGAGAGCTAGGAGGGCAATGATCCTAGAACAACGGGCATAATCCAGCTGGAGGTCGCGGAACATGGGAATGCCGCCAAATCGAGAAAAAGAAAATATCCAATATCCATATCTAGATTCTCCCAGGACCTGACGGGGCTGCCGATAATGCGCCCAATGTCCTCGCCAATGGCTCGCACTGACTCGCAATAACTCGCCACCGTCTGCGCCCGGGAAGTCAAACCAGTCCCTATCTGCTGCGCCTGGCAGTGCAATCCTGACGTGGGCGGTCCCGGGTGGGGATTAGGTTATTTCGAGATGTTGCGATACACCCGTACATATACTTCCTTTTCGTTTTTAGTTTCTTTTTTTTTTCTCTCCTTGGCCCATCTTCCATCTCTGACCGTTGCAGTCCGAGCCAAGACCTTTCTCTCTTCCCTGCCACAATCTAGCCATCCGGGTGCAACCCGGGAATGGACGGGAATTTGGCCCGAGGCGATTGCAAAGGCGGTCAAGTTGCACAATGTAATTTTATTCTCCGTGTCTCCAAAGCAGGACCTTTTGCTCATCGATACCCCGGCATCATCGAGCACATTACCTGGGCGAGACATGTCCATAGGAATGCCGAGGCACGTGCCCACGAGCAACCCTGGTTGGCGGTCCACATGCGCGAGAGAGGCGAAATTTGAAAAGGATGGGGACGCTTTCTCCCTGGATAAAGGCGGGACTTGTCTCAGGGAGCCATGCAACGTCAAAACCCCCCAACCTCTAGTCCCGGGGGATTTGCGCGGACCGAACCATGGATTCGCTGCGTTCATGCAGGCAGGGAGCTATATAGTTCTTTCACGGGTAGGAAACTCAAAACCCCTCCTCTGCACGAGTCGAGGTACCTGCAGAGGAGGAACCGGCGGGAGAAAGAGAGGGAGAACATGCCAGTCCCTCCTAGTCGGGTCATTCCCTATGGTTCCCCTTCATGTAGTTATATCCCATAGTGTGTGATAATGTCCGCGTAAGGCAGATGTGATAGCGTCTTGAGTGGAGTCGCCGGTGGGAACCCCCCTCCCCTCCGTCGGGAGGATCGATCTCGACACCCGAGGACGTGGGTCTTGGACATGAGGAGCTTCAGAGGTTCAATAGGTCGAAAGCGAAAGAGGAGAGGATGGACAGAGATAACCCGATTTCCTCGTACAGTTCTGATCAGAGCAAAGGAGTAGGCCATGGGGGAAAGTACCTTTTTTCCGTTTTGTGAGGGTGGAACCCCCGCACTATTAATTTCCATCTCGTACTTGACCGCTGCCTAGACCTCCCTCTATGGGCCGGAGTATTCATCCCCACATCCTTCAAGCCCTAAAAAAAGCCTCCCTAAAGCTCCGCGATCCAGAATCCTAAGGAGCCAGACTCCAGGTTCCAGACTCTTTGTCTCTTTGTTTTCTCTTCTCCCCCGCCGGAACAGGTAAAAGCCCCGGACCAAAACCCCCCCTCAACTTTCCCCTCTTCAACGGATGATCTGCCGCCAACCCCAAGTCCCCTACTGATTAGGTTTGAGCCCGAATCGGGCTGATCGGAAGGGAAATGCAGAAGATGCCGAGTTTGGGACCATCACACCAAATCACATCCCCCTGGTGGTCCGTGGGGAGGTGGAAGGCACCTGCACAACATACTATTTGCGCTTCAGCACCGTCATCCAGAGGTTCCAGTCTCCCATGTACCGATCCAGGCATTTGATGCACCAATCATCTCTCACCGGGTACTCCAGCTGCCCCTCATCGCCTGCCATCTGGCCCAGTTAGTGCGCTGCAAGAGAGCCGATCTTCCCAGGAGCTAATGCAGCTTCGACGAACACGATCCGGGCGGGACGGTCGTAGATGGGAAAGGATCTGCGCTTTTCGTCAGGTTCTCCCCTTGCACGGCACCGCCGTCCATGATCCTGTGATTTGAAGATGTCATAACCCCTCGGTCTCTCCGAAGAGAGGGGAAAAAAAATAGTGGTGGACCAGTGGGGCTACAAAGTTCATTCTGGAAGAAGCTATCGGGTACGGACCGCCCACCATCCTTCCCGCTGCAACTACTTTTTGGCGGCCTGGAAGGTGGGTCCTTTTTCCCAAACAGATGGAGACTTGGGGGGCTTTATTTGAGCATGGTTAGCAGTCTAGGACCCTGCGCAGTATTGGCATACTGCGTAGATTACGCTACAGCCTCGAGCGCTACAGGCCCGTCTGGGGCTTTGCCCCTCGTTGGGTCCTGGCCTTTCCTCTTTCCCCCCACCCTCCGCGAATTGACCCCGAGGGAATGGTTCAATCCTACGCTTTTCCCTTTTCCCTTTTCCCTTTTTCTTTTTTCCTTTTTTTGTTATCATTATTTTTTTTCCCCCAGGGTGAATGCTTGGGTCTTGTCGGTGAAGACCTGCCAGCATGCCAAAATGCACCTGGCTCGATCAACAAAGTTGATCGGCTGATCAATCTCCCTGTTTCAAGCATCTTCTTTGCTCGTGCGGTGGTTCTATCTTTGGACCAGGCAGGGATGATGGATCTGGAAGCTCTCCAGGATAAGCCACAGTGAAATCTAAGTGCCAAAACCAAAACCAAAAAAAAAGCCAATACTAGTAACTCGCCGAGCTTAGAAAAAGACAAAAAGGTAAATACTGGCAGCACTATGACAGGTGTCCCGGGAACACGGGACTGTTTTCCAGGGGGTAAAGGAAGGTAAATGAAGCCTCTAACTCAATGCTCTGGCGAATGAACTTGCGGGACTATCATGGCCTGATACATCAGTAGGCGAAGCAGAGGATGCACGGGTATCCTTGGGATCTTGCTGATTGCCCTCGTAGTTTCATCTTCATTGGATTTCATGCTGCAGCCCGTTTCTCGGGTGTTCGCGCTGGGACATCTGACTTTATCGGATCCTGGGATTGGCATTTGGGAAATACATCATCTCTTCTTTACCCACTTGGGATCGACCGTCCGTGCTTTTTGGGGGGGGAGGGGATGCTCCCAGGGCACGTAACATGGATGGGGATTCTGGCCAATGCCATGCTCCTGGAACAATCAAACTGTCGAGAGCTCGGGTCAATGATTCGATGCTACAGTTGCTATGGGGGCGCCCGATACCTTTTGGCTCTGCTTGACCGGGACCAGGATCCCAGAAAAAAAAAATACCAATAAAAAAAAATGGAGAGGGGGGCTTGGGCCAAATTCTCTTTTCGATAAAACAAATTTATTTATTTTTTCTGTGGAAGAAAAGCGTGCTTTTGGAAATGTCCTTTTTTTTCTTTAATTTTGATTTCTCTTTTTTGAATATTTTACATTTTCTCCCCAAATCTATGAGAAAATTAAGGAAATCCCAGCCCAGAACCTGTTCTGGTTGGACCCCTACGCAAAATACGCAAAATGCGCAAAATGCCTGCTGCCACCCACTTCTCACCTTACCGGATACAACGTATTCGCCTGTCCCTGGCAGGTCCAGAACTCTACAACTCGTGGCGAGGTCTTCGTCGGCGATGATCTGAGGCTACTTGGAGGGGTCCCGGTTTTGGCAGGGCCGTCCAGGTTGGTCTGGCATCCCATCGCGCAGAAAACAAATATCAATTGCATGCACACCTCGATTCCTCGCTACGTCGATTTCTCCTCCCACTTTCCAGCCCAGCCACATTTTCCCAAGGCCTCTCCAAAAGAAATTATTCGAATTCCTCCAAGGTCTGTGGAGGCTCTTGCTTTGGTGCATTATTCCTTTCATACGTTCTTGCTTTTCCCTTGGGGCTCTCTGCTGTCTGGCTTAACGGGTCGTACGTCTACAACTGACGAAGTCAGTCTCCAACGTAGAGTCGTCCCTCTTGGAACGGCTCGCATATTGCTGAAATCTCCCTGCCACCCCCCATACGAAGGCCCAGCCTGTTTCACCATTGAGGACTGCTGGGGTCGCTGTCCACCAAACACCCTCCTCCGGTACTTGTACCGGATTACATCAGTAAGTTTACTTTCCACTGATGTTCCTTTTGGGCCCTTTGTCATGACCAGATTCTGTTTTTCCCGTATTACCTTTGCGTTTTTTATTATGCTTTCTTTTTCACTTTCTTGTTTTGGGGGGGGGTTGAATTGCCATCAGGCTCTCCCCGGGGGCCTTGATGATCTGGTGCGCGGGCACATTGGTCCCGTCTAGCTGGACATGACCTTGGGACAATCCACAGTCTGGATATGACATCCCTCCAATCGTAAGAGATTGTCTATCTATGGCCCCTGCCCGTGTGGATCTACCTAGACACTTGCTGCATGGAATGCTGGTATAGACTGCTCGCCTGGGACCCGCTTTAGCACGGTCTGATCCTAATTATCGTGGTGATCCTCTTGACACCGTTCGTTTGCTCCAATGGGCTTTTCTGGCTTCGTCGATCGTGAAGCATCGCTATCTACACGCTGCATCCCCACTTACACCTCTCTAACTTCCCTTTCTCTTCCCATCGTTGCCTTGGAGGGCTTTTCCCTGGTGGTACACCTTGTCATTTCCGTGGCTAATTATTTTGGATTTTGTCGCTCTGTGGGGTCCTAGTATTGTACGCAGTACGAATCACTTTTTTTTTTTCCCTCATCCACTTCCCCGTTGCGATTGCCTTGTCATCTGCAGTACCTTCGACTCGCACGTTCCCTCATTTATTCCGACTCCACACATGAGCAGTCGAATATAAAGTGGACTGGACTTGATCCCAGCTGCTAACCTGCCTGCTCTAGACATCCAACCCTCCTCGCCACTGAACATCAACAGCCAGGCAACGATTTGGATCGTTGGTGCAACCTCAATCTCCCCATAGCTCAGGGTCCTTGAGCCGCCGAGAAAATCAACAGGATCAAGATGAACCACTGTAAGTCCTATGCCTTGCAACATGGCCGGTATTTGTCTTTCCTGGAAATCGCTGGTGGGAAGGAGGGAGGGAGGGCTGTCTGGCAACTTGCATCAATATCCAGCTAACTTGCTTCAGCTTCTCTTCTGCCCGAATCCTTTGCCATGGACTGCCCCGTCACCACAGAAAGTGACTATATCAGCTCTCATGTGACAGGATTCCCAAGCGACGAGGATGATAGCCAGCGAGTCGGAGGGCTTTCCTCCATCTCCTCCATGCCCGTCACCAACGGCGTGCGGTACCACACACAGCAGCCTGCGATGCAGGACTTACAGTAAGTTATTCTCCTGTTTCAAACCGGGCTGCTTTTTTTCATTATTATTATTTCTTTCGCCCCCTCCCTTGTCGACGCGCTTCCTCCGGGTCCGGGCAGCTTGAACTTTAGTCCAGCCTGGTTCGGTACTTTCCATACCGATCCGCTACCTGCATGCGCTTCTTCCGATGTTTTGCTCTTTTTTATCTCAACCTGTCTTGTTCCTTCATCTACTGTTGGCTTGATTACCTTTCCCATCGTTCTTTCTTCCCTTTTCGTCCTCCATCTTAACACATCATGGTTTCCGCGCTGCGCATGGTTTTCCATGATATCTTGTGTATTTCAATCGCCTCGAGCCAGCCTCATTGTTCGTTGGTGGTATGGTTTTGCTAAAGTGATCGACCCCCCGTAGCTTCCCTGGTTCGACGGCACTTACAATGACTCCACCAGATTCTTGCTCCGGTGAGTCCATATTTCCTTTTTGGTCCTTCTATCGGCCAGTGGTCGATCTGGGCTAACAATCAGTCGTGTTCAAAAGATTCTTTCTCCCCAACCTCCGGTCCTCTATTCACATACCCTGCTCAGCAACCCAGTTCGTACGATCGCATGGCAGAGTTTCGACGCGGAGGTCTATCTCTGTAAGCTTTATCGTTGATCGGAAATAACTTCGGGCTAACAAGAATTCTCTCTATAGTCAACCTCTCGCTGGAATGTCTTCTACTATGCAAGCTCCCAATCATGGACTGGGCGCCGTGCCAGGACTGATGGGCCGGAATAACAGCTACGGCTCGTCGTATGCATATCATCGAGGAATGGGGTTGCCTCTGGCAGGCGTGAATGATATTTCTCGGACTCATCAATATCCGGGGAACCCTCGAGCTTTGGATGGTGTCCTCGACCGACCACAAACGACCTTATTTCAGCAGCCCATAGTGGAATCTTCTCAACGGTCTCAAGCACAAATCGAGGCACCTCCCTTCGATGATACGAATCATGTTGAATCCATTGTGGCAGACTTCGGGACTTCACAAACGGAGATCAAGCCAGAAGTCCACGCAAAAATTGGTCGAGGCTTCTTTGCCTCCGACGGGAAGTGGACGTGCTACCGTCGGAACTACTTTGCTGTCACTTGCAGCTTCAGCCTGCACCCATGGCCCTCTACTGTGCCCCTGTATCTTCGACGCGATAATCAAACGCTTTCTCCCATTCGAGGCTTTGCCATGTCGATTTCTGCGATTGTGAACGGTATCTATGGAGACACCCGTGAGCTTGTTCAGCATACACCCAAGAGAGACAAACAGTCCGAACGCAAGCCCGGACGAGTCACCCTCCAGCCATCTCCCCCACCATCGCTGACTGCAGGGTCCGCGGGGAATGGCACACATTCCGGCTTTGCCCTGGGATCGCAGTCCCTCGACTACAATGGCTCTTTCACAGGGGCACCCCAGCCATGTCAACCCCCCACATCCCACATGTTCGAGCGAATTCAATTCCAGAAAGCCACCGTCAACAACGGCAAGCGCCGCGCAACGCAACAATTCTACAATCTCGTTGTCGAATTACATGCAGAAGTGTCCGACGCGGTGACCGGTGAATCAACCTGGGTCCAGATCGCTCGCCGCCACTCTGACCGGATGGTCGTCCGAGGCCGATCCCCGGGGCATTACAAGGACGGGCGCCGGGACAGCACCGCTAGCATGGGCCCTGACGGCAGCAGCGGAGACGGCGGGAGTAGTCTCCCTCACGGAATGACCCAGGCGCACTCACACCTTATATACGACCAAGGGCCTAGGAACATCTTGGGATACGGAAGGACCGACTACCGCCATATGCCTACCTCAGAACACTCTCCACTGAGCGATAGTCCTCTTGTTTCATCGTCATCATCACCTGGTTTCGACTACTCGATGATGGATGATACGATGAACCCCATGGACACGATCAAGACCGACCCATACCAAGACCCCGTTTTCTCAGGCGTCAATACACACTATCGTGCCAGTACCGGAGGTTTCGATCCGGTTTACTCTTCTTACGGTCGCCATGACCCCCTCCCTAACTCTCACGGGCTATGCACTTAGGCGCGAATCTATTTCTTTTCTCTTTTGTCTTCATTTGCAATTTTTTAGTTTTTTTTTTTCCTTCTTTCTCCTTCTTTTTTTGACTCTAGTGTTTCGCACGTAGAACCAGGGATGGAGGGATTTTGGTGGTGCAGAACGGCGCTGGAAACGAATTTATGGCCCAGAGACTTCCTTTCTTTGTTTCATTATTCTTATGATTATTTTTGGTTACTTCTTCTTCTTCTTTTTTCTTTCTTTTGACATATTCGTTATACTTCTACGCTAACGCTTTGGTTCTAAGTCTACATCTCTGTTCTTCGGCAGAGCTTTGGACAGACAATATCTCCCAGTTATTTGAGCATCGACTCGGTTGAGTGGCTGGGATGCATTGTTCCATTTTTTGTCGAGAGCCTTTTATGATGACTTTTTCTTCATGACACCCACTATTCTCCTCTGACTGTGTTCCTACCTGAGGCAAAAAAAAAGGAGAGGATACAGAATGGACCCCCAAGAATGATATCAGAAAGTCCTACTATACCACACCCCATCCAATCAAGATTCAACAGAAACCATCCCAACAAAGTAATATCAGTAAAACCAAGCCTCGCCGTGTTTGCTCTATGCGCTCTCCCATATTGGTACCGCACCTCCCCGATTCGCTCAGTCCGCCAGGAACCGTTATTTGCTGTGGTTCTGGCCCGACTCACAATCCGCGCTAGAGTGCGCGCGGTTGCAGGGATCCGTCAGTCTGACGCCCAACGGGATCCTGGGATGTCCTCCCACCCACGCTCAGTCCATCGGCCGCACTTCTCCCGTGGTCTCTACTCAATCTGATGAGTCTGGAGTTTCCTTGCTAGGCGTCTGCCCCCCAATCAGCGTCCTCGGCCTGGCTTGCCAACTGCTACTGTGGCTGATAAGGATCAGCTGGCGGCCTAATTAAAGCTGCTGGATCGGCAGGCTAGGCTTTGGCTTAGGAGCGGGATGACAGGGGCGGAGCAGATTAAAGGGGGATTGAGTGGCGTATCTATAGCATCGAGTTGCTTATGCCCCTTTGCCCCGCCTGGAAAGTCCATAGAGAGAGGGATCAATAACCTACAAGCCCTGTTTCCTGGGGTATGGAAAAGGTGGATGTGGATGTACTTTGTTCTCATCTGGAATAGACATCTTGATCTAGCCCTACTTCTTCTTTGAGGATTTCCTTCACAGATGCACCTCACACAACTCCAGAGCAAGACAGGTGCCGGGGAGGAGCGGGGGAGGAGAAAGATTTGGGGTCAAGGCAAGGGTATCGTGATGACAGCTTAGCAGCCCAATCAGACGGAACCTTGGAACTTGACCTACCCGCCTTGTGGGAGCCGTGGACAAGGAATACCCCATTGGTATAAGCTTTGGGAAGTAAGGTGCGTCAAGCTGGTATTTGGGAGGGGAAGATGCATCTCCACGGGGGCATCATCCGTACAATGGACAGCATGTCAGACCTAACAGACCAGTCACAAATCCCCGGCGCGGCTCAAGGTTTTGGAATGCGTAGATCCCCCGCCCTGGTCGGTAGGATCGACCGTGCAGGATTTATTACATCTCGACTCAGCCCGGTTGCAGCGATGACTTGATACGCATGATGTACATGCAAGGCTGGGCGTGCTAAGGCTCATGGGTAATTTATGCGAGACAGCAATAGCCTTGGAGATTTTCTTTTATTCTTTTTGTATTCTTTTCTTTTCTTTTTTTGGTCTGGCGATAAGGGCTCTCTTCCCAGTTGGCGATCAGTAATATGGAACTAATCATCGCAGGGAAGAGCTTGAGATATTTGATTTTGCTACCAAAAAAGAGAAGGGAGTGTTCTTGCAGATGACCTCGTGATTCTCGTCCTCTGCGGTTCGGCAAGTCCTGTAGCTTCATGCTACCTTTTGGCTCTTGCTGGCCATGTAGCTTGCCTGATGACCAGGGCCCTGGTCCCTCCTGGCCCTGCGCTGCGAGTTTGAGAGGACTTCACCTGGGGCTTGGGCCTCTTGTTGGAGCAGAGCCCCTCCACAGTCAGAACTAGTCATGGGTATATTACGCGTCCCAAAACGGCTTCCGGCTGGGATTCTCGTCTCAATTCTTATTGGAGCGGTACTTCCAATTCACGCTCGAGATTTACCTAGTTTGGTCTTTCTTTCTTTTTTTTTGCGCCCGGTCATCTATGACAGGACGCGCCTGGCTGGTCGTGGCGACATGGAGCTGACTATCAAAGCAGAGCCCTAGGCCGGCCAATAGATCACCATCAGCTATCATCGTCGTCTGATGCCCTAAACATTGGATGTCGTACAAAGGCCGACGGCCGAGAACACGGGCACTATTTCGAACGTGCAGGATCGACTCATGTGCACGCTCACAGCGATATATCGGTGTAACTATACTGTGTCGGCGAATGAGAACAACCATGATCTCATTTGGAGAGTGGCATTAGTACCTCGCTCAGCCTTGTTGGCTCTCCACCTGCTCGGCTCCTATTGGAGTTGGTTGCACAGCAGATGGAGGCGCCTCTTACTTCCGAGATGGTAGTGGTGGGTTGGATCATCTCGTAGCCATTGGTGGATGTTCTTGCAGGATCTGGCTTCCAAGACGCATTGACATATCTGAAAATGGATTTCTCGTTCATGCTGATCTGCTGTTCGGCAAGTTATTCATCGAGGAGCTCTTGATCCTGGTCCGAGACGCGTATGCGTACTAAGGTATTGGAAATACATTTGCACATTTGGACCCTGAGCTGTCCGTACAACAGCAATCATCTTACGCGTAACCTTCGCTCTCAACTAAACTACCGCAACGAGATGTAGAGCAAGAAGCCTGAGATTGGCTCGGTACTGATCCTTATCTAATGTCGATCTACAGAACGCATTGTCAAGTTCATCGAATCACATCTTTTTCAGGCAAGGACCTCGGATTTCGAAGAAAAAAAAAAACACCAATTGCAACGACCTGAACCAGGCTGTACTAATCCCAACATCTTAGTTCAGTCCGAGTCATCCACCTGCCCAACAACCGTTCTCTCGTCAATGCCGTCGACTCCGAATGCACCCAAGCACCCCTTCCCGTGACCACTCAGCCCTAATCCAATCTCAACCTTCGCCCCCCAAAGAACCAGTTGGCCAAGTTTGACAACCAGGTCTCGGGCCGTGCATACCGGGATTTCAGTCCGTCCGATTTTGCCGGCCTGGTTCGATGAGATTCTGCGCTGGGCGTCAGCACCGATCAGCATTTTCTCCGGTGTTTCACATTCAACGGCGTCCGGGGGGCTTCTGGCGGTTGATGGTTGCACCTGTTCTGCGTAGACGGACCCTGGGGAGGACACGTGAAGTGTGGCTTCCGATTCGAGTTCTGACGAAGTCTCCCTAAGGGGTAGTTTGGTAGCTAATATTATGAGGGATTACCATGTGCTTTGGGGTCATTTCACTTTGGATGGAGGGTCTAGAGGTTTCGGGGGGGTACTATCAGGTGGACTGGTATACATTTCCGACAATCCGGACGGCAATCCGGGCAATTGAACTCTTCCATTGGTACGGGCATTCAGCTTGGCTATTCGAGGGGTTATTTCCCGTTGCAATTTCACAACAAAAATAGCTAGTAGACCCACACATCGAGCCAATTCCTAACAACGCATATAGTACGTGCTGGTGGTAGACAAGATACAAGATATGACCATCTCCTGGAGCCCCCTTCCCCTCCTCCCAAACAGACCAACAGAAACAAATGCATGCATGACCAACGCCGAAAGCGCATCTCAATTCAGACCCCATCGAGTGGCGGAGAATAAAATGCCCTGTCATTGGCCCCTCGCCACCGAGACCAGCAGATTCGCGATCCAAACCGGTGCTGCACCCTTGTCCTCTCAGCCGCCAAGAATCTTCCGACTCGCATAACTGGTACAGAAGACAAGCGGCTTTGCGGAGAATCGCAATGGCCGCTATGCTTCGCACGGACGATGCACTCCCAGCACGGGCTGTTCCAATTTCCTTGTCTGCCTCAGACGCAGAGGTACTTTTTAGAGTATGTCTCCAATGCCGGCTGGGGGGGGTGGGGGGCGATTGTGGCGTAGAGCTGGTAGGCTCAGGATGTTCATGCAGATAGAAAGGCAAAAGGCAGAGGCAGTTTGTTTTCAAAGGGAGGTCGAATTGGCTGGGCTGGAGAATTCATTGCGAAATGCCGAGACTGGATGTAGCAGATATCCCCAATATTCCCATCCACTAAGCCGCCGTTCTCCGGGAGGGACAATGATGCGAGGGACTTTCTTGCTTTTGGGAGACACTCATTTACCCTCGTTGCTCTCGCCTTCTCTCACCTGCGAGATTCGCACGGCGAGCTTGCGGTCCAGTGCCTCCTGCTCTTCCTGCGATGCCTTCATTCCCAACGCGCTCTCCACTTGCGGAGAAAGCCACAGACCGATTGATGCCCAGGCCATCACGCCGACCCCGAAGAGGGCCCGTGTTTTCGGGGTGAGACCGCGATATGAGCTAGAGAGTCGGAGGGATTAGTTCATGGTTGATATAGGAGGCTTATTGAGGGCTAGCAAACCTCCAAAGAGACATTCTGGTAATCTTTTATGTCAATCAAGGACGAAAATCGCACAGGGGTAGGTTCAGAGCTTGAATCAAGTTGCGGAAGATTCGCCATGTCACGTGGGCCTGCTAACTAGATTCGGTCACCAATGGTCAGCCATTGTTCGAAGCCCTTGGTTGAATATCTGTAGAAAAAGATCACATAGATCTCCGATGAAAATTACATTCTAGGTTCATAAATATTGGTCATCTCGAACGATGTGGATGGTTTATACAGGCTTGTGATTAGGGTACGTGGACCGGAAAAAAACTCATCGCAATGTAATTGCTGAATTCGTAACTATTCGTCTATACCGTGGTCGGAGCACAAGGCTACGGGATCACGGAAGAAGCATATCAACAAAGCAATCGAGGCGACCATCAACCGCAGACAGATTCAAAAGCGCAAAAAGGATAGCAAAAGCATTAAGAAAAAAACCAGAGGCATGAACCACCGAAAATCCAGTGGAGGTTATCGATCAGCCAGTTGGACTGAGAGGTGGGGGGGGGGCGCTTTCTTGAAGGTCTCGAGCCTATTTCTTGCCGTAGGCCTTGTCGATTTCGGCACGGTAGGTCTCCGTAATCTTTTTGCGCTGCAACTTCTGTGCGGCAGTCAAGAAGCCCTAAATGAGAGAGATTAGCAAATGAATCCACAATTCAAAGCTATAGAGTCAAAAAGCTTACGTTGTGAGGAGTCCATTCCTCGTCGGCCAGAACGACACCACTGATAATCTCGATACCTCGAAGCCCACTGGCGCGAGCAGCGCCCTGCAGCTGCTGAAGAACAATTCCGTTAAGCTTCTCGTCGTGGACAAGAGTCTCGAGGCTTTCACCCTGGATACCATTATCGTTGGCAATCTTCTTCAGGGCAGGCTCCGCAGGCACAATGATAGCGACAGGCTTGTCCTGATCCTGGGCAGCATAGACACAGATATTGTGCACAACAGGAACAGATCGGTATACAGACTCGAGCTTCTCCAGAGCAATGTACTCGCCATTCAGGGTCTTGACCAGGTTCTTCTTGCGGTCGATAATGGCCAAGTGACCGTTCCGGTCAAACTGGCCGATATCGCCAGTCTTGAACCAGCCATCCTCAGTCAGCGACTCCTTGGTCTCGTCTTCGTTCTGGTAGTACCCAGAAGTGACACTGCCACCACGGATCCAGATCTCTCCTTGGGGTGGATTGTTCTTGGAAAAGTATCCGGCGTCCGGGAAATCGACCAGCTTGACCTCAACTGAGGCAGGCACCTCCCCCCAGAGCTTCCGGGTTCCAGGCCAGAGGGTCGTTGAGGGCTCCCATAGCCGAGGTCTCGGTCAAACCGTAACCGTTGATCATAGGAGCAATGGCCATAGACAGGAATCGCTGGGTTTCCTTGGAGACGGGACCACCCCCGTTCATCATAATACGCATGTTACCACCGGTAGCTTCCTTGAGTTTCTTGAAAACAACAGCGTCGATGATGGAAGCACCGATGCCAGCCCCAGGAATGCCGTAGTTCATCAGGAAGTTCTTGGCAGACATACCTCCCCAGAACAAGCTCTTGACAATGAAGTTGTTCTTGTTGAGCTGGGCGAGCACGCCCTTCTTGACGGTCTCCCACACCGCAGGAACACCCACCAAAATGGTAGGCTTGAATTCGCGAATATCTCCCTTGCAGTTGCGCATGTTGGTATCGGACAGAGTGCGAGGGTTTCCGTAACCCATGGTACCACCCCAAAACAGACAGAGGTTCTCAAACACGAATTCCAGGATGTGCGCTTGCGGGAGGTAGGTCAGAAGGGAGTCCTTGACGCCGATTAATGGGCCAACAATGACATTGATACCAGCCACTATTCAATGAGAATTAGTAAAGGTTCTCAAAATATGATCTGTGGGGAATGGGGATTCACTCACCGGCAGCAATAACGTTAGCTTGGGTCAAGGAGACACCCTTTGGAGGGCCGGTTGAGCCGGAGGTGTACATGATACAGCACAGATCCTCAGGCTTCGGTGGCACTGGGTCTACCGGGTGCTCCTCGCCCCCCTTGCGGATATCATCGAGACTGTGCACTGAGATATGGCTAAAGTCGTTCTTCAGTCTGTCCAGGTCCTCTTGCTTCGGTTCGCCATCGGTGTTGTGGATAATGTGCTTGATCGAAGGGACGTCTTTGAGGACATTGGTCAACGACTTGATCAAAACGGTGTCGAGGAAGATAGCTTCGCTTTCGGTCTGGACCAGAGAGTGCTTCAAGCCCTCCTCTCCCAGGGTGTCGTACGCGGTCACGATCGTGATTGATTGAGATGCAGCGCCTAGGGAGAAAGTTTAGCGGCCGTATAGGCGTAAGACAGAGAGTATCATGGAGGGGGGGATTTTCTAACCGTGAGACATAGCCAACCAGTTTGCGCTAGGAATAAAGGTTAGCCCACCGCGCTTTTATCCCATTCCTCTCGGAAGCGCTTACCTGGTGGCACCGTAGAGATGGATCTTGCTATCCTTTTCCAGGCCAAGCTTGCGCAAGCCACTGCCGAGCTGAAGGCAGAGCTGCTCATACTCGAGGAAGGACTTGGATGTGTATCCGCTCATCTCGAAGTAGGTCCACTGCTTGTCAACCTCCTTCTCCACTCCATCGACAACTTTCTTCACCTTCTTGTTCTCGGTGTGCGTCTTGATTAGGCGACGGCTGGCGACAGCCTTGGAGTTGCCGAAGAGGCGGGCGGAGCGGCGGAAGTTGTCGTAGGTAGTCGCGACATCCTCTGAAGGGCGCAGGATGAGGCCATCCTTAGCTTCTGGGTGGCGGCGAGGGATGGTCTCGCCCTCAACGGGCTCAACACCGGGCACCTCGACGGTGAAAGGGCCCTTCTTCACAATCCGCGGGAAGACATGAGCGTCGTGCAAGTCGCCCTTCGCCATTCTGTGTACTCAAAGGAGGCTTTCTCGATATAGGGAAAGAAAGGAAGACAGCGGGGATCGAAAAATCCACTGAAGTCCGGGCGGGTTAGCGCCAGTTGCTAGTTTTCTAGCTTCGCGGTGGAGGGATCCGGAAGCAAAACAGGGAGCTAAAAAAAGAGAGCTTACCGGTGGATCTATCGGGCGAGACCAAATCACACCTATTGAAATCGCCAATGGACTCGAGTCTCGGGGGTGAGGAAAGAAAGACGCTGGAAGATCTGGGAGGATCTGGTGGTTCTTGAGGATACGGACTTGAAGGAGCTCGGGTGCCTTTCAGGTCTCGAGGCCAATTTGCGATGTGGCTGGACTTCGGAATGACGCAGCACGGTTTTACTTGCTCCCCGGAGGTACTTTACGGGGTACGAGATTACGGGGTACGGGATTACGTCGCCATGCAGGATTTAGTTCTTTCAGATTATATTGAAAATCAACGCCTTCGAATGTTCTCGTCTCCTACGGGTTCCTACCTATTCAACTAAGGGCAGGCAATGCGAACGGTCCCCTCTCCCTTTGCTCAGGTTGCTCGGGTTTCTCTACGCAGTATTTTGACCCGTTTTATCCGCGGACGATCAATTACCCTTTTGGCCATTTGTTGGGGCAACGCCCAACAATGTGGGGAACCGCTTTGCCGCATTTCAGTCGGCGCTTGAGTAGATCATCTGGGCAGCTTCGAGTTCGATTTACTCGAGTTGTGTGCAGGTAAAGAGAAAGGAAAAAGAAGAGAAAAAAAAAAATCTTTGGGCTTGACAGGTAGATTCGGAGCGCAGGTCCCGTGATCATTTGGATCTGCTCGAAGGCGAGAGACCATCTGGTACCTCGTTAAAGAAAGCCCAATCTCCGCCTGCATGATCTGATTTGACGTAGCGATGAGTCCCTCCCTGCGCGAACTCTTCGCGACGGGCGAAGAGGTATTGGACGCCGAAGAAGGTAAGACAGATCCTCGCCCTGGCGATCCAAGCCGCTCACCAACCATCGCCAGAGGCGTTTCTACTATTCAGTCAGGACATTCCCACGGCCAATTTGGGCTTTGTGGATTCTCGCGCAACGGAGGTCGAGGTCGCGATCCGGGACGTTGAATACACGATCCATCAATCACCGACGCTTCTCGCTTCGTCTCGAGCTGGCGGGACCACAGGGGCTGGTACGTCCTAGCTTTTCCCTCCGATCCTGCATTGTCCCCAGGCACCCCCGCACTTGCTCGTACAAGGTTCTTATGTGCCGACGGGTCTAGGTCGACATGTCGCTGGGTGCTGAGCCGAGGCTTTGCGTCCAGACTTCACTTGATCATTTGACGTGCATAGCTTATGCCCCCTTTGTGCTGTGCTAAAGGCCGCCGCGCAGAAAAGTTGTGGCAAGCCCCGGCGCACTACGGCCCATTCGATCGAGACCAAACATGATACAAGTAAAAAATTCTAGCGTCAACCCAACTAACATACCAACCGGTAGTCCTGTGGAAAATCACCCCCCCTCTTCGCACAATGGATCTCCTCCCCTTCTAATCCGCTCTGGAAACATTCCCTGCTGTCTTCTGATTCCACCGTGGCCGAACTCGGCTGCGGTATCTCCGCCCTCGTCGCTCTGACCCTGGCCCCCTCTGTCCAGCACTATATCGCCACGGACCAGGAATACGTCCGCCGCTTATTCCGCACTAACCTGGAGGCTAACACCTCTGCCCCCGCCTCTGCCTCTAAACCGAAGTCGAAATCCAAGTCCAAGGTGAAGGCCTCTGCCCCGTCTGCCCTGAATATTACTTTCACGACTCTGGACTGGGAACTGGATCAGCCCGGCCTGCTGAAGAGCTGTATTGAGGGCTCCCAGTCGACCTCCGAGGACCTCGGCTTTGATCTTCTAATTTCTTGTGATTGTATCTATAATGAAGCCCTTGTGCCACCCTTTGTGCGCACTTGTGCCGAGCTGTGTCGGCTGAGACCTGTGTATCATGATACGCAAGCGGATGGGGCTGGGGCACAGCCGACGATCTGTGTAGTCGCGCAGCAGCAGCGGTCGCCAGAAGTTTTTGAGACGTGGTTGCGGGAGACCTTGAGGTATTTTAGGGTTTGGCGATTGAATGATGAGGTGCTGGGGGATGAACTGAAGGGAGGGACGGGATATTTGGTACATTTGCTTCTGGTCAAATAGATTCGCTGGACAGCTATATCACAACGTAGATGATAAGATGCGGGCTTTGGTGGACTGTACTCTTCTTTTTTCAGTTATAGCCGCGTGGTATTCTCTCCTATCCTGAAGAGGGTTCAACGTAAATTGAAACTTTACACCGGGAGGTGCAAATTCAAGAAAATCACGGGTTAAAAGAAGGCCGGATGCTCAGATCCAAGCCTCGTTATCATTACCGCTGTGCTGACATGCAAATTATAGACATGGGTCGCCAATGTAACAGGGTGGGCGTAAAGCAACGCGATTAAACATGTAGATACCGACAAGCCACCCAAAACAAGAATGGATATTGAAAGAAAAAGGCAATGATCTGAAAACTGACGATGCTCAACAAGAGGCAAGTTCGAAAGAACCACTCTGATGCAATGATTTTAGTATCGGGCAACGCTCGCCACAACTATACAAGTCCAGTTCTTGATACAGGTCTCTACTCAGCAGGAAACCGCTCATTCAAATTAGGCTCGGCATTCTCCTTGTCAGGCGAATACTCGAACTTTCGCTTCGCGGGCACCGCCGGCTCCGGCAAAGGAGTATGAGTCTGTGACACTGACTCCGAAGGCGGCAAAGAAGCCGGCGCCTCTCTGGGCTCCGACTCGGGCGTGTCCGGGGTGCGGTCGATAATAGAGGAAATGGACTGTTTGGTCGAGCCATTGACGGGTTTGGGGAGGGGGAAAGGTCCCGCGCGCCAGGCGTTGCTTGGACATCACGCACGGGGTGATCGCGGTCCACGCCCTCCGTCTTGACGGGGTAGGGCTCGGAGTCCTCGACATCGTCGTAGTCGGACTCGTCGCCCTCGCCTGTCTCGTCCTCACGGTCTAGCAGAGCCGAGCCACCCTGACTGTCGTCGGTAGAACCGCGGTGGGGTGCGGCGACAGGGGGTAGCGGAGCATTGGGGTCGTAGACAATGCCACATAATTCCAGGGCGCGCGACTGGCTGCCTAGAGTGCGGTCCTTGTGCTTCTTTGTCAGATGGCACATGAAGCCGTGCAGGGTGACGAAGTCTGATTTGCCACAGCCCTGGATTGGGCAGGTCAGATATACTAGGCTGCCATCGGAGGGACGCTTCCACAATGCGCGACCTGACGGGTCGTGGGCAGCTGGGCGGCCGTGGCGCTCGCCCCATGCCTCTACGTTCTTGATGGTGTATTTTTGTTTACGTCGGAGAGGACCGGTGCCGTTTGAGGCATCGTGTGCGACAATGGGATGCTGATGATGCTGCGGGAGTGGTGGGTGAGCATGATGTTGAGGTTGAGAATGCGGCGGGAGTTGAGATGGATGCTGGGGTGGAGGTGGTGGTCCATGGGGATGCTGATGAAGGTGGACTGGCGGCGGCATATGAGGTGGAGGTTGTGGCGTCTGTGATACAGGTGGCAGCGGAGTCTGGCGGGGCTCTGGAGGACTTTGTTGTTTGAAAAACGCGAGCGTCGTAGCAGCACTGGTCTCTGACAGCCGCCGTGGAGGAGTAGGGCGCAATGGAGGCGAGTCGCCAGCTCCATTGGGTCCCAAGCCCATAGATTCCCTCTTAAGCCTCTTCCGTTGCCTGCGGAGGTCCTGTTCAAAGAGACATTAGACGATCAAAGATCACTCATGAAAAAAAAAAAATAATAACTCAAAAAAGTGATGAAGGATTGATGTCAGTTCGGATTGGCATACCTCCTCCTCAGCTTCTGCACTCTCGGTCATTCTTCGAAATTCTTCATCCTCACGCTTGCGGATGGCTAGCAGGTGCGTACGGGTTGCCATTCGATTCATCTCCTCGTGCTCCAGCTGCCTCAATCGCGCTTCGATCTGGTCCAAAGATGACGGAGCTGGTGACGGCGGGACTGGTGGAGGGCCAGCATGAGGATCATGCAACGGCGGTGGAGCGAAATGGCGAAAGTGATGGTTCTGTACCATTTGGTCTGGCGGAGGCATTGGATGGGAGGGCGGGTTGGGGTTCATGGCGATGGGATGGTAACGTGGGAGACTGTTGGCCAAGTGAGGGCCTCCATTCACACTGTCGGGGACAGTATGAGGCACCGGCGGTGCAGCAGTCATAGTGTGTTTCCTGTTGATATAACAGTTGACCCCACGTTACAGTATTATGCTGGCTTTCTTCCCCTTGAATTAACAGTATTAAGATTATATGGGGGAGGAAGACCAAGAGTACAAGAGAGGACAGGAAACCGGGGTGGGCAAAAGACAATCACAACGAGTTCGATCTATGGCTCGAACGGTTAGGAAAGGATTGACGTCCCCAACCCGTTCGGGTATAATAATAGACCACAAAATTAAAATCAAATGAAAATAATGAAAAAAAAAAATGAAAAAAAACCGATGGAAATTATGCGAAAATAAGAAACGACCAAAATCCACTAGCGCAACTCTGGGCCCCTGCACCCCCGTTATCTTGAAAATTTTCCCGTAACGGTCCAGTAAGGGGATCACCATTAGCGCATTAGCAAGCTGCAGCCTCCGTACGGGATGTACGAACTACAAGACGCTAATCAGCACCTGGACCCTCTAGAAGAATTTAGGAGGATTAGGGGCGCCTAGGGAGATGATCCTGCCAGATGATCCTAAGCATCTTAGTTTCTAGGAGGAGGGGAAGGATCTTCGATCATAAAACTCTGCGTCCTCGGGAGCTTTGAAGCTCATGTCATAGTGTAGGGCCCCCCCTTGGACGAAGCAAAACCAGTTTGGGGATGCAGTGGCTCCCATGGATTGGCTCGGCGCTAGTGGATGTAATCAAATCACAACAATCACAATGCTCTCAGAATAAAATTGCGAGAGTCCCTAGAGGAGATTTTAAGTATCTGCCCTCAAAGAGAAAGTATCGACAATCTGCTCCCGTCTTTTGGCACATCCTGCCTATTCCTAAAGCACCTCAGGGACACGAACGCCCCCAAAGTCAACTGACCCTCGTTCTCACCTTATCCACTTGCTAATCCACCGTGGCCGCTTAGAGAACCACGTCTGCCCGCACTCCGCAGCTTCGTCGCGGAGGTTATTGGTGGGCTGGGTGGATTGATGAATTGGCAGTGGACTTTGCCTAGCGAGAAGTACGAAGTATACACCTCACACCCTATTTGTTTACCTGGTTTGTCGCCGGCGCTGGCCAGTCATGTCGGACGGGTACCGAACTCGCCGTTCCAGATGTCTCTCGCCCAGCAGTTACAACCGTTGTTGATGCTTTGACGTATTAATGTCCAACCTCTGTTTCTCTCTATTTCCCTGGAGGCGGTCCATTTCCTCCCTTTTCCCCTTGACCCGTGTAGATTTGTCAACTTCAGCCCATTCGAAATGGGACCCAATTATTAGTCGAGATCAAAGGGTCTCGATGCATCACCTTGGAACACGCCCAGGCCAGAGCCAATGGGGGCGGGGCGGCTCCAACTGCAGCGATTGCAATTTCCAGTGCAATCACAGCTCCGGCCAATAAAGGCGCACTGGAGAGCGCAGATCTACCGTCATTGGACCGCCAAGACTGAAGATGGGGGTAAATCCTTATGTAACACAAGGGAAACTAGCCGCTTGGGGGCGCGTCGAAGCTGCTGGAAAATTAAGCTGACACGCTTTGCAGATGCGCAGATGGGCATTCTTCTGGTTAAGACTTGACGGAAGGTATCCCAGTACTTGGAGGTACTTGAAGTACATGGCCTCCACCAACCCGGGGCTTTATGCTCCCCTGTCACCCTGAAAGATCAAATACTGGCTATTGACAGGCATCATCCGGCATGGGCTATCGGTGTGTTGGTATGGTGGAGTACACGGAGTCCTTTGACAAGGCTCCATCATGGGCTCCATTGGTGGAGTGTCGCCTGCATTTTCGTCATATATGCCGGAACAGCCTTTCCCAGATCCCATAGAGACACTAAAGGAAGAGCAAAGAAAAAAAAGGGGGGGGGGGGGGCAAGACCAAGGTGAACCTTCCGAGCATACCTTGATCCAATCCATCACATACAACCGATTTGGTCTTACAATAGGCAATTAATAGTCAGTAATCCCCCGGCACACTCTACCCTGAACAAAGAGATTGGTGTGTTCCCCGTGTACCAAGGGGCCATACCGAAGTTGTTTTTAAAGGGGATAGTCCCATCGACTGGAACTCCCTCCAATGGAACCTCCCATTGGATATTGAGTTTGGACTTGCTTTTTCAGCTTTGACATGATCCTCGTGTCAGCACATCCAGTCACATGGCTAATATTTCCCATCCTGTCAAGAACAAGTTAAGAAACACTTAGGGTAAAAGCCCCAAAAATTTCCAGCGAAAGACGGGAAGCCAAAAAAAAAAACCAAGTGGGGAGAGGGGGGGTGGGGAAACTAAATCATACACAGCAACTAGGGGCGCGCTAAGGTGGACGGTCTCACAAGACGCCAGGTGATCGACGAATGATCGAAAGCCAAAGTGATGTGGGCGTTTGAAATTTTCCTTAGCTGGCCCATGGAGTTCTAAAGTCTTGCTCCGCGGGCTAGCTCCTAATTTAGCTTGAAATTTATAGGTCCATAGGGCAGGGAGCTCCAAAGCTTGCCCAATGGAGAAAGGAACCACGTCCCCGAATTCAATCTCGCGCGAATCCGGATCTGGGAGGCCCTGACGATCCAGCCCTTGTGCCACTTTTTCCATGGATCTTGGATCAAGGGCGTTTAAGGAGTTCTCTACGACCTTCGGCTTTCCAGAGGCCTACTCTTCTTCCGGGGATCTCAGGCCCCGGAGTAGACAAACACCGTCATTGCAAACAAAGCCCCTCCCCACTGTGGTGTGTACAACGATGATTTGCTCCCCCGGCCGCGCCGGTGCAAGGGTATCTGCACGGTAGCTTGGCTCTGCGAGCCCCATTGGCTCGCTGACCTTGTCCGTGTGTGAGATGGGTACATTCATATATGCCACTCCTGACCAACCCCTACCACCTGAGTGCCCCCCATGCTACGGAGGCGCTATAGCTCTTTTGACTCTAGACTTTATCGCCGATATGGAGGTCGATAATGCTGGTTCGGGAATCAAAGCTCCGGGGAGGAACTCGCTCGCTTCTCGGTGGGAGTGTAGCTCGCCCCGTACATATGACGAAAGAGATTGCTGGAGGTTGAGAATTCTTGGACATCCAGGAATGCCTCTACGTAAGAGGTCGGCTCCAGGCCCCTCGCCCGCTACAATGATTGCTTGTCGGCGCCAATATTGGACCTGGGTCCCGAGTAGGGGGGTGGCGGTTTAATTTCGGGTCTAGCAACTTGTTGAGCTGTAAGAAATCCCTTGGCATGATGCATGATACTGTAGGTTATCTAGTTATGCCAGCCTTATTTTTCATCTGGCCGTTGACGTTTCATGCAAGGAATCTAGACACCAGCGGCCATTGGTTCATGCATCGACTAGGGACAACACCAAAGCTATCTATTTTCTTTTGATGCATCGAAACACTCCGGCCGCGTTGCCAGGCCCTGGGTCCCCATAGGAGGAATCGGCCGCGTCTAGTAAGTCAAGACCCAATAGTCTGAAGTTAATAAATGCCAACTGTCCCTTGATTGTCAGGCAAGGCCCGAAAATACCATACCTATTGTTGAGTAACGGAGAGCCGAGGATCTAGACGCAAATCAGAACCAGGCTCTGGCCAAGGAATAGTTTCATTTCGGGACGGCCTTTAGCAAAAAGAGGCTTGCATCCGGATCAAAAGACGTACAGCCGCGCCTGTGTCTTATTTGTCGTCTACAGCGGTTTGACGTTTGGGGCGAGTCGTCGTGGCACGCTCTGCGGCCACAACGTCACCTTTCCGCCCGTGCTTCAACTCGCCCAAAGCCTTTCAACTCGGAAAATTTTGGTTATGCTCTCGAATCTGCTACGAAGTATAGAATGGCACATGGATAAGCGAGAGGAGAATTGTCCGATTTCTATTGTCACATGAACCCAGTAGCCAATGCTAGCATCCTTTTTGGAGGCCCTCCTTGCCGTAATGTCATTAGATACAATGGTAGACAATCCCGGCATAACCTGGCGACTCGGTCAAGTCCCCTGGGTATAGTGGGCAAGTAGAGAAAGATGAAGAAAAATGATCATACAAGTTTTGTGAAAGAAACACCGATACACCGAAACAAGAAAGGGGGGGATAATTGGGCCTTGTGAAGTATGTGTACAAATAATGCGAATTAAACAAATGCGACTCCCAACAGAAGAAATCAGGGTCTCTTAACACACAAAGGAAAATGGGGGGAAGGAAATACAAAAGAGAAGTACAGGGCTACCGAAGTAGCCTTTGTTGATGGGGCGGCAGAGGCTATAAGAAAGCATTTTACTGCTTGTTCTCGCCCTGCTGCTCACCACCAGGCTGCTGCTGCTGCTGCTCGCTCTGAGCCTTGTGCATCTTGTCGAACAGAGTCAGACTGGCGGTCTGGAGCTCGTCAGTCTTGGCTTTGAGCTCCTCAGCGGTAGCAGTGCCCTCGCCAGACTGGTTCTTGGCAACGAACTCGCGGAGGGAGGCAATCTTCTCACGGATGGAGTCAGCCTCAGCCTTGTCGAGACGGTCCTCGAAGTCCTTGAGGGCCTTCTCGGTGTCGTTCAGGACTCCGTCAGCACGGTTGGCAGCCTCAATGGCAAGCTTGCGCTCCTTGTCTTGCTCGCCATACTTCTCAGCATCCTCAACCATGGACTGAATCTCAGCGTCGGAGAGACCAGAGCCGGAGGCGATGGTGATGGACTGGTCCTTGTTGGTAGACTTGTCCTTGGCGTTGACGTGGACAATGGAATCAGCGTCAATGTCGAAGGTGACCTCGATCTGAGGAACACCGCGGTGGGCAGGAGGAATGCCAACAAGCTGGAAGTTACCCAACAGCTTGTTGTCCTTGACAAGCTCACGCTCACCCTGGAACACCTTGATCTCGACGGCGGTCTGCATGTCGGCAGCGGTGGAGAAGGTCTGAGACTTCTTGGTAGGGATAGTGGTGTTGCGGTTAATCAGACGGGTGAAGACACCGCCGAGGGTCTCGATACCGAGGGAGAGAGGAGTGACATCGAGCAGCAGAACGTCGGTAACCTCACCGGCAAGGACAGCACCTTGGATGGCGGCACCAATAGCAACAGCCTCGTCGGGGTTGACGGACTTGGCGGGCTCACGGCCGAACATGGCCTTGACGGACTCGGTGACCTTGGGCATACGAGTCATACCACCGACCAGGATGATATCCTGGATGTCGCTGGACTGAAGGTTGGCATCCTTAAGAGCCTTGCGGACGGGCTCAGTGGTACGGCTGATCAGAGGGTCAACCAGAGACTCGAGCTGAGCACGGGTCATCTTGTGGTTGATGTGCTTAGCACCCGAGGCATCGGCGGAGATGAAGGGGAGAGAGATCTCGGTCTGGAGGGAAGAAGAAAGCTCAATCTTGGCCTTCTCAGCGGCCTCACGGATACGCTGGATGGCCATACGGTCACCGGAGAGGTCCATGCCGGACTCCTTCTTGAAAGCCTCGACAATGTGGCGAACCAGGGTGATATCGAAGTCCTCACCACCAAGGTGGGTGTCACCGTTGGTAGACTTCACCTCGAAAACACCCTTCTGGATCTCCAGAACGGAGATATCGAAGGTACCACCACCCAGATCGTAGACGGCAACCACACGATCGGCCTCCTTCTCCATACCGTAAGCGAGGGCGGCGGCGGTAGGCTCATTAACGACACGGAGAACATTCAGGCCAGCAATCTGACCAGCATCCTTGGTAGCCTGACGCTGGGAATCGTTGAAGTAGGCAGGAACGGTCACAACGGCGTTCTTCACGGGCTTGCTCAGATAGTTCTCAGCGGTCTCCTTCATCTTGTTCAGGATGAATCCACCAATCTGGGAAGGGGAGTACTTCTGGCCACGGGCCTCGACCCAGGCATCGCCGTTGCTGTGCTGCACGATCTTGTAAGGAACCTCCTTGATATCGCGCTGAACCTCAGCGTCGGTGTACTTGCGACCAATCAAACGCTTGGTAGCGAACAGGGTGTTCTCGGGGTTCACCACGGCCTGACGCTTGGCAGCAATACCGACAAGACGCTCACCATCCTGGGCGAAACCAACGACTGAAGGAGTTGTGCGGGCACCTAACCAATTGAGAATGTTAGATATGACTATCTCGATGGTGGATGACGTACATCAAGCTCCTGAACTGATGTTCCGGAGCTCTGGCGCTTCGACCGACAACAGGAGAAAATTCTTCACGTACCTTCTGAGTTCTCAATAATCTTAGGAGACTTTCCCTCCATGACAGCAACAGCCGAGTTGGTGGTACCTGCGATAATATTATCAGATAATGTCGCAATAGATCGATGATAAGTATTTCGATAGGCGACTTACCAAGATCGATACCGATGACCTGGCCCTTCACCTTTTCCTCGCCGCCTGCAGTTGAGTTCCATCGGCGGAAAGCAGCGCCGGGGACTCTTGAAGCAGGGGTGCGAGCAAAAGCAGCACGCGGAAGCTGTAGGCGATGCATATTAGTGATGACTGCGGCGGCGCGTGATGGTTTTCCCTCGGGGAGGATGAATGCTTACCGCGCGAGAAATGCGAGAAGAAAGCATTGTGTTAGGAAATTAAGTAATACAGGAAATAGGGAAGGATAGCACTCGCACGAGTCAATCGCTGAGTGATGGGGGGAGAGAGGAAAGGGGAAAGGAGGATAGAAGATGAAGAAAGGGAGGAAGGAAAGAAAATTGCGGAAGCTCGGGTCTTGAGTGTTCAGTAGAACGTTGTAGAATCACGGGACTTATGGGCCAATCAAGTTGCGCATCTATATCTCACCGCCCAGAGCCCGTCCCGAGGCCGGATGGACGGCTCGAGGGAGTCCAGTGTATATAGTTGAGTTATAGTCCAGATAGGTTCTGTTCCGTCTTAATCTGTGGTATTCAGTAATTGTTACTCTTCACTGCTGTGGAGAGCCTGACCAGCCCTCCAGTCCTGCTGTTTCACCCTCCTATGTTTTGTCCGGTCCCAATTGAACGCCTTGTGGCCTGAAAGCGGTCGGATGCTTGGCCTCCAGGGCCCTGCCAGAGGCTTCCAGCCTGTTCTGTTGCTCTGGCTACTACTAGCTCACGGCCTGCCTGGCAAGGCGGCGCTTGCTTGGCTCAATGGCCTTCGGCACGAGATAGCTCACTGCACTAGTACCTGCAATGCTTTCTCCGCCTCGAATAACCTTTCTGTGGTATTTGCGAGCTTGAATAGGGGGTTCACCCAGTGTCGTGTGACATTACAGCAGTGCTCTGTTGTGAAAATGGTGGCCATTCTGATAGAATGGACCATCGCAAACGAAGGCAATATCGTAGTCTAGCACTGACTTTGGCAGGCATCATGAACTCGGAATGCAGGCAATCAACCCAACCTTAGATTTCTACCACATATTAAATCAGCTAGACCTAATAGTTAAATATCTGAAGCATTTCGTAGAGTCCGTGGGTCGCTATATATAACCATGGGTCCTGCATAGTTATGGGCCGATTAGGTTACAGAAGGGGGTAATGGGAGTAGTATAGTTCTTGCTGTTCTAGTCCGCTGACATTTCACGCGCGTTTCTTCTCAAAACTTCATCGCCTGAAAACACCCTCATTCAAGTTCTGGTCTCAGGTCGCTTCCGTCAACTTTTCCCAATTCAAGTCGCCGCATCCGTGAAGGGGCTTTCCCCGGCTTTTAGCTCCAGTCTTACGTCATCCGCCTGAAAGCGCCCGCGGCTGGGAATTCGGCGCATCGTGCTCGTGCTCGTGCTGCCACCTTCTGAGCCGTGGGGTACGCTTTTCGTCTTTGTGTTTTCAACTCAGAACATGTCGCCGCGGGCGTAGCTGTGTTGTTCACCATGGCCTTGGACTCGATATTGTGAGTTATCCGTCCTACCTTCTGTTCCCCATTCCCCTCCATGCCCAACCGTGCCGCTATGTCGAATAAGCTTTCTCACATATTTTCAATCTAAGATATTGCCCGACCGAGTCTCTCATTCTTCCAGGCAAAAGGCGCTTCTTTCCCCTCAGAATCCCCAATTTGTGAGTACATATATCCCCTCGGGTCCCTGCTGTCGCCCTACATACTGATAAGGGGAATTTGTAGTCATCCGCAACTCCGGCACTACATTAGCACTGCCGACCCAGACCGAATTTACGTCGTCATCGAGCGAACAATTTACGTGATCCATATTTCCTTACAGAAGAAGGAAAGCATAGCGACTATCCCATTCGAACCTCGTTGTTTGGCGGCTGGCTTTGGGTGGATCGCCGTGGGTGGACCAGATAACGGCGAATGCGCTTACCTCAAAATCAATGAAACGGAGCTCCAGGTCCGCGACGACTTCTCACCGTTCAACTCATCAGATGTCGACAGCGCGCTCCCAATCGACTTAGACATCCCATCACGATTGTCATCCCCGGCCTCAGCGAATGACGGCCCCTCTTTTCGCTATCGGCCACGGCGGAGGTTGGCCGAGCTCGCTCTTCACAAGATCGGAAGCAATATCGTCAACTCAGTTACAATACATCGTTTCCCTGCAAAAGGAGAGAATGGATTGCATGAAGATGTGTTGATCCTTAGGTATCAAGCCTTGCGCTAGATTATCCATGCCCCATTACTAACAACTATGGACAGCAATAACGACAAGAGTGTGACAATATACTCATTGACGCGGTCCAAGGTCCTTACTCTCATCCAGCACCCGTATGCTATGAATTATGCGACGATTTCGCCAGACCAAACAATCTTGGCCGCTGTGGGCGACGAAAACCGAGCGTATTTCTACGCAATTTCACGTAATTGGGAGTCGACAGTGACAACAGATGCCAGTGGGAATCTTCCAGATTGGGAATGGGAGTTGCTTCGTTGCGTTGAAATGGATATAGGAAGCCGTGTCGATGATGCTTGCTGTTTTACGATTGCCTTCTCGCCGTCTGGCCATTTATGTGCCATCGGCTCTCAATCAGGCGTCGTAACGGTCCTTGATGTTGAACTTATACATCAGACTGCTGACAACGTCGATCTGGCCGACCCCGTGATTTACCAATTCTCTTCCACCCGATCACATGCGGAGGGTGGTGCCGTACGTTGTCTGACCTTCTCCCCGGAGCCTTGGGACCTGCTTGTATGGTTAGAAGGTCATGGCCGAGCTGGGGTTGCAGACGTCCGGCAGGGATTCTTGCGCAGACAAGTCCTTCAATTAGATCTGGACGATCCCTCTCTGCAGGATACTCACCTAGATATACTTCCCGAATCCGCAGATATGAGCTTCCTTGAAGATCTCAACTCGCCAGATACCGGTACTCCTAGGCGATACCATCAAGGGAATGATCACTTGGCCGGGAGAGGTGACGACCCTCGACATCCTTCGTTGCGTGAAAATCTGATACAGGACCTGACAGAGAGAGAACGACTGATCATGGAATTTCTGAACACTGCCCGCTGGACTACACGATTAGAAGACGGGCTGACCGAGCGACCTGAACGGCCAGCAAGAGCACCCCCACCTCACAACCTTCCTCCTCGGACACGGCACCGTGAGTCCGAAGATGGGTCCCCCGCCTCTCCTCCACTCACATTAGACCCTGCCGAGGCTATACAAGACGAACAGTCAGGGCGTCCTGCCAGTGGCACTCCTACACGGCAATGGCATGCTCGACGGCAAAGTTCTGTCATTTTATCCCAAGAAAGCCGGCCTTCAGAAGCTGGAGCTTCGAGCTATGACCGGCAGCCAAGCGTCTATCTAAATTGGACGATGTCGCCCTCCGAATTGCAGTCAACTGCCTCCGATAACCCAACTCGTGCTGTTGATCCCGAACTTATTAACTATGATACTGGGTCCAGTCCACGGCCGCCCGAAGCAATCGGCCCTTCTCCCCGGCCCTTGATCTGGGTATCTCACCAGAAGCCCTAGCACGACTTCGGTCTCAACGTTCGGATTCTACACCTCGACGAGCGGATAGAGCACCAGTCACAGAAAGAAGATTTGATACAGCTCGACTCTCCAGCCATGAGGTTCGAGCGAGCTTAATCGCAGAACGTCATCGGCGCCAGCGCCAGCTTCCTAGTGAGACATACGGCCGCACTGCCTCTGAACGAGATCACCGACAGCGTCAACATGATCTTTTTTTCGAACAGACCCACTCGCCGCGATGGATCCGAAACATCATCAACGACCTTCCAGATCGAAGCATGATGCATGCCAGTGGGACTCGTGCCGAGGAACCAGATGCAACGGCGGGCGTTGGATGGGGTGCAGACGGGAGAACATTGTGAGTATTTCGAGGACAATGCCCCTATTGTCACTAACTGTACAACCTCAGGTACATTGCTACCCTTGAAGGAATTTTCGAGTTCCAACTGAATATTCATGATCGAAAGACATTCCCCGTGTTTTCATACCGATAAGGCACCCACCAATACTTTCCCCCTCTTTGGACTGGGCAAACTCAATGTTGCTACTGGTGATGAAACACTCTACACGAGTGGAAGCAGCTAACCCATTTCAGGTTCTTCCCATTATGACTTTCTATTTTTGTTTTCTTTAACTTGCTGGCCGTGTACCATGGCCTTCGATGTTATTGCATTTATTCCCGGTGCTAGGGGCGTATTGATGGGAACTTGTCGGCCGTTCTATCCTTTCTTATTGCACAGTCTCTTTGGATGGCTGGTCCCAGTACAAAAGTCTGAATGCTCATGATACTTCTATCCACGATCTAATTGTATATCCGAGGCACTATTCTTGTAGCCTGGTAGTCTATACTATACTCCGGAAGTAATTTTAACTTGACCGGGGTTTGAGAGAAGGCTTTCGAGAGCGCCCGCGATAAACTAGCCGACATACTTCACTCGTCATAGCAATCTCAAAATACCATTTTGGAATTACCTCATAAGCTCAATACAGCCCAGATATTCTTTTCTTCGATGTTTCGATAAAGAGCATCCTCGTCTAGCCCTGTGCCTATTACTTCCCGAAAAAGGCAATTTGCCCTGAAAGTTCAGTCTGGCTATCCTCATCAGATCTGAAATCGACTAATCAGGCAAGCGGTGCCCCGCAGCATATCATCATATTGCCCTGTTCCATTTTACCGCCGAAGCTATCTCTTACGGGGAGCCACTATAATTCTACAATTACCAACACAAAGAGACAATACCCTGTGTCGTGGCTGTTTTTTGAGGGGAACTTAGTGTTGAAGTTTCTTATCCAAAAAAGCCGTTGGTACTTTGACTTGCACCAGGCTCTCTATACATTGTCACGAATCGATGTGGGGTGCCCCCTCTGCTTTGTGAATTGAACGAAAACCTCGCGAAGTCTCTTGAATTTGTTGGGCTGACCATGGCAGACGCGTTAGCTTCGGCCATGGATCAGCTGGATCTAAATTCTCAGCATTCAGATCCCCTCTCGGTAGAGGCTTGCCTTTTGGAAGAGGAAACCGGGACATTTGCACCAAGCCAGCCGCGTAAACAAAATTACCAGGCCCCAGAAGACTTGTTGAAAGATCTGGAAGATGGGCTTTTGACACCATCTTCGACTTTCAGTCCTCGCTGGCTCAACCAGCTCCAGAAGTGAGTTCATTGCTTTACTGATGAAGCCCCAAGGAAAATATACTAAGCGAAGTACCTATTATCACAGGCGTTGGAACGTACAAAGCGATTACACCGATTTATTCGAAATTGCCCCGACCCAATCCCGAACCGTTACAAGATTCACTCGCGAGGGCTTGTTAGGACGAGTGACTGGATATCAAGAGATTACTGTTCCCGCTACGAGCGCCAATGCAAAAAACTCCACTTCGCTTCTGCGCCGGCCAGCTGGTCGAGCGGAGTTTGTTCGGGGTGCTGCTGGTTTCTTTCCATTCGCCCCAGGTGGCTTGGAAGGCGTCGAAGCAATTGCCGAGATGGAGAGGCAATGAGTTGGGAGAGAATACACGCCCTGTTGGGAAGCAAGGAGGCCTAGATCGAATTATCAACTTTGGAGCGGAAGGTGGCCTTTTAACAGTACCTCCAGGATTTGACCGTGGAGCGGCCTTCGCTGAAACAAGCTCTGGCGAGGCTGCGGAAGGGCGCGACGAAGTTGAACACGCACTCCAGCAAGAGGAAAGTGACCTTCTGATTGAAGGACCCGACACCAAGGCCCAAGAGGGAGTGGATGAAAAGGCTAGGATGAACGGTGCTGATCTCAGTGATAGTGAAGACGAGGATGACATCGACGCTTTACTACCGGTAGAGTTTCCCGCACTCGAGCCGCGGAATCAACTGCTTGCTGGTCTCCAGAAACAAAAGGGACGGGAATGGGCTCATGTCGTTGACGTGAACAAGCAAATCACGAATTTCCATGAGTTGGTCCCTGACATGGCTAGGGAATGGCCATTTGAGCTTGATACCTTCCAAAAGGAAGCTGTGTACCATCTTGAAAATGGCGATTCAGTCTTTGTTGCTGCCCACACATCCGCGGGAAAGACAGTAGTTGCCGAGTATGGCATTGCCTTAGCGGCGAAACATATGACCAAGGCTATCTACACTTCACCTATTAAAGCCCTGAGTAACCAGAAGTATCGTGACTTCCGGACAACCTTCGACGACGTTGGTATCCTCACCGGCGATGTTCAGATCAATCCAGAAGCCAGCTGCTTGATCATGACGACCGAGATTCTTCGGAGTATGCTTTACCGTGGTGCTGATCTTATTCGAGATGTCGAGTTTGTCATTTTTGATGAAGTCCATTACGTCAATGATAGCGAGCGAGGTGTGGTGTGGGAAGAAGTTATTATCATGCTTCCAGAGCATGTCACCCTTATTCTATTGTCTGCTACCGTGCCCAACACGCAAGAGTTCGCATCCTGGGTAGGCCGAACTAAGAAGAAGGACATCTATGTTATTTCAACCCCCAAGCGCCCTGTTCCGCTAGAGCACTTCCTCTGGGCTGGGAAAGACAAGTTCAAGATCGTTGATTCCAACAAGCGATTCTTAGAGAGTGGCTGGAAGAAAGCAAATGATGTCATGTCTGGCAAAGACAAAGAAAAGGCCAAGAAAGAGGTCGAAATTCAAAATGCCCAGGCCCAACGTGGAGGCCAGCAAGGCAGAGGTCGTGGAGGCCCACCATCTGGAAGAGGCGGTCCACGTGGGGGCGGCCGCGGAGGCGCACCACCCCAGAGAGGGGGAGGAAGAGGGCAAGGTGGGCGAGGACAGCCTGCAAACAGAGGAACTGGCAACATTGCTCGCACCGGGCGTGGAGGTGGTCGAACAACCGCAGCCCAAGATAAGACAGTGTGGGTCAATGTTGTTTCACATCTTCGCAAAGAGGACCTTCTGCCTGGCTGTATCTTCGTGTTCTCTAAGAAGCGATGCGAGGAAAACGCGGATTCGCTGTCCAACCAAGATTTCTGCAATGCCTCTGAAAAGAGTGTAATCCATATGTTCATTGAGAAGTCCCTCACCCGACTCAAGCCTGAAGACCGTACCCTGCCGCAGATCACTCGCCTTCGCGATCTTTTGAGCAGAGGTGTAGCTGTTCACCACGGTGGTCTGCTTCCTATCATGAAGGAGGTGGTCGAGATTTTGTTTGCGAGGTCTTTGGTGAAAGTATTATTTGCTACGGAAACGTTTGCCATGGGTCTTAATCTGCCAACCCGGACTGTCGTTTTCTCAGGCTACCGAAAGCACGATGGTAAACAATTCCGAGACCTCATACCTGGTGAGTATACGCAAATGGCGGGGCGTGCAGGTCGACGTGGTCTAGACACAGTGGGATATGTTCTTATCGTGGCCACCGGTCGCGATGAAGCACCACCCGCTGCATCTTTAAAGAAGATGATGCTTGGGGAACCTCTTAAGCTGAGATCCCAATTCCGACTAACATACAACATGATCTTGAACCTTTTACGCGTGGAAGCCCTCAAGATTGAAGAGATGATTAAACGAAGTTTTAGTGAAAACGCTACTCAGGCGCTTCTTCCCGAACACGAGAAGCAAGTCCAGATTTCCGAGGCCAGTCTGGCTAAAATAAAGCGGGAGCCATGTCAAATTTGCGATTTAGACCTGGCTGCTTGTCACGATGCTGCGATGGAGTATGAGAAGCTCACGGCTGAACTCCATGCTGGCCTTGTGGCATCACCAGTTGGCAAGCGACTTTTTGCCTCGAAGCGGCTTATTGTGTATCGAAAGGTATGTTCATTAATGAGTTCATTGATCGGGATTCCCAATAACGAGGCTCTAGGACGGAATGCGCACTGCAGGAATCCTTGTTCGGGAGGGCGTCAGCTCTGGACCGTTGCCCTGCATGCAAGTACTTGAAATCGGCACTCTCAGCAACAAACGACACCCTAGTGACATCTTGCCTTTTCTGGAGATCTTCCGCAAATACTTGCAAGATCTTCCTTCTACTGCTGCGCAAATGTCTCTGAAGATTATCAGTGTTCCTCTGAGGGATCTAGAATGTGTTACAAAAACACTTGTCAAGATCACAGGGCCAATGTGGTATCTGAAGATCAGGAAAGGTACAAGCCCTCTCTTTAACCATATTGGAAGAAAAAGCTAATTGTCCAGATTTAGAGGTGAACAAATTGGGCGACAAAGAATTTGTCAAGTACTCCAAATCGTGGCTGAACTCAGCATGGGATGAATTGGATTGGACCCGGGTAAAGGAGCTGCAAGTGCGTGACATTATCGCCAAGAGAGAAGCGTTGGTGAAGACCATACAGTCATGTCACTGCTTATCTTGCCCCGATTTCCTGAAGCACGTGAGTATACATACGGAGGGCATTACGTACTTGTTACTGACTCATTCATTAGTATGAGATGCAACATGACGAATGGCAGGTTAAGGAGAATATTTCTCAACTGAAACAGCTGATGTCGGACCAAAACCTTCAACTTCTTCCTGACTACGAACAGCGCATTCAAGTTCTGAAAGACCTGGGCTTTGTGGACGACCAATCTCGAGTGCAATTGAAGGGCAAGGTGGCCTGTGAAATCCACTCCGCCGATGAACTGGTCCTGACCGAGCTGATTTTGGAGAATGTCCTCGCCGAGTTTGAGCCGGAGGAAATCGTGGCACTTCTCTCCGCTTTCGTGTTCCAAGAGAAGACAGAAACCACGCCAACGCTGACTCCCCGGCTGGAGAATGGTCAGAAGACCATTATCAAGATTGCGGAGAAGGTGAATAACTTCCAGATCCTGCACCAGGTGATCCAGTCCAGCGAAGACTCCAACGACTTTGCCAGCCAACCGCGATTCGGCCTTGCTGAGGTGGTCTACGAATGGGCCAAGGAATGTCATTCAACCGTATCACCGATCTCACTGATGTGATGGAAGGAACCATCGTTCGCACTATTACCCGACTGGACGAGACATGCCGTGAGGTCAGAAATGCTGCGAAGCTTGTCGGGGACCCAACCCTTTACGCCAAGATGCAAGAGGCTCAGGAACTCATCAAGCGGGATGTGATCTTCGCTGCTTCACTCTATATGTAATGATAATGCGAAACCGATGCTGACGGTGCTTGATGCGTGATCAAATTCCTCCCATTCGATGAATGTAGCATGACAGCGGTGCAGGGACAGAATATGTATATCTCTGAGTTGTATGCTCATTAGTTACTGCTTCTAATGATGAGACACCCTTCGCATTCGTTGACTAACATGGCAAGGACGTAAATGCGTATTGTAGCAAGGTGTGGCAAATTCTGGGGATTTTGGACCTCCAGTCGTACTCGTTGACATAGAAGATCTGGAATGTAGCATAGAGTCATTCTGTACGCTACAATATGGGGGTTTCTGCTGATTTTCTACACTTGCTAACTAGTATTGGGCCCCCACTTTCCCCCTCTCCCGCGAAGGTGATGTCACAACGCCTGGGGTAGATTAGAAAGAAATACAGACAGGTCGGAGTCTCGAGAAACCAAAGATCTAGCAGCCCCCATGCGCCGTTGAGAATCCTTAGAAGCATCGCGAACCGTGGTAGGACGTGGAGTCGAAGTATGAAAATGCAGTAGAAAATCAGATTGTGCGGCCGCTGATTAGCTGCGGGGCGACCGCCCGAGAAAATCCCAGAATCAATTGTTTCTCCTTCCCCCTCGAACAACTTTTCCCATCTAGAAAACACACCAACCTTTTCCTCTAGGGACTTCTAGTCCTCATCCCCCTGAACTTGGGAATTTCTTCTCAAACATTCCCATCCCCGACAACCACCCTCCGGTCCGGGACTCCCACAAGTCTACTTTTTTTTTTTTTTTGTTGGCGCTGGGGTGCGAGATGGATGTCACGGCCCTTCGAGACCGCATCCAATCTACTTTAGATGCGAATGCGGACACTCGGCAACAAGCGGAGTTGGATCTGAAATATGTAAGTGGCCGCGAACTTGGTGGGGTGAATGCGTGAGACTGACCTCGTGGGGTTCCTTACCCCCCCTTCTAGGCCGAGACTCAGCCCGGCTTCATCAATGCCTTGCTAGATATTCTGCAAGGAGAGCAGAACAATGCCGTTCAGCTCTCGGGTAAGTCCCAACCCCCGATCCGCTCTCTACATCCTTTCGTGAGGTCCGAACCACTGACCCAGACTCCTGTATTCTATAGCCGGCGTCTATCTGAAGAACCGCATCAGCAGAGGATGGGCCCCTATCGAGGAAAACGCGCAGCGTGCGATTCCCGACAGCGAGAAACCGAACTTTCGCGAGCGACTGATCCCCGCCCTAGCTTCGACGCCCCCAAATGTGCGCGCCCAACTGGTTCCCCTGCTCCAGAAGATCCTCCAGAATGATTTCCCTGAACAATGGCCGGGTTTCCTGGACCTCACCCTTCAGCTTCTCGGAACGAATGACGCGAACACCGTTTATGCCGGCTTGCAATGCTTGCTGGCTATTTGCCGCGTATATAGGTTCAAGGCCGGCGAGAAGCGCGATGAGTTCGACAAAATCGTGGAACACTCCTTCCCTCAGTTGCTAAGCATTGGGCAGAAGCTGGTGGATGAGGAGAGTCTGGAAGCGGCTGAGATGCTCCGCATTGTTGTAAAGGCTTACAAGCATGCCATCTATGTCAGTATTTCGCGATACCCGGTGATTCTTACATGCAATAATAAACTGACCCTTTGTGATTTTTAGTTTGAGTTGTCCCCAGCTCTGCAGACCCACCAAGCGACAGTGGATTGGTGCACCTTGTTCCTGAGAATCGTATCGAAGACCCCCCCCTGCAAACTCCATGAGCGAATCGAAAGAGGAGCGTGAGATGAACCATTGGTGGAAGTGTAAGAAATGGTCCTACGCGAATCTGAACCGTCTCTTTATTAGATACGGCAACCCCACTACGATCACGAAATCTTCTACCCCAGACTACACCCCGTTCGCGAAGACTTTCATCACCAATTTTGCTCCAGAGATCTTGAAGGGATACTTGCAGGAGATTGAGAAATATGTCTCCAAGTCTCAATGGCTCAGCAACTCGGCTCTTTCGTATACATTGGTTTTTATGGAGGAGTGCGTCAAGCCCAAGGCGATGTGGGACCACTTGAAACCTCACATGGAGAACTTGATTGCTCATTTTGTGTTCCCAATCCTCTGCCAGTCCGACGAGGATATCGAGTTGTTTCAGGATGACCCTTCGGAGTACCTGCACCGCAAGCTGAACTTCTACGAGGAGGTCTCCGCCCCGGATGTTGCTGCTACAAACTTCTTGGTTTCGCTCACTAAGAACCGCAAGAAGCTGACCTTCTCCATTCTTAGCTTCGTTAACAGCGTGGTGAGCAAGTACGAAACTCTTCCTGACGATCAGAAGGAGCCTCGCGAGAAGGAAGGTGCACTCCGGATGATCGGGTCGCTCGCATCTGTAATCCTGGGCAAGAAGAGCCCAATTGCAGACCAGGTGGAGTACTTCTTTGTGCGCCATGTCTTTCCTGAATTCCGCAGCCCTCATGGTTTCCTCCGCGCCCGCGCTTGTGATACTCTGGAGAAGTTCGAACAGCTTAATTTTACCGACCCTAACAACCTGATGGTGATTTACCGAAACATCCTCGAGTCGATGACTGATCCAGAGCTGCCCGTTCGGGTCGAGGCCGCTCTTGCCCTTCAGCCATTGATTCGCCACGACATCATTCGCACATCGATGCAGTCGAATATTCCCCAGATTATGCAGCAGCTCCTCAAGCTTGCGAACGAGGTTGATGTGGATGCCCTTGCTAATGTCATGGAGGACTTTGTCGAGGTGTTCTCTACAGAGCTTACTCCTTTTGCCGTGGCATTGAGTGAGCAGCTGCGTGATACTTACATGCGTATTGTCGGGGAGCTCCTTGAGCGCAATGCTACCAAGGGTGGGGATGAGGATGGCTATGGCGACTTCTTGGATGACAAGAGTATCACCGCTTTGGGTGTGTTGCAGACTATTGGCACTCTGATTCTCACTTTGGAGAGCACCCCAGATGTTCTGTTGCACCTGGAGACTGTCTTGATGCCTGTCATCAGCATCACCCTGGAAAATAAGCTCTATGGTAAGCTATCCTTTTTCACCCTTCAGCAGGACTCTCTTTCTAACAATCGGTCACAGATCTCTACAATGAGGTGTTCGAGATTATTGACAGCTGCACTTTTGCTTCCAAATCTATTTCCCCTACCATGTGGCAAGCATTTGAGCTGATTCACAAGACTTTCAAGGCTGGAGCTGAGCTGTATCTGGAGGGTAAGTCACGCAACCCCCATGTGAGAGTATATAGTTGCTGACATTGTGTTATCTAGACATGCTGCCGGCATTGGACAACTTCGTTACTTACGGCTCCGACATGCTGGCCCAAAACCCCGCTTATCTAAGTGCTGTTGTTGGCATGGTTGAAGATATCTTCCGTGATGACAACGTCGGCGGTGTCGACCGTATCTGTGGCTGCAAGCTCGCTGAGACACTGATGCTCAACCTCCGTGGCCACATTGACCAGTACATTCCTCTGTTCGTCGAGTTGCCCATGTCAGTCATCAATGCGGAAGAGGCTCGCACCAAGTCTTACCGTATCCATTTGATGGAGATGGTAATTAACGCCATTTACTACAACCCTGTTCTTACTCTTCAGGTACTTGAGTCCAAGGGTGGACGAACAAGTTCTTCAGCACGTGGTTCTCCAACATCGACAACTTCCGCCGGGTGCACGATAAGAAGCTCTCTATTGCTGCTATCAGCTCACTTCTTACCTTGAAAGCAGAGAATGTCCCCGTCAGTGTTCAACAAGGATGGCCAAGGCTTCTGCAGGAGTGACCAGACTTTTCCAGACTCTCCCGGCAGCAATGAAGAGTATGTGTACCCGATATCCCAATTCTCCTGAGTTTTGCTAACATTCTTCTTTAGTGCGTGAGGAGGCCACCAGGGAATCTGACTTCAGCCTTGACGACGAAGGTGACGAGGACGACGAAGAGAATGACTGGGATGGCGAGGTTGAGTGGAATGAGGATGAGGTTGAGGAAGCCGTCGATGGCGACGTTGCCGATGAGAGTGCGGCCTACCTCGAATTTCTTAACCAAGAAGCTCAGAAGTTTGGATCCTTCGCCGATGATGACGATGAGGATCTGGATGAAGAGAGTCTTCTGGAGACACCTCTGGACAAGGTGGAGCCCTATGGCATGTTCAAGCACGTGTTCCTCAGTAAGTTGCATCAGCGGGGCTTTCCATTCGATCAAAAGCTAATCTTTCATAGACCTCCAATCAGAACAGCCACAGCTGTACGAGAGCCTGATCAAGGTTCTTGGTCCCGATGAGCAACAGATTATTCAGGCCGTCTTCCATGAGGCCGATGCAAAGGCAACTGCCGCCGCCAACGCAGAAGCTGCCGCTTTACATAATGGTACCCAATAAGCCAGCTGTCTGAGAATCCAACGCCTATGCATCAATGTGGGTGTTAGCTATCTCATCTGCTGGCTGGGAGGAGATGCTTGCTTGTTTTCTCCTAGTTCACGAGACATATGCCCATTTCATGTCTTTGCTCCTACGCTGTTTCTAGATCATGTCCCGTCTCCTGTCCATGTGTTTCTTGTCTTTCCCCCTTTGTCGCCCTCTATCGCTGTCTTGTTGGTTTATTTCCCCTTCCCTCACCATGTGTGCTCTGGAAAAAAGTCCCTCGCCCCCGCTCCCGCCCTTCCATAATGCATCACTGCACAGATTCCCCGAAGATATTTTCTTGCCTCATGGTAGTACATCAGCCATACTACGAATACTGAGTACATCTTCATGTCATCAAATGGCGTAAAAACTGGGGTGAAATCTTAAGCTAGGAGGAACTCCTAGCGGCGTATATCGTAGCCTAAGGTTGGTCAGCGAGCAGACGAATGTTGAATTGCACTACTCGTAGTACCCGCCCTGATGGTAATATACGGAAATTTGTCTCATTTTCAGCGTATGCTTCGCATGTTTCAGGCATCACATTGCAGTCCGATCGAGCTGTTCCGCCGCGACGCACGTGACGATCTATCTATACAACCATTCAACAGGTTGAGGGATGATGGATATGATATGATATCATACCATCCAATCTGGTTTGCAAGCCCACGGATAAAGTTCAAGATTTGGCTCATCTGGAGACTGACAGCTCTTTTGTGGGTCTCGGAAGAACCAGCCCTGGAGCGACTGGACTCTGGAACGTCATCATGATGAAGCGTTGAGAATAGCCTGTTTGCGTCTTCGGCCACAACACTTTTTAAACTCCTCCGCTTCTCAACGAACCATTCACTCTATTTTAGGCAAAGCAACTTCCACGAACCATATTTGCATTTTTCTATCTACCGAAGCTTTTCTTCTTATCCTGGCATCAGGTGAGTAAGCACCCTAATACCACATTGCACCCGAGCACGCACTATTACGTCTCGTGGGAATCTGTGCTCACAGTATCATAGCCTCCAATCTCTGAAAGCCAGATCCAACTTCCCACTACAATGTCCGCACCCAACTCAGGCCGTCAGTCTCCCCCCGAGGAGCGCCAATCTGGCATCCAACAGGGCCAGCCTCCCGCCACCGGAAAGATGGGGGCCTCATCATCGGCCCCGCCACAAGACTTCGCGCAACAAAAGTCCGACGAAACCAAGAATGCCAAGCTGGAGAGCAACCCGGCACATCCACTGGGACATATCGAGGCGGAAAAGTTTGCGAAGACCAAATGAAGGAGGCATGCGCGGAGGTGCAACATAATAATCAACGATCGAATTGAATAGCAAGTTATGATTCTTAGTACAAGGCTCAATGCAAAAAATTTAAAAGGTCACTATCTCTAAGTGTAGAATACTACCAGTATTAGGAGAAGTGTGTCCCAGAACATTTCAAAGCTCGCGACGGCGGTCCAGGACTTCTAGCCATTCCCCCAATGCATCGCGCTGGACTTGCCAAACAGTAGCACCCAGGCGTATGATCTCCGGCCCAAAGTCATCCAGGAACTCTTCCACCGCTGGCTCCTCTTCAAATAGCATTGATCGGTATTCCTGGTCTGAACCGAATGTGATCGCCCGCCAAAGCTTTTTCCACCTTGCAACCGCGCTGAGAGCCTCGGCACTTTGACTTTGAATATTACTAGCCACCATGTAAAAGGTGGAAGATTTCGCATGCACTATTCTCGGCTTGAGAAGGCGCACCCTGGCAAATTTGCTGAACCTCCAGACGGTATTGAGAGGCTCCCATCTTTCAAAGTTGTGAAGCAGAACCAACATCGAGCCCCCTGGCTTGAGATGTTCAAGACCAAGAGCTAGCTGGGCGATAGTTAACCGGCTTGCCTCTCGAGCTTCTCGATAGGGAGCTCGTGCATGCGCTCTTAGGACCTGACCATCACATATGACCAGGTCGAAATGCTCGTCGGGTTTGAATTGTGTCGGTAGGAACTTCCCAGCATCAGGGTGGCTGTCCTCGATCTCGTCGATGCCCATATCGGTGGCAAGCATATTGATATCGAGGAAGCGGGTGTTGACTCGTGCTTGGATGTCTTCGGGCAGAATGACGCGGAATCCCCCGGCTTCCTCAGGTAGGGTAAATGCCGCCGCTGTGGCTTTCTTGTCTTTCTTCAGAGCTATCTCTAAGAATGCCCCCGGGGCCATACACATATCCAAGATAGTCGGAGACTCTGCCGTGGTACCAATACCAGGAAGTCGGAAAACACCCGTACAGGCGTGCAACCATGTTCCAATGTGTTTCAATTGCGTTCGGAATATCGATCTGTCCTTTGAAGAGGCCTTGTCGGAGCTTTTGCGCTTTTTCGAGAAACAAGTATCACCAGCTGGATGTCTCCAGCCCTGCAAGAGAGACCAAGTATTAAGATATGGTAGAATAGATGGTATGATCGACAAGGCTCACTTGTTCTCGCCGTTGACTGAGGGTTTGGAACTCAGGGCTATGCTCCAACAGATAAGACTTGAGAGTTGACCTAACATGTTGCCGTCTTTTGTCAAGGTCAAAGCTCCCTTCGAGGATTTGAGGAACCTGTCATGTTATCTGTCAGCTAGAAAGGGTACAGCCTCGAGGCTTTGAAGCTTCTATCAGCACCTCGTCCGAACATGAAGATTGTTCATTCATGGCTTTCGGTAGGAGATTTACTCTGAGCGCTTTCCGTTAATGAAAACAGGGAGATGGGAAGTCTCTCAGGTGGCTTGCTACCGGTACGGGGGCCTACTGTGCTTTTGTACTAGTGTGCCGTCAAACAGAGATGTAGAACCAACAATCAAACAAATGTTGCTCGAGGTTCACAACTGTGCAATAGCAGGCATCAACTATGAAATCCAATGGCGTAACCAATGATGTACGTACCGGCTATATATCTTAGGATAGACATTCAGCTTTCCCCTTCGAGCCCGGGTGAGGCTGAAGCTACACTGGTAGGCTGCCGCTGCATGAAAGGACAGCTGCTCGGAGGCTCAGCCACCCCTGCCCACCCAACAACCCAACATCCATAATGCACAGCTTTTACCAAGGCAGCTAAAAGTTACTGGAAAGGCAACCTATGGAAGACCCGGGTCTGTTATCAACATGTGCTAGTATAGTATAGACCAGTCTGTCTGGTATTAGTACTTACAGCATTACAAACCCCCCTTCCCCGCGGACTAGGACTACGGGACGTAATCATTTACAGAGCTACACATGAGCATCGGCTTTACTTAGAGAGGGTATTTATTAAACAAGTAAGGGCATGTTCATTCGCTCGCAGGGATGAAATACTAGCGGTATCAAGTAATTGCCGAGAATCGAAATCACATCACGTTCATAACCTCGTAGCAGGAAGAAGAAAATTATAGATAGAACGAGCCAGCATAAATAAGAGGCTAACTCAGTACACTACCCTTGGAACGCATTCAAGCCTTAGGCTCAGTGGGGAGCAGCCGCACCAGCAGCATCAGCAGGAGGGACAACCGTAGCAGCAGTCGAGGGAGCTGGAGCCGCAGAGTCACTCTCCGTCTTGCCGCTCTTCAGATCGGCCAGACGACGAGCCTCGTTGTGGATATCACGAACTTGCTTGTCGGTCTGGATGTAGAAGTCACGCAGCTTCTGGCCGGTGGGGTGCTCAAGAGCCTTCTCGAAGTAGTGGCTCAGGCCAGCCCAGGCGCCACCAGCCTTGTTGGAAATTTGGTAGCTCTGGTCCAGGCTCTTGGCACGCTCAGTAGCATTGTACTTGGCATCAAACTTGGAGAGTGCGTCGGTGAAGCGAGTTGAGATACCGTGCTTCTGGTCCAGCTCGATGGCCTTCTTGAGGGCATTATCGCTCAGGACGTAGCCGTGAGCAAGGTACTCAGCAGCGATGCGGGACCGAGGCTTGTCCTCCTGAGGGATCTCGTGCTCGTCCTCGTTGGCCTTCTCATTGGTGGCTTGGGCGCCGGCGATGTCGTCGAGCTGCGACGCGGCTTCGACATGCACAGAGGAGCTGCCGAGTTGGGTCTGGTCGAGGAGGAGGGCAGTCTTTGCGGCACTGGTTCCCAAAATATGTTTGTTAGTTTCGAATGGGCTGGTAAAAGTATAGGCTACGCGCATCGCGCAGGGTGCGGGGTAAACTCACGCATCCTTCTCGAAGGTGACACTGGCGGTCTGAGGAGCACCAGCCTCAGCAGAGCTGGGGGTGATGGACAGAGACGTGATCTTGCCACTATGGAAGAGGTTAGTCAATGATTTTTCCCTAAGCTTTCTGGCTGAGGGAAGCATGTTGTCAATCGTCAGGGGAAGCTACTCACCAGAAGCTGAAGAAGTCGCGGACCTCCTTCTCGGTGGTGGTAGGGGCAATGCCCGAAACGTGGACGGTAGCGCCAGACATGATGGAATGGATTATGAGGAATGTGAGGTGAAGAGGGAAAAAGAGAAAGGTAGAGAAATAGGAGAAAGTCAAGGTCCTTAATACTGACAGGTTACGCCACACATGACGTAGAGAGGGGGTGCACCGCCGCGAATGTGAAAGTGGGGGCAGGTGTTGTTATTATTACGCCTGATGGTGGAATGATGTGTCCAAATCCAGGTATTGGCTACGCGTTTTGGAAAAATTGTAACCTAAAACACATCGGTGTTTTGTAGAGAGAGGGCAAAAAAAAAGGAAAATAAAATTGGACAAAAGAAAGTAAAGGACCATGTGAAAATGCACCTGCTCCTGGCAGCGCTAAAGGATGTGAGGTAGAAAGTAAAGTCCCAATAGGCAGCAAGCGAATCTCTCACCCTGCCTGTGTGTCCACTGGATCCATAGAGTCTTCCTTCTGCTTCTTTAAAACAAGCTCCAGTTCGCGAATCCGCCGTCGCAGTTGCTCGTTTTCCCGCCGCGCGGCCTCCAGTTCAGCTTTATGCAGTGCAACCTCCTCGTACCGTCCTGGCGAATTGCTCGAGAGGCCAAGATGGGTTTGGGATACAGAGGTCCGATGGGGGATATGGAAGGGCTGTGGCCATAGTGTGGGAGTTGTTCTGGATGAGGGTGCTGAGTGTATGATGATACAGAACCGATCGACGGACGTCGAGCCGTTAGAGATGGTTCACGACTTCTCACCGGGCGCGAGGGGTCGGCAGTTCGAGAAGGAGCAATACCAGTGACACTGGCGGTGGATTGATGTTGAATAGAAGCATTCTGTGAGCTTAAGCTTGAGGATGATCGTTGCCGCCGGGAAGAATGTGTGGAGTTGCTGAAAGTGGGCGACCCAAGTGGCCCGTCTGCCGCTTGATCCAAGGTTGAAGTAGACGATGCAGTGGATGCTACCGACGCAGTCTGCTGTCGAAGAGCACTCAGCTCTCGCGTCAACCGGTTGACCTGCCTTCGGTTAGACGTAGCCCGACAGTGGGGTTGATCAACCATCGTACCATCGACTCTTGCTCTTTCTCTAACATCAAATGCAGGTCGGACGGGGTAAGTGGCTTCGGATGTCGCAGGGGCTCTAGGATGGAGCACCCCGGTTAGTTTCTAGTTGCATCATATAAAATAGCACGGGAGTCCCAGATGGAACCATACCCTGACTTGTACCGTTTGGGCCATGCTCGCTGGACCCTGAAGGGCTCTCAAGCTGGTGCGGGGAAGGCGATGCGATGGCCGGAAGCATCGTAGTAGTAGCTCGGGGTCTACGAGGAGTGGATTCGGTTGGATCAGAGGTCATTGCGAAGTATCAAGCTCCTCCGGGCCGGCAGAGGGGGTTGACAAAAGGTCGGGTAGGGGGAACCTATGATTTTTACTTATCAGCAGACCAAACAAGCCCCTTGATCGGAATGTCATGAAACATTCCCGACCCAGGAGGTTGATAATGAGCTCATCTCAGGAGAAGAATCTGCCGGGCCGTGCACCACTCTTTGTACTTGAATCGAGTATTTTTGGCCCTGCAACCTTTGTTACATCTGCGGAGGCGCAGCACTACTTCGGACCTGCATCGGAAAGGAAGTGCATTCTTTCGGGTATTCCCCTGACTAACACGGCAAACAACTATTCAGAGGTTACATGCAGATTTAGATGAGGCTGATTTGTGTGGAAACTTTGGCCTGCCCGATAAAATGAGGATATGCTCTTCCCTGGGGGATCTACATCGATGATGATGTACCTGGTGCTCAGGCCCCTCGTCCTAAACAGACTTGACGTTGTGCCTGACAACGGGGTTGTCATTGATATTGGATCAGCTAGAAGGAAATAATGGGGTCCCCTCGCAGCCCCAAAGCTAGTCTTGAAGCATAGAAATCCTACTTCATACATCCTGACTTCCTGACTATTCTATTGATCTCCACCTTATCTACTGTGTACAAAGTTCCCCCCGGCCCGCAGGCGAGGATCTGCGGATTACGTAATCGCCCGAAAAAGGCACCTGGGCAAAACAATGGGGAGGCGAGCTTGCCATGCTCCTGTTCAAGTCATTCTCTGTTGTTCGTGATCTGGTCATGAAAGGAGAGACATGATCGAACAAATTAGCTGCTACGCTCAAGCATCATTTTTTTTTCCACTCACGCCATGGCCCGACCGTCCGAATCTTCTACCCACATTCCATCCTTCGCGAAGCCACTCTCTCCTTACGTCAAGCCGCAGGAAGACGTTCTCCGCATACGCCAGGCATTGACGGTGTACCTGCGCTCGCTGGTGGTCTACGACGATACCGATGCATCCCAGGACTCCTACCTCGCCCTCTGCGCCCCCACATATGCCGTCGCCGACGTGAAACGCACACCCGCCGATCTCCTTGGAATGAGAAAGGAATATCTCCAGGCTCTCCAGGCCAATGTCGCCGCTAGGAAGGATCTTCAGAAGGCATCAGAAGATGTGCAGCTCCTTCGGCGTCAACGGTTGGCCAGGAACCGCCCTGCTGAACCGACTGAGGCGCAGGACCCGGGCGCGGAGCTGCGAGATTACCTTTTACTCCTTCGAGATCGACGGCGCCATAACAAGCTTCAAGTCTTCCAACATTATCTAGAAGACATAAGGGCGCGGAAACCGGCCGATATTGAGATCCCCGAAGATAGCCTGAGCCCGGATCTTCGGTCTGAAGGGTTTGATCTGGACACACCAGATCGCACCGGCTCAGAGGCCGACTTGGAAGGGCTGGTCCATAAACTTGAGAGGGCAGTGGTGCGTGCCAGATCCCAATTGGATCAAGAGAAACGCCTATTCGAGGAGTTGAAATCTCGTCATGAAGCTGGCAATGCAAGCATGCAGGAATCTTCTTCTCTTTCCAGGGCCAAGGCGTTGAAGCGTACTCGTGACGAGTTAGTTCATTGGGTCGAAGAACGCTTGGTCGCGGAAGGTGACCCTGACGATAGCCTGGTGCAAGAGCTCCCACCGGAAGAAATTGAGGAAGCCCAGCGGCTGCTTGAACAGTATAGGCAGCGGATTCGGGAACAATATGCCATATATGTACAGGCTCGCCAGGACCTCTTGAATAGAGCTGCCAAAGCCTGCCAACCGGTGATCTTGACGACAAAGCCCTCGTACCGGTCAGCGAATCGATCCGATATTGTCCCTGAAGAAGTTCCGCCACCTAACCCCTGGGATGTTTTGTCTTATGCCAACGAAGTTCTTGTGCCCCTCTCGAAAAGTCATAAATCACTGGCATTACAGAAATCCTATCTATCCGCTCTTCTTGGCAAAGAAAAGTCGACCACTCTCCGCGCGCTGAACCGGTTAAGCGACGAGAGTCACCTTCTGCCCGAATATCCTATCCTAGCTCGGCAGCCTCGTTTCAAGAATGCTGTCGCGGCCCTCAATCCCCCCCCGCGCCCAGCCTCAGGGCCCAGAGACTGGCTCGCTTGATGAAGTGGTAAGGCTTGCCGAAGCATGGTCTTTTGCATCCGATGCCGCAGCAACTAGCCAGCGTGAATACGTGCAGCAGAAAGTGGGACTTGGAATTGAAGTTTCACGCGATGCGCGAACATTATTGGAGGAAGTGTACAAAACCTTGAACCAAGATCTCCGCAGCGCCCTGGAAAGCGGCCCAGAACAGCAAGCTACGTCAGATATCTGGGCCTCTGAGGCCAAATCCACTCGAGGGGCTAACCTCAGTGGGTCCCGGCTGGAAAAGCGACCGAAAGGGCCTTGGTCAGGCTTGAATGGGCGAGTCGGAGTCGAGTAGGCCCCACTGCTAAAGAACTTTTTTTTTTCCTTTAAGGTATTTTCATGGAGGGGTCCTAGGCGCCAGGTGCATACTAAACTCAATTCTGCGTATACGCTGCGTACGTTTTGGATCCTCAGAGACGATATGACTCATATCTACACCTGGAGTTGAATAGATCACATATTCTTATTTCCGTGCTTTCACATGCTAGTGATACAAAGAGCCTCGTCGAATAAGTATTCTCAGTAGGCTAGCAATAGGCTAGCAGTGGCGTCAGGATGCCACTAGGTCCCAGAATGGCCCTTCCAGCCATGGACCGTGCAGATCCCCACAGATAGCGAGAGATACGTGCTTGGGGTTGTGCGGTCCGGCATCGGCTCCCCAGCTCCCAACATTCAACAAGCGACTATGTCTTTGGCGATGGATTCCAGAGTCTTGGAATGCTTGCCTTGTGCCTCTGGAATCCGCGTCTGATTGGAAGTGCTGAGGATCCTCAATATAGAGGATCTCAAGGGTTCTCCGCAATCTACTAATTTAGTCCAAGGTTTTTAGCTAGTTAGTTACCCTGCATGACTCATCCTGGAACTAGGAACCTTTGGCCGCCGCAACAAAGGAAAAACCCGGGCATCGAACTTGAACGCTTAGAGTATCTGAGTATCTCCGCGAATAGCAATGGTGCCTCGGATAGTACAATTGCTTTCAAACGTATTTACTAGCTATGAAGTTCCCCCATTGTCCTGGTTAAGATCTGTATTTCTCTTCTTCGCTTGGTTCTTGCGAAAAGCAAAAAAAGTGGACCAGATACGGTGAGGCATGCACCAATAAGCGGTCGGTGGGGGGATGGGAAAAAAAAGACCTCCGGAGCGTCGACTCATCTTTTAACCTCCAACTTTCCCACTCTCGGGCCATTGAACCTTTGCATTTCTCCTTGAGGCGCCATGGTTCTTGCTGCTCGCTGTGGGCAAGCGGCATCTCTGCTGCGCCAGCGATGTCTCGCCGAGACTCGCTCGGCTCTCCCTCTTCGATCTTTCTCCTCTCAGCCCGTCCGATCAACGGCTTCTGCTCTGCGCCTACAGAAGCTGCCCTCGCCTGCTCGCTCTCAGCAGCTGCGCTCTTTCTCGAGCTCCTTGCGCATTCTGGCCCAGGCCCAGAAGACCCCTTCCGCCGACTCATATCTCGCTAGCGGTGTTGTTAAGCCCGGCAGCAACCTCGTCGATGTGAAGAAGGTCCTCGTCATTGGTAGTGGTGGTTTGAGTATCGGACAGGCTGGAGAGTTCGATTATTCCGGTACGTCAAAAGAAAAAGAAAGAAATCCAATTTCTCATTGGTCAATTTATCCCCTATCGCATTGCTCAATGCTTTGGGCTGGGGGTTCGTGCGGTGGGAGCTCACACGATAGCTTCCCTATCTCGCTACAACGCGTGGGGAAATGCCTTTGACGCTTGGAGCTATTCACGCAAACCTCCAATTGTTTGATTTTGAAGGTTGGGCAAAGTAATTATCATTGGTGCTAATGTATGGTCTTTCCCGTTGAACAGGCTCCCAGGCTCTGAAGGCTCTCAAGGAGGCTGGTGTCCAGTCCGTCCTGATCAACCCCAACATTGCGACTATTCAGACCGACCACAAGCTGGCCGATGAAGTTTATTACCTCCCTGTTACCCCCGAATATGTCACCCACGTTATCGAGCGTGAGCGACCTGACGGTATCCTGCTCACTTTTGGTGGTCAGACTGGCCTCAACCTGGGTGTGCAGATGAACCGCATGGGTATCTTTGAACGGTACGGTGTCAAGGTTCTCGGAACCAGCATCAAGACCCTGGAGACGAGTGAGGATCGTGACCTCTTCGCCCAGGCCCTGAAGGAGATTAACATCCCCATCGCGGAGTCAATTGCTGTTGGTACCGTGGACGATGCCCTGAAGGCCGCCGAGTCCGTCGGTTACCCCATCATTGTTCGATCCGCGTACGCTTTGGGCGGTCTGGGTTCCGGCTTCGCCAACAACGAGCAGGAGCTTCGTGACCTTTCTTCTCGATCTCTGTCCCTCGCTCCCCAGATTCTTGTCGAGAAGTCCCTCAAGGGCTGGAAGGAGGTTGAGTATGAAGTGGTTCGTGATGCGGCCAACAACTGTATTACCGTTTGCAACATGGAGAACTTTGATCCTCTCGGTATCCACACCGGTGATAGTATCGTGGTTGCCCCCAGTCAGACTCTGTCCGATGAGGAGTACCACATGCTGCGTACCGCCGCCATCAAGATCGTCCGTCACCTGGGTGTCGTCGGAGAGTGCAACGTCCAGTATGCTCTCCAGCCCGATGGCCTTGACTACCGTGTGATTGAGGTCAACGCCCGTCTGTCGCGTTCCTCTGCCCTGGCCTCCAAGGCTACCGGCTACCCTCTTGCCTACACTGCCGCCAAGATTGGTCTCGGCCACACTCTGCCTGAGCTTCCCAACGCGGTCACCAAAACTACCACTGCCAATTTCGAGCCCAGCCTCGACTACATCGTGACCAAGATCCCCCGATGGGGACCTGAGCAAGTTCCAGCACGTGAACCGTGACATCGGTAGTGCCATGAAGTCTGTGGGTGAGGTCATGGCCATTGGTCGTACCTTCGAGGAGTCCCTGCAGAAGGCCATCCGTCAGGTCGATCCTAAGTACATCGGTCTTCAGGGTGATCACTTCGAGGACCTGGATGATGTGCTTCAGAATCCTACCGACCGCCGTTGGTTGGCTGTTGGTCAGGCTATGCTTCACGAGGGCTACTCCGTTGACAAGGTCCACGAGTTGTCCAAGATCGACAAGTGGTTCTTATACAAGATCCAGAACATCGTGGACTGCCACAATGAGCTTAAGGAGATTGGCAGCCTTTTCGGCGTTAAGCAGGAGATGATGCTCAAGTCCAAGAAGCTCGGCTTCTCTGACAAGCAGATCGCTCTCTTGGTCGGTTCCACCGAGGACGATGTTCGTGCTCGCCGTAAGTCTTTCGGCATCACTCCCTTCGTCAAGAAAATTGACACTCTGGCCGCTGAATTCCCTGCCGACACCAACTATCTGTACACTACCTACAACGCCACTTCTCACGATGTCACCTTCGATGACCATGGAACTCTGATCCTGGGTAGCGGTGTCTACCGTATCGGTAGCTCCGTCGAGTTCGATTGGTGTGCTGTCAACGCCACGCTCTCACTGCGCAACATGGGCAAGAAGACCGTCATGGTTAACTATAACCCTGAGACTTACTCTACCGATTTCGATACCGCTGACAAGCTTTACTTCGAGGAGTTGAGCTACGAGCGGGTGATGGATATCTACGAGCTCGAGAGCGCTAGCGGTGTCGTCGTCTCCGTCGGTGGTCAGCTTCCCCAGAACATTGCTCTGCGTCTGCAGGAGACTGGCGGTGCCCACGTGCTGGGTACTGATCCCCAAGACATTGACAAGGCTGAGGACCGCCACAAGTTCTCTCAGATCCTTGACAGCATTGGCGTTGACCAGCCTGCTTGGAAGGAACTTACTTCCGTCCCCGAGGCGGAGCGCTTCGCCGAGTCAGTCGGCTACCCTGTCTTGGTTCGCCCCAGTTACGTTCTATCCGGAGCTGCCATGAACGTCATCTACAGTGTCGATGAGCTGAAGGAGAAGCTCCTGAACGCCTCTGCCGTCTCCCCCGACCACCCTGTTGTCATTACCAAGTTCATTGAGGGTGCCGAGGAGATTGATGTCGATGCCGTCGCTTCCAACGGTAACCTGCTCGTCCACGCTGTCAGTGAACACGTTGAGCCCGCTGGTGTCCACTCCGGCGACGCTACCCTGGTTCTTCCCCTGTCAACCTGGATGAGGCTGTCATGAGCCGTGTGAAGGAGATCGCTCAAAAGGTCGCCAAGGCCTGGAACATCACCGGTCCCTTCAACATGCAAATCATCAAGGCTAACCAGGAAGGCGCCGAGCCCCAGCTCAAGGTCATCGAGTGCAACCTGCGTGCCTCTCGATCCTTCCCCTTCGTTAGCAAGGTCCTGGGTACCAACTTCATCGATGTTGCCACCAAGGCCCTGGTTGGTCGTGATGTCCCCGAGCCCGTTGACCTGATGCAGGAGAAGCGTGACTACCTTGCTACTAAGGTGCCTCAGTTCAGTTGGACGCGTCTCGCCGGTGCTGACCCATTCCTCGGTGTCGAGATGTCCTCCACCGGTGAGATTGCCTGCTTTGGTAAGGACCTTGTCGAGGCCTACTGGGCTTCTCTCCAATCCACCATGAACTTCCGTATGCCTGAGCCTGGTGAGGGTATCCTCCTCGGTGGTGATATCACCCAGACCTACCTGTCCACAATCGTCGACTACCTGAACCCTCTCGGATACAAGTTCTACGCTGCCAACCAGGAGGTCAAGGATCACATTGAGTCTACCTGCAAGGACAACGTCTCTGTCCAGGTTATTGAGTTCCCCAAGAATGACAAGCGTGCCCTCCGTGAGGTCTTCCAGAAGTACGACATCCGCGGTGTGTTCAACCTGGCCAAGACCCGTGGTAAGACCCAGCTTGACGAGGACTACGTCATGCGCCGCAACGCTGTGGACTTCAGCGTCCCCCTCTTCATGGAGCCCAAGGTATGACCCATCCCTCTATCCCATTGATTCTCAGTATTTTTACTAACCTTGGTTCAAAGACCGCTCAACTGTTCGCTCAGTGTATGAACGAGAAGATGCCCCGTGTTGATGGCATCCCAAGTGAGGTTCGCACCTGGTCCAACTTCGTCGGCGGTAAGCTTCTGTAAGTGGTGATCAGCACAAAAAGTCGAAAAAGCCCTTCCTAGCCGCATATTCGCCCTGCCTTATGCGGCGTCATGGGTGAGGCATCTTTGTTGATAGATTGCGTGCATTGTCTGTTTGATCCTTCAACTTCGCTCCCTCTTTGTATGGGATTGTTTTAGGGCAACAGTTACCGGGTCTTGTTTAGCTGCCCCCTTCCCCTTCTTCCCTAGGTTTCGTCTTATCATTGGATTTGAAGATCGGAAACACTAGGATGAATTGGGTCTGTGCTTTTACTGGGGGTTTATTGCCTGTAGTTGTTTGGTTATTTGTTTGAGCGGCAAAAATATTTTCATATCTACTTCATTTAAGTGTAATGTTATTCAAGAACTTTCACTCTATACTATGACTTCCATGAAATGCAGAATGTACTGTAGTCCTTGTATCCTTCAGCCCACTGGAACGTGCCGAGCCGCTGACCTCGCGACTTGCTGGCTGATTAAGCAGTTCTTCCGAGCATTGAGTCTCGTGTGGTGTTTACATCAACCTTGACCACGGCAAAATGCCTTCTCTAAGTGCACCGCCGTCAGTGACGACGAAGACAGTGCCTCGCCCTGCCCCTGATGGAATGGGCAATGGTCTGTTCGCCACGGAAGCGATTAAGGTCGGCGAGGATGTTCTGCATGCCATGACACCTTTTGTGGCTGTCCTCGACTCTCCGCGTCTCGATGATACATGCGCAGCCTGCTTTGGCAAGCGGCAGATGGAGGGTACTGTTGATTTAAAGGCTTGCACTGGCTGCCGAGTGGTCAAGTACTGCGACCGTGTTTGTCCCCTACAATCCCTCTATTCGGCTTCAACCTCGGCATAAGCGGGTTTAAGCAATGGTCTGCATTCTGGCATTACTGACGTGCATATGTTCGAACTAGACTTGCCAGCTGAAGGACTGGAAATTTTCCCATTCGAAAGAATGTCCTATCTACCAGAGCTTGAAGGGCCGGGTGCTACCCAACAATGCTCGAGCTATCTTGCGCATAGTCCTGCGTGCTAACCACGGCAAGTACAACGCCCAGGAGCTGGAACTCTTTTCCAGCCTGGAGATGCATATGGACAAGATCCAAGAGAATAAGGAGCAGCAAGAACGTATCACTCTTACTTCTAAGAGCGTGAAGGAGTACGCGAATGTCCCGATGAGCGTTGAAGACATTGCCCAATATGCCGCCCGGGTATGTATAGCAGCTATTTATCGCAAATTAATTATATTATTGCTCACATGTGCACCAGTTGGAGGTAAATTCATTCAATCTGACAACTGCAATGTATGACCGGATTGGCCTGTACATGCATCCCTACGCAGCTTTGATCAACCACAGCTGCGACTATAACGCCACCGTAGGTTTTGACGGCGAAGAACTGTACGTGAAGGCCGTCAAGCCCATCAACAAGAACGAGCAAATCTTCATCTCCTACATCGACACCACCACACCCCACAAAGTACGCCGCAATGAATTATCTGAGCGCTACTTCTTCCAATGCCTCTGTCCCAAATGCTCCAAGGGCCTCGACACCGCCGAGGACCGCTTTCTCGAATCATATTCCTTTGAATCTGCCGACTCCGAGACGGCCCTCGAGACAGCAGAGCGCCAGGCATTGGAACTGATGAAGAAAGCCTCCGAATCAGACTCCAACCCTGCAGAAAGTATCAAAGACCTCGAATCCGCCCTCCACATCCTGCACGCCACCTCCGCCTGGCCCATCACCCGCCAGCCGTACGCCTCCATCCGCGACCAGCTTATCCTCTCCTGTCTCTCTGCCAGCAGATTCAGTGAAGCCTTCATCCACGCTGCAGTCCGCTACCTCCGCATCGACACAGTGCTCTACAGCCCCGCCCACCCTGTGCGCCAAGTGCACGCCTGGGTCCTTGCCAAATTGGCAATTTACCTCTCGCAGAGCTTCGAGACGCACCCCGATGACCCTGTCCGGCTGGAGGAGTACCAGCTCAATTTCCATTTTATTCTGTGGTATGTGCTTGCTGATCTGGCGGCGAGGCAGATGGAGAAGCTGTACGGTTCCCAGCTTCAAGAAGCTTGTTGCGGGGAACTTCGCGCAGGTCAACAGGGAGTTTGTGGGGCAGGGGTTGGATCCGACGCAGTTGCCAGCGCAGACACTTGTTCGGCAGGCTTGGGGGGAAATTGGAGAAGGTGGTGCAGGTTGTCTTGGATAAGGAGTAGTTGTGTGGTTGCGAATGTTCCGAGTCGTTCTGCGAAGGATTAGCTCAGGTGGCATGTATTAGTAGAATATTAGGGGGGGAGTTAGGGGGATATTAGGAGGGCTTAGGAGTAGACTTGAGGATGGTTAAAATTATGTTTCCATGGTAGGATCGGCTAGATACAGGCGAAGAAGGAGAGCAGTGTTCACACAATTGGGGAAGGATATATATACAAATGTACAGCGCGCGTCGCCCGTTGTTTATCCACCATAGTCAAGCAGGTCGTGCGGACGCAGATTACATCAAGCTAGTGCGACCCCCAATCTCGTTCACTGCTTCGCCATTCGGCATCTCGCCATTACGACCAGCAACGAACTCCTGGTAGATCCGTTGGAAGCGTCTACGTTCCGTAGAGCTCAGCGAGGGACGGGTAGTGTTAATCGCACGCTCGATGTGTTCCCAGCGGACTATAATGTCATCACGAAGCTCATCAGCGGAGGCCTCTGTGCCGTTCGTAGCGTTGGTCGAGGCAGAGGTTCCTGCACCGGAGGCACCATGGTCCAGCTGCCGCTGGCGGCGACGCGAGTTCTTGATCTGCTCCAACTTCGCAGCAACGACCGCTGGAGGGGGCATGGAGACCGAGCCCGAAGCTTCCTCTGACGAGGAGTAGAGGAATTGGATGAATGATTTACTCGAGGCGCTTGGAGATGTCTTCGAAGCGCCCGCCTGAGCACCAGGCTTAGTCGATTCGGCCGTCCGATCTCCGAGAGCGTCGTGCACGGCTTCAAGATGGGCGTTGTAGACAACTGCCTGGATATCTGCGCCTGACAGTCCCTCGGTACGAGCGGCAATTTCGTCGACGCGAGATGCAACCTCTTCGCTAATCTTTAGCTTTTCACTGACTGCTTTGATGATATCAGCCCGATCAGCGCGCGACGGCATGTCACAGAGCAATGATTTGTCCAGACGACCTGGACGCAGCAGAGCAGGGTCGATCAAATCTGGTCGCGAGGTTGCGGCCAAAACGTATACGCCTGACAGGCCTTCCGCACCGTCCATCTGCGTAAGCAGCTGGTTCACCACCCGGTCGGTAACACCGGTGGAATCATGGCCACGCTTCGGGGCGATACTGTCGAATTCATCGAAGAAGAGAATACAGGGCCGCGCAGCCTGTGCTCTTTCAAACAGATCACGGACACTCTTTTCACTAGCACCGATGTACTTGTTCAGGATCTCGGGTCCCTTGACACTGATGAAGTTCAGACCGCACTCGCCGGCGACTGCACTGGCAAGCATTGTCTTACCGCAACCGGGATATCCATAGAGAAGCAGACCAGATCGAAGTCGCAGCGGACACTGTGCAAAGATTGGGGCATACTTGGTTGGATATTGGAGTGTCTCCATCAAGGTCTGCCGTGTCTCAAATAGACCACCGATAGAGGAGAAAGTGGTCGTAGAAGAGGTAAGCGTGACGTTCCGGAGGGAGGCTGGTGTGAATCCTTTGAGAGCACTGTCGAAATCTTCTGTTCCGAGAGATATCATCTTGGATTCGGTCGCTAGGTCTTGGACAGAGCGAATAAGAGCCTCATTGCGCGCGCGCGCAACAAGCAGCACAAGGTCACCGGGCATGTATCCATCGGTTTTACCGGCGAGTTCTAAGAAATCCACGTCCCTACTGAGAACAAATCCATCGCCCCCCGAGGAACTTGGCCGGCTCCCCAGGTTTGATGGGTCCAACCATGAATCTTGAGTCGAATGAGTCGAGGTACTGGTTGCGCGGGCATGGCCATTGAACTCAGAAGTGGCTCGGTCCTGGCTCGTAAGTTTTTCCAAGACCTTGCGGCGGCCATCCTTGTCAGGCGCGCGCATATTCAGAATCTCACGGACAACGTGACCTCCAATGATGACATTGTTCAGCGACTCTTTGGCCTGAGCTGTGGCTAGAAGAACAACAGATGAGTTCATTGAGCAGTACTCTCGTACCATGGAGCAAATGACCTCGCTATTTTGCCGACTGCGGCCATTGTCGCCTCCAACCTGCAATTCGGTCTCCACCGGGCAAAGCTTATCGAGATCGTCGAGAATAACAACAGCTTGGCCACCCAAACGAGCACACCACGATGCGGACATGAACAACCGGTTCAAGACCTCCTTAATGTTCGAGATCCGTGTTTCATCGGTTACGAGTTTGCGACAGGAAAAGTACTTGACGTTGAATAGGTGATCTTTCCTCAGCTTATGGGCTAGGAGGTGAGTGAGAGCAGTCTTTCCCGCACCAAGGCCCCCAGTCAGTAGAATAGATGAGGATTTCGTCAAGGCTGAAAGCGACTGGGAGATGATAGAGTCAATTCCAACGAGCTGTGGAGCAGTCTCGGGGATCGGGTCATCAGTCGGCAAAGCAGATGAGCCGGCGTCAGAAGGTTTGGGTATCTCAGCTTTCACTTCAACGTTGAGTATAGCCTCAGAGCCCAAGAGCCACCCAAACAACAACTTGGAATCTTCGGAGTTTGCTTTGAGGGGCGGATCAAATCTAACAATGGCCCCGTCAAACGAAGAAACGGACGGATGGTTCTCAACTCGGGGTAGAATCATGCCGTCCGTTAACGGGCCAGAGAAAAGCCCAACGTCAGACCCGGTACTGCCATAGATAACCTTGAGACGCTCAGCGAGTGCGTCCCTCGAAGCCGCAGTATCAGATCCGAATTTGAGACCATCCTTTTTCTTGGATGTATCGGCTGTGAACGGGTACACCTTGAGCGTTTTGACCGCCGACCGATGCAATTGAGGTGGTGCAGCCTCCACCCGCACAATACCTCCAACCATGTTCTCCGCACCCAGGGCCGAGCAGAGCACACTAGAGATAGCCACATGTTTGCTGTCCGGAGCTTCCTCCCAGGGTAAAAGTTTCGCTACTACCTTGGTAGTGGGGCTACCAGCTTCGCTAGACTTCTGCTCCTGCTGGGCCAACTGCTGCTGCGGGTCGACCGGCGGCTTCAGACCAGAAGGCTGAACCAGTGAAACACTGGCCCAACTGGAGCCTCGAAGCTGGCTCGATTTCAAAAGCTCGGGATCGACCCAAACGCGGAGCCCCTCGTTCTCTTCCTCATCCATTTCACGGTCAAACAGCTCGTCTGCTACCGCGCGGTCAACACCTCGCAGATACAGAGACCCTCGAGAGTCTGATCGGCTGCTCTTGGGACGCACAGTGCTTCCTGTGCTCCTTCCCCCTGCACTCCTTCTGCTACTTCCCGCATTACTCCGGCTGTCTCCCCGGCCTGACTTTCCAGTCTTGGATCGGACTTTGGGGGCGACGATCACTTCGGCATCAGGTGCGATCTTGGCGAATGGCGAGGTTTCTGAGGGCGCAGGGGTAAGGGAGGTAACGACTATATTTGCGGTAGATGTGGGCGACAGGTGCAAGGCCAATGGGTGCATATGCTCCGCTTCTGCCGTAGTGTAGGAGGGATTCGGAAGGGCACGAATTTGAGATAGCAGGTTAAGCTCTAAGAAAGTAGCATGAAGCTCAATGACTGTAATAGATCTTGGTCAATACGCTTCAAGTAGGATCGGTTTACACATGGCAACATACTCTCCCAATCTTCTGGGGTCAATGGCTCGATATTGATCGTATGCGCAATGGGCGGGTCGAGATGTACAAGCAAGCCGACCTGCGCGTAGGGATACGAAGTCAGCATTTGCTTCGAATGTGAGAATATTGCACATCAACGTACCTTCTGTCCTTCCGCTAGGCCAAGCAGTCGGCCGAAGGTCGTGTCTAGCTCCACGGTCGAGACTTCCTGTTCTCGGGCGTAGCCGGTATTGATGCCATCTCGGCTCACGACCGGGGCAAGCTTGCGCTTGCTCGGCATACCTGTCCACCCCAGGTAACATGATTTCTGCAGCGCCGCACCATTGGCCTTTGCGGAGTTCGACTTGTATTGCAATTCGATGATGGCATTCTGGGCAGGCTGCGATCACATGAGAGTTAGTCGGGAAAGTGGTAACCGGCGTCGGGGGACTGACTGTGTTCGCATTGACCAGTAGAGAGACCAGAGAAGGAGGCAGGTTGACCAGACAGTTCTTGAGAGGAACTAGAGCCACTTCTGCCGTGGTCGTAGGCTTCTTGGGCGCCATGATCAAGGCGCAGAGCTGTTGTCGCAGGAAGAGGCGGGGAAGGATAACTTCCCCGGAGTTGAGCGCGTTCCAAGCGGGATTAGGTAAACCCGTGGACCTCGGCTCTTTTGGCCAGTTTTACTGCGTAAGCTTATGAGGGATTCCTCTCGAGTACTAGAACTATTATAACAAAGCTTTCACGGGGTTCTATGATTCCGATTCTCTGAATTTGATGGATTCAGAGGCCTCGGCCCACTTATTGAAGCCAAGACACCGGCATTTCCTCGGTCCCAAGCATGCAACGCAGCCCAAAGCTTCCTAGAGTATAAATCCCGCCAGAAGTCTTTCAAAACGAGCTGGGTTTCAAGGTATCACTACCAGTGATGGCCGGACACTACGGGGAAGGGCGCTTCAACTTATCAGACCCGTGCTGCCGTTAGGGGATTGAGAAGAAAAGAAGATGTTTCTATCGGGAAGTATATCCCAGAGAGTCAATGGTTGATTGATTTGATATCAGTACCAGTTAGACATGCACGTGGACTAGCGAGGAAAAGTACAAGATGAATCCATTAATGAGCGGATCTGAACCTGGTAGTATCTCAACTATCACATCACAATGTCCATGATGCAGAAATATAGATACCCAAAGCTCAATTTCATATCAGTCAATCTCAAATTTGACTCACGGCCGTCCTTATAGAATTGGCACAAACTTCCGGATTTGATTAGGTTTGAAATGTGTAACGGCGCCTGCTTTTCTCCGCGCAGAAATTCAATTTGTAGTTGACGATAAGCTGCTCAGCGTCCATCTGCCCAGCGGTTCCGACCAATCCGGATTAAGCCTGACGCGCCTGCACAGGTTTAACATGGGATGGCACGTCCACGTGGGCCGTAACATTAGTCAAAAAGACATCTGACGCAGTATAGTCCGAAGAATAGTTGCGGAAGATGAAGTTCAATGGGAATCCGATATCAAACGATGTGGAGTTGTCGATTTCATGGATATCGTCTTGGGATAGAGACACACCTAAGGCAGCGACGTTCGCCTCAAGGTGCTCAATTTTCCGCTGGCCGACAATAGGGGAAAACGTAAGGTGTCTTGTGCATTACGTATGCCAGTGCCTGTTGGGAGATATCGTCAGCCACAGTATTCCACATCATTGTCAAGACATATTGTCAAGCACTTACGATCGCTTGCAGAGTCGTGTTCTTCTTCTTCGCAACTTTCTCCAACGCCTCTGAAATCTTGATATCCTCCTCGCTCAGATCTGCCGCTCTGCCACTGCCATCTGCGTTGGTTCCCTTGCGTGCCTCTGCTGATCTGAACTTTCCTTGGCCGAGAGCTGCCCAGGGAGCAATCCCCATTCCCTGGTCACGGCACATTGGGATGACCTCTCTCTCAAGATCTCTGAATCGCGCATTCCACTTGCCTTGATAGACAGAGAATGGCCGCAGACCATTTGCGCGGGCATAAGCGTTAGCCTTTACGACGATCCAGGCAGGGGTGTCTGAAACACCAAGGTAAAGGACCTTGCCCGACGTCACCAGGTTGTTGAGACCATGCATGACCTCCTCGACCGACGTGGTGAAGTCCCACCAGTGGACATACAGCAGGTCAATGTAATCCGTTTGCAGTTTCTTGAGACTTCGCTCGACCGAGACACGCATACTCTTCATTGAGTTGCCGACGAAGTTCGACTGGATCGGTTCAACGTCGCGTTCAAAATTTCGGAATCCGGTCGTATATTTGGTTGCAATCCTATGAGGATTAGCCGATATCCCCGATCATCACACTAGATGTGTCGACATACACCATCTGGTCGCGTACACCACGCGCCTTGAGCCATTCTCCAATCCAAGTTTCCGATTCCTCGTTTTGGTAGTTATTTGCTCTAGGTTGGCGTGCAGGTTAGCAAAAGTTCGTTCGGGTGCCATTTTTCACGTACGTATCTATGAAGTTGCCGCCGAGCTTGAAGAAGGCATCGAGGATAGCGAATGATTGCTCCTTGCCACACTCGCCCATCCACGATTTCCTAGATTACATGACGCGAATTAGCTCCAGTCATTATCTACCAGTCATGGAACGACTATACCAGGCATCTCCAAAGTTCATGGCTCCAAGACATAAGGGCGACACCTTTACTGCCGCATTAGGGGGAGAGAACACGGTGGTAGCCCAATAGGCTGGGGGGAGCCGGTGCAGGTTGGAAGATGGACATTGTTAGATTGCGGCACAGCTAAAATTCAAGGAAGAGTGGTAGCTTGACGAATGATCCCCTGGAAGGAATTCGACTCCTTTTAAAAGAGCTGCCCCTCACCGAAAACAAGGGCTATTGTAGTCCGTACCGAGTAGCTGAAGCCTCGGAACATCTCAATGCGCGGCCTTTATGCTTAACTCCGAGTTGATGACACTTGTGACGCCATCGACCCGGAGCGGTCGTTAACGCCGGGATGGATAACGATCCAACAGCTAACGTTCAAAGCTAACATGGGCAATTTGCGATAGACATCCGTCGAGCCCTTCGAGTCATGCGATTTGCAGCCTCATGCGCGTTCTTGAGTTCGTTGTACACGACCGACCTTCCTCTAGCTCCTCGTTGAGCTGCGGACCTTGTGCGCTGAGCGTGGAGCCCAAGCGATCTTCCTCGGTAATGATCCGGCTCTCATGCTCATAGTTGCGCTATTTGCAAGAGCCCTTAACCAGGCTACACGACCGGTATACTCAAATAGATCAGATACGAAGTTCTAGAGATATCAGATTCACATCCAAATGATGATAAGCCCAATTAAAATTCGGCCTAAGCTTGGGAGTCAGCTGCACAGGGCATCCTACTAGGCCGGAACCTTTGATCCACGGTAATCTGCAGCGACCGCCTGTGCTTGGCATGCAAGTTGATGATGATCCTCGTACCATTGAACTATTGGCGGACTCGATGGAGCATTTTGTAGTCAGGCCACAGTCGCAGGTACGTGGGCCCAAACATGAATCAAATTTAGCCATCCAGTTGGCATCCTAACGAGCTACAAATCTGAACTCCACCATCTCATGTTTTGGCAAATTTCAAGGGATACGGAGCCGTCATGCCGTTACGCATGGCCAATCACCTTCTTGGGCTCGTAGAGATCATCAATGCTGCTCAGCTCCGCAGGGCTGAGCTCCAAATAGATCGCCTTGATGGCCTCGTCGACTCGCTCCTTCTTACTCAATCCCAGGATGGGAGCCGTAACGAATGGCTTAGAGAGAGACCATGCAATTGCCACGGTCGCCATTGACACACCATGCTGCTTCGCAATGCTCTGAATCTGCTCATTAATCTTCTTGTCTGTCTCAGACGCCGGCTGACCGAAGAAACCCTGACCCTGGCCCTCCCCACGCTGAGTGTTTGAGAATTCCTGCCACGGACGAGCCAGAAATCCCATCGCAACGGGACTCCATGGAACTCCGCCCATGCCAAATTTAGCACAGGCAGGATACATCTCCCGCTCTTCCTCTCGATAGATACAATTGTGAAGGTTTTGCATCGAGATAAACTCTGTCCAGCCATGGATCCGAGCAGTGTACTGGTATTCGAGGAGTTGATGGGCCCACATCGATGAAGCGCCGATGTAACGTACTTTGCCGGACTTGACAATGTCATGGAGGGCTTCCATTGTTTCTTTCACCGGAGTGGAGGGGTCGAACCGGTGGATCTGGAGTAAATCGACGTAGGGGAGGTCCAACCTCTGCAGGCTAGCATCCACACTTTCGAAGATATGCTTGCGACTCAGTCCGTATTGATTTACGTAGCCAGCATTGTCTCTTTCTTCTTCTGTCATATCCATTGGTTCATCGGCGCCGCGGCCGACGGGCAAGAATACCTTGGTTGCGATGACAATGCGTTCTCGGCACCATCCGTATTTCTTGATCGCTTGCCCCAGAATCTTTTCAGACGAGCCATTCGAGTAGACATTCGCTGTGTCAAAGAAGTTGAGACCGGATTCGTAGCAGTAGTTCAGCACTGGCAATGCTTCGTCTTCCGGCAATGACCACTTGAAGCGGCCGCTGGGGTCTCCAAAGCTCATGCAGCCCACACCAATCGGAGCGACACGGAGACCGCTGTTTCCAAGCTGTACAAACTTCATTTTTGCTTCTTTTTCCTGGATATAGGCGGGTTGCAAGTATGAAAGCCAAGACTTGAAACGAAGAAAAACAATTGATCAATAAAACAAAACAAGAAGGAACCCTCCCGGGTATTTATAAACAGGCGTTAGAAGCTTCAGGTAATTAGAACCTCTGTGTCGGAATGAAGCCATGCAAGATGACGACGTATTAGTGGTTTGTTACAGCCTGCATGTTAGCGCAATCAGGCCGGGCATAAGCTTTTTAAGTCCGAGCTTTTCTCGGCAGTAACCTTGCTTTCCTAGTTGTTGGAGCATGCAGGAAGAAAGGGGTCTGTAAAATACGGTATGGATTGGAAGAATATGAAACTCTGAAAGTTCTAAAATAACAGGCACCGCATATTTAGTTATACAGTGGGTTTCTTACATTAGAAAAGTAATGAATGTTCGCCAAGAAATGAATAAGCGGTAATACGGTGGTAATGGCACCGTGTGTTCCGATACTAGTATGTAGGACGGAAAACACCAATAGCGGGGTAAACTCATGGCTGTCCGGGTCTACCCATGGACTGGAACAAAAACATGTGGTTTGAGCTTCCCAAAGTACTACTAGCGTCTTAATAGAAAAAGACTGAACCCGGAGGTGTTTTGATTCATCAACTTCTGGACGTTAGATGCGGATTTTCCCCTTTCCCAAAGGTTTGAGGAAACTGCTGCTTCCCAATACCTGGATTTCGCGCGCGGCGATGGGTTATGTTTCATCAGCCACTGTCGCGGGATACTTCCCACGACCCAGAAAAGAGAGAGGAGACATAGGCGGCGGCAATGAATATCAGAACATAACCCCCCGAGCAATAGCACCAAGGTACTTGACCACAGTCTCAATTTGCTAGCAAGGTTAAAGACCTCCGGTAGGGAGCGCTAGCCTCAAGTCACCGGGTTGTGTACCTCCCCATTAGTGGTCGAGGTTGGAGCTACTGTTTCTTCTTTCTATCACGTGCGGGCACCCAGTGGCGTAGCAAACTTCACAAAGAGATATAAATTCTTCGTGATATATAAACAAAAATTATAAGACAAGCTTATAGCGTTTACGTTTTACCTCATACACAAAATCATGAATCTTTGTGGCCTCTTTCGCCTTCCAGAATGACACGCAATAGAACGCCACCTGCCCACAGTCGCCTGGGCTGGGCAAACAACAATGTCTTATTCATTGCCGGTCCCCTCTTCCCCGGGTCATCACTTAGATGAATATCAATGTCCAGATAACTACGGCCGCAGTTTGTAGCTCTAATGTTCAGTTGTATTGTGGCCACATGTTGCCGCTGATGTTTCTTGCATGAGACAATAGGCTATGTTCCCAAGACTTTGGGAGGAGGGTTGGTTTCCTTGCTTGAAGTGCTCATAGTGGGCAATTATGTCAGTATTATCGATAAGGCGCATAGCGGTCACAAGGACCAACAGTATTCATCTCGTTTGCTGCGAATCTCCTGGTAATGGAGGCTTGAGGAAGTCAGCTCTTACTATCTTGTTCCACGACCTGAGACATTAAGTATTAAATCCAGCGATTAGGCACCCTTCCCCTTCGCATTACTCCTTATTCCCATTCCTTTGAGCAATAACCCACAATTCACCTAAGGACCTGAACTACTCGATGACTTCCGATATCTCACTGATCGGTCAAGAGGAACTTTCATACAATGGCTCTCACCCGAGTGATACTGCCGCAGTGTTTGGAAGTCGAACAATCGGCATTTTAGTAGCATACTCCGCTGCATTTCGCGGAGTTTCACGTCTGTGCTCGGTAGATCAAGCACCCCACTGCTTGACTCTAGCAGGATCTAACGGTGCGATACCATTTACATCAACGGCCCAAGCCTTGTCGAGCAGACCTTAGCCCAGGAACCGCATGGCGTAGTTCAGATTTTACAGTGGGTAACTTTGGATCAGACAACACTGCCGGTTCTCGGGAGCATGGCCTGGTGCACCGGGATTCGATCTCTGTTGCTGCTGCCGACCAAGGAATCGCGAGGTGTCTTCGCTGGTGAGCAAAGAAGCACCAGGGGCACGGCTGATGCTCGTGGTGGCCCCGCTGAAGTCTCGATGCCTATAGTTTCTATATGGAATAAAGCACTAATCTGGAGAGTGAATTGTACTGCCACTGGAATGTACTTCCTCGCTGGTTGACTTGGTCGCAAGGGACAGAGGCGCTCCGAACGTTTTGCGTAGTGCCACAGTTGATATGAAACCTGAATCAGAGTTATACTATCGATATTGATCATTAGATGACGAATTCATCATTCGTTTTTCAAGACTCTTTCTGTACCGACGGACAAGGAGCTGGAAGCATCGACCATCGTAATTGCAGTTGAAGACACATCTCTTCATCAACCTCCCCCTCTATGTAGCCCGGAAGCCAAATACGCTAGTAGCAGCTTGGCTCCTGTTATGGATCGGGATTCGGTTTACAGGGGCTCCACAGCTGAACTGGCATATGAAAGTCGTTCTCTCTGTAAAGCGTGATTACGCGACCGCCTGATATGGGCCTTCTAGGCATCGATTGCCAAATCCTACATGTCCTACACATGGACCAGGTAATATCCACGTCGATCAATGTGAGATTCCTGGCCGTAGAAACAGACCCTGAGACGGGGCGAGCCGATTCATCAGCCTGGCGAATCCTGTCAAGGTCAGCGAGGAGCTCAGCCATCGACAATCCAAATACGCAGGTCCTCTGGTTGGCTGCGAAGATCGTATTTGCGAGGTAGAGATAAGTCCGCTGGGTAGAACGAGTGCGTCGAAATCAGCTGGGCTCCGTCACGCGGGGCAAGAAGCGTGCAGTCTGGATAGTTGGGACAAGAGAACAAAGTGGAGCCTTGCCCGTACCCAAGTTGCCAAATTCGCAACTAGAAGGAAACAAAAGGAAACTTGCCTCTCACGCGTGTGACTCGACTTTGGACCTGCGTAAAGTTTGTCTATTTTGGATGTCTTCTGGTGATGTGCTGGAAGGAATGCACTGGCGTCTATAAACGCGATCTGATTCGACAAACATCGGACGGGAAGTATACTAACGGCGGGAATACGGACGGCTCAGAACGGTTTCTAAAATTATTTCATGCACTTTTTTCTCCGTATCCGATCTTCAATGCAGGGAAAACAACCGTTTCAGGTCTGGAAAGCATATGACCTTCCGTTTATGTGCCTCCAACGAGAACTGCCGAAGCTGCAGCTAAGCAATAGCGTCGCTCCCAGAGATACAGGAAAGCTACGACCCTACTCTCTCTCTCTCTCTCTCTCTCTTTCTCTCTCTTACCCCCCGCCCCTTCTCTAAACGAGGGCCTGAGACCCTTTCCGCTTGCATAGGGCTGATTTAGGGGAAAGGTTTCCTCGTGCGGAGAAAGGAAGTTGGATGACGCAAAGTGGGGAAGCCCATGGGTGCACTTTGGTACGCCCATACGGAAGTGGCGGGCGGAGACGGAGGTGAACATGGTGGGGCTCTTCTTCACTAATGCCTTGGCTGCGAAAGCTTGACAAGCTGCACATCGGCTCCATAATTCCCCTAAAAGCTTCTAGCGTCATGCACGCTATTTATGGGATGCATGGATACCTTCAGAGACCCTTACCGCAACGTCGGCAATCCCAGAGGCTTTCTGCTACGGTGTGTCAGCTCGTACCAGAAAAAATGTCTGAGCTGCAAAGCCACGGCTCTACCCACGCGCCTCCTATGGCCCTCGGTGGTTCTCAGTGGGCCTCGGCAAAAACAGGCCCCCGATCATTCATTTCCCTCTTTCGTTGTCGCATGGACATCTTTCATTCCCCCCCTAGACGGCTTGATCAACCAATAGCTGTCGGATATGGGCCGGAACCGGGATTCAGCCTCTCTAGGATGACTAGTCTCCTGCTGACGTGGTGGTCTACAAATTACAATTTCTGCCAAGCATCAGTATTCTCCAGAACCCAAAAAATGGTGAAGGGATCTCTGACTCGGCGGTCAGCGATCCTGTGAGTTCCCCAGACATTCCAACGAGGAGGTAAGTGGAGGCGTAGAGGTTGGACATAGTGGATTTAGTGGGCTTCGGATGACTCCACGTCCGATCCGTACTATTCCCGACAATCTCTCATCTCCCTGCAGGAATGGATATCTCCGGGGAGTAGCTTCGCATGGCAAGAGACTTTTTAGGATATTCTTAGTTGGCCTGCTGCAGGGCCATTGCAGGCTACTGCAGCCTAAGTGGTCCTGCTCCACCTGATCCGCCCCATCCGCTCGTGAGGGGAATATCCTATCGTTGCGCTATAGCAAGAGGGAGGAGAGTGGTGAAATGAGGGGAAAAGCATGCCAGAGTAACATAGACCTCCGACATTATGGTGAAAACAGGATTTGTTGTCCGGCTATAAAAAGGGCCAGGACTACCCCAATTCTTGGACCAGAGTACCAGGGTTCAAGAACTCCCAGATTGTGAAACGTTATAAATCAGAGCCCAACCTTGACTTGGTTTCAGAGTCTCTTCCAACTCCCTCTTTCCTACAGGGGCCCACCATGAAAGCTCAATTCTTTCTTCCGCTTCCTCTAGCTTTGCTCCCTTTAGTGGGATCTGTGCCTGCCCCGAGAGCAAGCAACCCGCCTCTCAGGGGATCAGAGGCACTTGTTGGGTACTCGCCCACCGAGAAAATCGCCCCTGGACCGAAGCCAGATATTAAGTGTAGCCTGCTGCCGGCTCAGACTGCTGACCCTCAGCTTGGAGAATATTTGGACTTGGAGAAGGTTGAGAACCCACAGCCTATTCGGGGAAACACTGGTGGCGATGATCCTGGTCCCAGTCAGTCGTTTACTTTCTGCTACGTGATTCTTCCGCCCATCTAACAACTGCAGGAAATTACTATTATGACAAAATCAACAGCGACAAGTTAGCCCCCCCCCGGAACCGACAGTGGTTCCACGATCAATGCTCAATGGCCGATGGGTTAGTCTATAGATCTGCGGTTCCTATTTGATTATCATATTGACATCTTTACAGGACTGAGCCACAACCGGTAACGCACAACACCCAGAACCCGCGTTGACTCTGTTCTAATATGAATCACCCAGACTTGGCATTGACAGCGCTGGCTGGGCTCGTCAAGAAAACATCGACGTCATGCCGGCTGCTACCGAAATGGCGGGTGTCGATATGCGCCTCGAGCCCCACGGTTATCGGGAGCTTCACTGGCATGTCGCTGCAGAATGGTCGTTGGTGCTCAACGGCTCGTGTCGGATTCAAGTGGGTCCTCTCCAAATCGTGATCAATAATCAAGAATGACTTAACTTCTCAAATTTCAGGCTGTGAACGAAAATGGGCAAACTTTCGTCGATGACGTTACGGCGGGCGATCTGTGGTTCTTCCCGCCGTGAGTATCCCCTGGGCGCTTCTCCACATCAACGCTAATGTGGCAACATAGTGGGGTTCCTCATTCCATCCAGGCTTTGGAGGCTGGTGTCGAATTTCTGTTGGTATTTGACGACGGTGCATTCTCTGAAGATAACACGTTCCTCGCTTCGGAAGTATTCCTGCACACTCCTGTACGAACCCATTCAATATCACTGAGGGCTGTTCGGTAGACTAATGCAAGCAGAAATCGGTCTTGGCTCAAGACTTGGGAGTTGACGTGTCCGCGTTCAAAAATCTCCCTGACGATGAGCTTTACATCTTCGGCGGCACGCCCGCCCCCAAGGATATTGAAAAGCAAAATGTGACCACCCCTGCGGGCGTGATTCCTCGAACACAGAGTTACTCTTACCACCTCTCCGAACAACCCGCGCACGAAGTTGCCGGCGGAAGTGTCAAGATAGCCGATCCCGCCACCTTCCCCATCGCTAGCAACTTCTCGGCTGCGATAGTGACTGTTCACCCCGGTGGTATGCGAGAGATCCACTGGCATCCTACCAGTGACGAGTGGACCTTCTTCATCCAGGGCCAGGGCCGTGCCACTCTATTCAGTGCCCCGCAAAGTGCGAACACCTTCGACTACCGTGCTGGCGACGTTGCATATTTCCCTAAGTCGAACAGTCACTATATCCAGAACACTGGTGACGAAGACCTGGTCTTTGTGGAGGTCCTCCAGGCGGACCTATTCACTGGTATGTTCGACAATTCCCCTCCTTCGGTGCTATGGCCTCATCAAGCTGACACTCTTTAGACATTGCACTTGGCCAATGGCTGGCTTCTACCCCCGGCAGATCGTATCGGACACCTTGAATCTAAACGATACTACCCTTGAGAAACTCAAAACGGAGAAGCAGTACGTTGTCGCTGGACCCCCTCTCCAGTGAGATTGGGCTGTACAGTCTTACTGGCTACCCTTCCCATCTCCAATGATATCTTCTTCTTTCCTGTCTTTCGTTCTCTTGGCACCGCTAGCCCCACTGTTGCCCAAATCATCGTACGTTGGGGCCTGGAATGGATCTCCATTGATTCATAGCGAGTACTCTTGTTGTTCAAGATGCCCATAAATAACCATGTGCACCTCTTTGTTCAAGTCTGGGAGTTTAGAAAATCAATTCTGTACCATTTTAGACTATGCTTCAAGGAATTGTGCTGGATCGATGAATGGGAGAGAGACATAGAAGGAATAAAAACACGCATTGAACCTGAATATCTCATGAATCTTGAAACTATCTTGAAAGCAGCTTGGTGGGAGAACTATGGCCTCCCCTACACCTTGTAAGGAGGTGGCAGATCCGGCTCGTTATCAAGGCTCTCGTCATCAGAGCTCATATCAAAAGCTTCATGACCTTCATTATCAGACGGAGGAAAAGCAGACTTGACATCCCTTTCAGAGACCATGGGAAGGGCTGAAGTTGGGGGTAATTCCGCAGCAGGCTATAGGACCAATTAGCACATCTTTACAATCCACCAGGCTATCGACTCTTACAATGTGAGTGCCGCCCTTGGAGACCATAACAGGCTCACGGTTTCCAATCCGGCCGACCAGCTTTCCTCGCTTCCACACCCCGTACTTGAGGATTACCCCCGTGAATTCCGACCGATGGATGATGCAGTCTCCGATGTCGCAATCCGTCACCGTCGCTCTCCACAGTTCACCCTTGAGCACCAAAGAGTTCGTCACAGAGCTGCGCTTGACACTACTGGCATCTCGAACAGTCGATGAGATGACCGTGCTTCGGTGGACGGCGCTGCGGCCGGTGACTGCACTGTGAGAGAGGTCGCTGCGCTCAACAGCGTAGACATCGTGCAGGTGGGACTTTGAGGCTGTGCTGCGGCTGGCTGTGCGCACCTGCGCTAGGGCGCAGTCTGTGAAGGTGCTGCGCTTCAGGTTGGAGCTGGTCACGGCGCAGTTGCGAAGCTCGCAGCGCGTGATGCTGTTGTTGTCGCCGATGGTGGTTGCGCCCGTCCCGGGCGCATGTTCTTTACTCGAGTCGATTGCCATGTTGTTGGATCTCCGAGAAAGTCACGTCAATTGCTCTCAAAGTGGTTGCTGAGTGGAGGAAGTGAGGCGGGGCGGAATATTAGAGTTGCGGGATGGCGCTGCTGCCTACTCCGTAGAAGTCAACAATCGATCATCCAGAAACGCAACTTGCGTTAGTCTGGAACATTCTAATAATGGGTCTATATGTGAGAGCCACTCCCACCCTGTCCACACTATTATTGTCGAGCGTAGCGGGCCCGGTGGCTAGGGTGGCCGGTGTTTATGTGCGCCATACGTATTGTTCCGTGTTTAGAAAGGTATCAATATGATTAATTATGTATAAAGGTGTATATCTTCTCAAGTATATGAAGCCCGTTTGCAGGGCCGCGGTATCCACAATCTATTCAAAGAGGACTTATTTATAGTCCTCACACCCGAGAGCAAGCTCGCCGCCCTGATAATCTGTCAGTAACTGTTCCCGCCTCAGTGCCTTGTCAACATCGATGCTTACCAGGAGGTTGGCCTCAGTGCAGCACTGAGGAGCAGAGTCACAAGAGTCCTTCTTGTAGGCGGAGCCTTCAATCGTTTAGTTAGCTTGTCTCCATGCGGATCATCGATCGAAGCCATCACATACATAGGAGTCCGACAGATCCAATAAGATTGGCGGCATCAATGCCGAGTTCCTCTAGGAGAGGGTCGACGATAGGGTCGAGAGGGGTGGTCAGAGTGCCACAGCACAGAAGGTCACCGACACACTCGGAGTCTCGCTTGGCCATCATGTGTGGAGACGCGACGGCCGCGCCGACCAGAGACAGGACGGAGATGAGAGCGAAGCGCATCTTGAGGATTGAGGGTTTGAAGCTGGGAAGCTTGGAAGGGTTTGATATTGAACAGGTGAGCAAGGAATTGGACGAGGATGAATCCCTAGGACATGAGGGTCACTCGTTGCCCTTATATAGATGTCCCCTGCAAGTGTCGACCAGCAATCTTCAGACTTATCGACATTCAGCTTCTTATCGAACCCGAACCATTACGTTGCCTTTGCCAGTTGGTCACAGATTATGAGGCCTCTTCTCCGAGTAAGGATCTTCCAAAAGGCCGTGGATCCGAAGTCTCAAGATAAGAGGGCCATCAATCGAACTTCTGCCAATGCCAGGATGTGGATGCTCGGACGAATGGCTGCGAAAGAGGAACCGGCTTAGAGTTCCCAGGGCGCCAAACAGAAGCCCGCAAAATGAGTCTGCCAAGACGTCCGACCATGGTAAACGTCGAGGAATGTTCGGGATCGCCCTAGGCGAGGCCTGTCCAGAGCAGATCTTTTCTATTTCAAATACAGATCACTTCCCGGAGAGGCATTGTTCGATCGTATGTATCCAAATTTCGAGCTATCCCACTAGTTTGTGGGGGTGTTCTTGACAATTCCATGACCCGAGTGGTCGGGACGAGGCTCTTATCATGCGGATGTGGTTCGTCCATTGCGACCAACATCGCCAAGCTGCCGATCATCAACCAGGAACCAGAGTTTCGACGAGTAGATACTGCGAAGGCTACGGGATCGCCCTGAATCGCGATCCAACCAATGCAAGTCGGCCCCGTTCGGACCCCAGTTCCAGGTTTCCAAGATTCCAAGGTTGTGTTCCGGTCTATTTGTCACGATCACCCTATTTAGTGTTGAGCGCATGCCGCGGCTGTCGGTAACCAGATTCTCGTGGGTATGATAAGCCTGATGATTCTGATTGATGGTTACTCCGCAGTGGGGATTCGATCTTGAAGATTGACCAGTCACTACGACGGTTTATCCTGGAGAATCTACTATGTCATCTGTCGCGGGTCATGCAGGTCACTTCCAAATCTCCTATGCTATCCACCCATATCTTCTCACAGGTGGCATTATCTATGAAACTAGTAGGCTTTTATGCAGCCATCGCCTTCTGTCGGGTTCCAGTGCTAGTAATTTCAAATTTCAGGGAATGAGGCCCAGCCCCTACCGTCAGTGGCAGCCACCCAAAGATCGGTCCGAGTCAAGTGCTTTGCTATTCCACATTCTACTTCCGAGAGCCACAATCCATGGATCTGAGGGGGTTTGGAAAATTCTTTATTTTGGGCAGTACGAGGGACGAATCGGAGGAAGCAAGCAGAAGGAAACAAAAGGAAATATTCAACAGCGAAAAAGAAAAATGAGTACCTAGCATTGGGTATTCGAAAGACACATTGTTCAGTGGTTTCTCTGCCTCTCAAATTGGGATTTTTAGGGGCTGAGGCAACTTTTCAATCAAATATCCATTGTTCAAGTTTCATACCTCTCAAGGTGGTTACATTTGTATAGCCCTCCAGTCCTTGATTTAGCATCCAAGAGATTCCAAGGGAGAAAAAATTCTATGACGCATAATTCTGTCATGAGAAGACCGCTTACTTTATGCTTTCAGGTAACAGTATCCGCCGATCGAAACCTTCTCAATCCCGCACCTACAAAGACTCCAACCAGTCAACTCCCGGCAGTTATCGGACGACAAAGCCAAGGAACCACAAGCATAATTTTGAGGATATTCCTTGGGTGGTAATTTTGGCCAGAAATGGGACAAGCCAAGGTTTTAATCTCAGAGGTATCCCTTACCTATTAGATAGGCCGACGACGGTCATCTTGGTGAAGATATCGGAGCTCTTCCAAAGAAACATGAGCCGCCGAATGGAGCAGAATATCACACCTGGCCTCTTTAATAAAGGAATTAGGGAGCTGGAAGGGGACTTGGCATTGGAAAAGTAGGAATATCTCTTCACGAAAGTCATCTTCGATTTTGCGAGGCCATTACTACCAGTAATAATCAGGAACACGATACTAAAGCAGTACGCTAGGCTGAGTCCCAGGTGGACGGGACGTGGCCTTGCAATTGGATGTTGTCAATGGCATGAAAAGCCATCTCGAGAAAGAAGGCGAGTCCAACAGAGAGCTTCCTAATGTTACAGCGATAATACTGCCTATCGCTCAAAGTACTAGCAGGAATACCCACAGCCATGTGGTGAACCTTGGAATGATGGAAGTTCAAGTCCTGTCCTTCCCGGCGAGTATGAGCTATATATTCGAGAATCCTGGGTGGATTATCACTTCCTATATCAGCCAGGTCATTACTACTCCATCCTAAAACCATCACGTGGTGTGGCACGGTATGCCCCACTTCAGCCCCACTTCAGCCACAGCTCGCGACACAAAAACTTCTCACAATCTCAACCCCACGATACTCAAATCAGCCTTCAAAGTTGTGTCCCCGTCGGTGCTCAATTTATCTTCATCATGGCTCTGATCTCGATTGCGGACCTCGTGGCCGCTCTTCCCTCGGAAGATTCTTGGGGTCCTTCTACTTCAGGTGACAACATGCTCAATGGCGTTCCTTATGCTCCTTTCTCAAAGGGCGATAAGCTGGGCCGCATGGCCGACTGGACTGCCGAGTCAAAGGACCGTGATCGTGGGGGTCGCCAGCAGTACAGAGGCAACTTCAGAGGTATGTTACTTTGATCTCACAGTGCCCTGCCTCGCCCGAAAGTCCCAACTCACCCTTTCCTCCCAGACCAGCAGGTGTATGGCTCCGGATCCACCAGCCTTTTCACCATCCAGGCTGCTGAGGATGAATCCTCTTTCTCCGTTGTGGACAACACTCGCACTTCCACCAAGCGTACATTCGGTCGTGGCGGCGGTACCGTCTTCCGTGGCCGTGGAGGTCAACGGGGCGGTGTCAACCAACGTGGCGGCCGTGGGGGCTTCCAGCGCGCCGGGGCTGGCCGTGGCCAGGACCGCTACAACGATAACCGCGGTGGCCGGGGCAACCGTGGCCGTCGCTTTGGCTGGAAGGACTGGGACAAGCCCCAGCGCACTCGTGAGCCCTCGGTCAACGTTCGCCCTGACTGGCAGATGCTGGAGGAGGTTGACTTCAGCCGTTTGTCCAAGTTGAGCCTTGATGCTCCGGAAGGCGAGGATCTCGATTCCTACGGTTTCCTCCACTACTATGACCGTTCCTACGATAAGGCTCCTGTCAAGAATGCCGAACGTAGATTGCAATCTCTTGACCGCGCGGCTTACAATGTCACCACCACTCAGGATCCCGTCATCCAAGAGTTGGCCGAAAAGAACGAGGCCACTGTCTTCGCTACATCCGACATTCTTTCCATGCTCATGTGCGCTACTCGGAGTGTATATTCTTGGGATATTGTCATCGTTCATCAGGGCGACAAGATCTTCCTGGACAAGCGGCCTGGCGCTTCGATCGATCTTGTTACCGTCAACGAGAACGCCCAGGATGCCCCTCTCGAGGCAGCGGAGGTCTCTGGCAAGCAGGATCAGATCAACACCCCCCAGTGCCCTGGCTCTGGAGGCCACTGTTATCACCCACAACTTCGCTATGCAGGCTGTGACCGAGTCTGAGCAGGCCAAGGTCACTTTCGCTCATCCCAACCCCTTCTACAACGAGGCTGAGGAGACTGAGCCTCTGGCTTCCAAGGGCTACAAGTACCGCCGGTTCGATATTGGCCTCGAGCGTGACGAGGAGCCCCTCCAAATCATTGTCCGAACGGAGGTCGATGCCGCCATGAAGCACCCCACCGGTGGCCCCGACCAGCACCTGGTCATCAAGGCCCTGAATGAATTCGACAGTAAGGCCCCCGGCTCTGGCGGTGCCCTTGACTGGCGCAGCAAGCTCGCTTCCCAGCGCGGTGCCGTCATCGCCACCGAGATGAAGAACAACTCCTCCAAGCTCGCTCGCTGGACCACCCAGGCCATCCTGGCTAAGGCTGATGCTATCAAGCTCGGCTTCGTGTCGCGAGTGAACCCCCGCTCTGCTACCGGCCATGTCGTGCTCGGCGTCATGACCCAGAAGCCCCGCGAGTTCGCGACCCAGATGAACTTGAACCTCGCCAACGGCTGGGGTATCGTGCGTACTGTTGTTGACCGTATCCGTGCTCTGGATGCCGACGAGCCGGCCGATGCTGTCAAGAAGTACGTCCTCATCAAGGACCCCAACCGCTCTGTTCTGCGCCTATACAGTGTCCCGGCCACTGCCTTCGAGGAGGACGAGGAGGCTGAGATTGAGGAGAAGGCCGAGGAAGAGGAGGAAGACGAGTAGATGGATCTTTTTACGTCTGTATGCCTTATATGATCCCATGGTTTTCCAGCTCGGGCTGCATCTGCAAAAGTTTGATCAAGAGTTATGAACCCCGCCATTTATGATTCTAATACATTTTCGTATACAAAAAAAATTGTGTCCGCGTTATTGTAGTATCTTCCACTGAGTTCCCATTCGTACTGCTCTAGCCAAAGTTCATCCACGTAAGCCACGGCTCGTGAGTGTCGGCTCGTCCATCCAGCCAATGCAAGAACTGCACTCGATCGCCAACGTCCATGTTGTCCAGCAGCTCCGCACACAGCACCTCCTGCCCGGCACTCATATCAGTGTCAGAGATAGGTGTTGGGGCCGTCAAGGGAGCCGGAGTCGCGTTCGGGGCGGAAAGTATCTGATCCAACACATGCCGAATGGCTCGCTGGCCCTGTTGAGCGATTTGATAATTGCCCTCGTTGGGACCAACCATTGTTTCTAGATGGGAGGCAAAGATGCTCAATTTCTGGATGATCTCTGAGCGGGGGAACTCATAGGCATAGGGCATTTGGGATCGAGAGCGACGCAGTAGCTCCCCACAGAGAACACCTGCTGAAGGTATCCCGGCATTGCAAAGCTATGAGGATTCCAGCATTAGGGCTTCTTTGTCGCTCTCCGTTAATATCAGGGTTTGGGGGCTCACGTTCCATGTTGCAATTCGATGCATTGATGATGTTGCGGTAATAATGGCATTCAAGATCTCCAAGGAGATGGCGACTCCCCTCTCTGATTGCGTGTTTGTTCGCTTGGCTAGAATTCGATGTAAGAGAAAATCATTGTATAGAAATTCAAGATATAGGTCATGAACGAGGAATCGACCTGCCACCTGTGGCTGTTCATACTGCGCCCTATTTTCCCAGTGGAGGTAAGCAGGCATGTTCCGATACTGCTCGGAGAACTGCTTTGATAATTCTCTTACCAAGGCTGGTCAGCTTCGTTCGATGTTCCGGGTCCGGTGGTACGTACTCAACTCTCTCTGCGAAGCCTTCTGTTCGATTGTCGAGAGAGAGCTCGAGGACTCTCTCGCGGGAAATACTGGTCAAAAGGAAGACGCGCACGCTTGCACCTCTATCAAGATAGCCGTTGCTATTCCAGCCATGCTCATCGAGCGTCTCAATCGCAGCGTCTCGCATCGACGGCTCGGCAACGACCTCGTCTGTGTTGAGATCTAAAGGCATGTTGAAATTACAATATCTCCAGGGGATAAGGGGTGGACGACCAAGAAACGACGCGAGCGCCTTGTCGAAAGTGTATGCAGTTGCCATTGTACGTCTCCGTAGCTCCCGAATGAAAAATGGAAGGTCGGGGGACTCTTGGTGCATCCCAATCGTATAGACTGAGGCCGTTAGCTCGCCTATTTTTCTCCATGGGCGGTAGTCTATTGATTCGATTCGAAGTTAGTATCCAACCCGCTTTCCTGCTTCCCTTACGAGGCTTACCCCAGTCGCCATAGACTATGGTGAGAAGCATGCTATGATAAAGCAGCAGCCAGCATACTATATCATTGACTACGCCAGCACTGTCGCAAAATTGGAGACAGAGATCCCCCACTCCGGCTGCTGCAACGGCGATGCTATCTGTATCCGCACAAGGTGGTTCGATTTGGCTAGGTGGAATGGAAGATCGGGTTGATATGCCAACGATAGTCATCAAAAGACCGACTGCCTCCCAGCGTCCATTTGCCATTGATGCGAATTCCGCCCACGACATATCGGGGGTGATGGTAAACGGCTGCGTGGTTCTTTCAAAAAGTTGCCGGGAGAGAAGCAGTGTGCATTTCGCTTCTTCTGGCTCTTCCCTGTGTGCTACATTCCACATTTCTTCCATGCCATTGAGCACCATATATGCGATCGGCTTCCCCAGCGTGTATCCCTCGTACATCTTATAGCGAGTACTGATCAACTTGCGAAACAGCGGGAGGTCTTTCAGCACCAAAAGCGCGCGAGCGCCGGTCTTTAGATTGTGCTCATCCACGGGGATCGGTCCCGGAGTCAGAGAAGGATGCTCCATTCTCAAATCGCTGGCATTGTCGTTATATGCCTCGGAATAACTTGTAAGACCAAGGAAGCCGGGTGTCAGCGAGGCTTTCTTATGATACCACGGTCCTCTGTGGTAGTCGGTAGATTTAGCCCCTGAGGACGAAGCCTGTGTATTGGAGGCACTCGGGCGCCTCGAACTGTCCAATGGGGATCGCGTTAATGGTGCTGGGTGGTAGATACAGAGGTGTTCTGTCTTGCGCCGAACGCAGCGGCCACACAAGGGCTTTACATGGTCGCATCGGAGTTTAGACTTCCGACATGGCTCGCAAGAGGGTAATTGACCGTTTCGCCGGGTGACAGACATGATATTGCTTCATTTGAAAGGGGGCAACGCTCAGTCTGAGACGAGAGAGAAAAGGCCCAATGATCGGAGTTCGGCGTTCGGACCTCGGGGTTCGATTGGGCCTTTGATTCGACGAGGTTTACTTGGGAGTCGAAACAAAGCAAACGAGCACAGGATAGACGATTCTAGCTATTTACAGCCTTACAAGCTCATCGCAGCGGTGATCAGCTTCCATGGTACTCAGAATCAGATCTAGTGGGCTTTTGAGCAGAGCAATAGAAACTGGTGCAAATCTACGGGGCCTCCCAGCGCACATCGCCATTAACGGTAACATTTTTTCTTATTCTATTTCATTCAAAGTACACTAGTATCATCTCTTCTTATCACGATATTCCGCACCGCTTAATCTGAAATCCCTACGAAGACTGCTTTTTGATTCTGTACGATCTCCCGGAACTCCACGGTTTGTCATCCATCGGGTGACGTTCATGCCAAGACGCCCTCGCATCTAATATGATTCTTCCCTACAATCCATATCGTTACAAAACATGCATTTCTTGATCCTAGGTGCCACAGGCAGGACAGGCGTCCACGGCCTCAAATATTCTCTAGAGCAAGGTCAGTCGATCGACGTCCAAATCACAACACTCACTAAAACTACTCAGGCCACTCGGTGACAGTCTTAGCCCGGAATACCTCGTCCATCGAGCCCCACCCTAACCTGACGATCATCGAGGGCTCTGTTCTATCTGAAGATGACATGGACCGGGCCATCACATCGACAGGGAAACCCGTCGATGCCGTGCTGGTCTTTCTCAACTCTGCACGCGTCTCTCTGAACCCTTGGGCGCAGTTTGTCGGCCCGCCGCGTCTAATGGCGGATGCTGTAGCTAATGCGGCGAGAGCTTTGCGGACAAAACAGTCTGACGTCTCGCAGAAGCCCCGGCTGGTAGTCATGAATGCCATGGGCTCGGGCGAGAGCTATAACGTGACGCCATATCTTTTCCGCCTCATGATCAACTTTTCCAATATAGGGAAGACATACGAGGATCACAACGCCGTTGATGCAGAGATTGAAGAGAACTGCGGCGATGAAATTTCTTGGACTCTGGTCCTTGCGGTTGGCCTTCGGGGAGAGGGTGTGCTGCCCGTGAAGACCTTTGCGCAAAATGAATCGCCTGCCAGCACGCTGATTACTCGCGAAAGTTGCGCGAAGTGGATGGTGGATGTCGCGGCGGGTGATATGAATGAGGAATTTAGCAACAAACGGGTTATTGTATGCAATTAAATTTGTCCCCACATATAAGATCAGTTATCATTTGACTGCTGTCTGCATGGCTTCAATTGGTCAAGGATGAAACATTGGGTACCATCTTATATCGAGCCAGCCTCTGAAGAAAGGTACTGCGTACTCGGCAAGCTTGGAAATCCTTGCACAATCCCAGGCTATATCGATGACCCTGTAAGACTTTTCTTGTTCTTATGAATTGATATCCCGTACTAGTGGTATGATACATGGTATAAGTTGTAGCTCTGCTCCTTTTACTGCATCGGCGATCGAACTTTCAAAAGCCCGCACAGGTGACCAAGTGCCTGCTCCTTCAACGCTTCCTTTCACCTACGCCATGATCCATCTATCGAGCGCGGGATAGCCCCTATCGCAAGAAGGATTCCCAGTGCGCGGCCTTGCCCGCTCACATGAGATGCGACAATACTAACAACCGATACGGTATCTCCGGCAGATTACGCACGCACCGGTGGCAGGACTTCTGAATTTGGGGGAGAAATAGGATTTCCAGACCTAGCCCCTCCTGTGGCTGGATTTTCCGTAGAAAGCGCTGGTTCCGACAGATGTGCCCAGTGTACGGCGAGGGCGAGTGCGGTACTGATATCTGAGGCCGCGCGGTGGATGCCGCTGGACAGGACGTGGTTCTACGGAGTATCTCTTGAACGGTCTATGACTACATGGACTGATTTGATTGGACTGAACATAGTCAACGGGGCCTCTGGTGGCTGATCCTGCTGAGCAATCGCCCTGCTCAGACCATACTATCTCATGGGCCTCTTCTTACTGGGTTAGCTGTGAGTTAGCCATCGGCATCTTCACCCGCTAGACCTCCTTCGTGAGAAATCTCCCTCATTGATAGAGTTCGCTTATGTTTTTAGTGTTTGAGGGATCAGAAGCTCATGGGCACCTGTTCGGGTGGTCAGACCTCCTCTGCGCTGGGGCGACCAAAATGCCACCGATCGCTATCTTTGCAACTCTAGATTGCGGACCCTTTTCCGGAAGAAGTCAACCGATATTTCGCTCATATGAGTATATCTATCTATGCAGGAGAGTAATTATGAGATCAGTCTGTTCATAGAAATCACTCGCCCATACTGTTCAATTCGGATTCATGGAGAAGGCTCAGCCAGAACCGGATTCTCTGAGTCAATATATCAGGGGATTGAGGTATACTATAAAGTCGATGGATTATCTCACATGGACCTCCGCTACCTCCCAGCCGCGTTACAACTCAATTTGAAAGATGCCCCGTAGGAAAGAATTATGTCTTGCTGGCAGTCATCGCTGCATGCCAAACTATAAGTCAGGCTGGGTTTTCTTTCTTTCCTGCATTCGCACCCAATAACGTGCGACTCCCGCGCGTGTCCACACGCGAACGTCACCATTTGCCAGCACATGTTGCTGGCAGATCTTCGCAGAGACCGTCTACCAGTAAGAAACTTAGTCTTCATCTCCTTGCCCGGCTTGGAGGTCTCACCTTCAATCGGTATCTCCTGGCAGCGACACGGTTCAAAGTCTTCGCAGATAACGGTAGCTGCTTGATGCCGTGCGGGTCTCAGCGTATTGGTTCTCCTCAGATTCAGTGCTCCCTGCGTGTGGTGATACCTTCTGGGTTCCGCTCTTCCACACTGAGATATCAACTGGGAACCACAAGTGGAGAGGGTTCTCTTATAGCGGACAGAGGAAGAAGCAGCATATCTCTGCCTCCGAACTCTATGGTCACGGCCTCACGTCAGATAGAGATTCTCGTATCACTGCCGCCTTTTCCGCCTGTTGACTCCAAGAAAAGGCTGGTCAGGAGGCATCCGAGAGCCTCATCTACGCCAACACATCGACTTTGGCATCGACTTTAGGTTCTAGACTCGCCCCCGAGACCCGGGAAGTCCAACCGCATGGGGTGTCAGCAGGACCTGTTTGACATATCGCTCCCATATGTGCCCTGCAAGAGTCACGGGTGTGGTCAACTGCTCCGCGCCCGGGTCAATAACAGCGACTCCCTCTGGCATGGACCGCCCTGCTGTTATTATTGCCTTTGACATCCATTCGTAGAATGTCTCCATTAGGCCGTCGCGAGGTTTATTTCTTCAAGTCAGTGGTACTTTTCTTTTCAAACTATTATTTGTCAATTTTTCCAAACCAAGATGGGTTCTAACAAAGTAGCCAGGACAATGTACAGAAAGCATAGTGAAGATGGAAGTCTCAGAATGGATAAATCGCCAGTCCCCAGACAGCGCTGGACGGCATCGGATTTGGAATATAGATTGAAAAATGAATCAATATATAGCACAAAAAAAAAAAATAGGAAAACGAGGTGAAGTGACAGGTGAACCCTCCATCCCTTGGAAGTATCACGGGTGTAGGATGAACTTTGAACACCATTCGTGGACCAGCCGAAGCTGTTCAGTATATACAAATCCCCAAACAAAGAAAAGAAGATAGAAGGAAAAATAAAAGTGGAAGTCAGTCGACAAAGTGTCAAGATCGGGGGGATAAAAAGTGACAAGGTGGAAAGGAATTATGTGGAAAAGCAGGCAATATATGACGAGTTGCCGGGGGGTCTTCCAACTAGTTTGCAAAGCCGCACGCACGCATAGACCGAAATGAGGAGACCAGCTTTCACTCCGAACTGGTATACGCCAAAATAGTATTTTCGAGACATCAAGGTCGTAATCGTTTCTTTAAGCTGAACCGGCAAGGAGAAATGCCCTCCTTACGAGTAGATCGAGTCGTCTCGCATGCGCGGTGCACCGAGCTCAACTTTTGTTCCGAGGACACTGCTCAAGCAGTCCATGAGCTCAAAATCCTCAACGACGGCCCCAAAGCCGTAGCATCGAACCTTAGTGTTGAGAGTGTCGACAACGATCTTGATATCATCCCGACTGAGTGTGGGATAAAGTTCGTGGTTCTTGAGGCATTGCAGCGCCATGATGGGTGTGATTTGGCCCTCTGTTACAAGCTGTCGACTCAGGTTGAGAAGGGTGTGCAGATTGGCGTGTGGCAGGTCGTAGGTCTTGTGGGGGTAAGTTTGATCGGGGGTAGTGTTGGAAATGTAGCTGGGCGGCGGACAGGATGCCATCAATGCATGACCAGAGAAAGGCATATCTTCATCGTCAGCTTCGGTCACAGATCTTCGGCAAAGGTAGTCGGTGTGCTCCCGGCATGGACTCTCCAATCTATATACCGGTTAGTTCTTTACATCCACACGGGTGTTGGGGGGGGGTGGAATGCAAATGACGCACTTCAAGATAAAGTCGATCTGAAGCTGTGGTTCGTTCTCAAAGACGCCCCTGACCATCGCTGGTACAGGTTGGTCGACAATATGGGATGCTGACAGATCCAAATGTGACAACTGCTCTCCTGCCCCATGGCCATAGACATGTTGCGGCGCGAAGGACAGTGGGGGCGAAACTTCCGAACACTCTACGCCAGCATGCATCCGAGGGCTCATGCCGGAGATGGTGGTGGGCGGGGTTGCATGGTGAATGGAGGTGCCATTCGTCAACATCGCAGAATGCGATCCAGTAGTGCTGCCGTCGATGGGGCTCGATCGGAAGGCAGCCGGGGGACGTTCGGCGCGGCGCTGCGCCAGTTCGGCTTCAAATTTGATTCCGTGCGATTTGAGGATCTCTTTCAGAAGCTCATTCTCGTCGGCCACAGACTGGATCATTTCCTTTTGCTGCTGGATCGTATTGTTCGCATCCGAGATCTCGTTGGTGTAGGCTTCCCGAAGTCGCGACACCTCGGTTTCTAACGATCGCATATACTGTTCCTTTCGTTCACGGTGGGTCCTAGTCGAGTCAGTCTGGTTCCTGCAGTCTCCAGGTGATATGCGATACCTTTGCGCCTGGCGATTCAGTTCCTGTCGTCGGGTAAGAGCCGGCTTACTGTCGGGCTTCGGGCCTCGACGTTTCGCGGGCTGGCCATCTGCTGAGGGGGGGAAGCCCCCGGTCAGTCACTGGGATCCTCGCGCATCTGTAGTGGACATACCGCGTGCTGGCTTTTTCTGGGCGGGCTGTCCCTGAAAGATCTTGCTGAAGAAGTCGGTGCCGAAGGCGCCTCGCGGAGTCTCTGTTTGGTCTGTATGGAGAGCGCATCGATCCTCCCGTACTCGGACGGGACGATACGATGGCAGAATGTTAGCCCTCTGGTGGTCGAGTCCTGGTTCTACTCTTTCTTTCCCCATCGGATCGCGCCATCGCCACGATGAGATCTTGGTTTCCGATCAGATTCGGATCGCGATCTCTCGTAGAGGCGACATCCAGAAACTTGAGGCACACGAGCAACTTACCTGACTGCATATCCATGGGATACTCGCCAGTGACCATGGCGAGTAAGGTCGACCAAAAGGTTGTGGGGGGTGAAGAACGAGCCCCGTTGACGAGGCTTAATGTGATGGATCTCGGGAGTGCAGATTGGACTTCGGCTGGACACTCTTGGCACGAAACTACCGGGTTTGCTCGATTCCCAAGTTACCCCCCTCGTGCTGCTCTGTGCTGTCGATCGCAAAGTGCCTATACTGTTGACGCCCAGGGGAGTATGGGGTATATGACAAAGAGTAGAAGAGTCGACCGTTGGACAAAGCTGAAGAAGGTCGAGGCGAGGCGAGACTAACTATGGATCTATGGTGGAGGGGGGGGGGGGCAACCCATAACTAGTTAAAGTAACACTAATCCATGAATTATGGATTTTACACAGCGTATGTACTATTAGATTGGCCTGCAGCATCTTCTCCAATTGCATCATTCGTCAAAAGAACAGATCCAACACACCTGCCGGTTTCTTGCCCTCCTTTTTGCGACCCACGAATCGCTACTCGCCATCGCCAGACCCTGGCCTTGGTGGATCCACCAACGGGGCGGCACTCGTCGACTTCTCTAGACTCAATTTCTCCAAACTTTGCTAATGCATGTTCGACAACTAGAAGCCACGGCTGGAAACGAAGCCGTATTCAAAAGCTCCGGAGCGCCGGAGCGCCAGAGAGCCGAAGAACAATAGAGCGCTGGTGGATTCTCTCTAATCTTCGACCACGGATAGAGCCGTGTGACGAACAGGGTGATTTGCCCATCCGGGAACAGAAATTCACTAGTTAGCTGCACGATCTTCCCCGTGACAAATACCTCCTCTTGGGGATAGGTTATGGAGATCCTCGTTCATGTTTCTGCCCCCAGCACTGGCCGGGACGATGCACAATACCGCGCCCAGGTCGCTGGCATCCTGGGCCTTGGGCCCCTGCCGTGGCTGGTGGCAGAAACGGCGCCCACGCAGCTATCCGACCCGGATGCTGGAGAGTCGCTTGCTTATAGAACGGAAGATGTGGACCGTCCGAATCTGGACTCTGCCTCGGTCAACTTCAGCCCCGAATGGGCTGAATCGCATGAATCGCATGATGCGCATGCGTTTGTATGGCCCCGTCCGTCTTTAGCCCTAATCCACCAGCCCCTCAATCCCCTGAGCGGGGGAGCGATCGGGGCTAGCCCAGTGCCTGGCGATTCAGCCCATTCGGTCGAGAGCCTAGTCAGCGTGGTTCCTGACTCTCAGCCAGGTCCTGATTCGGAGTCTTATCAGGCCAATGCGCGTCCACGTTTGCCATCGCAGGATGCAGACGCACCCGCAGCTAAACGGCCTCGGGTCGATCCGAAGCCCCCGACCGGCCAGCCTAGCCAGACGGTAAACGCTCCGGAACAAGTTCAGCTTCCTGCCAATGCACCACGCTCTGAAGAGCATGGTGCATCTGGGGAAGCTCCTGAAGCTACGACTGCCGTGGTCACATCATCCACAATCGAGCATTCTGGCATCACCGCCTCTTCTCGCAATCAACATGAAACTACCAACCCGTGCCGCCTCACTAACCCTCTCCAATCCCTGTCGCTGCCTCTAGAGATCCGTCCCCCTCCACCACCCATCTCCACCGGGCCCTTCACTACCCACATCACCCCGACTCTGTCCATGCTCACTGAGCGCCTAAAGCCTCAAAAAACATACAAACCACTCCACCAGACTCGCCCCCTGGATGCGCTCGAACGCGGCTACTGGTCATTGCAGATCAATCTCGTCGCCGATACGGATCCTCCCCACGAAAGCACCCGCGCCGCTCCTGTAGAGTATGGATCAGGCCCTGCAAGACGGGAGCTGAAGAAGGGCCGGGCCTGGAGCGCGGACTCTTTCCTGCGCTTCTGGACCTTTCTCACCCAGTTTGTGGGGAAAGACGCTCGTGCGGGCTGGGGCGTGTGGTGCGTTCTCGAGAGGGATGGTGCCTCTGCTCCCGCGCCTCGGTCCGCGTTGCCTCTTCTGCTCAAAGTTTATGCATGGGGTGAGACAGCCATGCAGGTCTGGCTGCTCCTGTTCTTAGCCAGTGAGCGCCGGGTACGCGATATGGGTGCTCAGTGGAAGGATTCGCGCGAGGAGGTGGTCATTCAAATGCCGTGACCGGGCGGTTTAGCGCTTCATCTTCTATTTGTCAATTTGCTGGGCTTTGAGAGCTTTGGTACCGGTGTTTTTGGGTTTGTTGGTGGTGGGGGGATCTGGGCGTTTCATACTTCTGACCAATACTTTGGGTCTTTCATGCAACTACTCTAACCATCCTCAGTTGTCCTTCAAATGACCCCTTCGTCAAGGTACGGTTGGCTAATGCCACTAAAAACAAGTGGCAACGCAACTTGGCTCAGGGATCTATTTTCCGGCGTTCAAATCGCAGTGTTGGAATACCGCGAGCTTGGACTTGTCTATGCTTCTATAAGGCGCTAAAATGCAAATCCGAGCACCCGGGAGCGTCCCTCACTACGCGAGGCAATTTGTGTGAAAGTTTATACTCTGGATGCTTCCACGCTTTACGAATACCTCAATTTGCCATCCAAGTTAACATGTTTCCATCCCCTGAGGTTTACTTCGGAAGATCAAAACTCCATAGATCAGTCATCCATCTCAAGCAATCATAGGACAACTGTCGGTCAGCATGTGCCGAGGATGGTGTAGCCATATAGATGGTAGTACGTGCACATTTCCCCTCTCGGCACGTATAACTAGTAAGTGTAGGTATTACTAGTACGTGTTAAGAAGCGATGATACGGGTCTAGGCATACTTAGGGGGAATATCTTGAAGCAGCTGCCAAACTTGCTTATTGAGTGGCGGATGGATGGTATTGTACATGTTGATTCGGATAAGGAAAGACCCGGATAGACAGATAGACACATGTTGGCTAGCATCAAGCCAGGAAGACAAAAGAGATAAGATAGATGCAGCAGGACAGGGCTCATGTTTCACAGGCTAGAAAATCCAAAGAAATAGTGACACACCCGATAAATGGTTTTTGAACATGGAAAAAAAAAAAGGAGAAAAAAAGGTACACCAGGAGAGTCCTAAGTCCTCACCCTCTCGTCCGTTGCGCCGTGCACGCCAATGAAAAAGGGTCCATATGAAATAACGGGAGAAAAAGAATAAAGAGAAAGAGAAAGAAGGGAAGAAGGAAAAGCAACAGGATAGGCAAAGCGAAATCTACGGCTTCCCAGAACTGAATTCATGCTAATAGTTGAGTTCTCCACCCTCAGATCCGCCCACCGCATCGAGGTCTTCGTAGCTCTTCAATTGACGGCCTTGGACTGCTTCCCGGGGCGCCATCGTCTGGGCCCCTGTGCCCGCATCAGGGAATTGAGGTGCCATGGAAGCGGCTGGGTGGCCGGCTGGAATGGGCATCATACCAGGAGGGAGTCGGCCGTACGGTGTCATGCGGACCGGGCTGAGTCGGCCGCTATTATTACGGCGACGGTCATAGGGACCTGGACGGTTGTTATTGTGACGATTCTGGCCACGGCGCATAACTCCAGGATGGTGCATCGCAGCAATATCACTGCCAACAGCCACGCTTGGATTCCAGCTGTCGGGCGGGCCAACAAAACCTGGCATTCCGTTCGGAAACCCGCCAGGGATATGTCCAGAACTACCAAATGGAGGCATGTTCATGATTCTGAATCCACGAGGCGTTCCATTGGCGGCTCCATGGGCCACAGTGGGGAAATGGCCATTGCTATTAGCATCGGAGCGTGATGGGGCGATACGCGACGGGTCAAGGACATAAGCATTGACAAGGGACAGCTATTCAGAAAAGGGTGAGAAATGAAAGGCAGGTGATTCGACTTGGGAGAAGTGGACAACTTACATCGCGGCGAATGTTTTCCAGCCATTCTGGGTGACGCTTTTCAACGTGCTTCCGCCAGAAGTTCTCTGCTTTGAAAAGTTTCGTACATTCGGGAACTTTGCAACGGAATCGTGAGTCGTCTTCTTGTTTGACGTACTTCGACAGTTCGTCCTCGAGAGCCTGCTCTACAGGCTTGCCTCCTAGCTTATTCAAATCGGCATTTTCCGGCTCTAGAATCTGCAAAACTTTGTCTTCAAAGGTCTTCACCCAGTTGAAAGCGCGCTGCATCTGCTGTTCAGGCTTGGTAAGCCGTTTTTTCTCTTGGACCGGTGAGCCTGCTTCCTCTCCCTCTTCACTAGGTTCGTTCCTCTTGATTGGAAAGGGTTGGTTTGAAGCGCTCGCGCGAGCAACCTGCCTAGCCTGCGTAGAAAGACCAGCGCGAGGGCGACGGAGATGACCACCGGGACACTTTCGGCCAAGTTCATGCACCGAGTCGCTTTCAAAGACGCAGAAAAAGCAGAAATTGTAAACACGACGAAGATACTCCACAGTGAGGTCAAGTTTCTTTTTCTTCGCCAGAAGTTCTTCATCGTCTACTTCATCCTCCTCGGACGACTCTTTCTCTTCGCCCTCTTCCATTTCCTCATCTTCAGGGCTGTCCCCTCCGAAGCCATTGTTCTGCTTCTTGACTTTGACAGGTCCGGTAACAGGGGGCTGAAGCCAACCTTTGCCACGCAGGTCTTCAACACGCTCTTCAATTTTCGCAAACCCATGAACATCGTCTCCCAGCTCGACATCGAATTTTGCAGCCAATCGTTGCGCAAGGTCGAGATCGCGATCAATCCGTTCTGGTGCGGAGAAGAGGTCCCAAAGAGCCTTCTTGCGAGGCTGTGCAGGAGGAACATGAACACCAACGTGGCAAACGAAATCGCCGTGGACAGCATCATGGATTGTTTTGTCGTTGACTGCTTCCACGGCCTTCTCTGCCACGCCGGCCGTAGGGTCGATCTCTTGGTCCGGCTCTTGGCCTTCTTCATCGCGGCCGTCACCACGGTCCGCGGAGGTACTGTATTGTGCTGGGTTCAGCATGATCCACCCTATACGGTGAAACTTCTTTGACGGGTTAGGGTCACTCAAGCTAAGGAACTTGAACCCTCCGTCGTTTTCGCCAAGGTGCTCCTTGCAGAATTCCTCAATGTTATTGCGGCTGACATTGGGAGCTAGAGTTTTGATGAGCAGAGTTGGCGTAGAAAGAGCATCATCACGGAGCTCCCCTCCTCGTACAGGAAGTAAGTCCTGGACACCCATAGTTTCACCAACGGCAGTTGTCTCGCCTTCCTCCTTCTCAACAATTCCACCTGCGCCATCGCTCTCGTGCTTGTAGATTCCCTCTAGGGTAAAGTCATCGAAGACACCAGCATTCACATCATGAGACCATTGCTCAAACGCGCCTTTGCGGAATTCAGCCAACCGGCGGCGAATTGGGTCTCGAACTTCTGGGAAATAGCGCTCTTTGAACCATTCTTCGTTCCGGTGTTGTTGTACGAATTGTCGCGCCAGCTTGATTTGAAGCTCCACTTTGTACTTATCGTAGGCCTCCTGGATCTGAGCGCGTTCTCTCTCCCGATCGTCGCGCGCCTCGCGCTCTCCTTTTACGCGGTCGGATGGGCGACGGCCACCGTGCTTAGCACGTTCCTTCTCCTCATTCACAGATTGTTCCATCCGCCACCATTCAGCGAAATAAGAGAACCCAGCCTGCGAATCAAGACTTAATGGGTGGGGAATAAGGTTCGTAGGTATTGTGCGTTTGCCACCGTCCTGGCCAGGCACATAGCGATCTATATTCGCAACAGTCGGAGATGGGGCTCGGCGACGATCCTCCCGCTCGCGCGCGGCAGTATCTCGAGAGCCATTGTAGAAATCGTCTCTACGGCGATCGGATGGTTCATAGCGGTCAATGACGGGTGAACGGGATCGCCCGCGGCCACGGCGTCGGTCTTGCGAAGCTGAGGTTGTGATTAGGACTTGAGAGGGCTTGTTTGCGCGAGCGTCCAGACTTACTTGGCGATCGACGTCGGTAAGATTCTCCCGCGGCCCGCCCGGAGAAGGAATCTGCATCGCGATTCCTCCCAGGGGAGCTACCCTCGTAAGAATCCATGTAGGCCCGTAGCTTCCAGTGGATGGTTCAAAGATGCCAGGCTCGGATGTCGTAACGGGCAAGGAAAGCTAGGGTGTATCGTCAACATCAGACTCAAATCATAGTATGCGCGAGTAGAGCGGCATATGGTGTGCCGATGATGTAAAGGAGGTCATGAAGAAACAGAAAAGACAAGATGGCTTGGAATTGGATTAAGACAAGACAAGGCGTCAGTCAGCATTGCGGCCCCCAAGGGGGGAGGCGCCAACGTGACATGGCCAAGGCGGAGGCAAAGAGATCCTCAAAGAGAGAATATGAAGAAGATGGTTTTCTTTGTCAATGATCTGGAGGAATGGTGTTCACGAGGCTCGGTGTAGGCAGTCGATGCCGGTCACGGCCTCGGAATTGGGAAAAGCACCATAGATCGAAAAGGGGGGGGGAAGAGCTTTAGGGAAGAAACAAGGGGTATTCAAACAGAGAAACAAAAAGGAAGGCAACCTACAAGAAGCCTTGAGAGGACGTGAGAGGCTGCAGCTCAACCTGGAGATCTTGGAGGAAGGAGAGTGAGCAACCAAGTGTCGGCGAGAGCTGGAGTTTATCTAACCCAATCTGGCTTGGCTCCGCGCTGAAAGGCGGGGGTCACCTGACACCGATCTCCGAACGCGCGACAGGATGAACCTTGAAAGCAGGCCGAAGAAACAAGGCTGGACACAAGGAGAGTTTCCAGAGGCTGCAGCTGCAATTGTGAAAGACGCGCAGCTTCATTCCAAGGACAGCGAAAGTCTGCGTTGTGGCGGATCAGAATCCTCCTCCGGAGGCTGGGTTCACCTTACCAATCATACTCATCACAATTCCCCCAACTGAAACCCTCCAAAGGCCTAGGTTCCTCGTCCTTGGTTTCATTGGGAACCGGGACTCTCTCCGCTTGTTTTGTCCTCCCATGCCAAGCTCTTGTCAAATTGGTCGCGTTGGTCCCTGAATCTTCTTGGCGCCGGGGCTACCTGCATGATCTGCTCTAGACTCCACACTAGCCATCAAAGAGGCCTGGAGAAAACTTGCAGTAGTAGTCTTGCTCATAGTTTCTAGTATCATAGGGGCTACCATTATGCCATGAAGCTTTCTTATCCTATAGGATGAGACTATTTCTTGACCCCGTGTGTGAAGCCGCAGGATATATAAGGGGTATTCATTCAACCTTGGGAGGATTTCCTCGTCTAGTTACAGCTTTATTATCCTACAGTCCTCTCTGGACAAGCAATGGCTGGCACCAAGCTGGATTGGAATCACATCAATGCAAAAGCACGCCTTGCGTCCATATACACTATGACATGGTAATCTCAGCATTCCAGATGCGTCCTGTTGAAAAGATCTATGCTCCTATGCTGTTGAACATGAGACAAACAAACCCACTATCTTCTCTCGCCTGATCTCCTAGACTCCAACTAAAGCTCATAAGATACCTCAATATACCTCACGGTCTTGAATTCCTTCCATGCCCCCTTCATCATGATCTCCTCTCACAGATGCATACAGCTCCAAAAACGTGAAGCGCCTCACCCATGCCGCGGGGGCATCACAGGTCCGTGCGCGGCCCCCCCCAAACCGTAGCCACTCCCCGCCAAACACCTCGACCTCCCACCATGAGCCTGGCATGACCGATCTCTTCAGCTCACGCTGGGCGCCGGGTGCAGGCGATCCTCCAGCCTCCTACACACAATCCTCCAAAAAGCCCCGCCGAGCGCGATCTGAAAACCGCCTCCAGACGGCAACCGCAACCCCACCCGCGCCTACACCTGGAAACCAGCGCACGCACAGTCCCGCCCGCTTCCCTCCTTCCGAAGAACTAGCTCGGTTCCTGAAGATCGTCTCACGGCTGAAATGGAAGCTCCCATTCCTGGCTGAGGGATACCGCCTCGCAACCTTAGTTGTGGGCGAAAACGGGGTCTCTGCCGAGGAGGTCGCACACGCAGAGATCATGTTCAAGATCGACTTCTTCGAGTACTACGCGCTTCTAGAGCGTGCGATTGTGCATCTTCTCTCGGTGTTTAATATCAGTGTTTCGGGAATGGCCCACCCATACAATAATGGCGGCTATTTGCAGCGCACAGCGGGCCAGCATCGCTTTCATGCTAATGTCCTGCAGGCTTTGGAGGAGGAGTCTTCGCCGCTGACGCCGGTTTTAGGCACTGCGCCTGTCATTGAATACTTGAAAAAGGCGAAGGAACTCAGGAACCGGTGGAAAACAGCAGATATGACCAAGATAGAGCGACAGAGAGATTATGAGCGGGACCAAGTCCTTCCGCTGGCAAGTTACAACTTCGAAGAGATCCTGGCGGGGATCTTTGCTGGGCTGGAAGAGGCTTACATACGCGCAAAGACACATGTTGATCTGTGCAAGCGGCCTGGAGACGAAAAGGCGGAGGATAAGATGGCCTCAGATTCGGACTGGGATTTCATGGTGGATGCTATGGATTGGGAAGCAGTTTGATAAATATCTTCGATCTTTTTTCGGCATGGCCTGGAGTTTATTCGAATTTCGGAGGGGAGGTTCCCCATTTCCCCATGTTCATCTTGCGTTGGAATGTCATTTTGCTCTTGATGCGCTGATTCATAGTTCGATATCCATAGCATGTTTTGCTGTCAACGCTTTCTGTCATTTACACATGTTTAGACTTTTGGTACATATTCCATACGAATCCAGTCGAAAGAACGGCTAGCTTTAGGTCGATTTAGGGGGCTCAAACTGGTGCTAACCTGCTACAGAACTTTCCTCTGTCATCCAATGGCAAAGACGTTGGCTCATTGATAAAATGGACATTTGGACTCGTAGTTGTATCTTCATTTCTCCCAGTCGTATAGGTAGTGACAAATTTGATTCATATCCATGAGGGGGGAAAAGAGAAAAAACAAAAAAACAAAACACGTTTAACCGCAATAAGAACCCAGTCTTTCCATAACCCGATTCCCAGTCTGTTTTTCCAGTGATGGAGGCCCTCTTCTAAGTTCCCAACCTAAAGATCACAGCCCAAAAACGCGCAACACACTCGGACACCGAAGAAGGGGAGTAGCTTGCAAACCCAAAAGTAGAAAAGCAAAAACAAAGGGGGGGAATAATGTTGACAATAAGAACCACAAAACAAGACGGGGAGGTGACGAATGACTGTACTGTCGAGATCGATATACACAAGGTGGTGACGGGGTAGGATGGGGCCTCGGTAGGAAATCCAAAGCATAATCGACGGTCAAAACGAGGAAACCTGGTATTGTAGATTGCCTTGTGGGTCTGCATTAACTGTGCTTTGAATAATGCAGCAATAGCATCTTGTTCGCACGGAAAAGGAGATAATCATCTCTAGGCGAGAAGATTTACTTTCCCCAGATGGGAGGACAATCATCGCCAGGCCCGACAATTGGATACCAAGGAAGGTGGATAACGGAGCAGTGAAGAAAAAAAAAAACCATCGTCCCAGCATAAACTATGAACAAAACATCGTGTCGTGTAAAGGCGAAAAGGGGGTAGGTGAGAAAGAGCACATAGAGTAGAAGAAAATAAGGGGAATTCAGTACACATCGCTTGCTAGAAAAGAAAACCGTCCAAAAAGCGTCCATCCATGAAGCCGTAACAGAACAATACAAGGAAAAGGCGAAAGAAAAAGAGAAAAAGTAGAAGAAAAATCAACCAGATAGCAGCTCAACCCGTCTCACATGACGCATGTCAAGTAGATGAACGGTCCTTGCGATCCAAAGTGGGTCGTAAGATTCAACCATCCTCGTCAGATGCATCGGCTGAGTCTTGCTCACTAGCTTCTGCGCTAGCATTTGTCTTGGTCTTCTTTGAACTCGAGTGGTCATCATTGACCTCACTTGACTTGCGCTTCTGAGCAGAGCCATTTTCAACCTTTCCTAGGTCGAGGACAGCATCTCCGCCCTCTTTCTTCTCCATAGCGGCAACTTCATCAGCAGTCAGGAATCGACCACCAGGACCACGGGGCCGACGCATAGCGTGGTTGTGCCGAGATTCGTGAAGGTATGGTTTGCGGCCTTTTGATGTCAGACGAAGCTGCTCCTCCAATTTCTGACGCGCAACGCGACGCTTCAGGATTCGGTGAAATTGCTTCGCGTTGACGTAAAGAGGGGATTCTTCTTGGTTGCTGCCAGTAACAAGTTCAGGTGAAGGTTGGCTTTGCTGGACTGCGGCCTGGGGAGGTCCAGCCATCTGGGCAGGAACAGCTTGGCGACTGACATGGCTCATCACAGGCTGCGCATTTTGCACACCGGGACTACCGACGTGGCTCATTCGCCGAGGCGGGATCTGAGAATTTGGCTGCATGGGGACCTGGGAGCCCATCGGGGGCATTTGGCCGGGCATCTGGTGTGGAGAACGAGGGTTCCTATCCTGCTTCATTGGAACACCAGCCATTCGAGGGGAGGCCCGCGAGCCCTGCGGCATCTGCCCTCCCATACCGTCATGTTGGATGGGATAGAATTGACCGGAAGCGGCTGCTGTCGCCATGGCGGCAGCTTGTGCTGATGATAGGCCATATGGGGCCTGTGGCATAGGGGCAGTCACACCATAACCCTGAGGGAAATTCATCTGTCCGTTCTGGGGTTGCTGGTAATGTTGCTGCGAAGGAACGATGGGAGAACTTTGGTGAGCGGAATGAGTTGATTGCATGGGTGCCTGGGCGTTGGTGGGGATGCCATCGCGCCGACAGGTGCACCGGCATTAGGAGCGGCGGGTTGGTAGGGCCCAGGGATGTGAGAAGAAGCATGAGGATGTTGCCCGTGAGGCTGTTGATATTGCGGAGGATACTCCATGGTGAGAAACGGCGCGTCGCGAGAGATGTCACACAGCGGCAAGTGTAGCGTGACAGGGCGGATATAACTGGCTTAGAGTGGCGGACTACCCGAACCAAGGATCACCAATCAAGAACGGTCCTAACTAGACACAGCGACTGGCTGGGTGACCGTCAAAGGGCAAGATGGGGGGGTCGAAACAGACTACCGAATATGTTTGGCAGACGTCGCGGGTAGATGGAACCAAAGCGCGCCCTGAAAAGAGACCCGTCCCTACACGCTAAGCGTGGGCGACCGGTGATTCGACAGGTGGTGGGGGGGTTAGGAACACTATGCAGTATCGCGTCAGCAAGAGCGCAGGATCGAGTGGTCACTGGATAGGTGACGAGTGGGGAGAAGCCGGTAGTATGGAGGCACGGCGCATACCTGAACTGCAGGCACCAAATGAGGGCCGAGATACTAGATCTTCCCAAACAAAAATATCCTTTCTATCGGATCTTCTGATCAAAAGGAATCTCAACCACACGGAGGGTTTGACTCTTTTCTGCAAATCAGTCTATGCCCACTGCCGGGTGTAACGTGGTTGAGCTCTGATGCAGCGGCCAGGGGGGGTAACCCTCGGACTCGACGTGCTGTGATGCGTTGTCCGCCCTAATGAAGCCACCGGCTACGCACAAATTATTTCAGGCACCGTCAATGTCCCTGATGAAAGGCGAAGCTGATGGTTCTGCCACGTCCCAGAATCCGGGGCGGCGCCAGACCGGAATAGTGGGTTCCCAAATCGAGCAGGCTTGGGAGAGTCTAAACAATAGAGTCCGCGCGCGGCGAGGCTCCACAAATCAGGACTGCGAAGGTCAGTCGAGTACATTAAGGAGTCGATCACGGAGGGGCGATGCAGGATGCGCTGTCAATTGGGTCGCAATCCAGGGTGGCCATGGTTATCCAGAAATGGATTAGGCCCATGGGCCAGAGGATGTATGCGTTGGCACGGGAATATGGGAGGGGTGGCGGCTGCGAATGCAGAGTAGACATACCTTGTCGATCGGATTTCTGCAAGTAGAGATCCAAGGTGAGGCGGATCTAATTGAATTGCGCGCAAACTAGTTGAGATATTAGACTCGAGCTCCCCCACGATGGTGTGAAAACGACGCGTTTCAACGGACAGGAACACAAAACAGCCGCAAAACAAAGGAAGGCGACATGCGCAGCCAATGGCAATGAGAAAAGAACCGAGGATGAAGCACAGGCGCTTTGCATGCGACCCAGAAGCGTGGGCACAGAGCGCGCGTGTTGTTTTGTCACGGGCCAAGAGCGCGCGCAACGTGGGATTGGATTTGGGGGGGAGGGGAATTACCGAATTGGTGGAGCAGGAGGGGGTAGTTGGGATATTCTCCGTATGGACCTCCAATCCGGGGAGGAGAATCAAGGGATTTGGACCAAAGAGAGGGGGGAAGGGGAAGACCAGATCGTGCCAACGAGAGGGGAGTAAGTGGTCCTCGAGGGCCTGAGGGAGAGAGGGGAATGGGTGATGTCAAAGCCTCTCGGGCGAACCCGCGCGACCGTGCAGACCGGCTGTTATCACCAATAAAGGGGGCGCAAAGGGTAGAGTAACCAAAATGGCACTTCTCATTTGGAGCAAGTCAAGGTCAAAAGGACATCAACCAATCTGGTCCGGGTAATGCATAGAAAAATAAAATATAGAAAAAAAAGAAAAACGGACGCGTGGGGAGGCCAATGTTTACACAGCAATGGGGAATGTTGCGAGCCGCGTTAAGCAGGTAATAACAGGCAATGGCAGAGACTAGCAGTTAGGCTTGAGATGGGGAAATGAATCGCATCGACATTGAAATAACAGGACAAAAGCAGAGAGATATGTGACGCATCAATCACAGCCTCACTTACCTTCAAGGCCGATGGATCCCAGATCCAGAACACAGTACCGCAGGGAGGTCCGAGTGATAGGCAAAACAAGAGTGTGCAGTACTAACAGACACCTCAGGTACCTAAAGATTTGGGTCGGGAAGCAAGATGATTGGAAGTCGCCAACTGGACCGGAAAGTGGACGAATGATAAGGGGGAAGTGGAAATGAAGAAGTAAGGGTGGCCAACTCTGTGCGATGGTTGGAGGGCAGGTGAGTTGGAGAGGGCGGGCAACCAACGAGAGAGGGGAGCAGAGGGAGGAAAGGCGAAAAGGGGCGGGCGATGGGGCATTTTGTACCGCTTCCAGCTGAAATAATTGAAATGACTGGCCACCACGACCGCTCCAGCTCTGCTTCTGTCCACGGCGACGTATCAGCGTGTCGGTGGAGCCCCAGTGGGGCTGTATTGTCATGTCACAACTCGTCACTTTACCGCTGCCCAATCGTATCATGACCTGTGCGCTCCAGTACGAATGCTTGTAGCCCATTTTCGAGTGTCCTGAGTCTGCTGTAAATCTATCCAACTCGGTACCACACCGTACATAACTACTGTCTTCAACGCGAATGGAGTAAACCGGGGGATGGTCGGGAGAATCGGGCGGATCGTACGGGAGGAGCTGATTTGTCAGATTGGGCACAATACGGTCATCAGCTCGTCACGTCCGTGTAATATTTCGCTTTTCTTTCCCTACTTTTTCCACTGGTGTTTTACGAAGGAATTTGGGGAATCGAAACGGTAAATCGGAATCCGGGCATCCCGGTCAGTCACGCCCCAAGCCACTTGGCGGTGAAGCCGCCGTGATGTTGGTTTCAATGACTTCAGCCTCTGTTCTCCTCCGCCGCCTCGCCTTGTTTATTCTCTTGTGCAGGAGACTCCTCTGCTCCAATACTTATGAGACATTTCTTCCCCTTACCCCCCCTGACCGATATTTTCTCAGCGTGCGTAAAGGACTGGTAGTATACTGCAATTTTGCCCATGCCACCTATAGATCTCGCAATGAGCATTTCATCTACCTTGAAGTCCTTTGCCCAGGTAAACCGGTCACCCATCCCTTAACCACAGAGAACTCGACGCAACTGAAAGCTGTTGGTGTTTCATTTCGCACTGCCCTGTGTGGGCCAGCCAAGTCTTTGTTTTGCGCGAGAACAGCACGATACGGTGTACTCTGTACGGTTCAGTGTGATGAGCAATTTAATTTACCTTTAGGGCGTGCCATTTCAACATTCGGTTTGGAGGATGTAATAATGGATACGGAGTACCATCATCACAATTCTAATATTAGTCCGCTATCCAGAATATCCGAGTTCAAAAATCACGGATCTTCGAAGATGCCTTTTGGGGCGCCTCGGGTCTGTCTCCCCATTGGGGAAGGCTCCTCCACCCCGGGTATCATTTCTGTAAGCCCTGGAAATGCCTTTTGGGTAAAAATGAAGGTCATTTGGCGCTGGGCCACTTGTGATCCCGGCATCGATGTTTAGCAACCCTGGAGTTGCTTCTCCGGAATCGTGATGCCATGTATCCCAAGGGGGCAGTGATCGACGGTCGTAATTTGGGCTACGAAGTGGCTTGTTACTCCCGACCACCCCAGCTTGCTCTGATTCTGGATCTTGGCCCGAAGATGACGCCAGTGATATGATGTCAAAGGGACATGGACCTCTCAGAAGGAGGTACTTGGAGCCTAGGGATCAAATGAGACTCCAGGTTCTGGCGGAACTCGGTTGGACGAAAACCAACCATTGTGTCGCATACTCCGCATGGACGGTAAAACTATTCTTTTTTTTTCCTATCCGGCGCGTACAAGCTGAAAGTGTCCATGTTCTTTGGAACCGAGGCCCAGGACTTCCAGGGGCTAGAGGGCAATGTGCCTCGCCACTTGGGCATCCTTTGGGCATCAGGTTCATACATATGTAGCAGTGCTATCATGATCGGTTGAACTTAGATATAAACTTCACATGCCAGTGTTGGCCCTGAACCATCAACCTTAGCAGGCTAGCCGGCCATTCAGCGAGTGCAGCCCCGATTCGCAACAGCGGGTCCCGATCTCTGGGTCGCGAACCCCACGTGTGAAAGCTTGACCAGAGTAAACAAGATAGGCTGAGGCAATACATGTGTTCTGGTAGAGTGCTCAGGGTTCTGTGCGACCTAGGGTTCTACATCCAAAAGTAATCGGATCTCCGTTGATTCTGACGGTCAAGCTTAATAGCTGTGGCATTCACTGTTTTTGCCAGCGACTAGTAGATACTTCTGGCCCGTTTTTAGACATCGAGCACTTCATGTTCCTTCAAGTTGAAAGGCTTAAGAACTTCAGCCTCGAAAGATTAGTCCGAGTTGAGCGCTTTCCAGGGGGACTCGGAGGCTTAAGCGATATATATTTTGCGTGCAGTAGCGGCATCTTGCACCCAATCATCGCAGAATGACCCCTACTGCCGAAGGATAACCCCCCAGGTATGACATTGATACAATCACGAAGTGAGCTGCTTCTATATATATCTCAATAATTATCCCTGCGAGAATTGCAAGTGCTTCGAGTTCATTTTGATCCGTGTCCGGCTCGAATAGACCCATCGTATGTTGGCTTTGATGTCTCACTATCGTGAGCAAGGCCTAGACCAAGGAGACTCTACAAAGCACACACTCTTCCTTAGTATACTCGTGCGAGCGGTCCGAGCTGCTTATAGAACTTTACAATGCCTCTCACCAAAATTGAATACCCAAACAGTTGGACAGGTCTATTCTCGTCCTGTTCACTAAGTAGTAAGGGCCTTCGGGGGCCTGTGTGAGAGCTTACTCAGCAGGGGGGATCCGCAGGTGGCTTTCCCACATGAGCAAAGCAACAGGACAATGGTTATTGACTTAGCAAAAGTCGTGTCCTTTCAACATCAGCGTCGCGATTCCGGTATCTGACCAGGGACCTGAACCGCTGTCCGTCCTTGGGGGTCCCCTTGACCCTCCGCACGCCCCGGCACGCCCAGAAGATATTCGATACATGACGTCTTTGTTGACACCCATCCCTCTCCGATCCCCCTCGATTCATCCCGACACAACTCGAGGCAGACGAAATCTTTTCAGACCTTCACTTCCGCCCTTGTGCTATCATAGCTAAGCCGCGCCCCTCGCGGAGGTCGCGCTCCGGTGTGCTTCCCCCCGTTCGACTCCCCGTCACCGCTTGTGACCCCTGCCGAATCCAAACCTCGAATCTGTCGATCTTAGACACCCGTGTATGGGGTAGAGACCAAGATGGCTCCAGGTGGCGGAGGCAATATCAAGGTGGTGGTGCGCGTGCGACCTTTTAATAGTAGAGGTGAGCGGAGAGCCTTTGATGGGCGGATATATCGTTCCTGCCCCCCCCTCCCCCCCTTTGCCATACGTCGCTAATCACCAAATTTTACCCTGAACAGAAATCGATCGCGGCGCAAAATGTATCGTTTCTATGAAAGGTGCCCAGACGGTGCTCATCCCACCGCCGGGTATGGAGGACAAAACATCGTCGCGAAAGGGTGGCAAGGGCGGCGATGGAGGGCCCAAAACCTTTGCATTCGATCGATCATATTGGTCTTTTGATAAGAATGATCCAAACTATGCCGGACAAGACAATCTTTTCGATGACCTGGGCTCGCCGTTGTTAGATAATGCGTTTGGTGGCTACAATAACTGTATCTTTGCATACGGTCAGACAGGTTCCGGAAAGTCATACTCGATGATGGGATATGGAAAGGAATACGGTGTCATCCCTCGAATCTGCCAATCGATGTTCGAACGCATTGCCGAGATCCAGCAAGACAAACATCTCAATTGTACGGTCGAGGTCTCGTATCTTGAAATCTACAATGAACGGGTCCGCGATTTGCTCAACCCGTCAAACAAAGGCAACTTGAAGGTCCGCGAGCATCCATCGACCGGTCCATACGTGGAAGATCTGGCCAAGTTGGTAGTGCGCTCGTTTGACGAAATTGAGCACTTGATGGACGAAGGAAATAAAGCGAGAACAGTGGCTGCGACCAACATGAACGAAACATCGAGTCGTTCACATGCTGTCTTTACTCTCATCCTCACGCAGAAACGTCACGATGCAGAGACGTCAATGGATGGTGAAAAGGTGTCCAAGATCAGTCTAGTTGATTTGGCAGGTTCCGAAAGAGCGAATTCCACCGGGGCCACTGGAGCAAGGTTGAAGGAAGGTGCAGAGATCAACCGTTCACTTTCAACACTTGGTCGTGTCATTGCAGCCTTGGCGGACGTTTCCGCTGGAAAAAAGAAGAACGCATCAATGGTACCATATCGTGACTCTGTTCTCACATGGCTGCTGAAAGATTCACTGGGAGGTAACTCCATGACTTCAATGATTGCGGCTATCTCACCAGCAGACATCAACTTCGAGGAGACGTTGAGTACTCTACGATACGCCGACTCGGCTAAGCGTATCAAGAACCATGCGGTGGTGAACGAAGATCCTAATGCTCGCATGATCCGCGAACTTAAGGAGGAATTGGACAGGCTACGATCGAAACTAGGAGGCGGGGCTGGTGCAGGTGGAGCCGGTGGTATGCCCACGGAGGAAGTTGTTTATCCCCCTGATACTCCTCTGGAAAAGCAAATCGTCTCTATTCAGCAACCCGACGGTTCTGTCAAGAAAGTTTCCAAAGCAGAAATTGTGGAACAGCTGAACCAAAGTGAGAAACTCTATAAGGATCTGAACCAGACATGGGAAGAAAAACTTCAAAAGACCGAAGAAATCCACCAAGAGCGGGAAGCTGCCTTGGAGGAACTGGGTATCAATATCGAGAAAGGTTTCATCGGATTAAGTGGTCCTAAAAAGATGCCTCACTTGGTCAATTTAAGCGATGATCCTTTGTTGGCAGAATGCTTGGTCTACAACATCAAACCAGGAACTACAACAGTCGGTCACATGGATGAAGGAGCCGGCATCGAAATTCGATTAAATGGATCCAAGATCCTTCCCAAGCACTGTACCTTTGAGAATGTGGACAATGTGGTGACCGTCATTCCAACCGAAGGCGCTGCTGTCATGGTCAACGGTCTCCGAATCGACAAGCCCACGAGACTTAAGAGTGGTTTTCGTATTATACTGGGCGACTTCCATATCTTCCGTTTCAACCACCCCCAAGAGGCACGGGCTGAAAGAGTCGAGCAGAGCTTACTGCGACATTCTGTGACTGCCAGTCAACTTGGATCGCCGGCGCCGACCCCGAATAAAACGCACGACCGTAACCTGAGCAAGACTGGATCCGAATTCGATGGTGATTCCAGCAGAGCAGATTCCCCGATGCCGTCGCAACGTGGAAGAGAGTCTGATTGGTGGCTAGCTCGAAAAGAGGCGGTTAGTGCAATGTTGGGACCTGATCACATCTCTCATATGCCCGATGATGAGCTTGACGCTCTATTCGAGGACGTGCAGAAAGCTCGGGCTGTACGCCGTGGGCTCCCTGAGAACGAGGAAGATTCGGATTCGCTCAGCTCGTTTCCCGTGCGAGACAAGTATATGTCCAACGGAACTATTGACAACTTTTCTCTTGATACTGCAATTACCATGCCAGGTACTCCTCGACAGAATGGTGAAGAAGATGGAGTTAATGGCGCTGCTTCATTGAGCTCTGTTCGCCAAGACATGCAGCGCCAATTGGACCGCCAAAAGGAGGAATTTCAAGATAGGTTGAAAAATGCAGAGGCCTCCTCAAATCCTGACCAGGGAGAAATTCAGTCTGAGAAGCAACGCATGGAGGAAGCCTTGAAGACGGCCAAGGATGAGTTCGAAGAGCAGCTCAGACGCCAGAAAGAGAACTTCGAAACCCAGATGCGAGAAGCCGGGAAACCTATAACTACAATCTACGAAAATGGCTATGCAAGGTTGAATGAGCGGGAGCTGGAAATTGCTCAGGGCATTTTCCGTCACTGGTCCCAGCGCAACTATGTTCGCATGGCAGAAAAGATTCTACAGCATGCATCCCTTCTCAAGGAGGCGCAGGTCATGAGCCAGATCATGGACAAGCACGTGGTTTTCCAATTCGCTGTTGTAGACCATGGGCATAACATGGCCTCTTCTTATGATCTTGTTCTGAACGGAATCTCTGGTGATGAGGATATTGTTCTCGAAGAAGCCAAGAAGCCATGCGTTGGGGTCCGAGTCATTGACTACAAACAATGTGTTATTCACCTCTGGTCTATCGAAAAGTTGCAGCGCCGCGTACAGTCAATGCGACAGCTACATCAGTATATCGACCGCCCGGATTACATCCAGCATTTTCGACTGGAGAACCCGTTTTCGGAGCCTTGTTCGCCTCAGTATTCACTCATCGGAGATGCTGATATTCCACTGACTGCTGTTTTCGAAACCCGCGTACAAGATTTCTCGGTCGAAGTCACCTCGCCCTACACCCAGAGTGCGATTGGAATCATTCGGCTGTCGCTAGAGCCGTCTTCTGCGCAAGCACCTTCATCCACCCTGAAATTCAATGTGGTGATGCGCGACATGGTCGGATTCGCTGAGTGGGAAGGGACGGATGTCCATGCCCAACTGTTTGTTCCAGGTATCTCGGAGGAAGGTGGCGCTACAACGACGCAAATGATCAACGGCTTTGAAGAGAGCCCTGTACGATTCGAAAGCGTGCATAGTATGAGTCTGCCACTCTCCAGCCCTCGGACAGCTGCACTGAAGGTTTGCGTATTCGCTCGGGTGACCTCAGTTCACTTGGACAAGCTTCTCAGCTGGGATGATATGCGGGACTCTGCAGAAGTGACACCCAAGAAACGCACTGCTCCTCGCATTGCGGAATCTGAGTTTTACTCAGAAGAACGACATGATGTCTTCGCAAGAATTCAGATTCTCGAGCTTGCTGAGTCTGGTGAATATCTCCCCGTGGAGGTTCTTCAGAGCAACAACCTTGATCCGGGCACATCACAGCTTCACCAAGGCCTGCAACGTCGAGTCTCCATTAACCTTACCTATAGCTCTAGCGAGAGTCTCCCGTGGGACGACATTTGCAATGCTCGAGTTGGCTCGGTTCGCCTTCTTGATCCGTGGGGAAAGATTCCAGACCAAGATCTCCAGACCCCAGATGTTCCTCTTAAATTTCTACAGGAACCCATGGTCAGGGATAACGCTGACGGCACCTCCAATGTCACAATCATCGGTCAGTGGGATTCCAGTCTTCATGGCTCTTTGCTACTTGATCGGGTAACCGCGGACAAGTATCGGGTACAAGTGACAATTCGCTGGGATCTTGTCTCGTCTCGCCTGCAAGCCCCCGTCGTGTTTGAAGTCGACCAGACTATCCAGATTCTTGGACGTACCTACGTCCGTCAACAGTCGATGTTTAAACAGCTCTGGAGCTCCACTCGGGTTGTACATTCAACCACCTGCATGTATTCTTTGGTTATTCGACCAATCTCTGCGAAACGCGCGGCTGATCTATGGCGCATGAATACCCAGAATGACTATGTCAAGGGCGAGGAGCTGCTGACTACATGGGCCCCACGCAAAGTTTCTCTAGTCCGAGACTACATTGGTGCGCGCAAACGCCGATACCGTGTGGCTGAGCTGCACGCGGCCCGAGGAGCCCTGAGCGCAGGCAGTCTGATCGCTTCGCCGATGAAGGGCAGTGGTCGCTCGACCCCTATGCGGAATCAGGATCTCAACGAGCGCAAGACTAAGCTTCTTCGCAAATATGTCGATCTCTGGTCGGCCAAGAAAGACCCTACCGAAGCGATATTGGTGCGGAGCAACACGGAGCCTCCCACTGACGGTGCGCAGAACAAGTCCAATGGAGCTGAAACGGTCTCAGATAAAATGTCGCTCAAGCCTCGCTTTGTGGCCACTATCCAAACTCTTCCCAAGAATCCATCCGTTTTGAAAGGCGGTCCTGTCTTCACCCCGGATGACACCAACAGTGTCTGGGTTCGCCGATTCCTGGAGCTTCGCCGGCCGTATCTCCACGTGTACTCGGTCGAGGGGGATGAGCTCAATGCCATCAACCTGCGCAATGCTCGCGTGGATCATGCGCCTGACTTTGCTCGTCTGCTGGATGGATCCGGGGCCGGGGCCGATCGCTCACTCTGGGCTCGCGGAAAACCGAACATCTTCGCCGTGTACGGGACCCAGAACACCTTCCTCTTTGCCACGCGCACCGAGGCACAAAAGGTCGAATGGATCCTCAAGATCGATGAAAGCTATTTCAGTAGCAACGGCGGCAGTCCAATCCCCCCAGAGGTAACGCGCGATGCACCACCTCTTCTTCTTGTTATTTGCCATGCCTGCGCTTAACGTGTTTGACGATACAACCGGGGGCTTGGAGTCTGCATTTTGACTTTTTTTCATTTATTTCCATCTTCCTCCCCCGTTCCCAAATTACGACCTGTTGTTGAGATACCCCCTGAATATATCAACTGGCTGTGGCGCGCCCGTTCCCTTGTATATAGTGCGATATCGTTTGGGAGTATAGATCCGCTGGTGCTCATGGATTTCGAAAGAGTGGCCATCTCGGTTTTAGAACTTCAGTCAAATAGTTAATATCTTTGATAAAAGCATTGTGATATTTTACTCATTTTTCTTTCAAGTGACAGATAGCATAGTAGTCGGCTGCCAGTCTTGATCTATTCGCCCCCATCTAACGTACTCCAAGTCGTGGGTTGTTCTAGGCCTGGAGGTACACTTCACTGTGAGAGCGCGACCCGTTGCTGGGGAAACAATCGCGACAACACTTGATCTCGCACGCCACCTTGCATCACACCCTTTCACGTTGATTTCTCACGAAACTTAGAATCGACAGAGACTCATCCTTGTCTGGTCTAGTGAGATTTGGCCTGTTTGAAATTACTGACCATCGATTACTGTTCTGCGAAAGCCAGGATGCTGGCGCAGAGACCTTCATTCCGACACCTGGCCGGCGCCGCGGTATCCATCCTAATCATCACATTCCTTGTATTCGAAGTCCGATCGGGAAGCTCCGTGGGATACATTCTCAAATCGTCCAGGCCATCCTTGAAATGTTCGACCGCCGTGTCTGCATCGTCGCATAACGAGAGCTGGCAGTTTGATGTCACCCGTGATGGGCTGAACTACGGTCTGTCGGAGGATCAGTGTCTCACAGCATTTCCAATGCTTTTCAATGAGACAGACAAATCGGCTTTGTTCAGACAAGAAAAGCCATTTACTTTCCGAGACCTCGATTCCAGGAATGTCGACGATGGCATGGTGCGGGGGATTATCGAGCAAGGCCAGGTAAGTTCCCCCGGGTGCAACACTTGGAAGACGCCCAAGCATGCTGATCCTGATTGCGTAGCTATACATAGTCGATTTCGCACCCCAACCGGCAACATTCACACGAGCCAAAGCAACCTTGAACTCACTCAACCGTGCCCTCGAAGCCTACCCTGATCGCCAATCGCTACCGAATATCGAATTCATCTTTACTTCGGAAGATTTTGCCAATGATCCAACCGGCCCCGGCCCCATCTGGGCTTACTCCAAGCGTGATTCTGACATCTCGGTCTGGTTGATGCCGGACTTTGGATACTGGGCCTGGCCAGAAGTGCAGATTGGTCCGTATCACGAAGTCCGTCGCCGTATCGCTGCGATCGACGAAGGTGAAATCACTCCAGACGGCACACAAGTGCCAGCCCTGAACTTTGCGGATAAGAAGAAGCAGCTGGTCTGGCGTGGCAGCCTCGTGACTAACCCCGCTGTGCGAAGCAAGCTGCTCAAGTCTGCGGCCGGGCACAGTTGGGCGAGTGTGCGTGTAATTGACTGGGACAACGAAAACGACATCAGATACAACCTGCTTCCGATGGAGGACCATTGTCGCTACATGTTTTTGGGACATACGGAAGGCCGTAGCTTCTCCGGCAGAGGAAAATATCTGCTCAATTGCCGGTCGGTGGTCTTTTCGCATCCCCTTGAATGGCGTGAGGCGCATCATGCGGCACTTGTCGCCCATGGACCGGAGGCGAACTATGTCCAGGTTGCTGAGGATTTTAAGGATTTGCCTGAGAAGATCGACTTCCTGATCGACAACCCGGCTGTGGCTGAGCATATTGCTAACAATGCTGTGCGCACTTTCCGAGATCGCTACTTGACGCCAGCGGCAGAGGCTTGTTACTGGCGTCATTTGATTACACGCTATGCCTCCGCTTGTGACTTTGAGCCCGTGTTGTTCACAGAGGATCGCGACGGAAGGAAGTCGCCTCGTGGCATTCCTTTTGAAACGTGGCAGCTCAAGCATTGATGGGTTATGCATTTACGGATATGTGTCGCATTTCAGCGGTGTTATTTATTCCAGGAGTTTGGGTCGAATTGTTCCTGTGGTTTTTGATTCTTGTTACTATAGTTAGTTACGCTTACAGCAAATAAGGTGAACAGGTGTAGATATGGCTGGGGTGATCAACGCTGGCTTATCCATTGTCATATACTCTCATACTCTCGTCGGAACCTCGATGCCAGAAGGCTAATGTAGATGATGTAGATGATCCATACCTAGTAAATAATCGGCAATTCAACCAGATTTGTTGGTTCTGGGGCCTTTGCCTATTCCCTCGCCCATTCCAAGACTCTCCTGAGCTCCGTCAATCCTTACGATTGCCGTGTCCTATAGAGCATCTGCAAGAAAAGCTCCGCTGAATTTAGCATAGCCACGCCGCTCTTCTCTGGGCTTGCGGCCGCTCTGCCTTCTAGTTAGTTAGTCAGTTGGTCCAGGGCATATTACCGAAGTTCGGCCCTGGAAGTTCATTCATGTAAGCGGCAACTCCGAACTTTGGACAGAAGCATTAGCCAAACGTGGATATCTTAGCATGCCTCAATAGACAGTTCTCTTTTTTTCTGGAAGTTTTGCCATCCCCGTCTACAAAGACCCCCGCATAACCGCACCCGAGGAGCCAGGAGGCCCGCTGCAATACTGGCAACTCTGATCTTTGGTTTGACTTCCAAAGCCAATTCTCATGTCAATCACGAGTGCGATTCCATTATAGCATGTGCTCCCTCATCGAAATCCCAGCTCGAATAATTCTCGGGACATCGAATGGGCATTCCAGTGGCTGAACAAGCCATCACCAGCATACGGGCGCCGGGGCCAGCACTATGGATAACGTCAGCCATGCGGATGCTCCTCCAAAAGGAGCCTTTCACTGTCTATCTTCGTGTCTCCCACAATATAACACTTGAACTAGGTCAAACAACTCGGAAAATTCTCTCAACAAGGCAATATCTGAAAGATGACCAGCGCAGCGGTGTTTGGCTCAACAGGAGCCGTCGGCTCCCAGATCCTCGCGGCACTTTTGGCCGCCGACTATGTCGCGTCCGTGAAGACGATATCCAGAAGACTACCAAATGCTTCGTCGCCCAAACTTGAAGCAATCCAGGAGAGCGACACTACAAAATGGGGATCCACTATCTCCACTCTTCTGCCCAGACCCTCGGTAGTTTTCAACGCAGTCGGCACCACTCGGGCAGCAGCGGGCGGTATCGAGAACCAGTGGAAAATCGACCACGACTTGTGCATCGAGAATGCCAAAGCAGCAAAGGAGGCGGGAGTGGCCACATATGTTTTCATTTCGAGTTCAGGCACGGCTGGCTTTCCGTCTCGCTACCTGCCCTACTCCAAGATGAAGAATGGTGTCGTGAACGCTATTAAAGAACTCGATTTCGACCAAGCGATTGTCCTGCGACCGGGGTTGATTATCGGGAGGGAGAAGCCAAAAGCCCCCTTTTTTGAGAAGCTTGGAGAAGGTTTGAAGACCGTTTTTGGACAAGGTGTCCAAGACAAGATAGGTATGGCTACCACAGTGGAAGATCTTCGATGTGTGAATTCTGGTGTTCGAAGCTAACTAGATCTATTTAGCCCAGGATCAAGAGGTCATCGGAAGAGCAGCGGTAGCGGCAGCTCGTATGGCCGAGGAGGGGAAAGCGCCTTCGAAATTTTGGGTTCTTGAACAGTCTGATATAGTGAAGCTGGGCAGGGACAAGTGGGGGGTCTTGAACAAGCTCTTGATTCACCTTGCCATGAGGGCCTTGTTCTGTAAGATAAGGAGATAAAATCTTCTTGGGAAGACTATACCTTTTAAAATAGCTTCCCTTCCTAGTTAGTGCACTGAGTAGCCACCCAAAGCAGATGCAAGCCCTACGTAATTCGAATGGTTACCTGCTCAAAAACCTATCATTATAGTATTCGGTCACGTGGAGTCTGCCGGTATGGTCGGATTCTCCTTCTTGACTCGTAATATTTTCTCATCCACCTCAGATTTGACCCTCGGCCTTGCAGAGATGCCTCGAGGGCCGCTAGGGCCTCTATAGTGGTACTTAACTCATAAACATGCCTCCACAAGCTCCAACAGCTGCACAGGACGGGCCTGAAAAGGAGCAACGGAAACCCGTCCGCCGCGACCCCGAAAGGAGGCGGCAGCAAAATGTCCAAGCACAGAAGAAATACAGTAAGCATCGCTTCTGGGAGAATGAAGATCCTTGTTATGGGCCCCAGAGCCTCCTGTATTGTGAGTAAAGTACTGAGTCCATCGTTCAGGAGCAAAACTTCGGGAGCGGCTTGCCCATCTCGAAGCCCTCGCTGCAGCCACATCGCAAGATCCCACAATCGAGCCAGTAGTAGATACAGGGCCCCATGCAGAGCCGTCACTCCTATCAAATGAAGTATCTGGAGCCCCACTGTATGCGATAGGCAGGAACCCGCCCAGCCATCAACCCGGGGACATCTCTATCTCTGATTCATCTCTGGCAACCTCAACGACCCATGAAGCCGCAATTCACTTGTGGGGTGCCCTACCACAACTTCCACAGATAAGGGAAAATGAAACTCCAATGACTTCATGGGGTGATCCAGCTCACATTGATCCTTCGCTGCTCCTTTTTGACGGCCAAAATAGCGATCAAGAGCACTACCAGACAAGCCTGGTTAGCTGCGGATGTTCCAGGGTACATGTTCAAATACAAAAAGCATGTCCGGGTTCTCCGGGGCACAGGAATGTCAAGATATTAGATTTTGGGACAAGCCCAGTCCCAGCGGATCCATACATCAACCATCTTCGTCTTCACGCGGTCTGCACCATAGCTGCCTTGTTTGATGTCGGAATGCATATGGGCCTTACCGAGGAGCTACTTTGCGAGGATGACTCTCCGTCGCCATTTTTCAGGTTCAGCGCGAACTCAGTGAATCAAGCCACTGCAGAAAGATTGATCAGCTCAGTGCAAGGGACATTCCGCACCCTGAAGCCGGATCTGAGGCCAATTTCGGAGCAGATCACCACGAAACACCACCCATACATCGACATTTTACCCTTCCCAACCCTAAGAAAGAACATCCTATGCCATTTGGATGATTTTGATGAAGATGCTTTCTTTGATGATATGCTAACTGGCTTGCTCTGCTGGGGAGGTACGGGCATGGCGAAGGGTGATCGTGCACAAGCTACGGGTTGTGTCTCTACGGGCACACCGTGGGATTTTCGTAGCTGGGAGGCAACGCAGTGGTTCTTAGAGAAGTATTGGAATCTACTAGGAGGGGAAGATGGGGAGCTCGTCCGACAAAGCCAATGGTGGCGCGGTGTCAGAGGAGACCCGGAAGTATCCCCGCCCGTAGACGCACTTTGAGCGCTGCTATTCCAAAGTCAAGCAGGGAGGTCTGATACGGTTCGTGAGGAAGATTTCGAGATCCTTGCCTCAGAAGGTCCGGCTACCACTACCTGTCCAGGTCATGCTCGGAGTCCATGAACCTCAAACATTGTCTTGATCCCCTTGCATGGAGCACCCAAACTCAGTTCTCAGGTGAGGGCAAATGACACTTCCCCGCATTTGTTCCGCATGTGGAGACTTTGGCTTCTCTTTTGACTCTGTTGTTCCTTATGTGAGACGTTGATCAACATTCACGGGCGGTCTTCGTTATTGGCCCCAAATGCACCCTTTCCCCTTTCTCTAAAGGATCCCGCGGGGGCGCTGGGAGTAACCTGTGGAAGTTCGAATACACAGAGTCTCGCTCGTCCTGGAGCCCGAGATACGATATTCTGCGATCGCATCGGGCTACACTCGCGTGGTACCATTGGAGCCCCGTTCTGCATCTTGCCGTTGAACGGGGACTGCTTGGCGGATGCAGAAAGGTCTAACTGTCCGCCCTGCTTTAGCTCCCAACCCTCTCCCGAGTATAGCCATCGCGAAGTGCTCTAGTGATTTGAGGGTGAAGGCAACTAAGAGGGGGCAGTCCCAAACCGACTTTTCAAGCGACAAATGTACTCGGATTTTCGCAATGCGATCATGGCGTCGCACGAGTAGCGTGCAGATCTTGGCAGGCACAGCACTTTCTATAACCCTGGTCCATCGCCTCATCGGGTGCCCAAATTGTCAGCGCAGGTGATACTTGATATGTATGAATTCTACGAGCATCATGTAATCGCACCTCGTCGCAGGGACCCTACGGCGCAGATCTTGGCCTATCGTTGGCCGGATTCTATTCCGCTTATGACCCGCGCTGAGGCTTCAACTCGAAGACATTCGGACTGGTGCTATGTCTGTGAAATGGAACGACCTAGGGTCTAATGCCAACAGCTGAGACACTTGCTAGCTGGTCCTACATTCTTCGGAATGGCGGCAGACCCGCCCTTGCAGTCCAGGTTGGTGTTCTAGTCGTGTTCCTTGACTCCTGACGATCGAGCGTCTGCGAATTACAGATGATGACATGAATATGATCTTCGGAACTCTCTTTCTTCTGAGTCCAGTCCGGATTCTCCTCATGAGTCGCGGCATTCAACAAGCGATCGACTGAGTTTTTACCCACCATTTATCGCCGAGTATGCGGGCGATCCTGTCATCACGTTCGAGAGATGAGCGCAGGCTATCCTAGCAGTAGAAGGCTCTCTGTGCATCGTATTCCAGGCCAAAAATGTTACAAATATTGTCAGCCTTCCGCAGCCTAGCTTTGTGCCCAGACTGCCCCCGAGCCCCCACGAACGGAACGTGGAAACGGTGGGAATCACTATAGCCACCCGTAATCTGGTGGAGCCTGGAGTATAATATCAGAAGGAAGGGGGAAAGGGGAAAAAAAAAGCAAGAAATCAATCATGAAAAATCACTGATCGGCCTTGTATCACAGTATGCACTAGGCTGAGAATACGGGCCCCACTGGCCTTATGCAGGCAGGCCTAAATCCACGCTTCATCCCTACGCCCGAGGTCTTCCACAAATCTTCCTATCGCCATGCATTTGTCAGTCGTGCTGCTCCATGCAGCCCGCGTGCATGGGCGATGGGTCTCGTGTCAGCCGTACAGATCCCTGTCTTTCTTCCTGAGTCGGGTGTCTGCCCTGCTGTCGAGTATGAGTCGGTGTAGGACGGTACGGTTTGGGAGAAGTGCCTAGGTCGTCGAACCAGTGATGTGCTATCGGGCTTAAAAAGGAGATTTGGTCCCCAGGAACGAGTTGGTAGAAAATTTGAAACGCGACTCCAATCTTCTTGGTTCTTGAGTCTTCAGCTCATCTGTTTTACGGATCGACGAATCACGAATCATGCGTCTTGTCTCCAGTTCTACCCTGTCATGGCTGGTAGGCGGGCTCGCCGTGTTGCCCAATGCATTCAGCGCACCTGTCCTCCCAAAACGAGCAAGCAATATCCAGCTGGGCCTGAGTGCGGACTTTCCTGATCCATCTATCGTGGGGACTTCTGATGGCAAATGGTATGCCTTTGGGACCAACGGGACGGGGCGAAGAATCCAAGTTGCGGAGTCCCACGATTTCAATTCCTGGACTCTTTTGGATCTGGATGCTTTGCCGACATTTGCACCGTGGGAGACAGGGAATGATAATTACGCCCCAGACGTCATTCAGCGTGTACGTATTTGAGCGCTCCAGTAAAAACGGCCAAGATCAAATGTTGACTCGTTCGATAGAAAGATGGGAAGTTCGTGATGTACTATTCTGGAGAAGCCAAAAGCGACCTCCGACATCACTGCGTTGGCACCGCCATATCAGACAAGCCCGCCGGGCCCTATATTCCCAGCATCACACCCTTGGCTTGCCCTTTAGATCAAGGAGGCGCCATCGATCCAGCCGGGTTTATAGACACCGACAGTACGCGCTACGTTGTTTATAAAGTCGACGGGAACAGCATTGGCCATGGCGGCACCAGCCTGGTTGAATGCAATAATTCCATTGAGCCATTAGTTGCCACGCCTATCATGCTACAGAAGGTCCTAGAAGACGGCATTACTCCCATCGGCAACCCCGTCCAGATTCTGGACCGCAATACCGCAGATGGCGATGGCCCTCTGGTGGAGGCGCCTAACCTCATCTTCCATGACGGCATTTACTTCCTGTTCTACTCCACCCATTGCTACACGGATACTGCATATGATGTCCGGTATGCGACATCTTCTAGTGTTGCAGGGCCTTATACCAAGAACAATTTGGAGTTGGTGAAGACTGGCGACTTTGGTTTGAACTCTCCTGGAGGTGCGACAGTCTGCGGGTGTGGAGACCGGATGGTTCTACATGGCTGGTGCAATAACCACTCGGAGAGATGCATGTATCATGCTCAACTAACACTTAGTGGGAAGAGGGCCATGCTGGTTTGAAATGTGTGCGTTTTATTGTTTTGAAGCATTGGGATGGCTGGCTCTTTTTGTTTTTTTTTTGGTTTTTTTTTTTGGTTTTCATATACCCTATACACTCGCTTCGGCTCATGGTTTACCTCCTGCCATAAAAACACCTTCAAGTTGGTTCAGGAATCACTTCACCAATATAGGGAAGTTCAAGATAAATGACGCGTAGTCCTGCCGAACGCTATGGATGGATACAGAATGGTGGTGGAGATAGGCTCAATAGAAGGTATTATCAAATCTCTAGTACTAGGAAGTTTTTCATTACGCATTATTTTGCTGGGTTTCCTCGCGTGCTCTCTTCTTCGCGCGCGTTTCGCGAACCCACTCATCAGCTCCCTTGATTGCCTCCTCAGGGGTGGTCTTATGGTTCAAGAGGTAGCCTTGGATTTCAGCAGCAGTGAACTCATGCTTGGGGATGCTTGCTGCAAATTCTTTTGCCAAATCAGGAATCCGGGACTGCACAGTTTGAATGCGGTCATGAAGTGCCATCTCCATTTTGGCATCCTGCTCTCGGTGTCTGTCCAGCGTCGGGTCGTGAGCCTCCTTCTCCTCGGTGGGAGCACGCGACGAAGCAGGCGCTTTCCGAGGAAGATCGCCGTCCATTGTCATGTAGATCGAGGTGAACAATTCTTCAATCGCAGCTTCGCTAGTGTATCCGAAAGCAATGGTCATATCGACACGACCGGGTCGCACCAAGGCGGCATCCAGCTTCTCGGGGTGGTTGGAAGTCATTACGAGAATGCGGCCTTCACTTGCAGCGACACCATCGATCACATTGAGCAGGCCAGAGAGGGTGACTCCGCCTGTCTGGGGGTCTTGGGGCCCTTTCTCATCCAGAGCATCCTCCTCAACGGGGAAGCTGGTCAGGGCAGAACCCTCCACGATCGTCTTGCCTCGGGTCTGCGTAATGCCCGCGGTGTCAACATCTTCAAGCAGAACAATACATCGCTTGGGCAGCTCGGAAAACAAGGTCGAGAGACCATCCTCGTCAAGTGCCTTGGAATTCAGGTTGAGAAGATAAAGCTTGAGTCCGAGCAGGCCGGCTGCCGCAAAGCAAAGACTCGTCTTACCAGTGCCAGGTGGACCGTGAAGAAGATAGCCACGTCGGTATGGGATACCACGATTAGAATACCATCGACGGGTGCGGGGGTGGAGATATTCCTTGACATCTTTGATGAAAGCATCTTTCTGTGTCTGGTCTAGCACGACCGTCGACATAGGCCGTGGGGACCGCGCCATGCAGCGGCACCACTGGTACGAGGCACCGGAGTAAGGTCTCATACCACGGTGAATGATGGTACGAACTCCATCTCGTTGGACGTAGGCATTCTGCGCCTCATTGAGCACGCTACGGATAATGGAGGGATCGCGACCGAGGCATGAGATGTAGAGACGCTCGTTGTGCAGGACGTAACGCGAAGCGCTGCTCGACTCATACCGGCGCTGGATCACCAGAGGTCGGCCTTGATACCAAATGTAATGGCGACCCTCTGCTGGGGTGATGCGAAGGGGCTTATATTTATCGCGCCGAATCACCTTGGCCCAGTAATCATCGAACGAGTCCGCCGTCGAGGAGCTTCCAGGCTCATCCACTTCATAGTCGGCGTCAAAATTATCCTCATCATCGCTGTCCTCGGAATCGCTCCAGTAGCCGTTGGATTTAAGTCCGACCACAAAACGATTGGTCTGTTTCATGTGCGGCTGTCGGGAGATCCAGTACATGAAGTAGTTGAAAATCTCATCATCAAGACGAATCTCAGCCGTGGAGACGAGGTACTCCATCACAAAGTCGGACACATATTTAGTCACATATTTGACCGATACTCCAAATAAAGCTAATAACATGAGGTGCTGCAGGTAGGCCCCGAGGTCGATATGAAGATAGGATAGAACGAAACGAGAGAAGAAGGCGTATCCTGGCACCAATGCCTCTAGCATTGCTACCTCAGGCGACGCCATGGCGTCTCTGGTTACAGAAGGCGTTGATGATTGATTAAAAGCCATGATCACCTTGCAAACAAGGAGCTGAAGGTAGAAGCGCGAAATGGAACGTGTTGAGAGCACATCTTTATACTTGCGGAGTGACCTACGAGGGTCCAAGTCCTTGTCATTGGGCGACCCTGGGAGATGCCTAGCTGGGAGAAAGGTAAGCATCCAGTTTCCCCATCCAGTTCCCTTGATAGGACCCCGAGTGGGACGATTGTGACAAGTGGCGCAGTCATGACGGGGCAGTGAGTCGGGCTCCCCACAGGGTGGATCTGCTGCCTGAAGGCTTTCTGAGTCATGCGGCACAAGCGGTGTCTCAACGCACTCAGATTGGCTGCAGATGGGCGCCAACGGGGGGTTCGAGTCAACGAGAAGCTAAGCGTTGATCCTTTTCAATGCGTCTGGGCCTTTTCTTGCTGGCGTAAAACAGCACAGCGGGTCTAGGAGGCACAGGCAAAAATGCAACATGCGGCCATAAACAAGAAAAAGGGAAGATGATCGTCCGCAGGAAGGCAGGCCAGAGCCTTGTCTGTGCTGGAGAATACGATTCTTCCAATGGTTCGTTTTCAGAGGCGAGATCAGCCTTGCCCTGTGCTAGACCAGCTGTGAATCTTCTGGCGCATTAGTGACCGAACCAAGAACCCCGCCTCATTCCTTTGATTTTATCTATTCGGTAGGAGTCCCGGTGATCCAAATGTTGGTGCAGGCCGCAGTTGCTCGTGGATCGTAGACATGAGTTTTTCGCTTTGTCACATCCATGCAATGTCAATTCGTTCTGTCATGCAAGGTTCAGTACCATGCGGCTCTGCTTTAGGGAATGCCCCCCACTGGGGATTCCTCGCAGCCCAGACTCCCCGTTCATTCCCAACTCCATCACCAATCTCAACAATACTCGAGATCTTAGTACTCGAATTGGAAATTAGCTAGTACTTGGTAGCTGCGGAGGGACTTGCTCTGTCCACCCTTCTCCGGGTTTGAGTGAGGCTGGTTTGCTTCCAATATACTATGTCGTGGGACTATCTGGGACAAGAAATGGATCCGATTCCAGGCAACTCATTACTTCAAAGCGCAGCCACGACAATCACTCGGTTTTGACTGTGCGCTTGTGGGTAGGGCTCATTTTTGGCTCCAATGATCCAACGTCTGTCTGCTCCAGTGGGCACTTTGATGATCACAGCTGGGTGAGCTGCGGCAGGGTTTGATAACCTAGACCTCTCAGAATTAATCCAGGGAGAAAAGATATGAACCTGGAAAAGAAAAACAGAAAAAGAAAAAGGGTAAAAGGACAAAAAAAGAAATCTCTCCCTCGGGGAATCGAACCCCGGTCTCCCGCGCTTATCGGAGTGACAAGCGGAAATCATCACCACTAGACCAAGGAAGATGTTAGCCGAGTTCCACTCGGCCACTTGGGGCTGGTTGATGCAAAAGGACTCAATCTGTGCTATTTGATCTGAAGCTATAGCAGAACCTTTCTGCCGACGATCCTACTCAGGAGGTGCTGCACATCTTGTCAATTGTTGTGTGATATCGACACGATGATATTGGGATTTCTGGAGCTTTTCAGCTTGATCCTTCAATCGCATCGGAAGCTGCTACTAGGTCGTGCCTGGTCGAAATCTAGACCAGGCATTTTTTCCGGCCTGGCTACCGACTGGATCAAATCCCTGGATATATATCCCGGCCTAGGTCCACCAGCGGGGCATACCCCTGCCAGTCGATGCCTCCACGATCATCATGAGCGCGCGTCAAGATCAAGTTGGACTTGGAAATTACTAGAATGTGATGGTCCTCAATGTGTTCAACTTGAAGCGGTGAAAATCGCTCAAACCTCAGTACTACGTAGGACCATTCGCGGTCCGCACGCCATGCATACCAATAGTACAGCAAACCAATTTTTCCAAACCTTAGAGGGGGTACGACTATTGTTCTGCTTAATGATGTTTTAGATGAAGATTAAATATCATGACATGGGTATCTCTCAGTACAGGCAGGGCTTGAAGTCGGGCCCACATTAAACACTACAAGTAGCCAAGTCGGAATTAGCTCATGGCTGGGGGGTGCTTGTCCTTCTCCGCAGAGAATAACTCTCCTGCCCACTGTTTCCATTCGTCCAACTTGTGCCATACTGTTCCCCACCACGTCGGGCCCTTCTCATCATCACTACCAGGAGTGGGAGGAGGCACCTGTTGAGTGGGAGCCTCGTAGGCCGGACTGGTTGGCTCCGGCAGTGGTGCCGTAGTGGTGGATGGAGGCTCTGGTGGATCGGAAGGCCGCGATAACGGCGGCGTGTTCGCATCGGAATGACGACCGACGGGCTTAAGGGGCAGCCGTAGTGTCCCATTGCTGGGAAGTGGCTCGATACCCAGGGAGTCGCAGAGGATGTTGTAGACTTCAACATTTTCTTCAGGCAGGGTTAGCAATGTTTTGTAGATACGAAAAGGAGCGGGAGCTTACGAAAAGGTTCGAGGCGACTATTCGGAGCATGGGGAAATGAGGGCCCACGTGCAATGAAGATGGCCCGCATCAGAGGATGTTCATGATCATATCCGTGGATGCCTTTGGGATGGTAAGCTTGTCCCTTCTTCAGTGCTTCCTGCGCATCAAACTCCGGGCGTTCCACAACTGCCCACCCAGTCTTGGGGATGACCCATAACGGGGCAATCCGATCATTTTTCGTAAAATGATACCTTTCAGGCATAGTCTCACGAGTATAAAACTCGAACGCGTGCGTATAGTCCGGTGCCACTTTTTCTAATTGCGCTTGCAGAACTGCCATGTCTTCTGGTCGCTTCGGTCGGATCCCACGAGAGGGCCATCCGTCAAGATGATCAACAAGACTCAGGTCAATTAGATCATCCAGCTGGATCAGCCGCTCGTTGGAGGTGGTCGCCATGCCGTGATCAGAAACGACAACGATGTTTACTATATCGGTCAGATTTCGGCTCTGGAGGCCCGTGATGATTTCAGCAACCAAACTGTCGGCAGCGGCAATAGATCTTCGGATCTCGGTACTGTTGGGCCCGTATTTGTGACCATCTCGATCCACGTCGGGGACATAGGCTGCGATGAACTGTGGCCTCTCCGATGGATGAGAGCCGTCTTCAACTCCTGGCAGATCTAGAAGCTGGAGAACACGATTGACCTTGCGAGAAAATGCCTCAGTTCCGTTGTATTTGTCCACGTATGTGGGCTCCATGTCGCCAATGTGGGCTTCTGATCCCGGCCACATATGTATGGCACTTTTCACGCCACGTCTCTCCGCAGTCAGCCACAAGGGCTCTGCATTCCACCACTTGGGGAGCATGCTGACATCTGGATGGGTATAATAGAACTCCTCCTCTAGCTCAGGATCCCAGAATGTATTTCCCACAATGCCATGGCTCTCAGGGTATAGCCCAGTGACCAGGGTGAAATGATTGGGGAACGTCACACTGGGAAAACTCGGATTCATGTATTGCGGAGATACACCGTTGGCAATGAGAGAATTCAAAGCCGGCGTCAGACCGCGATCAAGGAAGTCCGCGCGGAATCCATCTAAAGAAATCAGAATCGTGGTGGGCGCAAAGAGTGCCGTGCCATTCGAAAGCAATGGCCTGGAAAGGTTGTGTGCTACTCGGAAGTTGCTGGAAGCTTTGTATGCGCCGAGAAGAAGGATAAGGAGAAGCACGAGGATCAGTGCGAAGGCGAGAAAGTACCGCCACCAATATGATTTGGAGTCGTCCTGCTTGAGCGTGGACATGATTTAGCTTCGATCGTCAAAGAGAGCGGCCGCGGGAATAATCCGTCCTTACCGGTTCATGGATGTAGTCCTCTTCGTCTAGATCCATGGATGACCCACTCGTCAAGGACTCGTCGTCCCCAAGACCTTCCTCCATCTCGTACATCAGCTCCCCTTCCTCACTGACTCTCTCTCGCCGGCTCTCTCGCCGGCTCTCTCGCCGTGCCCGGCGCCGCTCCTTTTTCCCAATGCGTACCCTGGGACCGCTCGGGCTAAACATCCTGCGTATTCCCCGAGCAGGCCCCTGCCGAGTCAATAACTTTTCCATCTCATCTTCTTCTTCCAGGACGCTTTGGTCATGTCGTGCGAGGTCTAGGGTGCTTCGGGAAGCATTGACAAATTCGTCATCTTCGGAGTCGGAGTCCTGTTCAGATGGGGATCGTAGGGAGGCTGCATCGTTATCGTAGTTGGAAGGGGACAGCAGTTCACGCCCCGCTTGATTCCGCATCGCGGCGACGGCGAAGGCCCGAGGTCTTGACGAGTGATTCCAGGGAGATCGGCGGGTGGTTGACCCGCCAAGACGTGGTCTATCCACAACCTGCCGATAAGACCCTGATAAGCCCTGATAAGCCCAGCCCTATCTTGTAGCTGGAGGCACTGGCCCAGATGTGTCCAATAAAACACGAGAACCACACTAGCATTCCATGGCATGTTCAAGCAATAATTGCGACCGATGCATCTACTGGCAGTATTGAGGATGTGAATACAGACATCTGATACGCAGGGAATCGATCAACCTGCTAGCATCAAACCGAGATCGCACCTCGCATGTTCTAGTGTACTAATATACCATTTGTCTGATAGTATTCAATTCCAAGGCCCGGGGCTTTGCTAGTAACCGACTTAGGGAAAAGGATCATGGCCACTATCACACAACACCTTCCACAAGTAGCTACATAATACAACCCTTGAAATCTGGATTACCAGTCAACCTCAGACGAGATGCATCACGAAAACAGCCAAGCAGACAGGCTCGAAGCAAAGGGAGAACAGAAGCTATGCATCGTGTAGGAGAAAAATTGCCATCTGCCGTGCCTGGAGAAGTAGGACTACGAATGCGACACCCGCGACGATCTGCAAACCAATATGGTACCTCTAAGTTCGGCATTGCTTGCTCAAAAGAAATCAAAGCTGGGCGGCCTGACACCTCAACATTCTTCGAGGAGAAGAGAAGGCCAATATCGTAACCGTCTGAATGCTTGTCGCACATGGAAGCCCTGAGCGCATGGTCGAAGCCGACCCTCGAGTCGGTTTCCGCTTGCGGATGTAGATGAAACCAGGCGCGAAGCTGGCCTCAACGGTTCTACCCAACTGCTCTAATAGAATCAATGGAGGAAGTAGCTACGTAATCTGCCCTCGAGCTACGGGCTTTTAGAACATTCCATTCAGGTCTTTTGTGGAGAGAGTTTATTCCCCGGATAGCATCTCTAGTATGGAACATACCATCTCGTTTGATGTCTCTTTGGACCTCTTATGAAAGGCCATGAGAGCCACTCGCCCCCTCTGGATCCCGTACCTGACAATTAATCAAGTGCAAAGTCTCCATAAAATCAATTCGAAGCCTCTCTTCCCTTGTTCCTGTTCTCCAGCCTCGTCTGTCTTCATCTGTTGTCTGTAGATCCCGGTGAGGCTATAGACGAGGCCATCGATACGCAAACAGGATACGTGCTTGTGCTGCCCCGTGAAATAGCATTGCCCATGCACATCCCGCGTAGATCGACAAGGAATGCCTCGCTGGAGGCCTGACGCGCAAGGCCTGATCGTCGTCGTCTTCCGCTTGCGACCCCTGCCGACTGCCCGATTGAGACATACGGGTCACGTGATAACAACCCTACCCTCGAGTCAAGTCGAGTCTTGCTCCACCATTGCGGCTCTCAGTGAATATCTTACTGCTTCGATTATGATGCTGCAAGTCCCCACTGCAAATCCCAGAAAGCGTCAGTGGTTTGGCGAGACCCAGCGTGACATTCTCGTTTGGCCGGATGCGGAAACCCGCCCAGCTATCCCTCTTGCTCCACACTTCCCAAGTCTCTAGAGCCCCCGGTGGATAAGCAATAGGAACAGACCCATCATAGAAGATGCTTAAAGAAAAATTTTTTTCTTCCTTGGCGTTACATGGGCTCACTTGCTTTTTTCTTTCTGCAAGTCTCCACTTCTCAAAAATAAGCCGCATTTGGACGGCAGCTCGATCTATAAGAAGACGCTTCGAGTCTCCCCAGAATTTTCTCCAGTTCAATCCACCTACTAGCGTAATCAGATCTCCACAAGGTAGGTGACTAGTTGGAAACAACAGTTCCTCAAGACAATATCGACTCTGTATAACTAACTCCCCTTGGCAGCTTGCCTTGTCACTCGTTCGACTACAAGCATTTTCTTGTAATCCAATCGCTTCCACCTTCCACAAGCAAGATGCACTTCACCACCTCCACCGTTGCCATCCTGGCCATCGCCGCTGGCGTCTCTGCCGGTGTTTCTGGCAAGAAGAACGAGCCTCCTGTTGACCACAAGAAGGCCGCTTCCATTCACGCAACCGGTGCTAGCACTGGCACTCACCCCACTGCGACCACTGGCACCCACCCCATCGTCACTGGTGGCCCCAGCCACCACAACAACACTGGCCCCCATGGCACCAGTTCCATTGTTGTCACTTCCACCGCTGTCTGCAAGAACGGCAAGTGCACCCCAGTCGCCACTCCTACTGCCACTGGTGGTGCTGGCTCTGGCTCCAGCGGCTGGGGCTCTGGCTCCAACGGCTCTGGCTCTGGCTCCAACGGCGAGGGCTCCGGTTCTTCCAACGGCGAGGGCGCTGGCAACACCCCTGCTAGCCCTAGCTCCACCGGCTTCATTCCCTCCAACCCTGGCTCTAAGGTCTCTGCTCCTATTGCCGGTGCCCTGATTGGCAGCGCTGCCTACGGTCTTATGTTCCTCGCCTAAGCGAGTCGCTATGAAATGAGTGTGATTTTCTTTCTTTCTTTCTTCCTTTTGACTTCAGTGTTGGAGTTTGATTCTCTTTTGCCTCTGGACTCGTTGCTGTGGCTTCTATAGCCCTGCTCCTTCGATTTGACTTGTATGGCTGCTGTCCTGCGGTTGGATCGTTGTCCTCGGGACTCGATAGAGTACGCGAGACGGGAATACAGATGTGCAAAGGCAGGCGTTCAGAGGCGTTAAAAGTTGTTTGGGATATATATACTGGACTAATGTAATTCTAATATATAAAAACCCAAAAAATTCGTTCTTGCGCTATCATGAAGTTTGGTTTCGTCATCTGTAGGGTACTTTTGACGTTAGGAAAGTTTCCCATGAGCTTTACCCTGCAGGGCTGTTCCTTGCCAACCAAAAGAAAATACTAGTAGGTTCAAGCTAAGATTCGGAGTGATGACACTTACATGTCATATCTCCTGGGTGGCAATGTAACCCAAAAGCCAAGGTCGCCCGACTTGGGGTGTCTATCGCTATTAATAGCTACTCAGGTGGCGTTGATATAACCTTGTAACCTTTTTACCGGTGGACCTGAGCTATCTAAATTAGAATGGATTTAGAGTTTACCGGAAGGTCAAGCTTTCACTGGCACCTAGCGATGTAGAGGCGTCGACCAGTGAGGGAATTGGATGATGCATACATCTTAAATAGGACTACTAGTAGTACTGAACTGTACTGGCTTCCCAATTCGGAAACATTAATGAAAAATGTATTTGAAGCCTATGTAAGTAACACACAAAGTGGGCTTGCTTGAAACAGATTCATAGAAGATCCTCGTATTCACATTCAACATTATTTTAGACTCAAGATGACGAGATCCAATTCGTCCATTGACACGAACATCCACCAGTGCCGCCATCAATACCTCCATATGAAGAGCTAGGATCTGTGGCAGGATTGATCAGGGTGCCCCTTGGAACCGAAACTCCGGCTCCAACATAGAAAGTGAGATATTGTAATGCTGCCCGGCATCCTCCAAGCCATAGCAATAGAAATTCTTCTTGCCAGGATCTCCGCCATGTCGGTCCTCCGTAATGGTCACCGGATACGGGAACGAGCCTGGCCGGATATAGTTCGTTGCTGACGAAGAGGATGTCGCGGTCGAGGACGTTGAGGTCGCTGTCGCCTGCGAAGAAGTGCCGGTTCCAGTGGTGCTGTTCCCGCTAGAACCCTGGGGAAGCAGCGCATAATTCATCTTCGAAGGTTGCGTCCAGATTTGCACCAGGAACCTTGTTTGCGACCATGTACAGCGTATGTGAGCACTATCTTGATTCGCCCCACCGTTCTGATCTTGATCATCGCCTTGAGCGGGGTTATGAGTCACTGGGCCGGTCGAGGCAAGGAAAATCGACTTGTCAAAGTACGTATAGAAACCATAGTGCTCGTTATTTGCACCACGGTTGTATAGGCGTACTGGCTGAGAAGTTGGCAAAGGGTACATAAGAGCGGAGGCGACAGTGCCGTCGGAGTTCTCTTCCGGAGGGGGAACAATGCTTGTTGACGAGTTTGTGCTGGTGCTGTGGTTGCTGCGCTTGTAGATGCTGCCAGAGGGAACGTGAGCGGATGACATGAAAGTCATGTAAAAAGGCGTCTCTTCGCCGTCATAAGGCTCTGAGTTATTATCTGTTGTGTTCCCAATGAAGATCTGATCCGCCTTACTTGGAGCTGCTGGCGAAGCAGTCCACGCGTCCCTCTTGACTACATTAGTGCTGTTGCCATAAGTTCCGTTGCGGAAGCGAATCTCCACTCGGAAAGTAGGCTCGTTCGCGCTGTAGGGCTTGTTGTCGGTCTGGGCATCGCCCTTGGGTAGAGCACAGCTCCACACATTGGGGATTGTCGTACATGCCGTGTTTTCGGTTTGTGCCTCGGCCCCAGCGATTGTGGCAATACCGGTCGGCATTGCAGGGTACCCAGTCAGGTTGACCCATGTTGACTGAACGGGAGTTGAGTCGCCTTTCCTGGTCAAAGTCGTGGCCAAAGCAATGGCAATCACCACAATGATCAGGAACAGGGCTCCGATTACAAAGTACCATCGCCGACGGTTTCGGCCTTCTCGGCCAGGGCGTCCAAAACAGCCTTTGTTGCTGAATGGGCCTCGTCCTCGCCATAAGCCCCCAAATTTTCTCCCAATAGCATCTTCTTGCTCCAACCTTCGCCTTTGAGCCTCTGCTGGCCCGATGATCCCTGCTGGATTCAGGGGATTTGACATTGGCTCTGGGGTGTTATAGTTGGTATGATAGTCATACCGTTGAGGTAGTGGCACATCTCTATGGTGCTGTGCATACGTAGGCGCAGGCGCATTGACTTCAGATAGTGGAATGGCACCCGCGCCCCCTGCTGCTCGTTGGAATCCAGGTGTCATAGGCGATGCCTCCCGCAGACCTCGTTGCCCGTCTGGTCCCATGTGCTCTTCTTGTGTTTGCAATCCAAGTGCGGGAGCTTCTCTGTCCAACGGCATTTTTGTGATATCCGCTTCTTGTGGCGGGTCATGAGAGACAGGAGGAGCAGTATACCACTCCCTCGGTGGTTCGTGAGGCATCGGAACAGGTACAGGGGTATACCACTCTCTTGGTGGCTCTTGAGGCATCGGAACAGGAGCAGGAACAGGATATCCGGATTCTTCGCGCTGCATATGTTCTGACGGTGGGGGTTGGAATGGGTTATTTGATTGGAAAGGTGGAATATAATGAGGAACCTCCCTGTCGACAATGACCGGAGCCGGAGCAGGCGGTACCTCAATGGCAGGTGGTGGCGCTTGGTGGATGTTGTTCGTGATATTTGGAGCAAGTGGAGCAAGCGGAGCAGGGGCAGGCTCTGAAAAAACCGGAGGAGCTGGCTCCGGGGCTGGGGGAGGCGGTTCATGGATAGGCACAGGCTCGAATGGCATCTCCCTAGCTGATTCCTCATGTGGAGGCTCTGGGAGACTCTTTTCCTTGTTATCTCCGGCCGTGGAGACTCTCGGCGAGTCGTATTTGGAATGCTCTTCCACGCTTGAAACCTCCTCAGGAGGATCGACATCGACGAGGAGGCCTCGCGAGACTTCAGTAGGGCTTTCTCCTGGCAAGGCCTTTTCGTTGGATTCCGTCTGAGCTTCGGCTTCCGCGACATCAATGCCACGATCTTCTGTAGCGACGGCCCCGTTGGCTCCCGTCTCTGCAAGCCGCGCAGCGACAACCTCAGAGGGGGTGATGGAGCAGATATGATTTTCGCAGTCAAAATAAGGCCTTCTGCTGAATAGTTCATGTGCACAGGCCTGATAGTACTCAGCAGCCTCCCCTCGAATCGGACCATCAGGAAACATTGTTGAGATGACTGTTCGCCGCTTCGAAGCAATTGTCACCTCGTCATCTCCTCCCAGCGAGCGTGACTGTCCCATGCCATGCTTTTCATCGTCCCACCCTAAAGTGACCGCGGTTTCCGGTGTATCTGGCGAGAAACAGGATGTTTCTTTATGCCACCATTGTCTCGTCGAACCCTGGGTTGTCGGTGCAGTTGACTGCACCCCGGATGGGAAGCTGGGGCTCATGGGCGACTTTCTGGACCACATGCTCGAACGGCCGGTCATCAGCGGTGATAACAGGTAAGTCCACCAGCCCTGAGATTGGGGCCGATTTGCGTCGCTGGTGGCACCCAGGGGCGTCCGCGGGGTCTGGGGACTGTCGGATGTTCCTGTCGGGAAGTGATCACGGTCTGGGCTTTCAGTGGAAAGGGCTGCTTCGAACGACTGGTTTTTCCGGGCCATCGCAGCAAGGTGAGCACGAAGGAACTCCGGGTCCGCAGTTTTCTTTGCCAAAGCATTCTCCTCTGGGATCGCCGGCACCGGGGGGGATATCAGAATCCTCCCATCCAAGTCGGGGGGTAGGCTGTGAGTAAATACTTGACGTCGCTCGTGGGCGTAGGGCTTCTGGGCTAGGCGTTGATGACCATGGTGCTTCTTCACAAGCTGGGGTAACGATTATAGAGGGCGTAAGGGGGGTGTGCTGGTCGCCAGCACTATCCAATTCCCTTGCTCGATCCGAGGATTCATGGTATGGTACAGTGAGTCCAATCATAACCTGACGATCCGAAGGCGATAGTCCATGGTCGGATCGCCGGTCCAAGAGATTCCGAGAAGGAAAGCTTCGATTCTGAGCATCGGTCGACCCATGGCTATCGGTGATCTGTAAAAAAGGCCGCGATTGTCCCTTCGTGGGGTTGGCTTTGGTCTTTTGAGCGATTCGTTCTTTCTCCCGGGCTTTGGATAATAGCTTCAGGTCGTTCAAATCAACTAAAGGTGCAGTTGTCGTATTTTCGGATGTATGTTGAGCGGGTGTCGAAAAGCTCGTTACAAGGTTGAGTCCCACGGGCTTTTGACTGCGCCTCTTCTTTATGATCCCACCAATGCTCAAACGTGAATTGTCTGCATACTTGTCACGATGTGGCAACTTTGGAGACTTGCTAGCATCTTTTTGAGATTTCTCGACTCTCTGTCTGGTTGCTTTGACCAAGAAATCGAATGGGCGTGTCCGTTCCAGCTCTCGATCCTCCGCTGATGAACACGAAGGACTGGATATCTCCTCAGTGATGGGCGACGAGAACGGAAAAGTTGTCTGTACAGGCGGTTGCAGCTCGAGCTTTTGTCGCTTTGACATGGCTCCCATTTTGTAATTTTCGAGAGAGGCGAATGCTGTACAGTTTAGCGAATGATGTGGGGTTTGTGGGCAATCGTAACGAACGAGGGGCCATCAACATACCATAAAGATCACCGCCAAAAAGTGAGTGAAGACAGCCGAGAAGTAGATAAGAAGATTCACCAAACAAAGAAAGTCTATTTATTATGATTAGAGACAATGAGCCTGTCACCTGAAACAATGCAATCAAAGGAACGCTCTCAGATGCATTCACTGGCCGATGCAAGACCAGTGGGATGGTCAAGGAACAAAGGAAAGGAAAGACAAAAGCAAGTCTAGACTTTTGGGGGAAGATTGTGAAGAGAAAGACAGAGTTGCAAGATGCAGCTCATCATGCATTAGTACCCGGCGCGACGACGCGCTGCTGGGGAAGCTTGGAGCTTGGGAGCTCTGCATCTTGCTGAGTCTACTCTTGACAGGCCAATAAGGTCCAGCTTCCCAGATCCTCCGAGTCGATCTCAGACACTCCAGCGGGAACAGGGATTCGAATCGCCGTGGAGAGACGGTCGAGGCAATGATCAACCAGCAATGAGTGCAATGGGCGCATCTGGTGGTCTGCGGCCGAACCGTAGGCGCCGGCCAAGTGGAGTCAGCGCTTACCGCAGGCCAATCGATGGCCCCGATCGTCCAGAATCGCCTCCCAAAATAACCCCGCAAGGTTAATTTTAGTTCTTCAGGGAGTTGTAGCATACCGACCCGTCCTAGTGCAGCCTGGCCTCAATTCTATTTAAATATGAAACGATGGGAGTTCCCCGGTTCGAGCACGCGCTCGGTGGATACCAGTAGTATGACAGACGCGTGGAATTTGACAGGATCTAGACCCTTGGAATGTAGACCATGGACTTCATAATGGGCCCATATTGAATAGTAAGAGCAAAATCAATGAGATTTGAGGTATCAGGTATCAAGTGGCGCGGGGTACACGCTTTTGGATATTTAGTACACACTCCGGTTCAAAACAAAAACCCAAAAAATAGAACAATACAAGTAAAAACACATCTTTCAAGTCCCATATGCTGGTAGACCCCCTGCCCCATATCCCATCATGTCCAAATGAATAAAAGAAAACATACACAAGACCCCATGATGCAATTGGCAGTGATTGGCTGCGCAAGAGTATCGAAAACAAAGAAAAACGCAAAAAAGGAGAAATAAGAAACATCCAGAAGCATTTGCGGGTATGATGGATGACGATAAAACCAAATGACTCTGAAGAAGCCACACCCAAGACACAAAGAAAAAGGCTCATGAAAGCGGTGAACTTGTCGAAGCACCTGAAGAGGAAACCCGGCGGGGGAGTCAAGGTCTAGAACAGGAAGACAAGAAATTGAAGACGGCTCCGGAAAGAAAAAAGGGTAAGAAAACAGTAAAGAGTCGTAGACGGGGGCGTGCATTGCACAGCATGACTGGTCATTTCTCATCCTCGTGAGGGGGAAAGTTTAGTTTTTGAGCGGGCCAGGAAGAGTTATTTAGCGACGGTCGTCAGTGTACTGGATCCCCTGCATTGGGGCCACGGAGCCGTTCATGAGCGGCGGGAGAGTACGGGGTTGTTCTTGAGGGACGTTGGATCCACTGCTGAACCCACCAAAGGCGGCATTTTGGGAGGACCCGTTGGTGGGGGGTTGAGGACATCTGATGGTGTTCGAATACAGACTGCGGACGTGATTGTCCGTTGGCTTGTTGATTTAACTGAGCGCGCAGCTCCTCATTCTCGGTCTGGAGCATCGAGACCTCGCGGCGGGCCTGACTGATGCTCTTTTCCAACCCGTTGATATATTCAATGGCGCGAGTCAAGGTTTCCCATTTGCTGGATTTATTGTTCTGGGCCTGTGGCAAGCGTACGCGCAAGGCCTCGAAGCAATCCTTCATTTCACTCCGCCGCTTTCGCTCTGCGAGTTTATGTGTAACACGCAATTCGGGGGTCCGGCTATAGGGGGTGTTGCCGGACGGTTCTTCTTCGTCGATCAGATCCCGCACCTGCTTATGCTGTAATGAATGATGATGGTGTACATTCTGAGGTAGTTCTGAAACACAATCAGCCTACTGTCGCACAAGATACGAAATTAAGCCATGATGTCTTACCGTGTTGTCCTCGTGGCATGCGTGATTCTGAGTACATGCTACTGAGGGACTCTGCTGTGCTACCTTTCCGGGAGAAGGGGGGGTTGGACTTCTCCGTGGAAGAGATCGAGCTGGACCGCGCAACGTCAGGATCCGGGAATGCATATGCCATACCGGCCGTGGGTGCCTCAGCATTGTAGATCTCAGAGCGCGGGTTGGATGAAATGGCTGGAGCAGTCCGTCCGGCGGCGAAGACACGATGTTCCATTGCCCTTGATCCTAGCGGGGACATGGATTGAGGTGGGGGGTGCTGGGAGCCACCGGAGTATCTGGGCCCACGGTAGGAATTCATGTCGTTGGAGATACCTCGCTCTCGCTGGAGACTAGATACAATGGAGGACTGGGACGCATTGGTGCTGTGGTATGGCGAGGCCGGGTTCGGCGTTGGGTTAATGGCGAGTGAGCTAATGCCCTGATTCATGCGGCTATCGATACTACTGCGGCGCGATTCAGGCATCTCCGACATACTCCCGCGCTGGCCTGGAATGTCGAAGTTCTGATTGATGGAGGGCAGAGCCGAGTTGGGCTGCGCGGAGTGGAAGCTAGGTGAGGGCTGTTGCGCGCCAGCGGAGGAAGGGGTGGTGGACGAGTCGTGACCAAACGGTGACCGATCTGGAGCGGGAGCGGGATGGGTGCGGTTGGGAGAGGGCTGTGATGTTGAGGTGAGGAAGGTCAAGGATGGATAGTTGTTGCCCGTTCCATTCGTGGCAGTGGAATATGTAGAAGATCCTGGCGAGGAGGGGTCAGCATGCGAATGCGAATTCGCGTCATATCCAGCGGTCCTGGAGGCGTGGCTTACTTGTGCTCTGCGGCATGGACCAATTGCCGGAATCTCGTTCGATGGTGTTTAAGGAGGCATTGCCTGGCGACTTCTCCGCCGGGTTAATAGGCCCGTTCATACTAGCCGTCAGCGTCGAGATCGAGGGCAGCGTCTGAGCCGAAGCGGCTGGGGTTTGAGGCCCCGAGGAGACTTGCCCCCATGGGCGACGAGGGACGGGGTCCATCGCAAGATTGGTCGCGCGGGGATGAAAGAGCGTCAAGATAGAACCAAAACGTCAAGGTCAAGAAGAAAAAGAGTGTGGGGAAAAGAAAGAGTGAGGACCGAGCACTATTGCATCGGGACAGAAGAAACGATAGCGAGTATAAGGACGGAGGACCGATCTGCAAGGGAAGCGGGCGCCCACGACCCTGGAACCTTTTTGGGGGCGAAGAGCAAAAGCGGAAAACGAAAAACGAGAATCCTGCAGGGTCGGGGGGGGGGAGGGGGCCGATGGAACCTTTGAAGAACGGGGAAAGTTACGAGTCGACAGGATGGTCAAAAGAGGCGTCAAATGCCCCATAAATTGCAGTCGAATCTTTGCCCTTTGGGGGGTGGGGGGGTGTTTCGCAGGGGGCTGCTAAATTCTTATAATCGGGGCGGTTCGAATTTTAAGCATATCCTGGAGTAGGTATTTTTTGAATTTCAAATTTGGAGGAGGGGGGTTTTTAATTTTATTTCTAGAATCGATGGGGGAGGCTTTTTTTGCACATGGGCGATTTATGATTAACTACTGTTATGCGCGTTACGTAGGCCTACGGTACTTCGATTACCGCCTAGTACCGGTAACAAGGGAGCATCAAGCTTACGAGCTTAGCGGCTTAGAAGCAGAGCCCTGGAGCCCTGGAGCCCTGGAGTGGAGCGACGATCGGGCTGGATCCTGGGCCATCTGGAAGATGAAGGTGGTCCAAGTTGGTACCGGTGCAGCTTTCCCTGGACTGCTAGAGTCCATTTGCCCCCCCCCCATGCTCCCCCATGACTCCTCTGCAGGGGAATGTTCGGGTATCGTTACCATGTGCCAAGGCCTCTGCGAGCAACGCGACTCCACTCGTGCCACGAGGCTGACCCTTTCTGGGGGAAAAGTAGAGTTACATTTCCCTTTTCGTGCTGGTTTCCCCATCGGGATTTCTCGATTTTCTCCCTACGATTAAGACACTGTTCAGCCCTTCCCAGGTGAACCTCTTGCCCGTGAGAACTCGAACCGTCCATGTATCCGTCTCTCCAAACACCTCCCCTCTCTACGATTCTAAATCCAACTACCCCCCGTATCCGTCGTAGTCACCCGGGGAACGAGTAAGCTGAAGTACCCGGAAGTACATCGTACTCCGGCGCAGCTCATGCACGAATTGCCTCGCCAAAGGAGTAAATTACTCTGCAGGACCACCAGCCTGGGATGGATCAAAAATCAGGCGGGAAGTGGATCCGTTGTTCTCCAATCCGCATGGCAAAAAAGTGCAAGGTTAGGGGAACCGATCATCCATTCATGGCCCAGTCACATTCTTCAATCCCCCCGTGGCGCTGGGTGCGCCGGTGGACGTCCTTTGAGCAAAATACCAACCTTTCCATTTCGAGAGTTTATTGTAATTGTCCTTGAGCCGACGCAAGGAGCACACGTTTTGACTTCTCTTCCCCTTTCCCTTTTCTTATTTTATTTAGTCAATTTTTTTTATTACTCCGTACACGGAATCATGGTTCTGATGTGATCACTCTAGAGATCGTGAACCGAGGTGAGGTTCGTCCATTACATCATGACTAGGGGTGTTCACGTCACAACCTTCCAACGTGGTTGACTTTTTTTTTTTCCTGTATGACCCGTGCAGCCCATGAAGTGAATGGAGGTGGAATAGAGGTGGAATAGAGGTGGGTCGTGGTCTCTTTGCGCACTTCCAGTACCATCACGGCATTCGCATCGTCTTCAGCCTAAAAATAAAATACGTAGCCGTACAAGCGCGGAGGCCTTGATGGATGCTTGCGTTCACGTGGCAGAATGATCGACGTCTAGGGTTGGAAGGACCTTTTTTTTTTCGGGTACTCCTTGCAGGTCTGACCTGCCGGAGGTTCAATGGTCTCTCGGTCTCTTGGTATTTTGGTCGCCGTGGGTGTACTTTTCAGGCCCTGTGGTTGTCGGGTCGTTGAGGGTCCAAGTTAGTTGTTAGACTGACTCGGGGAGAAGCGATGTCCGCATGCCTTGGCCACACGCTAAACCTGATCGAAACGTTAAAGCACATGGCATGTCTTCAGGCAGGGAGATTGTCACCAATACCACCTTACACCGGAATTCTGGTGGTTCGACCGGGCTCAGCAGGCCCAACAGGAGGTACCCGTACTTGTCTTCCCCCCCTTACTTGACCTGTCTAACCCACGCGCCACGCTCTACCTGTGCATCTTGTCCCACGCACATGGCAATGTGCATAGTACGAAGCTAGTCTTTCGCAGGTAGTACCGGAAAGATACATCCCTCCCATCACCGCTCGTCTTGGGAACCCGAGGTTGCGAGCAAGTATCTTCTGCAATCCCCACCCGGGCGGTGATAGGCAAGAGATCCCAGGTGGATAGGCTCAGCACTCAGCTTTCAGCACCAAAGGGGCCTCAAAACTGACGATCTACCCCTCCTCTTTTAGCCCCAATGTCTACTCGTCGGTGTTTGCACCGTTACTTTACTTTTTCTTGCCCTTTTTCTCTCCCTTTTTCTCTTCCATTCTTGTCACACCCGGCCACTGGCGGTTTCGCGCAGAATAAATGACGCCAAGGAGTGACACCGCGCTCTGATCGGAGCCGCGTGAAGAATCTCTCTGTGCCCACTTGCCCCAGAAGCTTGAACACCTCGATCGCAACGGAGACTGGGCGGGGGATGCACCCACCCGCTGCCGCCCGAATGTCACTTCGGTCTTCATCGAGGACCACTGGTTAGACGCAGTTAATCCTTCGTGTAAATTCTGTCCTCCGAGGGCTTCTAGACCCGCGGCTAATTTACCGTCTGGCAAGACGTGCTCCTAGTCGAGCGTTAGTCTTGCTCGGGGCCGTTTTCTGCCACTTGGAGAATTCGTACGACCGGAAGCCACCCTGAGGATGTGAGGCAGGCAGTCATCCTCGCATGCTGCAGCGTTTAGGACCCGAACTACCCGCGCAAGCCTAATCTCGGCGTAGCTTCAGGTTGAAATCGTGAGATACCACACTAACCCTATTCCAGGTACTACTCTAGATAAGTGAATCCAATATCCTTGGAAACCGCTTATCGGCTACCAGGATAGCAGTACAGTCAGCCCAGCAAAGAAGGTCTTGGGCCATTTGGCATTTTGGAACCCATTAGCTCTGGACCTGTCAAATTTCCAAGGTTGATTTTGTGATCTCGGTTTCTATGACCCTTGGAAACAAGGGTGTGTCAAGATCCACCGCTTTTCTTACCGGATGATGTGGAATCTCACATATTCGATCACGGGCTATGTCTTTCTTCCTTTCTTTTATTTTTCCTTTATTTTGGTCTTTTTTTTGGTTTCCTGTTCCCACCCCGGTAAAAACCAGAATGCTCCATCCGGAGGTTACCTGTAGGCAACAAAGATACTCGATGATTCCACGCATTGTTATTTCTCCGAATCAACCCACCTTCAAGGGAGACACCGCCATGATTCAGGCGGTGGCTGCTCAGCTGTTTCAGCGTTCTATTTTAGACTTTGCCGCTTTGGACCGATATTGGCTGCGAGCCCAGCATGTCCTACTAGAAACCCACCCGCTCGGAGTATATAATCTATTGTTTCGCTCTCTTTGGTCGCCCTGTTTCCCCTGCCTTGGATCTACGAGAGGCGAATCAGGATCCTCAGCTCCGAAACTCCCCAGGCCTGCTCCGTGCTCTCATTTCGAGAAGAATTAGACCGCAGGCTCCCTTGTATAGAAATCAGAGCCTGCGATTGCACATCATCACCCGGTTGGGTAGTCACCACATGGTCCGTAATAGCCTTGCAGGAGGTTTCTTGGAGATCGCCACCCGATCGACGACGCGCATACCCTCCCCCAGCCCTTTTGGCACCGTAGCAGTCTTCCATTCCGCGAGCCCAGGCCGTTAAACTTTATCTGAGAATTCTCAATGTGACTTTGTGGCTTTCCGAACTCTTTGTCCTACATCAGATGTCTCCAATTCTTTTTTCTCGTTTCGGTTTTGCGTGGATGATTCACAGGTCATAGCTTTCGGGACCATCAGCCTCAAGGGATGGCATCCAGCTAGTGGGAACATATGGTTCCGCAGATAGAGTTGGCCATGCAAATAGTGCCAAAGCAACCACGGGTCGACAGTCGTGGCCCAAGGGCCTTGCAGATTCAATAGTTCGTGTTTGCCAAACACGCGAGAGCCACCAAGGAAATAGCAGGGAGGAGAATAAGAGAAAAAAAGGAGAAAAAAAAGATGTCGAGCATAAAAGAGAAAAAGAAAAATAGCATGGGGGCGGAAGTCAAGAGTTGGCCTACCTTGTTGAGAGAACTGGGCGCAGAGTCACTCCACCCTTTTGCGCCCATGGTTGCCCGGCTTTGGGGGACTGGAAGACCCCGTCGATCTTCGCGCCGGGCCTTCCTCCCCGAAGCTGGGGGACCAGTGGATCGTGGCAGTGGATTGGTAGATCATTCCATGCCATTCAGATATTTTCGTCCCCTTTTACCACATGCGACAGTCCTTTCTTCACACCATCCCTTGTTGGTGCTTTTGGCACGGATCTTCCGCCCCTGCTTCTTGCCTCCTGCATCCTTCTCGCGTGTAGGACCTCCGATCCGTGATTCTTCCCCGGAAACCCCAGCGTCAGGACCGAAACATGTCTAAGAGTGCCACGGGATGCTTCCCCGTCGCATGAGGTGTTCATGTCTGGATGTCTAGCGTTCTTGATCCAGGGATGAGAAGAGCGTGCGCAATGTTTTCCATGGCTGTCTCCACCTGACCCGCCAGAAGTGTCTATGGTTATGGAGTCAACAGAGTTCAAGTTCTGCCTGTACTGACTGCGGTAATCCGTATTACCTCCGGGTAATCCCCAGTAACGATCAGTTTGGTCGAACTGGTTCCAACTGCCCAATCTCCAAGGTGGCCCACCCTCCCCACTGAGTGTTTCACTCCGTGTCAACTGCCGCCAGCCAGCCTTGATCTGCCGAGTTTCGAGGGTCGACCTGGATGTTGAGTAGGCCCTGATGCCAGGAATCCGGGCCCTCTCTTAGCGCTGACTGGAGGCTTCAGGTCTGCGGTGGAGGCTGGAATGCGGGACTGCAACGCTGTCAGCGTACACCCGTGGTTCGTTTCCCCGTTAATACGATATGTGACACTCTTCACTGCGGTCTTTTAGCCGCCATGTTCACGGGCACGCCCGTGTCATTATATCATGGTCTCCATTTAGCGTGCCCTGGCACATGTGTCGAAGAGGGGGCCAAATCCCGCGGCTGCCAAACTCAAGCTTATTGTCGCCCGCCTCGGGAGGCGTTGGGGCCTTTCTGTTCCTGCAGTTGCGCAGAACTGCTCATTCCGGAAAGCGAAGGATTGTGTTTTTACTGTAACTGCCAACCAACATGTCAGTTTCAATTGGCTCGCGTATTGTAGATTCGGCCTTCCCAGTGCCCTGCTAATCAGTTCTAAAAGTTTGGATGTATTGTTGGTTCTACGGTGGAGCTGTCCAACAACCGTGACTGGCTCCCTCACGCCGATCTGTAAAATGATTATTCCAAATACATTTCCTGGGATGATCTTTTTCGGCCTTTCTCGCCGTATATAGTTCACTAGGCATGATATCACGATGTGACAAATTCTCTCTTAGGTATGGTTCTCCTTGACCGCAGATATTCGATATACCAGCACAAATCAGCCTCTTGGCAAAGGATACATTCCATTTTTTGTTTTGGAAAGGAACTCTACGAGCGGCTTGACTTAGTTGATACTACTAGTAGCACTGGGAAAAGAGGCAAGCAGACAGCCACTCAAGTAGACGGGCTACTCACTGTTCACCAGCCACCCAAGAGTCGGGGGGAATTTTGGTTGGTCGGCTTCGAGTTGTAATAACGTTTTCGTTTTCTCTTATCGGATATTATAGCAAATGCATCTCAAATATCAAAAGCAATAGTAGCGAAAGCGACGAAGCAGACATTTTGCACTATTGCCCCGCCTGTCAATATAGCTGACCCGAAATTGATACCAGTCCGACTGCTTTCTAGCGTCATTTCTCTGAGTCGATCGTTCAACCCCACGAACAATGATATTTGAGATCGGTAGTCAGCACCTGTAGCGGGGTTTTATCGGTGTCGCACAACTGAAAGCCCTCATGGCGTATTCCTTCTTCTGGTCAATATGTCTCCCGGTCGTGTGAATTGAACTCACGGTAACAGCAGGGTATGCAACTTACACTAAAAAATCCTCGCAATATAGTGATCCTTTTTGGCGTACAGATAGTGGCAACATCCGAGGTAGTATTCGGGCGTGCGCCATCGTCATCAGGACTGTGAGGGTTGCCTAACCAGCCTGATTGCGCCAGATCTTTTAAGCGCCTCGACCTTGTTCCAGAAAGGACCCTGATAGCTCTGATACCATCACTGCCAAAGCTTATTTGAAATCCCCGGATGAGGAATCCCTTTTTAATATCCACCTGAAGTTGGCGCCCTGGTATACGATACCCCATTGCTTGATTCGCCCCGGTAGGAGTGAACAATTCAATTCCGGTGACTAGGGTTTTTCCCGAGATACCCATAGGCAAGACCCAAACGCCAACCTTGGTCACAACCTGATCAGCATGTATCCCGATCTCCTTCCAAAAAAGTGAACAGGACTCATGATAAGCAAGATCAAATCCAATGCCATCAGTTCGTGTCATGGATTGTTCGTCCCAGGAAAGGCGGTAGGACCCGTTGTAGCGGGGCGATACCCAACGAACGTTTCTAGTACTCGCCCTTCGATTCCCAGTACTCACGAGTGTCATGCGACATATATCTCTAAACCATGAAGCCTCACACCAAGCGAGATATCTATTGCACAGGTCATCTGGAATCTTTCCGAAACGACCAGAATTGCAAGCGCTAGCAATCAGGCGTACTCTGTAGTAGGAATTCCTCCAATTTATGTGTTTCCATCTTTTTGACTCTACCTTGTCGAGCAGATTATGCAGAAACCCGCACTCGCCAGTTCGATAGAATCTACTCCTCCAAAAAAACTGATCATGAAACAGGACTGAAATGGCACGAGACGCAAGACGCAGCCGAAGAAAATCGGACATTTTCAGATGCGAGACCAGATCGAGGCAAATCTCGGGTGGTAATAAATGAAATATATCAGATGGATTTGCTTTGGTGTTTTGCGGATGGCCGGGGCTCTTGCGAGGCAGTGATTTAGCCTTAGGAAGAGAGGCCAACTTCACGCTTGGTGCTGACCCTGGAGCTCAATTAGGGAGAGGATTATCCAAGGAGAGATTATTCGGCCATACCTTCTGTAAGTTGATTTATGAAATCTACCAGGCGAGGGTAGGGTCTGCGTAGAGGCTCAGATTTCAGCACTTTGCATGCAAGAAATGCCCTCGCGGGACTAAGCTCTTCTGGTTCCAAGAATGTTCTCAAATAATCCCAACATTCAGAATGAAGAGCAAAATATTTTCCTGCACTTGACCAATCATTCACGGACAATATTGATAGTAGCTCTGCGTCCAGTTCCGACGGCAGATATAAATCTCCTGCCGGATCTGTTTCTATCCTTCCAGACGCTATGGTCTTGTCCCTTAGTGGATATACTATTCATGAAAGACGTTAGAAAAACAGAGTAGCTGCAAAGGCGTAAATCTCACCTATCCGCCAACTCCTTGGTTGATCGCATGGTAAAAGATCAAGACGCCTACCACCACAGAACACGCAATCTGCCTGGAAGGGTCTCGGCATTGCCTGGAAGGGTGTCTGCATCTTGACAAAAGTCTGCTGTGTTTCGGTCGAGATATCTTTATGATCACCTGCGAGATAATGTAGGTGAAATTATTCTTTGTTTCTTTCAAGTTGATAGCTTTTATGCCATCCAAGGTGGACCAGTAATGATTGCATCAACAGTCCCATCACGCCATGGACTGGACTTATTCCAGACATATACTTCCCCTGGTCCCTAATCACCAGCTTCGTGAGCTGAGCAACATGGCGTAACTTTAGATCATATTAGTGCTGTCCCATGACCGCTACCGTGGCATGGCTAGTGGTTTAAGTAGGTGTTACGGGACTGAACAGGAAGTTTGCCATTTCAACTTCCACGCTCCCAAGGATCATATCGACACTGTATGAGCACCGATTGTGGTGATATATGAGTATAATACTAACAGACTGTACAGAGAGGAATGGCAAAAAGGAAAAGTCGAAGAAACTCATTAAACTCAGGCAATTTGCTTTTTCTTGTTTTTCTTTACGCGCATGACACTGGGCCCGTTGAAATCATGTATGCGGGGCTTTTAGGGAGTTTGACGTGTTAATTCGCATAAAAGCGGTAATTTACTACTAGTAGGATGGTAGGATCGACTTTAATGGTAATGATTGAGTCACTTATTCGAACTGTATCTTGCTCATATAAGTTGAACAACACGAGGCAGATTCTAGTATGGCTAGAGCTTCGCTTTGCTCGTCTTCTCCCATTCCTCTACGGATTGGATATTCTGCTTTTGCAAGCCCGACTTCCGAGCCTCCACCGCATCACGCCAGGCTAGATTCCCGGCATGATCATCAATCCCGTTGAGAACACGAGAATACATTTCTTCCTTCATAATACCATAGATTCCAGTAGCGGCCTTGTTGAGCAACTTACGGTCCCGGATCAAGTTGAGAGCCTCGTCAAGTCCGCCTAGACCATCGACAATGCCTGACTGCAGGGAATCTTTACCTCCGAAGCGGCGCGCTTCGAGGACCACATTTCGGAATGTGACCGGAGTCAACTTCTCTCGGAAAATGGACATCATGGGGGTCTGGAGCGGAACGCCGAATTCAAGCTCGTTCACACACAGGAAGCCCTTCTCTGGATTTTGGATGCGGTAGTCGTGGTACATCGCGAGCATGAATCCGCCCGCAAACGCATGTCCATTGACGAGAGAGATTGTGGGCATGGGGAATCTAAGGTTTTTTGTTAGCTAGTCTTGCTCTAACCCCAATGCGCATTCCAGGCATTCGGATGCTTGAGAAGAATTAACTTACGTCAAGAATCTCCGGAAAAGTCGATACAGCCACTTCTCCAAGAAGCCCTCTGTGCTCATTGCGAGTTCGAGATCCAGGCCATTGCTGTAGAACTTCGCAATACCGCTGGTCGTGATTACCACGCCCTTCGGATACCGGTGCTCCACAATGTTCAGGGCCAAAATAAGCGCGTCGATGAATGTCGGAGTCAGACGATTGTCTTTTGGTGAGGTGAAGGTCAATAGATACACATGCTGCTTTTCTTGCCCTGGGGTTGCCGTGGGGTTGGTGCATACGATGGCGCCACCGGTAGAAGCGATCGGAACGGTGAAGAGAGTGGCCATGGTGTCAACAATCCCGGTCCTCAGAAGATATGAGAAAGCTCCTGGGCCCGTAGCTTCTTGTAGAAGCTCGAGTAAAACGAATAGTAATCATCCGCGGCATCACATGAAATCACGCCCGCGGGCCCGCGGGCGGAGGTGGGCCGATGACATAATGCTCGATCAATTTGCCCAGGTGAGGCTCAAAGCTATCTTCAGAGCTAAATTGCGAAGGTGCAATTGAATCGCGGGTGCACCGTCTTTGGTGTCAGAATGAGTGTTGCCCATATCTCAGGTTCTGGCGTTGTGATAAAATGGATGGGTGACCCCATGGGTGACCCCCAGGTGGCAAGCAAAGGTCTGGGTCGTCACTAGCACGGTTATGACTGGTAAATGGCAGAAGGCATGCCACACTATAAGAATCTCGAGTAATAGAGCGGGCGCCACCCAATCATTGAGAAAGCAGGAGCTGGACGATATGGCATGGCTGTGAGGGGTGATCCAAGTATGGCCTTGGGACGGCCCCCAGTCAAGATTAAGTCGCCGAAAAGTCGCCGCTCAACGCGTTATCTGAATTGGTATAAAGAAGGTACTGTTACGCCGTTGAGTCAATGCCAGCATTGTTGCAACACATTGTAGAATCAAATCTGCTTCAAGTGATAACACATCATGGCAGCCATTGCGTTTGCCTCGCACGCTAAACAAGTCACCCTTTCCACTGGCCATTCCTACTCTTATGCATTCATACCGGCAAAGCCCGCACACTCAACTATCCTATTTCTCCATGGATTTCCATCCTCGTGTTATGACTGGAGACACCAGGTTACGTTCTTCGCTGGTCAGGGATATGGAGTTCTAGCTCCTGATCTCCTTGGCTACGGCGAGACCAGTAAACCGGTCGCCGTGAGCGCCTATAGAGCGAAGAGAATGGCAACGGAAATCAGAGAAATCCTCGACCATGAGCAGCTTCATTCGGTCCATGCCGTCTCTCATGATACGGGAAGCATTTTGCTTTCACGTCTGGCGAACTACTATCCAGATAGGCTCCTATCAACTACATTTTTGGCTGTGCCATATTCGAAACCCGGAGAACATTTCGAATCTCGAGGCAGTCAATGCAATGACTAAACAGCTACTTGGCAAAGAAAAGTTTGGATACATTGAATTCTTTACGAAGAGCCATGCAGGCCAGGTTTTAGACGAACATGTAAGTTCAAGTGAGTCATTTACTATGAGCAACGTATTGACGAGGTCGGAAATCTCAAGAGCGAATCATTCTTTACTCTGTTTTATCCTGCAGATCCTGCCTTGTGGTCGGATCATCTTGGGCCTGGAGGAGCACTCGAATCGTGGCTTCGAGCGGATACGCAGGGTGCAAAGGCACCCTATATCACAGACTATGAGAGGAACCTCCATCAGAAAATTATGCAAGGGCAGCATGGACCGGCATTACATTGGTACCATGCTCTAGTGGAGAATGTGAATGAGCAGGATGAGTTGGATGATGGGCTCTCCGTAAAGCTGACAAGACCTGTTCTCATGATCTTCCCAGCCTCCCTTCCGGGCGACTTCTCAGTGGCTAGCGGCCAGACGAATGAGATCGCCGATGATTTGACCGTGAAGAAGGTACGTACATCTGGTCATTGGTTACAGCTGGAGGCGAAAGACGAAGTCAATTCTATGTTGAGTGAGTTTATCTCCCGCTGTGATGGAGAGCGACTCGGATGAACGGAGTGCCAGGGTTCAACAAAGGACCTACATTTACTGTGTCTTTAATAGGACTCTCATCTCACCCTATTGAAAATACCAATTTTCTATTTAATAGGCTGCATACAGCTAGCTTGAGGCTCTTGTCCATGTAAACACTACCACTGTATTTGCGTTGACGTAGTGCCGTAGTTGTCTGTGCCAGAACAGGCTGTAGACATTGACGTCATGCATCTATCAGATGAAGTTGATTAACCAGATTCCCCCACCAAGGTCCATTCTCAATAACTACCGCAGATACCTCTTATTCGAAACTATATTGCTCCGCATATCGAAAAAAATGGAGCCTTCCAACAGCGTGAACCGAGCAGAGCAACCTCCAAAGCAAGCGGCCTATGCTCAAGCCTCGAATCCCGTATCGCAAACCCCACAAGAGCAACGCGCCCCAGCCTCAAAGACTCGCCAAACCGGAGACGCCCTCTCTTCCGCTGCGTATCGATCGGCCGACTCACGGCCAGCGAATGACGAAGCCCTATCCCAACTCGGGGAGCAACACCGCCAGCAGGAGCTACAAAAGCAGAATACCCCAGACGTCGATCTCGAATATGGAGTCGAGCAACAACCTACGGAGGGCTACATCGCGGATTCTGTGGAGCGCAAAGGAGAGGGCATCGAGCGTGCCAAGGTTGGCGCCCATGCTGACCGTGTTGGCAGCGGCGCCAGGCCGGGACACCCGGGGTTTGGTGAACAGAGGGACCTCGCTGCGAACATGGATGGGAAGCGGGCTGAACATGACCGGATTTTGGATGAGAAAACAGGGGACAGGGCTTCGCCAGCCCAATATGATGTCGTCCAGCGAGAGGCTCTGCGACGTCGCAAGGAGCGAGAGGACGAGGTGAATGTCGAGGGGGCAGTCCAGGATGCAACTGGCGACCCTGTCGTCAGCTACGAATAAGGAAAGCATCCCACGAGACAATCTCGTTTGGGTTCATGGTGTTAAAGTTGAATTGAATTGAATTGAAGCTCAATGGATCCGGCTGGGTCAAACGTGTTGGGTATTAAAAGCACAACTAGATATCTGTCTCGTCGGACATTCCTGTAGACACCTTCTTGAGCTCGAGGTCTTTCTTCAGCTCCTGGATACGTCGGCCCATCTTGTTCCGCAGAATAGCATTTGTCATGTTCTCCCATGTCTTGGTTTCAGTGCGAATAAGCTCCTCCAGTTCACTGACCTCCTCTCGTTGTTGCTGGAGCTGTTGTTGCCTTTCGAGTTGCTCGTCGTCAAGATCATCGTCCCGTTCATCGCCTGAATCATCGCTCTCGTCACCAGATGATTCTGCAGCCGGCGCACCTCCGGGGGTGTTCGGCTGCGCCGAGGGAGTTTCCGCCTGTTCCCCTTCCGGCCCAGTGGACAATGCACCGGATGGACCAGCATGAGCACCTGCAAGAGCTGCCTCCATTTCCGCTGCGATTTCATCGTCCATGTCGTTCATGAGTGATTGCTCTGCATCCGAGCCATCGTATTCTTCGTCGTAGTAGCTTTCGTAGCCCCCTTCTCCCTGGGCAAATCCCTCGGCGCGATTGAGTGAGGCACTGTCAATCAGTTCGAAATGCGGAGGCTGCAAGGACTTTTCATCTTCCGCGATCAGATCCTCGACCGCTTTCTCGACTTGCTCAATGGTACGCGAGCTCACACGATCCCGGAAGCGGCGTTTACGCACCCAACGCAGTGGCGGCGCCAGGCCATGGGGGTATTGCAGCGTCTTCTCATCTGGTTTTGCGATCTCTGGGGGAAGCGGGTATTCCATGGCCTCTTGGTCGCTGGAAACTGGCCCCAAGACCAGTAGCATCTGGCTGATATCTGCAGACTTGTACCACCCTCGGCGATCGAAGCTCTTCATTCCTTCGATAATGCACGGCAAATCGACCAAAGAGGCCGCGTATTGCTTGTCTCGGATCCTGAGGATAGCGCGTCGCCCTTCCCGGTTCAGTGCTTTGAAGGAAAACTCATGTTTGTCGAACCGTCGTTCGTTAATCGTTTGGCGCAGGTACTCGCAGTCTTCGCCGGGAAGCATGCGCAGGATGAACTGTTCCTCGATGGACGGATCAGCTTCACAGTCTGAAGCCTCTGAATCATACCCGACCCCGACTGGCCGATGCTGGACCACTCCCTTGTTCTTGATACGGATGGATTGTACTCCGGGCTTCTTCGAGGTTAATTTGAGGCGTTTAGGGGCTTGTTGAGTCGCAGGTGTCTCGGGCTGCGCAACAGTCTCCGCAGGTCTCTTCTTCGTAGGCTGCTTCTTTTTCTTAGACTTCTCTTCCGATGCGGGGGTTGCTTCGGCTTGATCCTTTGGCTTCTTCCCGATCTTCAGGGTGATCTTCCTCGACGGAGTTTCCGATGATGCTGGCGCAGGCTCTGGCTCGGGGGGAGGCTCTGTTGGTCGCTTGCCGAACTTCAGCTTGATGGTTTTTTTTGGCGGCTCAGACATGGCGCAGACAGGCCTGGAGGCTCCGCTAGGTTCCGAGTGGCAGATGAGAGGGTTCTAACTTCCAGTGAGCAGGGAATGAATGGAGGAAGTGATGTAGGACGGAAGTTGGAGGTGGAGTGGGTGGAAGGCGGAGAATCACGTCGCGCCAGGTGCCCAGGGAGCAGGGTTTCTCCGCCTAAGCTTCATTCACTACTGAACTCCACTTCACCTCCTCCAACTTCCACCATATCAATCACTGGATGGGTTTCACTACTTGGTATTCTCTTTCTTCCTAAAAGCTGCAAGTCATAGCAGCCAATTCGTTGCCCCATCTCCCTCCCCTTGACCACGATGTCAGGCCACGACCTCCATGATGCTCTGCTCCGGCCTCCAATCCTCCAAATTCTTCGCGCACAAGGTTTCCACTCAACGCGCCCGTCCGTGGTGGAATCTCTTTCAGACCTCACCGCCCGATACATTATGATTCTTGCCTCTTCCACCGCTTCCCACGCCGCAAATGCCCACCCGGACGACCCAGTGCCAGACCTTGAAGATGTGTACCAGGCTCTTCAAGACGCAGGAGCGCTCAGACCGCAATTACGTGAATGGGAGGAAGATTGGCAAGACGCAGAGGATCTACGTGGTCTTGAATCTTTTCTAGGCTGGGTAACTGGTCCGACTCACCGCGAGATTCGGCGCATCGCTGGTTTCGTGCCCAGTGAAGGCGACATGGTGGACCCTGATGCAGTTGAGAAAGAGGACTACTTGACCTCATTAAAGAAGAAGCACAGTAAGACTGGCGAGGAGTCACGCTATGCCGGCACGGTCATTGGAAAGAGCGCGGAAGAACATCCTGTGATTATCGAAGGAGGCGCACCTAGCATTCGAGAATGGAGCGCGCAGATCCGATCGCGTGCTCCGGCCAGTCCCGACAGCGACACTTCTGGTGTCAGCAGTGCGCCTTCTCATCTAAGTGAAGAGGACGCAATGGAAGTGTGAAGGGGAGCAAAACCGAACCATGCTTGCGCTCGACACCGCTGAGAAAATACTCTCCTCTATCGCCGTACCCGATTTGCGCCAATGAATTTGGGACTTCGACTTCTCAATGGGCCACTAATATACCATGGCTGTCGTCTCTACACCCAACAGCTAAGCAGGCCGACCGCGATGATGGTCACAGAACAAGTTCGTTCTTCCATTAATCCGACCCCTTGGTGGGCAAGCGCTAGCATCGAAGGATCCCCGCAAAGGCTAGTGGGCCAGAAGCCGGCTCTGGGCTGAGATTATTGCTCGCCTCCTCTTATCGGCTTTTTTGAAAGTATGAGCACGAATTTGACCTCATTCAAGAGAAGGGATTGGCCTGTGATCTCTTCTCAGATCGATCGAAATTAATTACGGCTAGCTCGCAACTCCCACCACAGCAACATGGCGCTACTATTAATATTTCCCATAAGCTTCTGGCGCCGCGTTCACTAATTTTTCCATGTATTGGTAGCTGTATAGCATTTAGAATAGCCTCAGCTGGTCAATCGGCCGCTTGGTTCTTAGCCCAGCCAATCAGAACCCGTTTGTGTAAGACATATAGTTGCCCTTGCCCCGGGGATAAGTAGTGGTTTGTCGGTACCTGGGAAGATAATGTAGCATGCCTATTCTAGTTGTTCCCCGCGCATTAGAATCAACAGCACGTGGCTTCAAGTCAGTAGTATGTCGCGAGACAAGGCGCGTCTATTGAAGTCCATTGATGATACTTCCACGGGGATGTGCATTTGACATGATGCTGTAATACGGGGCGATTGCGCAATCATAAGTGGACCTGACTGGAAATCCGGAAAACAAGGCCATTTCTGATCTGGGGTATGACGTGAGTTTATTTTAGATAGCTTGGGTGACTTGAAGCAGTGGTGCCCTATGTATAGCAGGCCGAGGTGGGTGTATACAAACTTCCGCGTCCTCGGGACTTCATCTCGGCAGTTGACCAGCCCCATTCTCGGTCCTCGACTGTTGGTGGCTCTTATTTACCTTCTCTGCCCGATTTTGCTTACCGATCGACTCCATTCGATCTAGATTTCCCCAGAATGAGTCCACCCCCGGATTCTCCCCATACTGACCCCTGCCCCTCGGCTGATCCCCGGTAAATGCCATGCATCTGCAAGTACCGGGACCCTTCTTCCGCTGTCAAAAACATGGAGTCGCCAGTCAGGACTCCACTGGCACATGTCTTGCCCCGGATTCTTTAACTACAACGCCAGATCTTTCATATCCCTCTGAGATATCTTGTACAGATCCACGGCCCCGACGGTTGACCGTTGAAGGTTACATTCTCCGCCCCGTTGATCGACAGGGCTGTCAGCGTGAAAACCCCGTGCGGGACCCTGAACGAGCCTGAAACAACACCCCCCCTTTACTACATCTTTCTCTGCGAAGGTACTGCACTTTCGGCAGCTCTCTAGCTCTGTTGAGTGAGCGCTTCATGATGGCGTCAGCTGCCAATGAAACCCCCGAAGACCGGCTGGACAAGTCGCATGCTCCTTACACCGAGGAAAAAGACCTCAGCGCCATCAGCGATAACGGCAGCAATCTGTCGGAGGCGCACAAAGCCTATCTAATTGAACGACATGGCACTTATGACCTTGATCCCGTTCCTAGCACTGATCCAGCAGATCCGTATAACTGGCCGCTGTGGAAGGTGAGTAGATCGCGCGAGCTTCCTCAACGGTGCATTTTTGCTTTGCCACGAAATCTAGACGCAAAGTGGCCACTGACACCATGATTAGAAAGTGAGCAACCTGAGTCTCGTCGCTTTCCATGCGTGCATGGGCACCTTCACCGCAGCTTCGATCATTTGTGCCTATGAAGACATCGCGATAGATCTTGGGGTCTCGCTGCAACGCGTGAGCTACCTCACTTCTTTGCAGATTGCCATTCTAGGAGGCGCCCCGCTGTTCTGGAAGCCACTTTCCTCTCGATTCGGACGTCGCCCTATTTTCCTCCTGTCGCTGATCTTGAGCTGTGTGTGCAATGTGGGCTGTGCAAAAAGCCCTGACTATGCATCCATGGCGGCGTGCCGAGCATTGGTCTCCTTTTTTATATGCCCCGCTATGGCAATCGGCAGTGGTGTAGTCCACGAGACATTCTTCCGCCACCAGCGAGCGCGCTATATTGGAATCTGGACGGTTATGGTCACTTTGGGTGTGCCGACGGGCCCTTTTATCTTTGGATTCGTGGCCCAGCGTGTCGGCTATCGCTGGATCTACTGGGTTCTCGCCATCGTAAGTGGATCTTGTCTCATTTTTTTACCGTTCGATTGGAGAGCATTACTAATGGAGGCATCAGACCAACGGCGTGCAATTCATTCTATATATTTTCTTCGGGCCGGAAACTCTCTACCGCGGCTCGGATGTGCAGACTGAATTGTCCGCCTTCAAGCGCGAGTACATCTCATTCCGGAGGATTGACCCTTCTCCTTTCAGAGTGACCGAGTTTGTTCACCCTCTGAGCCTGTTTACCAACATCCCTGTATTGCTCGCCACTATCTCATATTCGATGGTCTTCCTCTTCGCATCGGTCATGAACTCTGTCGAGGTCCCTCAGCTTCTGCAGTCGAAGTTCGAGCTGAATGCGCAACAATTAGGTCTTCAATTCCTGGGTCTGATTATCGGATCTTTGCTGGGCGAGCAACTCGGTGGCTTCATGTCGGACATGTGGATGAATCGCCGTGCTCGTCAAATTGGTCGCAAACCTGCTCCCGAGTTCCGTCTGTGGCTTAGCTATATCGGCTTCCTTCTGACTATTGCTGGCATGGTCGTGTTCTTGGTATGTACCGAGCACGCAGCCGTTGGCAAGTGGACGGTGAAGCCGATTATTGGAACTGCTATTGCTGCCTTTGGAAACCAGGTCGTCACAACTGTCATGACAACATACGCCGTTGATACCTACCCACAAGATGCTGGCAGTGTCGGCGTGTTTATTAATGTCGTGCGCTCGACCTGGGGATTTATTGGACCTTTCTGGTAAGCTGGCTTGCCCTTAAGCCGACTGTTGCTTTGTTTGTTAACTCCCAATCAGGTTCCCCTCCATGTTCGAGAGTGTCGGTATTGCGAACAGCTCAGGCGTAGTCACAGCCTTGGTGATGGGCGCGAGCTTTTTCCCTACAGTCTATCTCCAATTCCAGGGACACAAGTTCCACAAAATGGAGTAGGTCGGGACTTTTCGCTCTGGAGCGTGTCTCCAAGGGCTCGACCATCGCGACCATCAACGAGTGATAGAACTATGCTTGAATATGGCTAGTGGTTAAGCTTCTGATGGACATGTAGATACAATTGGATTGAGTACATATCTCGATGATTACCACTTTTCGCTACTGATCTTATTAATTTATGTTTAGCCAGCTGTACCATCCACGATGCCTGTATGTGCTGTAAAGTCAAATTTAAAACAGTAACTAAATCCATGCGTTCACCGATCGGCCGGGTGGCTTCCAGTGACATCAGCCTCCCGCCCCACGATTGCAACTCCCCCGTACCCCAACTCTCTTCATCATGGTGTATGCTTTTACGCTCCCAACTACTTCTCCCCTCGCATTCCAATCATTTATCTCATCTCCCACGCATCCGTCTCTTCCCCAGTCAGCTTCCACTGCCCGCCATGCCCTTCGCCTCGCCCTAAAAGCTCACAAGCGCTTACCCCGCGGCCCGCGCCAGGATGCCCACCTCTCGACCGTCCTGTCAGCATTGAACGAGTATATGCCCTATCTTTTTGCCATATCCAGTGGATTAAAGAGCTGGTCGCCTCAGGATCGCGCCGAGAATGCTGGACAAGAAGGCATTAGGTCTTCGAACGAGAATCCTCGCAATGGAGGAGCTATTGAGATCACTGTGCGCGCCGAGATCGAGTCCGCCTGGAAGCCGACCCTAGCAGCTGGAAACACTTTGCACTTAGGGTCTGGAGCTCCGCGCGGCGGCCGGGTGACTAGGCGGGGCATCGATTTTGAGATTGCATTCACTCTTACGACTCTGGGCTATGTATTGAGCAGGCTCGCGCGGGCCGGAGTTCTAGAGTCTGTGTATGCTTCCCATACACTCGTGCCGGAAGCCCGGACTGCCGCTATACAGAATGCTTCCCGTCTCCTCCTGCAAGCTAGCTCCGTCCATGGGCTACTTGCTTCGTCGCCTGCTTTTGCTGCTGCTACAAGCTCCACCGTCCCTGATATTGATTCGACGACACAGTCGGCACTGGCCACTCTTGCGTTAGCTGAAGCGACCCTTTTGGCGGTGCTGAAGGACGATGCGTATGTTACAGCTTGCATCCAAGCCAGAAACCCCAATGATAAAGATGGATGGTGAAAGCACCGGAGATTCCCAAAGTCCGCGCGCTCTTGTTTGCAAGGCTGTGCGTTCGAGCCGCAGAATACGCGGAGCAAGCTGCCGCTGGGCTCGACGCAGTTGGGACCGGAGCTTCTCGGGCAGGCCGCGTAGACGAGGACGTTTCTCGCTATGCCGGGGTCTTGGGTCGGGTGGCTCGCGCCCGGGCGTGTCGGCTCTTTGGCGTCGATGCGGAGCTTGCTGGTAAGGTCGGCGAGGGTATTGCGTGGTTGCAAGCTGCGCGTGCTCCTCTTGGTCTGCAGAGAGCCGCTGGTTCGTCTTCCCAGGCAGATGATTCTGGCGCCCAATCCAAAGGCGGGTTCTCCCGATTAAAGCGTGAATGGGCAGAGCGACGAGAGGAGCGTAAGGTTGAGAGGGATGCTGGCACAGGACGTGGGGCCAAGGGTCCTCTTGAGCCTGGAGATGATGCAGGCCGTGATGAGGAAGGTCGGGTCATTTCTATGCTGGAAACAAAATGGGTCAAAATGAACGATACAGTAAGTGGTGCCGGACTGTCTCCAGTGCCATGCAAGTGTCTAAATTTCGGCTAACACCATGCAGGTAAATACGCAGCTTATCCCTCCGTCTGCTCCATTACTATCCAATCTGCCGTCTGGGCGTGACATACACTCACCTCCTGCACCATATCAACCTCCGTCCTTAGACGAGTCCCAATTGTTGCGGATGAGAGCGCCTGCGGACGACCAATTTGATCAGCAATATGGAAACGACCCAGATGACAGTGAAGAAGATGTCTCAGCTGGGGTTGGAATACAAGGACCACCAGGGGGGGTTTCCGGACAGAAGCCAGACTGCTTCGAGCGTGTATTATTGATACCTAGACTCTTTTTATCTTTACCCTGTCATATAGGGTTGACGAAGACGAGGGCAGATTGGACCAAGGAATTTCCCTGGTTGCTGAAATTCGTCAATCTTGGGACATGAAATAACTTAAAACTTCGTTCATGAAATGAGATGGTGTACATAATGCCGCCTTTGGTCATGCCCTATTCAGTAGGTTCGTTGTATGGTGAAGTGCATTCGATTCTCTAGTAGCAGTAAAGCCTTCTACAAGATATATGAGACCTGGCTCAGAATCGTGGGCTAGGCGTCCATCGCTATTCGGTAGTTATCTCATGCTTGGTTTGTTGAAAGAATCCGTAGTAATGGTCACTTTGGAGCCCTTCGGGTTCCTAACAGGGTCCCTAGCAGTCCCACTCATGCCCGCGCAATCATTCTGCCAACAAGGCGCATGTTACCGAGTCCTGGGATTATATTTGGGCTATTGCAATAACTCTGCACAGAAAAGACGGATTGAACAGTTAGAAAGTTTCAGCTAAAATGTTCAGCAAAAATGAAATTGGTCAGACAGTGATATCGTATATGTACAGTACAAGTGAGAGCGCGACTATCCCTCACGTGCGTCCGAAGCCCCGAGGAAGCGAAACTGCAGGACTTCCTTTCTTAGCCCCGTGATCTAGCATGATTGCTCTAGATCGATTTTCTCAGCATCGAACCGGACTAGACTGGAAGACAGATCATGCCAACGGCCCTGCAAGCCGGACCGTATCCCCCCAAACCATGGATCAGGCCGTGGAAATTCATGCAGACTTCTCTCCTCCAAAGTAGTTCTTCTCTTGGAAGAGATAACCCTTGATCTTGCGCTCCTTGAGGAGCTCGAAGTATTTTTCTGGAACCAGTTAGTAGCCATTTCACCCAGGATCCCCATGCGTGAGAGAAATCAGATTGAAAAGAAAAACCCCTGCCCGGCATATACTCGGGTACGAAGAATACACAAGCCGGAGAGAGACCTCCGACGCGGTACTTCAGTTGTATTGCACCGAGGGAACAGGAGAAATCAGTCACTCACCCCTCAAGACACCGCACTTCTCAAGGTGGTTCACACCCTCCCGCTGGTAGCACTTGCCAAGCTCCTCACCAACAAGACGAGCCATCATGCTGCGCACCCATTGCTCACGGATGATAGCGTCACGGGCGTTGTGGACGGCGATGTTGTCCTCGAAATCGACACCCTCGTAGGTCGGGGGGACGGTAGGCTTTTTAGCCAGGAACGCAGCTGACTCGGGAGTAGGCATTGTGATTCGTGTTTGACGGAGCCGGAGAAAGTCAAAGTCGTAGCTTGAGGGGGGTCCGGGAATTGGAGCGGCGGCTGGATTGAGGAGGCCGTGAGGAGGGGAATTGGCAGGTTCAATTGCTCTGTTGAGGTGATGCCGTCGAATCCGCTTTGACTGGAGGTTGGATTACATGGACACTGATTGGCTGCTCTGAAGGCGGTGGAGCGAGTATGTACGGCGGCCCGAGAGTCCAAAAATGGCCATTGTCTATCACGTGATCCATACAGGTTGTGGCTCTACGAGCCCTGGAGATTTTTAGTTTGATGTATTTATGCCAATGAGAATGGTCTGATGTGGTTCGAAGTAATAGTAGTTCAATTGGAGCGGATTCTCCATGACCAAAATCGATACACTGCCGCCATTAGGGCTATCGCGGCAATTAGAAACATCCTCCAGACTCAGAAGCCATTGTAGCTGCACCCATCATGAACAATTTCCCAGACTAGTTATGGGGGATCTCAAATATGCTGTTGGCCAGATCTGTGATGTCGCTGGCTCCGAGATCTTTCAAAGTGGCGATGATTTGATCTACCACTGCCGGGGGCAGTCCCTCCTTCTTCCGCGAGTAGATATCCACCCCTGCGGGCGTGAATAGGGTTTTTGCGAAATACGTGACGAGCCATTGATTGCCATCATCTGTGTGTCCGAATCCAAGGCATTCCCAGTGAGATGACGCGATCTTCAACCAGCCCTTGCCACGCCAGTCCCACGCCCCTTGGTTCTGCGGGGTTGGCGTGTCCACCCCATGCACTGACTTGATTTTATCAGAGCCAATGGCTTGATAGCGGACGAGATCGTCAATTTTGGTCACCCCGGACGCATCGGCGGGCAACAACTCGTAGGTGATGTTGACGTTGCGCTTGCCCTTCCAGAGCGGCAGACTTGAATGGGTTACGTGCCATGTCCCCATGAGGGAATCGTTGGTTGGCGGCACGCATTTATCTGCTTTTCCTTTGGATGCATGGACCTTTGGTAGGCCGATACTGAGCTGCCCTGCCATCGCCTTGTGCCGTGCAGCGATGATTCAAAGAATTCGATGCAGTGGCAAAGCTCTGGTTTGCACGATGGGCGATCGGCGCGCGGCCACGCACCAACGCGATTGGGATTTTGCAATCATCGCAAGTCTCGATTGGGACAATCCCGTGATCGTCCTTCAAAAATGGGCTTTTCGGAGGATGGGGAAGTATAAGACAGCATAAGTATCAGTTCATTATATGTTTTACTGCGTGTATCATCAAACGTATCGATTGGTGGAAACCGCGGTAAATCGGCCAGTGGAAAAATATCCGGGCCATCGATGGCGAAGCTGATTGGGATAACCCCGCGTTTGGAGTGACTAAGGCGTGCTCGAACGCATTCTTAGGAAGCAGGAAATGCTTTGAATGGGCAAGTGTAATGTATACCCTGCTCGATTGAATTTCCATCAATATGGCTCCCTCCGTCGACACAGTTGTTCCCAGCACAGTAGAGACGAAGTCCGCCTCAAAACAAGCAAGCGGCAAGACTGGGACTCCCTCTCAAATCCAGTCTCTGGGGAAGACAAAGGATGGCCGGAACCTAAAGATCAGAAGCTATCCCAAGTTTGACAATTTGGAGGACGAACGTCAATATCGCAAACAGCATCTGGCTGCCGCGTTCCGAATCTTCGCGGATCGAGGCTTCGACGAAGGCGTAGCTGGGCATATTTCCGTTCGAGACCCGATTCTCACAGATCACTTCTGTAAGCCCCTTGGCAACCATCAAGATCCGGTGCCCTTCTAATGATCTATCAGGGATCAACCCGCTATCCGCCCATTTCGCGCTCATCAAAGTCTCCGACCTGATTCTGGTAGATGAAGACGGCTTGGTTGTTGTCGGCGATGAGCCCATCAACGCGCCTGCTTTCTCTATCCACTCGGAAATCCATAAAGCGCGACCTGATGTCCATGCTGCCTGCCATGCCCATAGTGTGGCTGGTAAAGCCTTCTCATGCTTCGGCCGCGAGCTGGAGATGATCACCCAGGATTCCCTTCGCTTCTATAAGAGTCACGGGGTCTATCGAGACTTCAAGGGAGTGGTTTTAGATAAAGAGGAGGGCCAGCGCATTGTGCAAGCGCTCGGCCAGGGTAAAGCAGCCATTCTGCAGAATCACGGCCTTCTCACCGTCGGTCAGAGCGTCGACGAGGCTGCGTTCTGGTTTATCAGTCTGGACAAGACTTGTCAGGCTCAGCTGTTGGCCGATGCTGCGTCTGCAGCGGGCTATGAAAAGAAAATTATCGATGACGACGAGGCTGCTTATGCTGCTTTGCAGGTTGGTGGGCCGGAAAAAGGTTGGCTGGCTTTCCAACCTTACTATGACGAGCAAGTTGCGAAAACCAAGGGGGAGTTCCTACTATAACGTGAACAGTTGTTACATCAGCTAGCAAGAAATTAATCGATTCTTCTCATTTGCTGCCCATAATAACAACATTGCCAGATCGGCATAAGATAACTACCAGCACGTCCCGAACACATTCTCAACCGACGTTTGAACACAATCAATCTATCGCACAGGAAGGGGAACGAACGGAGAGTGGGGAAGAAAAGAGGAAGAGAAGTAAATCAGGTTGAAACCGCCTGAGGTTGTTTCTCCTGCTTCGGCCGCACTTGTCGGTTCGCCTTTCGGTTTGCTCCGTCGCTTGTGTTGTCCAGCGCTCGGCGAACGTGGAATCCAGCCTCGTGCGCAGGTCGTGGGTTGGCGCTTTCGCCATGGAAGAACTCGCAGCGCAGATGGAGACTTCCGGTCTTGCCCTTGAAAACAGTAATGATATCACCGGTGTACAGCTTGCCAAAGTTGAATTCTTCCCTTCCGCTAGCAGTAGTTGACCCGCGCCGCAGCTCGGTTCCGTTCACCCAGATGCATTTGCGGGTCTTGGTTGACAACACTGCCATCACGCCGGGGACTTGCATCCAGTCTTGGCCCTCGGCAATCTTGACTGTAAGCCCGGGGGCCCAAAAGGTGATCTCCAGTGCATATGCTGGAATTCGAGTCTCATTGACATCTTCATAGCGGATTGTCGCCTGCGGCCCGCGGCCCCACGATGTCATTCGGCCCTCCAAGCGGATATTCAAGTCCAGAGCAGATCCTGGAAGACTCTTCAACCGCCCAAGAACCTTAGGGGGGTTTGGCAAACTTGGAATTGCTAACTGTAGGAGGGATGGAGGGTGTGTCCGGTCGATGAACGACGATGTCCGAAGGCTCTGCTTCGGTAACACGAACTTGGTCAAGGATAGCTTGGCCAGTCTGGGCGTCGAGAGTAGTAGCGAGCTCTGGGTCAAACTCAGCAGCTAAAGTTCGCGCTGGAAACGGGGCTGGGTTCTGGCCACTAGCACTGGCGCTGCTTGAGCGTTCACTGGCGGTTTCTGGGAGCTCCATTTCGACGCGGCGGGCACAGACCTTGGGGGCTTTCGGGGTTTCTTCTTGGGCGCCGGAAGTGGTAGGGGGGTATTCTTCTGCAGAAGAGCTACTGGGACTCATGGGTTTCTTCTGCTCTCCAGGGCTGGTCTGTCGAGTGGAGATATCGTTAACGGGGCCGGATTGAGGATGGAGAAGAGGATGCGAAGAGTTCATGTTCAGTCGTCCAACGAGATTCTCCGCCCCCATCAAGCTGGGTGCAGTGCCGCCAAATGGATGTTCCGGGAGGGAGACGATCGAGTGGACGCTGTATTCATCGCTCATCGACTCACCGGAAGAAGCAAAGTTCTCAGCGTCAAAGCCGTCGCCGTCCCATTCCTGGGCGTTGCCCAGCGCGTGAGAGCTTCGAAGGGCGGAGGGTGCGACTTCACCAAACAGTCTTGCTTGTTGTGCCTGGCGCTCGGCATACACCTGCCCATCCTGAAAGCTCTCGATTTGCGGAAGAGACGGATAGTGGATATCTGCAGGGAGGTAGTCGATGCGAGGTCTCTTAGCCAATGCTTCGTTGCTGCTAGAGTCGTCTGGCCCTGCTTGGTAGGTGTAGTTGTCGTGAAGCGAGAGCTGAGACGCGTCGAGCTCCTCTTCTACATCCTCCCCGATCACTGACAAGCCTTCCCGAGGTTCGGCCAGCAGGTCGTCGTCTTCATACTCATCCACATCGGCCACATCTACAATCCACGGATGCTTGAAACAATCCTTCTCTGTGGGGCGTGCAAATGGATCTCGCTCCAATAAATTGGCGACGAAATCGATGCCATCCTCGGATACTCCCTCACGTCGCAGGATGTCAAAGTCGACCTCGGTTGTCATAATACTACGGAGCATCGCTACGCCTCGGTCTTCAGCACGACCCGAAAAAGGCGGCACTCCAGACAGGATGTGGTACAACACTGCACCGAGGGACCACATATCTACAGCCTGGCTGTACGGAGAGGTTTTTGGTGGCCTGAAAACTTTTTTAGCAACAGCATTTCCATGACAAAGGAAAACAGATTACTCACGGATCACCAAGACGACGTCTTTTCCTCGCATCACCGCGTCGGTAAAGTTCATAATCGGGGTAGACCTCCGGGGCGCAGTACAAAAGTGTGCCACAGAATGTCTTAAGGAAGGTCTCTTCCTGGGTCACTTTCGACAAGCCGAAGTCAGAGAGCTTCACACGAAGGGGATCAAGAGACGAAATAAGGATATTGTCAGGTTTGATGTCGCGATGGGTAATCCGGCGCTTGTGGAGGTAGTGAAGTGCCCGAAGAAGTTGACGGGTTATTGTTCGAACCATGTGCTCGGGAATCTTGCCATGGCTATGCAGATATGTGGACAGTTCCCCACCGGGGACATATTCCATAATGATGTAGATCCATCGTTCATGCTCGTGGTGATCAATGTACTGAACGATGTTGGGCTAGAAGGTTATGTTAGTGAGATGAAATCCTTTTCCCAGAAAGAACCAAATGACTCACATGTCTAAGGTCTCGCATGATCTTCATTTCGTTGTCCACCTTTTGATCCAGAATGCCATTCTTCATAAATCGCCGCTTATCAAGTTCCTTCGCCGCGTAGATGGCTCCATGCTGCTTGGTCGCCAACTTGTACACAGTCGCGAATGCGCCTTTACCAATCTGGCCGGTAACGTTGTAGACGGAGCCACCGGTCCAATGCATTCCGTATGCATTGGCAACCGACCATGGTAGAACCGGCTGAGGGGGTTTGTCGGTTTTTCGTCTGACCAGAAGCTGCAAGGGCTTGTTGGACACGCTCAAAATACATATAAAGATTCTGCGTGTATTGCATAACAAACCCTTCGCGCGAGGGAATTCGCACCACGAACCGGACCTCGTCCGAACCATGATTTCCCGTGACAACCTGGATCACTGAACCATTGGTGAGCATTCGGCTATTATCCTTCTGGGTTTTGCGTAGGCGACAGTTGTCTACTATGGTGCCGTTTGTGGACGTGTCTTGTAACATGATAATACCATCGCCTGTCAAATGGATGCGAAAATGGCAGTTGGAAACCCGCTTCGCCTCCTCATTCGCGGCCAAAAGCACATCGCACCGCGCCTGGTTACGTCCAAAATTGAAGCCCACTCCTGAGATCATGGACATGGGATGATAGACGCAACGCCACGTCGATGGCAGCTGTCTCCGAGGCCTCGTAATCCAAGGTATCGCGTTGAAGAATGTGTTGTGATCCAGTACTAGCGGTGGCAGCCACAGCATCGTGGGCTGAATGTGAAGTTGGATGCAGAATGCAGATGATATCAGCTAAATCTTGGTCTTGGAGACCCGAGTTGTTCAGACCCATGCGCCTCGGATCTGCGCATGGCTGGGTGGATTCCTGGGTGGCCTCCATAATGATTGGTTGAATGCAGATAAATGCAAGCGCTATGGAAAGAAACTTGAAGAAGACGCGGCTACTGTTGACAGATGGTGAGGGGTATATGTGCTGATGGGACGTAAAACTTTTTGCAAAAACACAAGCATGAATACGGGTCTGAAGGAAGGTCCTATCGATCCCTCCAAGTAAGTCAAAGGAGAAGCTTTGAGGAAATGATGCAGAGGGACCAGAGCTTATATACCTTGGAACTGCGGGAAGCGACTTTTTGGGGCGAGGGTCACGGGGAACCACCCGGGTAAACAAGCAACCCTCCACAGGATATCAAGGACAGAGAGAGGGATTATGAGGCACACAAGGCACAGGGCTTCTGTTGCACTCAGATACAGCAGAAGAATAAGGAGAAAAAATATGGAGAGACGGGTCGCGATCAAGGTAAACGGACGAGGATTATCCTCGACTGCGGGGTACTGAAGGGACTCCTTGTTGTCTGTTAGTGACCCTAGCAAGGCTTCACCCCAATGGTGCCGGAAGGTTCCAATCCTGACCAAATGTTGTCAAAGAAAGGACAGTGAGGATGTTCCGGATCGAAGGATTTTAAGGTAAGAATGGGTGAGGTACGGCTGGTCGGGTAGAGATAGGAAGGGTGGTGGTATCATAGGCGAACACTGCCCTAATGATGATTCTGGATTGGGGAGGGTATTTCTGTAGAGAAGGTACCCAGGTCAGCTCTGAACTTGCCTAGTCGAGGCTAAACAAATAACCTCAAAGGAGTCGAAGATGCAACCTACACAGACTGAAGGTACCCTTGAAGTCCATCCGCAGGCAAAAATGCAAAGATTCCTGAGGCGGACAGACTGGAAGGGAGCCGGGACGGTGTAGTCCTGGTAAAAGCGTCGTCCGAGAAACAAGAAGAACCAAAATCGCGAGCTACGATCGAACGAGCAGAGCCTCAGGCAGCAGCCGGTTCCTGACGCTGACTCATCACACCAGAAGACGCCTGATTGGCCAATCTCCAGCGCCCACCACGATCTCCGGCGTCAACCCATGGATGCGATCGGAGAATTGATCTATACAGGAATTATGCTTTGTTGTGGCTCTTGGGCCCATGTAAACTACTTTACCGACCTGATAATTGCTCATTAATTAGAACCTCATTAGACCGGACTAGCGGGGTCGAAATGGGGTGCCTTGCTCAAGGAGTCTTTGCATGGTCGACTAGGCAGATCCCTCGTTAAACTCAAATCCTCCATACCAACGATTAATACAGAAGTATTTTCTTGACCTGATGTATCACTCTGTCCGAATATGGCCCATGAGTATTTTATGTGCTCACTTGGTAATAAGTTGTTTGGAATTGTCCTCTTCATTTCTATGATACCAGTAAGGGGCCCCTATTCTCATACACCCAAGTGGCATTTTGCATCGTAGCTCCAGGGCTCAAGAATTAAGGATTACATGGTCAGATCCCGCTTATGACTCCCTGGCCCTAGAGGTCAAGCGCGTGCTGCACATGAGCAAGATTACCTTCAACGATGTGACGTCGGGTAGGAACTGCCAAACCACGTTCTAGACCAATACCCATTGAAAAATCAACGCTCAATTTCATCGTTCTCTTCCAACTCGAAGTCACGCCCGAGCGCTAGAGCCACAGCGCCACAGCTCATTAGAAAGCTGACGACCATACGGCCTGGAGAGTAACATGAGTATCTCTAAATAACCAGGCAGTAGACTGATTTTGCACGACGAAATCATAGGATTGAGAGCGCCAGTATTCGGTGTCCGTCAAAGCTGGAGCTCTCCATGAAGCTTACCATCAATTCTGCAGATTGGTGGTGTTGAGCACTGAATTCACGTGGAAGGTGTTTTTGGAGAAAACGGTCGTCCCATCTTTTCTACATTATCCAAAAGCTTCATGGATTGACGAAGATCGTCCACGGGGTCTCCATTGTGCTTGAGAGACTTGGGTTACAAAATACACGTAGAGTCTTTACGGAGCACATAAGATGCCAAAGCCGAGGTCCAGAGTGCAAGAAGCCATAACTTCAATTTCCACGAGCAATTCAGGGGTATGCGGAGCCAGCTGAAATCTCATCGATAGGGTTGGGAGGGTATGAATATCAGATCCAGATGCTTCGGAAATATTAGATGGTGTTTAGCGCTCAGATCTTCCGAGTCCTCAACACGGGCTTAACAGATCGAGTGTTACATCCTTGAAGCTGATGGAAGATGAAGCAAATGCCACCCACTCAATGAAGCCCTATGGGCAATGAGTTCTAATGAAGCAGACGCTGGTTCTACTGCGTATTATCAGCACTCGCTCAGGCCACTCTCTTGGCCAGGGAAACTGCGGGGCCTGGTGATCTCCGGTTCCCCACGGGGATCCTGATTAGGAAATCTAGGTCCCTGGCTGTGGTCGGTAGCTTGAGTATCCTTGAAATAGCTCAGTCTAAGGCTAGATCCAGCCGTAACATCAACTGAAGCTACCCGATGAAGCTCGCATGATAAGCACAGGCTAAGAGGCGTATTTATCGGATATTATGAAACCCCGCTCCGGAAGATGCCAATATCCGAGCAGTCTTGGATCCCGAGGCCTCATACACGTCTCTGAGTCATCATGAGTAAAACTGCACTCTTCGTCATCGACACACAAGCAGAGCTGGTGTCGAACGCGGGTACAGCGATTCCACATGCAGCGCGTATTTGCCATGCTTGTGCTGCTATACTCGAACGTGCACGGAGTGCGCCAGCGTCCAGCGTAGAGATCATCGTGGTTCAACATGCAGAAGATCCAAGCGACCCCGAGGCTACCTTGATTCCCGGCAATACGGGTTGGGAGCTCACGTTGCCTCCTCAAGGCAATGTTGTTAATGAAAGGCTCGTGCAGAAAACAACAGGTTAGTAGTCAGGGGATTGCCGCCTTGGAGGACATTAACTGACTCGTAAACGGTAGCGGATACATTTGAGTCAAATCATACATTGGCAAGCGACCTCAAAGCACAGGGGATATCAAAGATAGTGGCCTGTGGTGTACAAAGTGACTTTTGTGTGCGCGCAACCTGTAGAGGTGCGGTAGACGCTGGATTTGATGTTGTCTTGCTTCAAGGTGCCCATTCTACTTATGACAGCTCAGACAAGGGAAAGACTGCGGAAGAAATAGAGAGGGACATTGAAGAGGAGCTGGAGCGTACAGGGGTTCATATTACACACTGGGAAGACTATGCTTTCTAAAGTAACTAGTGCAACAATATGATCTTCAGAGCCCCCGGCTATTGAAAGTGAGGCAACTACCAAGTCTACTTGACGGTCATGAACCCACATCCCTGTCGAGCCCGCTCACACGCGCTAGAAAGGGCCTGCTGCTCGGTGTCCGTCCATTTCACCGAAAGTTGATCCCACGGTACACCGGCCTGGAATTCTGCACGATGCGTTTTATGCATCGCCTGCAGGCGACCGATTTCACTTGGGTCACCCGTACCGGAGTACACTATGAACAGGGTACAGGGCGGAAGTGATTCATAAATTTGAGAGATGTGGGCCACTGTCTGAGCCACAGTAGTCGCAAGACCAGGGTCGTACGCGGAAGGATCCCTCTTCTCTGTCTCTCCTCGTGGGACAACCTCGGTCGACTCGTTGGCGTTCTTTACATCGGGAAGACGAGTACACCAGCCACGAAACTGTTCAAGGTTGCGGAGGCGGGCCCAAGTGACATCGACGCCCTTTTCGGGGATAGCTGGGATTGACGCATCTCCGTTCACCGTGCTAGCAACTCCTTTGACCACATCTTCGTCGCTTGTGCATCCAACAGAGACAGTGGCTTGAGCCCCAAACCCACGCTCTGGGTTTCCCCAGTCCACCACTGCGCCGGTGCGCCCACCTTTATCAGCATCCTTCCCGGAGCCTTTAGCCCTCGCGAGACGATTGAAAATGCTTTCATTGGAAGCTTCGCTGGTACCCCACTGTACTCCCTTTTCACACTTTTGCTTCACGAGCTCAAGCACTGCACGAGCGTCTTCAATCGAATCATGACCTGCGATGCTTTGTTGGATCTCCCGGTTGAGATACTTCTGAGTAAGGAACTTCAGGCTAGACTTCAATGGTGGGCCCCGAGGATGGGGGTAAATAACGCCAGTGTCCACAATAAATGGGTGAGTCATTTTCAATGCCGCAAGGTCGGAGTTCAGGGAGTGACCGACGAGAATAGTTCGAGGAGTAAAAAGAGAAAGCAGTTTTTTCTGGATATCCTGCAACGTAGTTGTGACGGGATCAAGAAGTTCCTTTGTGATGCCCGAGAAGCGAGTGAGATAGTCGGTGACTGGCCGGGCTGGCTTGACTAGCTCGTCCATGATCGGCTCACCATCCCAGTTAATGATGCTAATTCGTGTCAGCTCTGACTGGCCTCCTTCGGTAATGCACATCTCGCAGTCCAGAGCAAGCACGTCCCGCGCTGCTGTCATACTGCCACTTTCGACCTCAGCCTCTGGTATGTCGCCTGCCTCGAGGTTAGGAACCAACGTGTCGACCCACCCATCTTCCGTAGACTGTTTATTTCGCCGACGAACCTCAGCCTCCGCAGCTTTTTCAGCATCAGAGGTGAAGAATGCGGGGTGAAGAATGTAGTCATTTTCGCGGAGCTGGTCTGGCGTGCTAACGAACGTCGTGATAGGTGTTCGCTTTGCGACAAAGTCCTTGTCCACTCGAGGAGGGCGCGGGCCTTTCCCGTGGCTTTTTTGGTCCTTAGACTTGGGCAGCGGGGTTAACAAAAACGCCTGGAGGGGGGGAATGTACTTTGTTGTACTTGTTGTCTCCGGGGGCTCTAATGGGCCAGACGTGAGGGAAGATCTGAGACAAAGGACGCAAGCATGCGGGCAGATGATCTGCCGCTAGATGGCGTGGGCTAAACCGGCCAGTATTCTCCTCCACAGGCTGCCCTTTCATCCATCGTTCGAACGCGGCCGCTTTTCGTTCTTCGGGGGTCGGTTCGTCGTGCGCTGAGGTTTGATCCGCTTCTTGATCCTCGGGCTTGGTTGAAACTGGCTCCAAAGGTATTTTGCCATTGAACATATCAGGCTCAAGCCCCGGTACCATGAGCACAACAGCTTTGCGCATATGTCCAGAGTGCTTGACTGAGATCCATTGCGGGGCGATTCCGTCGCCGAAACAATACAGAAGTAGAGATTGAAGGTCTGCGATTCGTACAGATTGGTCGTTCTTACCAGGAAAGTAAGTCAATTCTGGATATTTGGTTCTTTCTCCATCAACGCGCTTCTTCTTGGGGTGCCTGGAAGGCATTTCTTGGCCCTGCTCCTCATGAGTAGATGAAGGCGAATTAGAAGCATCTCCTGAGCTAGGTGAGTTGCTAGAGGTGCGTTTGGTATCTTCGTCTCGCTTTCGCTTGGTTGGGCCTGCCATCTTAACGTGTCAGGGAAGATGTGTAGGATCGAGGAAATTCGAGGACCCCGTCACGTGCGATAAGATAGAACGGGGTGTGTAAATTACTTGTATAATACCAATAATACCCACCTGCCCGGTACCGGCGGACGATCTGATAAGCGGCAAATTTCGGGCTCGCACGCCATTCATCTTCTTTCTAGAAGTGTGTCCTTGAATTCCTTTGCATTCTTCCGAAGGCTTGTTTGCTCCTCACAAACAGTCATCTCTTCGTCGCAGAACTCTTCTCAGCCTGCCAAAAGCCTTGTTCATCTGCTAAACCATTTTCAATCCAAGTGTTCCCCCGCTCTCGCGTCCCAGTCACCGCGAACAGCTCCCCCTCCCCCACCAAAGCCATGTCGGCGCTCACTGAAATCACCACTGAGGGTGACTTTGCCGCCCACCTCAACTCGCTTCCACCCTCTGCACTTGTCGTCCTCTACTTCTATGCACCATGGGCTGCTCCCTGTACACAGATGCGTGCGGTCCTCTCAGCGCTCGCCCAGCAATACCCTGTGACAACCCCGCCATCCATCTCGTTTGTCAGCATGAATGCAGAGGAACTACCAGATATCTCGGAGGAGTATGAAGTGACATCTGTGCCACACACTGTCTGTGTGCGCAATGGACAGGTTCTGGAGTCCATCGGTGGAAGTGATGCCATCAAGGTCCGAAATGCCGTTGAGCGGTATGCAAGCGGCGCGGCTGCACCTGCTCATGCTTCCAACATCCCACCAGCTCTCTCCGCCGCCCCTCGTGAAAATGGCCCAGCTGTCGCTACCCAGCCACCTGTTGTTGCACCTAATGCTGCTGCCGCTGGCGCTGCTGCAAATGCTATACCTGTGGCTCCCACTGAATCCGCCGAGGACCTGGATGAGAGAATTAAGAACTTAGTCAAGGCAGCCCCGATCATGCTGTTTATGAAGGGAACCCCCAGTGAGCCTCAGTGTGGCTTCAGCCGGCAGTTGGTGGGCATTCTGCGCGAGCAACGTGTTCGATACGGGTTCTTCAACATCCTGGCGGATGAGGATGTTCGTCAACGGTTGAAGGAGATTGCTGAGTGGCCCACTTACCCACAATTGTGGGCGAACGGCAACCTCGAGGGTGGTCTGGACATTGTCAGTAAATCCTGCTCTATGCACGCTTGGAGAAATTGCTAACCAGATATGTTTTAGATCCGCGAGTCGCTCACCGAAAACCCTAACTATCTGCACGAGCTCGTAAATGCCTCCGCACAGGGCTAAGAGCAAACCTCAATAATGAATAATATGTGTGGGCGTCCAAAATTGCAAAATAAATGTTCCTAAAATATATGTACGCGGCTTCTCACTGAGGAGCTGAGTTCTCTCCTGGACTCGAAAGTTGTACTTGTCCCTACAAAGCTCTAGAGTCTAGCAAGTCTTGTTTGGTAGGCCTTTCATGTTTCTCAACCTTGTATTCAACCAATTTTACTGGATGCCGTTCTACTAGTACTACTAGCAGCGTGAAGATGCCTTGTTCACGTCGTAGAACAGAGTAATAGCTCTTTTTCAATCTTCCTTGGGCACCTAGTACTAGTAGCGTGCAAACCCTAACTCCAACGGGAACTGTTTTTATAACATTCGAGTAACTGGCAGTAGATCGCTTCTTACACCAGTAACGTATACGTAACTCCTCTCCTACTAGTATGTGCCGAAGCTTCCACGCCGCTACGAGGCTGGAAAGGCCTGACAACTTCGAGACGTTGTGGTAAATGCTCACCTGGTAGGAAAAGTAGTTTAGTACGTTCAAGAGCCCGCGCAGGAGACATAGAAGACACGCATTGGTTGGTCTGTTCCAGGGTATTTCTTTTTCAAATTTTACTTCTCCTCAGCTGCCTCAGTCTTTCCCCCCCTCCTTGTTTTCCCCACCGCGAGATTTCCAAACATCTCCATGGTGAGCCTGACTGACAGCAATGCACGAGCGCACAGCATCTGTGTCAACATAAGCCCCCGCCAGCCATCGTGAGCCCGTCGCAGTATTGAATTGACGGCGGGCATGGGCAATGCGTCGATTATTGAAAATCACGCATTCGCCCGGGTTCAGCTTCAGCTCAAACATCGCCGTTTCCTCCGCCATGAATTCCTCGAACTGTTTGAGAGCCTTCATCCGCAGGCCCCATTTTTTACCAGGGTTCGTCGGGAGAGGGCCCTGGAACGGGGCGAATAGTTCACGTATTCAAGCTGCTTGCTTTGTTTGTATGGCTGAAGCACTGGCCGAGTTTGGTAGTACTTGTGATTGTCATGATCATACTCGTAACTCAGCTTAAGATCCAATAAAGCCTGATAGAGCTCCGGGGTGTCTTTGAACCGCCGGGCCGCAAAGAAAGTGTCTGTGAACAAGGATTCGCCGCCATCACACGAATTCTCGAGGCAATGCAATAGCTGGTAGCCAGGTGGCTCGTTCATGTACATGAGATCCATGTGAAACCCAAGGAACTGGCTGGTGTAGGCCACATTCTTTGCTTCTGGCACGGTCCGTACGTCCCATGTCTTGCCATAAAAGCTGTCCCGCACTGGTCCCATGCGGGTTGCGATTTTCTCAACCATCTCACGGGAGTCCGGAATATCCTTGACGAATATAAGGCCCAGAAAATGCAGATTCTTCATCGCAGTGGCGAATTTTTTGTCATCCGAGATGTAGTCGTCGAAGGAAACCCAATGCTGTATTTCTTTCATACGCTCTGCGTTCCACGTGTAGGGCTTATATCGAATGGGCGGATTCGATTTTGGCATATGCCTGATCAAATAGGAAAGGCCCCATTCCGAGACATGATCGTCAGCCCACTTAAGTCGGACGATCTTGCCGTTGAATTCAACTTTCTGCGGCTTGATATCCAGCGGGATATCGCTTGTCCGGAAATTCCGTTGTTTCGAATGGGGGTCTTTGCAAACACGGCATTGGCAGAGATCTCGGAGAAAGAAATAGGATAGCGGTCGTTCGCCATGACGGAATTTCAAGTGTAGCGCGTTAGGATGAACCGTGAGAAAGCCGTTGTTTCCATGGAAATCAACTTCAATCCCGTGACTCGTAGTACGGGATCCGGCAGGCAGTGAATTGGGAGCTATTCCGCCTTGGTGATCTCCAAGTTGCGTGGTGGACGTGCTTTCACGGCCTGCTGGTTCCGGCTCTGCGGATGTAGAGAGCAACCTCACTGTATTATATCGAGGGATTGCAACTCGACCAGGGGCTAGAGGGATCCTCAGCTGGCCACTCTGGCCCCGCAAGGAGTTGCGGAGCACAGCAGAAAATGGACGCATTTGAATAATCAAGGTTTTGGGAGGGAGTCGAGCGAAGTGCGACGAGCAGGAGGGAGTGCAAGTTCGGGGTGTGGAGAGCCGAGGTCCACACGGCCCTCTGGTTGGTACCACACATTCTCATGATGTACCAGTATTTTGACCACATACGCAGACAGCTAACCACACAGTACGCACGCAGGATTCTTCCTATGTTTCCACCTTTTGATCGTTGACCACTTTATATCGCGGTAGTTGGAGCTTAGCGCTTAACTTTGTCGTCCCACACACCTCAGGCATCATTTTACATAATCATCCATTCCGGCGCGATAACAATTTGCCACGGGGGCGACATTCTCGAACAAATCAACAAAGTCAGAATTAAAGAAAAAGCGTACAACATGGATTCTTCATAAAACCCATCCCGCATCAACCCCCTTGCCTTTCCAGCCATGTCCGCCGGCGGTAATCACCTGAAAGATGAGGGCACAAAACGGCAAACCATCGTGGCCGGCGGTATTGCCGGTCTGATCTCGCGCTTCTGCATTGCGCCGCTGGATGTCGTCAAGATTCGCCTGCAGCTGCAGATCCACTCTCTGTCTGACCCAGCCTCGCATCAATCCGTGACGGGCCCTATCTACAAGGGCACGCTATCCACGATGCGGGAGATTGTGCGCCAGGAAGGAATCAAAGTAAGTCAATACCATGTAATGTGGTCTAGAACTGGCCTGGAACATCGGGGGTCCTTGCCTGTGAACCCACATACATACAGTACAGTGTCTAACCTCGCCTTGTCATCCCATGCAGGGCCTATGGAAAGGGAACATCCCGGCGGAAATGATGTATGTCTGCTATGGCGCTGTCCAATTCACCGCATACCGCTCCTCGACGCAGATCCTCGCACACCTCGGCCCCTACCGATTCCCCCAACCGATTGAGTCATTCGTCTCCGGCGCTGTAGCCGGCGGCTTCGCTACGGCAACCACCTACCCGCTCGACCTGCTGCGCACGCGCTTCGCTGCACAGGGCCCAGACCGAGTCTATCAGTCCCTGAGCTCGTCCATTATCGAGATCGCGCGCAATGAAGGCACCGTGGGTTTCTTCCGCGGGTGCTCCGCGGCGGTGGCGCAGATCGTGCCGTATATGGGCTTGTTCTTCTCTGCATACGAGGGCTTTCGGCCAGTCATGGCGCACTTGGATAGTTTGCCGTTCGGTACGGGCGACGCAGCCGCCGGGATCCTCGCAAGTGTCATCGCGAAAACGGGGGTGTTTCCACTAGATCTTGTGCGGAAGCGACTGCAGGTGCAGGGCCCGACAAGAACACGCTATGTGCATCGTAATATCCCTGAGTATAAGGGTGTGATACGGTCATTGAAACTGATTATGCGCACGCAGGGCGTGCGAGGCTTGTATCGTGGGTTGACAGTGAGCTTGCTTAAGGCTGCTCCTGCGAGTGCGGTCACGATGTGGACCTATGAGCATGTACTGAAACTGCTTCAAGAGTTGGATCTAAAAGCTCTTCAGTAGTATTTCTGGGGTCTTTTCTTGTTTCTGCTCTTTTTTTCTTAAGCCTTAGCATTACTTGGTCGAATAGACCAGCAGCATTACTCGGCGTTGACTAGACGGTCCACTGCGATACCAATAAGGATGGGTGGGTTGGTTTTCTTGATGGGAGATAATAAAAGATCATTGATTTTGGAATCATCGAACAAAAAATGTCGACTTTACGTCAAACATCAGTAAGGGGGTGGGGGACAGTAAACGCTGGGGAAGCTAGCTCGAACGATAAGGGGGTGTCGCAAAGGGAAGCGTGACAGGATACGCTTATATTCAGAAAGAACAAGGAATCGCAATATGTGCAAGAACAAAGGATCGATAGATCAATCCACACTAGTACTCGAGCTCTTCCTCTTCGCCCTCGATGGTGTCGCCAGCAACCTCCTCGTAGTCCTTCTCAAGCGCAGCAAGATCCTCCCGAGCCTCGGAGAACTCACCCTCCTCCATACCCTCACCGACGTACCAGTGGACGAAGGCACGCTTGGAGTACATAAGATCGAACTTGTGGTCCAGGCGGCTCCAGGCCTCAGCGATGGCAGTGGTGTTGGAAAGCATGCTGATAGAGCGGTCGACGGGAGCCAGCTCAGTGTCAGGAACCCGCATGGGCTTTTGATAATTGATGCCCAGCTTGAAACCAGTAGGGCACCACTCGACCAAGTTGAAAGAGGACTTGGCCTTCAGAGCTGCAACAGCGGCGTTGCAGTCGCGAGGCACAACGTCACCGCGGTACAGGAGCGCCACAGCCATGTACTTGCCGTTTCGGGGGTCACACACCACCATTTGGTTGTGAGGCTCGACACCTAGTCAATGTTAGTATAAAGTTCAAAGGGAATTGGACATAGAGGACATTGTCCAAAGTGGAGAAAAGGAACACGTACACTGGAAGGTAAGGTCCTGGACCTTGAAGCTCTCGTGGGAACTTCGGTTGGAGGAGATGACCGGAGCGTACGAGATCAGAGGGTAGTGGATACGAGGATAAGGGGACAAGATTGGTCTGGAACTCGTTCAAGTCGACATTAAGAGCACCGTCGAAGCGCAAACTGGAGGTGATGGAGCTGACAACCTGAGCAATCAGACGGTTCAGGTGCTCATACCCGGGACGGGGAATGTCCAGGTTGCGGCGGCAGATATCGTAGACGGCCTCGTTGTCGACCAGGAAAGTGCAGTCAGAGTTCTCAATGGTGCTGTGGGTCGACAGAACGGCGTTGTAGGGCTCCACGACGGCGTTAGAAACACGGGGAGATGGGTAGACGGAGAACTCGAGCTTTGACTTCTTTCCGTACTCAGCAGCCAGGCGCTCCAGCAGCAGAGCACCGAATCCAGATCCCGTACCACCGCCGAAAGAGTGGAAGATCAGGAAACCCTGGAGGCAGGAGCAGTTGTCTCAGGGCGGGTTAGCCTTCCCAGAGCACATCGAAAACGGTTTGTGAAGCAATTGACTCACCAATAACACGACGAACACGGTCCATCACGTCATCCACCAGCTCCTTTCCGACGGTGTAGTGACCACGCGCATCTATAACACGTTAGTATCACCACCCATATATACTCCAAGGATACGGGAAAAGGCGTACAGTTGTTGGCAGCATCTTCCTTGCCGCTGATCAGCTGTTCGGGGTGGAACAACTGGCGGTAGGTACCGGTCCGGATCTCATCTATGGGCTTTCACATATAATTAGTCAATGTCTTGTCTCCCCTGTGATCCATGGGGTTGATATCGCATACAGATGGGTCCAGATCGACGAAGACGGAACGAGGAACGTATTTGCCGCTGGAGGTCTCGGTGAAAAAGGTGTCGTAGGAACCGTTAGCGCCAACTTCGTCGGCAAGCTTCTCGTCGTAGCGACCCTCTGGGGTAAGCCCGTGCTCCAGGAGGTACCTGATGTAAGGGTCTGATTAGCTTCGTATGGATGAGGCGGTGAAAAAAAAAGAACATACAGCTCCCAAGCAGCATTACCAAGCTGGGCACCAGCCTGGCCAATGTGGAGATGACAGATCTAGAATCATCGCTAGGTTAGCATATCCTTGGATTGGGCGTTCAACGTGCCATCGAGCAATGGACCCGTGGGTAGCGCATTGTGTAGTTCAGGGGAAGCGGGTAGGTGGAGTGGGGGGGGCAGGCCAGCGTCAACCAAGGCCCGGGGTTTATACATACTTCGCCGCGCATTTTGGATGTGGATGAAATGAAAAAGGTGAAAAGAGCAAAAGAGAGCAGCTGAGATTGATGGAGAGAAAAAGGTGGAGGAGGAAGCAGGAGCGAGTGGGAAAGAAGTGGGGCCCATCAATAGTTCTATGGCCGCATTCGCCCCTGACTCGAGTTGTGGCGGTCTGGAGGGCTTCCTGCTCTGTTTGCTTCGTCGATCTACGAAGCCGCTTGTCCCATGGAAGCCTCCTGCTACTGTGGAAAAAACCCTGAAATCGCATATCCACTTCCAGGGCTGGGCTATACGGAAGGGGGCTTTTTAGGTTATTGTGGCCCGGAAATCAGGGGGCATTGCGGGGGGTCTCATTTTAGAGATCTCCTGCAATGCACGGCCTACTTTAAGGTGACCGAGCGTCAATAAGCTCAATTGGTGAGGGGTTCCTCCAGTTTAGAATGGCTGGATGGCTGGATGGCTGGATGGCTCTGGTGTTCTCTTCCTCGTGAAGCGAATGAGCAATTCCCTCTCCAACTTTGAGCCAGCTTTCGTAGCTGGAAAGATTCTATTGGCCAATGCGAGGGCACGGGCTCGAATTGGTTAGCTTCGTGTCCTGCCAACGAGGAACCTCTCCGATGCAATTCCTAGTACAAGCTCATATAACCGCTCTCTTCTGTACCACTATGATCACCTACTAGCTGCCGGTGTAAGAACTACAAAGCCAGAAAATACCGCGATGATTAAGGTGGAAAGCTGGAATTGTCCATGTGCGTCAACACGTGAATTTCAATCGTTGGAACATGAAGGCTATGCAAGCACGGCTGATTCTAGGCTTTTGCGAGTCATGTAGAATGCGCGGGGGGTATTCTATAATATGCCAGAGATGAAAAGATGAAAAAAAAAAAAGTGAAGACCCCTGTCCTCCCTGTCCGGTACGGAAGGATATTATGTGCGAGAAAGCGACAACAGATGAGGGAAAATCTGCAGCGCAGATGGAAAGACACGCTAAAAGAAAATAATATCCAAAGAAATTCAACCTTTGCCGCCGGGTTGTTGGATATCATAAGAAGTCAAACTATTTATTCTTGGGCAGCTGGCGGGGGTGGAGCTGGCGAGGCTACCCGAGTCCCTTGTTCCACATCGGAGGGATCGTGAGCTTGATTGCTACGAGAGCGGAAGAAACGGTTCCGGTGGCTGGTTGAAGTGCCGCTGTGGAAGCTGGAGGCATCGACTGACTGACGCCCCGATGCCGAGTTGGCAGGGGAAGCGAAAGTGGAGCGGCGGCGTAGCGACGACGAAGTCCGGCTTCGACGCTCTTCCTCTTCTTCCGCGATCTGTTGCATGCGCCTCTCATCGGATTCACGCTCTCTCTCGGCATTCATGACGGAGTTCATGCGGCTGGTCGGGTCGTCGTCGAAGACATCACCCATCACGTCACCAGAGGAAATGCCAGACATGCCGAGCGAGAAGTCGACGTGCTTGCGCGAGACTGATGCGCCGCGGGCGCGGGCATTTGCAGTGTTCATGCCTTTGCGCAGAATAGAAGTCTGGCGACCGACATGGCCGGTGCTCGTGCCCGTGTTCTCGCTCAGCGTGGAAGACGCGTCCCCAATAGGAACCTCGTGAACTTGGTCGTTGTGTTCTCCACCGCCGGGGGTGGAGCCATCATAGGCGCATTCTGGTACGAGACGTGGAATGGAACGTCGACGCCGTAGCCCGAAAGGTTCATACGAGGGCCCTCGATACCGATCTCTTGCAGAGCGATCATCATCATACAGATGAACTTGTTACGACGCTGGAGACGCAGTCCCTCGTTCTGCCAATTAGACTTGTAGAAGAAGACGACGTTGAGGGAGAGCGAGAAATTCTCGTTGACAGCACGAAGTTCGGTCAAAACGTTGGTTTGGAAATCGCGCTTTTCACTGCGGACAAACTCCAACAGACGCTGGCGAAGGCTATCGATCTGGTCAATGGTGGTTCCGTATTTGATGACGATCGTGATGGCTTCGGCAAGAGCTCCAGAACGGCGCTGGTTCAGAATGAACAGACTGTTCAGGTAGCTGTTGGGAGCTTGAACCACATGACCTTGCATCTTCTTGAACTCGGTGTAAAGCAGCGTGATCTCCTTGACGAAATAGTCATCACCCAGGCCAGCGTCACCCGAATTACCATAGATGGTGACGCGGTCACCGACGTCGAATGGATGCTTCACAAAGACGAAGATCACGGACTGCAGAAACTCCTGGGCGGTGGCAGAGAACAGCCACGACAGAGCCAGGATACTGGAGCCGGCAGAGGTCAAGACCCCGGCAGCGGACGTTGAGATCAAGGAGAGGAAGACAATCAGAACAATGATAAAGACGAAGAGCATGAATACATCGTCCAGCCTGCTGACCACCGAGTCAAGATCCTTCAATGAAGCGGTGATAGACTTGCGTTCGCGGCCAATGTCCACGCAAACAGATTCAAGCTCTTCCATAGAGATATCACCGTTCATATCACGATCGAACATGGCAAAGGCAGCCTCGGCCTCGTCGCCGTCAGTGAAGGCTTCCTTCAAGTCGCCCGAGAAGACCGTGTCAAAGCCATCCCGCACAAATGTACGGTACAACCGGCGGGCCAAAGTCTGGCAACCCGACGTTGAACGCAGCAAAGTGAGGATGACTTGGTGGGGATCCGAACTACTCCTGACTGCATTGCCGGTGAAATCCGCGGCGACGGCGCCGGCGATGTCGCTGACCTTGTTCGCGGTTTTGCTGACGGTGGCCTTGGCGATCCGGTGGGCCTTGTTCAGGTTACGCATGGGAGTCTTTGCGCCTTCGGGGGGGGCTCATCGCTCTCCTTTTCCCGAAAAGCCTCGTCGGTTTCTGTAATGCGGCTGCGCGACCAGGCATAAAGCTTGGTTAGACTGCCGATTTGGAATTTGTTGATTTCAATGCGATCGGCATAGGTACGCTTGTGGAAGCTCATGGCAATCAGTTGGATGATGATCTTCTCGATGAAGTTCAGGATAGTGAACACGAACGCACTGATAATGAGTTTGTTCACAGTCCTCTCCCATCCTCGGGTTGCGGTGTTGCCGTCGACGTGGTGGTTCTTCATTGTAGGCAAGAAGGAAATCTCGACTCCCAACCACCAGAAGAACAGTGCGGCTGGTATTTCCAGTTGCCGGGCCATATCCCGCCATTTCTTTTCATTGTTGGTAAAGATGCTGGCCAGCACACTGACGGCGGCCGGCAGGGCCTTGCTCACCAGTCGACCAGCCCACAAGGTCAACCAGACGATCTCTAACCAGATGGAAAACCACATCAGCTTCACGCCTCCAACGTTACTGTCGGGATATGCAAGCGCGCCGACCAGCAGCGGGATCAGCAGGATAACGACCAAGGGCGCAATGTACGTAAAGTAGCGAATGATAAAGCTGGACTGGTGGACCCGCTTCACGAAGACAGCGAGCTTAGTGTTCGGCCTCTCAGGCGGCGTGTAAGCCGCCGCTACTTCATGGAGAGGGTTGGTCGCTTCGTCGAACTCATCGACGCGCTCCGTTCGGCGCGATCGTGAGCGGCCCAGCGAATTGTTCTCGCCCTCTTCAGCACCCTGAGTCGACCGGGAGGCCACCCGCTCGGCCTGCAGGAGCAACAAATCATCCTCCAGGCGAGTGGCCTGCTCGCGGCGAGATGAGGGGGTGCGGATCGGGACGTCCTTCTCGGTCGCGACATCGTCGTAGGCAGTGTCGACTCTTAACTTGTTGTTCGCCGAATCGCTGGGCCCTTCTTGTACGAACGTCCCTTCATCGGAGGAAAGAGAGTTTTCGTGGATCTGGTCCTCCTGAACATGGAATGTCCGCCGTTCATCTACGGGACTCGACATGATGACAGCCGGAATGTGGAGGCGAAGGAGTATCGAATCACAGTATGTCCAAGCTCCGCGGCTCAACCGGGGAGGGTATGCAGGGCAATGGATGCCAGAGATCGTGAAGGGAAGTTGATGGATGATTTAACGAGTGTATCCGATCCCCAGGCACAAGCGCAGAGTCTCTATTGCAGTCGGGAAGCAAGAACGAAGTATGCAGTCAAGAATGACCGGAGATTGAGACTCATAAAAAAAAAGACGGGGGAGGACACGGAGATCGTTACATGAACCAGGTGTGAGACCAATGTGGGTCAGTGGGTCAAAGTTCTCGACTCACGCCAAGTCGAAAGGCCAAGGTCCTTTTCGTTAAGATGCCCACCGCTGAAAATCTAGATCTAGATGCACCTCCCCAACGGTCAACGTTCAAGACTATGAACAGGTCCAGGGAACCGTGAACCAGATGGGCTACGGCGATCCCGTATGCTGGAAACCACACATTCCCATGAACGGTGGATTCATTCTAGGAACAGCATGGAAATGTTATCATCTTTATGACCGCGTGGCCGGAGCCAATGCGATTGTACAGCTGCCGCCACCGGCGGGCTCCACCGGGCGGCGCCAGATTGGCTCGCGGGAAAAACGTGACTGGATCATAAATTGGATTTAGGAGGATCTCCGAGCACAACGTATCTTGGCTTTAGCCGACTTTTTCCTGTTCTCTTGGCCAACGCCACCGGGCGACTTCTGCCCCTGCCCCTTGGAATTAATAGTACTTGCTAACCACTCCTGGCCCTGGCCCGTCCCGATATGAATATTCTAATAGATGGACTCGTGCCAACCCTAGATCATGGTCCTCCAATGCTCCTACGGGGTAGGGCGCTATTGGCAGCCGATGATCTCATCCTGTACCAGAGAGGGGCTCAAGCGGGCCAATGGAAGGATATACTCCGTAGTGGGACCTTCCCTGCTGATTGACCGACGCGATGGTCAAACTCTATCACCTTTGTGATCCTTGTGAATCTGCATAAGGCATAAAGTGGCTAAACGAGTCTCCAAAGAACATGGCCATAGGGGGTGACGAGTCGAGGGCTTAAGTCCTGCAAGCCACTGGATCGATCGATCTCTGCCGATCGCAGAAGCCCAATTGATGAAGGCGTTGATATTGGTCCGGGTCTCACCAATAGCGGAGCTCAAGAATCCACGCTTATGCATGCGACCTGCGCGCCAGCTTTTTTCTTTTTCTGTTTTTCGTGTTCTTTCTTTCCTTGTGCGTGTTTCCCCACCACTTGATACGTGTTTGTACGGAGCTGCTGGCTCCCTCAATGAGGGGGGATCAGCAAGGTCGTCCCGTCAAAAGAGTGCCAACGACAGACCAGTCGCCATATCCCTTCTGCCAATACCGCGTCCATGGCCCGTTCTCAACGGTGATCACTATGACAGGTTCCACTTCGTCCGCACCTCTTCTCACATAGATTAGGCAGATCCCCCTTTCTGAGCCGAAGAAACAAAACGAGTCTCGGATCCTCAAACTCGGCCCCCGGTGTATTTTTGGAGCCACAAACTATAAGCCACCAGCAACAAGCCACAACGGCCGAGACCCGCGCTAAAGAAAGGGGGCAGGAGATTGCGCAGTGGCAGTCCCCACCCCGGGTGACCCTGAACGCCTCTGACATCATCGCCCAAGTTCCCTCGAGACACAGCCTCAGGCATCCAGGCAGTCCATTGCTCGGGAGAATAGTTAACTACTAGTGAATTAGTTATCGTTGATGGACTTAGTGAAGATCGGTAGTATGCTACTTCTGCACACGGAGCATCCTGGAATACAGAGCATATCTCGATTGGAAATGCCGGGACAACTATAGATAAACATGCATAAGCTGGATGATAGCATTCCCAGTGCATATGAAAGGCAACAAGCGTCTCCATTCAGCCGGCGAAAACAAAGTAAATAAGATAAGGATAGACCGGAACACCCTGCTCCATGAAGCCCTAGCATAACAGACATAAGATAACGAGGTAGCGCGTATGGTGACAAGTCCGCTGGACATTGCAATGGGCCGGCCCTTCGAACAGGGGGAAAATGCCACAAAGGAAAAAAAAATTCTCTACATGGAATGAAAGTAAATGGAGAGATATCAAAGATATCGAACAGAAGGAGAGAGATCAGATCGGTGTCGATCGGGGGGACGGGGGGTTTCCTCGGGGTCAAGGTTAGGAGATGGGTGCATGGGCCGAGGAGTAGCGTCCGCATCAGGAGTCGGACTATCGACGTCGCTGGCGGAGCTGACATCGGCGGACAAGATGCCGTCTGGTCCCCGGACTCCCGGGGTGATAGGGCCTGGGCCTGCATAGATAGCATCTGACGGGGGAGTCGTCTGCCCTACAGTAGCACCTTTGCCTGCATGAGAAACAGATCCATCGTAGGTTTCGGAGTCCTGGTGAGGGAGGGATGGCTGGCGGGTATACGACGATGTCGGCTCACCTCGAAGGGACCGGGGACTGGGAGGAGGGTACTCTGTTTCCGACTCTTCAGGGATACTGAGACCTTCGAACCTCTCTTCGAGGCTTGCGCTGGTCGGGGACCCAAGGGGACCTTCGTCCGTATCGGCTTCAGCGTAGTCACCACTTCGGCGACGTAGGGCTTCGCGCTCCTTCTTCAGAAGCTCTTCACTTCCGCTGACAACACTTCCTCGACTGTTAGTGCGCATCATTTCAATGCCAAGCTTGGAGCCAGGACGACGGGTCCTCGCCGGGGGACTACGACCAGCAGAATTCCCGAGTTCTTCGTCCTCGTCGTCGCCAGATTCAGCACCTTGATACTGCTTCCGCTCTAGCGACTGGCGCTTTGCACGGATTGCCTCGCTAGACCGCTGCTTGCGAGGGGTCAAGCTACCAGTCCCATCCATGGCCGCAGGTGCAGACACTGCATGGAGAAGGTGCGGCACAGGAACGGCCTTTGGATCGGGGCTACCAGGATGCGCATCTTCCGAGATGCCCAGGCCACCCCTACCTTGATCCCAGTCGTCATTTCGACTGATAATGACAGGAACGTCCTCGGTTTTAACGGGATCCATGTCACCAAAGACGCTACTGACAGAGTCATCGCGACTAGACCCTCGATAAGAGCTAGGCGGGTTTGGAACAAAGCCGGAAGAAGCCGAACTGGGGCTGTCGTCAGTCGGCGCCTGGCCCGATCGCGTAGTGGGCATTGGAACAGGAACTGCCTGCGATGGAACATAATCCTTGGAGGAGGTTTCCACAAACACCACTTGCAAAGAGCTTCGGTGAGCTTTGACAAGGTCGGCGGCTTCTGGATAAGTGCGTCAAAATTGTGCGTTTCTGGGAGATCCTTCAGGTATCCGGTAACCGCGATAATTGGCGTGTGCCTATTTGGACTTCTGGTTTCACGAACCATGCGTGCAAAATCAACACCATTGACCTGTGGCAATTTGAACTCGGTCATGATGATATCAAACTGTACCTCGCTCAGTGCGAAGCGTACAGCCTCCGCCCCGTTTGTGACGGTAATAGTGCGACAGCGAAGCTTTTCAAAGAGCCGTTCCATAACAAGACGTGACACAGGATGATCCTCACAAATCAACACGTCCAAGGGGCGGAAGAATGGCCCATCTTGGATGTTGAACTGGGATAGGCGCCGAGAGCTATGGCGGCGTCGCTGGACTTTGAGCAGGGCTTTGGTTCGAGGGTCTTCATTGTCCGAGGAAGAAGGAGAAATATCAAACAACTGGCTTCGACGTTTGTAATGAGACGGTACAAAAGGCTCCTTCGAGAAATTAACGAGGTCTCCGCCATCTTGAGAGCCGATTGTCTGCGACCGAGCTCGGCTGGCTGGGGCACTACCGTGGCGCTGATTCGAGGTGGGCAGCTTATCGGGAGAATGAGCTGGCATGCGACTAGTCTTGACTGGAGAAGACGCAACCGAACCCAATCGAAGATTTGGCATGCGGTTCTGGTCAGCCGAAGAAGGTTGGAAATTTCCACCCGATTGATGGGATGCAGTGGACGATGACCCGGACGTTTTCCGTCGCTCGTGGTTGCTTCCAGTGCTGAACTGAACGAGCAGTGGGGACGAGGGTTGCGATGGGCGGCTTGGGGATGAATTTGCTTGACTGAGCCCAGACGGCGATGACGGCCGGTTGTTCCCCTTGTTCTGCGACAAAGTACGCTGCAAAGACATGGGTAGTGGGCTGCCCTCCAGTGAAGGCTGCGAGGAACTAAGTGGGGTCTGAGCAGCTGACGATGTGGACGGTTGTCGATGTTGGGCCTGCATTGCCTCTTGGCGCATCTTCTGTATCACGTCTTTGTTGGCTTTCTCGAGCATTGGCAAGTTCTTGAAGTTGAAGCTTCCAAAGTCATCCGCCAGCGAGGGTTCGCTGAGTCTACGATTTCGCGAATCACGCGCATCGCGCACATGAGGCGGAATATGGAGCGGCATCAACGGACGCTTCATTGAATTCACTTGTGATCGAACCTTAAAGAGAGCATCATGCGGACGGTCTGGGCCTGTAGTGGCCGGGGCCTGCGGTGAAGGCGCATCCTCCATTTCCTCAGCAAAGGCTTGGAGGTTGGCGCCACGAGCATCGAAGTACTCAGTGTCCTCGGGGTTCTCAAGGTTGGGAACAAACTGTGCCTTGTCCTCTAGGAGAGTATCCCAATTGATATCAGAGAACCAGGGATGTGCCCGGATCTCTGCACCACCATTAGGGAACTTTTCATCGACATTGGCGCCGATACGCTCCTGAGGGTTGATAGCCATAAGCTTGTTCATCAGATCTAGAGCTTCAGGCGTTGTGTACTCTTCCGGATCTTCCGGCCAATTGATCCTTCGATGGAGAATATTTTCGAATACTTCATCAGGGGTAGGGGCGTTGAAGGGAGGATATCCAAAGATGAATTCGAACATGATACAGCCCAATGACCACCAATCGCTGATCTCATCTTGTCCAATGCCATTGATGGTCTCTGGGGCCAGGTAATCAGGAGTGCCGACGAAGCGCCGGTCATGATCTTCGGGGTCAAAAAGTGCCATGACCGGGGGGAGCATACTCTGTTGAGGTGGAGTGTTTTGGAAAGCAGGATTGCTGAAGGTTGGCTGAAGCGGGTAGAGATGAGGTGAATCGCCAGCCTCACCGATTTCGCTTGGGGTCTCTTCCTCTGCTAAGCTGGTAGAGTGCACGCTTGGTGACGGAGCCGCGGGCTGTTCATTATGGTTGTCATTGAGAGAAAAGGTACGGAACATCCCATTGAGACTGTCACTACCCGCACTATCGCTGCGATAGCCCGAGGCACGACGAGAGCTTTGGCGGCTCAGTCCGTTTTGATTTAAAGTAGCCTGATTGAGACTGAAATAGGAGGACTGGCTGACGCTAGTAGCGTTCTCTGGGGTGATCAAGGGCGTAGAGCTAGGAGAAGGACCAGTTTGAAAATCAAATGAGGCGGAGCGCGACGACGCGGTGGAGATAGCACGCGGGAAAGGTCCTTGTTTAAGCAAATCCGGGACCGGTTCATTGGGACTCTTTAAAACTCGCTTTTGGCGTCCAACCAACCCCATGCGGGACAAGCCAAAATCGGTCAACTTGAGGTGGCCAGTTTGATCAATTAGAAGGTTGTCCGGCTTCAGATCTCGGTGAACAATCCCTCGATTATGAAGATGCTGGACTCCAAGAACAACCTCTGCAATGTACTTCTTAGCCCAATCTTCCGGGAGACCACCGAGGATTTTCACAAGAGAAGCACAGTCGCCGCCATTGAGGTACTCCATCACTAGGTAGAGGTATTCTTTGCTGGAAAAGGTCCAGTACAGTTTGGCAACAAAGTCGCTTTCCCCTTGCCACATCATGATCGCCCGCTCGGCTTTGACATTGGTGACTTGGTTCTTGGCAATCATATCTGCTTTTTTCAAGACTTTGATAGCGTAGTACTCTCCCGTGGATTTTTTCTTGGATAGATAAACACTGCCAAAGGCGCCTTTGCTGATAGGCTTGATAATTTCAAAGTCCTTAATGGAAGGCGGGGCTGGGCGAGGCTGTTGACCAACAGACGGCAGCCGCGGGGACGGAGGCGGTTTCATTACATCCGATGAGTTGGCCGAGGATTGGCGGCGATGATGGTGATAAGGATGATGCGCCAATTCACTCGCATATGTGGATGGCGACACGACCGGCGATGGCAAGCTTTCTGCGCCGGTGGAGAGACGTGGCTTGGGCATTCTCAAAGGTGAGTGGGGCCCCGATACTCGAGCAGGCGATGGTTGCCGGCGAGGGGAGCTTGATAGTCCCGGGAGAATCAAGCTTCGACGTTTTCGATCAAAACTACGTTCAGAGGAAGGGGAATCGGTTCTCAAGGCACTTGCCAAAGCAGATGATGGCATGCTGCTGTCACTGCTGTCCCCGGCATCAATATCAGCCAGAGAGATGCCTTTGCGGGAGGATTGAGATGTGCCCAGCAGACCAGCAGCGCTCTTATGAGATCGGGGAGTTGGACACTCCATAGGGCTGTTTGATCCGGTTGAGAGAGCTACAGATGCGGATCTCGGTTCATTCTGACTCGCCATCCCTCTGTCAGGGGAGCTCCGCATAGACATGGTTAGGGCGGAAGTGGGCTTTCGAGGGGTAGGCGCCGCGGGCTCCGTTTGAGAACTCCAGTCATCCTGCGAAGGAAGTGAATTCGCAGGATGTGAAGCCGATGGCGCCTCGCTACCGGAGTTCAGCTCACTCTCGTTAGCTTCAAACTGGGTATCTGCCGGGAGTTCATCCTCTGATGAGCATGAAGAATCACTCAGTTGACCAGCTGCGATACGCTCAGCCTTGCTGAGAGCAGCAGCGATGCACTCTTCTACAAGAACAGTGTATTCGATGCGGATCCGCTCTGCATACTCGACAATCTTCCGATGACGAATCACGGCATCGACCTTGGCTTTGGCAACCTGTTCCGTGTCGCTCGAAAGAGCCGCGAGCCCTTGTTCCTGTTCAAGAGTGTTGGCACTTGGCGATGACCATTGGAGGACCTGTGAGATCCGAGATTCGGACTGTGGTGATAGAGTTCGGAATTCATCCGAATTCTCTGGCCGAGTGTTTTCCTTAATGACAGGCATGCTGATTTCTAGGGCAGTATCACATAGATCTAGCACCAGCTCAACAATCCGAGCTAACGGTCGCCGCACGGTGAACGACCTGCCGCGACCGGGCGTAAGTCCTGATGCCGAGTGGTCCCTCGAACGAGCTGGTGTACCAGGCCGAGAGTTCCCGCCAGATACAGGAGACGAAGCAGGCGCAGAGCTTATTGGCGAGGGGCCGATAGGCAAGCCCTTGTATTCGGGCTGGATGGCGGGCTGTGGAGTGCCATCGGGCCCGATCAAGGGTCTCCCATGCCGGGCTTCCAGGGCGTCCAGCACCTTCACAATGGCGTGCCGATGCTCATTTAGATTCTCTTGAGCTATCTGCACATCCATCTCAGCTCGATGTTCTTGCAGACAAAGGTCTGAATGTTTCTCAAACCACCAGGGCGTAATTTGACGCTCACATATCCGACATAAAACAGGCGTAGGAGCGGGGTGTTTCGATGGGTCAGGCTCATTGGCTGCCGCCTCTGCCAGAGTTGTGAGGTAGTTCGCTAGTACTTCGGCTCCCACGCCCAGTGATTCCACTAAGAGAGGCGGCAGGTCGATTGTCACTTCACGCGGTTCAGCAAATGGGCGCAGCATCCACATTGTCTATTCCAAGGAACAAAAAGATGAGCTGTTAGCCATCGGAATTGTATCGCCCGGTCTCTATGAGCCAAGTCCGCGTAACTTACATGTCCGGTTTCATCGTCTGTCCGGTCGTAGACCATGATGCCTTGCCCCTCCATAGTGAGCACGGTATGGTCTTGGTTACCTTCAGCCTGCGGAGGCTCGTCCTCAGCCTTATCATTGCTGACTCCTGATTCCGGGTCATTCCCAATCGGGGGCGGCTCTGGCGAGTATTTAAGAACAGAGTCGGGCCCCATTTGGACGGCAAAGCGGATGAAGCGGCTCCGCGAGTCGTCCACCTTCATTGCCTCGATTGCATCCTTGAAGACATCTTTGTCTCCCAGGACGATATCTGAGATCAAATGGCCCTCGACTGACTCCGGAGCTGTTCCGACCACTTGTCGCCACGAGGGACTGACCCATTTGATGCGCCCCTCCAGGTCCAGATCGACAATGATATTCAGGGTCTGCTCTGCGGCTTCCTTCAGGTCTTCCCTTTCCTCTCTCATGTCTTCGGTCATGGATCTCGTCATTTTCGGGCTGATGTTCCGAGCCTCCTGTCGCAACGCTGTGACGGCGGGAGGCGCGAGGAATTGGGGGTTCGGGGCGCCATTGTTTGCCATCTTGACGCAGAGCGCCGGAGGGCAAGTCTAGTACACAGAATTATAAGCGGTTGAAATTGTCTGGATCGAACCACGAGGACCAAAAAAATTCGGTTCTTCAGAGCCAAGCACAACCGTCTGCTGTGAGGCAGAGCGGGTGCTCACTTGGGCGTAAGACTAGGAATTCATCCGTGATAGCAACAGATCATGGCTTGTATTCGAGGAGAGAATAGAAACCGAGCAAATGGTTGAGCGACTCGACAAGAACAAGAATGTAGACGAGGACAACGCGTTGGATCAGAAGACGGAGGAGAGCGAAGGTGTTGGGCTATGCGGGGAACGGCGCGACCGAGAGGACGCGCAGAAGCAGGAAGAACACCAGTCCTACCTGCACACAGAAGACTGTGGAATGGTCGGGTTCAGCAGATATCTTTGACTTTGACAGAGGGTTAACAAAAAATGAGGGAGAAGGAATGAGGAATAGAAGAGGGGGAGGGAGCAGAATGGGTGGTGATTGGCGGTGCAGGGGGGGAAAAGCGCCCCACAGAGAACCAATTGCGTGTTGGTTTTCTGCTTTCTGCACCACTTGAGACAATCTAGTGCCTTTGGGGGGGGCTCTCTCCTCTTTGACGTTTGGTTTTGGAATAGTGGCCCTGCTGGGAACCTTTTTCAAGATCATCCGCCTTCTGGAAGTCCATCACCATATCCTGGCCATTAAGACCCTCGAAGGACATAATACATCATACCATTTATCTACGCAGGAGTCAATTAACTTACGCAGTAGCTAGTTAGGTTTGACCTTGCGCTGACACACCCTTGCTCATGACGTTGACTAATATCGAACAAAGGCTAGAGCGCATCGAATAGAATACAGGGCTATCTGACGCAGTCTGGGATGGCTTCGAGTCTGGAACGGGTCTGCAGTACTTTCTGCCGCTGTCAAACCCATCTGCAATCTGCGCCATGAAACACGCGAATCTTGTAATCTTTTGATTCCCTTTGTACAACTTGGTCCAAACTAATTTCCCTAGACAGGGAACCTAAGGTATTCTCCGGTCTACTACTGCGTATTTAGTAATTTTGGTGGATCTAGTATCCGTAGAAAGATTCGAAACTTCCCTGTGAGTCCTGTCTGGAGAAGGACCAGCTGCCGGCTGAATGGCTTCGCACTGAAAGTTTCCGGTACTCTACCTGCAGATAACGAGTAGATAGTACTTGAACCGTATCGCGGCGCGTTCCGTGACCCCCGCCTCGCCCTGCGATGAGTATGGTGATGGGCCAACCCCTCCCAATCAGATCCAAGTCCGATTCACTGGCAGATTCCGGCATCCACTTCCCTTATTCCCGCCTATCGACTAGGTCATTCCAATGCATATGTATTTCCACTAGGACACCTCGGCACTTGTCCGCTGTCTGAGGCAGCAGATCAGCATGCCTTTTGTCCCTTCAGACTGCTTACGCTGAGATCAGCGCGTGTATGAATGTGGCCCTCGAGAAACACAGAAGTCAGAAGGCCATTGTGGAGTGGGCTACCAGGTTGCACCAACCCATCCTCGAACCAAGCCGGGTTCTTGTTGTTGCAATCCCTTACCGGCCGCCATATCAGCCAGAATGCAGGGAAACCATCTTGGACAAGAATGGCAGATCTGCACATGAGAATGCTAGGTTGAGGTGGACCAATTCGACTCCACACACTTTTTTTTTTCTCACGCTTTTAAGATATTCATGTTTGCGGGGTAGCATCACCTGATGGCCCTGGTTGACCTCCGAACTCGAATGTTCGACGGTTTGAAATCATGAGTGTTGACCTCATAAATCCATCCCCCGTACCGTCCAGTGAATACATCACCCGTTTGTGGTCAAAACTCAATATCATCCCTTCCCACACCCATGACTGGCTGTAACTTCCAGTCGCTGACCCAGGACAGCGATACTCCCCGAGTAAACTTTATGCTTCGCCTTCCTCTCCACTGTGGGGAGGCATCCCAAGGACTGCACGGGGCTGCCACTGGCCTATGGAAATTCTGCATTAGTGTCCCATGGGAAGAGGAACGCAGGCCCGTGTTGTGCTGTCTTGGAAACAGGTCACGAGCGGTAGATCTATTACGTATTATAGGCGCATACTCCTCATACTTCCGGTCCGTTCGGACTCCTAGAATGCTATTATGGAGCACCAATGACGGGACAGATCGTTCACAGACAATTTTGCGGGAGTTGGCGTTCGCCAGTGATCTTACACCAGCTCATCGTTTTGCCTGAAACCACAGGTTCTAAGCATGTCTCGTAGTGAAACTGGATGGGCCGTGACAAAGTCAATCTGTACGCAGTAAGTCTTTTGGCTCGGTCTCTGCCTCAGGTGTCAAGCGGAAAGCGCACGGTCATTGCCTTATAACTGAGGCTTCAAGGAAACCGCTTTGTAATCCATCGATATCTCTGGGCGACATTAAGTTCATGCTGGAAACCTAACGTCGCCTGTCCAGGTGGGTTTGGCCTTCACATCAACCTAATAGATTAAAAGAAGGATGTTACGAAAGTAGAGGAACCTCTCTGACTTGACCCATAATGACATCGATCACGGCACCAGATATTCCTACTAGTACAGTAGATGAGTCTGCGGCACGTCGAAAGCGCACTGGTAGGAAATATACCTCAAGAGCTTGTGAGGAATGTCGCAGGCGAAGGGCAAAGGTACAGTTTTTACCTGTTATGCTACATATGAGTCTCGAAAGCCACTAACCGATAGCTGATTCAGTGTGATGGTGTCCGGCCGTCATGCGCACGCTGTCTTGACCGAGGTGTTCGGTGTCAATACTCCACTGCGGAGGATGGAAGACAGCCTGCACCCAAATCTTACGTGGTGATGCTGCGCAATAGAATCGAGCTGCTTGAAAAGGTCTTGCAGAATAACGGAATTGATGCTGATGCTTCTATTGCTCAGTTGCTAGCCGAAGATGATCCGAACAATCGAACAGCAACCCCGCATGGGGATGCTGGGTCGAACATGGAGGATTTCTGTCTCACATTTGACGGTGCTCTTACTTTAGACGAATCATTGAACTTTGATCAAGATGGGGAAGTCCGATATTTCGGCCCTACTAGTGGGCGCCTGTTGTTCCAGTCTTCGTCAAATGGTAAAGTAATCCGCTCTTTAGGTGACACGCCCCAGCTGACCCTGTAGAATCTCCGAGTGATGATGTGAAACAAACGGATGCTTCCTGTATCAGTGGTTGTGTCTTCCCACGGGAATCCTCCACACTATCCTCGCAATACTACACAAAGCAACTGGATTTAGACGAATCGCAAGTCTTTGGACCTCGGAGTCATTCCTCGGAGCACAGTTGGATATCGGAGGAGCTGCAAGCCTATTTGATTGATCTTTATTTTGAGTGGGATCAGCCTTGGCTGCAAGTCGTCAATGAACAGCTGTTCCGCGATAGTCTGGCAAGCGGCGGTCGCTATTGCAGTCCTCTTCTCTTAAATTGCATTCTTGCCCTTGGGTCGAGGTATTGCGATCGCTTGGAAGTCCGCACAGATCCAAATGACTCCAACACTGCCGGAAAGGCATTTATCTTAGAAGCCGAGCGTTTGATTCAAAACGATCTGCGATGGCCGAAGATTACCACCATACAGTCGTTGGCGATCATGAGCGTGGTTTACATTGTGAGTTGACCTCCGATATTTCGTATAGAACTTCGTTGACTAGATGCTAATCTATCGAAAGGCCATGGGACACGACGCAGCAGGCTGGCTTCATCAAGGCATGGCAAATCGACTAGCCATCGATATGGGGCTCAACATGGACCCGGCCGTTCTTCCTGGTACAGTTGCCCTCCCGGAGATCGAAATTGAGCTGCGGAGGCAAATTTACTGGGCTTTGTACTGCCACGATAAGCTGGCAGCGAGTTATACAGGCCGAGTCTGTACATTGCTCGTATGCTCAACCCAGATTTCCTTCCCCTGTCAAAATTCTAATGGATCTATATAGGATTGTCAAGGAGCCGTCAACAAGCCTTATATTCAGTGCGCTTCTAATACCGTTCTGCTATCTGCTAATGGGCAGCCACGAGCTGCGTCTCAAAAGGATGTTGTGCAACTACACAAGTCGATGATAGATCTGTGTCAAATCCTCGAGAAGATTCTTCTATCCCTGTACGGAATTCTGCGCTTTGGAAAATTATCTCGCATGACTTTGCTGATAACTCAATCCCCAGATGGTCTCCGAAGCCTTTGAGTACCTCGCATCAAAGGTTTGCATTCTTCGACTCCTGCATTCTCGAATTGAAAACTTGGCTGTACGACCTTCCTTCTGAGCTCAAGTTGGTGCGACCCAGTGGACCATCTCGATTCCCACATGTCTATACGCTTTGCATGGTCTATCATACTGTGGTAATACTGCTTTGTGGGCCGTTCATCAAGGGATTCGAGCCATATGGTGATAAGGCAAGCAGCCCTACCAATGAATGCCCGGCAGGAGAGGAAACTCCTCAGGCTTGCATACAAAAGCGAATACAAAAGGCGTTCGAAACCTGCAATGCTTCGGTGCGAGCGATGTGCTTCATCTCTCAGAAATATCGAAAAGTCTTTGGCAGCTTTAAACTCAGCCCTGTCACTGCAACTCACTGCACGTTATCCTTTGCATTGATCATAATCGAGCGATGCTGTGCTATGGTACCCAAACCCAAGCCAGGAGATGAGGCCTCGCCTACTGTCTCTCCTCACCATGCTGTCATGCTTTGCTTACAGGTGCTGAGGGAACTGTCCACTTCTTGGAACACTGCAAAGCGAATTGGGCGCAACCTCGAGAGAGTCTATCTCCAGCGCTATGGAGGTGACTCCCTTCCATTGCTGCCACAAAGTTGTGGTCATAGCGGTGAAAATGCTTGTGTCTGCCCAACCCCAAGCGCTGATATCTCTGCTATGCCAAAACTACCGTCTCCACCAGGTGAAGTTTTCGATAGATTCCTCGACCCCAAAGACACAGCCTTAGAGTGGCCACCAATGCTCAACGTCCCATACATTATTCCGCGCCAATATAACGGCCTTTCTTATCCACCTATCTCGAATGCGATCCATGACGACCCCAATGCTCCTGCGGCTGCTCAAATCTTTGCCAACTCAGAAGAGCTGTTCGCAAATAATCTTGGCTTTGCATTCTCGCCTGACTGCCTTCCAAGCGATTACAACATGTTTAGTACGCTTAACCAAATGTACTTAGAAGAGACTTGGTGAATTTATTAATACAACGAAGTGAGCTGGAATAACCGTCGGGGCCGGCTCCGCGATATTCACGGCATTACGAACAGAATGGATGTTGACAAGCAAAAGAATGTCTCAAGAGCTGCATCCTGGTCAACGGGAGATGATGTCGGCAGCGATCTTTTCTGCAAGCATATCTAGAAGAACACGAATCAGTTTGAGTCCCTTTATATGAACCCGAATGTAGGAATTACCACATACAAACAGTTGACTGGGGGTGACCCGGTGGTAAAAGGGGGAAGGCACTGGCATCCACCACACGCAGTCCAGTGACCCCGAAAACTCTTGCTTTATTATCAACGACTGCCATGCTATCACTGGAGCTTCCCATTTTGCACGTACAGGCAGTATGATATATTGTCATCATTGTGTTTTTGATGACATCTAATATCTCTTTGTCGGCCTGGACAGCGACTCCGGGGAAATATTCGGGGCCGGTAAGGACAGAAGCCATTGCCTTGGTGTGGAAGACTTCACGGATACGTTTGTAGGCTGCAACAGCAAGCTTTTGGTCTGTTTCCGTTTCCAGCCAATTTGGGTTGATGACAGGGAGGTCATTCATGCTCGCTGATCGAAGTGTGACATTTCCGCGGGACGTTGGGGCAACGAGGCTCCCGATGATGCTACCATATTGCCCAACCTTAGGTTGGTCGGAGATCGGGTTGGAAAAGTTCCCCACATAAGCAGAAGCAGCAAGGTACTATTAGCACATTAGCTTTCGGTTTCTGCTTCCTCCTAGAACTTCCAGACTCGGTCCGAGGGCTCACCTCCAGCTCAGGCCAGTCGGCTGGGAACCAAGACAGGTCCGCTTCGTTCCGATCAGATAAAGTGGTTCGGAGGGCTCTTGGAAGCTTCTCGAACGCTAGGTAGTCTGTGGATGGGTTCGTGAGGATGCCTCTTTTGAGGATAAAATAGTTGAAAACCTGGGTTAAGAAATACCATGAGTCTTGCGTCATTTTGGTAAAGGTATCTACTGAGACTGGGTAGGAAGGCCCAAAGAAAATATGGTCCCACATGTTTTGACCCACTCCAGGGCGATCAGCAAGAACAGTGATATTGTGCTCATGTAGTGTTTCAGCAGGGCCGATCCCAGACACCATCAGCAGCTGGGGTGATTGGAATGCCCCTGCGGAGACGATCACTTCTCGTGCTGCTTTCAAGGTGAAATCCAATATGTTTCGCACCCGTACGCCAATAGCGCGCTTGTCTTTGTCGAAAATTATCATTTGGGCCAAGGTTTTCTGATAGACAGTCAAATTTCCCAAGCCTTGAGGCGCCTGGAAAAAAGCGGCTTCCGAGCTACTTCGTGACCAGTCGCTCGGCCGAATTGTCATCGAACAGAACTGATGGCCCATAAGAGACCCGCTGTTGAAGTCCTGAGCCTCATTTATGCCGGCTTCGGTGAAAGCGCGCCGCGATGACACCGAGAAAGTCATTGGACACAATGGGTATGACACGTGTAGAGGCTGGCCGCTGTCCAAAAAGGCAGATGAGTTGTAGAGTGTTGAAACATTTCCGGAGCGAAGTCCCGGTGGTGTGAAAGACACGGTCTTTTGAAAAAAGGCAAGGGTGTTTTCGAACAGATAACTTGGATCGCCGACAAGCTCCGCCCATTTTTTCATAGTATCTCTGGATGGCCTGGTTACAAATAAGTATCTCGTCAAGGAATCTGAAATAATGGCTCAGACCTTTGGTACATCATGAAATTCAGGGCTGACCTGGAACGGTGGAAAAGCAAGCGTCAGTCCACGTCCATGCTGTAGAGCGCCCAGAACCTACGAGCCACCCATGCATTTGCCTCTGGGATAGTGGATATCACGATAGGCTGCCCCAGGAACCCCGTGGACTTCGAACTTCCAATCCACTGCCGTGGCTGTGGTGATGCTGGAGCCAGCCCCAACTGTCGCCGCGCCTGGAACGCGGCATATTGGGAATTTGAGTTCATAATAGCCTCCTGCTTCTACCACTGCAACTCGAAACCCATGCTGGGCCAGACGAGCACTGATTGTGATACCTGCCGTCCCTCCACCCACCACCACATAATCAAACTGTGCATCAAGTGGAAACCAGGAGTAAACAACCAAGATCCCGAAGAGAGCAGCAAATAGAGACCCGGCTAGCAGCCGAGAGTCTACTGAGGCAGGCATCTATGAGAGACAGCCACGCTGTTGAAGATTTGTAGATCGAAACATAACTCATCCAGGGAATCTCGACCTCCTGAGCGAGCCGTTACTCCAGTAGTTCTTTCCGTAGTATGGACCACGAAGCGCTTCTTGCTGTTTCATATCATCGCTAGGCCAAGGCAGGAACCTCCGTGCTTCTACTGGCTCCTGAACATGGAACTAGGTTGCTCTGATGGAAAACCCCGAGGTCAGAGATCGGGCGATTTGTAGTTCGTTTGCAACGGAAGTGGCCGGTCGCTCTTGTTTGTACCAGTCGACCCTATAAATATCTTCTTCAGCCACCTTAGAAGCTTCCTCTTCCGGTTTACCATCGATTTACCTTTCAGCCCAGGGCCGTTCTTGACCTACTCCCAACTTCTCAAGATAGCAGACATCGACAGTTTTCTTCTTCAACAAAAAGCACTATGAGGACCAACATCTCTCTTCCAACCCTCACGCCAAATCCTTTCTTTGATCAATTTCCCGAATTTGATTATTGCATCTACAATCCCGTCAGCAAGGAGTTCTATCGTCTTGCTGAACAGCGTCATTGGAAAAAAGGCTCTAAAACCTGGAAGAAACGGTGGAACGCCTGCATGAATGCGGAGTACGACAGGCTTATTGGATCACGCACCACTGATCTTGAAACTTGGCAAAAGCTGTGCGGCAAACTCCAGATCCAGGGTGACTTGGCCTCCATCAGAAAGTGCAAACAGGTAAACGCCATAATTTCCCTAGCATGAACATGACCGTGTTTCTCACATTAGTCTTTCTTTCTCAGGCCATAGCTACTGTCCATGTGAACATTGTGGATCTCTTAGATTGCTGGGATGCGAACAAATGCCCCCCGAAATTTCAGAACCGTAAACAGCTGACGGATTATACGGCCCACCATGGACGAATCCTCAGCAAGGCTATTGCCAAGCAGGATAAAGTTCTTCGCGCTCTGCTCCGTCGACTTGTGTAAGGTGCCAGCCGCTACAACATGGTTCTAGGGAGTTTAGTTTCATAAATTATTGCAGTTTGAGAATGGACTTTAACATGATGAATTTATCCCTTCTTAATTTGTAGTTAGCAGGTGTTCCTTAGGCGGCCATTTTCCTTTCTAAAAAGCCTGACCCCATCATGAAACTCTTTATCATCAATATATATTTTCTAGTTGAGCCCACTATGAGGCCTCTCGACCCGTTTTGATCTTCGTGGTCAAGAAGCTTGTTGCTAAGAATGGACAGACACCCATTGGAGGACGATACCGTGGCCGGGCAATATCCAGATTGCAATCAACGATAGGCCTCACGCTAATAGTACAGATATTCCAACCAATCAACATGCAATTAATCTACCCCGTATTTTTCCCCAAAAGGGAATTCCTTTTCCTTGGTTTCCATGTGCCCTCCTACTCGTAGAAGAATTTATCATAGAGTACATCCGCCGCAGAGCGATAATGGTGTTTTGTGACCTGGGAGAGGGGCAGGGTTCTTACTGAGCGACCTTTTTCTCTCTCGAACGGTTTTGGTTCGTTCTGAACGCTAGCTCTGTTGCATGGGTTTCTCGACATGATATCTGTCGTTCTTGCACTGTATTCCTTGTTGAAGAGGGGCAAGTACCTCGGGCCCAGAGTGTTCAATGGCCCAGCCGATAAAAGAATGGGCATCCACCGAATCCAAGGCAAGGATGTTAACGCGAGTGCCCTGGTGGAGGATGGGAACACCAAGCTACGGGTAGTGAACATGTGGACGGACACAGACGCATACTTGAACACATGGCGGAGAAAGTGGAGCTTATTGCTCAGCCCACCCAGTGGACATGAGGTCCGTTCACGTCAGCAGAGCCCGGGCTACGTAGGTACCATCGGTTGCTCTGCTCGACGGGCCCCGACTTCAATAGGAAACCAGAATATCAGACCTTGGCAGCCGTTCCCTAGGAATTCCACCATGTAGTGACTATTCTCAAGGGAAGCCTTGGCAGCTTTCAGTTCAGTACGACCGGTTATATCTCATAGACCCAGGCATTTTAGGCATGAACGGGTAAGCCAATGTTAATTCGTTTCTGGTGCTGGAGACGCGTGATCGCGATAGCCGATAGCCGATGGATCATACGCCGCTGATTGGTGTCCCATCTGTAAGGGGGGAAGCCGCGAAGCCGGGCATCAAGGGTTCAGAATTACAAACCTTCGGGCCCCAAAAGGTGACAAAAGGTCGCAGTTGCAGTCACAGAGCCAGACTATCTCCAAAGCTTGGGTCTGGACTAAGCGACGAGCCGACAGATAAGACGTTACAATCCCCGGGGCGGCATGAAGTCAGGAAGTGGGGCAGCTCGGCTCCAGTTTTTCCTGGGCTGGAGCAGAATGCGGAGAAGACGGGACGATCCTGGTAAGTCTGGGGTTGCGCCTCTTGCCAGAGAATCGAGATGCGAGGTGCGAGATGCGAGATGCGAGATGAGAGACCCGGGAGTTGTAGTAATCCCACTGGAAAGAGGATTCAACATCGAAGCTGTCAAAGACTTGGATCTAGTATGGCGGCTCAACTAGGGCCTCTGATAGGCAAAATGGCCCCCGGTTCCCATGGCGTGCGATGGCGAAATCATCCCCGGACGGTTGCGTGCTCTCGCTGGATCTACACCCGGGACGCGACCCCCATTGAGGGATCGAGCCACGAGGTGCCTGATTCGAAGGTAGTTTAATGTGAGTTGAGGATTTTTAGATTTTTAGATTTTTCCCCAAAAATTTTTGGGCCCTTTTCGTATGCTGTCTTAAGAATTCCAGTTGCGCCCGTTGTATCTAGGGCAATCCTGGTCTCCTTACAGTTCTCACCACCTCTCTACCTTGACCATGGCGAAGCTTAACGGGACGAAGCTGGGTGCTTTGCGGGCATATTTCTTTGGTTTCTTCATTTGTCTGGCTGGCTTTCTCTTTGGTTATGACACAGGCATTGTTGGTATGTGCTTTGCTTCCACCCCAGATCTGCGACCGGCGGCGTTGCTAACGCTATTATCCCAGGGGGGATCCTAACCTTTCAGACCTACGAACATGATTTTGGATATACAGATAAGACCACCGTCTCTGCAGTCATGGTCAGTTTGCAGAACGTGGGAGCTTTCTTCGCCGCGTTAGGCATTTTCCCCATCTCGGAGCGTTATGGCCGTAAAAAGACCCTCCAGTCCGCATTGACTCTATTCTGCATCGGCGTCGTATTGCAGGTTGTGCCGTCGCACTCCCTGGTCTGCTTCTATATCGGTCGTGTAGTCTCGGGCCTGGGTCTCGGTGGAGCCACTGCGGTAGTTCCCACCTACAGCGCCGAAATGGCTCCCAAGGAAATCAGAGGCATGGTCGGATCGGGCGTCCAGTGGCTGTTCTCTGCGGGTGTCCTGGTCAGCTACTGGATTGACTACGGCGTACAGGTCACGCTGCCTGGTCAGTCCAAGCAGTGGCAGATTCCAGTCGGTCTTCAGATGGTGCCAGCTGCTATCCTGGCTATTGGCCTGTTCACCCAGCCGGAGAGCTGCCGCTGGCTCGCAAAGAAAGGACGCACGGAAGAGGCATTCCAAAGCCTGTCGTGGATGCGTGCCAGTGAGGGTTAGTATTAGCCCACCGCATACTCATACCACCCTTGTATGGTATACTAACGTCCGTGAGCTGAACAGGCCCTGAGGTCCACGCCGAGTTCAATGAAATCCAAATTGGTTTGCAAGAAGAGTTGAAAGCAACGGAAGGCTTGAAGAAGCGCGAGTTGTTGGAACCCGCTAACCGATATCGTCTGTTGCTTGCCTTCTTCATCTTCTGCGGCCAGCAATGCACTGGCATGACCGCCCTGGCGTACTACGGTCCCCAGTTCTTCAAGCTGATTGTCGGTGACGACTCGCAGCGGTCACTGTTGGTCACTGGACTTTTCGGCGCAGAGAAGTTCGTGACGGTCGGAACTTATATCTTGTTCTTCTCAGAAATGTGGGGACGTAAGCCGACTTTATGGGTTACCAACCTGTTGATGGCACTCTGCTTCGTCATTGTGGTCATTCTGAACAAAACGACCGACTCGCTTGATGCAGAGGGCAATCCCTCCTCTGCTGGAATTGCCACCGTCGCCATGATCTTCATCACCAACTCCATCTATCAGTTCGGTTGGGGTCCCTTGCCGTGGCCGTATACAACAGAGGTAATATCATTTCATCTCCTCTGAGATCTTGAGACTTTTGACTGACTAACCCTCTCCAGATCTTCCCTTCCCGAATCCGGGAGATCGGCTCCTCTGTTGCCGTGTCAACCCAGTGGCTGTTCAACTTTCTCTTCTCCTTGACTACTCCATATATGATCAGTGCCTGGAGCACGTACACCTTCCTCTTCTATGCCGTCTTAGATGTTATTATGGCTGTTCTGGTCTTCATGTTCGTGAAAGAGACCAAGGGAAAGAGCTTGGAGGAGATGGAAACCATTTTCCACAGCAAGGCAGCTTTTGATGTTGAGGCTATTCGCCACGACGGGCAGGTGGTTCCAGCTGAGAATGTGAGCTCATTGCAAGTGCACCAGAAAGAACCAGATGCAAAGCACGGCAGCAGCGACTCCGATTAATTGCTGTCAGCTGCTTAGTTTCGATTTGATTGATTTTTTTGTCCTCCCTCCATTTGCATTTTGTTTGACGAGTCGGATATACCCGAAGCTACTTATACCAGCACTCCCCTGGGTCCGGCTACGGCGGTAACTCGGAGGGGAAGACTTGACATGACTTATTTGACGCTCCAATGACTATACCTGCTCATAATGAAAGAATAGGCCCTAGAACCTTTTTAATACTCTCAACATCAGAAACCACATCTCTTAAATACATGGCATTCCCCCTCAGTTTGCAGCAAGAAAGCCGCCTTGCAGGCTGATTATTACGTAATATAGACATTTTCGCCCTTCCTCAGCAATCCCTTTGCTTATTGAGCCTTCTTACCTTGACTCTCTTTACGCTGCGCGGCCACGTACCCAACAGCACGGGCAATGCCCTCATCCACCGGGACGACTGGTAGGTAAGCCAAGCGGAACTTAGCCTTCTCGACAGAGTAGTATCGGGTCATGCACGAGTATCGAACTTGGCGGCGGGTCAACGAGGGAGTTTTACCGAAAAGGCCCATGAGCCCCTCGAGTAAGCCACCAATAGGGCCTAGGAGACCTTCGGGCAATGCCCAGACCTGCTGTGGCTCTACCACTTTGCCCACCAATGCCCACATGTAGTGCGCGGCATCCCAGAAATAGATGGGGGGAGTCATTGGTGATATTGAAAGCTTCTCCATCAACTCTCTCGTGGTCCAGAAGTCCGCTTTTGCTGGTCTCATACCGGTCGTAGGTGGCCACGAGGCGGAATGCGGCTAGCATATGCGCGTAAGCGATATTCCCGACGTAGGTGAAATCGAATAGGTTATTGTTGTCACCCAATTGCATCTTCAGCACGAACGGTGACCCCTCGTAGCCCAGCTGGGTCATCTTGAAGGAAACGGTTGCGTCTTTTTCTCCAAGAATACCAGCAGGACGGATGGCGCAGGTTACCATGCCACTTGGCGATTGACGGTTGTACTTCAGAACGAGTTCCTCGGCATCGGCCTAAAGCAGAGAAGGGAATCCGAGCATTAGCTTGACGCTAGGACGCATTTACGGGCTCAAACGCTGTGAGCACTTGAGCGAGTCTCTTACCTTGGTCTCTGAGTAGTACTCCTTTTGCCTTTCGCCTCGGATCAATGGCCATTCCTCAGTGACATGGATCAGGTCGCTCTCAGTGTCGTGGACCACCGAGGCGGAACTAGTGTAGACGAAGGCCTTGCACTTGCCACCCCAGTCGCCGTGCTCACCCCCAGCCACCTGAACAAGTGTCCGGGTACCGTCCACATTGACCTTGTGCAGCATCTCTTTGCTGGCATGGAGAACGGAGGGAGTTGCGGTGTGGATCACCACGGTGGGCTTGACGGCGCGGAAAACCTCCATCATGGAGTCGACAGAGGTGATGTCCCCCTCGTAGTAGGTCGCACCGGGCAGGCGGTTATTAGAGGTACGCAAATCGACGACAGACACGTTGGCATTGTAGGTCGGATAGCGTGAGGCTAGGCTTGGGAATTCGAATCGCGCATCACCCTCGATCTTGGGCAATGCGACAGTGGGATCGGTCTCCGAGGGAAAGTTCAGCAAGTGATCGACGATGTGCCACCCCAGGAACCCACATCCTCCGACCACCAGCACATTGCCCAATTCTAGGGTGCGGCTCTTCGCAGACATGATAGGAGCAATTGACAGGTAAGTGGTCTCGAAATTACGGAAGATGAAAGGGGGAGCCGGGCCGAATCAGCTGACCATGCCGATAAGCTGTTATCGCAGATGGTGTGGAGATGGAACCACTTTGAGTTTTGCTGACTGGTTCTGGGGCCATGATAAATACCTTTGAAAAATGATAGAAATAAGACTGAGGATATTGATCTGTAGCTACAGCAAGCCTGCCCTCGACAAACCCTGGTTCCAGTTATATGATAGTCAGATAGTTCGTTGCTTAATTAGCAACATCTCCGACACTAGAAGATCTTCCAAGATGTAGGTTTTAGGAAGAAAGTGCATTGATACTAGTGGTCAACAAACCAGACAGCGGCTCTTCTGCCGGGTATAACCTAAAAGTTTGGATTTCAACGTTCTGCACCATGATAGAGCTTGCCGCTTGGGGGGCAGGCACCTCGGTCATCATGAGAGACTATGCATGTAGATGGCACTATGAATTGGCAATTCCGTGCCCATTAGACCGAATCTTTCTGATCGTCCGCTAGAACTCGTGTGCGTATGGGGCACCTGGCTGGCCGATCAGTAGACAGAGAACGGACTGAAAGAGATCTGAACTAGCCTACATGATCGTCATTTGAATAATGCCGTGTACAGCCATCATCGGCATTTATGTCCATAAGAACCCACTGATGCAGTGCTACGTGGCAAAGCCTAGCGATGTAATTTGAGTAATGAGTTTCTATAGCAAGGTCGAATCTGACATTCGAAACAAAAAGAAAGTATTGCTCTGTTCCACCAAAGAAAACACGAAAGGAACGGAAAGTGCCATCCTAATGGGGGGTCTCATTCTCAGTGTTCAACTTGTCATTGTGACGATACATGGAATACTGGACTACGCCCAATAGGGAATACTGCAGTATTGGAATCGCGGTGCAATCAACCATCTACATACTAGTCCCGTAGCGCAGCCGGCGGTGTCTGAATCAAGTTGCCCCTGCGGTCGAGTTCCATGGTCCAGCCCAAGATTGAGTGGTCTAAAAGAGATCCCGCATTGTAGAAAGCATAATATCATGCGAAACCGTCCCAGGGTTACCTGTTTTTCCTGTTCGATAAAAAAGGTACCTTGTTCCATTGGAAATAGTGGATCCTGCAACTGCGCTATAAAAAGAGTGGAGATCCATGGGCGGCTAAGTGTTGGTTCGGGAACAGGCGAGGTCTTTGTGTGGTACTAAGGACTGACAGCACTAAGCCAGAAGACAACAGGGAGACGTATGATTATTGACATTTACGGGGGCATATGTCCTCATGGAGCCCCTCCGCCCCTGGATCGATAACCACGAGGACTATCGAGCCTTCGAAAATCCAGGTCGGATCTAAAATAAGAATCCTCATGGAAGGCGGTGTGGCACGTGATGCCCAGGGACCAGTGACTAAGATCGTAAGGGGAGAAACGTTAGTTATTAGGGAAAGGGAAATAATAAGGGGGGGCAACAAATGCCCGACCGCATCTCCGCTTTCTAAAGCCTCTTCCCAGTACTTGGGGGCCTTTCAGCCAGCTTTTGTACTGCCTTTTCAAACTTCTGGACTGCCAACAGTTCTTTTCCCCAATCAGTCCTCCTCCCTCTTCCTCTTTGTTTCCCTTCCCTGGCTTGTGCTAGCATCCCCGGGAGCTCCTCCCCAGCCTCATCAGCCCCCCCTCCCCGCGTCCGCTTTCACTTCTCCAACACCGCGCATTCAACTCGCTTTGGTCGCCAGAAAGCAACCTTTGTAGGTTCGACAACCGTTTTACCGAGTCATTGTGTGAGCCTGGATCCCCATCGACTCCTTCCAAACCTCTCACCCGCCCGTCTAAAACTACATGGTATGAGGTGTGAGTAAACTCCCTGCTCCCCCCATGCTAAGAGCGAATGGCTCTACCAGCAACCTGAGTTTCAAAACTTACCCCGACAGAGACATCGCAGGGCGCATTTGGTATCTTTGAGAGAAAATAGGCCAACCTGTTCCTGTTGTGTTGAACAATCTCACCGCAACCCTCCCCGCCCCCGGTCGTTCCTTCAATAGTCTTGCATGCCGTCTTCATTGTACTGTCAGCTCCCGCGATTTCGAGTCTGTTGATTTGTGACGGGGGCCCATCATGCCCCCTGGTGAACTTCCAGCCAGCCTGGTCGCTGGCAAGCCCACGCCGACGGTCAATACGTCTGGTTACGGAGGCAATTACCAGAAGAATACGCCGACTTCTCCTGAAGACAGTTTGATCCCATTCGACTCCCCTACAACGCGCACAGGCGGTAATCATAGTCCACTTGGCCAAGAGGAACCTCGCTCGGGTCGAGGTCTTGAGCCAGATCCAACCTCATTTCGCGAGCGCTCCAACGCTCGGGATCGATCGCGTGCCAATGGTCGACCTCACAATAAATCACCAGGCTCGTCGCGGGTATGCCAGAAATGTACAGAACCCTTAACAGGCCAGTTCGTACGTGCTTTAGGCGGCACATTCCATCTTGAGTGTTTTAAATGCGAGGTAAGATCCCTGTGTTCGCCAGGGCATGGCCTCGGAGTGGCATACTAATTTTCGAATGAAGGATTGTGGGGAAATCGTTGCCTCCAAGTTCTTTCCCGTGGACTCTGAGGATCGGAGCTGCCAGTTCCCACTGTGCGAGAATGACTACTTCCGACGATTAAATTTATTGTGTCATGAGTGCGGCGGCGCCCTTCGCGGATCGTATATTACGGCCTTAGACCGCAAATACCACATCGAACACTTCACCTGCTCAGTATGCCCAACGGTATTCGGCGCTCAGGATTCATATTATGAACACGAGAGCAAAGTCTATTGCCATTTCCATTACTCGACTCAATTCGCACAACGATGTCACGGCTGCCATACTGCGATTCTTAAACAATTTGTCGAGATCTTTCGAAATGGCCAAAATCAGCATTGGCATCCTGAATGTTACATGATTCATAAGTTCTGGAATGTCCGCCTAGCTCCTGCTGGCCAAACCTGGGAACCTCCTCCAGTGGATGTCGATGCGACCCCCGAGGAACGGGAGCGTATTCGGCAGGAGGAAGACATGATGGAAGAAAAGGTCTACAACATTTGGAGCACACTCTCCACCTTCGAAGAGTCTTCTGCAGCTTGCATATCCGACATGCTTTTACATGTCAGTAACGGAGCATATTTCGACGGAGTCCTTGTGGCGAAGAGGTTCATCGCTCATGTTGAGATCTTATTCGCCGCTGTTGATAAGCTGGCCGCTTTCATCAAATCTCACGGCGTGAAAGGTACATGCTTTATCCCTCCCATCTTTCTTTGTTGACATCCTCTCCACCGCCTCGAAGCTAACAATGACACAGAGTTGACGTATGGCCGGGAAGCGAAATTGCTTTGCAAGAAAATTGTGGCATTTTTCGCGCTCTTATCAAAGACCCAGGAGACAGGGGTTCAAAAGCTTGGTGTGACTCAAGAGCTTCTTTCGCTAGTGACTGGTCTTGCCCACTACTTGAAGCTTCTCATCCGGATTGGCCTCCAAGGAGCTCTCAAGCTCGAACGTGAACAATCCGCCCCTGATGGCTTGAACGATTTTCTAGGTTACCTAGCAGACACTGCATCACTCGCACCCCCTGACGATGACGCCCCAGTCGATCTTACATTCGGCGTAGAGGGTCTCGCAGATCAGCTCTCAGATTGCTGTATCAAGTGCAAAGAGCCTATAGACGACGAGTGCATTATTTTGGACGAGAAACGTTGGCATCTTAAGCCCCCTCATGTCTCCTGCTCTTCATGTGAAAAAGACTTGACAGTGGATCTCTCTGATGCCCTGTGGAGTGAGAGCAAGAAGAATACCTACTGTTCAGCCTGTGCGAATCAACAAAACGTCGCATCTAGCGCCCAAGGCGGCTTTGCTCATGTGACTAAGCTGCAGCAATTTGTGTTCCTCTTACAAGTTGCCCTTGCTCGACTCCTCGCAGTACTTCGTGCCGGTGGAACATTACCTCAATCATCAGATGATCCTAACTTCTATGACCATCAAAGCAAGGATGGCCGCCGTGCCAGCATCCGCCCGCAATCATATGCAGGTGGCCGACAAGGCCAGGAGGAGTCGTCTCTGGAGCAGACCGTCGGTGAGATGCGGCGCCTTCGCTCGATTAGGAATGAAAGGGCCTTGTCTACAACGTACAGGACAGCTCGTGCCTCCAGGATTATCGACGGTCCTGAGGGTAGAAGTGTTCGGCCCGGGTCTTCTGGTAACGATGGGAGTGACCCCCGTGGTCCCGGGTTCCAGATTGTCGAAGAGCGGGACGCCAATGGTGATACTGTGAAGGATTTGACTTTCGGTGCTCAGGATGCTCTGACCTTGGATGACATCCCACGTATAGTTGCAGCTGAACAGGCTAAGGAACAGCGCCCCAATGCTTACAAGCACGCTGGTTCAAAGCTGGTGGGAGTTCAGGAACCCATGCCTGTCTACAAGCCCGGCCACCGGCATGGTATTTCGAGTGACGTCGACGCCCTGATGGGACCGGCCAGCCGTGGCAAACGCTACTTTTCAGAACTCACTGCTCTAGAATACTTTATTGTTCGCCACGTCGCCGTTTTGTCCATGGAGCCACTTTTGGAAGGCCAGTTCACCATGGAGGAACTGCTCTCTCTTATTGAATCGCGAAAGCCAACTATCTGGAACATTTTCGGGCGTGCTTTCAAGGATAATAAGAAAGTTGGTAAGAAGAAGGGAGTCTTCGGTGTCAACCTTGACTTCTTGGTCGAGAAGGAAGGAACCGAGTCCAGTCATGGGGTCGGTCCCGGAGCGTTACGAATTCCGGCGCTCGTGGAAGATTCTGTCTCTGCGATGCGCCAGATGGACATGTCCGTTGAAGGTGTTTTCCGAAAGAACGGTAACATTCGCCGCCTAAAGGAGATCTCAGAATTGATAGATACCAAGTACGAGCAAGTCGACTTGACCAAGGAGACTCCGGTACAGATTGCTGCACTGTTGAAGAAATTCCTTCGCGAAATGCCTGATCCTTTGATGACATTCAAACTACACCGTCTGTTCGTTACGGCGCAAAGTATGTCGCAATTTTCTGATGACCTATTGTGAGAAACTAACTCAAATGTCTTCAACAGAACTCCCGGATCCAGAGAAGCAGAAGCGAGTTCTTCATCTTGCGTGTTGTCTGCTCCCCAAGGCCCATCGCGATACCATGGAAGTTCTCTTCTCCTTCCTCAACTGGACCTCTTCATTTGCGCATATTGATGAAGACACTGGAAGCAAGATGGACATTCACAACCTTGCCACTGTGATCACTCCTAATATCCTCTACCCCAATACGAAGTCGAGCACAGTGGATGAGAGTTTCTTAGCCATCGAGGCAGTGAATTCGCTCATCACGTATAACGACAATATGTGCGAGGTAGGCAACGCCGTCTGGAAACGAAATGATATTTCGAACTCGACTAATTGTGTTCTAGATCCCGGAAGATCTACAATCCATTCTCAGCGATCCCACTTTCTTCAAGGAGAACGCTGAAGTGTCTACGAAGGATATCCTCAAGCGATATGGAGACATTGCTCGCGGCAGCTTCTCGCAACGACCCGAAAATGGAGGCGAGACATTCACCATCAACAACTCCAGCAAGCACAACAACAATGCGACATCAGCTCGTATTGAAACTGATCCGTCGCAGGATGCTGCTTGGCAAATGCAGAGCTCGGTTCGTCATGTCCCTGGGCCAGGTGGTAGTCACTCGCATTCATCGAGTGCCGTAAATCAAGCTGGGTTTGATTTCGGGCCTAGTCCCCAGCCGGTCTATCGCCAACGCAGTGCTAGCAATGGTAGCCAACAAGATGCGTCGGAGGGTCAACCGCAGGGCGTTCCTTACAGGCCTCGTCCAAGCGCTGGTGCCATGGGCGTTACTGGCTAGAAGCCTGGCCTCTTCCGTCTCTATTCTTCTTATCTTTCCTCCCATGCACAGTTGCGCTATCGATATACTCTTTTCGATAACTTTGATTTGCATCACCCAACCCTAGCGCCATACCTCAGTACCAATGGTGTACTTCGTTCCTCTCATCTTCTTTCTAGCTTAACGGGGGCATGCTTAGCGTTACTCAATGTTGTTTTCTTCTTCTCTCACCATATATCGACTGACAGGTTTGGTTGACGGCGTTCTCTTCCTTTCTCCCTACCCCCATGATTACCTCAAAAATTTCTTGAAAAGTGATCGGCGAGCTGGTTGGTGTTTTACGATCGTATTTTCGTCTTTGCTTGCATTTGATTCCGGAGACAAACCTTGCTCATAGCCATAACTCGCTCAGCCATCGATGAACTGTTCTTTTTGCTCTTCTAATTTCCCTGTGGGCGTATATGCTCACCGTCTTTTCTGCAATGGACCAAGGCTCCGAGGTTTCACCTTGGCCATTCCCCCCCCAATCCGACTTTTTGTTGCCGACTTTGTTCTTTTCTTCACCATTCCCCCTTGTGCGTCAATTCGATGTGGATTGAGCGGCACTTTCATGAGAAGTCTACTTTGAACCCGCCCATCACTCGCCAGCCAGCATGATTGCTATGATAACTGTACGGAGTCGTGTAGTTTTGATCTTGCCAAGATCCAATTTTCTTTCCATCCTTTCATTTTGGACTTGTGGCTTAGCTATTATGTTGGATTCAAGTCATTAGCTAGTGTATAAGCTCCATGGCTCATGCTCCATAAATACAGATGCCAGCCTTAAGAAGGCAATGATTTTTTACACCCTCCTATGGCCTTCAACAAGTGTTTAGAAGAGTCTACACCCACTGGCACCAGTGGCATACATACATTCGACTTCTGTCAATACTAGTACATCTCCCGCATTAGCTACTACTACTTAGGAAACCTTCCAAGTTCAACCAAGCCCGGGAGCCATACTAAGTAGATGTCTTGGAGGTTTACTAGTACGTGAAGCCAACATTCAAAGTATCCAACGATAAGAAGCAGTTGTATCGCGGTCAAAGCAAGTACCAACGATGGACCCGGAGTGTACCTCCGGACAGTTTCTAGAGTGGAAGATCCACCATGGGCCTTGATATGAGAAAAGAAAAAAAAAAGAGACAATTACACCTATTATGACCCAGCTAGAAACATTCCCTAACAGCTGCGATCTGATGTCCAGTAAACTCCTACTCCTCGCTCAAAATCATATAGTCCAAGCCGACTACTTTCAGGCGAAAGCAAAATTGAAGATGGCACTCTTAAACACGCTTACGCAGAGCTCGCGTTCCTCGAGACGAAGCCTCGGTTGTAGAAGCAGGTGCTGTGGTCTTGCGAACAGTTGTTGCACTGGGAGCTTTCTTCACGGCTAGAGACGCGGCCTGTCCACGTTGCACAGTTGGCTTTTTCGCGGTTGACGATGCAGTACCTGCGGTAGCCTTCCGAGCAGCAGTGCCGGTTCGAGCAGGTTTGGTCACAGTGGTCCCGGAGGATGTAACAGACGAGACTGTACCAGTGCTATTCTTTCGCTCGCCTTGGCGAGTTGTCGGGCGTGCAGGTAGAGGGGACCTGGCAGGGCGGGGTCCAGTGGCAGCTCGTGCTGTGGTCTTCTTCGCCTGGGTAGGTTGCTGCCAGGCATCCTTGACCGTTGACGTGGTAGCTCCTCGGGGTCGAGAGCTTGGACCAGCCGCGCGCAGAGGGCTGGAGGGTTTGAATGGGGAGGTGGGGCGCGACAGGTACGATGGCTGGCCCTTTTCAGGAGAGGTACGGAAGGGCGACTGCGGGTAATTTCTCGAGTTCAAGGACTTTGGCGACAGGATGCGATTGTCATTGCCTCGCACTTCTTGCGACACAACGCGAGAGGCCCCGCCCGCTGCGGGGGCTTTGCCGCGTCTCTTGGGGTTCTTCAGCCCATCAGGCTCCCCACTGGCTGGTGCATTTTCCTTGTCCGAGTAAAGACCCTCGCGGCTATAGCTTGATTAGTATCAAGGGCAATGCAACCAGGGAGGGGGATCATTACCTGGTGCGGCGCGTACGAGTACCCGCAGGTGAAATGGTCTGATCAATCGAACCAAAGTTTGTTGCAGTTCGAGGGACTTTTGCAGGAGACGCTTTACGAGACGGTGATGCAGATTGTGACTGGGCGTGTGAAGCATTGTGCTTATCAAAAAGTTCACCCATATTCGCTTTTCGGAGGGACAGAGGAATGCGGTTGACGCGTCTCTGGATACGAGACCGAAGGTCATTGGCCTGCAGCGCGTACTGAGCACGAAGTTTCCGAGCTCGTTCAGTAACTAGAGGGGCGGTTAGGATCTCCTCGGGATGCGAAGCACCATTTTGGACCTACTTTCAAGCTGAAGATTGTCTATCAGGGCTTGCTTCTGGTCCTGGGTTAGGCACAGTTTCTTCGCCGGTCTGCCCGTGGGCGTGGCATCAGGTGCGCTGGAAAAATCGGGGGGATTTGCGTTTTAAGGAAGACATCTTGACTTGAGCGACGAAAGACTCCGGTTGAGAGAATAACTGGTTGTTAACGTTGGAAGTCCGACGGTCGAGTTGAGGCGCGGAAACCACAAACAAACAAGCTGCCAGGCGGTCAGCTGCGGCAGAACCGAGCTTCACCTCCCATCGTCATCAACGACAGAACCGCAACCCCCAATCACACCCCTCTCGGTCGTCCCTTCAACTATCTATTCTCTCCTTATCTCCTTCCACCCACCGCCACCATGTCTCTCGAAGCTACGATGATAATGTTTGCGAGCCCTCCCCTTGGCCCTCAAGATCCATCGACTTTGCTAACTGAGACCCGCAGCGTGGACAACAGCGAAAGCAGTCGCAATGGAGATTATACGTAAGTTCGCCATCTCACCGGGGGAGAACATCATATCTAATCCAATCAGTTCCACCCGTTGGCAAGCTCAGGTCGATGCCGTCAGCATTATTCACAGTGTCAAGATGCGCGCACACCCACAGTCCGCCGTGGGATTGATGAGCATGGGCGGAAAGGGCCCCGAGGTGCTTTCCACATTCACTACTGATTTTGGAAGCATTCTTGCTGGTCTTCATGACACTAAGATCCATGGAACGTCGCATCTGAGTTCGAGTATCCAAGTCGCTGGGGTAAGTGGCTGTTCCTGGACCTCCCGAAAGCCTACCAATGTCTGGTTACTCATAAGTTGGGCTACTCTAGTTGGCTTTGAAGCACCGTTCCGAAAAATCCCAACGGCAACGAATTATCGTATTCTCATGCTCTCCCATCGAAGAAGATGAGAAGACTCTGGTCAAGCTGGCTAAGAAGATGAAGAAGAATAATGTGTCAATCGATGTGGTGGCATTCGGTGATCTGGACTCTGATCAAACGAAGAAGCTGGAGGCGTTCGTGGAGAATGTGAATAGCGGCGACAGCTCCTTCTTAGCCATCATCCCACCGGGCCCCCACCTTCTCAGCGAGGAGCTACAAAATACTCCAATCTTGGCCGGCGAAGGTGCCGGTTCTGGAGGCGGCGCTGGCGGCGACGCCGGTGACGCCGGCGGCTTCAACTTCGAGGATGCCGCGGAGAACGATCCCGAGCTAGCATTTGCTCTCCGGTTATCCCTTGAGGAGGAGAAAAATCGACTGGAGAAGGAGAAGCGCGAGCAGGAAGCTCAGGACGGCAAGACAGAGCTTGGTGGAATCCCCGAAGAGGGCCACGGCGACTCCAGCGGTACCAAGAAGGACGATGACAAGATGGATACTGCGTAAATCTGATTCTTCCCCTTCTTCCCTTGGAAATGACCTGTGATGCATACCCGGCGTTTGCTTCTTTATACTCTCTGTACCTGTATATTCCAGAATTTCTGTGTTTCGGCAGACTCTACTGGATGCGAGGAACAATCCTGATCTTTTCGATATTCTCGTGATTATGTACAACCTTCAGTGGCACCAGCTCCGGAACTTTAAGAGCCGCAAAGTAGAAGCCAAACGGGAAAAATGAATCTAGCTCGTAAGGTCATAGTCCCAGTCACTGGGACGCCGTGCTCCCGCATAGGGACTATGTTCTGCCACGCAGCCAGGCACCGAGATGCCTATCGAAGGCTTCGCAGCGCACGGGCATCTCGAGCTGGTAGAACGGGTTTTTCATCACGTAGTCGGCATATAGCTCGTAGACTTTGTTCATGACGGTGTCCACGGTGCCCGAGGTGGGATCTGTGAATAGCAAGAACTTCGTGCCCGTCAAAGTTTGGAAGCAGGTCAATCTGAATTTCTCGGTCTCCAGCGACTCGAGCCCGCTCGCTGGTGTTCCGGGGTTTGGATAGCTGTATCCCGTAGTGGGGGTATTGGCGCCCGGAGACGACACGGCCGGGGAGGTATTGGAGGCGAGGGGGAGCTTCGGAGTTATTGACCGCGTAATCGCATGGACCCTCGACGCCAATTGTTAGCGAGGTTGCATGGGGATCTTCAAAAGCACTGGGGACCGGAGGAAAGAGATACCCATGGAAAGTGCCGGCGAGGACCAGGTAGTCATTAGTGGAAAGCTTGCGCAGACCGGCTTGGAACTCGCGCTGGTAGATGAGACCACCGGCCTTATTTATGATGATGAGGGAGAAGACAGTCCTGAGGTGCAGATTAGTAGCATTTCCCAGGGGACGGTGGGGAGGACACACATCGCGGAGACGTTGGGAGGTAGGAAGGTCAATATTGACAGCGTGGCCGAATTAACGGGAAACAGACGGTAAGACTACTCAGTCCGTGGCATGCTTTCCGATGTTGGGAGACAGCACGATGCAAAGGGCAGTCAAAGAGCCAAGTTTATACCGCGCCAACTGGAAAGCAACTGGAAAGCAACTGGCAAGCTCATCGCGCGGGGAGTCGAGTCGGGGGTCCAAGAGCCAATCAGGATGCAGCATTCCCGGCTCACTGACCGTCCTCGTTATAGGAGAATTTGAGGATATTCTTTTATGGCTAGGGCGAAGATGATACCGTAATCTCCGAGTTCAACTTTCACGGCTCAACTTGAAGCTTGTCACTGTGTTACTGTCTGTCACGGTGTACATAGCGCCGAAGACGGATCCGCTATATATTTTCGTTGTAGCCGCCTGCAAGATGGAGAGGACTACTAAACAAAAGGAAAAGGAACAGAACAAAGAAAGTTCATAAACCAATGTGGACATCACGAGACAGCGGATACCAGAAGCATTTCGAATTACTCCAAATTCGAGTTCAAATTGCAGCTTAAAAATCTACAAGTCTTTAGGGAAGGATACGGAAGGAGAAGTTGCGAGACCGGCCTGTCTCCATGGATATCGGGGCCTAGATACGAGAGAGAAACTTCAAGATAATTGACCAGGATCTCTTCGAATACCTTTTATGACGAAAAATCAACATTCCGAGGGACCCAGACTCGGACTTGGATGAGAAGGGCTTTCCTAGCTCCTTCGATAGGCTAGCACATTCGAATTTTGGAATGTATGTATATGTGCTATCCGCCAACATTGCAGGGAAATGAGCAGAGCTCATAGAACTGAATACGAAGGATTCCTTGATTCCGTATCCGTGATCGTTAATTCAAAGCGAATACAAAGTGTATCGAAATGGATCAGGTACAGAGAAGGTTACTCATAATGAACTCCGAGGGTGTCTCTGATCTTCATTATTATGATGGCGGGCTAATTCCTGCGAAGGGGTCAATTGATCTCTTCTCATCTTGAAGTTAGGCCCGGAGGTATCTAGATCTGGCAGTGCGGATGATTTCGACCCTCCATAGAAGCTTGGGGCAACGAATGTCAGCCGAGAGAAGCCTACAAGCTCTACCTGTCCTTGCCTTGTGGGAATAGATACTATATGTGACCTGCAAAACGGGGTGTGCTTTCAAAATATTGGGCCGGGAACGAAGGCGGGCTCTTCCCCTCAGTTACTGTAGGAGCCGCGTCACATTACGGTCATGCCAGGCCTGGTGTTGCACAAGGTGGTAGAGTGGATTGCCATGAAACTTGGTCATAAGCTTCGTCAGAGGTTTGTTTATTTGTCTACAAAACGATAAATTGACCACTGGCTGGCTCGCGGAGCCCCAACATCTAAGCACAGCTGTACACCACGGGGTTGCGATTTGCTACAGGATTGACGGTATCCAGAAGTAGTGACCTGATACCCAGACAATCCCGAAGCCCTGGCTTGGGCCCAGACCAACGCCTACCATCGATGATCTATGATCTGTCAGCTATCTGTTCCCCTTTGAAAGGGGAAGAGGTCACGAAGAGCTCGCTCGATCTCGGAGCCCAACGATACGGGACGATATCGATTGTATGTACGTGACGCAGCGTACGGAAGTAACAGAAGCTCGCTTGATCCCCGCGGATCTGGGGGCCTCGTAGCGTCTACCAACAGTGAGAGCTTGGCACATTAGGCAGAGCCGTCAATTAGCTTACGGAGCGAAACCCCCAGGAATTGGATGATGCGAAGGGGCGCATGGGGTTTGTCGCGTCAAGCGATGGGGATGTGTAATACGAAGTGGAGCACGGTGAAACGCGAACGTGGAGAGACGGCGTCAGCTTCACATCGATTCCGGAGAGGAGCCTTGGAAGAAAGCTTGAATAAATGACCGCCTGGCTCCCTTGTTGATGGGGAGATGGACTAATGGGATCCGAACCACTAGGGAGTGTTGGATCCGGTGGCTGTGCTGGAAGATCGCCATCGTTGGTTTCCACCAACACACCGGAGAGCCGTGATGTCAACGCGCCTTGGCTCTACGGTTTCTGCCAGTTATCATTGCCTATCGTATGGGACTCATTGGATCAATCTGTATAGAAAAGAGAACAACATTAACTCCATGGCTCTCCAAAGGACTCCCGGCCCCAATGTTTGGTACGCAACTGGAGATCTAAAATACCGGACGCTAAAATGCAAGCACAGCCCGCTCCAACCCAACCCAACCCAACCCAAATGCTAAGATAATGGCCGTGCACCCTGGCCTCGCCTCGGTCATCGTCCAATGCCTCCGAGGGATGCAAGACGAAATTGCCCGTCAACGAGCTGTAAGATCCCCTCGCGAAGGCCCCACTCGCGTAGGAGGACGTCTTCGTTGGCGTGAGAGAGAGTCTGGGGATCGTCCCGTTCGACATGTCGCCCGACGTGCTCCATACGCGCGTCCCAGCTTCCTTCGCCGGAGAACACTTCTTGGCAAAACACGCATTGGCTGTGCAAAGGGGGTTGTCGCAGCTCGTGCCAGCACCGTTGGCGCACCTGCTCGAGCCCAGCCTCGAAGGCTGCCTGCTCATCCTCGGAAGGTGCTCTTCGGCGTCCTGGCTGCTGCCAAGGCGCGTGTATCCGGCGTTGGTGCTGGGTGAAGAGATCTTTGCGGTTAAAGTCATTGGGTTGCCCGGGTGGTGGAGATGAGTTCTGCGAGCGCGACCGGGGATGGTGGTTGCATTTCCCCACATCACAACGGTAAAACCCGAGCTGGAGATGTTGAGAGAGGACGTGTCGCTTCCATTCGTTCTTGGAGACAAAGATGCTTTCGCAGCCGTACCAGGCAAAACTGCATATAAACGTACGTGTGGTGCCTTCGGGATGAGCGGGCTGGGCTCCTCGACGGTGACGGTTGCGCCCTGGTGTAGACGTTGGTCGTTTCTCTGCGGGTTTCCGGACCCCTCGCAAGGCCGAGTCCGGGCGAGTCTTGGATCTGTGTACGAGAGGCCGTTGTGGGAATCCTATCTGTTCTGCAGAGAGCGGGGATGACCATTGTTGCTCGGGAGTGACTTTGCGGTCTGATTGACCGCCAGGCCATGTGTCTCAGGTCGTAGTTGAATGGCGAATATTCTCAGGGTAGATCGGGGCCCTGTGGCTGGGGCAAGGCGCTTGATCGACCTAAGGGCAAAGCGGCGCTCTGGGGAGGATATGTGGCGTGATGGTCAAAGGCAGAAAGACGACCGTCATCTTCTCGATACGTAGATGTAGCAGTGGCACTGATCCCAGGAGTACTCCCGCTGTTACTGCTGCGGGGGCTTTGGGGGTCTGAAATGCCTGAAATTCCACCATTCCAATATGCCAAACGATCGGTGTAGGTTGGCTGTTCTTGTGGGAAGTAGCCCACTGAGAAGGAGGGGTCATGATCTCTCCACCATTGGGACTGTGGGGGTAAAGTATGCACTGGGGCCTGGTTTGCCTTGAGGTCTGCGAAAGTGGTCTGGAACTGGAATTGCGCATTGCACGCGAGAAAAGGGTCCTCAATCGACAGAGGCGGCTCATAGGTCTCGAGAGCCCGTCCAGAGGCAGTGGTCAAGGGCTCCGCGTGGGCCACGTCGGTGTACGGTGGGTAGGAATCCATGACGCCCGCCTAGTAAGAAACAATCTCCGAACGAGCTTGCTTCCTCACGATGGACAAGAGGTTCTGAAGAGCGAAGATACCCCGAAGTTCGAGTTGGTATCATAAATCGTGGGGGGAGTTGGCGGGTTCATAGAGAACCAGTTTAGCGGGCCCATGTGCTGTACTAGAGTGGAAGCCCCAGTCAATGAACAGCCCATTCCCAAAAAAAAAAAAGATACGGTGGATTAGTGGGGCCATGATGAGCCTCAACCAGCCGCCGGGCCTTTTAGACGGGGGAGCGAGAGGACAAGATGGCCCCAGAAAACTCGAGAACAGCCAAGAAGCAATCAGTCCTGCGGAAACAAGCTAAGCACCAACGCGCTTGGCTTGGACCCAAACTGCCCTAAACGCCGACGTTGAACTAGTAGTCCCAGTCACTGTCTGGCACCACAGCTGCCCACGATGCCCATTCTACCAGAAGCGAACGCCTTAATGCTGTATTCCTCAAAACTTCCTGAAAGCTTGCAAAGGTTGCGATTGATGATAATTGGCGGAGGTCGAAGAATTCCTAGTGGGGAGAGGGAGGCTATGCCGATCAACGTTGTGCTGTCTGCCTGTACGGGATATGAAATGTATAATTAGAAGAGACGGGCAACAGACATGCTTGGGAGCTTGGCATGGGCCGGCACTGGCTAGTATTGGCTGAGGGAATTTCCCTGTGATTTACTAGGATTTCGCGAACTCTTCGTCTTCAGCTCGGATCCGAGGATAGGAAACACTTTGAGATCCTGCGATCCCGAAGGCTTGGGAATCTTGACCCGCTCAATGCCGGGCTTCTGGCCATACAAGCTTACCTTGGAAACTTTTGGACCCCAAACTTATAGGTCCTGTTTTGCCCTGGCATGCTCGATATTTCCCTTTGGGCTTCGGGTCTTTTGTTCTTCTGTTGACATCCTCCTTTTGCCTCTGGGGGGGTGGAGCCCCAAACTGTGTACTTTTTTTATTCTCTTCTTCTTTCCTCCCCTTCTTTGCGCCTTCCTATTACTCACACTCCGAGATTCTAGCCGTATTACTCCGCGCATACAGCACGCGAGAGATCAGGTCAGTTGTTGTAAGTACCAAATAGGTTGTCGGATGCGGTCTAGCCAGCCCTTATAGTGTGGCTACTTTCTCCACCGGTAGAACGCTTTGTTTCCCACGCAACTTCAGACTTCAACGAGAATCCCCATGGCTTCCAGACCGTAGATTGATACGAGACCGTGCCTAGTGCTCTTGGAGCTTGGAGGTATCTCTAACATTTGCCGGGACAGTTTAATCCGGGATCTGGCCTCACACGCTTACTTAGAACAGCATTGCTCCCGTTGATCGTCCCCTGTACGGAGTACTCGTCAACTGGTTCAATGTGGCCCACCTCTGATATGAGGAGGCTGGGTAGTGATTTTGAATTGGATTTCAGCGTGGAACCACATTCCCAATGCCCAATTCCCAACTCTCAGTTCCAAATCAGCCCCCGCTGTGGGCTTTCCTGGAGAAATGGATGAGCTTGCAAGCGAACAAGAATCTGCCCCAGTCGCCCAGTCCCACGGACCATGGCTGGGTGTCGTCGAGCACACCCCAAGTGGAGCAGTTACGGGACCCACGGAAATCAGAATCATGTATATTATTAGTTCCATCTACGGAGTACTCCGCAGTGAGCCGTGCATTGTACGAGTAGTTTGGTCTGAGGATTCCCCCGTGGAAAACGGCCCCCACGTTCACTCCTTCTTCACCGTGCGCGACCAGTTCTTAGGAACCCGCACCAGCCAGTACAGAAAAACGGCCATGACGATGTTGAAGCCAATGTACACAAACAAGAGCCCCACGTTGCGCCAGTGCTCCGAGAACTTAATCCCGATATTCGCCAAGAACGCATCGGTCGTGGTGATGGAGCACACCTGGCAGTCGCTCGTCGCGTTCCAGTCCCTGAGGCTGGCCTGCATTTGCCTGACATAGTCCCCAAGATAATCTCCGCAGGTCATGTCCTTTGGAGGTGGAATCGTCAACCATTCGATGTCCGAGCAGTGGGCGGAGTTGCCGGCCAGGCCGACAGACAGCACATCGGACACGAGATACGTGAACGGAGATACTCGGTACATGAAGATCCAGAAATGAGGGAACTGGCCGGGCTGAGCCAAGACACTATACGTATTGAGTCAGCGAAGATCTTGGATTGTTTCCCCCCCCCCCCTGTTCTTTTCCAGTACTTACCCACAGAATACCAAGGACAACGAGAAGAGCAGCTGTGCAATGTTACTACCGGTCTCTGGCTGCTCAATGCCGGCAATCATCATGGAGCTGAATGTGGAGGTGAACATCAGGAAGATCAGAATCAGCAAGAACATGGTTCCGCCACGATTCATAGCTTCCCCGACCGGCGCGTTCCTGTACAGACCGATAGGATAGTACCACGAAAAGAAGGTGGGGACGGCCATGATGAGATTCCACGGGAGTTCCACGAAGATGCTGGCCAGCATGAAGGCTTTCCACGAGTATGCCTTGGACGGACGCTCGCGCACTTCATACAAGGCACGCTGAACACAGAAACTGGGCATCATTTGTTGGACCAGATTGGGGAAGATCATGAGCAGCATAAAAATGGCGAACATTTGGTTTTGAAGTCCCTGCTGGCTGTTGGGTTCGCGCCAGAAACTGAATCCAATGAAAACGGGCTAGAGAAAGCGTGAGTAACCATGCAGTGGCAGCCCCCAAGGGGGGGGTGACCGTGTCGACTTACCGGAAAGACACACATAGCGGCCTTCGAGTACAAATATCCCGGACTCCGGTAGTATTGCTGAACCATCCGGCGAATACAGATCAAGAACTGATACCAGATGGGCGCGGCAAACTCGCCATACCCTGTCGCCGCCGGAGATATAGGCTTCTGAAGCGATTCCGCTTTCATCTGCGCGAGTTCCTCCCGCACACGTTTGCGTTCAGGACTGTTGGTCCATTCCGTAGCCCAATCGCGATCGGCATGGGATCCAGGCGCCGCTCCGATGACCTCAAGCATCCACTCGGCCGGATTGGCGTTGTCGGGACAGCGAGACGAACCCTTTTCCTCGAAATACTTTATCAGCGTCTGCATATTGGAGCCCAAATCACCGAAATAGACCGTCCGTCCACCCCGGGCCAGGAACAATAACCGATCGAATTGTTGCATCAAGATAGCCGAAGGCTGGTGGATAGTGCACAGCACCGCTTGACCATGGTCCGCGAGCTTCCGCATCAAGGAACAGATCGACCAGGCCGTTTGACTGTCGAGACCCGATGTCGGCTCATCGAAGAAGAGAAGCAAGTCGGGTTTGGCGGCGATTTCCACACCAATGGTCAACCGTTTCCGTTGCTCAACATTCAGGCCTTCCCCCAACACACCGACGATCGCCTCCGCGTACTCCTCCATATCAAGCATCTTGATTACCTCCTCGACGTATGCAACCTTTTCTTTGTAAGGAATGCTGTGCGGTTGACGGAGAAGAGCACTGAAGGTCAGCGCCTCGCGAACGGTACTGGTCTCCAGGTGCAAGTCTTGTTGCTGAACATAGCCGGTCTTCCGTTGGAATGAGCCATCTCTTGGCCGTCCATCCACAAGCATGTCGCCGGTAATGACACCAGTGGTGACCCGATTCGCGAGCACATCAAGCAGAGATGTCTTTCCCGCGCCCGTTACACCCATCAAAGCCGTCAAGGTGCCCGGTTTCACCCATCCATCGACACCATCGAGGATGCGACGGGGTTGTCCCTTGATTTTAATGTCGTAGCAGACATTTTCCCAATGGAAGATGGAGGTCTGTTTGGCAAGATGAGCGGTCTGGTCCTGCGATTCTCTCACAACTTGACCCTTTTCCGTGAGAGAATTCTCAGCATCATCACTGGGAGGTTTCTTCGCGAAGGCGGGGATATGGCGACGTGGGAAGACCAGGATTTCACCCTTGGAGGGCTTGGCGCGAATGAACTCGCTGGTGATGATGTAGAGGGCAAGGAAGAAGACGTAGAAAGCGGCCAGGATACCGAAATTGCGCCACAGGTGCTCCTTGTAGTACTCGTATGTGGTGTTGATGTACGCATCTCCGTCCACAAAGGGTTGGCCGGCAACAGCGCCTTTCTCGGCACAGATAGTGTTGCTTAATGAGACATGCTCGTAGCCAACGCCAGCGGGAACATAGGCTGTGCAGTTGAACTGCCGGTCACTGAACTCATTGACCATGAGAGACTCGAAAGAGTACGCGATGGGATTGAGCCAGTTCAGCCATCTGAACCAGGGGTGCATATCGCGAGTGGGGATCGCGAAGCCGGTGTAGATAACGAGAGCCAACATGAAAATAGATGCTGGAACCGTGGCCTGTGCCATAGTTCGGGAAGCAGCTCCGATCCATCTGAACATATTCGACATCACAAGGGTGGTGCTGAACGAGAACAGAAAGAAGATGAAAAAGTGACCGGCTGTTCGACGGAGATCCGGAATGAAATAGATGATCAGGTTGAAGGTAACAGCCATCATGAATTTCGCCGGTAGATCAACGAGGTAGGAGCTAATTGCTTCTGCAGACGGGTGATAAAGAGCATACTTGTAGTGCTTTTCCACAATGGGTCTCTGTTGCCACAAGGTAAGAATCTCCAGGGCGCTTGCGAAAGCATTGATCAGAATGGCAAAGAAGAGCAAAGATCCTCGTTGGAAAAAGCTGCTCGTATTGTCCGGCAAGTTGATGAAGACCGTGGAGATGATGATACCCATGATGGTGTTCCCGAGAACGGATGCAATAGTCACACTCATATCACCCTTCAACCGCAAGAATCCTCGCCACAAACAGAGGCGAATCTGCATTGGGTATGAGAGAGTATAAGGGGATGAAGCACGGGTGCCCCTGGCCTTTTCAGCCGCCCGCGAACGGTCGAAGGCGTCACGGTGTTTTTCCAGGTTCTGGGCCTTGTGGGCTGCAATCTCCTCCAGAAGCTTGGCACGTTCAGGACTTTCCTTCCAGCGCGCCGCAAACTCATCAGGAGTTCGAGGAACCTTGTTCTCGAAGCCAGGGCGCGCCGCACGTTCCGACGGGCTCGTGAGGGAGGTTAAGAAATCCGCGGTGGTTTGTCTACTTGGGCAATCGAATCCCATCTCCATGAAAAACCGACGTGCCTCATCAGCCCGACCGAAGAAGATCTGGCGACCCTGATAGAGCACGATGGTCTTATCGAAAAGGTCATAGATAGAGCTGACTCGCCTGGTAGATTGCCACTACAGCGGTGGTGCCACTGTATTCACTGGCGAGGCGCAGATTTTTCACGAATTCCAGCGCAGTAGAACTATCCAACCCACGGGTACTGTTATCCCAGCATTGCAGTGGACTCCCACACAAGGTGGTTTCAGCAATGCTAACACGTTTGCGCTCACCCCCCGATACGCCGCGGATGAAGTCGCTCCCTACTTTCGTGTTCATCGTGTGCGAAAGACCAAGCATGGCCATGATCACGTCTCGCATATGCTGAGCATATTGGTCGCGAGTCACACCAGGTAGACGATTGTTCGGGGTGCGCGCCTGGGCTGCGAAAAGCAAGGTTTCGCCTGTAGTTAACTGTGGGAAGTGGATTTCGGTTTCAGCCTGGTATAGTACTTCGCCCCGGAATCGACTGTGCATCTCCTCCCATGTAAGTCCCTCGTACTGCACGTCGACCCCTTCATCCAAGAAAAGACCATGGGTTTCACCGGCAATCGTCTTCAGGAATGTCGAGCATCCACTGCAACACAGCGAGCATACATATTAGTGGGCCCGTTCTTTCTGTTCTTTTTCCGTGATGTGCACAGAGAAAGCAATGTCCATGTATAGAACACTTACCTGCCAGGACGACCAAGGACCACCAACATTTCGCCGTGTTCCACCAACCCTTCGAAGTCGCGCAGAATATCAATGCGAACTTTCTTGCCCAGCCCCAGTAAATGGCGAGCCCCGTCGAACATTTTCAGCCAGACGTTGGCAAAGTTCAACTGGTAGTCCGCAGCCGTGCCATATCCAAAGACATTCAGGTTTTCGAACGAGACACCGGCGGTACGGCCGGGGAAACCGACCAGGGTTGCAAGTCATCTGCAGTGTGTTGCGAACCCATTTGCGCGAACTGAAGTCGGAGGAATTTGGGTCAAGTTCGGGGTCTCGTGTAGGATCGAGAAAGGTGTTGATTGCCTCGTCAGACACGCACGCGACATTTTTCTCCTGCGACAGCCGGGTGAAAGTGCGCGCGAGGTCCTGGATGTCTTTGTCTCTGGTCTCATCGGAGATTGCTGAAGTTGCTGAGTCGTCGTCGACGGGCTTGGTTCCCGACGAGAGATGTTCCTCAACCTGCTGCAACGTATTGGCAGCTGCCACAGCACCACCGAAAGGTGCTGGGGGTTGTGGCGGAGGTGTCGACATCGCAACTATCGCATTTGTATAGAAGTGGGGCGCATTCACTTGAAGCAAAGGACGAAACTTGAAGGACTTCAAATGCCTTGGAACCAAAATAAAGTAGAATGCGTAGAATGTGCGATTTGACTGGGCCTCTAATAAAGTTTTATTCTAACCCAGAAGTCTGGGGGCTGGAGCTCAAGGGGTCCTTGTGTTTGCTTCTCTGGGTCGTTCGATTGAAGGGATGATAGAACACGTTGAATATCAAGTACCAGGTACAAGGCGCTCCGCGGTCGCTTTGCAGGGAGCACAGGTACCACTACAACCACCGGAAGATCCAACTATCCTCGGGACAGCAAATTAGGGCTCGGCTTGGCACTTTTGACGCGTGAAGATCGACAGAGCCTTGCGTTCGCAATCAAATATGTTTACGCAGGACATGAGGTGATCCAATCAAGTCAATGGGTCGTAGTGCGAGATAATCCTACGGTTGGCTACGTATTCCCATCGTATCCCCACCAGGCATGTGGATTGGCCACATCAGTCAATCGCCTTTTTGGGATAGCGAAGCGTCTCGGGTGCATTTTATCTTAGAAAATGAATCAAGAAATTTACGATTGAGAATTCAAGAATAGTGTGAGAAGACGGACTAGTGGGGAGTACAGTAGAAATCACGGCCAGAATGATGAGAGGGCGTAGGCTATACTAATTTCATACCAAAGAACCTTGCTCGCAGCTCGGCTCAATGGCCACAACCACATTCTTCGATTTCTACATACAATTGCTTATCATACGCAGCGTACTACTGTGCCGTAAAGACTTGCAATCTAAGACCTCCTCCTTACCTTATCCCCCTGGCCTCCCGGGGCCTCGCCCATTCTTGTGAACCGCCTAAGCCTGCAGGACGACCTGCCGCCACATGGATCGTCCCTTTGCGGCTGCAGCTGCCGCAGCATCGACATAATTGGTGGGAGGCAGAACCTGTTCCTGAGCTCGGACTCCTTGGGTCGCCCGGAGAACACGTCCATGCACCGAGATCGCCTCAGCTGCCACGTGGGTGTAGGTCCGACCCGCGAAGAAGAACGAGGTCTCAAAGCCAGTTCGCTTGCTCTCACCCAGGTAGGAGCGGGATCCGTATTGGTCGGTGATGGCATAGAATCGCCAGATTGCCGTCTCGGTATCCCCATTCCACGATACATAGACCGCAGTACCGGAGGGGGTCTTTTCGGCCACGATCGCAGGCTCCTCGTTGGGAATGCCAGTCCAGTTGTACCTAAAGGCACGGTAGTTCTCGACTCCTTCTCCGAGAAGACCAGAATCCATGTAGGCATGAAGAATCGGGGTGCCGTCCGACTTGAACTCGGTCAGAGCTCCCTCGGAGCCCCAGTTGACCAGTGCATTGCCATTGGGGAGGACTTGTGTGCTCCCCTGAGACTTCGCAAGCAGTCCATCGGGGGGCTGGAAGGCCTGCACGATCTCGGCCGTCCACTTAGCCGTGTTCACCGAGATAATCTTGCCCTGGGAGAAGGGGTGGGTGTGAACCTCGTGGCCGTGGTGGTTTTCAGTGCCATGGGCAGAGTTATCGAAGAGGGAGATGACCTCCTCGTCTTCACTCTGTGAGATAAAGCGGGCGTGATGCTGGAAGCAGAACGCGACGTTCGGGCCCAGCTCAAAGTCAGACCTGAGACCACCCAGACGCCAGATGATATCCCCAGTGGTACCGTTGATCTTATGGACAGCGCACGCATCACGAGCAGAAATGAGATAGTTACCTGCAGCGTCTTTGTCCACCGAGTTTATATGGAAATAATCCCAGGCGTCGGACGAGTTGTAACCGGAGCCTGCTTGTCCTGGGTTCAGAGGGAGGACAGCCTCTGCGAGCAATTAGTATTCGAAGCTGGACTTCCCATGGAATCCTTAGCATACCATCTGGAGTAACGTGGTCGAGGCTGGCCCATTCAAACAGCAATTCACCGGTTTCAATATTAAGTTCTGTCCATTGTAAGTAAAGGGAAAACAAAAATGAAAAGGCTTAGGAAATGACTTGGTCATCGCATACCCTGGATGATCGCGTTCACAATCCACTGCTGCTCGGCACTACCGCCCCATCGACTCAAGTCCGTCGGGATAGGCTGGTAGATCTGGATCAACCCAGTCTTTTCATTGATGACATGGAACTCGTGCTTATCCATGAGCTTATGGTTGCCTGCCCGTAGTTCGCGAATGGTCTCGTAATTCTGGTTCAGGAAGGTGGCGTGGCCATGCCCGTGGCCATAGGCGGGGTTATGATCACCCTCAAAGCTGAAGAGCACATCCTGGCCCTTCCATTTGGCCGCTTGGAAGTTGGCCGTCCAGATCGAGTAGTAGGTGTACCCAGACCATACCAGTTCACCATCATCTCGGAAGATGTAGGGAGCCTCCTGACGGGGACCGTGATGTTCTGGATCGGGGAATTGACCTGGGAAAGGCGCGATGAACAGATATCCCTTTTCAACATCTTTAGTCGCTGGAATCGTGATGTTCAGACGGGGAGGAGCCAAGTCTGTACGAGACTTGAACTGCCAGTCCGCAGTCGCGAGGGGCAGCAGCGCAGATGCGCAAGCGAGGGCTTCAAGAACCTTCATCGTGAAGGAAACTAGGCCAGGGATCAGTCTCCATGATGCGATATTGAGTTCAGCATAGGGTACATTAACCTTAGATGGGTACTCTGCACTGGGGGAGTTCGGGACTCGAGTTTGTGTATCAATCCTGGTGTGTGCGAAGAAGCTCATAGGATGCAGAAACCCCGCGATTAAATAATGTCAGACGATAAACGTCATTCAAAGCTATTTGGTGCAATTGTGTGTACCGAACAACCGAGATCGTGCCAGGAGCCCACTGGATGTCGTGATCGAATTCAACCGCTCCGCAGTGGGGGGCTCGAGGCCGCGCTTTTCCCCATCGAGTCCCCGCGCTGGACTCGGATTTGGTCGTGACTAACCGATTAAACACTTGGAGTACAGTTCCATTTTCACTTGTAGGTCCTAACCGTAAGGACTTTGAAGCTTCTCCACTCTCGCACGAGACGCATGGCTGATTTGAATGACATAGTCATATTTCCACATTTTGACAATCTTGGAAATTGGAGCTACTACAGCAGCAAGTTGGGGATAATCGAGGCCATAATAAGTCGGGACTCGGATTCACTGTGGTGACTTGCAATTAACCCGTGAGACGCAAAGCAGAGGGTAATCAAGCTGAAGGCGCGTTTCATCTGCTAAAGGTTCTGAATGCTTAAGGCCTGTAGCATGAGCTCGAATTGTATTCCTTGGTCGAAAGTGCGTCTGTATGCTTATGAAGCCGATAATCCATGATTCAAGTCTCGGTGATGCGTTCACGCCCGTGGACAGGTTGGGAGTTGCGAAGGGGAGAAGGAGAAATCAGAAGGAAACGTTTGCTACTTAATATCTGGAGGCGTCGAACCCAACTGGATGGCAGAACGTGACTAGCTCGGCCGTCACCAGTGAGAGCGCCTGAAACGACATTCTCGAAAAACTGCATGCTATAGATACTAAGGCAAATCAAACTTATCTAGGTAGCCCTGGATCCTACATATATTCTTGCTAATATTGACCTCTCGGAGTTCAGCTGTGATTTCACATTGTACAGGCTAGATCTAAGATTTGGGCTTCTTGTTGTTATCCTCGCTTCCTATAAGTGTGGAGGCATTGGTGGATGTATTATCGCGTACGAGGTGAAGGTCGATCAGTCTCCTGATTTCCCGAACAAACGAATCGTCTTTTGGTTGTCTTCGGACACGATAAAGCCCGTTGCACACTTTAACCCAAGGATACTTCTTTCTCCGATGACGCATACTATTAGCTCTGTAAAAAAACGCAGTATGAGCATCCAACCAACCCGTCAGATTTCTAAGCATTGAAATTAGCAGCGAATCAATCATGAGGTTATTGAGACTTTTGATTCGGCGAGAATCGCTCCCGTCGCTTAGATTTAGAGACCTTACTCACTTTGGATTTCTCCACTCCTCCAGCGTTTGACAGGCCTCGAGCGTATCCTGATGATGCGGCATGACCTTCTTTCTCAAATGAACACATTCGGCCATGAGAGATTCGGCCTCTGAGTGCCGGCCCTGGCTTTTAAAAAGAAGGGCCAATGAGTCCATGCTTCGCAACACGAACGGATGATCTGGTCCGACGATCCTCTTGCCACGCTCTAGTGCCTCAACGTATACAGCTTCAGCTTTGTTTAGCTTCCACAGATCAAAGTATAGGTCTCCTAGGGCAACCATTGCATGTAACGACCATTCATCGTCTTCCCCGCGAGTTCTTCTGCAGTGATCCAGATGAAACTCAGCAAGCTGAAGCGTGTCATGCAGGCGACCTTGAGAAAGATAGATCATAGTCAATTCGCCAATTGCGTTTGTAAGTCGTTCATCTTCTAGCCCAGAGTTCAGGACAAAGAATCTGACTGCTGGCTTGCAGAGCTCCTCTGCTTCTTTGAGCTCTGATTTGTGTCGATGCAGAGACGCCAGCTTTATCTGGAGATCCATGAATAAGGGATCGTTCGGGCCGTTGACTCTTTTTTGAGTGTCCAGGAGCTGTTTAGTTAGACAGGTGCTTTTCTCAAAATCCCCTAGGCCCTGATATATACTCGCTAAATCATATCGAAATTCGAAAATCGCTAGGTCGTCTTCGTCACACATTTTCTCCAACAACTCTAGGGCTTGTAAAGAATAACCCTTGGCTGCTTCGTATTTGCCTTGGAAGCGATAACACATGGCAACATAATGAAGCAGATCAGCCTTCTCCCTCGATTCGGGCCCTTGGGACGTCAGCGAGATAATTCGGCGTGCATGGGGCAGCCATGCTTGCAGTTCTTTCCTTGGAGTGTGCTTGATGGCAGGAAATTGGCCTCGTACTACTGTCAATGCAAACTTTTGCCAGTCTCTCAGAGTATTTGTCGACATAACCCAGTTTCTTGTGGCCAGATGTACCAACCGGTGCATGGTGATATAAGAGCCATCCTGGCAGACGCGGATAAAGGAATACGAGCTCAGCAGACCAATTGCTTTCTCCCTTTCCAGGCTCGAGGCCTGCGGAAGTATCAAAACAGGGATCTCAATATGACTGATACAAGCTATAAAGGAGAGGTAATCTGCGGCCAATCGGTTCAGCTTCCTGATCTGCATGAACGAGGTAAGCCACGTAGTGGCGACAGGGTTTTTAGCGCTTTTGTAACGCCCTTCATCTTCAAAGTCTTCGCTCAGAAGCTCGATGGCATCCTGTTCTTGACCGTCTAGTAACTTCAAGTACCTTGCAATTTCCATATTGTTTTCATTGATGAATGAAGCCGCCTGGGAAATGGCCAACGGAAGAAAAGTGAGGCGATCAAGGAGGGTTTGTGTGGCAATTTTGTCGCTGAGAATAGTTTTGTCGATGAGGGCATTGCTGAACATTCGCGTCGCTTTTTGCTCATCCATTTCTGTGATATGCACTACATGTTCCCGAGCCAGAAAATTCGCAATTTTGTTGCTCCGTGTAGTAAACAGAACTGTACCTCGGTGACTGTGCGGAAGAATTTCTCTCAGCCCTTTCTCAGCTGAGCCTGACGTATCGTCCTGCCAAATAGAAAGATCGTCCAAGTTATCAAAGATCAAAAGCCACCGCCCATGGTACACCTGGCTAAGATATCTCTGGACTATGACTCTCACGTCTTCTTTGCGTGGGTCAAAGCCTGTGATCCCCAGCTGGTGTGCAATGTCATGATAGGCATGCTCTATGCTCGACATGTCGACGGCCGCAACCCAAAAGATAGCACAATGTGGGTATATTTCTCTGGCTTGATATGCAATTTCAAGAGCGATTTGAGTTTTGCCTACGCCTCCCAATCCCACAATCGCGATTCTCTCCGCGGAATCACCCGAAAAAAGCATTCTTTTGATCTTCGGGATGTAGTCTCGGTTGACAAATTTGGCATTTCGCTCCAGAGGCACGGCCCAACAAGGCTTTTGAAACGGAAGGTCTGGCAGTGAAAGGGTAGTGCGGGTTCTTTGATGAAGGATCTGCGTCTTATGCTCCTTTTATCACGCACGAATCAGCATCGCAACTCGCTCCAAAGTTCCTGTCTACCGAGCAATCCTTACCTGGACTTCAATGTCAAGATCAAGGCCGGCCCTTTCTAGTCATCCATAGGTATGAGCCAACGCATTGGAATGGAGTATATGGTGATAGACTTACCTGTTTTCCCTGCCAGATTCAGCACACAATCTTGCACGCGAGCCTTCTGGTTCGAATGATGCAGATAGTCGTGCGTCGCGGACTCTATCAAGCTTCGCTTTCCGTAGTCCGCCAGATGGACATCCTGTAGACCTTGTTCCACATTGAAGCGAAATATACGCTTTTCCCTGCATTCGCTACTCCATCGGGCCATGAATCGTCGCTCGGTGCTCTCTGGCTTGATGGCTAACCCTACCAGGGTCTTGGAGATGAATCTCAACACGTTATCATCCATAGGCATTCGGGCAAAGCAGCCTGTCCCAATGGACAAGAAACACTTGACCAGTGGCTTGAGTTCACGAGTACTGGTGCACCAGATATCTGCAGCTTCCTCTTCAACTTCCTCGACTGGGTTATTCGCGCCGAAAGCACCATCCACAAATACCCGATCTCCAATATAAGCGGAGTCAAAGTATCCTGTTGCAGCAGAGGTAGCGAGTGCAGCTTCACAGATGGTAGCGGGGGTAGGATCTTCATTTGACACCCCATAGCTCCGCAATCTCGTCACTTGCAGCGTGTCTTTGGCGGTGGTACAAACAAAGGATCTACATCGACGAGGGTTTCCGTCGTCCATGAGCGCGTCGGGTTCGAACCCAGCGCGAACAATGACATGCTCGATAGCTGCTCTCAGCTTTGTGCTATCAAACTTTGGTCGAATTTCTCCGGTCCAGCCCAAGGGGATTTTGTTCATCTTCTCGCCGAATACGGAACTCATCAACTCGCTGTATGCTGCAATACATTGATCGACATCCATTTCTAGGCGACCGAGCATTATTGCAATAAGTCTGTAATCAATGAATACGCGCGCTTATTAGCTTCGCTGCCCTACACCCTCCTCTGCCGAAGCGCGTCTTAACTCACCCGCCCGTACTCGTCCCTCCAATCAGGTCAAAAATATCGCAAGGCTTGGGAACGTATGAAGTACAAGTTTCTTGTCTCAGCTGGGACATGATATCTCTCAGGATGAAGAGACTCGATAGCCCTCGAACCCCACCTCCATCCAGGGATAGAAGGCAAAGCCCTCGGGTATCTAAGGGATTTTGAGAGGTATGATTCACCACCATTCTTAGGGGCGTATAATATTCTGGGGGCAAATGAAGCCTATAGATCAGATTATGACAGACTTATAAATTCAATGACCTGGCTTTGGGGTATGGACGGGGCTATAATGAGGCTGAGTAGGTCATGGGGCCGGCGGCTCATGGGCAGGAGCACTAGCCCGGGCGCTTGAGTGCATACTGAACCACATATACTCGCCAATAAGGACTTTTCTTTCGTAATACCATGAAAGTCTACGCGCTGAGAGGTTTCATCTACCGCCAATGCAGACGTGCACGAAGAATTGAAATACGGTCTACACAGGATACTACAAACACTACTATATTATATGAGCATCAGCTGGCTCAGCTCTACTGCGTATTGAACGTAATGTCGGTTCGGTCATCTGAATGATGAATTACCCGTAGTTGAACCATCGAAAATTCTATGGGATTAAGGGGGGGTCAGCTGGGAAGTATTCACGTTGTTTTGAGACGATAAACACAGCTAAGAAATTTCAACGAGAATTGCGACTCAAAGAGTGAAATCAGGTAAGTCCTAGATCCTACTGGAAGGAACCTCAAAATTTGAACGCCATAAGAAAGCAAGTGGTCGTGGCTGTCGTTGATCACGAAGCTTAGCAGAACTCGCAGCATTCGATGCAGTCGGCACAGCAGATGCAACCCTCTTCACACACAAAGCAGCAGCACAGGGTGGCCATGCTGTGATACAGTATTAATATTTGGTATGCATTTCAACAGAAAGAGAGAGAAGACTCACCAAGTTCCGAGACAGCCATCACCGAAACCACCGTTGTTGCCCTTTGTCTGGGGCGCTTGCTGCACGGGCGGGGCGTACTGAGGGCCCTGGTAGTATCCAGGCTGTGGAGCGTACTGGGGCTATGATCGTTCTGATTAGTTTTGTTTTCATAGCGCAAGTGTGTTATATCCTGGGGCGAGGCGGAATGTACCTGACCGTAGTAACCTTCCTGGCCGGGAGGGGGCCCGTAGCCGGGCTGGGGAGGGCCGTAGCTATATAAACATGACTGGTCAATATCTTTCAGGATGAAATGATGGTGCGCGCACGTGCAGGATCAACAAAGCTCGCCGGTTACTGCAGTCGCGACAGACAGTCGAGACGGCGCGATGATGAACAGCGGGGAGGTTTGATCTGGGCGGCGGGCAGACGATGGGGACCGTAGTGAAGACTTACTGAGCCTGGGGAGGCTGGTTGCCGTAGTAGCCCTGAGAAGCCATTGAGGATGGGCTGAAAGCAAACAGAGCAGCGTCAGAATCAGTGGTAAAGCAAAATGGTCATGAGAGTCGCGGCGCTCAATAGCAGGGTTGAACGCGGGCGATAACGGAGCAACTTACTCGGTCGGGAATGCAGAGATTCGCGCTAGAGAAGGAATCTAGAACGGGGGGTAGACAAGAAGGAGAAGCTCACGGCGCTGAAGGAGACGTATCGGCGGACAGAGGAAGAGCAAGGTAAGAGAAGAGAAAAGGAGGAGACAAGGTTTTGCGGACTTGTACCAAATGTAAAGCTGGCCAGAGTGTCTGAGTCTTGGCAGCGCTTGTCTTTTCCCTACTCTTTCCCTGTATTTCTCTCATTTTTGGCACTCATTATAAGCAGTATTCTTTTATTCAGGCTGATCCCCACAGTACATACTACGCCCCAAGACCACTACTTGCTCTCTATCCTTCAGCCCCCCTTGGGCTCGGGGATGCGATGTATCACCCCATACGCATACGTATTGCCGGTAATTCCAGCCACAGTTTTTGTTCTCCAGCTTCAGATTCCCCAGCCCTATCGCCGCCGAGCCTGACCAAGCCACACATGGACAGCTGGCGGGGCAGCTCATTGGCTGTCGAGTCAGCCACTTGAATCACAGTGGATTCCACCACCCGGCGGCTCCAGTCAGAAGACTCGAGTGGGTGAACCGCGGAGATCCATCAGGCTTGTTTGTTGACCGCCTCGGTATTGCTGCTGCCTGCCGCCAGTTACCGTAGAATACAATAGTACGGCAATACAATCTCCACGAATCCATCTATGTACAGCACAGGCCTCCATAGGAAAAGAAATGTCCAATTCAACAATTTCCATCCAATGTCATTATGGTTGGGATCGTTAGTGTTCGTTACTCATGTCAGTGCCACCTCGGGCGCGAAGCCCAACCCCTGAAAAGCAAAAACGCATACATACAGGTTCTGTCGATATGGCTGTAGAGAAAGCCGGATGTCCGCGCCAAAAATTCACAGAAATCAAAACACCATGAACCAGTTCTCTCCAAGAACTCACATGCAGGAACGCAAGAACCCCCCCGAAATGGCCCCTTCCAAAGTCCACCATTCACACTCATTCCCAGTTCCAATCCCATATATCGTATAACCGCAAGATCCATAAATTACACCAGTCTCGAAGTGAAAACAGGGAGAAAAACAAAACCAAAAAAAGGCGGTCGCATTGTCCAGCAGCAAGGACCATGGAAGCAGGAGAAGGAAAAGAAACATGCGAATCCAAACTGAAAACAACGCGCAAGAGACAAGCATAAAAGAGAGCAAACCAAACGTTCGGACAAGCCGGGATTCCTCGTTCGAGAGAAAAAAAAAAATAAAAAAGCAGAGGGAGCTACGAGTCGGCCCCTCTTTACATCACATACTGCTCCAGCTCCGGCAGAGCAGGCGGCTGCGAATCGAGATAGTACGGCGTATCGAACGACGGGTCGAACTCGTAAGTAGGAACGGGATATGGGTCATACCCATGCATAAGAGTCGACTCCATCCCAAACTGCGCACCTGACTCAGTAAGACTCTCTGATGCCACAGTCATGGAGGGAGGCAGACATTCGGACTCAACGAGGTCGGTGCCAATCTGGTTATCGCTCTCGAGCGAGTCGGGGCCGAAGCTATCGGCGTTGTCATCGGCCCGTTCCACCGTCTGCCGCATCCAATGCTTGAGCACCTCCATCGGCGGATGGTTGCCGCCGCCTTTACCGCCACGCTTCTCGCTGTCTTTGCCACGACCGCCACGGCCCCGCTGGCACGGATTGAAGTGCGTGCGACGAAGGTGGGCCGCTGCGTTGTAGTTGGCGCCGTACTTCTTGCCGTTGCGGCACGCTTTGCAGTTCGCAAGGAAGCTCTTGTCAGGTGAAATGTCGACACAGACCCACACTTTGCGAACGGAGGCATGGACTCGATCGATATGGCGGCGGAGTTCATGTTCGCCATGGAAGCCTTCCGGCTGATCGTTACAGAGATGGCAGTAGGTCTTGGGTCGGGGTGGGCGATGCACCGAGGCCTTTGGGATTGCCGCAACTTCCTTCGCCGTGCCGTCGGCGGACGAAATCCGAACCATCTTGTTCGGATCGGTCGAATCGGGCTGGAGAACGATGCCGTCGTGAGACTCGCGTTTGGGGGCAATAGGTCGTGCCGCATGGGCGATTTGCTCCTGGGTGCGACGTGCAGCCCGCGAAGGCTCGGTTGACACTATGCCGGGAGAATGACTCTCGGCGGATATGGAGGGTTTCATCTCCGTAGCGGGGGTTACGGGAAGATTTGACGACAGCCGATGGTGAGGAAAGGATGTTGTGGTCGGTGCAGATGCGGAAAGTGATACAGGGTACGAGAAGGGGTAGGAGGCAGTAGAATCTAGATCAGGATACATAGCGGAAGGGAAGGATTCATGGTAGGGGATACCACCAGAGGTTGATGTTGGCACCCACTCCTGGGGGATGGGGTAGGAGGGTCCTTCCAGATCCTGAGGATTCGTTCCGTCAAAACCAAATTTAGTGAGGCCGCCGATGATGGTGTCGGTAGTGCCGCTGCGGCTCATCTGAATAGCGCCGGGAGGGGAAGCGTCCGTCGGGGGAGATATTTGTCCAGAATGCAGAGGCATGGGAACCGGTCCAGTCAATCCAGAAGCAGTGAGGCCGAGCGACAGAACGGGGCCCACGTTGGGTCCGCCGTACAGGCTCTGATCGGGGTCTTCCAGGTACTTTGCATACTCGGAGGGGGAGAACTCATCGACGTGGTCGAGCTGGCGTGTCCGCGTGGGTCCGAAAGATTGTCGTTTGCTCATGGCAACCCCGGCGGGCGGGTGCCAGTGGGAAACCGGGATCTGCTGGCTCTGGGAACGGGCCATGGGCGTATGTCGGTAGCTGGACGTCGTCAGGCTAGGCGCTTCCGGGGTGGACATTTGCGACAGAGTGCGTCTCAGATCGCTGGACTCTGACACTTCATCCGGGGTCTGTCAAAACTGTCAATCCATGGAATGGTTCTTGTGGGGAATGGGCTGGGGGACTCAAGTGGTTTGACATACGGTGGCTCGTCGTTTGGCTTGAGGTAGACCAGAACCAAAAGGCAAAGTCCTTGGAGTCGCATCCTGTCGAATCCGTTTCCCGGGTTTCCCGGGCACAGTCTCCTGGTCGTTGGGAAGAAACTGGCTGATCCGACGACTCCAGAGTTGATTTCGTTCGGCTTCCGGGAGATGGGCGTGTCGATCCAAAAATGCTTCACGATACCCAGAGATGGCTCTTATAAATAGTTCGTCGTCGTCCTGATTGTGCGCCATGTTGAAAGAGGATGGGGGTACCCTCGTCGCAAGAAGACCTCACGGGTGGATAGTGCTCTTATCAGTATATACAGATTGGGGGGGGATGTTGACCACAGCAAAGATCCTCTTCTATAGACGTTAGTCGGATCCGGAAACGTGGCGAAGCACAGTATTTGTCCAGGTTGGCTGGAGGGAAAGCATTTCGATCGACGCAACTTACGGTCTTCAGCAGAAAATGAAGCTAAATCTTATCAAGGGCGACTCTTAGATCGGCAGTCGATAAGAAAAAGGGTTGATCGGAGGTGGGTGGAGCGTCAGTATTAAAGCGAAACTACAGAACCGGGACTCCCCAGCACGATAGCAAGATCAATTGTACAGGAAAGATTGGGCAGCACAGGTTGATGAATCGAAAGATGTTGAAAGAGCAAAAGTCCCTTCTGAGGTGGGAAGAGAGAGAGAGGGAACTGGGGGATCCAAACTCCACCAAAAGATGACCGAATTGGGGGAAGGGCACGAGTATGGACCTTGGGGGGGGGGAAGAGAGTGGGCTTAATGACGGCTATACTAGCAAGCACCCAGCTACTACTAAGATGGAATTCGGAGCGTCAATCCTTGGTGGGCCGCCCACGGAGGTTCTGGGCCCCCCGAGGCTGTTCATTCGACGATGAGAACCCGTAGGGACGTACCCAGGTGAGCTCCTCCGACTATTGCCTGCACGGGCTTCTTTGGTGGTCAGAGTGGTCGGACTGAGGAGCCCTGCCGGGCTTTTCCCAGATTCTTCGCTTTCTTTACGGAGTAGCTTTCTCAGCTTTCCCAGCTTGCCCAGATTGGATCTGAGGCCCTGATGCGCAGATGCACAGATACATCGAACTATGCTGTCAAGGCTCAAAGACAAAAACCCAAAGGTCTCGTCGAATCAGGGAGTCCCTCGAGAGCAACGGTTGGCTGGAAAGGGTCCTTGGACTCCTGGGGGGTGGAGGGGAGACACGGGCGGTGTCCTCACTAATTCTCCAACTCACAAAGTGAGGCAGCGAACCGGATCGCCCCCGAGTGTGACCCGCGGTGCAGAGCAGCACATTTGGCCTTCTAGACCTTCTGGGGCTTCTGGGGCTCCTGAGCTTTCTGGTAGTAATAATCTTCCTGGCCTTCCCCCAGGACAGCCAATCCCAGGGTGTGGCTGGGACAGCCCATTCGGCCCTGCCTCGGGAAGACTCCATCCACCCTGGGCCGGAGCTATGGCGTACATCGCGGTTCCTATTTTTATGAGGGTCGGCAGATGCGACTAATGGCTACTAAGCCGTTTGAAACTCTACTTCCAAGGATAACACCGCTCTCCTTCTCCCGTTTCTCCCCTCTCATTTGCTCATCATCCCACCCTGTCGCTCTGAAGGAGCGCCTGACGGGATGCCACGTTGTCCACAGACATCGGGCCCTGCCCAATTGTTGCCCGGCGATGAACCGTTGAAAAGCAAAAATTCTGGAAAAGGTGGAAAAGGTGGGAATCTCCCGGGAGAGTGCCATGGTCCTTGTCCCGTGGTTCCTATTAATATCTTCGCTCTGGAAATTCCGACCCAAGGTTTGCGCCGCCGTCTCAAATAAGAGAAGAGGGGGAGAAGAGTTCTTGGGTCTCCGGCCCCATTCTTTGGACCTCCACCAAAGGGAAACATGTTTGGGTCCCGGTTTGGTTGATGATCAGGCGATCATCGCACTAGCGGCATTGGACACGAAAAGAAAGAGGGGGGAACATTCGATGGTGATGATTTTTTTTATTTTTATTTTTTTTTTTTTCAAGACTTTCCAGAACAGCGAGCGCCGTTGCCGCTCGATCCCATCATTGGGCCCCCAAGGCAGCGGGTGCCAGTGATCGACACCGCAGTTCCAATCTTTCTACCGTCATGCTCCGTGCGGCAGTTATCTGTCATTTCGGATGCGTCATTCTTTGAGAGGAAGCTCATTTCCGAACCGGGTTTCTTCGGTGGAGATGGTGTTTGTATACGAGATAATTGTAATTGGCCCAGAACAGCCGGACATCAAAATCATCAGCGGGAGAATACTACATACGTCCAGTACCTGCATGTTCCAACTTGAAAGGTTTTATACGGAGTAGATGTTGACCATGCGGACATCGGTAAGATCTTAGCAATTTGCATTTCAACCCCGGGGGGGTGGGCTTGGAAGTTCCATGGTTCGCCCAGATCTACTATGTTGAGCCTCAGGCTACAGATCCGAGCCTCTGCTAATTAGCCCGAGGACCTCCAGGGCTCATGAAACACGATGGAGCCACTCGAGCGTCTACTAATCATGAATATCCCAGGGCGTAACTCGCTAGTACTCGCACGCCCCCCCCCAATCCCAGAGTTCTTGGTTCAAAGTCGGGTTCTTCAGGTTTTCTGCTCGACATTCGTACGATTCAGGCCCCGCGGTCAATATTAGCGCGCGACCATTTCGTCATTCGAGCGGGATGATCTATCGTTTCCTGCCCAAGGATTCATTCTCCGGTAGTTTCATTGGCCCGTTGGCCGAAGATCGTGGCCAATCTAGATCCCTCTTCTCGTGCATACGAAACAACCTCATGGGACTTCGCCCACCCTCGTGAGGTGAGGGTGTCGGGAGAACCTCAAGGACCACTTGCAGTCTTCTTCAAGTTGCTCGGCCAGGATCGGAGAACGGCTTCAAAATTATCTTCAGCCGGCGCCTTGCACGGTCCAATACCAGCGACCGGTCTACCAGAGATGAGAAAGGAAGCAATCCGGCACAATGTAGGCCATGAGATACGCAGTACGATATAGTAAGCATCGCACCAGGGGCATTCAGGTCGAAAGCTCTATCCTACTCGTCAGGTTCCAATCAGCCTCTTAATAGGCCTCCGGTAATAGGCCTTCCCAGGCAGGGACCACAGTGCGGTTCGGGGCTACCAAGACAATTTGGCCAGGTTTCTGCCGTGCCAAGGTCGCGTGCACCACTTGACTATCATGCAGGCTCCAACATCGAGGCACAAGGTGGCTGGAGTGTCACGCGCCGTTTATTTCTCGATCCGACTGGGCATATAAACGCATTTTGCGGTAACGTAAGGCTGGAGGATACGTTATCAGGGGTTTGAACTCCAGGAAAGACATACTTCCCAGTGACACCCAAGGGCAGTCCGGTTTTGAACTTGCCCTGGTACCAGTACAGCTGCTCGAGATGGACTTTCCTCATCGGTCGCGTGCCCTCTTACGCATGGCTGCCTATTAGAGCTTGCAGCTCTGCAAAGGGTTAGGGAGATGAGATATAGGTCATTTACTCATGGCCTGATGGGGCTCATGGCGATATGGGCCAAATGCTTAGTAGCTGATATAAGGATCTGAGCTGCTCTGCCCAAAGACCGTCGGCTCCGACTGTCTCCGTTTGATGTCCTTCTAGTCAATGAAGGTCTTCCTCTTCTCATTCAAGACTGGAGGCATACAACTTCAACGGAACTATTCCAGAAAGCAAATCTTCCGTTCGTCTTCGTTGACGGATAATTCTAGTAGGGATAGAGTCCGTTTGGAGATTTCTTAGCTCTGCGATAGCACCGATGTAAGGATCTCGAGAATACTGTCATTTTCTCCTCTTGTCAACCTCCAAATTTTCTTCAGTTAATTGGTCGCAACAGCCCATGGGGAAAGCTCATATCGCCTAAGCCTACGGCACGCCCCTCATTTTACCTCACAGTGGATCCTGGGGTGAGCAAGTTGACGTCAAGTCGCCACGATGGCGATACTCTCTTCCATAGAAGACCCAATGCGAACAAACCAGACCAGCATTCGACTAGTAGGAGCCCCTCTTAGGACGAAGTGCAGTTGGGATTAAGTAAATTGTCCAAAACTAAACCATCGCGTGTAGCATACCCACGTGACCCACCACGTCATAGCCAAAGTGGATTCCTTGTATTGCAAGCCGACGAAAGAGTTCAAAGAGTCGGCAGTTTCTTGTCTTTCCCCATGAGCCTGGAGAGAGCTTTAAATCCCTAGATTCATACCTACCCCTCCTACCCCTCCATCTCCACCATCCCCACCATCCCAACATGTCCGACTCGACGCTTTATCTCTACACCTCCTTAACGGCGGGGTCATCTCATATTGTCACTGCGACCGCCCGAATCGAGACCATCCTGAAGGCGAACAAGCTTCCCTTCCGTGCCATTGATGTCGCTACTGATGATGCTGCCCGCAAACTCTGGGGCCGCCGCTCCAAAGGCAAGAAGTTGCCTGGCCTTGTGAAGTACGGCAACATTGTTGGGGTATGGAGATGCAGCCCCCCTCGCCCATGCTCTGCCTGGGCGCAGTGACTAACCCACACATTCTTTTCAGGACTTGGAAGAAATTGAAGAATGGAATGAGTTTGGTGAGCTTCGCATGGTCGTGAATAATGTCCCCGACCTGGACGGCATGCCAGCCACCAGCAACCCTATCGCGACTCCTGAACCCCCAGCCGTCTCGACCCCAAAAGAGCCCGAGCCCGGCACACCGAAGCCCTCCACGATCAAAATCCAGAGCCCGCCTCCGACAAAGGCCGAACCCGAAGAGAAGAAGGACGAGAAGGCGGTGCTCGCTTTGCGTCAGGCTAGCACGGAGGCCGCCTCGAAGGCTAAGGACAAGGCCGATGATAAGCAAGAGGGCAAAACCGAGCCCAAGGGAGAGAGTCCTCCTTCTACCGTCTCCCAACCGCGACGATCGGTCGCCCCCGAGCTACCAGACACCGCACCCGATTCTCCGAAGGCCTTAAAGCGCCCGCCCCTTGTACCCGAAGTTGCAGCAGTGTCGACTGCGAACTTCCGCGCCGACAACGCAGAGGCGTTCGGGCTGGTCGAGCACCACCGAGGATCCATTGTCTCGGCGACTGACCCGGAAACCCAGGAAAAGGTTCACGAGATTCGAGAATCCATCTCATCTGAGAAGCCCGGTGGCGCTTTAGATGCGTTGCGCCAGGAGGCTAAGGAAAGGCCGCAAGGTGACTCGATTGACTCGATTGTGGAGGCCCCTGAGTTGACTGTGGAGGATCCCTTGGTGAGTGTTGAGGACCCCTTCGCGACCAAGGAAGAGGCACCGGATGCTGCACCGGGGAGCCCAAAGGAGACAGGCAAAGACTCGGAGGCGACCGAAGCTGCGCGATCGGGGAAGGATTCGGGGAAGGATTAAGGTTACGTAGTTAACGACTTGAACGAATCTCTGTACATGAACGATGCCCTTGATATTTCGTTTTCTTGTCAGGAGCAAAATGATACCAGAGTCAATCCGCTTAATCGAATTTTGGGCTTCAATGGCCCTTTTCATCTATTTTGACCTATTCAACTTTTCAAATTCGTATGGATAGTAGGTATGTGTATATACTTCTGACCTCTATTGCGTTCGTAAGTATTTTGTCTATTCCCTGGCACAACTCCACCCGAGTTTCTGTCGAATGCCGGTCATAGCTCGTCAATCATTAAAACCAAATACAGCTCAAGTATATAAGATATGTCCCGGCAAGAAGGGGTGAAAAAAGAAAAAGAAAAGAGACGCGAGGGGGGAATCTTCCCATGAGAATCATCGGAGAACGTCAAAGGGCCCAATAGAAAAAGCGGAAGACCACAAATCTTGGTCAAATGGCAGGGAAAAGCAAAAAAACGAAAAGACAAAAAAAAAAAAAACAAGAACAACACCGAACCCCGTTTTGTTTTGTAAGTTGATGTTTCTCGTTCAAGAACATCCACTACTTCTCAATGGCGCGGCGTTTCTGGACGGCCTCGCGCAATTTGGCGATAACATCGGCCGGATCCTCGGCCCCGAAAATGGCTGAACCAGCCACAATCACGTTGGCCCCGGCATCTGCAGCCTGATCGATTGTGCCGAGTCCCAACCCACCGTCGACTTCTATGTTAAGATCGGGGTAACGCGCCCGCAGTGCCTGCACCTTGGGTAGCTCGGAAGCCATGAATTTCTGTCCGCCGAAACCGGGGTGCACGGTCATCACCAGAACCATCTGCGCGGAGATCAGACGTTAGCGTGTCATTCTTGAAGCTGGCTAGGAGTCATGAAGTAATTGCTGTAAGCCCATTGGCTGGCAAGAAACGAGGGAATTGGTAGAATCTCGGGAATACTGAAAGATGGACCGCTGGGTTTCTATGGGGTCACACTCACTTCAGGTCGCTCTTTCACGTCGGGGCTGTCCAGGATGTCCCACAAAACGTCGACGGGGGTATCCGGCTTGATCGCAACACCGGCCTGCATGCCGGACTCGTGGATGTACTTGATCAATTCGCGGGGGCTGGTACGACGTGTGGTGGTCTTGTCCGTGGGATCGGTCGCGGCAACGGATGAGACGGCCGCCTCGTAATGGAAGCAGTAGAGGTCGCAACCGGCTTTTTGGAACTCGGCAACCCATTTGTGAGGCTAGAGGATCTAGGTTAGCGGGGATTGGGGGCTTGTTGGCGTCCTGAAAGATCGTTACAAACCTCCATGATCATCATGTGGCAGTCAAAGGTGCCGCGGGCACATGGTTCGAGAGGGCGATCAACGCATCCGCGGATCTGCGAAACCACAGGACAGCCGATGGTCATGTTGGGGACGAAGTGGCCGTCCATGATATCGACGTGGAGCCAATCGGCGCCCTGCTCCATCTTCTTGGAGCAGTCATGGCCGAGGTCAGCGAAGTTGGCGCTGAGGATGGAGGGGGCAATGATGGCTGGAGGTGCCATGGTGACGCCTAGTCGATTCCGGCGTGGTGGGGGAAGAGAAATGGAAGGGAGATGGATAGGGAGGGAATTGGAGGGGAGAGGGGAAGAGGGGGGGAGAAATAGTAGACACCCCACGATAGAGGAGTGAACAGAACTAAAATAGAAAAAGTAATAGGTCGTGCAAAAGCCCAACTGACGATGTTGACCTTCCGAGTGGCAATTGGGGAAACCCAAAGGTGGATATGCCGGTTCACCGTAAAACACGCCCCTTGATGATGAGATACAGTGGTTTCTTTTCTACGGCTGATGAGCTACGCGTCCTCGAGAGGTCCCCCAAAGCGACGGATGCTGTACCGGAGGGGACCACAGTTTGTGAACCGCCTGCCAGCGCTCCGTATATCTACCGTCATCCCTCGCCAGAAAAATCCTCATGATGATGCAAACGGACGATAAGGGCTCTCGGGCTCACGTGGAGGGGTGCCTGTCTGCGGCGATCGATCCACAGTGGAGTCCAACAAGCAGAGCTAGCAGTTGCAGCTTCCATTCACCGACCAGAAAAGCACACCGCGATGGAGTTGCGGAATGGGGGGCTTTCTCTGACAAATCACGAATTACCAGATTTGGTGATCCCGTGTTGTTTCTGATGCTCTCCAAGAAAATCATCCAGGTCGGCTGACCAGGGATATACTCCTAGGGATCCGGGATATGACCTGGGGTATTCCTTGCTTATTGAGGGAACTGCCTGGAATTCTTGGAATGCCTGTCGAAGCTCTCCCGCCAATCAATGCCCGGCATTTCCTCCGGGTTGCAGGTTTGGGTGTCCGAGGCTCAACGACTTGGACTATAACACGGGAACCTATACACTCATATCCCCTCAATTCATCATCTCACCATCATCACCCCATCATCCAGGAACACGAGGCTTCCCGCTCTGCCCTTGCACCCCCAGCCTTGCACCCCCAGCCTTGCACCCCCCAGCGATTCCTGGATGAACAGGCCTCTCATGGCGATATGGTTGTCGGGTGGGAATCCAGAAAAGACAAAGATATCAGCCCTGCCGGGAGCACATCTGTAGATGCGGAAACTCGTCCCCCTAGGCAGGTCAATAGCCGATATACCCTTTAGCCGCTCTTCAATGCCCCCCAAATGATTGGTGGGTTTGCTTCACAAGAGGACCACAGGAGAGCGGGCCTCCCGGCGCACTGTGATCCGAGAGCCCCCCTCAATCTTATTTCTTGAGCCCAACAATTCTTGAGTCCGCGGGCCTCCGACCAGATGGTCTATACAAGTCCTCCTAAGGCCGCAGAGAAGTAAACAATACTAAGCGCACATTGGAGGACTAGACTGGTGGTATATTATCATGAGGTAGGAGTATTGCTCCCCGCGTGGACTCGGAGTGTATATACCGGGAGCTTGCATAGTTATTATCAGTCGGAATGTGCAATTTCACATCTCCATGGATATGCTTGGGGTTTCATCCCCCCAGTCCGTGATCTTGTCTAGTAGTAAGGGAAGGGAGCCTTAGCTCCATCCTAGGAGCGACCAATGGGCGAATCTTCCGCGGGAACCGCTCCATGCAGAGATCGCCATGCAATTACAGTTGTGTCAACAGTATAAGTAACTAGTTACTTGGATAGCCATATTGGTGGTGTACTGGGATCCTGGATACGCTCTATCGTCCGCTCTGACCATGAAAGCGATTCCAAACTTGAAGGGCTTGAGTAGCTTGGATACTAGTAACCATAGGCGTTCATCAACCTTCGGAATACTAGTTGAAAATACTATAGCTCGCCAAGGCCAGTTCACTATTGGGTATCGGGAGTGTGATGGGTCTTGTTCTGCTCGTCCGCATACAGCTATCATTCTATGCTACCTAGGACCTCCATATAAGCCTGTGATATAGTAAGTGATACCCAGGAGCACTGACGTAGAGACAGTAACACTCACTGATCATTGGTAGCTGTGGTGTTCCATCTTCTATCGGTGATCGGTTATAGGTACTTTCGCTCTCAGAATGCTGGCAATACTAGAACACTTGTACCGTTCATGTTCCACGATAGTTTTTGAATGAGACGGCGCCAAGGAGAATACCAGCACGTATACAAAGCCCTTGAAGTATATCGCTATCATATTTCATATCGATGTTCCAAGGTTTGGTGAATGTGACAGCCCAAGGGGGATCTACATTGGCGAACGTCATGACGTGAGTGGATTCCACCGACAGTGATATACTCTATGGATTCGCAATGGTCCTAACATTTGCATTACGGGCCGTGCCCGAGAAGGTCGTAGCGACCAAAGTGCATCGTCTGTAATGGCAAAGGCAGTCTCTGATGTAAGGGGTGTGGCTGGGTGTTTTGACTTCCACTCCATAAGCCAACCGTCGGTGGACAAGAAGCAGTGATTGGAAGGCTGCCATGCCGTGATTCCCAAAGGGCGCTTAATTCAAGTATGACTCAAGACCCCGGGCCCTCACCGCTGGGATCACATCATGGGACCAGTTCTAAATCCCATCGACGAGGATGTGCGAAATGAGCTCGGTACAAGATCCTGTCTTTGAGTTCCTTCCCATGCCAATGAGACGAGAGGATGCTATGCTGAGGGTGCTGCTATATCACAGTATGGGGCATCCCGCAAGGGCACTCCAAGCGCCAATCCAGTTCGTCTCTCGATGCGCCCGGACTTCTTCATGCTGTGACATTTGCATTGCCTGTGGGGAATGTGACGATCAATTAACATGGATTTCTAAATTTAATTTGAGCTAAGGGAGCAGTTGAGGTCATTACCCCTCTTTTGTGTTTGGTCATGTGGGCGATCTCTTGTTCTGATGGAGGGTGGTTGATCTCCAAAAGGGCCGCTAAAGGGCCTAATTAGCCCACTTTTCGCGGACTGCCCAAGTAGAAGAAACTAAACTTAGCAACCCGCAGCGGCTAAATGCCGCCCGTGACTGGCCCCGTCGCTCTTGCCAAGGGGTTCATCACACTTCTGCCCGCTTCTGATTCGCCCGCTCTGCTTTCTTCTGCATTACGTCGTAAACCTCTTCTCTTTGATCTCCCAACCTGCTGGGCCGTGAGTTCTTAGGTGACTCCGGGCGAGGCGCCCGCCTGATCTGCTCCAATCAGCGGCATGGAATGCCTCAAATTGACCGGGGGGCTGGGTTAGCGGTGCCCAGTCATGCAGTAGTTTCTGCATCCGGTGACGGCGAATGGGGGACTCCACTCTGGCTCCCCCGCCAGAGACACGAACACGCCCCGAGTATATAGTCCCTCGCAACGGCCGATGGGGGCTGCTTGACTCGCGTCCATCATTTTGTCATCTTAATTTTCCTTTTTTCTTTTCTCGTTTCTTCTCACCAACTGGCTCTGGTAGCTGGTCTGGATGTTTGATTGCCTTTTATTTTCCTAAACACGTCCAATCAACCCGTTGATCGGTGTTGATGCAGTTTCATACGTTTTGCAACCCTTTGAGATACCCATAGAATCGAATCCACACAGTCCGTTCCAAACGGAAGGATGACGGACACATATCGCCCTCCAGTTGCAAGATGTCCGCCCCGTCGGCAGGCCCAGGGGACTCTGCTTAATACCATAATGGAAGATACTCGTGAATCCTCGGCCGCCAGCAGCCCCCAGCAATCCAAGGCAACGGTCACAAGCCCTAAACTGACCCTCAAGACAAGCGGTCTATCGGGCCCGATTAATGCCCGCCTTGCGCGGCTGATGTCTCCTCTATCCGCAGGCACACTTTCATCATGCTCTGCATGCTCGGATACAGATTGGCCCCAACAGACGCGGGAGTTCGACGACCTTTATGACGCCACTGATGAGGAGGACTTGGATGACGACAACTCCACTGATATTAGCTCAACGTTCTCGCCATCCGGTACAAGACCGTCAAGCTTGGTGACGCCAATCACAAGGAATTCGCTCACATCGAACGGCAGTCGGCGAGGTCGGAAGCAATACCTGACCCTGGAGATCCCGTCGTCACCGAGAACATGGGCAACTAATCCGAACCACAAGAGCTCCCCGGTTCCTCCAACGCCTCCGCCCAAGATCCCAGTTTCTCCTGCGGCACTCTCGATGCTCACCCGATTTGTTCCTGCCTCTCACGCACCACCATCTCTAGATGGGAGTATATCATCAGACCAGGAGTCGGTCATCAGCGCCCTAGCCACACCTGACACACAATCCCTCCCAGATACCAACTGGAATGCTCAGGATATTCACGTCCGACCCGATGTGGATGGAAGTGAAAATGAGGACCTCCAAGTTGGAAGTGAAGTCGATGTTCAGACGGTTCCGATCACCATTGAAAGCCCGCAGAATGATTGGCATCGGGTTTTGGGAAACTTCCCTAGGATCCCCACGGCTCACCCTAATGGTTCCATGTCTTCGCTTCCGTATGAAGAGCCGCCGAGAGAGCCGACTCCATCCGATCAAGGTGTTTGCCTGCCAGATGGTGCCCTTGCCATGCTGCATCACATTCGCCTCGATGGCACTCCCGAGTCATGGTCTGAGACCTCGGAAGGGAATGATGAGATGTCGCAGCTTCGGCTTCCCTCTAGTCGCCCTCGAAGTGCCGAGGGAGCAACCCCAGCGTCGGAGTTGTCCGACTACAGCTTCACCGAGTTGAGCATCCCTTCTCCCGGTGGATTCTTTGCCTCACTGGCCCCCCGTGCTCGGCACACCTGGTCGATTCCCTCCTCCAATCACCCGCCATCGTCGGCTGTAGCCGAAGGTTTCTATAACCTCCCATGGCCTCGTGATGATGGCGAGATTGTCGAGCAGGTTATCGAATGGCCTGATCGCGCCAGCGAAGATCCCGTCACAGCTGTGCGGGATGAGCAAGGGCCCCCAACTGCCATTCGTATCCCATGCGAGACTCCAACTCGATCAGTAGCCTATCAGGACAGCCCGATGAGCACGAATTTTGCGGTCCAAGAGATCTCACGGTCCGGGAATGTTCATGAGTACGATGAATCTTATGACAAGGAGCTTCAAGATCGTGCGGCAGCTAGCCTTGACCGAACGAGTGTCTGGCTCGCCGCCCAGGCATCCTACATGGCGGCTTTGAGCGAGACTAATCCTGTCAATGAACTTAGTGATGCTGGCTCAGCGAACGAGGAGGTTGAAAATCCAACTGAGCCACAAGATGCTCCGAAGAAAACGGTCCGGTTTGTTGAAGGTGCCCCTGAAGCCTCGAGCCCTCCGCCAATTCTTGCAAGTCGAGATTCAATCTATTGGCGAGGTTTCCAATCGATTCGGGAGCGAGCAAATCAATCGGACGGATTCATCCATCGTAACATGCGATACGACGCGATCCAGTCCTTCCGGTTGGGTTTGGTAGATATGCATCTAAACAGCCTGATGGGCAAGTATGCGCTTGTATGCCCGGATCGCCCAGCCTACAGGGGTCCCTTCTCTAAAGCACCGCGGAATTCCACCACGACGACTGATCTGGCTGAAAGAGCGCAGTTCTCGAAGCTCCAGAAAGAGCAGCTTGTTCTTGCTCAGCTGTGTCAGCCCATGTGGGCGATGGATGCTTTGAAGTGCCTCAATGGCGGGAAATTATGTACGAGTCCAGCTTCGAAGCGTCTTGCTCGCACCAATAAACCCACGAGAAATGCAAGCGAGCCGCAGCGCAAGGTCCGAATTTTGGACCTGGGAGGCCATGCTTCTTGTGAATGGGCTTGGCAAGCTGCATATGAGTATCCCAACGCCAAAGTCTATTCTGTCGTCAATAAGGACCAAGCTGTCAACAGCGGCATCAAAGGCCCCGACAACCATCGCGTGGTACCTGTCTCGAACCTGTGGGAGCTTCCATTTGGTGACAACAAGTTCGATGTTATCTCTGCACGCTCCTTGCATGCCCTGCTGAAGGCAGAGGCCCCCGCAGGATTTGACCATGATGAATACGACCTGGTACTGCAGGAGTGCCTTCGCTGCCTCCGGCCTGGCGGATTCTTGGAGTACATGATTCTGGATGCCGAGATCTCACGGGGAGGAACCCTGTCGACTGCGGCGTCTGTTGAATTTGCCTTCAACCTCCGAACCCGCGGCTACGACCCTGTTGCCTCGAAGACTTTTCTCAACCGACTTCGGAACAGCGGGTTTGTCGGACTCAAACGAGCATGGATGTTTCTTCCAATGGGCGTGGAACCAAGCGAGCCTCAGCCTCTACGTGAGGCTCCGGCCCCAAGGGTTCAAAGCCAGATCTCAGAGTACGAAGCAGTCCAAGGCCCTATTGGGAGCACGGGAGATGCTGCGAGCATAACTGGTATACTCGGAGGCTGGATGTGGGAGCAATGGCTGGTCCAAATGCGAGGAGAAATGGGTCGTGAGCGAGAGAAGTTGCTTGAGGGAGTCGGAGCAATTTTCGATGAGGGCCGGAAGAATGGCGCAGGCTGGACCTGTTTGTCCGGATGGGCCATGAAGCCCAAGCACACCGTTGCTTGATCTGAAAGATCTAGATCGGGAACTTGATATTGGCCCATACGTCAGTCTATATCTATAACTACTGTGCCCTGGTGGCCATTTTATGTAATGTAATGCGAAATGTGAGATGTTGGACGTCCCAATATTGATGATAGGATACCACGTATGAACTTTTATTAGACAGACCTACTCCAGCAAAGCGCCGAATTTTGACGATCGCCCTGTTGATCAAACTAACGTCCTAAGATTATAACATCTTGAATCTAGGAGCATGCGGTATCGACCACTTAGTCACGTGATGCACCCACTTCCCCGGCCACTTCTCTTGCTTCAAGCTCTACCAATCTGGAGTCCTTGCGCACGAGTCTCCAACTTGAACCCGACCACGGTGATTATTGCTCGGAGCTGTGTATCGAGAGACGGTCTGATTGACTTACCTCACCTTCAGATCTTTTTAACGTTCATCGTACCTGCCACTACCGTTGAACCATCATGCTTTTCTTCAGGTTAGACTTGCGCTCCCTTGGATAATTGCAGCACAACAGAGTCACTCACCCCCGCCGCAGCTTTTTCAAAACACTCACAAACCAGACGGTGACTATCGAACTCAAGAATGATATTCGTATCCGCGGTATCCTCAAGTCCGTTGACCAGTACCTGAACATCAAGCTCGACGATGTCGAGGTATTGGAATTGGTGAAATATCCACACTTGTCCGCCGTAAAGAACATGTTCATTCGTGGCAGTGTGGTGCGCTATGTGATCCTGCCGCGGTCGGAGGTCGACGTGGGGTTGCTAGAGGATGCTACACGGCGGGGTAAGTGAGATCTTTTCTCGGGCCGCGAGATGCATACATAATTCCATATTGGAGAGCAAATTGACGACAGTCACAAATCTCTCGCGTTTACCAAGTTCCCACCATTTGCCCGAAATTTTGCATGATTATGTGAGACCGCTTCGCTGACCTACTTCACCTTCCAGAGGCTGCCAACCAAGCAGGCAAGGCCCGCTAAACTGAGACCCACGATACCTATAACCCTTACTCGAACGCCACCACCGAACTATCCTTCTTAATGCCTCATTATGTTTGCCCACGATATCATTTCCCGCTGGTTTCAGTCGATTGAGGTCAAGCAAAGCGGCTGTCAATAGCAGAACCGGGATCAACGACTGCAAGAGAAACGTGATAACCCAGGGCTTCCCACGCTTTCATAGCAGGGCTCTGTTATCATTAGATTGAGAGTGCCGCCCGAACAGAGGAAGCCATTGCGTCCTGGCCTGATGTGCGATACAATGGTCTCGATGGGCCTTGCTCATGATTATGCGTCAGATACCCATAAATCTTTTCAAAATGGAAAAAAGTCCACTATAGAATGTGTCTTCGCTCCATCCTGCAGCCGTGATTTCTCCAGAATCCAGAAGTCCGTAGTGTATCCATAATGGATAATGTATGACCCATTTGGACTAGTCATGTGATCTCGTGTCGCGGCCGCGCGCCTCGATTTCACTTCGATTTTTGGTCTCTCCGCCACTTAGGCTGCCAGTGAAACTCTGCACGGGCGTGGATGGTGAGCAGTACTGTACATACACCACACTCCGCTCGTTAGAACTATCATCAGGTCGCTCGATTCATCCCCCGTGAATGTCGGGAATCTATACCCATAGAACGGTTGAATCATGGCAGGCTCTTACGCGAAGAAGGCGTCCACGCCATCCAAACCATCGTCGATTAACAAATCAAACTCCGGAAAACGGAATTCGAGCATTCTCAGTTTCTTCCAGAAGACCGACACTCCGCCGGGGGCGACCACCCGCCAGTCTCGAATGACACAGTTTGTCACCCGATCACCGAGCAGCGGCCGAAGCACTCCAGGACTACAGCGTGGTGACAGCTCGGTGGGAGATCCAGCGGAGGGATTATTCATCGAAGATAAGAAAGGACTGGCTAAGCTCGGACGAACTGAAGATTCGAGCGAGAAAGATAGATTACGGTCACCCACGCCGGATGACATTTGGGGCGATTCTGACGAGCCAATGGAACTCCGTGACCAACGATACAATGAGCAAGAATCGTCTGTGAAGCGCCGCAAGGTATCTATGCCAGAGTCGACGGATGCGACAGAGGATACGGAGCCCCACGCGAAGCCAGCACCAGTAAAAGTGTCCAGCGGACCGTTCATAGACGAGTCAGACAGCGAAGATGACATAGAAGCTTATCGGGAGTTGGAAGAAACGTCGCCTTTTACGCCCGCACCCCCCACACAAATCTCTTCAATCAATGGTGATTCCGTTAGAGACATACCCGCCGAACTTGTGCCACCATTGGTAAGAGGAGCCACGAATGATGACGAACCTTATGAAGATACGAATTTTGACGATTTGGAAGAAGACGAATTAATAGGGGAGGAGTTTCGAGAACGACCCTGGGACACCGAAGATGGGGACAGGTTAGAGGAGGAGACAGTTGACGAACGGGAAACTCCCAGTTGTATGGATGAGTTTTCCGAGGAGACCACCAAATGCGAGCCCCAAGTCTTCTGTCCAGTTTGTCAAAAGGAATTGACAGGACATGGTGAAACCGTATGTCGCTCGAACATCTTTTGTCGGATTGACCCCACTGATTTCCCGGAACAGGATATTTCAGTGCATGTGAATGATTGCCTAGATGGAAAGCAAAATGCCACGGCCATGCCAAAAGGATCACCAGGTTCCTCGCCCGCACAAACAACATTGCCTTCACCTAAAGAGCCAAAAAGAGGGTTATCGCGCGCCGAGCTGGCTTCGATTGCTCGACCTGCTCAGCGGGATCCTTTTGGAGACAGCAAGGCGGAGGGCAAGACTGGTAAAAGCGCATTCTCCAAAATGATGGCAGGGAATGCGGAAGATACTGCGTGGGCTAACGCAGCAGCCAATGAGGCATCATCGCGAGGCAAACAAGCCTATCAACGGACTTGCCCATTCTACAAAATCATTCCTGGATTCTCGATCTGTGTAGATGCTTTTCGCTACGGGGCAGTCGAGGGGTGTAATGCCTATTTTCTAAGCCATTTCCACAGTGATCACTATATTGGGCTTAATAAATCTTGGTCTCATGGCCCGATCTACTGCAGTCGAGCTACGGGCAATCTTGTCCGGCAGCAGCTTCGCATTGATCCCAAATGGATTGTAGACCTTGACTTCGAGACTACGACCGAGGTACCAAATACGGGAGGTGTCCAAGTGACAATGATTACTGCGAACCACTGTCCCGGCAGCTCCCTGTTTCTTTTCGAGAAAGCCTTTGGCAGTGGACCAAATGCTAGATGCGAGCGAGTCCTTCATTGTGGCGACTTCCGTGCCTCCCCGGATCAAGTCCGACACCCTCTTTTGCAGCCTAACCCGATCAATCCAGTGACTGGCCAACGCCGGCAGCAACGGATCGACAAGTGTTATCTGGATACGACCTATCTCGATCCCAAGTACGCGTTTCCGAGCCAGGAAAATGTGATTACTGCAACCGCCGAGCTATGTGTGCGTCTCAACAAAGAGGCTGGCGTTGCAGCTGACCCGGCGAGCTCTGGGGCAGGGGGTCTGATGAACAAGTTCCTCTCGTCCGTGACAGGTAGCGAGCGAGCGCAAGGGTCATCGCCAGCGCCTTGCAGCGGACGCCTTTTAGTGGTCATCGGGACCTACAGCATTGGGAAAGAGCGAATCTGTATAGGCATTGCACGTGCCCTGGGGTCGAAGATCTTTGCCGTTCCACACAAGCAGCGCATCTGCGCGTGCCTGGAGGACCCGGAGCTGTCTTCCTTGTTGACGAGCGACCCCCATGAGGCACAAGTGCATATGCAGACATTGTTTGAGCTCCGGGCCGATACGTTAGCCGACTATTTGGACTCACTGAAACCGCATTTCTCTCGCGTGGTGGGGTTTCGACCTACCGGTTGGACCTACCGAGCCCCCGCGGGGCGACTGCTGGTTAACCCTCCGGTACCGACGGTTCTGCGGGGCGATCACTGGCGGACCCCATTTACGGTAGACAGCCTAATTCCGCAGCGAGGCAGCACGCGAGAGAGTGCCTGCTACGGGGTACCTTATAGCGAGCATAGTTCTTTCCGAGAACTCACCATGTTCTGCTGTGCTCTTCGGATCGGCAAGGTCATCCCGACTGTCAACGTGGGCAGCCAGAAAAGGCGCGAGGAGATGAAGATGTGGATGGATCGATGGGAAGGAGAAAAGAAGCGGAATGGACTGTTTCCAGTAGAAGAGTGGTGACGGCCCTGTAGAAATAGCTACCAAGGACGATTATTCACGAGCATGTACTCCCCTCTTCCCCCTTCTACGCCCAAGTACACTGTGTAACTACTGCGGGTTGCGTAAACACTCTACACTATCCAAGTAGCCTAGCCTACTCCACTTTGATCACTCTGATCACCCTAGCAAAAGTCCCCATCGGTGGTAATCGAGCAGCAGGCATTGGTACCTTCCCCGCGTATCCTTCTGCAGCCCACTGCGCTTCGACCAATCGTGACGATTCGGGCGCCAACAACGGCACTTCGGCCCTCGTTGGCTCCACCAGAGGCGCCTCCCCAGATACCGATTTTCTTCCCGAGGCGCATCTTAGACCTCGGGGGTCCTGGGGATGCTAGCAGCTTGCCAAACCTCGTTGGACGGCTTTAAATACGAATGGTCAGCTACTAATAAGTTCTGTTTGTATCTTGTGATCCTGCCCTTTTCTTTTGACTTCTATGGGCGTGGTCGCCTTGAAAACAGAGATCGTTCAGCTACCCCATGTTGTTCTCGCTTGGAATCCTGCCATACCTGGCCGGGGGCCTCTTCCTGGCCTACTATTTGATCCCTTATCTGCAACGCTCGCGACTGTGGGGACATCCCCAGCCCAGGCTTGGCGGCATTTACTAACCTGTGGCTGCTGCTGCAGGCGCGTCAGGGGAAGCGATTCATATCGGTCGATCAGGCGCATGCAAAGTACGGCAAACTCGTGCGGATTGCTCCCGCCCACGTTTCCATTGCAGACGATGCAGCCATCAATGCGATCTACGGCCACGGAAACGGATTCTTGAAAGCGTAGGCCTCGGTTAATCTTCCCCTTCAAGGCTTGTGCTTATTCTCGTCCCAGTGATTTCTACGATGCCTTCGTCTCGATTCGACGTGGTCTGTTCAACACCCGCGACCGAGCAGAGCACAGCCGGAAGCGTAAGATCGTCTCGCATACCTTTAGCGCCAAGTCGGTCGGACAATTTGAACAGTACATTCATGGCAATATCGAGGAGTTCGTGAAACAGTGGAACCGTCTGTCTGACCTGCAGGCCAATCCCCAAACTGGTTTCGCTAGCATCGATGCTCTGAATTGGTTCAACTATCTTGCCTTTGACATTATCGGGGACTTGGCTTTCGGAGCCCCGTTTGGGATGCTGAAGAAGGGCCAGGATATCGCTGAAATGCGCAGGAGCCCTTCCGACCCGCCTAAATATGTCGCTGCCGTCGAGGTCCTGAACCGCCGCGGTGAAGTCTCTGCCACTCTGGGCTGTCTTCCCTCGTTGAAGCCGTATGCCAAATACCTGCCAGACAAGTTCTTCTACCAGGGAATCGAGGCCGTGGAGAACCTAGCCGGTATTGCCATTGCTCGTGTCAATGAACGCCTGAAGCCCGAGGTGATGGAGAAGAACACCCGTGTCGATCTTCTTGCTCGGCTCATGGAGGGCAAGGATGGCAATGGAAACCTTCTGGGCCGTGAGGAATTGACCGCGGAGGCTCTGACTCAGTTGATTGCCGGCTCTGACACCACTTCGAACACCGCCTGTGCTATCTTATACTGGTGTATGCGCACTCCAGGTGTCATTCCCCGGCTGCAAAAGGAATTGGATAACGCTATCCCTAAGGATATCGACGTCCCCACTCACGCAATGGTCAAGGACATTGAATAGTAAGTAGCGATGGAAGTTGGCTATCCTCATTGTTCCCCTTTTCGCTGACGGTTGATAGTCTGAACTGGGTCATTCAGGAGACGATGCGCATCCACAGCACTTCTGCGATGGGTCTTGCTCGTGAGATCCCCCCAGGCAACCCCCCTGTCACCATTTGTGGACATACCTTTGGCCCTGGTGATATCCTCTCCGTGCCTAGCTATACCATCCACCGTTCCAAGGAAATTTGGGGCCCTGATGCCGAGGACTTCGTTCCAGAACGCTGGAACCCGGATCGTCTGACGCCACGTCAGAAGGCTGCATTCATTCCATTTAGTCATGGCCCTCGTGCCTGCGTGGGCCGCAATGTCGCCGAGATGGAGCTGCTTGTAATGACCGCCACAGTCTTCCGTCTCTTCGAGTTTCAAATGGAGCAAGACCACCCCATGGAGACTCGTGAGGGTTTCTTACGAAAACCCCTTGGCTTGCGAGTAGGCATGCGTCGACGAACTGTGGTTTGAGGATACCGATAATTCTCAGTTTCTGAAAGGGCTGTGCTATTGGCTGAGGTAAATCTAGGGAGGATTAACGTGTACATATGTTTGAACTTTTGGTAGCTGCGTTCGAGCAGTTGACGATGACCATGATTGAACGCTGCTTTTCGTTTCAGTTGTAGGAATGGGAGAAATTGATCAGTCCCATGTCATTACATAAAAGCAAAGCATCTGTTGACTTGTACTTCTGCCAATACTCCCAAGTACTAGTAGGTTTTCAATGTACGGATGTTGAAATTTGGGCTTCCATATTGGATATTCTGACGATGATCACTCCCTGCTATTATTGGCGAGCCTGGCAATGTTGCACCACATTGGAGCCTTTGATTCTCCTCTTTGTCCTCCCAGTCAAGGCCCTTGAGGCTGTGATACCTACTGCTAGTAGCACTAGTGAATCCTGCATCGAAACATCAGGATCCTCCAAACAGGAAGCTTCAGACATCTTGTCGGAGAACTCGAATTCTGCAGCTTTCCTTGACTTGATATGCAGATATGCAGACTTGCATGTATATAGTAGTAGGATACTGAGTCACCCACCGGTCTGAGTAGTCTGCCAGTATGTCAACAAGCTGTGGAGAGATATCAGAGAATGGCCGTAGTACGCATGCCGGTGATTGCCTTCCAAGCACTCCTTCACACTCTCACTCGTTCTTTCCCTTTTGGATGTCTCTTCTCCTTTGCTTCAAGTTCCTCCTCCTCCCATAGTAACTTCACATGTCCAACGCCGTTTGAATTCCACTCTCTGACGTACCTGAAAATCACTCTCATTTTCCGCTTCAGTCTTCCACCGCTCATCTTGTTCTCAAGTGTACTCGACTCATCTCACAAGCTTCTCATACAATCAGCTTGTCCCCGCGTCCTATCAACACTTTATCATCGGAGTCCTTCAAAGTCGTCGAAGTCCTTCTGGAGCTGTGTTGTCTACCATCATCTTGAGACAGGGTCCATATCTCAAGTGACATCTTTCACCACCATGGAGAATGTCGACAAGGCCGGCGAAATACATTCTACTCCCCCCAGGGAACGAGCCGATGGGTTCCAAGCAAATACTGAAGCCGCGCTGCAAACACTGAAGTATCATAAGAACTGGGACCCAAACCTTCCAGACAGTGTTTATGCAAAAGTGGAAGAGGCGCTTCACGTTCCAGATGCCATCGTTCGCGACGAAGTGATCCACGACTTACTTGATAACTCCCCATATCCTGAGGTGCGCGCTGCCGTCTCCAACGTCGACGAAGGCGGGCATTCGAACACTTTGAGGGCCTGGCTCATTGGTCTCCTTTTCGCTACGGTTGGCTCCGCTCTGAACGCTTTGTTCAACCTCCGACAACCCTACATTGTCATTCCGCCTTACATTGCTCAGGTTCTTGCTTATCCAATGGGCAAGGCATGGGAGAGGTTTATGCCTCGAAGGGTCCTCAAGATCTTCCGGTATGAGTTCGCTTTGAACCCTGGGCCGTTCTCCAAGAAGGAGCATGCCATAGCGATCATCATGGCAAATGCGACTTGGGGCGGGGGTGCTACCTACGGCACGGATATCATAGTAGCGCTGCGCGGCTTCTACTATCATCGTTTCGGCTGGGCCTTCGAGATCTTCATGTCCATGTCGGTTATGATGTCGGGCTTCGCTCTGGGTGGTGTTTTCCACTCGCTCTTGGTCACCCCCGCTGCCATGATATGGCCATCTAATCTCATCAGTACATCTCTCTTTACTGCGTTGCACGACCATTCTCACCCAAATCCAACTTTGACTTCTGGCTGGACAATCGGCCGATACCGCTTCTTCCTTTACATCGCCGTCGGATGCTTCTGCTGGCAGTGGCTCCCAGGATACATTGCACCTTTCCTGAGCACGTTCGCATGGGTGACGTGGATCAAGCCCCAGAATGTTATCGTCAACCAGTTGTTCGGTAGCATAGCGGGGCTGTCCTTGATTCCGATAACATTTGACTGGAGTCAGATCGCCGGTTTTAATTTCAGCCCTCTGATTGCCCCATGGCATGCCATTGCGAATACATTGATCAGCATGGTGTTTTGGTATTGGATAATTGTTCCAGCCATTCACTACTACGGTCTCTTCTATTCCGATCATTTGCCAATAAGTGGCTCGGCGAGCTATGACAATATGGGTGCATCTTACAACGTCTCCCGTATATTGACACCAAGTATGACGCTGGACGAGAAGAAGTATCAACAATACTCCCCGATCTTCTTGTCAACCAGCTTCATGCTTTCCTACGGGTTGAGCTTTGCCGGAATTGTGTCAGTGGTCGTCTATACTGGCTTGTTCCACGGAAGAGAGGTCTGGAGTCAGATTCGCCACATAGGCAATGAGCCTCCCGATATCCATACCCGTCTGATGATCCGGTATAAGTCCGTGCCACAGTGGTGGTATGGTGGCGTTGCATTAATCATGGTCCCAATGTCATTTGGAGTGATTCTGGGCTATCCCACGCACTTGACTTGGTGGGCGTATCTCGTTTCGATCCTTCTAGCCGTCTTGTTTGTCCTGCCCATTGGCATAATCAATGCAACAACAAACATTAGCATTGGCTTGAATGTGATCTCCGAGTTCATTATCGGGTATATGCAACCAGGAAGGCCGACGGCCATGATGCTTTTCAAGTCATACGCGTACATCTCGATGAACCAGGCGCTCACCTTTCTATCTGACATGAAGCTTGGTACGACATCCCTGGCCCGCTCCTAGAAAATTCGAGGGGTTGTCAAGGGTCTGACTTTGATTATAGGTCATTACATGAAAATCCCACCTCGGGTACTGTTTTCGGCACAGATAGTAGCAGGCATATGGTCCACCCTTGTTCAAGTGGGAGTTACAAACTGGGCACTTTCGACAATCCCTGACATATGTAAGCCCTATCAAAAAGACCACTATATCTGCCCCGGTGGTCGCGTCTTCTTCACAGCATCAGTCATTTGGGGATTGATTGGCCCTGCACGAATATTTTCCATTGGGCAGCTCTATTCTCCTTTGATGGCCTTCTGGATCCCGGGCCTGCTTCTGCCTATTGCCGTCTACCTAGGGGCCAGATGGTTTCCCAAGAGCCCGATCCGTCTCTTCTCCCCGCCAATCTTTTTCAGTGGGACCGGGCTAATCCCACCGGCAACGCCTTTGAACTATTTGAGCTGGGGTATAGTGGGATACATCTTCCAGAAGTTCCTGCGGGACACACGACCAGGCTGGTGGAGCTATTACAAGAATATTGTCTCTGCCGGGCTGGATGTTGGGCTGGCGGCCGCTACCATCATGATCTTCTTGGCACTGCAGCTTCCAAAGGTTGAAATGCCGGAATGGTGGGGTGTTACAGCTCCTTCGAACACATTGGATGCAGCAAATCAAGCCATCCGTGTCAGATTGCCGAAGGGGCAAAAGTTTGGGCCTGACAAATGGTGAAGGACCTTCGGTATCAGTTACAAGTTTAACCATATGGATTCCGGTTTATTTGCTTTCGAATGTATTTCCTTTCGTTTTGCGCACTTAGATATGGCTCAGGTCTTTAATTGGCAAGTTGACTGGGGCGTTGTGGGGTATCTGATTAGGGAACTCAAAGTATTTTTTTGAGCCTCACCTTTAACATCTCCAAGCTTACTTTAATTGAATGCAACGCCTTTTTTACGTATGGGTCTACCACGTGCTGTTTCATCTTTGGAGGACTGTGAAAGATGAGAACCCTTGAAAAGGGAGCAGATGCAGAAGAGCCTGATAAAAGCATTGGATTCTCTGGTATTAGATCTGTGAGCCCATATGGGGCGTACGTGTCTGCATAGCCAATATATCTTTGTCTTTTGTCCGAGCCATTATGAGCTTCAGAATAAGGTTGTGGTGGAAGCCCAATTGGGCGGCAGGGGATCAAGGGAGAAAAAGGCATCATCACCGAACGCCCACTCAAGATCAGCTATGAATTGCTCGTTGATCATCAACGGATCTTCGAGATCATGAGCATCCCCGGATGACAAAGTAGCGCCAGTTCCCAATCGATTCATCTCATTCCCATCCTCTGTTTCTCCATTATTCTCTTTCATGGATGAGGATTGAGAGTATGAGTAGCCACGGCCACTGCGGGGATCTATTATCGCCCGAACTCGTGATTGGGGATCGAATTCATCGCGCCACCACCAAACAGCATCCAAGACTGGGCTCAGCGCCAAACGACCGCGGATTCGTAAAGTGGTGAAGTCAGTGCCATCGGCCTTGCGGAACGCCTTGTTGCTGTTCCATATTGATGTCAGAACCGTAACGGTCTTCGCAGATAGATCTGCACTGTCAACAGACATCTGCTTGGCCAGGTTAATGGCCGTGAACAGCGAGGATCGCGCCCGAATGGTCTCGACGCCCTCTGCTGCAGACTGACTCTTGAGAATTCGAGTCAGTGACGTTGCTGCTAGAAGCAATCCCCACGCTATTTGGTTAGGGAGCATTGTGAGGCTCGCCACTCGATCAGTCAGCGACTGTACGTAGTCGATCACGTTGCAGGCAGTCGTGACTATCCGGGGACAACATCCGCTAGACGCTATGGTTTGGATTTTGTAGAAGTGAAAGCTTTGGATCGTCAACCGACAGAAAAACACATCGAATCTCTGATCATCTGAATGACATGAGCACCAAAACGAGTCTCTCAGATCGGAGATGGGAGGCTTACCGGTATGCGCTTGGAGCTCCAGATCCTTTGTTTCGTTCTCATATGAGAGCAGCAAAGCGTCGAGTGACTGTTCCCGGTCTACGGACATGAAACCAAGGCCGTTTTTCAGTAGCATCTCACTGGACCGCGCAATGAGATCTTGGCAACGGAGCTTCAAAGACATCCACGGCGGTATCTTCTCAAAAATCGCTGATCTTTGAGATGGATCCTGAGCCTGGTTCACGCGCGGGAGCTGACCCTTTTGCATGCATACCCTGTAACTTTGTGGTCAGCTTCCTGTCACTCAAAAGGCCCACACTTGGTTCATGTGCGGACTGACCTCTGATATGTCATAACACTCAGAGCCCAGAGTTCCGAGCGACGTAGTAGATCCGCCTCGGAGGGAACAGGGAGCTGGACACGACAGAACTCATGGCTGGACAAGGGAATATGCAGCCCATTCTGCATGGCAATATGTAGCAGCATTCCACCCAGCGGTAACCCCACTTCAGGATGATCTCCTCTCGGGAAAGGCCAGGTCAGAATCAGCAAGATCGCTTGGATATTGTACCAGGGAGGGGATTTTGAGAGCGCGGAAAGGAACGCCATTTCAACTATACTGCGTGCCAATGCTATCATCAGTGTCGGGTTTTGCGGGTACGCGCGACACGATGACCCTATGATAGCCCAAAATAGAAGGGGCGATTGGGCGTAGTAAGCGTTGGGCTTTGTCTTGGGTCTCAGGATAGGAAAAAACTGGGAAAAATGCCGGAAAAAGCTGGCCATCCGCATCAGCCAAGCAAATTCTCTTCACGGAACATCGGGAGTAGACCTACAGGTCAAATAAGTCGTCAATCTCATTGGCTGCCACTTGCACTCCATTTAGTGTCCGAGGCAATGTTGGCACATTTGCATTGGGAGCCGGTACCGGTGCCGGGGTCGTGGAAGTAAGGCCATGAGGAGCCAGGAGCTGGGGTGTATATGACTCTGAAGACACCTGAGGTGACATTGAAAAAGAATCACTGCTGGGGCCACCACGTCCGCCGATCTCCGCAGCTGCCGTGAGCAAGGACATCCCGGCAGACGGATCTGGATCGACGGATTGCCATGTCTGCAGCCTCTGCCGTAGCTCATCTGATTCACGCTGGAGGTCTGACAGACGCCTAACGGGAGAAGGCTTAGTGCGTGTGGATTGAGATAGCGTGAAGGTCAGACCTACTTGCGCTTGTGCTCACGCTTGAATGGATCTGAAACGACACAGTCCGCTTTAACCCTCAGACAGCGAGAGCAAGGTTGACCGGGGTTCAGATACACATCGCATTTAGCCTGGGAGGGTGTGGTCAGGACAGAAAAGGCTCGAACTCATCGGTATCTTCCTACCTTTTGCTGGCGACACTCGGTACAGGCTTTCTTTCCTTTCTTCAGCGGCCTGCGACGAGACATGTGAGTCGAGAAAGAAACAGGCTGGATCCGTACTATCCGTACTTACGTCGCCATGAGGCCTGGTACACTCTCCCAGCAGGGGTCTTTTTCCCCGTGAACGGAGCTGGACAACGTGAAGATGACGACCATTGGAGGAGGCGGAGGGCAGATTGTCCGGTACCGGGATGTCGATAGTCAGATAAGCCGCCCGATAAGAGGCGATTCTGCTGACATCAACGCCGGTCGCGGCCCTGTCCGAGCTGCGATTGGTCCGGGAATCAGCACTTTAGCTGTGGCTTGGCCTTCGGATTCCTATGAACGCCATGTTTGACACAAGGTGAAGAGGATTATTACGAAAGCAAAATGCTACCTTGGACTCGAACATCCAATTGATAACCAGCATCTCCGTACGGGGCCAGATCAGCTGTCTACTTTTACGACTCCCGTCGGATGGGGATGTTACAATGGCAAGCTATCAATGCCTTCGCGTTGTCCAACAAAGCCAAAGATCCACGATACACAAAAGCCGTGTGCATATTCTCCACTGTGGCTCGAACATGGCAAGATACTGAGTCGCCCGGAAAAGGCGCTCGTGATGCGACTGGAAGGCAACATGTGTGCAACCTACTGGAATAGTACCCAATATATTGTTTCGGATCACTCTGCTGGATAGACGTCATATACCCAGGAACCCCGGGGGGGAACCTCGGAAGGCATCCACAGACATTCTACCCGGGGACCATCTGAACGGCGATGCGTTTTCTTCCTCGGCATTGGGAAACTAGGGGATCCAGCATGGAACACCCTTGGAAGGATAGGTGTAACGTATCGTACCGAGTGCTTTGCTGGGGACCAGCAGGCAACTGCTCCTCGTAGTCCGAAGGCTCCTAGTCCCAGTAGCAGAACTAGCAGTGTGTCAAGATATTCTGTTGGTCCTTGCTCCGGCCCTCGAGTATAATATACCGGAATACTCGTAGTTAAAAATTGAAGGCTTCTCTATATGAATATTTCACAGAGTTGAAAAGACATCTGTCCTGAATAACTATAACTTATCTTTGTCAAGACTGCCTGATCTTCACGAAGCAGTGGCACCGCCACCATGACGCCGCAAGAGGCAACTGGACATGCTCTCAAGGTGACATCACGTCGAAGCGGGTTCAAAAGCAAAGAAAAAGAAAAAAGAACAGCTAGATATCCTCGACGGTCGCGGTACGAGATCGGCCTGCGAACGGCACCGACAATTGAGACGACTACCATGGGCCTAGAAATCCCGTCTGTGGCAGAGTTGAAAGACGCCGCGGAGAGTGGCGAACGCATCACTCCCCAGGACGTGTCGGCCATCTCACAGATGGAGAGCGAGTTGACCGGGCGCGGTCCCCTCCGCGGAGGACCTGCTGGTAAGTACAGGAAATAGCATTCAAAGGATTCGGAATCAATATTGAAGATGTCATAGCAACGGCCCAGAGCCTGGCAATGCGACAGAGAAACTTTGATAGCAAATTCGATGAGGTGCTCCGGAAACCAGAGCACCATATCACCCGGCACGACGCTCGAAAAATGCACGCCACAGAGGCAAGTTCGACGAGTCAGACGGCGTAGATGGATGCTAAGCGAGTCTCGTAGGGCCGAGCCTTCAATAGACGACCGGGCCAGGAATCCGTGTCGGCGCACCTGCACCACATCGCGGACCGCAACGAGCGATTGAGGCCACCGCCAGACTCGGCCAACGTACCTACGCAGGTTGACTATGTCGATTTGGCCAATGAAGTCCAGGAAGGCGAGCGAACGCCGAGCCAGGAGGGGCCGCTTCCCCGCCGAAGCATGGCGGCGGAAATGCAGGTGAGTGGACTGCGAAGCTGAGCCATGTTGACCTGCTTATCTCTGGTAGAGCCTGGCCGACCAATTGGAGACCATCCGATGTGATAGCAAAGGGGGGGTTTGACGTCTACTCCGTATAGCAGCCCGTAGCTACAAACCTAGCGAAATTGAGTTTTTTTTTTCCAAAGAGAAGATCCTCTCCTGTATTCAGAACTACGTGGAGGTGGAAGGTTGGCCTGAAGTGTTAAGCCTCGACCCGCAGTCCGCGGGCTTTGATCGACATCAGCAGTGCTCGAGCTCCCTTGGTGCATTCTGTCCTTTGGAGACGACCCAACATCGCCCTTCCCCTTCCTCCCCGCCCAGCCTGGGTTACCCCGAAACCGACTTGTCCAGCGCATTCTGGTCTAACTTGTCCAAAAAGAAAAAGAGAAAAATGCAGCGGTGGACGAAATTCACCAACCGGACCCCACTACCCCCGTCCGTCTCGGAGGCGGCAGTGGTCCGATCGCTGCACGACCACGAGGCAATGATCACCCAGAATCCCCTGGTTATCCACTACGAGCGGTGTCCAGTCCCCGAGGATGCGCTACCAGACGAGAGTGACGCTAGCTGGTATGAATTAACCGACCGAGTCGACTATCTCCCTGGTGGGCTCCTCCAGGGTCGCGTTCGCTATCGAGGGTGCTTCCACGATACCCCACAGGGCATTCGAACCCACATCTATGCACCCTTGGGCGTCCGGATCCGCAACCACTGGACGGTACGACGGAGCCAGGCAGGGCTGGAATTGGAGGAGAGAAATAGAGCTGCGGTGTCCCTGGGGATCCACCCAATTCATCCGGCGCACTTTGGAACAAGCACATGGGCAGCTGGTGGCTCGATTGGCGACTAGCGCAGAAGAGCCGATAAGATAGGAGGAGGGGGGAACGCGGGGCTCAACAATTTGTCATGATGCTAGGATTTGGAATTATTGATCTTCTGCATGACGTATCATGCAGCAGGAGCCCCATCGCTATTCCTAATAGGGTTCGGAGTGGAGTACTAGGAAGTTAAAAGAACCATGAATCAAATGGGTGCCGGGTCCAGAATTCGAAGTGTGTAGACTCTGAGTGGCTCAGGAGCTCCAAGAAGCTCCAGAACAAGGAGCTGCAGGTAAATGGTCCAGATCGTCGCAGTCAGCCAGTGCCCGGTTTGGCACTTTTTCTGGGACGCGACCCCGCGCTTTAAATAGTTGGCTCGCATCCCACCAAGGTCCTCCGTTCCTGCTTTTCTCTTGAGAACCTTGGAAGAATCAGATCAGCTCACCATGCCTCTCACTGGTCACTGTCTCTGCAAAGCGGTCACCTACACCGCGGCTGTGGACCAGCCCCTCATTACCGCGTACGACCACTGCGATGACTGCCAGCGCCAGAGCGGTTCCACCTACTGTGAGCTTCCATCATGCCGCCCCCCAACTCCCCCCAGTATACGCTGACCCCAATCGTCTAGCTCTGGTCACTGTGGTCCCCAAGGATAGCCTGACCATCAACGGCCCTGTCAAGAAGTACACCAGCAAGGGCTCTTCTGGCAATGACGTCCACCGTCTCTTTTGCTCGGAGTGCGGTTCCCCCATTGCCCACGACCCAGACGCAGCCCCGCCGATCATTGCCCTGAAGGCCGGGACCCTGGATACCGAGATCAAGAAGAACCTGAAGCCGGTATGTGAGACAACTCCCTACGCCCCGGAATGGCGCTAATCTTTCATTTCCCCTCCAGGACACCGAGATCTGGACCGTCAGCAAGCTTCCTTTCTGCTCGGAGCACCTCGAGAAGCCCTTCAAGCACATGCCCGAGTAAATGAACCCCACGTGTGGATGCCGGGGCTGGAACGAAAAGAAACACTGAACGATCCGATCGGGCAGCGATCCTGTTGGCCTTTGATTTTGACGATGATGAACAATACCAATCAATGAAAAAGAGTATGATCTATACAGTTATCTGATCTACGACTAGTAGTCTCATTTGTTGAGCTCCGTAGATGCTTGATTCGGACCAACTTCTCAGATATGTTCCGTGCTGAACCCGTAACATGACTTGAGAGGATGGCGGCCCTGGAGGCCGCGATGCCTGCACACGAAGAGCGGATTTAGACAAAACTACTCGGGCTTGGCCAAGCAAGGGGGGGACTGATCCCCGGCGGTGGCTCATTCGAGCGCCAGATTTGGAAGGCCGAATCTTGTCTGGCGCGATCGCCGGTATAAAGCCCCAAATCAACGCCGGGTTACTCCCCGCCCATGCCCGACGTCCGGGGTTCACAAGAACGTGAAACTTCGCGTTTACAGGAGATGCAGCAGGCAAAATGGGGGATTCGTACATTATCGGGTGGGACAAGCTTTTTTTTTATCGCGAATGCGGAACCCGGATGTAACTAGTCGAATCTTAACCTCGTCTATAGATTGGATAGCTTCCTGGTATTTAAGAAAGGCCATGGCGAGTAGATGGTGTAAAAGCCACGACTGGTATCAACTCGGAGTGGACTCGCTCAAGTGCAATCAACTCGCACCTTGACACGTTCGACGATGAACTCCAACAGACAGTCCAGAGCCAGTCTGCACGCTGGGCAGCTCCCGAAAAGTGTCAAGGTTCGTTCTACTTGTAACGCCTGCCAGCAGGCGAAGATCCGATGCAGTCATGAGAAGCCTGCTTGTCGCCGCTGCCAAAAACACCAGATGGAGTGCATCTACAGTGTCTCGCGCAGGCTAGGCCGGCCGGCTAAGAAGAAAGACGCCACGCTGGTGGGGGAGCAGAGCAGTCATCCATCTAGCGAGACGATCAATCGTGCAGAACCCGAAGATACAAGTTCTATCCATGGGAAGAAGGCGCGCAAGCAGACCATGAAAAGCAACCCCCGGCCCAGCTCAAAAGACAAATCCCGAGCCTATCATAGTAAGAATCCCCGTTTAGCAGGCTGTGATAGTTGTGGGGACTCATTGGACCCCTTCATAGGAGAAGGAGAAAGAGAGGAGCTGTCAGGTACGTCGTACTGTATTTGGTGGCTACATCACCGCGAAAGTTCATCGCTTATATGAGTATCAGCCTCCCTGGATCTCGATTCCCCGGAGGATTGGTTTCAAACTCTTTTCTCCGGCCGGGTGGGCGGAGCCCCGGTCAATTCTATACTTGAGCCTGTGACAACCTACGGCATGGAACCAGATGACTCTTTCCATCGACAGTCAGACTACACAGGGTATTTGAGCCAATTTACGCTACACCCACAGCAGAATGCCTCCCCAGACTCCCTCTCCGGCGGGCTTGAGGCGACGATGTTTCAAGCTTACTCCGATGGAGATCCAAACGGGATTGGCAGCCTCCTCGGCAGAGAACAAGTCATGCAGCCAGCTCTCTTGGAGAATGACATATTCCCATGGATTTATGATTCCATGTCCTCTAGCGACCTGCAACAAGCACCGGCTCTCCAAGCTCCCCAAGCTCCCCCCAGGATTCCATATCGGGACCCGGTGCTCTTAGACCCACCCATGAATCAATATAACAACTACCCCATGCAGCCAAGCTTTTTTGACTCTGCAATGTCAGACTCTGACCAGGCGCTCTCATCTGTGATCTATATCCGAAGCAAGGTTATCCTTGGCAAGATCGAGCTGGACGACGATTGAGTCTGTCAGTTGCGGGTTTCCGTAGGCGGAGGTTCCATCAACGGGGTGCGGGGGGGGGGGGAGTGTCTGTGGAAGCTAACGGGCAGATCAGGGGGAGCTTGGCGAGAGAATGGCTGTGCGGCCATTGCAAGGGGACCCATTGACACTTCCACTCGTGCCAATTCCACCGTCAATCGATGGGATGGGATGACAGCTCTGGGGTTGGTGAACCATGCAGAAAACCGGGGAAATTACAACCAAAAAAAGGGCCAAGCGCAACAACAAAACGCCGACGCCGACGCGTCAGGAACGATACCAGATCATGACAGCCATTGACAGATCTCACTGGAAAGAGTCGGACTATGCAAATCCTGAGTTTGACTTACGCAGTATACACTGTGTATTTACACTACGGCTCTACTCACGGCGGTCCCTGTGATGAAGTGGCCCCGCCGATCGCGATCCACCGTGCCCACATCGTGCAGTCGCCCGGTTTCGGGGTTTCCGCCCGCATCCGTGACCTCAATTTGCATGGCGGATTGATCACTCTCCCACTCCTCTCCATGCTCCCTTCATGCTGGCGTCTATTCTCGCAGCTCTTAGGGAACCTACCCCGGGTCCCCAGCAGCGCCCCGTGCGCTATGCTGGCGAAGATACCACCCCGACCACCAAGCGGGAGATCCTAGGCTGGTACTCGTACGGAATCGCAGCTGAGGTTTTTGCGGTCTGCGGCGTGGGTTCGTCAGCTGTCTCCTACCTTATGTTTACCACACACTAACGGGGTTGCTCTCAAGGGTCCTTTCTTCCGCTCACCCTCGAACAGCTCGCTCGAGAGCATGGGACGCTACAAACAAGCCATCTGCCCTGCTGGGGCCCTCGAGCACCAGCCAATGGCACCCAATCGGCAGGCGAGCAGTGTATGGTTGGGGTTATGGGTCTTCAGATCAGCACGGCCAGTTTCGCCATGTATACCTTCTCGCTGGCGGTGTTGATCCAGGCGCTGACGCTGATCTCGTTTAGCGCATTAGCGGACTACGGTACGCGATGATCCCCAGAACGTGAATGGGAGTAGACTGACGGTCTCGCTTTCGCTTATCGCAGAAAATAACCGCAAGAACTTACTACTGGCCTTTGGTTTTATCGGGTCCGCCACTAGCATGCTGTTCTTGTTGATCGCCCCATCGCTGTTCTTACTCGGATCGATCCTGGTTGTCATCGGTGTAACTTGCTTGGGCTCCTCGTTTGTGGTGTTGAACTCTTTCCTACCAGTTCTTGTCGCGAACCATCCATCAATTCAGAATGTACCAGGGCGTAATAACGAGGAATTGTCGGATCTCAGCCGACATGGAGATCCAAACTGGAACCCTGTGAACGATGATGACAGCGTGGATGGCATAGAGTCCGAAGGCCTACAGCCTGGGTATACAGAAGATGGCATCAAGTCGAAGAAGATGAAATCATCTTCTCCCGAGCTTCAGCTATCCAATCAGATTTCATCCAAGGGCATCGGTCTGGGCTACTCGGCTGCAGTGTTTGTGCAGATCCTGAGTATCTTGCTCTTGGTGACACTAAACAAAACGTCACTTGCCAAAACGTCCGGGACTCTTCCCATGCGGTTTGTGCTGCTTCTGGTCGGCATATGGTGGTGCCTCTTTACATTCGTAGCTCGCCGTTGGCTGCGGACGCGGCCAGGTCCCCCGCTCGAGACTTCCTCTGCGCCAGGGCGTTCTCGTTGGAGGGTATGGCTCGGGTTAGTAGGCTTTGCGTGGAAATCGCTGTGGCAAACCATGAAAATTGCGGTCAAACTTCGCGAAGTTCTGGTTTTCCTAATTGCTTGGTTCCTGTTGTCAGACGCCATGGCAACCGTCTCTGCCACTGCCATCCTTTTTGCCCGGACCGAATTGAAAATGAGCACCACGGCGGTTGGTCTGCTGTCAATCACGGCGACTTTGTCCGGCATGACCGGGGCATTTCTCTGGCCGCATGTTGCCCGTTATTTCAAATTGCAGTCCAATCACACCATCATTCTGTGCATTGCCCTGTTTGAAATCATCCCTCTATACGGCATGCTCGCCTACATCCCCTTCATCAAGAACTGGGGGGTACTGGGGCTTCAACAGCCATGGGAAATCTTTCCCCTGGCGATCGTGCATGGCGTTGTCTCGGGTGGACTCGCTTCTTATTGTCGCTCCTTTTTCGGTCTTCTCATCCCCCCCGGCAGCGAGGCGGCCTTTTATGCGTATGTGTCCCGACCGAGCGCACTCTTCATTCATCCACTAACTCGAACGATTCAGACTGTATGCCGCAACGGATAAAGGGAGTTCCTTTATTGGGCCTGCCGTTGTAGGCATGTTGATTGACGCGACGGGGTCGATTCGCTCGGGCTTTTTCTTCATCGCCGTGATCATCGTGCTGCCAATTCCATTGATGTGGATGGTGAATGCCGAGAAGGGTCGACACGAAGGTCTTGCCATGGCCGATCGCCTGGGCAAATCTCACGCGGGCCCTCCGGAGGATGTGCGGGAAGCAGAGGGACTATTGGCTCACGAGGAGTAGAGCCGCATGTATCTATGCCTGACGAAAACAACGTTCGGAGAAAGGTTTGGATCCGACCTCCGCGGAGCTTTTCCATGTGACCGGGCGGTCCGCATCTTGATGGGGAAAAGAACGACCTGGGGATTTAAGGTTTAATCTGAGCCAATGATTGTTTCTCGAGTGGCGATACTCTTCTGATAATTCCTCTTCCCTGCGGAGAAGGCGGAGATAGTTCAAACGTAGACAAACTGAGCTCCACCACGGCGAGAAGGATGAGTTAAGTCGGCTATGACATTTGAGACTAAACCTAACGGCCCAGACCTCAGGACCTCGGGCGAACTGGTTCTCCTACTTGCCCTAGTAATTGCCTTCCCGTGGAACCCCAGCTGCCCTCCGCGGTTGACCAGTACGACAATCGAAGGGCCCTTTTGTTTCACCTTTCAGGCAAAAAGACATGCGGGTGAGATTTTCGCACGCTGGAGTCAAGGGGTTTGGCAGAAGACCCACCCACTGCTGGAATCGTGGGGTCCCCACCGCGGCATGATTGGGAAACTTGGTCGCGATCTGGAATCCACCCAATCGCGGTACTTCAAATCTGCCGCCCCGGGGTCCAAGGGCGTTTTGGGAAGACGAACACGGGTTCTACGCCCCGCGATCTAGCGGGATTTAGAGTGGCGAAATCCTCATGATCCCCTTCCTGATCGAGAATCTGGCTACAGGAATGCCCGAGCCCTGTTCTTGGCCGTTTCGAGTCTGGATTTCAAGCAGTCTGATAATTTGGCAAGTCCCCGATCGACGCTATGCGTGCTAAGGACCCTCTACCCTCGGCAGAAGATTAGACTCGACGCTAGAATCCAATAGGTTCCACTTCGAACCGAGCATGTGTCCCAATTTTCGTGACACTTCCACATGCTGCAGGGGGTTCCCCACCACGGAGGAGCCCAAATTTGATCATTTTCTGAACTCAAATCTCGCGGTTTTGAAACCTTGCGGGGGAGACAAAAGAAAACCACGAGACCTCCTCCCCGTCCTGCTCCTTTCCCGTCCTTTGCTAGTTGAACCCTCCATCTGCAGATGAATCTCGACTCCTCTCACATATTATGGACACGGTTGACAATGGCGGCCGTAGTCAGGCCATCCTGATCGTCACCGCAATCTTCCTCGGGATTTCCCTGGTGGCAGTTTGTTTGAGATGTTTCGTTCGTACACGCTTGGTGCGGGCGTTTGGTTGGGATGACATTGTGATGGTGGTTGCCATGGTAAGCATCTCCTGGGCTGGGGCCAGGCAACCCGTGTTCTAATATCCTCGCAGGTTCTGAATCTGGCATTCGCCATTTGTGGAATCATAGGCGCCAAAAATGGCATGGGGAGGAAGTTGGCCCATTTCGTGACAAGCCCTCCCACAATCGGCGCAGAAAATTTCCGACGAGCGCTTTTGGTACGTTCGTTATCCCCCTGATGCCTGGCACGGCGACTGACTCATAGCTTGAAGTGCTGGTGGCTGGGCCAAGTCTTCTATGTAACGACCTGCGTTGTCGCCAAGATCTCCATCATAATCACTCTCCTCCGCATCACAGTGGACCGTGTTCACGCCTGGATCCTATACGCTGCTCTCTATCTGGCCACCGCCGTCGGTCTGCTCTTCTTCTTCTTCACCATCTTCCAATGCCATCCCGTGAATCTATTCTGGAACCGTTTGAGCGAGCGAGGCACCTGCGTCGACACCCAGATTCTCATAGACATCGCTTATGTGTACAGCGTGGGAACGGCCGTAACGGACCTGACCATTGCTCTTCTACCTATTGCTTTGATTTGGAATCTGCGCATGAAGCGTCGTACCAAGGCTGCCGTTGCTGGGATTCTGGGAATCGGTTGTCTGTATGTATACCTTGGGTGTTATCTATCGCCACTTGGCTAATTTTCTATATCAACAGTGCGAGCGCGGCGGTAATTGTCCGCATACCGTTCGTTAAGCATTACCAAGACAAAGAATTCTTGTGTACGTCCTATCGGACCTCCCCTAGCTCTATACCAACTGGTCTAATTGTGGATTCTGCAGACAATACCTACCAAATCTCCATTTGGTCCAACGTGGAAGCTGGGCTCGGAATCACCGCCGGGTCCTTGACCACCCTCCGTCCCCTCGGTCGATTCTTCAAAGGCGGCTCATCAGGTTCACATAGCCACTCCCAAAATCGTACCTCGTATCCCCTATCCAGCTCTATGGAACGAGGCGGGTACCGAGCGAACTCGAAGCGCGGCGACCAGGAGCGTGGCCATAAAATTTGGGCTGGTAGTGAGGTGGATGATTACCATGGAGTGACAACGACTATCATGAGCAGTCATCGGCCAAACCCCAGCAGCAGTGAAGAAGACCTCAATCCAAAAGATGACCGATGGAGAATGCGCGATTGACATAGAGTGCATACCCACAACCGCTGCTGATTTTGGCTATGATTCCTAACAATCCACGTACATAATCTCTAATGAATCCCCTTCGACTTCGATTTCCAGCTGAGAACGCAAGAAAAGGTTCAACGGGCCCCGAAATAATTCTTGACTTATTTTTGATCCCGCTCAAGTGTCCCTTCGAGTTGCACAATACTCAGAACTTCCTCAAAATCCAGTCCCGCGCATTTTTCATGCGTATCGCTAGTTTTTTTTGCATTTGAAACCACCGTGCACGGTCGAGTGGGGGCTGGGGCGGAGTTGGGGCTGGGGCGGAGTTGCTATTTTTCAGACCAGGGTGCATGTGATAACGCTGGGAGTAAAACCCACTATGCACTTTGTAATATCATGATGTCGAAAATATTTACCTAGTGTCTAAATCTACGTTCAATGCACGAGGGGCTGGATTCCATCGACAGGAACTACTTTGATTCCAGGACCCCAGGACCCCAGGACCCCAGGACCCGGATGTATCATTATGCGATCCGTGCATAATTGGGCCGCAGGGCGTGGGCTTCGTGTGCCGATTGGGAAAAAGCCCGTCGGAAGATCGCGCTTGAATTCAATTGTCCAATGAGCACATCGGATCTACTCGATCACATCTACGCTCAGGAGGGTCAAGGCCGCACTAAACTTATTTATGATTTGGGAAAAGTTAATCAGGACTAAGATTGTGCTCTCCTTGAATATGTGACTTTTCATCATCTCACTGCAAGGCTCGATGAGTCAACCCGTCGATATAGTTTGATCCGCCCAGAGGAAACGAAACGAAAAAGCAAAGCCGGATTTGCTATCATGTCAGATATATCTGGACCATCCCAGTCTGCGGCAGATGCCGTGGTGCGGCGATACTTGATAGCGCGTTTTCACCCTACGATTTGAACCTCAGAGCTAATTGGAGCACCCGGACAAGACGTTGCGTCGTTCAGGGGGCGGACTTAATTGACGGGTCAACACGTGGCGAGCATTCAAGACACTTCCAAGTTCTCGGCGTAAATGAATGGTGCGCTGTATGATTTCCCCCTTTCAAAACATTCCGAATTCATCGTCAACCTTACGCTCAAGTGGGGATAAAATGCTTGGAGTCATTTTCCTGTTGGCTGAAAGACTCTGGGAATGCTGCGATTCCACCGATTATGCCGACCGCCATGAACAGAAGAGAGATGATGACCCAGATCACACCCCAGCATTGGGAGGATCCTCCGTACTTCTGGGCGAAGACGCTAGCGTCGGAGGTATTGACTTTGCGAAGAATCAAATCATCACACTGCATCGTCAGCATGGCATCGCTGTTTCTTTATTTTTGGAGGGGAGACACTTACAATATCCCATGCACTATAAAGAGCGGACATTACACCGATAAAGAGCTGTTTATGGTCAGTCTGGAAAGGGAGGTTGATTCGAGGGCCGGGCAGCTGATTGGTGACTCACCACGATCCATCGCAAAGCTTCTCCATGGGCAATGAACCAAAAAGCTACCAGTAGGCCCACAGCAAGAATGATAGTCATAATCGTCAACCAATCCTTACGGGCCCACCAAAGAGTGAGGAGGAAGCAGACACCCAGAACAATACTTGCGATCTTGCTTGCCACGATGTCAAACCCGGCGAAGATCAACAGGGCGCCGATGATAGAGGAGCCCAGATAACCTGCGGGAAGTGTAATGGCACTGATCCCGCCTTGCATGTGGGTGACACCTCCTTCATGGGGATCAAGGGAGATAGACTTGACTCGTCCTCCTGTGCAGCAAGCGGTGATCGCATGGCCAAATCTGGGGGATATCATCAGTCGAGTGTTCCTCTCTGCAAATCGTGTGTCGACCTACTCATGGAATGCAATGACAAGCATCTGAGGTTCAGTGTTTACGTGAGCTGAAGGGCACTTTCCCAGGACCAAAGCCGAGGATAGATGCACTCACTTTGAAAGGCCAGAGGACATAGCGAACATAGGGCAGATTCCAAAGCAGGGCTATTGCGACAACATATACCGCCATAATCCCTAAGGTAATCGCCTGAGTGTGGTTCACAGTCAGACTGCGTTGGACCAGATGCGGGGCGGCATCGAGCGCTCGGGCGCCCAAATGCGTATACACGACAGGCATGGCGGACAAAGGGGAGGATGCGAACAAGACGAGAATGGCTCCGTATTCAAGTTATTGCAATTTAAGGATCCCCAAGCTGGAGAGGGGGGGACGCGTCAGGAATGGCGCATGCCGCAATGTTTTGATCTGTTTGTCTGTTGTGCCTGATTTCTTGGCGGTGACGAGGCTGGTGGCGTCTATTTTTAGGCGTTGCACAGCAAAGTATTCGTAGGGAATGGGACCGGAGAAAAGAAGGCAAGAGGTATACAAGTAGTGAAATAGTCCTAGAAGTATGTAAAAGTAAGTACAGTCCTACACCCACGGCACTACAATTCTCCAACCTTGGAAGTTACAGCCAAAAGTCCCCTGCTACGTGGTCTTAGCAGTTCCTTCTAGGGGGAGCTTCTGGAGATCTTTTGCAATCTTCTTCAATACGTCAGCCCGCAGAATTGATGGACCATCGATGCTAAGTACGACCGGAGCTCTCTCCACGTTCCAACTTTTTCCTCTCCGCATTCAGGATGATCAATGTGGACATGGACCCCGCGCACCCCTTAAATTCAGCCACCAATGCAACTCTCCCCACAACCCCGCGAGGAACCCCGGAGCAACCCCGAGGGATTCAAGATCCAATGTCCTCGAGCCTGGCGCCCTCTAGATTGACCTCGAAAGCCGCACAGATCTAAGGAGCCGAGTGATGCTGCGGTAAATAATACTTCAGGGGCCCCGAAGACCACCCTTTTCCCGCCTGTTCGTCCCTCCATTTTCACCGCTCCCCGCACCGTGTGCATCATGCATCCTGCCTGGGTGCTTCTCGCGGCGTTCGGTCAGAGCCAGGCGAGGCCAACAGTGCAATCGAGCTCCTGCATGCGCAAAAACTCCGACTTCCACCAGAATATCGGTGTGCTGGAATATGTCAATCCTCTGATTGGCACGTATGGCCCTTCACCTAACAGCAATGGCGGGATGATTCCCTCGGTGGCTCCTCCCTTCGCAATGACCCGATGGACACCCCAAACTAGAGAGAACTTCATCTCGCAAGTCCCATACGGAGATGGCGATCGCATCATCCACGGCTTTCAGGCAACCCACCAGCCCGCCATTTGGATGGGGGAAGCTGGCCAAGTGGTGATAACTCCCGGGGTTGGAAAAGTGCAACCGCTTTTCGAAAATCGAGGTCTGGCGTTCCGAAAGGAAGATGAGAAGAGTACACCATATGTGTACGAAGTGCTCCTGGACGCGACACAATTGATCGGTCGTGACTGGAACGCCACCGCCGAGGCGGCAGGAGGTGGCCCCAATCCAGGTAAATGCGCTCTTGTTGGAATGATTGAGCATGGTACAAACAAGAGCTGACGTGAAGAACGATACAGGGGGCGCGGGTACAGTTCCTTTGGATGTGGAAAAAGGCGCCAACGGCCGGACGCGAAAGCGCCAAACTGAATTCAATCTATCATCCGGCTTTACCTCTTCCTCAAATACCGAATCCCACCAGAAATCAATACAAGTAAGCATGGCCGAAAGGGGAGGTAGAATAACAACCCACGATACCCGGTTTGCTAACGCCGTGGTAGGTTTCACTGTCTGCTAATGCGCATGCGGGTCGAATTCGATTCCAATTTCAAGGTTGTAATGAGTCCCCGGAGGAGAAGCCGGAGCCTTGGGTGTTCATAGAGGTCTCACGGCGGAATTGGACGGGAGATGTCCATGTAGACTCTGCCAGGAAAGAGATATATGGCTACAATACTGAGCGTCAAGACTATCTATTAGGACCAGATCATGCGACGTCTTTCAAAGGCTATTTTGTTTCCCGATTCTCCGAGCCATTTGTGTCGCAAGGTGTCACAGAAGGGAACAAACTATACGAAAACGTGGATCACCGACACGGGAACTTCACCGGAGCATTTGTCAGATTTGATCGCAACGTGTCCATGGTCGAAGTACGAACCGGCATTTCCTATGTTAGCGTGGAGCAAGCACGTCGTAATTTGGATTTCGAGATATCCGATGACACCAAGTTTGAGCATACTGTGGAAGATGTGAAAGAAGCCTGGCTGGAAAAACTTGGGCGGATCACCGTCGAGGGCGTGAACCAAACTGACTCTGATCATTCTCCTCGGACTATATTCTACACGGGCCTTTTTCATGCGTTGCAGTATCCGAGTGACTTTTCGGAACCAGTGTCCAAAAACGGGGTTGCGCGTACATTCTACTCTGGATATACAGACCAAGTCCATACGAGTAACGACTCTTACTTTCAATCTTGGTCAATCTGGGATACGTACAGAGCAGAACATGCTCTCCTAACCCTCTTAGCGCCAGAAAAGGTGAATAACATGATGCGAACACTGCTCCAGATATTCGACTGGTCTGGATGGCTCCCTATGTGGGCTAATATGGTCGAGACGAACATAATGATTGCAACTAATGCAGACGTACTCATTGCCAATGCGCTGGAGCGGGGCTTCAGAGATTTTGATTTGCAAAAGGCTTGGGCTGCGGTCAAGAAAGACGCTTACACTCCACCTGACCATGACACCGAGACGCTTTACTACGATCGAGAGCCAAACACATCATACGAAGTACGAGCTGGACTCACGGCCTACAAAGATATCGGATGGGTTCCAAATGACGGCTGGTCCGAGTCAGGAAGCCGGACTTTGGATTACGCATTCGACGACTTCGCATGCTCCATTGTGGCTTCTCATGCCGGCGCAGACGCTAAATCGATTTCCGCTCTTCGGGATCGAAGCTACAACTATCGACACTTGTGGAACAATGATACGAAGTTCATGCAAGCTCGCAATCGTAATGGGACGTGGGCAAACAATACCTGGGGATGGACTGAGGGAGATGATTGGGTAAGTGCCATTACAACGCAACTGTCTGTGATGACGTGTCTGAAGAAAACTGCCAGGTGTACACATTTGATGTAATGCACGATGTGCATGGGCTAGCTCGGCTTTTTGGAGGTCGGACTGCGATGCGTGACAGGCTAGACGTCTATTTCCAGGGCGGACACAATGAGCGTGCGTCTTCACCAGGCTCAGATTCAGGATGCGTCTATATGAGCTGACTTGGACATTCCCCGAAACCAGATTCCAATGAGCCTAGTCACCACGTCCCCTACTTCTATTCCGCGCTTGGGTTCCCTGACCGCGCCGCAGAGACAATCCGAGAGGTTGCCTGGGCTAATTATAATGCTACGAGCAGCGGACTAAGTGGAAACGATGATCTCGGCCAAATGAGTGCATGGTATGTGTTCTCCGCTCTTGGCTTTTACCCGGTGAATCCGGCCAGCGATGAGTATATTGTTGGTTCGCCATTCTTCGAGAAAATCGCAATCCGCTTGCCGGCTGCAGCGACCAATGGAGGTCGGCCCACTCATAAGCCAGACAGGACTCTTGTGATCACAGCTCCTGGAGCCCCTGAAAAGCCCTACATCAAAAGTCTCAAGGTCGACGGCCGGCGTGTGGACACTCCAATTCTGAAACATAGCGCTATTGTTGGTGCATCCCACATTGCATTTGAAATGAGCCGCTCTCCTACTGCATGGGGCACATCCGTATGAAACTAGCTGGGTTGGCTTTACCTTCCGTATATAATCATGTTCAAGGAGAGCAAAACAACGTTCCACTTGAAGTTAATATAAAATAAGCTGCTTATCGCAGCACTCAAAGCTATTGATCCAGTACTATGTGAAACATCATGAAGAGCAAAGACCTTGAGGAGGCATGAATAAGCAGCTCCAACAGAGCACGAGCTATTAGGTCATTTGCCCGACCCAAGGCGTGCTTTGCGCTAATCTTGACCGATTGAAACAGGCCAAGGGGAGGTTGATTGGTGACTTGGGGAGACCCACCTGGTCGGCTTCAGCCCCCCTTGGAGAATCTTGGCCTGTGGGGGATTCATGCAGAGGCTGAGGGGGGTTGGCGATGATTGCTTTGCCGACGGAGACCTCGACTCGAGCCGACACCCCACTTGTTGTGGGGGCGTTTTGCCATCGACGCTGGCGACCAAAGATGATACCAAGAATCCGATCGACATGCAGTCATGCCATTTTTCGCGAGTTCCAGAGATCTGGAACCTCCCCGGCCAGCTTCCGCAGATTTGTCAGGTTTAAATTAGCAGTTCGCTCTCATGTCAAAGGGGTTTGAGAGCCTTAGCTGAAGGATGCTAGTCCTCAACGTCTTGTCGTGGTCATCGCTGGCCTGTCTGTCCTTCGCATCCCAGAGCTGGTGGGATCTGGGCAATGGGTTTCGGATCACCGTCAATAAGGGCGCAAACCACCTGCTAGTCACAGATCAGAATAATACCACCATCTGGGAAACCCCGCCCAATCAACCATTTCTCAGTGCAAGTGCTGGGCGGGATCGTATCGTGGATTCGAGTGGTAATTTCAAGATCACTGAGGTGAACAAGAGCAAGTGCACGTCGCAGCAGATTCAGCATGTCCGTCCACAACCGTGGAGCAGCAGTGCAAGCAGTCATGCGATCGTTATCCAGGGCCAATTGTCCGGCTGTGGTAGCTCAACTGCCATCTTCTCTCTGGGCTTCTACGTCCCGGCCGACCTCCCAGACCGGGTTGCGTTCTATACAGACCTCAATCCTGGTCTGTCCGCCCGCTCGTTGAACAACTTGTTCTTGACCTACCGATCTTCATCCTCAGAGCAGATCTATGGACTAGGTGCCCAGGCATCGTTTGCATCACTGAAAAACCAATCAGTGCCAATTTTCTCACGTGAACAGGGAGTCGGCCGCGGCGACCAGCCCACCACGCACCTCGAGAGCGAGGAAAGCTTTTTCTCGGGGGGCGATCGATTCACAACGTATAGCGCAGTGCCCCAATACATCACTTCGAAGTCGCGCGTGTTCCACCTGTCGGAGAGAAGCACGGCTTATGCGAACTTTGATTTCCGGGACCCAGAGGCCGTGACCGTTCGATATGCTGCTCTCAGGGTCGATGGCTATTTTATGCAAGCAAGTGACATGCTGAACGGAATCTCCATGCTGACGGCATATACGGGGAAAATGCCAGAGCTTCCTCGTTGGGTTGACACCGGTAAGAGACGAGATTCGCCGTCTTTCTAGATTCGGTATTTTTTGCTGACTCGGCCAACAGGCGCTATTTTGGGCATCCAAGGTGGGCAAGAGAAAGTCCAACAAATCGTGCAACATGGCTTGCACCAGTCCTGTCCCATTGCAGGGGTTTGGCTGCAGGACTGGTGCGGTACGCATTCACAGAGTGCATCCTACCTAAACGGGCTGAATATCTCACGGTTATGGTGGAACTGGGAGGCTGATTCCGATTTGTATCCATCCTGGAACGAGTTCGTCCAAGGACTTCTCGACCAGCACAACGTGCGCACTTTGTCTTACATCAACCCATTCTTGGCGAATGTCAGCAGCAAGCCGGATGGCTATCGGCGGGACCTCTACTCCGAGGCCACGAACGGAGGCTATATGATTCACAACTCCACCACAAACAGCACGTCGATCATTTCCAGCGGGCCCGGGATCGAGGCTGGGATTGTGGACCTTACTAACCCAGCTGCCTGTGCTTGGTTCCAGCGAGTGATGATTGAACAGGTATGGAGTGCGAACGTGTCTGGCTACATGTGTGATTTTGGTGAATACACACCTGTCCTCCCGGACACTCGACTGGCGAACACAAGCATTGACCCAATGCTCTACCATAACGAATATCCTCGCGACTGGGCTCATTTACACCACTCGCTTATTGATCGTGTGCCTGCAGTTGCAGACGCGGTTCTGTTCCACCGCTCCTCGTCAATGTCTGCCAACCGCCACATGAACCTATACTGGGCTGGGGATCAAGTAAGTTATCCGTAATATGCTCTGTGGTCGCATGGAGGAATACTGATGGTAAGCAGAATACCAATTGGGGCGTGAATGATGGCATCAAATCTGCCGTCACAGTCCTGGGACATATGGGTCTTTCTGGATATGCACACGGACATGTCGAGATTGGTGGATATACGACCACTTGGGATAGCCACGGAATCGTCAATCGCTCTGCTGAGCTCCTTGGTCGCTGGGGAGAGCTCGCTGCGGTATCTAGCTCGGTTTTCCGGTCACACGAGGGGAACGTCCCTGGGGTCAACGCGCAGTTCTACACCAATACGTCAACCTATGCCTACCACGCGTATAATGCTCGCATGTTCCGCAGCCTTGCGACCTACCGACGTCGGATCTTGGATACCGAAAGCAAACGGAAAGGCTGGCCGTTGGTGCGGATGCCGGTGGTTTATTATCCAGAGGACAAGAAGGCTCAGCAGATCAGCTATCAAAGCTTCTTCCTTGGCGCCGACCTGTACGTTGCGCCCGTGTTAGACCCAGGCCAGCAAAGCGTAGCAGCGTATTTCCCCGGAGAGGATCAACTTTACACGCATGTGTGGTCAGGCAAGGAATATCGGGGTGGCCACACTGCACTGATCCCGGCACCGTATGGAAAGCCCGCAGTGTTTTTGGTGGGCACCCCAAAGCACCATGACTTGGAGGAATTTCTCGAGTTTGTCCGCGTGGAGAATGGGACGGCGATCCGGGTTTAACTTGGCCACGAAGGGCAATGTATCGGATAATTTTTAAATAAAGACCGGAATGCGTACTAGTATAGAACTATCTACTATCGCATTTTCTTCTAGTATTAGCCGAGCGGGCTCTCAGGGCTTTTCCTGCAGGAAACCTGCGTATTGCTAATAGACAAGCGGCTAACCTTGGGACCTTAGAATGTAGGTAACTATCTAGGCGGTTAATTAACTAGTAGCTAACTCCCAACTGAGACCTCTCCCGCGTCTCGGATAATCCGAAGTACTGCGACGAGGGACTAGGACTCGTGCGTCATCGTGATATACTAGTATCCACCTACGGTACCTCTGGCCCTAGCTTAGGCTATTAAAACGAAACAACTAGTTACACTAGTAAGCCATAATTGGGAATCTACTCTATTGCGCATCTCATGCGGATTAAGGGTTTCCGTGCTCACCAAGGTTATAAATCACCCAAGGCTCCCGAACTAAACTCTGAGAACTTGCCCTGGCCAGCCACTGTTTGCTGGTTGGTGTCATCTGCTGTTCCTGATGCTGCTTCGACTGAGGATCGCCCGACGAGCCTACCGTTTATGGCGAAACCCCGTTCCAATGGGGATAAGGCCGGCAATATCCGTGCCCTTCGCTACGCTGCGACCCCCCACTCGCTTCCGCTCGTGGGTGCACCACGCTTTCTTCACCAACCACGCTTTTATCACCAATTTTTATCACACCACGCAATTGGCTATCTTAACCACCCAACATGCCTAAATCGTCCAATTTTAGCGAAGATCAAATGGTTAAGGCCGTCGCATTCGCTATAGCCGAAAAAAAAACCGAATATCTCGAAAATTGCACGTGAATTCGACGTATCTCGTGAAACCCTCAATTCACGCATCAAAAAGGCTAAATCGTCTCCTACTCTAAAGGATTCGCATCGGAACAATCTCCGTGCGTTCCAGGAGAAGGCCTTGATCAACTGGATCGTGAAAATGCATAGTTGGAATCTTCCTCCTACTGCTGCAGTTATAGAAGCGTGGGCAAATCAAGCGCTTTCCCGAGCTGGTCAAGAAAAACAGGTTAGCAAGATGTGGGCCTATCGTTTTATCGAACGCCTTCCAAAACATCTACAACTAGCACCAGTAAAACAGAAAACCAAAGAATTGAAACGAATTCAAGCGGAAGATGCTGGTTTTCTTGCTCATTGGTACGATCAGCTTGAATTTCTCCTCCGAGATGTTCCTGCACGGCTAGTTTACAACTTCGACGAATGCGGTTTCCAACCTGGTCAAGGTCGATCTCGAAACGTTATTGGATCTTCGTCATCTTGTCCTAATTTGGCTGAATCTGAACGAGGCGAAAATATTACTGCAGTTGAATGCATTGCAGCCGATGGATGGTTAATGGATCCGTTATTTATCTTTAAAAGCACGGGTAACTTTATGGAAGCGTGGTTTGATGGTAGCGATAATCTTCCACTCAATTCCGCTGCTGCAATATCGCAAAATGGTTGGATAACTGATGAATTAGCCCTTGCTTGGCTAGATCATTTTATCGCTGCTACTGCTACTTCCGACCGGTTAAAAAGTGGTGAAAAACGGTATCTTTTATTCGACGGTCATGGTGCACATCTTACCCTTGAATTCCTTCAAAAATGTGAACAAAATTCGATTATTCCATTTGCATTTTTACCACATTCGACTCATATCTGTCAACCACTTGATGGAAAGCCATTTTTGAATTATAAACAACAATTTCGGCTTATGAATAATGAGTTATCATTCTGGAGAGGCCGACCGTACGGAAAAGCTGATTTTCTCCGGATTATTGGTCCAATTCGCAAAAAGGCCTTCAACGCACGAATTATTCGCACGTCTTTCAAAGAACGTGGAATTTATCCAGTTAATGGTGAACAAATCGTGGCCAATTTATCAAATCAGATGGTTATTCCTGATGTCGATATCCCGGAACTTCGGATACCAGGTGTACGTACACCATCTCCGGAATTTCTATCTTCTAGCGTGGAAAATAGCCCTCCAACTACTATTAAAACGCTCGAACGAAATCAGGCAAAAATTATCAGAGATATAAAAGAAAATTCGGAAAAAACCCAGCAAAATATCGCTAAAAACTTCAAACATCAGTTGGATAAACTCGAGGAGCTTGCGATGACACAAGATTCACTTCGACGTGTTCGGGCTGCACAAGCCCCCCAACGTCGTGTTTATACTAAACGACAGGTTAAACCACTTAGCCAAGATGGTATCCTACGGTCTCGTGATGCAAATCGTTCAATTCGACAAAGAAAAGAGAAGGAAAATATAGCTGAAAAAAGGAAACTTGATAAACAACTCGAGAAAGCGTATGGTTTCAAACCAATTCAACGCACTCAGGAGAGTATTCAAAGATCTATTAATAATGCAAGGGAAGCAGAAGAGACTGGAGAGTTATTTTATTTAGATTATTAGTTATTTATTACTAGTTTAGTTGATTAATTTGATCTTTTTCTTGCTAATCGATTTTTCTTAACTAGCTCGGGAAAGCGCTTGATTTGCCCACGCTTCTATAACTACAGCAGTAGGAGAAAGATTCAAACTATGCATTTTCACGATCCAGTTGATCAAGGCCTTCTCCTGGAACGCACGGAGATTGTTCCGATGCAAATCCTTTGGAGTAGGAGACGATTTATCCTTTTTGATGCATAAATCGAGGGTTTCTTAAGATACGTCGAATTCACATGCAATTTTCGAGATATTTAATTTTTTTTCGGCTATAGCGAATACGACGGCCTTAACCATTTGATCTTCGCTAAAATTGGACGATTTAGGCATGTTGGGTGGTTGAGATAGCCAATTGCGTGGTGTGATAAAAATTGGTGATAAAAGCGTGGTTGGTGAAGAAAGCGTGGTGCACCCACGAGCGGAAGCGAGTGGGGGGGTCGCAGCGTAGCGAAAGGGCACGGATACTCCGCAGTCCGTGGACAAACACGAAAATGATCTGCAAGAATCCTCCATTGGTGGGATGCAAGGCCTACAAGCCTACACCAAATATACCGACGCCTATCGACGCCTATCGGCTGATGCCGCAAAGTTGCATCGCCCCTCATTATCTCCACAACCCCATTTACCCCGGAAAGTATGACGCTTGGCTCTACTGATATAAAGGTCAAAGTTCCACCCGCACATCGGTGAATCATGTTTGACATGCTTCATTAATTGGATCGCCCCTTTTTGCTCAAGTGCTCCAGCGTCAAGATGCAGCCGCTTGCGTTGGCTCGTTGGCTTCTCCCGTTCGCAGCCACGCTGAATCTCGTGGATGTCGCAACAGCTTCCTCAGATCGTATGTGACCTGGATATACAGCTGTACCGACTGGCCTTGAGGCATCTGCTGACTGGGTTTAGTGGCTCCATTTACATATGACCCACTTCCGTTGGGTAGTATTACTCCAAATGGATGGCTGAAATCGGAACTCGAGACATCCGCAGCAGGCCTCGGCGGTCATTTGTATGATTTCTGGACCTTTGTCGCTGACTCCTCCTGGACTGGTGGGAATTCCGAATATAGTGACCTGAACGAGGCCCTACCGTACTGGGTCAATGCTATAGTGCCTTTGGCGTACACGACGCAAGATGAGCGCCTCAAGGGGCAGGTCCATCAGGTTGTCGAGACTGTGCTCAATTTGATACAGCCCGATGGATGGATTGGGCCGGAAACCCTGGAGAGCGGGGAGAGAATGATCTGGGCGCGGACCTTAATGTATATTTTCTGGATTCCCAATTGCCGCCTATCTGTGTGCGTGTACGCTAATATTGAGCGCAGATTCTTAGGGCTTACGAACCTTGTCGAGGCGAATTCAACCTACGAAGCCCCGATCCTCAATGCCCTGTATCGCTTCAACGGTCTTATGAACTCTATGCTGAAGAACAACGGGACCGGGATGATATATCATGAAGGGGACAAGCCGACCCCCGACGACTTCGTCTGGTTTCGCGCTCGCGCAGAGGATATGATTGTCAGTTTGCAATGGCTTCTGGACCATCACCCGGGGAACCAGACCGAGACGCTGAAGGAGAACATCGAGATGATTCACAAATATGCCTACAAGTGGGAAGACTGGTATGCGGAGGGCACTTACATCAAGGAAGATCTCTACAACTTGCCTCAGTCGGTGACCGACGAGAATTGGCAGTTTCTGCATGGTGTCACCATCGCAGAAGGTAAAGTCTCAGAAGACTTCCCCTCCGTGATTCGAGGTTAACTCGAGGCTAGGTTTAAAGTACGCTGCCGTTCTACGCCGATCGACGTTGAACGATTCCCTTCTTGAAACCGCGAAAAATGGGGTAAGCTTCCTCAGGGCTAGTCACATCTTGACTGCGCACTCACAGGTCATAGGTAAACTGGACATTCGAGTACCATGGCTCTCCCAGTGGCTCAATTTTGGCGGACGAGCGCATGAACGGCCTCAATCCTTACTACGGATCTGAGCTCTGTACGGACGTCGAGACCATCTACTCGCTCGCTAGCATACAATTACTTTGCGATTGGCGATCCCTATTACGCAGAACGCGCAGAATTGACTGCTTTCAACGCTTTGCCTGCCGCCTTGACGGGAGACTGGTGGGCTCATCAGTACATGACCGAGCCAAATCAACCCTTCGCCATGAACCTTTCAGCGACGCCATTCTATGATGACAACTCACTCAGTGAAACGTTCGGTATGGAGCCCAACTATCCATGCTGCACGGTGAATCATCCCCAGGGCCTCCCCAAGTTCACTATGTACAGTTATGTGAAAAAGGGAGACACGGGCCTGGTTCACGGTCTACTTAGCCCAGGGCATGTGGAAACACAGATCCAGGGAGCGTCTGTCACGGTCGATTGCCAAACGGACTACCCATTTGCAAATGTCTTGAGATACAGCATTGATAGCGAGACGCCATTCCAGTTCTATCTGCGAGTTCCCAGTTGGTCCACAGGCGTTCGCATGCAAGGAGCGAACGGCACTCCGCCAGTGGATTCTCAGACTGGATTGATGGAATTCCACATCCCCAGCGGCAAGACGGACTTGACCTACGAAATTGGAATGTCGCCGCAGATCCTCCCTCGAGCCAACGATACTGTTGCCGTCTACCAGGGTGCTCTCTTATACGCGCTGTACATCACGCCGGACATTTCTTCCGGGCCGCCAAAGTACTATAACAACCAATCTGCCTATGCGGCCGGCACCTATCCCTCTGAGGCCAAAGACTATATCTTTCTGAATAGTACCGAGTGGAATGTGGCGATTGACCCGTCAACTATAAGCTATGACGCTGGTTCAGGTGTCTTGCCGTCTCCGGTGTTCGAAGACGGCGCGTTGCCCATGTCAATGTCTGCTAAGGGATGTCTAATTGACTGGCCGATGTTCCGGGGCGCTGTACCTGGATCGCCCATTCCAAAAGGCGACCGCAAATGTCTTGGCGATGCCTTCAATGTGACGCTTCGGCCATATGGAAGCTCCAAGCTCCATATGAGTGAGATCCCGACCATTGATTTGTCGAATTAGCAATTTGTATATCAATTAAGACCGTTTGTATACAAGAGGTCGATCGGTTCTTGCATCTGTATTTGTGGGGGCTTGCCCGCTCTCCAATAACTTGTAAAAGCCAATACTCTGCTGGTATTCGATCGCTCGTCTTCGGTAAAAACGAGTGCCAGTCTGGATCCATAGCCAGTCTGGATCCATAGATGTTTCAGGAGGCCACTTGAAGAAATGTAAAGCTTGCTGAACACAGGCCCCTCCTATAATTGCTTCTTTTTCCACCCGAACCATGTAAAGATAATAAGAGCTTTCAAGACAGCGGCCATCCAAAGGGCTCCCATCATTCCGACGGAACTATGTGCCCACAGTCCGCCTAGCACGGTCCCAAACATGAGGCAAGTGATTGCTGCAGCTCGTCGCAGCCCCTCGGCATCCCCAAGGACCACTAGATCCGGATGGGAGAATAAGTCGCAATAGACGCTGGTGAGAACAACGCTGGTCAAGCCGTTGCATCGCAGTACCCGACTGGCCACGGCCTGGCCGCTTGATTGTGCTGAAACAAGAACCAGAGGAGGAGCACAAGCCAGCCCAGAGGGGTGTCCCGAGTAGGCCGATAGATTGTAACAATTGAAGCAGCGATCCCAATGCATACTACTTGGATCAGGAACGAGCTCATCAGCACCCAGCGGTGTCGAGGCGGGAACAGCCTGTGCAAAGTAGAGAAAACGAAAGACCCCAGGCAAAAGCCCGCAATCGAGACACCAGATTTGATCCACCGGTCATCGCTGGGGCCCACAAGCCCCAGCCCAAAATACACAGAGTTGCCCGTCTGCATGGACACGAAGCTCCCCCAGATCAACACGGCCGAGCTGTCCAGTAAGCCGGTGATCACATAGCAGACCAAAAGAATCCAATGGCTGTGGCGCGTGTCGATTTCATCACGCAGATAATGGGACAAGGAAGCCGAACGTGATCGCCGGCTGCTTCCTAGAAGAGCATCTGTTTCTTCCGGCATAGACGCGACGAGAATGAAGATGCTGGCCAGTCCGTTCCGGCGAAACCTGGAAGTTCACGTCGTCAAGTCTCACGTGACCTCCTCCCAAGCAGAGCGAGAACTTCTCATCATTTCCCAGTCCCTAACCGAGCCAAGGGTAGGGCTCATGTGGCTTGGTCAACATGCCACAGCAATAAACTGTGGGACACAGATTGCCACACGGCCCACGCGTATGGATGCATCCCCCCCCCTCCATCGTTGGGGATCCTGCGGTGTTGTGCCCGGACGTTTTTAAAGGGAGGAATTGACAGGGGTGTCGCATGAACCTGTCACGAGTCTATCACGAGTCCAACAGGGGCCCCCGTTGTTAATAAGCTATCGCCAGCTCGTGCTCGCCTCGAGATTGCTCAATGCTGATCGGTGACCCGGACGGGGGGCGATTCGGGTAACCGTTGCAAATACCATTTCGGCTACAAGATTTCAGGCCCCAAGGATTGGGGCCAATCTGCCCTTCGAAACGACCTAATCACCTCAAGTGGAACCTCGTACCCTTCGACGCCTGCTCTAGATGCACACGCGTCAAAGACTGGGAACGGGGGTTTTTACGGTCTAGAACGGCGGTTGCAAGTAGTGAGTTACAGTCCACATGTTACGGTGAAGCTTGCAAGGCAGCCTGTTTGCTCGTACTGAGATGCCAGATAGCGCCCGATGATATTTTGGGGGTCAAAAGGATATTCTAATTAGCACGCCAGAGCACAATTGTACACCGTGGAAATCCCTGGATTCGTAAAAAAAAAAAGACCGCAATGCTTGCCTGACCAAACCCAGATTGCCCGCCTCCAGGGCGAGCTTGACCGTGAACACCGGACCGCGATGGAGAAAGGAAAAATCAAAGGAATGCAAAGCGAAACGATGCAACGTTATGTTTCAGACGGACGAGTTTGCATGCGTTACAACCGCCGACCGGAGTAGTCGTCCAGTTCGGTAAAGGAGCCGGAGGTCTGTTTTAGCTGCTTGGGGAACATCTGCCCCCACATGCCGAGGGTGATGATTTGCATGAAGGTGCGGCCGGCCTGCGACAGCGGCGTCCTCTCCTCGAACCGCGGGGGCTCCACCGACACCTCGTTGTTGTCTTCTCCGATCCACGTGTTGGTGGTTCTGGGGAGGAAGCGACCGGGGCTAAACAGGTTCCACCACAGCGAGTTGGCAAGCATCGTGGCCCCCTCGAAAAGGTAGAAATACCACTCGTATCGGTCCAGAGGGGTGATTTTCATCTCTTCGCGGAGGCTGGCCATGTCCCGGGTGGTGTTACCGGAGTGTTCTACCACTCGGAAGATAGTCCGGATGAGGATGAACACCATGCTGCACCACAGCACGTAGATCATCGACGGGATGGCTTTGTTGTGCACCCCCGCACGGCGGCATCGGTGGAAGAACATGGCCGACAGGGCGAAGAAGGTGCCGATGACACAGATTTGAATGGCCAGCGAGACCAGCACCAGCGCTCGGCCAGCGCCCTGCTCGTGGCCCTTGGGGTTGGACGAAAAAGCAACCCCCAACCCGTTGAAGAATTCCACGATGGACATCAGAGTGCCAAAGACCAAGAAGACTCTGCCGGGCTTAATCGGCGTGTGGTAAGGGACATAGTAGAAGACGCGGCTGAGCACGTGGTAATTGGAGAGTTCGAGGAGAGGGCTATTGATTCGCAAAGGTGTTTGCCGTTAGTCACTCTTGGGCTTTCCATTCGAGGGGGATTAATGCGACCACTCACGGGCAGACGTAAATGAACACTTGGCTCATGATATATGTGAGCAAGACCGTTGAGCTGTCGGACGCCGCAGGATTATAGATGTAGTGGTGAGAGCCGTATGCTCGCAACCCATACCCGGCGACGTACAAAGTGGCGGCCAAAGTGTGTAGGCCGATCATCCCCCATGCATGGTATCGTCTGTCTCCATCGTTAGATCGTGTCGAGAGCCCGGGACAAGTACCGCCGCAAAAGAACTCACTGGCATTGGAAAAGATGGCCGACCAGCGAGAGGAAAAAGATGATGCAAAATACGATAGGAGCAACTTTGTTCGGGGCGTAGAGATAGATGCTTCCATAGACTGGCATCCCGTGAGCGCATGACTCCGCATGATTCCCCTGGAGAGCCCGAGACTTCACTTACCAACATTCCCAGCGGTGATATCACCCTCATCGTATGGATCTGTGCCCATTTTCGCAACCTGCGAGCACACCACCGGTGTTACCCTTCAATAGGCCGGGGGAACACTTTGATTCCTTCCGGATAGGGCTCTTCCTCGGTGCGTGATGAGAGAGCCCAAAGACGCGTTCTATATACGGGGGAAGTCGAAGCATCCAATGTTCGCCCTACCGCAAATGGGGGGCGTCTTTATATATTATATTTGGGGGCTCTACTATGCCAGGAATAGGAGGTGTACAGCCAAGCCGCTAATCGGGACCCCAGTCTGTTGGGCGTATGAAAAGCGTCCCGCGCTCCCCACTGCGACCCGCTCCCACGCCGCTGGAGTATAGAACTGCCCCGGTCCATTGGCTCAGGGGGAGGGCTGTGGATCGGAAGTCCCCACGCCCCCTCTGGCAGGATCCGCTGGGGCCCTTAATGGGGCCAAGCACCTTGGTGGGCCCCCGATTTGAAGCACGATCCATGCCAGCGCCCAGCGCTGATTCGTGCCTAATTCGAGCCCTTGTGTATACGTCAGCCACATCGTAAATCGTGTTCGGGCTTGGTGGCGAGCCGTTTCGTCGCCTGGGGCTTCCTTTACCCCACACCTAGAAGGACTCTCCGGCCAGCCCTCAGGGGCCGGCCAAGGCACACTCGTGTGCCTGTTGAACATCGTATCGCTGAGAATCTTGATATTTGATACCTGTGTCTTAGTGGAGGACTGGAGTGGCAAAAAAAAAAAGCTTGGTTGCTGGGGCTCTACGTCTTGCAATCAGGGTATGCCAATCAACTGGAAGCTATATGGTGCCGGTAGATTATGATCGTATCTCATTGTCTATTCCTCTAGTTCAGGCGACCTCCCTCCCCTACCGTGGTATCACTCACCTGAAATTACAGGAATCAGTCAGGGCCTGTTTGATTGTATGACCTACCCAATCAAATGGAGGGTGGACAGTGCCCTGCTAACGGCTAAATATATCGCACGGTCTTGCTAGTAAAACTACAGGAATTTGATCGCACCCTTCTCCAACTGCTTCGACGATACATTCTTTTTCTCCAATCAATGATCATCCGAAGCAGATCCCGAAGACAGGGAAGGATAGAGGACAGAGGGGGTTTAGCGTACAAGTCCACCCGCGTGGTGATCTGCCTTCGCAAAGGACGCCAATCGCTTAACTCCAAGGATACAGGAATGCAAGAAATCTTCGCGCATTACGTACCATCCCCTTCCTTCCGATGCTCTTGTCTCCACTTTCGAAGCTTGGCTATCGAGCCCCTCTGCTATGACCCAGACAGCGGGCCTATAGGCTAGGCTGTTGCCCTGCCCGTCGAGGCAAGGCCACCCGGATTCAAAAATAGCGACCCCCGCCGACCCAAGGTCCATGCGCCTACGAGATTAAGCATGAACACAAGCCTAAAACGACAACTTTGTCTGCGGGGCAGGAAGAGTGCGCAGGAAGGGCTCAATCACTGGCTCTATTCTTAGATTTGACAGCCGACCCTGCAGTAGCCTCGGGCCAAGCACCTGCGTTTTCCATCGTCACGTTACTTTTAGGTCGTTCTGCATTGGGTTACGATAGTGTTCAAGTGGGATAGGTACTGCATGGCTGAAACCGTAAATACGCCGGCGAAAGTGACTTCACTCTCAAGGCAACTGTGGCAGACAGAACGTTTCGACGTTTGCAGTATGGCGCCTCCTCCCCAAATCGGCCTCGGTAACGCACTTTGTAACAGAAATTGGAGAGAGCAGTGTAGAAAAGGCCCGTGGTGAGCTGAATATGAGCTGAATATCCCGGCGCGACGAACCGTGACTACTTGTCTTACGGCCTCCAGGGGCAAAGTCGGATTGAAAGCTTCTACGCTTGCTTTTGTTCATAAGGTTTGGCATTCACAGGAGAAATGGACAGCAAGAGAAGTAATTCATAAACACATAGCGCCTGGGGATTCGCAAGGCGGGCCTACCCGTCTATAGACTGATTCAGGCTGGCGCGGCACGCTTCGCCAATCTCATGCTCAATGCTTCATCTTCTTTAGGATCAAAGACGCCATTCATCTGAAGAACGGTGACCCAGCGGCTATCGGTCAGCCGACGGGCGAGGCGCTTCTCAGTATCTGCCGGTTGCTCCCCGGCTAGGGGGGTACCTTCGATTCGGTGTCCCTTAAGCAGCGTCATAAGGACTGCGGGTAAACTCAACCTGGGCCATCTTCATACCCGGGCAAATTCGAGGGCCGGCGCCCCAGGGAATGAACAGGCCCTTCGGAGCGTGGAAGACTGCATGGTCAGAGCCTGGGGGGTTGATCCACCGAGACGGTCGGAAAACAAATTCATCTGGCATCGTAGGGTCGGGCTGGAAGAACGACGGATCCGATTGGCGATTGAGATCTCGCCACTCCGGCAAAAGGTGGAGGGTGATGGTGTTTGCGCTAATGCGAATGCCCGCAGGAAGGTGAATTTGCCCGTTGGAGGTCTGGAGCGTCTGCGGTGTATTGACCTCGCGGTGCATCTTAGGCACGGGCGGGTAGAGCCTCATGGTCTCAAGCATGAACGCGAGCGCGCGAGTCACGCGCGGGAAGTGGGTCGAGTAGTCTGGGGGCACATCGTCGGTATTCGCAGGCATCAGCTCGTCGGCTTCCTCGAAGACCCATTCCTGCCATTGGGGGTACCGGGCCAACAGGACCAAGGCGAAGGCCAAGGTGGTGGATGTCGATTCGAACCCAGCGGCCGTCAACATGACCTGGTGGCCGACCAGCTCGGGCTCGTTGAGTCCCTTGCCATTTTCCGAGGCATGGACGAGCTTGCTCAGGATATTGCTTGGAGGTGGTTCCGTACTGGGGGGCCTGCGATCGACGAAGGCGTTCCTGGTCGATTAATGAACGCCCATGTTTCGTGACTTCGTCCTTGGCGCAGGCGATCTTGAGAAACCTGGCATGACCAGGTAGCCAAGACGGCCAGCGTCGAAGCACCTTGGAGGGGAACATGACAGGCCCAGCGATGTTACTGACGACGGTGACAAGAGAATCCCGGTGGTCCAGCTCATAGCCATCCTCTGGCTCTTGCTTTCCCCAGGTCGTCTGCAGGCCCATACCGGCCCCGAGAAGGACGTTGATCGTCACAGTCTTGAGCATGTCGAAGAGGGCGGTCGTATCAGCCACGCTATCTCCCTCGAGTTGCCGGTTGGCGAAAACATCATCCAGGAGGTGACGGGCCTGCCGTATGGACTCCTCAAACGCATTTTTGGAGACTCGCTCATCGATCACGCTAGTGATTGCCCGACGATGCCGCTGCCATTCATCTCCATTGCTCATGAGGATATTAGGTCCGAACTGGCCCATGGGGATTTTCATCTCCTTGGGCATCTCGAAATCACGAACACGCGTCAGAATCTCTTGGGTGACGTGGGGGTCCGTGGTCCATAAGTCCAACCGCCATCCAAGCCCGACTAGCACATAAGTCTTCCCCATTTCCTGGCCCGGTGCTGTTGCATACTGCTCGAACGGGCGTAATTTTTCGTGAAACTCGAAGCCAAATATGGCGATGGCGATTCGCTCCCAGATCTTCCTCGGTAGAAGTCGCTGAAGTCGAAGCTTCTGGGAAGGCGCAATCAGTAGCCACCATAGGCTGGATTGGTTCACAGGGACCACTACGATGGGAACTCCGATTCTACGAGCCGCGGCAAGGTTCTTGACCAAATTGTACAAGTAGCCAAGAGGCCACAGCAACGCTAGTGTTGCGACGGCTAGTAGGAGAAACGCCATCTTGAGCTAGAGGCGTGTTCGAGATGCAAGAGATGAGAGTCCCAAGGCAAAGGGGTAGGGGGGGTTCTACCAACTCCCTAGGGTCGATGGAGGGAAAGGACGAAGGCTCGTGCCGAGTGATAGGGAATGAACAATTCGTGGAGGTCTTTGGATTTATTGAGGGCGAGAGATAGAGACAGTCTCAGGCTTGCAGTTGATCAGCCCACACACACGTGCACATCGCGCGACAAGAAGGAGTCGTCAGATAACTCGGTGAGAACGAGAACGAGAATCCTCAGCAATGCCAGGCGAGACCTTTCATTTTCAATCGACCCTTTGGTCAATCCTTCGGGCCCCACCGGAAAGAAAGGTCTGGGATATGCATAGCGTTCCGTATCAAACCCAATGACAGCGCTGGGGCGAAGGGGCCATGAGTTTTGGCAGCTTCTAGTACGACGACCTGGAGGATGGACCAATCTGGGGGCTGAAGGATCCAGATGGGGCGAAAGGGGCCAAAACTGTGTCTGTCTTATTGGTGGATCTGTGGCTGACAAGCCCCACCTAGAGCGGGCGAAGAAGTTGTTTCGGTCTCTCTCGTGTGGGTTTCGAAGTATTTGCGTAGGTTTAATGATGAATGGACGATGCGAAGATGGAACTGGACAATGTAGGGGCTTCCATAAGGGAGATTGTATTATCCTTCGTCAAGACGAAACGTATCGGGTCACTCTAGGGTTCTGGAGGATCCAAGCTGCAGCTCCTGTGGGGCCCATTAAACTCAATGAGCAAAGAGGCGTTCGACTAAACCTTCGGTTGAAGTAGGGTTGGCACAGCATAATGGATTGTTCCTCGCAGTGGTGATGGGAACATTGAACCGCGTCAGCAGCACCCCAAACGTCACAAATGGCCTTATCTCTTCTGCAACGCTCCAGAATCTAAAGTAGAATTAGCAGCGCAGCCTGGCACTTTGCATTAGTGTGCGACCCCAACACATTGCCCTCTGTCCCAGATACCGCTGTATACCCTGCCCAAGAATGTCTTCTGCATTGTGTCACCTGGGCAACTGTTCATCTCTTCAGGCGGTAAGCCCTCCAGCCAAACACTTATGCAACAACGCCTAAAGCCTCAGCCAAAAGGGCCCCTTGACATGCTTTTGCATCTCACTTCCGCCCCCATTGTACTCCACATTGTCTTTTTTTGGGGGCAGCCTCGAGTGTGTATTGCAGCGCTCATGCCACCCTCTCGACCTCCACGGGGGGCGTTCTTTACATCTTGCATGGATATGATGATGGGGGAGCGTTGGGCAATCTCTTCAGCGTCGCAATCCGGCCCCCTGGCTTATTTTTTTGGCCCGTATCGAGCTGCTTATGTTTAACCTTATCAAGTAGTCATGAGCCCCCTTCTCTCAACCCCGTTCTTCTATCTTGGAGGTCATTTCCCCAAGATCTGTCCAACCTCTCAATCTACGGTCCGTCTACCGCAACTTCGACCGCAACAATGCCTCGCCAACTTATTATGAAGCAAAAGAAGCCCAAAGGTGGTCAGGTCTGGTACCCGCTTCAGCTCAACCTCGTCCCAAAACCCACGCCCGGGCCCAATGAGCTCGTTGTGAAGATCGAGGCCGCGGCGTTGAACCACCGCGAGATCTTCCAACGTCAGAATCTATACCCAAAGGTTTCATTTCGTGCTCCTATGATGTCTGACGGCTGTGGGACCGTTATTGAGGAAGGTCCGGGCTGCCAGACGGGTCTTCTCAACAAACGTGTCATTATGACAGTCTGTCGGGGATGGAAGACTAGTCAAGAAGGCCCGGAAGATTGGGAAAACTTCGACACGGTCGGCGGAACAGAGCCTCACTACCACCTGGGCATGGCGCAAGACTACTTGCTCGTCCACGAAGACGAGGTTGAGCCCGCCCCCGAACATCTCACCTCCATCGAGGCCGCGGCTCTCCCAGGTTGTGGAATTACTGCGTGGCGCGCCCTGATGACCAAGTCCGGTAACGCCCTGCCCGGCCGCAATATCCTCATCACGGGGATTGGTGGTGGTGCGGCGTTACAGACGATGCAGATGGCGCTCGCAATCGGCTGTAACGTCTATGTGACCTCGGGTTCAGAGGAGAAGCTCGAGAAAGCGAAAGCACTGGGTGCCAAGGTGGGGTGAGCTACAAGAACCCCGGGTGGCCCGAGGCTTTGAGCAAGCTCCTTCCCGCAGACCGCCCCTATATCGACGCTGTCATTGATAGCGCCGGTGGAGATATCGTGATTAAGTCAGTGAACATCCTCAAGCCTGGAGGCATTATCACGATGTATGGCATGACTCTCGCCCCGATTTTGGACTGGCCCATGCAAGCTATCTTCAAGAACATCGAGTTGCGGGGAAGCACTTTGGGATCCCGGACCGAGTTTCACGACATGGTCAATTTCATCAAAGAGAAAAAGATCACGCCCATCATCAGCCGAACTGTACAAGGACTAGACTGCGTGGACGCTATTGATGGATTAATGGACGATATGAAGACTGGCGTGCATTTTGGAAAGCTCGTTGTGGAAATATAAATGACGAAGGCTCGACAGAAGAGAGACCTCGGATACCAAAGACACGTTTCAGATTTGTTCATAATGTGAACCGGTTAGTTTTAGACGTAGGACTTCAGATCTTTGAAGTTGGCTAATGTAAAACAAAATAGTTGTTAGACTTAGATTCGGAGTTCAAGCTAGTTCGGGGTGCACTGCAGCGGACGACCCCAGAACTAATGGTATATTGATCCAGGGGTTCGAAACTCCACAGTACGCTTGACAGGTAGGTTCAATTCCAAATTAAAGTTCTCCAGTTGCATTATTATATTTTAGCAGGCAGGGTCCTACACGAGTACCGAAAAACGTACGCTGCAAGGTTGAGCTTGCAATGGAAGATATCCACGGATGGGCTACTGAATTACAGCCCTAGAATCGCCAAAAATCAGCCTCTGAATGATCCAAAAGAAGAAAATTGCTCTAATCCCAATCTAAAAAAAACGCCTCCGATGGGCCTGATACCGTGAAGAGCAAATAGATATCTGGAAAGTAGTTCTGTACAGGACGGGGTATGTGCTGCGAAGAAAGAATGATGCGGTGGCGGAATGTTGCGTGCGCCCCGCCCGTGCCCCTCATTTGAAACCGAAAAAAAAGAAAAGAAAAGAAAAGAAAAGGGAAAAATGAATGAAATGCGGCCCCAGTCGATCATTTCCCATTATCCATGCACGGTGCGCACTGCGCTCTGGGCGCGGAGTACCTCGTACCCGTACTGCCAACTGGAAACTCCATGCTGAATTCTTAAAACTTTTGAGCAGTTAGTAGATACTCGCAACAGCTGCGGGAAAGCCCTCACATTCATGCTCTAATGCCGTTGTTCTGATAGGGCGGCGGTGCCGGTTGATATGGATTGGTGGCCATGGGGATAGGCGCTTGGTCGTCCGCAGAACTGCCTGAACGGGTTCGTTTGCCTGCAGGGTTCTTGAGAGGACGGACGTTCGCTGGGTTTACAGGACGAGGTCCTAAATTGTCCGCCGGGTTGCCCTCAGGCTGATCCCCTTGTTTCTTGGACTTGTCCTTGTTCCATTTGTACAAAAGACCAACGAGAGTGAGACACATTTCGGAATATTGGTTAGAGGCACGAAGTCTGCTCGAGCCTGGTGCTGCAGGGGGATGTAGAAAAAGTTGGAGGCCGGGGACAGTTGTTTTATAATTGCCTTCGCACCGGCCCCTTTTGGCCTTTTGACAGATTGGCGAAGCATTGAGGATAAGAATAAAATATTTGAATATTTAAATAGAATTAAAACATCCGGCCCCTTAATCCCCATAGTCAACCAGCAAGAAGCGACGGCATGCGGGTTGGAGGCTAAACTGTACGGAGTAAGTCCGTTGCACGGTCGCTCGCGCAGCCCCCGAGGGCGATCGCAATCCACTTCTCAGCCCAGCCTATGGGGGACGCACCGACGATCAAGATGTAAAATCACCGTACTTCGTATGGCTGGAAGGCTATTCTTAGAGACTAACGGCGGGGGTTTGTCCTGATGTCCGGGTCGCCTCTTCAAGTAGTCGAGCGGGTACTAGTAGGGTGATGCCGGCGCAAGCTCATAATATATATCTGAACATTTAAAAACCCACGATTCAAACCCACTGCTAGTAAATAGTCCAAAGAATAGTGCACACTCAGGACGGCACCCGTGGGCGAATCACTTGAGAGTTAAGGGCTCAGCTTGCTGGGCCCTTCATCATTTGCTTTGAAGTTAACTCACGACAAGTATATGCCCGAGGCGTTTGGATTTCCTAATTTTATAGGCTGCAAAGCCAACTTTTATATTAGAAAGCCTTTCTTTTCTTCCATTGTCAGGTAGGTGGGTCTTGGAAAAGCTTATCTGGTGGTGAAGAATAAGAACACGTCTACCGGTCGCTTTCTGACCACTTGGCGTGAAAGTTGACTGCAGCTTCCGAGGTATTCTGCTGTTGAAGCAGCCAATACATCCGGCGACGTTCTATGCACATCCAGTCTTCGCTTTCTTTGTAATAAATCAGAAAGCCCACGGGAAAGGAAGACACGCCAAGAGGCCAGAGCCAAGCGAATTCGCTCCGGGGGGTATCATGCAGAGACGCTCCTACTGGTACTATGATGAATGGTACAAACAATGGAAGCTCACGGATCACGCAATACCAGGAAGCCTTCAAGGTGCATTTACTAATGGAAAGCCAACTATAACAATAACGCAAAAAAAATGACGGGGACCCTTCGAGTTCTAAAATGATCCTTGAGGGGCCGACGGCGGGAACGCCTAATACGACTGGGCACAGGGGCCCTCGATAGGGCGTCCAGTAGGGGGGATCGAGAGTCGTATCGGCTGACAATGCAGTGGCACGGGGCCAGCTTGGCAAATACAGAGCCATTATTCAGCTTACACCCACTGGACGATAAACGCACAATGAGACCGATAGATTGACCCCCAGTGACGGTTGGGCGTCTGCTGGGAGAAATCGCCCCGCGACCAATTCCCCGCGTCAAGATCGCACCCCAGCTTTATTTTGTTCTCCATCGCTATGCAATCGTGCCAATGGTAATGGGTTCAATTGTGCATTTCCAAGTCAGTCATGGCCCCAACGGAGCTGGTCTCCTGGGCTCCGATGATCTGATGAAACCCCTCCGTAGGGTAAAGCGTATAGAATACGCTGACGGCTGGTCTGCAAATCTGTTATACGCACAAAAATACTCGAGGCTGGGCACTGGAAGACTTCATCTCCGTCCTAACGTTGACTATATAAATACTAGTAAAAATAGTTGGCCGTTTTGATCGAGGCTCGAAGTAGTACTACAAGAAAAAGCAACTTGCCCTTTCCTCCCAACTCTAGCGGCACAATGAAACTCCCACTGGTTGGCATCACACTCGCTAGCTTAGCCACGGCTTCATCCGACTGGCAGCATAGCGACCATGCATGGCATCCCGCGGGGCCTTTTGACAGTGAGGAATGCAAAGAATGTGTGAATGAAGATAATGGACTAACCGTCGGATGAGGTCGATCGCCCTGTCCCGGGCTAAACGCCTTGGCTAACCACGGTTGGCTTCCTCGTTCGGGAAAGAACATTGATCTGGACACTTTTCGGTCCGCCATCTCTGGAGCCTATAACTACGAGCCTACTTCCATGGACTTTATCTTCAGTCTTGCCTTGAAATTCAACCTTACGACTACCGGGAATCAGTCGACATTCAACCTTGTTGATCTAGCTCGGCATGACGAAATCGAATTCGACGGGTCGCTATCTCGAAACGACATTTATTTTGGTGATGACCTTCACTTTGACCCAACAGTCTGGGCTAGCACGGCCCGGAGACTGCAGCTTTATGATACGCGTGGATCGGTCGAAGACCAATACGTTACCCTGGAAGCCGCAGCTCGGGCTCGCGCAGCACGAGTGGCAGATGCTAAAAGAGCCAACCCAAGCTTCAATGCTTCCGCCAACCAGATGGCGGGTAGCCCGGGGACTACGGCACTTTACTTAACCACACTATGGGATGATAAAGTGGGAGCGGTCCCTAAGTCCTGGATCAAGGCATTCTTTGGTGCGTGTTCATGAGTTTGAGGTGGTATTGAACCTTAAACACATTACTGACCGCTCTACAGAGGATGAGCGGATTCCCTACAACGAGGGGTATAAAGCGCCTCAAAAGCAACTGACACTGGCTGATGTTACTGAGATGACGAACAAGGTTGAACAAGTAACGATCTAGGGGTTCACAGGATCATTCGAACGTGTTGGGCTCTGGAGGGTCCGAAAAGAGTACTTTTCGTTTTAGTGTGGCTTCTTCTTGGGTACGTGGCCTTCTTCCAATGCATCAGCTGTGGAACAAAACTTCTGGGACCTCCAGCGACGAGAATGCAGGAGAGTAATCAATGATCCAATTGGATTTGGAATAGCCACGTCCCTTGTCGAATAAAGTGCCTTCGCCGTTATATCAGATACAGTCGGCGATAGAATGCATCGATACATTCTATTTCAGAAGTCAATTGTGGAATGCACAGACCGGTCTGTCAGTTATCTCTCAGAGTTAGCCCGCTCGATTAAATTTACAGTCCCTAAGCCATGATATGATTTTGTTAATAAAATAAATACTTGTTTATTCAATAAGAAGAGTCCGACTAAATCGTAAAAGACCAATTGACAAAGAATATTGAGAGTTCTATCCATAACATATACGTCTGATAGTATGTCGTAGGCCGAGCCCCGTCCTAGCACTAGTCGCTATTCATCCGCATTCACAAGAAACCAGGGCATCCAACCAAGCTTCCGGGCAGCATGGCTCAAGCTATCTTCCAGACGCAGTCTTTCGAATAGCAGGACATTCATCCTATGGAGAACGGCTCAGCTAACCACGTACAGTAGGAGTGCTGTCACTGACATAGATTAGAACCAGCACGCGGTTGGGAACTGGACACCTGATATCAACCCGCAAAGCGGCTCCGCTTTCTGAGCCTGGCTCCAAAATAATACAAAGCAAACATGCCGAAGATACAGGCGACGCTGAAGCTCGCCAGTAATGTCACCCCCACCCGATACCTGAATGGCATTGAACATGGGGGGTCGAGAACAAAATCGACGCAGCTGCAAGGAGGCTGCGGGCAAAGCCGTTAGCTGCGAACAGGGAGCCAGCGTAGCGCGGGTAGGTGAATGGTAGGTAGATGAACATGCATTGTGTGATGACGAAGACGCCACACATGCTAATGGCGATCCCGATCATGCTGATTATCCAGTGGAGTGAAGGCCGCGCTGTCCATGCTTTGTGGTCCCGTTAGCAGTGAATCAGTGCGCAAATAGTGTATGGCGAGGGCCCAAAAGTACCTACCGAATAGGTATAACCCAATTGGGATCAGGAAGGTCGCAAAGAGCCCGGGCCAGATACGTGCTTCTGGTGGCACAGTGTCGAACTTCGCAAGGCGTTTCGGTTGCAGGTAGTAGAAATACGCGCATAACAAACAGACCGCGACACAGAGCCCACACAGTACAGATAGGAACGCCAGTCCCAGTTGGCCCAAATTGAAGTTGTACATCTCTTCGTAAACAAGCGGGAAGCACTCAAAGAAGGACTAGTAGATACAGTACGTCAGAGCTGTATAGAAAGTCGAAAAAAGAACTGCGGGGTCCAGAGCGTTCATTTCCCATGGTTTGATCAGCGCGTCGAAAATAACCTGCCGAGGGTCCATCCTAGCCTGTCGAATCTCAGACTCTGATTTTAGGTCAGGTCGAAGCGTCTTTCGACGAAGGCGTTGCGCCCGTTTGAGAAGAATGTTTTCCGAAGATGTCTCCGGCATGGAGAAGAACATCAGGACCATGGTTGGAGCTGACAGCCACAATAGTTCCCAGGAGCTCCACCGCCATCCCTTCGCCTGAACTGCAAAAGCACCCACCAATGGACCAAGTGCCTTCACGTGCCAAGCTGGTTAGATCCATCAAAATCGCTAGCTTCCCATGAAATCAAGCTACATACCGGACCAAGAGTTGCACCCCCTCCCCAGACTGCAATCACGTAGGGCATCCCGGTTGGAGAAAAAAAAGTCCCCGTAGCTAGCGCCCGCAGTAGCAAGGCACGGGGAACCAAAGAAGCCGAGTAAGAAACGAAGCATCAGGACCCCTGCTAGGTTGTCTACCAGAGCCATGGGTACGCAGAGAACCACGAAGATGAAAAATGTGACAACGTATAGAGGCATTCGTCCAATTGACGGATTTCTGACAGCGGTGAGAAAAGAATTGGGCCCAGACCGTAGGCAATGACATACAAAGCCAAAGCCAGCGATGCCGCCACATCGCTGATGCCAAACACTTGGGTGATATCATCTTCACTGGCCGTGTAAAGAGACGAGCCTATGTACACACTAAACGTGTACACGAAGAGGAGAATAGCAACCCATAACTTCTTCCCAAAGGACCAATTATGGGGATTTTCCGGATCGTCGTCCGAGTACCAGCCGACCACTGTGACCTCCATCCGGTCCCTTTTGCGGGAGGCGACTTCGGCGTCGATGTTCGCAGCAGCGTCCGCAGGTAAAACTCGCGATTTCTTCGTAGTGTGCAGTAGCTGGGCGGGAGTTCAAATGAAGGATCTTCTTCTAGATATGTGGCCCATCTTCTGCTGGTCACAACACGTAGGCACTGGCCAAATGCCGAGTCTCGAATGATATCCCACATGGTAGCCCAAGGCGAGTGGAAAGACGTGGAGCACAAATAGCGGATGACCAAGGAAAGAGATGAGGGCGAGGCAATCTTATTGTGACTTAAATATTCCCCCGTAAAGAAAACGTCCTGCGTATGTTTACTACTTAAAGATCGGGGGACCTTTCCTTTTCGGGTTAGCGTTGCGAGCCCTGGATCCTCCCATGCAGATCGGCTCGGCACCTTAATTTTCCCGGATCCTGCAGCCCGCAACGCTAGCCGCATTTGGGGCTGCTTGGCGGTCGTCCACGTCCCATCTTTTGGTGACAAGGACGCTACAGCATCATGCCTGCCCAGATGAGCACATGTCCTTCTGCCAGCTGCTGAAATGGAATATCTTCAATCCGCTAAAAAAAGATAGCATATCAGCTAAATATCCATAGCACATCATGTTACAGGCGGGGAACCGCTCAAATCGCTTACCTTGGCCATCATTGTTGCCTGCCCGATACCCATATGCTCGCCAATCCAAGCAAGAACATCAAGCACATACGTTTTTGCTGGACCTGAAAGAGATTGACTAGTTGGTAGAACATAGAGGGGATGGAGCAGAAGCAGGCCGCCTACAGGGCGGCCTCTTGGGGGCGTGGCCCCGGCGTCGATGAGGGTCAGATACGCCTGCGGATCGCTAGCCAAATGATATGGAATGGATGCCAGTATATGCTCAATCAGGCCACTGGACTGCTGCCCAAACCCCAGGAGCACTTCGCTTCGGCCCAGTTGTCGCGCCATGCGACTGAGGATCTCAAGGAGCATCAAGCGAGTCTTGCGGTAAGTGTTGATGACGGCTGCCACGTAAGCTAGATCGGCTCCAAGGTGAGCTAACTAATGATCCCCGCAAGATTGAATGAATCAGAGTGAAATACCATCAAGATAAGTGTGGACAGGACCAGACCTGCAATAGGCACAACTAGATGCCTCGGCTGCTGATCGGGAGATGAAGCCAACTGGTGAGGCTTTCCAAAAACCAGAATGGTCCATGTCCCACTGCGAAAAAGATTTCTCGATTTCCAATGCATGTTCGAACGTGCACTCCAACGCTTCTTGCGGCAAGTTGGGTCTCTGGAGTTGAGCGCTTGCCTCGAGGAACAATGGTTGGCACTGAACGAGGATTGAATCCAAGCTTTCGATGGATTCGTGGGATCCTGGGGCGCCAAGTACGCTTGGTAATTTGTACGCCTGAGCGGTGTTAGTGTCACATCCTCGCAACCGAGATCTCTACATACCCCAAGTGGATGTTTGATAACCAGAGGGTTAGCGACTTTAAACAGGTGTGTACTAGCGTGTAGGTCAAAGGGCGATGCTTCTTCCGTAAGAATGGCACCTATTCCGCGCACATGCGCTACATGTCCAAAGGCATTTCCATCCGAGGTGACAATCTCGTACAAGCCCAGCAGGACCACAGTAGCGAGGGCTTCGATTGGGGCCTCTTTGATGATATGTGAAAGTGAGTGATGGAAATCACGAAGTAGGCACACATATTGCCGTCTAGCTTCGTGTAAAATATTTGAGTCGCTCGTCCGGTTGGCAAGACTGGCGTTGGCGACAAGCTGAGCTGCTCGTGCCAGGATGAAGGACCTATCAGCCTGCACCAGAAGAGATGGCAACCTATGCATAAATCCGCGAGACAGGATTGGATTGGCGGGTACAACGGCATAATCCTTCAGGAAAGTCTCCAAGCTGTCTTGCCCTACGTGCTGAAAATCTGTGCGCCCTTCCTGCAGGGGGACATGGGACGACGTAATGACGAAATCTGAAATCCTCTTCGTTTCTGTATCCGAAGCAGACCCGGTGGGACTTCGTACAGCGCATACATACCTGCGAAGTTTGATTTCCTTTTTTTAATTGATATATTCCTGGGTCTGGGGTCATTTGCTGCCGGGATGTCTTACCGGCCGGCCCTCATCGCACTTGAGCAATTCGTCAGCGCAGGTCCGGGCCGAGTGCGCAGATTTTTATACCTACCTTGAGCTTGCGCTTCCGACACGTTCCGCATGCGCGGGATACGCCGTAGTTCACCATAGTGACCTGTTGAAGAGCCACGGCACGCTCGTTCGAGGGCAGTGGCAGCTGTCTGGGCGTTATCGACGGATAGGCGACGCTAGTCACGTGAGCACACGTCCCTGGATTCATTGAACGTGTCTTGGTTGACTCGAGGAATTCTTATCTTTCAGATTAATATATGTCAAGGGAAAAGTCACAAGACTTCGCTTGGGGGATACCAAAGTACCATATGTAAACATTAATATGACATTCTCCCGAAGCTAAGTATATTCAAAATGAAAAGAGATATAGCGGAAGAACCAACTATCTCTTAATTACTGGTAAAGATCACCATGGTCAGCTTTGATAGCATCAGCTCCTTTCTCAGCAACCATGTAAACAGAGTTCTGAATCCGGCAGTCCGGAATCTCAGGAATAACCGAAGCGTCAATTACACGGAGGTTGGAAATTCCGTGGACCTTGAGACCCCGGTCAACGACACCCTGTTGGATATCTTTCGAAAGACGTGCAGTGCCGCAGGGGTGATAGGAGGTCTGTGAACGATCAAGAACAGTGCGTTTCATGGCCTCATCATCATCAAGTGGCATTTCCCACGGGTACTCGCCCTCGACGATATCCTTGAAGCCATCGCCATTCTTCAAAACGTCGTAGGCAAAGCGAATACCCTCGCGGATAGCGATGATATCAAGATCATTATTAAAGTAGTTAAGGTTGATGTTTGCTTGCTGGAGAGGGTCTGCGCTGTTGAGAGTCACCTCGCCTCCCTCAGAGACCGGGCGGACGAGGTCCACCATAACGGTCATGTAACTTCCGTGTTTAGGATGAGGGAAATGCCACTGGAAGGCGCTGCCGAACAACGGGATGAAGTCAAGTTCAAAGTGCGGCTGGCCGTACGGGCAGAACGGATCTTTGTTACCGTTTGCGGCCTTAGCAGCGCGATATTCGGGGGACTTCTCTAAGTACTTGTCGATTCGCGGAAAACCGATCATCTCGAGGAATGGCGATCCCATAGCCCCTGCATGGCCATTGGCGTAGGCGGAAATGACCTTGTCCTGGAGAGGGCCTTTGCGAAGAACGTGGTTGTCCATTGAGAATTCATCTTTGAGGCGCAGGACAAAGGGAACGCCGGGATGATCAAGGAGATGCTGACCAACGTGGGGGGAGTCAACAATGACTGGGATGTTGTGCCGGGCGAGTTCTTTCGCAGGACCAATGCCACTCAGCATCAGTAATTTAGGAGTCTCAAACACTCCCTGGGAGACAATGACCTCCCGAGTCGCGTAGAAGCTCAGCTCTTTCCCTGAGGAGTTGATCACAGTGACTCCCTTGGCAGTGCGGTCGGCCTCATCAATAATCAGAGCTTTGGAGTGAACCTCGGGGAGGACAGTGATGTTATTTTTGCCAGCGAGAGCGAGGAAACTACCGGAGCGTCGACCCTTGTAAATGGTGTTCACACTGTGCACGAGGCCACGCATTTCACCATCGAAAATATTCTCTGAGAGAGGCTCCCCAGTAGACTTCCAAGCTTTAGTGAGAAGCTCACGGAATCCTGCCATCTCTGGCATGAGGTTGGCATGGGCAATTGGGATGGGGCCTCCTCCGCCAATATTCTTCAATTTGGGCGAATAGAGCCCAGCGTCATCATAATACGTAACACTCTTGCGGAGGTAGTGGACGAGAGGCTCCCATGTCCATTCCTTGCCTCCGTATTGCTCCCATAGGTCGAACGTGCCCTTCGACCCAGGAACCCAGGAGAAGTAGTTAAGTGATGAGCTACCGCCCAGGGCTTTGCCCCTAGTGTTGGGCTTTTCAATGCGCTCGTAATCGTCACGCTTGACCATGGTCGTCTTGAAAGCCCAATCGTACTGGGAGCCACGCAAGTCCATGGCATGGGCCGGTGTCCGGATCTCCTCGTTGTCGCTGGAACTGCCAATACCAGCCTCAACAATGAGAATGCGAGCGGCCGGGTTCTCTGCAAGCCGAGCAGCCACAATGTTTCCGGCAGTTCCACCGCCCACGACGATGAAGTCAAACCGGGCACCGTCTTGAACCGACATATTGGAGAAGTTGATGAAAGAAGAAGATCTGGAAAAGTCAAGAATCGTTGTCCACGCTTGAAGGGCATTCAGACTTGCATTTATAGCTGGGGCCCTCTAACGATCTCTCTGAATCGGCTAGTGGCAAAAGCCTCTTCGTCTCCATGGGCCCATAGTAGTACCGTGTCTGGCATAGTTCAGCTTAGGATGGACACAAGGGAGAGAATATGACTGGCTATCCGGAGGGGGAAATGTATGGAGAGATTGCCATGCGATTTGTGAGTACCACGTTGGCAGTTGAGTGGGCCTGGGCGGTTTGCAGATAGTGAACCGTCCTACCAGGAATTCCCACGCATCGTGAAGTTAGCATGGGCTTATCGAAGAACACACACTGCCCACGGCATGGCTCGGAGATGGTGGAGCCAAATCAAGGTGGGGATCATCCAGGAAAGGACTAGTTGAAACCATGGTAACCATTTTCGGAAAGACTAATAGCCAATTGGCAACCACCAAGACTCTAGATCACCGTTACCCCTCTGGAGCTTTATTGTGAGACACGAGCTACCAACTTGTTAGCTCGTATATCACTTGGAAAAGCTGCCTTGCCAATCTTTTTGCGGTTGATACATGACATATAGGATTCTTCACAGTACGAAGTACGTACTCCAATCAGATTCCACATAGGCACAGGATGAGTTTGCCTTGGGGTAAACAGGAGCTGCAGAAGGATAGACGCTAGACAGATCCTTGAGGTATTTGTTGACGTCACATGGAGTCCACAGATTGCATTGCGTGCGCGGATGTTTCAGCGCGAGGCCAGGAATGTATCCTCTTTTCTTCTTGGAGGCGCGAAAGCTTTTTCGTACATTGACTAAGAAGCAAACGTGTTGGTGCATTGGCTAAGAACTAAGGAGCTCAACTCTGCGTGAGTCCTGATTTAGGTGTTACTACCAACACAGGTAGTACTGCTAGATCCAGAATATGCAAGAAGTTGGCGGGGTTGGCTTGCCTGGGGAGGGGCGAGGCCTTTTCTTCTGGCCCGTGGGCACTCCACCTTGCCCCTCCTATGCTTCTGTGCAGAACCCTGATGAGCTGAAGTATAGATTTTCTATTGATGAGGGCCAAAAAAAGGAAAAAGACAAAGACAAAGAAAAACCAATTCTATTCATTCTACGACTGACTCAGCAGCCCCCACCCCAGTTCGAACGAGACTTGCTGGCTGGGAGGGCATGGAAGGACTGTCTGTGTGTTGTCCATTAACGACTTCTGGAATTGAACAGACCAGTTGGATCTGTTATATCCGTATGTTTCGGGGCTTTTGGATAACCCATGGCGGATAGTATGGCAGGCTTAATCAACCAAAATCTTGGCCTTCCATTATTCAAGGCTTCGCATAGCCGAGCTTTCCGAGCTTTCCGAGGCCGTCGGTAACCGTATTACTCAGCCTTCTATTCTCGTCCACGGGTCCACGGGTCTTCTAATACTCATGATTGAAAACACGTCTCTCTCTGTCACCGATAAATTATTCGGCCATGGGCCCGACGATGCCTCGTGATGATGTCCTGCACATTACGCAACCATGTGCATCGCTCAGAGTCAGCACGTTCGCCATAGCTGCGAAGGGCCGGGCCTAGGGTGCTCATAGTTACTGCGTGCGAGAAGCTGCTATCTCTCCTGCGATGAACGGACCCTTCCAAGTCGCTCGATCCAGACACCACCATGGAGGTTTGTGACGATGAGTGAGAATCCCCTATGTAAAGATCTGCTCGACAATGCCGTCATTTCGTCCTCGTAAAATAACCGACTATGAGCCCGAGCGAACTTCGACTGGGAATGCGGTGCTGTCTAGCGTGGGTATAAATCCGGTGCTATGGGGTGGTTGGCGCCAGGAATCGATTGATACGAGCAGGCGGCATCATATCCTTCCTCTTAGTCAGACTGGCGTCTCGGTGAAACGAATGACGAGCCGACACCTATATCAACACATCCTAATATCCATGAATCGAAGACAACAGCGAGTCTGGTGACCACCGATCATCTATTAACAAGGGAGTGCGGTCCTTATTCCCTAACTGGTAGAGTAGATTCAGGAGACATTTCTCGACTCCCTGGCGCGCCTCCAAACTCAGGGTGCTCAGAACCTGCACGAGGTTCATGGCATAGTGCATCTTCCGCTGTCCTTCTTGGTGAAGCCGGTCAAAGCTCTCGCAGAGGATGAAACGCAGCTGTTGAGCGGATGTATGCCACATTCGATGCGACCTTCTCAAGATCTCCTCCAATTCGCCCAGAGCGGTTCGGTGAATAAGGGGTATGAAATTTGCGTCTGCGAACGCTGACAGTGACTCTTGTACGAGAATACTCATGGAAAATAAACAAATCAGCAATTCGGTTTCTTGCTGTGTGACGTGAGATTCAGAGCGGGAAATTTCGGTCGAAAGCTGGAACTCGTGGCGTAATAGTGTGATGGCGGCGTGGAAAAAAGTGAAAGGGGGAAGTTCTTTGGTAGAAAATGATGCCATGAATGTCCTCATATCCTGGACAAACGAGAGCAACCAAAGACAACGCACCTTGTGCAAGTCCAAAGACGGGGCTTGCGGTCGGAAGATGGGCGAAGTGGGGCCACTTATTTGTTCCAGGTTGTTCGTGGGTTCGAGCCATGATGGCTGTGACATTAAAGACACCCTAGGATCTGTTAGCCGGAGAAGTCATCCGCAAAAATATGTCCCTCGGTTCACCCACAGATACACCACCAACTCCAAGCGCCAGTTGTCGCGGAGCGCCTCGATCCCCCCCTTGGCATCAATCATTCTCTGTAAGCCCCTGCGATGAATGTTCCAATCCTCCACGGTGCCCCAGTAGCGCTGAGTTCTTCAGCGAAGAACGTCCAATTAGATAGGGTAAAGGATACGTACCTCGAAGGTGAGCAAACGAATCGTAGCCGCGAATGCATGCTCGCTCAACTCCGTCTCAGGGTTTGAAAGATAAATCTGGAGTATTCTTATCGCCTCGAGCTTATATTTCAACGCCTCTGAGGAAGTTGTGCCTGGGGTTGGACTACTGCCAGTGTATAAGTGAGATAGGTGTGCCGCCGAGTGCGCCATAATGCAATTGAAGGATGAAGCATTTGAGAGATCGAGCGGAAACCATACGTCCTTCATGGGGTTGAATTCGTTGGCTTGCAGATCCTCAAACATCATCGCTGCATGGGTACCAATCCCTGCCGTTTGATTAGTAACATGGCAATTACCGAAGACCGGCTACACCTACAGTGATAGAGAAGCTTCTGGTGCTGGCTCGTTAAGTGAACAGGACATGTTTGGAAGGGATCTGGTCTCGAGGTTGCCAATGCAAGGCCCATGCCATTCAATAGCTGAGCGGGCACACTGGGCAGCGTCTCTCGATTTTCACGAGGATCTGCCTCTCTTTGCGTTTTTAATTCCGACGGACTACTCGGGTTGGCTCCCTGACCGTCCGCCTCATTCGAGCTGCTTTTCGAGCGCGGAAGCAAGGTACGTGAAGACCGCCGGTGACGAGCCTTCGCCTCATGGTTGCGCTGATGCCGCAGCTTCCAGTGCTCTCTCATGGCATGGCTCCGAGCTGCCGACTGCTCATTCTCGGAGACAAACCTGAACTGAGGTGTTCCACCCGAAGAGCTTGACGGCGAAGGGGCCATGGTGTTCTAGATAGCTGAGAGAACATGATGCTTTTGGGGCCTGGGCCAAAACCCAACGTAGCGACATGTGGGCCATGCGGCGATCACATGACAGGATCGCTGTACTAAAACGATCTTGCGCAGAAATAGCAAGGATCAGCCTATCGTCGGCGATGTACGCCACAGTGGATTCCGTTTCGTATCCTAGTTAGGTAGACGCGGGAAATAATTATCTAATCAAAGAGAGTCGAGCCCCTCCCTGAGGCGCCCGTGGAGGGCTCCGCCCTGGATCGATCCGCTAACGGTCGCTATTTGACCCATTGTGTCCTTGGCAAGAGACACGACCTTCACATTGTTCACCTAGATTTATGGGCACAGAATATACCAGCTAAACGACTAGTCAAGCGGGCCCATGCGCCCGAGTCTGTAGCGAACCGTGTTCGGGTATGCGAAGAGGCGTGCTTGGAGCACTGGGAGGTGGAGTGAGCCATGCTTGTGCCTGACCGCAAAGAGCTAATGGTTATATCAAGACTTACCTGGACCGGCGGAAGCGGCAAATCCAGGGACCATGGTGGACGGGGAGAATGCCGCCTCTTCAATATCCGCAAAGTAGTTTTGCGCTTGATTGACGTCAGCCTCGTCTCCAAACCGCCATGAGGGACAGAACTTACGTTTCGGTTCATCGTAAGACGACCAATCTGCTGCAGAGGGAAATCTTCATGTGGCCAAACTTTAGTCACGTCGAAGATATTCCACTTGTACTTCTCCGCGGCTTCCGGACTCATCAATTGGACGTAGACGTTCCATACGGGAGTCACCGCGCTCGGTGGCTTTGAATATATCCCGGATCATATAGTCCGGGTCCTCTCCGGCCACTCTGGTGGCTTCCTCGCGACTAAAATACTGTACCCCCTGTTGCGATTTCACGTGGATTGTCGCATAATGAAATGTGCCATCCTGCGATCGGAAGGGTTGAAAAATCAGTCCAACGTCCGTCTCAAACCCTGGGGGCATTGGTGTCGTTCATTCTTCGTAAATTTGTAGGTGTGGCTGCTGTACGAGTTCATAAACCGCACCGATTTAGGAGTACCGCGCTCACTGAAGAGACTCAGCCAGTTGGTGAATTCCCTCAGGGTTGCCAACATGGAAGCTTCCTTTGGTAGGATGGTGATTGGTTAGGAGGCCTCGCTCGAGTGAACGTACTCCCAAAACTGCCTGATGCATTAGAAGGAATCGTCGTTGAGAGCAAGATGGGAAGACTCACCATGTTTGCATCGGGAAGGTGGGTTCGGGGATGGCGCTTGTGGGATCGATTCATCGAAGAAAACTTGATCGGATCCCGAATGAAAAGACTGGCTGGAATGGTGTTTCTTTTTAGATGTCGTCGTATACTCATTCCGAGTAAGGCAGCCGTCCTACTGTGTTGTTGAACACCCAGTCCAAATTTCCCTCGTCGGTGTAGAGCTTCATCGCCCAGCCATGCACATCGCGAGCGGTGTCCGCAGATCCAGACTCAGGCCCTACGGTCGAAACACGCTGCAGGACCGGGGTCTTCTTCCCGGCTTTGTTCAAGAAACTGGCACTGGTAAAGTCGGAACAGTCTCTGGTACTTCGAACTCCCCAAGGAAGCTGATTATCTTTGTCATCAATGATAGTTAACTAACTAAGTCTTGCTGCAGCGCACAGGTACATACCCAACCGCCTTTGCATGAACCACCCTTCAAGAACAATCAGTACCAGGAATGCTGAATCATGTAGACGATGCTTACCACTCGGGCGTTCTTTCGCGCGACAAATGAGCCAATGTCTCAATGAGCTGCATCCTGCAGCAACCCCAGCCCGCCGCCCTGTTTCCCCCGCATCAACGCAGCGGTGCTGTTGTCTGCATAAGGACATCCTATCTTTTGGCGTCAGGACAAATTCAACCACGTCTTTGAAGTTCGAGTCCTTATTACCTTCAGATAAAGTATAATATTTACTATCTGCCATGTTGAATGATTGATGGGAACAAAGGAAGGCAGATTCCCGCAAAATTTAGCGTAGATGAGCGGAAAATAAGAGCCCGATTTCGCTGCCTTAAATAGACAGATCTGCCAAGGTCAACCCAGACATATGTTGATCGTAGATCGCTACAAGGCGGCCCTTACCAATATAATTACGGCGGTTGGTGCTGAGCAGTGCACATCCAAGATGGCGACTTATTTCCGAACGAGATCTGCATATCTCTAATCCGTACACAGCGTGACGTAGCGGTCAGTTCAATCTCCGAGCTTCCGGCCGAGGCGTTCTCTACACAACTCTACTCTCACTTCACTCAGATAACCAAAATGCCCCATTTGCCTATCGAGGTCGTTGAATGGATCGTCTCTTACCTTCCAGAAAATGATTTATCGAGGTATGCCGTGATTTCTAGAGACTGGAAAGTCGTCATCGAACGGAGAACATTCCGCGTACTACACATGAACCCATCCCGTCTACTCAATGTTCATAAAATTCTGGGGTTTACCTCGGCATCCCCTAATATGCGGACCAGGCGAGCCCAAATCCAGGAAATCCAGTTCAAGCCGGTGCTCCCAGAGTATGATGTCGCGCTATGTAAAGAACATGAGACAGCAGAGGAACAAGACAAGAACAACAAAGCATTCTCGCAAGCAATGAGGTCATTTCTCAATACCTTATCCACTTGGCCTGAGCATGAGAACAGCCAAACCCTATTCACTATTGATTTCGCTCAATCTGCCAGTGATCTAGAATCTCTGGGATATCTGTCTGGCAGTACCACCAGTAACAACATGGCTCACATGATCTATCGGCGCCACCTTTTTGCCGGAAGATACGCCCATTCATATCTTCAGATCCAGGAAACCCCGGGAAGCTTTTCTCTCGCTCCAGTAATTTCCCGTCTATGCTGGAGCATTGATCCAATGTCTTCCTATAGACAGGTTGCCCCAGCGGCTTCATCAAAGATCATTTCCCGATTACCTTGTCTCCAAAGCCTTTCTCTGAGTGCCTGTGACAACGAAAGAAAAGACAAAGCACTACGTAATCTTCTCCGGGATGGTATTAGATATATTTGCTCTCCCATTATTTTTCATTTATTGACATGCAAACAGAATTTGCGCTTACCATCGCTAATTGGCCGACATCTTTAAGAATACTCTCACTGGAATATCGTGGCGATCCACCCCAGGACCAAAATCAGTCCCCTCCAAGACGGTCCAACCCTGGCAAAGATCTACTATCCTTGGCGTTAAATAGCCTTAGTCAACAACTAGAGCGTATTGACCTGGCTTCGATAATGATTGGACCTGAAATTTTCTCTTCAGAAAGAAATGGAAAGCAGCTTCAGTGGCCTAACCTGACCACTTTCAAGCTACACTACAAGGCCGCTACACCAGCCGGGGAGTGGCTCTTCGATAGAGATCCAAGATGGATCCAGCCGAGTCCACCCAATTCACCACCATACCCCGGAAGCGACAATGAATGGAATGAGGAATACGAAACTCCTCTGGAAGACTGGAGAGAAGCTCTCTTCCGCAGCCATCCCCTCCCAGCACTGAATGACCTTTACCTGGCAGCAGGTAGAGCAGCGTGTCATATGCCAAAGCTTGAATCTATGCTGCTAGAAGGAGATGTTAGCAACGATAGAGGCCTAGATCATGTGGTAGATGATTCTAGTGTGGCTAAGCACGAGTTCGAATACGACAGATCCTGCGGGAGGGCAACTTGGGTTAGCACATCTGCTTTCCACGTGACCGATGAGATACGTGAAGTCTGGAATGCAGTAGCACGGTTCCATGGCCATGATGAAGCTAAAATATCGGTTCGTCTCACTTGATTCACCGCCTCATACCTATTGACTAACTGTTTCATTACTCGCACAACTAGAGTATTGGCTGCATAGGCTATCAGTATTCCTATTACGACGATGAGATATTCGATCCTGAGCTCCGAAAGAGCGGAGAATGTTTTTCGTGGGATTAAAAGTAAAGCCCGTGGCAGGTTCTCTGCTTGGCTCTCTTCAGGATTCCGCGGAGTCATTCATGTGTTCTGCTGTTTCTTTTTCTAGCCTCCGGTATCCATGGAACAGTTATTTTCACCTAAGTATCCATTTGGGGTTCGTAATGCCTTTCATATTCTTGATGCATTGATACTCAGTGTTTGGTTCCCTTCTTTGGCTGCTCATTGTGCGCCGGTGCGTGCTCCTAGCTCCGTAAAGGGCATGGCGCCAGCTTTATGTGTATGAACAAACTGCGGGAAAACTTTGATGATCATCCTGTGTTTGAAAGTATTTGTATCTATTTAATGAGACCTCTGGGTTTGAGGACTGAGCTTATAGGTATATTTCTTCAAGTGGCAATAGATGACCACTCCCGCTCTGCTGGCAATTATCTTCTGAGTCGTTGTCACCAGGTGGTTTGTTACAGTCTACAAGGCTACCTCTGCAAGCGTGAAGGACGCTTGGGAACATGGAGAGGAACGATCGTCTCATCGTTCGAACGATAAAATGGCAAAATTCCAGGTGACTGAATTTGCTCTTGACCACTGGAAATCCCTTAGCTCCACAGCCAGGATGGAATTGGGTCTCCTATCTGTTGGGGGGGCGGGGGAGGCGCATGGATCTTCAACAGACTCTGGCCTGGAATTCATCAAGATAAAGACTAATAAGCTGGATCACTTTGGAGTCTTTGATCTCGCCAAAGGTCTTCCAAATCAGTCCTGATAACTTCTGCAACGATGAAGCCTCCCTGATAGATCCGGTCGAGAAGTTTTACTATTTTGTGCTTCTTCGAGTCTTCAAAGACGTTAGCTCCAGCCATTCTCAAAGGAAATAGCAAGAGCACCCCGGGAATCCCTGAAGATCGAAGAACCTCGTCAGTGTGTTCTAAAATCGCATCAACATGTTCTTCAATTTTATGTAGATTCAGCGAAGGTCCCGGTATTTGCCTCCATAACGAGTGGAATGTGAAGTTCCTGCAATGAAACAAGAGAAGGCCATGAGAATTGGCCATAGCCAGCCTGGACACGGGGTCTGAAACATCTGAAAGCGATGCTATTTTGTCTTGCCACTTCTCAAGTTGATTTTGGATTTCAATACCCTCATTGGCAAGTGCCTCTAGAGTCAGATCGACATATTCCAGGTGTCCCGTTCGGTTCTCAATTAGGCCGAAAAGGCTGAAATATTCAGGTTAGAGAGATGAATTTGGATAATTGATCGAATGAGAATCATACGTTTGGCTGAATGAGGAAGTATTCATCATGAGCGTGAGAACTGTTCCCATCGAGTCCCAACCATCATTTGACTTGAAGGGTACACTGTCCCCAGAAACCGGCCATCTACCCTGTGAAAGCATTGTCGGCTCCCCATAAAGAATGGCTCTGTTGATCTCCAGGACCCGAAATGCATCAAACAACTTCTGCCGTAACGAGGAAGATCGTATTGTGTTCCTCATTGGTTGCAACATTTTGGCTGTACCAAATAACATGTGCTTGGCCCAGCCATCTCCCGAGGTTTTGGTCATGAGCTATACGAAAATTTTAGCAGAAACAGCTGTCGAGAACTTTTATGGCCTTACTTCAAACAGACCAAGGAGGAACGTGCACCAGAGCGTTCCTTCTTCGTAAACTGAGAGACCTTCTGATATTTTAGACCGGAGGCCTTGGATTGAGTCTTCGTAAGATTTCCACGCAATATAGTGAGCTGATTGGCGTCTCCTCTGTGACCTGACGGAGCATTTTCTGCTAGCTCTTAATGAGCCAATTGCAACAGCTACATGCCAGAGTGGAGGCGACGTGCTAACTAGAGGCGCGAGATCTGTATACACCGAAGCAAAATCTCTCGTGAAGTGGCTTTGATGGAGGAACTCTGCAAAATGCTCCAGATAAACCGCATGAGGAGGACTGTGCACTTCCTTAGGAAGTTCCACCACCTGGGAGGGTTTTGTAGATTCCATCGAGATGATGAACTTCACCTCGGGACGGTCTGCCTTCTGTGCTTGGCATATCTTCCCCGTTCGAATGCAATGCTCGCAGGGAGGACCCCCTTCACACTAATTGCCATGTATTAGCATTCTTGGTCATAACGCGGCTCACGTCCAATATTTGGTTCTCAGACCTTAATTTTTCTTGCGGCACAAGGTTGACAGCGCGTTATCCTTCTCCGTTTATCCAGAGGGCCTATGACTCGCTTCATCGCTCTCTGCTAGCATGCCACTGCCATAGACACTTGTCCATCCACAACCTCTACGGTATGCGTCTCGCGTGCCCAGAAGGGGTTTTAAATAGCAGCAATACATCTGAATTCTAGAATAGCGCTCTAGGCAACCACCAACCTTGGAAATCGAGTTATCGATGACTCAGCTCTGCTTACCAAATCAACTTGAGTCCGCCCACTGCGGCTAGCTGAGCCCCTAATTTGCTGGGCAAGGTTTCATGGAGCTGCGGTCCCTTGACTAAACCGCTATCCGCACCCATTCCACGGTTTGACTTAAGGAACTCTTTGGAGTGCTAGCGGGTGCCATTTCTTGGTGTATACCATCGCCCTGCTTGCTGATCTGAAATGCCCTTCTATTCCAGAACTTTTGTTTGCGAACTGATCCGTAGGTCCACACAGTGGGGATAGTCCAGAGCTGTTCCGCTTCCCGACGATGGCGGAAAATGCAGAACATGGCTTGTCCTGCTATCTACAACGAATTTTAGGCCTTTATCTTACTACAACCAAAGGCCAGGTGAAGCAAATATCACCGATTCCAGCTAGAGGATGTACTATTTAAGGTGTGTATGGGCATATTCGCACATGAAGTGCGGGTGTAATGGTCCTTTGGTCTAGTTGTTAGCATATCAGCCCAGGGATGCTCCCTCATAGCAAAGTGCATACGAGGTAATGCCAAGGGTTTGATTTTCGATATCCTCCGTCCCAAAAGTAACGCTATGGGCTCCGGAACCATAAGAAGAGTAATAATGGAGAAGCCGGTTCCGCACTGAGGTACGCCAAGACATCAACAGGGATTTATCGCAAAGGTTTGAACAAGATGAATAACTGAATTTAGATTTTGAGATAACAGTACATTGTTCTAATGAATGAAAACTCTATAGAAGACAGTTCCAGTAATGCTGACACAGGCAAATAATCCAGATCGAGTCATTGCAACCGCATTCACGTCTGCCATAGAAGGGATGCCATAGCACACCCCGCCCCGTGCAACTCACCACATGTCTGAACTATGCCGTAGCTAAGATTTGGATTGGATATTGAAGTATTCAGTGATCACTTTGGTCCGCTCCCCAGTGGCAAAGAAATCATAGCCAACAACGCAGTTACAATTATTGACGTATACTGTGACTGGAATCGCACCTTGGTACATAATGTTCCACTAATGATAATTTCGTTAACATCGCTCTATTTCTTTCTGTCTCTAGTTGAGAACTTTCATTTGGCAAGAGCAACTCGGCGGAACTTACTGATGCCACGTAGCCTTCATTGAATCGCCGCTTAACCAGTCCACCGAAGATGGCATTGTTAGTCACCAGGAAGTCCTGTGAAAACAACGGAAAGCCTGAGTTGACATATCCCCTCCAGACTTCCACGGCACTTGAGTTGCTCGAATAGCTTTTCAGAGTGTTGTCCACTAGACCATCCTGAGTGGTGTTGGCATAATTGAAGAGCGACGAGGCCAAACCACTATCGGAGGCTTCGTCAGCCACGACAATACCAACGGATGGCGAGTTGCTGATATAGCCTGCTGTAATGTGGGACAGATTGCGGTTCCTAAATTTTCGGTTAAAGCATGGACGGAAAAGAATCCAATATGAACATCAAACTCGTACCACTTGTGCTGGATGAAGTTCGCCGTGTATTCGTCCCTCACTAACGGGGCCAAAGGCTCTTTGAATCCGGACGAAAATTCAATTAATGAGGAAGGGAAAGGCGCGCAGCTCGGAAATTTCGTTGCTGTCACGCCAGAAGAGGCGATGAGCAATGTCAGAAGAAGTGGGAAGGAATTCATGATTGAGTAATAAGATAAAGTTCTAGAGATGCGGTATGAAGTGGAACAGTCGGTAATGTTTGAGATAGACTGGATAAGCAGTTTTCCCTGAGATCGGTCGGTCTTTATACCCTCGAGTATTGCTTGACCATGCTCTTCGGACAATCGATAATTGCCTCTAATACGTCTTCGATCGCGTTCAATTGATGCCAAATTAGGACACCGTTATTAGAACTCCAATAATAGACCACTATATTTCAGACTGTTGCCTGGAAAGCCAAGTGTGCATGTCCACCATGATAGACGGGATGACAATGAGTCGAGCCAGGGGTCATGAGCGCGTTCGATTAGTTCCCGATTCGGTAGGTGCCTCGTATTCCCGGGTGGAGAAAGGAGTAGCAGCAGCCACTGATAATAACCTTGCCACTCGTCGCTTACTACTCCCGTCCATAATTTGCGGGTCATGACGGGTTCTCTTCACTCGCCAACATGCCATGTCAGGCTGTATCTCAAACGCTTCATCGTGTGGTCTAATCCCTAATCGCTTTCTCGTGGAATCTGGAAAAGAAATCCTACACAGACAGGGCATAAGGACAATACACAGGGTACGTACAACTACAATCAGGTTAGTAACACTGACTGCTTCTCTGTCCAGCAAGATGATACGACGGCGCAATTGACCCCTGGAGAGAAGGTTGTGAGGATGTCATAAAGGCTGCCATCTTTGATGTTTAGAGTGAGCTAGACGAAGACTCGTTGGTAATTTAAATCCAAATAAGCCACGAAAGAATGGAGCACTCCGCTTGATTGAATCTGAGTAATTTGGTGATGGTGGTGGTGGTGGTGTTCGCTTTAAGGCCGGAACATATTTTACGTTCCCAGCGCCACACATTGCCGTGAGCACTTTCTATGAGTATCTGGAAAGGGAATTTCAGATCTCATCTTTTCTTTATTCCCTTATACTCTATTATTAACTAAGAGATCCTCCCGAACACCAAGGTAATGATCCTACCAGCTAACAAGATCATCGCATTAATAGAACGCACCAAGCGATAAAGCCTAGACTCATAGGATTTAAGAAGGACTAGATATACCTAAGTTATTTACAAAAATTTGATTTTTTCGCGATCAGTCTTAATCTCAGGTCTATTACTAGATATCCTGAGAATACGATAACGGTTCACTGTTACCGATTTCTAACACCCAAAAACTAACGGCGAATGGAAAATCCATAAGAACCTGACCTTTTCGGCGCCTTAATCGCCACTGGTCTAATTCATCATCTCTAAGGACTTAAAGCATTTCAAGGCCGTAATTGATCAGTAAGCAGTAAAACAGAGTAAAGATATAGACTTGGGGCTGACGAGTTCCCGAGCAAGTAGCCCTTCTTGAGGACCTACTCAAGAGTGTCTGATTTAGGGGTGCGTCACAGCAATGAGCTGGCGAAGAATTAGACTAAGCCCTGGGAGCAAGGTATAGCTCCCTACTGGACTACCCCCTACGCGGTCGAACCTAATTTGCAAAATGCTGTCGTATCCTATCTTCGTAGTTCGGGAAAAGCCTCTTATCATAAGGCGACGATACACAGCAAACATGATTGATCGTAAACATTACGATCGTCCAAAGGGAGTCTGTCTCTCAGATTCTAATAACGCAAAGATACATTTTCATCCTATCCCAAGTTCTGTTGTATAACATCATTTTAGGCCTTTGCAACGAGAACTCCTCGATAACGCATCTTGCCTTCTGCAAGAGTCTTCAAACTTTGCTCAACGCCACTCAATTCCAGGGGGAAAGTCATTTTGATGGGCTTGATGTTGTGATGCGCGGCAAACTCAAGCATATCCCGGTGAACCTGCCTTGAAGAAACGATGCCGCCTTGTATCCGAAGACCAGTCGCAAGCAATGGCATATACGGGATTTGGAGATCATTCGCGTCGACAGATAAGGGTGAAATAACACCACCAGGGGCCATGACACTAAGATAGAGATGCCAGTCTGGTTGACTGCTGGTCGTCACCAGGAGGTTATCCAGAGGGGCCTGAACTTTGAGTTCTTTCGCACCCTTCGTCGCATAGAATTCAGTGGCACCTAGCTTCATTGCTTCTTCCTTTTTGTTCTCCGTACCCGAGAATACCACCACTTGGCAGCCCATCTTTGCGGCAAACTGGATAGCCAGATGACCAAGACCCCCAACGCCGACGATTCCAACGCGAGCGGTCGGACGAACCTGCGCGACGTGCAGGGCGTTGAACACAGTTGACCCGCCACACATCAGGGGAGCCGCGTCCTCGTTACTCAGCTTCTCCGGGATCTTGAACAAAAAGGCCTCGCGCCACACTGCATGTGTACCGAAAGAGCCTTGGTCGAGATCGGCACCGGCGTACATTTTCCGCTCCGAGCACATCGTCTCCCACCCCGTCAGGCATTGCTTGCAGTGACCGCAACAGTCGTGTTCATATCCCCAGCCCACTCGGTCCCCCTTTTTCAGGATGTGCGCGTCGGGCCCTGTTGCCTCCACTACGCCGGTGCCTTCGTGACCGAGGGCCATGTCGGTAGTCTGGTAGTGGATGTCCGTGCCGCACACACCGGAGTGGGTAATCCGAACAAGCACGTCGTCTCGCGTGAGATCGCCTCGCTGGGTTTCCGCCTGTTGGATGCTTCCATCCTTGGAACCCTTGTACACAGTGAATTTGATTGTCATTGTGGGTGTTTTTAAAAAGAGAAAGGTGAAAAATCAGGAAGGATGAACATTCAGGTTCTGCAGACCCAGGTACCACGCCATCCTTTTTATTTCTGGACCGTCTGGTACGTCAGTGGCCAAATTTCCCTACCTGCCGAGGTCCAGACCCTGGTATAGTGAATTGTCATCGATAAATATGGAAGGAAGCAAGTTTTGACCATATGAGACAATCTATGATGCAACCTGGTGGCTCTCCTGGTCGGAAGGTAGCGGGCCACATCTTTTCGACCTTATCGCCCCACAATCTCTCTTCGGCGTTGCCTAAAGTTGGCTGCAAAGTTCTTGATTTACGGAAGCTTTATCCCACGCAATAATTAGAATGTGCTAACTAGCTTGGAATGGCAATCATTGACGTCGTGGCCCACTTCGCCGCGAATCCGATCTTCGCCGTGTTGGGATCGCCGTCAAGGGTAGCTTTAGGTAAGCTTCACCGAGGCAGGTTCCGCGGTCCCGAGGTCGGGCTTTGCAGGAAAGAAAAGCTTTAGTTTCATCAGTCGCTTTACTATTCCGGATACGTTCTGTACACCTGTCACGGATGCCAGCGAACCATACTGCTATGTTTAACACCGTCTTTGCTCGGAACTTGTGCTTAGTAAAACCCACATGTTTGTTCACCGCACACTGACAAGGCCTACACCTTTCTATTTTAATACAAATAATACCCCAATGGATCTCCTGGATTCCTCAACTGGATGCAGTACGAGTCCAGTGTGTCTTTTATAGGCGAGACGGTGACGGAAAATATATTATAGATTCTCACATTGTGCTCACCCCCTCCACAAACCGACGAAAATTGCAGAAGAAGAAGTTACTCCCTCCTTCCCGAGTCTTCCATTGCTTTTGAGATGCAAATTAGGCTCTGGAGCGTCAGCCACAGATATGAACTCGGAGCATTCATGCAGGCTACTAGGCAACCAAAATATAGAACGCGATTATATCGCTCGCGCTGTGATATTTTGCAACACCAGCGACCCACCCATAGAGCTTGATACGTCTAATCTCAAAATATGAAGATTTCATCGGTCATGCGTGCAACGTTACCTGGGCGGCGAAAGCCTAGTTCAACCAAGTTGTCGGTCATCGCTGTTTGGAGGCCAGGGGGCTCACAGAGAAGGATCTTCGACTCATTGCCGTTGGGGGCGGGCAGATGGGTCTTGGCCATGTCCTTGTCGATACGCCCAGTCCCATATTCCCAGCCCTCTGGTGCTGAAGATAACACATACCAAACTTTGAATTTGTTGGGATGCTCTTGGGCGTACCGGTCGACCTCTTCACGAAGCAGGATGTCTTCTTCTGTCTTGTTGGCGTATAGCAAGCTAAGCTTTGTGTTATCCTTGTCATTCGTGCACACTGCTTTGATTATACTGATCATGCGTTGTCATCAAGCTGTTCTGGGAAAATCTGAGAGTGGGAAGATCAATACCTGAACATCGGCGTAATTCCTAACACAGTTCGAGGTTAGATGTCTCCAGTTCAATGCGATCCTACTAGAGACGTACCTGTACCGCCAGCTACCCTGCCTATATCTTTGGCGAGATACCGGGTATATTTCATCTTTCCACCCGGACCGCGAAAGTCGGCTTTTTCGTTGATTTTCAGGTTTGCCAGATACTGCGACATGAAACCTTTCTCATAGGTTTTAACGACAAGCTCCATACGGCCTCGATCGGCGTTACTTGAAGTCGGAGTATAGCTCCGACTCACCATCTTCCCTTCGCTGTTTTCGTGGCCACTGGCCCAACGTCTTGCATCGGCTTCAACTTTGCCCTCGGCGAGGTCAAGGTGCTGCTGCCTGCGCTGGTGTACAGGTATGAGTTTATACGTGAAGGAGAAAGCTCAATTGAGTATGACCCTCACTACCAACTTATTCGCCCAATGAACCTTTATGTCCGGGCGAGAAAGAGAACCAAGTGGCCAGCACCGAGTAACAGCGCCGAGGATAAAAAATAAGCGGACTTCAACTTTGTTGGACACTAAATAATTGAAGGAACCAATTACTGGCATTTGACTTACATGTACCATTTCCTGCTGCGCATACCGGGGATGTAAGATGGTATTATCATGTTCTATATTCACTATTTACCGAACGCCTTCTCTCGTCTCTACTGCTCGTTCTACATCAAACTCTTCACTTCGCCCCACAACCTACGAAACGTATTATCTTTCGAATGATAGAACTAGTCTCCCCTGTGCAGCCACGAAATTGTGAAACTCCAGCGGCTTCTGGGCGTACATATATTTGAAATAAAAAATTATACTTATTATTAAAATATTTATAAGATTTGTAGAAACCATCCTATCTCAATCAAAAATACATCATACCGCTACTATTCCGTTTGCGGTACGGATCGGCAATCTTGCGCCGGCCTAAGTTAGTTGCATTAGTCGAGCGCGTTGGGATTTTTGAGTACGACGATTGTGATGTCACCAATTTTCATTAAACTATTTTTGTCTGCTGATTTAACTTGATTTTCGTCAACATCACCTTTGAGAAAACGTGCGAACTCAACCTATCTAAATGGCTATTATATAACAATGTCATTCGCATTCCCATTCTCCAACCTGCTCTTGTTTTTTCCTGATTCAGTTCTATTTCCCTCCTTTGCCGTGACGCTACTATGCCGTGGAAACCACCCGTAATTGGTTCTCGCCCTGTCGCGATTCTCGGTGCAGGTGTGCTTGGTACGAACTACGATTGCCGGTTCCAACATGGAAAGAAAAATACTCATGTCCAATACTCTAGGCCGTCGAATTGCCTGCTCGTGGGTTACAGGGGGTTACAATGTTGCGATCCGGGACCCTAGTGCCGAGCAGCGGCAAGCCGCAATGCATTATATCGACAACAACCTGACTAAGTTCTCCAAAATCTTTGGTAATACGGCCAAAAAGCCTGGAGAGTATGCCGCGTTTGAAGATTTGGACTCCGCAGTCAAAAATGCTTGGTTCGCACTCGAGGCAGTTCCTGAAAAGCTTGACCTGAAAATCTCTACCTTCGGGGAGCTGGCTACGAAAGCTCCTGATGACTGCATTCTGGGCTCCAATTCATCTTCATACAAATCTAGCCTGATGCTGGACCATGTGGGCAAAGAAGCTAGAAAGCGGGTGTTGAATGTGCACTACATGATGCCTCCGACCAATAAAATTGTGGAGATAATGACAAGCACGTACACTCATGATGAGATATTTCCATTCTTGGCCCGAAAGCACAAAGATATCGGGTTACTGCCTGCAGTAGCCCGTAAAGAATCTACTGGGTAAGTTTCGCAAACGCTTATCTCAAAAAAAAAAAAGATTCCAAATTCATTAATCCCAGTTTCATCATCAACCGCCTCTGGGCTGCTGTCAAGAGAGAAACATTGAGCATACTGGCAGAGGGTGTCAGTGATCCACAAGAAATTGACAGATTATGGGTAAACACCTCTAGTTCTTCTAGACGTCATATAGCACTAACTTCTTCGATGACAGTTAGAATTTTTTGGACACGGCAAAGCAACTCCATGCGCTATGATGGATGAAGTTGGCCTTGACACAGTCGCCTTTATTGAAGATCACTACGTCCAAGAACGGCATCTGGATGGGACAAATACCGTCCAATTCCTGCGAGAGAATTACATCAATCAAGGACGCCTCGGCCATAAGTCAGGAAACGGGGGACTTTACCCTGCTGATCACGCGGCCAAATCTGAAGACCAGAAAGATTTCGACGGGAATTCCACAGCTCCGAAATTATATGTGCTGGACGTCGGCCTTGGCGAGAATATCACCCATGATTTCCAGCACGCTGGAAGAATCATACTTTCCTCAGCGGATGGTAAAAATGCTAAACCGATTGTCACTGGTCTTGAAGCACCGGATGGAATCGATATTAGCGTTCCTGATAACCGTATCTTCTGGACCAACATGGGGATACCATCAGAGAATGATGGATCCATTCAATCAGCTCGACTTGATGGCTCCGACGTCCAGACTGTCATTGCGAAAGGATCTGTGCACACACCGAAACAAATCTGTCTTGATCAGGCGAACAAGAAAATATATTTCTGTGACCGTGAGGGCATGCGTGTTCACAGGGCCAACTTTGATGGAAGTGAGCAGGAAGTCTTGATCCAAAGAGGTGATTTCAGGAACAAATCAGACATGGAGGATCAGACTAAATGGGTAAGGCCACTTGAAACCAACCGAAATGACATCCTGAACTGGCAATTCTAAATCTTTCATACAGTGTGTTGGTATAACTGTCGACCCGAAGAACGGAAAGTTTTATTGGACCCAGAAAGGTTTCAGTAAATCCGGAAAGGGCAGAATTTTCCGGGCCAATATCGCCATGCCGTCTGGCGCAACACCCTCGACGCGCTCCGATATTGAGACCGTTTTCGAGAACCTGCCGGAGCCGATTGATCTTGAGATTGATACCGAGACCGAAATGCTTTATTGGACTGACCGGGGTGAATACCCACTGGGTAATTCGCTGAATCGGGGCTATGTTGGTGACAAACAGAAAGAGAAAACCCACGAGCTCCTTTCACGCCATCTGCATGAGGTACGGAGTAATGCATCACGTATATTATCACAGGACTGACATAGCCACAGGCAATTGGTCTCAAGTTGGACAAAGTCAACAAGCACATCTACTTTACGGATCTGGGAGGCACCGTGTATCGCACTGATGCTGATGGGAAGAAAAAGACCGCGATTTACACCGGTGATAACAGTTTCACAGGCATTTGCCTGGTTCACGAGTGAGATGCCCGGCGGCCTGATACTGACGTCCATTTTATGCCCATAGTTTTTTAATAGATGCTTGCTCATGGTGTCATAATTTCAGACTGTTTTCCTGGCTTTTTATAATACCCTATAGACCCTAGTAGTATTGACAGTTGATGTATAGTTAATGCTTCTCTCCCCCCCCTTTTCAGCGACCCATACAAACCTCCAGGCCTTATTCGCGCATAGCAGCAGCGTCAAATAGCCTAGAGCTCGTATCCTGCTATACTCGGTATTAGCGAGCTTTATGTCTGAAGAGCAGCGGCGGAAATGACCATTCGTGCCAGCAGGTCCATGTCATTAAAGCCATGGTAATAGTATCTGTAGTTCCGCCTGTGAAGAGTGATCATTTTGAACTATGAGGTAGGCTTCGTGCGGATTAAGACTTAAATGTGTTGTCAAGCAAGCTGGCGCTATGTCAAGGATAAACCCGTATGTCAATTACTCGTCAGGGAACACTCAAAATGGGATACTGTGGTAGAATTGAGATTGAGGTTTGGTCAAACGCGGATCGAGGCAGGTTTGAGCAAAGAGCAACATGTTTATCGCGTACTGCTGAGATGGTCTCCTGAGCGGCGTGTGCCGCGAAGCATGAACTTTCCATAACTGTACATTTTAAAGAGACTGCTTTATTATAATAGAGATTGATGATACATAATCCAGAACGCGGGCCCCGATTTGACAAACAGGGCTAGAGTTCGGCGGGAGGCCGAGCGTTTGATCTCTCTTGGTCATTCGTCTGCCCCGGTCCCTCGTTCGACCAATGGCCTCATGCGTGATATCGATTTGGTGAGACACCACAATAGCACTCGAAGATGTATCAGGCGCTTCCCACTCGGCTCCAGGCGCCGCGACTGGACTCAGATCCTTCATATTGATATCACCATCCACCATCCGCTCCTCACTCTCTGTCAAAGTCATTCCATTCGTGATTGAGTTCGTAGTTTGCTGCACTCTGCCCTTCGGGCTCATGGGATCACCTCGGGCGCCTATTCTCTGGAATGCGCCGGAGGGATACTTGTAGTGCGTTTTGTGAGACGAGCCAAACTTGCTCCCGAAGCCCTTTGCAAGCCAGACACGAAAGAGATGGAAGATCATGGGCAGATTCGTTGTTACCACGGCGACGAAGGTTTCGCGAGTGCCCCATTCGTCGGCAATTTGGGCGCCATCGTTGGGTTCCTGCAACTTTCTTAGTCTAGGTTTGGAAACGCCCTTTGCTGGTGAGAGTTACCACTAGTAAAAAGACACTCTTCAGCGTCGCGCAGACCAGAACGAAAATGCCGGCGCTCAGGACAAATGTCACTGCAATCTTTTTAATCAGTCTGAGACTTGATTTCCATAACATTGGAATCGGGATGAAGATTAGATAGGGGTCTGTGAGAAGATTGGCGGCAAAGGTTACGCCAATGACCGGCTTCGCGATTGCCGGTTGGCACTGGTCTGTGGATCGGTTGTTCATATATGGTACGTAGACGTAAGTAGATGGGGAAAGTCACTCACTGCCAGGATCGGGATTGATCTGCCAATTCTTGTGGAATGGGACACACGATGTGAAGATCGTGATAACCCCAGCGATGAAACTCGCGGCCACGAGACCAAACCCGACATAAATTGGTATCTGATAACGACGGCCAAGGCCTTCCATCAAGCGAATATAAAATGCCAACATTGACAGCTTGATGGCATTGATCAACGCGACGTAAGTCGTCCAGCCTGCAATCTGGATCTTGGAGCCCACTACCCTGGCATGGTATTCCGGGTCATTGGTGGACAAACTCGCTCTCTGTGCAGGTGTCATGCCGTTATTTGCGAGGCCACCGGCTACATTTCCGACACTATATGCAAGCGCTGTCTGCGCGGTATAGAAGACCTATTGGAATCGAGGATAAGTAGTCGAGTGCATGGAGAGTCAGATATTAACGTACAATCGCAACCCATATCAGATAATCATCTAGTCGCAGTTTCCTCCAGCCATGGGCTGTTATTCGAGCGTATGTCCTCAGGATTGTCACGCAGACTCCCACGGAGTATAGCGTCCAAAGTTCAACGGTCGTCCTGTACGCGGCGGTGGCGGCTGCATCCCGCGTCTCCAAGCCAAAGCCCATACCGGTCCTGTGTCGATCGACGGCTCAGTAGTGATCAGCAAGGAATAGGGGAAATGTGTTGCTTGTCCTAGGGTCCGCTTTAGTATGGCAGCTCTTCTCTGTCGTATGCCGGTTGAATATCTCTCCTCATGCTGGCTTTCTGGTTGTGTATAGCCCCGTTATGCGGGTACGAGGAGATTGATGGGAAAATAAATCCGACAGACGAGAATAGCCACCCTGGTCGACATTGCATATGAACACCTCCCAAGTCCGCGGAAGATTCACATCTCAATCTGCCCTACTCGGTTAGCCTGTACCAGAAGCTCGGACCCGGCTCTTCGAGTGCAACGTTGGCGGGGTTCGTCGGGTTCGTCGGGTTCCTGCCATTGCCACGGGCGTGGGAGTGACCAACCACAAGCCCCAGGATCCCATTCTCGTTCACAAAATCTCGATGTGGGCCCCACTTTGCGATCCATCCTGGGATGCGCGCCCCTTAGCCGGAGAGGGTTAGCCCAACACCTTTTGTGCGCAACGTCCAGGCGAGGCTTGTCTTGTCGCCGCTTTCCCTTAGATCTTTCTATCGTGCCTGCTTTTGATCTGGTCCACGATTTCCTCTACACACCGGGTGGCCTTCGTTCATTCGGACCTTGTGTGGGGCTGCGGTCTGCCTTAGATCACCGATGCATCCGCCTTCTTCCACTAGGCTTTTTGGATTTAAATTGTCTTCGTAGAGGACGCCGAATTTGGGAGTACCGTAGGGGGGGGGATCTGCGATTGCGAATAACATTAAAGTTCGACTACGGAGTACGTGAGACCAAAATTCTTTGCGGAACCAGGAAACAATCAAAAAGCTGCGTGATTATGGGCGGCCGGGCGCGAGGGTGGAAACAGCCCCACCTTCTGAGGCCCCCCAAACCTGCGAAGGCGGCCTGCTAGCCGAGGCTGGCCGTTGCCAAGAAGAATCTTCGAGGGAAATTCGGAGCTAAACTCACCCGCGGTTCTTCACCCGCTGGGATCCAATGGCTAGTCGGCTTGACCCGCTGGAGGCAAGGCCAGTCTGTTTTCCTTCCTTTGATATTGACGGGTGAATGGGCCATTTCCATCCTGTCTGGATTCTCGACCTTACGTTCTTCTGTCTTCAGCGCCCTCGCCCTTGCTCTGCCTCATGGCCAAGCTCAACACTCTCCTAGCCGTTGCGGCCGGAGCTACCGTATGGGCTGCTCACCACGTGGCGGGTAGTAGCTCCCCCGGTGGTAATGATCTACAGAACCTAAAGCAGCAATTGTCGAGTTGTGCCAGCGTGTATTACCCTGGTTCCACGGGCTTCGAGAATGCAACTACCCGATGGTCTGTACTGGACGAGCCCAAAGTCAATGTGGTTGTGTCCCCTTGCACGGAGAATGATGTTGCTGAGGCTGTATGTGGTTCCGCTCTGGTGTGCAAAGAAGGGTCCAAGCTAATTTATTGTACGCCCATTAGGTCAAATATGCCAATAAGCAGGGCCTGCCCTTCCTTGTATACAATGGTGTGCATGGCGCCCTGGTATCCTTGGGCAAAATGACCCACGGGGTCGGGATCGCCATGAACCAACTCAGCAGCGTTCAAGTCGCCGAGGACGGAAAGACCGCCACCATGGGCGGTGGTACCATGTCCAAGGTTGTCACCGATAAGCTTTGGGCCGCAGGGAAGCAAACCGTGACGGGGACCTGCGAGTGCGTCAGTCTCCTAGGGCCTGCACTCGGCGGTGGTCACGGTTGGCTTCAGGGCCACCACGGTCTCGTGGCCGATCAGTTCGTCTCGATGAACGTCGTGCTTGCCAATGGCACCTTGACGACGATCGACTCCAACTCCGACCTCTTTTGGGCGATGAAGGGTGCCGGTCACAACTTCGGCATCGTGACCTCCCTCACCTCTAAGATCTACGATATTGAGCATACCGACTGGGCCATCGAGACCATCATCTTCAGCGGAGACAAGGTTGAGGCCGTTTACCAGGCCGCCAATGACTACCTGGTGAAGAACGGCACCCAGCCCGCCGATGTCTCTAACTGGTCTTACTGGATGAACAACCCCGATGCCGACCCTCACAATCCGGTCATTGTCTTCTACATCATTCAAGAGGGCGTCCAGGCTGTCGATCCCGTCTACACTGAGCCTTTCCACAATTTGGGTCCCATCTCGGTCACCCCCCAGTCCGGCACATACAAAGACCTCGCGAACTGGACCGGCATCGCCCTGGAGTCTCCTCCTTGTCAGAAGGTGGGCATGGCGAACCCTCGTTTCCCCATCTACCTGGAGAGCTACAATATCACCGCCCAAAAGAAAGCCTGGGATCTCTATGCCCCCGCGGTGCGCGGCAGCTCCCCTTTCAATAACTCCATTTTCATGTTCGAGGGCTACCCCGTAGAGGGCGTCCACGATGTCGCGGCCTCCTCTAGTGCTTTTGCTTTCCGCTCTGAGAACCTCCTCGCCGCTCCTTTGATCAACTATATCCCTGCCGGTGACTTGGCTGAGGAAGCTGCTCAGCTGGGTAATCAGCTCCGTGATACCCTTTGGGCTGCTACTGGCCGTAAGGACTTCCGAGCCTACATCAACTACGCCTATGGCAATGAAACATTTGAGCAGATTTACGGCGCTGAAAAGTGGCGCCAGGATCGTCTGCACTTCCTGAAGAAGAAGTATGATCCGGAAAACAAATTCGGCTTCTATGCTCCTATAGTGTAGATGCATTCTCATGTCGTTTATCCATAGAAAAGACCCTCCGAAGGATCTTACGCTCAAGCCGCACTAGTTTTAGATCAAATAGCTAAAGGGAGCCGTATTCAGGGCACATGCAATCTTGATCCGGACTACGTAAATCATGCACAACAAATCATTGTGGTCGGAATCACTTTCTGTCATACAGTAGTTCTCATAGCACTCGCATTTTCAGGTGATCCCTGAAATTTTGTCACCGGGAGCCAAATTTTGATAGAAAAGCGCGGCATCAGTGCTTGGATTTGAGCCCCCAAGGCTTGAGAGGGAAGCGGAGAAGAGGCCAACCTTCAGCAACGACTTAGCTCTCCATCCTAAGCTCGTATAAGATGTTATCTCCTAATACTAGCCCCCTGGCAGACAATAGAAGCGAGTGACGGTGAAAATGACTTACCAGGCTCCGCCTTTGCTCCAACCATCCTATCTCCCAGCAACGCGGGCGCCGGGATCGCGGCGCACACGGATGGCAGTTCAGGAAATCCGAATGTTTGTAATGTCGTGGACTCCGCAGTGACGCAACGTGGTTTCCATGGCGGCTAACCTTCGCTTCATAGTCTGGATGCCGAGACGTTCCGCCAGGCAGGGAGACGGCCAGGTTACTCCCAACAACAGATCTCCGGATATAGTATATGGAACACCTGGGCTTGCATATCAGGGTAAGATTGCCTGACTATGGCTGGTCTGTGATGTCATAATTAAGCAAGCCGGCATCGAGTCTTTTCCACGACAAGCTTTTGGTTTGACAGAAGAAAACGCCGTCTCGAAGATGTGTACTTGAATATCAAGAGTCCGCCCACTCCTTCTCAAACCACCTACCGTTATCTGTCACCATGGATGCCGGCTCTATTCCAAAAGTAGCCTCTCGTGCGCACTCTGTCGCTGAATCTGTTGCGGCATTTTTAAGAAAGCATGCTGACCTCCGCCTTGGAGGTAACACTGTCGACTTTGCGCAGGAACGTCGGCATCATTTGAAGGTATTTGGGTTTCATGCGCTCGCACCGGAGGATAGGTCGCCGATCAGGAAGGTTGAGTTCGAAGGAGTACGAGGCCCTTCCGGTACAATACCTATCAGGGTTTTCTACCCTTCGTCTCTGATTTCGGACGACCGCAAAGATAAGCGAGATGCTGCTGCCTTGTCTACATGCATGGTGGAGGCTACACGGTCGGCTCGGTGGATGAGTTCGAAAACGGACTAAGGTCACTGGCAGAAGCGTCTGACGTGATTGTGAGTGATGAATCTTGTTCGACGCGTTACTTGAAGAGCAGACAGGCTGACCAGAAAGCAGATAATCGGGGTAGACTACCACTTAGCCCCTGAACATCAGTTTCCAACCCAACTTGAGGAGTATTCGGCCGTCATAGATTGGGCCCAAAGCTCTGAAGGTGCTCGGCGAGGCATATCCCCAGATCTGGTTTTCGGAGGGGGGGATTCAGCAGGTGGCAATATGACCGAAGCAATTTCGCTCTTGCGACTAGATCAAGGCCGAAAGAATATTGCAGGCCAGCTACTTCTATATCCAGAATCCAGAGTTCCGTTTGATACCCCTGCGTCGTCCGAGAACAACAGCGGTCAGGACCTCTATTTGGTTTGCAACGGTATTTTTAGCTTCGCCGACCATTACCTACCAAAAGAACCGGGTAATACCTACCCCCCAAGCCATCGATACGTGAGCCCTGGAATGCAGAGCACGGAGCACCTGCATGGCCTGCCTGCGGCAGCGTTGTTCACTTGTGGCTTCGATCCGTTGCGAGATGTGGGAGTTGAATACGGGTCGAAGCTGCAGGAAGCGGGCGTGCCGGTGAAGTGGCATCATTACCCGAATCTCACCCATGGGTTTTTACAAATGGCGCCATGGTCGTCGGAATGCAAAAGCGCCCTCGGGGATGTCGCTCAAGAACTCAGACGGATGGCTTACAGGTCGTAGGCAAAAGTCGTCAGCACGTTATCCATCTGTTCGGCTCTAGCCGGTAGGAGCATTGAGCTGTATTGCGGGAGAAGATGCACGGATTTTGGATGGCAAGGATAGTCCCTTCCATGGCTCGAGTTAATTGTCGACTACAAGGGAAATTATATATTGAAGGCCGCACCTGCTCGCATCCGTCTGTAGTCCAAACGATAAGATCGTTCCTGATGTCATACGATCAGCGGGGAATCGCGGATACCCGAATACCCGCCGATTACCCGCGGGTCTCCCTCCGCAGGAGATGCAAAGTCCTGTTTAGGTACTATCCTAGCATCGCCTCATGGAGGTGACTCCAATCACACAGACTCATCGGGCCACACGCGCATCGCTAGCTTGCTTGCCCTGTCGCTCCCGTCACGTGAAATGTGATGGGAAGCGGCCATGTGGCCGCTGCTCGGAGGTCGGGAACCAGTGCAGCTATGCGCGATCCCGGCGTGGGGGATTAGATCGCGCAGCAGTCGCGGAGCGTCGCAAACGACTGGCTTCGGCAGTCTATCCTGAACCGGTGGACCTCCTGAATCTACAACAGGCTGCGATAGTTCGTCCCGAAGAGTGCTTGAAACAGCTCGTCCCGGCGGACGTTCACACCGAGTCTGACCTGCTCGATATCGATCGAGGAAACAGCAGCAGGGGCTCTATCCCGCAGTCAGAGGACACAGTTCCCTCGAGAAAGATTGAAAGTGACATCTTGATTGAATCATATTATAAGAATTTTCATATCTGTCATCCATTCGTCTTACCACGAAATCACCTAACTAAATTATATCAAGATCCGAGCAGACAGCGCCGCCTTGCGCCCCTAGTGGCCGCGCTGCGGTTCATGGGGAATATTTACAAGGCGCGAAAATGGTCGATCCCTCTCAAAGACGATGTCGAAACTTCCCTTTCACCGTTGTCGCCTTCTGATCCGATCCAGGTCCAATGTCGAATCTTGTACTCCGTGGCCCTGTTCTGGTATGACTACAAGGATGATGCCAAATGGCAGATGGACCGGGCAGCACAACTCGCCATTGATATGCAGATGTTCCGGGCCGGATTTGCAGCCTCAGGAACTGACGACCAGGTACAGAGGGAATCTTGGAGACGAACGTGGTGGACGCTGTATATTCTGGACGTATACTACGCAGGCACCCTGGGGACTATGAACTTTCGGGTTGTGGACATTGATGTGACGGCAGAATTGCCCTGCGATGAGTCAGACTATGAGTCGGGCGTGAGTATCAAACCCTGTCTCGCCATTGACCTGCGCCGAGATAGCTTATGCATGGGCGTGCAGAATATTCCAGCTCCCAGAACCCTTCGGGAGTTTAATCACCGCGAATTTATTCCGAACAGTGGTCCCTTCTCCTCCTTTGCGTACCAAATCAGCGCCATACAGTGCGCTGCGACCGCGATATCCCAAACCCCCAAAATCGCCACCGCGGAAGACTCGACGCATCTGATTCAAGCGGTTGATTGTAGTCTGGACGCATGGCAACTTTTATTACCCCCCGAGCACAAAGATGTCATGGATAGGAATGGCGAGATTGATGAACTCATGTTCCAAGCGCATATGCTGATCCACGTGTAAGCTTCTCGGTTGTTCCTCGCAATCACCCCGCTTACTGGTCAGGTCCACCATCGGCCTCCACCGTCCATTGTCAGCCCTCAAATTCAATGCCATAGAGCATGTATCGAGCTGTGCCCGCGAACCACCCCTGGACACACCCACGCCCGATCTGATAAACGTCCACACCGCCCGAGTTTTACGGGCGGTGGAGGCCCAAATTCGCCTTCTGGCCTTACCAGTCCGCCGATTTCACCACACACCATTCACGACGTGCATGGTAAGCGAGGGCATACTAGCGCTTCTCTCCGCTTGCAGCACCCTCCTCGAGGGAAAGGACCTAGCAATTGCAAGAGACCAGATCCGGATGACGCTCGGCTGTCTCAAGGTGCTAGGAGAAGTCTGGCCAAGGACGGCGAGGAATGTGCGAGAGATCCAGACCATTGCTCAGTGCGTGCTGGGTCTCGGTCCAGTTGTCAGCAATCACAATAACTCTGCAACGATTGACCTGCTGGCTTTCGGCGCAGACGAGATAAGTCCAGATTCGACCGCCAGCGGTCTATCGGCGGACAGCAACGATCTGAGTGCTTCCGTCGGGGACACTGAATACCTACATGGCTGGTATAATCCTGGAGACTTGGATGATCTTTCGTGGCGAGGAACGGATTATAACCTTGGCCATGGTTAGATACCGAAAAGGAATGATACGATTCTTCAGTATATTTGGCAATGTGGCCCCGATAGACCAACATGGATATGTCATATAGTAAGGATGACCTTCCCCCGCCCGTACAACCTTCTATTCGCAAGATCATATGCCTCACGGGCCCTTGCAAGTGGGTATATGTCCGCCACGAATGACCGGACGGCCCCGGCACCCGCCAGTTGAGCAATGTAGCGCAAAGCATCCGGACTGCCCTTCACGATGAAGAACAGAGCATGCACCCCCGTTTTCCGTAACCCACGTATTCTATGTTCCTCTACGAAGTTGAAGCTCGCTGAATCGACTGAAATCAACACTCCTGTATCCGAGACATAATTCCAACATTTCGCTAACACCTCTCCGCCGGCCGAATCAATAATTGCATCGAATTGGCCCATATATGCATCTAGCATACTATACTCCACGACCTCGTCAGCCCCTAGGCCCTGGAGGAACTCTCTATTGCGCGCATTCGAGCTGCTAGCGGCGACAACACGTACCCCTGCCGCTGCCGCAAGCTGCACGAGATAGATGCCCACCGCGCCTGCAGCACCGGTAATTAGCAAGCGACCGGGTTTCGTCGTCGCATGCTGGGATAGTGACTGCTTCACTGTGGGCTGGGGAATCCGCGCGTGCTCGAAGAGGGCCTCGTAGGCGGTTTGCGCGCTGAGGGGTAACGCCGCGGCCTGGGCGAACGTCAATGTGGCTGGTTTCAGCGTTACTTCATCTTCTTTCGCGATGGTGTATTCAGCCCACGTAGCAGCACGGTCGGTGTTTACCATGCCGAAGACCTCGTCGCCGGGCTTGAACTTGCTCGCTGACGAGAAGACCTCTGTCACAATGCCGGCGACGTCGTTGCCTAGGATGGCGTAGTCGTGCGAGTAGGTTTCGGGCCAGTTAAGCATATCCCGAATGACGGTTGTGGCTTTGACGCGGATGAGAAGCTCCCCGGGTGCGGAGGGCACCGGGATGGGGACATCACGATCTAGCCGGAGGGCCGTAGATGGCGCCGGGTTGGATGGTGAATAGGGTGTGGCTTGGGACGGAGCAGGGTGGAGGCGGACGGCTTGCATCGTGTGTGGTGGAAGCAACGCGATCAAAGTCTGACCTAGGATGGTAATTCAATCGCGGGTTATATAGTCCTGCCGGCTATGATCTACGCCGTGTCTATAGGCTATGCATAGGCTATATGTAGCGGATCTAATCCTGCCGTCTTCAGTACTTCATTGATGTCGAACATTAAACAAGTAGCTCTCCAGCTCTGCAGAACCTCACCAACTTTACACTAGGCGAAATTGTATAGGCTGAGTGACAGCTATATATGCAACAAGAAGGTCAAGTTGATTTCCATTCATTCTTGGTCTCAGGGTCAATTCAGGCGTTTCCGCTTGGGTCCTTATCACACCAGCCTCATATCAAAACACCTAAACCCAGTCAACGATGCTAGTAGTTGGACTCTCAGGGATTTACAGGAATTCCCTCAAACCCGTATGCGGGCCAGTTATCCAGGACTTGCCTCTGGAGGTCTTCCGGGTAAGATGCATTGAAAAAAAAAGCTTCAACCCGCGGCAGGTCCAAAGTCTTGAATTCCGTAGGCAACATGCACAATGAGACGACCTTGGCTTGCGGCTTGCGAAGTTCAATGTCGTGGGTGGCGTATGGCACTAGATCATATGTTGAATAGTCACCCACGGGTAGTCGTCGCTGGCTATGGCCGGCACCTGGTCGCTTCAGCTCAGACGACTTCACGCAAGTCACAAGGATCTATATTATCGCCAACCGAAGGTCTTTGGTATAAATCGACCAAGGTTAGAGGAGAAAACAATTTTCCCAACTTGGCGGCAAAATGCCCCGGACCCGGTCTTCGTTTCCGCAAGGTCTTCCGATCAACCTGAATCACATACCTGGTAGCCTGAAACTCGTATGGGCACCAGGCCTTGGCAATTGGTAGGCCTGCTTGCTGCAATAAGTCGAGGGTTTCCAGCGCAGATCGAAAAAGCCCACACGGCATGGGTTTCGTCTCGAGAACGACCTGCGACAGTAATCGGAACGATGGAATTGCTTTGATATGTAATTGCGTTGGCCATTATTACCGGCTGCGGTGCTCCCTTGGCTGGGCAAATAGAACCGTAGTATTCTCCTATGGGCCCTTCAACTTTCGTCTCGCTTGCAGAGATAATTCTTTCAAGAACTACCTCAGACTATGCCGGCACTAAAATGTCATTTGTCTTACACTGTATGACCTCCATAGGAGCTCCTGCGATAACACTGACATAATCAAGCTTGTTCACATATTCCAAGAGTGGCATACCGCTGGCCAGGGCCTAGTAATTTCCCGAGTGTTAGCTTTGGACAAATGACATGGCGCTGCCACAAAATAGAAAAAGAAAGTAGAATAAAAACTTACAGCTGCTTGTGGAACGCCAGGAGGGCAAGCCCAGGGTGTGTCCTTTCCCTGAGCCTTCCACATCGCCCAGATGGGCCCCATGTCCTGATACGTCCATGTGGCCGGTCAATTGCAGGTTACCGACCAACATGGCACGGGTAATAGCCCAGTTTACCCATTCCCCACCTGGAGTTTGAGCACCGTGTAGTTTGTATTTGAGAAAATATTGCCGCCGTCGCTTGGTGATTATGTGGAATCAGGAGCTTCAGAATGTTGATTTCATCGCCGAAAATCTACTAGTGCGTTGTGAACTCGAACAGACGGAGTAGGGTCGCCTCTTTTGAGGCTAGGAGCTTGTGGATGATGTTATGTCTAGTTGGTTCAACGGCGGCCCAATCGACTTCGCGAAACGAGCGTACCCAGTTGGGCCCTTTTTTGGGACATCTACCGGAATACCGAGAATGCGGACGAGGTCTTCTAAACCATATCTACCCTTGGGGTGGTTGATAAGCGACATTGGACTACCCATTTCGTATATACAGCGAGAAATCGCACCATACTCGAGATGAGGATCCACTGCCAGGACAAATTCCACAAGATCTCCCTCCGCCTTACATTCTCCAGGGGACGTGCGTAAAGATAACGCGGCAGAGAGATTTCCTGCAGACATGCTCTAAGTTTTTACCCCTTTTCGTGTAGTTAGTAGAGATAGTATAGCAAAATTTGTTTTCCCTTAAGCCGTGCTGAGCTTTTGGCTGAATATATATCCGTTTTGTGCTTTCATCAACCATGCGGCTTACGGCATGAACTATGATTACGGAGACATAGACACGGTGGAGTTTGCTTAGCCTTTAGATGCCGATCATATTCCCAATATCTGTAGCACTAGTAGTCGTGCATTACCTGAAATCTGTAGGCTATGATCAGTCGATCCGGCAGCCCACCAGACCCCGCAGGCCAATAATATTTCCAAGCCGTAGATCCGATCCATAAATATGATTTCTATAGTTAATGGGAGATACTTTCATTAAGGATCCGATCTATACCGGAGATGCGATTACCAGGCTAAAGACAACAGTCATCATGATTTAAAGTAGGACAAATGGTATTCCTTAGCTACAACAGGGTCACGAAGGTATAGATGGCTATTGTATATGAGAGGAAGCTCTTCTTGACGGCCATCTCTTCCATAACGGCCCTCACAAATCTATATGTTGTCCTATTCTTTCTTTCCGATCGCCCCAAGAACTTCGAGCACACTTCCAATACACATCATCGACCATGCCCGCCAGTCAGCCCCAAGAAGAGAAGCCACGGAAGCAGCTCGCTTGTGGACCACGTTATAACTACGGTAGGTTTCTTATATAAGAAAAGTCATAGGTTACTACTCGCTAAGAAATGAAAAATTGGCAAAACAGTGGTAATGGCACTACGTGGTTCCGACACCTTGGCCCTGACAAGGAAGGGGGTACTATTATAGGCGCCTGGTAACTCTTAAACACGTGGAACACATGACCTTAGTATACTGATGATAGAACTTCTCTTCTCTGGGATTATCGAACAAATTTTGTGGCCTAATCTAGATTTTAAATTAAATCTTGCTTTAGCCTTTCATAGTCACTATTTTGGGGTATCGGAACGCTGTCTTCCGACGGCCCCCGTTAAAAGAGGCTGGCCCCTTATCGTGTGATAACCACAGCGCCTATTCATTGGGTCTCACGGCAAGTTGAAAGAAGAACCCTGTCTAACTTGACTCGACTGCAGAGACACAGGTTAAGCGAACGAATCACGGTCTATTGGGGAAGCGCGCTACGAGACTGAGTGACGCGTCGTGGTCAAGTATTTGGAAATCCATACCAAAGAAAGGGGCATATGACGCGGAACTCGGCTCTGTAACGGAATAATTTAGACACCACCATTTCAAGCCATGATGAGCCACCGACAGCGAAAGCTGTGACACAGTACACGCCTTCAAATTTTGCCACTCCGGTTCCTCCTTCCACAATTCAGCCTCTGACAAGAAATGCTCTGGCGTAGAAGCTTTTGCACTCTGATAGGTCTCAAAGTTGAGTGAGACCTTCCCCCGGTCCTCTATGGGGTTTGCCAGTCTGTCCCTCGAGTAAAAGCAAAATCCTCTGCAGAAACGATCATGCAAAGCCTTCAGTCCCTGATTTGAGATCTGTACATGAATGACTAGATTATTAACGCCACCATCTATTATACTTAGAACCGAGCTCAGCCTTACTGGCGAAATTCAACCATGCGAACCATGTCGCCGTTTGAAAGCGCGAGGCGATCACCGAATCCTTGCCTGCGACTGTTGCGGATCAAGATACATCTCCCACAAGTGCTCGTATCGCTCAACAAAGCAATCAATTGCATTCCTTGCAGTGACTCCGTTGATGGACAAGGTGATCTCGGCCTGCCGAAACCCATCGTGGATGACAACATCAAGCACTAGACGTTTAGTCTTCCTCACCCCATACCTCCCATACATCGAGCATCCGTTTCACTCCCGACTCCTATTCTAGCCTCTATAGATACTTGGCTTCACGAAGATTTCTCGCGTTTAGAATATATCAAAACTATCGGCCTGCTGGTCCGTCGATGCCTACAAGTCTGACAGATAAGTGCAAGAAGAACAAGCACAAGGCCATACTTCCGATACCATCTGAAGGCTTACGTGAGTTGGCGATGGGCACCAAACGTATAAGCCCTTATTTACATCTATTTGCTTGGATATGTATCATAACAGATGACCTGTCGAGAGTACTACGTCGGTAATTAACGGTCCAGACGGACGTAACTTCCCTTGTACTAATGTAGACAAGCAGCATGCCAAGACAGTCGACACTCCACACGACGATTGAGAGGTCCATACCTGTTTCTTGCAAGTGGAGCCAAGGAACCCTTGTTGCGTCCCCTAATGCGGGCGCCGGTGCTCGATAGGCGTTCAACACCGCGCCTGGCGCCGTCGGAGCTTATCTGGGCTTAGGGTAGCCCCAGGCCCCAGTACATTTGCGCGATCTAGTCTATACGCTTAGCTACCCTCAGTCTAGCCGTAAGGCAACATTGTTACTCCAAAGTCATTTATCAGATTTATGCTACTGATTGGTCGGTTTCAACTGCCTATAAATCACCGGTAGGTAGTCAACTAGTACATTAGTGGAGTAAGTGGGACACGGAAATCTGTGGGCCACTGGGCGGAAAAGGGTCGCTATCTAAGATACCTAGGCACAGGTGGGGACATGTTGCCGTCTGTCAGAGCAAAGGCCCTTTCTTTTTATTCTTCCACAAACCTTCCCACGCAGGTGCGCACAGCCACGGAGGCAGTCGATCCATCTGTTGACCCTGCTTCAACCATGCCTGCCAATGCAGAAAACAATGAGAAAGCCTTCCCTTTAGAAAAAGCAGAGACGGTACCTAAGCAGCAAGATCCCGAGCCCGAGCCTAACTCTAGCCTATGGCAAGAAGTCCCTGTTTTCATCGCAATGAGCTTCGGCATCTTCATCCTAGGACTCGTATGTTCTTCCTTTTTCATGGGGCTTACAAGATTTTGCTAACTGCTTTGGATGTGCATTCAGGACAACACGATCGTTGGTACTGCCATACCAACGATAAGTGATGAATTCAACTCTATTACTGACATCGGCTGGTATGGCTCGGCCTACCAATTAACAACCTGTTCAACCCAATTCATGTTCGGCAAATTATACACAATGTTCCGTGTGAAGTGGCTCCTAGTCATTTCGGTTGTCATCCTAGAACTCGGATCCATTGTCTCTGCTGCTGCGCCCAATTCGGCTGCTTTCATTGTTGGCCGTGCAATTGCTGGCTGTGGCGCTTCGGGGGTTCTCAATGGTGTTCTGATGTAAGTCAGCGAACCGTTCATAAAATATAGCCAGCGGGCTGATGATCTAGCGCTGGTTCGACTACATTGCCGTTGCGCTGGAGACCAATCTTCAATAGCACTGTCGGCGGACTGGAGTGTGTTGCCATGGTTGTAGCCCCTGTGATTGGCGGCGCTCTGACAACAGATGTTACTTGGAGGTGGTGGTAAGTACGAATCCATTCTCATCGCTATTGTCGTTTCCTATAAACCGAGTATACCTTTGCTGATGCTCCTTGCTTGCTAGTTTTTGGCTGAACGTCCCAATAGGCGGGTTCACTTTAGCTATACTAATTTTCGTCTTCAAGCAGCCGCCGGATCAAAAGGGTAAGGATGAGTCGTCAATGTCAAAAATCAAGAAGCTTAACATCCCAAGCCTCCTTATCTTTACCGGCAGCATCGTCTGTCTGCTGCTTGCCCTCCAGTGGGGTGGCACAACCTACCCCTGGAACAGTGGGAAAGTAGTCGCGCCTCTGGTTGTCGCAGGCGTTTCATTTGCCGCGTTCCTTGCGTATGAGAGTCTTCGCGAAGGCGAGGCTATGATTCCGCGCTCGGTAATTTTCAATCGGACTGCAGGCTTGTGTATGCTTTATGCGTTTTGTTCTTCTGCTGCGTTTAATATTATTGACTATTACGTGAGTCCCCTGACACAAAGTTCCTCCCATGTGCATCTGACAAGCCCGCTAACCGCCATATCATACTTGTAGCTGCCAATCTGGTTCCAAGCAGTCAAGGGCGCGACGGCCGTTAAATCAGGGGGGATGCTGCTCCCGTCCATCATTGGCCTCTCAGTGGTAGCTATAAGCTCAGGCTTCGTCCTCTCCTTCATCGGATACTACACACCGCTGATGTTATTGGGCTCCACCATGATGGCAATAGGCTTCGGCTTCCTAACAACGTTCAAGCCCTCGACCACCCATGCCGCCTGGATCGGGTGGCAAGTGATGCTAGGCATGGGTACTGGATTGGCATTCCCACAGCCGTGGTCAGCGATCCAGACAGCGCTCCCAGAAAAGGATGTCCCTCTCGGACTGGCAGGCGTAGGATTTGGAATCAGCTTTGCCGCGGCAGTCTCGATCTCGATATGCGAGAATGTGTTTACGAACTTGCTCCGCAGCGGCTTGCAGGCGGCTGCTCTCCCAGGTGTTAATGCTGAGGATGTGATCAAAGACGGCGCGACGGGCTTCTTGCAGCATATCGCGGCGAATGAGAGGAGATTGGTGTTGAAGATATATAACCACGCCGTGACAAGCTGCTTTTGGCTACCAGTCGCGGCCTGCTGCATAGGCTTTGTTGCAGCATCGGGGATGAATTGGAATTCGGTAAAGGAAAAGGGAAAGAAGGCCGACGAGGAGAAAGAGGATGGTGGAAGTAAGAGTGAACCCGTCTCGGAGATGCACATGTAGGGATTTCAGGAATGTTGAGAATGAACGTGGCAGGTTATCATGCCAACCTAAACCACATGCACATGTGTCCATCACTCTAATCTTAATGTAAGGTCCGCCTACTTGACCATCACGCCTGAGTTAGGATTTATAATAATAGCTGTGACTGGGGTCGACTACATGTGTTCCTCCTGACTATCCAACGATCAGTTGCGATATGGGAGAGAAAAGTGTTGAAACAGTGAAAGAACATGATATAGCTTCTTCTAATAGAAAGAAAGGCTAAGACTGACATGTGGACGGGTGTAGTGGGAGAAGTGGTCAGACTTTCAGGACTCGGGATTATTTGGTCGGACTGCAGTCCATATTGCAATGCAAACGTTTAAACACTGATCTGAGCTAGTGAGCCTTCAGGCTAACCAAGATTGCACCTGTCATCATAACCTGGCATAGAATACGGCCGAATTGCTTGAATCAACTAATATCAAGTGCTAATCTCAATCATAAAGAATGAACGTTGGACAACACATGGACTATACATTTGACAGCGATTTTGTATGATTTTCCGCCACAAATCACCGACCTCCGACCTTGGAACTACTCGAGTACTACACATCAACACTTTTGACTCCCACTAGTTCGTTCCTCGCAAAAAAGCCATCACGTCCTCCTCCCAGAAGGGGCACATCTTGTAAAGCCCCAATTTCTCTGGCATCGAATCAATTGCGTCGGCTAGTTCGATGCCGTTGCCCTCGCGCACAATGTCACGCAGACTAGTCATATACAGACGGACACAAAAAACAATAGCCCCGGTCTCCGGAAGCACTTTGAGCGTTTGTCGCTCGTAGCGCACCCAGGACTGGTCAATTTATCCTTTTAGCTTCTTTGGGAAGAGTATGTCCTTTCTCAGGGTAGAAGTTATTGCCGTCCAGACGCCAGAGGCCCTTTCCGTCGCAGGAAGCTATTATTAATTACAATCGCAAGTTGGCATCAGCGACAAATTTGACCAAAACCTCGACCATCGGAACATGCCCGTTTTGAACCGCAAGTTTTATTGAGGTCAGGCCATAAATATCGCGCTCGTATTTCATTTCTGGCAAATCCGCCCATAGCAGATAGAAGATCTTAGGTTCAGTTTAAATTAAGGGTGATAACAGAGAGGCACCGTTTTTTTACCAATCAAAAAGCTCAATTCTTAGCCACATTTGTTTCTCGGTCAGTACTCGAAAAGACACCAATTCATGTTCCAGCACCGCCGGCACTGATACTATTATGACAATCTTTGTTATCACCAGAGTAAGAAATAGCATCTCTGGTATATTAATTATTTTGATACACTACGAAATAGTAGTTTCAAGATCTTTTAGTAATAAATTCGCCCTTTATCGGATTTGAGATAGTCAAAGGAAGGCACCACGAGATCTAGATCAAGAATTTATCGCTTTAACGACTCCTCTACAAGAATAGTTAATTTGCAGCTTCGAAGACGTGTTTTATCACGAGATTTGATGCCACAGAGTCTTTTACGAATCATAGACTCATCAACCTCATAACACGGGCAGCCTTGCATACCGAGGGAATATATTTATTCCGGATAGCATCAATACCGAGGGCGAGTTTGCCCTCTAAATTCAGTTAAATTTGAGCGCGCGTTGGAGGTATGGTGGATGATCGAAGGTAGAAAGAACGTGACGCGTCGGATGGCTGCGGAAGTCACTTTGTGGATCGCGATAGTTTAGGGCCTCGGTAACTCAGGGAAGCCGTCAAGAAAGAGGTCAGAAGAGATAACGAAAAGAACTATGAGAGACGACATGGCGGGTACAACGGCATCATAGCGACGGACCGCGAAGACAGGTCAGAGCTGCACATTCTGCTGTTCTGTTCTTTTTTGTCCGATTATCAGAGTGCGGCAAGCTGAGACAGAACATCCGGATGCAAATCTTAGGCCCCCCACACTGTCAATGAGAAGCTTCGTTATAAGATATGCGTGCGCTTGCCCGAAGTACTATCCTTAATAAGTTCCGTATTTCATCTCTGTACAAGACATAGACTGCAAGATAGACTGGAAATCCAAATGGCCTACAGTAGAGGTTGCGTTATCTGTGCGCTTTCTAAGCTCTCGTAAGTTTTCTCTAAGCATACTTACCTTACCGCTCCGGAGATCGCTACCCGATTCTCCACATGCGCGCAACCAAATGCTGCCCGAATGGCTGCTTTCAGTAAGCCAATTTCAGGTTTATCTTCAGTCGTAACCTTGCATTCGTTGCTGCATACGTAAACGAACACGAATCACACTAGAAACTGGAAACGATGATCCTTGTCGTAACTGGACACCATTAATTGTGCCTGCGCACCGAATTAATACCATTGCTGCTTGGATTTAAGGGGAAAGGCGTTTACCATTTATTACTAACATTTCTTAATGGACTGTGATTCCTCGTCAACTAAACCTGGGCAAGGCCTATGTAGCTGAGCGAGACTATAAATCTGACGCTGGTCGCATCATCGTTTTCGCTCAGACTTTAAGCTTAATTATTTTAGTACTAGCCAGTATATGAGGACAGACGAAAATGGCATTTGCCTACTCTGGAATGTGGGAGATTGGTGTTCCAGGTATCTAAGGTTTTCTGTGCCGTGGTCGGCACCGAGGCTCGGGTTTATCCATTATCTCCGGAAGTCGACCTTCGTAAAGAACACTTCCTTGTTCGCTACAGGAATGTTCCTTGTTCGTCACAGGAATTTTGGAGACGTCAGGAGAATGCTATATAATCTCAGCCACTCCTGTGTCGTATGAAAGCTTAATTTCTTCGCTACTTTCGCTGGACTTGGAAACTTTGAAAAGTTGGCTACTATGCAGCTCTATCTTCTTAATACTGCCATACTCGGGGCGACTATTGCTCTGGCAGCTCCTGGGTCGATTAGTTCCCAATGCTCCGTTGCAATGGATGGCAAATTGCCCTACTCGGTCCCCACTGGCTTCAACTGGACTGGCACAACTCGTCGTTATTATGTTGCTGCTGAAGTTGTTGAGTGGAATTACGCTCCCTCAGGTACAAAATACCATTTTTATCATTTTCTGTTATCCAAATCTTACTAGCAAACATGACAGGATGGGATAACTGGCTTGGTGTGCCAATGAATGAATCTTTCCGTGCACAGGATTGGGGATACATCAAGTCTAGTGCGAGCATGGGGGCGGGTCCTTTTGACAAGGCTCTGTACAGAGCTTATACCGACGATACCTTTACCAAGCAGGCTGAGCAGCCTGACTGGGTCGGGTATCAGGGGCCCATTCTCCGTGCTGAAGTCGGGGATATGATTGAGGTAGTATATACCCGATTCGTTGGGGCTGCAAAAGCTTATATGCTAATCATAAATTCCTAGATCATGTTTGTGAACAAAATGGAGAACTTCTATGCGAGCATTCATTCTATGGGCTTGTTCTATCCAAAGGAATACGAGGGCTCGATTTACTTCAACGGCACGAACCATCCTGCATTGGGTGATGCCGTTCCACCCGGCGGTTGTTTCGTCTACAAGTGGTACGTGTATCTTTCCATTTTTTAAATTATATAAAATAATATGCACGCTGACAAATTACATCCTAGGCTGGTGCCCAAAACCGCCGCCCCAAACCCCGGGTACCAGAGCAAGCTCTTTGCATACCACAGCTATGTGAGCATGTATCAAGACCAGGATGCTGGTCTCAGCGGTCCTGTAATCATTTACCCCACTGGTCAAATGGAGCGGGTCATGGCTAAGAACCGGGAATTTGTCGTATTCTATGGTGACAACCAGGAATCCAACTCCTGGTTAGCCTTGCAGAATGTCCAAAAATATCTCCCGCAAGCCTTGTCACAGGCCGCAAACCTGTCCGATCAGTACCCGTCGCCTTCTTCAAACGCGAACATGTCTATCTGGTACCCACAGCTCATCAATCATCCTAAGACCAATGTGACTACCACTATGGCACCTAATTTCTTCCCGGTAAGTACGGTTCTCCTGTCTATTCCATGTGAAGCTTAGCACGGCTTTGCTGAAACTTGTCTGGTCAGATAAACGGTTATATTTATGCTAACAACCCGGCATTTGAAATGTGCCAATATGATAACGTTATCTGGTACTTGTGGGACATGGGATTTGACACTCATAGCATCCACTGGCACGGCAACAATGTAGTAATGGATAATCATGTTACCAGTGTCGTACCTGTCAACCCTGGCCAGATGACCACTGTCACCATGAATCCCGCCAGTTATGGCTGGTGGTATCTTATTTGTCACTTCAACACCCACCTGGATAAGGGCATGGAAGCTAACTACATAGTCTATCCTAAAAGCGAGTGCCCTTTACCTCCCCTAAAGAAGATCTAAGGGGATTTTTAGGACCTTAGTGCATGATCTACTATAAACTATCAGACCTATCGTTACGTGCTAAGATCAACTTCCTAAGTCTTGTCTTCAGTGGTAAATTCATAAACCGCCTTGGATAGACCCTCTTCTACACTTGAGTATCGCTTACGTCAATACTTACACAATCTGCCCAGCTTTACAACTACCTACGGCTCGGGGGCACCTTTGAGAGAAGGCGCCCGTGGGCTCTAGTTAGATTGAATCTTCTTACTTTTTTGCTACCGTACATATCTCCAACCCTCTACCGCCTTCCGCGCTCCCCTTGCCCAATGGTGGTTGCAGTTTTCACCCCGCTGTGCGGGATTCCGAACCTAGGTTCGGACTTCACACGACCCTCTGTGTCACTCAACAAAGGGGATTCGACAGCGAAACGCTGTCAAAGCCTTGAAAACCATTGATGGGATACTGAATCCTTTTGATCAGGAGTCGGAGGCAATGGTGGCAGCGGAATAGGGCTCCTGGGCCCTCCTTCCTTCCTATCTAGGTTGTATACTCATTATTACGTTTTGCATCTATTATTCGGCTGTTTATCTACAAATTGAACCTACTTTCGTCGGAATCGGGCGTATATTCGTACAGATATTTGAATTTCAAATAGGGGGGGTACTATATCACTCCAAGGAGGTAGCGAGTGGTAGAACCAAGTGACGGTGCTAGTAACTGAAACAAAACGTGCTAAGCACAATGAGCTCATTTAATATATGTGTGCTGAGGAATTGCTAAGATACAAAATGTAAATGAGTGTCGTGGCCGTCGAAGGCCGTTTATCTGTGTAGTGCTCCCTGTCTTCCAATGCTCTCTATCGAACACATCATTCCCACCCGCTCTTGACATCCTTCCTCACTGCTTCTCTCAATGTGTGCTCCTACCCAATAGCAAGAATCCTAAGATCTCGCCACGTGCCCAGTCACTCTTTCGATCACATGGCTGATACTGCATTCTTCATCTATCAGGATTGTCACTAAAGTGGATCGGAATCGATCAAGCAATGATCTCGCCAGCTGGTTAGGGATGCGGTCAGCGGCGAATGCAATACTCAATGAGAGTGAGCCATCTTCTTCCTCAACCGTCTCAAGGGCAAAGTCAATGGATGCGTAGGGTTGCCGCGGACTGACTCCAGTCCGCTTGTAGACGAGCCCACCCAGTGATAGGTTCTCCTTCGACGCCTTCAAATGATTCAACATGGTGGCACGGAAATCTGCTCGCTCGCCTTCCGGCCATTCCATCCAACGCTGAGCAATTGTTTGGAACTCGAGCCCTTCATGCCGCATGCTGTCGACTTGTTGTTTCTTGAGCTGTTCGAGCAGTTTCCCCACTGTCCATTCAAGTTCGTATGCAACACGGCATGGAATAGCCCTGGCACAGCACGCAACGGCGCCTGCTGCCGATGGATGCACGGTGTTTCGCCCCGTGTAGACGTCAGCAAACACCACATCATGACTCGAGGCGTGCAGGCCGAGAACGATACCCCACGCGGCCTTGACAACCAGCGCGACTGGGAAGCTAGGCTGTGCGCTTCTCGGTCCCAGCTCAATTGGCTCGCCGGAGATGAGACCTAGTCTTGAGATCTGGGGCTCGGTTTGTGCACTGATGGATGGAGCGTAGGCTCCACGGAGCAGCTCACGCCAGTAGTCCTCGGTTGCGCGGGTTGTCTGAGCCCGCAGGCTGCGGAAATACGACCCAACAGGAATGAAAGTGCCCGTGGGTTGGCCTGCGAAGAGTTCCTCCAACGTCTTCCACACCCGATGCAAAGTTGCGCCGTCATATAGCGCATGCGAGATACGGAACACGATGCGATGCTGATTCGTAGGGCCTACGACAATAGCGACATCGAACATGGGTCGTGCCAGACAGGGCGTCGCGAACATGTCGTAATCCAGGGAGTCTTGACAGAAGGCGTCAAGATCCATCTCTGTGTGGAAGACACGGACTTCTGGTTGCCATTTGGCATAGACGACCTGTAGGAATTTTTGGCCGCTGGGTCTAGCGAAACCGGTGCGGAGCGACTCAAACTTTGTGACCAGCTGCGTAACCGCCGACGTCACCCCAGAAACATCGCAGGGACCACTCGCGTCGAAAGCAAAATAATTCAGTTGCCGGCGTTCTTGGCCCATGTTCTCTCTGATAATCTGGTCTAGGAAGTCTGTTGTTGGCAGAATATCAAGTATCTCCTGTGGGTCGTTGAGGGATAAGCACTCAAGAACACTGGATCGTTCTGTAGGCGAGACCAGCGAGAAGGGTTGGTAGTCTGCGGTCTCGTTGATGTCCATGCTGGCGCAAGCAGCCATATCAGCAAGGACGGGGTTATTGAAAATGTCGATCACCGAAAGCCTCATGCTGTAGCCCTGGAGCTGCTGGACAAGGGCCATGGCCGTCATAGAGTCGCCACCAAGTCCAAAGAAATTGTCAGTGCGTGACACGAGCATGTTTTCAATTCCAATGCAAGTCGTCCACAACTCGCAAAGCAGCTGTTCCGTGGGACTGATGGGTGCCTGATATAGCCGGGACTGGGACGTGTACTCCGGCCACTTGTCTGATGGTATGGAATCTAGGAGAACGCCAACCGCGCGGCGATCCATCTTGCCGCTGTCGTTAAGCGGGAATCGACTGATAGCAAGGAACGCGGAGGGAACCATGTACCTGGGGAGGGCCTCAAGAAGGGAGGCTTGAAGGGAGTCGAAAGCTTTCTGTTGCTCGCGGTCGGGGATGATTATCGAAGGCACTGCGCGGCGAGAAGCATGCTGGTCGGGGGAAGTTGACTCGATGATGGCGACCAGAGACTCTCCCTTCTTGGAGACGTAGGCGTGTGTTGCATCAGACAGCAGGCGGACGATCTCACTCTCGACCTCGCCAATCTCCACCCGCTGACCGCGGACCTTGATCTGTGTATCGCGACGGCCTATGAAAGTCAGGGAGCCGTCGGTGTTTTGCCGCACCATGTCTCCGGTGCGATACATGCGTCGGGCAGAGCCAAGGTCTAGCTCCTGCACAAATGCCAGGTCCGTTACAAAGACGGCTGCTGTCTTGACGGGGTCGTTTAAGTACCCGCGCGAGAGTAGCGGGCCCTCGATGAGCAGCTCGCCGGGTGCACCAAGGGGTACCAATCGGCCGATATCTTGAGGGTCGGCTACCCAGGCACCTCCTGCGATGGGCTGTCCGACATTTGCTGCAGCCCTAGAGTCCAGTATAGGGGGGGCTGCAATGAAAAACAATCGATGCTTCGGCGGGGCCGTAACCGTTGATTACTGCAGCATTCTTGTTCCACCTGTCCACCACGCCGGAATCGACAGCCTCCCCAATAAGCACCAGCGTCTCCAGTGTGGGCAGCAACTTTGGGTCCAGCAGGCGAGCGACTGTCGGTGTCACATTGGCGTATGTCACTTGGAAATCCCTGGCTGCCTGATTGAGCCTCGAGAGACGATCTTCTTCAGAGAGCGAACAGATACAACCTCCAAAAGCAAGAGTTGCGAAGACGTCGGAAATACTGACGTCGAAGGTGAAGGCGGCAAACTGGAGTGTACGTGTTGAAGGAGAGAAGCCCCAGAGTGGTGCATGTGCGAGAATGCTTGTTACGAGACCACCGTGCTCGAGAACCACGCCCTTAGGCTTCCCGGTACTGCCAGAAGTGAAGATAACCCAGGCTACGTTCCCAGCCCGGACGGAGGTGCAGGGCTCGCCGGGCAATGTCGGAGTTGAAGGGGCCGATTCAAGGAAGTAGTCAACTGCAAGCAGCTGCGTGTGGGCCGATAGTCCTTCCAAACGTTGCTCGTGGTCGCGGTCAACCAGTACGAGCGGCGCGGCAATATCCTGGACGATGTCGGCGATGCGAGCCAACGGGTGCCCGACCCCAAGAGGGACCACAGCACCACCAGCCCGGAGGATGGCTAGCATTGCCACAATTGTCCACTTCGACTTGTTCATACATATGCCGACCTTCGACTCTGGGCCGACACCGCGTCTGGCCAGATGGTGAGCCAGCCGGTGGCTGGCCGTGTCCAGCTCTCTATACGTCAACTCACCGTCCCACGCGCAAACAGCTGGTGCTGTAGGCCGGGCGGCAATTTGCTCCAGCACTAATTCATGGAGGCAGCGCTCAACTCGTGGCGGCATGATTGCATTCCATACAGAGAATTGCGCCTTGTCTTGGGATGGCAGCAGGCTAAGCTGTCGTAGCGGCTGATTCGCGTTCTCACACACAGCCTGGATAGCTTGTACTAAGCCCTGGGCCAGCTTCTTGGCAGCTATATCGGAGAATGCCACTGTTGAGTACTGCAAATCAATTTCAAGCTTGCTCGGAGTTGCGTTGATATTGATATTCAGATCGTACTCCGTTGGATCCTCCCAGGACAACCCTGAAGGATAATAGATGCTTGTTCGGAGCTAGCCAATGGCGTTCGTTTGTATGATAACGTGCTGTTGAAGAGTGGCTGCTCCCTTGTGAAACCAAGCTCATGCTGGATAGAAGCCAACGAGGTCCGCTGATGCTCGAAGGCCTCTATAGATTGGCTTTGTAGCTTACGAGCTATATCTGCTACTGCGGTGTCCCAATCTAGCTGAAGATGGCAGACAAGCATGTTGATCATAGGACCAACCAGGTCTTTTACCCCCGGAATAGGTGCGTCACGGCCGCTGGACAGGTTACCAAAGCTGACATTGTTTGAGCCTGTCCAGGTGGCAAGCACCAGGGCCCACGCTAGCTGGCAGATACTAGCAATTGAGACGCTATAAGTATCCCGGAAATGATGTAGTGTCCGAAAGTCTTCGAATTGTACGAATACCTTCGCAAGCTTCGCCTCTTGTGATTCGATATTGCGCGGGGGCTCCAGCGGCTCCAGGAGACATGGCTGTGCATTGCTCAGCAATGTCTTCCAGAACTGCAGGTCCTCCTGTGGCTGTCTTCTTTCAAGGAATGCAACATACACACTGTAGTTTGAACCACTGGCTGGTACTATACCCTCGTAGGTGCTAATAAGGTCGCGAATCATCAGGGTTAGCGAGGAGGCGTCAACCAACGTATGGCTCACATCAAGACGACAATAGATCTTGCCGGTAGCTGTCTTCACCACTGTCAAACGGTGAGGGGGCGGTGAAGGTCGGACAGGTCGATTGTCGGCCGCGAATCGAGCCATTCAGCTACATACGCATCTTCGATGTTAGCCTCACTAATGATGCTAACGTCTGGCTTCTTGAGGACAACCTGAATAAACCTCTCCTGGCCAGGGAGTGGCTCGAGCAGGATAGTCCGCAAAATAGAGTGCCGTGCAACGACATGACGCCATGCGCTGACGAGCCGCTCTATGCTAACAGGCTTGGCTGAATCAGATGGCTGGATGTGACATATCTGTTGAATGCAGTAGGTTGATGGCGAATGCAACTGGGTAAGCAGAATGCCTTGCTGAATCGGTGAACAGGGGAGAATATCCTCAATCTCAGTGATTGAAGAGAGACCAAGCGAGTTGAGGTATTGTCCCTCAATGACTCTCATATCGTTGTCAGACAGGCAGGCAAGCGGAAAGTCAGTTGCCGTAGCAGTCGGTGCCGCTACCACTAGCTCATTCACCAGGCCCCTCACAGCGCTGCTGTATGCTTGAAGCCACTCCTGGACAGCCTCCTGCTGCTTGATTTGACGGCTGAAGCGGAGGCTGATACACAACTTGTCCGCTTCCACACTGACGGTGACATCAAGCACCGCGAAGGTCTTGACCATGCTACCAACGTCTGAAATCGAATGATCTTCGTCATCAATACGGAACAGTGTATCCTCCCGCTCCGCCTGCTGGAATCTTCCGGTATAATTGAAAAGGATCTCAGCAGGGCCGTGACCCGCAAAATCTTCTTGTCCACGCACGGTCAAGAAACGGCTACCGAAGTAGGGAACGCCACGGCCAGGGATGCGCCTGCGCTGGTCCTTAACCTGTCTCAGAACATCGACAGGACCACTATAGTTACCTTCCGTAGGGATATAAAGTGGTGTCATTGTTGTGAACCAGCCAATAGTGTCAGACAAGTCTGTTTCGTCATCTGCAGCCTCACGACCGTGACCTTCGACGAAGACGGCAGGGACATCACGGTCAGTAAAGACCATGCGGAAAGAGACAAAGAGGGCAGCGAGCAGAATTTCGACTGGCTCAGTATTGAGGGCGTTGTTTGCGGAATGATATAGCAAGGATGTCGTGTGGGAGTCTAACTTTGTCTCGATGCTGGCGAGATTGGCCCAGACATCCTGGCCAGGGGTAAGGCCCCAGTACTCCCAATTGGACAACGGCACTGCCACCGGTAAGGTATCGGACACGAAGACTTCCGCTGGCGTACCAATATCGCTCACAAACTTGCTCAATGACTGGTACTGCCGCTCCAACCACACCGGGAATGATAGGCTGCGCGGGTTGGGCAGTTTGCGGTGCTCCAGAAGTTCTTCGAGGTCTCGAAGGAGAATACGCCAGGATACAAGGTCGATCACAAGATGATGAGCGACCAAGTGAAGGACCTGCTTGTTCGGCAGTTCAATCAGGGCGGCTGCAAACACTGGTCCGTGCTCGAGGTTAAGTGATTCTTGGGACTGCACACCAATATTCCGGCTAGACTTCGCATTAGTGGCGGTATGGTAAGAGAGACGATACGACCCAGCAAGCTCTCTCTCGATAACTTGCTTCCAGCCATGGTCCTGGATGTGCCGGAAGCGAGCACGAAGCATAGCATGCTTCCTAACTGCCTGATCCAATGCCCATGCGAGATCTGCTAGCTCTACCCTTTTGGTGATATGGAGCGACACCCCTTGGTTGAAATGATACTCTCCCTCAGTGCGAAGTCCGTTGGGAGCGATTTGGTCAAAGTACATCCGCTGGATGGGTGAGAGAGCAAAAGGCCCCTCTGGTACGTGAGCTGCATCTTCTGCGTCGTTGCGAGTGTGCGCCTCGGCTGCTAGTTTGGAGATTATTTGGGTCTCGAGAACCTTACGGACTGTGATAAGGATACCACGCGCCCGGCTGGCTGAGACGACCTGCATGGCGGTGATTGAGTCTCCGCCGAGACTGAAGAACTTGGTCGAAGAGGTGATTCTGCGGAGTGGGACACCAAGTACTTCGCTCCAGATCTCCCGCAACGACCGTTCGACGGCTGTGGCTGTTGCCGACAGGTCATAATCTTCTGTCTCCTCGGTTGTGTTCAGGGCAGCAATCTCATCAGACGATAATGCTTGTATCCAGCGAGTAAGTGCCATCCGATCTGTCTTGCCCGAAGCGTTAATCGGAGCAGCCGACAATGGGAGCCAGATGTTTGGCACCATGTAGTGCATGACCTGCCGAGACAAGTCGCTCTGGGCCTTTTGTAGCAGCTTTTGAGCACTCGCCTTCTGGTCTTCAGAAATATATTTGACGGCCGAGTTCTGATGGCGGCTTGCTACCGAGCTCTCACTGAGAATGACAGCCGCGATAAGCTGGCCATTCAAGGGTCCCTGACGCATATAAAGCACCACTGCATCATGGATGCCAGCGTGCTTTCCGATATGGTACTCAATCTCGCCGACCTCTACACGCTGACCGCGGATCTTGATTTGCGCATCAATTCGGCCGAGGTAGGTAAGGGAGCCGTTGGGATTTTGCCGCACCAGATCGCCGGTGCGGTACATCCGCCGGCCAGGAGTCAAGCCAAGTTCCTCCACAAATGCGGGATCTTTGATGAAAGCAGCGGCAGTCTTGGCCGGGTCATTCAGGTAGCCGCGCGCCAACAATGGACCTTCGATCAGAAGCTCGCCAGGCGCGCTGAGAGGAACCAGTTGTCCGATGCTGGACGGGTTCACAACCCAGGTCCCACCAGCAATGGCTGTTCCAATATTGAGAGATAAGGAAGTGTCGGGGATCTTTTGGCATGTCGAGTGAATACAGCATTCAGAAGGCCCATAAGCGTTGATGACATTGGCGTGTCCGATCCATTGGTCGACAACCTTGGCTTGGACAGCTTCACCCATCAGGATCATCGTTCGTACTGATGGCGCGTCTTGCGGGCGAACCAATGCCGCCACGGTTGATGTTAATGTGGCTATTGTCACATTGGCTTCACATAAGTAGGAGGAGAGTCGATCCATGCGATCTCCTTCAGAGGGAAGACAGGTACAGGCCCCAAAAACAAAAGCTGTGATGATCTCCTGGATAGCCGCATCGAATGTAAAAGCTGCAAACTGTAGCAGACGGTCGTGGGACTGGATGTCGAGTCTGCGGCCATGGAAGAAGATGCTTGTCGCAAGGGATCCATGTTGAAGCACAACACCTTTAGGCTTTCCAGTGCTGCCAGAGGTGTAGATGACCCAGGCCACGTCGTCGGGGCGGACGGTTGTGCAAGGCTCAACAGACAACATGCTTTCTGGGAGTGATGGGGGTGCCTTAAAGAAGGAATCCACAACGATGAACTGGGCATGCACTTTCAGTGGTGCTAGGCGTTGTTCATGAGCATGGTCGACCAGAACCAGCGGCGTGGCTGCATCCTGCATGATGCCGTCGATACGAGCTAGCGGCTGTTGAACTCCCAGAGGAACAACAGCACCACCCGCGCGGAGGATGGCCACCATAGCCACAGCTCCTAGCTTTGACTTGTCCATACACAAGCCGACCATTACATTGGGACCAACACCACAGTTGACAAGATGGTATGCTAGGCGACGGCTCGCTTCACCCATCTCGCCGTACGTCATCTCACCATCCCACGCACTGATAGCTAATTTCTCGGGCTGCTCGACAATCTTATTAAGTACAAGATCGTGAACGCAGCGCTCGAGGCGAGCTGGCATAGTCGAATTCCATCTGCAAATCTGCGACACATCGTCTGGAGAGAGCAGGCTAAGCTGACCGAGCAGACTATCTGCGTTGTCGCAGATAGCGTACACAGTTCGCACCATCCTTTGTGCGAGTCTTGTAGCAAGTGTGTATGAGAATACTGATGTAGAGTACTGCAGATCGATTGCGAGCTCGGTTAGCCCTGCGTCAATATTGATGTTCAAATCATACTCCGTCGGGTCCTCCCAGGTCAGTCCTTCAAGGGTGATGGCTGTTTGTCCTGTGTTATCCAGTGGTTGGCGTTTATAGGACAAGGTGGAATTGAACAGTGGTTGATCCCTGGAAAAGCCCAGCTCGTGCTGGATGGACGCCAACGGTGTGCGCTGGTGTTCAAAGGCATTAGTAAAGCAAGTCTGCAACTGGCGAGCCATGTCTGAGACCCTTGCAGACCAATCCAATTGAGTATGGCAAACAAGCATGTTAATCATAGGACCAACAAGCTCCTCCACACCTCGTATCGGCGTATCTCGACCACTTGAAAGATTCCCGAAGCTAATATTCTGAGATCCTATCTGGCTAGCGAGGACCAGTGTCCAGGCCAGCTGACAAATACTGGCGATCGAAACACCATATATGTCCCGGAAGCGGTATAGCGCAGTAAGATTATCGACTTGCGCAAAAACCTTCTCAAGCTTCCTCTCTTCGGAGTTGTGTAGGGGGCCTTGAGTCGGCAAGAGACATGGCTCAGCCTGACTCAGGTATTCCTTCCAGAATTGAAGATCTTCTTCTGGCTGTCTCTCCTCAAGGAATTCAATATATGCGCTATACTGCGAGCCACCGCTAGCCGGCAATTGACCATCGTAGGCAATAATAAGATCTCGGATGATCAGGGCTAGCGACGAGGCATCGACCAGAGCATGGCTTATGTCAAGTCGGCTATAAATCTCACCTGTGGTAGTCCTTAGTAGGGTAAGACGATGGGGAGGGTGCCGAGTATCAGAAACATCAAATATCGGCTGGGAATCAAACCACTCGGCTACAGCTGTATCTGCGACGCCCTCCTCACTGAGAATACTAATACCCGGTTGTCTCAGGACGACCTGCAGAAACCGCTCCTGGCCTGGTAGCGGCTCAAGTAGCACAGTTCTGAGGATGGAGTGCCGCATAGACACCTGACGCCATGCTCCAAGAAGCCGGTCTACGTTGACGGGTTGATTTGTAGGATCAGACGACTTGATGCGGCATGTGTGCTGGATGCAGTAGGTTGATGGCGACTGCAGCTGTGTAAGCAAGATACCTTGCTGGATTGGTGAACAGGGGAGAATTTCTTCAATCTCAGTGATTGAAGAGAGACCAAGCAAGTTGAGATATTGCCCCTCAATCAACAGCATGTCACTGTCAGACAGGCGCGCGAGATGAAATTTCGTTGATGTTCGTGCTGCACTGGTCGACTCTTTGGTAGAAGTTTCCAGACCATTGCCAGAAGGCATTTTTGAAGGGTCTGCAGTTTCGATGCTCTGCACTTGATTTGCTAGCTTGGGAATTGTCTGACTGTCCAAGATGCTGCGGACAGTGACAATAAGGCCGCGGGCCCGACTGGCTGACACTACCTGCATTGCTGTGATAGAATCTCCACCGAGACTGAAGAAGGTAGATGAGTATGTCACTCTTTGCAATGGAATGCCTAACACGTCGCTCCATATCTCCCGCAACAATTGCTCCACGGCTGTAGCCGTTGCCGTTGTATTCTCTTCATCTCCAGTCTCCTTGATACTAGTCGTCAGAGATTCAATTTCCTCCAGGGGTAAAGATGATAGCCAGCGAATGAGCGCGAGTCGATCTGTCTTCCCGGATGCGTTGATCGGCACACCTGCTACTGGAATCCAGGCACTAGGCACCATATAGTGCATGACTTGCCCTGATAGATCATGCTGAGCTTTGCGTAGCAGGACCGGAGCAATACTCTTCTCATGTTCAGAAAGATATTCCACACCTTGTTTCTGATCGTGCCTTGCTACCGAGGTCTCATCCTCACTGATGATGGCAACTGCAACAAGTTGACCAGCAAGAGGTCCCTCTTGCATGAATAGGACAACCGCATCATGGATGCCGTCCTGCTTCCCGATATGGTACTCGATTTCACCAACTTCCACACGCTGGCCACGTACTTTGATTTGAGTATCGCGTCGGCCAAGGTAGGTTAGTGAGCCGTCCATGTTCTGTTGCACTATATCTCCGGTTCGGTACATCCGTCGACCAGGGCTCAAGCCTAGCGCGTCTATGAATGGTGGATCTTGAATAAAGGCAGCAGCAGTCTTGACAGGATCATTTAAGTAGCCTCGCGCTAACTGGGGCCCTTCGATAAGCAGATCACCAGGCGCACCGATAGGAACTGGTTGTAGACTGGCTGAATTGACCACCCAGAATGTTGCAGCAAACGGTTTACCGATATTCAGGGCCTCTGAGCGGTGTCTGATCTTGTTGGCTGTAGTATGTATACAGCATTCGGAAGGCCCATAAGCATTGATAATGTCAGCATAATTGATCCATTGATCAACTACCTTAGATTGAACTGCTTCGCCCATCAAAACCAATGTTCGTATGCTTGGTGTATTCTCTGGCTGGACCAGGCAGGCTACTGTTGATGTTAATGTAGCGATGGTAACCTTAGCCTCTGACAAGAAGGGTGTGAGTCGGTTAACACGGTCTTCCTCTGAGGGAATACAGATGCATGCTCCGAAGATAAGAGTGGTCATAATCTCCTGAATCGCGACATCGAATGTATACGCCGCGAACTGCGAGAGTCGGTCGTAGGGCTGGATACTAAATGCGTGGCCGTGGGCAAGAATACTTGTTATCAATGCCCTATGCTCTAGTACAACGCCCTTGGGTGTGCCCGTGCTGCCGGAGGTATAAATAACCCACGCTATATTTTCTGGTCGGACAGCTATACTAGCCTCGGTAAAATTTATCGCGAGACTTGATAAAACTGTATCAAAGAAGGTATCAACAGCGAGGAGTTGAGTATGTGCCTCTAGCTCCGACAGCCGCTGTTCGTGAGCACAGTCCACCAGTACTATTGGCGCAGCCGTATCTTGCACAATGCTCTTAATGCGAGCTACCGGATGCTGTACGCCGAGAGGGACCACGCCACCGCCGGCACGAAGAATAGCCAGCATAGCTACTACTCCTAACTTCGACTTGTCCATACATACACCGACCATCACCTCTGGGCCGACGTTGTGCTGGAGTAAGTAGTGGGCTAGCTGCCAACTTGCGCGGTTCAGCTCATGATATGTCATTTCCCCATCCCATGCACTAATTGCCATAGCGGACGGCTGCTCAGCTATCCTGTCATTGATTAGGTCATGGATACAGCGGTCAACCCGAGATGGTACCGTTGAGTTCCACTCGCAAAGCTGGGAACTATCCTTTGCAGAGAGCAATTGTAACTGCCCTAGAGACTGCTCGGTCTCTGAATTTTGTGCCAGCTGCTTTATAATATGACAAAACTGGTTGAGCAACCGTTCGGCGTCAATAGAGGAAAGTACTGCTCGGTCGTAGCGTATATCAATCTCAACGTTCGTCCCCTGTCCAATTGTACACTCGACTATCAAGGGATAAACATCGAAGGCGCCCATAGAAGTGTTTTCGCACTCTAGGTCCATGTTGAGCGGCGTTCTTGACTCGCTCTCTGAGGCGGGCTGCACAACAAAAATATGGCCAGGGTCGAATTCAGGCCCAAGCCCAGGAACTATGCGACGAATGTTTTGAAGGCCAGTATGTTCGTATGGGATCATCTCAGTGGAGCGGTTTTGGATATCAGCGAGGAAAGCCTTCACAGACTGTTTCTGGGAGGCTGATATATAGAAGGGGACTGTGGTGACTGTTGGCGCGATAAGATCCGTGATTCCGGCAATTGCTGCCATGCGGCCTGACAGGACTACGTTAACAACTGCTTCATCGAGCCCGGTGTTGATAGCAACAAGCAGGGCCCACGCAGCGCGTAGGATTGTGGGTATAGGCGTTGGTTCTGTTAGAGGGACATGGAGGTGTTGCTGGAGGGTATCTTGTGGGTTGATATTGTTCTGCGAGAACGGGAAGGCTGGATAACGCGCCCAGTTCACGCCTTCCAGCTGCCTTTTCCAGAATGTTGCTGTCTCTTCTTTTGACTGCCGGGCCAGGTAGCCAATAAAACGTGATACAGGCACTGTAACTGGCGGAGCCTTCCCTTCTAACAGTTGGGTGAGCACGTCAATCGTTCTGGCCACGCTCCACCCGTCGTAAACACTGTGATGTGTTGTCCACACAAAGAACTGAGTCGCGCCGTCGTCGCTCGTTACAATGGCTGTACGAGTAAGGGCGCCACCGTATGTAATCGGTGTGGCTTTATCGGTCTTGAGATAGTCGTTAAGTGTTTTCTCTCTCTGCCAGACTGGTTGCGACCGTACTACAACTTGTAGTGCATTAGCTTGTGTTGAGGGGATGATGCGGGTTCGTAAAATAGGCAGGGATTCAACTAGCATCGTCCACGCAGCTTTAAGGCGTTCGACTGAGAGATTGGACTGTAGTCGGAAGATCCGCTGGATAACGTAAGCCTCAGGACGTTGTGCTGTGATCGCCATGAGTCCAGCCTGTAACGGGCTGCAGGGGTAGATGTCTTCGATCTTATCGATAGAAATATTACATTGAGCGGCAACATCCAGCAGCAGTCGGTTCCGAGTGTCCGCATCAGTAGCCTGGGCAAGTTCCGGCCACAGGCTCAGCGGGGCCGGATCTTCGCTCATGGTAAGACCATTCTCAAGACCTTGTTTTCCTTCTAGGGCCGCAGCCATATCAGCCAGACGAGGCCATTGGAAAATGTCGGCCACGGATAGAGGGATGTTTTCTGCTTGTGCGGCTGCTGTCAACTTCATTGCCACTACAGAGTCTCCACCAATGCGGAAGAAGGAGTCATTGACGCCAACCGATTTCGGGTCTACTACCAGGACCGTGGCCCAGAGACTCTGTAGCTTTAGTTCGAGAGAAGTGGTCGGCGCCTCCTTTAAGTCTGTCAAGCAGGAAAAGCTGTACAGTAATTCGCGGGACATCAAATGCATCTGATCTCGCACAGAACGGCGGTCCAGCTTGCCAGACGCATTAATTGGGATCCTCTGGCTGAGTAAGAAGAGCCCCGGGACCATGTATGTCGGCAGGACCTGGCCCAGGTCGTTGTCTAATTTCTTAAGGGCCTGGCGTGTAGCGTCTGTAATCTCTGCAGGATTATACAGCTCTAGTTCTCCGCTGCTAGATGGTCCGGCGTTAGGACATTGAATAACAGCCGCCAATATCAATATGCCATCATAAGGCTCCCCAGCTGGCCTTATCACATCGACCATAGCCTCGTGTGCGTCTGGCAGCAGCTGTATGATTTGACTCTCGATCTCTCTAATCTCGACCCGCTGGCCGCGGATTTTGACTTGCGTATCACGTCGGCCAAGGTAGGTCAGTGACCCATCTGGACTCTGCTGAACTAGATCACCAGTTCGATACATTCGACGACAGGGGCTCAATCCTAACTCCTTCACAAATGCAGGGTCATTGATAAACGCTGTATCTGTCTTAGCAGGATCGTTCAAATAGCCCCGTGCTAATTGCGGTCCTTCAATAAGCAGCTCGCCAGGGGCACCGATTGGAACTAGTTGGGTACTGTGGTTGACAACCCAGAATGCTCCAGCTAGCGGTTTGCCGATATTAAGGGCCTCTGATCGGTGAGAGATCCTGTTTCCTGTGCTATGTATAGAGCATTCAGAGGGCCCGTAAGCATTGATAACGGTTACATATTCAACCCACTGGTCAACCACCTTAGGCTGTACAGCTTCACCCATCAGAATTAGGGCTCGCAAGCTAGGGACATCCTTTGGCTGAACCAAGGCAGCAACAGTAGATGTAAATGTTCCGATACTAACTTTCGCTTCGCATAAGAAAGGTATAAGCCGGTTGACACGATCGTCCTCTGAAGGTACGCAAATACACGCCCCAAAGGCGAGTGTAGTCATAACCTCCTGGATAGCAACGTCGAAGGTATATGCCGCAAACTGAGAGAGACGGTCGTGGGGCTGGAGATCGAATGCACGCCCATGATTGAGTATACTAGTGGCAAGAGCACCATGTTCAAGTATAACACCCTTAGGTATTCCAGTACTACCAGAGGTGTAGATAACCCAAGCCACATTGTTAGGCTGTACAGAGATATAGGAGCCAGCAACCATTCTCAGCGGTGGCGGAACTGTGTCGAAGAAGGAGTCGACTGCAAGTAGCTGTGTAAAGGCAACTAGTGTGTTCAAACGCTGCTTATGCGTACGATCAACTAGCACGATCGGCGCGGCAATCTCGCGGACGATACCCTGTATACGGATCACCGGGTGCTGCACGCCAAGAGGGACGACAGCGCCACCTGCACGGAGGATGGCTAGCATAGCAACGACTGCTAACCTCGATTTGTTCATACACAGGCCGACCATCACTTCGGGGCCTACAGAGTACTCGGCAGCCAGATAATGAGCAAGCCGACCGCTGGCTTCTTCCAATTCGCCATATGTCATCTCGCCGTCCCACGCGCTGACGGCTATTCTCTCTGGTTGACTGGTCATCACCTGTAACACTAGGTCATGGATACAGCGCTCAACCCGTGGCGGAACGGACGAGTTCCACTTGGACAACTGTACACTGTCCTCCCAGGATAGCAACTGTAGCTGTCCGAGTAGCTGCCCAGTCTCAATGTTTTCGGATAGCTGCTGCACAATGTGACTGAATTGGGAGAGGAGACGCTGCGCAGATTGAACAGGAACAATATCGCGATCATATCGTAGCTCAACTGTAACGTCGCTAGCACCTGCTTCGACATTACCCACCGTGCATTCGACTGTCAGGGGATAAGCATCGAAATCGTCCATCGAAGTATCTTCGGCAACAATATCCAGACCCATACCGAACATTGGCGTCCCTGACTCACTCTCTCCGGCTGGTTGAACGACAAAGATGTGGCCGGGGTCAAATTCCGGCCCAAGCCCAACCAGGCGACGGATGTTCTGAAGACCAGTATGTTCATACGGAATCATCTCCGTTGCACGGTTTTGTATGTCAGCCAGAAACTCTTTCACGGACTGGTCTTGTGAGGCTGATGCGTAGAAAGGGACTGAAGTGACAGTGGGTGCGATGAGATCTGTGATCCCATCAATGGCAGCCATACGCCCTGAGAGCACTACATTGATGACTGCCTCGCCAAGTCCAGTATTTATAGCGACCAGCAGGGCCCATGCACCACGAAGAATTATAGGAAGTCTGACAGCGTCTGACTTCAGAGACACTTGGAAATGTTGCTGAAGTTTATCGCTCGGGTTGATAATAGGCTGCAGGGATGGCAGAGCTGGATAACGAGCCCAGCTAGCGTCTTTGAGGTGATTTCGCCAGAATGATGCAGTGTTCTCCTCGTTTTGTAGGTCCAGATAGGCAACAAATCGGGAGATCGGGATTGGGGCTGGCGGAGCTTCGCCTTGTAATAGCCGGGCCAGCAATTCCATCATTTTAGCCACACTCCAGCCGTCGTAGACACTATGGTGCGTTGTCCATACAAAGTAGCGGTCAACCCCATTGTCAATAATTCCAGTCCGACTGAGGCTGCCGCCATAGGTCATTGGGATGGCTCGGTCCATTGCGATATACTTGTGGAGAGACGTCCCATGGTGCCAAACGGGCTCCTTCTTCAAAACCACCTGGAGCGCATCACAAATGACAGAGGGGACGATGTGTGTTCGTAATATAGGAAGGCTTTTGGTCAATTGTGTCCAGGCATCCTTAAGCTGTCGAATGAGAGAGACTAGCCTGTAGTTGGAAGACGCGTTGGGCGACATATGCCTTGGGACGTTGTGCAGTGATCGCCATAAGACCAGCCTGTAGGGGACTGCAAGGGTAAATATCCTCGATTAGGTCGGTTGCAATGGTGCATTGTGTCGCAACAGTTGCCAACATTTGTTCTTGCGCCTTATCTGTGTCGGAGTCAACCTGGGCTAATTCAGGCCATAGACTGAACGGGGCTGGATCTTTGTTCGCGAGGCCAAAGTCCTTGTGCTTATTTAGCAAAGCCTCCGCCAGATCTACTAGACGGGGCGCACGGAGTATCTCAGCCACAGAGAGGGGGATTTGCTCAGCCCGGGCCATCGCTGTCAGCTTCATAGCTAAGACGGAATCACCACCAAGTCGGAAGAAAGAGTCGTTGATGCCCACTGCATCGGGAGGAAGGGATAAGACTGTAGTCCATAGCTTGTGCAGTCTATGCTCCATAGGGGTTGTTGGAGGTTGCTTTGCGATTATTGAATAAGAATAGCAACTCAGCAACTGGCGGGACATTTGGCGGAGCTCTTCCCGCACGAGTTGGCGGTCCAGCTTTCCAGAATTGTTCACTGGGATCTTTGGAGTAAGGAGGTACACTGTGGGTATCATGTAGGCCGGTAGCATCTGGCCGAGTTCGATGTCCAACCGCTGGAGGCTATTGCGAGTGGCATCGGTAATCTGTGAATAATCGAACAAACCTAGCGGTCCATTGCTAGATGATCCAGCCCCAGGATATTCGATAACAGCTACTAGCATCAGAACTCCATCGTAGGCTTCACCAGCCGGTCGCACCACATCAACAATAGCTTCGGTTGTATTTGGAAGCCGATACACAATCTGACTTTCAATTTCACCAATCTCAACACGTTGGCCACGAATCTTAACCTGTGTGTCGCGGCGACCGATATATACAATAGAGCCATCTGCATTCTGCTGCACCATATCACCAGTCCGATACATCCGTCGGCCAGTTAGACCAAAATGTTGTGTAAAGGCTGGGTCATGGATAAAGGCAGTAGCGGTCTTGACAGGGTCATTCAAATAACCACGTGCTAACTGGGGCCCTTCAATTAGTAGCTCGCCGGGTGCACCGATTGGAACCAATTGTCCAACATTAGCTGGGTTGACGATCCAGAAAAGACTTGCAAGTGGCTTCCCTATATTTGATGCCTCGGATCTTCTCTGGATTGGGTTTGCTGTAGTATGTATACAACACTCAGATGGTCCGTAGGCATTGATAATAGTCGTATATTTGGCCCACTGGTCAATCACCTTGGGCTGAACCGCTTCACCCATCAATACCAGAGTCCGTATGCTTGGGGTGCTTTCCGGCTGGACTAGAGAAGCTACTGTTGATGTCAAAGTAGCAATAGAAACCTCAGCTTCTGAAAGGAAGGATGTAAGTCGGTCAACACGGTCTTTTTCTGAAGGAACACAGATGCAGGCTCCAAAAGATAGACTTGTTATAATCTCCTGGATAGCAACATCAAAAGTATGGGCTGCGAACTGGGAGAGCCGGTCATAGCGTTGTATATTAAAAGCACGCCCGTGTGCAACAATGCTAGTTGCAAGGGCGCCATGTTCAAGAACAACACCCTTAGGCGTTCCAGTGCTACCAGAGGTGTAGATAATCCATGCAGTGTTCTCAGGCCCTATAGATAGGCAGGGCTCAACAGAAGGTGTTGGGGTTGCTTGGGCTGTATTGAAGAAAGAGTCAACCGTAAGCAGCTGTGTATGCTCTGTAAGCATAGCTAGCCGTTGTTCTTGACCCTGGTCAACTAGTATTAGCTGCATGGCAGTGTCTTTAACAATACCTTCAATACGCGCTAGGGGATGTTGCACACCAATAGGCACAACAGCGCCACCAGCGCGGAGGATAGCCAACATAGCTACCACCGCCCACTTCGATTTATCCATACACAGGCCGACCATCACCTCTGGCCCGACATCTCGCTCTACCAGGTCATAACCTAGCTGACGGCTAGCATCATCTAGCTCCTTAAAAGTCAATTCTCCATCCCACGCGCTGATAGCTATTGCAGAGGGCTGTTCCACCATCTTGTCTAGCACCATTGCATGAATGCAACGCTCTACCCTTAAGGGCACTGATGAGTTCCAGCTGCTCAACTGCTCGTTATCATCCCTTGATAGAAGTTGCATCTGCCCTAGCGGCTGGTCTTTGTGTGCATTTCGTGCTAGTTGCTGGACAATATGGTCGAACTGTGCGAGCAGGCGATATGCGACGTCAACTGGGAGGACTTCGCGGTCATAGCGTAGTTCAACTTTTACCGTATTTGTCTCTGCCACCATTGTACACTCCACTGTAAGTGCGTATGCGTCAAAGGCTTCAGCGAAGCTTTCTGTATGCTCTGCCTGCAAAAAAGTCATCGGTAAGGCTGAGTCGCCCTCCTCGGCAGGCTGAACAACAAAACTATGACCTGGGTCAAATTCCGGTCCCAGGCTGGAGACCATGCGGCGAATATTCTGCAAACCAGTGTGTTCAAATTGGATCATCTCTGTTGCTCGTCTATGTATCTCGTTCAGGAAACTCTGTATAGACTGCGATGGCGAGGCAGAAACACGGAAAGGAACTGAAGTGACTGTTGGTGCGATCAGATCAGTGATGCCCTCAACAGCCGCCATACGGCCGGATAGAACAACACTGATCACTGATTCCTCGGAACCAGTGTTGACAGCTACTAGTAGCCCCCACGCGGCTCGTAGTAGTGTCGATGTTGTGCCAACACTGGGAGTATTTGGGATTTCAAGTTGTCGCTGAATCACATCTCTTGGGTTGACCACATAGTGCGGCGAGGGCAAGGCGGGATATTGAGCCCAATTGGTACCTTCAAGCTCTCGCTGCCAGAATGCGGCTGCCTTTTCCTTGTCCAGCCGGGCCAAGTATGAGATAAATCGTGAGACAGAGACAGACACTAAAGAAACCTCGTCTCTTAGCAGCTGTGTCGCGAGTTTCGATATTTCGACCAAACTCCATCCATCGAAAACACTGTGATGGGCGGTCCAGACAAAGTACCGACAATCTCCATCTGCCAATATTATTGCACGACTGAGTGCACTGCCGTATGTTAAAGGCATAGCTTTGTCGGCTTCCAGATACTCCTGGAGTGACATCCTGTCCTGCCAGGTCACCTGCTCTCTAATCACGATCTGTAGTGCGTCGGAGTATGCAGAAGGGATGATGCGGGTTCGCAATATAGGCAGGAGCTCCACCAAACTCTCCCAGACTGCCTTCAGCTTCTGGATAGACAGGTCGGCGTCTAAGCGGAACACACGCCGGATTACGTAGGCACCGGGACGTTGGGCGGTAATCGCCATTAATCCGGCCTGCAACGGGCTGCATGGATATATATCTTCAATATCATCAACAGATACACCACAGTACACAGCAACGTCGCTTAACAGCTGTACTCGCTCGGCGTCAGAGTTATCAGCATGAGTAAGTTCCGGCCAGAGACTGAATGGGGCTGGATCTGTATGCACCAAAGGGGTTGTCCGCGACTTGTTTCTGTTCTATATTGGCTGCCATGTCTACCAGATGGGGCCATTGGAAGATATCAGCGACAGTTAGAGGGATCTTCTGGGCTCGGGCGGCCGCTACTAGCTTCATAGCCACAACTGAATCTCCACCAAGGCGGAAGAAAGAGTCATGGATGCCTATAGCCTTAGGCGAAAGCATCAAAGCCGAGGCCCAGACGGTCTGCAGCCTCTTTTCCATGGCAGTGCTCGGCGCCTGTTTTAAGCCTGCCGAACAGGATAGGCCGCTCAGTGACTCACGGGATATCGCACACAGCTGGTCCCGCACAGCACGGCGGTCTAGCTTTCCAGATGCGTTGATCGGGATACTCTGAGCCAGTATAAAAACCGCGGGGACCATATAAGAGGGCAAGACGTGTCCAAGCTCGGCCTCTAGCTTTTTAATGTCCTTGCGCACGGATTCAATAATCTGTGTGCCGTTGTAGAGCTTCAAGGGTCCTGAGCTGCTCGGCGCAGGCCCTGCATTAGCATATTCAATGACCGTGACAAGTATAGGGAGTGCACCGGGCGTATCATCGGCGGGGTGCACCATATCTACCATTGCCTCATGCCCACGCGGCAGCAGACGACTAATCTGATTCTCTATTTCGCCGATTTCCACGCGCTGGCCACGGATCTTCACCTGCGTGTCCATGCGGCCGATATACGTAAGGGAGCTGTCTGCATTCTGCTGCACCATATCCCCGGTGCAATACATACGACGGCCGGGGCTGAGACCCAGCTCCTGCACGAAAGCCGGATCTGTGATAAAAGCGGCGGCGGTCTTCTCGGCGTCATTCAGGTAACCGCGTGCTAGCAATGGACCTTCAATCAGGAGCTCGCCTCGCACACCAACAGGGCAGAGGCGGTCATGATTCCCAGGATATACAACCCAGAAGGCGCCTGCGAGCGGCTTGCCCACATTTGCTGTATCCTTGTGTTCATTCATAACCTGGGCCGCACACACGATGGAGCATTCCGACGGACCATATGAATTGATAAGTTGGACCCTGCTACTCCATTTATCGACCAATTGCGGCTCCATCGCCTCACCCCCCAGAGCAAGCTTTGTGAGGGACGGCACCTGCTCCGGGGTCAACAGCTTGAGGGTTGTCGGCGTCAACTCCGCGTAATTGGCTTGGGTTCGTTGGAAGCAGCCGGCTAAATCATTCATACGGTCTTCTTCAGACATGATACACACGCAAGCACCGCTGGCGAGTGTGCAGAAGATGTCGGTAATACACACATCAAAGGTAAACGCCGCAAATTGAAGCGTCCGAGATTCCATCGTCAGATCGAGGAATCGAGTGTTGGCCAAAACCGACGTAGTGAGGGCACCGTGTTCAAGGACCACGCCCTTGGGCTGGCCAGAACTTCCAGAGGTGTATAGGACCCAGGCCATGTTATCGGCTGTCACGGTGTCGCACGAGTCATACATCGTGGTAGGGAGTATTTTATCGAGGGCGGCATCGACAGCGATGGTAAGGGCACTGTTGAGGCGATGCGACTTTGCTGCAACGGGTCGACAAGAATCAGGGGCATAGACGTATCCTTGACGATTCGTTCGATGCGCGCCAGAGGATATTGTACACCTAGAGGGACGACCGCGCCACCTGCGCGCAGGATGGCTAACATAGCCACCAACGCCCACTTGGATTTGTCCATACACAGGCCGACCATCACCTCCGTGACCACGCCTTGAGCGACCAAGTAGGAGGCCAACCGACGGCTGGAATCGTCCAACTCACTGTAGGTCATTTCTCCGTCCCAAGCGTCGATAGCCACCGCGGAAGCCCGGTTAAGCACATTCTCACGTACAAGGTCATGGAGACAGCGCTCGTTGCGGGGGGTTACAGCAGAGTTCCACTGTCTTAGGCGCGTCCGGTCTTCCTCCGCTAGAAGGTCGAGAGCCCCAAGCGGCAGCTCCATGTCCACATACCGTGTGAGCTGCTCAGCAATGTGGCCGAATTGAGTAAGCAGACACTGCGCAGTCAAGACCGGGACGACTTCGCGGTCGAAGGATAGCTCAACTTTCACCTCGCCTGTCTCGACCACATTGCACTCGATATTGAGCGCGTAGGCGTCAAACGCGTCCATAGAAACAGCCTTATCATCCATATCCATACCTATATCTACCATCGGTCTTGCTGATTCGCTTTCCCCGACTGGCTGAACAAGGAAGATGTGGCCGGGGTCAAATTCGGGCCCAACTTCAGGGACCATCCGCCGAATGTTCTGAAGACCGGTGTGCTCATATGGGATCATCTCGGTGGCCTGCTCCTGGACCCTAGCAAGGAAACCGCGTACAGTCTGTTCCCTCCCAGCGGATACACAGAAAGGTACTGAGGTGATAGTCGGAGCTACAAGGTCTGTGATACCAGTAACAGCCACCATCCGACCAGAGAGCACAACATTAATGACTGCTTCCTCACTACCGGTATTAGCGGCAACCAAGAGACCCCAGGTAGCTCGTAATATGGTGGAGATTGTCACAGTCCCCGGTTTTAGAGAGATGTGCAGTTGAGAGCTTAGCTGATCACAAGGATTGACTTTGTACTGTACGGACGGTAAAGCGGGATATGATGTCCAGCTTACCCCTTGAAGGTGTCGCTTCCAAAATGAAGCCTTCTCTTCCTCCTTCTGACGAGCCAGGTAGGCGATGAACCGTGAAACTGGTACCGGGGCAGATGGCAGCGCTTCACCCCTCAGAAGATGTCCAAGTATCTCTATCATCTTCGACTTACTCCATCCATCGTAGATACTGTGATGAGACGTCCAAACAAAGGTTCGAGTTTCGTTGTCTTCACTCTCTATAATGGCCGTACGACTAAGCTCGCCACCGTACGTGATAGCCTTGGCACTATCCATCACAAGATAGTCCTCAAGTGATGCCCCATGATGCCAGACAGACTGCTCCTGTGTAACAACCTGTAGCGCGTCGGTCTGGATAGAGGGAACAATCCGTGTCCGCAGGATAGGCAGGGCCTTGACCATCTGGTTCCAGGCAGCTTTGAGTCGCTCTGTTGAGAGGCTATCATGTAGGTGGAACACACGCTGGATTACATAGGCTTTGGGATGCTGGGCTGTAATTGCCATTAATCCAGCCTGTAATGGGCTGCACGGATAGACGTCCTCGATTTGCTCAGGAGCAATCCCACTCTGCGCGGCAATATCTGCTAACAAGCGGTAGCGTTCAGCATTAGTACCGTTAGTCTGGGCAAGCTCAGGCCAGAGACTGAACGGCAGTGGGTCTTCTTCCATGATATCATTGGTTTCATAAAGCTCTTCTAAAGCTGCTGCCATATCTTCAAGACGAGGCAGGCGGAATATATCGGCCACGGAGAGAGGCAGATCTTTTGCACGGGCCGCGGCTGCCAGCTTCATAGCCATCACCGAGTCGCCACCAAGACGGAAGAAGGAGTCGTTGGTACTTATAGTATCAGGTGGAAGCGACAAAGTTGCGGCCCAGAGACTCTGAAGTCGTTCTTCCATGGAGGTCTTAGGAGCCTGTTTCATAAGATTCAAGCAGGAATAGCCAGTGAGTATCTCATGGGACATCATACGAATCTTGTCTTGCACTAGACGTCGGTCCAATTTGCCAGACAGATTGATCGGGATGTTCGGTGTAAGAAGGAATATAGAAGGGACCATATACGATGGTAGGACCAGCATGAGATCTGCGTACAGTTTCTCAAAGGTCTTTCGTGTATCTTCGGTTATCCTTGCAGGATTGTATAGATCTAGGCCTCCGAAGCTACTCAGGGTAGACCTAGTCTTGGCATACTCGACAATAGCCACCAATATCAAGATATCGTCATTAGCCGCACCAGCAGGCTTAATCACATCGACAACAATTTTGCCCGCTTCTGGTAGCAAAGACAAGATCTGGCTCTCGATCTCGCCAAGTTCAACTCGTTGACCGCGAATCTTGACTTGGGTATCACGTCGTCCGATGTAGGTCAGGGAGCCATCGGCATTCTGCTGGACCAAGTCACCAGTACGATACATCCGCCGGCCAGACCCTAGGCCTAACTGGGCGGTAAAGGCTGGATCCTTGATGAAGGCAGCAGCAGTCTTGAGAGGGTTGTTTAGATAGCAGCGTGCTAATTGCGGCCCTTCAATAAGCAACTCTCCAGGCGCGCCGATCGGGACAAGTTGTTCAATATTAGCCGGGTTGACTACCCAAAAGACGCTTGCGAGTGCTTTTCCAATATTAAGGCTTTCTGATCTGTGCTGGATTCTGTTTCCTGTAGTATGGATACAGGACTCCGAGGGCCCATAAGCGTTGATAATTGTTGCATGTTGAGCCCACTGGTCAACAACCTTAGGCTGTACAGCCTCACCCATTAGAACTAGCGCTCGCACACTAGGAACATCGGTTGGTTGAACCAAAGCTGCAACAGTTGAGGTAAATGTCACAATACTGACATTAGCTTTAGAGAGAAAAGAATGTAAGCTGGTTAACACGGTCATCTTCCGAAGGAATACAGATACACGCCCCAAAAACAAGAGTAGTCATGACCTCTTGGATCGCAACATCAAAAGTATAGGCTGCGAATTGTGAAAGCCGGTCATACGGTTGGATATCAAAAGCGCGTCCATGGGCGAGAATGCTAGTAGCAAGGGCGCTATGTTCGAGGACAACACCCTTGGGTGTTCCAGTACTGCCAGAGGTATAGATAACCCATGCCATATTTTCTGGTTGTGTGGCTGTAAGAGGCTTGGTAGATCTTGTTAATAAAGCTCTGCTGAAGAAAGTGTCAACAGCAAGTAATTGTGTATAGGTCACCAGCTCCGATAACCGCTGCTCGTGAGCACAGTCAACCAGCACAATTGGCGTAGCTGTATCTTTCACAATATCTCTAGTACGGGATACCGGATATTGTACACCAAGAGACACCACAGCGCCACCAGCACGGAGGATAGCCAGCATTGCTACTACTCCAAACTTTGACTTGTCCATACACAAGCCGACTATTACTTCCGGACCGACACCTTGGTCGACCAAGTGGTATGCCAGCTGCCGGCTCATCTCATCCAGTTCACCGTAAGTCAAGTCACCATCCCAAGCGCTGACGGCCTGAGCCTCTGGCTGGGAGTCTATCTGCTCTTGCACCAGTTGATGAATACAGCAATCAATTCCAGCTGGTACGCTTGAGTTCCATTGAGACAGCTGCGCTGCATCCTCTGTGGAGAGTACTTGTATTTGTCCAAGCAATTGCCCACCTTCAGTGTCCTTTGCTAACTGCTGCACAATATGGACAAACTGGGCAAGCACACGCTGCGCATCATCAACAGGGAGGACTTTGCGGTCGTACCGTACCTCAACCCTGACTCTGCTGCTTCCTTGACTGACTGTACATTCGACATTGAGTGGATGGGCGTAAAACGCGTCCGCGGTAGTCAGCTCTCTCTTGAAAAACATGTCTAATCTTGGCGACAACTCGCTCTCTTCAGCCAGCTGCACAACGAACATATGGCCAGCGTCAAAGTCTGGACCAAGACTAGAAACAATACGTCGGATGTTCTGAAGACCCGTATGCTCGAATGGGATCATCTGTATGCTTTGTTCCTGCATAGTAGCAAGGAATTCACGTACAGTCTGTTCCTTCCAGGTGGATGCACGGAAAGGCACCGAGGTGATGGTCGGAGCCACAATATCTGTGATGCCATCAATCTGGGCCATGCGACCAGAGAGCACTATATTAATAATAGCTTCGTCAGCCCCAATGTGGGCCGCGACGAGGAGAGCCCAGGCAGCACGCAGCAGTGTCGGGACGGTTACAGCACCTGCCGTCCGTGGAATGCTGATCTCTTGGTTAAGCAGGTCGTGAGGCTCAGCCTTATAGTTTAGGAATGGCAAGGGCGGGTAGGAAACCCAGTTGGCGCCTTCCAGATGGTCCTTCCAGAATTTTGCTGTCTGTTGCTTATCCTGCTGGGCTAAATACCCAATAAAGCGCGACACAGGCACTGGGGCTGGGACCACTTCACCCTGCAACAGCTGCACAAGCATTTTCATCATCTTGCCCATGCTCCAGCCATCGTAGATGCTGTGGTGGGTCGTCCACACGAAATATCGATTTGTCCGATCCTCGCTCTCAACAATAGCCATACGGCTCAAAACACCGCCATAAGTGATTGGAGTGGATTTATCAGCGGCAAGATAATCATCCAGTGACGTTGAATGCTGCCAAGTCGGCTGCTGGTCGCGAACTACCACTTGTAATGCATCAGCTTGTGCTGAGGGGACGATACGCGTGCGTAAAACAGGCAGGGCTTCCACTAGTCTCGCGCATGCTGCCTTTAGCCGGTCAATAGACAGATCGGCCTCTAGGCTAAACACCCGTTGCAGAATGTAGGCCTGAGAATGCTGTGTGGTGATTGCGATTAGTCCGGCCTGTAGCGGACTGCAGGGATAGATGTCTTCGATCTGGCTAGTGGCTATGCCGCACTGTATAGCAATATCTGCCAGCAGCCGCTCCTGGTCTTTATTCGAGGCACCAGCTTGGGCGAGCTCTGGCCATAAGCTCAGGGGTGCCGGATCTTTAAGTGTGGAGCCATTTATTTCTTGATCATTTGTAAGGACGGATTTTCCTTCCATAGCGGCTGCCATATCCACCAAATACGGTCGTTGAAAGATATCAGCCACAGATAAAGGAAGCTTCTCCGCGCGGGCCGCTGTCGTTAGTTTCATAGCTACCACTGAGTCTCCGCCAAGACGAAAGAAAGAATCGTTGATTCCGACTTGGTCGGGAGAGAGTGATAAAACCGTAGCAAACAAGCTCTGTAATTGAGATTCGATAGCGGTTGTCGGTGCCTGCTTTGTGATGGTCGAATAGAAGAAGCTGCTAAATGAATCGCGGGACATCAAGCGCAACTGGTCTTTCACAGTGCGGCGGTCCAGCTTGCCCGATGTATTTACCGGAAGAGTTGGGGCAAGCAAGAATGCTGTCGGCACCATGTATGCAGGTAGAACCTGCCCGAGCTTGGTATCTAATACCTTGATAGCCTCGCGCGTGGTATCAGTGATTGTCGCGGGATCGTAGAGTTCTAGATCGCCTGTACTACCAGACAATCCAGCTCCAGGATATTCGACCACGGCCACTAACATTAGTACTCCATCATCCGGCTCATCTGCTGGCCGGATAATATCGACAATGGCTTCGCGTACATCAGAGAGAATACGTACAATCTGGCTCTCGATCTCTCCAATTTCAACCCGCTGGCCCCGGATCTTGACCTGTGTGTCGCGACGACCGAGGTATGTCACCGAGCCGTCAGGATGTTGTTGTACCATATCACCAGTGCGGTACATCCGCCGGCCAGGGCATAGACCTAGCGCCTTTTCAAACGCAGGATCCGTCACAAATGCGGCTGCTGTCTTCGCCGGGTCGTTAAGATATCCCCGCGCCAGCAGCGGACCATCGAGTAAGAGTTCGCCTGGCACACCGACTGGAACCAGTTCCGCGATGTTGGCTGGGTTTACCACCCACAATGCGCCGGCAAGCGGTGTACCTATATTGTTAGCTTCTGAACTGTCACGAACTTGCTTAACTGTTGTCCATATGGAGTTCTCTGACGGGCCGTAGGCATTAATGATAGTAGCGTGTTGTATCCACTGATCAACCACCTTTGGTAGGAGGGCCTCGCCTGTTAAAATAAGTGTTCGGATTGCCGGCGTGTCCTCCGGCTGGACCAGTGCTGCTATGGTTGAGGTCAACGTAGCCACAGTGACATTGGCATCAGATAGGAAGGCCGTGAGACGACTGATGCGATCGTGTTCAGACGGCACACAGATACATGCGCCGATTGAGAGAGGTGTCATGATTTCTGCAATAGAAACATCGAACGTATACGCTGCGAACTGCGAGAGGCGGTCGTGCGCCTGTATACCAATCGCCGGTCCGTGGGCAAGGATGCTGGTTGCGACAGCACCGTGCTCAAGCACAACACCTTTGGGTTTCCCAGTGCTACCGGAGGTGTAGATCACCCAGGCTGCGTTGTTTGGCTCTACAGATAGGCATGGCTCGGTGGCAGGTGTCGGGGTCGCTGGGGCGATATCGAAAAAGGAGTCAATCGCGAGCAGCCGCAGATTTGCCAGTGCTGTTAGCCGTCGCTTGTGAGTGCGATCGACCAGGATGATCGGCGCGGAGGTGTCCGTCGCAATATGCTCCAGACGCGCCAGCGGATGCTGTACCCCAAGAGGCACCACAGCGCCACCGGCGCGGAGGATCGCCAGCATTGCTACTACTCCGAACTTCGACTTGTTCATGCACATGCCCACCATCACCTCCGGACCAACGCCTTGCTCAACCAAGTGGTAGGCCAGTCGCCGGCTCATCTCATCTAGCTCACCGTAGGTCAGCTCACCGTCCCAAGCGCTGACGGCCTGAGCCTTTGGCTGGGCAGTCAACTTGTCCCGGACAATCTCGTGGACACAGCGTTCCACACGTGGTGGCATGGCCGAGTTCCACCTCGAGATTGCAAGGCCGTCTTCGATGCTGTGGCTTGGGAAATCGCGAATGGACATGCTGCTGGCGCCGTCTAGCAAAAAGGCAACTGCGTCCTGGAACGCCGTCATCTGTGCCTTGGCAACCGGCCAGGCGACCCTGGAGGCCCAGTACTCAAGACTCAAGTCGATTTGATCGTCACTGAATCTGACGTTGGCGGAAAGATCATACTATTACGTCGTCAGTACCGTCAGTATTTACTCAGCAGGTGTAGAGCTCCTCACATCGGTGGCGCTTGTTCTCGCGTCTAGGGTCATGGAGACCCCTTCTGTGAATACATGTGTGTTCGTCGGCCCGCGCTCAATTGAGAGCAGTGTGTTCCCGAGGTGCTTCAGGGACCGCGTCTTTGCGACAGCCAGATCGGCTATGGGGATGTTCTGGAAAGGTAGGCCGTCTTGCCAGTCTCGTCTCGCTGCAAACAATGCATCCGCCACGCTAGTCTCCGGGTTCAATGTGACAGAGTATGGTAATGTGTTAATGAATGGCCCGACCGTCCCTTCGGCGCCTTTGAGATCGCAATTACGCCCGGAAACTATGTGTGAGAATGTGATGGCATCGGATAGGATGATGCGTCTAATCGCCAGCGCCCACGCGATCTGGAAGAGGTTGGCGGGAGTAATCATCATCTGACTGCAGACCGCGCGCAGTTTGCTGCCTGGAAGTGTTATTGAACAGTGGGTTGTCTTCAGGTGCAGCAATTGAGGAGTGCTGGCGATCACAGGTAGATGAGACTCGCTAGCATTATTAAGGTAGGTTGTCCAGTACTCAGCCCCTGTAGACGCAACCCCTGTGCTTCCGGCGGCCTGCTGGTGAGAGGCAAAATATGTGTAAGAGAGCGCGTTCTCCGAGAAGTACGCAGCTCGTTCATAGCTGGCACGGAAATCATGCAACAAGATTTCACCTGAATGTCCATCCACCAGGGCGTGCGAGATTTCCAGCATCAGCCGAAGCTCCTTGTCGCTGACTTCGTACACGCAAAGGCGCAGCGGGGTTTCGAACTTGCCGGTAGTAAAAGGAGGAACGGCACGAGCATCGCTTTTCGAAGGACAGATTATAACACGGGGGGGGTATAGTGTTATGTTTGAGGACAAGTTGGTCAAATTTGCCCGGACGGTGGTGGCTCTGGATAAATGTCGTCCGGAGGATCGCATGGCGCTGGACAAGGCCTCTCCATGCATCGACGACCCTCTCCGATGCAGGTCGCCGACGATCGGCCGAAGTCGAGAACAGCCCGATGGAAATATGGCTAATGTAGGAAGAAGAGTTGATCGCTTGGCTGACAAAGAAGCTTTCCTGCACGGCGGAGCACGGCGCAATCGATTCGATGTCGCCCACGGCGATACTGTGGGTCTTGAGGTCTGCGACCAGCTCGTCCGGCATAGAATCTTGCCAGTTGGCAAGAGACAAATTGTCGTCTCCATTGTCATAGCCATTGACTCCGGTGGCTGGTCCTGCATTCTCTTGGTCTATCTGTTCGGCGAGTGCACCCAAGCTCTCGGCCATCAACAGCTCTCTCATGTCCACATGAATCCCTGCATCGCGACATCTGGCGACGAAATCGATGGCTAGGATCGAATCACCACCGAGCAAGATGAAGGATCTTGTCCAGTCTAGCGTGTTTACGTCGATCTCAAGGACTTGAGCGGCAGTTTTACCAAGCACAAGCTTCGCTGGCTGGAAGCGCGCATTGGCACTCTGGGAATTGTCCATGGTCAAGGAGGATGGTTGGATCCGTCAACACAGTCGGAGCGCGCGGTAATCTCTTGTCAAGGGTATGAAAGTCCAAGATGCTTGTACCCTTGTCGAAAAGCGAGAGACTGGCAGTAGTGATGATAGCCCTTGAGAGAGCAGGGGGGGAAGATAGCTTGCGATACACTAAGGGGATATTTCTTAATCGGATTAGCCCGAGTGAGGCTTGACTGCAACTGACCAATGGTCATGCTTGATTTCCTTTGATTTAGTGAATAAAGTGAACGCTAGCCACACCGTGCAGGCGTTGTTATCCACTTGTCAATAAACCGACCCTACTTGAAGTTGTTATCCACTTGTCAATAAACCAACGCCACTTGAATCCGGTACATGTATGTCTGCTTACTACAGTTATCCAGCCAACCCCTCCCTGTTAATATGCATCCCCACTAGTCTGCATCTCACTCGCATGGTCTCTCCCAACTAGAGGAGATTCCTCTAATTACTTGCCCAACGTGTCTCATTGGAAGCCGATCGAATATTCTAACTATAGGATACAACGTCTATCTCCTACCGAGTTCTCTATCTACCTCGAGGCTTGTCTGAGGTTTTAGGCTGAGATTCTAGCCCAAAAAGCCCATGCAGTTACAGGGAGGGGAAGGGAGGAGTCTCCATCCACGTGGCTTAGTTAAAGCTTTGGCGCTGAACCACGCAAGACTAGGGTTACAAATGAAGCACTAATAACTACTCACCTTCCCTAAGAGTACATCCACATCCAACTTAGTGCCGCACTATATCCGCTTACGAGATGCACCACGTCTGATCCATGTAACAACAACAGCAACAACAAAACTTATATTATTGAGGTTTCCCATTGTAAGCAACAAGCAAAGTTGGCCGCTAGCTCAATTAAACACTCTGAAGATGAGGGATAGGCGGCAGGAAAGGCGACGCAAAAGAGGTTGGTGTGGTGGCAGGGTGTCACGGTCGTTACGGAGTTACGGATAGTTATCGTTGCGACTCGAGTCAATAACCGTGTTGGCGGCGATTAAAGTAAATAACAGGACTAGTTGACTAACTTAATCGGTGTTAGTTAATCACGGCAAGGAAAACAGTGGATTACAAAGCTGAAGGGGATTTAATTAACTAAGCCGCAGCGTCAACACTGACAAGGCCATACGATTCGGTACCGGCCATACAGTACGATTCGGTATCGTAGACCATAGCTAGTCAAATTACCTTACACCCGAGTAAGCCTGGAGCGACAGCCAGCGGTGTTGGGAGACTTCCCAGTCGTTGGAGTGCGCTGTCGATTAGGCTTCGTTAAACTTGAGGGTCTTGATTGAACCGTTCGTGCAAAGTCTTTCTCTACGACCCTTTTTCTCCCAACGCAGCTGGCATCGTAACATTTCGCCCTCTGCCTTTCTGAGCAGCCACAAAAGATGCGTGGGGAATGTACCCGCACCATCGAAGATGTCTTCGGTCCCGTGGTCCATGGCTGTCTGGATGACTTCGACTTCACGTTGCTGTTCGAGGAGACGATCCTCTTCGTGCTCCCGGCCTCGTGTTTGATGCTGCTGGCACTCACATGGCGGATACCTGCGCTCATCCGCGCCGATCTTCTCGTACGCCCGTCTCCCCTAGGCCTCTTAAAATCGGTAAGTCTTTGAGCTGCATCCAAGCGCCCCTACTCGGGCAACTGCCGGCCCCGAATCAAGGAGTAAACCCCCGAAAACTGACGATTCAGGCGACAGATCATTCATCCTCTGGTTTTTGTCTCTCAAGTCCTCTTCCTGGCCTTCGCCTGCAAGGACACATCCGCCAACGCTCGGGCCACGATCCCCGTTACTGCAATTGGGCTGCTCGCGATCCTTGTTATGGGCGTCCTGTCATTCCTGGAACATCGCAGGTCGCCTCGTCCTCGTCCATTCTGACGTTGTATCTCCTGGCCGCTGCGCCGTTGAATGCGGCTCGCGCCCGCACTCTGTGGTACATGCCGGGTTCGGATCGCGTCTTTATCAGCTTTACTGTGACGGCAGGCCTGATGGTGATTGCTCTTGTACTCGAAATGGCACCAAAGGATGGGCTCATGAAGGAAGAGATGGTCGGAAAGCCTTCTTCTGAAGAGAGACGCGGTATTGTGGAGCGGTCGTTACTCACTTGGATAGTCCCAGTCTTTGTCCACGGTTACCGGAACACATTCACATCCGCAACGATGCCTTTGGTCGACCCCAGGTTGACTACGTGCAGACTCAAAGGCACTGCCATCACCGGTACGGGCCATCCCAAGCATCTAACCAGTCAACGTAACGGCAGGCTGAATCTTCTTGCGCAGATCTGGACAAATCACTGGTTCACAGTCTTGTTCAGCGTCACTGGCGAGACTTGCTCAGTCCAGTGCTCCCACGCGCCTGCTACCTGGGCCTGAGCCTAGCACAAGCCTTTCTTGTCGAGAGGGCCACGGCATTGGTTTCTAGTTCCGAGGCCACTCAACAGTCCAAGAACGCGATAGTGGGTGCCTATGTGTTGGTCTACCTTGGCCTGGCAGTCAGTCGCTCCGTGCCGTTCATAGACCCTGGAAGTTCGTCATTTCTCACGCTGATTTGACAGGTTACATACTCTCTTTATCGCCAGAATGCCGTGCGGGCGGCCGTCGCCATGCGAGCGAGCCTGACCGACTTTATTTTTCAGCGCCTTTCCCACCTCGACTCTGCGGTCGAGCTCGCCGGCTCAGCGACGACCTTGGTGAGTGCAGACATTGAGCGTATTCAGTTCGGTGTTCGCGAGATCCACGAAGTCTGGGCTAACCTTATCACCACGGTGATCGCCCTCTACTTGATCGAGCGTTCCATCGGTATTGCCATGGTCACTGCGCTTGGTATCTCCATTGGTAGTATACCAACCCCAATCTACAAAAAATGGTATGCTGACCTGTCTCGGGGGTAGTGTGCATGGCTGGTGTCTTGCTGGTGTCGGTGGCCGGCAGCGAAGCTCAGAAACAGTGGTTTGAAGCCACCGAGGCACGCGTTGCTCAGGTGGTGAAGATCCTGGCTGAGTTCAAGAGTATAAAGATGATGGGCTACACTGCGGGCCTCCTACGCAGTCTGACCGCCGCACGGCTTCTCGAAGTCCGCCGTTCGCAGAAATTTCGAGCGTTCGTAATTGTGATGGCCACGTTGGCACAAGCCGCCACCGCACTGGTCCCGGCTCTTGGAGTCGCCACTTACGCGCTACTGCACAACTCGGGCGACGGTCAGGTCATGAGTGTCAGTCTGGCCTTCTCGGCCTTGACGCTCTTCACCATCCTCAGTTCCAGTATCGGACAACTGGTCGATTCAGTATTTGGCACAGTGACGGCCCTGGGTTGCATCTCGCGCATCCAGGAAATGTGCACCAAGCACTACAGGTTAGACCCTCGCCAGACAACGAATCCGGCGGAGCCTCCGCACGCGAGCGTGATCATGAACCACGCCCACGCTAAATACGATGAGGACGGCCACGACGTCATCCAGAATGCCAGCTTCGACATCAGGCCTGGCATGATCGTTCGCGTTGTGGGCCCAATCGCGTGCGGGAAATCCACACTTCTGAAAATGGTACTGGGTGAGGTGCACTTCTGCGCGGGGGAGGTAGCTGTGAGCGACAGAACCATCGGCTATTGCGATCAGAATCCTTGGTTTAACAACGGTAGCATCCGGGACAACATCACTGGTCCCGCAGCCTTCGACCCCAAACGGTACGCGGACACAATCCGCATCTGTGCCTTGGAGACTGACCTGGAGACCATGCCTGAAGGAGACGCCTGTCTTTGTTCTGGTAACGGGGCCACGCTAAGCGGAGGCCAAAAGGCTCGCATTGTTCGTCATCCGGACCCACTAACTACATGGTGACGCCTGCTAACAAACCTGCAGAGCTTGGCTCGTGCAATTTACGCACGCCCTCGGATCTTGGTCTTGGATGATTGCCTGAGCGGACTAGATGCGAACACCGAGCATCTCGTGCTGGAGAGTCTCGTCGGTGCGCGCGGTTTTCTTCAAGAGCATTCCATCACCACGTTCATGGTCTCGAGTTCCCGTATGTCCCTTCGCTTGTGCCCCCGGGTTATCGTCGCTGCTGACATGAGGAATAGGGAAGCCGCTGCCCAGCAGCATCGCAACTCTTTCGCTGGGGCCTGGAGGACCTGTCCTGACTGAGGGCGTGTCACCCGAAAATCAGGTTGAGTCCACATTGCTCTACGATACGAAAAGTGCGCATGTAGCACAGGCCGGGGATTTCAGTGGCGAAAGAGAGACCGACGCGCGACTATCAATCGAGGGAAACGGCGATAACTTGGAAGGGTATCGGAAGTCCGGGGAACTCGCTCTCTACGTCGTCTTCGTGAAGGTGGCCGGAGTATTCGGGTTGATGGTATTTGTCTTCCTGCTTGCCATTTTTGTAGTGGGAATTACTTACCCTCGTGAGTCGCCCTTTATCCACGCACCGATGAGATTCGTTCAGGAAGCTAACAGGCATCAACATGACAGAAATTTACTTAGACACCTGGGTCACCCTGACTCCAGCCGATCAGCACAGCAGCATTTACACCCTTTCGGGCATCTACTTGGGGCTGAGTGGTGTGGCCTTGTGCGCATTCTCGGCAGCGTGTGTCCTATTCACACTGGGAATCGCACCCCGCATCTCAATCACATTTCACTCATTGCTGGCCAAAGCAATCCTTTCGTAAGTCGCCCTCAGCTCCCCTCGCCTGTCTGCGTCGTCCACTAAGGCCACAATACTCTAGCGCTCCCCTTTCCCTTCTTGCTACCACCGACAGAGGTTCGATCACGAACAGGTATGAAAATCACGTAGATATCCAGTCAAAAGCTTGGGATCGCTAACGTATTACCCCTGGATCAGATTCGCGCAGGACCTAGCTATCATAGATCAAGAGATTCCCTTGGCTTTTATCGGTACGGTCCTCGTCTTCCTGCAGCTGCTGGCCCAATGCGTCACTCTCATCATCGGGTCCCACTATGCGGGAATAGCTATCCCTTTCATGCTGGGGGTGGTATATTGCATCCAATATGTGTATCTGCCGACGTCCTCCCAGCTACGGTTGCTAGACCTGGAGGCCAAAGCCCCCATTGTGTCACTGTTCGTTCGCTCCGTCGAAGGCCTCGCGACCATCCGGGCCTTCGGGTGGTTGAAACACACCCAGATCCAGTCCCGAAGATATATCATCGCATCGCAGGTGCCGTTCTACCTCTTGGCGACAGCGCAGAACATGCTTAGTCTGGTACTCGATCTCGTGACGGCGGCGCTGGCGATCATCGTCATCTCAATCTCGGCCGGATCGCACGATACGGGCCTCGGCCTGGCGCTGTACAGCATCGTGGGGTTAGGCACCTCGACCAAACTCCTGATCTCACAGTGGACAGAACTAGAAACCTCCCTCGGTGCGATGAGGCGCATCAACGACTTTGCAGAAAACACGCCCTCCGAGATATCCTCGTACAGAAGCACAGTGCCGCCTTACGGCTGGCCCAGCAAAGGGACTGTGGAATTCCGCGATGTGTCACTGGCATACAGGTGAGTTCTTGCGACACTGGTGGTATCAGGAATGCATGGCCTAAGCTGACACGTTTCGCTTGACAGTGAGACTATGCCTTCAGTCATATCGAATCTAAACCTCAAGATCGAGCCCGGTTGGAAGGTTGGAATCTGCGGGCGCACGGGCAGGTATGGAAACCGCTCCCCAGCGTCGCTGCATCGTCGCATCTGATTTGCTAATCACAGCGCTGCAGTGGGAAAAGCACACTCATCTCGTCGATCCTAGGTCTCATTCACATCCGGCAGGGGAGCATCATCATCGACGACCGAAACGTCTCGGTCCTCGAGCCCGAGGCGCTACGCTCGAGCATCACGGTGGTCCCGCAGAATACCGTGCTGCTACCCGTGGACTTGCGGACAAACCTGACTCTGGGGGCGGTAGACGTACCGAGTGACGAAAAGATCATTGCTCTTCTCGAGGAGTACGGGCTGTACGAAAGGTTTCGACAGCGCGAAGGCCTCGACACGCTCGTCGTCGACGATCTGCTCTCCCAAGGCGAGCGGCAGATTTTCTGCATCGTGCGAGCGATCCTGCACAAGAGTCACTTGGTTCTGCTGGACGAGCCCACGAGCCGGTAAGCAAGCCTGCACTCCACTGGGGGATCCACGCTTTTGCACTTCAAAGACAGACGACTGACATCGCAGTTGGATCCAGAGCCGATCGCAGTACCCAGGAGATCATCGACTCTGCCGTGCTGAAGGGCTTCGACGGCTCTACGGTACTCTATGTCGCGCACCGTCTCGAGATCCTCACGGTGTTTGACCGGGTCCTGATCATGGACCAGGGCCAGATCGCCGAATTTGGCGACCCGCGCGAGTTGCTGCTGCAGCCTGACTCGCTCTTCGCCAGCACTTTCACCAAGGCCAACTCCGAAATCAGCAGCTCTAAGTTGGAGTAGGTGTGCTGCGTAGGTACCGTGAATCCACTCGATGAAGGCTCTCGAGAAGGTCGTGCCCGACTCCCGCGTGCTAGCGATGTCAAGCATTTGTTGAGAGATGAAGAGCCAGGACTTTCGAATCTAGGTAGTATCTAGCTAAGGCTTGATCGCACCTTGGGTGTCAGTCTCCGCCCCTGGTCCAATCGACGAGGCGTGTCACCTCCCTGAGGAATATGTCGCCCGTACCCAGCGTCCTAACAGGGCTACTATTCCGCAGCAACCAATTCGGTTTTCATCCGTCTCTTCAGTCACTTATTCCTCACCTATTCATAGAAGATACTACAACAATATATAGCAAACTATTGATTTTTCACACTATTAAAACTTACGGCTAGACTTTATCAATGATCCTCAGTAAGAAAAATGGATGGTATCAACGAGCTTTGAAGGGTTAACTGAAAAATTATTACTAAGATGCTACGATATTGTGAGATATATATCTGGGCATGCATAGGCTAAATTTTACGGAAAATACACGAAGACCCGTCAATGGGAGGCCAAATCACTGCCGGAACAGAGCGACCGCGGCGCTTGAATGCGAATCAATAAAGCTAGAGAGAGGAGGAGAGAAGAGTAAGAAGAGGGACTACCGTGATAGACTAAATCTCGCTACAGCCAACCCTCCACCCCATCCTGTCTAAGTTCGGACGGCGTATGCCACTAAAATGCGGTGGCAAGCGACAAAACAGAGTGCAACTACCACTATATAAGTAAAATAATACATCAAATACCGAGGGCGGTAATTTCCATTAATTATGAATTTCTATGAAAGCCTTGGGGGCCCCTCATGGGCGGGACCACGGGTCAAGAAATTTGCTTCGACCCGGGGTACTTGTTAGTGCTAAGCTAGAGCCCGGCGTTGGACGTCGTTTTATACTAACAACAGGCCGGCCCCTCTGCACAGTACTCATATTTAAGAAGCGAGATCAAAGTAATAAATTCTACTACTGTCAGCCGTTGGCCGATTCTGCTGCCTTACACCGTCTACCGTATCTGGGACTTTCTTTTGAACTCAAGATTCTGCCGTCGCTTACCGCCCAGGGAGACAAAGAGGTCCGCCTGAACTACGAGGCTGGTGCAGATGGGACGGAGGTTCGTGAAGGAGTAGATAGATCGTCACCGTAGCTCCTGCCCTTCTCCTCTTTCCTCTCCAGCTTTAGTATTCCAAATCGAAACGCCGTTGTTGCTGTGTTCCAACTCCGATTAGGCTTCCCGTTGACAACTACTTGACAACTACTACTATCACACAAGATTGAAGACTTTTAAATCTAGATTTCAGATTCCAAGGATCTGCTTCGGATGCTTTACGCATTGACATCAAGTTCCGGAGCTCATTCTTCGGGGAGCTGGGGGCAATGAGCTGCTGGTAGAGCAGCGGACAGCTGCGATGATTTTCCGTTTAGAGCTTGCTCACGGAGCTGATGCAGACAGCCGTAGTTCATCCCTCACTCTGTCGACGCCGCAGACGTAGATCCCGGCATGGAGGTGATGTCCTCATCCGCCCCGTGGTATACTGTCAACCGACCCGTTAGCGCTGTCAGAATATGCGGGGAAAAGTGGCACTCACCGTGAGGCGTGATCAGCCAGCTGATGACGAAGGCAGCGCCAAATGTCCCGGTGAGACACACCAGGACGGCCTGCGAGAAGTGGCCCACGGTGGCCGCGAACACGGCGTTGAACATGACGGGAGACATGATCTGCGCCAGGGCGTGCAGCAGGCCATTTGCGCCCAGGAGCTGTCCCGTCTGGTCGACTGGCACGTGCTTGGTGAGTGCCGACTGCAGGGCCGGGGACGAGACGCTGCCAGCGGCGCCGACGACACCGGACAGGGTGAACAGTTCCCCGCGGCTGGCCAGGCTGTACCCAACCCAGCCGGCTGTTTCGAGGGCGATGCCAATCCGCATGATGGTCAGGTCGAACCAGTCGCTGCCTTTGCTGGAAGTAGCGTGGCCACCGCCGCCTCCCCGGCGGCGGACCAGGGTGGGTGATGACGGGCAAGATGACCATCAGAAAGGCCACGCGCGTACAGTTGACGATCGTAAGGTAGCGACCTGACTCGAATGTCTCCCAGCCGAACTCGTAGTTGACGTATATCAGCAGGACATTGGCGCTCCCCATGGCCACCCCGTACATGATGGTGTCCACGGCCGCTAAGAAGACGAGGTTCCGTCGCAGGGCGGGCGTGCTGCCCGGGCCCGTGGGATACAGGACCTTGAGCGGTGCCAGCAGCGTCAAGGGGTTGAGGCGGCGCAGAGACGAGGCCCCGTCCCGATGTGCGGTCTGAGCCCGCGCAACCTTCTCGCGCGCCCGACTCCGGCGACGCTGCGAGACCGACTCAGGGACGAAGAGGACCACAAAGATGGCGCAGCAGACATGGACGCCCAGCATGATCCAGAAGACGGTGACGATGCTGCCTGACACCTCCACGATGTAGCCCGCCAAAATTGGGCCGAGAGCAATGCCAATGCACGTGCAGCCGTGGAAGTAGCCGAAGGCCATGCTACGGCGGTGGGCTGGGACGCAGTCGGTGGCGTACGTGTTCACCATGGCCATGGCCAGGATGGCGGAGCCTGTGACACCCTCCAGAAAGAACGAGAGCAGCATCCAGTTGACGTTGACGGTGTCTCGGGAAGAGGCGACGAGGAGGGTGATGATTTCACCGGCCATGGACCCGAGACCATTGATGATCAAAATGGGCTTGCGCCCGTACAAATCCGACAACGCCCCCAGTCGGGGACTGACGATGGCCGGGAGGATCGCACCGAGGAGGTCTCCCAGCAGCATGAAGAGAGAGACTCGCTGGGAGACTTCGGGGGTGCGGCAGCGGTCATGGGCGCCGTCATCGAAGGCGCTCGTGGTAGGGCTCCGGCCGGCGAGCTGCTCGGTGGAATAGTATTCTCGACAGACGAGGTCGACAACGAGGTTGATCTTCGGGGAGATGATGCCGCCGTAGATCAAGGCCAGGACGAGGTAGGGAAGCAGGATCCATCCCATTGAGGGCCGGCGGTACCACAGTAGATGAGCGAAGTCTTCTTGTCCGTGATCGTCACGACCGTCATCTTCATCGTCATCTACCGAGGGCAGATGCTTGAGTAGGGGTGTCTGCTCGTGTTGAGGAGCCCCCTCGGGCTGCACCGCTGCGAGGCTAAACTCGTCCGCTTCGGCAGCTGGCTCCATGATGGGAACGTCAACGGGGCGACGTTCGTCGGGCAGGAGTCAGACCCCCAGAATGGAAGATGATTGTTGAGGATCGGAGGTTGCAAATACACACACTTTTGGAACGAGTGGGCCCAGCCCCATACGTATGGTGCGGGGACGGAGTAAGAAAAGCGTATCAGCCGTACAGATAAGCAGTAAATTAAATAATGACCGTGGCTCGGCGCCAGGCACACCACGTAAATAACCCACCTAGCAGGCTGCCATGAGCCAAAAGGCTCCTACTCCGTAAGTTGTCTAAACCCAACCCAGGCAAGCTTGTGTATGCTTACTCGTCTTCAGCTTTGCTATGTAACTTGCAGGGTAAGATCGCATCTTTCGTCGTTGCTTTCCCGGTTTGCCTAGTTGCGGCTTCATTACTTTGGAAAGCTGCGATTACGTCAAATTTTTGCATGCACCTATAAACAAGGCCGTGGCCTACCATCGCGTCTGGGAATTCAAGCGCTTTACACGACAAAATATAGATTCAATTGTCAAAAACAAATGGATATATTACCAATTCTGATGACAAGGGTTCCAAGATACAGATTTGATCCCAGCTCTATCCTCATACCCTACGCTGCCAGAGGGTTTGCCATTTGGAATTGTGCCATTGTCGTTCCGTCGTCATCGTCGAAACAGGCCAAGACCTCCATTTCTTTCGCAATCGTGGCCACGACCTTCGTGACCGAGGCGACCTGTATAGAGATCCATTTTAGTATGTGCTTGGGATCGGGCAAACCAGAGAAAACTTACGTTTCGCGGCTCGAAGAGGCTGAAGTGGTGGCCCTTGATGAAATAGTTCTTGTTCACCACTGCAACGCCCGCGCGCTCGTTCCAGCCCAAGCTGGGACTGTCTCTGAACTGGTCGACAAAGGACAAAGCCGGGGGCATGGCATGCGTCAGTCGCTCAGTCGCACACAGCATAACCGTGTACGGCTGGGGCTGTCGACGCCAAACAGGGAGCCGCCAGTGGTGCAACATATTTACAGTGCGCAGGATAGAATTCTCCAGACGGCTCGTCGCGTCCGTGGGGCCGTCTTCCGAGATGGGCGAATTCAGATCGCAATTGACGACATGGCGGTAGTCCGGGAAGGGACTATCCACCATGATGATCCCATCCACGATCACTTTGGAATCACGGCTGAAGATCCACGCGACTTGCAGGGCGATCATCCCGCCCAGTGACCAGCCTGAATGGGTTCTGTCAGTCAGCTGGCACCGCCACGGGCCCCCGTGTACACGGTATTCTCTTACCTCCAAGCAGCACCCGACCTTCCGGGACGATGGCCTTGATCGCAGCGTAGTAATGACGACTGATCTCCTGCAGGGTGCCGCCGCTGTCTCTGGCCATGTGTGACTCTGGGACGGCGTACACATCACGGCCTATGGGGCCCAGTGTGTAGTAGCTGGCGATCGTGCCGCTTGCATCGTGGAACAGGAACAATGGGGTGGCCGTCGACCCTGCAGGCCGCTTATAGATTTGTCGAATCATGACGCTGAACATGACACTGTTCATGATGAAGAGGGTAGGAGCAGACGCAGATCACACAGTGGGCCTGCAGGATATAACCCCCCGGAGGAAACCGTCGCACGTGGTGGAAAGCGAATGATCATGTCAAAGAACGTGTGAATCTTACGTCATCTTCCTGCAGGCCATTATCACGCCGCGTCAATTATGATAGTTTGCTCGTGCTCTGTGTGTGTGTGTGTCGATATTAGGTAAGGCCCCGTCTGGTACCCGTGGACATAGCAGGATCACAGAGCTGAGCGCAAACAGGGATTTATCAGCGCAGCTGAAGGATCACATAATTACAAGACGTGCCTTCCGCCAATTAATGCCAGGATCACGTACTGCATAGTCAAGGGTGCGAAGCCACAGGCGTTCTACCCAGACGTTGGAGGAGGGAATCCAAGTGAAGTCCAGAGAGCCTCGTGGTCAGGCACTGAGGACTCAGAGGAGGGATAGTGCCTAGACTTTCGACCTGGTAGCGCCTGGAGAGGCTGAGCTTGGCTCCTGCACGAGTATGCACCCCTTAGTAGTCCGCAGCATCCTTTTCTGTTTGTGATAGGCATATCCATCGACAACGATTGAAGGCTGTTCGCCTTCCCTTCTGCCCTGCCGGATGGTTCGTTCCATGTATAGGCCCATACGAGCGTAGAGTAAGCATGGCCAAGGTCGGCGCGGCAAAGTTGCTGCACAGTAATGCAGTAGACGGCGGGTCGATATAATTGACACGTGTAGTATTGAGATATTAATTTGATAGGTTGGCACAGCGTTCCTGGGCGGTGTAAAAGGTGTTCTAGACCACAATTACAGCCGGGGCTGCGGGCATTTCCGGCCCTGCGTACAGGCACTAAGACGAATTCGATCCACCAAGTCAGCCAAATTAGGCAAGCGATCCATATTGGCTGTTATCGACACCGGTTGGGGGCGGGGTAAATATCAAACGCCGCCTGAGGGTAGCTATAACAAGTAAATAAGCATTCATACCGTAGTAGGTTCATCTGTGACAACCACGAGTGGATAGCCAGCTTCCTTCAGCCTTGTGCCATGTGGTTGGATGCCGGGCTCTGCTTACCGTAGATTAGCTGTATAAGATGTATTATGCTTAGTGGTAATAAGAATACCCATACCTTTTGTCGAGGCCTAAATTCCTCGTGGTGAACCGGTCGAGTCACAGTATGATCTGTACTTGAACACGCGGTTCCTAATCGGTCGTTGCACATTCCAACCCAAGCTATTCCGTTCAACAAGATGACCGCTGGCATGAAGTCCGACCCTATTGCCATCATTGGCATGAGTTGTCGCTTTCCCGGCGATGCCTCCCAGCCATCTCGTTTGTGGGACGCCCTCGCGGCCGGGAGGTCGGCGTGGAGTGAGGTGCCCGAAGATCGATTCAACATGAAGGCCTTCTACCATGACGAAGACCCTCATAACAGCACGACCAACACCCCGGGCGGCCATTTCCTGAGCTCCGATGTGGCCGCGTTCGACTGCAGCTTTTTCGAGATCAAGCCGACGGAGGCTCGTGCCGTAGATCCGCAACAGCGCATCACATTGGAACTAGCGTATGAAGCGTTCGAGAACGCGGGGTTGACGCTGAAGGACCTCTGGGGATCTTCGACTGGAGTTTACGTTGGCCAGTGGAGCTCTGACTACAGCGAGGTTCTGGCGCGGGACCCGGAATCCCAGGAACGCTATCACACACTCGGGATTGGACCTGCCATCACCTCCAACCGCGTCTCCTATTTCTTCAACCTGCGCGGCCCGAGTTTCACGGTTGACACGGGTTGCTCGGCCAGTCTGGTCGCATTGCACAATGCGGTCCAGAGCCTGCGCAGTGGCGAAAGCACCATGAGCCTTGTCGGCGGCGTCAATATCTTGCTGGACCCCCAGCGCTGGACGTACCAGAGCAAGCTGAAGATGTTTTCGCCGGATGGCCGCTGCTTCTCCTTCGACGAGCGCGCCAATGGCTATGGCCGAGGAGAGGGCTGTGGCTGTGTCGTATTGAAGCCACTTTCCTTGGCCATCAAAGATGGGGACCGCATTCGAGCTGTCATCCGCAACTCGGCCCTGAACCAGGATGGTCGCACCCCTCAGGGTATCAGCGTGCCGAGTCGCGAGGCACAGCAAGAGCTGATCATCAATGCATATGCCGAGGTCGGTCTGAACCCAACGGAAACAGACTACGTTGAAGCCCACGGGACCGGCACAGCGGTTGGCGATCCTCTTGAAGCCGAGGCTATCGCCAACGCATTGGCTCGCCCAGAGATCCGAGCCAAGGGCCATTGATGATGGGATCTGTGAAGGGTAATATCGGCCACACAGAGAGTGCTGCAGGTATCGCCGGAATTATCAAGTCCGTCTTGATGCTTGAGAACCAGGCTGTGACTCCTCAGGTCAATTATGAAAGGCCCAACCCGAAGGTCCCACTTGACATCTGGAATCTGCAGGTATGGATCGCGATAGCTAGCGTATAGCAGAACACTTCGGCTAAGTGATGACAGATACCTCTCCGATTCGAGAAGAAAGATCTTCGCCGTATCTCTATTAACAGGTGAGACAAGTTATTCTCCAGGTGGTTTGGGAGATGGTACTGATTTCTGGTAGCTTTGGGTACGGTGGTACCAATGCGCACGTCATCCTTGACCGTGTAGACGAGCATATTCACCCCAAAACAACGCCAACGGCGTTAACGGTACCAGCGGCATCAACGGCACCAATGGCGTCCACGGTACCAACCATATTGACAGCGGAAATAGTGTTAATGGCGCCAATGGCATCCAGAAGGCCAATGGCGTTAATGGTACCGCCAGTGATTTCCGCCCCACCGCAGACCGGCCTCGTGTCTTCATTCTTAGCGGTGCTGAGGAGCAGAGCTGCCACCAGAACGCCGAGCGTCTAACGCAGTACCTGTTGAAAGCCCCGGCCGCTTCCTTGGACGAGTCCGATGGGCTGCTCGATCGATTGGCCATCACAGTCAACAAGCGCACGGTTCACGAATACAATGCTTCCATCATCGCCTATGACCAAGATGATTTGGTGGAACAGCTCGAGATCCTCCAGCAGACGCCTATCGCGGTCCGCGCACCGTTCAAGGAAGGCGCCCGGGTTGGTTATGTGTTCGGCGGCCAGGGAGCTCAATACTATAACATGGGTCGAGAGATGATCAAGGATTGGCCAGCGTTCCGCCAGTCTTTGGACCGTGCCAACGCTCATTTGCAGACGATGGGCTGCGAGTGGGATATTCTGACTGAGTTGAGCCATGAGAAGGCCGAAGACTCGCACGTGGATGAGCCATTGTATGGTCAGACGCTTTCGACCGTCGTTCAGCTGGCTTTGGTCGACACGCTGGCATCTCTGGATTTGACCCCATCATCTACTGTGGGCCACTCCAGCGGAGAGATTGCCGCGGCCTACGCCGTCGGTGCACTTTCTTTTGAAGACGCACTGACCGTGTCATACCATCGCGGCCGTCTCACATCCCAGCTCATCGGCTCTGGAGTTTCTGGAGGCATGCTTGCCGTGGGCTTGTCCCCCAAAGTTGCGCAGACGTACATCGACCAAATCAAGGCCACTGACGCTTCCGGGGTGAAGATCGCCTGCTATAACAGCCCGACAAGTGTGACACTGTCGGGAGGTAACAGCGATATCGCGGCAGTCGCAGCTCTACTACAGGAGGACGATGTTTTCCATCGTAAGCTCCGGACTCGGGGAGCTGCGTATCATTCCCAGATGATGCAGGCTATCGAGGAGGAATACAAATCTGCTATCGCCCACATCCAGCCACGTCCATTGGCCGGAAACATGATCTCTTCATTGCACGGGAAGAAATTGTCGGCCGGTTTGATTTTGGACGGAGAGTACTGGGCTCGCAACCTTGTCTCTCCCGTTCTCTTTTCCGGAGCTCTGAAAGCCATGGTACTCGGTGACAAGCAGGACTCACAGCAACATGACCTCAACGTCGATCTCCTTCTGGAAGTGGGCCCTCACTCGCAGATGCAGGGCGCAGTCAAGGAGGTGCTGCAACAGGTGGGATCATCGACTCGCGTCCACTACCTGTCGTGTCTGAAGAGGAAGGCCAGTGCATGCGAAAGCATGCTGCGCACCGTGGGCGAACTGTTCGCCCTGGGAGCATCCGTGAACGTCCACCAGGCGAATGCCGGCTTTGTGACACAGTTGCCAGCGATGTTGGATGATGTGCCGCCGTACGCGTTCAATCATGACCAGCGTCATTGGCACGACAGCCGCATCTCCCATGAGTTCACGCACCGTCAGTTCTTGCCGCATGAGCTGCTGGGCAATCTGGCGTACGACGTCAATCCTACGGAGCCTAGGTGGCGTCGGATCGTGAACTTGAAGGAAATGCCATGGCTGCAACATCACTTGGTGCAGGGCCAAGTGATCTTTCCCGCCGCCGGATATTTGGCCATGGCCATGGAGGCGATGCGTCGCTTCACGGCTTTCAAGGCTGAGACCCAATCCAAAGCCACTCTTGGCTATTCGTTCGGCAACTGCAGCTTTGTCAAGGCGCTAGTGCTCCGGGAGGATGATACCGACACCGAGATATGTCTGTCGCTGCGGCCTGAGACTCAGAGCGCAAAGGGTTCGTGGCAGGATTGGAAGGAGTTCCGAATCTTCTCCACATCCTCTGGCAATCGCTGGAGTGAGCACTGCCGCGGTCGTATACGTGTCGTCACAGATAATCAAATGCTCACGGATTGTCTGAGCAACCCCACCGTCAGTGTTAAGGAGCGCATCCTCGCATCCATTCACCATCCCATCACGCCTGTTCGTTTCTACGCCGCCGCGCGCCAGGTCGGGATGGAGTGGTACGCACCGTTCCATAACGTGGTCAGCCTAGAAGCTCTGGCTGATTCGAGCGTGGCCACGAACAAGATGCCGAGCTTGCTCCCTTCAGCGCATCCCTTTGGAGAGAAGTCATATGTCGTGCATCCTGGAATGCTGGACTCCACCCTCTTTCACGGCGTGTGCGCCAGTCTTTTAGTGGAGCGGGAAACGAAGGCGCCTATGGTGCCCGTTTTCATCGAACAACTGAGCGTTTCGACCGCTCTGGAAGTGCCGGAAGGCACTGAGCTGCGCACCTTCTCTATGGCCCAGGAAAAGGGAACCAGCTGGAGCGGGCAGATCGAGTTGGGTGCACAGCCCATGATGAGCTACCATGGATTGAGAGTCGCCCAGCTACCCGCCAACGAGATTTCCTCACGGGCGCTACAGCTGTCACACAGCCCCGAGTGGGTTGGCCATTTCCCCAGCATGAACAAGGCGCAAGTCATTGCCCACTGCACGAAATCGCTCTCTGCTGGGTCCTCTCGTTACCGTAATATCGCCCTCAACGCCGCAGTGCGCGCACACGTGGAGCGGGCCCTTAAGCTGATCCAGTCGGACCAAGTTGCAGACGGCTTCCAGCGAGTTTGGTATCAGTGGATGCAGTCTTTCGCAGCCACAGAACCCGACTCTCCTGAGTTGGTGTGGGAGGCTCGGGTGGTCACGACGTCCGATCCGAGCGTCTCGTTCGAGGCTGTGAAGCGTATTGGCGAGAATCTTGATAGTCTTTTGACTGGTGTGACGGACTCCCTCTCAATCTTGACCTTGGATGATATGCTAGGTAAATTGTATTCGGAGGAACGAAACATTCGCTGTTATCATCAGATCAACGCGTATTGCAAGGCTCTCGGCGTTTACAACCCTTCGCTGCGGGTCCTTGAGGTTGGCGGTGGTACCGCCTCGGCCACACTGCCCTTGTTGCAAGCCCTGTCTCACCATAGTCAGCCGTTGGTGGCACAGTACGACTTCACGGATCTCTCGACCGCGTTCTTCCCCGCGGCCCGTGAGCGTCTGGCTCAGTATGGCAACATCGTGAATTACGAAGCATTTGATCTGGCCTCCTCTCCTGATCTTCAAGGGTTTGTGCCCGGAAGCTACGATGTGGTCATCGCCTGCAACGTGGTCCACGCTACCCCAAATATTGCGTCTTCCTTGGAACACATCCGCCAACTCCTTCGGCCCGGTGGAACATTGATTCTTATGGAGATCACCAACCCGGAGCCTTACTATCAGCTCATCTTTGGCTCTCTTTCCGGGTGGTGGTCTGGCGTCGACGAAGGGCGAGTGTCGACGGCTGTGCTCTCGGAGGGTGAATGGAAACAAAAGCTTGAGCAGCAGGGTTTCGAATCCGACCCCGTCATTTTGTCCGACTATGCCAATGGTGAAGGAGCGACAATCAGCGTTTTCTTTGCCAAAGCTCCCGTTGAAGCGCAGCCGCCCTTGGAGGAGGTCTCACTCCACTTTACGAGCGGCATCGTTCCCGATCCGTCCGGCCTCAGCCTGGGCGTAGTCGCCGAGCATCTCCGCCAGAGCCCCGGCCTCGGTGTGCGCCAAATCACGACCGGCGGTCTTGACAGCATCCCGGACATTGCGAGCACGATGGTTGTGGTCGATCCAGGAGTATCTGAAGCCCTCGCGGGACGTATGGACGCGTCGCTATGGCAGAATTTCCAGAAGTGCGCTCTGTCCTGCAAAGGTCTGATTCTGATCTCTAGGGGCGCGACCGGAGAGACCCTTGTGCCTGAGGGCGCGCTGACCATTGGCTTCGCCCGGTCGCTGAGGCTGGAACAGCCCGGGATTCGCTACGTGACGCTCGATCTCGATCCCGACACTCCGTACAGTGCCATTTCCGAGCGCCTGAGCCTGCGGCTGACCAAGCTGTTGACCTCCGAGATCTTGGATTTTGGCCGTGGCTCGATCGGGCTCGACTGCGAGTTCGCGGAGCGCAACGGCCAGCTCTACGTGAACCGGATGTTCCACAATGAGCAGCTCGATCAGAGCATCGTCCGCGCCACGGCGCGAGCCAAGCCAGAGCAGACAATATTTCTGCAGCGCTCGCGTCCGCTACACGTCGAGCTCGGCGTGCCCGGCTTGATGGAAACATTCCGGTGGGCGGACGACGTTGAGCATGCGCGCAGCCTAGCGCCGGACGAGATCCGCATCGAGTGTCGCGCGGCCAGCATCAACTTCCGCGACGTCCTCGTCGCGTCTGGTGAGCTCGGCGCGTCAGCCACCATGATGAACGACTGTGCCGGCACGGTGGTGGAGGTCGGCAACAACATGACATCGCGATATGCCGTGGGTGATCGTGTCTGCAGCTACTACGCGCAGTCCTACAATAACTATCCGATAGTCGACGGGCTTCACTGTGCACGGATTCCAGACAACATCTCGTTCGCACTGGGCGCCTCATTGCCGATCGTGTGGGCCACCACCTACCACTCGTTGGTTAACGTGGCCAGGCTGCAGGCGGGCGAGTCCATCCTAGTCCACGCTGCGGCCGGAGCCGTCGGGCAAGCCGCTGTCATTCTGGCTAAGCATCTGGGCGCCGTGGTCTACGCGACCTGCGGATCGCCAGAGAAACGCGCGCGCCTCGAGAGCCTGGGCGTCCTGCCGGAGCACATCTTTACCAGCAGATCCGCCGCGTTCGGGCCGGCTCTTCTGGCCGTGACCAAGAACCAGGGTGTCAATGTCATCCTGAACTCCCTGGCCGGTGATCTGTTCCGCGAGTCGCTGGGCTGTCTTGCGTCCTTTGGTCGCTTCGTTGAGATCGGCAAAAAGGACTTCCTGGACGACGCGCTAATGCCGACCAAGTTCCTGCTGCGCAACATCGCCTTCGCCTGTGTTGATCTGGTGCAGATGATTAACGAAGACAAGATGCTCGTACACCGCCTGCTCAAGGACGTGATCGACTTGATCGCGAGCGACAAACTGACTGATCAGGTGACTCTTCGGCTGTACAAGATGGGCGAGATTGAGTCTGCCTTCCGCCTCATCTCAGCCGGCAAGCACATGGGCAAAGTGATCCTGACGGCGGATCCAGAGGAGGCCGTTCCGGTACGTTCAACGCGATGTTTGCTTAATTCTGAGTGCGGTCTAGAAATGAATCCTTACTGACGTGATGATACCTGCAGGCGCTGCCAGAGACCCCCCTTCTTCCGGCCTTGCTCCCCGAAGCCACTTACATCTTGGCAGGTGGCTTTGGAGGCCTAGGTTTGTATCCTCATCCGCTGGCTTGCGTCGAGAGGCGCACGGACGATCGTCACCTTATCGCGATCAGGAGCCAAGACTTCCGCCGCCAAGGCATGCATCGCAGAAATGCAAAGCCAAGGCGTCAAGGTTCTTGCCAAGGCTTGTGACATCTCCTCCAAAGAGGCCTTGGAAGCTGTGCTCCGGGATCTCCGGGCTGTCGATGGGGCAGGCCCTATTCGAGGTGTCATCAACGCCGCGATGGCGCTTGAGGTGAGTGATACCAGTACTTCTTGGAGCTCCAAGAAGGAAATGGCTGACCGTGTATGAACAAATAGGATGTGATGTTCGACCAGATGGAACATCGGCAATGGCAGGCATCCTTGGCCCCCAAGGTTGCTGGAACCCGCAACTTGGACGAGCTCCTGCCCACCGACATGGACTTTTTCGTGGTCCTTTCGTCCATCGCCGGTATCATCGGTCACCCGGCGCAGGCCAACTACACCGCTGCCTGTGCGTTCCAAGACGCCTTTATGCACTATCGTCGCAGCCGCGGCCAGCACGGGTTTGCGGTCGATGTCGGCGTTGTCGGTGACGCGGGCTTTGTCAGTGAGTCTCCCGCCGTGTTCGCCAACATGAAACGGCAGGGGTTTGCCATTATCTCTGTGGCCGAACTTCTCGCGACGCTCGACTACGTCTTGGCCGCTCGTGGAGCCGAGTGTCAAGCCGCCATCGGTCTGATCCCCGAGACGGGCATCAAGACGCCTGAGTGGCTCAACCAGCGCCACCTTTCTCACCTAGTGCAGAACTCTGCGCTCTTCGCGGGCGCGGACCTGGAGGGTGGCAAAGGCAGCTCGGACCACATCGACAAGATCAGACGCGCCAAGGCGGTCGAAGAGGTAGTGGAGGCAGTCGGCGGCGCGGTGCGGGAAGAGTTGAGCAAATTGATCGTCACGCCGGTGGACCGCATTCTACCCCACCGGACGCTCGACTCGTACGGTGTTGACTCGTTAGTGGCGGTCGAACTCCGGAATTGGGTCGTCGGCATGCTGGCGGCTGACGTCTCACTGCTCCTCATTCGCGAGTCAAGGAGCATTGAGGCTCTCACCCACTTGGTCGCGAGTAAATCGCGATTAGTCCCGGTCAAGCTCCAAGAAGCTGTGTCGAAGTTGGGTTGAAGAACGCTATGAGCATGGGATATTTCCCTTTTCGCTGTCAATTTCCTGGTAGTTGGTTGCACGTAATTCTCGGGCAACTTAGGGGACCGGCAGACATCTATCTCCCGCAGCACCTTTCTGGAAGATTGGGCGCATCATACAGTCAGCTCTCGCGGGCTGCACAATGCAGGATTCTACCTCGCCGTCGCCAGCGCCACCCCGGCACCCTTGGTAGGATCTTCGGTCCCAATGTAAAACGATCAAATACGACCACATCTAACACTCAAAGAGAAGCCCTACGTATCTTGACATCTGCCGCACGTCCTAGGCCTACCAATAAAGCTTGTGCTGCATGGGATCATGGGAAGTCGTAAGTTTTGCTGACTGATCGCCCGTAGGATGGTTCCTCGGGCCCTTTCATTTCAGTATAGCTACCTGGATGACGTGAAGATGTACCTATTGTCTAAGGATTATGGCTCCGAGCCGGACCTCGACGAATTTGAGGGGCGGTACGCCTTTGACGATTACTGATCTCTAGACTCTGTCTGATAGTCATCTTGAGAACAGAATACAAACAATGACAGGCCTCAGATCCGTCTTCAATGGCAAACTGACCGACCATATAGCGAGGATGTTGATACCCGCGGAAATAGTAGTCTTCACACCCTTTGTATATGCCTTCAATTGGATAACTGGCACCCGATCCCTCCCTAGGAAGAACCAAGCCGTTTGGTTATGACGGCACCGTTCTGGGGCTTCCTGCTGGGTTCAGATGAAGAGCTGAATTTCTGCCTGTCTCGGGAACCAAGGCTGCTTGGGCATATGGCACTAAGAGAAGGGCGCCCGGATGCTCGCTGGGCTTGCAGATGCGTTTCTCTTCGAGCCACATGATGATGCCGGCGCACCCAGCGCACAGACACGCCAGGGCCACGAACAGGCCCGTTGTCCAGCTGGGGCGATTGAAGCGATTCATCGCCCACATGCAGACGGCCAGGCAGACCTGGAGGACAGAGTTCATGATATTGCCCAAGACCACCGCATCCATCTTCCATAGCGGTGTGTTGGGGTTGGTGAGACGAGATCCGGATTCGGCTGAAGATGAGCGAACGGCAGTGGCAGTGGTAAACGTTGGCAGGTCCCCGTCCTCTTCACCTTGCCCCTCCGAAAGCTGGAACCATTTGACATGGATCTCGGAGAGCCGATTCAATCCTTGTTGCCGTGTGCGCGGGGTGCGCGCCAGGCGCCAGCGGCACCATTGGTACAGGTCGCGTATGCGCCACGGGGCGAGTCCGAACCCCGTGACACAGAATAAGGCATTGAGGATCTGCGAATCGATCTCGATCCAGATGCGACGCGAGGAGTACAGGCTGTCACAGCTTGGGTGACACATGGCCGGCGCGGCGTTGCACAGCAGCAAGAAGAGCATGCCGCCCCAGGCGATCACGTTCAGTCCATAGATCGTAATGAACAATCCCAGGGGGGTGAAGATCCAGCGTACAAAGACTTGGGCTTGGACCAACCACGAGTGTGTCGCGGCCGTCTTATCTTCTGAAGTGGAGAGGATCATCAGTCTTCTTGTATATATATTGTCTGCTCAGAGATAGAGGGAAGAAGATCGGAGAAATCAAGATACAAAAGTGTGGGGATGGATTATTTCTCTAAGCCTGAGAAAGCTTACGATGGTAGGTAGCGGTTTAGTTTTGGTAGATGATCTGTCAGTCCTACGGGTCAGTTCTCTAAATGGTAGCCTAGTAGGATAGTGTAAGTCGCCTGGGAAAAGCAAGCATACCAGCGAGTCTCCTGAAATGTTTCGGCGGTAATAGGCCGTACTGCGCCAAGCTAGCTACCCGTGGACCCTCTGCTCCTGCTTACACCTCCAACGCTATCCTAGATACCTGACACAAACAGATCGCCGCCCGCCGCCAGTGCTGAGGGTTAGACCGCGGTGTTTTGCGTCGTTGATCGACCTGGAAGGCTTAGTCAAACGGTTTGCGCGCCGCCTGTCAGGGGTAAATTAGATTACAATCGCTATATAGAGATGCTTTACTGCGAGAGATCATATACGATTATATACGTAAGTGATTACAACTTACAGCCTTACATGACCTCGGACCGGGGAGAACTTTCTATTAGGGAATCGTATCTAAGTAAGAATCGCACTAATACATTTCCTTTTAATTTGACTATAAACGACAGGTTAAATTATTGGTCATAAACTTTACTGCCTGACTAGTTTGATATTTACGATATTTACAGTAAATGTAGAGTCTAGACCGCCCCACCCAGTCTCAATAGTGTTCATGTGGGGCCTCGGCTGATACGGTGTGATCCAGAAACTCCAAAACACTACCATTCCTACTCAGGAGTAAGAACGATGAGATCTGCCGTCGCAGATATGCAAGTGGACAGAGTACCGCTTCACGGCCTCTTTGAAGTAGTTTCTTCCACGAAAGCATGAATTGTAGCTGATCCCTTGGACGCTCTGCCGAGCGTTACTTTGAAGACTTCGAAAGCGTAGGGATATCATCAACACTGTCCTTATCCTCTTAACGGGTGTGACGGGGTCCGTAGCTGAGGCCTGCACAGGGCTTGGTTGACGCTAAGCACTTAGTATCACTCGGAGGGCGCTGACATGCCCGGAGGCCGCATTTGAGTGGATCGTCTATTGGTACCTGAAGCGCCCATAAGATTATATGTATACTTAGCGCGGAGCAAAGGTCCTGAGCGGGCCCCGAGGGACTTGGAAGGCCGACAAGTTGGCCAACTTCTTGATTGTTGGCTTGCTTGCCTCTGAGAATCACCCCCATTGTTATCCTCATCCTCATCATTGTACTGGATTCATCCGAACAATGCTTCGTGCATGAAGTAATTGCCCCGTAATCTTCCTTCCTCACTGTCCATGAATTGATGGAGCACCGCCTGCACTTCTTTTCCCACTGCAACCGAAATCCATACCATCTCCCACCTACAGTTGTGAACGCTCATCGTCTGTTTGCTCTGTTTCGAGACATATATCGAAGACATCCCATATCAACCCTCAATGCCCTATCCACAATTATCATCACATTCATAAGACAGGTCAGACCAAGGCCAGCAACGGAGCACACATGGCCGACCTCCAAGCAGCCCTCTGCTGCCTTTCCCCGACCACTTGGGACGCGATCCCAAGCCGTGACCCTGCCGCTCTCCGCGCCTATCTCAACGACCTCTCCGCGCAAGCCCGATTGATCATCGAGTCCGTCCCTGAGCAGCCGCCACTCGACGAAGCGAATCTGTCTATCGCACCGCAACCGATCAATCCCAATCGACCCTCCGCCGCAGCCATCCTCCACCTTTCCAAGGCACGCGCCTCGGAGATTCTTACCTCTCCGATTGCGGCAACCGAGTCCACCGTGCCCGGGCGTCCGCCCCCGCATCCACCGTCCATCGCGAACAACCCTCACCGCAAAGAATACCTCACCGCAAAGAATGGAGCAAGCCGGTCAAGACCTCCTCAGCCAAGGTGAACCCCCTCCACCTGCCAATTTACAAACTGCCCGGCGCGGACGGCAAGGGCCACTGGTTCAGCCGCCGCAGTGCGTACACCGGGCTCCTGTTCACGCGATGGCAAATGAAATTGTCCGGGGAGCTGGGCTATAGGCTCCGCTTGAACCAGCAGCAGTCCCAGAAGGGAAGACCCCCGTACCAGGCGGTGCGGGGCATTGGGGCGGAGCGCCTAGTGGAGGATATTAAGGTCAAGAGTGAGGATGGCGCGCGGGTCATTGGGCGGGTCCAGGTGTATTATAGCTCGGCGATCTTTCCCAAACCGACGACTCCCAGGGATTTTCTCAGTCTTATTGTGAGCTGGGAGGTGGTTGCGGATGTACTCGCAGGGAATGATTGGGAAGAGGGAGAGGGGACGCGGAAAAGAGCGAGGCGATGGATGATGGTTTCGAGGCCGTGCGAGCATCCCGATGTGCCGCCAAGGCAGAATTATATTCGGGGGCAGTATGAGAGTGTAGAGTTCACAAGAGAACTGCCGGTGTACAACAAGGAGGGTGCGGAGCGTGACGATGGTGAGGTGAAGGATAGGAAGGAAGGCCAATAGGCAAGAGTTCCAAAAAGCGCAGAGGAAGCTGAATCCGGTGGAATGGGTGATGGTCACCAGAAGCGATCCCGGGGGCAATATTCCCCGATGGGTGGTGGAAATGGGCACCCCGAACGGTATTGCTCAGGATGCTGTCAAGTTCTTGGAATGGGCTTGCCAGGATGATGACCATAAGGAGCATATACATTGCAAGGCTGGGACGACGGTTCAGCCGCATCAGCATGACCAACATGAACCCGGCGTAGATGTTCCGGCAGAAGAGGACGGACACAGACGGTCTGAGGAACCTGGAGAGCTGAAATATGATTCAGACACCGAATTCGAGCATCATCGCTTAATTGCCAGCTTCACATACCTGGATAATGCGGGTCTGCAGCGGTATGCGCCGCAAACCCCCCTCGACTATCTCCTTCCCGAGTCTTCGCGATACTTGGCAGCGGTCAGCCCTGCCCAGGAAGATGGTTATCCGACCGAGCAGAAAGAAGTGCTACAGACTGAGCCAGTAGCAACAATGGCCACAACGACTTCCAAAGAGTCTACTGAACCAGAGTTTAACGATGGAGACTCGCGAGAGAAAGCCTCTGTCGCTTTCTCTGCCACCTCGATTGTTCGCTCCACTGTTGACACTACTCCGGATACCTGTGCCATCGAAAAGATGGCACTGAACAAGAAAGGAAAGCTCTCATCCCACGAGAAGCGACCGGCTAAGTTAGCGGAGCGGAAACGCGACGTCGCGGCGCAGCTAGACCACATCCGATTTGAGACCCAGGCTCTTATTGTTGATGCTTCATCCGCACCCTCACAAGCAGGAACAGCCGAAGGCAGCAGCAAAAAGCAAGACAGGGCATCTGCGGTGCTGCTGGTCGCAGCTGGCGACCCAAGCAGCGAGCAATTAAGCAGCGGCCCGGGCAGCAGCGTGCACCAGGGGGTGGTGTCCAGCAATGCTAGTAGCGTCAAAAGCCGCCACAATCATATCTATCAAGACCCTGTGCGCTCCCGTTTGCTCAACGAGGAACATTAGTTATCAAAGCAAACGCAAGGAGCCTATACGCAAGACTTTCTATACAGAACAGGCACCACGCTTTATGATGCTGCCAATTTCGTGCAGCAATGGCTGTATGTTAATCCGGTATAGTGCGGGCCAGATGTGGTTGGAGGCACGCAAATCCAATAGCTAGCAGAGCCCCGAGAGGACGCGATCGGCTCCTGGGCTTTCTAAGTCCCCTCATTCCTCTTATCACCCACAGAGTTCCCCATTCCTCGTCGTTGGCGGTAGTAGCGCCGGTTTGAATATCAGCCACAAACTCCTCCACAGCGGCCATTTCCTACGAGGCGACATCGCCGTCATCGAGCCCGCCGAATAACACCACCATCAGCTAGTCGCTAACTAGCGGCATCAAGACCCTCGAAACTGAAGCTATACAGCAAAGTGCTGCTATACAGCCAAGTTCAAGTCCACAGACGTACCTAAGGAGAGGTTCGGCAACTGATTCAATATTAGCCCGACCACGCCGTAGAAGGCGTTCTGACAGCTTAAGAAGAATTCCTTTCTCTGGGTCTATTACAACCGCATGATCAAGAGGATGTGGGCTGGGCTCAACGATTTGTTGAAATAGGCGCGGACGCGGAGAGCAGTGCATGTATGATAGATCATAGACTTGTGAATAGTCTGTCTCAAAAAAAGATATACATTTCTCTCTTCTTGGCACAGTGCCTATTCCTTATAACAAGCACCATCCTTTTCAGGCGGTACAGCGTCAGCCAGCGATGGCGAAATATCGTCTCGTAGATTCCTGTTCATCCCAAGGAGAAATAGTCGTTCCCGCTTAGGGTTAACCATGGATCCGTTCTACCATGTCGCTCACTCGGGCTCCCTGACCGCGGGTAAGTTTATAGGAATTCTCCTCGATTATGGTTTGGTAATTGACTGGCACAAGGCATTGATTAAGCGGACGGCGTTATCGAGTAGGGAACTTCAACGCTAACTAATCAGACGCTTATCTGATACGATGCCGATCTCTCCAATGTATTATCATAACAAAGTGTATCATAACAAAGTGAAAACATATATACCCCTTCCATTAGACCTCAAATGTAACACTAAGAAAGTATCGGGGCAATAGGCGCGAAAGAGACTAGAGTTCTGAAGCTAGAGAAGGGAAGAAAGAAGGCAAAGTGAAGCCTCACAGGCGTGTCTAATGTACAAGCTCGTCTTGACGTCTCAGGCAACTCCTCATTCCTATAATCGCTGCAGTCTATCACATCAAGAGAGTACAGTGATGCAATCAATTCATGGTTATGGGCACTATGGTTTTATATGTGCTGATACACGTCTCGTCTCTGTGCAAGGATATACGCGGCTGAGGATGGCTAATATCTAACTGCAGGAGCATAAATTATTGCCGTTGAGTGTATATACAGTTATTAGATGGTGGGAATAGTAGCTAAAAGTTCGCGAGATTGAGGTAGTTGTACGTAGTAGCGTATAGCAGATGGCTGTATAGCATAATGCTCTCTTTAGATTTTCCATATTAACTCTCCGCAGCTACGGAGATCTCGCACACCTGGAAATATTTACCCTAATGTGGATCGATTGTGGAAAATCTGCTTCAAATTGACGAAACCCCCTCTCTCAATACTAGATAATTCATGGTGCTGACAAAATCGACGCCCTGAACCCTTGATATTATGCTTCCTTCATATGTTCATCATCCTTGCAAGTGCTAAAATAATCTGGAATATCGTGTCCTACTCGCACGGGTCAATTTAGGTGGATCATTATCCATTCCTGATTCCCTAAGGAAAGCTACTTCTGGCCTATATACACGGAAGTTACTAGAAATATTACCAGGGTAAATTATCAAAGAACTTTCAATCTTTTTTTCAAAGTAATCAGCTTTGCTAAACAATCTCCCTGCCTATCACTCAAAATCCAATGTTCATCTTATATCAATATATCATGTTAGAAAAAGGTTAGAAGTAGGCAAGGTCAATATAGCATAGGAGATTTCAAGTATACAGGTCACAAATTCCAATCCTTAAGGAAGCAACTGACTCCTCAAGTGTCCTAGGGATATAAATGGTAGCTTGCGCAAGCGCTTATGCAAGTGCTTATCGGGGGTAGATCGGACGCGATTTGGTAGCGTATTAGAATGTCCCGACGCTATATCCTAATGACATGGCTGACCCGTAACATACAGTATAGCAACGCGTTATTTGTCACTCCATACCACTACGCCCCATTTTCATCCCCTAAGCATGGAAAATACATTGTCTCAGAGTTCTCGGCCATCGCTTCTAGGAAGGGCGGGAGAGAGTCTCCCTTTTGCTCTTGTGGCGGACGGATTGCTTGTTGACCTGACGCTGCAGTATGTTGTGCAGTATGGGCCAGAGGCTAGGATCGATTCTTCCTGCCAAAAATCTCTTCACTTGCCCGCTAGTCAGGTGATAGTCTATCACTGGTTTGGCGGTAGATTGACGTGTCGTAATCTCTGGAAGGACTAGACGAAGCATCACACGTCCAATCCCATAGATCAGGATCGCGTTCCAGCAGCACGAAGAAGACGACACCGGGGGGACAAGGAAGATAACCATTATAAAGGGAGAGCACAGGAGTTTGTTTTTCTTTTTAACCGTCGTAGAAGATGAATAAAGCTTTACACTGACATTAATTGACTCCCCGTCTTAGCCAAAGTTCAAGTGTTGCCTTAATGTGCTACCTGAGATAGTTGCGCCGATTTGCCATACGTTGCAAAACCTAAGCTTGTGTATCGGCGAGCATCTATGCACCCGGTTCTCCCCTTTCATTGTGCTATTCCATCAAACATGTGCCTGCGAATTCTACATTGGAATTCCAAGAATAGTAGTTGGGAACCCCAAAGGTAGCGAGAATGTGGACGGTGAGTCCTATTGTATTTTTTTTAAATCGTCTGTGTATGTATGCGAGCCCTGCGGTTGTCCTATCTAGAAGTATAGATTATCCTCATAGTAATTAATCTATTCATATCTCCTTGCAAAGGCCGTAATAACTACAAAGCATGCTATCTGTAGATTAGAGCAACTATGATGCATAAGTCTTCATTTCCGAAATGTCCTCAATCCACACAATGCTTCAGATCCCACTTGATACCGTAAATGCGACTCCTGAGCGTTATTGAACTATCATGGGCGCAAAAAGGGCACCCCATCCTCCAGCACCAACCTCGAACCTTATAGCTAGTCCTCCAGTAGGCTGATTGCGCATGCATTGCGCATCAATAACTGCCAACAGAACTTCTCAACAGACAACCAGGACACCAATTCTCCCCCCTCTTTCACCCGATTCGTGGCGCATCCGCTGGTTCTTGATACTCACACGGCAGGCCTAGCCTACTTCCGGTTGTGGGAGAAGGACATGGCAGCTGCGGCGGCGGTGATCATGAAGAGCAGCCACTCGAACGCGCCAAAGGCGGTTGCCGCCTTGACCTCGGCGCACGAGTTGTGGCCAGAGGTGCAGGAGTTGCTCGAGCCCACATTGACGGCGACGGCGATGAAGCCGGCGAACCACGAGAGCACGGCCACGCCCTCGAAGAAGATGCCCAAGTAGCCGACCAGCGGGCGGCTAGCGAGGCCAGGCTCGAAGAAGCGGAAGATGACCACTACGAACGTCCAGGCGGCGCAGAACATCAGGAAGCCCCACGACGACGGGACGCCGGCGTACAGCTCGGCGTCGCCGTCATAGACCGGGGAGTCCACCTCGTCTTCGTGGCCGCGATACACGTGAATCGCTAGGTGACCGGGTCAGAATCTCTCTGAGGTGGAATGGTCGGTGGAGGGAAGGATGGTATTAGTGACGCGTACCGTAGCCGTCTAAGCCCATAACGATGATGGCGCAGAGTAGCTGGGCCCCTGCTACGAGGAAGTTGATGGGTTTGCTTTCGACCATGGCTGATGTCATACAGTGTGGGACTCTGGGGCTGGAGTTGGCGAGGTGGTGAGCAGCTTCAGGTAGTTGGGCTATGGCTGATGAAGAGGTGGAGTACGCAGCAGGCAACAACCAGAACGAGCCGGAGCAAAACATAGGGTCCAGACACCAGAGCAAGGCAGTTGATACAGTATGGTATTGTACTGTGTATGCCCGCAAGGTAATCTGGGAACGGGAACTAATCCAAGAAGAATTGGGCCGTGACAGGGGTTAACGAAATGCGAAACAGAGCAGATTTGAGTGATATGCCCGCCGATTACCTCTAATTAGACAGCTCCTTCAGTACCGCTGACCCCAGATATTCGCCATTTTTAGAGTTCCTGCCCGCCAAGTTTTGGCGGTCGAGTGATGAAAACAATCTGATCATCGCGCGTTTGTCTCTCGAACGAGGCAGCGCAGATGTGGGGACATTGGAGCGAGATCTCGGAATCTATGCTGCTACTGGTAAAATACTAGTAGAAGTAAGTCAAGCTCACGTTCTTGGCACTAGGGAATTCTGATTGGGCCGATGGGCCCCCCGCCTTGCGCGCGTCGATTACTGTGTAAATAATCAAATGCGCTACTGCGTAAGCCAGGACGCCCCAAGTCCAGAAACAGAAGTTCCTATGAACATCAATGTAAGCCTGCAAATTAAATCAACTTGTCAATTTCAACCACCGGCGCCCGCTCCGCGGCTCTTGGGCGTCTATTGAGGATCTTGCGCGCGCTCTGTCGGTGCGTCTTCTGACGACGCGGTGAATTTACGTACTACTGTACTCGGTGCCCATTATGCAACGACCGCTTTGGGGAGAGCAAGCCTAGACGTCCCGAGGTAAGCGGCTAATATTGACAACGGTGATAACCCTCATACACACGCACATGGCGAGGGTCTCTTGGGGATCCGCGTAAGCCAGGCAAGGATGTTTTCTTGTAGATCTTGGAGAATATTTGGATGTTGGTGAGTCTAATATCGGTCCATTCCCGGCACCAACCCCAGTCTCGAGTCTCGACGCACACCACAGTCACCAAAGACGCAAGCGTGAAGCAATCGCAGAGCGCATGCACTAACATCCCAGTGGTCGTGATTCCAGCAAGCCTCTTCCCACCTTTCTTTGCAAGTTGGTAGAACATCATGATCTTCACCCCGCCAACTTACCTTCCGGCTTTGCCTTCTGTTCCGCTCCACGAGCCGGTTGGGGATTTTTGTCTGGCGAAAAGTCTGACCAGGACGACCGGACCCAATTCCACATACAAGCGAGCCCCCCTTTGTAGAGGCAACAATTGATCAGGCATGGACCCCGGACCAAATCCGTGACCGTGTCGCGCAGGTCGCGGCTGGGTTGTGCCTGGCGTGGCAATTGGTTCCCGGGCAAAAGTGGCATAAAATTGTCGCCATCCTGGCTTCCAACAGTGTAGGTCTCCTCGACAACTCTTCCTCCGGACAGCAATCTGAGTGGGTTCTTAGGTCGACACTCTGATTCTCTCTTGGGCAATCCATCGCCTGGGCGGTGCTTGCCTCATGATGCAACCCACGAGCTCGGCGGAGGAGATCGCTGGTCACTTTGAGCGGGTGCCGCCGTTCGCCATATTCGCATCCCAGGATCTGCTTCCTCTGGCCCAAGAGACGACTCAACGGAGCTCCCAATCAGAACTGCCGCTCTACAAGCTTCCCCTGGCGGGGAGTGGCCGAGCCCGATTCACAACTGTCCAGTATCACTACTCTGGATGACTTGATCGAAGCCGCTCGAGATCTGCCTCCGTTGGACCAAGGTCTTTGGGCGGCCAACGAAGCCACTCGACGTGTCGCGTACTACTGTACCACGAGCGGCACATCGGGATTGCAGGTAAACCCACCCACACCACTCCATTCCAGCCTGTCCGCTGGTGCTGATCGGACGTTTCTCTTGCGGCGTGGTAGCGTATCGTGGCCATCACGCACGAAAACCTCATCGCTAGCATCCTGCAGGCGTCGGAGTTTCTCACGACCACCCGAGAGGCCGGCTCCGAGGTCGCGCTTGGTTTCCTCCCGTTCAACCACATCTACGGTCTGTGGACCGCGCATGTGCTGATGTATCTTGGCGACTGTGTCATTATCCACCGTGGTTTTAACTTTATGGAGATCATGACCTCGATCGTCAAATATCGCATCAATACGCTTTATCTGGTGAGTATTTTGCAAGCTAGCATCGGCTCCGGTTCCTCTCGTCCAGTACAGGGGTACTTTGATTGCACAGCTGATAGGTACAGGTACCGCCTATCATTAACGCTCTGTCACGGAACGCATCAACGCTGGCACACTTTGACTTGAGCTCGGTCCGTTCGATCGTGTCGGGTGGCGGACCGCTCAATAAAGAAGCTTTTGGCAAAATGCAAGCGGCGTTGCCGCATGTGCGAATTCTCAGCGGTTGGGGTAGGCGTCTACTGAGCGCGGAGTTTGCAGGAAAGGACTGACAATCGGGTAGGGCTCACCGAAACCTGCGGTGTCGGGTCCCTGTCCTGCTTCAGCGACATCTTCCCGGGCTCGAGTGGTATCTTGCTTCCCGGCGTTCGCATCCGCCTGCGAGACGATGACGGCGGGGAGATCGAGACGCTGGAGGCAATGGGCGAGATCGAGATCGCTTCACCCAGTCTGGTGCGCGGGTACATCGACTCGGCCAACGACGCGCTGCTCTCGCCCGCCGACAACGACCCCTGGTGGCCCACGGGTGACGTCGGGCTCTTCCGCACGGCCCCGAGCGGCGAGAACCATCTGTTCATCGTCGACCGCATCCGCGACATGATCAAGGTCAAGGTGAGTAGGCATACCACCGCAAGGTCTAACTTCTGCGCCTCGGAGACGACCGTTGACTGTTGTAGGGTAATCAAGTTGCCCCCGGCCAGATCGAGGCGCACCTGCTTCAACACGCTACGGTCGCTGAGGCCGCCGTCATCGGTGTTCCGGACGACATCGCTGGCGAGCGCGCGCTGGCCTTTGTGGTCCTGGAGCCGTCGTATGCCCCCGGCACGAGCGAGGCCGAGCTGCGCAAGGCCATCCAGGATCACAACGACCTGCAACTGCCGGAGATCTGCCGGCTGCAGAACCGGATCGTCTTCATTGAGCAGCTACCGAAGAGTGCGAGCGGCAAAATCCTGAAGCGAGAATTGAGGAAGCAGGCCGCTTCGCCTGGGTTCCGCTTTCCTTCAACCTGACGGATGAGAGCTTCAAAGGAGACGTCGGGTGTACAGGTCGGCACTCATAAACCCTAATCTATGTTCGAGCATGACCATGGGACTTGACATCAAGAATTCCTCATGAGCCACTGATACTGCTCTTTAGCCCCTACACCATTACCCCTATCATCATGATGACTTTCACGTTCCTGTGCGTCCAGCTTGCTAATCAGAGTGCCTCGTATATTAGACAGCTTGCAGCGTATTTTCTCGCAGCAGCGGTAATACCCTTCCATACCGGCATTGCCATCTTCCAAAGAACAGCACAGAATTTATGCTGGCTAGAGCACAAGTCAAGCTTGCGCGAGCCCTGAAATAACGCGCCCCTAGTCTCTGAGGGCACTTATAGTTCAACTATGCTTGGATGGAGGGTGCGCACTTCATCCGCTGCACTTTCTATTCTGCCAGTATGAGCCTAACAGCAGTAGAATCTGACCCCATAGCCTTTCAGGTTGGTCACGTCAGCGGACGGCGTTAGGCGGACGCAGCCTTTGGTAGAAACGATTATGTGATCTGGCAAAGGAACACCATATGTCCCCCTCCTTTCGTCCCAGATGCAGAGTTCTGTAAAAAGCAAGAGAATAGAAAGTCTCCTCCGGGCAGTGTGGTAGAAGTAGAAGAATATGCCCGTAGTAGTGCAATGCAAGTCCTCAGCATCCCTTGAATTGGAGCTCAGCGCAAATTTATATCCTTTCGCGGTATCGCAACATACATTGGAATAACAACTTCTGCTAACTTGCACAAAGGCCAATATTAACAAGACCCGTAGTACAAAACTCCAAGCCAAGTCCTAAATGCGTATCAAGCTTTCACCTCGGTCGCATGTGGTGTTCAGCATCACGAACTCCAGGCACCAAAGTCAGTGCGGTTGCCAGGCTAGGCGGCGCCGAGCGCGATGTTAGATAAGGTCGCGCTAACAACTAATGAGACTCTCGAATCGTGAACAGACGAGCAATATGCTTAACAAGCTTTAAGCGGTCTATCCGAGTTGAACTTTGGCAATTGTCACGTTACTAGTAGTACGTAGCGGTAGCGACAACCAAACTTGACTCTAAACGATGATCCTCATGGTGTCTCCACCTCTCCAAGTCCAGTATAGTATGCTCTACCATTCTCTGGTGGATTTGCGATCGACCCCAGTGCACGTCATCCTCACGCCAACCACATATGTCTACACTATGGTTACCAGATGACTAGTAGGGAAGGTCAAATTCGGTCATTAGGATATAGATAAGCGACCCTTAGTCCATCGACCCTATCTGTATCGATGTTCATATTCTTGCATACTCAATGTCAACGCTTTCCGCAAGTCCTCATCGTCCTCAACCTCTGTCGCCGTCGCACTAACCTTACCTTTGTTTTTATACTGTATTTCTAAGAGACTCTGCTCCTTGACGTATGCTAATACTACCTCTTCTCTCGACTTCTCCTGCGAGGTTTTCTCATCGCGTACGTCCCCATTCGGCGGAGGAATGTGCTGTTGGGGCTCGACGCCGGACACGAACTCTGTATCGTAATCCTCCGCAGTATCTGTGCTCGGCGGGACGCCCGCCGCCTCCTCCCACGGGGCTTCAGACCACGGCTCGCTCGTCTGCAGCGTCGACTCCGACTGATCCACGTCCGGCATCGTGCTGCTGCGGTGGTGGGTCCAGGCCTCTGCACTGCTGTCTGCATTCGCCCGTTGCTGTGCTGTCTGGGCGCGTCGCACTCCCTCCATGGGGTCCTGCCTCTTCTTCAGATCCTTCTGCATCAGTTTCCACCGTGTGATCACGTCCTGCCTCTCCGCCTCGGACGCCTGCAGCCACTCCTCGTAGCCCTGCGCGACGCGCGACGCGATGATATAGCTCTGCACGTCGCTGCCGAACAGCTTCTGCACCTCCTTACTGACGCCCTGCATTGTGTGGCCCAGGATGCCGAACAGCGCCGCGCTCGGCTTGGCGATGAAGCCGCCGAAGCCCTTGCCGATGCCTTTCACAAAGCCGCCGGCGCCCCCCTTCTGCGCGCCGCGCCACGGCTGCGTCACCAGCCCCGTCACCCCGTCATACCAGCCGTAGCCGAACTCGCGGCCCACTGCCTTGACCCCGGACTTGAAGTCACTGACCCGCTCTTGCGGCCGCACCGTCTCGTCCCCCCACAGCCGCGGCATGTTGTGGAACCCCCGCGCGAAGTTCACCGACATGTCCACCGGCCCCTGCACCATCGCCTTGACGAACCGGCCGGCGCCATTGCTCACGTGCACTCCCGTCGGCTGTAGCATGTCGCGCTGCGTGCCGGCGGTGGGGTCTCAGGTCTGCCTGGCTGGGGCTGCGGGAAGGGCCGCAGCCCGGATCTCCCGAGGGCGTTGACGGGCCGGCCGATCCGTACGCGGAACGTGTGGACAGGTGGGACGGTCTGCGCGCCAGAACAGGCGCGTCCCCTGCAGCCAGGCTCTGCCGGCGGCTGCTACGTCCCGCCGCTGGCATGCGTAGCCCACGCCACGTCTCGGCCGGGATGTCCGCGAGCCCCATGGTCATACCGTTGAACGCGCGCACGAAGGCGGTGAAGCCGCCGGAGATGGGGTCCCAGGGGCCCCCGTCGGTGGCGTACTCCTGGGCGCGGAAGAGCTTGAGGTCGGCCAGCTCCAGCAGGCCGGCGTCGAGCACGTGCAAGCGGCGAAGGGGCTGAGGCGGACCTGCGTGCGGCGGAGGCGCCAGGCGGCGGCGCGCGAGGGGGCGACCGTGCAGCGCAGCCGGCTGGGGTCGAGGAATTGGTGGAACGACTGGGCGCCGGCGGCAGTGCCGCGCTCAGCGGCAATGGTGCGGGCGAGGGCGGCGGCGCGCTCCCGGCAGCGTGGGGTCAGGCAGAACTCGATCGCCTCAGCCAGGTTGTCGGCGGTCAGCTGGCGGTGGGGGATTGGGCGCGGGCCGGCGCCGGCGCGCGCGATCATCGCGCCCCAGAACGGCTGGTCACCGAAGAAGGGCACCACCACCGTCGGGCAGCCGGCTGCGATGCCCGCGGCGGTGGTTCCCGCGCCGCCGTGGTGCACGACACAGGCTACCTGTGCGAAGAGCCAGTCGTGCGGTACGTTGTCCAGCATGAAGACGCCCTCGGGGATTCGCAGCTCGTCGGCACCCATCCCGCCCCAGCCTTTGGAGAGGAGCACGCGCTGGCCCGTCTTGCGCACCGCGGTGAAGATCAGCTCCGTCAGCGTGTCCGGGTCGTCCAGCACGATGCTGCCGAAGCCGATGTAGACGGGATTCGGGCCAGCGTCGAGGAAGGCCTGCAGGTCGCGGGCCGGGGTGTACGCCGAGGCCATCTCGAGGAAGTAGAACCCGGAGACCGAGATGTGCGCGCCCCAGTCGGTAGGCTTGGGGATCAGCGCCGGCGACCAGCAGTAGGTGTGTGGGATCCGGAGCCGCTGAAGCATCCCGGGGGCCCAGATCGTGCTGATCGGATCTAGCGCGAGACATTTGACACGGAAGCGGTTGATGATGTCGCCGAGACCCTGCCACGAGAGGAGTTCCACCATTGCATAGCTGATGTAGTTGGTCAGCTGCGGATCGGCGTTGGAGGATTGGATATTGGCCAGGGGGGTGCGGAAAGGCCTGGGTCGGGGAATATGGCATCGTGAAAACGATGTGGAGCGGGATGCCGAGCTTCTCGGCGCAATGGATGTGGGCGAAACTGGGGGGATTGGCGATGATACAGTCGGCCACGAAGTGTCGTGCGTCGGACCTGGAGCCAGCGTCGTCACTGCCTGCGGGCTCGGAACTGCCGTCCTCGGTGCCATCGTCGGCGCGGTAACAGGACCGCCAGCAGCCCTGAATGTATTCCGCCACGTGTTTCCTTTGTTGGCTGACATCGCCGCTCATCATGCTGCGGAAGCCCGGCCGCAAGCCGGGGTTCTTGACCATGAAGGCCATCAACCGGGTCGGGTCGCCGCCGATGCTGAAGAACTCCAGGCCATGCTGCTCGACAAATTCTTTGAAGGTGGAGTGCGTCGCGAGCCGTACGCGATGCCTATAGACGTTTTTGAGGACCTTACCTAGGGCGACGAAGGGTTGGACATCGCCGCGCGAGCCCACGACCTGGATGACGATGTTCAAGGACGGCGGAGGAGGCACGCACGGGTCGCCGCCCAGGGATGGAGGCACATATACGGGAGGGAGCTCGCGGCTGTCTTCGACGTCCTGGACGTGTTGGTGGAGGGCTGGGGCAAGGATCTGGGACAGCTGGCGGCTGAAGTGGTTGATACGGATAGCGATCCGGCCGTCATCTGTGATCTGAGCGCTGGTGCCGGTGCCATTCCTTTCGTCGTGGATCTCCCCGTAATACTCGCCGTACGCGGGCGGGGGTACGTAGTTCTCCGTCAGCTCTTGGTCGTCGAGACCGAGCTCTTGTAGGGATGTGCTGTGTCTGGACAGGGATGGTTCCGCCGCGGTCGCCGGATCGCGTCGGCCCTTGGAGGGAGGAGAATCTACCATGAAGGGAATGAGACGAGCCTGACCGGTGAGATAGCGTGGCAATCGCACGTCAATGCTAGGGTTGTTCGGTAAAATGAACAGTGCGGAGAGCGGAGAGGGGGGAGGCATGAGGGGAAAGGGAAATGGTGCGATCTCGCAATGGCGAGCGAAGTCGGGGCTGGTAATGAGGTGAGATTGATAGTGGGAGGGTTAGATTGGAGTGCGTTCTGGCCTGTATCCTCGTTGGTCTAGAATAAATAGATGCCTAAAGTGGGGTGCCGAAACATTGGAAGGTCAATACGCCAGGGGGGCCAGGCTGCCTTTTCTTTGTTTTTGTTTTGTTTTTTTCTTCTTTTCTTTTTTCCTTTTTGTTTACTTGCTTGTTTGGTGACAATTAGTATGAAAACGATTGTGGTCCCCTCTGGCTCGCTTTCAGCTATAGCCAGTTGCCCTGTTCGCACGGAGCAGATCGAAGCGGCAGATCAGCGCCCAGACGGGAAGAGGGGAAGATCGACCCGGCGGGTGATGGACCGACGGTAAGCGCAAGCAGAAAATAGGAAAATGCCCCACAGCTTGACTGCGCATCAAGAGACTGCAGGTTCGACCCCTGTGTCGGTCACCAAAGCACACACCTCCACATTCCCAGTTGGGAAAGTGGATCTTGGGTATCTTTCGCCACGCTGCGGATCCCACCAGCGGAAGCGAGTGGGTACGCCCCACTTCTATCACCACCACATTTTCATCACCAATTTTTGAACGTACCATAAAATCAATTAACCAGACTAGGTAAATCGACTGAAAGTATCTAATAATCCAAATAGGATAACTCCCTATTATCCCGCGCTTACTTTGAATTATTAGTTGATCTTTGAATATTCTCCTAAGTACGCTGTAGTGGCTTAAAACCATACCCCTTCTCGATAGACTACAGCACGATCCGTATGTCCGCAGATGTTACTGACTCCTAGCTAGTCTCGGCAAGTAATTCCTCAAAGGTAATAATACTTCACTTGGTCACTCGTCACCCCAAGTGTATCTCATCACTTTATTGCAATACCTACTGATCGCACACGGCAACAAAGCCTTAGATGCTCAAGTCCCTAGAGGTCTTGTTTATAAAGATGGAGCTGCTGAGGGTGCTGACGAGGTAAGTTTCTTATTGATCTTCCCTTCGTTTTCGTTCGTTAGGTTTTTTATCAGAACAAGTAAACAGTGAACCGTTGTCGTATTGCAATCGTGTGGTTCTTCTGTAGCACTGATATAAGATCAAGAAGATTGATCGCAAAGAAATAGATACATATTACCAAATGAGTGTGTTTCTTGATATCCAGTCCTTCCTATCGCTGATGAGCTCGGGACTCATCACTGATGTGTTAGCGCTCATCGCTGACGGGCAGTTAGTGCCTTAATACCTTGGTGGCAGCCATTTGTGGTCTCCCACTAGCCGTTCCGTTATATATTGCAGTATTCTTTACAACTGCTAGTTAGCTGCTGTTTCTGGCTCCGCTGTTACATACTGTTACATACGAGTCAACCACGGTAGGTTGGTTGGTCATGGTTGACTTATTTCCTTCCTATCGAAGCGAGTCCTATCGAAGCGGGTCCGTAACAAGGAGGAGGAGGAAGATTCGAACTATGTATTTTGGCGATCTAGTTACTCAAGGCTTTCTCCAGAATGTACGAAGAGTATTATGATGCGGGTCCTTTGGAATGGGAGGTAATTTAGCTTTTTGGATGCGCGAAGAGAGTGATAAGACACGTCGGATTCACGCGGCAATTTCCCTCATACACGGCTTACTTTCCACATATAGCAGCTGCAAAGACCTTGGCCATTCGATCTTCGCTAAGATTGGAAGATTTAGGCATGTTTGGTGGTGGTGCGTGGCGCACCCACGAGCGGAACCGAGTGGGGCCCCCTCGTGGGGGCCGCAGCGTAGCGAAGGCCACAGGTAAATTATCATACGCTCTCAGTGGCTCGGGGGAATAAGCAAGTGGGGGCCGCCCGTGAACATCCGGTCCCGCTTAATTAACGGGGTTGTCGCCTAGACATTCCCAAGCATCAGCCCCGAAGCCTTTCCACGGTTGTGAGCCCACACCGGTGATAGGCTCGTACTCAGCACCACAGGATTCTATAAGCCTTAGCCAGGTAAAATCAGGAGGAGTTTTATTTAGAAAAGAGCGGGAGAAGGACATGTCAACACGAGACGAGGCAGAGACGAGCAGACAGTAGCATTCACGAAGTGAAGGCGTCGCGAGGCTGGTACGGCGCCGGGAGGCCTTAAACTTCCAAGTCTTATCCACACGTTGGATCCAACTTCGGTAAAGTAACCACCAAAGACCATGGCATGCCACCGGGGCCGAAGGACAGATCTCATGACTTGAGTTAGCTCTTGGGCATGTGCTGTCATTTGGACGAATCATAAATTCGACATCTACCAAAATGCTGCCCTTAGCGCCCCTCATGGGGCTATTGCATTGAAATCTGCATTTGTTAATACAAGAGCTGTAACGTAATTCCCGCATGAACTAATCGGGTTGAGTGGGTCATCCAAAACACCAAATTAAATATAATATTTCACAACTCCAAATTTCAATAACTCAAGTTGATCATATGGTCTAATAGTAAATCGGTACTTTAAGAATACTCTACTAACTAGGTATTCCTATAAGCTTATGTGATATTTTAGGATGTGGTAATAGAGATATATGTATCTACATCGCTTAATCGGAGCATAAGTTGGGTATAATATACATAAGTAATCGTATTCTGAATATTTCAGCTATATGTACTAATATTATACTACTTCAAAATTAAGAAGAATTCTGCTCTTGTTTTTGATATTTCATAGCTTAAAACCTCACGTTTAGTATAGTGTTTTGGGGTAACCTACTTAACAGGGTGATTCGTTCATGCGAGGGTTACCTTAGTCTGCATTAGTTACCTGCTCCGCAATCAGCACTACATCCTTCGCAATCAAGACATACTTTCCCAGACATGCTATATAGGTAAGACGGGCTGTGCTAGAAACGGAAGCCGTCAACCAATGGTCAACTCCGACCTGCAGGTCAACAATAAATAAGCAAGGTACGCATCGCCGATCGATGCTTTGACCCCCACAGGGAGAGAATGGAAAAAAAAGGCCTGAAGAACATCCGCCCATATCGAGCGCATGAAATATGGAACTCGTAAGTCGCACGGTGTGCCATGTCGGACTTGGGCGGAGTAGGCTAACAGAACGACATCGCGCAGCCTACGTACGTGATTCCGGAATCGTTGCTGTCACGGCAGCCCGCACCGCTGGCCCCACGCAGCGATCGCTCGTTACGCCGATCATTCAGCGAGCTGGAGGATCTCGCTCTTCACAGCCGAACGGCAGACAAGAGACAATGCCCGAGCGCTGAGTCTGCATCGCTAAAGTCCGGTACGGGCTGCATAGAGCTCGTAGGTCCCGCAATTTGTTTGCTCTCGCTATCCACGAAATACTCATATATAATTCCACTCTACAGCGACAGCACACAATTCCAGAGTCTTTACAATCACCGCTATTGCACGTCGACCGGGCGTTACAAGCACCGACAGCGCGCAACGACGGGTTCGCTCGTCATCACAACATCCCCACCACGATTCCCCATTCAGGGCTGAGCAGAGGTATACCTTCGCCATCGCAAACGGGCGGTCTCGCGCTTAACACTCATCGGGAAGTCCAGAAGTACTCGCCCTTCTCCACCCCGCTGAGTGCGAGACAATCCGAGGAGCTGTTCCCCACGGGGCCGGCCGCGCGCCGATCCCCGGACGAGGGTCCGGACTTCACATTGCCATTTCAAACCACCACCACGGCGAAAGATTTCGACATGAAATATGATTGTTTCCTAGGTGAGTCCAGTGGCGATTCATTAGGGGGTACTTCCGCGCTGACCGATCAGAAATGCCCGACAAGAGATTCTTCCCAACCCCATCTATGACAGATCCGCAGGAGGAGGCGCCGACGTCTATTCTGATGTGGAACGCGGCGACGAAACAGCCCGAGCTGCTGGACGACGCGGGAGAATATGTGCTCGACCCCGCCGCATCGACAGAAGCCCGACTCTCGCCCGTGCTCAAGGCGGTCGCCGCCGCCGGTTTTGAGAGCCTTGACAGTGCGCTGGTTGCGTACTATGCCAAATCGGTGAAGGAGGACGATAGATTGGGCCAGGAACAGCGACTCAATCGGATCCGGCGGCTGCCCGTGCTCTTGAAGGAACTGCATCTCGCGTCGGAAGGCTGGGGGCAATGGCAGCGGAGGAGCTTTCAGGAGCAAGTCATCAAGAGCACCGAAGACATACTTATCGCCGAGTTAGAAAACCATCTCGCCGCAAGGAGTGCGAATGCGCATCAATTGGCCGGGGCGGGGGGGCCATCGCGCCAAGCCTTCCGGTACAAGGCACAGGACGAAACAGACATCGAGGCCGAGGTTCGTCACACGCAGCCATCCCATCCACCGTGCAAAACGCCCCTTCGGCCATGCTAACTGGAGATGCAGCTCCCTAATACATGGACGTTGCTCACGTCACTCTCTACAAAATACGACACGATCGCGGCGAGACATGGGCCAAGCGATATGCCGAACCTGGTGAGCAGGTTCCTGGCAGCCAGCGCGGATTTAGACACTTCAGGGGCAAGAGGAGGGGGGTCTGAGCCCACATCACACGGCAACACAAATCATTAACTCCATCTAAAGGTCCTAGCCCTCTTGCGGGCCGACGGAGCTTGGATTAGCGGGCAGGTACATAGTGCTCCACAAAAATGATAGTTACCACCAACAGATCTTTCTCCACTCCCCGGGGCCGAGTCGTATTGGATTAGTAAGCCACGTTGCCCACGTGGCGGGCGAAGTAGTCTTACAGTGGGTGGTCCGTAAACGCAAGCACAAATTTACAATGGAAAGCATGGCGCGCAAGAACCACACGCAACATGTTTACGATCTCGGCGGAGATGTAGATGTGGGCGGAGAGCAATGCCTTTGAGTGTGAATACGCCGTGCGGGTTATCCACGGCTATAGAAGGTAGTCAAGTAGGCCATTGGCTTCTGCGATCCCGTACAAGCGGTTCACTTCTAAGCATGGCACGCTACAAGGCGAGCTACCCCTCAAATGAGGCTGTTGGAGAGATAGAGAAGAGGAGGAGGTTGGGTGATGAGCACACACTCATCGGAATAAAGCGGCGGCATCTTCATAGCTCTAATAACGTATAGTTCAGCTCAAAGTATCATCAAATGCAGCATCAGGCGTCACGCATGCGAATATGCCTATTTATCGGCAATATTTACTGAAGATTCTATAGAAAATCAGCGGAAGTCATCGCATGATGGTGTTCATCGACTCGACGGGGACATGAGCCGGGCCATTTCTATCTATCGCGCTGTGGTCTCTAGGCTCGCGGGTGTCCTGGCGTGTATCCAACCCAATCTGCTGTTCAAGGTCCTCTATTTCCCCGACCTCCGGGAATATCTGGCCCCATAGCCAGACGGCTTGCTTGAAGACGCGCTCGTAGGGCGACATCTCATCCCAACCGTTTGCCGGCGGCTGGGCCATGGCGAGCTCGTCGACGATGGCTCTGCAGGCGCCCACGAAGCGCCCGAAATTGTCTGATTTCCAGTTCTCGATGAATGCCTCGCGTGGAGTGGCAGTGTGGTTGTCTTCTGGTAAGGGCTGGACGCCATTCGCGTCTGCCTGTGCTTCGGGTGGCAAGGAAGCTGGGACGCAGTAGGGGTTCTGTGACGGTGATTTCGGCGCAGTCTGCGCGACGAATCGAGCCGCATAGGAGAAGGACATGTGGAACAGCTGTGAGCTGGTCAGCTCGGGGTTGATGGAACCGCAGGGTGGGGGGAACCGCAACCTACAGTTTCGGTCGCCCACATCATCACCATGCCCTCGAGGAGAGTTGCCGACGGACACGATGCGCTGTTGAACAGATCGACGAAGCCTTTGGTGGGCGGTGTCGGTTCGCTAAAGCTGACCTGGAGTCCGTACTTGCGCTTGGTAGCTACCAGAAACTCTAGCTCCCGCTTCATGTTACTTACCGCCGCGCACAGCAACTCGAGACAGCGGAACGTCGAGTTGTGTTCCAAGTCGTCGACTTCGGGTATGCGGATTTTGCCTATCAGTGCTCCAGTGAAGGAGACTAGCGATCGGGAGATGTACCCAATCTGCGTCAGCCACTGGTTGAGAGCGCTCTCCGGCAGCAAGCCACATCCCGCATGTGCCAAAAAAGCATGTTGAGTACTGCTTATCAGTGAGTCTTCCGCTTGCGCCAGCAGATGTTGCGCCAACGAGGGCGCTTCAGCCACCGGTGGTGTTTCGGGGAGGGAAGGCGGAGGACTGGATACTCGTGGCGCTATTCCGAGACGCGCGCCATTTTGACCCTCGTGATTGACCAGAAGGTCGGGGCTTGGCCGTCTCTCAACCCAGAGGGCTGCATTCTGATATTGCTGATCACTGATCGTCAAGGCCCCGTTTGTCAACAGCTCTTCGCCTTCCGTGGTGGACAAAAAGTCCTTGCATTGGCCCAGATGCTCCGCCTGCAAAGTGGCGTTTTTCGGTTGGACAAAGCCGCAGCTTTGGCATCGGACGCGGACGCACTACGGGAGTCCCTTAGCGATCAGAGTAAGGAAAATCCGCCCCCCCCCCCCCTCTCGCCCACCTTTTCGAGCATACGTAACGGGGAAAAGGTAAGGCGTAAGACATACCTTATGGACAAGACTATCGTCGACAAACTCGTCAAAGTACTTGCTTATGTCCATCGTCGATCGTATTTGTTGCATAGTCGACGAATCGGTAAGACCTTTGTTAGACTCGCTGAGCAGTCTGCGGCCCGCAGCATTATAGGGATTCGGCGGCGCCAGTTCCTGACCGTTCCCTGCCGCCCTCCACGCAGTGTATTCCGGACACTTCTGGAGATGTGCCTGGGACAGTGGTGAGTGAGTGTGCTCGCGGTCCGGTTCGCGAATCCGGTTCTGACCTTCTTGCGGATAAGGACTCTGGCGCTTCCCTGCCATCGCTTACAATGGCGACACCGGACGGTCCCGCCTATCGTGGGACTTTCGATTTTCTCGAACTAGGGAAATCGCTTAACAACTGGAAATCAAGGCCCCGAGCGCGCGGGGCGAGGAATACTACCTGATCATGTGTGTACGTGTCTATTGGCCGCGGCATGGCTCTCATGGTGAAGCAGTGGCCGCTATCGATGTGTCCAATACGGTGAAGGGCCTGGCCAATGAAAGAATACAGAAGTCTGAATTGCTATACTGCCCAAGACTGCCATTTAGTTAACTAAGAGCCATTGGATGAATAATCAAAACACAGGAAAAACCATTAATCCTTCCGTCTCCACTGCACTTCCTATTCCGATATATATTTAGAACTTGCGAGGACCCTCACCCGAGTCCAAAACTGTTGTTCGATATGTGAAGCTTCAGCGTTAATCTTCTTGATGGGAGTTGATCGTGTGTCGTGCTACACGTATCTGCAGGACTTTATTGGACAGATAAAACCTACGGCAATACAAGGCTTGGGGATGTACGCTTGCGACGAGCACGTCTAACTTCCTTTTGTTGATATTGCGCTCTGCCCTCCAAATGTATATGAAACGCAAGCTTTATATTCAATGAATATAGTCTGAAGCTGGCGGTCCGATAGATTGATGTCTGGCTTGTGTAAAGTACGGCTCACGGAGGTTGGAGTGATTCGGGCAACAGAACGAAGGGGAAGGCAGTTGATTGAACTGTTCGCTGCTCTTCTAGAGTGCGTGCGGTGCATGGTATATAACATAGATAGCCAGTCATCATTTGAGGCTGCGTAGACGCCTTCAAAGGGGACGCGTATCTTCGCTTGGAAATCTGCGTCTCATAGTAAGCTACATATTGGTTGGATTCGTGATAGTTCGTCCAAATGAAATGGGTTGGAGGAACTCTGGGCCGGCTCCTATCGTGTGTCAGTGCCCAAGGTGTCTAGCTGTAGCTCGGAGGCCTTAGTCCTGATACGGAGGGAGCTATGCTATTATTAAAAGTGTAACTAACGTTTATTACCCAAGCAATTACTTGACTGAATGACTTCCGGCTCGAATGGAATCATATGGCTACGTATGCTGGTTGTCCGAATACCTACCTGTGAGACAATGAGCCTCGGTATTGAGCAAAAATTGAAACTAAAAGAGTGGGCTACGAACAGTATTAGAGTCAGAACACCAGTATGTCTGAGAATTTCCCTAGCTAGTTGAACATGGTCTACTGTTCTACAAGGTGGGTGCTGTCGGAGAGTACTTGCTGGCCCCTAACTAAACACATGTAAGGGGACCCTTAGGTCAAGGTATACATGACTTCTTGCTTGATCGTAGTTTCCTGGAGCCGTAAAAATCTTAAATGATAGCAAGCCTGTACGTATGACCAGTCATGCAGCGCATCGATCTTTTATCGTACTATTAGGTCTACCACCTGATTTCTTACATGGGCTGAATGATTCATCCATTTCTTAGATTGATATTATTGCCAGGGCATGTTAAGTAGTTTTCTGGTCTGAAATTTTCCTTCCAAATCCTGTATTTAGCAGAAGAGGCCCCCTTCAAATTGTAATCGGATGTTACAGTAAATATCTGGCTTTCCGGTGTCGCCTCTAGCCCCTGCCTTGCGTTAATTCCTCTGATTCATGGTAACTTCTATGCCCCTCCAGCGGCTGCATTCGCGCCGTTTAGCCGGGTTTTCTACAGAGCCACGAGTTAACATAACATTTGTGTTGTCCCAGAGCCTTCGTAACTTACCCATAAATGTGGCGCCAGGACGAAGCTCAATATCCCAGCCACTAAGAAGAACAGCCACACATTGCTCATAGCCTCTGTAATTTGTGGTGTCACCAGGGCTCGCTCAGATTCTGATAGTGCTTTATAGGCCCGGCTACTGGTACCTGCGACTAAGTTGGTAATATCAGCCACACTTAGTGTCGGTACTGCTCTGGCTACCTTTTGCAAGGCGAGGTTTTGATAGATTGAACCTGCCATCGCAAGGAAAATTACCATGCCAAGATCTTGAGCTATTAGTGTTAAGTAGAATATTAGTAAGGTCTAGAATAGAACAGTCTGGGGAGTCTTACAGATAGCCATTGCACCAACGGCATTCGGTATATCCTTTAGCGTAACGAGAGACTGTAGGACAGGGAATCCGGCGACCACATAGCACCCTGATCCAGCACCGACTAGGATACTGTATCCATAGATTTTTGCGTTGGATGTGTTGATGTCTGCCGTGTCTGCGAGTCGCCCTCTATGTTAGTATCCGTTTTATCCTGGAATATGATGGTTACTGACACATTAATGCTGTTCCAATAACTACAAGTGTACTGCCGAAAAGGTTCCATGGTAGGATAAAGGGTAATTTAGGCATCAATGCTCCGTTGACCATGGCGAAGACTACCATGGAGATAATAAACGGGAGAAGCCGTACACCTGCATCCAAGGGGCCATCACCCTATCAGTGGGCACAGAATTGGTCAGTATTGCACCAAGACTTTATCCTCAAGAAAGAGACTACAAACCCGGACAAATTGGAAGAACAGGGGAATGTAATACGTCATTGCCTGTGCGCAGTCAGTACAAGTATACTCTCTCTTATCTTAATCGGAGTAGAATATACATACCAGCACAATACCAGACACCAGGAACATTTGCACCTGAAGGTTAATCATTATGGGCCGCCGAAGGAAGTGTGCTGGATAGAGGCGGTCGTCCTTATGCACGCCTGGGTGATATTTGGCCACGAAAATGCAGACAATGAGAAGGGCCCCGGCAACTACCCAGAGCGCAATCTCGTTTCCAGAATTCCACGGATACAGTGTTCCGCCAAACGTGATCGCCATGACCAAACAGGCCGATCCAGCAAGGAACGTAGTCGTCATGATCCAGTCCACCATGCCGCACTTCTCTGCCAGGGTTTTATCCGGTTTTGGATCCACGCTGGGAATAAGGAAAAGGTAGGCTGGGGCAAATGCGGCTCCGATCGGAAGGTTTATGTAGAAGGCCTAGTGAAACATACATAAGTAAAGATTCTAAGCTCATGTCAGATATCCCAATAACTTACCCATCGCCAAGTCGCAGAACTATCTGCAAACGCGCCGCCAACCTATACACCTAGTCAGTCCCTCCAGGATTGGCGTTGAAAATGGAAGCACCTACCACTGGGCCAAGTACACTTCCAATTCCCCAGATTACAGTGCTTCCAGCCATATAGATCGGGCGCTCTTTCAGCGAGGTCAACACGGCCACAAAACTCAGCGTCCCCGAGTACATGCCTGATCCACCCACGCCGGCGATGACACGACCCAGCACAAGGGCAGTCATGTTCGGAGCCGCACCACATAGAGCACTTCCAGTCTCAAAAAGTGCAATGTTAAAAAGATAGACGTATTTCGCGTTGAAGACCCCGTATACCTTGCCCCATGGCAGAACACACATAGTGCCGAGCGCGAACCCGACTCCAATCCATGGAAGAAGCGAGACCTCACCAAACAGGTCGAGAATGACGGGTTGAATATCGGCGACCTGCATTATTGCGGTCAACGTAAGTACCCACGACATGGGGGGAAATGGAATCGCACGATTGTATTGTCCAACGCAAATAGAAAGGTAGTCGAGATCATTGAGGCATACGCGATGGCCCACTATCGAAAATCAGTTATGAGTACCTTATCTGTCCTCCCGGGAACTTTACCTTCCACCCATGAATCGGACGGGGCGATGTCTCTTTGGGGACGACATTCTCGCTGGAGTCGGTGCTGGCGATGTTCCCATTGCTGCCCTGTTTTTCTAAATCGGCGACGGGCATGATGAGAAACGTAGAATAAAGAGTAATGCTTGATTTATAGTACGCAGTAATTGAGATAAGAGAATAATCCACGAGGGCGTTGCTGATTCTATATGATTTTATAGATGTCCCAAAACGGTCAGGTATGGCTCGGAACGGCCGCTTCAAGTCCGCGTCTTGGCGTGGATCGGCCGCCTCAACTCCGTGTCATTGCACCGTCAACGGTCACCTGACCATGTCCATTCGACAGCTCGTTTCCCAATTTGGCAGGTACCATCTTCTTCTCCTCCCCGGCTTTGCGTGAATGGACGGCCAGATACTCCTTAATTAGTCCCCGATAGTCTCGCGGCCGGTACGGCGTGAACCATTCTTCGAAAAAAGTCTTCTTGCGACGCAAATTCAAGCCAAGATCTCTCATCAGCGTGTCCAGGTACTGAGACAGAAAGACCCCTGTCAGTACTTGCATCCCGGTGGTACATACTATCCCGCCTGTGTGATGGAGTGTGACTGGCTTACCGAGATGTAGTCGTAAATAAAATATGAATGTTTCTTCCCCTGTTCAATATATCGCTTGCGGGTCCATGCGTTGAAGGTGGCCGCCTCAAGCTCCATTTCCTCCTGTCCAGGGACTTCCATCCACCCGTTCAGGAACGCAAACCCCCATAGCGCTTGCAGCTCCGCTGCCAACGGCGTGAAGGCAGAGTGGATGTGACCTGGGAACACGATCGACCGGTCTCCTTTGGCCGCCAGCTCGGGAACGATAAGACGACGGTAATGTCGATTTGGCCCTTGACGATGCTTTTTATGTTCTAAAGAATCGAAGGGAGTGTTCTTTAGAATTGGCAGCAGGGTATTCACTTTCTGCTCGGCTTTGGCGTCTAGGACCGTCCACCGAGAGAATGACGATGAGTCGTAATGGAGAGATAGCTCCTCCTGCAGCTGCGGACTGAACGTGCTGTAGCCCTTGTCAAACCCGGTGCAGTGAATCACCACGTCTGTGGCGACGGAAAATCCGTTCTTAAGGTTAACCACGTCAAGGTGCGACAGTGACTCGATCTCCGTGCGATGTACCGTGACATCTCCGTCGTGGATTACCTGCCAAAAGTCGGGCACGGTCGCTATGCCAATCCCACCACTACCCCAGAAAAGCCTGTATCCAGACGTTAGTTCCGAACCCTTCAGCAAACAACCACAGCAATCTTCTTACCCATCCGTGTGAGGCCATGGCCGCAGATGCTCGGTATGCTCACTATCGCCGAATTGCGCATACCTCGCTGCCAGGCCCGTGGCAACTTGCCAATAGACACGTATAAGTGACCGCCCAATCATGGTGCGCTGCAGGAAACTGTCCCACAGTCCACCCGAGTTCATGATACTAGGACTGAAGCTAGACGCAAATCGAGTGGAGATATGATCCGATATATGCCACAGACCCATGAACGTCGGTGCGAAGATAGAAAAGGCTCCAGAAGCACTTGGTCGAATGATCCAGTCCACCTTCTTCCCAGCCTTAAGAAGCTGGTATACGGTGTCATATGATGATTTGGAGGCTCCTACCACCGTGGCTCGCTGGACTGCGTCACTACCTATCAGGGACAGGTTAGTGGCAATGTCCAACGAGTGAATGACCGGCTTGTGAAAATTATCGCGTGGCCATGCCGGTCGGATTGGGCTTGAATTGGCTCCCGTGGCGTATATCAACTTGGTGCATTCGATAGGTTGCTGTCCGGACTGTGTTTCCACGATCCAGCCCTCGTTGTTTGCGTTTCTGCGCACTTGAGTCACACGTGTTCGAAGGCGTATGTGGCGCATCAGGTCATGATCATTGGCAAAGCTGACAAGGTAATTGTGAATAGCCTGCCCGGAGATGAAGCCATCTGGAGAGATCCCTTCATTCTTCATCGGATAGAAGGAGTACTCAAAGAGCGGATAGCTGATCTGTGCGTACAGACTGGGGTAAATGCGCTCCTGACTCCATATTCCACCGATGGTCTCCCCATCATCCACAACGAGCAGCGTAGTCTCTGGTGCCAGTTTGAGGTATGTTTGTGCTGCAACCAGCCCATACCAACCTGTGGAGGTTAGACGAGTACACCTCTGCAGAGGACCGGGTTTCACTTACCAGCACCCACGACAAGGACGTCTAACTTCTCCATGATATGTGCCACGAATATCTGTCAGCTCGGTGAGTAGCTACAATGTAGGAAAGGCAATGGCTCAAAACTGGAATCTGATGCCGATTAAAAGCCAGAAGGTGACAAAGAGAATCGGCGCGGTCGTCTCCTGCATTAACTAGTTTCCTGCGTTATCTCTGTTATCGTCGGCGCGATCCTTATCTTCGTCGGCCTTTCGACCGCAACATGCACCAGATTGGGGTGCCCGGGGCTTACCTGGCGGATGCGAAGGTTGCAGTTGTCGGCCGTTTTTAGCCCGCGTTATCGTCGGCGGCCTCACGCCCCCACCGTAAGCCGCAGGGTCCTACTGAGTATGGCCACAAACAGTGCCTACAGCTACCTGGATATGAATCCTTCCGTCCAATTTCCCTACGGCCGGTATGTACGGCAAACATTCGCATTCGCATTTGCGTGCGGTGGGGAGCGACGGACACCAACATCCGTCACAGACGAGTCTGTCGGTAGAATTCTTGGGCCTTTGGGAAATGTGCGGGGAAAGCAGCTTCCGTTGGAGAATTTGCACTAATTTGCCGTAGGCGAAGGGGGGGGTTAGATACAGAATTCTAAATGCAAGCTCGGTAATGGTGCGCAAGTATGTCCATGCCTGGAGAGAAATATATATCTCGCCTCCACGAGGTCTGACACATGACACTGTACAGGTTCAGCCTTTTGTTATCCACCCATTGCGTTCATAGAATATCCATAGACGACAATGCCGTACCTCAAGGACAGCTCGTCCCCCGGAGGTTCTGACTCCGAATCCACCCACCTAGTCACCTCGAAGCACCAGCGCGTCGTGAACGACTGGGAGTATACTGGGAGCGAGCACGAGCCACCCCTGAGCGAGCAACTGGAGCCTATTGCTGTCATTGGAATGGGTGGGTGACGATCAATAAATAATCATGAATGGTTCATTGGAAGTGCAGTGTTAACCAAAGAACAGGATGCCGCCTGCCAGGCGATGTCGCCTCGCCCGCCGATTTCTGGAAGATGATGCTGAACAAGGGGACTGGGCAGACGCCAAAAGTGCCACCGTCGCGATTCAATATTGACGCCCATTTTCATGAGAACAATGACCGCCCTGGTAGTTTTAGTGTGCTAGGTGGCTACTTTTTGAACGAAACCTTACAAGAATTTGATCCGAACTTCTTTGGAGTCACCCCTGTGGAAGCAATGTGGATGGACCCCCAGCAACGGAAGCTGCTCGAAGTGGTCTATGAGGCATTCGAATCAGCTGGCGTTACTTTACAACACATTTCAGGGTCTGACACTGCCTGTTTCATCGCCACGTTTACTTCCGACTTCCAGCAGATGTCGTTTAAAGAACATAGTTTCCGGCACAGTTTAGCTGCCACAGGAGTTGATCCTGGGATCATCAGCAACAGGATTAGTCACATTTTCAATCTCCAGGGCCCGAGTATCGTGGTCAACACTGCTTGTTCCTCGTCGGTATACGCCATCCACAATGCTTGCAACGCACTGAGAACCAAGGAGTGCTCTGCCGCCGTCGTGGGTGGATCAAATCTCATTTTGACTGTGGATCAGCACATGAACACTGCCAAATTAGGTGTCTTGTCACCAGATTCGACATGCCATACGTTTAATGAGCACGCCAACGGCTATGGCCGTGCAGAAGGCGTCGGTGCAGTTTACCTGAAGCGACTCAGTGATGCTATCCGTGACGGAAACCCCATCCGAGGAGTTATCCGATCCAGTGCAACTAACAACAATGGAAAAGTCCCCGGCGTCGGCATTACTCACCCTAGCTATGACGGCCAGTGTGCCGTCATCCGGCACGCCTATCGGCGTGGAGGACCCCTGGACCCAGCATTGACGGGGTATTTTGAATGCCATGGCACTGGTACCGCAATCGGTGATCCACTGGAGGTATGCGCAGTGGCAGATTCGATGAATGGCTGGCGGCCGGATAATGCCGACCCATTGATGATTGGCGCTGTGAAGACAAACATTGGTCACAGTGAGGCTGCTAGCGGACTCTCCGCTGTCATCAAGGCGATTCTGGCCGTTGAGCGTGGCATCATCCCACCGACGCGAGGTGTGACCCAGTTGAACCCGAAGATAGATTGGAAGGGCTGGAAGGTGAAAGTTCCAACTGAGCCAACGCCTTTCCCAGCCCATCTTCCCGTTCGGAGAGTAAGCGTTAACTCATTTGGATACGGAGGGACCAACGCACACATCATCGTTGAGGGAGCCGATTCTCTCCTCACTGCACCGCAACAATACAGGTACTCTGGTCTTCATGGTAGACCCCGAGCTCGCACCACCAGACGAGCGCTCGAACGAAACCGACCATTTTTACTTCCCTTCTCAGCTCACGATAAGCCAACACTTAAGCGAAACATCGAGGCACATGGAGAGGTTGTACAGCAGTACCATCTGCTTGATCTTTCCCATACGCTCGCCAATTGTCGGACGCGCTTTCCTAGCAGAGCATTTACCGTGACTACAAACGCCCAGAAAGAAGCTACCTTTAGCGAAGGCCTGCAACAATTCGTATTTGCCGATAAGAAGAAAGCCGAATCTCTGGCATTTGTGTTCACCGGACAAGGAGCACAGTGGCCCCGAATGGGTGCAGAGTTGATGACATATTACCCCAGTTTCCTACAAAGCATCCGACAGATGGATACCGTCCTTGAGGAGCTGGAAGATGCCCCAGAGTGGACATTGGAGGACAGTCTACTGGAAGATGGGAAGACATCGCGTGTCAACTTGGCTGAATTCTCACAACCGCTGTGCACCGCAATCCAGATTGGTCTAGTTCAATTACTCCGATTGTGGGGGATCACTCCATCCGTCACATGTGGGCATTCATCTGGTGAAATCGCCGCTGCATATGCTGCTGGCCTTATTTCAGCTGCTGAAGCCATTGTCCTAGCCTATTACCGTGGGAAGGTCGTGCGCGACATCAATACCAATGGCGCTATGCTTGCTGTCGGGCTTGGGGCAGACGCTGTGGCCTCGTACATTGCGGCATACAATGGATCTGTGGTTGTGGCGTGTCACAATTCCCCAACGAGTATCACCTTGAGTGGCAACGCGAGCGCCCTAGAAGCTATACAAGAAAAGCTATCCGCCGTGAATGTCTTTGCACGGATAGTGAAAACAGGCGGCAAGGCGTATCACTCCCATCACATGAAGCCCGCAGCGAGCAGATATGAGGCACTTGTTCAGCGTGCTAGGAAGGTTGGAAATTTGGACGGTGGGAAGTTCGCCACAGAAAATGTGAGGATGGTATCATCTGTCACTAACACAGTTCTCTCGGAAACCTCGGTCCTTGACGAAACCTATTGGAGCGCCAATCTTCTGAACCCAGTCTTGTTTACACAGGCACTTCAGATCATTGGCTCTGATGCAGAATTCGCCCACATTGACACAATCATTGAAGTCGGACCTCACTCAGCACTTGCCGGTCCAATCCGTCAGACAAAGACCGAGTACAACTTTGAGAAGCTCCAATATCTTCCTACTCTGGTTCGCAACGAACATTCAGCTGAGGCCCTACTCAAGCTAGTGGGGGAGCTGTTCTTACGCGATTATTCGTTTGACATCGAACGTGCTATTGCGATCGAAGAGACTTCTCCAAGTGGCAAGATCTTCTGCTCCCGAGGAAATCTGATTGTTGATCTTCCCCCGTATCAATGGGATAAATCCAAAAAGTTCTGGGCAGAAGGGCGTGAGAGCCGGGAACATCGACAGGCAAAATACATGCGGCATGATATTCTGGGAAGCTTGGTCCCAGGATGCTCCTTGGCAGAGCCGTCATGGAGGAACTTTCTTAGAATTCGTGACTTGCCTTGGCTAAAGGACCACTCCCTCGGCGGAGAAGCCGTCTTCCCTGCCGCTGGATACTTTTCAATGGCAATGGAAGCTATCACGCAGATTGCTGAGAGAGAGCCCCCGCCGACCTCCATTGAGGGATACATGCTCCGAGATGTTAGCATCAAACAAGCCCTTGTCACACCAGATGATGATACTGGCATTGAGGTTATGCTTACCATGCGTCCATCCCTTCATACTGCCACCGAAGGCCAAAGTCCGTGGTGGGATTTCAATGTATCTTCAGTTGCCGAGAGCGGCCACGTCAAGGAGCATATGGCTGGCAGCATCGCCACAACCACCCGTCGGGAGGAGCGCAGCATGCGTGTCATTCCCAATCTGCCTCAGCGCGCCTCAGGAAAGTCATGGAATCAGGCTCTCAATGCTGTTGGCTTCTACTACGGTCCAACTTTCCAGGATATGGAGAACATTCGGTTTGATGGCAAGACATACGCTGCAACCTGTGATACGCGAATCAAGACCACGGTAGAAGGGGTGTTGGGGGAGTCACGACATATCATACATCCAGCCTCCATTGACTCATGTTTACAACTTCTGATTGTCGCTAATTGGGCTGGCCGCAGCGCCATGATGACATCCGGTGCTGTGCCTATCCAAGTGGATGAAGTCACGATCTGGAAGCCTACGGCCAAGCAGGTCGATGCGGGCAATGCGACCGCTTTTTCATGGATATCTCCACGTGGTATTCGTGCGTTTAATGGCCATAGTGAACTGAAAGCCAATGATGGCGAGCTTCTCATGCAGATACGAAATATGAGATGCATGGCGTACGAAGCTGCCGTGCCGCAGCATGGTGGTGACCCCGCCAAGCCACAACCTTATGCGGAGATGGTGTGGAAATTGGATGTTGATGCCTTTGAAACGGTGGATTTAGATGTTGCGTCTTTTGCGGAACTCTTCCATTTCAAGAAGCCGGAATCAAGGATTCTTATCTCTGGAGAAGAGACCGTGGAGGCAGTGCTAGCAAAGTTGCCTTCCGCCCATACTGTGACCGCAGTGGCAGCTACTACGGAACTCGTTGATGACCTGGCGACAAGATTCAAAGGCGTCGAGGGATTGATCATCCAGCAGTGTGACTTATCCCAAGACTTGGAAAACCAGTCAATAAAGGAGCGTTCTTATGATCTGGTGCTTGCCCCAACCATTGGTGGCAGCCCTCATACCATACGAAAGCTTCTTGCTCCAGGTGGCAAAGCAGTGGTTGACTCTGATAAGATCCTTACCAATGGATACGCGGCAGCTGGCATGTCAGAAAGGCGCAGTTTCTTGGGAAACAGTTCAAAGAATGTCTTGCCTGGAGGAACTGAGACACCCAAAGACACGCCTCACGTCAATGGCGACTCTACTCATACAGTTCATCTCCTGTACCGCGAAAAGCCCTCTGTGATTATGGATGGGATATGCTCGGCCTTGGCAGACAGTGGGTTCCATCTCACTGCAAGCAGCATTGCCGATTATGTTGATGCAGGGGGCATCGTTCTGGTGCTCGCCGATCTGGAGGGGCCACTCCTTCAAACTATTACCGAACATGAATTCCATTGTCTGCAGCGGATCACCAACACGGCCAAGAACATACTGTGGATTACTGCAGGGGGACATTTGGCCGGCCAAAACGCAGGGAGCGCCATGGCATCAGGCCTGATCCGCTCTCTTACATCCGAGCAAGTTTCTTTGAATGCGATGTTGGTCGACTTTGATATGGATACGACTAGTCACGAAGACCTGTTCCGCATTGTGGGAGAGAAGGCCATGGAACTATCTCTCCCCTCCCATTCAAGCGAGAAAGAGTACTGTGTTTCAGGAGGCCAAGTCTTCATCAGCCGGCTTGTTCCCAGCAAGACAATCAACGACGCCTACTCCCCTGATGAGACCAAGACGCGACCGACAATTTTTGACCCGCAATTGCCCATTGTCGGAAAGCTACAATCTGGTAGGATCCTTTTCGAGCTGGACAGCCGAGCCGAAGATCCTCTGGATTCTGAATTTGTCGAGGTCCGCGTGCTGTCGACTGGGTTGAACAAAGAGGACGCAGTCATTGCCTCGGGGTCGGACTTCCCCACTGAGCTGAGCCATGAGATAGGTGGTACTGTCGTCCGGGCAGGAGCGGCGGTAAATGAATTCAATGTCGGTGATCAAGTTGTTGGATTCAGCTTTGACAAGTTCGCCACCATCCAGCGAGTACACCGGACCCTTTTGCAGAAGGTCACCCCAGGAGAGTCTCTCGCCAAGATGACCAGTCTTCCTATGGCTTATGGGGCTGCTTTATATGGTCTACAAACACTGGCGCTCCTCCAATCACGTGAGGTGGTCCTTGTATTACCCGGAGCTGGATTGGCTGGGGCTGCTGCCGTGCGCATCACGCAGGCCTTTGGCGGTTACCCCTATGTGATCGCCAAGGACCCGGCGCAGGCCGACTACATTCGATCGCACTTTGAGCTTGAAAGTCACCAGGTTCTCCTTGGTGAAGAGATTTCGAGACTTCGCGATATCAATGGGGATTACAAGGCTGATATAATCTTCTCATCTGGTTGGGTGGCCCCCGCTGTGGCACGAGAAGCCTGGCGACACATCGCGCCTTTCGGTCGCTTCATCAACTGTGGTCGCAAAGATGTCCTCTCCCGCAGTACACTTGACACTATCCCACTCCATCGCGGGGCGCAATACTTGTCTTACGATCTTTTGGAGCTCCACAAGCACAAACCACAGGTAATGGCGCAGTTACTGGCGGATGCCGTTGATCTCTATCGACAAGGCCGTATCCCTGTAGCGCTGCGTTTACACGAAAGAAACATTGCCGATTTGGACGGAGTGCTTGGATCATTCTCCGATGACTTCCAGGCGGGAAAGACAATTATCAAGCATGAACCATCGAACAGTATGGTCAATCTGCTTCCTTCCCAGCCTCGGTTAAGACTGCGCGCTGATGCTACATACTTCCTCGTTGGATGCCTTGGAGGACTAGGTCTAAGTCTGACCTCGTGGATGATGAAGCGCGGAGCTCGTAACTTTGCGTTCCTCTCTCGCTCCGGAGCTGATTCTACGCAAGCTTCCATCCTTGTCAGCGAGCTGGAGAATGCGGGAGTCACGGTGCAGGTTTTCCGGGGAGACGCTGGCGTGCGAGAGGATGTGGAGGCGGCCATAAAGCAGATCCCCGAGGACCGTCCTGTTCGGGGAGTTATTAATGCTGCTATGGTACTGAAGGTGAGTAACTCATACCACATGGTCCGGATTCATTGACCCAGCTGACCCGTTCCAGGATGGATTGTTCCACAACATGCCGTATGAGAACTGGACAGCAAGCATCCATCCCAAGGTGAACGGTACCCAGATCCTACACAAAGTGCTTCAAGAAACTCCACTGGACTTCTTCGTCACCACCAGCTCCGTGTCTGGCATCTTGGGGACACCTGGGCAAAGCAACTACGCCGCTGCCAACAGCTATTTGGACGCACTTGCACGCCACCGCCATAGCCTACAGCAGCGCTCGGTATCGATCATTCTGCCGATGATTCTTGGTATCGGTGTTGTCGCCCAAAATGCCGAGCTAGAAGATTCGCTGAAGCGGAAAGGCATGTATGGCATCGACGAGGAGGGATTGTTGAATGCCTTCGAGGTCGCCATCATGGAACAAGGCCAAGGCATCTCCGACCACCTGGTCGTGGGGCTGAGACCCCGCAGAGCTGTTCAAGGTGGCTCAGGAGGCCGGAGGCAATGTGGAGCGATTCTGGGAGACGGATCCTCGGTTCAGCCATACTGTGCATGCGATGAAGTCGCGAGGCGATGAAGCGGCAGTCAGCGGAGGTCAGAGCATCCTGGCCACACTCCAAACTCTCCCGGTGCATGAAGCGATTGGCACAGTGCGGCATCATTTCGTTGCCAAGCTGGCGCGCATGCTGATGTTGAATGTGGAAGACTTCGAAGAGGAGGGTCGCTCGGTGGCGAGCTACGGGATTGATAGTATGATTGGAGCGGAGCTCCGCAATTGGATCTTCAAGGAGCTGGGGCTGAGATATCTCGTTCCAGCAGTTATTGGGCCCGACCCTGACGATCCCGAAGTTTGCGGAGCAGGTGTGTATCAAGCAGGGGATGGAAGTAGCATAGAGCTGTAGATGTTTGGAGCCGGTTCAGTGGTCTAATATATAAATCGATACTGACAATGGCGAAAAGCGATTGATTTATTTTCTACGTAGTTTGCTAGATGGTGTTGTGGGATGAACCGCCGTCGTTCTAAGGACATTCCTCTACACCGGGATCGCATAACCGCGCACTTGAATCAGGAGGTAGAATACAGGTTTGCCTAGAGGCGGCGTGATAGCAGACTGTCCGAAATTTGTATATATTATTTTCGTATAAAGCCCCGGTGCAGATAAGCAGGAGCTACTACTAGCATTAGTGGTACTAGAAATCGATGGAATCATGGCACGTAATTTCGCTGTTTGATCTGAGGAACAACTTGGTATTTCGACATTTCTCCCCTCTAGGAAATTCCCTCCTACTAGTAATAATCGGATCAATGATTTTCTTATAGGATTCATACAGATTCAGATATACATCATGTAGGGGTAGTGTAATATATGCAGCTAAGACCTTCCACTGTAATAATAACGCCTTTGTTATTAGACGTAGTCTCTAAGACTGATAAAGTACCGCTTTCACTAAGCCTTATAAGGAATGGATAGACGTAATAGTCTCGGTGATCGACATAACAGATATGGCTAGATGCCTCAAAGGATCGACTTATATACTAGACGACAGCAGGGATGTGCTAGGAAGCACCAAGTAGGATAGAGGCATCGGCTATAGATTATGGTTGGATGATGAGGTAGGAGAGGTATCAAGCTCAGCAATAGAGGGTACTTTCGCCTAACGTGTGACGGCCACTTGGCTATGTAGATGAGCTTATTGAATGGATATCAGAGATTCAGAGCTGGTATTATGACTTCCATCCAGATACGCGATCATATCGTATGATCGTCTACCATGCATAGTCCATGGATTGAGGACGGAACTCCGGACGCTAGCACAGAAGCAGTAGCGGAGGACAGGGGAGGATAGGCAGTGGGGTGTATCTATATTCTTACGCCATCTCCATCGAAGATAACGTGCATATGGCTGGCAGGGTGGAGATAAGGGGTCAAAGTGATGTCCGACAAATGGCGGATGCTGAGGCATGCACCCACCACTCCCAAGGTTGATTACCTGGCACGTTGCAACCCTTGGGGATAGCCGTCGATTGAGGGGAGATTGTGCCGGAGAGCATCTGCCTCCTCAGGGCGATTATCTGCATATTCTGCTTCATTCGTTCGAGAGTCCCTTGGTGGGGGGCGGCTTGGCATAAGGCTGCCACAAACAAAAGGAGAGCGAACGCCCATCCCCGCCGCCTCTGTCCTGCAAACCACTCCAACCTCCCGACCTCTTCCACAAGATGATGTGCCGTACAGCCGACGCCTCCGGTTCCAGCGTGGGCTCCATGGGGGACCGTGGCGACGATCATCCGCGGTCCAAGAAGGAACGACGCGCCACCTCCACCTCTGGGCGGCTGGCCTGTGATATTTGCCGAGAACGTGCGAACGCCCCATACCCCACACCCCACACCCCACCCCCCACGACAAGGAAACATATCTCGTATTGACTAATTCTCACAGGTAAGGTTCGCTGTGACCGGGGGGGATCCGACATGTGGCCGGTGTGCGCGGCTGGACTACGAGTGCAGCTATCAGGGTCGCAAACGATATCGTGCAGCGCAGGCGGACATGCCGCGTCAATTGTCCGAATTGCAGACCCGATTAGGTAAATCGCGTCGCTGCATGTCACCATGGCCTGTTTGACACTGACCCTGGTCGATTTGTCTTAGCACATGCTGAAACCCTGTTGCGGAAGTCGGCGTCGACTGCATCCACCACGGTGACGACAACACCCACGGCGCGCCCACTACCGCCCCATGTCGAACCATCCTGGCCGTTGATGACGCCGTCCGAACGGCCGGGCGACCATGAGCCACTAATGCAGCGACTGCAGGACCAAGTCACCCCGCCGATGGATCGCGCGTTTGAGGGCCTGGGCATGCTGGCCAATCTCACCGAAGACATCCCGGACTTTTGGGGCGTCATGGATCCGCTGCTGGCCCCAGACGCACTGTCGACCATCCTGACCGGCGATGGGACGTCTCGACTGCCCACGCCCTCTGGCAGCGGATATCCGCCGGCTGGGAACCTCAGCTCGGTCTCTCCTGCATTTGACAGCTCCATCTTCGCGACTACGCACGAACTAGAAGAGCCGATTCCGCTGGCCGACCTGGCCGACCTGGCCGTCCTGTACGTTCCCCTATCTTTCTACCACCGAGGAGGATGCACTGACGATCGACACAGACACCAGAAATACTTCGATATTTTCTACCCCGTCCTGCCGATCTTGAATCCATCGCGCTTTCGTCGAGAGTGGATCCACGATGCCAGCTCCCCGCAAGTCCGTGCGCTCGGCTACGCGGTGGCTCTGGTGGGATCGACGGTGGCGCCCGAGTACGCTTATCTACAGTGGTCCTGCTACAGCAATGCCCGCAGATACATCGAGCTGTGTGAACGAGACGACGACGAAACATATATCACCAGTTTAAATGCCTTCCAGGCATTGCTCTTTGTTCTCCGCTACGAGTTGACGAAAAAGCACTTCGTCCGCGCGTGGATGACCCTCGGTCGTGCCGGGACATTAGCTCAGATCCTCAAACTGCGTCAGATCGATAACGGGGACGCGGCGCGACAACAACATACATGTTCTCTCCAGGATGCCCCCGAGATTCGACCATCCTGGGACATTCGTGATCCCGCCTCGCTAGAGGAGATTCGTCGTTCGTTCTGGTCGTTGTACATCTTTGAGAGCTACGGATGTGTCCGCACGGGCCGACCCTGCACGCTGGAAGAGGAGAACTTGTGCGTCTTCCTCCCGTCGCCTGGGGAGCTCAACGAGACGTTTCGGCCCAGCCCGATGCCGTATATCAGTGACTTGACACAGCTGGCGGGAGTGAGTTACCTGACCTCCTACGCCGCAGTCACGATCATGGTGAAGCTGGCCCGTCTCTGCTTCGAACACGTTAGCATCCTCTCGCGCAGTGACAATGACTCTGGCTTCTGGGACCGGCATTACCGTCTGGTGAAGACGATCAACGACTACACCGCGATCTTCCAGCGATACCTAACTGCGAAAGCTGTCCGGGAAGACGCGTTGGCGTTTTCCCTACACCTCAACCTGTGTGCCACACATATCAACCTCCACGAGGCAGCGATCCGGAAGGTAGAAGAGCAGGACCTCCCCAAGCTGGTCGCCGCGGAAAGTCGCAAGTGCAGTACTGCTGCAGCTTTCAAGATCCTCGGGGCGATTCGGATGAATTGGCCGGTTCAGCGGTCGGAGGTGAGCTCGTCCCTCTTTTGTTGCACTTCTTCAGGCTAATCTGATCTGCTTCTTTGATAGCGAGATCACTTCACCCTCCAGGCGACCTTTATTGGATGGCCTATTGCGATGAGCCTGATCGCTTTGAGCCGGAGTCTCGCGAACGGTGACACCACTCCGATCGGAATCGTGGACTCGCTGCGTCTGCTGCGGGCTGCACTGGATCACGTCGAAGAACCGGACGGGTATTGGCATCAGGCGAGCGGTGCGGCGGTGACTTCCCTGGCCAGGTGGGATGAGCAGCAACGCGAGGGCCGCACGAGTGGATGACCTGACTCTTGCCCGTAGAGTCTCGAGTCCATACCAGGATCATCCCCCACAAGGGGTGGTTGACGATGTCAACGGGAAACCTAATCGGAGTTGGGACACAGCAACAACGGCGTTTCAATTTGGAATACTAAAGCTAAGGAGGGAAGAGGTGAAGGAGAGGAAGGAGAAGCTACAACGACCGATCTAATACCCAACTCCCACCACCCTTCTATCCACTTTCGCATGTGTTCGGACGACAGTAGTTCAGATGATGCTGGCATCAAAGGCGGTGTGGAGCGGTAGAATCGGCCAACGGCTGACAGACGATGGGGTACTTCGATCCACGGTAGATATGGATGGCATAGAAAAGATCGCAGATCAGTTCCTTGTATTATCTTCTTCAGGCAATTCAGCGCGTCTATTCTCTCCTCTCGTCTCTACCACATTCTCTATGTATAGGTATACCTCCTCACCACACGTTCGTCACTAGACCACCGCTACAAAAGCGAACATGGTCGACGTAAGACACACAATCAATCCCACCAACAACGGCCAAATACGACGCAATTCCTTAATCCACGTCTTCGACACATCCCGCGACATTCCCACCGCCTCCTTCCTCGCCAGCATCTCCCTCCTCGCCTCCTTCGTCATCATATCCTGCCACCCCAACAACCCCCTCTGCTCCTTGAAATCCACAAAGCTCAACTTCACCCCACCGCTACACAACTTGGCAATATTGATCGCCAACGTATCCAGCCCAATCCACGGCGTAACCCACCGCTGCATCACATAGTAGTACCACCCATCAAAGGCCTGCAGCCGGGTCAAATCACCCCCAACCTTGACAATCGTCTTGACCCGCTCGATCCGCGCATCCTGGTACTTCTGCATGGCCGCACTAATCTCGACCGTCGACGGCTTCTTATTTGGATGCTGATTGAGCAACGTGTGGATCTCATTCGTAATCGCAACGACATCTTCCATCGCGGTACACCCGCCCAATGCAGAATTCGGCGTCACCTTATGGATAGCGTCTCCCGCCAACACTGTTCGATTGAAGAACCAGTGGTCCAGTACGCCCTCTTCCAGGGAGATGAGCTGCGCTTTGGTCCGTTTCGCCCAGAGCTCCCCGAAAACGACAGATTCGTTGATCGGACACGACGCGAGCTTACGCGCGAGAGCCTCCATATCTGCCTCGGCGAAGCGGGCACGGTTCGGCCAGACGCATTGTTGGTCTGCAGGGAGCTTGCAGTGCGCGATATAGGAAATGAAGGTTGGTTGGCAGAGGAGGAGGAAGGAGAAGCGGTCGTTGGAGATGGAGTGCATATCGTGGAGGCCGAGGCCGGGGATGGGGGGGCATTGCGCGACAATGGCGTTGTAGGTTGTTACCATCGCTGTACACATACTATCAGTTTCGTGTCACCAATATATCTAGGGAGGAGATCGGGAAGAGGACGTACAGCGCTTCTCGGCAGCAGAGATGAAATGCGGGATACTCGCGTTCGCCTTCTCCCAGAGAATCTCGCGGATTTTGCTATGGACCCCGTCTGCACCGACGACCAGGTCCCCGACGTGCTCGGTGCCATTGGCCAGGATCACTCGGGTAGAGTCTGACTCCTCGATGATATCGACTACGCGGTGTCGCTCGAGGACCTTGCTCGGGTCCGGGAGACGGCTGTACAAGATGCGGAGGAAGAGTTGGCGGTTCAGGGTGCGTGTGTCGTATCCTGTACTGGAAACAGAATCAGTTAGGACAATCGTTTTCGTATGCAGCCAGGGACGTAGATAGGTATATACTATTTCCTAACAATCGGAAAGAAGTCATTATCTAGGAAGCATTTCCCGTCCGGGGTGTGGTAGTAGCACCGCCCCATGGTAGAGCAGCTGTCCAGTACATCATCGAGAATGCCAAGCTGGTGGAGAATGCGACAGCCATGCGGCTGGATGGTGATTGTTGTCCCGAATGGGGGTGCCACGATGCCCTTGTCCAGCACCAGGTAGTCGATGCCGGCTTTGTCGAGACAGTGGGCAAGGGTCAGGCCGGCGACTCCAGCGCCAACGATGATCACCCGGAAGGGAGATTCATCTGGAGATGGGGGTGGAGAGTCGGTAATGCGCGCGATCATCTTCTCGTTGTGACTGTGATATCGCTTGCGATGCAAGTCACTTCGTTCTTGTCTTGCCCATGGCCGACCAGTTTCTTATGAAAGGGTGTTTGGGCCACCATGTTTTCGATCGCTATACCCAGTCGCATTCAAACGGACCTCATCGGGGTAGATACACGGACGTTCTCACGGCCGCTGGCTGTATCCCAAGTATCCCGAACGGACTCCGTTGTCAGCGGGACGGAGTTGGGGCGGCCGTCGCAGCGCCGAGAGGGATTCTTAGGGCTTCTCCGCGCGGCCGACATACATGTCTCAACTATACTTATACATATAGGTGCATGGATCAGGCCAATTATCCATAATCCAAGTAACCAGAAGCAACAGAATGATCCGTCCGGCACCATACCATCTCATCGTCCTAGGCCTCCTCGGCGTATCCTCGATATGGGGCTTCATCGGGTACTGGGGCCACATGTTCGACAATTTTGGCTCCATTGTGGCCACCGGACACCTACCTGATGGACGGGTTATGCGATTGAGCTATACGGGGGTGGATGTGCTGGACCGTCAGATCACTCCGGTCATTGCTTTCTATGAAGTTCTCAGCAATGGTCTCTCCCTGGGTCCACGGTTACTATTCCTCGATATCAATTTCGTCATTGCCTGCACGAATGTTTGGGTTATGATTGAGGCGCGGAGACGGGGAGTACAGAGTGTTATGCTAAAATAGTACGTAACTCGTCTATACATGGGCGTGTGGGAGTTATTTGCCTGTATATGAGCTAACGCTGCGTGTACCATTTAGTCCCTTCGTCTGCATGCTGCTGTGGAACTTCATCGGCGCTGCCCTGATCCAGCCTCACTATCTCTACCTCATCGAGCAAAGCTACCGCCGACTTCCGTCTCAGGATCCAACTATTCCCCGACACGAAGCTATCGCTTTGTTTCTGACAACTATCATGGCGGTCTCCTGCCCTGCCCTCCTCTTTGCCCCTGCGTGGCTACAAGCCAACACATGGACACACCATGGACTCATCGGACTCTTCCATACCACCCCCATCCTTCTCGCCATAGCCTTCTTTATCACATCCAGAATTCTCAGCTCCCCATCACTCCGTTACCTAACCCAATCACCCGCGGATGCAGACTTCAACCCCCGGATCCACCCCGACCAACCCTGGGTCACCCGTTCATACATCCTCGCGGGTACAGCCTCAGCCACGGTCCACCTCTTCACAATGATTACAGCACTACGAACGCAAAACCCCGACATAACACTCCTCCGTCTTTTCATCCCAACAAAGCAGAGACTAGCCATCGCAAACACCCTACCGTTATCATGGACGGAGCCGAAGTTGAATACTACATCCACCAGCTTGTTGACTGAGACTAATGGGAAAGCTGCCAGGGTCCTAGAACAATTCCACCTTTTTAGCCAATTCGACTGGATAGTAGTCTCGCTAGCGTGTATCGTCTTTACGCATCTTCTCCTGTCCCAGGCGAGGGAGAAGAAGTCTCTGAGAGAGGAGGGGATGTCTCATACGGGGCTGATGGATGATGTCGACGGGAGGGATCTGGGGCTTTTACTGCTTGGGACTGTAATTCTGGGGCCTGGAGCGGCGGGGTCATTTGCTCTTGCTGTAAGGGAGTCGAGGTTGAGGGAGCGGTGGAATCGGGCGAGGAAGATGTATCGTGTTGACTAGGTGTATAGGTAGATTAGACCTCGTCACGACCCGCGGGTCTACCCAAACGGGGTACCTATTACCCATTTCTTGGCGGGTAATGGGTAGGGTTTGCCTATCTACGTGCGGGTAGTGGGAAGCTGGTTAATATCCATGGGTATTTTCTGGGTATCTACAGATAGTCAAACAATATAAATAGGTGGGACCCTGTGACTTGTATATTTTATATATATTCGAGCTGTAATTTTGAGTATTTTATATATAACTACTAGTTAAGATTTAAGAGATTTCTTAGTATTAAAGAGGTTAAAATAAGATTAATTTGATTGTAAGGGAACTGCCAGATTTGGGTGGCACCAGTTGACCAGGCGAGACAATGATATTCGATGGGATCCCACTATAGGGTTCCGGTCTGAACAAAGACTAAAGCTTACTCTTTTTATCTGAAAGGATAGTCCTTTTATAAGGAGGTTCGCCAGGGGTTCGGCCCTAGCTCAGGTTTCAGCCCTAATCTAACTAATAGGATACAAGAGAGTCCTGGGGCCCCGCTTCCCCGGCCTTGAAAGGTGCAACTTGGGCCCAAAGGGTCCCAATATATCTTTAAAGGCACATCCAATGTTGATTCGATGGCGTTTCACCATCGAGTCCTATTGTTTCTTGACAATTATCCTCCCCTTCATGCTGGTTGTCCTTAACTAGCTGGGGATTTTGTTCATTATTATAATACGTGTGAGCCTGGTGGGGGACAAGGAGCCGGAATTGATATATAAAAGAAGGGACTTCTCGTGTGAAAGGATGTCGAAACAACGTTTTTTTTGACGGTGATAGCCTTTTAGCATAGGTGGGAGGCAAGATTGTGTTTATTTTCTTACGATCTAGTCGAAGTATAAAAGCAACAACTTCCTCTTTCTTTTATGGCACACCTTCCTTCGAACAACTGATTTGTTACTAACCGTTTCTAACATAATTTAATAGCAATGGCAGCTCCTGTAGGTACTGTAGCGGGGTTAGGATACATCATCTCCCGCGATACCCCTAAGGACGTCGGACAACTTTTTACCTATGTGATATCGACGTTGAAACTCTTCTGCTACTAATGCTTTTTGTCGGTGGTGTATTGGAAGTGTAATATTGTAGGCCTTTTTATCTGGGAATGTGTTTGGGAGCGGGTTATCTCTAAGAAATGCCGCTATTGTAGTTATAAGTAGTATTTTCCGATTTCTGAGGGAATACAAGGGGATTGGCTAATATTTATCGATGTCTTTTGTTAGGGATATGTTGCTTGTCCTGATGTGACGACTTCTTCTTCTATTGGTGTTGGATAATCCGAGTTGATGGCTTGGGGTCTTAATACAGTAGAAGCGGCTAAGAATGAGATCCGAATCCTGGATTGTTTAATAACGATAGCTATTGCTAACTATATGACCGAAAATAGCTTTAAGTTGTTGTCTAAGACAATAAACGATCAGGATATATGAGTTGAGTATAGCTAATAAATGGATGCAAAACGTGTCTTTTGTATCTAAGTACTCCAGGTAATACAGCCGTCTGGAGGTCCCGGTCCCATTCCCATGTTAAATGATATGTTTATATAGTTAGAACCCGGGGATATCTTTTATTCTGTAATTTAAGCTAGGATTCGGTCCTTTTTTATGGGTGTAATGTTGGGGGTTATTGCTGATAAGGTTTTGTAGGTTACTATTAATATAATTCAGGATATATGGCAGCGCTTTAGGGACTTCTTAATATAGACAACTATAGTAGAATTGGTGCTGAATTGGGATCGATCTTTTCTTTTATGGCTGGCGGCTCGATAGCGATATTTCAGGATTTGTATTTCTTTTACTATTTATGAAATTTAGTGATTATTTCTTATATATTTATATCCGATTCTAGGATCTATTAATTATATTTAGAGGGCTATCTTTTTTATATAACTAGAAAGCATATTTTACCATCAATTTTCTTTTTTTACCTTATCTCTTTAAGTTCGAATTTATTGTTATCTTCTATCCTATAAGGGCTCCCAGAGTAAGGGCTGATCCCAGGTTTAGTGTAGAACAGTAAAGGGTCTTAAGTATGGGCAGAAAAGGCCCTACCATCCTAATTCCAAAACTTTTTTAGAAGCTAAGTCTAAGATAATCTACTCGATAGATTTGGGTGAAAATTTAGGAAGTTCTAAGTTCAGCAATTTGACATAGGGTATGCTTTAAATATAAAGCAATCGGAGTAATATTGGTGGTAGGAGGATAGATTGAAAATAGCAGGTTTTGGGAATTCATTTTGATGGGGTACGACTGTAGATAAGAGCAGAGATCTATTTTTTGTGTAAATGATGGCAGTAGCGCTGGCTATACCAGCTATATTAGCTGTATTGTCTTTGATATATCAGAGTTTTTTTCAAGAGTAAGGGTTCTGTTTAGCTTAATATAACTACTTGTCAGACCTAGAGAATATTTAATAGATTTCTAAGAGAGATAGATCAGTTCTAGAGCTATAAAATATATTATATTCTATAATTTATTAGTAATATATTTCTAGATATAGATAAATATATATATATATTTTAAATATTATAATCTATATAATAATATATTTCCAAAAATTCTTCTTATAGACAGAATCCTCTCTTTATCTATATAGATATAAAATAGTTTAAAATAGAAATCTAATTTATATATATTTATATCTTGATTATTATATTTATATATAAAAAAGTTAAGTTATAAAAAAAAAGATATAATATATCCTCTAGTAAAAAAGATCGAAAATTTAAAAGATATCTCTGATTTATTATAGTCTTAGATAAAAAGTAGAGAAGATTAAGCTAAAAAAGATCTTTTAGAGAGGCCTAAAGCCCCTAGATCCCGATCTACTAGATTTTGACTTATTAACATAATATCTAGAGGGCTGTTGTAAGAGTTTTGATTATCTGAACAACCTTTGTAACTACTAAGACAAGATCCTTTATAGTAATAGCGAGATCTATTATAGTTGTTATCAGATCTTTTAAAGTAATTATAATCTTTGTAGTGGTGATTATCTGATTTTTTAATATAATGAAGTTGGAGATATAGATCGAGATAGTTGTAACGATTAGACTGATAGTGGTCACAAAAAAGATCTTTATATTTGTAGCGGTTGATCTAAGACTAGACTATATAATAGATATTAGGAGAGATATTTTTTAGAGCTGTTACTAGTAGTTAATTATCGACATTATAGCTAGGAGGCTGGATGGGGACTACTTATTACTAGCTTGTAGAAGATACTAGATAGAAAGATAATATTAGTCGAGATAATAATAATAGTAAGAGCGGTAGTTTCGGCGAGATAAGTAGAGATAAAGATAGAGAAAGGTAAGAGAAGAAAAGGGAAAGAGAAGAAAAGGAAGATTTTATAAACTTAGCGATCTATACAATTTAGATTATATACTATTTACTATATACTATTTATTATATACTATTTACTACATACTATTCACTATATAATATTTACTATATAATATTTATTATATACTATTCACTATATAATATTTATTATGTAATATTCATTATATAACATTTATTATATAATATTTATTATACAATATTTATTATACAACATTCACTATATACCATTTATTATATATTATTCACTATATATTATTTATTACATACTATTTATTATATATTGTTCACCATACACTATTTATTGTATGCTATCTATTATATACTATCTACCATATACTAGCTATTATCATATTTACTACTTTTCTATTATGTTTACTATCTTACTATTATATTTTAAGCTTGAAAGATATAGTCTGATATTTTAGGCTGTCTCTAGTAATATACCTTCTGGCTATATACTAGAAAGCCTAGTTTTAAGTTTAAAAGTTATAGCCTAATAGTTTAGATCTTCGAATTTCTACTATTATACAATATACTACTGCACAATATACTAGCCTAGTTTTAAGTTTAAAAGCTAGAGCCTAGTAGTTTAGGCCTCCGATCTTCGACTATATAATATTAGAAGCTTAAGGGATAATGATAAGGCCGATCAGCCTGGGAGATATATATGTTGAGTGATAGTCTATCCTACTATAGCCCCAGCTTTTATAAGATATATATCTCTATTAATCTCTGATTACTATCTAAACTAGGTTCTTTCTCTTACCTTCCTACCCTAAAGTCCTTTTTCTTTTATCTAATTATACTAGATCTCTTATATATCTATCTTATAATAGACTTCAATCTAGCCTAGATTATACAAGAGTACTTTTATTTAATATATATCATATAGATCTTAGTATATCACCAGTACTAATATATTATTTAGCCTGGCGAGATTATAAACTATCTCTAGGGACTCTATCACTATCTCTATATCTTGATTAGAGAGGTGATTATATATTATATCTAGTAGGACCCGATCTAGTAACTATATAAAAGCTATAAGTTATAATTTTACGAGATATTATTCTTTATCTCTAGACTAATACCAAGACTTAAACTTTACTATCAGATCTTAGCCTACTATCTCAACCTCTAGGACTATACTTTTATATATAGCTCCTAAGAGATCTTCTATAAATATTAGTCGAAATAGTACCAGATAACCCTTAATAATACTATCTTTATAGTATTATATCTAGTACTATATATCTACTCTAGTATATATTAGACAAACTAATATTTCTATTACTAGAGATCTAGATCTTAATACTTCTAGGTTATCAACAGCTTTTTTGTGGATCTAGATATAGAGATATAGATCTTAGACTAGTTTTTTATAGATCTTGAGATATAATACTAGTAGATATTCTATCTAGACCTCGTCAAAAACATTTCGAGGGCCAGTATCTCCCGCCCTCCGCCCGGCCCTCGCGGGCGGAGGGCGGGTTCTGCCTGCCCTCGCCCGGCCCTCAGCCCTCAGAGGGCCGCTCGCGGGCGGCCCTTATCCGCCCTCATTTGCATAAAAAAAGTTGGCTATTCCTCATTTAGATGTATAATTCTGCTGATTCATTCTATTTAATTACTGTTTTTTAAGCCTGTTCCTGTTTATAGTTTATTCTCCATGGTATCACTATTTAAGTCTTATGAAATTATAAGAAATTTAGTTGTATTGTAATAAAGCATAGTAGGTAATGATTATATTACAGGTTTTGAATCTCCAAAAGTAAATGGTAGAGGGTGAATAGAAAGGAGATGATTTTTGAATATATTAGTTCAATATGGTTGGGTTAGATATATATATTTACAACGTCATGTTGGTAGGAATAACAAGAACATTAAACATATCTCATAAATTCTTGATTCTTCACCAAATATCATATAATTCTTCTTTATAAGGTGAGCCCCCCGATAAAGTCTAATCATACTATATTTACTAATAGAAGAGCCCCCATAATAATCTTTGAACTAAAAGCATCACTAGATTTGAGGGGATACACAAGTCAGCGAAAAACCGAGGGCGGATTGGTGATTCGAGGGCGGCCCGCATGTTTTCGAGGGCCGTTTGGGGGCCGCTCGAGGGCCGCTCGAGGGCGGCCCGCACATTTCGAGGGCTGGTTGAGGGCCGCCCGCATATTTTGAGGGCCGATTTGAGGGCCGCCCTCAATCAGCCCTCAATAAATAACCAATCATAGGGAGATTAATAAGTTAAAGTGGGTCAATAGTTGATGTGTTCGATAATAGTCAAGCTATATTGGAAAGCTACTCAAGCTAGTCAATAATTCTATTTACCAGAGCCTATGGGCTTTCTTAGTAGGTATCTTCTCCAGAAACCAGTCGCTTTTCCCTTTTCAAATCATGCTTTACTAGCGATCATCTGATTAACAATGTCCCAAATGTCCCAGTTCTCAGATATCTATTCTTCATCAGTATATGATGGTGATCCAGTTGATGCTCTTCTCTCTTTTTCGAATGATCAATTCCCAACGCCTGATATTTCTGGAAGTCAGCACACACTTGAATCTGCATCAAATCCCGATTTTCTCACTCCAATTACTC